AAGACCTAAAACCTAAGACCTAAGACCTAAGACCTAAGACCTAAGACCTAACCACCCGCCACCTGCGCGAAACGCACATGCGCGACAGGCGTGGGCGTTGGTCCCCGCGGGACATCTCGCCGCGTGTCGCCCGCCGCTACACACATGCCTGTTCCTGCGAGCTCCTCTGCCACGCGCGCCGGGGCCCCGCACGCCGCGCTGGCGGGCGGAACTACCTCGCGAAGAACTGGACGGCCTCAATGTCGCCGCAAACAGGCTTGGGCAGCGCGCATGGGGCGGGCGCGGGAGTTGCCCAGCGCAAAGCACCGCACCTTTCTGGCCGGCTCCACAGCCTCTGGAAGTTCATGCGGTGCACCGCGAGCATGTCGTCCTCGGATCGGACCGCCACGAGGTCCAATCGTGGCGGGCGACCAGCACGCTGACCGGATCGGGGCCACCTGCCGCTCCACCTCCAGGATCAAGCCGGGCATCGCGGGCCCCGTGACGCCCGCGAGGGGGCGCCTATACTACCGCTTCCGAGACTTACTCGGTCACATGATCTGACTCGTACAAATCGTGGTATCGCAGGTGTCAGGTATCCCTCGTACGAGCGTATGGCTGCCCCTCGTAAGCAGCAGAGCCGCTACGCAGCACGGTCATGGCCTCACTTGGCACCCGTGTGCCCGAAATTTGTCGCCTTGTCTCTGTCCGAGCAATGCGGGGCATCGCGCGCCTCCCCGCCATTGTCCACGGCCGGTGCCGTCCTCACGAGGCACCCCGCGGTCGGGCTGTGGGAGGGGTCAGGGAGAACTGCCCCGCCCGGCCTGTCTCGCCGGCGAGGGACCGCGACGGTTCACCGGAGCAGGAGGTCCGGAGCAGGGGCGCGCGCCGACGACAACAGCGTTCTCGCATCACACGTGGCACTGCCCATGCCACGCACCGCACGGCCTAGCGTGCGGCGCCGCGCCCCCCGCCCTCTCCTTTAGCCGACGTGCGGGGCCCGCGACCACGGCCCTGCCGCCCTGCCGCGACGTCCGTCGGCGCCCGCCGCCCCTCCGCGTCACGAGCGGCGCGAGGGCGTTGTCGCGGTGAAGAACGACCGCCCTGGCGTGCCGACGCCCCCCCCGGCGCCCGGGGTGTCGGAGAAGGGCAGCGCGCGCTGCGGCGTGGCCCCCGCGAAGGAGATGGACACGTCCCCCGCGCGGGCCCGCGCGCGCGAGGCGGTGACCATCGAGTCGAGGGCCTCGCGCGCCTTGAGCGCCTCGAGCGACAGGCGGCTGGCGACGGCGTCGTCCTTCTGCGCCTGCAGGCGGTCCACCTCCTGCGCCATGTGCTGCATCCGCGCCTGGTCCTGCCGCGCCTGGTGCTGCAGCGACTCCAGCTCCACCTTGAGCTTCAGCGCCTCCCGCGCGCGCGCCTCGCTGCGCTCCCGCACCGCGTCGCGGTCCTTGCGCATCGCCTCCAGCTCCCGCTCCAGCGCCGCCAGCTGCCGCTCCTTGTGCGCCACCACGCTCGGGGACGCCGTGCGCCCCGGCGACGCGCTCACGTGCCCCGACTCCTCCGCGAGCTTGAGCTTGAACTCCAGCGACCGGTTCGCCGCCACCAGCTCCTGCACGCGCCGCCGCAGGTCGTCCGTCTCCTCGCTCGCCGCCAGCGCCTTGGCGCGCGTCTTCTCCGACGTGGCCGCCGCCAAGTCCCCCTCCAGCTCCACGATGCGCCGCCGCCACTCCGCCGCCTTGCGCTCCGCCTCCGCCAGGTCGCGGTCCGCGGCGCTCCGCGCGCTGCGCAGGCCGTCGATCTCCGTCATCGCCGAGCTCAGGCGGTCCGCCATGTCCCGCAGCGCGTGAGATGCGCCGGGGGCTCCCAGCGCCCCGCCCGCCGCCGCGCCGGGGCTCCCGCCGGCCTTCCGCGCCTTGCTCGCCGTCTCGCGCAGCACGCGCAGGATGTGCTCGGCCACCACGGGCGACCCGAAGTCCGACGTCACGTTGACGCCCTGCACGCCCAGCAGCATCGCCGCCTCCGCGACCAGCCGGCGGTGCGCGCGGAGCTTCTCCTCGAGCGACCGGCGAGTCGCGTCCGCCGCCGCCTGCGCCTCCTGCGCCTCCACCACCGCCTCCTGCGTGGCCTCCTTGGCGCGCTGGCACTCGCCCGTGCGCGCCTCCAGCCGCTCCAGAGTGTCGTCCAGGTCCGCCTGCAGCCGGTCCGCCTGCTCCGTCTTCTCCGCGAGCGCCGCCCCCGCCGCGCGCAGGTCCCGCGTCAGGTTCTCGCACCGCTCCTCCAGCGCCTTGAGCTCCGCCTCCTTGCGCGCCGAGTGCGCGCGCACGTCCGCCACCAGCGTCTCCAGCTGCTCCACGCGCCCCTCCAGGGACGTGCACTGCCCCTGCGACAGCGACAGCTCCGCCGACAGCTCCTTGACGCGGTCCTGCGCGTCCACCCGCATGTCGCGCTCGCTCTCCAGGTTGCGCCGCAGGTCCTTCGCCTCGCCCTCCGCGGTCGCGAGCCGCCGCGACAGCTTCGAGACCTCGACGCCCATGTCCGCCTTCTCTGCGGACAGCTCCGCCACCTGCGCGAGGCGCCGCAGGCACACACAGAGGGGGGCAGTGAGCTCGACTGCGTCGCGCCGCAGGTGGCGGCCGCGAAGCACGCCGGGTCGACGCAGCGCGCGCGCACCTGCTGCCGGGTCTCGTCGAGGTCGCTTCCGAGGCGGTCGCGGTGCGCCTCCGTCTGCGCGAGGTCGCTCTGGAGGCGCGTCACGCGGTTCTCCAGGCGCGTGACGGTCGACTCCAGGTCGGCCACCTGCGACTGCATCTCCGCCACCTGCTGCTCCAGCCGGATCTCCTTCGTCCGCAGCTTCGAGATCTGGTCGTCCTTCTCCGCGCCCTTCTGCTCCAGCAGCACGCCCGCCTGCCGCGCGTTGTCGATGTCGCGCTCCAGGGCCTGCACGCGCGACGGACGACGTGCACGGGGGGCTGAGCACCCGCGAGCGTGTGCACAGCCCGGCGGCGCGCGTCGGCGCGTGCGTGTGTCGCGCGCACCTTGATGCGGTCGTTCAGCGAGCGGATGGTGTTGTTGGCCAGGCCCATCTCGCTGCGCAGACTGTCCGCGAGGCTCGCGGCCTCCCCGCGCAGCCGCTGCTGCTCCTCGTCGCGCTCCATCAGCACCCGCTCGTACTCGCTCGACACCACCGTCAGCCGCTCCTCGGTCGCCGCCTTGATGCTCGCCAGCCCCTGCCGCTCCGTCGCCAGCGCCTGCGGGGGGCGAGAGCGATCCACAAGGAGTGCGCGCTCGATCCGCGGCCCGTGCACAAGCAGAGGTCGCGGCGTCCACCGCGCGCTCGCGTGGGGCGCACCTTGACGGCGCTGCGGGCCTCGCGCAGCTCCGCGGTCAGCTGGTGCAGCTCGGCCTCCATCGGCCGCAGACGCTCCACCTCGCGCTTCGACACCCGGAGCGACGCCTCGGACTCCTCGAGACGGGACCGCAGGATCGAGGACGCCGACCGCTCCTCCTCGTACAGCTGCTCGCGCTCGATGACGCGCGCCTGCATCGACGCCGCCTCCGCGCCGGCCTTGGCGAGGTCCTGCGAGCCGGAAAGGGATGAAACGAGCACCGGCGCGGTCAGGGCGGCGTGGCATGCGCAGCAGGGAATTTCCCGCGGGGGGCGTTGCGTGGCCGCGCACACCTGTCGCAGGCTCTCGGCCGCCATGCGCATCTCCTCCACCTCGTCCTCGAGGCGGCGGAGGCGCGACTCGGTCATCGTGTTCTGCCGCTTGGCCTCGCTGAGCGCGTGCTCCGCCTCGTCAGCGGCCCTGCGGTCCCGCGCCGCCTCCTCCGCGGCCTTCTCGCGCTCGACCTCGACCGTGCGGATGTGCTGCTTCAGCATCTCGATCTCCGCCATCGTGGCCTCCAGCGCGGACGCCTGCTGCTGCATCAAACGGTCCTGCTCGCCCCGCAGCGAGTCCACCATGTACACCGCGTCGCCGGACCGGGCGTTCTCCGACTCCTGCGCAACGCACGCACGAACCAAACGCCCCGCCGGGTCACGAGCCACACAACACGGCCCACAGGCGTCCAGGAGGTGGATCGCGAGCGTGAGCCCGAGCGCGAGCGCGTTGTCGGAAGCGCGCCTTGCTCGTAGGTGCGCGGGGCGCTGGCGTCGCGCGCTGTGTCGTGGGCTCACCAGGCGCAGCGACAGCTGCTGCAGCTGCTTCTTCAGCACCTTGTTCTCGCTCTTCTGCGCCTGCGTTGCGACGAGAGCGCGGCACGAGGGCACGTCGGCACAGGCGTGCGTCGGGAAGACACACACGCCGCGGCAGGCGCACAGGCAGGTGCGCGGGCCGTGCGCGGAAGAGCGGGGGGGGCGCGCGCCTGGAACCCCCGCCTGAGCTCGCCCTGGTCGTCGACGATCTTCTGCAGGATGCCCTGGGCGCGCAGCTGGTGCGAGGACTGGATGTTGCTGTTCCGGATGATGCCCATGAGCTCGCTGTAGCGCTCCATGTCCAGCTCGACGGCGTGCGAAAGCAGCTGCTTCGCGCCGGGCGACACCATCCCGGGGCTGCCCATGGTCATGGAGACCTGCGACGTGTCCATGTCGCGCGGAACCAGCGCGCGGCGCGCGGGCGTGGCGGACGGCGGCGGGGCGACGTCGACCTCGTAGAACGACTTATTCATCGACGCGGGCGCGGGCGAGGACGGCGCCCCGGCCGTGAGGCGGTACGCCAGGTAGTCGTCCGCGCCGTCGGCCTGCGCGACGCCCGTCCTGCCCGCGTCGCCCCACGTGGGGGTGACCAGGACGCCCTGCGGCAGGGACGGGACGCGCGGTGGGGACGGTGCCGTCGTGTTGCTGCGGCCACCGCGGGGGGCGGGCGGCGGCGACCAAGGCGCGGCGCGTGCGTGCCTGTGGGCAGAGCGATGCGCACCTTGCCGGAGGACGTGGGGCGGATCCGCGACGTGAACGCGAGGGCCGCGAGGGTGTCGGCCGCGTGGACGGAGCTGCCGGAGACGCAGGCCAGCACCTGGATGGTGGCGGCTGAGAACAGGCGGTCCTTGAGCCACACCGTCAGGGGGGCGTCCCGCCACGGGATGTGCGACAGCTGCGCGCGGGCGCCGCTCGCCTCGCGCTTGGCGCGGATCCCCGCGTCGTTCAGGCCCTTGACGACGGCCGACAGCGTCTGGAACGCCACGGCCTTGTTGCGCGTCTGGGGCTGCGTGCGCAGGGGGTCTGCGGCGGCGGGGGCGGCGGGGCTCGGGGGGGTCGGCGGGGCCGCTGGAGAGCAGATGTGCGCGCGCGGGGCCCGCACCGGGGTGGGGTCGCACCGTTGATGGTCGGCTCGCGCGGCTCCGGGGCGGCGAGCTCCACAAAGGTGAGACGCGCCTCGGAGCGCTGCCCGCCCGAGCCGCGGTGGCTCAGGCTGATGGTCAGCGCCGTGTGCATGCCGTCGTCCGTCCTGATGCGCGCGCTGAGGTCGGAGTTCTCCGCGGCCAGCTGCCGCGACACGTTGGCCATGCGCAGCGCGTCCGCCAGGTCCTGCACACGCGCGCGGGAGCGGCACGCCCGGGACATCAGGCACGCGCGGCGGGCGCGGGCGCGAGAGCGCTCCGCGGCGCCCGCGGGCCCCGTGCGCGCCCGCCGGCCCCGTGGAAGGACGCGGGGGGCAGCGCGGGGGAGTTGGTCGTGGCGCGGCGGACCTGCATCGAGTCGATCTTGAACGTGGTGGGCTCGTCGAGCGCGGCGGCGGCCCTGGAGTCCCGGATGGAGATGGGCGCGGCGCCCGGCGCGAGGAGGTCGACGAGGTGGGCGTCGTGCCCCGCGGTGAGCGCCGTGTGCGACACCTGGATGGAGAAGTCCTGGCCGGGGAGGCGGCTCATGTGGTCGAAGATCGCGCGGACGGCGCGCTGGATCATGCCCTCGCCCTGCGCGCCGCCCCCCTTGAGCCCGTACAGCGTGTGGGACTTGCCGGCCAGCGCGGGGCCGTACGCGGCCAGCACGCCGTCGAGGCCCTGGAAACACGACTGCACGAGCGGGTCCACGAGGTGCAGGTACGCATCCTGCTGCGTCGCGCCCTCGTCCAGCACGCTGTCGAACTCGTAGTGCCCGAACTGCGAGGACAGGTGGCACCAGCCAGAGCGGGCGGGTCACGGGCCGGGGGCGCGCGCGGGGGCGCGGGCGCGCGCGGAAGGGCGGCCAAGGTCGCGGCCATGCGCCGCGCGGGGCGGGGCGCGGGTCCCGTCCCGCCGCGGGGGCGTGCGGGGGCCGAGCATCTGTGCTGGCTAACAGCGGGCAGGCGCTCGTCGCACGTGGGGGCCGCCCGCGCGAACCACGCGAAACCGGCTGGCCCAGCGGGTGACGGGGGACGAGGGCTCGCCGCGGTCGTGCCGGGACCGCGGCTGGCGCCCGCGCAGGGGGCGCGCGGCGGGGCAACCGACCGCAGGAGAGCGCAAGGGGAACCGTGGCCGGGACTGGGCCGGGGGGGGCGGCTCCGAACACGCGAGCGATCGGGATGCACGGCGACAGGTACCGATGATCGTGTGATCGACGCGAAATACGCGTAGGCGGCGTGAGTGCGGCGCCATCCGCCAGGGTCAAGGCCATCGAGGGTGGAAGCGCCCGTGCCCCGCGCACAGACCAGAGGAACGTCGGAATCGCTCGCTGGCCGCAAGGATCAGGGAAAGGCATGCCCGCGATGCGACGCACCTGTCCCTTGACGTAGGGCAGCGGCTTCTCGCCGCCCGGAGGGGCCGGTCGAGGCCGTACCCTGACGCTGACGCGTATTTTGGGACCGAGGTCGCCCATGATCGCTCCCTCGAATCGCGAACTTTCGTGCTCTGCGGCGAACGGATCCCGACGAGGTCGCGGGCGCGACGGAACGATCGTCAGGTGGGATAGTTATATTACCTCCGTGGCCGTCGCGCGTGGGCGGGCATTGCCGCGCTAGGCGGTGCCGACGGGACAGTCGAGTGCCCGGCACTCCCTGCTACGGACCCGCGCCACCCTGGCCGCAGTGCCAGGGCCGCGCGGGGCCGCTGCACAGGCGGCAGCCCTGCGCTGCTCGCGCCCGCGCAGCGCGCGTTGCATCGCGGCCGTCGCTATGATTCGTGGCGGGGGCAAGAGCTCTGCTCGCCGGTGACGCGTGCGAGCGGCGCGCGGACGGGTGGGCAGCGACGGTCGCGCTCCTGGTGTACACAAGGGAGACGGCGCCCCGCATGGGCGAGGGGGTGCCGCGGGGGGGGCCGTCACCGGCCATACAGGTGAGACGGATCGACGACATGCCGTGGCGGAAAACACACGTGCCCTGATGCTGCGGGCAGGACGTGGCGGCGACTCACCCAGAAGCCTGCCTTGCGTCGCACCGCCGAGCTCGCCGACCGCGCTCCCGACCGCACGCTCGACCCGCCGTGGCGTTAGGAACCATTTTGTCCTCCCTGAGTTTCACACTGAATCGACCAGCGCGGCCTTGCGCTGCCCCGGCGGCCCTGCTGGAGCGCCGCCTTCGGTCCTACAGCGGCGTGGCGGGTTGCACGCGCATCGCGACGCCATTCGTGACGTCACAATCACCGTCGACCGTGTGCCTGACATCCTCGCAGGCAGGACGGTCCAGCAGCGCCGGCGTATCACCCCGCTGAGGCCCCAACAGACCGCTGGTGGTCCTCCCGCCGGCAGGCGCGACACGTTGGATTCAGGCGTCTTCCAGGTGCGCTGCATCGACTCCTCGACCATCCCCCTCTCGTTTCCGGCCACCAGCGCCCAGGCGTCCCGACCAGGCACGGCGTTTCCGTGCCTCGGGCGCCCCTCCCGCCGCCTCGGCCCCATCCCGGCGCTCCCAGCGCAAGTCGAGTGCGGACTGCGGCCTCGCTGCACGTTTCGCGGCGCGTGCTGCAACGCTGTTCGCACGCGACCCGCCCTGCGCTCGTAGAGCGTCGCCGTTCTCGCCGTGTGTGTGTGTCGCCGGCGGCTGGCAGGCCTCTGCTCTGGGAAGATGATCACAAACCCTTACTCACACATTAGGAAGTGCCGGCTGATCCGAGTGATTAGAAAGGGATGACAGAGAGCAACGAGGCTTCCTGCCGCGCCGCCAGCGGCCCCGTGTTTCACTCTGCGCACACAGCGCTCCTTTTTGTCGCCCACCGGCGACTCGCGCCCAGGTCTGCGGGGAAGACTACAGCATCTGTCAATCCACTGAAGACGCTCGTCGATGTGGAATGCTATTGCTAACCCTCTAAGAAGCACTGAGCAGATCTGGACGCGAGCGCTGTTTCCAGCCCGCGAGCACCGTTGCCGCGCGACCCCGCGCCGCCGCCGCTCGGCGATGATGAGATGCCCGCGGAGGCTTCCCGCCTTCCGACTCCAACGCGACTGCCGCTTTCGGCAGGCACGGACACATGGGCACCCTCTGAGCTCTTTCTCTCGACACATCTTCGCGCCGTCGCTCCACCGCCATGTCGGCCCTGATGAGACGCCCGCGGAGGCTTCCCGCCTTCCGACTCCAACGCGACTGCCCTCGCGGCAGGCACGGACGGATGGGCACCCTCTGAGCTCTTCGTTTCCACGTCACTGTTGCAACGCTGGCGCCGTCGCTCCACCACCATGTTGGCCCTGATGAGACGCCCGCGGAGGCTTCCCGCCTTCCGACTCCATCGCATCTGCCGCTTTCGGCAGGCACGGACACATGGGCACCCTCTGAGCTCTTTTCCTTCCCCCGTTACCGTCCCGTCGCGTGTCTCTGCTGCTGCTCGACCTGGCTGGCACTGATGACGCGCCCGCGGAGGCTTCCCGCCTTCCGACTCCAACGCGGCTGCCCTCGCGGCAGGCACGGACAGAGGGGCACCCGCTGAGCCATGCCACCGGCGATGAGCGCCGCGACCGGGCCACTGCGATGACAACGTTGTGCGTGGTGCTGATGATTGGCCCGAGGAGGCTTCCCGCCTTCCACCTCCACTGCATCTGCCGCTCGTGGCAGGCACGGACAGATGGGCACTCTCTGAACCTCGCCGCATCGCCGCGACGCACGTGCGCGCCTTGCACACCCGCATGGGCGCCGCCCCGGCGAGCCCCGCGCTATTTTCGCGGCCCGTCGCCCGCCCGTGCCGCCCAGCACACTCCATACCCCGGGCGCCCATGCTTTTGTTCGTGCTGTGGAGCGTCCCTGATTTGTGTGCGAGATCGACGCGCCCATGTTGAGTCCGTGGGCTGACCCGTGATGTCCAGGGAATTGTTTGGTCCACATCCCCGCGCATCCCGCAGCTTCGCGCTGCCCCTCGCGCTGCCCTGGGCACCGCTGACCCCCCCCCCCTCCGGCGTTGACGCAGGTCCCATCACTCCCCGTGAGAGCGGCGACTCCCCCTCGCGCGACGTCGCGGGCGGACCGAGGGCGTCCGCGCTCCTCCACCGACGGTGAGCGCCCCCCCTCGCGCCGCCCCGCGTCCCTCGCCCGCGCATCGCATCGCATCGCAGCGGCACTGGCCAAAGATGAAACCTTTTTATGCCCAATAGACCTAAGAGCTCTCACGGGCGCCTGAGCGCAATCTGATGGCGTGAACATCTAAGGGGCTGAGGCCACAGCCGCTGCGCGCGACCAACAATGCCGTTTTGCCCCCCGCTGGCTATCTCCCATGCGCCAGTGGGGCTTCCCTTTTCCCGCGGCAGACATCGACCTCGTGTTCTCTGGGTAAGGGGACGGCTCAACGCGTAGTCGAATCTCCTAATCAAGGCGCGAGACACTCTCTGCACTGCAGGCTCGGGCCGCACGCGGCGGGGGACCTTGGGCGGCGGCGACGACGCTGGCGTCGCTCGCGCACAGGCCCGCACGCGACGGCTGTGGTCGAGGCCGCCCGGGCACCGTAGGGCGCGTGCGCGCGGCATCGCAGCAACCCGTGGGTGAGCGCCCACCCACCACTCTGCCGCGCCGCCCAGGCCTGCGTGCATGGCCTGCTCCGCGCCTCTCCGGTGCCACGCTCTGAGCCTCGGCCTGAAGTCTCTCACGGCGGCTGCGGTATGAAATCGTGGCGAAAGCATCGATGCCGCGACCCGTGCGCTGCCGCGGCAGCATCACGCTGCTGCGGCAACCTGGGATGCTGGCCCACATCTCGCCGTGGACCGCCCACGGAAACACCCCCCGCGGTCGCTGTTCCGCAGGTGTGCGCCAGGAACGACGGGCTGCGGCCGAAGTTAGGATCGACGGGCGACGCGGACGTGGCTGCGCCCGCCGTGCGGTTCCAACGGCGCCGATGTTGCCGCAGGTCAGTGCCTGGGCGTCACCGCCCCTCTGCCCTGCCATGCTGCAAAGACTTGCTTCGCATAGGCGTTATCGTGAGCGCGGGTACACGGCGAGCGAAGTACATCTTCGATGGAACCGCGGTTCGGTGCCTTGATTCGTGCGCCTGCGATGTCAAGCGAAGCGCACACAACCCGCGCGGGATGCCAGACCAAAACCAGCGCTGGCCCTCGCCCATGGGCCCTTGCTGACCTGTCTCGCTGGTACACTTCATTCGCGAACGCGAGCCCTGACGCTCCCGCACCCAGCCTGCCCCGCATGCTGCTCACGTGCTTGCCGCTGACGTGTTCGGCTTCGTGCAGGAGCGACTCTGCGCCGAGCGCGGCCGTGATACACCGTGCGTCGCGGTGATTGTTGGGCGTGGCGCTCGTCTTGCAGGTGACGCTCCCGCATCGCGTTCCACTTGCGCATCTCGCTCGTCCCGTGGCAATGACGACGCGCCCGAGGAGGCTTCCCGCCTTCCTACTCCGATGCTGGCCGATCGTGGCGGGCATGGACAACTGGGCAACCTCCGAGCCAGTCGCGGGGAGCTGCGAGTTTCTTTTTTTCGTTTTTGATTTCATGCACATGCTTGCCGGCCCTGATGAGACGCCCGCGGAGGCTTCCCGCCTTCCGACTCCATCGCATCTGCCGCTTTCGGCAGGCACGGACACATGGGCACCCTCTGAGCTCTTTCCCTTCCCCCGGCACCGTCGTCGCGTGTTTTCGCCGCTGCTCGACCTGGCTGGCACTGATGACGCGCCCGCGGAGGCTTCCCGCCTTCCGACTCCAACGCGGCTGCCCTCGCGGCAGGCACGGACAGAGGGGCACCCGCTGAGCCATGCCACCGGCGATGAGCGCCGCGACCGGGCCACTGCGATGACGTTGTTGCGCGTGGTGCTGATGATTGGCCCGAGGAGGCTTCCCGCCTTCCACCTCCACTGCATCTGCCGCTCGTGGCAGGCACGGACAGACGGGCACTCTCTGAACCGAAACGACCCTGCGTGCGCCCTGACCGCGCCCGCGTCGGCCGCCCGCCACGCGGGGCGAGGAGGCGTGCACTCGCCGAGCACACTCCATACCCCGGGCGCCCATGCTTTTGTTCGTGCTGTGGAGCGTCCCTGATTTGTGTGCGAGATCGCCTTGAGGGAGTGTTGGGGGATTGGAGATCTGTCGATGAACATCCCCTGTCAAACCCCTCACACACACACCATGCGCAAACAAGCGCCCGCCGGACGCGGCCGCCGCGACGCTGGCGACGCTCACCATTCGTGCTCCTGTCCACTGCCTCGCAGGTCTGCACGCGCCGCGCTGAAGACGACTGAAGCGGACATTTATTTGTTATGATTTTCTTTCCAAGGTGCAGACCCCGGCGGCCGTTCTCGAGCGCAGCGCTTGCCCGGTCGCCCCCGGCTTGCTTGCCACAGCCAGCAAAGATCGTCGATGACGCTGGCCGTCCAGAAGCTCGCCAAGATAAATTGTGCTCATAGGAAGCTGGTGTGGGCGGTCGCCACGCCCCGCCGGTGCCATAGACTCGTGACGACATCCACCGCTGCGAGCGCAGCTCATGGCTCTCGCGTGCGCCCTCGGGCGCTCCAAGCCAGCGCCGTGACCTGCGCCGTTCCGCCTCTGCTGTTGCGCAGGTGCACAAGGCCGACGGCGCACAAGCGCGCTCCGAGCGCACGGTCGAGGAGTTAGCAAACCCCACGCTCCCCAGGACTGGCGGCGGGTGTCACAGTCCCCAGGGCGGCAAATGCGCGTGCCCCTGATCAAGGCGGGGTCGACCTTGCATGTAAATACGTCACTCGGCAGCGTGAACCACGAGGGCCTCCCGCAGCATCGACCTGTACGTCGCTGAGACGATCTTGCGCGTCTCTTGGCGGTTCCTTGCCTTCAGGACGAACAACGAGGGTGCTCCGTCGCTGGCCGCGCCCATGAGCGACAAGCAGCACACCTCGATCACGTGCGCGAGGTGCTCCAGCAGCCACTTGTGCCATTGGCCCGACGGGGCCTCCTTCCGAAACGCGTTCGTCGCCGTGTCCAGCGACTGGACGATCAGGACCGTGCCGATGGCACCGTCGCAGACTGACGTGTCCTTTGGCAGGCGCTTGCGGCAGCGTTCGGCAGCCCGCTGTCCCACGGCGAGCATGTCGAATTCCTTCGTTGAGTTCCAGAGCTCAGACGCAACGCTGCGGATCGCGGCAAGCAGCTCCTTGCCCGGCAACACGTGCACGTGGAGCGCCGCAGACCTTCCGCGCGGCGTGGCCACCTGCAGCCGCAGGCCCCTGTCGGCGGACTCGACGGGCTCGGCGACCTCCCCGGGCAGCTCCGCCTGGCCCGGAACAACGATCTCCTTGCAGGCGTCCCGCGCAACGTCGAGGATCTCGCTTGCAGAGTGAACAAAGAGCGTCCTCGCCCCGACGGCGCACGTCCCCGCCCCGCGCGTTGGCGCCGTCCCGCTCATTCTGTGCTGTAGCTGCGACAGCCGCGCCCGCACGGATGACCCGCCCCCTGGTGACAGCGAGCTGCGTCGTTCGCCGCGGCCAGTCCCGGCAGGCGCAGTGCGCTCCGCTGCCCCGAGACGGGCGAGGGCGTCACCGGCAACGCGCGTGCTGCACCCCGAGAGCTCTGCGAGGTGCGGTGGATGGGGCCGCAGCGGTGTTTGATTTTCCGTTCGAACGCAACAGGAGCGCATGCGTGCCTGAGTTGAGTTCGTGCGGACTTCGCGCGGTCGTACCGGAGACCATCACCGCGGCCATGCCGTCCTCGCACATCTCTGCGGCCTCCAGGAGGCGCGCGACTGATCCGAACCGCGCGGTGGTGATCGTCGCCTGTTCCTCGGTGAAACCGGCAGTGCCCAGAGATGATCTCAGGGTCTTCCTCAGCGCATCTGCCTTGCGCTTGCCCATGTAGCTGTACTCGCTGCTGGCTCCTTCACGGGACGACGCCCACGCCGCGACGAAGCAGGAGAGCGCTACCACAGAGACGCACGATGTCTGTGGCGTAGTGGATCGCAGCACGCGCACGCGAGAGCCCCTCGCCGCGAGCGACGTGAACACCTGCACAGTTCGTCACGCACGGAAGTCTCGCTTCGAGCCGACGCTGCATCGACGAGGCCCGCGCAGGCAAGTGAGCCGTCGATACGACGCACCTCGTACACGTCGTCGGCGCTGCGCACGAGGCCGGGAACCGAGTCCGCCAGCGGTGCCGGGACGCCGAAGATCTGAAACTCGCCCGACACGTGCGGATCGCCCTCGAGCAGCAGGAACCCGTGCGGGAGACCGGAGATGTCCATGCGCGACAGCTGCTCGAGGTGCGCGGGCAGGTGTGCCGGGCCCGAGCTGGCGGCCGAGCGGCCGACGATGTCGCGGATGGCCTGCATTCACTCGATGGTGCCGGTCCGTCGCATCGCTGGTGAACATCGGCAGCATCTCGGTGTGCGGGCGGCCCGAGTGGTGCTGCGGCTCACCTTGCGTTCGACCGCGAACGGAGTGTGGTTGTACGTCGGCTCGTTGGAGTCCCCCTGTCCGCTGGCAACGCCCCAGCAGAAGTCCCCCTGGGCCAGCTTCGCGCGACTCACTTCCAGGTTGCTCAGTGCGAGCTCGACGACGGTCATGTCGCCCGGCCGCTTGGCGCTGCGGCGCCAACGTGGGAGCGTCAGGGGTGTCGCGAGGCTTCCCACGCCAGCAACCGATGCGTCACATGCAGCGCACAACATGCCGCGCCCTGGACCACGGGAGGGCGCAGGCTGGCCGAGAAGGCACTCACCGACTCGCAGCCTGCGTCACGTGCTCGATGTTCTGCTCCAGGCCGTCGAGGATCTGCCGGGCCCTGGCGTTGCTCTCGCGCTCCGCGGTGTCGACTTGGAGCTGCATGATGGGGGCCGGCCGCTGCTCCCGAGACGGACGGGCGGGCCCCGCGGGCACGACGGCGACGTCGTCCTCGTCCTCGCTGTCCTCCAGAACGATGGGATCGCTCCCCAGGGTGTCGTGCGACGGCTCGGCGCTCGGAGCGACCAGGTCGATGCTCGGTGATTCCACGTCCTTGATCTCGATGACGTCCTGGCCGGCAGCTCGCAGCGCGTGGACCTCTGCAGACATCGGTGGGTAAAATTGCAGCCTCGCGTTCAGTGCGTCGCTCGAGCTGCGAGCCGGGCGGAAGGGACCGCGTGACTGCGTTGCGCACCTGCCACGACGTCCTCGTCCGGCGGGCTCGCGATGTCGATCACCTCCGCCGCACGGGCCGCGGCCTGACGTCGCGAGCGTCGCGGCGTCGCGGTGCGTCGCGGCCCGTCCTCGTCGCTGAGGTCGATCACCACCGCCTCTTTGCGCGCGCCCGTCCCCCCCGCCTCTGCGAGGCTGAGCTGCAACGCCTCATCGATCCCGACCCATTCCTCGTCCTCCTCGATCGCGGGCATCTCCTCGTCGTCGCCCGCCCCCTCCACCACGCGCGCCCCCGGGTGCCGCTGCATCAGTTCGCCCACGTCCCGCGCGAACACCTTCATGACCACCTGGTACATCGCCCCCATGTGCGTCATCGTCGCGGCCGGACACCCCCCACACTCCGTGCAGCTCTCCACCTGCGTCGACAGGCACGCCGGGCACTCCCAGAGGCCCTCGCCGCCCCCCTCGCGGTAGAACGGGGCTGGCGGGAGCTCGACTGCGACCTCCGCCGAACCCGCCGCGGTGCCCGAGGCCACCGCGCCGCCGAAGTTCAGGCGCCGCGCGGCGCTCGCCCCGGCGCCCGCGACCCCCCCGGCGCGCTCCAGTGCCTTGAGGCCCGCCATCTGCCGTGCCGGGAGCCTCACGCCGGGCGACGAGTGGTACGCGTCGCGCAAGGCCTTCCGCGCGACCTGGTTAGGGAGCTCCGTGGCGGGTGTGCGCCTCTTGTTCGACAGCGGCGCCGTTGGCGCGGGCGACGGCGCGTACACGCCGCCCGCGGGCGTGCCAGAGAACCGCTGCTTGAGCGCCGCGAGGAACTGCCTGCCCGCGTCCGTCAGTTGGAAGTAGTTGGTGGCCCCTGCGGTGCAGAACGACCAGCCGGCGAGCGCGTGAGTCGATGCGGGCACACAACGACAACGGCACCGTCGCGCGGTTGAGGCGGACCGCCGCGGCACAGGGGCGTGTGCGGGGGCGCACTCCAGAAGCGGCCGCTGCTGCTCGAGAAGCCCCTCGGATCCGTCCGCAGCACGAGGCCCTTGTTCTCCAGCGTCTTGATGCTCGACCACGCGGCGTGGGTCCTGCGGTCGCGGGGGGACGCTGGAGTCGGCGTCCGGCGGCGTGCGGAGATCGCGTGCAGCGCGCTCCGGTGTCTCCCTCACCTGCCCGCGTGCCAGTTGGGCTCCATCTCCTCGTCGCAATGCTCCTGGCCGTCCCGAATTATAGCCTGCCTGGTGAGCTGCGTGTGCTCGCGCCCGTCGAAAGCCATCATGATGGCGTAGGGGCCTGACCGATACTTCATGCGGCTGAGGTAGATCTGCCAGTCCGGCGCCAGCGGCGTGTTCGTGCTCGCGGCCTGGGTGCGGGCGCGCGCCGCCGGCGTGCCCGGGCTGACGTCGCCCGTCATGACCCTCCTGCATATCTCCTTCATGCTGTCTGTCAGCTTCTTCGGCAGGTTCTTCGGGACGCCCGTCGACGTCACCCAGATGTCCTTGCCCACGGCCGCGATGAGGCCCGCTGCCTTGCTGTACTGAAAGCACGACTGAACGCCCCTGGAGCGCGCTTCCTGGGCCTTCGCCTGCGTCATAGTGACACGAGAGTGACGGAGAATGAGGGGGCCTGCGCTGTGGCGCCGCTGGTCGCGTCGGCGCCGCGGACGGGTGGCCAGCAGGCTCAGCGCGGTTGGCCGAGAATCTGGCGCACGAGGGGCGGGTGGGAGCTTGGGAGCGCTGTTACCTCGAAATGGGCGACGAGCTGCCGGTTCCATGCCTTCCGCGAGTGCGAGCGAGGCATCGTGCGCACGTCGGAGCTCGGCGACGGAGTTCGCTGGAGAGCAGCCAACAACGAGAGCGCTGAGGGCCGAGGTGCGGAAGGTTTCGGGCCTTGCGGTTGTGCCTTCCGTGCAGTCACTGCTAGATATAGCGGTTCTGCGGCACAGATCCACCGGGGAAGCGCAGGGCCGGAGCGGACGCCACCGCCTGGCACGCGGCTGGCGCGTCACGCTCCCGCAGGATGGGTGGATGGGCGCGGGAGGACGTATCGACCTCTCAACGGTTCCACTCGACCAAAGGAAAGTGTTCTCCGTGCCGCGCGCGCCCCAGCAACGTCTCACGGCGCCGTGCACGCGTACTACCCCCCCACCGACGCCGGGCATCAGGTGGCGCACCGGACCGGCACCCGCAGCCCTGTTCGGCGGCAGGCGTGCACGCGGGGCGGCCAGTCACCGCAGCGAGGCATCGCTCCCGCCGCCGTCGAGTGCTTCTGCGCCCCGCTGCACGCTGCGCGGCAGCGACCCTAACACAGCGCTCACACACGCCGGCCGCTGCCTGATGCTCGCCCGCCCTCACGGCGTGTGCGCCGACGGGATGCTTGCTCGCGCCGCAGCGTCCTCGCGGCTCGCCGCCCGCGCGCGCCTCCCCAGCGCGCGCGGCGCCCGCTCCGTGAGGGCCATGGCGCCACCGCGGAGCCCGCCACCGCCACCGCCGAGGCGGGCGCGGCCCCCGCGGAGGCCGCCGCGCCCGAGGCGGGCAAGGTCCAGCTGCCCCCGCGCGAGGTGCGCGCCGCGTCGCGCCCCCCGCCCGCCCCGCTTGGCGCGGCGAGAGCAGAGCCACAGATGCACCCGCAGCGCCACGGTGCCGACAGCGCCGATCGCGCGTGTGTTGCAGGCGCGCCCGGGGTACCTGGACGAGGGGAACTTCACGCTGCACCCGAGCGTCGCGAAGTGGTCGTCCTGGAGGAGCTTCACGGACGACGCGGACTCGGACTCGGTTCTAGAGGTGGCGCAGCAGGCCGTGCAGAAGCTCCAGGCCGCGGGGGCGTTCGCGGACGCGGAGAGCGCGCAGTACTGGGCCTACCACATCGGGAGGAGCACGTTCTTCACGGCGCAGGGCCTGATGGGTCTGCTCGCGTCGCAGGTGACGGGGAACCAGCAGGCGGCGCAGGTGGCGCCCGTCCGGTGGTCGTCCGCGCGGCTGATCGTCGAGGCGATGGCCACGTTCAAGCAGGTGCGCGGCGTCGAGCCGCCCGCCCCGCGGCGATCGGCGCGCACACGCCCCGGTGACCCTCGCCGCGCGCCCCTCGAGATGCGCTGGATCTGACACGCGCGGCCGTGGGCGGCGCTCCCGCAGGACCTGGCCAACATCAAGGCCGGCGTGTACAAGGCGCCGTACGACATGTCCATCTCGCACCGCCAGAGCAACCCGTTCTTCGTCGCCAGGAAGGCGGCCGAGTTCGTGCGCGAGGCGACGGGCACGCTGCAGCGCCGCGCCGCGCAGACGCCGGACGACCTGTGGCTGGACGTCCCGACGCAGCCGCAGTACTACCGCAAGAAGACGTTCCACTTCCAGACCGACGGGTGGATGTCGAGCCGGTCCGCGGGCGTGTACGAGACCAGCACGGAGACGCTCTTCCTCGGGCGGCAGGACGCGATGCAGCGCCAGACGCTGGTCCCGCTGCGCGCGTGGATGGACGAGAACGCCGGGCCCGAGGGGCGCGGCGCGTCGATGCTCGAGCTCGCCTGCGGCACGGGGCGGTTCGGCACGTTTGTGCGCGACAACTACCCGCTGGCCGACCTGACGCTGCTCGACGCCTCGCCGTTCTACCTCCAGGCCGCGCGCGACAACATGCGGTACTGGGAGAGCCTGCGCGGGTCGCAGCGCAGCCTCGGCCGCGTGTCGTTCGTCCAGGGGATGGCGGAGCAGCTCACCGCCGTCGAGGACGCCTCCATGGACGTGGTGTACAGCGTCTACATGTTCCACGAGCTGCCGCGCGAGGTGCGCAAGCAGGTCTTCGAGGAGGTCGCGCGCGTCCTCAAGCCCGGGGGCGTGTTCGTGCTGACCGACTCGGTGCAGCTGGGCGACCGCCGCCCCGCCAACGAGCCCGACTTCTACGACGAGGTCATCGGGAACTTCGGGAACTTCAACGAGCCCTACTACCGGGACTACATCCGCCACGTACGCACCCCCGCGCGCACCGCCACCCAGACCGCCCCACAGCCCCCAACGCCCCCTCCCGACCCATGCAATGGCGCCCGCGTGTCCCTTCGCAGGACTTCGGCGAGCTGGGGCGCGCCGTGGGCCTGACCCCGGAGATGAAGGTCCAGGCGTCGTCGACAAAGGTCCTCAGCTTCCTCAAGGCCCCCGCGCCCTCGGGGTGAGCCGCGCGGCCCGGCAACGACCGGCGGGGCCGCGCCAAGCTGCGAAGAACGACGGCGCCGCCGGGCGCGCGCCCCGCTTGGGCATCTGATGCAACAGCAGTAGTGGAATGTCGTCGTGTGTGAAATTAATGTGTGGATCCCCCCCGGCGGCCCGGCGCATCGCTCGACCTGGACGCGTCGCGGAGGCCTCCCCCAGCATGACTCGGCAAGCCTCACGGCCCCCATCGGCCCGGCGGGTGGGCGGTGCGCAACACCCCTCCCTGCGCCAGGGGACGTCTCCTCGACGGGCCCGGACCGGGGGCCAGGCCGGCGCTGTCTGCCCGCGACGGAATCGTCCGAGGGCAATGTTCCTCCTCGCGCTCCGCACATCGCCCGGACCAGTTCGTGCGCGCACCCCGCGCCGCCCGTAGCACCAGGCGGGTTCCCCGCGCCCCGCATGCGCCGCGTAGAGAGGGGTTGCGGGCCACAATCACCGTGACGCGGAGAGTAGGTCGGAAAGGTCGCGGGGATGGTCAAGTCGTGCGTCAAGGTCGTGCTCCGGACGCGGCCGACGCGAAACTTTGCACATGACAGCCTCAAGATCGTGGATGGGCAGGACACCCTGCAAGTGAACGTGCCGCGCGGGCACGCCGCCCCGAAGCAGTTCCAGCCAGAGCAGTACACGTTCCGGTTCGACAACATCCTGCACGAAGCGTCCCAGGAAGAGGTGCGCGCGCCGCTGGTGCTCTGCGTGCATGCTGCGGGCCGCAGCCGCAAGCGCGGCCCTTCCGTCGATAACTCATCTCCCCGGGGCTAGCACGTGGCGAGTAGAACACAGCTATCTCATGCTGAGCGGGATCTCGCGCGTGCGGGGCGAACGTCGCGGTGGAGAGGCGATGCGCTTGGCGGTGCCCGCTCGCTCGCCACGTGCGGGCGCTGTCCGGGCAGCCCAGGGACCCGCGGGCCAGATCTCCGCCCACTCTCCAACGCACTCCGCGCGTCGCCCGCTGCGGTCCGCGCGGGCTGTGCCCAGCCCCGCGACCCGCGGGCCCCAGCGCTGCACAGTGTGCCCTCGTGCGGCGCCGCGGAGCCCCGCAAACGGCCCTCCCGCGCGCCCCCGTCGCCGACCGTCGCCGCACCGTCCGCCCGCGCAGGTGTTCGACGTGTGCGCGCGCGACGTGATCGACTCGTTCCTGGACGGGTACAACGGCACCATCCTGTGCTACGGGCAGACGGGGGCGGGGAAGACCTACACCATGACGGGCGCGAAGGACTCGTTCAAGTCCCGCGGCATCATCCCGCGCACCATCTCGGAGGTGTTCAACGCCGCCCGCGAGCGCACCAGCTCGGTGTACACGGTGCGCATCTCCTACGCCGAGATCTACAACGAGGCCTTCTTCGACCTCCTCGAACCCGCCACGCCCTCCAGCTCCATCAGCGTCTCCGACGGCGTCCGCGGCGCCGTCCACATGAAGGGCCTCTCCGCGCTCCTCGCCCCCACCGAGGGCGACGCCTTCCAGGTGAGACACCCCGGCGTGGACGCAGCCGCGCTGCTCGGGCAGCTCGGTGCGCAACCGCAGAGGCGACGTCCAGCGGGCCACCGTCAGAGACGCCGCGCCCCGCACCCGTGCGCACCACGACCACCGCCCCGCACCATGCCCAGGCTCCGCCCTGACTGCGCCCGCCCGCCCTCTCCCTCTCGCTCCCGCACGCAGCTGCTGTTCGAGGGCGAGACTGCGCGCGCGATCGGCGAGCACCAGCTGAACAAGTCGTCGTCGCGGTCGCACACGGTGTTCACCCTGTACCTGGAGCGCAAGGGGTCCCCGGACGACCCGAGCAGCACCACGAGCAAGCTGCACCTGGTGGACCTGGCCGGGAGCGAGCGGCTGAGCAAGACGCGGAGCGAGGGGCAGGTGGCGAAGGAGGCGACGTACATCAACAAGAGCCTGTCGTTCCTGGAGCAGGTGGTGGTGGCGCTGAGCTCGACGCACCGCGACCACGTCCCGTACCGGTCGTCGAAGCTCACGCACATGCTCAAGGACAGCATCGGCGGGAACTCCAAGACGCTGATGGTGGCCAACGTGTGGGGCGAGGCGCAGCACCTGGAGGAGACCATGTCGACGTGCCGGTTCGCGCAGCGCATGATGCGCATCCAGAACGAGTTCGTCGTCAACGTGGCCACCGACAGCAGCGCGGCAGCCCGCCGCCTCGAGCGCGAGGTCGCCGAGCTCAAGGAGGAGCTGGCCATGCACGACCAGATGGCCAACCGCAGCGGGGTCTCCTACGAGCCCTACACCGACCAGCAGCGCCGGCACCTCGAGGCGCAGGTGCGCGAGTTCCTCGAGGCCGACGCCGACGACGCCTCCATCGGGCCCATCGAGATCATCTCGCTGCGCCACGTCCGCGAGGCGCTCCTCGCCTGCCGACGCCTGTACAAGACCGCGGCCGCGGCGGCGGCGGTGGCGCCGCAGCGGACAGGGTCGCCGCCGTCGCCGCCGTCGCCGCGCACGCCGGTCGCTGCGCCCGGAAGCCGCGCGCGCATACAGGACGGCGCGTCGGACGACGAGGGCGCTCAGGTGGCGGGGAGGGGGCGCGGCGGGGCGGGCGGCGACGAGGAGGACGACGACGACGACGACGGGATGGCCGCGCCGGACGACGCGCGGCCAGAGTCAGGTGAGGCGCCGTGCCGCTCTGCAACGCTGCCTGCCATCGCCCGTTGTTGCGTCTGTGGGCGCTTGACGTGCGTGCGTTCTCCGGTGCGCAGGGGGCGAGTACGGCAGGGGCGTGCGCATCATCGGTCCTGCCGGGGAGCAGCACGCGCGGGCGCGCCCCCCCGACAAGAAGGCGGCGTTCGAGACGTTTCAGAAGGGCCCCGGGGCGGAGAAGACCATCGCGCTGCAGGACAACAAGGTGGCCCTGAAGGAGTCCAAGGACAAGCAGAAGGCCGTCGCGACGGACATCAACGGCATCAAGCGGCAGATCGACGAGGCCAAGGCCAAGGCGGACGCCCTGAAGGAGCAGCGGGAGGCGGCGGGGGGGCAGGTGCGGGGGCGTGCCGGGACGTGCGCGCGCGTGCGCTCGTGTCTGTGCTGCGGGCGCGCGAGGTGTGTGCGCGCCCACCGCTGCCCTGTGCGTGCGTCGCAGGAGCTGGGCGAGGGCGAGGAGTACAGTGCGCTGTTGTTGGTCAAGGAGCTCAAGGGCAAGTACAAGGGGCGGTACCAGGAGCTGCAGGCGCTCAAGTCGGAGGCCGAGTACATCCAGCAGCTCGCCGCGCAGTGCAAGAACGAGCTGCTCGCGGACTTCGAGGCGTGGTGGGAGGAGCAGTACGGCGCGGGGAACCCGGACAACTCGTTCGACGACATCCCGGACGTGGTCGGCGCCGCGACGCCGCCGCCGCAGCGGGCGCAGCGACAGGCTGCGGCGGTGCAGGACTCCCCGAAGAAGTCCCCCGGGGCGAGCCCCAGCAAGGGCGCTGCGGCGGCGCGGGCGCGCCTGCGGGCCACGCAGCCGGTGCGCACCTGCCCGGACCGACGAGCGCCGCGCTGCGCCGGGGTCCTCATCTCCTGTGTGCGAACGGCCACCTCGGTCCGTGCCCCGGTGTGCGCAGGCCCCGCCCGTCATACCTCAGGAGGAGCTGGACGACCCGGAGGCGGCGGCGTACTGGAGGGCACGCAGCGCCATGGAGAGGAAGCTGCACGACGCGCACATGACGCAGGGGCCGCGGAGCCAGGCGCACAACCGCGGCAAGAAGCAGACGGGGTTCAGCACGGTGGACAGGGAGGCGGGGAGTCGCGTGATCAACCCGTCGTGAGATGTGACGCGCTGCTGACTGCGAGTGGGATCGAGACGGCGCGACAGTCACACGTTCGCCTGAAACAGGCGTCATGGGACGAAAGAATGCGTAGAGAGATATAAATCATTTGCCTTTCAGCTTGCTGAACGCGGCCAGCTGGATCTTCGGAGGTGCGGCAAGGCCTGCCCCGCCCCCGCGAGTGGCCCCCGACACGCCGCTTCGGAGGATCGCCTGCAGCTTCTCCTTGCTGTCCTCGGGCATGAGGTTCACCGCCGACTTGAACGCCGCGGGGGAAGCCGACGCCAGGGCGGTGGCCGCGCCGACGACCTTCTTTGCCAAGCCGCCCTGGTTCGCGGATGTTCGGTCCGCCTCCCTGGCCACCGCGACGAGGACGGGTTCGAGAACAGCTGCCAGCGGCTGCGCCATGTCGCTCGCTGTGGACATGCCTTTCAAGGTCGCCGTGGCAGCGTCCAGCGCTGCGCAGCTGACGACGTGACCGCTCGGACCCTTGTAGCCGTCGATCACGGCGACGACGCTTGGGAGGAGCGCGACGGAAGCGAGCAGGTAGCCCCGCGGCAGGTGGCCAACGTCAACGGCCTCTCGCACCAGTGTGTCCTCCATGTGGCCCCCGCTCGCCCGACAAAGACCGCGCCATGCAGAACGAACCACAGAGTCGATGGAGTCCGGCGACTGAGCCACGTCGCGCGTCTGCTCGGTCGACCTTCCGACGTGCTCCAGGAAGGACACACAGACGTGCTCGGGGGCCCCGCCGAGCGCGTCCCCGAGCCCCGTCAAAACGGCCGACACCGCGCTCCTGATCTCCTCGACACCGGGCGCCATGGCCATCGTCAGCTGCGGCAGGCTGCCGAGGACGAGGGCGCAGGAGTCGAACAGCGCCTGCATCAACCGCCCGCTCTCCGCACGGGTCGAGAGCTCCAGCACGTCCCGCAGGACACCGGACAGCGCCTCGAGGTCTCCCATGCCCAGGCGTGCAGCGGGCGCGGACGCGGCGTGCTGCACCAGCCCGCGCGCAACGGCCATCAGCACCGCCACGAACGACTCGTCGCCTTCCGACAGCCTGTCGACGCACGAGGACAACCCCTCGACGGCCCACGGCCGGCTCATCCCCGCAGCCCCCGCGGCGTGACCGAGCGCTGCGGCCGCGAGCGGGGCGTTCCCGGAGGCTGCTTGGCAGGCCGACGCGGCGGCGGCGCCGATCGCCGCCACGGCCTGCGCGGCCTCGGTGTCGTCGTCCGCCGCCCAGAAGGATGCGGGTATGAGACGCAGGAGGCCGGCGAGCGCGAGCGACGCGGCCTCCGTCTCCCGGGATTCGCAGCGCAGTGTCGCGCCAGGTGCCAGACCCCCGACCCTGCTGACCAGCTCGACGGCCAGCCGCACCGACGCGGCACCGGACTGCATGTCGCACTGCGCGAGCCCGCCGAGAACTCCGACGATCAGCGGCACTCCGACGGGGGTCCCCGGCGAAAGGTCCACGGCGGCGTTGGCCATGTGGCGCTCCATCCACCCGTAGGGGCGCAGGTGCGGCGACAGACCGTCGACGCCGGCCGCCTCCGACGCGGACGCACGCTCGCGCCCGGGACGCTCCTCCCCGGCCTCCAGAACCCGCGCCGAGAGCGCGACAAAGGTGAGAGACAGCAGGGCGTCGCCGTCGCCGTCCTCGCCCTCGCACAGGGCTGCGGGGAGGACGTCCGTCAGCGCCGACTCGAAGAACCGCCGCAGGGCCGGCGTCCAGACAGTGGGCGCAAGCGGCAGGACCTGCGGGCGGTACCCGGCGAGGCGTTCGCGCCCCGCGCGCCCCGCCCCCAGCTGATGCAGGCACACGAGGGCGTCCCGCGACGCTCCCGCCCAAAGACGCGCCAGCTCAGGGACGTGCGGCCCCTGGATCGCGTCGACGATCGAGTCGGAGACCGCACAGCCGTCCTTCGAGGCGAGGGGCGGCACTCCCAGGCAGGCGACGGGCGTGTGCTGCAGGCGCCGCACCGCGGCGTGTGCGGAGAGCAGCGCGAGACGCACGTGCGACGCCACCCAGCTGTTGCAGTGGTCGAGCCGCGTGGACTCCTCCCAGGCGCTCAGCGGCGCGCACAGGGCCGCAAGGAGCCGCTCTGCCGTCTCGTCGTCGCCGCAACACACGCCACTCTCCAGGATGGCGACGGCGAGGGACGCGCACAGCCCCGCGACGGGCCCCTGCGCGATGCGCGAGAGGCCCGACCTGGTCGCGGACACCAGGACGGCCACGTGCTGCTCGAGCGCCAACACCCCCGGCAGCGCGGGGTCCTCCACGGCGCGGAACGCGCGCACCGCCGCCAGCAGCAGCCGCGCGCCGTACTGCCGCAGCGTCTCCAGCTCGCCCGCGACGAGCGCGTACCCGAGCTGCACGAGCGGCCCGAGCTGCGCCAAAGCAGCGGGCGGGCTGCCGTTCGTCTGCTCCTGCGCGTTCGTTCGCGCACCGGTGTCCGCGAAGGCGTTCCAGCCATCATCGGCGCCCGCTCCTGCCCCGTCGCCACCACCTCCAAAGGCGGCCCAGCCCCCTCCGTCACCTGCGTCCTCTGTCCGCGAGGCAGGCTGTGTGGGCGGCACTGCAGCAGGCTGCGCGTCCCCGACGCCCACCAGCCCGCCCTCGAGCGCCGTGATCAGGCACTCCGCCGCAAGCACGCGGCTGTCGAGCAGGTACGCCCCGATCTCGACCGCGCCCCCCTGCGGCCCCCCCTCCGCACCACCCCTGCCCGCCTGCCTCTCCTCCGCCTCCACCGCCCGCGCCTCGCCCTCGTCGCCCTCCGATCCACTGTCGTCCTCCCCGCCGCCCCCATCCTCCGCCTGCGGCGCCCCGCCGTCCCCGCCCCTCCCCTGCGTCTCCGCCCCCGGAGCCGCCTCCAGGATGACCTCCTTGCAGATAGCCACCCACCGGTCGAAGCAGTCGCGCGCCCCGTGGGCCAGGAGGGTCCGCAGCGCCGCCCGCAGGCTCTCCGCGGCGACGGCGTCGATGCCCGCGCCCAGTGCGCGCAGCAGGAGATGCTCGACGTGCAGGTCGACGGCGCCGCGCGGGTCGCACTCGACGAGGTGGCGCACGGTGGCCGCGGCGGCGCGCTGGACGGGCGGCTGCGTGTAGCGCACGGCCACGCACAGCGGTGGGAGCATCGCGGGCAGATTGATGAGCTGCGGCGCGTACAGCACGAACTGCTGCAGACACAGCACGCGCTCGCGCGACAGGAGGTTGTGGAGGGGCTCGAGGCCGCCGTCGAGGGCGGTCACGCAGCCGGAGAACGGGTCGATGATGGTCGTGCTGCGCGCCGCGAGCTGCGCCGACGCGCCCGGGTCGTCGCCGCCGGACTCGGCCGACACCCCGGGCTCGCGGAGCAACGCGCGGAGCTGCGCGTACCGCGCGCTCCCGGGCGTCAGCTCGGGCCCCACGGCGCCGATGAGGGCGTTCACGAGGCGGCAGACCGCGACGTGCAGCCCCGGGGCGTCCTGCCCCTCGGCCATCGCTGCGAAGTGTGCCGCGTGCAGGACGGACGCCACGTCGGGCAGGAGGCGCGGCCCGAGTCCCTCGCAGAGCAGAGTGAGGGCGTGGCCCAGCCAGACGCGGCACTGTGCCCCGCGAGGGAGCCTCGGGTTGCAGAGCGCCGCCACGAGGGTTTTCGTGATCTGCCGCACATCGCCCTGGATGGCGAGGCCCAGGGCGCGCGACGTCATCCCGAGGCACAGTGCCGTCCAGCTGATGCGCAGGCTCGCCACCGTGACCCCGATGCCGGGGCCTGGGCGCGCCAGGGAGTCGACCGCCGCCTGCGGGAGAGAGGTGGGCGTCGAGGACGGTGTTGGATGCTCTGGCCGAGGATGTCGTTTTCGCGAGACACGACGCGACGACCGCGCGCGGGCGAGGCACCTGTATATCTTGGAGGGTGCTCTGCACAAGCCCCGCGGCCTGCTGCGGCTCGAGCAGCTTCGCGGCGAGGGCCACAATCTCCGCGGTGGCCCGCAGCACCGCGGTGTCGTGCGGACACGACGCGCGCAGGTTGCGGGCGAGCTCGATGACCTTCGCCGCGAAGTCGACCCGCGTGACGCGCCCGGGCGCCTGTCCGCGCGCCCCCGCCACCCCGCGCACCAGCGCCAGCGAGGCGTATGCCGTGGTCCGCATCAGCCCCGCGTGCCGCCACGGGGGCACGCGGGCGTCGTGCGCAGCCCGCGCGTTCGCGACCAGAACGTCGAGCACCTGCGTCGCGGCGCTCTCCGGCGCGGCCAGCAGCGCCCGTGCGAGCAGGGCGCACTGGGCGCGCGCCAGCTGGTGGGGCAGTGTCGTGCGGGCAGCGCCCAGCGCCCCGATCCGCGGCTGCCACGGCCGCGGCACGTCGCACGGTCCGCTGAGGTTGTCGGCGGCTTCGAGCGTCGCCTCCTCCCACAGCATCGCCGGCACGGCGGGCGACAGGATGTCGTCGGCGCGCGCCAGGGCGGCCAGCAGCGCGGACGGGCACACCTGCAGCGGCGCGGAGCCCTGCGCGGCGGCGGGCACGACCTGGACCGCGGGGAGGCAGACGGCGAGGAGGGGCTTCAGCCCGAGCGAGCGCATCTCGCCGGGCGTGAGGGCCTCCAGGCACGACACCGCGCGCACCAAAAACAGCAGCGTGGCCTCGCGGAGCTTGGGGCGCGGGCCGCCCGTGAGAATGTCCCACAGGAGCTGCGTGGACCCCGCGAACTTGACCAGCGGAAGCAGGTGCTTCTGCAGCACGCCGAACGCCCTGCACCAAGAGGCACGCACAGCGGGGGGGGGTTGTTATGCAGCCAGGGGCGTCGGCGAGCGGCGAACGGCGGGACGTGCCCGCGTGGTGGCTGCTGCTGGACCTGGCGCGGCGCGCACCTGCTCCGTTCCGCGGCGTCGCGCTCCTTGCTGGCCACCAGCCACGACGCCAGGGCGTCCATGGCCGCCGAGCGCCACTCCAGCTCCGCGACGAGCGTCAGGTCCGCCGACCTCCCGCGCACGAGCAGGTCCTTGATCGTCGGCACGCTGCTGCCCCCGAACGCGATCTCCCACACGTCCACCCCCCCCTCCTGACTCAACTCCACCGGGGGCGCCAGGGCCGCTGCGCCGGCGATGAGGTGGTACCCCGCCCCGCGCGCGAGCGACACGGCCTGCGACACGATGTCCGCCTGCGACCCCTGCGCCGGCACGCCCTGTCCGACCAGCGTCCGCGCGATCGAGTAGGCGCGCGTGGGGAGGTCCGCGGGGGCCCCCAGGGGGAGTTGCCGCGCGGAGCACAGCATCGACGCCGTGGCGAGGGCGCGGCCCAGGAGCTGCCCGGCGGCCGCGTGCTGCTCCTCGGCCAGGAGCTGCGCGGACCGCGGGCGGAAGAGCCCCCCGCCCGCGCGGCGCTGCCCCGACACGCTCTTGGCGATGAGCTCCGACGCGGCGGCCTGGACGTCCTGGAGCGCCTCCGAGACGAGCTGCAGGGCGTGCGAGGACTCGCACACGAGCAGCGTCTGCACGACCAGCGCGGCCTGCCCCTGGACGGCCGGCACCCCGCAGCTGAGCCAGGGCCGCAGCGCGCGCGTGACCGCCTGGCGCTCCTCCACGCCGATCTCGCCGAGGAGCTCGAGCGCCATGCGCAGGCACTGCATCGCCGCGGCCGCGCCGTTCACCGGCCGTGTGTCGCCCTCGGCAGGAGCCTCCAGGAAGCGGCACAGCTCCGCGATGAACGCGTGCCGCCCCGGCTGCGACAGCGCCGGCAGCAGCGCGCCGTGGACCGCGAGCGCGGCGGCCGCCTGCGCGCCGGGCACCTCGACGGCCGCCGCGCCCGCCCGCCGGCTCGAGGGCGGCTCCACTGCGGCGTCCACGGCTTCGAGGAGCCCCGTGACCGCCGCGACCAGCAGGCCGTCGTTCGCGCTGCACCACGACCGGAGCGTGCGCAGGTGCGACGTCCACGCCGTCGCCACCGCCGCCCACAGGCTCCCCGCCCCGGCCACCTGCGGCCCTGTGCGCTGCAGGGGCCCCGCCGGCCGCAGCGCCTGCTGCGTCGCGTTCTGGAGCAGTGGAGCGAGACACTCCGACCGCGTCAGGCGGTGCGCCTTCGCGGGCTGGCCCTGCGCGGACCCCCCCCCTGACTGCTGTGCTGACTGTTCCACCTGGTGCAGCCAGCACGCCGTCGCCAGCTCGCCGAGCCCCGCCGCCGCCGCGCGCCGCACCGTGAGCGACGCGCCGCACGCCCCGGCGACCAGGATGCGGTGCACCTCGTCGATCCAGGCCCCGCGGAACGTGCCGAGCGGCTGCCACAGCGCCTCCCCGGCCACGCGCGACGTCGCGACGATGACGGCCAGCGCCGCGAGGCTCGTCCCGTCGCTCCTCGACGCGGTCCACGCTCGCTCCGCGGCCCGCAGCGCAGTGCCCGGGACGCCCTGGTACGTCGAGTCGGGCAGCGGCGCCAGCGCCAGCATCACGGCGGACAGACACCGCAGGGCGCCCTCGCGCGCGGAGTCGTCCTGGCAGGCCTGGGCCGCCTTCGCGCACAGCGTGGCTGCCTCGGTGAGGGACCCCGTGACGGCGTGGCCGTGGTCGCGCACCATGCGCGCCAGGAGCTCAAAGGCCATCGCGGCGCGCGCGGGGGAGAGGCCGCGCAGGCGCTTCGGGGCGAGGTCGTCGAGCGCGTCGCCGACGACCGCGTGGAGCTTGGCCACGTCGCCGACTGCGAGCACGAGGGTTGGAGGGTTGCGCTCGTTTGGCTGCACATGGGTGTGTGATGTGGGCACGGGGCGGCGCGGGGTTGCTCGCGGGGCGCACCGCGAAAGATCGCCGAGTACACGCCGGCGACCAGCCGGCGGATGGGCGGTGACGGTCCGCGGGAGGCGATGGCGGCGAGGCGGGCCAGCGCGGGGGCCTGGTGCGCCTTGACCTCCGCCGGGCTCGCGCGCCGGAGGGACAGGAGCATCTTCGAGAGGAGATCGAGGAGGGCGATCTGGTCCGTCTGGCCATCTCGCTTCCCGCCGCCCGTGAGCACCTCGAGCTCGGCGACCCACAGCGAGAAGCCCAGCACCTCCTCCTCCTCGAGGTGCGCGCCCTGCGACGCGAAGACAGTGCCGAGGTGTGCGTGGATCCACGAGGATTCGTGTGACCGCGAAACCTCGGTCGTTCGGCGGGGACTGGTACGATGGCGACCTGGGCAGCACAGACATAGAGGTGCTCTTCCACCCAGAGCGTGGTGAAAACGGCGCAATAGGTCCACGCACATGCCGCCGCGAGGCCTCCATCACCAGATCATGGTGTCAGAGGGCGCGTGTGTGGCAGCGAGCCGCGACAGGACGGCGACTCCACCGCGGCGATGCACTGCTCACCTCGCGCGCCGATGGCGGCGCCGTTGCGGGGTTTGACGCCATGATGGATGCGACCTGTCAGTGTCTCATGTCATGTGATGCATCCACGGGGGTCACGTGCGTGGGGCCCGCGCTCTCCCCAGCGGGCGAAACGCCTTCGCCGAAACAGCCAAATGGCCTCCCCTCCGTCGCGGTGCAGATGAAGCACACCGTGATGGTCACGCGACGACCGCAGCTGATACCGTGATGCACTTCAGCGGGCGTGTCTGGTGGCCTCAGCGGCCGTGCGAGCGCGCAGTGGGTCTGCTAGGATGCCCAACTGGGTGTGTCCTGTGCGCGCGCCGGCCCCGCTCAGATCTAGATCTGGCAACTAACCAACGCCGTGGTACCCCGCGCCCACTGTCGCGGGCGTCCTGTCCCAGGCTCCACCGCTGGTCATGCACACAACCCTGGGGCACTCACTCACTGACTCAGTGTCAAGCACTGGCAGTGCTTGACTCCCCCACATCATCAACTCGGCTCACCGCAACACGACATCTGGCGGGGTCTCCGCTCGCAGCGAGTGTCCTCGGCACCGCGCGACCGTTGCAGGCGCTGCCAAACAGAAACAGAAACAGAAAAAAGAAACACAGTTACACTGCGCGGCTTCTTCGTGCTTTTTGCACGCGTGGGGCGCATCCGTTGCTGCCGGGATGGCGCGAGCTCGTGCCGAAGCAGACACATGTGCTTAGCCATCGCTCGCTTGCCGCTGGGCGATCGCGTAACGCTGTGCATGCTTAAGTTGTTTCCGCAGCGGGATTGAGGCGGGCAAGGCATTCACGCTGTCCATGGTGCTGAGGTGTCGCAGCGTCGTGTTGTCCGCTAGCGACCCCGCCAGCGCCTGCCACCCACGCGCAGTGACGCCGCTCAGGTCCCACAGCCTCATCGACACGAGCCCGCAGTTTTGCCGCAGCGCCTCCGCGATGGCTTCCACGCCCTTGTCGCGAGCGCACATTCTTTTGAGAGCCAGCTTGCGCAGCTTGCTTGACCGCTGATTGTCCTTCAGGACAGCTGCGATGCTGCAGACGCCGATGGTGCTGACTTCACGCGATGATACCTCGAGTGTGTGCAGCTGGCGAACCTCGTGACTGTCCCCGCCATACAGTGCTTCTATCAGTCCGCAAAATCCCTCGTTGGTCAGCCCGTCCCCGCGAATCCGCAAGATCTGCAGCGTCCTGTTCTCGCGCAGGCCTCCGAGGAGCTTCAGCCCGACCGCCCCTCGTCTGACCCCACACCGCCACTGATCAGAGAGGCAGAAGCGTGTCGTCCAAGGCAACGCCAGGTCCAGCTCCACCAGCGACGCAGTTTGTTTGAGCATGTCGCTCAAAGCGTCTCGAAGATGTTCGGGCGCGTAGCTACCATCGAGCCGCAGCTCGCGCAGAGTCGTGTTGATGCGCAGGGCAGACAACGCCGCCAGTCCGCAGGCGAGCCCGGTACAGCCCCGAAGGTCCAGCTCGCGCAGTCCGGCGTCGTTGTGCACCACAGGCGCGAAACCGGCCGACACAGCCCCGCTGATGTATCCATCGTCAAAAGAGGATGCACGGTCGCACTGCTCCAAGACCAGTTCCTCCACCGTGCTCCGCCCCAGGGCCGAGAAGAACTGGGACACGTCTTCGTGTGGCGAGGTCACGTCTCCCCTGCCGATCACCAGCCGCCGCAGCTTCTCATTACGGCCAAGCAGCTGCACGAGCCGCCCCCACATGGCGGGGTCTCGGGGTGTGACGGCGTATGGACGTATTTCTCGTGTCAGTAATGCTTCCCGGTCCAGCTCCAGCGTATGTAGGTCCGTGGCCTCCCACCAGCGCAGCGGATCCCTGCTGCCCACGCAGAGCTTCTCCAGCCCCGCCGGTGGGGTCCGCGGCCGCAGCTCCGCCAAGGCGGCGCTGCCGTCGCCCGAGACCGCTAGTTCGAGACTGCGCAGGTGCGCGGCATGGTCCAGGGCGTCCAAGAACGTCTCCCACTCCCTGGCGCCGAACATCGCTGGCCGGGCGTGGCTCAGAGTGAGCGTCGTCAGGCTGCTGTACTGGTCGATCAGACGTGCCCAGCTAGGGGGTGTGTCGGAGAGCGTCAGGTGCTGCAGCGCTGACAGCCCGCGCAGGGCACCGCGCAGCACCTCGGCCACGTCCAGCGGCTCTGGCCAGCTCTCGGCCACGTCCAGCGGCTCTGGCTGGCACTTGGCTGCCACCAGGGACCGCAGGTTGTCCCTCACCGCCGGCGTCCGCAGAACCTCTGCCACTGCCTGCGCCTCCGCTGGCGTGGTTGGTCGCATGAACGGGATTGGCAGGGTCAGCCCCGTCACGCGCGCCCCGCCGGGATTCTCCGCTAGCGCCCGAACCAGTTCCATCGACGCGCGCGTCTCTTCCTCGCTGCTCGCGGCCTCGTGAAGGTTCACGATCTTGGTCATCGTGGGCAGGTCGCGGCCGAGATCTCTTGTTGCGGTTAGCAGCGCCCCCGCGTCCGTCGCCGGCACCCGCACCCCGCACAGCGCCACCTCTCCCGCGCACGGCGCCCCCTTCACCCGCGCTGCCACACCGGCCAGCACGGGGTCGTCCAGGTGCACCTGGAGCACGGCCCGCGTGTACCGCAGGACCGTCTCGAGCGCATCCCAGCACGTCCCTGCGAGGCTCGCCTTGTCCTCGTCCGACAGCCTGTCGAGCACGGGCGCCTCCCGCAGCACGCGGCACAGCATCTCGCTGCGGTCCTGACAGGGCCCATGAACGGAGCCATGGGCGTCGTCAGTGCCGTTTCTGCCAGCTTTGGCGGCCGTTTCGTTGCCGTGCATTGCTCTGCTCGCGTCCCGGCTGCACACCTGTATCGCGAGGGCACCGTTCGCGCCGCTTTCGTCGGAACGAATTGGAACGAAAATTGGTCGGCCTCCGTCCTCGCTGCACGTCATGGCGTACAGCGCGTACGACGACGTTCGAGCAACAACGCGATCAGAAACGCACCTGGCCGTACGAAACGCGCGATCGTCCAGCCGCTTCCGACTGCGCTGGACCCCACTGTACGTTTGACAGCGCTCGCCGCCACAGCCACTGCCGGACCTGTATTACGTCGTTCTGCGACTTGCGGGAGTATCAGTCGTCCGAGGGGCGCGGGGGCAAAGCATCGCCCGCGCAAGCAGCCTGCGAGACGCCCCGCAAAAGCACAACCCAGGGGCCTCTCCCTGAGGCAGTCCCCCCCGATCTTGGAATCTGCGAGGCTGCTCAGCCACTCGCAAAGCCACCGCGTTCCGCGTCTGCAAGCTCCATCGCGCACCGTGGCGCCCTCGCCGTCCCCAGGGCACACCGAGGGCGTTTTTCGTCGACAGAGCACGAGCAACAGGCGCCAGCGGGGGAGACGTCGGCGCGCGGGAGTGACGTGGGTCACATCGTGCGCTGCCCGGGCCGCTTGCGCGAGCGTGCGGTTCCGGGCGCGCGTTCCCGCGACGACTGCGGCCCCGCCGCCGCGCCGCACCGCGTGGGGCCAGACGTCCCACAGTGCAGGCGCGGGGCGCGGCCGCCAGCTCCGTCGCGCCTCACTGCTTGTATCCGGAGAAGTTCGAGGGGTTGGCCTGCGTCGGGGGCGGCGGGGGCTGCTGGAACTGCATGGGGTAGCCCTGGTAGCCCTGGTAGAGCTGCGAGTACTGCTGCTGCCCGTAGCCCTGCGCGTCGCGCGAGTGCCCGCCCTGCGAGCCCTGCGACCCCGCGTACCCGCCGCCGCCCAGCGACGCGTCCTTCCCGGAGGGGTACCCCTGGTCGTCCCCGCCGTAGCCGTACGAGCCCATCATGCCCGCGTACTGCTGCGGCGCGCCGCTCGCCTGGCCCGCGCCGTACGCCGCGGCCGTCGACGACGTCGCCGCGCCCTTGCCGCCGCCCGCCGCGCTCCCGGGCCCGCTCCCGGCGCCGCTGCCGGACCCCTGGTAGCCGCCCTGCCCCTGCGCAAAGCCCGAGGCGCCCTGCTGCGGGAACCCCTGGTTGTACGGGTACGCGCCCGGGTGCATGTGGTAGCTCGGGTAGTACCCGTACGCGGGGGCGTACGCGCCGTACGGGGCGTGGCTGTACGGGTGCGCGTTGGGCGCGTAGCCCATGGGCAGCTGCGGCTGGCTGCTGGCCGCCTGCGACGTGGCCGCCTCCGTCGACGAGTCCTGCGCCTTGCCCTGCGCCGCCGTGCCCTGGTACCCCGCCGTGTACGGGTTCAGCCCGCTCCGCGCGAACGCCGCCTGCTGCTCCGCGGACGGCAGCTCCCCGCCCGCCTCGCCCGGCGGCGCCGCCGTGGCCGTGTACGACGGGTACGTGGGGTACGCCGCGCTCACGGGCTTCCCCGCCGCGGCGCCGCCCGCGGGCCGCCCGTACGAGCTGTACCCGTACGCGCTCTGCGCCTGCGGCTGCGCGGCGGGCGGCTGCGCGGCGGGCTCCTCCTGGGGCGGCTCCGCGGGCGCGGGCGCCTGCTCGGGCTCGATCGCGGCCGAGAACCCGCCGCCGAAGGTCAGCCCCGCGCCGCTCGCCACGTTGAACTGCCCGAACTGGAGCTGGAGCCCCTCGGCGTCGTCGTCGCCCGCGCCCGGCATGATGACGGCGTCGTCGCCGCCCAGGTCCTGCGCGGGCGCGGGCGCGGGCGCGGCGCCGCCCCACGCCGACTGCGACGCGGGGGTCTCCTGCGCGGGCGCCTCCGAGCCGATCGCGCCCGCGAGCGACGGCGTGGGCATGGGGGGCTCCGTCGCCCGGCGCCGGGCGCGGGCGCGGGCGCCTCGGGCTCCGGGGCGGCCGGCGCGGGGGCCGGGGCGGGCGCCGGGGCGCGCTCCGCGGGGGCGGCGCGCTGCTGGCGCTGCTTGGCGGCCTTGGCGGCGGTGGCGCGGCTGCCGCTGGCGGCGACCATGGCGACAAACGACCGGCGCGGGGCCGTTCGTGGCGGCGGGCGCGGGCTCCGCGGGGGCTCCGCGGCGGGCGTGGCCGTGGGCGGGGACCAGCTCGCTCTGCGGGGACGCGGGGGCGGCGCGGGGGTCGGGTGGCCGCGCGAGGGACGGGGGGCAGGGCGCGAGGTGGTTGGTGGGGGGGCGGCGGGGGGCGCGCGGCGCGGGGGCGGCGGGGCGAAGTTACTGCCGCGGGGGGCGGGGGCGGTCGGGGAGGCGGGATCGAGGGGGGCGGGGGCGCCGCTGCGCACCCGTTGGAGTCGCCAGTCCGCTTCACCTCGGCCACCTTCACCCCGTCGTCCGCCGCGGCGCGGGCAGCTGCGGAGGCAGACGATTTGAATGTCGCTGGGGTTGGTTTGCATACGACGGGCAATGACGCGCGGGCGAGACCCGCCCTGGCCGGCCGCGCGGCGCGGGGGGCGGGTCGCGCTGCGACGCGGGCTCCAGGACACATCCGTCCTGGCTCGCGCACGCACCTGCGGATCGCGCCGCCTTCGCATTCCGCTCCCTCTGAACCTTCTCACGCTCGATGCGGGCGCGGCGGGCCTCCTCCCGCCGGCGCTCCTCCTCCTCCTGCGAGTCAAGAGGGACGGGTGCGTGTCGCGCACCGCACCGCTGCTCGGCGGGGACGAGGCGATCGTCGCCGGGCGATTCACGGGCAGAGCTCGCTCGCGCAGGCGCCCGCGGCCGCTCCAGGCCCGTGCCCGGGCCGAGCCGGGCGCACGGACGCGCCCGCTGGGCCCGCGCGCGCCCCGGGGGCCCGGCCCGATGCGCCGTGGGGCGCGAGACGTACCTCCTTGCGGAGCTTGCGCTTGTCGGCCTTCGAAACCACCGCTTCAAAGGCGGGAGCTGCAAGCAGATCGGCAGCAAGGTTGCAGCGCCGTGAGCGGTCTGTTGGGCCCGGAGGGCGGCTCCGCGGCCCTCGCACCGCGCGGAGCCGGGTCACGGCGATCGTCCGCCACCCGGGGGGCGCGCGTCATACCGCGGAGGCCCGCGCGGCCGGGCCCGCAACCACCCGGCCGCCAACGGGGGTGCGGGAAACCGGGCGGCCGGCGGGGCCCTGGGACCGGCTCGCGCGAGTATAACGGTCGAACGAACGCAGTCGAGCCGGGAGACGCGGGCAGATACGCGAGATATCGGGTCTGCGGGCGCAGGGACGCACTGTCGAGAATTTTGTTCGACGCCTCGTTGATGTCGCCGCCGGCATCGCGAAGGATCTGCTTGATCTCCTCGTCGCTGTGCCCCGTCCCCAGAGCCCTAAGCTGCGCAATGGCGCTCACCGCGGCGCTCCCGCCCGCCCCGGAGCTTCCCCCACCGCGCTTGCCAGCCATGGTTCTCACCGGTGCAGGTGCTTCCAGACCACTCGACTCGACTCGGGACTCGTTCCATGCGTTCTCTGCCCGCGCCGCCGCCCGCGCGGCCCCAGGAGCCCGCCCGGCGCCCCGCGGAGGTGACACAGAGCCTCTCTACTCAGGGGCAGCGTCAGACTGCCCCCGCGGGCCGGGGGGGCGCCGCGGGGCGCGATCGACCGCGCGCACGAGGGCCCTCAGTTCCCCCGCGGCCGCGCAGAAGCAGGCGGATCGGCCGGCGCGCGCAGGCTGCTCGCACTCGGCTCGACGTGCTGGGGCTGCACGAGGGCTCGGCGCCGAGGGACGGCCAGGACGCGCGGGGCCTCGAGCCCCCGAGCTCCTGGACACCATGAGTCCAAAGGTAGGCACGGGGCCCGATCGGCGCGCGCGACCGCCGCGCCCGCAGCCCGGGCGCGCGCCTCGTGCTGCCACACAGGCTCGACGGCAACACGTGTCCGCTTCCCGGCCGGGTCGCGCCGCCGCCGGGCGGCCGACGGCCTAGTGCGGGCGGAAAGGCCCCGCCCGCGCACTCGAACCCGCCCCAGGCGCCTCGCACGCGCCGCCGCGGGCCACGCGCTCGGGCAGCCCTACTGGGCCGGACGCGCGCGCTGCCGCCCCGCCGACCCGCCGCGGGACCTCCCGCCGCGCCCCAGACCACCCCGCGCCGCCGTCGGCCCGCGGAGCGCGCACCGCGACGCGCCCCCGCGGCCCCGCGCGACCGCACCGCCCCCGCGCTGCGCCGCCACCCCGCGCCCGATGCGACCCGCGCGCGCCCGCCCCGCGGCCCGCGTCGCCGCGCCCGCGTCGCTGCGGACCCGGCCATGCGCTGCACGCGCGCGCTCCGCCCAGATCCCCGCTCCCGCGCGCGCCGCGCCGCGTCTGTTGGGCGCCCACCGCGGCCCGCCCCCTCCGCCGCAGGTGACCTACTTCTACGACGCCGACATCGGCAACAACTACTACGGGCCCGGGCACCCGATGAAGCCCCACCGCATCAGGATGGCGCATTCCCTGATCCTGCACTACGGCCTCTACCGCGACCTGGAGGTCTTCACTCCCTGCAGGTGCGTGCGGGCGCCCGGGGCCGCGCGCCGCCGCGCCCGCGGGGCCGCCCGACCCCGCGATCCCGCGCAGGTGGCGCGGGTTGCGCCGTTCGCCCGGCCGCCCGGCGCGGCGCAGGTCCCGCGACGCGCTGGGCGGGGCAGCAGCGACGACCGCCGGGCGCGCGCGTGCACGGGCCGACAAACCGCGCGACGCGCGCCTCGGTCGACGGGTTCCGCCGGGCCCCGCCTCCGCGGCCGGGGGCGTCGCCGCGCTTTCGCCCGGCGCGGGCCCCGCGGGTGGAACCCTGCACACACCTTTGTGCGCCTCGCGGACCGTCGCGCGCAGGGCGACCGAGGAGGACATGATGCGCTTCCACAGCGAGGAGTACATCCAGTTCCTCAAGACCGTGATGCCGGACGACGAGATCAGGTGCGCCCGGCGCCGCCCCGCCCGCTGATGGCTGCTGCTCCCGCCGCCACCGCTCGCCGCTCGCCGCGCGGCGCGCCCGGTCCCGAGACGCCCGCGCCCGGTCCGGTTGCGCCGCCGTTGTCCGCAGCCCCGAGGACCGCAAGAAGTACGGCGTGGGCGACGACTCCCCGGTGTTTGAGGGGCTGTTCAACTACTGCTCGTCGTACGCGGGGGGCTCGATCGGGGGCGCGGTGCGGCTGAACCACGAGGCGACGGAGCTGGCGGTGAACTGGTCGGGCGGGCTGCACCACGGCAAGAAGGGCGAGGCGTCGGGGTTCTGCTACGTGAACGACATTGTGCTGGCCATCGTGGAGCTGCTCAAGTACCACCGGCGCGTGCTGTACATCGACATCGACATCCACCACGGCGACGGCGTCGAGGAGGCGTTCTACCTCACCGACCGCGTGATGTGCGTGTCCTTCCACAAGTACGGGGACTTCTTCCCGGGCACGGGCGACGTGGACGAGGTCGGCGACGGGCCCGGGCGGTACTACTCGATCAACGTGCCGCTCAAGGAGGGTATGGACGACCGGTCGTACGAGTACGTGTTCAAGCCCGTCATGCAGCGCGTGATGGACACGTACCAGCCCGAGGCCATCGTGTTCCAGGCGGGCGCCGACAGCCTCTCGGGGGACCGCCTGGGGTGCTTCAACCTGTCGAGCGCGGGCCACGCGGAGTGCCTGCGCTTCATGAAGACCTTCGGGCGCCCGATGCTCGTCCTGGGCGGCGGCGGGTACACGGTCAAGAACGTGGCGCGCTGCTGGGCCTTCGAGACGGGCGTGCTCATGGGGCGCGAGATGGGCGACCGGCTGCCCCCGAACGCGTACTACGAGTTCTACAAGCCCGACTACGCCCTCCAGGTCCACGCGTCGCAGAAGTTCGAGAACCGCAACACCGTGCCCGAGCTCGACCTCATCAAAACCACCCTCTTCCGACACCTCGCCAACGTGCGCCCCGCGACCTCGCTCGGGTTCGCACCGCGCCCCGAGGACGCCGTGGCCGCCGCCGACATCCAGGACAACAAGGCCTGGGCCGACGAGCAGCAGGACAAGTGAGACGCCACGCAAAACACCCCCGCAGCACACCCCGCCCTCGCAGACCGACCGCCCCTCGCTCACACGCACCGCCGCGCGCCCCGCCGCAGGAACCCGGACGAGCGCCCCCCGCTGATGCCCGGGGGCCTCCCGGACGAGGACGACATGGAGGCTCCGGACGACAAGCCGGACCGGCAGGACCAGGCGTTCGGGGGGGGCGGCGCGGAGGCGGCCGCGGGGCAGGACACGGGCATGTCCATCGACACGTAGGCCGCGGCGGGCGCGCGTGCGCGGCTGCGTTGATGCGGGCGCCGCAACCGCACACGCCTCCCTGCACCACCTCCTAGCCGCTTCCGACCCCTGCGGGTCCGCGTGGGCCGTCGCGCCTACCCAGCGGCGCACCGCACGCGGCCACGCGCTCCCGCCCCGCGACGACACCCACCTGCCTGCCCTGTACATGCCACCTACTAGGTGACTATAGTCGTCCGTTGCGGCGCCCTCGCGGCGCCTCACGCGCACCGCTGCCCCCCCCGCCCCCACCCGTGTGCCATCGCGTCCATGTCTAGCGCTTCGGAACGTAGAGAAGCCAGTACCGCAGGTTTGACAGTGCCCTCTGTCTGACATAGGATGTGAACGGCCACTGCCGGGACGGACGCCGCCTCACGTGCCCGCGACCCGTCACCTTCCTCTCTCGGCGCGGCTGCCGCGGCTCCCACGGATTCCGGGCCGCGGCGACGTCCGCTGTGTGCTGGGCACATTGTCCCCCCCGTCACGGTCCGACTGCCGCAGCTCTGCTTCCGCGAGCGCTGCAACGGACGCGCGCAGGACCGCGCGTGTTCAGACCGAGCAGCGGCTCGAGCGTGGTGCCAGCGACGGCCGGGGGCGCCGAACACGTGCCTGTGTTGTGGGTGTAGGCTCTCTCTCCGGGCGTCCCGCGCCGTGGTGTGGCGCACAGCGCTTCTCCGCTGAATGCGTTGCGATCGTCGATGGTTGGTGGACTAAGGCAGGGCGCGGCGACGCGGAGGGCGTGACGACCGGCGCCGGCCATGGGTCCTGGTCACGCGGGACGAGGTGCCGGGCGCTCCACGCACGGCGGGGGGTCCCCGACGAGATGGCACATCCCGGCGGGTGGAGGCAACCACAGAAATCCCAGGCTGCAGCACAAAGAAGGGTGCGTGCTCGCCGGTAGCGCCGCAGAGGACCTGCTGCCACCATGTCGGCGCTCGTCCTGCCCCCGCGCGAGCGCAAACGACCACGTCGAGCGCAATCACGAGTCTTGTTGCTTGCAGCGAGGGCCTGGCACTGGAGTTGGTCAACGAGCCCGGCGCGTCGGAAGCCAAGCGGAGGTACCTCACACACACGCAGCAGGTCTCGGGGACCTCCGTGCCCGGCATCGGACGGGCCGAGGACGGCAGCCCGGTGAGTTCGCCTGGTCCGGCGCCGCCACGTGGGCCCCACGTTTCAGGGCGGTGCACTGCGGTCTTGCGCTGTCAGCCTCGCGCGGTCCGAGGGGCCTGGCTAGCCGCTCGGCGGCTGCGTGGCCCAGGGCGGGCCAGGCACCGAGCACGCCCAGCGGTGCCGCCCGCGCGCAGGGCAGACACGGCCGGCGCGCCATCAAGCCCGAGCACAAGTCGTTCCGCCTCCAGGACATGTACAGCCCGCTCCCGGCACCCGCCGAGGACGCCGTGCGGGAGAAGCGCGTCGCGGCGCAGCAGAACAAGCCGGAGTGGTCGTGGGTGGTCGACCCGCTCCCGGCCCCGCAGGAGTCGCGGCGCGTGGAGTCCCTCGAGGGGCGGGCGTACCGGCGCGGGAGGGTGCACGCGATGGGCTGCTACTTCCCGAACGGCGCGCACGGCGCGGTGCTGCCCGCGAAGAGCGAGGAGCTCCCGCCCGCGGAAAACCGAACGCGGAAGAAGAAGACCAAGGTGCGTGCGTGCGTGCGGTGTGTCATTGCATCGCGGGTGGCTGCTGGTGGCACCCGCAGCCGGCGACTGGGAGCGGACGAGCGCGCTGGGCCGCTCACGTGCTCTTGGACGTGCGTGTCGTGCAGAAGCGGAAGAAATCTGTGGCGGACAAGCCCGCGGCGGCTCCAGCACCGCCCGTGAGCCGACAGCAGCCGGAGGCGGCCGCAGGGCCGCAGGGCGACGGGAAAGTCCGGCACGGCAGGAGAGCCGGGGCGGAGCGGCCTTTCAAACCGGCATCACACTTCCCGTAGCTACATGGTCAACCCAAGTAGAACATATACACAGCTAAGATCAACACCGCCACAGCATGAACATATCGGTGGCGCGCGAACATGTGAAGACAAGCTTGTCGCCCAGGCAGCGGCCCTCCACGAGGACGCAGCAGTCGCGACAAGGCCGCCTGCCGCCCCGCGTGCCACGACGGCGCGCACCCACGCCTCTCGCGCCCCCCGCAGCTGCGCATCCAGGCACGCCGCGCGGCGGTCTCCTCATCAGTACACATGCTCCTTTGGGGTCGGGTGCGCATCGTAGGGGCTGACCGTCTTGCCGACGGGTGCGTGCAGCATCACGCCGTGCGTGCGCGCCGGTGCGGCAGCAAGCAGCGGGTGCGACAGAGGCTTCGCTGGGACGGTTCCGGCGATCGTGTCGAGGAAGCCGCAGAACTTGGCGAAGTAGTGTCGGCCGGTGAGGTGGTGTTCGCAGTGGTGGGGGGACCCATGCCAGAGCCCCCCCGGGATGATGTTGCTCCACATCCAGGGGGTGTCGTAGCCGCTGTGCAGCTCCGTGATCAGGTACGTGATCGTCACGTCGTACAGCGCGCGCGACAGCGGGTGGCACCGGCGGAACCCCAGCGTGTTGACCGCCGCAATCGAACACGCCACGTCGAGCACCTCCTCCGCCGGCGACAGCCGCACGGCCTCCGTCGCGCGCACGTGCTTCAACCGGTGGTGCTTCGCGTGCACCGTGCGGTACAGCGGGCGCACCGTGTGCAGCGCCAGGTGCGCCGCAAAGAAGAGCACGTCGTACATCTGCGACGCACGGCGGGGCGCGGCGCGGTCGGGACGTCGTCTCGGCGCACAGGACGGGGCGGGGCGCGAGGGCGTCGGCGTGGGGCGCGCACCACGAGCATCGAGACGATCTCGAGCGCGAGGCCGAATGCGGAGGGCGCCGTCTCTGGGAGGGCGCGCCGCGGGTACAGCCGGTCGAACAGCGCGAGGGGGACGATGTACCAGAGCGCCTCGTTCCAGAGCGTCTCCCCGCGCTTGAAGCGCCAGTGGTCGAAGTCGGCCTTGGGCTGGATAGAGAACTGTTGTGTGAAGGTGCGCGGAAGGACCATGTCCCACACAAACCACTGCGGGCGCGGGCACGGGGGTCCGCCGTCGCGGGGTGCTGCGGCGGGCGGATGTGCCGCGGTCGCGCCGGCGATCGGTCGCGCGGGCGTGGTGTGCGGAAGGCGAGGGGCAGTTGGCTTGCCTGCGCGTGCCAGACGGCGAAGGACGCCACGGAGACGACCGGCTCGAATGTTTCGTGCCTGACGAAGCTACGGGTGCGCATCAGGTCCCAGACGGCCTGCACGCACGCGTCCGCGCGGTCCTGGAACACCCACACCAGGGCCGCACCCACTACCACCGCCAGCCTGCGAGGGATGCGCGAAAAACGACCTCCTGGGTGACCCGCGGCACGTCCAGCTATGCCTGCTCGAGGGGGGCCAGATGCCGCGGCGTCGTACCGCCTCTTCAGCGGGGTCTCGTCCGCTTGTGCCCTTCCAGCTGGAGCATGTGACAGACGTCGCTGTGTGCGTCTGTGTCGCGGGCAGCGCGTCGGACTCGCCGCGGCCCCGATGATCGACAGCGGAGCGGCGTTCCGCACGGGGTCGGTGGGGCGCCGCACCGCCGCTGGGCGACGTGCTCGGGGTGCGCCGCGCTTACCTTAGGACTCTGACCGCCGTGCTCCACCTGACGCCTCTATTTCGACTGGTCGGCGAGCCATCCTTGATGCCTCGAGCACAGGCTTGCTCCTCGGCGGGTTCGGGTCGCGCTGCCTCGGACGCGGCACGCCCCGGCGGCGTCGCGCCCGTGCCCTGCATGCCCGAGCTGGCCGACACCGCCTGCCGCTCGCCGGTGCGCAATCCGACCGCCCGCATCGCGCCAGTGCAGCTCGCGGCGGCGGCCGGCAGCAACGGCCCGCGGCCCGCAGCTACGACGCGGCGGCGTCGCACCCACGTGACCCCCCCCGGGTCAACTCCCCCCCTGACACGAGGGGCTCGCGCTCGGCGCCGCGCGCTCGTTGTGCCCTGCCCGGACCGCGTCCGCCAGATTGTCGGCCGGCGAGTGGCGCGATCGATGGCTCGGGCGTAGTTCCGCGTTCCGTGCAACCAACAACAGCAAAGCGCTGTGCAGCGAGGGGCCAGGTAGGGCTCAGTCGTGCCGCAGCCGCTGGTCCGTCCGCGTCGGGGCGGTGCACGGCCGGCCCCGCGGGGGGCACTCCTGCCGTCGCTGTGCGCGTGCGGTGGCTGGCGCGCGAAGGGGGGCGGTGGGTGCCCCGCCCTCCTCGCCGTGCGCGGCGGCAGAACCAGTCGCGCAGTGACGGATAGACTAGTTAGTCCTGCAGAGCATAATTCAGCTCCGGGGATAGGGCCTGGGAACGTGGTGCGAGGATGCTGTACGGCAGGTGGGTGCTTGATATCAGTCGTGCCGCGCCCCTCCCGCAACGGTCGCGAAAGTCGGGCTCACTCTTCACCGAACATGAACCTCCTGCTCTCTATATCCACGAGGATCGCTCGTCTGACCGGCGTCATGCTCCGCGGGGGCACAGCACCGGCGCGACACCTCTGACCGCACGACGCGGCCTCCGGCCTCCGCCTGGAGGGCAGCAGAAGCGACCCGCACGTCCCCGTTCGACGCCACTGCAGCCAGCAGTGGGACCCCTGGCGGATCCTTGGCCAGATACTGGTGCTGCAGACGCTCGGGTACTCGTCCCTGGGGTTCCTCTCCGCGTGCGCCATGACCTTCACCACCGGCGCCAGACCCGACCCCGTCTGGATCCTCAGCGACCAGGTCCGCCCGCGCTCGCCCCCTCCACCCGCCCTCCGCGCCCGCGCCCCACCGGCCCAACACCAACAACCTGCGACAACGCAACGCACGCACCCCTCGCCCCCGCAGCACGTGACGATCTGGACGGTCCCGGGCATGGTCCTGATCGCCTGCCACGCGGTCAACGCGGCCCTGCTCGGCGTGTACATGCTCAAGATCGTCGAGCGCGCCAAGAAGGTCCTGGACTTCTCCGCCACGTGGTACGTCCTGCACGTGGGCGTGTGCTGGGCCTCCTACGGGTTCCCCAAGGTGCGCGCCGCCCCTGCACGCATGGACGCGCCAGCAGCGTTCCCCGCGCGGCACTCCCCCGCGGCCGGCCCGACGGCTGTGCGTCGCGTGGTGTTTGTTCGTGTGCAGAGTGTGGCGTGGTGGGCGATGATCGGCGGGTGCTTCGTTGGCACGTCGCTGCTCGGGGAGTGGCTGTGCGTGCACCAGGAGCTCAAGGACATCCCGCTCGCCAGCCTGCGCCGGAAGCCGTCGTCCGTGACGCCCGCGACCGTGCGCGTGCCCGGACAGTCGGTGGCGGGGCCGTCCGAGCCGGGCGCCGGCACCTCGCGCGCCGCCCCGGCGCCGTCGGGCGACGCGCGCATGATGCAGGTGCTTGGCGTCAAGGCGCGGCAGCCGGCGCTGTCCTCCACGGAGACGCAGGGGCTGCTGATGACCGAGGTGCAGCGCCCGGAGGAGGGCGAGCAGGTGTGACGGGGCGCGGGGGGCGCGCGGGCTTCGTGCGGACGCGAGAGGGCGGCAGTTGTGACGCACGGACTGCTGCTGTTTGTTTGTGCGCGGGGGTGTCAGCAGGCACGCGCGTCCGGCGCGGACGACGAGCGCCAGCGGCGGTGCTTGCTCGCCGGTCCCGCGCGGCGCGCGCCGTCCAGCGCGGGGCTGACGTCGCGCACTGCGTGCAGGTGTCATGAACATCCAACCGTGGCGGCTCGCCCTGTTATAGGCGTCGTGCGCGGCCGACGTCGAACGGGCTGCCGGTCCTCGGTGGCCGGCCGTCGGGTTCGGCGCTCCCGCGGCGCCCGTCGTCCACGCATCGTGCGCGTGACAACACACCTCGGGGGACCCACAGGGGTGCCGGACGCGCACGGGGCGCCCGGCCGCATTGTGGGGGGCGCGCTGGGTGGCGCGCGCAGAAACCGCGCGGCAGTGGAGCGGACATTTGCCTTAGCGCGGCGGTGCAGAAGTGGCCAAGGCGAAGCTGTCGGCAGGGCTAGTGGAGCTCCTGGCACCGCGGGCGGGCGCGTTCGCGAGGTCGAGGCGAAGTGACGAGGCTGAGTAGCTTTCACCGCGATGGGCGATAACAAGGGCGCCTTCGTGGGGCTGGCTGTGGCCGGCATTGCGGCCGGTGAGCTCTCTGTCGGCAATCGCCTCGGGCGATGCGCACACGATGATTTTGCCCCGCATCTTCGCGCGGCCGCCCTCTCTCGATTTCCACTGCTGCCGAGGCACGCCGCGCGGGCGGGATCCGGCCCTCACGACCTCCGCCATGGGCGTTCTATCGCGAGCCACCCTGCTCGTGCGACCCAGCGCGCCTGCCAGACGGCGCGAGCGCTTTCCATCGCCGTATACGGGTGCTGCACAGCGCGCACATGTGCCGCGCATGGAGCATCGCCCTCCAGGCGGGCGCGCGCCGGCCCCCCTGACGCGACTGGAAAGCGCGGAGGCTGATCCACGCTACCGACCAGCACCGCGCCCTGCTCGCGCGCGCGCGCCCACGGAGGCCCTCCACATCCAGCTTCCGCCACACTCCCGCGCCCTGCGCGCCGCCAACGCCCCCTGATGGCTCCGTTCCCCTGCAGCTGCCGGCAGCGTGCTTCTGCTGCTCCGCTCCACGAAGGCGGGCACGGGGTCGAAGCGCCGGCGCACGCGGCGCACCCGCAAGCGCGCCGGCGCGCTCGTCGACGTGCACTCGTGCCGCAACTCGGTGATGTCGACGTCCCGCGACTTCGCCTCCGAGGCCAGGCAACAGTCGCGCGCCGGGTCCGGCGTCAAGAAGGGCTTCTTCAACGCCGCCCCGAAGAAGGAGGCGGCCGAGAAGGCGTCCGCCGCCGCGGAGGCGCCGCAGAGCCCCGCCGGCGAGATCTCGCCCGCGGGACCGTCGGCCTCTGCCTCACCCACCAAGGCCCCCGCGTCGTCGCCGCCGCCCGTGCCCCGCGGGCCCGCGGGGCTCGGCAAGGGCCTCGGCAAGGGCCTGCCGCCGCGCAGGGGTAAGCAGCAGCCGCCGCGCGCCGCCCGCACCCCCGCTCGCCCCCTCTTCCCACCGCCGTGGCTAATCCATCACCCGCCCCCTCGCCCACGCAGCGGACAAGAAGCCCGCCGCCGCAGCCGCGCCACCGCCAGCTGCGGCGCCATCCGGCCCCGGCCCCGACGAGGCCGCGGCGGCGGCGGAGGCGCAGGCCCTGGAGCAGCGCTGCGCGGCTGAGGCCGCACGCCAGGCGGCCGCGGAGCGCGAGGCGGCGGAGCGGGCCGCCGCGGCGCAGAAGGAGGCCGCGGAGAGGGCCGCCGCCGAGGAGCGTGCGGCGGCGGAGAGGCTGGCGGCGGAGCGGGCTGCTGCGGAGCAGGCGGCCAGGGAGCAGGCGGAGGCCCAGAGGAGGGCGGCCGAGCAGCGGGCCGCGGAAGAGAAGGCGGCCGCGGAGAAGGCCGCGGCCGAGCAGGCGGCTGCGGAGAAGGCGGCCAAGGAGAAGGCTGCGGCCGAGCAAGCAGCGGCGGAGAAGGCTGCTGCCGAGAAGGCCGCTGCTGAGAAGGCCGCGGCGGAGAAGGCGGCGGCGGAGAAGGCGGCGGCGGAGAAGGCTGCCGCGGAGAAGGCGGCCGCGGAGAAGGCCGCTGCCGAGAAGGCCGCTGCCGAGAAGGCGGCGGCGGAGAAGGCTGCCGCGGAGAAGGCCGCTGCCGAGAAGGCTGCCGCGGAGAAGGCTGCGGCGGAGAAGGCGGCTGCCGAGAAGGCCGCGGCTGCTTCCAAGGAGGCGCCTGCGCAGGACGGCGTTGCGCCGGAGCCGACTGCTGCGCCTGCCGCGGAGTCGGAGCCGGGTCCGTCGGGGTCGAACGGGGCGGCGACGGGCGCGGATGAGGCTCCGGAGAGCAAGCCGAAGAAGGCGGAGAGCAAGCCGAGTCTGAGCGACGAGGAGATCGCTGCGCTGGAGGCGGCGGTGACGTGCGCGCCCGACACGGAGAAGAAGACCCCCGCGCAGGAGAAGGCGGAGAAGCTGGCCGCGACGGGGCGCACGCTGCTCGCGCAGGACCCGTCCAGCGCGGCCGCGGAGAAGCACCTCGTGCAGGCCGTGCAGGCCGTCGACAACGGCGCCTGCCCCCCCATCTCGTCCGGTGCGCGCCACACCACACCTCGCCATCCCACCACGCCGCGCCGCCGCCCGCCGTGCAGCGCTCACGCACCGCGCTCCGCCGTGCGTCCGCAGGGCACATCTACGCGCAGCTCGCGGACCTCCGGCGGCGGCGCCAGCAGCTGGAGGAGTCGGTGCGCATGTGGATCAAGGCGCGCGCGGCGTTCCTCAAGGCCGGGAAGGAGGGCAAGAAGCCCGCGGCGAGGGCGCAGTACTCGCTCGGGCACACGCTCCACCTGGTGCGCCGCGCGCCCCGCGCCCGCGCCGCCGCACACGCACACGCACCCGCACGCGCGCGCGCTCACCGTGTTCGCTGCGGGCTCGCTGCGCGCAGAACGACAACTACGAGCACGCGATCAAGGAGTACAAGCGCGCGCTGGTGGACACGGAGGCGGCGCACGGCGTGGCGCACCCGTTCTGGCAGGCGGCGCTGTTCGGGCTGATGGACAGCATGCACGAGATGGGCGACTCGGACGAGGCGCTGGCGATGTGCCGGGAGCGGCTGGCGTGGGGCGAGGGCGAGGTGGCGCGGCTGGTGGCCGAGGGCGCGGACCAGAAGGCGGCGGCGGGGCAGGACCCCGCGGGCGAGGACGAGTCGGAGGAGGAGCTGGCGACCAAGGACTTCAAGGCGGGTCTGCCGGAGTACAACACCTTCGTGATCTCGATGAAGATCCGGCTCGCGTCGGCGCTGATCGCGCTCGAGAAGGACGGGTGGCGCGAGGAGCTGTACGGCGCGGAGAAGCTCGTGCGCGAGCGCTACACCCCGGGCAACCCCCAGTTCGCCACCACGCTGTCGACGCTCTCGGACTTCTACGTGCTCCAGGCGGTGCGGACGGAGGACGAGGAGCTCCGGAAGCGCGGCGCGGGCGTGCTCGCGGAGTCCGTGGAGGCCTTCCGGCGGATGGCGGACGAGCGGCGCGTGATCGACCCCAGCGTGCTGGAGCTGTCGCAGAAGCTGGCGCAGCTGCAGATCGGGATGAAGGACTACCCGGGCGCGGCGAAGAGCCTCGAGAACTCGATCGAGGTGGCCGTGCAGCTCTTCGGGCCGCGCAACCCGGGCGTGGCCACGCTGTACGACATGCTGGCGTACTGCCGGCAGGAGATGGGCGACGCGAACGGCGCGCAGCAGGCGCACAAGACCGCGCTGCAGGGGCGCGTGCCGATGAGCTCCCGGCAGCAGCAGGCCGCCAAGAAGCGGCACGAGCTCAAGGCCAAGCAGGCCAAGATGCTGCAGCAGCAGCGCGCCAAGAAGTGACCGGCGCGTAGCGAGGATATAGGGGGCGTTGGGGGCCGCTGGCGCGGCGGGGGCGGGGCCTGAGCGCCCAGCCGTGGGGCGGCTGCGTCGCTGTCCTGGGTGACGCGTCGCGTGTGACGCGCGTAGCGGGCAACGGAATCACATCACCTCACCTCACCTCATCCGCATTGCGTATCTCGCACGGGAGCTCGATCACTTCTTCGCGAGGTGGAGTGCACTGTTTCGGTACTCGAGCCTTCTCGCGGCGAGGACGGGCTTGCAGGGCGGCAGTCACTCAAACCGCCCGGGTGGCACCGTGCCGCGCCTGGGCAGCTCACTGCGCGGCGACGGCCTGCTTCGCCGCTCGCTCCTCGTACTCGGGGTGTCCGGGCATGTGCCGCACGTCCACCGCCGCGAAGTACCCCGCGCGCACGATGGCCTCCATGCCCAGGTCCGCGTCCTCGTAGCCGATGCACTCGCCCGGCTCGACGCCCAGCAGCTCCGCCGCGCGGAGGAACCCGTCCGGCGCCGGCTTGCCTGCGCGCAGCACCGGCCGTCAGACTCGTATGGTCGTCCGTGCAGGCATGACTGCCTTCACAGCACAAGAGGGGCAGGCAACGCGTGTTCGTTGCGGGTCGCGGGGCGCACCTTTCAGGCCGAGCTCGAGGATGTCGTTGGCCGTCACGATGCACGACTCCACCAGCGGGTACAGGCCTTTGCCCTTGAGCCCGTCTACGACGTGGTGCCGCGTCCCGCCTGACACCACTCCCACCTTCAGGCCCTGCGCGTGCGCCCGCTTGAGTATGCTGCAGCGTGCGCAGCATCGGGGAGGCCGTGGGCGTCCCGCGCACGACCCGAGCGGCGCGTGCACGGCGCTGCCCCGTCGCTGCGCGTCTCACCTCACGACGGGTGCGATCACGTCCACAGCGTCCAGCAGGTTCTGATCGTCGTAGTACGCGACCTTCTCCCGCACGATGCTGTCTGCGTCCAGGTCCGTGCGGCCCTGCTCCCGCAGCAGGTCCTCCATGATGCTGATCCCGGGCCGGCCTGCAACGCGGGGTCAGTGCGGCAGCACTCCCGGCGGTGGCGTGCGAGCGCGGCGGTGGCACGCACTCCGGCATCGGCGCTCCCCCGCTGCTCGTTCCAGGCGGTGTCGCCCCACCTGCTCTCTTGTGCAGCCCGTACTTGTCAAACTTGATGCCGTACTTGGTCGTCACGAAGTTCCAGGCCTCCCAGTGCGCCTCCATCGTGGACAGGAGCGTGCCGTCGCAGTCGAACACCAGCGCCTTGACGTTCGACGCGCCGCCCTGCACGGCACCGGCACACCACGACAGTTGCGTTGCGGCCGGCAACTCCGCCACGTAAAGATCGCGGCGCCGTCATGGCACACCGCTGGCACGCTGTGACCGCGGCGAATTCCGCGCAGTCGCCCAGCAGGACTCCACACGAGCCGCTCCCCCGCGGCGCAGACGCAGCATCGTTCAGACGCACCAGGAAGTTCACCGCCATCGTCGACGTGCGCCGCGCCTGCCTGGACGACGGAAGCGGGCGCAGGTGCGCGCTGCGGCCGGGCCCGTGGTGCGCCGGGACGCGCTTCTCGCAGCGGCAGACCGCGCCCAGAACCCGCGAGGCTCCGTGAAGCATCCGGAGCGAAGCGTCCTGTGCCGCGCCACGCACCCGTCCTGCAGCATCGACCACGCGAGCCGCCAGGACCCCCGGGGCCACGGGTGGGGAGGTCCGCTGCCCCAACACCGTCAGCCGTGCCGTGCCGGAGGCCATCGTGCTTCCGCCGTCCTCGCGGTCCCTGGGGATCTTCGGTCTCTCGTACTGCGCGAGGGGCGGAGCGTCGCGGTTTCGCGTCCTCCAGGTGTCCGCGTGGGCCAGGGTGAAATCGCCCGTCGGGACTCGACCGCGGAGCTCACGCCGGCGCCGGGCCGCGCTCCGAGGGCCGCGGACCGCGCCCTCGCGCCGCGCACGACGCTCCGGGGCGGCCGGTCGCGGCCGGTGATGACAGGGAATCACACGGAAGACAGGGGACTGGGACCCCCACCCCACCAGTCGCACACAGCCCAGGCGCCGCGTTGTGTTGGATGAGGGCCGGACATTTCCGTTCCTCATCCCGCGACACCGCCATGCTGACGGTGGGGAAGACCAACCAGAAGCCAGCCCGCCCGTACGGGCAGGGGCCTTCGCCCCAAGCCTTGCTCGCCATAACAGCGAAACGTATGATTCGGACATAGAGTTGGGTGCGGTAACGGGGGTTAGGGTGGAGCAGGGGAGGTTTGCAGGGGGGGTGCGATGGCCCAGCGCGGCAGGGTGGCCCGGAGCGCGCGGGCAGAGGTCATCTCGATGGAGAGCAGGGAAGGGTGCGTCCATGTGACGTGGTCGTTGTCGTTGAGGGTGAATATGTATCCGTCAAGGCTGTAGCGTTTGGTGAAGCGGAGTATGGAGTTGCGGGAGGGGCACGGGGGCAGACGCTTCGTGCCCCATACCACAGCAATGGCCAGGCGTGAGTGGAGGTACTTGAGGAAGCCGATGGTCACGCGTGGGAGCCATAGGTGGGGCTGGTCTTTCGGGCCTGGGAGTGAGATGACTTTGAGGATGCGGGGCGAGCCTTCGAAGGGTTTGTGGAGCCCCACGCACCAGAAGAAGGCCCAGAGGGCGTTGACGCACTCGGAGTGGAGGAGGTCCCAGCCAGCTCTGAGCTCGGGAGTGTCCATCTGCGCGAGGTAGCCTGTGCGTATGGTGTCCCACGAGGGGTCGGGCTGTTCAGTAGGCAGGGTACCTTGGTCGCGGAGCTTGGAGAAGAGGGCATGCCAGACCGACTGGGCGAGAGTGCAGCCGTGGAACATATGTTCGTCATCGGGGTGCGGGGTCGTGCAGAAGGGGCAGGTGATCGTGTTGGCGCCCTTGGAGTGTGCGTAGGCAGGGTGGCGGAGTTGTCTGGTCCGCAGCATGTATGATATTGATCTGGAGGCAGCATCGGCGATGCCACGTAGCTTCGCATCCATGAGGTGGGCGCGCCTGGGCACCGGGACGGGGGCAAGGGATTCGCATACCATGGAGTTCGGTCGGCATATGTCATTGTGAGCGTGGGCGAGGGCCAGGTATGTTGTGCGGGTTTTCATAGGGCCGACGGGCTTTTGCGTCGTGTCAACCGGCATAGGCGAGTCTGCGTCTGGTGCATCTTGCCATTTGGGGGTTGGGCAGGTGAGGGTGGGGCGCGGGTGAGCGGTCGGGGGGGCGCATGATGCGGGGTGCGTGGTGGCGATGGACGATAGCGGCGGGAGTAGTCGCTGCGGTGTGATCAGGGTCGGGTGCGGGAGGGTTCTCAGGATCTCGGGCGGCAGAGCGGGGCTGGCCTGCACCAGCTGGTGTGATGGGATGACCAGGTTGAGGAGCTGCTGGTACGTTGTGACTGTGAGAGCGGTCGGTACGTATGCACGGCCGGCTAGGAGCTGAGTTGCGATGTTGGTGGCAACGGTGGTCTGGAGTTGTGTGGGCGGCAGAGAGGTAGGGTCTGGTATTTGCAGTGTGTCTAGGTGCGGAGAGGAGGCTAGCGGGATTGCGACATTGGGGGTGGAGTTTGGTTTGTGGATGCGGGGGCATGGTGAGTCGGGCTGGGGGGTGATGACGTATAGGTGGATGATGGGGCGTATGTAGGTGGCGATGTGCATTCGTTGGTGCGGTGGCAGGGAGTTGTAGTACCTTTGTGCGTGTTGCTGCGTGGCCGCTGGGAGGACGACGAGGTTGGCGAGGTGGTCGTTGTGTGCTGTCGGAAGGGTGGCAGCGATGGGGTCGGACGTGAGGAGGAGGTAAGGCTGGTCAGTGTGTGGCAGGAGTTCGTGGAGTGGAGGGGTTTGTGTGATCCTGTCACGGAGGATTTGGGGGATGGAGGAGAGAAGGGGGTCCAGGTGCTGGTGTGTTGACGTCGGGAGGTTGTAGGCGGATATGAGCTCGTGTGGGGTGCGGAGGCGGGTGAAGGTGGGGTGGCAGGCATCGCCGATTGTTCGGAGGCCACGGGAGTACAGCGTTCGTGCGGCGGGCGTGTCGTTGAGGCTTGTGAGATATTTGTTGAAGAAGAGGGGTTCAGTGCGTAAGGTGCTCGGTGGGTTGGCTGCTCCGGGGCGGCCGGTCGCGGCCGGTCGCGCCCCGCCCGCGCCAGGGCGCCCTGACGTCAGCCCGGACGCAGGTGCGCCCCTGCCACGAGTTCAGCAAGGGGCTCGAGGGGCGCGCTGGGGGCGCGCGGAGGCACTCCGCCGCCCGCTCTCGTTCGCACGCACCAGCGAGACATCGGACGTGACGCCAGAGCACGCGTTCGTCGCAGCCGGAGAGTCGTGGCCCAGGTCTGCTCGTAAAGGTGCAGCCTCGGTAGAGCTCGCCGGCACTCCAGGAGGCGCACGCGCCGCCCACTAGGTTCTGTTTTACAAGGAGGTTCGGGAACGGTTGGATGCACGCGCTGCGGGGCACTCTGTGCCCGTCGTCCGCGCAGGCTCGGGGCGCTGGGCTCGGCCCGGCGGGTCACCCGGCCGCGGCGCCGGTCGCGCGCCCATACGGAGGAAAGAAGGCGGCTGTTTGGCGCTCCTCGGGCTGCGCGACCGCGCCTAGGGTGTCTGCCCGCGACCCTCCACAGGCAAGTACCTCCCGAGCTTCCCTCGGCGAAATTGAGTCGCCGCACGCGGCCAGCGCCGACGGGTATCCGCGCCTGAAATTCGACGCAGCTCGCCCGCATCGTCGAACCCTTTCGCCCGCGTCGCTGGCCACGCCTTCTACCGCCCGGAACGCAGTGGCGCAGCTTTCGTGGCCCGTAGCGCGGTCCGCGGGCGTCGCGAACCGGGGCCGCCCCAATGCCACCCTGCTTTCCGGCTTTTGTCCTCGGCCTCCGCGTGCTCCGCGGTCCGTCCCACCGTGTCCCGGGCCCGTGCCGTGCCTCATCTGCAGGCCCCAAGTGCTTCGAGCAATGGCGACTCCGCCGTGTCCCTGCTCGGGCTCGGCGAGGACCTGGACTTCTCGCCGGTGCAGCCCGTGACGGTGGGGGAGATCGCGAAGCCCGTGCAGGCCGAGCTGGACCGCGTGAACGAGGAAATCAGGACGGTGGTGGGCAAGCGGCATCCGATGCTCCTGGCGGCCGCGGACCAGATCTTCGGCGCCGGCGGGAAGAAGATTAGGCCCATCCTCGCGCTGCTGACGGCGCAGGCCACGCAGGCCGCGGTTGGAAACAGGTGCGGACCCTCTCCCGTGCTAGGTCGGCCCTCCCCGCGCGTGCCGTGGGCGCTTCTTGCCCCGGGGCGCCGTTCCCGAATAGTTACCCCGCCCGACATGCATCTGGCGGCCCGATCACCCACTCCACGGCCCCGGCGTGCGGTGCCGCTCGAGGGGCTCACCCACTGCACTGCCGCGCGACGGGCCCGCCCGAGGCCGCTCCGGGCCCCCCGCCCGCGCCCCCGCGTCCGTTCTGCGCCCAGCTCGCGGCAGCCGCCCGCCGCGCCCCCTCGCCGCGCCCCGCGCGCCCCGGCAGCCCCGCCCGTCCCTGCACCACCTAACGCAGCCCCAGCGGGTCCGTGCGGGGCGCCGCTCGCGCGCGCGTCGCCCGGCGCAGCACGCCCGCGCGCCGCCACGACCCGCTGTTTCCGGCCTCGGCCCCAGCCCGCGGCCCCCCGGGCCCCCCGCTCGCGCGCGCGTCGCCCGCCCCCCGCCGCGCCGCGTGCTGGCCACACGCCGACGGCCCGCGCTCCCGCCCCCGCGCCCCGCAGCGAGATCACGGACCGCCAGCGCCGTCTGGCGATGGTGATCGAGATGATCCACGTCGCGTCGCTGGTGCACGACGACGTGCTGGACGAGTGCGACATTCGGCGCGGCGCGGCGACGGTCAACACCATGTTCGGGAGCAAGGTGGCCGTGCTGGTGGGGGACTTTCTGTTCGCGCAGAGCTCGTGGTACCTCGCGAACCTGGACAACCTGGAGGTGATCAAGCTCATCTCGCAGGTCATCGCCGACTTTGCCGACGGCGAGATCTCGCAGGCGGCCTCGCTGTACAACATGGACATGACGCTCGACAAGTACATCGACAAGTCGTTCTACAAGACCGCGAGCCTCATCGCCGCGTCGTGCCGGTCCGCGGCGGCGCTCACGGGCACGGACGACGCCATGAAGGCCGACATGTACGCCTACGGCAAGCACCTCGGGCTGGCCTTCCAGGTCGTGGACGACATCCTCGACATCACGCAGTCCGCGGAGCAGCTCGGGAAGCCGCAGGGGCAGGACCTCGCGTCGGGCAACATCACCGCGCCCATCATCTACGCACTCCAGGCCCCCGGCGGCGACGAGCTGCGCGAGCTCATCGAGGGGCGCTTCGACGAACCCGGGTCGCTCGAGCGCGGCATCGAGCTCGTGCAGGACCTGGGCGGCATCGACGCCGCCCGCGCGCTCGCCCGCGAGGAGGGCCGCAAGGCTGTCGCGGCGCTCGCGGGGCTGCCCATGACGCCCGCGAAGGAGTCGCTCGTGAAGACGGTCGACTACGTCCTCGACCGCCTGCACTAGGCGGGCGGCCGGGCGGCCGCGCGGCGCGGGCCGTCGGGGTCGGCGCCGGGGCCACACCCATGTACTGTACAGTTGACCTCGCATGCGCCCCCGGACAGCAGGGGAGCGGCGCAGCAACACCGCGATGGCCATGTGAGACGCCCTCGCGCGACGCGACCGGGAGCCAGCGACGTTGTCATTTCGCCGCTCGAAGTTGTCATGCGGTGCGCGCCGGAGAAGCGCGGCGGTGCTCGCGCCGGGCGCGCTGGAAGGGGCGGCAGCGCGGGGCAGCGAGGGCGCGGGCGGGCGGCCGTGGCACGCACCGAGGCCGTGGCACGTGGGCGCACGAGCGGTGGTGGTCGTGTCGAGTTGCCCACATGCGCAACTCCCTCCCACGCGCGTGGTGGTCGCGCCCACGATCCCGCAGTCCTCGTGCCCGCTGCGGCCGGCGCGCGGCGGCGGTCCGCGCCACGCACGTGCGCGTGAGGGGCGCGCGGGGCGAGCGGCGACGCACCCTGCGTGGATGCACACAACTCGGGCGTCCGAACGGCGCGAGCGTGGGAGCCTGGACGGGCCGCAGGGTGGGTTGATGTGATCTGGCAAAGAAAGAGGGAAGTTGGAGCGAAGGAGGCGGCCCTATACGCCCAGACGGGGCGCTCCCACCCCGCAGCGCCCAGCGAGTGGCTGCAGGCAACGGTGCACGTGGCCCTGCACCGTGAATATTGGCGCCTGTCCTCCGCCGGGGCGGCGAGACGCGTCGGGACAGGGCGTCGGCCGCCGTGCCCCGGCTCCGCGGTGGCCGGCGTGCGCGCGCTGACGCCAGGAGATGTGTTGATGACAGCTCCCGGCCGCGCCGCGCGGCCGCCAGGCCCCTGCGCAGAAGAGCGCGGCGCCCCAGCTGCCAACGCACAATTTCTCCAGCCGTTGCGCGCGGAGATCGTGCAAGGCCGCCCCCTCGCCCAGTGCGAGCACGCGTCAGACGCGCGAGCAGCTGCAGGCCTTTCGTTGCGGCCGCTCGGCGCCCCGCTGCCGGTCAACCTCGGTGAAATTCCACCACACCCCGGGAGCAGCGCTGCGAGGCCTGCAGGCGCAAGGACGGGGCCCACGTTCGCCAGCAGACAACGACTAGCACAGCTCTCCCGGACTTCCCGCCCGGAGCGCCTTTCTGCCCTCCCCCGGCCCCGCACGCAGCAGCAGCCACGATGGGGCGCGAGAAACGCGCGCGCAAGAAGCCACACTGGATGAAGGAGTGCCTGGACGAGGACGGAATCAACCATGAAATTGCTGCAGACCCCGGCACGGAAGGTGCGCGCCGCCGCACATTTCCGCCCCTCCGGCCGCACCGCTATGCCTCCGCGCCACGCATGCGTTGCGCAGCACGCCGGGCCGACAGCGCCAGCGGCCGCGCGCCCCCGGGCGCCGGGGGAGCAGCCAAGCAACAACAGCGCCCAGCGGGCCCTCCCGCGCGGCGAGCGAGCCTCCCCCGCGCGCGCCCGCCGCCCCCGCGCGCCCCGCGCGCCGCCCCTCGCCCGCGCGCGCCCGCAACGCCCCGCGCCCGCCCCCGCGCCCCGCAGTCGACCACAAGCAGATGCCGCCCACGCGCAAGAAGAAGCCGCGCGCCGAGGAACCCGCGCGGCCCCAGCCGGCCGCGGGAGCCGTCCAGTCCGCGGCAATGCAGCAGCAGCACCACCAGCAGCACCCGCAGGCCCGGGGGCAGCAGGTCAGCGGCCCTCCCTCCCCCGCCGACGCCCCCCACCTACCACCTCCCCGCCGCGCAGCTGCCGCCCGCCACCGCGCCGCCCGCCGCCCGCCGCGCCCCACCCGCCCCGCCCGCCCGCCGTCGTCCGCAGGGGTACGTGCACCAGCAGATGATCACCAACAACCCCCAGCTGCAGCAGGCCCTGCAGCAGTACCTGCAGCAGCCGCAGGTGCAGTCGCACCTGTCGCAGCTCACGCGGGAGCAGCAGCACGAATTCGTCCTCACGGTGCAGCAGAACCTCGTCAAGCAGCAGCAGCAGCAGCAGCAGGCGCAGGCGCAGCAGCAGGCGCAGCAGCAGGCGCAGGCGCAGGCGCAGGCCGTCGCCGCGCAGCGGGCCGCCCAGCAGCAGCTGTACCAGCAGCAGCTGTACCACCAGCAGCAGCAGCAGTACGCGCAGGCGCAGCACTACCAGCAGCAGCAGCAGCAGGCCGTGCCGCACCACCAGCAGCATGCCGTGCCGCAGCAGCAGCAGCAGCAGGCCGTGCCGCCGCAGCAGCAGGCCGTGCCGCCGCAGCAGAAGCCGCCCGCTGAGGCCAACCCCCCCGCCACCGAGTCCAAGCCTGCGCCCGCGCCCGAGGCCAAGCCCGCCGCCGCCGAGCCCGCGGAGGCGCCCAAGCCCGCGACGCCCGCGAAGGCGGACGACGCCAAGCCCGCCCCCGCGCCGGAGAAGCCCGCGTCCACGGCCAAGCCCGCGGCGCCCCCCGCGGACACCACGGCCCCCAAGGAGGCGCGCGCGCCCGCGGACGACACGCCCAAGGAGGGCGCGGGAGAGAAGCCCAAGGTGCGCGCGGCGACGGCGACGGCGGCGGCGGTGACGGGCTGCACGCGCGGCTCCTCCTCCTCGCGGGGGGGTGCTTTTGAGCGGTGTTGATGTTCATGTTGTTGTCGTTGTTGTTGTTGCGTGCAGGAGGGGGCGCTGAAGGCGGAGGCGGCTGCGGAGAGGAACGGCGACGAGGGGCAGGGGAGCGCCGAGGGCGGCGAGGTCCCGGCGGTGTAGGCTGCGTCGCGCGGTGCAGTGTGGGGTGGGTCACCACGGGTCGCCCGACGACGGTCGATTGTGAGAGGCATGCGACGTGCGCCGGAAGAAGACGCGCGGGCGGCGAGCGACGTGCGCCGCTGCGGTCCATGTGCTGCGCGGCAGGACGCGTGCGGGTGGCCGCGTCGGCTTGGTGGAGAGGGGGGTCGGGCACTGCCGGGTGGGCTGTCAGCGAGGGACTCCCGGACACCGCGAGTCATCCGGTGAGGCAAGGGGCCCGGCTCAGAGCCGCGGACGCCAGTGTTGCGCGCCGGCGACCGTTTCGACACCGGCTGGACACCACCGCGTCGCGGCACCGTGCACTGCCTCCCAGTGAAGCGTCCGTGCCCTGCAGCCGTCGCAGCGACTGAGATTCCGCCGACTGCCGGTGTGGAGCGTGCGCCATCTGCGTGAGATCGCACCCGCCCCCCAGTAGCGACAGGCGGCCAGCATGGGCCGCGGGCGAGGCGGTGGAGGTGGCAAGGTACCTTCCCGCACGGAACGCTGCCCGCGGGACGAACCACCCTGAGCGATCAGCGCAACTGTTGGCGTCATACTCTCGTCCGACGGAACCGGGCGGAACGCTGTCTATGCACGCGGTATATCGCGGAACAGCGGCAGGCGGCTGCACCGGCACGGTGCCAGGCCATCTTCCGCCGCGTACACCCTCTGCTGTTCATTCCAGAAAAGAAAAGCATCTCCTCACTATCGAGCGGTGCTCTATCAGCTGCCGGAACTTGCCGGGAGCACCCAAGGCGGCGCACGTAGGCCGCGAGACGCGCAGTTCCCCGTCCGCGTGCTAGAGCGACCCTCCCTCACGGCCCCACGCCCACAGTCGCTCACTCGCGTCGCGCTCGACTCCCCAGCACTCAGACCGCCGCTGCTCAGCCCCGGCCGCTTTCCGGACCCTCCCGCGCGGCGGCAGCCCCCGTGTGCCTGGCGGACCTCCATCGGCCGCTCGCACGCCAACCACGCGCCCGCGCTCGCTCCCACGCGCCGAGCAGCTGCCTCCTCGCACGCGACCGACGCCACGGCGCACGTGCTGTTCTCGCAGCCGCGGGGCGGGCGCGGCGGCCGGGGCAACCGCTTCCGCAAGCGCGACTTCAAGGAGAAGCGGCCCGACGAGTGGGACGAGCGACACAACAAACGGTTCCGCAAGGACGTCAACGGATACACGGTGCCCCTCACGATGGAGAACGCGGTGAGCTCCGCGCGCCCACCCGCACCAGCACGCGTCCCCTCCGCAGTGCACACACCGGCGGGGCGCGACCGGCGGCCCGGCGCTCCCCGTGCGCGCGCAGGCGTTCGAGGACTACTACAAGCGGCAGGGCATCGTCGAGGAGACGGAGTGGGAGGACTTCATGACGGCCTTGCGGACCCCGCTGCCGCTGACCTTCCGCATCAACGGCGCGGGGGCCTTCGCGGACTCCCTCCGCGAGAAGCTGAAGAAGGACTTCCTGAGCGACTTCTCCGACGAGCCGCTCGAGGTGGACGGCGAGGTCATCGCGCCCCCGCGGCCCCTCAAGTGGTACCCGCGGGAGCTGGCGTGGCAGCTGTCCTTCTCGCGCAAGCAGCTGCGCAAGGTGCCGCACCTGGAGTCCATCCACGAGTTCATGAAGGTCCAGAACGACGCCGGCGGCATCACGCGGCAGGAGGCGGTGTCGATGGTGCCCCCGCTCTTCCTGGACGTGCGCCCGGAGCACCGCGTGCTGGACATGTGCGCCGCGCCCGGGTCGAAGACGGTGCAGCTGATCGAGATGCTGCACGCGGGGCAGGGCGTCCCGCCGGGCCTCGTCGTCGCGAACGACGCGGACACGCAGCGGTGCAACCTCCTCACGCACCAGACCAAGCGGCTGTGCTCGCCGTGCATGCTCATCACCAACCACGAGGCGCAGAACTTCCCCGTCGTCAGCGCGCCGGACGGCTCGCCGCTCCAGTTCGACCGCATCCTCTGCGACGTGCCGTGCTCCGGCGACGGCACGCTCCGGAAGAACACCGACATCTGGCGGCGCTTCACGGCGCACAACGCCAACGGGCTGCACGTGCTGCAGCTGCGCATCACGCTGCAGGCCTGCCGCCTCCTGAAGCCCGGCGGGCGGCTGGTGTACTCGACGTGCTCGTTCAACCCCGTCGAGGACGAGGCGGTCGTCGCCGAGGTGCTGCGGAGGTGCAAGGGCGCCATGGAGCTGGTCGACGTGTCGCGGGAGCTGCCGGCGCTCGCGCGGTGCGCGGGGAAGACCAAGTGGGTCGTGCGGGACAAGGCGCAGTACTGGGAGGAGTGGAACGACGAGACGCAGCACAAGGCGTGGAAGCTGGAGCCGTCGATGTTCCCGCACGCCGACACGGCCGACATGCCGCTGCACCACACCATGCGCTTCCTCCCGCACCACTCGGACACAGGCGGGTTCTTCGTCGCGGTCCTGCGCAAGACGCGCGAGATCCCGGACCTCTCGCAGCTGGTGGTGCACCCCGCGCGCCGCGCGCCCCCCAAGGGCGCCGCGGGCGCCTCCGCGGGCGACAAGACCGAGGACGAGAAGCCCGAGGTCAACGACGACGAGGGCGGGAAGGCCATCGACACGGCTGACGCGGGTGACGCGGAGGAGGACTGCAACGCCGACGCGCCGGACGACGCGCCGAAGGAGGAGGAGCCCGCCGCGGGCGCGGGCGCCGACGACGCGGACAAGCCGCTGCCGGGGGCGCGCGGGGGCGGTGGTCGCGGCGGCCGACAGGGCGGGAAGCACAAGGGGCTGGACCCCGTGATGCCCGTGTGCGACCCGGAGATGCTGGCCAAGGTGCGCGACTTCTACGGGCTGAGCGACGGCATCAACCTGGAGACGCAGCTGGTGACGCGGTCGACGGGCGAGGCGGTGGCGCGGCCGAAGAAGGTGTACGTCATCAGCCGCGAGATCAAGGACCTGCTGGCGATGGACCGCACGGAGCGCATGAAGATCACCGCGCTGGGCGTCAAGGTGTTCGAGCGGCAGGAGGCCAAGACGCCCGAGGGGTGCTCGTACCGCATCGCGCAGGAGGGGCTCCCGCTGATCCTGCCCTACATCACCAAGCAGAAGGTCTTCGTGTCCGCGGAGGAGTTCGCGCGCCTGCTGGACCAGCGCGTGGTGCCCGTGCTGCAGGAGGGCGGCAAGAACGAGCCCGACGACCAGGGGCGCATGCCGCTGTCGAACCCGCACACGCTGGAGCAGCTCAAGAGGGCGCGCGGGGGGTGCTGCGTGGTGTTCCTCAAGGACGACGACGCGAAGGCGCTCGGGTACGTCACCAGCGACCGCTCGGACGACGCGCACGGGCTCGCGGCCGCGTCGCCGCTGGCGATAGCGTGCTGGCGCGGCGTCGGGTCCGTGTCGATCCTGGTGAACAAGGCGGACGCCAAGATGATGCTGGAACGCCTGCGCGACGCGATGAAGGACCTCGAGGGGAAGACGGAGGCAGCCAAGGCCTGAGCAGGTGCGGACGGGCGGCCGCCGGTGGCTGTGGCTCGCCCCTGGTGCACCTTCTAATGCTGAACTTGGCGCACGTCCACGCACGGTTCGGCTTCGCTTGGGTGCGAAAGCGTGCTTGGCGGCTGGCATGCGGCGTGCCGCCCGCGATGTCACGCGGGCGGCGCAGCTCGCTGGCCGCCCGACATCTCATTCACTGACCTTGGTACCAGGCGCTTGCCGCCAGCGCGCGAACGCTCGCGCCTGACTGGGATTCTCCGCGACGCACCCGAGCGAGGTCGCAGGTTGCTTTGCTCCGGAAGGATCCGGCGCGACGAGGCTGCCGCAGTGCTCAACCACACTGCCCTTCGTCGCACGAGGGAGATGGAGGCAGCGACAGCGCGACGCGCCTGCTCCACACGGCAACACCGCCGCACTTGGGCCTCGCGGTCGGTCGCGTGCAGAGAGAGAGAGGGAGAGAGCAGCTGTGATCAACGTCGGAGCGGTGATCAATCTCGAGGTCAACGAAAGCAGTCGTGCCCAACACCACTCACTTGCAATTGCACAGCCACCCGAGCGACGAACTCGCACGCTCCCCGCGCCGAGTCGACGCGCCCACATCCCTGAGCCCATTCACGTCGTCACATGCGCCACACGCGCCCGCTACTCGTCGTCCGAGTCGGCAAACAGCTCCTCGGGCTCCTCCTCTGCCTCCACCTCCTGCAGCAGCCACCGCGCCTGCTCGCCCAGCAGCTCGAACCCCTGCCGGTCGGCGACGCGCACGAAGATCCGGAGCTCCTCGCGCACCCGCTCGAGCGGCACGTCGTTCTCGAGCGCGCCGCCGCAGTCGCAGTGCGCCGTCAGACGCTCGCGCTTCACGCGCCCGCACTTGGCGCACCGCACGTCCTGGGACTGGTACTGCACGCCGAGCATGTCGAGGTGCGCGCACAGCGCCGCCTCGATCGCCTCGAGGTCGTACGGGCGGCGGCAAGCGGCCATGCGGCACCGCCACACGCCCTCCTCCACTTCGTGGTCCCGACACAGGTCGATGTCGCGGCAGTCGTTGCACGCGTGGCACACCACGTCGCGCAGGACCCACGACCGGCACGGGTCGCGGAACTCCGCCTCCGCGGAGAACTCCCGCACGTGCAGCACGCGCAGGAGCTGCCGCGCCAGGATCGCCGCCTCGTCGCGCAGCGCCGCGTCGAGCGCCAGCGCCTCGCACGCCGTGCGCACGAACGCGAGCGCAGGCGTCCCGAGCTCCTGCGCCGTCAGGTGCGACCCCGCGCGCTCCGGGAACCTGTGCGCGGGGTCCTTGTCCCCCAGCACCACGTGGCGGTCGATGTCGCGCACCTTGTCGATCAGCGACGGCACCAGAGCCGTCTTGAAGTGCTCCAGCAGGACCTCCGCCGTCTCGTCGCGCCCGGGCTTGTCCAGCTCCGCGGCCGCGTCGCCGGCGCCCTCCTGCGACTCGTCGCCGCCGTCCGCCGGCGCCGTGCGGCGCGCGTGCTCCCACGGGCGGTACACGACCTCCGCGAGGAGCACGTGCAGGTCCTGGCGGATGACCTCGGGCAGGTAGTCCGCCAGCGCCCACTCCGACACCAGCTCGATCCCCGCCAGCGACATGTCCGCGGCGAGGCCTCCTGCGGCGCCGGGGCTGCCCCCGGCGCTGTCCTCCATCTCGACGACGTCCGAGGGCGCGCGCGGCTCGTCCGCGGTGCTCTTGAGCCCCGTGAAGTTGTGCTGGTCCCGCCAGAGCACGGCGTGGTAGTACGCGCCGGGCTCCAGCTGCAGGAGACGGAACATCTCGTTGCGCGACACCGCGGAGAGCAGGAAGGCGACGTGGTCGCGCGCGGCCTCGATGGTGCGCTTGCCCGTCGCGATGACGACGCGGCCGAGCTCGGCGAAGATCACGCGGGCGCCGAGGCGCGTGACCTCGGCGACCAGGTGCAGGAAGAGGCGCGCCATGAGGTCCTGCAGGGCGCGCTGGAGCGTGGGGTCGTGGAGCCTGGCGGCGCCGGAGCACACCCAGCGGTAGAGGTGCTTGAGCATCGCGTCCGCGCAGACGTCGTGCCGCACGGTGGCCTGCTGCAGCCACGTCAAGATGACCGACCGCAGGACGCCGAACTCCCCCCCGCAGCCGCCCTCGCCGCCGATCGACGAGAGCGCGCCCTCCATGGCCTCGAGCTGCTCCGCCGCGTCCATCGTCGCCACGCACAGGTGCCACACCGACAGCTCCACGCACACCTCCCGGTACGCCCCCGGGTTGTTGATCTCGGGCGGCTGCCACCGCCCCTCCAGCAGCGACACCGGGCCCGCGTCCGTCGCGCCCACGTCCGGCAGCGACGCGTCCGCCGCCCACACCAGCCGCTGGTCCGCGTGCAGCGCGCGCGCCAGCAGCACGTCCACCGTGTGCAGCACCCAGTCGCCCCCCAGGTTGCCCAGCGGCAGGTTCGCGAACCGCGCGGCCTGCACCGACTCCTCGAACCACAGCGCGCCCTGCGCGACGCGCGCCAGCGCCCCGCGCGCCACCTGCCACTGCCACCCGAGCGCCTCGCGCAGGGCGCGGCCGTCGTCGGCCACCGCGGGGCGGTGCACGCACGGGAGCTCCTGCAGCGCGGGGATGTCGCGCTGCAGCGCGAGCGTCGTGCGCGGGCCCTGGCAGACGGCCATCGCGGGGCCCTTGGCGCGCTCGCGGTACTCGCGGATCGCCTGGTTGGCGTGCTTGGCAGCAGAAGGGAAATCCCGAGTGTAAACCACCTCGAACTTGAGCTTCTCCGGCACGGGCGGGGGCGCGTCGGGGTGGGCGTCCTTGTCGCAGTTGAGCTGGCGGGCCAGGTCGCGCCACTCCTTCTCCATCGCGCCAGGCGCCACCTCCTGCTGCGCGCCCCTCCGCGCGGGGTTGATCACCGCGCACACGCCGCGCGCCACGCCCGGCAGCACGACCACGATGATGCCGCGGCCCGCCTGCGCCATGCGGCCCTCGAGGTACGAGTGGTACACGAACACCGACTTGAGCGCCGTCCGGTCCGACAGGTACTTCCCGAGCGCCCCAGCGGACGATTGCACCTGCGGAGAACAAACACCCACGCGGCGGGCGGGGGGCGGTGAGGGGGCGGCGGACGACGAGGATCGCGTGCGGGCATCGAAGGAGCGGCGGCGGCGCGCACCAGGAGGTCCCCGATCTCGAAGACGGCGTTCAGGGGCCGGTCGGTGGCGTGCGGCGCGACAGCGGCGATGCAGCCCAGGTCCATGGCGGCGCGGAACTGCAGCGGCATGCGGCTCTCGTACACGCCGTGCACGTGCGGCGCCGCGAGCTCCAGCGCGAGCGTCGACGCGCCCTGCCGGAACTCGAACTCGGGCAGGTCCACGCGCCAGACGTTGTGCGGCGTGCGGCCCCACGGCAGGCGCACGTTCGCCGGCTTGGCCCTCTTCATGAGCTCGCTCTCGTGGATCGCGATGTCCTCCTGCTGCAGGCTCGAGTCCACGTAGAACGTCCGGTCCATCCGCAGCGGCACCGCATACATCTGACCGTTGACGAGCACCCACAGGCGGAACTCGCCGGGCGCGCGCGTCTCCGCGACCTGGAGCACCTGCCACGTCGAGGTCGAGGCCTGCTGCTGCTGCTGCCGGAAGAAGTTCCCCGCCGTGCCCTTGGGGCCCGCCCGCGCCAGCGCCGCCGCCTCCGCCGCCTGCCGCTGGCGCTTCCGTGCGAGCTCTGCGCGCCGCGAGCGCCACACCGCCTTCTGCGCGCGCAGCCAGCTGCCGTAGTCCTCGTCGCGGTCCGCGGGCACGAGCTCCGGCGTCTTCGGCGCCGCGGCGTCCGCGTCAGGTCCGTTTTCGTCCCCCGGGGAGGGGGAGTCCCCGCCGTCGCCCTTGCGCTTCGTCTTGCGCCCGCCGACGGACTGCAGCAGCTTCCGCGCCGCGCCCATCGCGCTGCCCATGTCCTCGATGTCCGCGACGACCTGCGGCTCGTCCCCGTCGCTCTCCGCCTCGCCGTCGCCGTCGGCATCGGCGTCCCCGCACGGCACCTGCTGCGGCGCCGCGCGCATCGCCGCCATGAAGCCGTCGAGCTTCATCTGGTGGCTCTTGTCGGACATGGCCCGCACGCGCCGCTGCAGCCACTCCGGGTGCGCCACGCGCGGCACGGGGTTGCTCACGCCCTGCATTGCCGCGGGGATGGTGATGATCTTCTGCACGGCGTTCCCGAGGCGCTCCTTGTAGTAGGCCCAGTCGACGATGTCGCGCGGGTCCGGGTCCTGGTCGTGGTCGCCCGACAGCGCGGCGCCGCGGCACCACTTGGCCAAGAAGTGCCGCGCCAGGTGCGGCTTGACCTGCTGCGCCGAGAAGATGATCACGGGGACGGCGCGCTCCGAGGTGGGGCGGCCCTCGGGGAAGCGCGAGACGACGTAGTTGGTCTTGAGCCCCTTGTCCTTGATGCGGGAGTCGCCCAGGAACTCGGCCAGGCGCGTGGCGGTGGTGACGGCGCACGACTTGCGGCCCTCGTACTCCTCGAGGGACTTCGACATGGTGCAGGACTCGGAGATGTACTCGAGCAGCTCCTCGTCGCCGAGGTCGACGCCGTGCGTGTCGAGCATGTCGAGCCAGCGGTCCGCGACAGCCCCCACCGCCGCGTACACCTCGGCAATAGTCCCCCCCTCGAGGAACTTGGAGAACACCTCCCCCTGGAAGGCCTTGACGAGCTTGAGCTCCCCGCGGCGCTTGATCTCGAAGCCCTTGAGCTCCGCGAGCGACTTGTCGAAGTTGAACACGGCGTACCGCTTCTTGATGAGCTTGCCCTCCTGCTGCGACGCGGGCAGCACCATCGCCAGGTACGGCCCGTCGACCTCGAACTCGATCGACATCTCGCGCCGCGTCGAGTACCGCCCCGTCGCCGGGTCGAGCACGCCGTACTGGTCGTTGGTGTTGTACTCGGCCACTTGCACGTTGAGCATCGAGCACGGGTACGACATCTTGAACGACTTGCCGCCGGCCCCGCGGAGCTTGAAGTCCTCCGGGAAGGACCCCGGGAGCGCGCACCAGATGCCGTCGGTGTCGAGCTCGAGCGGCTTGCCGACCTGGGTGATGAGCCGGTTGGCGTTCTGGATGATCTGCGCGCCCGTGTAGGTCACCACGCCGGCCATCTCCATCGAGTACCAGCGCGCGCCCTTGCGCATCACGTACCCGTAGAACGAGTTCAGGATGCACTTGTGCGCGAGCTGCAGGCTCTCGTACAGCACGCACATGTCGGCCGCCTCCTGCGCGCGCGCGGGCTCCCCCGCCCGCCGCGCCTCCTCCAGCTTCCCCGTCCACACCTTCTTCAGCTTCTTGTACTCGTACCGGCGGTCCCGGAACGCCCGCACCGTGTCGATGTAGAAGGCGTTCTCGCGCTGGCAGATCCCCGCGACCCGCCGCTCCGTCTCGGGCTTGTCCAGCACGCGCTTGTACGCGCGCTGCGTGTACTTCTTCAGGCGGTCCTTCAGCCGGCGCGTCTGCTCGCCCGCGTCCAGGTCGTCCCAGTCGCACATCTTCCCGTCGGGGAGCGCGTGCCGCTCGCTCGCCAGCTGCGCCTTGATCTGGTTGTACTCGTGCCGGTTGGACATGTAGTAGTCCCCGCGCCACACCCACTCCATCTCGCGCAGACACGTCTTCCCGGGGCGGTTGTACACGCACGCCGCACAGTCCTCCTCGGTCACCGTCGCGCTCGGCTGCAGCCGGTTCGTCAGGATGATGTTCGGGTACATCGCGCCCACGTCCAGGTGGTAGATCAGCGGCTTCTCCTCGCGCACGGGGCGGTCGCGGAGGTCCTCCAGCCGCCGCCGGATCTCGCCCGCCACCTCCCCCAGGTTCTCCACGTCCTCGACCCGCATGCCGCCCTCGTGCTCCACCGCGTACGCCAGGTCGCGGTCGAGGTTGTCCAGCAGCGTCTGGTACCCCGCCGGGTCGCACCGGAACTTGGTGGGGATGTCGGCGCGGTACACCCCCGCCTCGAGCGCCTCGACGTGGCCGCCGATGTAGGTCTCGGCCTCCAGCGGGTGCCCCTTGTGGAAGCGCTCCACCTCTTGCACGTGCTTGTTCGGGCACACCACGCGCGCCTGGTACGCCTGGACCATGAGCAGCATCTCGCACAGCGTCCCCGAGCCCTTCCGGAGCACCTCGTCGGGCGGCAGCGGGATGATCGTCGCGAGCGAGAAGATGAACGGGTGGATGTAGGTCATGTACAGGTAGTACGTCGACACGGCGTCCGACACCGAGTACGAGGCCATGGTCTGCGGCTGCTCGGCGGCAAACCGGAGCATGTCCTCGGGGTTGACCTCGACGGGGTCGTACCCGAGCTTGGCCTTGGTGACGGCCTTAAGGCCGCGGGACCCCTGCGGGAGGTAGGAGTCGCGGTTGACCCAGTGCAGGCAGTCCATGTGGACGGCAAAGCGGGAGAGGCACTCGCCGGTGCGGTCGTTGGTCTTGAACCCGAGCTCGGCGCGCACGTCCATCTTGTACATCTTCGCGCGGCGCTCCACGAACGGCCAGTCGAAGAAGTCGCCGTTGTACGTGACGTACACCGCGGGCTGCGCCGTGCGCATGTGCGTGAAGAAGCGCCGCAGCGTGGCCTCCTCGTTCGCCTCGTTGAAGATGCGGAACGGCCCGGGGAACTCGGGCTTCGGGGAGTACTCGAAGTCCGCGATGTCGTCCGTCACGATGTCGCGGTTCACGATCAGGTACCCCTGCCTGTCGATCATGTAGGAAATCATGAAGACCTGGTCCACCTCGGCGTTCGGGAACTGGAGCGGCAGCTTCGTCGTCTCGATGTCCCACGCCACGATGCGCGGCTCCGCCCACCGCACCATGTCCGCGCGCCGCCGCAGCACCGGCACGCCCTGCTCCACGCGCACGGCGTACCACAGCCCGCACCGCACGTCCGAGTCGATCGACCACCGCGTGTGGTACGGCACGTCGTACTCCCGCAGCTCCACCACCGCGTCCAGCGCGTCCTGCACGCGCAGCCGCTCCCCGCCGTCCCCGCCCGCCACCGCCTCGCCGCGCCACTCCATCGCCGCCTGCCCGGCCGCCAGCGCCGCCTGCTGCCGCGCCACCAGCGCGTTGTACGCCCCGCCGCCCCCCGCGGCCGCCCCGCCGTCCGCGCGGCCCCGCTGCACCGACCGCTGCACCGCCTTCTTCACGTCCATCAGCCCCTGCACGTTGTGGAACGACACCTTCAGCAGACGCCGCTTGACGCCCGCCAGGTGGTTCTTCAGGTCCAGGTCCTCGCGCTCCACGACCTCGCAGTCCTGCAACGCACCGCGCGACACCGGGGGGTCGGCGCCGGGCCGCCGCGCAGGGCACGCGGCTCCGTGACACAGCGGCGGCGGCGGGGGGCTCGGACCTTGATGACGCCCTCGAAGCGGCGGCGCAGGAAGGCCTCGACGTCGGGCTCGTGTCCGTCGCGGACGTGGAGGTAGAAGTACGGCGCGAAGGGCACTTTCGCGCGGAACATCGACCCGTCCTCGCACACAAAGAAGCACGTGACGCTCGAGAGCGTGACGCCGGCCTCCGCGTCGTCGACGGTCGAGGTGCTGAAGTTCATCAGCCACCCGAGCCGCTCCTCCTCGCCGGAGAGCGTCGGGAAGCCCAGGCGCTCCTGCGCGGCCTCGTCCTCGGCCGCGCGCCGCCTGGCCCACTCGGCCTTCTCGCGGGCCGTGCGCAGCTGCTCCATGTCCACCTCGTCGTCTCCCTGCGGGCCGTGGAGGCAGCCGGGCGGTGGGGGGGCGCGCTGCGGGAATGCGCCGCGCGCGGGGGCTGCCTGGGCGCGGTGGTTGCCGTGGGTGGAGCGCACCTGGTCGGGCTGGTTCGAGTCCGCGAGGGGGTCCCGCACGTCGCGGGCCGCGCCGGACGCCAGCATCGACGGCGGGACGCGGCGGCCGCCGCCCTGCAGGGACGCGGTGACGGCGTGCGGCGCGCGGTGAGGTGTGGGCGGGAAATGAGCGCGTCGCCCGCTGCGCCGCGCACAGTCGCGCACCGCGGCTAAACTTGCAAGAATCAGGCGACCAAGGTATATGTGCGGCTTGGGGGAGAAGGAAGCGTGTCGGGAAGCGCGCGGGTGGCCGGGGGAGGCCCAGCGGGCCCAGCGCAGCGTGATTTCGTGCGCGGGCGTGGCGGGAAGGAGCGCTGCGCGGCCTGGGAGCGAGGGGGCGCCGAGTGTGGACCGCGCCATCAGGGATTGTGCTGCATGCGCGGCCTCACGCGCCAGGGGTCCCAGGTGGAGCCGCAAATCGCGCGCGACCGCAGCATGGTGGCAAAGGCGGGCACGTTCCGGAGCGTTCCGGCCATGTGGCATCGCGCCGCTGGCAGAAATGGCTCGCGTGGTCTACTGAGAGCGTTATCCTCATCGATCCAAGTCGTGCGCGTGCTCTGGGGCGAGGCGCGGCGTATTCTCAGCAGGTGTGCCCGCCACGCTGCCCACTCACCCGTCCGCCCATATTCTCGTCGCGTCGATCCCCGAAAGACTACAACTGTACCATGTCCACCTCGCAAGGCAGGTTATCAGCGTTCCGGGATGTCCGCGTGAGGGTCGTGGAGCTGACCCCCTGCGCTCTTGGCGCCTACAGCCGTGCGTCGCCGGTACGTGACTCCGCGGCCGGTGCGAGGGCGCGGATACAGAGCCGATGCTCAGGCAATCGAGCGCTGCGTGGCGCACCGTCGGCGCAACGAGGTGCCCGCGAACTCAGACACCCCCTTCGCCGACGACACACACCCCACACCTCCGCGGCGGGCTCGGGCACAACCGTCCAGGGCGCTGGCCAGAACCGGCACTGCACTGTCACGCCGGACAGAGCCGCGCAGCTGATCGTCGCTCCCGCTGCCTCGACAGGCGTCGCGAGCTGCGTCAAGTTGCGATGGGACGGGGCCGGCGCCAGCAGGGCCCGGGGCGGGAGAAGGGCAGCTTCGGGTACGGCGATGCCGACGACGACGACAACACCATGCGGTCACAGGACCGCAGCGAGCACTTCGCGGGGGGCCGCGGCGGCACGGGCGGGCGCGGCGGGGGAGGCACCGCTGGCAAGGCCGCTCGAGCGGGTCCCGAGTTCGTCCGCACGGTTCCGAAGTTCCTTCAGGTATGAGGCCGTCCCCTCGCGTCGCACACTTGTTGAGATGTGCGCGCTGGACGCGTGGCGCGTGCTGACGGTGCCCGCGTGCACCATCCTTGCTGTGCAGGCCCACGCAGACATGCTGAAGAAGCCCGCGGACGACATGGCCGGGACGCTGATCGACGCAGCAAGGGAGCACGACGAGCGCGTCGCGGCGCGCGGCGTCGACGAGGCGCGGGAGCTCGCTGAGACGGCGGAGGAGCGCGAGGAGCGGGAGGTGCTCGAGCGGGCGATGGCCGAGGTGCGACCGCGGCGAGGGCCGCGCGTGGGGGCGCCGCAGTGGGCGTTCGCGTGCGCTGGGTCCCCGGGCGCGCCGTTCACGGGTATGTGTGTGTGTGCGCATGTTTGACGGCGGGGGCGTGCGCCGGCGGTGCAGGCGGGGGAGGAGCTGGGCGAGGAGATGGCCGCGGAGCTGGAGAAGAAGAAGGGGACGGAGGCGTTCAAGAAGGGGCGGTACCGGGAGGCGGTACAGCACTTCACCAAATGCATCTCCCTCAGGCCGCGCGACGAAGTGCTGTTCTCGAACAGGTGCGCCGCGCCGCCCCGGACGAGTCGCGCAGACACGCGCCTTCGCCCCCAGGGAGCGTTTCAGGGGGGGGACTGCGACCCCGGTCTGTCATGCAGCGTTGGTTGTTTCTAATTGGTTTTCCTGACGCGGTGCTTTGGGTGCAGGTCGGCCGCGTACTGCGCGCTGCAGGAGTACGACGCGGCGCTCGAGGACGCGCGGAAGTGCGTGCAGCTGCAGCCCCTGTGGGCCAAGGCCCACTCCCGCGTGGGCGCGGCGTTGCACGGGCTCGAGGACTTCGACGCCGCGGTCGAGGCGTACAGCAAGGGCCTGGACGTCGAGCCGGACAACAAGGCGCTCGAGGGCGCGATCGAGAAGGCGCTGCGGGCCAAGGAGCGGCAGGCGGCGGGGGGCGCGGGGCCCAAGTTCCGCGCAAAGCGACCGCGGGTGGCCGAGGGCGGCGCGGGCGCGGGGGAGAAGAAGAAGGCGAAGGCGCGGGCCGCGGCGGGCGCCCTATCCTTCGAGGACGAGGAGGTGTGAGTGATTCCGTCGTGCAGTGAGCCGCCTGAGCCGTGCAGCAGTGCTGGCTGTGCGGGCAGGCGAATGCGTCGCACGGCAGGTCTCCTGCGTCACACTGCGCGTCGCGGGCGTCACCAGTTCGCCTGGTCGCCCCACTGGTTCGCCGGCGCGTCGTGGGCTCTTCGCCGCGCCGCGGACACGCCGAAGGACACGTCCGAGGACCCCATTGCCACCCCCCCGCCGCCCAGCGCCGCCCCGCTGCTGAGGTCCGCGATCAGCTGCGCCGCCTTCCCGCCGGCGACCCAGTGCGCGAGCCTGTTCACGACGCCCGTCAGCGCGAAGCAGCCCCCCACCACCGCGCACAGCTGCACCCACAGACCAGCACACAACACGCAACCCCATTGGAACCCACGGGCGCGCGGGAAGACGAGAAACCGCGCCGCCTGGCCGCGAACAGCGCACGCGCGTCGCCCGGCCGCAGGGCGCGGGCCAGGCGTGCGCCCCGGAGGACCGTTTGCACTGTTGCAGACGTCACCGGTGGGCGGAGGCGCACGCACGCACCTTGGTCACGTGGTGCAGGAACGACGACGCGCCGTACACGTCCACGACGATGGGCGACAGGTCGTACACGATGTCGATCCCCGGCAGCTTCTCCGCCACCTCCGTGGGCAGGAAATACTCGGTCACTGCAAACAGGCCAGCACCGCGACAGAGAGCTCGCACGCGCCCGCGACGGCGCGCGCACACGCCCGCGCGACGATGTGGTCGCCGGGGCCGCGGCGCGCACTCACCGGAGTACTGGTTCGTTTCCAGCGCGCCCGCCAGCCCCCTGCGGTAGGTGGTGGGTACAATCTTGACAAAGTACTTGAACACCCCCGGCTGGGGCTCCCCCGCGACGTGGCCCTCGAGCGAGTTGGCCTGCCCCGGGAACCACGGCCCGAACGACAGCCGGTGCACGGTGTGGTTCATGGACACGCGCGACAGCGTGTCGGCGAGCTCGATGCCGACGAGGTGCGGGTGGACGCCCGTGGACACGATGACCGTGCCGGCCACGCGCTGCACCTCGAGCTGCCCCTCCACGCGGCACCCCTCGCCCGCCCTGACCTCGTTCACGACGGCACTCATCTCCTTGACCAGGTCGCCCGCCATCTGCGCGATCGTCATCGCGCCGCCCGTGGACCAGGCGAGCGCGTCCTCGTCCTGCGGGCGCACGCGGGGATGGGCTTGCGGGCGGGGTGGCGGAACTCGGGGGGGGGGGCGCGGGCGGCGTCGCGGTGGCGCGGGAGCGCGCGAGAGCGGGGGGCGCACCGCGAGCTTCTTGCCGTGCTTGTCGAGCCTGTGCTTGACGATTCGGGACTTCTTGGAGGTCGTGACGGCGCCGGCCTCGCCGGAGGAGTCCACGACGGCGAGGTTGACCGCCGAGCACGGGCAGTGTGGAAGCGTCAGAGACAGCTGCACCGGGAGCAGCCCGTGCTTCGTGTCCACCTGCGCGACCGACGGTGGAGGTGGGGATCGGGGTCAACAGTCTACCGGGGGCAGCCGGGCACGCAAGGCGGCGTTGGGGGACCGGGCGAGCGTTTCGCAGCGACTGCCGGGCGCCCACAGCCCGCCTGCGACGCGCGGCGTCGCTGACTTCGCCACCTCTGGGACTGGGCGGGCGCACCTTCATCTCCTTGACGAGGGGCGCCATCCAGTAGAGCCGGATTTCGCTCAGCATGAGCGTCACCGCCAGCAGACTGCCCAGGACCGTGATGACCCCGCCCAGAGGCGTCCTGCGCACGAGGTGCTCCTCGGCGCGGCCATACGCGCTCAACTGCGCGAGCTTCGCAGACATCTACCCTCCCCTCCCGGCGACAGCCGCCGCCCCGCTCCACGCACGCCCGCCAACACCGCACCCGTTGGCCGCGCGGCCGGCGCACCTGCCGCCGCCGGGCTGTCCGCGGCAGCCAGAGCTGCTAGCGACGACGGTCGACGCCTGCCGCAGGCACGATTCGGCACTACACGCGGGCCGCCGAGCGCGCTGGACGCGTCTGTCTGCGCACTCTGTTGCTGAACCGGACGCTACTAGCGCTGTGGGCGTTGATACGGAGCAGACACGGCGCCAGCGGGGGGCTCGCAGCGCGGAGTGGCAGTGCGGCGGCCCGCGGAGGCGCCACGAGCGCTCTCAACTCGTGGAGGGACCCGAACACCCCTGGGAAGAAGCTATGAGCGCGCGGGCGCTCGAGGGGCGCTCGCACGCGGGCGCACGTGGACATCGGAACGGGATTTTCAGCACCATGTCGCTCCTGCCTGAGGCCATCTACAACACCTCGAGCCTGCGCACCCTGCGCCGGGCCGAGGATGCGAAGCCAACCGAGGTGGCTGCGTCCTCCGTCACGGAGGGCTTCACGAAGGCCGTCGGCCGGGGGTGAGCGCTCGTGACGCCCGAGCATTCCCGCGAGCACCTCGCCCGGCGCGCTCACTCCGCGAGCGCGCGTCACGCGACCGCTCTTCGGCCGTGATGTTTCGGTCTCCGTCCCGCCGGCGAGGGCGCGCCAGCGGCCGCAACCACCGCCTCCCGCTCGACCACTTTTCGCAGGACGCACGGCGTCGCGGCGGCTCCCATCGAGATGTTCTCGTCGCAGTACTACGGCGCGTGTGCTCTGGGTGGCGTCGCTGCCTGCGGTTTCACGCACATGGCCGTCACGCCGCTCGACGTCGTGAAGTGCAACATGCAGGCAAGCACCCCCACATCCCCCGCCGCGGCCCTGAGCCCACCGCACGGCCCCGCGGCCGCCCCAGCGCGCCCCCCTTGCCTCACCGCCCTTGGCCAGCGTCCAGGGCCCGGCCACGCGCACACCCGCGCCGCAACCGAGCCTCGCGCGCCCCCCCCTCGCGCCCTCGCGCCCCCGCCAGCGCGCCCGCGCTCGGGCGCGGTGCGGCCGAGGCGGCAGCCCTGCGCGGCGCCCGGCGCTCCCTCGGCGGGGGCGCCCGGGAGTTGACGCCGGCCCGCAACGCGCCGACAGAGCTCCGCTCGCGCACGCCCGCCGCAGATCGACCCCAAGAAGTACTCCTCGATCGGCAGCGGGTTCGGCACCGTCATCAAGGAGCAGGGCGCGGCGGGGCTCCTCCGCGGGTGGGTGCCCACGCTGCTCGGGTACTCCGCGCAGGGCGCGTTCAAGTTCGCTGGTTACGAGTTCTTCAAGAAGTACTACAGGTGCGCGAACGGGCCCGCCGCCCCCCCCGCGCCCGCCGCGCGCCGCGGTCGCCGCTCGCCCGGCCCCAGGGCGGCGCTGGCTCGCTCTCTCGTGCTCCGCGCGGCGATGCGGAGCCTCACGTCCGCGCGCGGCGCGCCCCCGCGGTCCGCAGCGATCTGGTCGGCGAGGAGAACGCGAAGAAGTACCAGACGGCGGTGTTCCTGGCGGGTTCGGCGTCGGCGGAGTTCTTTGCCGACATTGCGCTGTGCCCCTTCGAGGCCGTGAAGGTCAAGGTGCAGACCGTGCCGGGGTACGCCAAGGGCATGAGCGACGGCATGCCCAAGTTCGTCGCCGAGAACGGCGTCGGGGGGCTCTTCAAGGGCGTGGGCGCGCTCTGGGGCCGCCAGGTGCGCACACCGCGCCCCACCGCGCGCAAACGCAGCTCCAGCGCGCGGACTCGCGCACGCCCGCACGCCCACGCACTCCCGCAGCAGCCCGGCGCCCCCATCCACCAACACCCCCCCTGACTCCCCCCCCGCGCGTTGCAGATCCCCTATACGATGATGAAGTTCGCGGCGTTCGAGAACGTCGTCCAGGCGCTGTACAAGTACGCGGTGCCGAAGCCGCGCTCGGAGTGCACCAAGGGCGAGCAGCTCGGCGTGTCGTTCGCCGCCGGGTACATCGCCGGTGTCCTGTGCGCCATCGTGTCGCAGCCCGCCGACAACATGGTGTCCAAGCTCAACGCCGACAAGGACGCCACCGTCGGGTCCATCGTCAAGGAGTTCGGCTGGTGCGTCCACGGCCCAGCGCGCGCCCGGCACCGCCCCGGCGACTCGCCCCTGCCGCCCACACACGACCATCGCACCGCTCACGCCCGCCCGCCCGCGTGCCTGGTGTCACCGCAGGACGAACCTGTTCCTGCGTGGTCTGCCCATGCGTATCGTCATGATCGGCACCCTCACCGGCGCGCAGTGGGGCATCTACGGTACGACCCCCGCCGCCATGCCCCTTCGCACGCCCGTCCGCGAGGGTCAGGCAGCTGCCGCATCGCAAGGCGCCCGTCGCGACTCCCCTCACGTGCGCCCGCCGTCCCGCGTCGCGCCGCAGATGCCTTCAAGGTGGCCGTCGGCCTCCCCACCACGGGTGCCGCGCCCCCGCCGGCCCCCGCCAAGTGAGCGCGGGGCCTGCCACAGCCGCCGCCGTTGCGCCGCCCGTGGCCGGCCTGCAAGGCCACAAGACTCTTCGCATCCAACGAACACACCTCGCGCCCGCACCTCGCGCCGGCCGGGGAGCGTGCGCGGGCTGTCTGTGAGACGCCTCCGACCGCCACGTGGTCACAACGATCGCAGCGTGGCCCCGGCGTAGCGGCGACGGGCGCCCGCACGCCACTACCCGTCGTTGCCCTTGAGCACGCACACGCAGGGGCAGAGGCAGCCGTAGCAGTATATGTTGCAGAGGGTGATGTACAGGCCGCCGTCCTTGCACTTGCACATGCCGTTGTCCAGCTCGAACAGCTGCACACACGAAAGGCCGTCAGTTGGAAGTCAGGCATGAGGACCGTCGCCTGGAAGTCGAGCGGGGGGCCGGCACGTGGACGTTGCGCATGCGGGCGGACGGTCACCTGGAAATCGAGCATAAAGACCGTGGCGAACTGCAGCGCCTTCTCGCGCGCCGACGTGCCCTTCCGGAACGCGACCTCGAAGTTGTCCGCGTCCGTGCAGCACTCCTTGATCATGTCGCCGCACGTCCGCGGGCGCAGCTTGCGGATGGTGGCCAGCTGCTCGTGGCTGCTGTTGAGCACGGGGAACACCGAGGTGACGCAGGCCTCGCTGCACCCGCCCGTGATGCACGGGCCCGTGGCCGTCGCGCTCGGCGCGGCCTCGGTCGCCTTCGGGTCGCCGCGGTCCATCACCTGGATGGTCGGCTTGAAGCCCCCCCCGCCCTTGGGCTGCCGGGCGTACCCGAGCTGGGACGGCGCGTTCGCGGGTAGGAGGACGCCCGGCTGGGCCTGCGCGGCGGGGGCGAGCGGCGGCGTCGGCGCGCGGCGCGGCGCGTGGCGATGAGAGAGGCCACGTCAGGTGGGGGGGTGTTGCCGTACCCCGACGTCGCCGACGTGCACGGTGAACTGGTCGCGGCACCGGTCGTTGCACGCGAAGCAGTTGGTGCACTTGGTGCACTTGCAGCAGTTGCACCCCTCCCGTTCGATCGTCAGGAGCACCTCCCCGAACTTGTCCCGCGCGTGCACCGTGAGGACCAGGCTGTTCTGCGGGGCGCAGCACATGCGGTCCCAGCACTCGCTGTGCTCCTGCACGTAGAGGATCGGGACCTGCGGCGCGGAAGCGGCGACGCGCCCAGCGATCACAGAGAGAGAGAAAGCGCATCTCTCGCGCAGGGCGCGCTGCGCCGAGAGATTGGTCTGCGTTCCGATCACGTGATTCTTCGCGACATTTCCGCGCGACGCCTGCTGTCTTGGGCCGCCCGTCGCCTCGCGGGGTCCGCCAGGGCGCCCACTGCACCAACCGTGCACGCTGGCTGGCGCACCGTCGTCGTGCGCACCTGGGGGTTCGCCGCGTCGAAGATATTGTACTCGTTGCGCCGCTCGACACACCCCTGCGTCACCGCCTCGAGCAGGTGCGCCTTCTGCCGGATCAGGAGCGAGTCGACGTTGCCCACCAACTGCTCAAACTTCTGCAGCGCATCCAGGGCGGGCCCCGCGCCGTAGCCGCCCTCAACTGGCACGCCGTACGCCGGCGCGGCCATGGTCTGAACTGGGGGGTACGACATCGCGCCGTCCGGTCAAGTTCGCGCCGCAGGGGCCGCAAACGTGAAGCTGCAGCGAAACACGTGCCCCGCACCGCCGCGTTACCCGACGCCGCAAGTCAGCCGGCTGCGATGTCGGTACAGCACTGCGCAGTCCGAACTTGCGCGAACCCGCGCGCCCGCGGGCCTGCGTAGCGGCGGGGGCTCGCTCTCGGAGAGCCGGGTGGAGTGGGACACCGACCCCCCCACCGAGCTCAGCGCCCTCGCACGGACCTCACAGGCCGGCGCGGCGGCATGTCCTGGCCAGTCTGGATGCGTGGCGCTGGGGCCCGGCGCGCGTGCGGCACCCGGGTCGTGCTGGTAGCCGGAACAGTTGAACACCAACTGGCCTGTCGTTTCTGCGCGCCCCGAGCGAAGTGCGGGCCGCACCGATAGCGCTCCACACGCGTACTAGCGAGGGGCAGCCCGCGCGACGCGAGCAGGGGCCAGGGCGCGGTCATGGGGCTTCCCGCCACGGTTTGCCCTCCCAGGGTAGCGTGTGAGATGGCGCGGCCAGCAGCGTGCAAGGTACGTCGAGCCAGCCTGCGCAGCACTCCCTGCGTCAACGCAGCCGCACCGCGCAGCTACAGCGCAGCGCTGCGACGGCCGCACAAGCCCGAGGCCACTACCTGGAGAGGGGATGCTCGCACTACGGACGCATGCGTTGCGGAGTTATGGCTCGCTGCGCACGTGTCGGGCTCGCAGGTGGCGTGTGCACAGAGGGCGCTGGTGCGACCACGGGCGGTCGAGGTGCCGGCGAGGAGACGCGCCGCGGTGGCGCGTGCACAGAGCGGGGGAGGCGACACGGGCTCCGAGGTGCGCCCAGTGCTCTGTTCTGTGCCCAGTCACCTGGTGTGCGACAGAATGCGCGCCGTGGGCGCACCGTGCATGCCCCACCGCCGCTGGATGCACGGCGCGAGGGCAAGGGAGACAGCGAGCCCGAGCGCCCGCCGCGCTCCCGCCCTGGCATGCTTCCTTCATCGAACGGCTCGCTCCGCCTCGGGGACATCTGACTCGGTGCGCGGCGCTCCCTTCCGGCAGGTCGGGGAGAAGCTGCGCGAGGCCGCGGGCCAAAAGGACCTGAAGGGAGCGCAGGCGTTCGCCAAGCCGCAACTCGGGCCCACAGGCGACGACGAGGTGGCCAAGCAGTACGCCGAGGGTCTCGCAGCCGGCATCGACGAGGACGAGCTGGTCGCGCGCATCATGGGCGTCCCACCCAGCCAGATGTCGACCGTTCAGGTACCCCCCTCTGGCCGCCCGTTCTCCGGCCCCCGCGCCTCCCGCGGCGATATTCCGCGCCGCCGAGACCCGCTGCACTCGATGAACACCCGCGGCGCGCCGCGACGCCCTGCGACGGCCGCAGCAGCCCGTTCGCGAGCACAGCAGGGCCAGCGGGCACAGAGGGCCCGCGCGCCCGACGGCGCGCCGGCGTCCGCTCGACTCCGTGCAGGAGCAGTACAAGGACAAGATCAAGGAGAACATGCGGAAGCGCGTTGCGGCGCAGAAGCAGCGGGAGGCGGAGGCCCCCGGGACGCAGGAGTTCGTGATAGCGCAGAAGCTGTACGAGCGCGGGCGGTACCCCGAGGCGGTCAAGATGTTCGAGCGGGCGCTGGACGAGTCCGGGCCGTTCAACCGGCGCGGCGGCGACATTCAGCTGTGGCTGGCGCTGGCGTACCAGGCGTGCGGGCGCGAGGCGGACTGCATCCAGGTGTACAAGACGCTCGAGGACACGCACCCGATCCGCGCGATCAAGAAGCAGGCCGCGGAGCTCAGGTGCGCCGGCCCACGCCGCACACGTGCACGCTGTTCTCTTCCCTCGTTGTTGTGCCCGACGGCTGCGGGGGGGTCTGTGAGGAATCGCCCGCGCGTCCGCTGCGGGCGCGCGCGATCGCACTGCTCCGGTCTGCCGCGCGGTGCGGGTGCGGGGGTCGGTCCCCGTGATTCGAGCAGCCCGCAGCCCACATATGACGGGCGGTGCGGGTGGCGGCCCACGTCGCCGGGGCAGGCGCCCGGCTGTCGGCGGCCGCTCCGTCCCGCCACTGCAAGCCACGCCCCCAAGGCTGGTCGCTCCGTGCGGCCACCTAATAGACCTAAGACCTTGACAGGACAGCTGCGGTGCGCGCGGCGTCGCTCCGCGCCCGGCGGCTCGCCCCGCGCGGGTCCCGGCGCGCGGGCGGCGCCGTGCGCTGCCGCAGCAATCCACTAGCCGAGTCCTCTCCGTGGCGCCTCCCTCGGCTATAAACAACACAAGGAGGCCCACCTGCGTGCGCGCGCCCGGCGTGGGCCACGACGAGACGCCCCGCGTCGAGTCGGGGGGAGGTCGCCCTGCCGTCGGCCGGTTCGCGGCCCCCGCTCCCTGACCGGACGCCGGCCGCGCAGTCATGGCGGCATCTCGCAGCCTCCATGCTCCGCCGACGGCGCCGGCGGCCTCCCCTGGGCGGCCCGCCGCAGCCTCTGTCCCGCGACGCCCCGCCACCCCCCGCCCGACCCCAGACCGACCCCCCGCGGGACCTTCCCGGCCCGCGCCGCACGCAGCGGCAGCCGCAGATCCTGTCTGACGACAGGCAGCCACGTTCTGAGGCCCCCCGCGCAGCCGTCGCCCCAGCCAATGCACCCTTTCCACTGCCCTGTGCGTTGCCCTCGCCGTCGCGTCCGTCAACACGGCTGTTCTCTTGTTGCCGTCGGCGCAGGTTCATCATGGAGGCTCCGAAGCTGCAGCTGGGCGAGGACGAGCGCGTGAAGATTCCCGTGATCAAGGACGCGGAGCGCAACATGGGCCGGGGCGCGCGCGTGGTGACCCGCCGGCAGATCCAGACGAGGGAGCGCCAGCGGCCCAAGCGGTGGGACGAGGAGTGGGCCGAGAACTACCGGCCACCCGTGTGGGCCACGAACCGGTACGTGTGGGCCGGGGTCGCCGCGGCCGCCACCGTGCTCGCGTATGTTTCGGTGCAGCTTCGATGACGCACGGGGGGGGCTGTAACAGTTGCTATGACGTCACCCTGTCGCGCGCGCGATAGGAGGACTCCCAGGTGCGGCGCTCGTGCTGCGCGATCACACGTTTTACGGTGGCGACCAGCAGTCTCGCTGGGTCCTCGGCTGCCCCTGTGTAGGACCTCTTGCCGCGATGTGTCCTACCTGTCTGACCAGTGGGGGGAGTCCGACCCGGGCGCATCGCTCGACCCCGCCGACAGCTCCGGGATCGGGTCTCGCTCGAGCCCCGCACCGAGCCCGTCCGTCTCCGCCATAAACTCCACATACCTGCACGCGAGTGTTGCACACAGCGCCCCACTGCGTCGGAACACCATGCCCTGGCCACGTGCTTCCACGCACGTACAGTTCCAGCACACGTCCGTCACGTCCAGCCGTCCGCGGCGCGCCCGCACTCACCTGCGCAGCTCCTTGTCCTGCGGCGCGCACGTCCGCCAGCGCCCCTCCACGAATATCTCCCATGCGTCCGCGGCGTAGGGCCCCACGCCCGGCAGCTCCCTGACGCTGCCCCACCCGCCCGCGACGTACCGCGCGGACATGGCCGCGATCGTGCGCGCCCGCTTCCGAAACAGCCCCAGCGGGCGCAGCAGCCGCTCGATGCGATCGAAGTCCGAGAGCTGCGCGGCGGCGTCCGGGTCCGGCACGAGCGCGAACAGGCGCCAGACGACGTTCCGGACCTGCGTCGCCGACGTCATGTTGAGCAGGAAGCACGCCACCAGCAGGCGCCACGGCTGCGCGTACAACTGCTCCTGAATCAGGCCGTACGGGCTCGGGGGGGGCTCCCACGCCGGCCGCACGTCCCGCCAGCTCCAGCCCTTCGCGGGGTCGCGCGCGTCCGCGGCTGCCGCCTCCTCGGGCGTCCGCCGCCGCGCATGAGCGCACGGCGACGGTGCGTCCCCGCCTGCGTCCGCGGCACGCGCCGCGCCGTCTTCCTTCGGGCCGGACGCGGCCGTGCTGATCGGGGACGCTGCGGCGCCGCGCGACAGCAGTTCGCGCAGCCGGGTCTGCAGCGGCGACGCAGGTCCACTGGGTCCAGCGCCGGCGTCGTTCTCTGTAGAACGGTCTCCGGGCCGTGCGCTGGCGAGAGGGCTCGCGGCCGCGCGGCGCTTCTTGCTCGAGCTAGCGGGGGAAGCGCTGCGTACGCGGGTTGCGACGCAGGGCACGTCGTGACGCGGCGGTGCGGGCAGCGTGCGGCGCGGGTGCGCTCAGATCGGGCCGGAGGCTTGCCGGAGCGACGTGGGGTGCGCGGATGCATGCGGCGCGGTGTGGTGTGTCGGCGCACCTCTTCCGCGCGACCTTCCGTTGGCACGCAGAGCAGGGGCAGTCTCGTCCCGCGCATCTCGGGCAGATCCACTGGCCCGTGGTGCTCCAGAACTGCGGGCTGACGTCCAACCAGTTCGTGATGCACGTCCTGCACCACGCGTGAGGTCGGCCCGTGCGGCTGTGCGTGCACTGGACAAGGTTCTTCAGCTCACGCTTTCGATGGCAGCAGTGGCAGTACTGCGACGACATCGCCGCGACAGGACGCGCATACTAGTATGTCCGGCTACGTCCGGTGAACGGGGCTCTTTTGACGTCGTTCTCGCGGCACCAACAGCGCTCCCTGTTGCACACTGGAGGCCGGCCACGCGCGAAGAACGGACACGTAACTGAGACACGGGCGTCTTTCTGGAATGATGAATGCTGCCAGCTCCGAAGCGCGTTGCCGCATTGGCGACAGCTGCAACAGCCGCCGCGCACACCCCCGACACCTGGAATCAGAGGCCTCATACGACGTCAGGCGAGGAGCACCCGCCAGCGACGCGGGTCTCAAGGTCGCTGGAGCCTCGCCTACCATCCACACGACCGTATCAGCGGATCCATTCGAACCCATCACTCCCCCACACGTCGCGATGCACGCCTCCATCGCTGCTAGGCCGATGGCATCCATCCGGGCGTCGCTGGCGGGCCGCCGCGTGACCGCGAAGCCCCTGCGTGCGACGCGCCGCGCCATCAGCGTCTCGCGGATCCAGGTACGCGCCCCCTCGCCCCCGCGCCTGTGGAGGGCCGTTGGAGCACCTCCACCCTCGCTGGCTTCTGGATCGGGTGCCCGCCACACGTCGACAGCGCAAGCATCGCCCCGCTGAGAGTGGCGATGGATTCTCCCAAGCCCGAAGCCCCTTTCGAGCCACGCATTCCGGGTCCAGTGTCCTCTGCCGCGGTGGCCTCCCCGGAGCGCCCCTCGCGCCCCGCTTGTCGCCCGCCCGTTCTCACCCGCGCGCACGACGTCATGCGCAGACGCCATGTCCACGCGGCGCATCGGCCACAGCCACACCCCGCCGAGAGAGCCCCGTCCGCAATCTTCGCTCACGCCGCCCCGGGACGCCGCTGCCCGCCCACTCCCACAGCACACCGCGCGCCGCGCCCCCCCCCGACCACCGGTCCGTCCGCGCGCGGCGCGGCGCAGGCGGCCCTGAAGGAGGGCGACGACATGGCGAACTACTCGGACTACTTCCGGAAGCTCCAGACCGACAAGGGCGACATGATCTCCATCTCGCAGTACAAGGGCAAGAAGCCCGTCGTGCTCTTCTTCTACCCCAAGGCCGAGACGCCCGGGTGCACGGCCGAGGTCTGCTCGTTCCGCGACCGGTACTCGGCCTTCCAGAAGGCCGGCGCGGAGGTGATCGGCATCTCCGGCGACGACCGCAACGCGCAGGCGTCCTTCAGCAGCAAGCACAGCCTGCCCTTCACGCTCGCCGTCGACCAGGGCAACTTCCTCCGCAAGGGCTTCGGCATCCCGGTGAGCGCCCGCGCCCAGCGCGCCACACCCGCCTCGCACGACCCCTCGCCATCGGAGGGCCACGGAGAGCCCCACCACCGCGCGCCCGGCCGACTCGCCCCGCGCAGAACGACATGCTCGGCCTGCTCCCGGGGCGCCAGACCTTCGTCATCGACAAGCAGGGCAAGTGCGTGCTGTCGTTCAACAGCCAGCTGGACACGCAGGGTCACATCGACAACGCCCTCAAGGCCGTGGAGGCGCTGGTCTGAGCGCAGCTGGCGCCGGGCGGCGCCGTGTGAGAGAGGAGTTGATGTCTGATCGCTCACAATCGTTCACGTTGAATCATGCAACGCCGCAGACTCGCACTCGCTCGTCCAGCGACGGCGTGCTGCTCTTCAGTCCTGCGTGTGGCCTGTCACGCCCGGGTCGCTCTCCTCCTCGACCCTCGACACATCGCCTGGCCCGTCGGCGACGCGCACGCGCGACCCCCCTGCAGTAGGCACCGCCACGAGCGACCGCTGCGACGCCCCCCCGAGCGTGCGCCCGATCGTGGCCATCGTGTTCAGCTGCGGCGTCCCGCGGTTCACCACGCCGCCCGTCACGGTGTTGACCGACAGCAGCTTCCGGTCGTTCTCCTCGGCCGTCGTCATGAACACCACGTCGCCGCCGATCTCGCTGATGTCCTTCTGCACGGCGCCCCGCGGCGCGGCGACGTTGACGCCGCCGGTGTCCGCCTTCTGGTGCGGCATGAGGCCCATGACGCCCTTCACGACCTCACGCGGGAGCTCATAGACCGCCTGCACGTACGACTGCACGGTCGGCGCCGACGCGAAGGACCCGAGCGGCTTGTACGGCGACACGAGGCCCTTGCGCATGTACCCCAGGCACGCGATCTTGCTGGCGCCGCTGTCGAAGCTGACGTTGGCGATCAGCTTGTCAAACGACGTCAGCACGGCGAACACCAGCCAGATGGCCAGCGAGACGACGATCCAGGTCGTGCGCCGGTTGTCCGTCTCCCAGACGAACCAGACCTGGTGCACCGTGATGATCTGGACCAGCGGGATCAGCTTCAGAACATAGTTCATACCAATCTGGACGTCGTCGCCCAGCTGCGCGGGCTGCTTGCACATCCGCAGCGCGATGTACCGGTCGATGGCGTACGAGTACAGCAGACCCGCGAGGCAGATGACCGGCGCGATCGGGAGCGCGGGCGCCCAGAGGATGCCCAGCGCCAGCGTCTTGACCTGTGCCGCGTAGCGCTCCGCCAGCAGGAAGTCCGGGGGGGTCATCAGCTGGTTCATCTTGTCCTGGGTGCGCGCGTAGAAGAAGCCGAGCATGACCTGCGCGGACGAAGGCGGCCAGCGGGGCCGGGCGTTGTGGCAGCGCGTCCTGGGGGCAGGGCTGCGGGGCGAGGGCAGATTCCTCGAATCAGCACTCCGTCACTTCTGTCTCCTTCCGCGCGAACACGGTCGGCATCGGCGCGTCGAAAACAAGCAGGGCGGGGGGCGTGCTTGCCTGGAAGTTGCGGACGGGGTCGATGAGCGCGACGGTGGGCGGCACGAAGGCGTTGATGAGGAGCGTGGAGAGCGCGGAGTCCATGAGGCCGTCCGGGACGTAGGTCGCGGATCGGCCGGACTTGGACACGCGCTGCGCCACGATGGGCACGATGTACGAGTTGATGATGTAGGCGACGCTGAGCTTGATGATGAGCGCCTTCTGCGCGTTCGTGTGCGAGTGCCACCTGTCGAAGCCGCGCGAGGTGATGCGCAGGGTGAGCTGGATCACCGTGTTGGTCAGCGTGACCACCAGACCGGCCAGGAAGCCCGTGAGCGCGCTGCTCGTGGTGTTTTCCTCGTTCTGGGGGAACGAGCTCTCCGAGAGGCTGTCCGAGATGGTCGTGCGGGCGTCGTACAGCTGCGCGCGCCACTGCTCGATCGCGTACTGGATGGCGCCGCCGCCCAGGACCAGCAGGCACGCGAACAGCAGCGACGCGATGCGCCGCACCCACACCGGGAAGCCGTAGAAGTCCGTGTTGCTCCAGATGATGTCGCTCGGCTCGGCCGCGGGCTCCACCCGCACCTTGCGCCCCTCGAGGGTCGGCTTGCGCCCGATGCGTTTGTGGTCGCTCAGACAGTTGTCGCGGTGCCTGCTGAAGTTGAACACCACCACCGCCTTGCTGATCGGGTGCAGCGACTCGGGGTTGATCCGCCCGAGCCGGGCCTCGAGCGCCTTGATCGCCGCCTTCTTCTTCGCGATGCCCTTCTCCAGCGCGGCCGGGGTCTGCCCGCCGAGCGCCCCGATCTTCGCCAGGTACAGCCAGAACACCGAGCGCCCCAGGCAGAAGCAGCCGGACTTGCCGTGCGCCCGCACGCTCGCCAGCTGCTCCTCGAGCTCCGCCAGGTCGCGCCGCATGTTGTCCAGGCGCTCGCACTTGCGCATCACGCCGCCAATCTGCACGAAACGAGGGGGAACAACACGAGGAGAGCGCTCTCGCACCCGCGCCGCAGGTGCCCGCGAGGCCGGGCCAGGCGCGCGCGCGAGAGGCGGAGCGGCGCTTACGTTGAGCAGCGGCGCCACGTGGGCGACCTCGCCGTAGTGCCGCGCCCAGTTCTTGAGCTTGTCCGCGACGTCGACGTCCACGCCGACGCCCGTGACCATCACCGCGAAGTCCGAGGACGTGATGTACGCCTCGTCGATCTGCGCGGCGGTGATGCGCTGCAGGCGGCGCAGCACGATGATGCCCGCCCACGTCACGATCTGCGCCGCGAACCAGATCCACATCAGCTCCTTCTTCTCCACGCGCGGCAGCGGCCGGTCGAAGTCCAGGGAGCAGCACTGGCACACCCCGTCGGGCGCCCAGTCCCCGTGGTCCATCCCCCTGCAGCGGGAAACGATTTATACGACACAGGGGGCATTGGCTGCGTCCGACACGGCCGCGCGCGCACGCCAAGCAGTGCGCATGTCGGGCGGGGCACTCACGGCGGCGCGCAGGGCAGGTGCTGGTAGCACTGGTTGAGGGCGGAGACTTGCACGTTCTGCAACAGGTCCCGCCCGGTGTACAGCGCACGCCGGCCCCCCGCGGCGGGCTGCGCGCCGCCAGCTCCGCCAGCGGTGTTCCCGGGCTGCTGGCCACCGGTGCCGCCCCCGGGCTGCTGGCCGCCAGTGCCGCCGGTGCCGCCGCCCGGCTGCTGGCCGCCAGTACCGCCGGTGCCGCCGGTTCCGCCGGTGCCGCCGGTGCCGCCGGTGGGCTGCTGCTGCTGCTGCGGCCTCGGCGCGGCGGCCACTCCGAGCTTGTCGATGAACTCCTGCGCCTCGGTGCCGCCGTTCCGCACGGAGCAGTCGACGCCACGCAGCGCGCCCTTCTCGACGGCCGTGGCGGCGGAGTAGTCGCAGCGCGTCGGGCACGAGATCACGGAGGTGGATTCGTCGCCGGGGGGGCAGAGCGCGCCCAGGGACATCTCCGTGACCGTGTTGCTGACCTCCCAGATCTGCAAGCATGTGTCGCGGTCGCGTGGGGGCGGGGGCGCGCGGCGGGAGGAAGTCGGGCGCCTCGGGCGGCACTCCGCGCTCGGGCCTGGTTCCGCGTCGCGGACCGGGAGTGCACAACTCGCCTTTTCGCACTCGCCCGAGCCAGAAAAGGCGACGCCTTCGACGTAGAGGGTGTAGGTGTTCTCGTACTTGGCGCCGCTCTTGTACTCGAACAGCGGGTACAGCGACAGGCAGGCGTACGCGAGCATCAGGACGATCAGCACCAGCCCCGAGGCGAAGTAGACCCCCAGGCCGGGGGACTCCATGCCGACGGACCTGCGCGAACCCGAGCGGCACGTTCTGTCGGCTTCCAGGCGACGCAAGCCGGGCAAATGCCGCACCCGCGCGCGCGTGGTGGTTGAGGGGCAGCCCACTCACTTGGGCGTCGCGAAGAAGGAGAACTGCTTCGACTGCTCGAGGTCCTTGACGCCATGCTCATCGAGCTTGAACTTGCGGGGCAGCTGCTGCTGCCTGCAGGGCACCGCCAAACGGGCTCGGCATCGTTTCTGTTGCTGTCCAGGAGTTGACAGTCCCGTCGCCGCCCGCAGCGGCCCTAACGCGCCGCTTGGGCAACGCGCAGCGTGAGCATGAATCTATGATATGCCGGTCGCGACCACCTGCACTTTTCGGGTCGCGCGCATGCGGCAACCGACGCCTGCCAGGCCGAGTACCGCGCATCGCGCACAGCGCGCGCGGCGGGATCGCACGGCCGCCCGCGCCGCGCGCACGCTCATGGGTCAAGCTATTCGACGGCGGATGCTCGCACCTGTGTTGCTTCGCCAGCTCCCGGGACGCCCTTGAGCCCAGAGTCGTCGTGGACTCGTGCGCCGGCTCGGGATGCTGCAGCTCCCCGGAACCCTCCTTCATCTCGTCTCAGTCACGCGTCCTCGCGCTGGCGGGGCGCCCAGATCGCAGCGCGTCCGGCAGAGGGGCGGCGGGGCGCCTGCCCTAGCCTCAGTGCGCTGACAACACCTCAGCCCGCGCGCCAGGCGCCGTTCAGAGCACACTGCGGCAATCGGCTAGCTTTCGCACGCGCGTGCCACTGCGGCCGGCGCGGCGCTCGTGGCCCCTGAGTGCGCCGGCCACGAGGGGCACCTGCACGCTGCGTGGTGAGTAGAATCTATCGCGGTCAGCGTCACACGGCGGCTCAAGGACTCGTGGTCCGCCCGGCACGGCGACAGAGCTCTGGTAGCTGGTCGCGCTCGCGAGTTCTGAGGTGTCTGCCGGCCCCGCGCGCGCCGGGCGAGGCGAGTGGACCTGCAGTGCGTTGGGCATGCCGCGCGCCTCCCACGGCGTGGTGTGAGCGTCGGGGAGGGCCCAAGCGACAGACCGCTGTAGTGAGATCAAGAAAGTCGCGTCACGATGAATGCTCTCCTCCGCGCCGCGCTGTTGTTGGCGCTGCTGGTCGTCGGGACCAGGTGAGCGTCAATGCGCGCGCCCGCGAGCCGGACGTCGCGCGTATTTTCCCTCCACAGCCTGGCTGATAGAGTGGCGCACCCCAGCGCGGCCGCAACGCGCGTCCTGCAGTCCGCTCCGCCCGCCCGCAGCAGCGCCAAGCAGCAATTGCACTTCGCCGCAGCGCCCACGACTCAACGCTGGTTTCGCGTGTCTCCCAGGGCGATCCCGGACGACGACGATGACCTCATCGTGATAGGCCAGGAGATGGACGCGGACGCATCGTCTCCGCCCCTCAAGCAGCACCTCTCTCGCCCGCCCCACAGCAAGCAGCGCGCTCCGCCGCCTGCCCCCGCCCGCAGCATATCCTGGGGGCTCCACCTCACCGACATTCACCTGAACATCGACTATCCGGACCGCCTGCACTCCCTCGAGGACCTCGTCCGGGACATCATCCCCACCATACAACCAGGTGCAACACGCCCCGCCTCCGGGCCCCGCAGCGCACCGCTACTCCTCCGCGGCGCTCGGGCCCGTCGCCGTGCGCGCCCCGCCCCCCCCGTTCACGCAACAAGACCCCCCCGGTCGTCCGCAGAGAAGGTGATCATCACCGGGGACCTTGTGGACGCGAAACGGAAGGACATGCGCGCCGAGCACCGCCCCGCGGAGTGGCTGCAGTACGCGCAGCTCCTGGACACCATCTCCGCCGCGGGCGTGCCGCGCGACGCCGTCCTGGACGTGCGCGGCAACCACGACATGTTTGACGTCGGGCTGCGCGGGGGCGCGCGGGACGGCTTCATGAAGCACGCCGCGAAGCCCGGAACGCACCGCGTGCTCGTGACGGGGATGTACGGCAAGCTGGAGTGGTGAGCGGGCCCCTGGCTCCGCGACGGCCGGCACGCCGCGCGCCCCTGAGGATTGCGGCGTCGACACGGATCCGCTCGACTCGGTTGCGGCGCAGGGTGGCATCGGGCGGCGCTGCGGGCTCGTGGGAAGTAGCGGCGCGGCCGGAGGCGCCCGGGGGGGGCGAGAAGCGGCGGCGGTGTCCGGCAGCGGCGCTGTTGGGCATTGACTGGTCGCCCGCCGTGGGGCTGAAGGGCCCGCTGAACTTCGCGGGGCTGCTCACGCGCGAGGTCCAGGACGCCGTCGAGGACGGGTCGGACCGCGCGGGCGTCCTCAAGCTGCAGTGCGCGGTGATGTCCGGCAGCGGCGCCGCGAGCGCCACGCCAGTGATCGCGTACGGCCACCAGCCGCTGTCCGCGATATCGAACGCCGGCCGCTCCACGAAGAGCGCGCTCTCGCTGCTGCTGTCGTCGGGCGTCGCGGTGTACCTGAACGGCCACCTGCACACCGCGTTCGGGAACAACACACACCGCGTGTGGGAGGCGCCAACGGAGCGGTCCGAGGACAGGTCCTTCATGCTCGAGATCATGGGCCGCGACCACAAGATCAACAAGGCCTTCCGCGTCCTCGCCGTCGACGACGGCCGCGTCTCGTGGGTCGACCTGGCCCACCGCGGCGGCCGCACCGTGGGCACGGACCCGGACGTGGTGGTCCACGGCGCCGTCCTCGCCGTAACGGCCCCGGCGGACGCGCGGTACTCTCCGCTCGACAGCCTCGACGCGCACGTGGCGCGTCCACGCGAGGTTCACGCGCTGGTGTGGCCCGTGGCCGGGAGCGCAGACGTACCCGCCTGCCTGCGCGACTCGCCCGGGGCGCCGGTCGCGGACGAGTGCTTCGCGGCGTTCCACGCGGGCATCGCCGTGCACGCCCGCTGGTCCTGTGTGGGGCCCGAGCGCTACGGCGACCTCGGGCCGGAGCGGTTGTCAGGAGACACCCCCCTGACGCATGCGGGGGGGGCGCTGCCGCTGTACGCCGGGGAACTGCCGCCCGAGACCATGCGGTGCGAGTCTGACGTCAGGCTGCAGGTGGTCGCGCGCACGAACGGGCCGCGCACCGGCAGGGACTCGACGTCGCGCGTGGTCCGCACACGCTCGCCGGGCGCCGTCGCCGCCGCGGCCGCGCGAGGGCGGCGGTCGCTCCTGGAGGAGGTCGCGCCGCGCAAGCTCGACCTCCGCTTCCTGGAGTGGCTCGCGCTCGCGCCGCACTGGCAGGCCCTGATGGTGGGGGTCTCCGTTGCCGCGTGGACGCTGCACCTGGCAAGCCTGGCCGTGCCGCGGGCGTTGCTGAAGCTCCGGGGTGACCCGCCGCGCGCGAGGCGAACGCGGCGCTGGTGCTGCGGCCTGTCGCCGACAGCGCTCCTGGGCGGCGCGTTCCTGGACGCCGCGGCCTGCGACGGCGCGTGGCGCGTGCAGCTGGCGAACGTCGCCGCCCTCGCCGTCGTGCCGTGGGCGCTGTGCCACGTCAGCACGCAGATACCGCCCGCAGCGCTGACGCCGTGGGGGCTCATCCTCGTGGACCTCAGGACGGAGCTACTGACGCTGTTCGTGACCGGCGACACTACACTGGTCACCGTACCCCACTACCTCTTCTTCCTGCTTCCCGTCGCGTGGTGGACTGCGCAGGTCCTCTCCCTGGCCGCGTCGCACGCGGCGCGCAGCGCGCGGCCGCCGCCGAGGCGCGCGCCCGCCGCGCTGGCCCTGCACGACGAGGGCAGCGTCGACGACAGTCGCGCGCAGTCGCCGTCGCCGCCGAACGGCGCAGCGTCGCCGCGGAGCCCACGGTCCTCGGCGTCGCCGGAGCGCAGGGGCCGCCGGACGAGGGCGCCGCCCTCTGCGAAGTCCGGGTTTCAGTCCGCGGCGTCTCGCCTGCCGCCCACGCCCTTCGTGGGCCACGCGGTGCCACCCAAAGAGGGCGGCGAGGACGGCGGCGCGGCGGGGCTGCCGTGGTGGGCGATCCGCAGCGCGGTGCTGCACCCGGTGCTCCTGGCGGTGTTCGTGGCCGCGGCAGGGTTCCATCTTTGGATGTGCTACTATTTCTGGTTCAGGTTCGGGTGGTGGTTCGTGGTCGCGTCGCCGGGCGTCACGTGGCAGCTCCCGGTGACGCTGCTTGCGCTGGCGGCGTCGGTCGACCGGCGGCGAGGCAGCCCGGAAGAGCCGCGCGCGCGCCGGCGGCTGTGACTCGCAAGCGCACTAGGTCCTGACCCCGCTGCGCCCGTGCGTGGCAGCGCTCCGTCATGCCGCAGAACAAGGCCAGATCACTTGCGTCCGGCCGTGATCGCCTCCCAGGTCACAGCAGTGCGTCAGGGGGGACTTATTCTTCTTCTTGTGGATAATCCTCGTTGTCGAAACCAAACTCCCCCTCCACCGCCGCGGCCCCGAACCCCGCGTGCACCCCCCGCCCCCGCGACACCACGTCCTGCCCGCCGTGCTCCTCGCCCAGCAAGCTCTCCACCCACGCAGCCGCGTTCTGCGCCCGTCGTTGCGGCGACGACAGCTCGTCGTCGTCCACGGCGCCCACGCCCTCGGCGGGCCGCGCGCCGCCCGTCCGTCCGGGCTCTGCAGGCGCTCCTCCCGCTTCCTGCGCCTCGTCGTCGCTCTCGATGTTCGCGCCGGCCGCCAGCTCCGAGAGGGAGATCGCGAACCCTTGGGACTGCGTGGCGGCCTGCTCCGGCGGGCCGACGGAGCCCCGGCGCTCGCGCTCGCGCTTGGCCGGCGACGCGGCCGCGGACGTGACCGGCCGCCGCGTGCGCGCCAGGGACTGTTGCAGGATGGCCTTCGTTTGCCGCAGCTCCGCAATCTCCGCGCGCGCCCTCTGCAGGGTGCGGGGGCGGGGCAGAATGCGTTCGCATACAGCCGCGCCACGCAGGGACGCTGACGCAGGTCCACGCACGGCGCCGCAGACATAGGAAACCAAGCAAGCAAGAAGCAGGAACAACAGACTCGCCTCGAGCTGGTCCGCCAGCGACATCGCCTCGGTCCGCGCGGCCCTCGCCTCGCTGTCAACTCGCGAGATCCGCGCCCGCAGCCCCGCCACCTCGCTCCCGAGCGCCGCCTGCGCCTCCACGGCCCTGTTCAGTTGCCCGCGCAGGTCCGCCTCGACCCGCTGCCGCGCCTGGCGCACCGCGTCCAGCTCCCCCTGCAGCTCCTCGACCGTCCCCAGCAGCTCCCGCACGCGCGCCGGCTGCGGCGGCAGCGTCGCCGCCTCCGCCTCGAGCGCCGTTGCCCGCCGCCCGCCCGCCTGCGCCGCGATCATGTGGTCCAGCTGCGCGTGCAGGTTGTCCACCTCCTCGTCCAGCCCCGCCGCCCGCGCCTCCGCGTCCTCCCGCGCCACCACGGCGGCGTCGCGCTCCCTCCGCGCCGCCAGCAGCTCCTCGTCGCGCCGCGCCGCCGACGACTCCCGCTCCTTCACCTCCTCGAGCTCCGCGCGGACGTCCGCGAGCTCCGCGCGCGCCGCCTGCAGGTCCGCCCGCAGCGCCGCGTTCTCGGCCGTCGCGGTGCGCACGCGCTCGCTGGCGGCCCGCTCGGCCTCGCCCGCCGCCGCGCGCTCGCGCTCGAGCTGCACGACCGAGGCCTGCACGCGCTGCTGCCACGTGGCCTCGACCTCGTCGCGGAGCACGTTCGCCGCGCTCTCGATCTCCGCCCGCCGCCGCGCGCGCTCCTCCTCGATGTCAGACCGGGCGCGCTCCAGGTCCGACTGGAGCGCCACGCGGCGGACCTCGTGCCGGCGGACCTCCGCCTCCAGCGCGCGCTCGCGCTCCTCGACCTCCTGCAGCGTGCGGTGCATCGCCTCCGTCTCCTTCCGCGCGATGGCCTGCGTCGCAAGTGCGCGGCAACACAACACACGTCAGTGCCACGTGGGCGGCGTGTCGCCCGGCGTCAGCGGCGGCGCGGTGCGTGCGTGGGCCGGGGGAGGGGGCGGGCCCTCTCGCGGCGCGCGGGGGGCCGGGGCGGCGCACCAGGCGGCTCTCCGCAGAGTCCCGGGCCTCCTCCGCGTGACGGGCGCGCGCGGTCGCGGCCTGCGCGGTGTCCTCCGTCGCGTACAGCGCCTTCTGGAGCTCGTCGACGCGCAGCGCCATCAGCACGCCCTGCTCGCGGCTCTCCGCGACCGCGACCAGCACCCGCGCCTGCGCCGCGCGCAGCTGCTCCACCGCCTCGGGCCCCTCGGTCGCCTGCGCGCCCTGCGCCAGCCACCAGGGGTCGCTCCCGCCCGTCACCTCCGCCCCGACGTCCCTCCCGAGCCCCAGCGCGTCCTCCAGCAAACGGTTCCGCGCCTCGAGGTCCCTCTTGGCGCGCTCGGCCACCGCCAGACCCGTCTTGACGTCCGCGAGCTGCTTCTTCAAATCCACGACGGCCGACTCCAGCGTGTGGTACTTCGGGCCGTCCGCTGCGGGAAGTGCGCCGGCGAAGGAGCCGCGTGTCGGGACGGAGCGAGCCCTGGTGCACTGGGCGCGCCTCGCGCCTCGTTGTGCGCGCGCCTCGAGCGCTCCGCCGCCCGTGCTCAGCGCGATAAGCGCCGTGGTAGCTGACGGGGCCACAGGGTCGGGCGCAGCACGCCCCGTGGCGCCCGGAGGAGCGAGCGTCGCAGGTCCCGCAGCTGGCGACCGCGTTTTCAAACGCAGCGCAGCTGGGGCCCCGCTCGGGCACCGGCGCCCCCCGCAGCAGCACGTACAGCGCGAGGGCCTCCCGCGCGGACGCAGGGCGCGGCTCGGGCGCACCGTTCTTCGTGGCCAGCGACGCCAGCACTGCGCCGCGCGACTGCAGCTTCCGCACCACCGCCTCGCTCGTCTCCGCGCGCCTCACCGCGACGTCCTTGTCCGCAGCGAGCGTCTCGCTCAACAGCTCCATCGACGCCAGCGCCTTGTCCTTCTCCTCGTTCGCCACGCGCAGAGCCTTCACCTGCACCGCACCTCGGCTGCCGCAGCGCGGGTCACCAGCGCGGACACAGAGCAGCTCGCTGCGCGCGCCGTCGCCAGCAAGTCGCAGTCGTCGACCTCCGCCGCGCAGCAACGCGTCGGACCTGCTCCCGTAGCCGCGCCATCGTCTCTCGGTCCCGCTCGGCCCGCACATGCAGCGCGTGGAGCTCCTGCATCACCTTGCGGCTCACGGAGTCCGCCGCGACGCGCGACCTGCTCGCGTGCGACGGCGGGAGCCGCGAAGAGGACTCCGCGGGGGCGCCGCGGGGCCCTGCCGCGGACGCCATTGTGCGGGGTCTGCTGGCCCCGTGCGTCACGGCAGCGGACCGGCGGCCGAGGTCGCGCGGGTCGCGGGGAGTGCTGCGGGCGCGGGCTGCGCGGCGCGCTTGGTTGGCGGCGTCCTCGCGGGGCGTGGGCGCGGTTCGGACAGGCCCCAGGGCCCTGACGGGCGAGGGGGAGGTGCCGCGCGGCGCGCGGCGACAAGGGCGAGTTCGGCCGCGACGCCGCGATAATTTCGCCTCCGTATATTGGATTCTTCGGACGCACGGCACACCTGGCGCTGGGGACCCCGTGTCGACGCGCGCGCTCGCTGCGACTCTCAGTTTTCCATCTGCTTCTGTCACGATGTTCGGGTGCGGGGGCCGCGCGCCGCGACCGCTCGTTTTGCTGTGCCTCGTCGGAATGATGCTGGTCATACGAGGCGCAGCGGCGCAAGGAAGTCGCTGGCGGCTCGACCGGAGCAACGCGGCGTGCCTGATCAATGTGGGCTGCAACACGACCCTCACGTTCGACACCACGCTGAGCCCGTTCAACGGCGCCTTCGACGAGCAGATCGTTCTCGGACAGGGAACCAGCATCACGGCCTCGAACGGCGCGCAGGTCCGTTCCGTACCCGCCAACACCGCCCAGCGACTGCCCGTTTCCCACCGCGCGCGCCGCGCCAGATCGCACTCGACGCCGCCCTCGACGCCCCCGACGACCTCACCTGCAACGTGCCTGCCGAGCTTGGGGCGCACCAGCCCGTGAACCGCGCAAGTCGCCCGCGATCCCGTGTCTGCCACCACGCCTCACGGCTCACTGCACCAACTCCACCTCCGCGCGCAGTACTTCCTGGACGAGGACCTCACCCTGCGGCTCAGCTCCCGCGAGGCGTTCCAGACCACGTACTACCTCGGGTCGGTCTTCAAGAACTACCTCGCGGTGAAGGGCCTCGGGGAGGAGGCGGTGCCGTCGTGCGCCACGGCCACCATCGACCGCAGCACGCAGCGGTGCTGCTCCGCCTCCAACACCCTCTACACCCTCAAGACCGTCGAAACGTAAGCTGCGCTCCTCGCCCGCCCCCCGCGCCCCGCTGCCGCCCCCGCTCCCCGGCCCACAATGAATTACCTCTTCGTGGTCTCTCGTTCTCACAGGCTCGATCTGTGGGGCTTCGAGGGCGTCACGACCCGCGCGTTCTCCTTCGACGTCGGGGCGCAAAAGGGCTTCCGCACCGCGGCCGCGCGCATGGAGAGCGCCGCCCAGGACTCGTTGACCGACCTCGACTCCCCCTTCCCCACCGACCTGTCGAGCCCCGCGCCGGGCATCCCGTACCTGTCCGCGGTGTTCGCGGGCGGCCCGAAGGACGAGGTGCGCATGCCGAAGCTCGACCTGCCGCCGATGTGGGCCGTGGGCGTCGCGGCGGCGCCCGAGGAGCCACTGGTGTTGCTGGAAAGCCAGTACATTGGCTCGAGCCACGGCAAGGTGGGGATGTCGGCCGAGTCGTGGACGGCGTGGTGGGACGCGAACGGCGGCTGCAGCAACCCGGAGGAGAGCGTGCGGATCGCGGGGGGGTCCGCCAGCGACCAGCTCAGCGCGTTCCGCACCCGCACGTTTGCCGAGGTGATGGCGCCGGAGGGACGCACGTGCGAGCCCGTGCGGGGACCGCAGTACACTCTCGCAGGTACGACAACGTCGCAAGGGCCACGTGCGCGCGGTCCTGCACGTGTTTCCTGACTTGGCAACGAGGGAAGCGAAACAATGGAAGGCATTCGTGTTGTGGGCGCAGATCCGGCCAAGGCGAACAGCGCAGCGGGCGAGAACCGTCAGACGATCGCGTGCGACCACGGCGGGTCGCTCTCGCTGCAGGTCCAGGTCGACGTGGGCTTCTTCAACGTCTCGGTTGGCGCTCCGCAGCTGGCGGTGCGGGACTTCGGGTCGCTGCCGTGGTCCCCCGGGGGCACGAGCACGACGCTCTTCGTGGAGCTCGCGAACGAGGGCGACGCGGACGGGACGTACACGGTGACCACGGAGCAGTGCTGCGCCGACGGGGACTGCGGCGGCGGCGTGGTGGCCATCTCGGACGTGCGCCAGGAGGCAGTCATCGCCTCGGGAGGGTTCCGACGCTTCACCTACCTGGTGTCCACGCCCCAGGCAAGCTCGCAGCCGCCTCGGCCCCGCTGCGCAGGGAACCTGTCCGCTCGCCGACACCAAAACCAAAACAAAAGGATGGCATCAATCAACGAAACTCGATCCCCGACGCGAGCCTGCAGGTGGTCGAGACGACGAAGACCATCGTCTGCCGCTTCACTGCCAGCATGGCCGGCAACTTCGAGCCCATCCCCGTCTCCGTGCAGCTCCTGGCACTCCCCCCCACGCCGACTCAGCCGCCGACGACGCAGGGCCCCGCGACGACCGCCGCCCGGCCGACGAGCCCGCCGCGGACTGAGCCCGTCCAGAACGCAACCGTCGGCCCGACGCCCACGCCGGCGCCGCCCGCCCCCACGGACGCCCCTGCCGCCTTCGCTGGCCCGCGCTACGTCGCGGCCGTGCTGAGCCTGACCGCGGACCCGCTCGAACCCCTCACCCCGACCTCGCTCGGCGTCATCCAGACCGCGGTCTCGTCGGTCATTCCCGGCGTGTCCCGCGACGACGTGTTCGTCGCCGCAGGCGGTCTCCGCCGCACCCTGCTGGCGCCCTCCACGCGCCTTGCCGGGGTCGAGATCTCCGGCGCGGCGGTGCTCGTCGATGCCGACGCCGTCGCTTCGGCGCTCGTCGACGCCGCGTCGTCCGGCTCGCTCGCTCTCGTCCTCGGCGCCCTCGGAATGCCTGACGTCTCCGTCGTCATCGTGTCGGGCCCCAACACCGTCGCGGGGCCCGGCCGCGCCGCGAACGTCACGCTCGGACAGCGCGTCGAGGTCGGCGGGGAACAGACCAGCGCGGGCGGCTCCGACAAGTGGGACCCTTCGGCGTTCTCGATGTCTGGGTTCGGTCTCCTGATCACCATGATGCTGGTCATCCTGGCCGTCTCCGTCGGGGTTGCCGGCACCGTCATCTACGTCCGCAGGTGCGATATTCTCTGTGCTATGCGGCCCGGGCTAGCACGTGCGTGCTGGTGCGTGGTGCCGGTCTCGGCTGCTGCAAAGGAGGGTTTGTTGTTACTTGTGCAGGAAGAGGCGGAGCCGCGCGGAGCTGGACGGAGTCGACGCCGACCCCGAAGCGTACGAGTACGACACGCAGCACAGCGGGGCCCCGATGATGGGCGCGTACGGCGCGGAGCAGTACGAGCTGGACGCCAGCTTCAACCCTCACCTGCAGCCCCACGTGGGCGCCGACACCCTGTCAGGTGCGAACACGCACCTGCGCAGCCCCGTCCATCCGCTCAGAATGCGTCCTTCGGCCCCGTCACGTTCCTGCGCGAATACCCCCCCCCTGTGCAGTGCACAACGTGTCCATGGGGTTCCAGCACGGCGCGGCGATCGACCACCTGCCCGAGGAGGTGCTCGACCCCGCGCTGGACCCGATGCTCGACGAGTCGGCCAGCGTCGCGCCGAGCCGCGCGCCGCCGCCGAGCATGGCCGGGCGGAGCATTGCGCCCCCCGCCAGCATGGCGGCACGCAGTTTCGTGCCGCCGATGAGCGTGGCGGGCCGCAGCTACGCGCCGAGCGCAGCGGGCCGCAGCATGGCGGCGCGCACCGTGGCGGCGCACGCGCACGGCAGCATCGCGCGCGCCCACGGGGCCCTGGCAGCGCGCGGGCGCGGACCCATGGGCGCGCCCTCCGCCGTGGGGTCGCACCGCAGCAGCCGCCGCCACGGCTGACGCACCGCAGTGTGAGTGAGCGCATGGTGTACGCGGTCGTGGTGCGCGGGCGGTCACACGTACCAGTACCTACCCAAACGTCTCTGTGGTTGCAACCACAGTGAGCGACCGCCCTCACCTCTCCACGCACACTGCATGCGCTCCCCGCACGCCGACACGAGGGTCCGGCGGTCACGCGACCTCGCCGGGCGCCCCCGCGACGTCATGCGTCCAACACACCAACGCCGCCCTGCGCCATCAGTCGAACAGTCCCCGGAACAGCCCCCGGGACCGCGGTGCGATCTTCTTGTACGACTGCGCGAGCCGGCTCTTCAGCAGCGCCTCCACCTCCTCGAAGTCCAGGTCCCCGCTCCCGTCCATGTCCATCATGTGGAACACAATGTCGATGACGCTGCGGGGGCGACGGAGGGGTGGGAGGGGGTCGCGTGCGCGCGGGCGGTGAAGCGACGGGCGGCGGCGGGGGAGGGCGTGCGCGCGGGGGGGGTGTGTTGGGACGTACTGGTCGGGGAGGTGGACGTTGCAGATGCGCTCGATGCCCCGCGCGAGGTCGTTGCGCTTGATCTTGCCGTGGATCTCCCGGAAGAAGCGCATGCCTGCGACGAGCTGCTCGTGCTGGAAGCACACGCGCCCCCACGCGAAGAAGTCCTCGGCGCTGACGCGCGAGCTCGCGAGGGGCGAGGCCAGGCCGTCCGCGCGCGCCAGCCCGCGCTCGACCGTCCGAACCTGCGCGTTCGCCACCACCGCCACCGCGAAGTCCCGCCCGGAGATGGTCCCGCTCCCGTCCACGTCGTAGTGGTTGAACTCCAGCTGCACCATGATGTCGTCCACCTCCTTGATGAACGCCACGAAGTCGTCCACGCCCACGCGCCCGCGCAGGTCGCGCCCGAACAGGTGCCGCATCAGCGTCGAGTACCCCGGCCCGGACTCCCCCGTGCGCAGGCCGGTGCGGAACCCCGCCGAGCGCCGCGCCGACAGCAGCGCGTCGAACACGCGCCGGAACTCCTCGGCCTCGATCGTGCCGTTGCCGTCGTCGTCGACCATGAGGAAGATCGCGCGGAGGTCCGCGGGCGGCAGCGAGCGGAGCGCCTGGAAGACCAGGAACTCCGGGAAGGAGATGCGCCCGTCCCTGTCCTCGTCCAGGATCGACATCAGGCGCGGGGGGATGCGCTGCGAGGGAGGGTGCGCGAGGGACGCCGTGGGGGCGGGCGGGCGCGCGGGGGGCCGGCGCCGGCGGCGCGGCGGGAGGGGGAGGGTGCGGTGGTGCAGCGCCGCGCGGGCCGCGTGCGGGTGCCTCGGCGCCGATCGGCGGGCGGGGCGGACGCGGGGCGATGTGCGTACCTTCATGAAGTTCTGGTTGTCGTACGCGGTGGCGTTGGCCTCGCCCGGGAGCGCCCCTGAGCGCAGCGTGGCGCTGCTGTCGAACGGCGGGAACACGTTCGTCAGCGCCGTCAGCAGGTCGTGGGGCGTCATGTACGCCGACCCGTCGTCGTTCTTGCCGGACGCAAAGTAGTGGAAAACCTGCGGTGACGCGCCGACGGGGGTGGCGTGTTGCACAGTGCCGCCCGCTGCAGGCTCGGGTCCCGCCGGGCCGCGGGGGCGCGCGGAGCGCGGCGGGCAGGGCTCAGAGCGAACAGGCGGAGGGGCGTTCGCCCGGCAAGAGCGCGTCCACGGCCTGCCGGAGGCGGGGGCGCGCCCATGGCATCGCGCTCACGAGGTGGGCCGCACGCGGCGATCGACGAGCATCTTCCCGTCCGCGCCCGCGCAGGCCCAGGAAGAGGCGATTGGGCAGCGCGTCATGCCGCCCGATCCCGGCCTGGGCCGCGGCAGTGCGCGTGCCGCCCCTCGCCCTGCTCAGCTGCCCAGGCCGTCCGGCGGGCAGTGTAGGCGGCGCGGGCGGGGTTGCGGCCCACGCGGTGGCGGCAGCGCACCTTCTCAGGAGTGGAGTACTCCCGGATCCGTCGCTCGTAGAAGAAGAAGAACTTCCTTTTGCTGTTGTCACTAATTAGGCCCATAGGGTTCGCGTGCGTCACCTCCGCCTCCTCAAACGCACCATCCTGGGGGCCGGGGTCAAGGAAAACACTCTTTGTTCCAGGTCCGGCCTCGTCTGAGACAGGAGAAGGCCGTCCCGGCGAACACGCGCATGTCTGTGCTCCTGGAGGTTGGCTCACCTGAGTTGAGGCCGCCGCAACGCCTCCGCCGAGGCAGACCGCCGCCGCTGCCCCGCCCGCGAGCCACATGGGTCCCTTGCCACCGTTTCCGCCGCCGTCGCCGCCGGCATTCCGTTGCGCGGCGCCAAGCGCGCCCCCCAGAGTCCCTAGGGAGCGCCACGCCGAGAGCAGCTCGCCGCGCCGCGCACAGTCCCGCAGCAGGCCCTCCCGCGCCGTGACGGAGCCAACGTGGCGGAGGAACCGCCCGGCCGCCCGCATACCGCGTCTGTCGTCTCCAGCGGCGCACACTCGATCCTGCAGCGCCCGCGCGTGCTGCTGCGCTCGCCACGTCCTCACTGCAGCGCCGTCTCCGCGGACGACTGATCCGAGCCAGTACTGCGTGGCGCGAGCGGCGGCAGGCCCCAAGGGCTCGCCTGACGCCGCTGGGGCCCCCGAAGGTCTGGAGAGTCCACCCACTCCTCCGCGCCCGTCCGTCGCACGGGGGCGAGCTGGCTCACTGGGCGCACGCCGGAGGGCAGCGAGCATCTCAGGGAACAGGTCGCGCCGCAGCAGCTGCCCCCAGGCCGCGCTATCGGCAGTCGACGGAGGCGCTAGGTCACCTCGCCGCAGGCTCGGTTCTCGCCGTGCACGCTCCCGCCGCGCCCCCCTCCTCGCCGGCCGGGCCCGCCATGTCGGCCGTCTGCCACACGTGCACGTCTCCGGCCTCGAGTCGCTCAGGCGCGCCGTGCTCCGCGGTGTATCCGCGTCGCCTGTGCGGGGCCACTCGCCTCCCCCGCCTCCCGCTGCGCCCACAGACGCCCGCGTCGCGAGGGTCCTGCCGCGCCGGTACCAGCCGATGTGTTAGAGCCCACGTAGCCGCGCCGGACTGGGCGCGGACCCCGTACGTCGCCTCCACGGGCCCCTCCACGGAGGTGCTCTTGCCGGAGGGCAGGTCCGGCCCCGCGCCGTCGCGAGGCGCGCCCGCCCGCGCCCGATCGCCTCCGCGACGACGTCGACCGCGCTCAGACCCGGGTGTTTCACGGTCACTCGCAGGATCAAGGGCGCGGTGCACTTCATCGGCGGCGCGTTTGCTGGCGCGTCTCCCGCGCTCTTTTACCAGCAGCTGCTGCGGCACCTGCGCGACGCCGGCTACGTCGTCGTCACCACGCCCTACGCGCTCACGTTCCGGCACGCCGACTGCGCCCGCGCCCTCAGCGACGCCTTCGCCGCCGCCCTCGCCGACCTGGACCTCCCTCCAGGCGCCCCCGTCTTCGCGCTCGGGCACAGCGGAGGTGCGCCGCGCCCGCGGAGACGAGCGATGCCGTGCCCGCCCCCTCGCGGCGCTCCGCCATCAGCCCCGCACCCGCGAGCGAACGTCACTCGTGATTGCAGGTTCCCTGCTGCACCTGCTGATCGGAGCCAAGGACGGGCTCCCGCCGCCGTTCGAGACCGACGCACCGAGCGCCGACGAGGCTCCCGACGCGGCACCCGCGGCCCCCCCGCGGCCCCCCGCCCCCGCGTACCGCGCGTCCGTCCTAGTGAGCACCAACAACTTCCCGGTCTCGGAGGCGATCCCGATCCCCGGGCTGCTCGACAACCTGCCGGACGCCGTCAAGTCGCTCGAGAGCAGCTTCGGCGCCATGCAGACCGTCGACCTCGTCGTGAGTCCCCCCCCGCTGCGCCTCCTCTCGCCGCGCTGTCCTGGGCTGTCTCGTTCTGCGCCCGCGGATGAACGCACCGCCGCGTGGGCGCCGCCTCGCGTGTGCGCAGGGGCTCGCGCGGCAGGCCGCGCGCGCGTCGCCGCTCGCCGCGTTCGGCGCCGCGCCGCCCGTGGACGAGGGCCTGCTGGGCGACCTCGAGCCGGCGGTGAACCAGGTGCCGTCGGTGCTGCGGGAGGTGCGCGACGGGCTGACGGACTTCTTCCCCACGCCGGCGGAGAGCCGCGAGATCGTGCGGTCCTCGCTCCAGGCGCGCAAGACTCTGCTGGTGAAGTTCTCCGACGACAACACCGACGAGAGCGAGGAAATGTACGACATCATCAGGTGACCGCCCGCCAGCTCCGTGACCTGCACCGTGAACGCGGAAGCGGCTGCCTGCCCCGCCGGCCACGGCCTGGCCGACGCGCGGCGCGCGAGGCGTGGTTGCAGGGCGTCGCCGTCCCCGAACGTGGAACTGCTGCGGCTGTCGGGCACGCACGTGACGCCGAACGCCCCGTCTCTGTGGATGCCGTTCGGGTCCGCGGGGCCCGTTGCTGACGAGGCGGCGCGCCTGGCGCACATGCTCAACACGCGCGACACCAGCAGGCTCGCGGGGTACGTGCTCGACTTCTTCGCGGACAACAGCTGACAGTGTGACGCGGCGCTGCACGCGACCGGGCAAGCACGGCGTCACTTGCTTCGCGCGGCCGGTTCCGCACCGCTGCCAGCGGATGCGACGCCACCGGCCACACAACGGCGCGTCTCAACGCCAATTGCGCCCCTGCGGCGGATTCGCCTCCACACCCCGCTCCTACCCGTCACCTCCCTCGCAAGATCGGCGCTGTCCTTCTCGTCGATCGTCTCCGGCCCTCAGCGCCACGCCGCCTTCTTCGCAGCGCCGGCCTCGATCTCAGCCTCCTCGGACGCACGCTTCCTCCCCCCCGCGTGCCCGGGCTTCCTCTTCTGCGCCCCCCCGCGCGCAACGTTCACATTGTGCCGCCCAAGCGCGGGCGGCTTCGCCGAGTGCTGCTGCGAAACAGGCGCAGGCGCGGGCGCGGGAGCGGGCGCGGGCGCGGGCGCGGGCGCGCTGACGGGCTGGAACGCGGCCGCGACGTCTCCGACGCCGTCTGCGGCGTCCACGCGCGGCATCGCGAGCGCCGCGGCGCCCTCGGTGGCCTGGATGACCTTTGCCCGCTTGGCGGCGATCGCGCGGCGCGTGCCGTGGCCCTCGACGGGCGACACCTCGACGGCCTTCATGACCGCGGCGCGCGCGATGCGGTCGGCCTCCTCCGCGGCGGCGCGCGCGGCCGCCTCCTTTTTCGGGTCCGGGGGGCGCGGAGGTGCGCCGTTGCAGCAGTCCTCGCACCGGCACGCCTCCGTGCACTTGACGCGCGCCGCGAAGCACTCGCAGTACTTCTTCAGGCACTTGGACCGCCGGCACCGGCACCCCTTCCGGTGCGCCGCGTCGCCGTCGCCCTCCCCGGTGCGCACCACCTTGGCGTTGAACGCGCCCGGGTCGCGCAGCAGCACCGCCGCGCGGACCTCCTGCACGACGGCCGCGTTCGCCGCCGTGTTGCAGCACCCCACGCACGAGCACGACACGCAGTACGACCCCGTCGCGAAGCACTCGCAGTAGAGCTTCAGGCAGCGCGACTTGCGGCACGAGCACCCGCGCGGGCCGTCCGCGGGGGGCTTGCACGCCGCGGGGGGCGCGGCGGGGGCGAACGGCGCGGTCGGGGCCGGGGGCGGCGCGGCGGTGGTCTTCGGGGGGCGGCCGGCGGGGCGCGGGGCCCCGCGCCCGGCGGTGCGTGGTGGCGGTGGTGCGGGGGCGCGCGGGGGGCGCGGGGCCGCCGCGGAGCTCCTCGAGGGCCTCGGCGACGAGGGGCGTGGTCGTCGGGGCGCTCTGCGGCGGCGCGGGGGCGCGGGGAGCGCCGGAACTGTCGGGCGAATCGGATTCGGGGTTGGGTATCTGGCGTCGGGCGCGGCGGCATGGTTGCTTCGGAGCGAGCGATTCGAACGGCCCGAGCGCCCGACACCGGCCCCGCGGCGGTGCGGCCGCCCTGGACGCGTCGAGGCGGCGGAATGCATGTCCGTGGGGGCACAGAGACGGGCGGAGTCGGGCGCGCGCGCACCTGGGCGGCCTGTCTGCGGCGCTGGGCCAGCGCGTGCTTCGAGTTGGGCAGCGGCGTGACGAGCGCCGCGATGGCGTGCGCGGGCCCCCCGAGGATGTTGAGGATGTCTGCAGCGAGGGGCGTATCGATGACGCCGGCGGCGGGCGGCGCGGGCGGCGCGGCGGCCGTGGGCGCAGGTGCTCCACGCTGGGGGTGCTGAGCGGCCTGGGCGGGCCGCCCGCGGTCCTGCACGACCTTCGCCTGGCGCACCGAGCGCTTCGCCTCTGCGAGAAAGACGGGCGGCGGTCGTCGTTCGGCGTCGCGCGGGCGAGGGGAGGGCGCGTTCGGGCGCGCTGGCAGTCTGTCATCACTGCTGTTTGAACGCGCGCGAATGTCGCGGCGATGTTCGGGGATCGGCCGTGCGAGGGGGGCGGACACATGCGTGTGCTTCGCTTTGGCGCGCGCCGCGTCGCAGAGGCAGCCGGGGCGCGCACCGGGCGGCTGCTCGTCGGTCGGCGCGGGGGCAGGCTGCTCCTGCTCTGCCTCCAACGCGGGCGCCCCGGGCTTCTCCGGCGCCGGAGCGGGCGACGGGGGGTTCCTCGTGAGAGATATCATCCCTCGCGTCCTGTTCGCGGTCGCCGCATCCCTCGACGCGCGCGCCGGGAGGCGGCTTTGGTCCCCGTCCAGCAACAAGGGGTCCGAGACGCGCGACGTGTGCGGCGCGCGGAAGTGCAGGCACACGCCGTGGACCATCTGGCCGCCCTCCGTCGCGTCCGGGCCGAGAGGGGATTCGTGGCACATCAGGGACGGGCTGCTCGCGCTGAGGCCCTGCCCAGAGCGCTCAGGCTGCGCTCCCGCCGCGGCCGCGGGCCGCCCGGGCGTGGAGCAGCCCGCCCTGTTCTCCACGGGGTCGGAGAACGGGCTGCCGCTCGCGTGCGGGCTCGCGGCGCCCGGGCTGTGGCGGAAAGACATGCTCATGGTCGCTGGGACAGCTCGAATCGATCTTGAATCCACGCGTCGCGCCCGGCCCGAACTGCGGTGTATTCGCGCGAATCCGCGGACTCCTGTATCGATGCGGTCGGTCGAGCGAGGCCGAGCTCCCCCGTCGGCGCGGTTCGCCGCGCGCACCGCCCCGCTTCGTTCGGCAAGGCCGACCGCCGTTCGGCTGGCCCGTGAGAAGCCTGGCTCGGCCGCAGGGCACAGCGAGAAGATTGTACACTCGGAAGCCCGCGGCGCCGCCCCACGAAGGCGGCGCGGCCGCGGCGAGCGCGAGCGGAGGCAGTGAGACTCGAGCTCAGGGCCCACACCCCAGGCGGCTCGAGACAGCCCCCCGCCCGCGCTGCGGCTCTCAGGCGCGAGCTCCCAGCCCCCCGCGGCACAGGGATCCGTTGCGCGGCCCGTGCATCGCCTACGCGGCCCACGAACCCAGGCCAGGCGCCTGCGCTGAGCAGCCATGAACCGCCCCTGCCTGCCTCTCTCCGCCCCGAAGTCCGCGCTGACGGGCTTGCGGCCGACGACGTCGCGGAGCACACGCGTCGTGCCGAACGCCCTGTTCGGGAGGGGCGGCACCGAGTGCGTCCGCGGCCCTCCTGCCCTGTCAACGAATTCCGCCCGTTGCCGCGAACCGTTGATCCAAACCGGAGCCCACCTGAGCGATTGGCCCCTGCGTCAACTCACCGCGCCCCCCGGAGCGCCCCACGGCTCGCAGGAAGGCCATCGTGGTCAAGGACGGGGACACGCTGTGGGGCATCAGTGTGAGGTGCGGCCCCGGGGGCCGTGCGCGGGCCCCGCCCTCTCGCACGCCGCCGACGCGCATAGCACGTGCGCCACGACGCATCGAGGTGCAGCATCGCGCGCCCGCGGGCCCCCACGTCGCGTACAGGCCGTGAGAGGCCCCGCAGACATCCTGCCCGTTCGAGCGCGAGGCGGTGCCGCTCGGTCCTCGCGCGCCGCGTAGGCAGCGCGTGGGGCAGTGGTGCGCGCGGTGCGCGGCTGCTCCAGCCCGTGTGCCCCGCCGGTGGGCACGATTTCACCGGGGCTGTGTCGCGCAACTTCACCTGGGTGGCACGCGCCCGCGTGGTGCAGGGAGAACGTGCCGCTGGACGACCTCATCAAGGCCAACGACGGGTCGGACTTCATCCGCCCCCGGCAAGTCCTCAAGGTCAAAGTCAAGGGCGGCACCTCCGCCATGCAGGTGCGACTCGCAGCCCTCGCGCCTCGACCCGCGCGTGCGAGCGCCAACACCGCGCCCAGCGGCGCTCCACGGCACAGCAGGATGGTTCGCATTCTCGCGGGCACTCGGGCGTGCCGGGTCCGCCCCGCGCGACGCCCTCGTGACCACCACACAGCACAACACGTGTCCCCGGGGCGCAGGAGGCGAGCGCGGCCGACACGAAGCTCAAGGAGCAGGCGAAGCAGACGGTCAAGCAGCTGCGCAACACCCGGGACCAGGACCTCACCACGGCGAAGGGCGAGAGGGGCGCGGAGGGTGCCAAGGTGGTGGGCATGGTGCCTCCGAGCTCCGGCATCAGCGAGGCGCGCGTAGAGGCCGCCAGGGAGGGCGCCGCCTCGACGGGCATCCTCGCCGCGAAGACCATCACAGGTGCCGCCCCCCGCTGACTCCAGGGGCGCCTCGCGCGGTCCTGACACGCAAACACCCCCTGCCTGACGCCGTTGCGGCCCCGCCCGGGTGCAGTCGCCGTCGCGGCGTACGGGGTCTGGCGCGTGTTCCGCGGCACGTTCGAGGCGCTGGGCGTCGGCGTCGTCAAGCGCCTCAAGGGGGAGTCCACCTTCGGTCTCGGTGACGTGTACAACAGCCTGCGTGCGCGGCCCGGCAAGGTGAGCACCGCGACGCAACAGCCGTCCCGGTCGAACAACAGTCCGGCTCGCGTCGCGGCCCGCCGTACAAGGCTAGCCGCGACGGCGGCGCCCCGGCACAGCACCCACACGCTGGCGTCGTTCACCGCGCAGGATTCGGAGGACCCGTCGACGGCCGCGCAGGCCGCGCCGACGAACGGCGCGCCGACGAGCACCGCGCCGGTGCCGCCCGCGCCGCCCGTGCCCCGCGCGCCGGTCAACGGCCACGGCACGGCGCCGGCCATGATGCCCGTGGCTCCCCCGATGACGCACATTCCCTGCTTCCGGTACCCCGACGGCGGGGTCGGGTTCTTCATCGCGGACGTGTCCGGGCCGTACGGCGACGAGGACCCGCGGCTGGTGTGCTTCGAGGACGAGTTCGAGGCGCGGCGTCTGGCGGACCTGTTGCGCAAGTGGCGCCCGGCGGAGGAGGTGACGCCGCTGGTGCAGCCGGGCCCGCCGGAGGTGCTCGAGGAGCTGTCCAAGGCGCGCCGGTGCGAGGTGCTCGTGGTGAAGCCGGGGGAGGTCAGTCTGTCGGGGTTCGTCTCCGAGGAGGAGGTTCAGGCGCGCCTGGCCAGCGTGGTGCGCAAGAGGTGAGGGGGGGAGTGTTGCGTGGCTGTCCGCGGGCGGCGGGGCCGTGAGCGAGTGAGTCACAGTGATTTCCCGGTGCTCGGCGCGGGCGTCGCAGCGTTGCGCGGCGTCAGGTGTGGCTACGTGGGGTAGCGGCGGTCGCCCTTTCGCGTGCTGTGCAGCCAGAGGCGGTCCGCGAGCCGCTGCTCGTTCGGCCCGATCACCTCGTCGACCTTGACGCCGTCCCGGTAGAACGCGACGGTGGGGGTGTATTCAATCCCCTGCAGCCAGTCAGACCGGCCGCAGCCGCGCGTGTGAGGCGCCACACACCGCGCGTGCCTGCGCGAGCTCCCCGGCGTCGCTGCCGGCCGCTTGCGAGCGCTGCGGCGGCGGGTGTCGCACCTCGCGGTCGCATGTTTCCTTGAGATATGCCACGTCGCCGTACCCCAGGCCGATGCAGCGCTTGACGCCCCGGACGGCGTCCTCGTACATGCGCTCGAACGTGGTGTGGCAGTGGTGGCACCAGGCCGATCCGAAGAGCACGGCCAGCGTCCTCGGCGTAGATGCGTGGCCTGCGCGTGTGCACCGATCACAGGTCGCGCAACGCGGGTCTCTGTGGCAAGGAACTCGGCGTGCTGGGTGGTTGCTGCGGCGTTGATCGAACAGGCTGAGCAACTCGAGACGTCGCGGGGCGGGGGCGCGATGGCGGAGCACACCTTTGCCCCGCTGTCCACCTTCGGCCGCAGTGACGTCCCGCGCGCTGATCATGGCGCGAAACTGGTCGTCCGATGCCGCAGAGGCAAAGAGCGCTCCGGTGTCGCGCTTTTCCACCTTGTCCTTCGCCGCTGGCTGCGCACAGAGCGATGGCGCGCAGGCACACCGTCTATGTGTCTCAAACGGGGTTCCCAAAGTGTCGCGTGGCGGCAGCAAGCGGAACCGCGCACCGCCGCACGCACGCGCATAGGAATGGTCAACGTTCTCGATGCGCCCGCGCGCCGAGTGCGCGCACTTATCGGGAGCACCAACGTCCTTGAGTGTTGCAGTGCGGGGATTCCAGGTTCCCGCGGTCGCACGCGCGGGCGTTCTCACCATCTGAGGTATCCGCTTCTCCGCAGCGACGAACCTCCGCTTCGGGCGCTCCAAGCCATCCGCCATCTCGCCCGCACGAGCTCACGCGGGAGCCTACCACCGCCGCTTGCACGAACGCTCCCTCCCTCGAATCCGCTCCCGTTGAAGTTCCCTCCGCACGCAACCCGACGCACACAAGTGCGGCCCCCGCGACCAACCCACGCAATCCCAGCCCGGCGTCACCGTCCCACACAACAGTAGAAGTACCAAGTAGAACCTTGACACCCCACCCGCCAACGCCCGCTGCGTTCCGTCGCGGCCCGCGTCACAGTTCCCCCTCGTGCGCGCTCCGCGTCCGCCCGAGCCTCTTGTCGATCCACCTCCGGTGCGCCTCCATCGTCCGCCTATACACCCCCTCGTACTGGTCGTGCACCGACCTGTGCGCGTCGTACGCCTCCCGGTCCCTGCTCGCCTGCACGCACCACCTCTGCCCGCGCACGCTCAGCGAATCCACGCCCCGCACGCCCCGCACGCCCCGCACGCAGCGCGTGGGGGTCGCCGCGCACCTCTCGCTCCCGCAACCGCCTCCGCCGGGCCTCTTCCCGCGCCTCCCAGTCCTCCTGCGCACCCGGCGCCGCGCCCGCCTCCCCCTCGAGGTCCCCGTCGTCCAGGCGGAGCAGCTCCATCACCCGGTGCATGCCCACGTTGCCTATTTCGACGGAGAACGACCCCGTGCGCGGGTCCCCGACGATGAACGAGGGCGTCTCCTCGATGCCCAGGTTCCGCGCCGCCTCCGTGAGGTCGCGGATCTCCTGCGCGTGCCGCTCGCTCCTGCACAGCACGCACCGCACACAAACACACCCCCCGTCGCACACCGCGCCGCCGGCAACACCGCGGCGCAGCCGCAGCCGCGCTCCCCGCTCCCATCCTCCCCCCCACACCCCCCCGCGCGTCGCACGCACGCACCTGAAGCACTGCACGAAGGCGCTCATGTCGAGGCGCGCCCTCTTCGCGATCTCCGCGAGCAGCGCGCCGGTGAAGATGGTCGCGCCCTCGATGCCCTGCTCCGCGCGCGTCTGCTCCGCCGTCACGTTCGTCTGGAACAGCAGGTGGCGCACCTCCCAGTACTTGCCCTGCTCCTGCGCACACAGCGCCGCGTGCGCCGCGCGCAAAGAGTCGTCGTCGAGCACCGCGAGCGGGTGCGACTCCACGCGCAGGAGCCCGCGCGGCACGGCGCGCCGCAGCAGCGGCTCCACGAACCCGTGGTGCGCCTCGTGGCAGTGGTTGCAGAAAAAGTCCGTGAACTCCACCAGGAAGCGCGGGTTGCGCTCGTCGCCGAGGGTGCGCCCCTCGCCGTGGAGGGCGCCGGGGAGGAAGTCGACGCCCATGGTGGGCTGCTCGGCGTGCGCGCGGGTGCCGTAGGTCGGGAGCGGGAGCACGGAGTCCGGGACGGAGCGCTGCGAGAGGACGTACGTGGGGACGGCGAGCGCGGTGAGCGCGACGCCGAGGAGGAGGATGTACGCGATGACGGAGGCCGCCGGCGCGGGGTCGTCGAGGCCCAGGGCGGCCGCGGCGTCGCTGGCTTCGGTGTCGCCCTGCAGCGAGGAGGCGCCGCTGGGGACCTGCGACGCCGAGGGCGACGGGCTGGGGCCCCGGGTGGAAGCTGGCGTCTTGGTGGAGGACCTGGGGCTGCGCTGCCCGCGGCCTGCGCGGGGGGGGCGCGTGGGAGCGGCGGGCGGAGCGTGGGACGTGATGCCGCGCGCGCGCGGGGGGGGGCCTCGCGTGCGGAATGCAGTGGGCGCGCCTCGTCACTCGCTGAGCGTGCTCTGCGGGGGCGGCCTCGTGTGCGCGACATCGACGGCCCGTGCGGAGGGGGCCGGGCTCACCCCCATCAGACTTGGGCACCCGCCGAATGGCCGGGCTGAACACGCTGTCTTGCATCCTGGACCTACTCCTATGTACGTATCACGCTGGACTTGCCAGGAGGCCTACTTGTCCGTCATCGCGGGCCCTCGACGACGGGGCGCACCCCTGCAAAGAGCACCCTCTCAATGTCACGAAGCTTCCTCCTCGTTGCGCGCGACGGCGAGCCTTGACCGGTTCAAAATGACACGGACATTGCACGCCAGGCGTGCCGCAGGGCCGACCATTGACGGCCGAGCGTGGGGCCGCACGGGGCCGTGAGGGGGGCGTGGACCAACCAACACACGCACGGGGCCGCCACCGGCCGCCGTGCCCGGCTCGTTGCGCCCCGCCAGCCGTCCACGCGCTCATGAAGAGCAGCCAGCGCCCGCAGTAGCCGCCCGTAGCGCCCGCAGCGCCACCCACAGCGATTTCTCACACCTCACGTTGCGATTCCCGGCCCGCGCGCGGCGCAGAGGCTGACGTGCAGAGTTTCCGCCCTCTCCGCGCTCGCACGGACGCCAGTACGTCGAAGCAGCCCACTCGGACGCCGCCCCCGGCGATGCATTAGCTGCTTTCCTCGCACGGAGTTCCAAACTGGTTTCGCGCGGGCCCGTCCTGGGGCTCTAGCGGCCTCGGGCCGCGCTCTGTGGGCCCGCGATCGCGACCTCTCACGGACCCTCGCGCCATGACCAGCACAGGGAAGGGCCCGCGCCGCCGGGGGACGCGCGCGGGCGGGCTTTGGTTGGCGACTTGCGCAGCCTTGGTGGCGCTCGCGCCAACGTGTTCGGCGGACACGGGCTTCCCTGTTCCGTCGGCATGCACTGCCGAGAACTCCTATTTTGATTTCGCGGGGCTGGAATGCCGCACGTGCGACCCCGCGAGCCAGGTTGCGGGAGAGTCGAGCTGCGAGTGCCGGGCGGGCTTCGCGGACTTCTTCCCGGGCATCAACGGCACGGGCTCGCTCAGCTTGCCGACGTGCCAGGACTGCGCGTCCCAGGGCCTCGCCGCCTCGTCCCTGGGCCCCTACTGCGTCGCGTGCGACGCCACGTCCGGCACGTCTGAGATGGGCAGCTGGTGCGCACGCCCGCCCCGCGCCCACAGCCACCGCGACGAACCCGCAACGCCCACGCCGCGAGCCGCGGATCTGCCTGCGCGCCTCCTTAAGTCGCACCCAACGTGCCGCACCCAGCATATGCCGTCTCAAGAGCGCCGCGGCACACCGCGACTGCGTCCGCAGGGCGTCGGCGAGCTTCGACGCGGCCGCCGCCGACTGCGTGTGCGACGGCGGCGCCAGCGGCGAGGTCACGGAGACCGACTCCGTGGGCGCGCCCTTCCTCGTGTCTGGCAACAGGGTGAAGCGCTGCGTGCTGTGCCCGTCTAACGCCGTGCTCGCGGACGGACGCTGCGTGCCGTGCGAGTACCCAAAGGTGCGGACGCCCCTCCCCCCGCGCCCGCGCCCGCCCCTCCTCCCCAACCTGAGCTCATGTCGTCCAAAGACTGCGTGCGCTTCCGAAGACTTGTTTTCCCAACTGCGGTCCGCGCGCGCCCCCGCATTGCCGCAGGTCGTCTCCAGCGGCGCGTGCGTGTGCCCCGCGACGGTTCCCGCGGGCGCGCTGTGCAGCGACCAGCCGAACGACCTCTCCGCGGCCACCAGCCTCCTCGGCGTCGGCACCACCGGCGACACCGCGTTCCAGGTGTCCTTCTTCGAGGTCGTGTCCGGCACGACGGCGACGAGCGCGCGCGACGTCACGCTCGTCTCCGACGCCATCCGGGCCGGCCTCGGCCCCGCAGCGCTCGCCTGCGCGCAGCGCGGCAACGCCACGGCCTGCAGCGCGCTGGCCAACTTCTGCGTGCTCACGGACTTCGACGCGCAGATCTCGACCGCGTGCGCGCTCTTCAACCGCATCTTCGACCTCCGCGTCGCCGCGGGCGAGCGGTACGCCCGCCGCCTGATGCAGAAGACGGACTTCCCGTTTCCGTGGGCGCGCGGCATGCCGCTGCTCTACTACCCCGCGGAGCCCGACGCCGCGGAGGTGCTCCGCGCGGAGGACGTGCAGTCGTCGTTCGGGTTCTCGTCGCGGGGGGAATTCGGGCCGGTAGAAGCCGGGTCGCGCACGGGATACCTGCGGCTCAAGGCCGCGGCGTACGCGCTCGACGGGACGTACCTCGGCCTGGAGGACGTCACGGATCAGCTGCAGGTGTGCGGCGACGTCGCGGACAAGGTGTCTGACTGGAACCGGTACGGGGTGCACTACAACGTCGAGTGCCGCGTCGAGGTGGTGCAGCTGCTGCAGCGCGGGACGGCGCGCGGGGGCGGCGCGGTGTTCTACGACCTGTACCTCGAGGACGGCGAGGGGCGGCTGTACCCGGTCCCCATCGTGAACAAGTCGCAGCGGACGAACGGCGCGCTGGTGAACGCCGACGTGGCGCCGACGCAGTCCGCCCTGACGCGGAGGCTGTACGTGGTGGACGCGGCTGCGTCGGTGACGGCCTCGGGGGGCGCTCCGAGCATCGTGCGGTACGCGAGGGCCGCGGTGCTGACCGTGCCGGCGCGCGAGGACGACCGCGGGCTCATCCTGCCGCCCTACCTGACGGTGGAGTACGGAGCAGTCGACACGAGCTCCGGGGACCGCGCCACGGTCGCCGCGTCGTTCAAGGTCGAGTACACCAGGTGCGGAGCGCACGCGGCTGCCCCGGCCACGCGGCTGCCGACGTCGCCACACATCCCGCCGCCACGCAAGGCGCGAGAACGGTTCTCCGCTCACCCCCGCCGCGCCACTGTGTGCCCTGCGTGTCCCGCAGCGACCTCGGCGCGTTCTGGGAGGCGTGGGAGATCCTTCTGATCGTGTTGACGATCCTCTCGGGCGCGGTGTGGCTCGGTCGCATGGCGCGCGTGCAGCGGCGGCTGCGCTCCTCGACCGACATGTTCGGCGGGGAGTACTCGATGGTGCGCGCGGGCATCGTCGAGCTGTGCGACGCCGGCGCGAACGCCCTCCTCATCCACACCGTCGCCCTCTGCGTGTACTGGACCTTCTTCTACAAGCTCCAGGAGGACCCGTTCGTCCTCGCGCCCACCGACGACGTCGTCGGCGACATGCGCATCGTCCTCATCGCGGCGCTCGCCGGCAAGTCGCTCGCCGTCCTCGACCTGCTGCTCGTCCAGACGTCGTACAACATCCTGCTGATCGACTGGGAGCGCCCGCGCAAGGTCCTGCTCCCCGGCGCGTCCAGCGAGGGCCTCGCGCCCACCTCGGCCTGGCGGCAGGTGTTTGTGGCCAACGAGTGGAACGAGCTGGCGTCGTCGCGGCAGTCCAACCCCGCGCTGACGCTGTTCCTGGTCGCGGTGCTGCTCGACGGCGCGCGCTGGGGCGGCATGGGCCTGCTGACGCCGCACGAGGGGGACTTGAAGGAGCACCCGCACAACGAGACGTCGTTCCTGCTGCGCACAGGCATCGCAGCGCTGGTGTGGGGGCTGGTGCTCCTCGCGAGCTGGGTCTTCCGCGTGCTGTACAAGCGCTTCGCGGCCAACCCGCCGGCCCTGATGACCGACCTGTGCTACATGACGAACGTCAGCCTCGTCATCCTTGACACCCCCTCCTCCGGGTACTACATCCACGGGCGGTCCGGCATGGCCTCCGCGGACGCCAGCCTCGGCGAGCTCATGGCGCACATCGCGCTCGAGGAGGCCTCCTCGATCGGGTCCCGCGGGCTCACGAAGGGCGCGGCCATGCAGCGGCAGCGCGACTGCCAAACCTTCGAGGTGTACCTGTCGCCGACGACCGCGGACGCGTACCGCGCGACGCTGGCGCGCGAGATCGGGATCCAGGAGGCTGGCGAGGGCGACTTGGCGCAGGTGCCGCTGCTGAAGATGCTGCCCAAGGTGTCGGGCAAGGACGCGCGCGGGGCGGCGCAGACGGCGGCGCAGACGGCGAGCGCGCTGGCGGCGCAGAAGCACATGTGCGGCATCATGAAGCGCGCGCTGGCGGAGGTGGAGGCGAGCGGGATGGAGCAGGTGATCGAGCAGACGTTCACGTCGACGGTGCTGGACATTCCGCCGCCAGTGCTGCCGTCGCGCACGTCGCTGGTGTACGACTACAAGGAGAAGTTCATGCGCACGACGCTGTACGGACGGGAGTGGTTCGTCACCGCGTGGGAGTTCATGCTGTTCGCGGCGCTCGACGCGGAGCTGCACTCCTTTGCATCCGCCGCAGCAGTCACGTGGTTCATATCGTGGGCGTTCCAGCAGCTCCACGCGCAGCGCGCCTCGAGCAACATCGCCGCGAAGAGCATGATCGGCGACAAGTTCTTCCTCTAGGCGCAAGGCCACCGTGGCGCCACGAACACAGACAAAGTACTAATAGTGCTCTTTGGGGCACGCGAGGCGCCTCAGGACGGTTTGAGCGCTGTGAACGCCCCTGCGACGCCGCGTCCTCGTCTCACACGGGGAAGCTGCCCTTCCGAATGGCCTCGATGCGCGCCAGCTGGTCGATCTCGTGCTGCAGCTGCGCGTTGGCCTCCACGCTCTTCGTCGCCAGCTCGCGCAGCGTGTCCTGCCCGCGCCGCCGCACCGCCATCTGCTCAAGGCGCTGGATCGTCGTCCCGAGCCCCGCGCTCTTCACCCCGGCCTTGCTCAGCTTCTTTTTATACGACGACAACATCCCCACCATGGTACCCGTGACGAGGCTGTCGATGCCCTGCTGCCGCTCCACGACCTTGGCGCCCCGCGCCCGCATCACGTCGATCTTCCTCGTTTTCGACAGCTTCCGCCACAGCTGCGTCGCCCGCGTTTCTTCCTGCTCCACCATGCGCGCCGCCGCCGCCTGCGTCCACAGCGCCACGACGTCCGCGGCCTGGCTCAGCGTCGTGGGCACCACCGTCTCCGGCACGTCGGGCGCCTCTGTCGGCCCCTCCTTCGCGCCCCGCGCGCTCGCTGGCTCGGCGTCCGCCGCCCCGAACCCGACGCGGGGCGCTGTCTTCTCGCCGCGCACCGCAACGCCGATCCGCCACTTCTTGCCCGTCGACAGCGCCGAGGCCTGATTCTTCTCGAAGTTCAGCTGGTGCTTGCGGTTCAGGTGCGCCCGCAGCAGCTCCTGCGCGGTGTGCAGCCCCACGGCGCGCACAAACAGGCTCAGCGCGTCCTCGGGCTCCTTCACCGCGAAGTGGTCCATCATGAACAGCAGAATATCCTGCACCTCCGTCGCGTATATGTCCTCCTTCGCCGTCTCCACCACCTCGCGAATCGTCGCTTCGAGGTCCTCGATTTGGTACGCCTCGCCGTCAATCATCCGCGTCAGGCACCGCCGCGCGATGATCTTCTCCCCCTCCGTCAGCGCGCCCTTCCACGCGTTCGCCTCCACGCGCAGCAGCACCCAGTGCAGCCACTTGCACGTGTTCATCCGCACGCGCGCCTCCTGCAGCGACACCAGCTGCGACCACTGCCGCACCAGCCGCAGCTCCTGCAGCAGCGTGAACAGCTGCGCGGGCTGCCGCTGGCACGACTGCTCCACCTGCCGCATCCCCGCGAGGATCCGGTCGTGCGACACCCCCACGTCGCGGTCCTTCTTCTCCAGCACGTGCAGGACCTCCGCGCGCATCTGCTGCACGCCGGCGTCGAGGTCCCGCTTCATCCGCTCCTTGTCCACGTCCTGGATCTTCTCGATCCGCACGCGCTCGCGCGCCTTGAGCTGCCGGAACGACTCCAGGCGCTCCGCGGGCGTCATGTCCCCCGGCAGATTGCTGAAGAATCGGCGCGCCTCGAAAATCTCCTTCTGGCGCTCGATCGCCGCGCGCTGCTCCGCGGACAGCGCCTTCTTCCCCTCGGCCCTGCGCGAGAAGCCCAGCGCCGCGGCCAGGCTCGACCCCGCCTCGCCGTCGCCCTTGCCCCCCGCCGCGCCCTCCTTCTGCGTCGGCTGCTCCGCCATGCGCGAGATCGTCGTCTTGAGCGCCGCGAGCGCCGCCTCCTCCTCGCCCGGAAGGAAGGGCAGCTGCAGGACGTCCTCCAGCTTGATCTTGTCCACCCCGGCGCGCTGCAGCCTCCGCTTCATGGTCTCCAGGTTCTGCGCCGTGGCCGACCCGGCCTGCTCCGCCTCGCCGCCGCCCGCCCCATGCGCCTCGATCTTTCCCAGGAGCTCCGGGACGTGCACGGAGAGCAGCGGGTCGATCAGCGCGTGGTACACCGGCGCGCGCGCAAACAGGTTGTTCTCGTGCTCCAGACCCTTCTTGCGCTGCGCGGGGCGCTGCCGCAGGCCGAGCCGGAACTGCCGGTGCCGCTCGTTGATCTCGGCCTCGAGCTCGTCCGCCGTGACCATCTTCTGGCTCCGGTTCGGGGACCAGCGGCTCTGCGCCACCGGACCCTGCGGGCTCCCGGGGGACTGCGTGTACGACGTGTACGACCCCGCGGTCTGCGGCCGGCCTGCACGCGCACGGTGGGGGGAGTCATCGTCGACGTGCGCGGCCGAGCGGCCCGGTGCTGGTGCTGCATGTCGCGACGAGCAACGCAGAGGCCCTGCGCGCTGGACCTCGTCCGGGACAGGTGCGCGCGCCGCACGCCGCACCTGCGTGGGGTCGTCCCGCGGAGTCCGGGGAGCCCGGCCGGCCCGAGATCGCGCTCCGCCGCGCGTTGATGGTCCGCCGCAGGGTCTCGATGGTCTTGGGGACGCGCGCGGTGGCCGGCCGCATCAGCTCGCGGTCGACCGCGTTCGCGGCGGCCGTCTCCGTCGCGTGGCCGGCCGCGTCGAGCGGCTTGGCCTCGAACGCCTTCATGTAGGTCTGGCCCGCCCGGCACTTGATGACTGCCTCCTTGCGGGCGCGCAGGCCCTGGCGGATGCGCGTGGTGACCGGGTCCTCCTTCGTCGTCCGCCGCGCCTCCCTCTCCTTCTGCAGCGCGGGGTCGCGGGGCGGCCGCCGCGGTTCGTGCTCGCGGCAGGACGCGAGGGCGCGTGAACGTTAGCGTCAACGCACGGGAGCGTCGCTGCGGCGCACCAGGAGCGCGATTCTCTCGTGTATGGCGTCGTGCTTGCTGCTCTTCCTCTCCTGCTGGCGGTCCTGCGCTCCTGGCAGGACCTCCTTCGCCGGCTTCGCGGCCCCGGCGGGCGGGGCCTCCAGCAAGGACCTAGGGTGCGACAGGTCGAGCACGGGGGTCCCGAGCGCCTGGTACGGCTTGTGGGGCGGTGCCTTCCAGCCACAGGTGCGGATTTCCTCCTCGCGCTCCTGCGAGACGGTCGGTCGAGTGCCTGGCGGGTGGAATTCCGTGTGCACTGCTTCCGAGGGGTTCCAGCGCGCCCACGGTCGGTGTGGGCCACCCGGGCGTGCCTTGCGGCTACTGGACGCGTTATTGGTGTATAAAGGCTACAGTGCGGTGGCCTTTCCGGGGACGGATCGAGCGACAGCGGCGGAAGCGGCCGGCATGCACGTGGTGGCACTGGGGGTGGCGAGCCTCACCGCGACCGACTTCGGCTCCCGCACGTACTCTGGCAGGACACGAACGACATTCTCGACCAGGTCGCGGTTCTCCGTCTGCATGAGACTGTCCAGGCCCTGCGTGCCGGGCATCTTTCTCTGACGCCCACCAACCCAGCCTCGCACGCCGCACTCGAGCACAAACCTCGCCTCTCGACGCCGCCACCGCGTAGATAGTACGCTCACGAGCAGCTCCGTATCCGCATGACGCTCAAAATGACGGTGCGCCCGCTGTACAACGGATCGATCTAGGTGGGTGTGCCCGCAACTCGCCACTGAACTGCAATACTGGACTACTGGTCGCTGATTTCCCGTCGATACGCCTACCTGCGGAGCGGGGAGCGATGTGTTTCGGACCTGGCGGCGCCGAGGCACAATCACGCGCGCAGCTGACGTCGCCGCGCGCCCAGTTGCACCCGGGGGCCTGCCCGGCAGCCCGAACTCCCCCCCGCGGGAGATGTGCGCGGCGTTGCGTGACGAGGCGGCCGCGCACGACACACTCGCATCGGTCCCTCCGCACGGACACGTCCCCGCTGCGGAACAGTGCAATGCCTGTGCTCGCCGTGGTGGCCTAGTGGAGCGGCCGCGCCTCCGAGTGCAGCGCGGGACGAGGTGGGAGCGCAGCCACACCGTCGTCGATGAAGTGAAGCGGTGGCTTCGCGATGAGCCCCGTGCTGGTGTACCCGACGGCGAGGGCCCCTCGGCAGCGCTTGGAGGACGGGGTGCAGAAGCGGCTGGAAGACGAGGCCGCAAGGCAAGCACAGAGATGCCCCTGCGCTCAGAACAGCCGAGCACTCCTTGTGGAGTGCGCGTCCGAGCTGCGGATCTCATGCGGCCCCTGCAACGCCCCGCCACGGTTGCTGCCCACCCGCAGATACTGGGACGCCTTCTACCGCGTCAACGAGGACCGCTTCTTCAAGGACCGGCACTACCTCGCCGCGGAGTTCCCGGAGCTCGCCGCGGGCCCCTGCGTGGTCCTCGAGGTCGGGTGCGGCGTCGGCAACACCGTGGCGCCGCTCCTGCACGACAACGCGCAGGCCGCCGTGCACTGCTGCGACTTCTCCCCGCGCGCGGTCGAGATCGTCCGCGCCCACGAGATGTACGCGACGGGCCGCGTGAACGCCTTCGTCGCCGACATCGTGCGCGACGACCTGCCCCGGACGGGCGGCGTCGCTCCGGGCTCCGTGGACGTGTGCACGATGATCTTCGTGCTGTCCGCGGTGGCGCCGCGGCGCATGCGGGCGGCGCTGGCCAACGTCGCGCAGTGCTTGAAGGAGGGGGGGGGTGTTGTGGCGTTCCGGGACTACGCGGAGGGGGACCTTGCACAGATGCGCTTCACGGGGGAGTGGCAGCGCGGCGGGGGCGCGTCGGTGCGGGAGAGGCGGCGGCAGATGGGCAGCGACGAAGGTGCGGTGCGGGCGGTGGCGTTGCTGCGGTGCCGCGGTCTGTGTGCGCCAGTGCACGGAAGCGGAGGATGAGTGTGGCGGCGGTGTGTGTGTGTGCGTCGCAGGGCGGTTCTACGCGCGAGGCGACGGCACGTGCTGCCATTTCTTCAACGAAGAAGACCTCGCGGCTCTGTTCGAGTCTGTCGGGTTCGAGCGTCGGTACGTCAGAACCATCGAAAAAGTGGTGGAGAACAAAGCCAAGGTGCGCCCCGGGACAGGAACTCCAGCAGCCGCGATACCGGACGGACGTGCGAGGTTGAGGTCTCCACCGCAGGCCGAGGCTTGTCGGGGCCGCGCTTGTGTCCCTCACTCGACAACGACAACTACAAGAAACGTCACAAGGATGCACCCTGGTATACTGAGCCGCAGAAGGTCTCGATGTATCGGAGGTGGATCCAGGCAGTGTTCGTCCTGCGGGATCGGCAGCGAGCGCAGGAGGTGCTGCGGCAGCCCCGCAGTCCGTCGTCGGAGCCCTCCCAGCCCGCACGCGACGAGGGGGCACAGGTCTCCTGCGGACACATCTGGCGCGAGTTCGTCGCCCGGCTGGCCAGCGTTGGCGAGTGCCCTGCCGCGGGACGCTCCGTCCGCGTCTTGCACGCCAGCGAGGATGACGGCCGCGAGGGCTGCGGCTGCACTCTTGAATGCAGCAGGCAAGGTGCTTCGTTGAAAGGCCACGGAGGCGCCGAAGTCGTGTTTTTCTGCGACAAAATCACACATCCAGATCCAGATGACATCATGCGGCGCTGTGCCGCCGCCATGAAGCGCCACGTTGGCGCCAGAGCCTATTTGATGATTGACTGCGACACTGCGCATCCGCTCTCCCACGACCTGGGAGAAGCCGCGCGCCTGCGGGGCCTGCGCACGCCAGCCGCCAACGGCTTCGAGCGCTGGGCCCTCGGCGGCGCCCCTGTGCACCTCTGTCTGCTCCAGTGGCACCCGCTGTCCCTCTGACGCACACGAAGCGGGCACACCGAGCGGGCGCAGATGAACACGACGGCCCGCGGCGCCCGCCTCGAGCGCGCGGACGGTCAGTGCGCGGGCCTAGCTGCCGCACGAGAAGGCGGCCCCCGGCAGGTTGTTCGCCTTGAACAGACATCCTTGAACGAAGATTCCGAAAATGTCCGCGATGCATATTCCGAGGGAGTCGGCCAGACTGGCTGCCCCGAGCGAGAACTCCCGGTACTGTAACGGCACCTCCGACGACATGAGCGTGAACGCGTTCACGTACACGCCCCCGCCCAGCAGCCCCACGCAGAAGCATGGCGCGAGCAGCCACCACGAGTACAGCACGTGGTCCACGGCCACCCACGTGAAGAACGCCAGAAAGCACGCCTGGAGCACCGGCATCGCCCACAGCACGGGCCGCGAGGCCTGAAACGCCATCCCTGCATCACGGAGCGTTCAATCAATCAATCGACAAATGAATCAATCGATCACCCATATACACATGCACGTGGTTGAGCTGGGCGCCGTCTCCGCGCGTGTGCGCAGGGGGGGGCGGTCCGCGGGCACCTGAGGAGCGCGACACGAACACCCCGGCCTGGTACATCCAGTTGCTGAATTCGTAGAACCTGTGTCGGGCGCGCGCCGACTCCACCGGGAACCCGATCGCCGTCCACACCCCCGACTGAAGCACGTACTCCAGCGCTGCAGCGGTGCGTGACACGCGGGCCGCACGGTCGACGCCACAACGTGTCTGACACGCGAGGGCAAGGTGCGCAACGTGGCATGTGGTGCTCGAAGGCGCGTCGGTCTCACCGTACACCGTCACCAGCGGCACCGTGTACGGCCACAGCGAGAGCGTCCGGCGCACGCGCTCCCCGAACCGCATGTCCGCTGTCTTCCACGCCCCATGCCCCGCATCCCCCCCCGGCAGCACTCCCCCCGGTCCCTGCCGCGCCTCCACGTCTGACTGCACGACTCTCTCGCCCCGGCGCAGCCGCTCGTGGAGCCTCCGCGGCCGCCCATGTCGTTCCGAGTCCGACTGCCCCCCCTGACTCAGCAGAGCCTCCGCCTCCACCGGCGCTACCCCCCCCGCCAGGTCGTGGCGCCGCGCGGGCCGTGCCGCGCCATGCGCGGCGCGCACCGCCGACTGCACGAGCCGGCCGTCCGCACCGCTCCGCTGCCGCACATTCGCCTCGGCTTGCAGCAGCCCGTGCGTGGGCTGCATCACGACGTGGAAGTTCGCGAGCCACACGAACGCGGTGAACGCGGCCAGGATCTGCACCGCCGGGAACGACATTCCGAGGAGCGTGTGCAGCACCGCGACCCAGGTGTACCCCGCCACCCCTGCGAGGCCCGTGCCGCTGGACCAGAGGGTGAGCATGCGCTTGCTGTCGAAGAAGGAGGCCATCGCGAGGTTGGACGCCTCTCCGAGACCGCCCTGGACGGAGGAGATGCACACGCCCGCGAGCTGGACGGCCTGCGAGCGCCCGTAGCCGTATGCCACGCAGCAGTACGCGGCGGCCATCAGCGCCGCGCACGCCCACTGCCGGGCGCGGTACGTGCACAGGTGGAACCAGTACGGCCCCGTGGTCTTCACGACCAGGCACGGGAAGATCGCGCAGAAGTACACCAGACCTGCACACAGCAGCACCGAGTTGGGGGGTGTCTTGTTTGGTCTGACCGACTGTGTTGCGGCACAGCAGCGTGGTCGGATGCACACCGTGCGGTCAGCCAGCCGCGGAAGGTCCACGTGGCGGGGCTCAGCACGTGGCGCTCATGCGAGGGCATGCTGCCAAGCAGAGGGAGCAGCGACGGTGCGTGGCGCGCATGTGGCTCGGGGGAGCGTCAGGGATGCACGGGGCGCGCACCGACAGACGCCTCGCTGATGCTGTTGGCCCCCGCGATCATGATCACGTAGCTGACGTTGTTCAGAAGACCTTGCAGGAAGAACATGGCCATGTTGCGGCGGCTCGACTCCAGGGCCTTGGCGGGCGGGCGCGGAGCGGGACCGGGCTCGATGGGCGTCGCAGGGTCCTCGAGCGGGGCCGCGGGGGTGCCTGGAGGCGCTGCAGGGGATCATCGTGCTGAGGGCGCACACAGGCAGGTGGTCACGGCGCCGGGCTCGATCTGATGCCGATTGTCTGCCCGTACAGAGCCACTCACCGCTCATCCTTGCCCTGGAACCACTCTTCGTTCTCCGAAACTCCCCGGCGCGCGCAGGCGCCCCCGTTCAGCACAGGCCTTGTAGAGCCCCTTGCGCAGAGTTCAGCGCTGGGTTGTGCGATTCAACAACTCGAACGGCATCTTCGAGAATCGAAGGATCCACCGACGCTATCGAAGGGCACGCATTCTCATTCGCGAGCACCGTATGGGCTGAAGCTGGTCTTTTGCGGCATGCACGCCTCGATGTTCGTTCCCCTGAATCCTACGACGAGTCCTGAGCGAGCACAACTACCCAGCTGCACGGCTGCGTAACTCAAATATCGCTGTGAGTCGTGGGGTGACGCACAGTAGACTTCCCAGGGGGGAGATGGAATAAAACGCCCCACTGCGGCCCCGCGAAGAGCAGGCTCCGCGGACGCTCGCGCCTGCCAATTGGGACGCTTGGAGCAGATTCCACCGGCTGCACGAACGGCGATAGAAAGCAAGTCCTTGGGAGGCATCGGGCAAATACTCCTGCGTTGATCAACGGCCGTTGGGGCGCCTGCAGCAGGCCGCCCTCGCCGTGGCTGATGCATGGCACGGCGACATGGGCGACACCATCACTCTGAAGTGCTCGCTCGGAGCAAAAAAGTTCGAGGCACGTCAGAGCAGCCATCTTCCTGCAACCAGCACGGCCGCCGTTTGCAACGCTTTGCCGGGCCACCAAACGGCGTATCCCTTCGTCGACCGATACTGATATACGTGGACTACACAATTGGCACGCCATTCGCCATTTGCGCTCACACCCGGCGCCCAGCTACCCCTATTGCACTGGCGACGACGGGTCCTAGTGACCCAGCGCCGGCTCGCCGCCAAGCCATGCACCTGCGTGACCCCGCCAGCGATGGTTTCATCGGCACGCAGGTGTCCCTCTCGCTGGACGCAACGGTCGCCGACCTGCAGCAGCAGATACAGGAGTCCCATGACCTGCTCGCGCGGCAGCAGAAGGTCATCAGCTCGGGCAAGACCCTGTCCGCCAAGCCGTCGCAGACCCTGCGCGCCGCAGGCCTCAAAGACGGCGCCAAGGTCATGATCATGGCTACAGCAGGCACACACGCCGCAGCACAGGTCCGCACGCGCCCACCCGCCCCTCCGTGCGTCCTGGGCGGAACCATCAGCGTGCACATGGGGCGCACCTCGGCGTCGGTGTCGCTGCAGACGGCGGGCAAGCGGATGGCACAGAGTGCTGCGGATGCGAAGAAGGCCGAAGAGGCGAAACGACGCATCGAGGCGATCCGCGCGGGACGCGACCCTGACGCGGTGCGTGGGGACATCGATGCACAGCCGAAGAAACCGCCAGGCAAGTCCACGCACCGACACAGCTGTCACCTTTGTATTTGCACACACTTGCACTGCAGCTCGCCTTGCTCGGGCTCCAAGACCCTCTCAGCACCCGCTCCGTCGCGCAAGGGCCGCCGCGTCCGCTCACTGCATCCGCGGGCCGTCTCGCCGCGTGCGCAGTGTCCAGCCTGCCGCAGCGCGTCCCGACGTGGGCCGCTACTGGCATCGTCGGGCTGCGCGAGCTCGCCCTCGCCGAGCTGCCGGAGGTGTGTCTGCAAGTCGGGGCCAGGGCGCGCGTCCTCGACCTGGGACGGAACCGCCTCGCGGGGCTGCCGACGTCCATCGGTGCCCTGTCGGGTCTCCTGCGGCTCAACCTGGGACACAACCAGGTGACGGCGCGGGGCGTGGGGCCCGCGCTCGCGGCGGTGCCGCTCCTGGAAGTGCTCTACTTGAACGACAACAAGCTGAGTGAAGTTCCCGGCGAGATAGGATCCCTCAAACATCTGACCAAGCTCAATCTCAGGTAGGCGGGCACACCCGTCGCACGCGCGCGCCGCGCGATGGTCCGCGGACACCGCCACTCAGGAGACAGTCGCTGCGCTCCGCGTTTGCAGCAACAACGAGATCGCCGGCGGGGTGGAGGCGCTGGCGGCCTGCACAGCGCTCGACACGCTCTCGCTCGCCTCGAACAAGCTCGCCGCGATCCCCCCCGAACTCGCCGCCTGCACGGCTCTCAAGGACATGGAGCTGCCGCGCAACAGGATCCGCGAGATCCCCGTGGAGCTCGCAGCCCTGCAGCAGCTCCAGATCCTGGACCTGCACAACAACCTGGTGGAGACGGTGCCCGCGGCGGTGTTCCGCGGGTGCGTCGCGCTGCACACGCTCAGCCTGCACGGCAACCCGATCACCGTGGACAAGCTCCGCGAGCTCGACGGGTTCGCGGAGATGGAGGCGCGCAGGCGCAGCAAGGTGGACAAGCAGATCGACCGGCGGGTGATGCTCAACACGGGGCAGTTCGACGAGGGCGCGGACTTCCAGCGCTGGGTCCGGCCGAACAAGGACGGCAAGAAGTTCGGCGACGTCGAGTAACTACGATCCTCACACAAGTGACCCGCCCGAACGGCGTGTTTGTGAGCGGTCGCTGCGTGTCCTCGTTGTCACGAGTGCCTCATGGTGCAGTGTTTCGCGCAGTACGTGCACTTGTGCTTCTTGACCGTCGTTTGCGTCGTGGGAGCTTTGTCGACATACGTGACGGGCCCGCGCAGCTGCGGGCGCGCGGGCGTGGACGCGTCACGTTGAGCAGCCTGGCCCAGCTGCTCACGTCTCGCGCGGTCGGTCCAAGGGCGCGAACGGAGGCTTGTGCGATAGCTTGTCGTCGTCAAGATTCCAAGTCTAGGCGGGGAACATCGCGGCGCGCGGCGGCGGCCAGGCATCGCAAGGGGAGCACGACGCGCGCCCGCACCTCTGCGGCCATTCCCCTGTTCAGCTTGACATCGCGGACCGGCTGGGTGGTCCTCGTCTTGGACGTTGTCCACGTGTGCACCTGCGGCCGGGACGGGCTCGACGACGTACGCCACTCTGCCAGTGCTCTAGATCTCGAGCGCGAAGGTGCCGGAGACACGCCGGCCCACACGACTTTCACGCGCGTTTCTGCCTTCTCCGACCATATTCATGCAGGATCGCCGCTCCTTGTCCCCGAAGTCCTACCTTCTGGGCGCCCCGTGGGCCCGTGAGGCCGTCCAGCTTGAGCTGGCGACACTCGGGGTGCGAACAGTACGGCAGGGCGACCCCGAGCTTGACCATCATCGCGTACCACCACGGGTCCTTGCCACCGCGCGCCTTGGCCTTGTCCGCCTGCTTGCGCCTGCGCTCGACTTTGCTGGTCATGCTGGCACCCGACCTGTGAGCGGCGTATTTGGCCACCCAACTTGCCGTATTCCGCCCAGAAGATGCTGGCGACCTCGAGTGCCGCAGCCCTTCGTGTCAGGTAGCGGGGGGTACCTGCCGCCGGGATCGGGACAGGTCACACCTCGGAGGTCCTCCGAAGCAGGTCACACCACCCCGGGTGACCCGTTTTCTGCGACGCCCGCTCGCCTACCCTCCAGTCGGGAGGACACACCGTAAACCTTGCACGGCAGCCTGCCGCCACGCGTGCCTGCGTCGCCAGCACGCCTTTGCATTGCACCGGAGCGCGTTTCGATGCCGGCACACAGCACGACGTGCGCAGCCGCGCCACCAACAAGGACGGCAGGAACTGCGGTGACAGAGAGACTGCACGGTCTGCGCACTTGCTCTGAACCTGTGACCTCCGAGACGCTTCACACGTCGCACGTCTTGACGCTCTGGTGCGTCGCCGGCGCACCGCCGTCGAACGCGCGAGCGACGCGCTCGGCGCCGCGCGCCACCGCCATCCACCACCCGACCCATGCCCGCGCCAGCGCCCCGCCGCTGGCCTCGACCTGCGGCTCCGGCCACTCCGGCTCCGCCCGCGCCGGCTCCGGCGCCGACCCCGCGTGCTCGGCGACGGCCGCCTGCTCCACGGTCGGCACCTCGAGCGGATGCGGCAGGTCGATCTTCGCGTAGCACCTGAGCGCGTTGTTGTGCAGCACGTTCACGCCGGCCCCGACCGCCTCCTGCTGCGTCAGGTCGCCGTCGTCCACCAGCTCCTGCAGCACCTCGGCAACCACGCCGCGGATGCGCTTCGCCGAGCAGTAGAACGCCTCGGGCATCGAGTGGGCCCCTGCACAGGACGACACGCGACGCATGGGGTGTTGGAGCGTGCGCGCGCGATCTTGACGCTGCTCAGCCTGCGTGTCGTCGGCCCATGCGCACCTGTGGACGCCATGATCTTGTTCAGCGGCGCGATGGAGAACGCGTCGCGCACCATCTCGCGCAGAGCGGCCGTCGACAGGTACGGAGTCGCGCCGCCGACGTCGAGCCACACGTTGCTGCGGGCCGCTGCCAGCCGCGCGGCCTCCCGGACGTTCGGCCAACCCGCATGCAGCAGCACGAGCTTGACGCCCTTCTTCTCCGCCTTGTCGAGGAACTCCCTGACATGCTTGTCGGAGAAGTTGGTGGAAGTGAATCGCGTGCCCAGGCCGGTCTCGAGCTGCATGGGGATCCCCACGTCGGCGCAGACGTCCAGCGCGTACTCCGCCAACCATTGGGACATGCGACCACCATACAGCCAGTCGACTCGCCCGCGGGGGTCGACCACGCCAAGCGCCTCCACCTCTGCCTGCCGTAGCGCTTGGCAGCGAGGGTCGATGATCTCAGCGACACGTTGCTGCAACTGCAGGGCGGTCAATTTTGAACGAGCGCCATCTCTTTCGCAACATACAATGTGGGTCGTAGGTGCGCAGACACACGCATGAGGATCCGCACAAAAACTGGCAATCATATGCGCATCTGGACAGTGGTTCGCAGTGCTGTGCCCACGCAGCTGCATCTCGCGTACCTGCTGCGCCTCGTGATGACGGTAGTCAAAAGAGGTGTGGGAAGAGATCGCTGGCAGCTCCAGAGGAGCCGCACCGCGAAGAAACACCTCACAGGCCAGTGCCACCACCTGCACGATCGATCAGCGAGGTACTGTAACACTTGAATGTGGCCACGGGGGCTGCGTCAAGCGCCGGCCGGATGCGGGCCGGCCTCAGCACGGCTTCTTGTTCGTCGAACAAGATGCAGACTGTAAACTGGTTCGTTGAGTTGCGGGAACTCCAGCGCCGCGGGTCGTTCTTTGCGTACCTGTGCCTCCCGACAATTTTGGCGCAGTAGTGGGCAGAAAGCACGTTCCGCAAACAATTCCATACGATTGGCACCCTGAGGGTATTGTAGAGGCTTGTTGGTGTGCTGCAGCGACGGGCACAGGCTCAAGCGCAACCGTCAGCCAAGCGCTACAGCTGAGGCATCCGACGCCAGGCCAACGCACTGATGCGTCCCAGAAAGGCGGGTCTCGGGGCCGTACCTCAACACATGCTTGCACCAACGTGACCTCCGCGCTCACGACGCGATACACGGGGACCGCCAGACAGCTCTTGGACAGCAGACCGTTCACGGAGACGGTCGCCTGCGGCGGAGAGCGGCCGGCGTGGTTCGGTCGGCCCGCTGTCGCAATCCCTCTGTCGCCGTGCAAAGCAAACAAGGCATCCGCGTTCCGCTCACCCTGTCGTTGCCGTCGAAGTTGTCGTCGATGACCAGGGAAGCGATCTTAGCGCGTTCCACGCTGGTCCGCATGACGTCGGGGAGGGCATTGCGCTCGCGCCACTCGCGAGCAGCAGCACTGGAGGCCGCGCAGCCGTACAGCTCCGCAACGTCCCTGGTAGATCGAAGCCCGAGGACATTCGTGCCGCCACTGGATTCGAGAGCCTCTCCCCTTGCCTCGGTGAAGCAGGCGCCCAGCGGCGTCCGCCCGCGCCACAGAGCATCGTCGCTGATAACGGACCGGCAGTTCGTGTCCACGAGGGGGACTTCGCGCAGATTCTTCGCCACTACGCCGAGCTTCGGCATCTTGAGAAGCTGGTTCCGACCTTCCAGCGCGGAACGACCCAGACAAGGGACCTCGGAGAGCTTGCCCCAAATGCAAGCGCCACGCGTCCCGTTGTAACCAGGGTCTCGTCAGAGTAACAAGGTATCGTCACTGCCCCCGCATGCAGCAAGTGTTCGCTTCAGCCACGAAAGCCAGGCGTTGTCAGCGTCCAGGGAGCCGTGCACCGAGGGCACGTCCTGCGCAGGTCAGACCACCCGAATTCTGCGACGCACCCTCGCCCACGCTCCATCTTGGAGGGCACAACGCGAACTACGGATAAGATCCTGCCTCCATGCGCGCCCGCAAAGCCAGCACGCCACTGCACCATCGCAGCGGGGCGTGCTTCCAAGGCGGCGCATTGCATTGCATCGCAGCTTGCAGAGCCGCGTCACCCCATGCACCACGCCCCTATCGATCCAGATCCGCGACAGCCCCGCCTTCCCAGAGAGCCAGCTCACACTCATCAGAATTTGGTCGCCAGCCGCTCGACTATGTCCTCGAGCCCGCGCCCGCCCAGCTCGGCCGCCTCCGCCGCCCGCACCGCCACCGCCGCCCGCAGCAGCTTCTCCCCGATCCCGTCCGCCAGCGCCTCCCAGCACCCCGCCTCCTGCAGGTTCCCCAGCGCCTCCTGCGTCGACGTCGGCATGCGCACGATGCCGTGCTGCTTCTGGAAGTCACGCCCCGCCGCGCCCGGGTCCACGCTCACGGGCGCCGGCAGCCGCTCCCCGCCGGCGATGCCCTCGCGCCCCGCCGCGACCAGCGCCGCGATCGCCACGTAAGGGTTGGCCGTGTGATCGACGCACTTGATCTCGATGTTGACTGCGGCGGGGCCGCCCGCGCCGACGCACGCGCGCAGCGGCGCCTCGCGGTTCTCGACGCCCCAGCAGCGGAACGCCCCGCTCCACGTCGACGGCTGCACGCGGTGGAACGACGCGGGGTTGCCGGCGAGCAACGCCACCAGGCCGGGCAGGCGGTTGAGGATGCCCGCGGCGAACGCGGCGCCCTCGGGGGACAGCGGCGCGGCGTCGCCCGTCCCGCCGCCGGTCACGTTCTCCCACGCGCCGCCCTGGCCGGGCTTCCACAGCGACAGGTGGAGGTGCGCGCCGTTGCCCGCGTGGTCTTTGAGGACCTTCGGGAGGAAGCACGCGACGAGGTTGCCGTCGCCGTACTTAGCGACGGCGCCCTGGACGGCCTCGCGGACCATGACGACGGCGTCGGCCGCGGCGAGCGCGCCGACGTGCCCGATGACCACTTCGAACTGACCCCCCGCTGACTCAGCGTGGATCTGCTCGACCTCGAGCCCGAGCCCCTCGATGGCGTCGACGATCGCGGACATCAGCTCGGAGTGCTCGTTGAAGCTCGACGTCGCGCAGTACGCCGAGGTGTCGAGCGGCGCGTACCCCGCGCGCCGCAGGCCGGAGTTCGCGCGACGGTCGGGCTCGACCTTGCCCAGGACGACGAACTCGCACTCGATGCCGACGCGGACGCGGCAGCCGCGCTCCTCCTCGAACGCCGCGAGCAGGTCCGCAAGGGCGCTGCGCGGGCAGCACGCCCACGGCCCGCCGCCGCCGGGGCTGCCGTCCGCGGTGCCGGGCTCGAGGAGGTGGCACAGCGCCATGGCGTGGGTCGGGCACCAGGGCAGACGCATCAGCGTGGACGCGTCGGGCGTCAGGCGGACCTCGCCTACCACACTCAACCCTGCGTCGACAGACGTCAAACGAATGAAAGAACAACGTTTATTGATCTGATGATATGAGTGCGATCGAATCAACGCACACGGAGGCCATGCGCGCATCCGTACCTGAGTCAGGCACGCAGCCGTCGGCGTAGCAGGGCATGGCCATGCACGCCCTGGTGAGCCCGAGTCCGTGGCGGTTCCCCTCCGCAGACACCGCCCTCTCGAACACCCGCCACGGCACGGCACGGCAGCGCCGCAGCCCGGCGACGTCCGTCCACACGTACCTCACCAGCCTGATCGGCGGCCCGTCGCTGCCCTGCGCGGGCGGGGGCCGCAGGAGCCACCCGCCGCTCTCCCGCAGCTCGGTCTGCAGCGCTGCATCCGTACCTGGGCCTTCGCGACAGAGCAGCCCCCTCGCGGGCACATCAGCGGCCGAGGGCTCCCTCGTGGAGGCGGGGCTCGCCGCCGCGGCGGGCACCTCGACGGGACCGGGGCGCTGCAGCTTGTAGAGCCGCGTGGCGTTGTTGTGCAGGATGCCAACGCCGAACGCCACGGCGTCCTGCAGGGACAGATCGCCCTCGTCGACGAGCTCCTGGAGCGTGTCCGAGACGAGGGCGCGTATCCGGACCGCCCCAGAGTAGAACATCTCCGGCAGTGTGTGGCCGTCTGCATGCGCAGCACATGGGCGAAAGCGCTTTGATTGTCTGTCTCTCTCGAAGCGAGGTGTCGGGCGCGTAGCAAGCCGTCTGACAGCCGCCGCCGGTGCTAGCAAGCCGTCTGACAGCCGCCGCCGGTGCTAGCAAGCCGTCTGACAGCCGCCGCCGGTGCTAGCAAGGTATGAAACAGCCCCGCACCTGTGGAGGCCATGATCTTGTTGAGTGGCGCGATGGAGAAGGCCTCGCGCATCATCTCGCGGGCCGCCGGCGTGGAGAGCATCGCGGGCGCGAGGCCGACGTCGAGCCACACGTTGGCGTGGTTGGCCGTCAGGAACGCGGCTTCCCGCGTGTAGGGCCACCCGCCGTGGAGCAGCACGATCGGGACGTTCTTGGACTCGGCGTCCTCGATGAACGCGCGCAGCAGGGCCGGGTTGGCCTCGTGGATCTTGAGGTCGTTGTCGCCCAGCCCGGTGTGGATCTGGAGGGGCTTGCCGACCTCCGCGCACACGTCCAGCGCCATGTACGCAACAAAGTGGCCGATCGGGCTGCCCGAAATTCGCAGCTGCGTGCCGCTTGTCCTCACTCCGAAGTTACCAACGGCGACATCGGGGTCCCCAAAGGTCCTTATGAGCTGGTCGAGTTGCTTGTTGCCTTCCCGATTGCTGATCTGCAACCACACGATTCTCAGCACGGTGATTGCGTGCGACACGCGACGTTGATCGAGTCCACGACACTGCTGTCCGGCTTCGGTGTGCCGCTGCCGCTCTCTTTCGTCTCTATCGGCGAGGGCACGTCAAAGCATCGAAACATGCCACTTGCGCACCTCATTCTTTGCCAATTGCACTCGCGACGGTATACCGAGTCCACCGCGGTAACAGACCGCTGTCTTCAGGGCAACAATCTGCGGGGACGCACGCCGAGAGGCTTCGCGTGGCGGTTGCGGCACCGTTCGGCAGGGCATCAGGATGCATGCAAAAGGGTTGTCGGGTATGAACTTGCGAGGCTGCGGTGGCTCGCGAAGTGGCAATCCTCGTGGCCGCAGAGCGATTCTCTGGCACAAGCGCGCGTGCGAAATGAAACCAGCGGTTCGTGGTGCGCGCCTTCTTGTCCGCGCATGCGCGAGAAATTTTCTCGAAGCATTCGCTATTCGCCGGGCTCGAATTCGCAAAGGCCTGGATCAGTGCTGTGTGCACTGCATTCCTCGCGCTTGTATGGCTTTGCATCTGGGCTGCACCCGCTGGAAGGGTTGCGCACACCTGCGAAACGACGCGCACGTTGACCTGTCCTGAGATGGGAGAGGCGGGACGTCGCAACCACGGACGTCGATGGCTGCGCTGATGCCGGTCGGCCCTGGGCGGCCCATGCCGGCTGCCACCCTGGCGAGCCACCGCACCTGTTCTGCATACAACTCGGCAGCAGTCTCGACCCTGAAGACCCGGTGGACTGGCACCGACAGGGTCTGCATGGACATGATGCCCTCCATCCCATCGAAGGTCTGCACGCGTCGAACCAAGAGCGCGGACCGTCAAATATTTGCTGCATGACTGCCACGCACCACGCAGCCTGAGGCGGTCCCCATCGACGATACGCCAAGCTTGACCGTACCATCAGATCCTCGTTCCGGATACCGTCGTCGACGAGGAGCGCGTCGATCCCCGCACGCCTTGCGCACAGCCGCAGGGCGTCGGGCAGCGTGGAGCGCTCCTGCCACGCCTTCATGGCCAGCACGTCCTCCTCGCACTCATACAGCCCCGCCACCTCCTTCTTCGCCCTCTGAAACGCCACGTTCGTCCCGTCCACTGCCTCCAGCGCCGCCCCCTGCGCCTCGCTGAAGCACACCTGGTACGGGGTGCGGCGCCACACAGCGTCGTCGCGCACCACGGGGTGGCAGTGCTGGTCCAGGAGCGGGACATCCTCCAGCGCTGCACGAACTGTGCCAGCCGGGGCGGCACGGGGGGACCCGGCCATCCCTGCGCCAGCGCGGGCCCCAACCACCACCAGCGCCCCCTATGTGGCTCCGCACGGTCGCCCTGCGCGTCGCACGGGCGAGTTCAGCTCCGTCAGACGACGATCGCTTGCACGGCATGCGCGCACGATGGCCAGCTGCGTCCTGAAGGCGCCCGAGGGGATGTACGCGACAGGGGGACCCTGTGTCAGCTGCAACCGAAACACCACCCCCGATCAGATTCGCGCGCCAGCGCGGCGAGAACGAAGGTACGGATGGCAGTGCCCGCCGTGCGAGGTCGTCGTCTTTATGTTGCGGGGGATCGGTCGGCTCGCTCTTGCCTCGAACAGGCACGGTGGCGTGCGAAAGCACCATGCGTTGTGTCATTGAGCTCTCGTCGTCCGCATGGCCGGTTCGGCGCCCGCTCGACGACCAGGAGTGGCCAGCTGGAGGCCGCTCTGCGTCGCAGGGCACGTGGGCGATGAGCGACAGCGACGGCGCTCGCAGCTGGGAACGCGGCCAGGCATGGGGCTTCGCGGATGGCACAGGCAGCGAGACAGGTGCTGCGCGCGGCGGCGTGGCTGCAGAATCGGTTGAGCCGCTGGTGGTTGCCACGCAGCTCAATCACGCAAAACCAAACGCTCCTTAACCACGCCATGATTTTGCAGCACACGGAGGCGTGCGGTCGCACGTGTCGCGCCCCCGAACGTGCGCGCAGACGCTTCATTGTCAAGGGCTCGCGAGCACGACAGCGACGGCTCGCCTCGACGTGTTCGTGGCCGGCAGCCCTCTCTGCAGCATGTCGTCGTTGCGTGCTGGTCGAGGCACCGCTCACGGACGCGATGTTCAAGGCGCGCCGTCCGGCACGAGCCGCTCGATCGTGGCGGTGTGTCCCTGGCCCGCAGTGCTCTCGCGCGGGTCGCACGGGTCCTCCCGCGCCACGTTGATGTCCCCCCAGGGGTACTTGAGACACGCCCTTGGGGCGACATTGCGGTCGCGTTCCGTCGCGCACATGTGGTCCATATCGTCACTACTGTCGCTCCACAACGTCGCTCGACGTCAGGTGCGAGGATCTCCGTCGCTCGTGTGAAACGACGAGGGCAACTGAGGCGTTTCCGTGCGTGTGGCGGTATCAACTGCGCTGCGCGAGGCGTATTCCGCCAGCGAAATAGCCTGTATGGCCGCGACGTCCCCCAGAGCGCTCGCGCGAGCTCCCGAGCGCTCCCCCCGGCGCTGTCTTTTGGTGCAGGTGGCATCGTCGGCACCACGCGGGCAGGCGTCGTGCGTTTCGATCCAGAGCAGGCGGTGTCTGTCGAGGCTGGATATCGTCGCCCGGATCAGGCCGGGCCAAGTCAGCGGCGGCACAGGACTCGTCAGCTCGGCAAGAGAAGCACTCTGATCACCTGAGGGTCCGCGAAGTCGACATGCGCGGGCGGAAGAAGAGCCAGCGATCCACACAAGTGAGTCACGCGCCGATGCCCGCAACGCGGGGCATGGACCGAAGCACCCGCGCCCGAAAACACCCACCCTAGTGATCCACTCAACTGCACGCCCGACTGGTCCGCTCACGCTGCTCCCCCGCCGCTCCCACACCGCAGCATGGCGATGCTCGCGGCGCCGCAACGGCCGCGGCGCTGTTTGAGCGCGTCCTGTGGGAGGTCCCCGCCGTGGTGCAGCGCCTTGTGGACCGCGACAGAGAGAGCCTGCTGGCGACGAGCTGGAGCGCGCTCGAGGCAGTACTGCGCGGCTGCGACGCGACGCTGGAGCTGACCTGGGACTCGAGGCGCCCGCTGACCGCGTTGCCGTCCGCACTGGCGCAGCGGCTGTCTGCTGGTCAGTGCAGGGGGCAGGTCCGGTGCGCCGGCGTGGGGGTGGCGATGACGGACGCGACGGTGCTGCTGGCGGCGCTGCAGCGCGTGCCGCCGCCCGACGACCTGAAACTTCTCCGTTCCTACCGTACGCAACAAGTGACGCTCTGCGGAGAGTCGACCACGTGGGTGCGGTTCGTGTCGCAGCTCATCGCCCAGGCGCCGGAGACGCCCGCGGGCCCCATGCGCGCAACGTCGCTGGTCATGCCCGGGCTCGGGTGCGCGGCGGACGTGCTGCGCGAGCTGCGGGCGGTGCTGGTGCGTCCTGCGGTGCGGGACAACCTGCGGTCGCTGAGCTTGGTGGGGATCGCAAGGGACACGGCCGCGGAGCTGCACGGGAGCCTGCGGGAGATGCCGGCGCTGCGCGCGCTCGCGGTGCGCGGGGAGGAAAGCCACCAGTACAGCAGGATCAGCCCCATCAGGTGCAGCCAGGCGCTGTGCGCGCTGATGTGCGAGTGCACGTCGCTCGAGCGGATCGATCTTTGCAAACTGGAGTTCGGCGCCGACACCACGGACGCGGTGCTGGACTGGCTGGCAGGAGCGGAGCAGCTGCGCCACCTGCGTCTGGACGGCTGCGACGGAGCACTAGTGCAACTTAAGCGTCGGTTCGCGTCGCACAACCCGCTGCGGCGTCTGAGGGTGTTCGACGCCGCGGTTCCGGCGACCGTCATGGAGCCGGAATACCGCTGTGCTCCTCAGCTCATGAACTGTGCGTGGAAGGGCATCCCAGACTTGGAGCAGCTGTCGCTGCAGCACTACGACTTCAACGACTCCCAGAGAGAGAACGAGGCGGTTGCGCAGCTGCTGCGGACCACGACCAGGCTGCGGCGGCTGGACGTGGGAGCGGACTTCATCAACGACGGCAGTTGGGTGCCGGAGCCAATCGCGCGTGGGCTGTCGACGATCCTCGCTGCGCTGGGTGACAACAAGACGGTCGAGGTGGCGCACTTCCGGATCTCATGGTACCTGGTGCGCGACCCGACCGCCATGAAGGCGTTCGCGGCGGCTCTGCGCAGCAACACGACCTTGAAGGAGCTGCAGATCAGGGCGCTTATATATGAGGTCCCTGATTCAGACGAGGGAGAGGGGGTGAACGAGATGCTTGACGAGGACCCGGACCGCTGCCAGGCAGCCACGCAGGACTTCTTCGCGGCTCTGGGCGACAGCACGTCGCTCGAGACCGTGGTATTACCGAGGGATATCCTGAGTGGGCTGCGGACCAACAACGCAGCTTCGTCGGACGCACCGGAGGCAGCAGTCGGTGCCGGCATCGCACGCAGCCGCACGCTGCGGCGCCTGGAGCTCGCGGCGTGGGACCTGTCGCGCAAGGGCGTGTGGAAGCTTGCGCGCGGGCTCGCTCACGTCAAGAGTCTGCGGTCGCTGGCGATTTGCCTGGGCAGAGAGGAGGCCAAGCAGGTGGCCGCGCTGGACGGGCTGTGGAAGAACAAGGCATGCAGGAGCCGGCTCGAGCACCTGGATGTCACGGGAGGGGGAGAGGCGTCGGGGTCGAGGGTCGCGGAGAAGCTCGCGGAGGTGCTGGTGCTGGAGCAGTGCACTCTCCAGAGGCTCAAGATCGGGTGTATCTCCTTCGCCGACCCCCGCGCGCGGGCGCTGATCGAGGCGCTGCGGGTCAACACGTCGCTGGTGGCGCTGGACCTGACCGGCTGCAACGTCACCGAGGACGCCATGATGGCGCTGCTCGGCGCGCTGGAGGTCAACACGACGCTGCGCTGGGTGAGGGTGGCGCAAGAGGTCTCCCCAGCGGTGAGGGACGCGCTGGCGCGTGTGCACGCGCACGTGGCGCTGTGAGGGGCCGAGACGCGCACGGTGGCCCCACGTCAGGCCAGGCTGTCGTGTAGAGCCTTGTGGCGCCACGGCATGCATGCGCTCGCGAGTCGAGCAGCCGCACAAGACGAGAGCTTCATGGAGCTGGTGGCCGTGTAACTCGGGAGACGCGTCAGCTGCAGATTGAGGAGCATGAGTACGACGAGGGAGACGAGGTGCATGATTATGGTCAGGTTGACGACGACCCGGACCGCTGCAGGGCGGCTACGCAAAGCTTCTTGGTGGCTCTGGGCGACAGCACGTCGCTCGAGACCGTGGTTTTACCGACGATGATCACGATGAACCTGGGAGACGGCGATGCCGACGACGTGGCGGTGTCGGACGCGGCGGCTGCGGTGGTCGGTGCCGGCATCGCACGCAGCCGCACGCTGCGGCGCCTGGAGCTCGGGGCCTCGCACCTATCGCGCAAGGGCGTGTGGCACCTCGCGCGAGGGCTCGCCCACATCACGAGTCTGCGGTCGCTCGACATTCGTCTTGGCAACGAGGACCAGGTCTTGGCCCTGCTGGACGGCATGTGGACGAACAAGGCGTGCAGGAGCCAGCTCGCACACCTGACTGTCGTGGACGGGCGAGAGACGTCGGGGTCGAGGGTCGCGGAGAAGCTCGCGGGGGTGCTGGTGCTCGAGCAGTGCACGCTCCAGAAGCTCGAGATTGCATTGGACTTGCAGGTCCAAAAAGCACGTGTGCTGTGCGAGGCGCTGAAGGTCAACACCTCGCTGGTGACGCTGGACCTGACTTCCTGGCCTGACCCCGACTTCCAAACACTGCGTGTTCCCCCCCCGACCGAGGACGCCATGATGGCGCTGCTCGGTGCGCTGGAGGTCAACACGACGCTGCGCTGGGTGAGGGTGGAGCGAAACCCAGGCACGCAGGAGCCCTCCCCTGTGGTGAGGGACGCCCTGGCGCGTGTTCACGCGCACGTGGCGCTGTGAGGGGCCAGCAGGCGCACCGTGTGGGAGAGGGGGCGCCACGACAGACGCAGGTGCTCTTGCGCCTACCTGGACACCCCGCGGTGGCGCCACTGCATGCGAAGACGCTCGCGCCGCAGGCTCCTGGAGCTGGCGGCCGTGTAACTGTTAAGCACTGCTCCTGCTGCGAGTCAGCACGGGGGGCACAGATCACGCACCGACGCCTGCGTCCTCGCGCCCCCTCGTTCACTGTCCTGGTGAGATCTGGGAAGCGTCGGTGGTTCGGCGCTCCTGTCACATGACGAGGGCCGTGCGTGTGATGCGTGCTACAGAGCTACGTGCGTGGGGCGCCCCAGCAACTACCAGTCGTCGTCGTCGAGCCCGCCGGCCTTGCGCATGAACGTGATCTTCGGGCCCCGGCCCGCGTCGCCGCCGCCCACCTGCGCGGGGACGAGACAGCCACACTTGCGTCATGCACAGGTGCCAGAGGCCGCACTGCGCCGGCTCGCCACGGGGGCCGAGCTGCGCCTCGCAGGCGAGGCCACCCAGGAACGGGCGCGGGCAAGACGGCGGTCGTCGGTCGCGCGTGGCGCCCGCGACGTGCACACACACGGGGCACATAGCACGAGGGAGTCAAAGGGGGCCGTGCCGGGCCGGGACGGTCGCGGCTGAAGACCGCAAACAGAGCACGTGACACGGAGCGTCCACGCGCCGCGGCCGCCCGACATGGGAGCTCGGGTCGCGAGCGCGGGTCCAGCGCAGGCACCGTGTGCGACGCGCGGGCGAAGCTCCGCGCACACAGCACGGTCCAGACCCCGCAAACCATCCTAGAAGCATACTCGTAGGGCGGGCTGCGCGAACTGCAGCGGCAGCGCCCCACGACGCGGCCGTGCGCGTGCCGGCGCGGCGTTGGGGCCAGGCCGCTGCCCACCTTTTGCAAGAGGTCGACAATCTGCTCGTCCGACACCTTCCCCCGCAGGGCGCCGCGCTGGGCGGCTCCGAGGACCATATTCTCCACAGCCTTGGCCTTGTCGGGCTTCACGATCGCGATGCGCGACAGGCGTTCCTTGGCACTGGCGTCCAGCACCGCAGCCAGCATCGTCTGCCGCTGCGCCTCGGCCTCCTCCTCGGCCTGCCGCTTCTGCTCCTCCTGCTCGCCGGACTGGCCCTGCGCGCCCATGATCTGCTGCATCTGCTCGGAGCTGAGCTGCTCGGCCATCGCTGCAGTTGGCAGTTGCCCAGGGCAACTGTGCTCGAGGCGGGGCTCGCCAGCGGGTATAAGCGGCACGGGTGGCGCGCGCGGAGTGCATGCGGCGGCCGCCCCCGCAGGGCCTGATCGGCCCCTGGCGCGTCAGGACTCCCGGAGGGCAGTGGCCTGCTGTCAGGTCGCACAGCCGCTGTCAGCGGGCGCCTGGGGGCCGCACGCGATTGCCGCCGCAGCCGCGCGGGAGAGCACAATCTGCTGCTGCCGGCCATGGCGGATCTGGCCCAGCAGAGCGCCTGACTCGCTCAGTAGAAGCAGGGGACATACAGCCTGCAGACCTCTCTTCGGGTGCGCGCGTCCACGCCGCCTGCTGCGCGGCACCATGGAGTCGCTCCTCGTCAGCGTCACCGGCGTCGTCAAGCTCGGGCTGTTCGTCGGCCTCGGGCGGCTGCTGCGGCTCGGCGGCGTCCTGCGCCCCGCCGACGGTGAGACGGCGCTCCTCATCGCCTCCACAGCGCTCGCCCCGGCGATGGTGCTCCACGCCTTCCTAGCCTACTCCTATCCCGTCGAGATGCTGTGGCTCGGGCCGGCGGCGGGCGCCGCGGTGGCCGCTGCGGTGGTGGCGTCGACCCTGGCGTACAACCGCGCCGTCGTCAGCCGCGACAAGGCGATGCTGTACGCGTGCTCGGGCGCGATGTGCGTCTCTAGCGCCCTGTCCGTCATCGCGTCCACCTCGGGCACCGCCGCAGTCGTCCTGGCGGCCGGGGCGGCCATGGTGCCCTCGCTGCTGGCCACGGCGGGCACCTACGCGCTGTGCGCCACCGCGGGGCCGGCGTTCCCCGACCGGTACAAGCACGAGGACGGCGGGGTCTACCGCGGAGAGTGGAAGGCCATGGAGAAGGAGGGCCGGGGGGTGTATCGATACTCCTCCGGAGCGCGGTACGCACACGCGCCGCGCACTCGCGGCGGACCGCGGCGCGCGTCCGTCACGCCGCAACGATCTCGCATTGTCCACTTAGTCACGCGCTGTCCTTTTTGTCCACGGTCAGCGCTTCGTGATGCGTGAAACATCGTTTGACGGTTCAGACAACGCGCACGTTCGATCGGGTGCCCCGCGCGCCACGCAACGAAGCACGCCGGCCCCGGCGCGCACAGGTACGAGGGCGAGTGGCGCAGCAACGTCAAGGCCGGCCGCGGCATCTACTTCTACCCCAAGGGCGGCAGCTACGAGGGGGAGTTCGCGGGGGGTGTTCCCGACGGCATCGGGGTGCGCAACTTCCGCGACGGGCGCATCACGGCGGGGCGCTGGAGCAAGGGCAAGCTCGTGGAGCCCCTCGAGGTCTGGCAGTGCGCGGGCGCCGCGCAGGGGGCGGCGGAGGCAGCGACGGCGGCCCGCCAGGTCAAGACGGGGGGGTTCAAAGGGGCCGAGGCGGCGATGGCCGCGGCGTCGGCGGGGTGCTTCTGGGCGGGGCTGGTGGGTATCGGGCTGCGCGTGGCGGGGGTCGTGCCGCCGGAGGATCTGCTGACGTCAGTGGGGGTTGTAGGGAGCGGACTCCCCGTGCTGACAGCGGTGGGGATGGGGGTGGCGTCGGACTTCCAGATGCTGTCGGCGCTGGTGCCGACGCTGGTGCGCGTGTACCTGCCGCGGTTCGCGGCGGCAGCGCTGGGCAGCGTGGTCCTCGCGGGCGTGCCGGGGGTCGACGCGCAGGTGGCGTTCGCGCTCATGGGCATGTCCTGGGCACTGGTGCGCGACCCCGCCAGCACGAATCCTGGCTCACGACAGCGCCGTGCGCCCTGGCTCGTCTTGTGTGGATCTGCTTGCCGATCTGCACGGCGCCGCACTTTTCCAGCGGCAACACTGCGGTCAGCAACGGTCCGTGGTCGAATCACGGCGTTCCAGCACCTGACATGCCTTCCTGTGCGCCGTGCGTCCGTGCAGGCTGCGAGTCCGATCGAGCACAGGTCCGTGGAGCACGTGGAGCGCTTCCGTCTGGACACGGGGCTGACTGACGCGGCCACGTCGGCGTCGCAGGCCATGTCGCTGGCCACGAGCGCGGCGGTCGCGGTGGCCTCGGTGGCGGCGACGCTGCTGCTGTCCACGGCCTCGCCGGTCACGCGTCTGGGCGCCGTGGTGGGCATCGTGCTGCTGGTGGCGGGGGGGAGTGCGGTGGCGGCGCTGGCGTACAGGCCGCCGGGGGACAGGCCGCCGCGGGGGCGCGAGGTGGTGCGGATGCGGTACAACCCCGAGGCAGCGGCGAAGCGGGCGCAGGAGCGGCAGCAGGGCAGCGCAGATGGCGGCGCTGGTGGCGGGGCCAACCCTGGGGCTGCAGCGCTGCCGGGAAGGCGGGGCGGGGCGCCTCGGCGGCACACACGTGCCGTGGGTCCCGTGCCGGGGCTGCGCGTGGGTGGGAGCAGGCTGCAGGCTCGGCCGGGAGCCAAGGTGCGGCGGACACCCACGTTGATGGCGCACAGAGTCGCTGTGGGGCCGGTGTGACGGCGCGCAGAGGGGAGGGCACCGTGACGTGGGTGCGCCATGTGGCGTGTTGTGGGCTGCGGGTCAGGGCGAAGGGTGGGGTCGGGTCGTCCGTGGTATGACGGTAGAAGTGCGACGGGAAGCCGATCGGTCGTCTGGGTTGGCGCTGAAAGTGCGCTGTGTCTCTCGGCCTGCACACTCTGGAGCCGTGGCATTCAGAGGTCAACAGCTCGGCATCGTCGAGGCTAGAGAGAGAGGTTGCCGTGAGGCAGGAAGTTCCCCAGGTGAGTTGTCCGTCGAAGATCGCCCGCGGGCAGCGATACCAGCGCGAGCTGCAGGTTCACGGAGCTTCCCAGTCACAATTCCTTCCAGCTGCACGCCACATCAAGCCGTGTCTCACTCCCTAAGCCCCCGAGGTCGTTGCAACAGTGCATCGCCATCTCCAGTTACAAAATCCGACCGACTGCTTCGTGACGCGCGGCCCGGACGCAGACGCGATGGCTCACGTCGATATGCGGATGCTCCTTCGCGTCGTGCTGTCGTTCGCGACGGTCGCTCTCGTCAGCGCGCAGAAGATCCGCGTCGTTGGCGCGGGCTGTGGCAAGGGCATCCTCCCCGACCCCCGTCCTCCCTGAGAGCCCGCGCGCTCCCTGAAGGTGAGCCACCGCTCCTGTCACGCGGCGCGCTGCACCGCGGGGCACGTGAGCGCTCGATCGGAAGGATGCAATCCGAACACAGTGGTGCTTCCGCGACGGCTCTGGGCGATCTCGAGCAGCCACCGGCGCGCTGTACGTCCCTCACAGGTGCGCTCGTCGAGTGGGACAAGCCCGCCAACGGCGCCTGCGTCGACGAGTACCGCGTGGACGCTCAACCGACGGGTTGCATCAACTGCCGCACCCTCGCGCCGCGGCCGATCCGCGCCCAGGACTTCTCCGCCACGATCGCACAGCTCACTCCCGGCGTCATCTACGTCATCCGCGTCACCGCGTGGAGCGCCGAAGCGAGCGGAGGCGGCACTGCAGCGGTGCAAATTGTGCCCCTCCCCAAGATCACGCCGCCGCCGCCGACGCCGACGCCGACGCCAGGCCCGACCGTGCGCCCGCTCTGCGTGCCGCCCTCGCCCGTCCGGTCGCTGCTCGTCGAGGTCGGCTCGCGCCAAGCGACGCTGTGGTGGAACCCGCCCGCGCAGCCCGGCACGCTGTGGCCGACCGGGGCCTCGGACCCCAGCGGTCCGCGCGGCGAGCTCGAGTACGAGGTGCAGTGCATCCCCGTGGACGCGAGCCGCTTCGCCGCGCCGCTCACGTGGCGCCCGCGCGAGCTGAAGGTCACCGTCGCGGGCCTCACCAACTGCCAGCGCTACACGTGCAGCGTCACGGCGATCAACGCGTGCGCGCAGTCCGACCCCGCCGTGGTCCCCCAGTTCACGCCGCGGCGGTCGTTCTTCTCGCTGTGCCCGCTCCTGTGGGGCGCGGACAACACCCCCGGGGAACTGGAGTGCGCGAGCGTGACGCGGACGAGCGCGGGCGAGCTGCTGTGCGCGCTGCCGCAGATGATCGGGGCGCGCGCGGAGACGCCGACGTTCGGCGAGGCGAGGGAGAGCGGGCTCGAGGCCGCGGCTCCGATGGCGGAGGAGGGCGGTGGCATGGGCTGAGTTTGGCGGTGGGTGTGAGCATGCGAAGACGATTCGTTTGAGTTTTGATCGACTGAGCGGTGCGCGGGGACGGCCGTTGGGCGGTCAGCGTGCGTGGGGAATCGCTTGTCATCGGCTGACTCAGGAGCTGTGGGTGGGGACGGCTCCCAGCGACGGGCAGTGGTGCGGGATGCTGGTGCGTGCGCTGGTGCGCGGGGGTGTGCTCAGCGAACTCGGAGTCGCAAGCGCGGGGGTGTAGCCGCTGTCAGACAGCTACGGTAACTGCGCCTGACAGTGGTTGCGGGCGTTCGTCCCTGGTCCGCAAGAGCGAGGGGCGGCGCATGGGTCTCGCAGTATCACCACGCAAGTCTGCGGAGGAGCCAGATCGACTGTCAAGAGGCAGGATTGATCGAACACCCATTGTTTCCCTACCCTGTGTGTCCAGCACGGACAGTCTACGGTCTCGCAACAAACATCGAGTTATTCGAGATGCCGGGCTACAATGATCTCGGCGCCGTCGAAGAACCTCATCACCAGCCGCTGTCGAGGCGCGAGTTGATGGCCAAAGCCGCTATGGAGGTGAGAAGGTGTCCACGCGTGCGGCCCTGGCTGGTGCGTTCAGGAAAACTGCAACCCTGTCGTGGGGCCGATCGTACCAGTAGGCTTGAGGTGGATGGGTTGCACCTGAGTCCGACGCAGCGCGCCGAGAGAGCGAAACGCGAGGAAGAGGAGAGGCGGTTGGAAGCCACGCCGCACGAGGAGGCTGGAGCAGGTCATCCCGCGGCTGCGAACGCTCACGTGCACGTACAGGCGGCTGGAGCGATCGCCAAGGACCCTCACCCACCGCGAGGGCTGCCGGAGCACCACACGACGACCGAGGTAGTTGCCCGAAGAATGTCGCCCGCTCTCACGCCACGCGCACCGCAGACCAAGTCCGACGATGATCACGGGCACCAATGACACAGTCGACGGGAGTCGAGCCAGAAAATCAGGGTTTCATCCGCCACTGCAGGCTCACGGGCAGCTGCACCCGACCACGGAGAGCTTCCTGGAGCACAAACACCGCCTCAACGCGGAGGCCGACCAGAGACGACAGGCGAGCGGTCGCGATCGCTCGAAATATGATTGTCCGTGCTGGCGGCTGTTTGCTGGGCTGTTGCGGGCCGGGCAGCTCTGACAGTGCGGGGCGGACGTGTCTGTGCAGGAACAAATAGCTCGCGCGAGGGAGGAGTACCTCCGCCAGCAGAGAGCATCATGATGCCAGCCGGCCGTCGCCCACAGGCGCATCTGGAGCACAGCTCTTTGGAGCGAAATACGCCGCGAAAAAACGCCTTGCATGCCACGACAACAACACAAGTTCACACGAACGGCAACGCACGCTGGAGTCCTGACGAATCACGGCCGCCCCGCGCTCTGGCAGCCACGACGCGAGCCGCCCGCAGGAGTGTAAGGCACGCCATGTCGAGCCCCCAGGCCCGTCCATGTGCTGCAACAGTGGCACGTACAACGCATGCTGCCCGTACGCGCCCGGCACGAGCAGGTCCCTCGCCAGCACAGACGCGGCGCAGCACCCTTCGTCAGCGTCCACATGTCCACGGGTGTGCCTTGAGCATCGTCGGGCATGCTCGATGTCGCTTTTCTTTTTCACACCGCTTGGTGAGAGATCGAGACAGCTGAATGGCGCGCAGATTGCACGCGCGTCTCCGCCAGGGCGGCTCGCAGGCACCGTCATGGGACCGTGATGAAGCGGCGATGAGACGGCGCTCACCGCCATCGTGCCTGGCAACGAGCGCCCTCGTCCAGCAGCGCCGTCACGCCAAGATAGACCTCGAGCCCAAAATAGACCGCGAATTCTAGCAGGCTCAATTATGCCGCATCGAGCGCCTCACCTCTGCTCTCGTCACCTCAGCGATCCTCGCCGTCACGCCAGCCCGAACCTTACTTGCACACCTGCCAGCCCCTGCCCCGCACCTGCGACTGCGGCCACGAGATGCATCGTGTGTCAGCTAGTGAAGCGCTCGCGTGTATGTACGTGATACATGAAGTGCGCTGACTCGTGGAAAGTGTCGCAAGTGGGCGTAATCGCCCGTTGTGGGGACCTCGAGTCAGCGAACATACGACGACGACGACGGGCCGCAAGGACACGGACTCAATGGTACGCGGTAGCAGCACACGCGTACAGAGGTACGCGCGCGGTGGTGCGGTACAGCACGCACGCGCTCTGAGGTCGCCTGCGTCGCGCACCGGCGCCCGTACCGAAAACAACGCTGCCCTCGAACGATCGTTAGCACGCCCGGCCGCACGAGCTAGTCACGCACGAGACGGGAGAACAACACGCGACCAACCATGTACGCCAGACACAAGCAGAGGATATTCAAGCCACGAGCTGAACTTCGAATGAACATTTTGATCGTTTTCATTCATTCATTTTCGTTGCAGAGCCCTGACATCGCCCAGCGACGATGCCGCGCCAGCAAGCCGATACGAGCGATGAAGTCGCGGCTCTGCTCGAGGAACAAGTCGCCGAACTGCTCGCTGAAGGCTGCACATTGTGGGTCGGTGACGAAGAAGAGACAGGGGAAGCATCACCAAGCAAAAGCACGCCCGCGGACCCTCCTGCCGAGTTCCGCAATCCATTTTTCACAGAACTCCAGGAATGGAACCGTTTCAGTCTCCTCGAATCACCTGGCCGCCGGAAAGTCAGCGTCTCCACCGTCAGCGAGCTCCTGGGGGCCCTGCAGCGGCCCAACACAGAGATCGACCTGGGCGGGCGGACGCTCGACCTGACGGGCCGCGTGTGCCACGTGCGAGGCGGTCACATCGTGTTGGCCAACGGCACGATCAAGTGCGGCGGTGTCGTCGTGCAGGACACGGCCAACATGTTCCGCTGCGCTGGCGTGACGTTCGCGGGCATCGCAACAACGCCGTGCGCGCATCTCTGGGATCTTCCGCGTATCGAAAATTTCGCCATGCTACCGCTCGTGTGTGTCGACGGAGCGCAGGCCGTCTCCTTCGACGGATGCACGTTCCGGGACTGCGATAACGCCGCGCTCTGCAAACAAATGTTCGGACCCGCAACCTTCTGCGTCAACGCGGGCCTCCACGCCACGCACGGAGCGCGCGTCTCGCTCCGGAAGAGCCGCATCTGCAACATCGCCGGGCACGGCCTCGTGGCGACGAGCAATGACACCATCATCTTTGCGGACGACGTGGAGTGCGTCGACTGCGGCAGCGCCGGCGGTTTCTCGTCGACGCTCGCTGTCCTGCACCTGAAGAACTGCGCGTTCGCGCGAAACGCCATCGGCGTGGAGTCGCAGCGCGGCGGCAGCGTGCAGGCCGCCCACACCGTCTGCGAGGACAACCGCGTGAGCGCTGTCAGGGTCACGGGCGGCAGCTGCTTCGAGCTCGAGCAGTGCCGCGTAGCTCGGAACCCCATTGGGATCGGCGTCTCCGGCGAGGACTCCACGGCGACGATATCAAACACGGTGTGCGAGGGTGCGAGCCTTGCCGGCGTTCTGGCCGGCCACGGCGGCGCGTGCGACGTGCACTGCGGCGAGGTGCGCGACTGCGCGTTCGGGCTCCTCAGCGACGACCGCGGCTCGCGCTCCTCGGGCGCCGCGGCCACCCAGCAGTGCTCGGAGCCCGCGTCAGACTGCGGCGAGCAATGGGAGAGCAGGACCGACATCAGGGCGGTCAGGCTGACGGTCCGGTCGTGCGAGAAGGGCGGCGTGGTGGCGGCGCGGGGCGGGCACGTGGATCTGACGCGCTGCACCGTGGACGAGTGCTGGGCGTGTGGCGTGCGCGCGGATGGCGAGGAGACGCGCGTCGCGATGAAGGACGTCGACGTCGCGCGCTGCCTGTACGGCGTGGAGGCCGTGAACGGCGGGACTGTGGCTATCGACGGAGGCGCGGCGACGGAGAACATGGTCGGGGTGATCGCAAAAGGAGAGCGGACTTTCGTCAAGGCGGTTGACGTGCTGTGCGCGAGGAACCGCTGCAGCGGGATGGTGGCGGGGGGTGGATCGAACGTCGTCGCCCGTGGCTGCGCGCTGATGCAGAACAAATCGTTCGGCGTGCTTTCGTCTGGACAGGGCTCGATCGTGGCGCTCGAGGACACCCTGACGATCGGGAACGGCGAGGGCGCCACGGAGAGCGACGAAGGGGGGCAGGTGAACGGAGGTTAGAAGTCCTGAGCAGGGCGGGGTCGAGGATCAAGCCACACACGTAAGGGGGGGTCGGGATGGGAAGAACATCATGTCAGGTGCTGGAGGTCTGCTGGCACCGTGTGAGAGCGCTCACACGCTCGCGCTCACACGCTCGCGCTCGCACGCTTTGCGCTCAGTCTTTGAACGGGTCCAGGAGCAGCGCCTCTTTCCCGAAGATCCCGTACTTGGCGGGAACCACCGCCAGGTCCGAACACCGCACCGCCACGACGAATCGGCTGGAGTACAGCTTCGTCTGCATCACGTCGCGCCCCGCCAGCGGACCGATCGGGATCTGGAACCGCACGGCCGCGGTCTGTCCGGGAGGGACGCGGAACCCGTCGACGAACTGCCGTCGGTACTCGTCGTCCTCGAGGGGCGCCATGGTCTTCGGACAGTCGAACGCGAAGGCGCTGCCGTGGTCCTTCCTGTCGCCCTTCTCGACATCCTTGCCGCTCGCGTGGCCGAGCGGGTCCCCGCTGATCGTCCTGCACGCACGCGTTGCCAACACATTTGAGGTCGCAGTCGCACGCGCCGGGACGACGGGGGCAGCGAGCGACCGGACGGAGACTCGGCGAGCCACCGCCCGTCTGACGTCGCACCTGTCGCCTCCGTGGAAGCGCTCCGTGTACAGCAGCGCCAGCTTCGCTTGCAGCAGCGTCGCGTCCTTGGTGTGGTTCTCGATGACGAGCTTCGCGTCCATCACGCCCCGCAGCGGATCGGTCTCGTGGTCCCTTGCGTGGCTGACCGACAGCGTCAGGCGCAGCTCCCCCACTTGCGCGCAGGAGCAGCAGCTCAGGCACGCGAACGTGCTCGACTTGGTCAGGGTCACGTCGTGAGACTCCTGCGAACCAGCGGCGCACGTCGCGCGTCACGGAGCTGTCCTGCGTGCGCAGATTCGGACAGGCATGGCGGGCAGCGGGCGGCAGCGCACCTGCCCTCCGACCAGCGCGGCGGGGCGGAACAGGGGCGGCGGGATGTGGGAGGGGCCGACGGCAAGATCCATGTAGGACTTCTTGATCCACGGCTGGTTGTTCGGCGCGTCCTGGGGCGCCTGGTCCTTCAAGGGCCGGTGCACAATCAGATTCGCTTTTCCTTTCAAATCTGCAGGGTTGTGTTGTCACCACGGGCGCGCGCGCACGTGTCGCCTCCGCCGGCGGCGATTCCCAGCACCGGCATCTACATTCACGTGCTGCTGGTGGGTCATGCAGGAGCACGGCCGCGCTCTCGGGGCGTCCACCCCCCCCCGGGCACTCACTGGGGAACAAAGTCAGTTTCTTCGTCTGGAGCTTCACGCCGATCTCGTGCGACAGCTTGAACCCCGGCGTGCTCGCGAAGTCCCCGTAGTGCTTCGTCCAGTACGTCGGCGGCATGTTGTCGGGGATCTCGAAGGCCAGTGGCGCGAACTTGTGCTGCCCCGCGGCCAGGTGCATCGACGGCGTGCTCGACCCGGGGCCGATGATGGCCTGGTCCTCCGACGCAAACATCACGCACTTCCCGGATATGTAGTGCGTCTCCGTGCGGCTGCGCCCGTTCCCCGCACTTGTGTGCACCGTCACCTGCGCCGAGGGGGGGGGTGTCGAATCGACGGCACCGCCAGGCCGGCGAGCACCGAGCTCGCGCGCGCTGGCTCGGGGACGCGGCGGCAGGTCGCACGCAGGGCCCGCTCGCGCACCGTCCACCTCGTCCGCTGCATGACGCGGTATTGAACGGTCAGTGCCACCACGTCCGTGGGCCGCACGATGTCGACCTTGACCGAGGCCCGGATGAGGTCCCCAGGCATGACCCCGCGGCCCTGGTGGGAACTGTCGGTCGAGACTCGGTCGGCGTCCACCCAGATGGTGCCGTACTCAGGCTCCGAGCGGACACACACGGAATGGTCGCACGGGTCGTACGCCATGGTGTCTGGGTTTGCGTCCTCACGTAGCCCGATACCTGGGCGTGCTCGCGATGGTCAACTATGGGCAAGACCGTGCGATGCGCGGCCGGAACCGCCCGTTGCACAAATGGTGGTTGCAACTGCCGCAGCGGCCCTCCTCTGCAACAGCGGGAGCCGGACCAGCGAGCGTGCGCCGCGTGAGATGCATGATCCGACGAGTCAAAGCAGCCGTCTTTCGAGACAATCTGCAGCCGCTGACGGCAAGAGCAGGGCTCGAGTGCACTGCGCGAAAGGTGGGGTGGCGCTTCTGCGGTCAGCGCGGGGCCCCGAAATCCACACACCTGCGGAGAGCTCCGCTTCTTGAGTTGACAACAGGCCGAGACGGCGCAACGGCGCAGTGGCGCGCTCCTCCCGGCGGCGCACGTGCTGGCCTCGGTGCTCAGGGCGGGTCGCGCGTTTGCTTCAGGACCATGGATTGCGCAGCCGCGGGGCACACCTGCACCTGGATTGGGGCCGTTCGTTCCATGACCGCCCCTTGAGGTGCACGCGAGGGTCCACAAACGCGCCTGTCAGCCAGTATGTCAGACTTCACGTCTGACACCTCCCGTCAGCGCACGCAGGCGGTCCGGCCGATCTCCGGGCTCCGGGCGGGCACCATCTTCAACGCAGCTATGGCAGGGGGCAACGGTGACCCGCGCCGGGCCGCCGCGGTACAACTTAGGGGGCTGACAGGCGGCGCGACACCGCCGGTTCCGACCCCCACCACCGCAAGTGGCGTCCGCACGGCGCACACGGGGTTGCGGGACACGTGAGGGGCCGGGCACGACAGTCCGCGGCATGCTTGTGCGTTGCAGCCGAGGCCCAGACTGCACAAGTACAACAACTGCGCAGCCGCAGCGAAGGATCACCCCCCTGGGACCCACGGTGCCCCGTTGCGTGAGAACAGCGACCACACCGCAAAGATACAGCAGAGGTCCGTCACATCGCGTCACCGTCTCCCGCCCTTCTTGCGCCGCTTCCGCCCGCCTCCCTCGCGCCGGCCGCCACCGGGCCCCTCCTCCGCCCCGGCGCCCTCCTCCGCGGCGGCGTCCACGGCCTGCATGTTGCGCTCGATCAGCGCCATCAGGTCGTCGTCGGCGTCCGCCAGCTCCGTCGACACGTCCCCCTTGCGCTTCCTGCTACGGTGCGACCGCAGCACGCGAGACATCCGCGCAGCCTCGTCGTCGCCGTCGCCCTCGCCCTCGCTTCCGCTGCTGACGGGTTCCGGTAGGCTCTCGTCGGAATCGCCCCCCCCGGGGAGTGATTCGTCTCCGTCACTCCCCTCCTCCTCCAGCGCTGCCGCCCCCTCCGCGCCCGTCTCCCACTCGCCCTCGCTCGAGTCGCTGCCGTCGTCCTCGCCGTCCGCGCTCGACCCGTGGTCCGAGTCCTCGTCGTCAGACATGGCGTTCGCCAGGTCAGCGTAGTCATACCCGCCCTCCCCGTCAGACGCGCCGTCCTCCTCCCCGACGCCCCGCACCTCCGCCCTCTCCGCGCGGTCCAGGAACGCGTCCTCCTCCTCGCTGTCCGACCCGGCGCCCGCCTCCGCCTTCTTCCGCTCTCTGCGCGCCTTCTCTCTGGCCTCGCGCTTGGCCCTGACGCTTGGTGTGTTGAGGTAGCGGTGCAGCGCGACGTCCGCGGCGTCGACCTGGCTCTCCGCGAGCGCCGCGAAGGACGCGTGCGCGACCGTGGCCAGGCTCGCGCTCGCGTCAGTGCTGCGGAAGGGCAGCGCCGCCTTCGAGCCGCCCGCCTTGGCTTTCGGCTTCTTCGCGATCATCTTGTCGAGGAACGCGGAGAGCGAGAAGTCCCGCAGAGGGTCGCCCTGGTACACGACGTTCGTGCCCGACAGCAGCGCCCGCGCCATCGCCGCCACCGAGGGGTGCGCGTGCCCCGCGAGCGCCGAGAGCTCCCACATGCACGTCCGATCCGCACACGCGTGCAGCGGGTCGCGCTTGCGCATGTCGTACGTCCCGGGACGCGGCCACAGCTCCGCAGTCGCCCGAGGCGCCTCCCGCCGCGCAGCACCATTCGACGCAGGGTCGTCCGAGTCGTCCTCGTCGCGGAACCGCTCCAGGTCCCCGTCGGCGCCCTCCTCCCCGGGCTGCGTGATGAGGTTCCACAGCGCCGGGCGCGCCTTGCACAGCTCCGAGAACATCATCAACGTGCCGCACGCAAGGCCGGGGCCGTTCGCGGCCGCGACCTGGAGCATGCGCTTGACGAACGCCGCGGTGCGCGGCACGCTGACGTCGGCCTTGAGCGCCTTGAACAGCAGCGAGAGGCACAGCGGCAGCTTCGACGAGGACGCGAAGCCCGGGTGCAGCAGCGCCGCATACAGTGCGCGGTAGAACCGGTCCGACACGGCCGTGCGCGACGACATGGCCTGGAACAGCAGCGTCAGCGCCTGCACGCCCACGTTGAAGCTGCGCGCGTGCGCCATCTTGTAGATGGCCCCGGAGTACTCCTCCAGGATAGGTTCTACCTCCTCCGCCGCCACGTACGGGAACGCGCGGTTCAGCCCCGTGAGGATCGCCGAGAGGATCCGCGCGTCGATCTCCGCCGCGCTCTGCTTCGCGCCCTCGCGCACCGCCGCCTGCGCCTTCCGCAGCTTGGCGCCGCCGCCCGCCGCCTGCGCCTTGGCCTCGCGCGCGTCCTGCTGCGTGCGCCCGCGGCCGATGCGGCCCTCCACGAGGAGCGCGAAGAGCGAGAAGTACACCTCGACCAGCTTGCGCGCGAGCTGCGGGCCGCCGCCGTCCGCCTCGCGGTGCGACAGCACGATTTGGCTCAGAAAGATGACGGCGTAGTAACGGGCGCGGTCGGGGAGGCCCGGGCGGAGGACGAAGCGCTCGCACTCGCGCACGACGACGAGCTTCATGGACGGGTGCTCCGTCACCAGGCACGACAGCATGTAGGACGCCTTGGACGCGACCTTGCGCGCAGGGTCGCCGAGCTTGTTCACCAGGACCGCGAGGAGCTTGACCTCCTGCTCGGGCTTGCTGCACGCAGCCACGGCCACCGCGCCGCGTGAACGGCGCCACGCACGAAAAACAACATCCGCACGAACGAAAATCATCACGAGACAAAACAACAAATGCATGACAACGGCACGCGAGCGCGAAGGGGGGGTGCGCGGGTCTGCTCACTTCGCGAGCAGCTCGTAGACGCCCTTGATCGCCTTCTCCTTGACGTAGTCGATCCCGTCCACCGTCGCCTTCTCCAGGCTCTCCACCAGCAGCGCCACGCGCCGCTTCAGAGACTCCTCGAACGTCATGTACAGCAGCCACCGGTCCGCGTCGCGCCGCGGAAGCTTCTCCAGCGCGCCCAGCGGCTGCTGGTCCAGGAAGCGCAGGTGCCGGTCGGGCAGCAGGTGGTCCACCAGGAGCTCGGTGAGCGTGGCAATGGCCTGCGTGGCGGCGCTGCGGCCGCCCTTGCTCCGCGCCACCCTGCAGCGGACGAGCGGGGCGCCGGCGTGAGCGCACGGACGTGCCGGAGGGTGCTTCGGGGCGCGTGAGAGAAGTTGTCGTTGCGATGTATTTCTAGACGTGCAGATACATGCAACATATGTCTTTGTGTGTTTGTGTGTGTTGGTGCTCGTACCAGCCGATGAGCATGTCCAGCGAGCGGAGGTTGGCGACGGGGGACTCCTGGATCACGAGCGCCGCGGCGGCGAGCTTGTCCGCGCTCGTGCCGGACTTGCGCGCCGTCGCCAGCCACCGCGCGTCGCGGGGGTTGCGTCGGTGCACCGCCGAGTCAAAGGACGCGGCCTCGGACTCCAGCAGCGCGTCGCCGCGCGTCCGCGCGGCGTCGACCTGGTCCTGCGTCGGCGGCTGGCCTCCTCCTGCGCGAACCGGCGCGGTGGGGCGCCGCTGATGGACCAAGACGACGGCACTGCCAGGGCGGGTGGTGCGGGTCGTCGGGCGCGGCGCCGGCGGCGCGGAGCTTGCCGCTGTGAGCTCACCTTCGGGCAGCGGGGGCAGCGCCTCGACTGCGGACAGCCAGTGCGACGGTTCGTCGCTCCCCAGGAGAGGCCCACCAGTAGGGCGGGGCCCCGCGCCCTCGTTCCAGCGCCTCTTGGGGGGTTTCCCCGCCTCTGCAGGCGCCTTGCCATCCTCTCGCTTCCCCGCGGGCCCGCGGCCGTGAGGCTTCGCCGCGGGCGGGCCGTTGCGGCCGCGCTGCGGGGCAGCCGCCGTCCGCTCCTGCTTGCGGGCCTCGCCGGGACCGCGTTTGCTGGCGGGAGCGCCGCTGTCTGCCGCCGCCTGCTTCTTCGCCTGCGCCTGCACCCGAGCGACGGAACGTTGCATGTGAGAGGTCGCGGTAGAGGCGCTTTCGGCATCGTTTTGTTTCACGGTCCTGTTCTTCCTCCGTGGCGCCCGTGCTTGGCGCTTCTTCGGCGTTCGGGGTGTCGCACCTGCTTCTTCGGCGCAAAGTCATCGAATTCGAATCCGTCTTCGCCTCCGGCGCCCCCCAGGCCCAGCTTGCGCGCCACGTTACTCACTTCCTCCGAGAGCTTCTTGGCGTCGCCCCCCTTGCCCTTCCCCTTGCCCCTGCCCGCTGCCTCGCTCGTCGCAACCATACCTCCTCAGCACGCCATGCGCTCCGCAACCTGCCCGCCGACCAGCCCAGGCCTGCTGGTGGATCTTCAGACCTGAATTCCCTTCTCCCGGCGCTCCACAGACGGGTGCAGATAGAGCCCCCGAGCTCCCCCGGACGTCCAGAACGAGCGTGCACGGCCTCCAAGCGCGAGCACACGCCGCGCACGCACGCACCTTCGACCACAGTTGGCAAAGTGCTGTCGTGGGGGTTGTGCACAACCCAACACACGCACTGCGGGTCGGACGAGATCGCGACCCTCCGCCACTGTCGAGCGAGAGACCACGGCGCGCGGGAGTGCCCGCGTCCCGCGCTCCTGCGCACACTTCAAGCCGCGGTGGCACACGCGTGTCAGGGGGGGGGTCGAAGCAATCGATCACAACGGCGACGACGACTTCGCACGTCGCAACTCGCTCAGCTCTTCCGCAAGATGCCCTTTCCCCGCCCCCCGCGTGGCCGGACGCCCCGCTTCCGTCACCCTGCTGCGGCGGCCCCCTCCGCGCCCCGCGCCCCGCCCTCGCTCACTTGCGCAGCCGCGCTCGCCGCCCCGAGCCCCGCGGCGCGCCCGCTCACCCACGCGTGGTAGAAGTTGAACCCGCCGATCCTGCCGTGAATGTCCACCACCTCGCCGCACAGAAACACCCCCGGGGCCATCCGGCTCTCGAAGCTCGGCAGGTGCAGCTCCGTCAGCGGGACGCCGCCGCCCGTCACCTCCGCCTTCGTGTACCCCGCGTGCCCCGTCACCGGCAGCTCGTACGCCGCCAGGGCGTCGAGCAGCGCGTTTCGGCTCCCCTTGCTCAGGCCCGCCAGGGGCTGCCCGCGGCCGTCCCCGAGCCCCGCCGCCGCCGCCACGGCCGTCGCGAGGCGCGAGGGCAGGTGCAGCTTGAGCACCTGCGCCACGTCGCGCCCGCCGTGCCGCGCCGGCGACAGCCGCGTCGCCCACTCGTCGCGCGTGGCGCCATCCCACGACACGCGCAGCACCGCGCCCTCGCCCGCGTCCTCGCGCGTGAAGTTCTGGCTCAGATCCAGCACCGACGGCCCGGAGTACCCCTTGTGCGTGAACAGGAACCCCGTGCGCGCCGCCTCCACCGCCTTCGGCTTCTTCTTCTTTTTACCCCCCCCCGGACCGGCGTCCTTCCGCGGCGGCGTGCACGACAGCCGCACGTCCGGCAGCGTCAGCCCAGGCAGCGGCTCGGGGCCCGGGTGCGCGCCCAGCAGCGGCGTGAGCGCCGGGTACGGCGGCACTGCGGTGTGTCCCAGCGTCTGCGCGAGGCTCAGCGCCGCGCCGTCGGTGCCCACCGCGGGGCACGACATCCCCCCCGCCGCGATCACGACGCTCCGCGCCTCCACCGTGGACCCGTCCTCGAGCGCCACGCGCCAGCGGTGGCGCGGCGCGTCGACGCCGGTGATCGACGAGACCGAGGCGTTGGTGCGGATGGCCGCTCCGGAGCGCTCGCAGGCGGCCTGGAGGGCGTTGCGGGCGTCGCGGGCCGAGTCGGTGGCCGGGAACCACTTCCGGGTGTCGGGGTCGGCCTTGATTTGCAGCTTCAGCGCGCTCTGGATCCACGCGAGGCACGAGTCGAGGTCCCAGGAGGAGAACGCGGCGCGCAGGGCGCTCCGGGACGCGTCCGAGAAGAAGTCGGTCTGCGAGCGGGCCGGCACGGCAGCGCTGGGGGGACCGTCAGACGCGCATGCGGCGGCTGTTCGGGTTGGCGACGTTGCAGCTGCATCGGCTCGACGCGCATGGAGAACACCCGGACCCCAAGCGAGTCAGTGCCTGGTCGGAGCGATTTCGGTCGGGAATCCTGTCCCGCGGGCCCGCGACGGGCGTTGTGCACTGCTGTGTGGCCGCACCTCCAGGTTGACCTCCATGGGGGCGATGTTGCAGCGCGTCCCGCCGGACATGAGAATTTTGGTCCCGCACTGCTTCATCCGCTCCAGAACGAGCACCCTCGCGCCCTCCTCGGCCGCGAAATGCGCCGCGCACAGCCCAGCGGCGCCGCCCCCAACCACCACCACCTGCGCCCACGCGGCTCGATCTGGCGGCGTGACATCCCGCACACATCGTCTCTGACTGCAACACTCCGCACTGCAACAAGCGGCGGTGCCGGCGGACCTCGCACTGCGTCGTCGGCCCGCTGCCCTCTGGTGCAGTCGCGTGTCCGCTCCTGCGCCACGTAGCGCGCGCGCTCAGGTCGCGCGTCTGCCCACGTCGTGCATCGTGCCAGGCTGGACGCTCGAGCGCCGAGCGCAGCCGCAGCCTCCACAGAGGCGCGCCGCGACACGCACCCGCCCCCTGCGTGCGCGACCAACACGCCGCCGCGCACGCCGTGCCGCGCACCTGCGCGATCGCCCGCATCTCGCCTGCGTGTGGCCCTCCGCGCCGCGCCGCGCCCCCCTTGCCCCCGCTCCGCCGCGCCGCGCCCCTCGACCGTCGCGGTCAGTCAGACCCCGCGCCCCGACCCACACAGTGCCGCACCCGCACGCCGCGGTCGCTCCGGCGTCCGACGCACGCGGCGCACGGGCGCGGAGCGGGCCGCAGTCACCACGGCATGCCGGCGGCGCCGGCGCACTCGTGCCCGGCAACGCCTGGCTGCGGCGTGCCGTGGGAGCTGTTGACACGGGCGGGGCGTGGCGCGGGCGGTGCTGGCTGCGTCCACGCGCTGCCCGGGGACGGCCTGGCGGGTGCGCGGCGCGGCGGAGCGGCCTGACGGGCGCTCGGGGGGGCGCGGGGGACCCGGCGCGGGCAGGTGGGTGTCACATCACGTGGGCTCGCCGCGCGTGGCTTCGGCTGTGGGAACGGATCCGCCCTGGCGCCACAGAGGCATGTTTCCACGTGCGTTACCAGGGATGGCGCGTCTGGAGAGAGAATGACCTCCCGCGGTGTGTTGGCGGCCCGGTGGTAGTAGGAGGTGCGTGTCAGCATAGAGGGCCCGGCGGGGCGGGCGGGCTCGTTGGGCCGTGCGGCGGTGCTGGTGCGGCAGCACGCGTCGTTCGTATCGTGACCAGTGGCGCAGAAGTGGCACTCGTGGACAGGGCAGCGCAGCGTTTCCGCACTCGTCTTTTGGCTACTGAGAGAGGACGCGAGAGGGCTGTGCGACGGCTGGACGCCTCGGAACTCACAGGTAGGGATCCCCTGGGTAGTGACACTGTCCGTGCGCGGCGTCGCGTGCCCTGTGGGGCGCACAGGAGCGTCTCCGCTGCAGGGATTCGGTGGCTATCGCTTTTTCCAGCGGCGAACGATCCCGTGCGTTTCGGTGCCGTGCAGGTCACTCCCGGGCCTCCCCGGCTTACATAATCCCTAGAAGGAACTCTCGATGGGCAACTCGTCGAGCCGTTCGCACGCCTCGGACGATGGCATCACGCCAGGAGGCTCCCGGCGCTCGGTGACGGCGCCTCACACCGACCTGGCGCCCCCCAACCGGCGTCCTAGCGGAATCTTGACCACGTGGAAGGCGGACAAGTCGCGGCAGTTCGTGCTCAGCCTCGGGCTGGAGAAGGCCGAGGACTGGGCCGAGCAGATCGAAATTCGCAACATCACGGGGCAGGCAAGTCGCCGCGGGCCCGCCCGTCGCCTGGAATACACCAGGCTGTCCGCTCCGTCGTTCTCGGCGCCGCTCGCCCGCGATCCGGGCCCAGCGCCAGCGTTCGGCCGAGACTCGTTTCAGCGGCGCACGCGTCGTGTCCGCCACCAGCGCCGCGACCACGCTCAGCAGCGACGTTTTCTCGCGCCTAGCCATCACTCAGCCGCGCCGCTCGCCCGCGACGGCGCCCAGTTACTCGCCGCGGCTCACAGCCTTTGACACCCTAGGGACGACCGCAGATGCTCAAGGACTGGCTCGAGCTGGGCTGCCTGGAGCACCGCATGAAGCAGCTGCCCGTCTTCAACTCCAGCGACTACAAGCTCATCGAGGAGGGTCTCCGCGAGGAGGTGGAGGTGCGCACCGCTCCTGCCGCACCTGGCTGAGCCCGCCGCGCGGCCCGAGCCCCGCCGTTCGCGCCGCCCCGACGCCGCCCACGCCCACAACGCCCCGCTGCGCCCTCCCGCCCCGCAGGGCATGGACGGCGTCCACCTCGTCGAGCTGCGGAACGTGGGCAGGAGCGTGCACAACACCTGGCCGCGCGGCCAGTCGTCGCAGGACCACGTCGTCGACCCGACGTCCTCCGAGCGGCCCGGGGCGCGCCGGCAGTCCATCATGGGCGGCAACGACAACGACTCGCAGAGTGCCCGGGCCCTCGCCCAGCGCGTGGCTGCCCGCGTGGCGCTCGACAACATCGCCAGCGCCTCTCCGACCGTCTCCCGCGCGACCGGCATCTACAAGGAGGCCACGGGCAAGGGAGGGCGGTCCGGGTGCGAGACGGATCCGGGCGCGGACACCGCGTCCAGCGCCGCGAACAGCGGCCTGTTTGCGCCCGCCAACTCGGGCCACCGCGCGCGCGCCTTCGAGGGCGCGTCGCGCCGCCGCGGCGGGGCCGCGCCCGCGCTGCAGGCGCAGACGGCGTAGTACGGGCGCGCTCGTCCGCAGCGCCACCTGCGCGCGCGGTGTCGCGACCCCCCCGGGCCCGTCGGCTTGGAGGCCCTGGTTTTTCTTTGTAGTTCGCTCCCGGACCGCTGGTCGCGCAGCTCGATCTTCTGCGACCTCGCCCCGCGCGCCCACCGCGCGGGCGCGCCCGGCGAACCGCGGCGCACCGCTCAGGTTGCTTCCACACCAACCGCCGGCAAGCTGACGCCTCGGGGCGCTCGGCCGCGGCAATTCTCCGATGCATGGGCATCCGGGCGCTTGCTTTTTTCAGTCCCCACAGCCACACAAGGCGCTTTCCTCCACATGCCCTTTTAAGGGGGCGTGCGTCTTTTTCCCCGCACCTACAATCACCGCCCCCCGCCTCCCGTGAAAAGCCACCAGCTTCCGTTACTGCCGGGCGCTTGCGAGGCCTGCGTCCCTACGTTGTGCCGATCGCAACCCCGCGTGCCGTGCACCCCCCCCCTGCACCCCGCACCCGCGACCACCCGAGACTTTGAGAAGCCTCCACCAGGACCTGGTCTCGTACACCCCACCCCCTCCCCCCCCCCCCCGCCCCTCTTACCTGCTCCCCCACCCCAACACTCGACAGTATGGCACAAAAGTAGTTCATTTTGCAGCACCTTCTCTCCTCCGCCACAGATACGGGTCAGGGGCTCGTCACGCCCAGGCGACTCGTGTGTTCCCCCCCGCGCACGTTTCCGTGGTCCGTTTCCACCACCCAGTCCCTCCTCCCCCGGAAGATTCCGCGCCCCGTGCGCCCCACTGAGCCCGTTACTTCTCGCGTCCTGGCACAGCAGTGTCGTGCGAGTCACGGCGCCCCTGCCGCTCAGCAATCTCACCTGCGCCCGTGGAAGGCGCCATGCATGACGGCAGCCAACACGGCGTTCAGTTCCCACGCAGGGCCCGGCCACCGCGGCGGATGGGCGCGCTCCATGCACGCCCAGTCTTTGCCCCACTTGGATCCAGGAGGTGCCAAGTGTCCGCCAGGCCGGATCCGATGTAGACATCCAGCTCAATATAACGCCAAACCAATAGCGACAAGCGTAGCGCTGCGATAAGGACCTATTTCGATGTGACGCACGCCAGGACGCCCGCGGCCGCCGCACGACTCGCACTGCCTGCTCGGTGTCTTCACCCTGATCCGCTGCGTGTATCCCATCTGCCGTACTCCTTTGGTCTCGTACGCCCGCGAAATGAGGGCGGGTCGTGGGTCTGAAGCGCAGTGCTTGCCAGGCAGTGCTCAGCGAGGGCGTTTGTCTCCGAGGCAGGGCGTCCCAGCCGGCGCCGGCACGCACACGGCTCTTCTCGTTACAGCGCAGGCTCTGCTGGCGAGTGCCGCGGGGAGATAGCGCCCTAGTCACTGTCCATCATGCAAGGCGGCGCCCGGCCGCAAGGTGCGGAGCGGGACGGTCGCGCGGGTGTCTGAAAGGTCATTTACGCAGCCCTCGGCACTGCTCAGGTGCCGGCTGCGCCTGCGAGTCAACGGCTGGGAAGACCTTAGCAGGAGTAGTAGTAGAAGGTGCGCGGGTGTGTGACGACTTACGAGGTGCTGGCCTCGGGTCCATGCGGGGCGAGGAGAGCTGTGACGTCAAGGGAAACGGTTGTTCGCGGCAACGGCCGTCACGCGGTGGGGGGACGGCGGCGCAGGGCGCCGCGCTGGATGGGCAAAAAGGGCCGGCCGCGCGCCGCGCGACTCACTCGGGCGCCGCGACCGCCATGCCGCGCTCCAGCTCCGCGCGCCGCGCCTCGATCTTCCGCTGCAGCGACTCCGACACCGGTTGGTACGTCGGCGGACACGCCGCCCACTCCGCCTCCACGCGCGCGATCAGCGTGTCGAAGTCCTCCTTCAGCAGCCGGCAGCCCTCGACGGGCCCGGAGTCGTACACCACCTCGAGCAGGTCCTCGCCGTCGGCGTTCGGCGGCAGCGCGGCCTCCGCGGGGAAGGCCGTGGGCACGCCGTCGACCCGGACGACCTTGAGCTCCCCCGGGAAGGACGCCTTCGACATGTCCGTGCGGGGGTTCTTCATGATGTCGCGCCCCACGCCGTCCGGGCCCACGATGTGGCACAGCTTCGTCGCAAAGGACATGGTGTCGCGGTTGACCTTCTGCAGGAGGCCGCCGCCCATGCCGAAGGCCACGCACTGGAGGGAGAACTTCTCCGCGACGCACGCGTCGACGATGTCCGCGATCGTCTGCGTGTTGATCCCGTCGCCCTGGATCACGCCCCCGCCGTTGACCACCTTGCAGCCCTTGCTGTTGACCGTCGACCCGAACTCGCGGTCCATCGCGCGCAGCGCCTGCAGGACGCACTCCACGGGGTTGCCCGAGTCCGGCCGCAGCACCATGTACCCCCCCCGGGCTGTCTTCTCCTTGGCGATGGCCGGCAGGACGCGCTCCAGGCAGTGCACGTAGTCGTAGCTGTCGCACACGACGCTGAACATGCCGTCGCCGAACTCCGATATCATCTTGCGGAACGCCTCCGTCTCCGTCGGCCACGCCGTCATCACGCTGTGCTCTGCGCCGCACCGCACGCAAACGCAGCCACACGCGTCGCACGCGCGGCCCCCGGCACAGCGGACCGCGGGGGCAGCGAGCGGGCCTCGCACGCATCGCACGGGCGCAGCAGCGCGCACCTGTCGCGGGGATCGACGACCCGACGGGCTTGCCGCCGTTGAGGTGGAACTGGGCGTAGAACGCCGCCGACATGGTGTCGGTGCCGCGGAAGTTCAGGAGGTGCGCGCAGCCACCGAGGATGCTCTGCTCGACGGTCGCGCAGCCCCGGAACCCGAAGTCGTGCAGCGTCACGGACAGCAGCGGGTTGTCGGCGCCGCCGTCGACCGTGGCCTCGAACCCGCGCGCGATCACGGCCTTGGCGCGGCGGGAGGAGGTGGCCACGGTCGAGGGGTACCACACTTGCGTGAGGATGGTTTCCAGGAAGGTGACGAGCCGCGAGTAGTCGCCCTCCGCGGTGATCTGGTACACAGGCACCCTGGCGTTCGCGACGGTGCCTTCCGGGAGGGCCTGGACCTTGAGGGGGAAGTACCCGTTGTTCTCGCGCACGAAGCGCTCGAAGAGGTCGCGCGGCCACGGGAACGCGGTGTTCCCGGGCGCGAGGTGGGACCTGCAGGCGGGGTTGTGCGCGGGGCGGGGTCGCGCGTGTGGCGGCGGCAACGGAGAATGGCGGCGCGGGGACCGGGCGACGCGGCAACGTTGCGAGCGCGCGGGTTGGACGGGCGTCAGATGCGGGCCGGGCACCCCGCGCGGTGGTGCCAACCAGCAGGGCTCGTGGGCGCTCGCCACGGCACGCCAACACGAAAGACCGCGTCCAGAGATAGCGCCTGGAAGGGTCAAGCGAGTAGAAGCACGTGCCTCCACCGGCGGCCCGTCCGGGACCCGTGGGAGGCAGCCGTGGGCCAGTACTCACTTGTAGAAGGCGTCCGCCATTTCCACGTCTTGCATCGTCCACTGCCGGAGCAGGTAATTCTCGATGATGTACCTCATTCCGAAGCACACGAACCGCGTGTCCTCCACGTCCTTCTCGAACCCACGCCGGAACTCTCCGTACTGCATCAGAGGGCCCACCGCAACGGACCTGGCCGTGAACGCGCGCCCGCGGCCCTGTCGCGCCACGCTGGGCGCCCGCAAGCCGCTCGGTCGACCAGAACTACCCGCGGCCGCAACGTCGCGCCCTGCCGGGCCCGCAGCGACGCGCACGCGCAGACCAGCAACAGGGGCACAGTTGAGACAGGGCTGCCCGTATCTCACGCCTCTTTCGATTCTGGCGGCGGAGGGCGACCAGACCGCGCTGTCCAAGGCACACGGAACGCTGCGGACCGGGCGCGCGCCCCCAGCGGGCCCTGCGAGCGGCGGGGCGGGCAAGTGAGCCTCCGGGCACGCACCGCGACCATCCTCTGGGCCTCCGGGTACTGCTGGCAGTGGGTGGCCTTGTAGCTGTCAGCCAGCACGAAGATGGGTATGTCGGTCGGCCGCATCACGGCGAGGCGCGTCCTGCTGCGCTGTGCGGGCCGCGTCGCGCGAGGGGAGGCAGCAAGTGGCGTCCTGGCTCGCCCACACGTCGCTTGCGTCATCGCAGAGCCCGCATGAGGTCCGCACCTGCAGCGACCTTCGAAGCCAGCGAGCCGACGCGTCATCTGGGGGCCGCCGGCGCGCGCCGGCCCAACGGTGCGCGAGTGCCGTGAGTCATGGGGGGCGCGACACACCATCAGGGACCGACACCTCCCACCGCGAGTCCGCAGGACGCCGCATCCATCGCCGCGGCGTCCCGGCCGGTCGCAGTACTGCCCAGGAGCCGTCTCCGCGCGCCACGCGTCCGCACACGACGGCCCACCGGCAGGAACAAGGTCGCGTGTGTGGTGTGCAGGGGCCGGAGCCATGTGGCCGAAGCTGGCCCAGCTGCGGCTTTCTCCTGCATCTGAGTGCCGGAACTTGGCTTCCCGGGCGCGCTCGTCCCCGTCCGTCGCTGCGCCGCTGTGTCGTTCGGCTCTGTGGCCTGCGGGTGTGATGGGCGCGATGCTGTCACGGAAACGGGCCGCGCCCGACCGCGAGGGCTCCTCCTCGCCGGTCCGAAAGAGGTGAGCGCGCGGGGCCCCTGCAGGTCGCGCGCCCCGCGCTGGTCTGCGCGCAATTGCCGCGGCGAGGCTCCCTGGTGGTGACAGCTCGGCCGCCGCGGCGACGCGTCCACGGTCCGCCAGCGCGCAGCCCCTCCGGCGCCCGCGCATCTCCTGAAACACACCACACGCCGACAGGCTGGAACGCCCCGCACCTGGCCGAACCGCCCAATCTCACACCCGCACCCACACTGGCCCCACCCCTACGCAGCACGCGGACCTCGGCGACGCAGCAGTCCGCCTCCACGGTCGCCCAGGAGGCCGAGGCGGCGGACGCGCCGTGGATGCTCGTCGGCCTGGGCAACCCGGGCCCGAAGTACGCCGGCACGCGGCACAACATCGGGTTCGACGCGATCGACACGCTCGCCGAGGCGCACGGCCTGGCGTGGGAGAAGAAGCTCGAAAGCAACGCGCAGGTGGCGCGCGGGGCCATCCACGGGCGGCCCGTCCTGCTCGTGAAGCCGATGACGTTCATGAACGTGTCGGGGGAGTCCGTCAAGCCGCTGTCGAAGCGGCACGGGATCCCGCTGAGCAACGTGCTGGTCGTGTACGACGACCTCGATCTGCCCGCGGCGAAGGTGCGCGTGCGCGAGAAGGGCGGCCACGGGGGACACAACGGCATGCGGTCCATCATCGGGCACTTCGGGGGCTCGCACGACTTCCCGCGCGTGAAGATCGGGATCGGGCGGCCGGAGGCGGGGATGTCGGTGCCGGAGTGGGTCCTGGGGCGGTTTTTCCCCGAGGTACGCACCACCGCGTCACAGGACGCGACGGGCGGGTTCGCAGTCTTGGAATCGCGAACGCCGGCTCACCGCTGCCCCCAAAGTGCACGTCCCGTCCCCGTGCGTTCGCAGGAGCAGTCGGACATGGAGGAGGCGGTGCTCGAGGCCGTGGCTGCCATGGAGTCCATCGTCGGTCTCGGCGCCAACAAGGCTGCGTCAGGCCAGCGTCTGACCGGCCGTGGATAACCCCCCCCTCCACTTCGCCACGCGCCCCACCTCCACGCTATCTACATGTGACCACGATTCCGCCCTTCGTTCACACGCGCCCCAACGACGCCCCTCACGCGCCCCGCGTCGCTTTGCGCGAGAACGGGTTCGCACTCCCCCCGCCCACGTCCTGCGCGGCGGCAGCGGTCGCCGGCGGCAGCCGGCGCTTCTTCGGCCGCGGGCCGTCCACCACCGCGCCCTCCTCCGCGCCCTCCACCGACCCGTCGCGCCCCAGCACCTCGGTGTTCAGCTTGTTGGCAAGCAGCTCGTGTTTGAAGTGCACAGCCAGCTTGATCGCGCCCTCCACGGCGACAGTCGACGACAGCCGCGCGGCGATGTCGAATGCGAGCGCCGCGCGGTTGCCCTGGAGCGCCTCCTTGACCAGCACCAGCAGTGCGCGGTCCTGAGCCGTCTGCAGCTGCTGGAGCGCCTGCGACGCGCGGGACGCACAGGCAGAGCGGCAAGGTCGGCGGGCCAGGCAGAGACGCATGCAGGGTGCGGGCGAGCGCAGTGCGTGGCGATTGGCGGCGCTGCGCGCGCGCGCAGTGGTGTGGGTGTTGTGGGTGGAGAGGGGGGCGTCCGCACCACGAGCGCGGCGTCGGCCCCGCAGGCCGCCTGCGCCTTGGCGATCCCGCACGCGACGGCCGCGAACGCGCGCCGCTGGTCGGTGGCCGCCTGCAGCCCCGGCTGCGCCATCAGCGGCACCTGCAAGTCCAGCATCTGCTGCACGGGCGGCGGGTACACGCGCGGGAGGTCCTCGGGGCTCGCGGACTTGCAGATGACGGCGACCGCGTTCTCGCTCGTCACGCCGCAGATGAAGAAGTGCTCCTTCTCCGTCTTGCGCAGCGCACGCGTGTCCAGTATCGGGACGTAGGACTCCCCCCACTCCGCGGACCGCGCGCGCAGGACGCCGGCCGTGTCGTACGTGCACAGCACGCCGGCCTCGGAGTACCCCAGCCACGTCAGCTTCGCGCCCTTGGTCAGCGCGAGCGGGCCCGCGGACACCTGCTCCGCCCGCGCGACGTCAAAGGTGCGGCTCTCGAGGTGCTGCGTGGCATCCGGCCCGGCCGGCGCGCCGTGGAACACCGCCGTGAGGAGGTCCCCCTGCGCCGCGAGCGCCACCACCTCGCCCGGCAGGCTCAGCGTGGCGGTTTCGAGCCCGCCCAACGACAGCACGCGGAGCGTCCTTGCGGTGGTGGCGACGGCCACGAAGTCCCCGCCCGCGGCCACGCACACGGGCTCCTCGCCCTGCGGCAGATGCAGCGTCCAGTCCGCGGACGGCGCCCACGGGTCGAGCGGGCGGTACTGCACAGCGGCGGGCTGCTCATCGCCCTTCGCCCGCGCCGCGAACACGCTGCCGTGCTCGGCGAGGTCCGCGACGTGGAACCCGTAGTAGTCCGTGAACGGCGCGGGCTTCGTCCGGAACGCAATCGCGTCGTGGAACTCCACAGACACAGTAGCGTACGTGTCCTCTTGCAGCGTCGACACGGTGCCGAGGAGGTTGAACGCGAGGAACCGCCGACGCGTGTCCGGCTCCAGGGGGGTCTGCCCAGGCTGCGCCGCCTCCTGGGGCTTCGGGCACACGGCCAGCAGCTCCCTCCGAGACACCCCCGGGGCGCCGCCGCCGCTGCGCTTGGACTTCCCGCGCGCGCCGCGGCCGCGCGGGTCCAGCTCGTCCTCGTCGATGAAGTCCGCCATCGACCCGAGGTCGCTGTCGTCGTCGCTGTCCTCCCCGGCGTCCCCGTCCGCGGCGGCGGCCTCCCCGTCCGCCATGGTCCCTGCCTGGCCCTCCGTCGCCTGCGCCGCGGCCTTCGCGGGACCGGCGCCCTCGACGTCCTCCACGGGCGACGGCTCGCCGTCCGGGATCGGGTTCGTCCACACGCGCGCACCGCCGTCGAAGTCCCCCACGCACAGCGCGCTCGCTGTCGGGTGCCACGTCAGGGACGACACCACCGCGCCGCCGCTCAGCGCCGCGACCTCCTCCTTCGTCGCCATGTTCACGATCGACACCGCGCCCTTCCGGTCCGCCGCCGCCACGTACAGCCCGTTGGGCGACACCGCGACCACCCCCACGGCACCCCGCAGCGACTTCGCCGGCAGCGCGTCGCTCGCGCCCCACGACAGCCGCTCGAACACCAGCACCTCCGCCTCGCGGCCCGGCGCGAGCAGGACCGAGCCGTCCGGGTGCCAGCTGACCCGCAGCGCCTTGCCCGCCGCCGCGTCGGCCTTGGGGCAGGCGCCGCGGTGGCTGCTGACGACGCGGCGCTGCGCGATGTTCCAGAACTGGAGGCCGCCGTCGGCGTGGGCGACCGCGAGGAACTCGCCCTCGGGGTCGTAGGCGACGGCGGCGACGAAGGGCTGCGTTTCGAGTTCGCGGAAGACCTTGGGCGCCGAGTCACCGCCAGTTGGGATTTCAAGAATGCGCGTGCCCTGGTCGTCGCCCGCGCAGGCGAGGAACTGGCCCGAGGGCGAGAACGCGACGGCGCGCGCGGGGAGCGTGAAGCGCGTCGCGTTGCGGTCGAACGTGCACGCGGGGTGCTCGTAGACGCGGACGAAGCCGTCAGCACACGCAGCAGCTACGTGCGTGCCCGCGGGGTGCGCTGCGAGCGCGAGGACGGCCCCCTCCGAGTCGCTCGCCTCGGACTCGAGGGAGTCTTCCGCGAGCGTCGCGCCGCGGACGCAGATCCTGCGCGGGCGAGCGGGCGCGCGGAGCGCGGTGGGCACAGAGGGGCGCAGACGACGTGCGGGTCCGCGGACGTGGCGCGCCGAGGAGGCGCGTTCCGGCGTTGGCGCGACGGAGGACGCCGCTGTCGAGCTCCACGCGCGCGTACGCGGCCGCGGAGGCCCGCGAGAGACGCCTGGCGCGCCTGGCGGGACCCAAATATGAAATCAGGACTTCGGAGCGGGCAAGTTGGTGCGGGGCCTGTGGGCGGCTCTGGCGGCGCGGGACGCGGCGTGGGGCGCGGATCCACTTGCCTCTTGTCGTTGCCGCCCGTGACGATGCGTGGCTCGTCCTCTCCGGCGACGTACACGGCGTCTGCACCGCACAGGCCCTTCCCGTGCGGGTCCTGCATTGCGCGGACGTCGGGCCCTGCGGGGAGGAGGACGCCGAGGAGACGATCAGGGCCAGCTGCTCGCGCGCGCAGGCGCCAGAACGAGCGCGGAACGGGCGCCGGCGGGGCTGCGCGGTGCTGCGGCCCAGGAGGTGAAAGCGGCCCGCGGGCGCCGCGAGAGAGGACCTCGCGCACGTCGGCGCCGCGGAACGCAGAGATACCGAAGGCTCCTGCACGGAAACGTCGCGAACGCGTGCTGCGGGGCGCGCCATTGCGCACCTCCGGCGTCCGTCATGGCTGCGGAGCTTGCGAGCCTCTCTCCACCGCTCTGCGCGAACCCTCCGTGGAGCAACGCGGCTGCCCGGGGCCTGAAGAGTATCCACCGGCACGCGGCAGCTGTGCGCGCCGCACCTCGGCCGCGCGGGCCTTGTGTGGAGCGCGGCAGACGGTGCTGACAGCAGGGTGTCCTTGGCACAGCTGAGTACGTCGTTCTACCCGCGCCTGTGCCCCGAGGTGGTGTGCTCCGCGCGCCGCGGCGTGGCGGCAGTTCCTGGGAGTGCTTCGCGCGCATCGTCGCCCTCGTGCAGCGTCGGCAGCGACCACCCTCGTGCGCGGGCTTTTCTGGGGGTTCTTCGCCGCCGTGTGCCGTCTGCGGAGTCCGAGTCGATTTGATCTGACGCGCTCGACGCTCAGACGCTCATCCTCCTTTCCTCGCGCGCGGACATCGTCGTCGGCGTGCCCGTGGGCCTGCGCAAAGTAGCCGTGGGGGCGCGCTATCGAGGTAGGCGTCCCTGGCTGCTGCGCTGGCCCCACCGCGCGTAACCGCCTGACCGCGCGGCGTGAATCGTGCTTGTCTCGCGGACCCTGCCCCTCGATGACACGTTCGACTGCGTGGCAGGCTGTGAGCGCTGTCGCGTCGGTTTGTTTCGTCGTGCCGACGCGGCTTCGAGGGCCGGCAATCGCGTTACGGTCCCCCAACCGTCGACTGCATTGATGGCGACTTGAATCGCGGCACATGCCGGCTCGACACCCCTGAGCGCCCGCAACAGGCCACCTGAAGACTGTGCCAGGGATGCGGCCACCGGCGCGCGCTCGCGCAGCCAACAACGCCGTCGCGTGCGCTCCCCGCGTCATGCGGGCCCAACGGCACCGCTCGCGCGACGGACGATCGCGCGCGGCCCCGCCCCCCGCGCCGCTGCAGACGAGGGACCTCCCACTATGGCCTCCGTGTCGAACGCGTTCGACCTCCTGAAGCAGGCGGGCAGCATCCCCGTGGAGGGCACGAGCAGCAAGAAGAAGAAAAGGAACAAGAAGGGCGCCGCCAAGCCGAACGATGCCCCCCAGGCCGCCCCCGCGCCCGCGGCGCCCGTGCAGTCCAGGTAGCCGCCCGCGCCGCTCGGCGAGCCCGGCGCGACCGATCGGCGCGCCCCGCGCCGTACCGAGGTCCCGTCGGTCCGCTCTGCGCCCCTTGCCGATTATCGCGCCCTCACGGCTGCACTCGCGCACCATCGCACAGCCCTCACCTCGCCGCCCGCCCCGCGCCACCGCGACACCCCCCGCGCACGCCTCTATCGCCACAGCTTTCTATCGCACTCTCCCATCCGCCCCGAGGGCCGCATCTCGCGGACGGCGCCCTCTGCTCGCGTCGCGCGCACCCACACGCACCGCGCCTCCACCCGCACCGCGCAGGCCGACCGCGGCGATGAAGCTGACCGTCAGCGAGGCCAAGGCCGAGCTGGAGACCTTCGCCGCCGAGTGGACGGGCCCGCAGCGCACGAAGCTGTGGCGCGAGTGGTCACGTCAGCTGCAGGACCCCACCACGCAGGTCACCTACACAGCGCCCGGTTCCTCCGACGCCGTGCCCTTCTCCGCCGTCCTCCTCGACAGCGAAGCGCTGGACATCTCGCTCGAGGCCTGCGCGTCCGAGCAGCTCAGCGCCGCGGATGCCAACGCCCTGAGCTCGCTTCTGCAAGCAGCGCTGGGCGCGGACGTTGCGATCGCCGGTGCGGTCGACGAGCTCGCCGCGGGCGTGCTCCGGCTCTCCGAGGCGGCCTCGAGCGACGCCGTCGAGGTCGGCTCGGCGCGCCACGCGATCCGCAGCACGACGCGCGCTCTCCGCGGGCTGGCGCGTGCGCTGGCGGCGGCCCCGGGCGGCGCGGGCGGGCGGGACCCGGCGGCGCGGACGCGCGCGCTGGACCTCAAGATCGACGCGACGGTCGGCGTGATGCAGCGCGCCGCGCAGAACAACTCGTCCGTGCGCGAGCAGGCCCGTCTGTCGGGCGACCTGCTGTCGATGTACTCGGAGCGGGTGGCGCTCGCGTCGGGCGGGCCGAGCGTGCCGGCCGGGGTGCGGCACGAGGTGGCGGCCGACGCCCCGCGCGCCGTCGAGGCGATGCGCGCGGTGCTGTCCGGCGGCGCGGCGGGCGGCGGCGGCGCGAAGGCGGCGGCGGCGAAGAGCGAGGCCGCGCGGCTGGACCGCGAGGAGGCGGATTTGGTGCGTCAGGCCGCGGACCTGCAGCGGCAGCTCGACGGCGTGACCAAGAAGCTCGCGGCGGTGCGGCAGCAGAAGCAGCGCGTGTCGCGGCAGGGCGGGGGGCGCGGCGGCGCGGCGGCGGCGCAGACGCTGCCGATGCAGCTGGCCGGCGCGGACGCGCTGGACGCGGCGCTGCAGATCGCGGCGCAGGCGATGGGCGGCGCTGCGCCGGCTCCGACGACGGACGCGCCGCCCGTCGCCCCGGACGCTCTGCTCGCCGTTGTCGACAAGCACATGGCGCTCCGCGCGCAGCAGCTCGAGGAAGTGCGCTCCTCGCTGACGTTCTGCGTCGAGCGCATCCCGAAGGCGCAGGCGGCGCTTGAGACGGCGCGGCGGCAGGGCGCCACGGAGCTGATTCAGCGGCAGGAGCAGCACGTGCGGGATTTGGAGCGCCGCCTCAACACGGTGGTCAGCAACGCGAAGGAGGTGTGCAAGGGCGCGGAGAAGGCATTCAGCGCGCTCGAGAGCGCCGCGGGCGCGCTCGGCGGCGCCGTCCAGGAGGCTGTGCCGCGTTGCCACGCCACGCTGCGCCGCGTGCGGCAGGACGCGGAGAGCATCACGGCCACCGCGACCGCCGCGCTCGAGGGCCGCCTGCCCGCCGCCGCGCCCGCCGCCAAGCCCGCGCCGGCCGCCGGCGCCGCCGAGGCGGCCCGCGTCGCCGACCTGGAGCGTCAGTTGGCGCAGCTGGAGGCGCGCATTGAGGCCGAGAAGACCGAGTCGACGCCGCAGCGTGCGCCGAGGGGCAAGAAGGGCAAGGGGAAGGGTGGCGCCGGCGCGGCGCCGGAGGCGAACGGGGGCGGGGCCGCGGCGGCTGCGCCGGCTGCTGCGGTGGCGGCGCCCGCGGAGGCCCCGCCTGCGATCGAGAAGGCGGGGAGCGGGGTGCCGGTGGCGCCGGCGCCGTCGATGGAGCCCGCGCCTGCGCCGGCGAAGCCGGCGTGGGGCGGCTGGGGTGCGTCGGCGGGCGGGAGCAAGCCGCTGCCGCCGTCGGAGGGTCCGTCGCTGGCGGAGAGCGCGGCGATGGCGCAGAAGGGCGGCCGGCGCAAGTAGCTGGCGAAGAGAGACATAAAAGGAGAGAGAGAGGTCCAGACGCAGCGTGTGCGCGCTGCGACGGGCTCACTCGCTGCGCCGGTGCAGGCGTGTAATATACTATCAGAGGAGCATGACGGGGCGTGGGGGGGGGGAGGCAACTGTGTTCGCGGCAGACGTGGCCGCGGCCGCGTCCGGTCTTGACTGCCACCCGGGCTGGTTCCACGCGGCATGCCTCTTCGACACGTGTCGTCAGATCGTCTGATCGTTCATCGTACCTCTGCCTGTCCCGGCTCGCGCAACGGAGGCAGGATCCTCACAGCCCAAGCCAGATATCACGCGTCGCCAAGCACACATTACACGCACCCGCAGGCCCTCCGCCCCGCCCGCAACCAGCAGGACAGGCACCAACCCTCCCGCCGGCGTTGCTTCACGCCCGCGCCGCCGCCGCCTCCGACGCGCTCATGAAGAAGTGCTTCCCCGCCGTCAGCGCCACCTCGCGCCCGTCCATCACCACCCGCACGGGCCCGCTCCTGCCCTCCTGCGCCAGAAGCTGTGGGTCCCGCGACGCCACGAGCGCCTGCAGGCCCGCGAGCGCCGCGTCGTCGCACCCGCAGTCCGTGGCCACGGCGTCCCGCGCAAGCACCGCGGTCGGCCGGCACAGCACGAGCGTGCAGTCGGCCTTGAGGTTGAGGGCTGCGTCGCCAACCGACACCGCCTCGCTCGCGATCAGCGCGTGCTGCGGGACGCGCGCGCTCGACGGCAGCAGCGGCACGCCGATCGTGTCCACGATCTGGTCCGCAGCGCGCTCCGCCACGCGCGCCAGCACCTCGGCACACCCCCCCTGCGCCTCGTAAAACACATCCACCTTGTCCGCGGGCAACAGCCCCGCGGACTTGCGCAGCTTCTGCACGCGCGACGCAAGCTCGCGCCCGAGCCACGCGTCCATCAGCGCCTCGTCCACCTGCAGGTCCAGCACGACCAGCAGGTCCCCGTCGCCGTGCGCGTCGATGTCGGCCTCGGAGAGGCCCGCGGGGCGCTTGAAGTCGCGCACGAGGCTCACGTCGTCCTTCGTCAGCGCGTGCCCCTCGATCTCGCCGCCCCCGGCCTTGGAGAACGCCATCGCCTGCTCCGTCGTCCACCCCTTGATGACCTTGGCCACCTTGCCCATCTCCTTCCCGAGCCGCGGCCCGAGGGCGTTCCAGTCCGGCTGGGCGCGCACGGAGCAGTACTGCAGCTGGTCCGTCGTGACCTCGAGCGTCTTCACGTTCGTCTCCTCGCGCACGTACTCCGCGAGGCGCCCCGTGAGCGCCGACAGCAGCGCCGCGTCAGGGTGCACCAGCACCATGCGCCCGAGCGGCATCTTCACGGGCTTGGCGTGGCGCTCGCGGATCACGCGGACCTGCTCGATCACGCGCTGCATCAGCGAGACCGACTCGACCATCTCCGCGTCGCCGGCCTCGGCGGCCTCCACCTCCATGGGATGCACCACCCAGTGCACGGAGCGGGGCAGCTCCGGGACGAGCTGGCGCAGGTTCTGGTACATGTGCTCGGTGAAGAACGGCGTGATCGGCGCCATGACGCGGCACACCGCGAGCAGCACGCGGTACAGCACGCCGAGGGCCATGCGGCAGTCCGCCTCGCCGCCGGCGCCCTTGAGCCGCTTGCGGTTGTACCGCACGTACACGTTGGTCAGGTCGTCGATGAACTTGACCAGGTACGGCACCACCGTGTACAGCCGGTAGGCGTTCATCTCCTGCTGCACGTACGCCTCGAGGCGGCGCGTCGCGGCCTCAATCCACGAGTCCAGCACGTTGGGCTGCTCCCCGGCGTGCGACGTCGGCTTCGGCCAGCCGTGGTGGCCCGCGGGGACCGCGAGCGGCTGCCCCGAGTCCCGCTCGAGCCGCAGCGCGTTCTGCACGAAGAACCGGTACGCGTTGTACCAGGGCAGGAACACGTCCTTGACGACGGCGAACACCCCCTCCTCCTTGAACCGCAGCGTCTCGGCGCGCACGACGGGCGAGTTGATCAGGTAGAGCCGCAGCGCGTCCGCGCCGTACCGCTCGATCACGAGGTTCGGGTCCGGGTAGTTCTGCAGCCGCTTGGACATCTTCTTGCCGTCGGCGGCCAGCACGAGGCCGTTGCAGACGAGGTTCTTGAACGCCGGGCGGTCGAACAGCGCGGTCGACAGCACCATGAGCGTGTAGAACCACCCGCGCGTCTGGTCGATGCCCTCCGCGATGAAGTCGGCGGGGAAGTTGTTCTCAAACAACTCCTTGTTCTCGAACGGATAGTGCATGTAGGCGTAGGGCATCGAGCCGGACTCGAACCAGCAGTCGAAGACGTCGTCCACGCGCCGGAGGACGCCCTTGCCCTGCCGCGAGGGGATCGTGAGGTGGTCGATGAAGTGGCGGTGCAGGTCGTCGACCTTGGCGCCCGTGAGCTCCTCCAGCTCGGCCTTCGAGCCGACGACGACGACCTCCTCGCCGTCGTCCGAGAGCCAGATCGGCAGCGGCGTGCCCCAGAAGCGCGACCGCGAGATGGCCCAGTCGTGCGCGCTCTCGAGCCAGTTGTGGAAGCGCTTCTCCTTGACGTACGACGGCACCCAGTACGTCTGCTCGTTGCTCTTCAGGAGGCGCGGCTTGATCTCCTCGACGCGGACGAACCAGGACGGCACCGTGCGGTAGATCAGCGGCGTGTCCGACCGCCAGCAAAAGGGGTAGGAGTGGGTCATGGTGGAGTGGTCCACGAGGAGCCCCCTCTCCTTGACGGCGTGGATGATCGCCTTGTCCGCGTCTTTCACGTACATGCCCGCGAAGTCCGTCACGGGCGCCACGAACACCCCCGACGCGTCCACGGGGCACGGCAGCTCCTCGCCCTTGCTCACGATGCCGTGCGCCATGCACACGCGGTTGTCGTCCTCGCCAAACGCCGGGGCCTGGTGCACCACGCCCGTGCCGGAGTCGTCCGTGACGTACGCGTCGCCGCACACCTTGAAGCTGCGCCCCTTGCGCTCCGCGTAGTACGGGAACAGCGGCTCGTATTCCAGCCCCACCAACTCGGCGCCCGTGCACTTGCCCACCACCTCCCACCCGGGCTCGTCCGGCTTGCCCTTCTTCCCCTTCTTCTTCGTCGCGCCGGGGATCGCGCCGAGCCGGCTCTCGCCGACGACGTAGACGTTCCCGGTCTTCGGGTCCTTGCACCGGACGTACGTGAAGGCGGGGTTGACGCACAGCGCTAGGTTCGAGGGCAGCGTCCAGGGCGTGGTCGTCCACGCGACGAACGCGGCGCCGTCGGGGTCGTTCACGATCGGGAAGGCGACCATCACGGCGGGGTCCGGGACGTCCTTGTAGTTGAGCCCGGCCTCGAAGTTGGAGAGCGGCGTCGAGCACGCCGTCGAGTAGGGCATGACCTTGTACCCGCGGTACACGAGGTTCTTGTCGAACAGCTGCTTGAAGACCCACCAGATGGACTCCATGTACCACGGGTAGAGCGTCTTGTAGTCGTTGCGGAAGTCGATCCACCGCCCGAGGCGCGTCACCGTGCGCTCCCACTCCGACGAGTAGCGCATCACGATCGAGCGGCACTCCTCGTTGTACTTGTCGATGCCCAGCTTCAGGACGTCGTCGCGGGACGTGATCCCGAGCTTCTTGTCGATCTCGTACTCCACCGGCAGCCCGTGCGTGTCCCACCCAAAGCGCCTGCACTCAGCATGGCGGACGCGCGCGCGTGGGCGACCGAACGGCCGCAAACGCCCTTCCGGGGCGCTGCGGGAGCGAACACGCGATCGGAGGGCGCGTGCGTCGCCGCCGAGGTGCCGCGAGGCGGGCGGGGAGGGCGGCCGAGCGCCCCAGTGTGCAGCCGCCATGGTGGCCAGCGCGGGCGCGTGTTGCGTGCTGCGCCGCTGACCTGATGACGTGGTGGCCGTTCATGGACGCGTAGCGCGTGACGATGTCCTTGATCGTTCCGGCCAGGATGTGGCCGTAGTGCGGAAGCCCCGTGGCGAACGGCGGACCGTCGTAAAAGATGTACTCCGGCATGCCCTCCGTGAGACGGAGCTGCTCCTTGAACGCATCGATCTCGTCCCACAACTGCAAGGGCTCGCCGGGGCGGGGGGCGCGCGCGGTTTGCCACCAGCGGGCGAGGCATTGCGGGGCGGGTGTGGGGTGGATGGTGCACCGGAGGCGACGCACCTTCAGGACGACGGATTCCTCCTCGGGGAACGAGAAGTCCTTCCCCTCCTTGACGTCCTGCAGCCCCATGATGATTCCTCGCTCGCGGATCACGGCGACGCCCGCGCGGCAAACGCTCCAGCCAGGCCCAGCACCTCCCGTGCGGGGCGGTGAGCGCAGGTTTCGTGCGTGACGCGTCGCCACGGTATGGACGCGGTCAATCTGCGCGGAATCCGCGGATTTCCCGGCCCAAGAGCCCCGGACGCCGCGCTGAGGGGAGTAGAACACAAGCCACGCGTCAGGCGGCGCGGGCGGGGTCCGCGGCCCAGCTCAAGACGCCCCCCCCCGCACCAGCGACCCCCTCCTCGCCCGCACAGCCCCGGCGCACCACGCTCACCCTTCGACCCCCCGCGCGCTGCCTCCACAGCCCACATCTACGACATGGCACGCGCCTGCCAACCACGACACGGCCGAGCACTCCCTCACACTACGCCGCAGCGAGCCGCCGCTGTACCCCGACGCCCTCCATCACTCCTGCTGCCCGTCCCCCGCGTCCCCGCCGCCCCCGCCCCCCTGCCGCGCCGCCCTGCTTTCCCGCATGATTCTAGGCCAGTCCAGCTCCTTCCACAGCCGACCCTGCGGGTCCACCACCTGCACGCACGTCGACGGCACCGCGGCGCGCGTCGGCCAGCCCGCCCGCGCGCCGCACCGCACACAATCGCGGCTTGTGTTGCTCTGCAAACAAGCGCCTCGCACGGGCCGCAACGGCGCTCAACCGCACCTGCCACCCGGGCGACCCCGCGCCGCTGATCTCGTGGCTGTCCGTGACGGCGTCCGGGTCCGCCGGCGGGCCCTCGCGCGGCCAAAAGAAGCTGCCGTAGGCCTTCCCAGCGTTCTCGCCCTTCGGAACGACCTCCCGCAACCTGCGGGGGACCGCCAGCGGGCACGGCGCGATGTGATGTGCGTGCCGGGCCGCGCAGGGGGTCGCGTGGGGCGGATCGCGGGGCCTTGAGGCAGGAGCGGTGCATGGCTTGCCTGACGTAGGCCCCCGCGGGCCATGTGTCCTTGCGGAAGTCGAAGTCGATCCCGTGCTTGGGGAGCCTCCGGCTCAGCGCTATCACTGCGGTGCGGCGGCGGCGCGGGAGGGCGTGGGGTGCGAGCACCACGCAGGCAACGTGCGCGAGGCGTCACGCAGCGGCCTTGCGGCCGGCTTGCTCGCGGGTCATGCGGTACCGTAGATCGACGACACGAGGTGCGAATGCGTTCGGTCGGCCACGCTCAGCCTTGGCTCCTGAGCCGTGCGCTGTGCATCGTGGACCAAAATACGGCCGTGCCGGGCCGGGCACTTACAGCTCCTGGCGAGCTTCCTCCCCGGACCGTTACCCACCATCCTCCCGTGTCCCCGCGCCACTCCCTACTCGCAACACGCCTCCTCGCTGCACAGGCCCGCCCACACGCACGCACCACGGTCCCCCGTGCGATCGCGCGCTCTATCTCCGCGAACCTCCGTCGATTCAACGCCCAGCAGACTCGCACATCTAGGTCAGGTCGATTCCGGGGCCCACTCCGCCCCGCACCCCAACGATACGCTGTGGATCGCCACCCTAGGTCGGTCGGTCGGCATCACGTCAGCTTGAACGATTCAAGGACTCCCCGGGGCGGTAGCGGCGGACCACCCCGACGGCCTCGCTTCCGCACCGCGCCTCGGCCACGCGACGTCGCGTGCCACCTGCGGGGGCAGGCGGTCGAGGGCCCGCGTTGCCACGGAGGCGCTGGCCGGTGTCTCGGCTCATGGTGTTCGCTGACCGACGCGTCGCTCGCTGCTCACTGCGAGGGTGCTGTGACCGACGTAGCACTCGCGGCTGATAATTCACGGAGCTCGAGTTTCGACTGCTTTGCACCTCACTCCTCATTCGAGACTTGAACAGTTCGACAGATGAGACGCGCACCGCGAACGAGAGCGACCACGTGGAGTGCAGGTCAAGGCGGGTCGCGCGCACTCCGCTTGCACCACAGCGGTGGCAGCGTTCGCTCAAGCGGCCTCACATCGCGCGCGCTGCGTCGAATGCAGACGCGCCGCCGTTCGCCACTCCGCATGTGCGCAGCCAGCGCCATCGCAGCCCGCCCCCGACACCAACAGTCGGCAGCAAGACCTGCAACTATCTATTTTTCTACCCTCTTCCATTGCAAACCCCCCTCACGGCTGCCCCTGGCACCACGCCGCGAGGCCCCCCAGCGCGCTCAGCAGCTCCTCGGGCCGCTCCTCGTGGCTCAGGTGCCCGCACTGCTCCAGGCACACAGCACTGCACGCCGGAAGCCCATGCCGCACCAAACTCCCCGTCCGACATGGCTGGCAAATGCGGTCTTGGTCGCCGGACACCACCAGCGCGGGCACTGCGCTCGCGCGCACCGCCGTCAGGCACGCCAGCACCTCGTCCAGCAACAGTCCCCCCCCCGCCCGCCGCAACACCTCCGTCAACGCCATCTCCCAACCCTCCACGTGCAGCGGGGCCCGGTACTGCGCGAGCACGTCCTCCGTGAGCCGCGACGCGTCGTACCACGCGCGCCGGTTCGCCGCCTCGCCGACCTCGGCGCGCAGCAGCGGCCGCAGGATGCGCCACGACACGCCGGCCTGCGCCAGGGACCCCGCCAGCGACGGCACGCCCTCGCCCATCAGGCACGGGTGCAGCAGCGCGATCCCGATGACGCGCGTCGACGCCCCGCTCGCAGCCCGCGCGCCGTTCGCGCCCCCGGCCCGCCCCCACGCCCCCGACGTGCGTGCCTTGTGCGACCCCGTTGCCACCGCGTTCTCCGCGGATCCCGCGGACGACGCGTCGTCGTCGACGCGGTTGAACGGCCTGCGTTTGAGCGTGCCGGGCCGCGCCAGCCGGAGGAGGTTGTCGCGCTCCGTCGACGACCGCGGCGAGAGCGCGGTGCCCGCCGCCGACGACGCGGCGTTCGGGGACTGCGAGCCGCTCCCGCGCAGCCGCAGCGAGAGCTCGGCCTGCGGGCCGGCTGCGGCCGCGGACGCCGCGCGCCGGTGTTTCGGCGCGCTGCCGGTGGCGATGGCCACGGCGCGGCCGATGCCGGCCTCGAGGTCCGACTCGAGGTCCGCGCTGTACGATTCCGGTGCGTGCGGGGCGCGCTTGCGGCCCCAGGAGGCGACGGGCCGGAAGAAGCTCCGCGGCCCGTCGGCGGGCTTGGCCCGCGGCGAGAAGACGGTGTGGGGTGCCGGGAAACTCCCCCCCGGGGTGTTGGAGCCGGAGAGGCGCTTGTAGCCCGCCGGGGAGCGCACGACCGCCGCGATGCGCGCCCAGGCGGCCGCCGCGAGCGACGAGCTCGGCGCGGGCGCGTGCGGGGACGCTGCGGCGCTGCAGCGCGGGCTGTCGCGCCCCGAGCGGCCCGTCGCGCCGCTGCCGGGCGGCGACGGCGCGGCCGCGGCGGTGGTGACGAGCGCGAGCGCCGCGCCGTCGGCGTGTCCAGCCAGAATCACCTCCGCGATGTTGAGCTGCGCGCACAGGTCGAGTGCAATCCGCGCCTGCTCGTGGACGTCGTACGGCGTCTCGTCCGACCCGCTGGGCGCGCACGCCCGCACCTTGCCCGACGCGGGGTCGTGCTTGACGCCCCCGGGCACCACGCGCTCCGTCAGACCGAACCCGGGCCTGTCGAACGCCACCACCGGCAACCCCGTGCTGTCCGCGAGCGGCTGCATCACGTGCCGCCACGAGAACACCCCGCCGCCGAACCCGTGCAGGAGCATCACCGCGCGGTCCGTCCGCGCCGTCGCCGGCGCCCCAGGCACGCAGTGCGGCCTCGCCACCTTGACGTGCACCGTGATGCCGCGGCAGTCGAAGAATTGCGAGTCCGCGTCCGCCAGCTGCTCAGGCCGCTGGTCCCCGGCCCCGAGCGGCGCGTCCGCGATCCCCGGCGTCGTCGTGCGGCCCCAGAGCACCCACGCGTCCTCCCCCTCCTCCCAGGGGTAGCCGCAGCCGTCCAGGCCCAGGGCGCGGCGCTTGCGGTGCCACCAGATGGAGTGGTAGGCCGCGGCGAGGTGCATGAAGCCGAAGAAGCCGGACACGACGATCAGGGCGATCTGCGGGTTGTACACCGACCGGCTGAAGGTGAAGGCCAGCGCCTTGGCCAGCGCCCAGGCGACGCTGACGGTCGCGGTGAGCCACGCGGCGCCGAGGTAGGGGTAGAAGCCGATGGACGGGAGCAGGGCGAGCGCGTAGCTGATGCCCACGAGCGCCGTGCGGCACACGCTCAGCCCGACCAGATCGTCGAGGGAGCGCGAGAACTTGTACCCCTGCGTGCGTCGCGGCGCGGGACGGGCGCGTCGGCGGAGGTGCGCAGCTAGGGTCGCGCGGGATCGTGCGCGGGTGCGGCGGGCTAGCTGCGGCGCCGGCGCGCCGGGAGCGCACCTCGAAGCGCAGGTGCTCGGCGTCGTGCAGCTGACGATGCTCGATGGCGGCGAAGAGCCCGATCGTCGCCGCGAGGTCCGCGAGGCAGAGCATCCACGGCCCCATGGAGCGCAGCGCGCCGAGGAGGAACACCACGACGAACGCGAGCGTGCGCGTGGTGCGCGACAGAAACTCCACAGACGACGCCCCGCACCCCGCGAGCTTCCCGCACGCCGCGAAGCAGCCCCTGCGCAGCGACGGGGACGTGGGAACGGTCGGGGCCCGCCCTGGGCCGGAGACGCGAGCGGGGCGTCCGGCGTGCGGGGCGTCGGGCAACAACATTGCCGCCACCCAGCTGTCGCGCCAGGTGGCAGGGCTGCGGGGCGGCTGGCGGCGTCGCGCGGGCCCGGACGCTGTGGAGGCACAGGGGGGTGCGAGGGCGGCGCGAAACGGCGCCGCCTGGCGCTGTGCTGGCGCGGTGGACCCCGCGGGCGGCCAGCAGGTGGTGAGGTGAGCGGGGCCGAAACGGGCGCCGTGCGGGCCGGTGGCGGGGAGGGCGGGGTCGGGTCGAGATGTGGGTGTGGGGACGACCGCGGGCGGCGGCGCGGGGGCGGTGCGGGCCCGTGCGCGCGCGCAGGGCGACAGGTGGCGTTTGTGTGCAGCATTTTTTGGCTCGTCGCCGCGGGCGGACGGACAGGGCCGAGCGGCGCCGCGTCCGGCGCGAAGCAGGTAGATGATAGACTGAGGAACGTCTGACGCGCTGGCGCACGCTCGAGCGGCGAACAGGGCGGCCTGCCGGCCGTGTTCCGCTGCAGCACACCGTGGGCGCCGTTGTGGGCGCTCGCGCGGTCTCCGGGCGATCGGGCCGCTGGTAACTGTGGAGTGAGCGCTCAGGAGCCGCCGGGCGGCGCGCGTCGCGGAGGTGTGCGCCGCGCGCCGGGACACCTCGACTCCCTGTGGCTCATCACCTAAGGGGTCACCCACGGCTGCTGGCGGGGTGTAGACCGCGATGCGGCGCGTGTTCGGCGGGAGGCGAAGTAGACTGTCCCGCTTGTGGCCGAATACGCGCGAGAAAAAGCCGCGTCCGGCGCGCAAGAGGCGGAGGCTTCAGGGCAGGTGTGTCGGCCCTCCCGGGCGCCCCGGAAACGGGTTTGCGCTCGCGGTGGATTTTCGATGCAACCAGACCGAAGCCGTCCCAGCGGGGGGGTGCACGCGCCGTTTGCCGCACGCAATCGCGGGCCGCGGGCGCACACCTTGCAGTCCTCTGTGGGCGGCCCTGTTGCTCCGTGAACCTCCGGTACATGCCGCGATCGAAGTTGACGATCCGCCGGCCTCCTTGCCGCTCCGTGGACGCCATGGTGTACGGCTCCCCCCGCGGCATGCTCCGCCCAGCTGCTGCTGTTGTTGCGCAGCACTGCCCGCGACTCCCCGCGGGGCCTGCAAGCCTCCCCGGAACCTACGGTGCCGCGCTCATGTAAGCCCACCACAGCCAAGCCGGAACGTCGCCCCTTTCCTGGACTGAGACGCGCGCAGCCGCCGCCTGGACCTGCGTCGCACGCGGTGCACCCTAGCCACGCCTCTGCGCAGAGCTGCGGCGCGTCACAGTGGCCTAGGATGAACCTCGTCGCTGTGTGCATCGCAGCGGCGCGCCGTGGAGCAACGTCCGCCGCCCGGGCCGCGTCCCAGCGTGACGCTGCGTCCAAGCCCCACGCCTCCATGCGTCGGGGCAGCACCCCCCCGCCCCCCGCATCCGCGCGCTCCGTCCCTTCCGCACCCTCGGATCGCCCCAGCTCCATTCCCCACCTCAAAACCATCCTGCGCCGCGCCCTGGGAGCGCCTCTCTCGCGCGCACCCCCATCGGCTCGCATCCACTCGTGATTGGTCGCGTGGTCCATCACAAAGTGTTAATTGTTATACAAGCTAGAGATTCGACCGGGGCGAATTAGAATCCTCCCCACGCGAAGTTCGCCCCGCGCCGAGTAGCGCGCCCAAAAACGACCGGGGGAAGCCGCGGCGGGGGGGGGAAGCGCCGCACCCGCGGAGGGGGGTCGGGAGCCCGCGCGCCGCGCTCGGGGGCCGAGCCCGCCGGGATGCGCGCGCAGTGCGCGGAGCGACGATGGAGCTGCCGGGGAAGGACGCCCGCCGCGCGGGTGACGCGCGTTCACGGGCGGGCGGCGCGCTGGATGGGTCGCGGCAGGGGAGCGGCGGCCCTCCCGGCGCCGCGGGGCCATCACACTGCTGGGCGCGTCACACTGCCGCACAGCATCGCTAGCCGGATCACAGCGGCGCAGGCGACGGCCCACTGCGCAGGCCGTGTCCGGCACGTTTCAGCGCCGCGACGGCGCCCTCTACGGCCGCGAGGGCCTCGTCCGCGCGCACCGATGCCTTCGTGTGCTCCGCAGCCGCGACGGACAGCTGGCCCTGCAGCCGCTCGACCTCCGCGCGCGCAGCCTGGAGCTCGCCCTTCACCTGCGTCGCACCGGCGCGGTCGAAACCGGCGGACGTGTCGCGCCGCTGCGGGTGTTGTGCAGACCATGAGTCAGAGAGGGGGGGTCAGTTGCGGCTGGTCGCACCTGCGGCAGCTCCCGCACGGCCCGGTCGCGCTCGTCGGTCACGCGCGCCAGCTCGTCCTTCGCGGCGTCGCGTTCCGCGCCCAGCGTCGTCGCGCGGGAACGGAGAATCGCGGCTTCGCTGCGCTGCGCCTCCGCCTCGCCCTGCGCCGCCCGCAGCTCGCGCCCGAGGCGGTCGTTGTCCGCGCGGAGGGTCGCGCGCTGCCGGCTCGCGTCCTCCTGCTCCTCGCGGCGCCGGCGCGCCTCCTTCGCGGCGGTCAGGCGGCACTCCTCTGCCGCGGCTTCGGCGTCGCGCACGCGCCGCTGGAGGTCCGCGATGGTCTGGTCGCGCTGGTCCATGGCCGCCTTGATCTTCACCTTGGCCTCGTCGAACGTGTGCGTGCGCCTGCGGCCGGAGGGGGGCGAGCGGCGCGCCGCAAGTGAGCGCGTCGTCAACACACTCGTCACGCCCGCCACGCAGCGCGACACGCACGCGCCCGCCCGCGCCAGCGATGTGCAAACGGGGAGCGTACGCGCGGGCCCGGGGCGGGCTCGAGCGCCACGCTGAGTCAAGGCGGGGGGGGGGGTCGAAGCGGGGGCCTCACGACTCCAGCGTCTCGCGGGCCTTGTCCCGCTCGGCCTTTGCGTCCGCGACCCTCTGGTCCGCATCCTTCGCCGTCCTCTCCGCGCGCTTCAGCCGCCGTTCGAGCCCCTGCATGTTCTGCCGCGCCGTCTCGAGCTCCCTGCACACACACCAATGCACCGCCGAACGCTCATCACCCTCACGCGTGCGCACGAGCCGTGGCAGCGAAAGCGCGACGTGTGCGCAGAGCGTCGGCGCCGGCGTACGTGTGCAGCTCTCGCGCCCGCTCCGCCTCCGCCCGCTGCCGCTCCGCCTCCGCCTGGATCTCGTCCCGCTCCGTCGCCGTCCGCAGCCACTGCGTGTCCGTGACGCGCAGCTTCTCCGCGAGCCGTTCCGACTCTGACCGCGCCCCCGCCAGCAACTCCTGCAAGTCCCACACCTGGCGCTCCAGGTTCCGCGTCGCAGCCCACCCGCGCGCGACCTCGCCCTCGAGCTGCTCGCGCGTCATGCCGGACAGCGCCATGCCCTCCGCGCTCGCGCCCGGGGGCCGCGTGCGGCTGCGCTGCCATCCGGCGTCGCCCACGCCCTGCGTCGCGGCGTCGAGCCTCGCGCGCTTCGGATCCGGCAGCGCCGCCGCGTCCAGGAGGCCGCCGCTCAAGCCCTCAGTCGGACCGTTCGCGGCGACCCCCCCCTCTTCGGTGATCGCGGGGAGGCCGCGGTCGGTGAGGGGGCTGATGTGGTCGACCGGCGACGGCGGCGCGGACGCGGCGCCGCTCGGCCGAAGGTCAAGCGGCTGGCTCGCGCGTTTCCCCGCGCGCAAGCGCGTGGGGAGGGGCGGGGCACGGCCGCCGCCCCCGCCCTCCGCCCCGCACGCGCCCGCCACGGGCCGCAGAGCGTCCACAAACGACGCGAACACCTCCTGTCGCGTGCTCCCCGCGCCGTGCGGCCCCGCGAGGTCGATCGCCAGCGCCCCCGACCACCACTGCGTGCCTTCATACCCCCCTACAACAATCGCGCCCGGCTCCTCGCCCGGCGGCGCCGGGACCATGGCGTGCGACGACGCGGCTAGCCCGATGCCTGGGACGCCCGACGAGCGGCCCGTGTTCACGCCCGGCACGGGGCTCGGGCTCCGGCTGCGGTGGGTGCGCTGGGGGCCCGAGAGCGATGGCACGGCCGCGGCGGAGCCCGAGCCGCTCACGGGGACCCAGCGGAGCGCGGGGCAGGCCGCGTCCGGGCCCGCGGCGGCGAGCAGCAGGAGGTGCGCGTCGTCGAGGCGCTGGCGGGAGATGTCCGTGCCGCCGAACAAGAGCATACTCCCGGGGGGGACCGCGACGGCCCTGTGGCTCGAGCGCGCCGGCGGCTCCGGACCTGCGATGGCACGCGCACGGCGCGGGCCGGGTCGGGGGGCGGCGCGGCGGGCTGTGCGGTGCGTGAGCTGCGTGCACGTGCGCGCGTACTGCTGCGTGGCACGTACCGAGGACGCGGGTGGGTTTGAACCAGCGCGCGGAGGCGGGGTGGTAGATGTGGAGCGAGCCCGGTCCCGCGGAGCACGGGCCGTCCTCCCTGCGTCCGCCGAACGCGACGCACCACTCGGCAACGGCGGTGAAGCTGTGGTAGGCGCGGGGGGCGGGCGCGGGCCCGGGGGGCGCGAGGAGCTCGACGTGGCGGCGGCGGGTGTCGAGCGCGACGAGCGAGCCGAGCAGCTCGACGCTGTCGCCGCCGAACCCTCCGTGGATGAGCAGCACGTGGGGGTGTGTTGGGCTGACGCAGGCGCCGTGGGCGGTGCGCTGGAGGAGGGCGGTGTCGCCGGAGATGACGGGGCGGCGCCACTTGAGCGTGGTGGCGTCGAGGACGTGGACGTCGCCCAGGACCTGCGTCCGCAACCACAACGGCACACACGCGTGCAGATGACCAATCAGCAACGTAGGAAGCAGTCTGGACGGCGCCCCGGAAACAGGAACTCGCGGCCAGGCGCAGCGTCGCGAGTTTCCTCGCTGACGACTCCGCGAACCTGGCGGACGTCGCTGGAACGCAGCAGTGGAACAGGCAGTCCTCGTGGTATGATTTCTTCCTCCCAGGCTTGTGGTCCGAGAGAATCTGACAGGAGGTGGGATTCGCGTGCCCCCCGCGACCCACGAAGAAGAGGTGGTCGCGGGGGGCACGCGAATCCCACGTTCTGTCAGATTCTCGCAGACCATACGTGCGGGAGGAAGAAATCATATCACAAGGACTTCCTGTTCCACTGCGCCCCGAGGGCTGGTGAGGGCGCCGGTGCGGTCCGGCGCGCGTCCGGCGGCGAGCGCAAGCGCTTCTGCGGGCGTGGTGCGTCACGCGCTGCCGGCGTTGCTTGTGTGCGGGCGCGGGGGCGCGCCTGCTCGCGCGTGGCTCCACCGACGACCCAGATCTCCTTCTCGTTCAGCAGCGTGGCGGAGTGGTGCTTGCACGGCGTCAGCGGCGACCGGTCCTCCTCGACTGCGACAACCACCGCGCCCGTCGTTGTGTCCAGCCGCAGAACGTCCTTGAACCGCAGCTCCGCGTCGCGGTTCCCGTGGCACCCGCCTATGATGAACACGTCGCTGCCAACCAGCGTCGCGGAGTGGCCCGAACGCGCCAGCAGCGACCACCGCCCCGCGCTCCTCCTGTTGTTGCGTCCCTCCCCGAGCAGCCGCGTCCGCGCGCTCGCGGCCGCCCCCGCCGCGCCGTTCATCGTCATGGCATCGCTGAATTCCGCGGCGCGCAGGAGTCGCCCAGGGGCCGTCCTGGCCGCATACGTGCCGGAGCAGAGACACCGGCTGGCAGGGACCGTTCGCTGCCCCTCAGCGCCCCCCGCGGACGCGGCTGCCCCGCAGCGGCGGCCGCCCTGTGATCTGACCGGTCGGCAGGGCGCGCCTGGGCGGCGCCGGGCGGCTCAAGGGGTGCGTGCGCGTCGTTGAGAGGCTGCACGTCAACAGCTCGCCCTGCTGCCTGTCGCGGAACGCTCCGTCTGAGTAGAACGACCGGAGCGCCTCTGCACTCACGTATCGTGCAACCCTCTGCTGCGCTCCGGACGCGGGCGGGTGCAGCGGCGTGGCGAGCTCAGCATGCACAGCGCGCTGGCTCACGCTCTCGTCGCAGTCGGCGCTCGAGCTCTGCACGAAGGCCCACGGCCCGATGCGGTGCGTTCGCTCTGCACCGCGCCGCCTCGCGCGGTCCCAAAGAGCGCGCCGCGCGCGGCTGCGCAGGTCCCCTCTGGTGCCCCCCCGCCACCGGCACGTGTTGCGGCCGCAGGGCCGCGGAGCGGCGACCTTGCGGGTCCTCGCGGCGCTCTTTGCGGAGCTGCGGCTCGAACTACGCGAACGGCGCATCTCGTGCGCGGCGCGAGCGGCCAGGCTGCGCGCACGCCGCTCCCGAAGGCGGCACGTTTTTCGGGCAATCGCAGTTGGGAAACCTCGTCAACCGCACGACGCCAGCATTCACGGTCCCAGGCGGCCAGGACTAGGGTCGAGCGGCACGAGCCCCCACGGCACTTCCCGGACACCCGCGTCGGCACGCAGGCGCTCTCCGTGACCGGAACAACCAGCTTGCGAGGCCTCGCCGGCCCGACGTCGAGCATGTTGCGAGCTGGCCGCTGAACCCACCATGGTGCCTCTCCGTGCGCTGCTGACCCTCGCGTGGGCACTCCTGGCCCTCGCGTCCCCCGCGTACGGTGCGTCGCTCGTGTATACCCCTCCGCCGCCCCGCAAAGGCCATCCCAGGCGGCGCACCGGGCGAACGGGAGGTCGTGTTGTAGGGGGCACGGTGCACGCGTACGGGCTGCTGGCCCGTTGCGCCCACGGCGCGCCGAGGCCCGCCTTCCGGGCTCTTTCCACCATTTTCGTCGCCACGCGCGTTCGCCCGCAGCGCCCGCATCCGCGCCGGCGCGTTCCGCCGACCGGGCACCCCCCGTGTCTCCCGCCGCAGGCCAAGTGACGCCGCAGACGAGGCTCTTCACGCAAGCCCTCTTAGCAGGCGACCCGCAGGCTTGCACGGTGCGCCCAACGCCGCGATCCCCCCCCGCAGCTCGCCACACGCGGTGCTCCACCGAAGGGGTGCACCACCAGCACGCGCGGCGGCCCTGACGCGCACACCCACCCACAGCCCCCCCCGCGCGCGTGCCTGCAGCAATTCCTCACCGATACGGGCATCGGGGCCCTCGGACTGCCCCAGGCGGCCCTGAACCCTGCCATTGCGGGGGCGTTTGAGCCCGTGCAACTCGTGCAGCAATGGCGCGCACAGAACTTCGCGGTGCGTCCAACCCCCCACCGCCGATCGCGGTTTGCCCCGCGAGAGCCCCCGCCGCGGCCGGCGCCCCGCGCGCGGCCCCGAGGGACCGCCCCGCCCCGCGCGCGTCCCCCGCGAGCCCCCCTGCTGCTGTCTCCGCTCCCGCAGGACACGCTGATCTTCCTTTGGGGCAACTACGTGCCCCCGGGCGTCACGAACGTCACGCTCAAGGAGGACGTCAACGCCGCGGTCCGCAGCCTCGAGCGGCAGACCTTCGCGGGCGCGCCCTACTGCGACGTGGCGTGCCAGGCGCAGCAGCGGGCCGCGCTGCAGGCGCTGTACGTCGCCACCAACGGCCCCACGTGGGCGAACGACCGCATGCGGACCATCTGGGCCTCGGACATCCACCACTGCTGCTGGCCGGGCGTCCACTGCTGCACCGCGGTCAACACCATCCCCTTCATTCGCTACGACGGCACAGGGGCGCCCGCGGACCTGGTGGACTCGCGCATCCGCGCCCTCGGGTGCCTCCAGAAGGGCGGCGTCGTCTCGGTCGACCTGTCGCGCGCCGTGCGCGGCACCGACGCCGCGCTGCGCCGGCCCGGGGGCGCGCTCCCGCCGGGTGTCCTCGGCGCGCTGCGGACGTCGCTCGAGTACCTCAACCTGCGGGCGCTGGGGCTGACCGGGACGGTGCCGCCGGACATCCTCAGCGCGGCGTGGCTCCGCGTGGTCCACGTCGAGCAGAACCAGTTTTCCGGGAGCCTGCCCGAGGCGATGGCGACGGGCCTGGACCCGCTGAACCCGGCGTGGGCGGCGCTCCCGCTGCTGCGCGGGCTGCACGTGAACGACAACAGGTTCACGGGGCCGATCCCGAACTCGCTCGCGCTCGCGGTGGGCCTGCAGCGCGTGATGGTGGCCAACAACGAGTTTGACAACCTCCCCAGCACGCTGCCGGTGCTCCCCAACCTGCACGAGTTCGACGCCGCGAACAACAAGCTCACGAACGTCTACCAGCGCCCCGCGAACCTCGTCGCCGGGCCCCTGAGCGGCTTCGACCTCGACCTGTGGGACGACTTTGGCACCATCTACACCGAGTCCACGGGGCTGGTCAACGGCGTCAACCTGCGGAACAACGCGATCAACGACAACATCACGCCGGACATCGCGTTCCTGTCCTACTCGAAGCTCGACTGCGGCGAGAACTTCCTCGTCGGGTCCATCCCGCCCACGATCGGCCTCTCGCCGCGCGTGCGCGAGGTGCTGCTCGACAACAACGACTTCAGCGGGCCGCTGCCGGAGCCGCTCACGGACTGGAACATGGAGGTGCTGCGCGCCTCGCGCAACCCACGCGTCACGGGGACCTTCCCGGCCACGCTCCCGGAGGTCCTGACCCTGCGCGACGTGCGCCTGGACAACACCGCGCTGTACGGGCCCATCCCCGACGCGATGGGCGACCTCGAGAACCTCCAGCGCCTCGACATCCAGTCGACGCTCGTCACGCACGACCCGCGCAACCTCAACTCCCGCGGCGAGCCGCTGCCCGAGTGGTTGCGCTTTGACCCGTCAGGGCTGGCGCGCGTCACGGTGTCGCCCGTGTCGTCGGTGCCGGGCGGGGTCGGCGTGGAGCTGCAGGGCGCGCCGGAGGAGCCGGGCGCGGGCGGCGCGGTGCGCCGGCTGCTCGGCCTGGCGCCGCGCGGCCGCCGTGCGCAGGTGGACCTGTCGATCAACCTCCTGTGCCCGCAGCTGCAGTGGGCGGGGGCGTCGGAGACGGTGGCGGTGAGCATCGACCCGCTGTACCACCACTACGAGGGCTGCCGGTGCCCGGAGGGCTTCGAGCTGTTCACCTTTCCGCTGGCGTCCGCGACAGACCTGTTTCAGAGGTTCGAGTTCGCACGCACCTTCGGGTCCTTCGCGTGGGTGCCGAGCCTGCGGCCGAACACCCCCGAGGCCGACGAGTGGCTCCGGGCGCACGTCCCCGAGCGCGTGCCCACGTGCACGCGCGTGGACGGCGACGACGGCCTGTCGACGGCCGAGGTGGTCATCATCGCCATCGTCGGCGCCGTGGCGGTCCTGCTCATCGTCGCGCTCATCATCGTGCTGCTCCTGCGCCAGCAGATCGCCGTGGCGCTCCTCGAGCGCCGGAAGCGCGCCGGGCCGCCCACCGCGGGCCGGGAGGCCACCCTGGTGTTGACGGACGTCGCGGACTCTACCAACTTCTGGGAAGAGCTGCCCGAGCAGATGGCGCAGGCGAACGCCATGCACGACGCGATCCTCCGCAAGCACCTCGCGCGCTGGCACGGCTACGAGGTCACCACAGGTACGCTCTCGACCCCGCGTTGCGGTGGCATGCCTGCGCGTCCGCTACCGCACCTCCGCGCCGACACGTCCGCGCCGGTTCCGTTTCCGCAGAGGGCGACTCGTTCCTGCTCGCGTTCCACGAGCCCTCGGACGCGGTCGGGTGGTGCATCATGGTGCAGCAGGACCTGATGGCGGCGGAGTGGCCGGGGCTGATCGACGACAAGACGGCCACCACCAACGCGGTGCAGCGGCGCAGCGTCGTGTCGAAGAGCGGTGGGGGCCACAGCCGCAGCACCGCGAGCAGCGGCGCGACCGGCGGGCCCCGTTCGCAAGGCACGGTCTCAGCCAGTGGCAGCGCCGCTCTCAGCGGTGCGCGGAGCGCGCCCCCGCGCTCGCACACGTCCACGGGCAGCGACGCCGCGGCGGACGTCACCGAGGATTTCGTCGAGTCGTGCGGGCCGCAGCTCTTCCGCGGCCTGCTCGTGCGCATGTCGGTGGCGACCGCCATGGTCCGGCACACCGCGGTGCACCGCGTAACGCGCCGCCTGGAGTACTCCGGCGACTGCGTGACGCTCGTGAACGACATTCAGGAGATGGCGCACGGCGGCCAGATCCTCGTGTGCGAGCGCACGATGGAGGTCCTGGCGCGCTCGTCGCTCAAGACCCTGTACCACAGCATCATGGACGCCCGGCCGGCCAAGGCTCTCTCCGCGTTCCTCGCGAAGCTCTCGCAGACGAACGGCAACGTCCGCTGGTGCGCGCCCCGCCTGCCCGTCGTCCCGCCGCCCCGCTCGCCGCTCGCGTTGTGCAGACGTCTCACGCGGCGGCTCCGGCGCGCTACGCTCGCAGGGGCAACATCACGACGATCACGTCGCAGAACGTGCGGCACTCGGCCGGCGAGAACGACAAGTCCGTCGACAACGACAAGTCGTCGGTGGTGCGCGTTTCTGACGTCAGCGGCAGCCTTGGCGAAGACGTCGCCGCGATGCGCAACACGCCGTCGCAAGGGCTCTTCGACGAAGCCAAGATGTTCATGGGCAACGGCCGCGTCCCGCCGCTGCCGCCGGGCAAGGCTTCGAACGGCGCGGTCCCGGACGGCGACATCATGGTCCTCGACATGGGCGAGGTGGCCGCGGAGGGCACGGCGGAGACGTCGCCGATCCACGTGTTCCAGATCCTCGTGCCGCTCCTCGAGGAGCGGGCGCGGTTCCTGCCGGCGCTGCAGGGCAAGGCCATCACGCCTGGCTACCTCGACGCGCCGGGCGCGCACGCGCCGCTGTCGCCGTTCACGAGCCTGTGCACGCACTTCATCAAGTACAACGACTGCCACATGTGCAAGGACCTCGTCGTGCGGCTCCCGGAGGTCGTCATCGTCTTCTGCACGCCCGTGGGGATGAGCAGCATGATGAACGAGCAGCCCGTGGCGGCGCGGCGCGCCCTCCGGATGTACTCCTCCGCCGTGCGCCGCACGCTCCCGCAGTTCAACGGGTACGAGTGCCAGGAGCTCGACTCGAGCTTCATGCTGGCCTTCGCGGACATGAGCGACGCCATGCTGTGGGCGGTGTCGCTCCAGGCACTGCTCCCGACGCTCCCGTGGCCGTCGAAGTTCCTCCAGTGCGACGCCGGGCGCGCGCGGTACCAGCCAGGCGGCGGGTGGACCCCCGGGGGCATCCGCGTCAAGGTGGGCGCATGCAAGGGGCGGCCGCTGCGCATCGTGCCGCACACGACCACGGGGCGCGCGGACTACTTCGGCCCGCTCGTGAACCGTGCGGCGCGCATGTGCTTCGCGGCCGCGCAGCCCGGGCAGGTCGTCGGCGCCGTCGACCAGCTCGCGGCGGGCCTCGCGAACCTGATTGTCGACGACCACATCACTGTCGGCACCGGCGCCGGCCCGGACGACGCGTGCCCGCCCGCGGAGATGAAGCCCACGCACGACGTCAGCCGCCGCTCCATGGTCGGCAGGGTCCCCTTCGTCACGGCGCTCATCCCGCCGGACAAGGTCGGCAAGCTGGAGCGCGTCGTGCTGTGCGACGACGACGCGCTCCTCAGCCTGTGCGGCGCCGCGCGCGCGGACCTCGAGGCGCTCCCGGACGTCGCCCCGGAGATGCTCGCGCCGCTCTCGCTCAACACGGTCATGAAGGAGGCGGCCGACGTCAGGGAGACTGACAAGGAGAACGAGGCGGACGGGGCGGGGCAGGCCCGGCCGTCGACGGGGTCGCAGGCGTCCTTCGGCGTCAAGTCGAACCCGAGCAGCGGCGTGAGCGGCCGCAGCGTCGGCTCGCGCGCCGTGCGGTTCAACGAGAGCGGCATCTCGGCGCAACACGAGGCCGTCAGGACCGGGATGCTGTGGTCGTGGAACGTGACGCGCCGGCACGCGAAGCTGGACCACATCGGGCGGTACCGGCTCAAGGGCGTGCAGGGCGAGTTCGAGCTCGCGTGCATCTACACGGACGCGTCCGGGTCGCAGGTGCCCGGGACGTCCTTCCAGCGCGGCCGCAAGGGCACGATGCTGGCGCCGCCGGGCGGCAACGTGCTCGAGGCGGACGTGCTGATGCCCGAGCCGGTCCTCGTGGCGTTCCCCGCGGGCCGCAGCCGCATCAGCGGCCTGCGCGCCAGCTACATGGGGGGCAGCCTGCGCAGCAGCATGGCCTCGATGACGTTCGGTGCGGGCAACGGCGACCGCCTGTACTAGGAAGCAGCGTGCTCGCCTGCTCCAACAAGATGACCTCGGCGCGCACCGCGCCTCAGCGACGCCTCGTCCCTTTCACCCCCCCTCCTCCCACCTCGGAGGACGGCTCCGGCGGCACGCATGTGTGGTCCGATGAAGATCCCCCCACGGCTCGCCCCCCTTTTCATTCCCTCCCTCCCCTGCCCCCCGGCCCCCCTTCCTCGTTGTCGACGCAAGTGAGACTTTGCGCTGTCCTTTGAATTCGAACGTAGAACTCGCCCCCAGTCTTCCCCGCCTAGGTGTCGGTCCTTCTCGGATCCAGTCTCCGCCACCAAGGACGGCGCGGTCGGCGCGAACAAGACGCGCACTCAGAAAGCTGGGAACACTGCAGCCCGGCGTGTATGCAGGAGACTGTGTGCGTCTCCCCCTGTAGAAGTGACCGAGGGTTTCCAGCAACAAACGAGAAGATGTCTGCATCGCTTTTGTGATTCCAATCAACTGCGGCCCTGTGCGTCATGTTGGCACATCACGAGCTCACCGCGACACCAGTGCTCTCTCTCTGTGCTGACGAGACACCCGCCGCGCCTGCGCGGGCGCCGCACGGCAGCCGCGCTCTCCGGTCCTGGGCTGTGCTGCGGATCGTCGCGCAGCGGCACGCATCCATCCAGTGCGCAACCCCCCTCTGCGTTCCCGCACTGGCGAGAGTAAACCACGCGCCCGGAGTCACTCGAGCGAGCCGGCGTCCGCGTGGAGTGTGGCTGCCACGCGCCCTGACCAGCCGCCTCGGGTCTCGGAGTGTGCCAGTCAGTCGTTCTAATTAGACATTGCTTGCCAATACCTGCTACAACCGCGTCATGAATGCCCGGCGGACGGCGCGCCGGACGCCCGAACCGTGTGCGGCACGCAGTGACAGAGTCTTTGCCGGCATGTGCGTGTGTCACGCTCAGCAAATGCATTCGTTGGGGTACAAGTGAAATCGATGCGCACGGTGCGGTGTCCGGCCGCACCTCACGCGGCTGCGCGCTCGGTGCAGTCTCACGCCCGGGGCTGCGCGTCCCACTCCCACGGGTAGGACTTTTTGGGGGACGCGGCGAACTCCAGTGCACATCCAGCAACGCAGACACTGGACTCTAGCTCGTGCTGAATGGCGCGCGCTCACAGATACACGACGGCCTCACTCGACGCCCCCGAGGACCCCCCTCGGAGGGCGTGGTCGCAACCCCCAAGACTCGGCATTCCCTTCTATTTCTATGTTTGCGTGATGCATGATGCATGCCTTGCATGCGTGACTCAGGCGTGGCGGCACTGCGCATCGTCCAGGCGGTGTCCGCGCGTCGTGGTGGGCTAGGAATCGGTGAAACACAGGTGGGCAGTGACGTCGTGGGACGTGCTGCGAGGGTGTTGGGATTTGGTTCACATGCCACTGTTGACGCCGCTCCTTTTGGCGTTGACGGTGCCCCTGCTGGATGCCACCTTAAATGGAGGCGTGCTATAAGCCGAGCAGTGTAACTGTTTCTGTTTCTGTTTTCTGGACGCCTCCGGTTTGTAAGTCTCGGTCTGGACTGACGTTCTGTGTGAGCCTGGTCTCGAGAGTCGAGCCAGCCTCGGCATCAGGCCCCCACACGCTCCCCACACGCTCCCCACACGCTCCCCACATGCTCCCCACATGCTCCCCACACACGCTCCCCACACATGCTCCCCACATGCTCCCCACATGCTCCCCACATGCTCCCCACATGCTCCCCCCCACGCTCCCCACGGGCTCCCCACGGGCTGACAGACCGAACGCGTGCGTCGCCTGGCTGTGCACTGCCGCAGCTTGACTTGTTCACACCCCGCAGCGCGTGTCCCAGCACGGCCGTCCGTTCTCTCGGCACGCTGCACCGCGGCGGATGCAACCAATTCGCGGAGTCGTGGAGCGCGCGACGCTAAGCGTCGCTGACCGCAGGTTCTCATATCGCCCCGCTTCGGCGCCGCCCCGTCTGTCTCTCCGGGCTGACGGCCACACGCCTCGAGGGGGGGGGCGGCGAACCACGTCGTTGCCGCGCGGGATGCATCGTGAATGGCATGTGCCGCAGCGCCCTCGGACGCCCGCCGCGCCGCAGGTGCAGCGTGGGCGTTGCCGGGCACCCCGCCAGCGTCCGCCAGCGTGGACGAGGACGCTGCGGCAGGATGTGCGCTGCGGCGCCGCGCGGAGGACGCGCCGCGCCGCGCAACCTCGCCGGGCCACACGCCCGCTCGCCGCGAGGGCCGCGGGAGGCGCGGCGCTGCGGTGTGTGGGTGCAGCATCCCCGGTGAGGGCACGGCCGCAGCCGACGCGACTGCACGGGTCCTTGCCCCGTGCGCGGGCCCGCAGCACCCCAGACGAACGCCGGGAGTTGCAGCGCGAAACGCCGCCAGTGTGGCGGAGCGTTGCGGGGACGGGAGCGCGGCAGGGAGCGCACAGCTGCCGCCCGAGGGAGCGCACACGCACTCGCACCCGCTCGGGGAGGCGCCGCACCGGACGCGCGGCGCATCGCAGAGACCGTCGGGAACTGCACGCGGCAGCGCCACGGGGCGCGCCGCTCGGGGAGGCGCCGCACCGGACGCGCGGGGGCCTGTGCAGGGCCATGATGATGGCCACCGCAGCTGCGGACTCGAGCGCCGGGCCCCTCGCGATTTCCGGAGCCCAGGGCGACCGCGAACACCCTCTGTGCGGCTCGTCCGCAGCCCCGCCGGAAGCCCGCCCCCGGACCGCACGAGCGCGGCCCCCTGCGCTGGCCGCAGCGTGCGCGCCGTGGCCGACGCGCGGGCGCGCGACGGCCGACGCCACGCGCCCTGCCGATCGAGGATGCCCGTGCGCGCCCGCGCCCGCGCGCCCGCGGCCCCCTCGCGTCGCGTCGCGGCTCCTCGCCGCGTCGCTCGCTCTGCCCGGTGTGTGCGCCCGACTGCCTCCCTGCGCCCCGCCGGGCACGAGTGGGGCCGCGCCCGCCCGCGCACACCACACTCCCGGGCAGCAGCGGTGTAAACTGTGGCGCCTCCGCGGAGTGGTTGCGGACTGTGATGACTGACTGAAGGGCGTCCCCCGCCCTCCACATGCCCCGCACACATGCGGTGGACGCGCGCCCCCGCCCGACCAGGGGCTGACCGCATAGTCCACGCCTCTGTCGAGCAGTAGGCGGACCGCCGCGTCTCGCCCATCTTCACCGCCCGCCGCTGCGCGTTGCTGCTCCCCCGCTCCGATACCCCCGGGGTCGCGGGGCGCGGCGGGAGGAGCACAGCTACCACGCCAGCGTCGTCCCGGTACCTGCGCGCTGGAGGATCGAGCTCCCGGCGCACTTGCGGTGCAACGGAAAGCACCCACATGTGGAAAGCACCCACAATTGTACAAGCCCCTGTTCTGCCTGTCATGTGGTGGTGGTCCCCGGCTGGCGCCCCCTGATCAGCTCCAGGGGTTTCGAAAAGACGCGCAGTGCCAGCTCGCGACCATCCTTCCACCCCGGCGGCCAGCGCCGGTACCTTCGGCGAGGATGAGGGTGCCTCGCCCTAGGCTTTCGCGTCCAACGGTAGCGCAGCGACCGTTGGCGCTCTCACGGGCATTTGGGATGGCGGGGGGGCCTCGGCCGCTCCTGCCTCCGCAGGCCGCACGGGGCACGCCTCCGGTTTGGAAGTCTCGGTCTCGGGGGCATGTGGGGGGCATGTCGGGGGCATGTGGGGCATGTGGGGACATGTGGGGGACATGTGGGGGCATGTCGGGGGCATGTGGGGGACATGTGGGGGACATGTGGGGGACATGTGGGGGACATGTGGGGGGCATGTGGGGGGCATGTGAGCTCGCGCAGCTTCAGCATCTTGAGCATTTCGGCTCCCCAAACCTGGGTGCGCAGCCTGCCCCTGCTGCGCGCGCACAGACTCAACCGGCCAACATCTGGCGCCGGTGGCAGTATGAGGGACACGCGCACCGGGTCTGACCGGGTCACTGCGGCGCTCTGAGCGCGAGAGCGCGCCAGGGCTGCCTGCCGCGCGCAGTCACAGGTGGATGCCAGACGCTTCAGGCGAGCTCGTTCGACGTGGGGTGCGCTGCTGACGCGTGCATGAATCAAACACCACTAAGACCCAGAAGGCGTCCCGGGGAGAACGGTTCGAAGTCTGCCGGGGGAGTTCGAAGTCTGCGCCCCTGGTCGATCGTATAGGTCAAGGATCGCCAGGTCGGTGCGCAGCCGTCGAAGGAGAGGGCGCGAGGAGAGGGTGCGGAGCCTGTGAGGGTCGAGCGTTGTGCGGATGGCCGCCGACGACGCCGATGTCGGGGAGAAGCGGCCGCGCGAGCCCGACGGCTCCGAAGAGTCGGACGATGAGCGGCCGTCGACCAAGCAAAGACAGTCGAAGGCGCGTACATCGCGCCGCAACACGCCGGCACCTCCCGCGACGCCCTCCCCCGCCCGCTGCGAAGCGCGAACGGGCGAATGTGCTTTGCGTCCGGCGTCTGCACCGCGTCCTCATGCGCCCGTATGCATGCATCCTTGCTGCCGCGGTCGATGCGCGGCGCTTCAGAGGGTGCAAGCCCCCCACTTCTGCAGGTGGTCCGCCGCGGCAACGAGTGCCCGTACATCGACACCGTGTCGCGGCAAAACCTCGACTTCGACTTCGAGAAGTGCTGCAGCGTCACGCTCTCGCGCGTGAACGTCTACTGCTGCCTCGTGTGCGGCCACTACTACCAAGGCAGAGGCCGCGCGACGCCCGCGTACACGCACGCGCTCGAGGACGACCACCACATGTTCATGAAGCTCGAGTCCGGCGACGTCTGGTGCCTCCCCGACGGCTATCAGGTCGTGGACCGCTCCCTGGACGACATTCGCGCCGTCCTGGACCCCGCCTTCACGGCGCAGGAGCTCGCCAAAGCCGACTCCGAGCTCCGCTGGCGGCGCGCGCTCGACGGCTCGGACTACATGCCCGGGCTCATCGGCCTGAACAACATGCGCGCCAACGACTACGCGAACGTCGTCGTGCAGGCCCTCAACCGCTGCACGCCGCTACGCAACTTCTTCCTGCGCCGCGAGAAGTACGCGCACTGCAAGTCGCTGGTCGTGCAGCGCTTCGGGGAGCTCGTGCGGAAGATGTGGAACCCGCGCGCGTTCAAGGGCCAGGTCTCCCCGCACGAGTTCATGCACGCCATCATGGACGCCACGAGCAAACGGTTCGTGATCGACCTCCAGAGCGACCCGGTGGACCTCGTGCAGTGGCTGCTCAACACGCTGCACCTCGAACTCACGGGCGGCAAGCGGAAAAAGCGGTCCGTGATCTCGGACAACCTCCAGGTGCGGCGCGGCGCTTGCTCCGGCCCGTAGTCGCGCTGTCAGCGCGCGTCTCCGGCGGGTGCGTGTGTGACACGCGCGTCCCACGTGCGTGGAGCGTGCAGGGGGAGCTGGAGGTGACCACCGAGGCCGGCACGGGCACGGGGGAGGCGGCAACGTCGGCCACGGACGTCGTGCGCCGTGTGCCGTTCCTGACGCTCGGGCTCGACCTGCCCCCGGCGCCGCTGTTCAAGGACGTCATGGAGGAGAACATCATCCCGCAGGTCATGCTCTCGAGCCTCCTGGCGAAGTACGACGGCGGGACCGTGACCGAGGACGTCAACGGAGGGCGCCGGCGGTTCCGCATCACGAAGCTGCCGCCGTGCGTGATCATGCACGTCAAGCGCTTCAGCCGCAGCCAGTTCCTCCTCGAGAAGAACCCGACCGTCGTGAACTACCCCGCGCGCGAGTTCAACATTGGCGCCGCCGTCCCCGTGCCGCCCGAGGCGCAAGACGCCAAGTACGACCTGGCGGCGACGATCGTGCACGAGGGCAGCACGCGCATGCAGGCGCGGCCGGACGTGCGGGCGATGCCGGGCCTGTGGAGCGCGTACGTGCACCGGCGCAGTGAGGACCTCTGGTACGCCGTACAGGACCTGGCGGTGACGGAGGTGCTCCCGCAGCAGGTCGTGCTCGCGGAGACGTACGTCTGCCTGTGGGAGCGCAACGAGGGGAAGAAGGAAACCGCCGAGAAACAGCCGCAGCCTGGCCGGTGATGCGGCGATGAGGGCGCTCCCTATGACGGCGGGGGGGGAGTGTTTCGCTTGCACCCGCGTGGCCGAGCGGGGCGCAGCGGATGTGTATATTTTTCGTTGGGACCGCGGCACGCGACGTCACACGCAATCGCCGCACGTGCGCCCTTCATGTGGCAGCATCGTCGCCGTCGCTGTGCAAGGCATCTCTCGCGCGCTGGACGGCCTTGAGCAGCTGCGCCGTGACCGTCTGCGCCACGCTGTCGTCGTCCCCGCCCCCTCGCGCGCCCAGGACGGGGTCGTCGTCGTCGCCGTCGCCCGCGCCCCCGCCGCGCAGCGTTGCGTGCATGGCTGCCAGCGCAGCGTCCACGGCGGGCTTCAGCGCGTCCGTGGCCTCGCGCGGGATCTTCCAGTCGCGCACGTAGTTGTTGTCCGCCTTCCGCAGCATGTCCTTGAACCACCGCACCTGCTCGGGCCGCATCAGCGTGAAACACTCCCCCGTGCGTCCCGCGCGCGCCGTGCGGCCGGCCCGGTGCACGTACGTCTTGGCGTACACGGGCATGTCGTAGTTGATCACGCACTCCAGCTCCGCGACGTCGAGGCCGCGGGTCGCCGCGTCCGACGCCACCAGCACGGAAAACTCCCCCGCGCGGAACTGCTCGAGCGCACGTGCGCGGACGCGCGGGGCGACGCGGCTGGAGTACTCCACGGGCTGCCCGATGCGCACAGCGTCGTGCGCGTTGCGGACGACGTGGGAGATCAGGAGGTGGAGGCGGCGCGCGCCCTCCACCGCCGAACAGAACACAACAGTCCTCCGGGGGTACAATTGGCTCAGGAGCGCCAGCAGCGCGTGGGGCTTGTACCGGCCGTCAACCACGTGCTTCCACTCCTTTAGCGTGCTCGGGAGGCTGCAGCAACACAGCAGCGTCGCCCGTTTCGGCCACGTCACAGGCACGCAACAACAATGAGCATCGGCATGCACGCACACTGCACTCTTCACCGCGTTTCGGCGCGCACCTGTATCTCTGGTCCTGCGCAGTCAGCGCGATGTACTTCGGGCAGTTGAGCGCGAGCTTGTCGATCTTGGCCGGGTCCCGCGTCAGCGTCGCCGACGCCACTATCTTCACCACGCGGCGCTCCCCATGCTTGAATCCGCTCGGAACGGCGAGCCACCGCTCGACGGCGCCCCAGCGCGGATCCCCCCTCACCTCTCCCTCGTCCAGCCACGCCCCGATCACGCCCGCCTCCACGGCGTCCCCCTCGTGCGCCACGCCCGCCCACGGCGGACCGCAGCGGGCCTCTGCGAGCACGCGCCGCAGCCAGTTCGAGTAGCTCTGGCGCAGGATCTTGTCCGCCTCGTCGACGATGAGCCAGTCCAGCCTCCTCACGTGGAACCCCGCGGTCTCGCGCAGGTGCGTCACCAGGCGCCCCGGCGTGGCCACGAGGACGTCCGCCGCGACGTACGACGCGCCCTCTGCGGCGCGAACCATCAGCGACCTCGCCTCTAGCTCGTAGGACACCCTCCCGGCCACGAGACCCACGCTCAGGCCGACACGTGGCGCCAGCGACGCGACGACCTCGAACACCTGCGTGGCCAGCCCCCGCGTCGGCAGCACGACGAGGCCGCGGACGGCGCGGCCCCGGCCGAACGTCCGCGGCGCGGGGGTCGTCGGCCGCGCGGCCAGGTCGTTGAGCATCGGCAGCACGAACGCCAGCGTCTTTCCGCTGCCTGTAGGCGCACACACGCACAGGTCGTGCGGCTGCGCGACGCCGCCGCGGGCGATGTTCCACACGGCCGCCTGGATCGGAAACATGCTGCGGATGCCGAGGTCGTTGAGCCCTGCGGCCAGGCCGGGATGCAGGCCCTCCAGCTCCGCCGCGTCGGGTTGATTTGATGGGTCGACTGCTACTGGAATCTTCATCCAGGGGAGGACGGGGGGCTTGCGTTTCGGCGGCTCGCGCGCGTCGTCCGGCCGCTGCTCGGGCGGCGGGCTCCGCGCGGGCGTCCCGGGGGGGGGAGTGTCGTGCGCTGGTGATGGTGGTGGGGTTGTTTCGTCCGCGGAGGGGGTGTCTCGCGCAGGGGCGGCGGGCTGGGTGGGATGCGGAGGTGCGCCGCCGTCGGGTACATCGTCGTACGCGATCACCTGTGCGGCGACGGCGCAGGGGGTGTTATTGTCAGGTAGAACTGTCTGACTTGCGCACGACGCGATCGCGTTCGGCGTCCAGGCGCACGCGGCAGCGCAGCAGGCGTTGGCCTCTGCGGGCGGCGAGCGTTCCAGGGCAGGCGGCGTACCTGGAAGGTGAACTGCTGTTTGTTGATGCTGCCGCCGTGCTGTGCAGGGGCGCCTGATGGAGGTGTTTGCGAGCGCACGGCCCCCTTCGTGTTGTGTTGCGTGGATTGTTTGACAGCGGCGCCGGTGTCGGGCCGCAGGCGGTCCGCATGGCCCGCTGCGGGAGTGGCATCGCCATCCCCGGGGCCCTGGTGCGCTCCGCTCGCGCGTCTCGGCTTCTTTCTCTTCATTGTATGGTCCTCACGAACGTGAAGACATCACGACGGTGCGAATTCCTCGCAATGGTGTTCTCTGCGACGTCCTTCCGGGCTGCAGCCTTCCCGCAATTACACCTGCTGCGGTTCCGTGGTCCACCGGACAGGAACGGTGACCAGCGACGCGTATGTATATCAACAGCCGCGAGCCAGCGAGCAGTTCGTCCACTTTCATGCCCCGCTTTGCCTCCAAAGCCCGGCAAAGGTGCCCCGATGCCTTCGACGCCTCCCGGGGCCTCACCGGCCCCGTCTGTCCCAGCGCGCACGTCGGCACCGTCGCTCTGTCTGGCAGACCATGCTCGCGCCTGTCAGGGCACGCCGTCCGCGCGCCCAGGCGCCACGCCGCCGCCGCGGAAACAGCACAAGCGTTGCCGTACGCACAGTCACGGCTGCAAGTCCAGAGCGCGGAGCGACGCGGTGCCGAGCCGCCCGGGGCGTTCGGTGCGCGCGCCACCGCGGGGACCCCCGGTCTCCGGTGTCTCAAGTCATCTCACAGTCCAGGCCTGCGCCGCCCTAGTGCCGCGCGGTCACGGGCTTGGCCCCGAGCGCCGCGAGCTCCTTCTCCTCCGCCTCCGTCTTGCACCCCTTGATGAGCTCGTCCACGACCTCGCTCAGCGTCGGGTGCGCGTGCACCGCGAACCGGATGTCCTTGATGGTCTGCCCCGTGGCCACCGCGTTCGACACCTCGTGGATGAGGTCCGCGGCGTGCAGGCCGATGATGTGCATGCCGAGGATCTCCCCGGACTGCTTGTTGTACAGGATCTTGGCCATGCCGTCGCCCTGCAGCTCCGCGTTCGCCTTGGAGTTGGCCTTGAACGACGTCTTGGCCACGCCGAGCGTGAACTTCTTCTCCGTCGCGAGCTCCTGCGCCTGGTCCTCCGTCAGGCCGACGAACGACACCTCCGGGTGCGTGAAGCACGCCGCCGGGACCGCCAGGTGGTTGACCTCGTGGCTGCGCCCGCGGATGTTCTCCACGACGCTGATGCCCTGCGCCGACGCCGCGTGCGCGAGCATCAGCTTGCCGTTCGCGTCGCCGATGCAGTACAGGTTCGGCACCGCCTTGCCGTCCTTGTCGAGCACGCGCATCTTGCTGTCGACCGGGACGAAGCCGCGCCGGTCCGTCTCCACGTTCAGCGCGCCGAGGTTCAGCCCGCGCGTGTACGGCGCGCGGCCGGTCGCGACCAGCACCGCGTCCACCTCCATCACGTCCACGACCTCCTTCGTGTCGAAGTCCGTCAGCTCCACCGTCACGGGCTTCACGCCGGGCATCCCCGGCGTCACCTTGGTCGCCAGGACGTTCGTGCGGTAGTCGATCTTGCGCGGCTTGATCAGCAGACGCTCGGCCATCTTCGCGATCTCCGTGTCGAAGCCCGGCATGATCCGCGGCAGTGCCTCGATGAAGGTCACCTCTGAGCCCAGCGCAGTGTAAACGTCCGAGAACTCAAGGCCGATGTAGCCGGAGCCGATGATGGCGATCCACTCGGGCACCCAGTCGAGCTTGAGCGCGTGGTCCGACGTGAAGACCGTCTTCCCGTCGATCGGGATCCCGGGGGGCACGAACGGCACGCTCCCCGTGGCGATGATGATGTCCTTCGCCGTGACGGTCCCGCCGACGTCCACGCGGCCGGGCAGCGCGTACGACACCGTGTTCGGGCCGACCAGCCGCGCAGCCCCCTGCAGGATGTCTACGCCGAGCCCCTTGAGCGAGTTGGCCAGCGAACCCTGAATCTTGTTCGCGAGGCCGCTGGCGTGGTCCGCGACGGCCTGGCGGTCGTAGGTGACCTCGCCGGGGAGGTGGATGCCGAGCTGCTTCATGTGCGCGGTGTCCTTGAGCTCGCGGATGCGGCCCGCGGCGGCGAGGAGGGCCTTGGAGGGCACGCAGCCTCGGTTGACGCACGTGCCGCCGATGTCGTGGCCCTCGACGACGGCGCACTTGAGGCCCTGCTCGACGGCGGCGAGCGCGGCGCCTGCGCGGGCGGGGGCGGGCGGGGCGGGCGTGAGCAGGGGATGGGACGACGCAAGCGAGGCCGATGGGTGGCAGGGGCGTGGGGGCGGGGGCGTGCCGTGGCCGCCGACGCCGCAGCCGATGATGAGGAGGTCGTAGTCGAACTCGTCCTTCGCGGCCGCGGCGATGGTCGCGCTGCGCTGCGCGCGCCGGGAGACGGCGATGCCCTGCCTGCAAGCGCTGGGGGCGTGGAGAGCGCTTCCCGACGAACACGCGGAAACAGCGACGCGCACGGTGCCGTGCAGAGGCACACGAACGAAGGGGAAAGGGAGAGCTGGCGCAGCGGCGAGCTCCCGCGGATCCACCGCTTGGAAGTAGCATGGAGGCACCGGTGAGCAGAAGGCTCCCCAAGCCCGCTGAGGGCCGTTCGTGGACTGCTGCTATCGCGCACGGACGGGAAACGATGGCGGAGGCCGTGCGCGCGGCTCCAGGCGCCAGGACGCGCTCGCAGCGGCATTGCGAGCCGCGCCTCAGCACGTCCTCGAGGCCTGCTCGCGCGAGCCCCAGGAGGCGACTCCAGCGCGTGGTTCTACCCGCGGAGGCGCCATCGGTGGGCGGAGCGCGGTGCACACTCGCCGGAGAGGGGCTGGAGCCCTCCATCGGTGCGGTGGGAATCGATGGGGAGCGCCACGGCACCTCTATCTTGCAAGGCATGCCCCCCGAGGGTGTCCGGGGGGTACTTTTGGGACGGCTGGCGCCGTCACGCTCCCATCAGGCGGGGTGGATGGAAGTGGCGGCCGGTGTGGCCGGCGATGCCGTGGCTACGGAACAGATGTGGGTTGTAGGGCAGGCAGCGCTGCTTGAGAGGCCGATGCGGCGTCGAAGCGCGGAACGGAAAAAGCTCGCAACGGACTGGGGCCTTGCCGGGTCGCGGGCGGGCGCGTCCGCGGCGGCCAGCCTCAGCAGGCAAGGCGAGTCCGGGCTCGCTCGCTCGCAGCGATCGGCGTGGGGAGCGCGCAGGGCGTTTGCTCGAAGAGAATGTACCTGGCGGAAAAGGGCGCAGCGAGGGTGCGCTTCGGCAGCGTCGCCCGCCGCGTCGCGGGCGCGAGCGCGCCAATCGGGGCGCAGGAGGAGGCCGCGCGGGCCTGCGCCTGCGGCGCAACTGCCGTCGGAGCGAGCGCGTTCGCCAGCATGGTACCGGTGAGCTGGACTGGGACGGTCGGCTCCGCTGGGCTCGCCCTCTTCGTCCGCGAAGGAGCGAGTTTGCATGTCAGGTCGGGGGGGTGTCAGGAAGTGGTTGTGGGGGATCAGGCCCCGACATCCCCCCCCCCGCTCATTCCTCCTAGCCTTCTCCGGCGCCGCGCGGGGGTCTTCCCCCCCATCACCCATTTCGGGGTACCCCAACCCACCCAGTTCAGCCTGCGCCAGTCGAATACGACGCCCGCTGCGCCGATTCCTGACGCTCACCGCCCTGGCTTTGTACCCAGTGCACATGCAACGTGTCCGAGGACCTTCGGGACGCCGAGAACGCGTGCCCCACATCGATGTCACACTGGCAGCCTACTTCGCGTGTCAACACACCAACCGACCGCCCGCGACACCCCCGTGTCCGGCGCGAGGACACCGGCTCCACTCTCGCGTTCGGCGCCACCACCTCGCCCGCGCGCGCGCCCCTCCCGCGCACCGCGCCGGCACTGTGACCAAGCGCGCGGGGCATCACCTGTGCATGGGCTTGAGAGCGCTTGCTCACCGTCGCCTTGCCCAGACACGACCTCAGCGCTCTCAAGCGGCCCGCGGGGCCCCGAGCGCGTTCACGCCGTGCACCGCGCACGAGCCGGCGTGTAGTGTGCCAGCGTCAAGCGACGTCGCGTCGTCGCGTCCGGGCGCTGGCCGCCACGCCGTCGCGCACACGCCGCGGCCGGCCCTGCCCGCCCCCGCCGGCCCGTCGAACCGCGCCCGCACCCCGTCTCCGCCCGGCCGACCCCTCCTTTTCACACGCAGCGCACCTAGGGGTTCTCTCCGCATGATTCCGCGCGGCTCGTTGCCGCGGCGTCCGCGGCGTCGGCACGGTAGCGTTGCCGGAGGTCTGGTGGCCTTCTTTCCCGGCGCGCGCGCCTTCTCGCCCGGCAACGAGCCGCGTGGAAGACCGTCCGTCCATGCTGGGGTCCTATTAGACCGAAGGTGCAAGGGGACCTGGGCCAGGGCGGGCCGCTCGGGCGCTCTTGTTCGCGCGGATGCGTGGTCCGGAAACAGAAACGACCGATTTGAACGATCGCTGCGATATTGACGTGGGCAATCTCGCGTCGCTGGGGTGCTCGGTTCAGGACCGATCGCGCACACCCGCCGCTTCGTAGGCTGGCAGGAGCGGGCGCAAACCGTGAGAGAACCATTTGTTCGGGCGATGAAGGCGTTCCAGCCAGTGCGGCCCGCCTCGCGAGGTGCGCACGAGCAACGCGCCCACTGCACGCGTCGCGCGAGGGCCGATCCCCCCCCTGCACGGACACCGCGCGAACGGACCGTATAGCCTAGCTCCAAAACCACGCCTCGCGACCTTCATGGACCCGCCCTGGCCCCTCGCGACCGTCCTAGCGCTGCGACGCGCTCGAGCCTATCTGCCCTCGCCCCGAACGGCCCTCTCGCGGCGTGTTGAGCAGCGACTATCCACAACCCGGCCTCTTCCCCGTCTCCACAACCCCGACCAGCCAACGTCGGGCCGTTTTTTGCGCTCGGTGCGCGGCGCGACGGCGATGTTGCTCCCGCCAACACCCTGACCTTGCCACCCCACAGCGCGCGTTTCGCGGCACCTTCCCCGTGATTGGTCCACGTACCGCTTCCGTCACACCATCAGGCGCCCGACGACGCAGCACGGCGACGATCGACGCGTCGACGGCCCCGGCGCCCGCCGTGGACGCTCAGCATCATTTTGCTCCCGCGCACCGTCTCCCGCGCCGTTCCTTTCAATTCAGCGCCGCAAACACCTTCTTCACACCGCACACATCCCATCACCCGGCGCCAATCCCCGCCACCCGCCGCAATCGAGCTCACTCGCACCATGTGCTCACGCTCTGGCTCCCCAGGCTGGCTGCCCGAGGCTCGTCCCGGTGCCCCGCCGCGCCCGGGCCGCGCGTCGCCCACGTTCTCGCCGCGCCCGTTTTCTGCCCTCTGCAGCCGTCCACCCCGCCAGGCGCGGGCGTGCGGGACCGTCCACGCGCGTGCGCGCGGAGCCTGGCCGCACGGGCCGCTCCCCGTCGCGCCCGGGCAAGAGCCGCCAGCCCGGCAGGAAGGCCGAGGGCCTCAAGGCGACGAACATCAAGGTCAGCCGCGGCCCCGCGTCCCGCCCGAACGGCCCCGCTCTCCCGCGCCCGCCTCAGCCTCGCCCCCTGCTGGCGCTCCCAATGAGCCTTGAGCGGCCCTTCGCGGGCCGCTGACGGCGCGACGTGCAGACCTCGCGCCGCTCACACCACGCTGACATCACGTCCTCGCACGCTACGCCATTTTCGCGGCCGCAGCGCGCTCCACTGCGCCGCTCGCGCGAACCTAGTCGCTTCGCGGCACGCCATCCGTCGTGTTCCGCGCGCTTGACGCCCGACCGGCGCCGAACGCCTCGTCGCGTCCCTCCTGCGCGCCCACCCTACACCGATCGCGTGCGCATCCGTGACGTCCGCGCCTGTCCGCGCCGCCCCCGCGCCCTCGATTGGTGCACCGACGCTCACCCGCGCGCCGCCCCCGCGCCCCGCCCGCAGCAAGCCGATGCGCGCACGGATAACCGCAAGACCGACGCGCGCGCCCGCGCCGCGCCGGGCGAGGAGGAGGAGGGCATCGACCTCGCCGCCCTGCGCGCGCAAAACTCGGCGCTGCGCGCCAAGCTGAGCCAGACGCTCGACGCGATGAGCGAGCAACAGAAGCGCGACTTCCTCGAGCGCCACGCGTCCCTCAAGCCCGACATCGAGGCCGTCTCGGCCCCGCCGGAGCGGGCCACGGAGACCACGCCCGCGAGCTTCCAGGTTGCCGCCGCCGACATCCTCGGGCAGTCCTCCGTCGACGAGCTCTACGAGGAGGACGAGGAGGACTTCCTGGACGAGGAGGACTTCGAGGAGGAGGAGTTCATCGAGGAGGAGTTCGAGGAGGTCGCGCCTGAGCCCGTCGCGGCGGCCCCGGCTCCTGCGCCGGTGCCCACGCCGACGCCCGCGCCGCCGCCGGCCGCGCCGCCCCGGCCCGGCCGCGCCGCCGCCGGCCGCGGCCGCGCCGCCCGCGCCGGCGGTGGACCCGAAGGTCCAGGCCGAGGTGGAGTTCGAGACGCACAACGCGAAGGAGCTGCTGGCGCCGCGCCAGGACTGGCTGGTGTGCACGGTGCCCGAGAAGCCGGTCGCCGGCGCCCCGCTGCGCGTGTACTTCAACCGCGGGCGCAGCGAGACGCTCCGGAACCGCCCGCGGATCACCCTGCGCGCGGCGTGCAACAGCTGGGAGGTGGCGTTCGACGACGTGGACCTGATGCCCGCCGAGAACGTGAGCCGCGACGGCGGCGCCGACTGGTGGGCGGCGAACGTCAAGGTGCCCGAGGAGACGTACGACATCCAGTGGGTCTTCACGGACGGCGAGGGCGCGTTCGACAACAACTTTGGCAACGACTACCTGTTTGAGGTCGTCGGGGGCGTCACGCAGGAGCAGTGGATCGATGGCGCCGCGGAGCGCCTCGCACGGGAGCAGGACGAGCAGCGCAAGGCGGAGGAGGAGGCGGCGAAGCGCGCGGCCGAGGAGGAGGAGCGCAGGTGCGACGCGCGTTCGAACACAGCCTGCCGGCAATCTGAGTGCGCGTTGCGCGTTGTTGGCGTGGCTGACGTGGCGCGTTTCGGTGCGGTGTTGTGCGCAGGAAGAAGGAGGAGGACCTGAACCAGGCGCGCGAGCTCGTCAACCAGCTGCGTGCGCAGCTGGAGGACCTGAAGAAGAACCCCCCCAAGATGAGCGAGGTGTTCATGTTCGACACCCCCCTCGTCGCGGGGGAGCCGGCCACGTTCTACTACAACGCGCAGAACCGCCCGCTGCACGGCAAGCCCGACGCGACGCTCCAGCTCGGCTTCAACGGCTGGCAGAACCTGACCAAGATCCCGCTCAAGAAGGCCGCCGCTCCGCCCAAGGGCGCCCCGGCGTCGGCCACCAAGGACGCGCAGTGGTGGACGTGCGCGGTCAAGGTGCCCAAGGACGCCGCGCTGGCCAACTTCGTGCTCTTCAGCGAGGACAACACCTGGGACAACAACGGCAACATGGACTTTGTGTCGGCGGTCAAGCCCCCCGCGGAGTTCGCGGACGACACCGAGAAGTGGGTCGAGTCCCTGATCGAGGAGAACCGCCGGGAGATCTACACGGCGCGCAAGAACGCGGAGGCCGCGGAGGCGGCGCGCATGGCCGCGCGCAAGGCGCGTGCGGACGCGGCGCGCGAGAAGGCGCTGGCGGTGATGCGCCGGCAGCAGCGCCACGTGCTGTACACGAAGCCGGACAAGATCACCGCGGGCTCGACGGTCGAGCTGTGCTACAACCCGCAGGACACCCCCCTGAGCGGGCGGCAGTCGGTGTGGGTGCGCGGGGGGTACAACAGGTGGACGCACAAGAAGAGCTTTGGGCCGATCGAGATGACGCCGCCCAAGGCCGGCGAGTCGCACTTCACCGCGAAGATCCCGGTCCCGAAGGACGCGTTCAAGATCGACTTTGTCTTCTCTGAGGACGAGGGCAGCGACTGCCAGTTTGACAACAGGGGCGGCTACGACTACCACCTCCCCGTGGAGGGCTCGGTGCTGCAGGAGCCCGGGCTGCACGTGACGCACATCGCGGTCGAGATGGCGCCCGTCGCGAAGGTCGGCGGCCTCGGCGACGTGGTCACCTCGCTGGCGCGCGCCGTCAAGGAGTCGGGGCACCTCGTGGAGATCGTGCTGCCCAAGTACGCGTTCTTCAACTACTCCCCGCTGCTCCAGAACATGGAGTACGAGACGGAGTTCGACTGGGGCGGCACGAAGATCTTTGTGTGCTCGCAGCTGGTCGAGGGCGTGCGCGTGTTCTTCGTGGAGCCGAAGAACGGCATGTTCGACACCGACACGGTCTACCAGGGCCCCGGTGACGAGGTCCGCTTCGACTTCTTCTCCAAGGCCGCGCTCGAGTTCCTCCTGCAGTCGGGCCGCCAGCCGGACATCCTTCACTGCCACGACTGGTCGTCGGCGACGGTGGCCAACTCGTACTGGGCGGACTACCACAACTACGGCCTGTGGAAGCCCAACGTGGTCTTCACGATCCACAACCTCGAGTTCGGGCAGGCCAAGATCGGCGCCGCGGCCTACGCGTGCCAGCGCTTCACCACGGTGTCGCCGACGTACGCCTTTGAGATCGGGGGCCACCCGGCGATCGCGCCCAACGCCGGCAAGTTCATGGGCATCCGCAACGGCATCGACCCCGACATCTGGGACCCCGAGACGGACCAGTTCCTCCCCCTCGGCTTCACCGCCAACACGTGCGTCGAGGGCAAGGCCGCGGCGCGCAAGGCCCTGCGCGAGCGCCTCGGCATGACGGACTGGGGCGACAAGCCCATCGTCGGGTGCATCTCGCGCCTGACGGCGCAGAAGGGCATGCACCTCATCAAGCACGCGGCCTGGCGCACCAAGGAGCGCGGCGGTCAGTTCGTGCTCCTGGGCTCGGCCCCGGACCCGAAGATCCAGGGCGACTTCAACTCGTGGGCGGACGGCATGATGGACGACAACTGCCGCTGCGTGTTCTCGTACGACGAGCCGCTCTCGCACCTCATCTACGCGGCCGCGGACTTCATCGTCGTCCCGTCGATGTTTGAGCCGTGCGGGCTGACGCAGCTCACGGCCATGCGGTACGGCACGGTGCCGATCGTGCGGCACACGGGCGGCCTGCGCGACACGATCTTCGACGTGGACTGCGACAAGGCGCGCGCGGCCTGGGAGATGGAGGGCTCCTCGGACTGGGAGCGCGACGGCCTGGACTGCACCAACGGCTTCGCGTTCGACGGGACGGACCCGGGGGCGCTCGACTACGCGATGAACCGGGCGCTCGACGCGTACTACAACGACCAGGAGTGGCTCCGCTCGCTGCAGAAGCGCGTCATGGAGCAGGACTGGTCCTGGAACCGCCCAGCGCTCGACTACATCGAGCTGTACTACTCCCTGCGCAAGTAGAAGGAAAAACCCCCCACTCCCCCCGCTGTCCCCCCTTTCCACCGTTCCTTCTCCCCGGGGCCCAACTTGCCTCTGCACATCGGCGAGGCAGCGGCCCTGGGGTGTGCGGGCGGCCGCTGACGGCGGCGCCCCCGGGTCCCCCCCTTCTTTGGTGGCGATGCGATCGTGTCGTCCGAGGCGGACGACTCCGCCGTCCTGCCTCCGTCTTGGTCGGCGCGCCGGGCGGGGTGGCGTGCGCTGCACGCGGCTGCCCTGGACCCGATGTACATGCGATGCGACGCTGAACAACAGAAACCCACCGTAGAGAGGGCTTGCGCTCCCTTTCCCCCACCGCCATGCTCTGCGGAGGGCGAGGGAGACTACACCAGTAGCGCTCGAAGAGGCCTCTCTCCCTGCATAGGGGGTGCCTTGCACCCCTCCCGAACCCCTCCCACCCTCATTTGGTTCGATGCCGCGCTGACCACAAATGACGTCGCAGCGGGCGTGCGCGCCCCAGCGCCGGACTGTGAGCATCTAAGTCAAAGAGGTCTGCGGTGTGCTGCGACTCACCACACAGAGCAAGCCACGACAATGCGGACCCTCACAGCGCGGCTCCAGCGCACCGCCGCCACGACTCACGCGTCCGCGACCCAGCCCTCCGGCTCTTCCTCCCCGGGCGCGGCGGGGCGCCAGACAGAGGTGTGCATGGTGTCAATGTGCAGCCGCCGCCCCGCCAGACTCCCCTCGGGCATGCTCAGCCGCGGCTGCCACTCGCAGCACACCTGCGCGCGCAACACCGTCGTCGTCGCTTCGTGCACGCGCGCAGCTCCGCATGCAGATACACTGCGCTGTCCATGCAAAGAGAACACCAGCGCGCCGGCAACCCATCATTCAGACTGAGGGGCGAGTCGTCTGCGAGCACCGCGCGACCTGCACCATCGTGTCCTCGCGGTCCCAGTCCAAAACGAGGCGGGGGGGGTGTTTTGGTATGACGCGCACCATATGCAGTCCCTTGGTGGTGAAGTACTCCTTCAGGGCCCGCCAGGACGGGTCGGCGGGCTCGGACCGCACGACACCGTGCTTCCCGTTCGCCGCCGCGGCCCGCCCGCCCTCGGCCGCCGCGCCCTCCGCCAGCGCCTGCATCATGGAGACCTTGACAGGACTCCACCCGTACAACTCTGACACGACAATCACCCCCCCGGGTTTCACGAGCGTCGGGAGCCGCGACAGCAGGTGCGTCGGATTCTTCGAGCGGTCCAGCGCGCCGGTCGTCACCACCGCGTCAGCGGTCCCCACATCCTGCACGCACGCGCACACCGCAACGGCGTCGATGCCTCGGCGGGGCTTCGCGCGGACGTCACGCGCTTTCGAGGCCAGCTGAGCGCGCGGATTCAGGTCCCAAGAGCAGCTCAAGCCACGCGCTTCGAACGGGCTTGTTTCGATTCCAGCACGGATCGAGGTTTCATAAGTGGAGATGCATCCGTCGCTGTGAGTGGCAGCGCACCCACGGAATCCAGCGCTCGTCCGCGACCAGGTACTCCACTCGATCCCGGTCGATGTGCTGCGGGTACGCCACCGTCGTCGGACTCCCCCCGGGCCCCAGAGCCGTGACCTTCCCCATCACCGTCACGCGACATGCCACGTCCACCGCCGCCTCCTCCGCGTCGATCCCCGTGACCTTCGGGAACGCAGCAGCCAGTGCCACCGTTCCGCACCTGCGAGAGGACCGCACAGACCCATCGATCGCACCTGAAGCGTTCAGATGAGACAACGGATCACGCTGTGCTGTTTAGGGCGTGGGAGCACGCACCCGCCGCGGCTGCCGACGTGCAGCGCGACCGGCTTCGGGGCGTCGTCGTCGATCATGCGCAGCGCCTCGCAGTGCTTCTCCGCCAGCGCGCTCACCCGCTGGAAGTAGTCCTGGGCTCGCGCACTGCACGTTGAGGGGGGGGGTGCGACACGCGGGGTCATTCGCCTCAAGGCGCGGCCGCGGGCCGCTCGCTGGATCGCGCAGTACAGGAACGGCCGGCGCGCGCGTCGTCGGCGCGTTTCGGGCCGGGAGCAGCGCCGCACATTGGGTCGGGCGAAAATCCGTCGGTTCCCGGCGGGAAGAGGGCGCTCGGTTCGGCGAGGGTCGACGTGAGCTCCGCGAGCGACTCCCGCACCGCAGACAAGCGCGCGTCGTGGTCCTGCGGGGGGCGTGGAGGTGCCAGAGCGCAGTAGGCGCACGAGGGTGCTGACTGGCGTTGTGGGAGGGCGCACTGCAGACGCGAGCAGGGAGGACGCTGCAACAGTTCGGCCGCCTGCCGCTGCGGTCGTGCGCACCTCCGTGTCCGCCGCGAGCTCGTCCGCGCGGCCTGTGGCGCGTCGCGTCAGGTGCAGGAGCGCGACGCTGGCCCCTGCGCAAACGCAGCCCGCGCCGACGACGCAGGCGATCTGCTTCGTATCTAGGCTGCTCGCCGCGTCCAGGGCCCTATCTATCGCGCCTCTCACCGCCTGCATGGCCCCGTTCCTGCTCGCAAGGAGGCTGACAGCCGCAGGCTCGGCTTGCAGAGCATCTCCCGTGCGCGCCCTGTGGACGCGAACGCGCACTGACGCTGTTGTGCAACGGCTCGGGGCGAAAGGGCCGCGTAGGTCAGCTGGGGGGCGCTGTGGAGAGGCCCCCCAGAGGTGTGCGAGGCCGCGCCGCGGGTATTCGGGGCCGCGGCGGCGTCGCGCGCGAGGCGTTCGAGTGCAAATCGACCGGACATTCCGCCTGGCAATCGGGGACGGCGTCGGACTGCAGCTGGCTACCGTGGACAGCGTTTCTCTCTCGTCGTTGCTCGGAGTCGGCTCGCCGCTGCGGGAAGGGCTCGCGCCAGGTCGGACTCTCGGCGGACGGTCGCGCAATAAGCAACATGAGCGACCTCAGGGGGTACAGCCTCTGGAAGGAGATCACCGGGACGCCCAAGGCCCCTCCGCACCCGTTCCAGAGCGAGTCGCTCGCGGCGGGCCTCAAGCGCATGGTCCGGAAGGACTGGTGGTTTTTCGCGGGCTACGGCATCGCCCTGGGCACGTTCTACTACATCTCGCAGAACATCCCCCAGTCGGAGAAGGACAAGTCGCCCTACTTGCATCCCAAGTCTCACTGAGGGCCCCACGGCCGGACCCCGCCCACGAGACGCATGGATTCGCCACGAGGCACCGGCGCCGGCGAAGGCATCGCGCGGGGGGGCGCGCTGAGGCCGTGAGCGGGCCTCCAAGGCCCTGCTGAGCCTGTGCGGGCGCCCAGCGGCGCGGCCCGCCCCCCTCGGGACGGCACCCGCCGCGCAAGACTCCACGCTACACCAGGAAACACGATCATCCGCCGCCGCAGCGCGGAGGAGCACGGGAGGAGCGCCAACATCCGACGCTCACACCAACCTCGCTCACCACTGCGCGGGCCTGTAACCTCACGCAACGCCAACTCTCCCAAACCCCCCACACCTCTCCGCGAAGTCACCTCTCGTCCGCACGTGGGACGAACCGCAGCACGTCGCCGCACCAGACCCACCAGCACTCATGTCCTCGCCCCACGACACGCCGCGAACCCCGGCGCGCCGCACCCTGCCACGCGCACGCGGTCGTCCGTGCCACGCGTCGCAGCCGTCCCGCCACATCCACATCCCGGGGGACGTCTCTGAGTCAGCAACCCCCTAGACCCACCGCGCTCACCGCTCCTAGCCGGCTCCGGCGCCGGTGCCCCGCTCGAGGCCCCTCTCCGCGGCCTCGATGGCCCTTCCGGGCACGCTGCGGCGGCCTGCGCGCGCCGAGGGGCTTCCGGACCGCGCCCCGTCGCGAGTGCTCAATTCCTAGTTTGCGAATGCAACAGAGGTGTGCACTGTCGGTGAGTTAGGGGGGCGTTGCTGCGCGGGGGGCGGGGGGTGTCGCGGTCGTTCCTGCGCGGCGGAGCCGTTGTCGCGCCCCGGGGGCGGCGAACACGCGAACGTGCGGCCGAACCATTCGTGGTTGATCCTCACTGATCAGTGATATATGAAAGGAGGTCTAACGAATAGGATCCAGGTGTCTGTGTGACTGAGACTCCCTCGGCCGTCGCGCCGGGGCCACGAGAGCCGGGTTCGGCGCGCCGCGGATCTAGATCGTCGAGGCCAGCTCCATCGCATCCACAGCCTGCCTTTCTGAATCCATCCGCGGGGCGGAACTTGCGCTGCGGCGACGTGTCCAGGTGCGTCGCATTCCCGCGACCGAGTCGTGCCATTCCGCGCCGCCAGGGCGTTTCCTGCGTGCCGACGCGCTCTCCATTGCTCGGCATCGCTTGGCTGTCGTGGCGACGGATCGCCGGACCCCCGCAACGCCCCGTCGGGGCGGAACGCAGCCGCCGCCCCGTTGCCGCCGACAGACAGCTCTTTCGCGCCCAGCGTCCCGGAGCAGCGGCACCACAGCGTGGTGCGGGCTGCGTTCGGCCTTTGAAGCGACGTTCTTGCGCGGACGCCGCTCATATACGATCGGGGGCGCTCCTTCGCGCGGCAAAACGCAAACCCTGTCTCTGTCAGTTGGAGCAGCGCCCTCTGTCCCCGCAAGGCATCGTCCGGCGACGATACCGCCTCGTTCGTGCCGCAGCGACCACGCACGATCTGGCGAACCGTCCCGCGCGCTCGATCGGCTCAATGGCGCACCAGAGCGCCTACAGCGGCGCGCCCAGCCGCCAGCAGTGGACATCCTCTCACGTCGACGTTCTCGGCGCCCCGCGCAGGTAGCCGCGCCATGCCGTGCACAGCGGCGCAGCTCGAGACCCTCACGGCCTCCGTGGGCGCGGAGTCCGCGGCAATCATCTGCGATGTCGACGTCTCGGGGTACGAACCTGCGGCTTGAACCGCCAAGCGCACCCTCCCGCGCACGGCCCCGGAAGTCTTATACCCCGCGGCATTTTGCGGCCCCCGCTCAGATACGATCGAAGTCTATCGCGTGGCCGACTTCGTGCGTGGTGTTTCGTCCGGGATCGTGCAGGCGGGGCCTCATGCAGGCGCAGGCGCGCCCGGGGACGATCGACGCCGCGGGCGTCGGCGGGGCCGTCGACGTGATGTTCATGCTCTTCTGCGCGTACCTCGTCTTCTTCATGCAGGTCCGCCCCGACCCGCCGCCCACGCAACAACAACATCCGCCGCCGCGCACAACGCCACGCATGCAACCCTCATCCCCCCGCGCGGTGTGACCGCGGCTGGCCACCGTGGTCGCACGAGGGGCGTGGGGGTGTCCTCCAGCCCCGCATCGCTTCGCCACGCCCCCGTCCGGGCCCGCGTCGCCCGGGAGCGCTTGACCGAACAACGTCGCGCGAACCCACCCGCGCGCAGGCCGGCTTCGCGATGCTGTGCGCGGGCGCGGTGCGCAGCAAGAACACGATGAATATCCTCATCAAGAACGTGCTGGACTCGGCGGCGGGCGCCATCTCGTTCTACATCTTCGGCTTCGGATTTGCGTACGGCACCTGCGGCTCCGGCGACGACGGTTCCCGCAACAACGGCTTCATCGGCTGCGGCATGTTCGCGCTGAATCACATCGAGGACGAGTCGCACTGGTCCTTCTTCCTCTTTCAGTGGGCCTTCGCCGCAGCCGCGTCCACCATCACCGTCGGCTCCATCGCCGAGCGCACGCAGTTCGCGTCGTACCTCGCGTTCTCCGTGTGGCTCACCGCGTTCGTGTACCCCGTCGTCGCGCACTGGGCGTGGTCGCCGGAGGGTTGGCTCAGGTGCGACACGTCCCGCGCGCGGCGTCGCGCGCAGCACCGCTCGGCGCCCCCCGCGAGCCGCACACACACGTCCCGACCGCGCCCCGTGCCGCGCAGCCCCTTCAAGGACGACCCGATCGCGTCCACGGGGATGTTCGACTTCGCCGGGTGCGGGGTCGTGCACATGGTCGGAGGGTTCGCAGGCAAGACGCCACGTGTCGCGCGCGCCCGCCGACGCACGCGCACGCAGGCACACCCACCGCCGACAACGACACACCGCGTCCTTCGTCGCCCGTGCAGGCCTGATGGGCGCCTGGCTCGTCGGACCCCGCATCGGGCGGTTCGATGCCTCTGGCCGCCCAATGCCCATGCCCGGCCACTCCGCGACGCTCCTGTGCCTCGGCACCTTCATCCTCTGGTTCGGCTGGTACGGCTTCAACCCGGGCAGCGCCCTCGCGGTCGTCGGCAAGGACCCCGCGGCGCTGTCCAACCTCGTGGCGCGTGCCGCGGTGACGACGACGATGTCCGCCGCCGGCGGCGCGGTCGGCGCGCTGGTGCTCGTGTACTGGCAGACGGGCGCGTGGGACCTCGTCGCCGTGTGCAACGGGCTCCTCTGCGGGCTGGTGTCGATCACGGCCGGCGCCAGCGTCGTTGAGCCGTGGGCCGCGATCATCATGGGCGCCATCGGCGCCGTGATCTTCAACTACGGCGGGAAGCTCCTCCTCAAGCTCCGCATCGACGACCCGCTCGAGGCCGTCAACATGCACGCCTTCTGCGGCATGTGGGGCCTCGTTGCCGTTGGCTTCTTCGCCAAGCGCACCTACGTGCGCGAGAGCTACGGCGACGCGGTGGCCGAGCACGGCTGCGGCGTGTTCTACGGATGCGACGGCCGCCTGCTCGGCATGCAGATCCTCGGGTTCGTGGTGATCGGCATTTGGGCTTGCGCGTTGATGTTTGCGCTGTTCTATTTCATGAAGAAGATCGGGAAGCTGAGGGTGTCGGAGCAGGAGGAGATGTCCGGCCTCGACGTGTCGATCCACGGCGGCCAGGCGTACCCCGCGGAGCACGACATGATGAAGGAGGGGCGTCCGAAGATCTGACAACGGGGTTGGGAGACGCTGGGAGGGTTGGGAGCTGCGGCGCACGTGCGGCGCAGCGGCGAGTGGTCTGTGATACTGGTAATTGCTTGGCGTCGAGACGCGGTGCCGGCGCGGCGGCACGTGCCAGCCGGGCGGTGGCTGCGCAGGCGAGTTGTGCATGGCGCGGCGCTCGGAAACGGCCGGTGCGGGGCGGCCGTGGCTGCGAGCGCGAGTGCTTGCTGCGTCGCCGCGGCCCGCAGATCCCGCCGCCAGAGACCAACGGAAGCGCCTTCGCAAGGCAGCCATGACGCGGTCCGTGCAGCCTGTGGTCGCGCAGCTTGTGCACCGATCGCGGGCTCGTCGATCACATACGCCGCGCGGCTCCGGCGCGGAGCCGACTCCCTCTCCGCCCCGCCATTCGATCAAGCAACGCAGACATCCGACGACAAGAACAATACCATTGAAAAACATCAGCACAGACGCATGCAGCCACGTCTCCGCGGCGATCCGCAGCACCACGCGCTCACTGGCCCTTCTTGTCCGCCGGCGGCGTGCCCCTGATCTCCGCGATCTCCTTGATCAGCCGCGAGTTCTCCGCCAGCAGCCGATCGTACTCGCTGGCGAGGTTCTTCGTTTGGCTGCGCATGGCCTCCACCTCCGCCCGCGCCTGCGCCTTGCTCTTCGCCGCCTTCTCCTTCTCCACCTTGGCGTCCTCCAGCTCCTTCTTCAGACCCTTGACCGTGTCGTCCGGCGCCTTGGAGCCTGCGTCGCAACAGCACGCCGCGCGCACAGCGGCTCGCGTCAACCGCGCCCGCGCCCGCGGGCCTTCTGCGCGTGCGAGCCGCGCGGACGTGGCCGCGGCCGCGGTCCCGGGCGCCCGCAGCCGTGAGTTGGGCTTCAGCGACGCAGCGTCGGCAGCATCTTGACGGGCGCCGTCGCGGGGAACGCGCTGCGCGTTCCCACGCACGGGACTGGGGGCTCGCTGCGTGCAACGCGCAGCGCGTTCCCCGCGACGCCGCCCGTCAAGATGCTGCCGACGCTGAGTGGCTCAAGCCAAACTCACGGCTGCGGGCGCCCGGGACCGCGGCCGCGGCCACGTCCGCGCGGCTCGCACGCACAGCAGCCCCGCAACGTCGCTCGTCGGCGCGCGGACATGCCGCTCAGCGGCGCGCACGGCCCACGTTGTCGTTCATGTGATCGCGGTGTTTGTCATCGCCGAGGGTCACGCACCGATGAGGCTGTTGAGGAAGCCCCCGGCCTTGTCGGCGCCGTCCTTGGCTGTTCCGTTCGGCGCCGCCCTCGCCCCGCTCTTCTTGCTGCTCGTCAGCTCAGAGACGAGCTTGTCGCGCTCCGCCTTGAGCTGACGCACGTCCTGCCGCAGCCCGCGGCCGTCGCGGACGCAGCCCGCGTACGAGTAGACCACCACCGACATGACCATCGCTGCGCGGGAGAGGGATCGGGCGACCGGTGGGCGCCAAGCGGCCCCGCCGCACCATGCCACGCGGCAGACTGCAACCACCTCGCGCAGCGCCGCGGGGGCCCGGCGCTCCGTTGCGCGCGACACACGAAGCATGTACATCATGCGGCACGAGAGCGATTGTTCGCGCGCGGGATCCGGGTCAGATAGGCGCGTGGGGGGCCGTGGAGCACCTGCTGCGGAGAGTATGGCGCCCTGTTCGATACCTATCTCTTGCTGGAGCAGCATGAGCGCTTCCCGGCGCCCCTCGTCGGTGTCAGGCGTCTGCTGCGCCTTGCTGCGCACCGTGGATCCCTCGTACATCGACGCGACGAACACCACGAACAGCGCGCCCAGCAGCATCATCAGCACCGTCCGCCCCAGAGCCCCACGCGACCATCCCCGCACAAAGTCCGCCGCAAGATTCTGCGAGAGTGTCAGACACAGCCGCTGGACCGGTCACGCGGCGCTGGGCGCGCCGCGGCTGCTCGAAACCAGCACCGGGGCCCCCGCTGCGCTGGGTGCTGCGCGGGGGCACGGCGCGCCGGTGCCTCGGCCCCGAAGCGTCATTCCTGGACGGCCGGCGGCCTCAGTTGCTTCGCCACCTCGACAGCTGGCTGGGAAAGGGCGGCGGCGGCGGAACGCTCGGGGTGCACCGGCTCTTGCCTGCAGTGGTCGGATCGGGGCGCACAGCAGCGCGGCGAGCAGGCCCTCGGCCGTCAACAGCCCCAGCAGGGGCGCTAGCACCACATTGACCATGTCGGCCGCCCCGCAGCCCCCCGGACCGACCCACCGGACACCACGGCGCCGAAGTGGGTTCCCGCCAGGCACTCGAGCCCTCAACCGGCCGTTTCCCGGACCTTCGCGCGACCTCCGCGACGACGACGCGCCCGCACGCTCAGCCAGAAGTGCGCCGGGCGCTGCAGCCACCTTGGCAACGCCGCGCGGCCGGACGCGCGCCAGTCTGCCTGGTAGCGCCTCCGTGGTACAACACGCGCGCGGAACAGCGCCCTCGTTGCCCCTACGCGCCACCCGGCTGTGCTCCATCGTCACTGCTGCCCGCTCGCCACTGCAACACCGCGTATTCGTCTCCGTAGCGCCTGGTTTCGCTCCTCGCGGCCTCAACTGAACGGGAAACCCTTCTTGGTCGCCTGCGCGCGTGTACAACATGCAAGTCATGGGTTTGGCCGGCTCCGCCGCCCGCGTGGCGTGCAAGCCGTCCGCAACGGCGCCGTGCGTCGGCGCCCGCCCCCGAGCGGCGGCGCGCCGCTGCGTCGCAGCCCAGTACAAGACAGACGGGACACCTGCGCCCACGGACACGGAGAAGTCGGTGGTCGTGCCCAGTGCGCTCGCTCCGGGCCTTACGCCCGAGACTCAGGCGCCCGCGGAGCCAGAAGTCGATCTGTACCGGTACGCGCCCCCCTGGCTCGGGGCAAACCTCCGGCACCCAACTGCCGCCCGCTGCAACCGCGCGGGCCCCGCAGCCGGACGCACGCCGATCGGCCACAGCGAATGCGGCCGCGTCCGTCTTTTTTGGGCGGAATTGGACCTTCGGGACCCCCCCTGTAGGCCACGATTCCCGTCAGTGACAGTTACCAACTCCTTGGGCGCGAAATTCCGCCCGAAATACCGCCTTCAATTGATCGAACCGTCCACAAACGGCCCGGAAGTGCTATTATCCGACCAGCGAGGGCCGTCACGCCGCAAACGAGGCCCCGGAGGGACCCGGTCTCGCAGTTGACCTGGCGTGCATCGTCCCGCCACAGTTTGACCGCGCCCCCCGCCCGCCCGCGGCCCCGGAGCCGCGTGCGCCCACTGGCACGCCATGGCCCCGCCCAGGCCTGCCCGGCGCGGCACCTCGCGCCCGCGTCGGCCCCGCACCGCGCCCACGCGCCTCGCCCGCCCCGCCGCCGTCGCAGGGACACGGCCGTGCGCTACTGCGGCTACGCGAACGAGCTGGGCGAAGCGTTCGCGGCGTGGCTGCCCGTCGGCGGCGTGCCGGCGTCCTACGCCGTCGCAATCACGTACGTCTGCGCCGACACGATCGACAAGGCGAAGAAGGCGTACAAGGTGAGTACACGACAGCCTCCTCCCATGTATAGAAACATGACAATCAATAATAGTTATATAATCTTTTTTTCATATGAATGAAATAGGAACTCGTTCGAACCACGCTCGTTGGCGGGGTCCCCGCCTCGTGGCACGCACTGCCCGGCGAGTCACGCGCCATTCCGCCCCGCGGCAGAGAGGGGGGGACTCCGAGGCGGCGACGAAAGGTCCCGCGCTGACACCACGCACTCCCCCCCCGGTCGCGGCCGCAGGAGACGGTCGCGGAGGCCCCGGACAGCCCTGCGCTCGCGACGGCCGTCACGCAGCACGTCGCGGTCGACACGCTCGTTTGGCAGCTCCTGGCGTCCGTCGCGATTCCTGGTTTCACGATCCACACCATCGTGCACTACGTCACGGAGGCGGTCGAGCTGGTCATCCGGCGCGTGGAGTCCGGCGAGCTGCCGCTCGCGCCGCTCCGGGACCTCCTCGCGGCGCAGCCTGAGTCAGCGGAGCTGCTGACCAAGACGCTGCCGACGATGGTCGGTCTCGCGGCGATCCCGATGATCGTGCACCCGATCGACAACACCGTGCACAAGGTGCTGGACCTGTCGCTGCGGAAGATGCAGCAGCGGATGATTTGCGACGTGGCCGGCGGCGCGGACGCCGGGCTGCAGCGTTGTCAGCCGGCGCGCCTCGAGGTGCAGGATGTGCTGGCCAGCGTCGAGGACCTGTACTTCAGCGACAGCGAGCGCAAGGGCGGCAACGGGAAGCAGTGAGCTGCGACCTGCCCTGCGTTTCGCGGCGGTTTTCCACAGCATGCACGCGAGTGCTGTGCAGTCGCGCTCGTCGCCGCTCTAGGCCCCCTACGCTGGCCCGCACGACCTGCGGTGTACATTCGACGTGCTCGGGCGTCGCCGGCTCCGGAACACGTAACCGGGAACGACGCCACGACCCACAAACATGCCTTTTGATTCGGGATTGTCACAGCGACGCAAAAGCGCTAGACAGGCGACGACGGAGCCCGCTCTGGCCCCTGGCGATGCGCCAAGCTGTAACCCAACCAGCACGCACTCCCGACATAGCAGTGTCTCGCATGCGCTCCCGCAACACAGCGCCGCTCGTGTGGATGCGCGCTGCGTCTGTATTGAACATGCAGTGTGACAAACGTGTCACACCGGAGGTCACGATAACCAAGGAAAGGGGTGGCCGAGCAACGACGTGGTGGAGTACCCGCACGCTGTCAGTCCGACACGCTCACTCGCACAGACGTGCGTGACCGGCGACATCTGCGCGACACTGTCCTGCCTCGCGTGCAGATACTCAGCTGCTGTCGCCGCTCCCCGGCCTCCGCTTGATTGCATGGCAACGTGAGGGTGTTGTGCGTCACAGCGCGGTCAGTCCGCCTTGCCACCCTTGGGCGCCAGCGACAGCGACGTGCGTCCGATCCCGATCGCCAGCAGGCCCACCACCAGCACAGCCGCCGACAGCACCAGCGGCTCCCGGAGCAGCGTCGCCGGCGGCAAGTCATACGTGATGTTGATGGGCACCGCAGTGAGGTCCGGGTGCAGGTCGCGCACGCGCAGGACGACGACGGGCCGCCCGACCGTGTCGAGGTACGTGTACTTGACGTCAGCCTCCTGGGAGACCCCCCCGAGCATCCCCGTGGCCAGCACCGTCGTCGCCTCCACCACCGCCGCGCCCTCCGGCAGCACGACGCGCGTCTCCATCTCCCCGACCTCCACCGCGCGGATCGGCGTCCCGAGCGGCACCGACACCCCGTACCGCTGCGGCCCCGTGCTCAGCTTGCTCACGACCTCCCCCAGGTCCAGCGCATACCCAAAGTTGAAGCGCGTGGCCCAGCCGCCCATGAGCGGGAACCGGTACCGCAGCTGGATGGCCGCGACGTAGCCGTCGCCCTGCGCGTACGGCGTCACGGACGACGACGACACGTTGCCGATCTCGTCGCGGAAGTAGAAGTTGTATGCGGTGCCCGGGACGACGGCCGTGACGCCGACGGAGGCGGCGCCGGCGCCCGGGCGGTCGGCGTTCGCGCCGAGGTCGAGCCGGGAGAACTCCCCGACGAGCGGGGGCCCGACGTTGACGAGGTCGACCCACTCGCTGGTCTGCACCTCGCCCCAGTGCGAGACGGAGATCTCGCGGACGATGCGGCCCGCGCGGACGAGGCCGGGGGACGGGAACTCGAAGTGCGCGTCGAACGGCTCGCGCGACCACGGCGCAATCTCGTCCTTGACCTCTGCAGAAGGGGGGGGGTGTTGTGGGGGTGTTTTCGCGCGTGGGAGGCGGCGGTGGGTGTCGCAGGGGGGGCGTCCGCGAGGGCAGGGGGCGTGCGGCGGCGGCGCGCGGGCGGACGCGTCCTGAATCGAGAATCCTCGACTGAAACATCACGCAAGCATTGTATGATGTGATGCGTCGCCAGGAGGCGGTGGGGGCCCGGGCGCACCGTAATGGAGTTCGCCCTCGATGCCCTTCTTGAAGTGCGCCTCCGAGCGCGACTCCGGCCCGCTCGGGAGCGACACGTGCGTCTTCAGCTTCACCACGACGTACGGCGACGGAGGCACCGTGCTGTCCTCGGCGGTGAACTTCGGGACCTCGTGGACGCTGATCTGCTTCGGCAGCGCCTCCAGCGCGTCCGAAACCGTCCAGATCACGCGCACGCTGGCCTTGCCTCCGGGCTTCACGGGGCGCGGCAGCTCGACGGTGCGACACACCAGGCCGGCCCGCGCCCGCTCGGCCGGCGGCTCCCACGGCTTCGTGGGGAGCCAGCCGGCCGTGTTCTCGTACCCGGTGAGCCCCTGCTTCACGAGGTCCTCCGCGTCGCGGTTCAGGACGCCGATGACGGCGGTGACGCGCCCCCGGCCCTCTCGGCAGGCCACGAACGACGACTCAGCGCCGTCCCCGGCGTTCTCGAGACGATACCAGTCCCCTACGACGAGGAACGTCCCGGTTCCGGTGGCGTCGACCTGCGAGGGGCGCGTGCGGGGCGAGTGCTGAGTGCTGGCGTGCAGGGCGGGGCTGTGGCGGAGCTCCTCAGCGAGGTGCCCGGGCAGACGTCGGGCGTGGCCTTTCACGGAGATGAGTTGCATCCAGGAGGGATACACGGAGGCGTACTGGAGAGGGTTGGGGCGCCGGGGCCGGCGTCTGCTGGGCGAGGGTCTGTGGTTGGGTAGATCGTGACGCCGGAATCGACCGAGAAGGCGTATCTGATCCCGGCCGCGACTGTTCAGATCGACTGCCGGCCATCGGTGCGGAGAAGATCAGCAGAGAATGCGGCCACAGGCCGGGGCGCAGGTCTCGGTGGAGCGGGGCCCCGCAAGGGTGCTTGTTTCGGGCCTTGGATCGCGGCTGCAGGACGGTGCGGGCTCACCTTGTGTTCGAGCTCCGTGACCTTGAGCTCCGCATGGCACCCCGCGACGCACGCGAGCAGCAGCGCCGCCAGCAAGGCGAACGCCCTCCAGCTTGCTTGCCGCGCCATCTGCGTCCCCGCACCGCTCCAATCAGCCGCGCCCGCAGCACCGAGCCGTCCTCCCAAACAGACTGCAACCGCTGGGAGAGCCGCGGCGGCACGTCTGCCCAACCCGAGCCGCACCTGGCGTTCCCGAACTGCTCTACAGACACAGCAACGCAGCCGGGGGAGGGCGAGCGTACGCGGGCGCACTCCTCACGCAGCGCTCGCTCCGTTGTGCCGGCCACGCGCCGCACCCTTGCCCAAGAACGCCCGAGTCAGGACCGTGCGGTGCAAGTTTCGTAATTCATTTCATTGTTCTACCGCCCCTCCTGGCGCCACTTCGGCCCGAGACAGCGCGCCGGGCGCGCAGGAAACGCCGTCCACCCTGTGCGCCACGCGGAGCTGCGCGACGCGCTCTTAGATAGCCTGCACGCACCGGGAACGCACGCCTCGCCGCAGAGCCTGAGCGCCCCCTCCGTCCCCGGGATCGCTCTACAGCCGCTTTCTGCGCTCGGGGGGGGTCCTTCGGATGGCCTCCGGGGCCGACGTCGCCCAGGCTGCGGCCACGGCGGTCCGGCAGCGGCGCGACGATGAGGGCAACAGGCGCGCCACGGCCGAGTCCGTGCAGAACAAGGAGGAGGCCTTCCGCGCGCTGGAGAAGGTCCTCAGGCAGCTGAGCCTCGAGAACGACCTCCTGGAGTCGTTCCTCAAGCGCGTCAGCCCGTCCTCGCTCGACGCGGTGCGCCCGACCTCCCGTGCACCCAGTGCATGTCGTGCCCGCCCCCGCGGCGCGAAGCCGCGCATCCACGTCGCCCGCCCCGCTCAATCATCTCCGATGGGAACACTGCCAGGACGCCGAGTTTCAGGGCCAGCAGCGTCGTATCCGCGCCGCAGCGGCCCCCGCACTGCACGCAGCGTCCGTGCAGCCCCGTTGCGCGCCCTCTGGCGCCGCACGGCCGCTCGCCACGCCCACAAACAACGCCACGTCGCATACGCGATCACTCTCCGCCCCGAATGCATCAGCAGCGGCCCGGGCCACGTCGCGCCACGTGCTGCGCAACGCGACCAAGATGCACCGCCCGCAGTGAAGCTCCTCGGCGCTGCTGACGCCGTCCCGCCCCGCGCGCTCCCCGCTGCAGATCATGCAAGAGATGGAGCGGCACTCGTCGGAGCGCCGGAACCGCTCGTCGACCATGTCGTTTGCTGCCATCGCCAAACGCGGCGCCAAGGGCAACCGCACGGGCGAGTACGAGCCGCTCAAGGACGAGGAGCTCGCGGAGATCGCGTCCCAGCAGATCGAGAGCCTCGGCAAGGACATTGAGGGCGTCAAGGAGAACTTCGCGGAGGTTCGAGAGGACGTGCAAGCGCAGCTGGACGAGGTGCGTTTCTGTGCCCCCCCGGCGCTCCCCGGCCCTCGTTCCGCGGCCCCGCGGGGTACATGAGCAGAGGGAGCGTTTGCGGGAGTGTGCGCAGGTGGATATGCGCATGGAGGAGCTGCGGAGAGAAACATACGAGTTCAAGCGGGACGTCATCGTGGGCGGGGAGGACCCCCGGACGGGCCGCACGGCCGCGGAGAAGGTCGTCAAGTACCTCGAGGAGGGCCTGCGGGACAAGGACACGCAGATGGAGAAGCTCCAGGTCTGGCGCGCCCCCCGGTCGCTCGTGTTGCGCGTCGCGGCGTGTCCGCTGCGGTCGCGTGCGCGGGGGACGGAAGTGCGCGCTGTCGCACCTCCTGGGCGCGCGGCGTGCGGCCGCAATGCAGGGCGCGCCTTCTGCCTTCGTATCTGACAGCGCGCTGGTTCCGACCCCGCTCGCTGCAGCTGCGCAACATGATGATGAAGGCGTCGATCCGGAAGCTGGAGCAGCAGCTGCAGCACAAGCAGGAGCTCGGGGAGCTCCTGAACGCCATCGACTTCGATCAATTGAAGATTGAGAACCAGCAATTCCTGGAACGCATCGAGGAGCGCAACAACGAGCTCCTGCGCCTCAAGCTCACGACGGGGAAGACGGTGCAGGTCATGAACGGCCTCAAGGCCAAGCTCTCGCGTCTGACGGACAAGGTGCGGTTCCTGAAGGACGACATCAAGGACCGAGAGCTGCAGGTGGGGAAGATCGACAGCGACATCAAGCGCGCGCAGGAGGCCGTGCAGGCCACGGAACGGCAGCATAGGGCGCTCCTGGCGGAGCGCGAGGACCCCGAGGCCCCGCAGGTGCGCGCGCGGGCCGCCTGGAGTGCCGTTCACAACGACCGAGCCCGCGGCGTCGCGCTGCGGCGCGCGGCGGAGCTGAGCCGGGGAGCGCTTGACTGCAATATTGTGCCCGCGTTGCGCCGCGCAGGTCATGGATTACATCCGCGTGAAGGCCCAAGTGACGGAGATGGAGAAGGCTGTGTCCGACTGGCAGCGCAAGTGCGAGATCGCGGAGCTCGAGGCCGGGCACACGCGGCGCACGCAGGCCGCCACGATCCGGAGGCTGAAGACCGAGATGCCGCCCGAGGCCCTCGCTGCGCTGGCCGCCTCTGGGACCGTGCCACGCATGACGGGCACGAGCAGCTTGGGGTGACCGCAGCGCGGCTGGAAGCCGCGCAGCTAGGCCGTGTGACGCTTCCACGACGCGATTCGCGACTCGCTGCGGGCGGTTTCTTCGTCACAGGGGTGCAGGTGCTGTTCGCGCGCCGCGCCAGCTGCGCTGGCAAACCGGCGCGGCGGGGGCTCGCGGGCGCAGCTGGGCGCAGACGGGTCGTGCGGTGGTCCGTTGACGCGATTCGTGGCTAGCTGCGCGCGTCTTCGCCGTCACAGGGCGTGTGCCAGCTGCACTGGCCGGCAGCGCGGCAGGCGCTCGCGGGCGCCCGGGCGTCAGCGGCCCCGGCCGCCCGCCTTCTCCTTGAGACGTTGCGAGATCGCAGTGCCCCGGCCGCCCAGCCCCATCGGTCCGAGCTTGTCCTTCATCTTAGGGTCGATGCGCTTGAACATGGGGGCGTTTTTCAGCATGTCGGGCACGACGATGAGCCGCACCTTGGACCCTGCACGGCGCTCGGACGCAGGCTGCGGGCTGGGGCGGTGCGGCGCGGCGGCGAGCTGCGCTGGCGCGTGAAACTGCGGTGTGGTGGGTGCGAGGGGGCTGCGGTGCGCGCGGGGGTGGCGCGGACCTCGAATGTAGACGTGCTCGAGGTGGCCGACACGTCCGTCGCGTCCGGAGACGGTGCAGTTCTTGATCTGGCAATTCCAGTTGTCTTCGCAGCTAAACAGGTCACCCCGGAACACCTCCCCCGTCTTCATTTCCACCTGCACGCACGCGAAGGACCGAGGAAGCTTCGTTGGAGGGACGGAGCGCGCGTGGGCGGCCGTCGTCGCGCGCAACGCGGGGCAGAGAGCAACAGTCCGGGCCACGCCGGCGGCGCTGGCGCGACGGTGCGCCGCCAGCGCCGCGCGCGCATCCGCCCCGGGGATTGTTCGGGGTGTGTGCACTCCAAGCGGGCCGAGATCCACGGAGCAGGCCACCCAGCTGCGCCAGGGGCGGCTTCCCACCACCAGCGCGGGCCACGCGCGCGAAAGCGCCGTCCCCGGCGCACGATACCCGTGGGCCGTCGCGCGCCACGGCCTGGGCAGTGTCCCACACGCGATGCAGGCAAGGAGCCTTGCGGGCGCCGCAGGCACGCAGCGCACGCCCGTACAGCTGCATCGCGTCAGGTCCGTGCGTGCTCACCGTCACCACATGCCCCGTCGCCTCATGCAGGAGCTTCGCCGGGATTCCGACGCCCTTCAGCGACGTCATGGCGCGCTGCGGGGCCGCCGACCCGAAGCAGGAGGCTCAGGAGTCCCACCGAAGTCAGGGCACAGGGCGGAGACGCAACTCGCGGGTGACGCGTTGAACGGCGCGAGCGTTGGGCGGCACCCAGGTACCGGGACGCGTCTGTAGCGCCGCGTGCCGCGCCCGCCGCCCGAAAGCCGCGGCGCTGGGGAGCGGGCGCGCAGGCGGACATCGCGACCCGGCGAGACCGACGCACGGGACGACGTCGCGTCGTCGTCTCGAGGGCGGGCGTGCGGGCGGATGCGGCAGTCGCGTTCTGGAGTTCCGGGCGGCGAGAGGATACGTTGCCTGAGGCCCTCGTTCGCGCTCGGTTCGGTACCTGGGCCCTACCACGGTAACCTGGAGGTCCCGCAGGGAGCTCGGGTGGACCTGGGTCGTCCCGCAGCGTCAGGTGCGACTTTTCTCCGGCGGATCGCGCGCCGAACGGCCAGCCTAGCCGCCCAGCCGCGCGGCAGCGACGGCACACTTTGCATGCTGGAGTGTCGACGGGCCCGTGGGGCCTGACGCCGCGCGAAACCCGCGATATCCGCGCCCCACGAGGATGCTCGCGAGGCGAACCTGCCGCAGCAGCTCCTTCGCTCGGCGTTCAGTCCCCCACGGGCCGCGTCAGGCGGTCTGATAGCCTGGGGGGCAGGTGGAGCATCCCGGCCGCTCGCGCCCGCTGCGCCGATGATGCGCTGCGCGAACGATTCACGGTCGATGTCAGCCATCGCCGCTCGCGCACCCGGGTCGCCGCGCCCGCTCGGGGGCCCCTGCACGCCGTGAAAGGCCCCAGCGGTCATCGTCGCGGTGTTCCGATGCCCTCGCGCGCAATCCGTCGCATCTGCGGCCGCCACGGCTTCCACCACTGCGCGTGCGGGAGGATCCTCCCGGCGCTGAAACGGCCGTTCCGCGGTGCGCTTCGCAGAGAGCTCCTGGTGTTGGAGTCAGAGAGGTGGAGCCGTCCGCACGCCCCACGCACGGTGGGCACGCCCTGGGGTGCGTGAGGGCCGAGAGGATCATAGATACGGAGCAACCGCCTGGCCCAGAGCGCTCGTAGGTCGCCAGCATGGCGTCGCAGGGACAGGGAGACAACCTGTCCTCCAAGCTCCGCGGATTTCTGTCCAGGAAGTGAGTGTTCCCGCGCCAACCGCGTGCCGCCCCCGCCGCACTGCCCCCGCGGACCACGCAGAGCGCCCCCGCGCCGCCCGTCCCGCCAGACGCACGCCCCCACGGCGCCCTGCCCCACCGCCCACCGCCACGCGCCCGCCCTGCCGCTGCCCGGCGCGACATTGCCGCCTTCGCGGCGCGAACCGACGATCCATCCACGCGAGGCCGCGCCCGCCGCGGCGCGCCGCCTGCACGGCTCGTTTCCGGCCGCCTCGCGCCGGTCATTGCGTGCCGCTGCCCCGACCGTGCCCGGCGCGTGCGCGCGCGTATTTGCGCAGGAAGGGCGACAAGGCGGGCAAGGGCGGCGATGAGGCCGGCGCGAAGCCCCTGAGCGGGCCGAACTCGGGCCACGCGGCGCCCGCGGGCGACGCCAGGGCTCCCGCGGCCGCGGCAGCGGCGGCCCCGGCCCCGGGAAAGGCCGACTGCAGCGTGACGGGCAACCTCCCGAAGCACGGCCGCTTCATCGCGACGCACGACGCCATGACCACGAAGACGCTCCAGGAGGCGCTCGACAAGGTGCACGAGACCGACCGCAAGAAGGGGAGCACGTCGGCGACCGCCGAAGACGGGAATGCGGGCGGGCAGAAGCGGCGGCGGCTGATGCAGAAGCGCGTGGCGATCGTGGCGGAGATCCTCGCGAGCGAGACGGTCAGCGAGTTCAAGACGGTCGCCAAGTCGCCCGAGTCGCAGGAGCTGATTGAGAAGACCGTCACCAACAACCTGCTGTTCGAGATGGTGTCACTGCCGGCGCGGAAGGCGATCATCGACAGCATGGACTACATCGAGCTCGCGGCGGGGCAGGTCATCATGAAGCAGGGGGACTCGAAGGCCGACAAGTTTTACGTGCTGGAGAAGGGGCACGCCGAGATTCGGAAGAAGGCCGAGGACGGGTCCGAGTCCGGGCGGATCGAGATCGGGCCGGGGTCGTGCTTCGGGGAGATCGCGCTGCTGTACAACACGCCGCGGACGGCGACGGTGACGTGCAAGACGGCGTGCCGGCTGTGGGTGATGGAGCGCGCGGTGTACAAGGGCATCGTCACGGCGTACTCGCGGCGCATCACGGACGAGATGTTCTACCTCATGGAGAGCATTCCGGCGCTGAGCGTGCTCAACGAGGAGCAGCGCCGGAAGCTGGCGGACGCCATGGACCCCATGGAGTTTGAGGACGGCGAGACCATCTTCCGGAAGGGCGACGAGGCGGACCGGTTCTTCCTCGTCAAGGAGGGGCACATCCGCATCGTGGACGAGGGCCGCACGATCTCGATGGTGTCGCCCGGGCAGGGCTTCGGGGAGCGCGCGCTGCAGTTTGACATCAAGCGGACGGCCGACGCGGTCTGCGAGGGCTACGTCGTGTGCTACACGATCACGAAGCAGGCCTTCCAGCGCCTCATCGGGCCGCTGCACTCCATGTGGCGCTTCGACGCGCTCCGGCGCGTCAACATCCTCGCCGCCGTCACCGACCAGCAGGTGCTGCGGCTCGCGGAGCTCATGGAGGAGCGCATGTACAAGTCCGGCGACGTGGTCTTCGAGAAGGGCGACGAGGCGGACGCGTTCTACGTCGTCCAGGACGGCGAGTTCCGCATCTACGACGAGGACACGGAGTACGCGCGCGTGTTCCAGGGGTCGTGTTTCGGGGAGCTCGCGCTGCTGTCGGACGACCTGCGCACGGCGTCGGTGCAGGCGGTGACGAACGGCGTGCTGCTGTGCCTGAAGAAGCAGGACTTCAGCGACACGCTCGGGCAGCTGGAGGAGATTTGGCTCATGTGGCGCATGGAGGCGCTGCTGCGCGTGCCGGTGCTGCGCGTGCTGAGCCACGAGCAGCTGCTGCGCGTCGCGCAGAACCTGGAGCAGGAGCTGTTCAACGAGGGCGAGGTCATCGTGCGCGCGGGGGACTATGGCGACAAGTTCTACATCGTCGAGTCAGGGATGGTGCAGGTGCTCGCCGAGGACGGCCGCGAGATCCGGAAGCTCGGCGGCGGGTCGTACTTCGGGGAGGTCGCGCTGTTCTACGGCACGCGCCGCGCGGCGACCGTCAAGGCCATGTGCTACATGTCGGTGCTCAGTCTGACCGCGGACAAGGTCGACGACATCCTCGAGCCCGTCCGGCGGCTGATGGAGTCGAACGCGAAGACGTACTACTTCCCCAAGGGCTTCGGGTTCCGTCCGCTCAAGCTGGGCGACCTCGACATGGTGAAGATCCTCGGCGTTGGCGCGTTCGGGGTCGTGCACCTGGTGCGGCACAGCGGGAACTACTACGCGCTCAAGGCGATGAGCAAGGGCCGGCTGCGGCAGGTCGGGCTCACGAAGCACGTCCGGCGCGAGAAGGAGGTTATGCTGGAGTGCACGTCGCCGTTCGTGGTCAACCTCATCGCCACCTTCTCGGACCGCATGTACATCTACATGCTGATGGAGACGGTCATGGGCGGCGAGCTCTTCACGCTCCTGCAGTCCCGCACGTACCCGCTGTCGGAGCAGGCGGCCAAGTTCTACGCTGGGTGCGTCATCCTCGGGCTGCAGCACTTCGCCGAGCGGCACATCTGCTTCCGCGACCTCAAGCCCGAGAACCTGCTTATCGCGCCGAACGGGTACATCAAGATCGCGGACTTCGGCTTCGCGAAGAAGGTCTGGCGCGGGAAGACGTTCACGATGTGCGGCACGCCGGACTACATGGCGCCGGAGATGATCAGCCACACGGGGCACACGCGCGCGGTGGACCTCTGGTCGCTCGGCGTGCTCATCTACGAGATGGTCGTGGGCATCACGCCGTTCTACAACCCCCAGAATCAGATCGACACCTTCCGCCGCATCGTCCAGTGCAACCTCCAGATCCCGCCGCACGTGGGGTCCAAGTGCAAGGACGTCATCCTCAAGCTCATGAACCTCAACCCCATGAAGCGCCTCGGCATGGGCACGGCGGGCATCGACGAGATCAAGCAACACCCCTGGTTCGCGGGGTTCAATTGGGAGGCCCTGTCGAACCAGACGCTCGCCGCGCCCTTCCTGCCGAAGATCCACGACCTCGAGGACACGCGCAACTTCGACAGCATCCACCCGAAGGACCCGCGGATCCAGGTCACGGACGTGGAGCGCAACTACCAGTCCGAGGGGGAGTTTGCCGATTTCTAAGGGGGGGGTATTGTTGCGACGTCCGAGGGCCGGCTGGCTCCGCGCCTGCCATCCGGCGCGTGCTCGCGCATGTGTATCTGCACCCACGGAGCCGCCGCGTCGCGTGTATTTTACGCGTGCTGCTCTCAAAGGCAGGAGCGTGCTGCAACTGGCGCCGGCCGTGCACCATCGCTGTGATTCTTCTCGAGCGACGCGACTGCGCCGTCTCAGCTGCTCGGCCCCTCGCGCAACGCAACAGCGACGGTGGGTCGCTGCGCTTCTGGAATGACTCGCAGCGCCTGGACACAATCATCGCACCAGTCGTTCGCTCCGCTGCCGTACGCGCGGGTTCTCCGCAACTGCTGTCGCTCTCAGTCGCCACAACTCCCATGGCTCATGAGTCAAACAACAACTTGGCAGGAGTAGACAAAAACAACCTCCATTATTATCATTTTTCATTATTTTTTCATTATTTTCTGTTTTTCCCTACTTGATGATGGGACTTGACACTGTCGCACTGATGCCGCGTCACAGGAACAACTGGATGAGCTCGTCGCTCACGGCCGCGGGCGTCAGCACGCCGAGGTCCGTCACCAGCAGCGAGATCAGTGCGGGGGGTGTGTAGTCCCGGGACGGGCTGTCAAACCGCACGCCCGGCGGCAGCGTCCCCGTGATCTCCGGCGCGGGCCGGTTCTCGACCGGCACGTCCTTCTGGTTCAGCGGGCACAGCCGCGTGAACTTGTAGCTCTCCGCGGCGACGTAAAACGGCGTGTTGTGCGCCTTCGCCAACAGCGCGATCTGGTACGTTCCCAGCTTGTTGATCACGCCGCCGTTCTCGACGACGCCCTCCGCGCCCAGCAGCGCCAGGTCCACGCTCTCCAGGCAGCACGCCACCGCGGAGTCGAGCACCATGGTGCAGGGAATGCCCCGGTCGCTCAGCGCACGTGCCATCTGGCTGCCCGAGCCGTCGGGGCGCCCCTCGGTGACCACGACGGAGAACCGTCGGCCGGCCCCGATGCAGCGCGTCAGCAGCGCGAGGACCACGCGGGAGTAGCCGTGCACCAGCACGCGCGCGCCGTCGTGGACGAACTCCTCGCCGAACGAAGCGATGGCCTTGCGCGCCTCGAGACTCGTGTTCGCAAAGTTCCGCCCGCTGCGAGCGGTCACCGGGCGCGGCGGGGGCTCAGGCGGGCGCGGGGGGCGTTGCGAGGTACAAGGGGGGTGTGAATCGTCAGGGGGGGGGGCGTACCGCTCGATGAGGCGCGACTTGACCATGTCGATGTCCTTGACGTGCGCGAGGGCGGAGGTGCGCGAGACGTATTGCAGGAACAGCTCGCAGGCGGCTTTCAGGGAGATGGCGGTAGGGTTGCAGGCCTTGAGGTGGCCGGCGGCGACGTCGAGCTCGCACTGGAGCTCCATGATGGTCGTGGCCTTGGACTGCTCGATGACGGAGGTCAGGGCGTTGATGACGGCGACGGCCACAGCGGTCTCCGAGCTCTGCGAGAACGTGCGGGGCGGGTCGGTCCGGGAGTGAGGTGCGGTGCGTGGTCTTGCTGCGGCTGGTCGCGGAGAGGGAGGTGAGCGTCGACTGACCTGCGTGAGACTGTCCTGGAACTCCTTGACCACGGGCGAGGCCCTGTCGAAGACGTACGTGGTGCTTCCCAGGACCATCACCTTCGACGACGCCTTCTGTTCGCCTATTTCTAGCGTTGATGTGAACACTGCCGGTCGTGGCGACGCCTGCAGAGGCACAGCACGATGGAGGGCTCGACATCAGCGCGGAACTGACGTCAGGAGACGGGCGCTGTCCTTGCAAGCTCCCTTCCGGGCCAGACCCGCCGTTTTCGCCGCCGCAGAGGGACCGAGCGCACAGGTTCAGATGCACAAGAGTCGTGTGCGGCAGCGCTGCCTCGCAATATTCGCCGCACCTGCCCTAGCACCGCTGGCTGGTGCGTAGGCTGCACCGCCGCGAAATGCGCAGCGAGGCCGCCCGAGGGCTGCTTGCTACCCATGGTTTTGGATCCTAAACGACGATCCAAGCTATAACGCAGCAAATATAGACACGAAGCCCCCGCGGCTGCAGCTGGGGCGCCCTGCGAACCACGCCGCTCCGATCACCCTTGCTTCCGGCGGCAACCAGTCAACGACCTCTTCATACACGCACACAGGAGCTCGTGCGGACGCTGGCCACAGTCTTCCGGTGCGCGTGTCAGCGGCACACGCAACCAAGGGAGCCGCCTCCTGCGCATGTTCTACCCTGACACCACAGAGCACGTAATACCCCCCCTGCCCTCCGCAGCTGCCCGACCTCTCCCCCAGGCATGCGCCAGTCACCAGCGGAGGTCGCGGGCGCGGCACTCCTCGCGCTCCTCGCGCAGCTCGTCGCCCGGCGCTCGTGTACGCGCCGCAACTGGCTGTCCACTGCACACGCATCACATATCCTCAGAGCTCGCCCGCGCGCTGCCTCTTCTTCAGCCTCTTCCGCAGATCGCGCTTCGCGCACTCCTTGTACCGGTCCGCCCGAACGCGGTCATGCTGCACCCGCACAACACAAACAGAGCACCATCGCACCAGGCCCGGACAAGAGCGTTTCCTGGCCCGACAGGGGCGCAGCTAGGCACGCAGCAGCGAGAGATTCACGCACCTGGCCCTCTTCTAGCGGTTCGAGCTGGAACACGCGGTCGAAGCACGTGCGGCTGACGCAGGCCAACACGCAGTTTTCCCGGTTCGAGGCCCCCGGTACGCCGACGCACGCCGTCTCGTCCGTCGCGACGAACTCCTCGCACCGCGCGTGCTCGTTGCTGCGGGCGCGGCGGGCGCGGACGGCGGTGAGAGCATGATCGCGACACACCACAGTGCGCGAGGCGCGCAGCAGCGGCCTGCTTCGGCGCGGCAACGCACGTCGGGGTCACGCCCGGCCGTGGCCCGGAGCGCTACCTGCTGCGTGTGCTCGTGCGTGGCAGGGAGGGCGTGCGCTCTGAAGAGGCAATGTGGGAGGGTCCTCACTTGTACTCCGCCTCCATGTGCTTTCCTTTCTTAGGTTTCGCCTCGCAGCTCGACGCGAGAGCGAGCAGCAGCAGCCCGAGCAACGCCAAACACCGCCCCGCCGACCACATCGCGCGCCCCGGGCCTGAGGCCACACTGCCCGAGGCACTCGCCACGCCGTGACACGGAGAACAACTGGCGGAGCGGCGCGACGACACGAAGGTCACTCCGCGGTGTTCTCCGCTGTCGGCGTGCCTGTTCGTTCCCTCGCCGCTGTTCAGGCTCTGAGGAGGTGACCTATGCAACTGGCGCCCGTCTGTGCGCGCGGAGCCACGTCGACCCGAGGCCTCGGCGCGGCCTGTGTGGCGTCCTAGACGCTGCGAGATGTCGCGTGCCCTGCCGCGGGGCTCGGTCTTCAGGAGGAGCCCTGTCAGGCCTGTGGGAAGGATTCCGGGACGTGCTGGCAATAGGGCCCCCAACGGTGGGCTTGCGGCCGGCGCATTGGCGTGCTGCGCGGCCGCACGGCCGCCTGTATCAGCGGCCAGTGATTGCCGGGCGCCGGGAGGTAGTGAGCGCTTCCCGTATCTGTGTTCGGGCGAAGACTGAGCGAGCCAGCACCGCACCAGGGGCGCTCCCGCATGCATCCACCGAGCACGACGGAGGTCTGGCCGGGCCCTCGCTAGCCATAGAAGCACGGTCGTAGCCCGCGCCGGAGGCCGGTGGCTCTTCCAGGGCGCGCAGCGGGGCGTGCTTCTCAGCCATGGCAGGCCCGGGCGAATCGAAGGACATAGTGCTGGTCACGGGGCCAGATGGGAAGGAGCTGACGCCGGAGGAGGCGGAGAAGCAGCAGAAGGAGGTGCGCGGCCCCGCCGTGGCGTCTCCTGCGCGTCCGCGCGCATCCCAACCTCCAAACACTCAGCACCACCGCCGCCTCGGTCTCCAGCGCAACGAACCTTCCGCCCCCGCACCTGACCGCATCCATAACAGCTCTGCCGTTCCAACCACGCGCGCTCGCGTCCACAGCACCGCAGCACGACACGGAGTGTCCGTGCCTCTTTGCCCGCGTCCATGCGATGTCACGCGCCGCCGCCCGCGCGGCACGGCCGGCAACTCGCCCCGCAACCCGCCTCTCGCGCAGCTGAAGGAGTTCGAGGACAAGCTCAAGTTCATCACGGACAAGGTGCCCACGAAAACGTACATGGTGATGGGGTCAGCGGCGGGGGCGGGCTCCGGGACGTTCCACATCTACCGCAAGCTCAAGCGCGCCGAGGAGGAGAGGTGCGACGCCGCGCGCGACGGCTCGGCGCTTCGCTGCGACACCGCCCCCCCCCCCGGCGCGCCCTGCAGGTCCGATGGTGTCAGCGCTGACAGAGTGGTGTGGTGTTGTGCAGGTGGGCGCGCGTCGAGCGGGAGGCGAAGGAGAAGGACGCGCTGGAGGAGTTCGAGCGGCGCAAGCGGGAGCGCGAGGAGGCGGACGAGGCCAGGTGCGTGTTCCCGCCAACACGCAACGAGGGGGGGGGGTGTCCTTCGTTGCGGTCACGTGCATGAGGGCCAGGAGCCGCGGCCGCGCGCACGTCGCTTCCCACAGCTAGCGGGTCAACAGTCAGAACGGCACCGCCGGCTCGTTCGCGGCGCAACCGCGGTTTGTGTTTGCTGCGCGGCCCTTGCCTCGCAGGCTGGCGAAGAACCGCGAGAAGCGGTTAAAGAAGCGGAAGAAGAAAGGCAAGGCCGGCGACGCGAAGCCCGCGGGCGCCGACGCGCCGGGGTCGCCCGCCAAGGCCGCGAGCGACGACGACGGAGCGGACGCCCCCCCTGTCGACGACCTCGACTGACCGGCACGTCAGAGGGAGCGGGGGAGTTTTCGTTTTCGTTTCCCGACCAGTCACAGCGAGGCCCGCGCGTCACGACATGGCCTTCTGGTAGATCGTCTCCACGCGGCCCATGCGCGCAGCCATGTAACGCCCCGCGGTGAACAAATAGTCGCTGAGGCGATTCAAATACGCGAGGACCTCCGGCCCGACGTTGCCGCCCTCTGCGCCGTCCGCGCCCGCGCGGTCCACCTCGACCACGGAGCGCTCCGCTCTCCGGCAGATGGCGCGCGCCATGTGCAGGAACGCCGCCGGCTTGCCGCCCGACGGAAGGATGAAGTTCCTGCGCAGCGCGGACGGATATGAGTGGGGGAGCGTGGCGTGCGCGCTGCTCCGGCGTGCGCTGCCAACTGCCTGTCGCGTCGTTGTTGTCAATGACGTTTGATGTGTGGTTGGAGTTGGTGGGGCCGGGTGGGGCGGGGCCAGGCTTACTTGAGCTGCGGCAGCGAGAGGTCCATCGCGTCGATCCACGACTCCAGCTCCGCGGCGTGGCCCGCCGCGAACGTCACGCGCTGCACAGCAGGCAGCGATGCGCGTGTTGTGGGCACGTCCTGCGCGCCGTGCGCCGCCCGACGTGACCGGCTCTAGCTCCCACCGCTCGCCGCGCGTGGGCCCTCTCCGCGCGGCTCCAAGCGTGGCGAGCTTGCGCGCCGCAGAGCGGTCAAGCCGGGCGACGCGGGGCGGCTGCGACTCTGGGGACGCGCAGGTGCGGTGCAGGACGGGCACGACGAAGAGAGGCCGGCCAGGCGACCGTGCGCGCGTCCGCGACCCGGAGGGACGCGTCGCGGGGCTGCGCACACCCTCGGCCTACCTGGAGTTTCCGCTGCGACGATCTGTCGCGTGGTGTGGCAACGACGGACCCCACGTCGAGCAGCCTCGACTGTATGCTCTGCGGACACGTGGTCGGGGCGCTCGGAGCGTGACGCGCGGCCGCGCAATTCGCAACTCGCTGCTGGCCAAGGGTGTCGCCTCCACGCGGCGCGGCGCGTGCCCCGCGCACGCGCACTGCCCGCCGCTGGGCGCGCTCTCCGCCGGCTCATGGCCGGCCGGCGCAAGGCAAGCGCAGCCCCCCACGACGCCGCCCGCTGCGATCCGCAGCGCCGTGCAAACGACACGCTGCTTTCCGCCCGACAGCCCGCCACACACGCGACGAACCGCGTCGCACCGGGTCTCCCGGGCGATAAAGCCTCATGAACCGTCGAGAGAGGTGATTATACGCGACGCAAGGCGCCCCCAGGGCGCAGAGACGGCGCAACCTCCCCTGCTGCGAAGCTGCAGGGCGCAGTGGGCTTGCCTTGAGTTGCTCGGCCACGTTCTCGCCCTCCGCGCCGCCGTCCTCCACGCACAGCTCGCGGGCGACTCCGCACGCGCTGTTCAGCTCGTCCACGTCCCCCAGCGCCGCGAACACGGCATCGCCTTTGCACCGTCGCTCCCCGTTGTACAAACTCGCCTCCCCCCCGTCGCCGGTGCGCGTGTAGACCTTGAACGAAGACATCGGGGCGGATCTGGCGAAGCCGGACGCGGCCGGGGCGAGACAAGAGGACGTCCCGTGGCCTTGTCCGGGGCGCGAGCGTGGAAAAGCGCCAGTCGGGCAGGGATGTGCGCGCGGGGCCGCGCAGGGTGGCGCGATGGCGGCGCGGCGGGGGGCGCGCGGCCCACAACATTCTTAGGCACGGCACCTGCTTCGCGGTCGACCTGGACATTCCCTTCCGAGAGCGCTGAGAGCAGAGAAGCAGGTGGGCCCGTCGCCAGGCGCACACGCCGCGAGAGCGCGCTCCACGCGTGGCGCCCGCAATGCACGCGAACTGCGCTTCCGTTTGCTCCCGTTCGTTTCCCTCCCGGTCCTGCCACGGTGGGGCTGGCGCAAACCACGTCGGGCGCTGAACCTCACGCGCCCGCCGCGCGGCCGTTGCGCGCGGTGCGGATTGAACCCGCCTGCAGCCGTCTTGACCTCCCCGCGCCGGCGCCCGGCGAACGTCTCTGACGGACGCGTCGGTGCCGCGCTGCTGGCATGCTACGAGCCCCACCGCGTCCGGCGCGCCCCCGCGCCCTCACGCCAGGGCAACGCCCCGCGCGCATGCATCTACTTTTTTCGTGCGCTAACCGAACTCCAGCCCCTCTTTCGCACCGCCCAGAACGCCTCCCGCCCCCAAACCACCGCGGTGCATTTCTGGCCGTTGCCCGCCCTCCGTTCCTGAGTCCCGAGCGCTCCGACCGCCCGGAACACATCCTCCAGCTCACCAAGCACCGCACCGACCGCGCCACGCGCCCCACACCCCCCTGACGCAGGCAGGATGGCCAACGCAATGATGGGTGCCTGGAGCACCGGCCTGTGCGGCTGCTTCGAGGACTGCCCGTCTCTGTGCTACGCGTGCACTTGCTCGCCCTGCCTCTACGCCGGTGAGTCCCGCCCGCACCGCGCGAGCCCGTCCCGCGCACGAACCGGACCCAGTCGGTTACCATGCCCAGCGGGGTCGCCCCAGACCCCAGCTCCGCCTGCCCGCCGCCCTGCGCCCTCCCCAGCCGCGCAACACACACCTCGTTCAGCAAGGCGCCGCGCCAGGCGTCCGGGCGCCGGTCCGGGCCCGCACGGAACCCGTTCACCCCCCCTGCGCCACTCAACGCGCCCGCCCCGTCGCCCCGCGCCGCGCGCAGACGTCATGGACCGCCTGAACGGCTCGGGGCACTTCGGGAACTTCTGCATCTTCTGCCTGATGCAGGGCTTCTTCCCGCTGTGCCTGCCCTGCGTCACGCAGACGTCGCGCAGCACGCTGCGTGCCAAGTACCAGCTGCCCCCGGCGCCCTGCGGCGACTGCTGCACGCACTTCTGGTGCGCAGCCCTCCGCGCCGCACGCACCGCGCGCACGAACGCGCCCGCCACGCGCGCCGCAACGCGCATGCACCGCCGTCACCGTCGCGCAACGTGGTGTCGCTCCCGCGCAGGTGCCTGTACTGCGCGCTGTGCCAGGAGTACCGCGAGCTGAAGAACCGCGGCGTCGCGTCCTACAAGGCCCCCGGGCAGCCCATCACGCAGGCCCCCATGCAGATGTAGACTCCCCCCGGGTGCTAGCTGCGGCAGCCACAGGTGCTGCGCCGGGGTCGGGGGAGCGGGCGGGGTGTGCTTGGAGGATCCTCGCGGGCCGCCAACTCTCAGTGATCGCATGTAACGAACTGATTCGATCCCCGCCCGGCGACGCGTCTCGCAACGGAGCGCGCGCGTAGCACTGGCAGGTGGTGCCGCGGCGGCGCCCGAGGCACCGCGCGCGCCACGCTGGCTCCCGCGGCCGGCCCGGGCGCGCTCGTTCGCGCCGAGGAGGGTAGGGGGGGTTTTGCAGGTGTCGTTCACTCCCCCCCCCGCGTGCGCCCGCGGCTGGGTCCGGCCGTGCCTGTTCAGGGCAGCGCGGCCTCGGCCTCGCGCGCAGTTCTCGCGTCGCGCGGTGGGTTGTATCCGTTTGGTTCGCGTCGCCTTCGGAAGGGCCGAGATGTCCCTTGCCGCGTCGTCACTCGTTTCGCGCTGTGCGCCCCGGCACGCGGCGGCGCGCGGCCGGCGCATCGTCGCGCGCGCCGAGGCCGTCGAGATCCCGTCCAAGTTCTCCACGGTGCGCACCTCCGCGACGCGGCCTCGCGGCGGAGTCGCCCCGCCTGAGCTGCCCAGCCTCTGCGACGCGCGCTCGAGGCCGCGATACGCAGGGCCCCCGTGTCTGCTTCGCCGCGCCGCGTCCTCCGCGCATAGCCCATTCCGGTCCCTGCAAATGCGTCGCGGTTCCGGCGCGCCCCAAGTCAGCACCGCCGTCTTCGTGCGGCCACTCCGGATAGCAACAGCTTCCCGCGGCTCCTGGCGGCTCTTTCCGGTAGAACACGCCACGAACGTTGACCGGCAGCGTCGCACACGTATATCTGGGCTCGCTGCGTGCATTTTCAGGGTCGAATCGGTCGATTCGACGCTGCAGCGGGCGTCTTCGTGCCCCGTTGCACCCGCAGCTGCAGGCGGCGCGCCTCCCTGCCTTGCCTGCGTCGCTGCGTGACCGCTCCCCTGGCCTGATGCTTGTATCTAGACTGAAGCATCCCCGAGACGCAACGTGAGCGTCCTCAGGGCCAGAGCGTCGCTGCACGCGGCAGGCGACAGACGCAGGGAAGCTCCCATCGCCGCGCGCGCAGGTGCGTCCCAAGGGCGATCTCGTCCTGGTCAAGATCGGCGAGGTCGAGGAGAAGACCAAGGGCGGCATCCTGCTCCCGGCGTCCGTGCAGTCGCGGCCCACGTCGGGCGACGTCGTCGCGCTGGGCGACGGCAACACGCCCATGGGCAAGCAGGAGCTGTACCTCAAGGAGGGCCAGACCGTCCTCTTCGGACGCTTCGGCATCGGCGCGACGGACCTCGAGATCCAGGTGACCGCCGCTCCCCGAGCCACAACCACCCCAACCCTTCCATGGCCAGCAGCACACGTGGCCTGCATCAGCTGGACCTCATATCTCCTGATCATGGAGCGAGAGAGCCCTCCCGGGCGCCAGGCGCGCGTGCAGTTCCTCGCACGACGGCGCGGCCGTGCATGCCGCCCAGTCCTGCCCTGTGCAAGTGCGCCGCTCAACGGCGGCGCCCGGGGCGTGGCTTGCAGGGCGAGCCGCACGTGCTGATCCGCGAGGACGACTGCATCGGCGTGATGCCCAAGTCGAACGCGACGATGGACGAGCTCCCGCAGATGAAGCCGATCGGGGACCGCGTCCTGCTGCGCGTGATCGACACGGCGGACACCACGATCGGCGGGGTGGTGCTGGCGGGCGCGAAGGAGCGCCCCGTGCAGGGCGTGGTGCTGGCGGTCGGGCCGGGGAAGATGGGGCCGGACGGGGAGCGGAAGAAGGTAGCGCTGGCGGAGGGGGACAATGTGTTGTACTTCAAGTACGCCGGGGACCCGCTCGAGGCGCAGGACGGGACGAAGTACATCGTGCTGCACGAGTCGGACGTGCTGTGCAAGGTCTAGGTCGCGTGTGAGCGCCGCTGAGGTCGAATGTGGAGGCGGCGATGCAGGGCCGCGCACGGCGCGCTGGCCGCTTGATGAGGCGGGCTGCGCCGTCGGACGTGACGCGAAGCACGATGGGGCGCGCAGTGGAGAAGCCCGCGGCGATCTTCGGGGCGGGACAGCGCCAGTATCACGAGGCAGACGTGCAGCAATGGGACATAGGTTCTTTCGCGTGCGACGTCGATGTAGGGCCTCCGACGTCGCACAACAGCCTGGCGTGCGTTGGCCGCGGCGGTAGCGGCTGTGCTTGGCCAGGGCGCGCCCCCAGCCCTCGCAGTCTGGCGCCGTTCCTGGGTTCTACCGCCAGGAGCACGCGCAAGAGCATGGCCAGCAAGGACGAGCGGCCCGTGCGGCGGCTGCGGTCGCACTGGGTGGGTTGTCGTGGGCAGAGTAGAGCGATGCAAGCAAGCGAGGTTCCCTCCGCGAACCCTGCGGCCCCTGCGCCTTCCACCCGGCTCACACGGTGCGCGCCCACCAGGCTACCGCCCCGCGCCGCCGTCACTGCGCGTCCTTCGCGGCGGCCTTCGCTGCGCGTTTCGCCTCCCACTCGCGGCGCATCACGGCACGCTCGATGGCGTTTCGGCCCGCCCCCGGCGGGAAGTTGCTCAGGTCATAGTAGTGTGGGGCGATGTCGACGAGCCACTCGGCCTTGGCTTCGGTGCACGTGCGCACGTAGTTCTTCGACGTGAGAACGAACTCGTGATACACGACCCACTCCGGCTTCCGGTTGAGCACGCACGAGGGGTGCAGGTAGACGACTTGGTTGTCCTTTACCGTCAGGTAGTGGCCCGTGTTCTGCAGGTGCGCCACCTGCGTCGGCAGCGAGCACGTCAGCTCCGTGTAAGCCGTCACGGGTCCTTCTGTTCGCGGCGGGCAGCGCTGACGGCGGGACAGCTGCCAAACGCACAGCGCTGACGACGGGACAGCTGCCGAACGCACAGCGCTGACGACGGGACAGCTGCCGAACGCACAGCGCTGACGACGGGACAGCTGCCGAACGCACAGCGCTGACGACGGGACAGCTGCCGAACGCACAGATCCGCCGCAGGCCACGACGGCGCGCCCATCGCGCGCGCCTCCCCGGCCGCGACCAGCGCAAACGCACGTGACAGCAGCGTGTGCGTGATCGTCGGGGCGGGGGCGCGCACCTGCATGAAGAAGCCCGCCAGAATGGCCTTACGGATGTTGGTGTAGTAGTGCGGTGACTTGAAGTCCGTCGACACCAGCTCGACGCCCATCCGCGTGCACACGCGCGCCAGCTGCGTGCGCACGTTGTCCGCGGACCGCAGGCTCCGGGCGTTCAAGAAGTTCTCCCAGCACCAGTCGTTGTCCTCGCGCGCCTGCTTCCACGCATGGAACACGTTCAGCATCGACAAGTGGTCCCCGTCCACGTGCGCGAAGCGCGCCTTGGCGTCGTCCGCCGCCCGCGCCTGCTCCTTCGGCCGCACGAACACGTTCGCCACCGACAGCATCGCGGCAATTGTGAGGACCTCGTTCGAGCACCCGAACTGCGGCGAAGCCACCACCATCTTCGACAGCTGCGGGTCGAGCGGGAACTCCGCCATCGCCGACCCCACCGACGTCAGGTTCCCGTCGTCGTCCAGCGCGCCGAGGTAGTTCAGCATCTCCAGCGCGCGCATCAGCGTCTCTGGCGCTGGCGGGTCCATGAAGTCGAAGTGCACCAGGTCGTCGATGCCCAGCTTCTTCAGCTGCAACACCACGCTCCCCAAGTTCGAGCGCAGAATCTCCGGATACGTCTGTTCCTGGAGGTCCTGCTCGAAGGACTTTTCTGTGTACAGGCGGAAGCACTTCCCCGGCCGCGTGCGCCCCGCGCGGCCCGCGCGCTGGTGCGCGCTCGCCCGCGAGATGGGCGAGACCAGGAGGGACTCCACGCGGGCGCGCGGGTTGTACACCTTTTGCTTCGCGAAGCCCGGGTCCACGACGTAGACGATGCCGTCGATGGTGAGACTCGTCTCCGCGATGTTGGTCGACACGACGATTTTCCGCCCCGGCCGCTTCTCGTCGTCGCTCTTCGGCGCGGCGTTGAAGATCTTCTGTTGACTCGACGGCGGGAGGCTCGAGTAGAGCGGGTAGACGTCGACGGGCCCCGTGCGGTCCTGCATGCTCCGGCACTCGTCGCGGATCTTCCGGCACGCCTCCTCGATCTCGTCCTCGCCCGTCAGAAACACCAGCACGTCCCCGGGCCCCTCGAACTGGTGGATCTGCACCACCGTGCGGATCGCCGCCTCCAGGTAGTCCCGCTCGGGCTCCTGCGTGTAGAACACCTCCACGGGGTGCAGCCGCCCGGGCACCTTCATGAGCGGCGCGTCCTCGAAGTAGCCCTGGAACTTCTCCGCCTCGAGCGTCGCCGACATGACCACGAGCTTCAGGTCGGGCCGCGACTTGAGCACCTCCTTGATCAGGCCGAACAGGATGTCCGTCGCGAGCGTGCGCTCGTGCGCCTCGTCGAGGATGATGCACGAGTAGCGTTCCAGGAGCGGGTCGGTCATGGCCTCGCGCAGGAGCATGCCGTCGGTCAGGAACTTGACGCGCGTCTCGCGGGAGGTGCGCTCCTCGAAGCGGATGCTGTACCCGACGTGCTCGCCGAGCTGCACGTCCATCTCGTCGGCGACGCGCTGCGACACGGACATGGCGGCCACGCGGCGGGGTTGCGTGCACGCCACGAGGCCCTTCTCCGTGAACCCGGCGTCCACGCAGAACTGCGGCACCTGCGTGGTCTTGCCGGAACCGGTCTCGCCGACCAGGATCGTCGTCTGGTGGTCCTGGACCATCTGCGGGCGAGCACACGACGTGGACGATGTGCGCGGCGGGGCTCGGAGGCAGCCGCCGGCGTGTGTGGAATGATGGCGCGGCGGAGACGATGGCATGGTGCTCGGATGAGGGCGGGGGCGGCAGAGGACCGCCGTGCACGCGCTGGGGCGCCGGCATTGCCGCGAGGCGCGAGACAACACATGAACAGTGCCGCAGTGCGACGGATGCTGACGAAGATTCTGCGCGTTCTTGGTCGCGGGGCGTAGTTCCGTACCTTGATGAACTGCTCCTTCGCCTGCCACACGGGAAGGCCGATCCTCTTGGCTAGAATGTCGTGGTAGCGCTGGGAGTACAGTCGGCCCGTCCATGGGTTCACCTGGGGCGCCGCCTGGCCGCCCTGCTGCGCGGGCATCGCGTCGTAGAGCTCAAGCTTCCTCTTGCGCTCCATGGCTGAGCTACCACGGCCGCCCGCCGCGCGCTAGGAGCCGGCGGGAGCCCAAGGGGATGGCTGCTGGCCGAGCCGGAGCCGAGTCGTGCCCGCTGCCCCCGGCCGTCGCTTCTCCGGCGCAGCGCCCGATGCTACAGCTGCGAAAGACGCCGCGGGAAACGCGCCGGGGTCTGCCGCGGCGTGGCCGCGCGAGCCCGGATGGTTGCGCGCTGGAGTTCGTGGGCTTGAGGGCGGAATGAGAAGAAGTGCACTCGAGTCTCGCGGGCTAGGGCGCACGCACCGAGCGAAGTGCATCTGCCGGGCGCGGTCCTCGCCCCCTGTGCGCGCAGCCGCCGCGCTGGCTGGAGGCCTGTAGGGACGACTCACGCGGGGTGTCTGCGCAGCGCTCCCGGCGCGTCGCGCCGGCGTGAAGACCCCGCGACGCCGCGTGAAAAACGCGAAACATTTCGTTCTTGTGTCGTAGCACGGACGTCGTGCGCCACGCGCAGGATACCAGGGCGTCTCGTTGCACGGGAGTGCTTGCGTGGCGCGCCGGGATGGCGGCGGGGGCGCCAGATGCGCTCCCAGAGCTCTTCGAGAAGCTCAAGGGCCACGTGGATAACTTCGAGGACGAGGAGGTCCTCCACGTAGCCAACCAAGGCAAGTGACGCAGGCTCTGCCATTCGCACCGCACACGTCCGCGCAGGGCGCCCAGCGAGCGCGCACGCACCCGGAACACTTAGCTCACCTCACCCTGAACCAACCCATCCACGCCACGGCTGCCCGGACGCACCGGCAGCGTCTGTGCGCCTCCATCGTCCCTGCGCGCGTGCCAGCCCAGCTCGCCAAGCGCCCGGCCCGCCCGCCCCGCATCGGCGCCCGCCACAGCCTCAATGCTCACCGCTCCCTCGCACGGCCGCGTCCGCAGTGCTGGCCCTGGCTCCCCGCGACAAGGACGCCCTCACCTGCAAGGTAGTGGCCGGGATTCAGATCGGAGAGGACATCGCCGGCATCCTCCGGTGCATCGAGAAGTGCAAGGACAAGGCCACGAGGCGGAGCCTTGCGCTCGAGCGCGCTTATTGCCAGTACAGGCTCGGCAGGCACGTTCCCTCCCCTGCGCGCCTCCCGCACCCTCCCAGCTCCGCCCGCGCCGCGCATTGCCAACCATTCCGCGGCGCCGCCCCCCCGCAGGTTCTCCGACGCCCTCGCGACGCTCCAGGGCGTCGACGGCGCCCGTGCGGGCGTCGCCCGCCAATTAGAGGCTCAAATTCGTTACAAGAAGGGCCACGCAGAACCGGCTGCCCAGATCTACCAAGCTCTCCTCGCGCAGCCGGACGACTCCGTCTCGGAGCGCGAGATCAAGGCCAACCTCGTCGCCGCGTGCACCAACGCCGGCCGCGCCGAGGCCGCGGGCCATCTCACGGACACGGCTGCCGGCCCGGAGTCATCATTCGAGCTCGCTTTCAATGCCGCATGCGCCGCGCTCGCGCTCGGCCGCACCGCCGAGGCCGAGCAGCTGCTCGTCGCGGCCGAGCGGCTCGGCACGGAGGCGCTCGCGGAGGACGACGCGGCGCCCGAGCAGATCAAGAGTGAGCTGGCGCCGGTGGCGGCGCAGCGCGCGGTGGTGCTGGCGCGGCGCGGGGACGTCGCGGGGGCCGAGGAGGCGCTCGCGGCGGCGAAGGAGGGCGGCTCGAAGGACGAGGCGGTGCTCGCGGTGCTCGCGGCGAACGCGGCGGCGCTGACGGCGCGCGCGCAGCCGGGCGACCGGCTGCCCGGGAAAACGGCGGGCAAGCTGCTCGGGGAGCTGGACGCGGCGCTCGGGCGCATGCAGGGCTCGGACATGGCGATCAAGCGGTCGCTGGTGGACCGGCTGTCGCGCACCGAGCGCGCGTCGCTCCTGGCGTCGTGCGCGACGCTGCTGATGCAGTGCAGCAGGAGCAAGGACGCGGCGGCGCTGGTGCTCACGGCGTCGGAGAAGCTCGGCGCGGTGCCGGCGCTCGGGCTCGTGCGCGCCGCGCTCCTCGGGCAGCGCGGGCGGCCCGGCGCCGCCGAAAGAGTCCTCCGCGGGGTGTGTCAGTCCGGGCAGGCCGACGCGGACGTCTGGCTCCTGCGCGCGCAGCTCGCGCTGAAGCAGGGCGGCAAGGCCGGCCGTGCGCTCGCGCTCGAGTGCCTCGAGGGCGCGCCGATCGCGTCGGAGCCCGCAGTGGTGGCGACGTGGTTGCAGGTGCTGCGGGAGGCCGAGGATGGGCCGCGGGCGGCCGAGCGGCTCTCGCGGGTCGTTGCGCGGCTCGAGGGCGACGCAGCGGTGCTGGCGCGGCGGGCGCTCGCCGCGGCGCAGGTGCGGGCGGGGCAGGCGGGTGCGGCGAGGGCCACGCTGGCGGCGGCCGGCGGCGACGCGCGGTGCGCGGCGATGCTTGCGAGGCTCGCTGCGATCGAGGGGTCTGGCGCGACGGGCGCGGCGGCGAGCCGGGACGGCGTGGCGCGCGCGGCGGCAGCCGCCGACGTGAGCGCACTGGAGGCTGCGGGGACCGGATCCGCAGCCGCCCGCCGCGCAGCGGCGGCCGTTGGGGACGCCGCGGCGGGTGCGGCTGCGTCTGGGGACGCGTCGGGGCCGCGGAAACGCAAGCGCAAGCCGCGGCTTCCGAAGGGCGTGGACCCGAACGACCCTACGCCGCCCAAACTGGATCCCGAGCGCTGGCTGCCGAAGCACGAGCGCGCGGACTACCAGCGCAAGATGAAGAAGCGGATGAAGGCGGGGCACGTCAAGGGCGCGCAGGGGTCGCAGGTGGACGCGAGCCTAGACGCTGCCGCGTGGGAGAAGGACAAGAAGGAAAAGCCCAAGGGACCGGCGCTGCCGCAGCGGCCGAAGGGCGCGAAGGGCCGCAGGAAGCGGTGAGGCGGTACGCAGCGCTGGGGCGCGGCTTGGGGGCGCCGCGAGCGTGTGTGAGCGGCGGCGGCTCGTGGTGTGCGCTGATGCCAAGTGCGGACGAGGGGTCGCCCGGGGACGCTTGAGCGACGGGGCGGCGTGCTCGCGGCGGTGGTTCACTAGGGGCTGGGCCGGGTGCGCTCGGCGCGCCGCCGCGGCGGGTCGGTGGACTGCTGTTGGAGTGCGTGCTTGCGCCAGCCCGACAGCTGCGCCCCGTCGCCACCGGCGCGGCAAAGCTCGCGCGTGTTGCACGCAGTGCGTTGGGACCCCGACGTGAGCACTTCACTCCACTCTCACCTCTACGGAGTTTCACTCTACCGCCGTCGACGCTCGCGGCCGCCCCTGTGCTGGGCCGATCTCGACCCTCGCTCAGCACGTCCGTCATGCTGACGATGCTTGATTACACGGCTGCGCCGCAGGCCGTCAACGCGCGCCGCCCGCAGCCCGCTGCGCACAACACGGCGCTAGTCTCCCTTGCCTTGCGCCTCCGCCGAGTCTCCCCCGGCCCCGCGGTTCAGCGGCGCCTCCTCGTCCCCCTCGTCGTCGCTGTCCGGCGGCGGCACGAAGTCCGCCATCTCGATGCTCAGGTACGGGTTGTGTCGCGTCGGGCGGAACATCATCGCGACGTAGATGTAGAACGCCAGCGTGGCGCCCTCCCGGAAGAGGTCCGCGACCCACGCGTACCGGAACGAGAGCGTCTGGAGGAGGAGGAACGCGATGATGCGCGAGAAGTAGATCCACGCAATAACCACGATGTAGAACTGTCGGAAGAGCTCCAGCTTGCGGTAGTTCCGTGCGGCCTTGCCGTCGGCCTTGGCGGCCTCCTTGAGGTGGCGCATGGACCAGACGATCGGGAGGAGGATGACGACGACGGAGACGACGTCGAGGATGATGAGGAGGTCCCACCACGTGATCCAGTTGCGCGCCGCGGGGCCCTCCTCCCGCGTGACGATGAGGGCGATGTTGCAGAGGATCTGGATCGGGATGACGATCATCACGATGCGCTTCTCGCGGTCCGCGAGGAACGGCTTCATGTAGGACCACCCCGCGCCGATCAGAATGATCACCACGAAGAACAGCAGCGCGCGAACGGCGTTGAAGAAGTAGTACACGATGTCCCAGCCCTCGTAGTGCCCCGTGCGCGCGAGCACGAACTGCATGCCCGCCAGCGTCAGCAGCGTCAGCACCTTGACGACGCCCAGCACCGTCATCAGGTGGTGGATCTTGTGGGTGTCCGAGCGCTGCTTGATGCACAGGCCGACCCACGAGACGAGGCCGGCGAAGTAAGCGCAGAGGAAGGCCATCGTGATGAACGCCACGCCGTCCTCGCCGACCGACACGTACGAGCGGGTGCCGTCGGGCAGCATGTTGTAGAGCTGGACTTCAATGTCGAACGAAACCGTCGCCTCGGGCTCGCACTTGACGAAGTACAGCGTCCAGCGCCCGATCACGCCCTCGGGGGTGTCCACGTGGAAGTGGAACTCCTTGCCCTCTGCGGCGGCACCCCGGAGCGCTGCTACTGAGCACGCGAGGTGCACGGGGGCAACCCGGGCGTACGCGGCGGCGGGGGCGGCGTACCTTCGGGGTGGTCGGTCACGGACTGGAAGTTGAACAGCTCCCAGACGTCCTCGCCGTTGAGCGGGCACTCCCCGGCCATCAGCGTCGTCTCCAGGTGGCTCTCGCGGCTCTCGGGGACGCCGACGACGGCCAGGTTGGCCCGGTTCGGCCGCGCGACGCCCTCCGGCACGGAGATTTCGTCCTCCTGCTCGCGGGCGGCGCGGGCGGTGCGCGGGGTCGGATATCCGCGCGTTCAAGGGACGCGGGCTGGCGCTGTGATAACAGCAAGCGCGCTTGTCTGGGCGCGTGGGCGCGCGCAAGAGTCAGGCGGGCTGTGGAGCTGGGAGGGCACGTGAGAGGGTACGCGTGCGGTGCGGAGGGCGACGGTGCTGCGGGCGGACGCGGGGTCGCGCCCCCCTGTGTTGGCGCTCACCAGGACTTTGATGTCAATAACGCCGTGGCCGTCGAACGCGAACGGCTGGTGGAGCGGGATCAGGGACCGGGGATCATTGCGGATGCTGTCCCGGACGATCTCCTGCAGCTTCCTGCCGTGGTGCCCCTCAGCCCTGCGTGAGTGCGAGCGCAGGACGGGTGCAGGTTTGCTGCCGCGCCGTGGTCGCAGGTGCGCGCTGCCGGCTGTGCCGCGGGCCCTCGGCCTTGGACAGGGTCGGAGTGGCTGCGAGCGCGCGGATACGTCGCGAGCTGCGCTGGCGGAGCCGTGCGCGCGAATCCTCACAACGAAAGTGCTCTGTCGCTGCGTCTATGGCGTAGTGCGACGCCTGGAAACCGCATCGCGGGAAGCGATGGAGCATCGTGATCGGGGGCACGCACCGGCATTGCCCCAGCAGCAGAGTGCATGCGAGCAAAAGCGCAAGCAAGCTCACGGCCCTCATATTGGGCCGCTGGCGCTCTGCCCCGCGACGACGCCTGCTCGACGCGCTCCGAAACTCGCCGCTGCTGGACTCAGGTCAACGGCAGCGAAAAACTTCGATCAGCCCGGCGCGCCTGTCGCTGCGCGGCAAGCCAGCACAGTCTGGAGCCAAGCCAAGCCCGCTGGGGTCCGTGGAGCGCGCCACAGATGAGCTGCCGACAGCCGCCTGTCGAACGTGGCGTCAGCGGAATCGGCGACGCGCACTTGAGCCCGCAGGAGCCGTCGCTGACGCGCAGAGGGCCCCTGAGGCCTGTGCCCGAGTTTCAGGGGAGTGTCCGCGATCGCGCCGCGCACAATGCAGTCACGGCGCGCGCGCACGCGCCACACGTACGGCGCTACATTGACGTTCACATCCACAGCGACAACTCCTTGTCATATTCGGTCCACGCACTCGCACGACCTCCTGTGCTTGGTGCTTGCGCCCCACCGCAGCCCGCGCCGACGCGCCGGATGCGATGCGCGTGAGTCGCTTCCGACCAAGCCGCCTCACGTCCTCAGCCTCATCCCGTGCGCGGGTCCGGGCGCACGCCGACCTGGGGATGGCCGCGCCTAGGGTGCTTGATGGCATAGCCAGCCTTCCCAAGACATATAAGGGAGTGCTTTTGGACCAGTTCGGGGTCCTGCATGACGGACAGAAGCCGTATCCGGGCGCGATCGACGCCGTGAGGACGCTCGCGGAGGACCGAGGCGCGAAAGTGGTGCGGCCCTGCGCTGAGGGAGGCACTGCACTCGACGGAGCGCGACCTCGCCGCGGCGCGATGCCCGCGGCGTGGTGAGGCCGTCGCGCTCATGTGCCGCGGCATGGCCGTGCAGCGCCATGGGCCCGGAGATGATTCTCGCACACGCATTCGAGAAACAAAGAATCACAAACAAATACCGATCGAAGACTCTGGCGCGGTCGCGCCGCTCGACTCGCCATCGCGGCTCGCAGCCCCCGCAGCCGCGCGTGCCCAGCCCTTTCTCAAAACACCCCCAACCCCCGCAGGTGCTGCTCTCCAACAGCTCGCGTCGGTCCGACCGCGCCATCGACAAGCTCGCGGCGATGGGGTTCCGGCGCGAGTGGTTCCACGGCTGCGTCACCAGCGGCGAGGTCACGCACGCCAAGCTCAGCGCCCGCACGGACCCGCCCTACGCCTCCCTCGGGACGCGCTGCCTGTGGTTCACGTGGGGCTCTCGCGGCTCCGTGTCCCTCGACGGGCTCAACGCCGACCCCGTCGCGCCCGACACCGCGCCCGCGGACATCGACTTCGTCATGGCGCACGGCACGGAGTGCGTCGGCGCCCCGGGCGGCGCGCTCGTGCCCATGGAGGTGGACGCGATGGTCGCGCTGCTTCAAAAGTGCGCGAAAGAGAAGCCCGGACTCAAGATGGTCCTCGCGAACCCGGACATCGTGACCGTCGACGGGTCGCAGCTGCGGCCCATGCCCGGGTACCTCGCGCGGGCGTTCCGGGAGGCCGGGGGGGGAGTTTTAGTCATGGGAAAGCCGGCGCCGGTGATCTACGAAGCCGCGCTGGGGATGCTGGAGCTGCCTCCCGGGGATGTCGTGGCGGTGGGGGACTCCGTGGAGCACGACGTGGCGGGCGCGGCGCGGGCTGGCGTCGACTGTGTCTTTGTGGCGGGCGGCATCCATGCAGGTGCGTGCGGGGTGGACCCGGGGGCGTATGTGGCGTCGGGGGGGAGTGAGCGGCGGCCGGTGGACGAGGACGGCGTGCGAGCGGTGCTGGCGGAGGAGGGCGTGGGGACGACGTACGTCGTGGACTTCTTCCGTCCCTGATATCAACATGCTACGTCCTTGTGGTTCCTCGTGATGTTGGTTCATCGTGCGACGCCGTGCAGCTGCTGTGAGAAATGGCGTCCCCGGGTGGCTTGACAGTCGGTCCGGCAGGGAGCGACACAGGCCCTGCTCATCAGCGCTCGCGGGGGCGTCCCGACCCTGCACGGCGTTCGCGCGGACGGGCCATGCGACACCCACCTTCACTCTCGCGCAACCTCCGCCACAGCCCCCGACCAGACATTCAAGCCCGCCCTTCTAACCACTTGCAATCACAACCGACACGTGACGCGATTCAAGCACCCCAACCCCCCCCAACCTATCGCCCCACCGCGCCGCCTACAGCTCCACATCCATCTCGATCTCCACCCCCTTGTCCCGCGCGTCCTCCAGCAGCTCCCGCACGTCCTTGCCTGCCCGCGCCGCCACCCCCTTCAGCTGGCTCAGGCGCATCGCCCGCGCCGCCCGCGCCGGCGCCTGCCCCGCCACCGCCTTCAGCGCCTCGTCCGCCGCGGCCTCCGACGCCGCCGCCGCCTCGCGGTCCGCCCGCCGCGGCTCGATCTCCCCGGCCTCCACCAGCCGCGTGTACGCTGCGTCAACGGCGCGCGAAAGATCGTCCGCGTCGACGCCCATGCCAAGCACCATCGAGATCACGTCCTCCGCGAGCCGGCCCGCGGTGTAGCCCGACTCCTCGGACTCCGCCAGCGCCTTGAGAGCCAGCAAGTGTTGGCGCTCCGGCAGCGGACCCTCCATGCCCGCCAGGCGCGGGGATCCCTGGCCGAGTGAGGCCCCGGGGTGGTCCGTGGGTACGACGCCCTTCCAGAGGTCCTGGAGGGCGCCGACGCCGCCGGCCTCGTCGAGGAGCTCGGATCGCCGATCGGTGTCGACTTCGCCAAAGTCCTTGGCGTCCGCGGGGGCGCGGGGGGTGTCGCGGGGGGGGTCGGCGGCCTGGCCGCGGAGGGAGCTCGCCGCCTCGGCCATGGCCTTCCGCACCGCCTTGTCTTCCTGCGTATGAGCATGCAGCGGGCGTTGTGCGCAGGTGAGACGACATGAACAACAGCTGTCAGGAGAGGAGGGGGAGTGTTGGGAGCAGGGGCTGGGAGGTCGAAAGGAGTGCCGATTGCGCGTGCTAGTGGCAGCATTGCGTCGCGTGCGCACCATGAGGTTCGCGGCGGCGGCCCCCCGCGCTCCGACGCGCGTCTTGGTCTCGCCCGTGTCGCGCGCCGGCTTCGGCGGCTCCATCGGCGGCGCCAGCTCCCGCGCCATCAACTCCTCTGCGCTCGTCTCCTCAGCTGTCCCGGACTCCCCGCCCTCCGGATCCGACTCCCCCGCCTCCTCGTCCGCCCCAACGCCGCCCCTGGCCTCCACAGCACGCGCAACGCCGTCCGCGCGCACGCCGGCGACGTCCTCGGCCGCCACGACTTCGGCGTCGATCGTCGCGCCGCCCGCGTCGTCCGCGCGCGCTCCCGCACCCCCTGACCTCCGTTGTTCAATGTCCCGCTTGATCTGCTCTGCCATGCGTTCCATCTCAGCCATCTCCTCCTCCGTGAACTCCCCGCGCATCTCCGGCCCCCACTCGATGCCCCCGTCCTTCCCGATCGAAAACGACCCCTTCAGTCCCCCGGAGGGGTCCCCGCCCGCCGCAGGCGGCTCCGGCCCCATCGGCCGCTTCTTCCGCGCCTGCTCGCCCTTCTGCGCCTTCGGCCGCCCGAACCCCTTGCTCTTCGCGCCCCTGCCGCGCGCGTCGCCCCGCCGCAGCTCCCCCGACGCCACGCGGTCCAACAAGTCAAACTCACCCCCCTGGTCGCTGGACGCCTGCATGCCCGCGTCCGACTCGTCCAGGAACCGCTGCAGCTCCTCGTCCTCGGCCTGCTTCGCCAGCTCCGAGACGTACTCGTCCACGTCGATGCCGCCGGCCTCGGCTTTCGCACGGGACAGCGCCTCTTCGACTTTGGCGCTGAGGAGGTCGCTGCCGCGCGGCAGCTCGGCCTCGAGCGCCTCGGCGTTCTTCGCGGCCTCGCTCGACATGTCGAGCTTCATCATCAGCTCCAGGAAACTCGCCGACGCCGCGCTGCGGGGCGCCGCCGGCGCCGCACGCTCGCTCGGCGCTGGCGGCTCCGGGCCGAACGGCTGCGGCCGCGCCTTCGCGCCGCTGGACTTCGCGGCGTCGCCCGGGCGCGTGCGACGCTGCTGGAAGCCGCTCACCACGTCCTCGGCGAACGAGCCCCCGTCTTTGAACGCAGCGTCGTCCAGAGCCCCAAACCCCTTCTCGGCGACCAGCCGCTGAATCTCGCTCAGCCGGTTGCGCGTCGCGTCCTGCACCGCCTCCTCGAAGTCCGCGTCGCCCTCCAGCTCGCCGAGGACGCCTTTCATGTCCGGCAGCGGCAGCTCTGCGTCCGATGCCTCTGAGCCTGCAGCGGCGGGGCCTTCCGCTGCGCGCTCCGCGTCCGCGTCGTCGTCGTCGTCCTCGCTCCAGGCCCAGGTCTCGCTCGCTTCGTCGCTCTCTGGCTGCGTCTCCGCCTCCTGCGCCCGGCTGGACACGCGGACGTTGACGCGGAGTCCCCCGTCAACACCCCCCCCGGCCCGCGTCACGTCGACCTGCGCCTCCCGCGTCGACGCCGCGTCCTTGTCCTGCGTCCGGTCGTCGTTGTCTCCGTCTTCGCCGTCGTCCTGAAGGAGGCCCTCCACGTCAGGGAGAGACCCCTCCCTGACAGCGCGCCCGTCCACCTCCCACGGGTGGCGCCCGCCCGCCGCGTCGACGCCGCGCTGCGCCTGGACGGCGCGCGCAAGGACGCGCTCGAGCGGCTCGGCCGCGTTGCCGACGCTCGCGGTCACCACCGCGAGAGACTGACTCAGCCCGGCGTCCTCGATGACCGACAGAATGATCACCTGGTCAGACGGGGGCAGGCCCGACATCAACACCGCGCGGCTCGAGCCCCACGCGCCACCTGCGTAGTCGTCCGCCTGCACGTGCGCATCGGAACCGCGTCCTTTCGTTCCATAATCATCATCGTCGTGGTGGCCGTTGCTGCCCTGCGCGCATCGCGTGTCGCACGGGCGCAGGCGCTGCGTCGCGGGGTTCGCCGTACCTTGGACGGCTCGTTCCAGCGGGGCTCGGGGACCCCGATTGCTTCGCGCACCGACATTCGAAGAACGGAGTCTGACGCAGGCACCACGCGCACAGTCTGCGCGCCGATGCGGTCCAGGAGGTGCCGCACCTGCGCCACCTCCGCGGGCCGGAACCCAGCGCACAGCATGCACGGCTCCTCGGCCAGGTCCGACGGCGGCGCGGGCCCCAGCGACCCACCGAAGCCAACGTCCATCCCCGCCACATCCACTGCTTGCTCCTCGTCGTCGATCGGCGACAGCACGAGCCCCTCGGGGTCCAGATCGTCTGCACGCACGAGCCCAGCGCGCCCGCGGGTTCGGAGTGCACCACGGCCGCAAAATAGGATATTAGGAGACACGACATGAAATGAGGAGCGTTGTTTGCGCGTGGCTCTGCCTGGGCCGTGGGCAGCGCCGGGGGCGAGGCGCGCGGACCTGCTTCGAACGTCTGCTCCTCCTCCGCCTCCTCCTTGGTCATCCCCAGCGTGCGGTAGACCTCGTCACTCAGATCGATGGCGTCGAAGTCTTCGTCTTCATAATCATCCTCGTCTTCGAAGTCAGAGTCGTTGCGGCCCACTTCAGGGCCGTCGTCGTCGTCCTCGTCGTCGTCGCTGTCCAGGATCAGCGACGCGAACTCCTCGCTCTCGAGGTACGCCTTCACCGCAGGAGACAGCGAAGCTGCACAGACGAGAGATAGGGAGAGGCGGTCGCGCGGGCTGGGTCGTCGAGGGGGCGGCGCGGGCAGCGCTGGACGGCTGTCGAGACGCATGTCGTCCAGGGTCGACGTCGAAACCGTGCCCGCGCGACCGTCGCGGCCCCCGGGAATCAGCGCTGTGTTGCTCTCGTGCCCCGGCAGGGCGCACATCGCAATGAAAAGCGATTTTCCTCGCGTAATTTCAACGCATACGATATGGAATACGACGGGTTCGAGGCTGGAACGTCCTCGGATCCTTCTGGATGCAGGCCGGGACCGGTGCTCCTGCTGCGCAGTGGCCCACTCACCAGGGTCGATGTCCTCGCCCCGCATGGCCCTGAACAGCACGTCCTGCACCTCCGGGCTGTCGTACGTCAGGCTGTCGCCGTCACCGCGCGACGAGACCTCGTCGGGAACGACTGCGTCCCCACCGTCCGGGTGCGCAGCCGCCAGGGTCCGTCGGGGCTGGGGACGGCCGTGAGGCCCGCATAGGCACTGCCTGCTGCGCTCAGCGCTCCGAACGCCCGAGAGGATGGACGCCGTGCGGCGCGACGCGGCTCGGTGCGACGTGGCAGGGCGCGCGAGGCGCATGCTGGGGGTGCACTGCATCCTCGCGCCCTGGTAGCGGGATGCGGGTCCCTCAGACCGCGTAAATCGTCGCGCTCGTGGCCTGCGACCAAGGTGCGCGCTCGCTGGGCGCGAACGGGCCAAGATACCGGCCGTGCGAGCGAGGCGAGGCCCCCGGTGGAGTGCGCGCGCGTCGGGGCGAGGCTTGTACTGGAAAAGCTGCCCGTGGGAGGCTTGAAACTGGTCGCGCACGACGGCGGCGGGCCACTGTGTATGTGAACATATAGGCTTTCCCAAGTAGAGCCGCGCGGACTGTGCACGAGCCGCCCGACGGGCATCTTCTTGCTCGGCAGAACAAGCCCTTTTGACCGCGTGTTCGGCGATATCAAGAGTGAACGGCGCGCTCTGGCGTTGCTCAGTAGCTGCATGGCCAGCCCACTCGGCCGGCTGCTCACGGGAGGACGCCCGCGAGGAGTGCACGCGCCGAGGACTGCCCTGCAACGCGCCCTCCTCGCGTCGCCTGCCGCGTGGCAGGCGCGCCCCCAACAGCCAACGACGGCATCCTCGAGATCTGCTCGTAGCTCCTCGCGGCCCGAACGCGGAAGGAAGGTCACGGAAACGCACGCCATGGGGGCGATACCTACCGGGGCCTCCGTCGACGCGCTGCCGTGGCGACGCCTGGGAACGCCAGCCATCGAGCTCCGCCTTGATGTGACGCTCCCGACTGGACAGAGCTTCCGGTGGCGGGAGAGCGGCCCAGGCTCGTACACAGGCACGCAACCTGCCCTTTACTCGTCAGGATGTTGTCTGCATCCCACGCCACGGCTCCCGCACCACACCCGCACGACCTGCGCGTCATTCGCGATGCAGCGCGGCCAGCAGCGCACTCACGCCCCGCAACGTCGCGAGCACACGAACCGCCACGTGTTCCGTCCGCGCAGGCGTGATCGGGCAGCGCGTCGTGCAGGTCCGGCAGCTCGAGGACGACGTGGAGTACCGCGTCATCGCCCGCGGGCCCGCCGCGGCGCACGCCGACGCCGGCGACCCAGCCCCCGCCGACCACGCTGCGGTTGTCGACTACTTCAACCTAGGCCACTGCCTCGCGGAGATGACGTGCGAGTGGGCCGCCGCGGACGAGCGCTTCCGCGACGTGCACCCGCACTTCCACGGCGCGCGCATGCTGCGGCAGGATCCCTTGGAGACTCTGTTTGCCTTTGTCTGTTCGCAAAACAATCACATATCTCGGATCCACGGGCTCGTCGAGCGCCTGTGCGCGGACTACGGCACGCCGCTGATGCCCGTCGCCGACGTGCGGGGGCTCGCGAGCCCTGGCGGCGACGACGGCGACGGCGCGGGCGCACCGGGCAAAGGGCGCGGGAAGGTGGCGGAGATGATCGCGGGGCTGGGGCTGTACGCGTTCCCCACGCTCGAGCAGCTCGGGCGGGCGAGCGACGAAGACCTGAGGGGGGCGGGGTTCGGATATCGAGCAAAGTATATCGTTGGGTGCACGGAAGAGCTTAGGAAGAAAGAGGGCGGCGGACACGCGTGGCTGCTCGGCCTGCGCGACGTCGGGCAGGCGGAGGCGATCGAGGCGCTGTGCGGGCTCCCCGGGGTGGGTCCGAAGGTCGCGGCGTGCGTGGCGCTGTTCTCGCTCGACAAACACGGCGCGATTCCAGTGGACACGCACGTGTGGCAGATCGCGGTGCGATACTACCGGCCGGACCTGGAGGGCAAGTCGCTGACGAAGAGGATCCACGCGGCGGTGGAGCAGTGCTTCGTGGACCGGTTCGGGCCCTTCTGCGGGTGGGCGCACAACACCCTGTTTGTTTCGGAGCTGTCGTCGATGCGCTCGCGGCTCCCGGAGCACCTGCGGCCGCCGCCGACGCCTGCGAAGAAGAGCAAGAAGGCCAAGGCGTCGTCGGGGAGCGAGGGCGAGGGCGAGGGGGTCGTCGGGCTGACGGCAACTCCTGTCGGGGAGGGGGGGGACACTGAGGAGCCGCGGAGTCGGGACGGCGGGAAGGGAGGCGACAGGTCGCCCGAGGAGAAGCCGAAGAAGAAGCAGCGGGTATCGGCGCCGACGGATTTCGACGATTTGGTGTAAAAACAACAATGTACAATTCACACATGTGGGGAAATACATGCATGAACCACTTGCAACAGGGAAGCAGTAGACCTCTTTTGCCAACTTGAAGGCGCGTTGACCGAGAAAGGGACGATCAAGGCCGACATGCGATGTCTCAGCGAAGACTGCGCACGTGCAGGACTTTTGCGCCACCACATCGCGCGACGTGACACCGGCATCGAGCCATCCCTCAAACGTGCGACGCCTCCCATCCCCGACATGGTCCGTTCGCTTACAACGCCACGCAGCCTCCCAGCAACCCTGCTAGAAGCAACACAGGCACGACACTCCTCCACCAAACCCCCCCCCCGCCGCACGCGCACGCGCACTCAGTCCTTGTTCAGCTCGAACTCCATCGGCTCGACCTTGACGGCGCCGCCGTCGCCTGCCGGGTACCCCTCGGGGTTGTTGCTCGCCCAGTTCCACTGGTCCCGGACCATGTCCTCAATGTTATACTTGGCCTCCCACCCGAGCTCCTGCTTGGCGAAGTCCGTCTTCGCGTACACCACGGCCGAGTCCCCGGGCCTCCGCGGCGCGATTTCGTACGGGATGTCCTTCCCGCACGCCTTCTTCATCGCGGCAATCATTTCCAGGACGCTCGTGCCCTGCCCCGTGCCGACGTTGTAGACCACGCAGCCGAGGGACTTGGCGGCGCGCGTCTTGTTCAGCGCCGCGACGTGCGCGTCCGCGAGGTCGACCACGTGGATGTAGTCGCGCACACCCGTGCCGTCCTTTGTCGGGTAGTCGTTCCCGAACACGTTGACCTTGGGCAGCTTGCCGAGGGCGACCTTCTGCGGGAAGCGCCGGCGGGAGCAGGCGAGCGGTGAGTCCCGCTGCGTGGGAAGCGCGACGGTCGCGGGGCGGTGCGAGGCGCGCAAGCGACGACGATGGCAAGAGGGCCGGCTCGGCGCGGCGCGACTCCGCACCTGCACGAACGGCATCAGGTTGTTCGGGATGCCGACGGGGTCCTCGCCGATGAGCCCGGACGGGTGCGCGCCCACGGGGTTGAAGTACCGGAGCAGTACGATGTTCCACCCTTCCTCTGAGTTGGCGAGGTCGCGGCAGATCTCCTCGATGAACAGCTTCGTGCGACCGTACGGGTTCAGCGCGCGGATCGGGTGGTTCTCGTCGATCGGCGTGTACTCGGGCTCGCCGTACACCGTCGCAGACGACGAGAACACCAGCGTCTTGACGTCGTACTTCTTCATCATCTCAAACAGCACCACGCTGCCCGCGATGTTGTTCGAGTAGTACCTGCGAGCGCTCGCGAACACCGGCGCCGGGGCTCAGGTGCCGCGCGAACCGACCGCCGCGCACGCAGCGGCAACAACTCGCAAGCGTTGGAGGTGTCGAAGCTCGCGTCGCGCGGACAGCTCGCGTTCCGTGGGGGCGCGTCGTGGTCCAGCTGGTCGAGAAGAGCGACTTGACGCAGTGCGGGTCGTTCGCGTTCGCGCTGAGAGCGCCGCTGGGGGCCGGAACGCACCAGAGGGGCTGCTTGACGGACTCGCCGACGGCCTTGAAGCCCGCGAAGTGGATGACCGCGTCGAACTTGTGCTTCTGGAACATCTCCTCGAGGACGTGGCGGTCCCGCAGGTCGCACCGCTGCAGCGTGATGCGGCCCTTGGCTGCGTCGCCCAGGATCACGTGGATGCGCTCGAGCACGGTCTTCGAAGAGTTCCAGTAGTTGTCCATGATGTGCACCGTCGAGTTCGGGATCTGCTGCAGCAGCGAAACGACCGTGTGGCTCCCTGCAACCGGGGCGCGCGGCACGCTCGCACATGTCGAGGGAGGGGCGCGGCGAGCCGTTCCCGCGACACGAAGCGCGTATCGAAGCACACGCGGACACGATCGCGACACACGATCGTCGCGTGAGGCGGGAATACGCGCAATGCACCACGTCTCCTCGCCGTCGCGCGTCGAATCACCCGAAGGTGCAATCACCGCGCGCTCCTGTGGCGCGTGTAGCGCGAACGCGCCCGGCTCGGGCGTGCCCGCGCGCACAGGCGACGTGAGGACCCTGCCGCGCCGCCGCGCCGGGCGATTGTGGGCAATGCGGGCTGTGCGGGGCCGCGCGAGATCCCTCGGGGACGGTACAGCATTAGGGACGCGGCACGCGGGGTGCGGGCGCGCACCGATGAAGCCGGTGCCGCCGGTGACGAGGACGTGGAACCGGTCAGACATCGCGTCGACTTGGCGTGCGTATATGCCCGGGCAGAGCGGGGTGAGGTCTGAGAGCTGGAGAGGGCTCGTTCGGGTGGATTGTAGCGTGCGAAGCTTGCCGGTTCGTACGATTGGGTCCTGGCGCGCCGTTCTTTCTTCCTCGCGCCCGCACGCCGTGCAATGGCGCGCCCTGGCGGACCCGCGAGTCGCGCAGCGGACGACCCTCGGAGTCGGTCATGAAGCTCGCGCGTCTGTCGGCCTCGCATGGGCACTGCAAGGATCAGAGCCGCCAGGACGCGGCGAGACCGGCAGTGCTCGAGCGGATCGGCACAGAGCCAGCGAGCTTCGACCCCAGACGACTCCGCACGAACATGCCAACGCAAGGCATTTTCGCCCTGCAGAGCGCGGCCGTATCTGCGCGACTAGCGCGCCAGGCCACGCACTCAGCGCGTCCTGCCCTCTCTACCTCCTGCCCCAGCCGCCCCGTACGCCGCGTGCGCGCGCAAGCAGGCCAAGGTCCGCCCCCTTCCAATCCACAGCCGCTGACCCCGCCAGCACCCTCTGCGCGGGCGGCGGCCTCTGCTGCACATCCGCACGCGCTCCCACAGTCCTCCTACTGCGGGCCCGCTGGGCCGATTCGCGCGCCTTCCCACGACCGCAGCAGCCAGCCCGCTGCGACAATCACGACCAACAGAATTCTTGCCGCCCCCGCGGCGTCGAAAGACTTCTTCCTTCGCAAATTTTTGCTCGCGGACCGAGCACGACCTCTGATATGAGCGCGGCGTGCCCCCGGTGGGCGCCAGAGGGCCCAGGCGCCCGCCAGAAGCGCCAGACAGCCAAGCGCTGGGGCTCCTTATGCGGCCCGCGATGGCGCGGTCCCGGGGCCCACCCCGCCGTGCCTGCCTTCACAGGCCAGTGTTGATCGGTATCTCGGCGTGTGGCGCCCTGCGGCCCCTGGTTTGCTCCTCGCTGGCGGCCGGCGGCGGCTTGCTAGGCTGTAGCGCAGTGTCGAGGGATCACGCGGGGGTGTGTTCTCGCGGCGGTGCTGCGCAGACGATGGCGGGGCGCCGAGCACGCTCGAGCGGATCACGATGATGTCCGTGGACGACTTGCCGGACGGGGACGTCTGCGACGACTTCGTTTGCAACTCCTCGCCCGCTGTGGCGCAGACCGTCCGGCAGCTAGCCCGGGACCTCTCGCGGCGCTTCGAGGTCGCACAGAGCAGCGTGGCCGACAAGGTGCGTCGCAGCCACGCCGCGAACGGACAAACTCGCTTCTCGAAGTGACCGCGCGCGCCTGGTAGCTGGCTGTCGTGGCACACGGACGGAGAGTGCGTCCCCGTGCGCAGGTCACGTACAAGGATCCGCTCAGGTCGTTCGAGGGGCGCGCGGGATACGAGCAGAACTACATCGCGACCAACGTCACGAACCCTCAGGGCACGGTGACCCGGATGCAGATGGAAGGCAACAAGACCGCGGTGATCTCCTGGACGCTGCGAGGCGCGATCAACGGCCAGGACGTCGAGATCGACATGCGCGACGAGTTCGACCTGAACCTGATCTCGGGCCGCGTCGAGGCGCACCGCTGCGCGTGGGACCTCTCGCGGTGCTCTGCGACGGGGAAGCTCGCGTTCCAGGCCACGCGGGCGATCTGGTCGGTCTCGGCCGCCCTCGCAACGAAGGTGCGTCCGCCCACTTGGCACTACGTGGCTCACCCCTCCTCCCGCGCGTCACACGAGGTGACCAACGGCCCTCTGCGACGGCGCCGGCCTCGCGCAGGAGAAGCAGGACGAGATGAAGAACGACGATGCGATGTCGTCGATGGACCTGAACTCGTCAGGGATGCCGTCAGACCCAACAAAGTTCTTCCAGGGCCAGCAGAACAACAACGATCAAGAGTTCCAGGACGCCGTGACCTTCGCCGGCGCCCTCGCCGTGCTGTGGCTGCTCGCGAAGGCCCTCGAGGAGGTCTCCAAGATCGGCGGGTGACTCGGACGTGCGCGCCGGCCCCAGTGGGCCCATGTATCAAGGACGGGCAGCTGCCCCGGACGTGTAAGCGCGCTATCTCACATCCCCGGCGGTGCTCGCGCCCGTGAACAGCGCCCGGCGGCGCTGTCAAAACTCGGCTGGACGCCGGGGCAGTCGTACACTTGCGCACTGCTGTGCAAGCTGCCGTGGCGCGGCGGGGAGTGGAGCTCCGGGTGCGTTGCGTTTGCGATGGTGAGGGACGGCGCTATGAAGCGCCGCGTGTCATGCGGTTTGCCTTGGCGGACACGGAGAGTCAAGGTGTAGCGAATCAATGCCGTTCGTGTGCGGCCGCGTGAAGGCTTCTCAACTACCGATTTCCACTTCGGACGAGATGAAAGGGGCGGGGGGCGAAGAGGGCTGGGGGCAGGATTCCAGGAGTGAGTGGTTGGTGTGGGGCCTGGCAGGCGCCCGCGCGCGTGACTTGGACCAGCCACGCAAAGGGGGCGCCGCACGAAGCCGCGGAGGGCAAAGCGGTCATAGGAAGCGGTCTGGTCGCTACCTGAATCACTGGTTTGGGCAAGTGGACGTTCTGCGGAGGCGGCCACTTCATAGAAGCGGCATGTCGGAATGTTTCGGCAATAATGGCCATGCATGTTGCAGGTGCTGTTCGTGATCTAGCCACGCGCCCGCAGGGCGCGCTACTGCTCGAGCTGGTCGGCCCACGCGACGACGCGCACGGCGGCGCGGCGCGGCACGTCGCTCAGGCCTCCGTGGCCGGACCCAGCCCTGCGGGTGGACTTGAGTAGAGACCCCGCCACCTTGACCCTCTGAATATACGGCCCAACCCTCTCCTGGAAGGTCCGCATCTGCTGCTCGGTGTCCATCACGAGCGCGGCGCGCGGCAGGTGCGCGGTCGGCAGGTACACCAGCGCCTGCGAGCGCAGCGACGCCTCGTCGCGGTCGCTGCCTGTGGCGTGGGCGCTGGTGCTCGGCCCGGGCTCCGTGTGCCGCGGACGGACGACGTCGAGGACCGCGCCGACGGTGTCCTCGGCCTCGCCGCCGTCGCTCGTGTCGTCCCCGGACGTCGTCCACCCCGGCGCGGAGTTCCGCGCCTTGGTGCGCCCAAGTCGCGACCTGCGGCGGCTCTTGCGCGACGTCGCCGAGTGGCGCGACAGCCGGCTCGAGCGCCGGCTGCGCGACGACGACGAGGGCTTGCGCCCGCCGCCGATCGAGTCGACGTTGACCGAGGAGAGCGCGTCGCGGAAGTCGTTCGTAGCCACCGCGCTGCCCGTTGATGGCGACGCGCCGTCGGTCCGCGGGGCGCCGCGCGACCGCTGCTGCTTGATCGCGCCCAGCGCGTTGACGGCCGGGAGGAGCTCGTCGGCCTCGGGTCGCGGAGCCGTCGCGAGCTCCCACTCGCAAGCGCGTGTGAAGTCCGGCGAGTGGACGCTGTGGCGCTCCGCGGCGGCGCGCAGCGGGATCGGCATCGAGATGTCGCTCGTGGCGCCCATGGACTTCGGGTTCGCGAGGGAGACGTCGCCCGCGGCGCCCGTTTCGTTCGCGGCGACGGCGGCGCGCGCCTCGCTGTTGCTCAGGCCCTGCGACACCGCCAGCTGCGGCAGAACCATGCTCTGGTGGTCGCGGATGATGGCGAGCCAGTGCTGGTAGCTCTCCACGAGACCGTTCAGCATCCACGGGTGCCTGCACACGAATGCACGGACGGGAATCGTTTCAGGACAACATGATGCCAACCAGGCGACATGCGGCATGCCAGGCGCGGGGCAGCGTCGCAGAGGTGGTCGCGGCGCCACGCACCATGGCGCGGCGGTGCAGAGCGCGCAGAAGAACGGCCTCGCCAGCGCGTCGATGAACCCGAGCTGCCCTTGCGGCACGTACTCCGTGTGTCGGTCCATCATCTTGCACGGACAGCCAGGGATCTTGAGCTCGCGCTCCATGTCGCCCTGCGTGAAGAACTCCGACACCACGCGGCACGACCACGCGAACATCGTCAGCGGCTCCCGCACGATGTGCCCGATGTCGGCCGCCTTGAGCATCCCCTGCAACAGCAGCAGCCGCCGCGACGGCTCCGCGGGGATCGCGCCGAGGATGCCCTCCTGCTCCAGCTGCTCCGCGAGGGACTCCAGCTCGCCGGTGATCTCGAAGTGCTGCTGCATGTCCGTCGAGTGGATGAGCGAAATGATGGCGCGGCGCGCCGCGGCCTGGTCGTCCGGCGACATGTTGGCGAAGACGTTGGCGGAGGGGTCGTCGATCATGACGCGGAAGAGCGTGGCGCAGTGCGCGCGCTCGTGGGGGGAGTCGTCCGAGTAGGTGATGGCCAGGGGGTGGGAGGTCTTGATCAAAAAGTCATTCGACACCCCCGTGTGGCCCACGTCGTGCCCGAGGGCCGCGACCATGAGGCAGAGCTTCTCGCGCCGCGCCCAGGGCCGCCCGCGGGCGTGCTTGTGGCTGTCCTGGAGCATCACGAAGCACGCGTGCGCCACCTCGACGGCATGCCTCCAGTTGTGGTACGGGTTCGAAGGGTCGTACCGCGCCGCGAGGTGCCCGACGAGCGCCCGGACCATCGTCTGCGAGTCAGCGAGGGCAGCGTCGAGCGGTGAGTCGACGTCGGCGCGGTGCGGCGACGGGGCGTCGGCGCTCTAGCACGAGCAGCTGCGCGGCGCACCTTGGTGGGCATCGAAGGGTCGCGGGCGTCGACGATGCGCAGCCTGACGAACATCGTCATCACGGCGGCCTCCAGCGCGTCGTTGTCGAGGTGCAGCGAGCTCCACTTCAGCGAACCAGGAGACGCGCCCTGTCGCTCCAGCCCTACTAGGTTCCCGCTCGAGCCGAAGCCACCGAGCGCGCGCGAGCTGTGCGACATCTCCACGCCGCAACCCGTCTGCGACTGCCGCATCGAGTGCCCCTCGCTGCCGGGCACGTCCTCCCCGGCGTCGTCGCCGACGCTCGGGGCCGTGGCCAGCACGCCCTGGTACATGTGCGTCCACTCCCCGAGCCCGAGGCCCGTCACGGAGTCCTGCGCAGCCTCCCTCATGACGCGCTCCAGCACCACCTGCCCGCGCTGGCTCGCCTTGACCACCAGCTGCACTGTGCCCTGTACGCGCTTCATGGCTTGGTCGATCGTGTCCACGCCCCCCGAGTCCGACCTGCGGTACTTCTTCACGCGCCGCGAGTCGTCCGCGACGTCCGGCTCGGCCTTCGGCTTGACCATGCCGCGGTCGTCCAGCTGCGCGGCCAGCGACCCCAGCGTGTTGACCGTCGACTTCACGGGGCCCAGCACGAGCGCCTCCGCGGCCCAGACGGCGGTGACGGCCCACACGCCGACGGAGAAGACCAGGACGAGCTTGCGCCACGCGTTCTGCCCGGCCTCGTACCCCGAGGGCTGCAGCCAGCTTCCCGCAACGTCGTCGACAACGCACTCCCCCTCGCCGTTGCAGCCCAGGGCCGTCATCACCATCCCCTGGGTGTACGCCAGGGCTGCACGCACGAGGCGGGCGGCATCGACCTTGCGACCACGACGCCGCGACGCAAGCACAGCACAGCGCACGACGCGACCGCTCGCTCCACGACGTAACCGTCCTTGGCTTCCGAAAGGCGACGGAACTCACCTTGCTGCGTCGGCGTCGTCGCCTCGTGGAAGGCGCGGCTCAGGAGCGCCCCGGGCGTCCGCGAGAGCGTCGCCCAGTCCGCGACAGTTGCCAGGAAGAGGGCGAGGGCAGAGATGACGAGCGCTCCCTGCCGCACGCGGGCCGCGACGCGCACCCGGAGGCGCTCGGGCTTGCTGGAGTGCTCGAGGGCGTCCTTCACGACGCGGAAGCGGTACTGGGTCACCTGCACGGGACGGGGCACAGGATACACTCGGTCCACATGGCCAACCAGCAGAAACCATCGTTTCCGTTGCGACCGATTCAAGATATCATGGTGCAGCCGATCTCGCGGGCGCGACGCGGCGCCACCGCGTGGCGCGGTGCCGCGGCAACGCCCTCGCGACCTCGAGACGGCACGAAGGGCCGCGTTCGCGTTCGCGCGCACGACGCACCATGGGTTTCAGCAGCGCTAGAGGCCGGAGCTTGGACAAGAGCAGCGGCAGCGCGGAGGGCCCCTCCGCCTGGCCGTCAGCGGGCAGCGCGACGCTCGCGATGTACGTGATCGTCAGGACGAGCGCGGGGACCGCGACGGCGACGCCGTCGAGCACCGTGGCGGCTCCTGCGGCGTGAGGCGTGCGGCTGGCGCAGCGGTGTGAGGCACAGGCGTGACGCGACGGCACGGGGCCGGGGCGCGGTCGCGGCGCGCGTGCGCGGGTCCGGCGGCGTGGAACGGGTGAGGTCGGTCCGAGCGGCGCACCTGAGACGCGTTTCACCCCCATGGCGCCGCACTCAGCTTGCCACCCCAGGAGTGCGTCCGTGGCGAAAATCGCGAGCGCGAGGGCGTTCGCGAGGAGCATCGCGGCGGCGCAGGCCGTGTCGCGGACCACTCGGCGCAAGACGAGCGAGAAGAAGTCCTCGAACGCCAGAAAGACGGCGAGCGCCGTGATGGCCCCGACGTAGCCCGCCGGGACCCGCGCCCAGAGCGACGCGCGCGGCGCGCTCTGCGGCGGGCACAAGGGCCACGCAGGGCTCGTTTGGGGATAGGGTACGCTCGTGCGGCGCTCCTCGGCGCCGCGCAGCCTCGAATTACGCGCAGGGCGACACGAGGCTGGCACTAGGCACGCAGGGCAGGAGAGGCAATCCCCGCGTCGCTCCGGCGCGAACGCTGCGTCCCGCGCGGTTTTCGCGCGGGCAGAGCGGCGAGAACGGCGTCGGGCGCCGGAAAGCCGCGAAAAACGCACCTCGTCGACTGCCCCGTTGCCAGCCTTGGCCTCCCCATCGTTGGAGTCCGATGCTTCCCCGCGGCTCGTCGCCGCGCTGGTCCTGGAGACCTTGGACTCGCACGGCGAGAAGCTGCTGCCCGTGAGCGTGCGCCACAGGCGGCTCACGCCCTCGGGCTGCGTTTGCGACCGCACCACCATGGTGTGTCTGCACGCCGGTCCAGCGCTGACGCTACGGCCTGATGCGCATGAGGCTGATCGAATCGGTTCACGAGCCCTCGCCCAACGCACGTGTGCCCGCGAGCGCCTCGCACGCCGCCCCAAGTCGCCGCGAAAGCCCGGGGGGGTTGCCTTTGTCAGCTGCACGCCCGCGCCGCCCGCGCCAGTGGGTCGCGCCCGCGTCGCACCGCGAAAATCAGGCCCATATAATATGAGGCGGCGTGAACGCTGGTCCGCCGCGGCAGAACTGCAACGGTTTGCCGTCGAACGGTCTGCACATGGCCTCACATAGGTAGTTGAGCCAAGGTCCCCTCGTCCGCGCCAGCTTCGACCGCGCGCGCCGAGCCGCGAGCGTGCCCGTTCGACGCCAGCGAAGCACGGCACACCGGCGCAACGCACGCCCGCACCCGCCTGTGCGCTGCGGGCCTGCCACGTGGCATCAGGGCCTGCGACCCGCCTGTGCGCTGCGGGCCTGCCACGTGGCATCAGGGCGCGGGGCGCGCCGCCTCGACGCACGCCTCGACGCACGCGAGCCACCAGTCGTGCAGGGACTCCAGCGCCGCGGCTGTCGACTCCTCGTCGAGCCGCACGTCGATCCGCGGCACCTCTCTGTCAGACGCAACCAAATACTCCTCCACCCACCTCTGCTTCTGCGCGAACGCGCCGCTAGCGGCCTGCCCAGCTGCGTCGCGCCCCGTGGGGCCGCATCGCGAGCCCGTTGCGAGCCGCAGCACCACAGGCATGTGCACGACTGCGCGCTGGTCGCCGACGTGAACGGCGGGGCGTGGCGCGGCGCGCGTCCCCGCCGCGGCGCCGTCGTGCCACGGAGCGGGGCCGACGGGGCCCATGGCGTCCGCGAAGAGCGCAGGGTCCAGGCAGGACCCCTCCATGATGAGCGACTTGCCGTCAACGCAACACTTGCTCACCTCCTCCGCGAGGGCCGCGCGGACGACGGCGCATTCGCGGGCGAACTCGGCGAGGAACGCGGCTCTGTCGAGGTCGTCGCGCAGCCACAGGGCGCGCGGATCCAGCCCGGCGATGCCGCTCGAACGTAGCATGCTGCATATGAGGTCCGCCTGCGAACGTGGGAGGGGCGAGGACGGCCTCGCTGTGCTCGGGGCGGGCGGAGCGTGCACGCGTGCGCGTGTGCGTGGCTCTGGGCCTGCGTCGGGTCGACGGTGCGGAAACACACCTGGACAACGTGCGGCAGGTTCAGACGCGAGCTGAGCTGCATGGCGAGGGCCGTTTTGCCCGAGGATGCGGGCCCGGCGATGAGGATGAGAAGGGGTATGCGCATGCGATGGAACGCCTCGACCATCTGGTACCGCCGGAGCTCCTTCGGTGTGTAGCTGCGCCGCAGCAGTTCTGCAAATAACTCGCTCTCGAGCTCAGAGGCGTGGACCTCCAGCATCCCGCGGTCGACGAGACGCTTCTTCAGGTCGAGCGCGACGCGCACCGCGTCGTCCGGATGCACCTGCACGTCGCGGCGGGCGCCGATGGGTTCCCGTGGCACGTCGCAGCTCTCCTGGTGCCGCAGCGCGGGGACACGTGGCTTGCAGACGCACCTTGATTGCAGTTAATCGCCGCGAGATCAGGTAGCGCGACAGCACGTGCGACACGGGCTCCCGCCGGCCCCCGTCGCCCTGTGAAAACACCACCTTCACCTTCACCGCGTCGTACTTCGACCCAGCTTTCCGCACCGCCCTGTTCGCATCGCCGCCAACGTCCCCATCGTTCTCGCGAACCGCAAAACCCGCGTTCTCGGTGAAACTGCCCGCGTCGTCGCTGCGCAGCACAGCCCCCCCATGGCCGCGATCGACGTGCTCCCTCATCGCGCAGGCCGCGCGCCGATCCCCGCGAAGGCAGGCCCCGGCCCAGAGCGCACCCGCCAGGCACTGCGCGCGCCCGCGCGCTGCGACCGACGTTTCGCCCCGCGTCAACAAAAGTAAAAGAAGAAAAAACTATCACAGCCCGTGCTGAGTCAGCCGGGCGACGGCCCGGGCAGGGAAGATTGCCACGGGCAAGCGGCGGCGTAGCGCTATCGCTGGTATTGCGCGCGAGATCGCACGGCTCGACAGCGGCCGTCCGAGCGGTGAAAGTTGCAACCTGCGGTGTGTTGGGTCGCTCCCGGCGCCGCGCTGGGGCTCATGGGGCTTCGCCGACGCACGTCCGCGGGTGCACAGTCCACAGACGTCGGGCTCTGATACGGCGAGCGGAGGGCGTCCGGTGCCTGAGCGGGAACGGGGCCGTAACCTCCCACGGTGCACCTTAAGTCGCGCGAAATGGCTCCTTCGGAACGCTCAGGAGCCGGAGAGCCATCCGAGCGCATAGGCGCGGGCCCGTGGCTGCTCCTCATCGGGTGAGTCGCAACGATGCCGGTGCTCGTGCGGCGCAACGTGCCCTAAGAGAACAGCGAGCGAAGGGCCGTCGCACGCGCGGCGCCCGGCACGATGCGCTCGCAAATTGATGGCGTCCTCGACAGAACCTCGCGCAACCTCATGTTCGACGAGCGGGGCGCCCTGTCACGGCCGCCAGGCGTGGCTACGGGCCACGTTGCACAAGGCTGCGGGCAAGGCGCACAGACAGGTTGACCGCTCTGTTTTCGCGCAGGTTGCTGCTCGCTGGCATATCCCTGCCGGTTCTTCAGTATCTGTACGTGGCCTTCAATGCGCTGGACGACCCTGGATCGCCCTTCGCTGGCTCCACGGGGGTCGCCCTGCAGCGCATCGCGACGCACGCGGGCATTTTCCTGCTCGGCGCGGCATTTGGCGCCGTCGCCGTCGTGCTGGCGGCCTTCACGCTCCTCAAGTCCATCGTGTCGCCACGGAAAAGCGCGAGAAACCAAGCCGTGGAGCCGCAGTCGAGGTAATTGCGCCAACCACCCTGCAACACCGCACACAGACGTCGCCCGCAGCGCAAACAGCCCGCACCTATCCCCCAGGGCTTCATCTATCGCCAATCATTACACGCGCCTCAGAGACCGTGTCGATATCTCCCTCAACGCAGCGCAAGCGGCGTCGATGAGGACAGTGCCGTGGCGAAGCAGGCGGCCCTCGGCGAGCCGCCGGAGCCGCAGCCCCCGCACGGGCTCGGCATGCAGTACAACCCCAAGTCGCAGCGGCGCGTCGTGTACAACGAGCTGCACCGAGGCGCGTCGCCACGCCCCCATGGCATTTCGCGCACGTGCTCCTCGCATTCGACGCCGCACTGTTCAGGACGCTGGCGCGCCCGCATGCCGCATCCTAGCGCGGGCGTAGCAGTCGCTTGTTTTGCGCGTTGGACGCGGCGACAGGCATCACGGACGAACCACACTGAGGGCGACCCTGGTTGCCGATGCCACGCAGGGGGGTGGATGCGCGGCTGGGTGTGGATCATGATGGCCGCGGACTACGACGGCCAGTTCCCCAAGGTCTGCCCTCAACGTCTCCTCGGAACTCAGCCGTTCTCGACTGCGATTGCATCGCATGCTTCCAAATGCGCGTCACGCAACGTGGGCCCCGTTCCGTGGTCGGCGCAGGAGTGGCCGCCGAACTGCGGCCCCGGCGGCCTCGCGACCGCCTGGTTCGCCACGCTCGGGCCCGACAGGACGCTGGTGCTGTCAGGCAACGCCGACGGATCTGGCAGGTGCGTTTTTGTTTTAAACCCCCCCGTTCCCCCCCGCCCCTCCTTTTCGAGCCCCGCCCCGGGGCGCCCACGGCCGCCGGGAGGCAGCCGCACCCGCTGCCTTCGGGGCGACGCGACCTGACGTCAGGGAGAGGGGTGGAGTGCAACGGTCAGTCCCGGGGAGGTTCGCGGGTCTGTCGGGGCAACAGGCGCAGCGCGTGGCGCGTCCGGCGACTTTCCAGGGACGCGCACAGGCCCTGTGCTTCGCCCGTGGAGCGGAACCGCCGCGTGTGGAGCCGCTGCGGGCGACGAAGCAGCATGAGCGACCGCGGGGCAGACCGGCCCGCGTGGGGGCGCGACGACGAGGACGACATCTCGAGTCGCCTGGCCGGCGCGAGCATCTCGGATCGGCAGGGCTCTGGGAGGCGGCAGCGCGGTGCCGGGCGGGGCCGCGGCGCGTGGCGGGAGCGGCCGGACAACACGGGGGAGGCACCAGTGACGCCTCCGCCGGGCTTGAGCGCCGCTCCCGGGCAGGCAAGCGGCTGGGACTTCGACGTCGAGAAGCCAGAGTCCGCGTCGCCGCCGGAATCCGCCGGGAAAACGGAGCGAGCGCGCGACGCGGCGCGAGGCCGACCCCTGCACAGCACCGGCCCGCGGCGCGACGACCACGCGGCCGTTGCGGCCGGCCCGGTGCTGTCCGATGACATCTCGGCCGCAGGGCACGTTCTCGAGGTGTACGATCTCACAAAAGAGGTCAAAACGGAGGACGTGGATCTGTTTGCGACGCGGCTGCGGCCGTCCGCGAGCGTTCCTGCGCCGTACGTGGTCCGCGTGGACGACGCGCACGCGCTCGCCGTCTTCGGCTCCCCGGACGACGCCACGGAGGCCCTCGCGCGCGCCGCCTCGGGCGCGGAGGCGTCACCGAACCCCCCCCGGGGGCGCGGCAGCACCCGCGCCGCCGCCGCCGCGCGGCCCCCTGCGACGTTCTCCGTGCGGGCCGTCGCGGACAGCACCCACGCGGCGACGCTGCGCACGCCCGCGTCGCGCGTCGCCCCGGCGCGCCGGCGCCCGCAGACCAACACCGCCGTCGCGCGGCGCCTCATCGGCGGCGCCCTGGGCATCAACATCAACAAGGAGATCCGGCGGATGGCGGAGAACTCCGAGGATGCGGACGTCGCGCGCCGCGGACAGCGCATGGCGGCCGAGACGCAGCGGTTCGATGACCTCCAGCGGCAACGCGCCAAGGGGCAGAAACAGGGCGACGCGTCCGCGGGGAAGGCCGAGCCCGGAGGCGGGGCTGGCGGGCGCGTTCCGCGCGGAAGGGGCCGCGCGGCGCCGAGCGCGTGGGACGACGGATGAGGCCGCGTCGACGTGGCGCAGTGGGTTGTTTTTTTCTCTCTTTTTTGGGGGGGTCTTTTTCCCCGTTCGCGTGTAGGGGGTGTACGTCTAGGTCGCGGATTTCGTGCGGTACTGCACCCCGCGAGCTCCACGCGCACGTGCGCGGCGTCTGCGCCCTCATCGCTCTCTCCCGCGCCGGTGGTCTGTCGCAGAACTCCCCCTCACGTCTGCCGACTCCCCCCCCCCCTGCAGACGCGCGGTTGTCCCTCTCGAGGGCTGCGGCGTGCGCCTATCCCGCAAGGGCATGATGCGCGGCCGCCACAAGTGGACAAAGAAGGGGCCGCTGGAGCTGCGGCACCACGCCCGCGCGCTCCTGGGCTCCGAGAAGGAGATCCTCATCTTCTGCTTCTCCGGCGCGCTCAAGGAACAGTGGTTCCACGCCCTCGCCGAAGCCGTCAACCCCAGCGTCGCTCAGCCGTCCTCCGGAGCGGCTGGCGGCGCCTCGACGCTCGTGCAGTCGTGGTATCGAGCCTACATGGAGACGGCGCGGGCCGCGAACCCCCACGCGTTCCCCACGGACGATACGGCAGGCGCCACGCCGGCAGCGTCGGTGCGGGCGCTCGCGGCGGCGGGTGACGCCTCGGCGCGGGTGGCCAACGCCCCGCGCGCGTCGTCCGGGCACGCGGCGTCCGCGTCGACGACGTCGTGGCTCGCGGCCGCGTCGCAGCCGTCCGGCGCGGGCACGCCCGCTCCCGTCTCGCGCAAGCAGTCCAAAGCCCTCGCGGGGAAGTCTGAGAGACCCCCCCCTGCGCCCGGCACAGCCGTGCAGGCGGCGCCGAGCCCCGCGCGCGTGGGCGTCGGGGCGCTCCTCGGCGGCGCCGTCGGCCGGCTCGGCGGCGCCGCAGGTGCCGCCCTGTGGCGGTTCCGCCCTGCGCAGGGCCGACGTCTTCAGATGGGGGCACGAGACGCCGGTCAGCGCATGACGCAGCGGCCGTCCGCGGCGAACGTCGCGCTGCAGGCGCTCCTCGAGACGCCGGAGGGCGCGCCCGGGGCGCGCGGGGGGGTGTCCCGGAGGCCCTCGTTTGTACCCGGGGAACTCGCGGCAGCAGCCGCCGCGGGCATGGCGCCGGCGCAGCTGCGGTCGGACGCCGGGCAGGTCGCGGCGGAGGTGGCGCCTGCGGAGGCGCGGGCGGAGGGGTCGGGGGTGTGGGAGGTGGCGAGCGTCGGAGCTGGGCACGCGCGCCGCGCCAGCAGCGTCGCGGGCGGCGCCGGGGACCAGGTTCTCGCGGGGCGCGTGACGCACGATGACAACGCGGACGCGCTGCCGAATCAGGCGGCCTCTGCGCTCGACGCCGGCTCGCCCAAGCGCCTCACAGTCGCAGATGCGAGAATGCAACGTCACGCAAGCATCTCGGAGGGCCTGTACAACGCTGCCGCGGAGGCCGGGGGGCAGTCCGGCGCAGCGAAGTCGCTTCTCGTCGACGACGAGTCCGCGAAGTCCGGCGCGGGGCCGGCAGCGACCGTTCCGGCGCTGGAGACCGCATCCGCGCCCCCGGGGGAGTTTCAGGGCCCGGCGGCCGCGCCGGCGCAGGCGGACATTCTGTCGCAGCTCGAGGGCGGGTGGTTCGGGAGCCCCGAGGGCCGCGAGCGCGCGCGCGCGCTCAACGCAGCGCTGAGGGCGCAGCGCAAGGCTCAGAAAGCCGCCGCCGCCGCCGCCGCCGCGTCGCAGAGCGTCCCGCACTCCCCGCGCGGCACGTCCACGCCGCACAAGGACGGCGCCGGCGGCGCGCTCGCGCCCGAGCAGCTCGCGGCGCAGCTCGCGCAGGCGCTGGTGGCGTCGGAGGGCGACGCGGCGCGCGACGCACGCGCGGGGCTCGCTGGGACGGCGATCCTGAACACGATGCTCTCGCGCGTGTGGTTCGATCTGATGCGCAACCCGACGGTGGAGGCGGGCCTGCTCGACCGCATTCAGACGCGGCTGGAGCGCGTGCCGCTCCCGCCGTACATGGGGCCCTTGAAGCTGGTGGCGCTGAAGCTGGGGGCGCGGGCGCCCGTGGTGCGCGGCGCGCAGTGGGCCGGCGGCGTGGCGGTGCCGAAGGAGCGGCGCGGGTCCGGCGCGGGCGCCGCGGCGGTGGGGTTGTATCCCGCTGTCGACGCGGAGGTGTTTTACGAGGGGGAGTTCGAGCTTACGATCGAGACGTCGTTCGACCTGGCGGAGACGTCGGCGTGGGGGCAGCTCGAGAAGGTCCTCGAGGCGCTCGAGGGCCAGGGGGGGGGTAAAAGGGGGGGGTCCCAAAAGGTAGAAGTCAAGGTCGAGCCCGAGGGCACAGCGACGGGGGAGGTCGAGGCCGAGGCCGCGGCGATCGAGGCCGAGATGGAGGCCGAGGCTCGCGCGGAAGGGCGCGCGGAGACGCTGCCGCCCGGCTCCGCCCCAGTGCGAGGCGCACTGCTCGCACTGCTCCCCAAGCCGCTGCGTCAGGTCGCGGTCAAGGGCGTGCGGCGCGTGACCGGCGCGATCTCCTCGCACGTCGGGAAGCTCGCGCTGCAGCTGCACGTGCGCCTCTTGTCGCTGGAGGGCCGCGTGCGCATCTGGCTCCCGCCGCCGCCGTCGGACAGAATCTGGTACGGGTTCCACGCGGCGCCGCGGCTGCGGCTCGAGGCGCGGCCGCGCATCAACAGCCAGCCCGTGCGGCAGCGCATGCTCGCGAGCCGCATCGGGGGGGTGTTTGAACGCCGGCTGGCGCAGATCATCAACAACGCGCTGGTGCTGCCGAACTGCGAAGGTCCGAACCCGCAAATCGATGAAATATTATCTCGAATGCCTACGACTGTGTGTGCGGGCATGCCTGGCGGCAAACGAGCTTCGCCGGGCGTTGTTTGTGCCTGTGCGCCTTGCGTTGCTGTCACGGGCGTGGATGGTGGGCGTTCGCGGCCCGTTCGACACGCACGCGGCTCGAAGACGCTAGTTGTATCGGTGCTGAGTTCGCTGGTGCGTGCATATGTGTGTTGGCTGCAGGCATCACGATTGTGGGCCTTCTCGGGCTGTCGGAGGAGTGCGTCATCGCACCCGGGTCCCCGCCGTTCCCGCCAGAGGACGACGTCCCCGCGACCGAGCCCGCGCGTGCAGCCAGCTCGTCACAGCCCGGCACGCCCCCGCTCTCCGGCCAGGTCGGGCTGGGGCTGCCGGGGGCAGATGGCGCCTTTGACGACGATGACGACGACGACGACGAAATCGACGATGATGACGACAACGACGACGTGGACGACGACGATATCGGCACGCCGACGGGGAACGGGCTGGACTTCCGCGGCGCGTCGCTGCACGAGGGCGGCGAGGGAACGCCCGCCGCCGAGCGTGCCTCGAACGATGCGGGCCCTGCGGACGCGACGGCGCGGGCGGCGGCGTCGCTGGCGGCGTCCACGCCGAACCTCAAGGCCGGGGAGCCCGTCGACGGCACGGTGCTGCGGACGCCGCTGCGGGCGAGCTACCTGACGGACAAACGACGCAGGTGAGAACGTGGCGTTGATGCCATCACGCGGCACGCCGCGTAGCTGGGACGTGGCTGTAGCTGTGAGCGTGCCGTTGATTTGGGCCGTGCGGGCGCGGTGCGGTGCGTCGCTCCTGGAGGACACGTGGCGGCTGGCGTGGCGACCGTCTGGTTGCGTCCACTGGGGCGGGTGCAGCGCGGTTTGCGGCTAGGGTGCGCGTGGGGTTCGCCTGCCTCGCAGAACTCGGCGATAACGCTGTCATCAGCGACCCGGTCGCGCCGCGCACGCGGCGGTTCGTCGCCGGACCGTTCACGACAGCGCGGCCGTTTCGCAGAAGAGGTTTTGAGGTCTGGGCGCCGTCCGTGAGCAAGCACGAGGTCGGGTGTTTGACGGTGCGAGAAACGCGACATCGCACTCCTCGCCGGCGGAGTCGCCGTCCGGCGAGGCCTGCGTGTGGGCAGCGTCGAGTTCGGCGTGGCGCGTGAAGTGCCGCGATATTCGGTCCGAATTCGTTGCGTCGTCTTTCGCAGGAAGGAAGTGCGTCGTGCGGGCGCAGGAACGGACCGGACAGCCTGCCCCGCCACCGGCCGTTGGTGCGGCTCGTGCGATGTGTCGTGCCCGCGTGCCCGCAGGGAGCCAGTGTCTCGTCTGCGCCCGGGGGGGGCTTTTGTTTGTCAGGAAGGACCTGACTTGGCGACAAGCGAGGGCCGTTGCCGTGACGGCGAGCGACCAGGGCGGTAGTTTGCTTCGTGGCTGCAGCTCGAGTCGCAGCCCGGCCGGCATTGTCTGCCCGGACGTACCAGCAGAGGTTTTCCGGTGCCAAGTGAAACAGTGGGCGTTTCCGGGGGTGAGGGGGAGGACTTGCCGGTCTCACTGTTCAGGTGCGGTGAGAGCGATCTGAGAAGCACGGAGACGGCCCTGCGTATCGCGTGCGTGTCGAACAGGACCACCGCCAGAGAGCTCGTGTCTGTGCTGCGGTGCGGGCGGCGAGTACACGCAGAATGTGCCTCGCGTCGTTGGATCGGCCCGATATAAATACACCGTAGAGGAGCGCGCACAGTTCCCGGCTGAGGCCGTCTCTTCCCGCCAAGAGGACGAGAGACTCTGGTGATTCAGAAAACCAGCCAACCGCATCGTTGCGAATCCGCAATGCGCAGGAAAGGATAGCGGGGCGGCTGGATCGAGATGTCATCGTCGCAGAGAGGCGAGCAGGAGCCGCCGGCGTCGGCCCGTGGGCGCGCACCAGCACTCCTGTTGCTGGAGAGTCTTCAATGCGGGCGGGACGGGCCGCTGGGCGGCGTCATCCGCCGCCTGTCACCGTCGACGCGGGTAGTGCTGGCGGCGGCGTCGTCGGCGATGATGGCGCGCGTGCTGGAGAGCTGCGACGGCGCGTTTTGGTGGGCGCGAAAGCAGGAAGAGGACGTGGGCCTTCAGGTGGCCAGAAGACTCCGGGGCTGCGTGTCTGAGACGACGACATCACGGATCGGATGGATGGCGGACGACGGCGTGAGCTTCTGGCGGCTGTCCTGTCGTGCCGGAGCCAACGTCGATGGATGCGAGGGGTGCTTCAACGACGCGTGTGTCGTCAGCATTGAGGGCCCATTTCGAGACCGCGAGGCCCCGCACCGGCTCCAAGATGCGGGATCCAGGCCGTGCAGCGGCGGGCCCGTGATCACAGCGCGCATGACGGGCCTCCGGCGCGTGGACGTGGGGTGCGAAGGCTTCGCCATCGAGCGGGAGTGGGGGGCGGACTGGCTGCCGCGGAGCGTGGCGGCGGGCGTGCGCGAGCTGGATCTGCGCGAGTGTGTCTTCAGGAGCGTACCGGAGGGGATGACCGCGCTGGAGACGCTGCAGATGGCAGGATGTGGGGACTTTAACCAAGGAGAGGTTGTCGTGCCAAAGTCGAGTGCGGGGCGAATCCGGGGGGTGTTCGCCGCCAGAAGCACGCTGCGAAGGCTCCCGGAGGATATGGTGGCGCTGGAGGAGCTCCAAGTATGCAACTGCGAGTATCTCGAGGAGGATTTTCTCCCAGCAACGTCGGCCGCGCGGCTGCGGTGGCTGGACGCCAGTGGCCTCAGTTTGCAGCGGATCCCGGAGAACATGGCGGCCCTGGAGGAGCTCGAAGTGACCCACAGCGACCTGACGGCCCTGCCGGCGTCGAGCGTTGCGCGTCTGCGCGTTCTATCTGCCGAGTGCAGCTCGCTGCGAGCGCTCCCTGGCGGCATGGCGGCGCTTGAGGTGCTCGACGTGGCGGCCTGCCTGGACCTCGAGGGGGGCTTCGAGATACCGAGCTCGAGCACGGGGAGGCTGCGGGTGCTGTCGCTGTGCGACTCACCAGTGCAGCGCTTGCCAGACAGCCTGACGGCGCTTGAGGAGCTGCACCTGAACTTGTGCAAGTCGCTCGCGGCTGACTTCCTGCCCGTCGCGTCCTGTGCCGCGACGCTGCGGGTGCTGAGCGTCACATACTGCTCAATACAAAAGGTGCCTGAAGGGTTGGTGGCTCTGGAGGAACTCGGCGTCAGCTTCTGCTCGATGATCTCGGAGGGCTTCCTGCCGGCGTCGAGCATGGCGCGGCTGCGCGTGCTCACGGCGATCGACAGTTCGCTGAGACGGCTTCCAGAGAACATGCCGGCATTGGAAGAGCTCAACGTGATCTGGTGCAGACGACTCGACGAGGATCTGCTGCCAGCGTCGAGCGCCGCGCGGCTGCAGGTGCTGCTCGCCACTGACAGCGCGCTGAAGAGGATCCCGGAGGGCACTGTCGCGCTGCGGGAGTTGCACGTCAGTGGCTGCAAGCAGCTGGAAGGGGCCCTAGAGGCGAGCGTGGCGGCGGGGCTGCGCCGCTGGGACGTCTCGAGAGCGTCGCTAAGGCTTCCGGAGGGGATGGCGGAGAAGTCGCCGTGACGCCCGGCGCGCACAGCCATCGGATGTACCTCTCAAGCGGACATATGTTTCCGGTGCACCTTCGCACGCCATCGCGTCGAGGACGTGGCGCACAGGACGGGTTGCGATCGGTCGCATCTGCACCAGCAGTCGCACGCGCTTGGGTGACCCGAACGCGCAGAGGTGAGCACATGTGCGATCACATGATTAGTGCCGGCGTGTTCGGCAACTCTGGTCCGTTCTCTCGTCAGAATCGCTCTGAGTGCTGCGTAGCGTTCTCGCGCGCTCACGAGACGCGCGTGCGGTCATGTAAATATACTCAGATAAGCAAAAATAGCCCGGAGACGGCGGCACGTGTGTCTTCAGAGCCGCAGCAGCCGTCGGCACGCAGCCCACGTCGACCAGCCCCCCGCGGGCTGCCCTGACTCCTCAGACGCCACCTCCTCCACGCAGTCCGCGAACTCCTCCCGCTCCTCGCCAACACCCCCCTCCTTCCCACCTGCGGGCCGCTCCGCCCCGTGCTTCACGGTCCCCTCCTCATCCGACGAGCCGTCCCGTCGCACGACGCTCCCGTCCGTCGACTCCCGCTCCGACCGATACAACCCCGCCGAAGGCAGCGCCCGCGTCGACACCGTCGACGGGGCCACCATCGTGTTCGCCTCGCTGCCCGCCGCGACCGCCGCGCCGCCCTGCGCCGCCAGGCGCCGAATGCTGCTGCTCCGACCCATTCCAGGCGCGGGCGGGATCCCCGTCGCGTCGCACAGCTTGCCCCTCGCACGTGCCGCCATGACGTTGTTGAAGAAGTCGACTGCCACGCGGTCCATGTAGGCCTGGCGGCTGAACGGCCACCAGCCCTCCATCCACGCGACGTGCCCGCCCTTGCGCGTCACGACGAGCGCGACCCACGGGTTCGCGATGCACTCGGCGCGCGGGATGCGGCCGACAAAGGGGTCGTCCTTCGCGAGGAGGATCAGCGTGGGCGTGCGGATGCGCGGGAGGTGCGTGGCGGTGGACGAGTCCGCGTAGTACTCCTCGGGCGAGCGGTACCCGTGCATTGGCACCACGAGCGCCTTGTCGAAGTCGCGCACAGTGGTGCACTTCTCCAGCCTGTTCGCGTGCCACGACTCCCGCACTACGTCGCTCTCCCACAGCTTGGCGCGGTTCTTGCGCGCGATGCGGACGGACTTGGTCGCCAGGTGCCGGTTGTACAGGTACGAGATGGTGAACGGCTTTTCGAGGTTGCGGAGGGCCATGAAGCCGTCGATCGGGTTGCTCACGAGCATCGCGGCGTCGAGCGTGCCCACGGGCAGCTCCGTGAGCGCCTTCCCGAGGACCATCGACCCGAGGCTGTAGCCGACCCCGAGCAGCGGCGCCCGCGGGTGCGCGGCGCGGATGGCGTCGACGACGCACGGGAGGTCGCCCGTGAACGCCGCGCACAGGCTCAGCGGCGTCGTGAGCTCGATGCCGCCCATGCCGCGGAAGTTCATCACCACCGGCGTCCAACCCTCGCGCCACGCCGAGTACGACATCCACTTGCAGTACCCCGCCGTCGAGTCTGCGGGGACGCACCCGGCGAGCAGGCGCGTTCGGGCCGCACGCGTGCCGGGAGGGGGCGCGGGTCGGGGGCGGTGTGGGCGCCGCGGGCGCACCTCCAGTCATGCCGTGGAGGATCAGGACGACGGGACGCGTGCCCTCGGGGAAGGTTTCGGCGCCGGGCGGGTCGTCCGCGCTCGTGTGGCTCTTCGGGAGCCGCTCGCCTGCGAAGCGAGGTCGGAACGCGCGTCAGGGCGGGAAGCACGTGCACGGCGCTCGTCGTGGATGGGAAGCACGTGGGGAGCGACGCACCTGTGAACCAGTCGAGGGAGACGGTGCCGCCGTCCTTGATGGTGACGAGCTGGCGCCGGTAGCAGTCGTCAGGGATCGACGCGAAGCGAGCCTGGCCGAGGATGGTCTGGAGGTGGGTCCAGCGCAACCACGGGGTGGGCTTGAACTCCTCCTGGAGCGTGCTCATGCCGGCCACGACCTCCGCCATCTCGCTGTCGGCGTGGTGGAAGACCTTCGGCTGCAAACGCGCGCGCACACGCACACCGTGGCGGTCGCTCAGCGGGAGGGGCACAGGAGCGGCCGGCCGGTGCCCCGCGCTACGAACGGCGGCTGCAACGGCGACGCCGCGGTGCTCTAGGCACAGATGGGCGACCCCTGGGTCGTACGGGTGGGGAACAAGGGTGGATGCGCGGGACGCAGCTGAGATGCTAGGCAGCTGAGACAGCTCGTCGGCAGGGCGCGAGCAGGCGCATGCGGCGGCCGCATGCAGCGCGAGATTCGGCGCCTTCTGCGAGTAAATGTGCAGCGTGTGACGCGCGAGCCGGGGCGCTGGTGTGACGATGCGCAGGCACGCGACACGCCGCGACGCGCCCTCGCGCGCCGCATGCGCAGCTGTGCGCCGCCAACGTCACCTCGCACGATCCCAACCAATACCACCTGTCCGTCGCGCGACTCGCATTCCGCAAGCGAGTTTTCGTGCCGACGGTCGCGGGACTTACCTTTTGCCCCATTTCAGCCGTCTCAGCCCACACAGCCCGGGTTTCGGGACGATCGGACCAGGCGCTGCAGACCACGACGATGCCCGCGTCGCAATGTGCCCGGCCAACTACCTCCTGGCGCCACTGGTTCGGCGTCACGCGCGCAATGCACCGTGCCGATCACTGGGCGCCTACGCCGCAGGCGTGGCGACCGCACCCGCTGGCTGCGATCTCCGGCCTAGTCTCTGGCCGGAGCCCCCGCGGGCCGAAGCACAAGCGCTCCCGGCCCGCAGCGGAAGCTGCTTCAAGCAGTGCTTGGCACACAGGGGGACTATGCCTGTATACACCCCCCCCCTGCCGGAACGATCATGGCTCCGGCGCCACCTCTGCCCGCGCCTGGCGGCAGCGGCCCCGCGCCGGGCAGCCCCGACGCCGTGCGCGCGCGAGGGCGACCCGCAGCTGGCTTTTCCCGAGCACGACTCACAGCCGATCGAGATTCCCCATCTACTGTTTGCTTCCCTCCTTGGCTCCTTGGCTCTCCCCCTTCGACGCGCCGTTCGCGCCGCCCTGCGCCGCGCCCCCGTCCTCGCCCCCGACCAGCCCCTCCCACGCCGACTGCACACTCCCCCGGTCCACAACCCCCTCCACGACCCCCCCCTCTCCCGCAACGCCCCCGGCGGTCTGCTGCGCCCTCTGCGCGTCCTGCGGGCCGCTCGGCCACACCCCCGGCCACGGCCCCATCGGCCCCGCGGCCACCGCGTACCCCCCAGGGTACGGCGCGTGCGGCCCCACGCTGTGCCCGTACGGGTGGTGGTGCGGCGGCGGGGGGCCCACGTACCCGAGGCCCGCCCACCCGAGCCGCACCGCCTCCGCGGCCCGCGCGGCGGCCAGCGCCTCCGCCTCGGCCTGTGCGCGGTCCTCCTCGCTCGCGGAGCCCCGCGGCGACGCGCCCGGCGACCCCGCCGCGCCGCTGTCCTCCACGCGCCAGTTCAGCGGCCGCCGCGCGTCCTCGTTGTCCATGACGATGAACTCCCGCGTCAGGAAGCGCGCGTTCGGCATGAAGAGCCTGCGCTTGCCCTTGCGGATGGTGGTGTACCGCAGATCGACGCCCTCGACGTTGCCGCGGAACCACGACGGCGGCGGCGCGGCGCCGTTGCTGCTGCCGCCGCCGCCGAGGAACGTGGCGCTGAGGGAGCCCGCGTTCGCGGTTGGCGTCGCGACGGGCACGGTGACCTCGTCGCCCAGCCGGAAGGGCTGCACGATGAAGAGGAAGAACCCCGCGACGCAGTTGATGATGATGTCCTTGCAGGCGAACCCCAGGACGACCCCGGCGGGCAGGAGCAGGCCGGAGACGTTGACCCCGAGCAGCGTGAGTACGACGAGGATCGACGCCACGAGCGCGACGGTCTCGGTCACCGTGGACAGCGCCGCCGCCAGCCGCATGTCGATCGCGCCCTGGCGCTGCAGGAGCGAGATCGTCGACTGCACGGCGGCGTGCAGGAACCAGAGCGACCAGAGGAACATCGCCATCAGGCCGGCCCGCGGCAGCACGACCTGCGCGTTGTTGACGATGCTCTTCGCCGCCAGCCCGGAGCCGAGCAGCAGCGGCGCGAGGATCGGCAGCGACACCTGCGTCGTGAGCAGAGAGATCTGTCCGATGATCAGCGCGGCCAGCGCCGGCACGCGCACCGACCAGTTCGCCAGCGTGATCCCGATGCGCGCGCGCTGCACCCGCGGGCGCGACCAGATCCACTGCAGCCGCGGCCAGAACCCCCGGACGCTCTCCCACTCGTCCTCCCACTGCCCCTCGGTCTCGCCCAGGACCTTGCCCAGCGCCCGCCGCGCCGCCCGCCGCGCCCGGTCGTTCGCCGCGCGCAGCGACGCCACCGCCTCCCCCGTCTGCTTCCCCGCTGCTTGCGTGGCGTCGTCACGGAGCTGCGCCAGGCGCTCCAGCGGCTCGGGGGGCGCTGCGGAGGCGCGCCGGGCCGTGCGCGCGTCCTCCGGGCTCCGGGGCGCGGCGTCCGCGCCGGAGGTGGCCGCGGGCGTCGCGGCGGTGGCGGGGGGGCGGCGGTGGCGCCGGGGTCGGGTTCGGCGCCGGCGGGTCCGCGCGTGCGGCGGCGGGCGAGGGAGAGCAGGGCGGTGAGGGGGACGGCGACCGCGGAGACGGCGGTGGCGCCTGCGACGCGGACCACGCCCGCGGCCTTGCCCGGGAGGTCGTAGCGCGGGCGCCAGTCCACGGCGTCCGTGTGGAGGCTGTAGTCGTCTGGGTCGAGCTCCTCGGCGGGGATGACGTAGTCGTCTTCGTCTTCGTAGAATGGGTCGTTCACGCGGGCGAAAAACACGCTGCGGAGCACGGGGGGAGGCGGAGAGCGTGGTGGGAGAATCAGTCGCGCTCGGGACCGTGCGGGGCCGAGGCGGTGATTCAGCACGCGGGACGCGTAGTGGACACGTGGGAGGTCGGTGCGGGGCGTCGCGACGCGCGGCGATCGAGGGAAAGCGGCTCGTGAGAGCCCGAGGGCTAGCTGAGCGTGGGAAGTGGCTTGCCTGCGTAGGACGGCGCGCAGTTCGTCGATCCGGGCGGTCGCGCGTGGCGCATCGGAACTGGAGGCGGAGTGGGCGGCGCCGGCGCGGCGCGTGCGGCGCAGATGGGCGTCGTTCGGGCGCCTGGAGTGAAGCCCGGGGCCGAGCGGGATCGGCTGCGTGCACCTGAGGTCTTTTCGCGGCATGGCGCCGGAAGGCCTGAGCCTCTCTGGGTCGACTGCGTTCGGGAAGATCGCGGGCCTGGCGCCGTGCCCCCCCGCAGGGGGCCTAGACACCCGCATTGATGGCAAAAGCAACAGCCCCCGCGTCCGCGCTTGAACGGCCGGATGTCTGCAATGCAACGCAGCTGTTCGGCACAGTCACGTCCTCCATTTCAGCAAGGAAACGCGCTCAAATCGTCGCGTCCAGCTGCGGCTGGAGGCGCTCCTCTCAGACCGGCGCTGTGCGAAAAAGCCTGGGCTATGGCGTGCGAGGCAGGGCCGGGCCACACGGCCAGTCGGATCGGCCCGGCGCGACGCAGGTCACCCGCTCGAGCGGCCGGACGCTCGCAAACGCAGCTCAGAGCCGCGCACGCACCTTGCGCCGGTGGCCACCTGGCACTGTGTTTCCACCCTCGCGAGCCAACAGCGCGAGGATTCCGGTGTTTGACGCTGTCAGACTCGTCACACTGACTTCTGTCCACGCTGGAGCGGGCCGGCGCCCCTCGTCGTGCCCACACCCTTCCGCTGCCGTCCGTCGGACGCAACATCGCCCCAAGGCCTCGCCCGACCCGCGCCCGTTGCGGCGTTTCCGCCCGCTCGGCGTAACGGCCCGCACCGCCCACGCGCCGAGACCGCGCTCAGCAAACCAAGGCACGTTCCCCGCCAGCAGCCGCCGGCCGCGCACGCAGCCCTCCAGCGACGTGCGTGCCTCCACCGTTAGCACAGCTCGCGCGGAGGAAGCACCCGAGCACAGCCACACGAGCACGCTGCCCCCCGCCCGGACCCGACCAGGCCGTCCGTCCCTCGCGCGCGTCCGCGTCACATCGGCCACGCCTCTCCCTGTGAGGCGCTCTCGCTGCCTCTGCGCCGCTGCGCGGCCTCCGCCTCCGCAATCACGTCGAGCCAGCCCTCGCCCTGCCCGAACTCCCCCGCCTGCTCCCTGCTCACCCAGCGCCCCTCGACGACGCCCCCGCCGCGGTGGTCCTCCCACCCGCGCGACAGAGCAACCACGTCGCCGATGATGAGCAGCGTGGGGGACTTCAGCTGCGCGTCCGCGACGCACGCGTGCAGCTCGCTGAGCGGCGCGAACACCGTGCGCTGCTCCGGGAGCGTGCCGCGCTCCACGGCCACCGCGGGGGTGTCCGGCCGCATGCCCGACTGCGTCAGGCGGTCGACGAGGCTCGGGAGGCTCCCGAGGCCCATGTACACCACGAGCGTCGTGTACGGGTCTGCACGGCGCGAGGGAACCAGTCGTCAGAATTCCACCAAACATCGACAAAAGCACATCTGCATGAGCCCGCACGTCCAACGGCGCTCCGCACTCACCCGCAGCGAGCGCCGTGGCCGCCTGGAGCTCCTCCTCCGCCCCCTCCCGCGAGTGCCCCGTCAGGTACCGCGCGCTGTACGCCACGCCCCTGTGCGTCATCGGAATACCCAGCTCTGCACAGATGCCCGAGGCGGCCGTGATGCCCGGCACGCACTGCACGTGCACGCCGCGCTCCTCCAGGTACCGCAGCTCCTCGCCCCCGCGGCCGAACACGTACGGGTCGCCGCCCTTGAGCCGCACGACGGTGCCGCCCTCCCCAGCAAACTGCAGCATCAGCGCGTGGATCTCGTCCTGCGTGCGCGAGTGGAAGCCCTTCTCCTTCCCCACGTACACCATCGTCGCGTCCTCGCCCACCTGCGGGAGCGGGGGAGGGCGGTGAGGGGAGTTTGGCACATACAACACACCAGTCGGGCTCTGCGCGGGGGGGGTGTTGGTGTTGTTGAGGCCAGTTCCCGGTGTGGGCTGGCGCGGCGGCAGGCGGTGTGTGCGTGGGCGCTGCGGAGCGCACCAGGTCGAGGATCTCGTCCGACACGAGGCGGTCGTACAGCACGACGTCTGCGCGCTGCATGAGCTGGACCGCGCGCAGCGTGAGGAGGCCGGGGTCGCCGGGGCCCGTGCCGACGAGGAACGCCGTGGCCGGTCCCTTGCTCCCTGCGAACGCGGGGCCCGGGCGCGCGCGGGGTCGGGCGCTGCGAGGGCGCGAGAAGTGAGTGTTGCGGGGCAGTGTGCCGCGCAACGCCAGCCGCGCGCGCCGCGAAGACGACGCCTCGCGGGAGGTACGAGGAGTGTGGTGGCGCGCGGCGGTGATATCGCGAAACGATGCGAGGCTGGCGCGCGGCGCCGGCTGTGCTGTCCGGGGCATCTCGCGCGCCCGTTTCCGCGCGCGACGGGCCTTCGACGGCCCTCGCGACGCGACACGTGATTCTTTCAGTCAGGCGCGACGCAGAGGGCCATGAATGCGGCCACGCGGGCCCCCGTGCGCCCCCCTAGCTCGATGACCCCTTGACGCGAGAGGCCCACCACCACGTGCTTTCCGCACCGCTTCTCCCGCAGGCCCATCCCGCACGGAAACGTCGCCGCTCGACAGCACAGATACAGTGCTCCAGAGACAGCGCGAGCCGAGGGCGCCAGCCAGCACAATTGCGCGTGCAGGGCCGCGCGCTGCCAACCGCCGTCCAGCGCCCTCCCGCGACGCGTCCCCCGCCACGGTGCCGGCGCGGGACCGCAGCCCGCGCCAAGAATGAGGCACAAGGACCCCAACTCGCGGCACGCCCGCCGCAGCAGACGCAGGGGCAGGCCGCGACGCCCACCTGCACCGTGCTCCTGGTTGCGCTCCCTCCACAGCGCCAGCGACTCGTCCAATCCCACCGTTTCCCCGTCCCAACGGTCCCTCTTCGCAGCAGGCCGCACAGCGCGCCGCGCAGGCGCCCGCACGCACCCGCAGCGGCCGTGCGCGGGCGCCCTGGGCTCCTGGCGGCGGCCGTGGGGGCGGGTCGAGGCCCCCGCGCGTGGCACCCAGGCCGCGTGGGACGCCATCCTACAGGTCCAAGGAGAGCTCTGTCGCAGTGGGCGCGGCTCAGGCCGCAGGAGACCGGTCCTGCGACGCCAGCAGCGCGCCGGCGGCAATTTCCTCAAAAGACCACGGTACCCTCACGGCGCGACAACGACGTCCCGAGGTGTTCAAGCGGGTCACTGTTGCGCCAGCGCGGTGCGTCTGAAGCTGGCCTGTGACGTAGTGCGCCCGGAGGGGAGCATCCGCGCCTGATCGCCCCGCGCAGGGCTCGGGTCCACCTCAGGGATACAACCCAGACTGGTGTGTTGTACCCTGACACGTCGCGGAGTGACAGCAGTCGCAGCGCGCGCAGGGGACCATGCCGAGGACGCGGCGACCGTGCGGGGGGGCGGAAGCGATTGCTTGTCACGCGTTGCTGCAACGGAACTGCAACATGATGGCATGTCACGCACACCCTCATTCGGGATACCAGCAACCTCAAGTGTGCAAGCCGAGAGGCGGCGACTTCGCGTGCCCGAGAAATCGCCGACCCACGAACGACGGCTCCTTTCGACGGCGTTCGAGGCCGAAGTGAGACATCCCTTAAGTGGAAAATAGAGAAGCAGTCTGTTGCTGAAATCCAAGATAGGTCTGAGGCAAGTCACGTCACAAGGGCGCCAGGGCAGGGGACGCCGGCGCGGCTGCTGCACTGACACAGCTCGGCCAGGCCCAGTTGACCCGCAATCGAGGATCCAGGTCTACCGCCACTCCTGAATGTCCATAGTCTCCTCGATCGTCTGCCGCGCGGTCCTGCGGTTCTGCCGCCGGAACCGCTTCGGTTCCAGGCGCACCTCCGCGCGCCCGCTGTTCCCGTCGCCCTTCCCGGCCTTGCGCTTGATCGTCCCCGCGCCCTCCCGCCGCCGCTTGCCCATCGACCGCCGCGCCTCCACCTCCTCCCGCTCCGCTACCTCCGCACGGATCGTCAAGTACACCTCCAGCCGCTCCGGGGACAGGTGCTCCTGCAGCGGCCAGAGATACCACGCAACAGGTAAAATAGCGATTCCCACCAGCACACAAACACCCGGGGCGTTGTCGCGCAGCTGCGTCCTTCGGCACCATCCGAGCCCCCGCACGCGCCTCTCCCTCCAGCGGCTGACGGCGGCGGCCGCGTTTCAGGCTCGACATCTCGCCTGGATGACGGCATCTTCCGCGCACGACGTCATCGGTTCGGGCGCATGTTGGGGGGTCCGCACCGCCACGACGCAGCCGGGCTCGCCGGAGTGCGTGCAGTCGCTGAACCGGCACGCTCCGTGCTCGTCGAACAGGTCCTGGATGTCCGGGAAGCACTCGTCGAGGTCGGCGAGGGCGACGTTGGCCATCGAGGGGATGTTGAAGCCGGGGGTGTCTGCCAGCAGTCCCCCCCCGGGCAGGTCGATGAGCGAGACGGTGCGCGTGGTGTGGCGCCCGCGGCCCGTCACGTCCGACACGCGGCCCGTCCGCAGCAGCTCGACCTCCACGCCGCCGTGTCGAAGCTCGTACCACTGCCGCCCGCCCCCCGCGACGCCCTCGACGAGGTCCTCGAGCTCCGCCTCCGTCAGGTCCTCCAACGACGCGCCGCCCCCGCCCAGCGCCACCCGCGCCTCCTTCCACTCCCCCTTTTTATACTCCTTCAACCCCTGAGTGTAACTCAACTCCCCACCCTCCTCCAGCTCGCCCCGCGGCCCCGCACCGCCCGCGTCCGCCCCGCCCCCGCCCTCCACACCCTCCTCCTCGTCCTCTCCGTCCCCGTCCCCGCCCCCGGCCGTCAGCGCAGCCAAACGCTCCTCCGCCGCCTCGCGCAGGCGGTCCGCTTCGTCCCGTGCAGCGTCGACGTCCACGCCGAGCGCCTTGAGCCGCAGCGCGTTGATCAGCGACGACTTGCCCACGCCCGACGGCCCCGCGATCACGCTCACGCGCCCACGCAGCCGCGCCATCACGGCGTCGAGGCCGAGGTTGCCGCGGACGCTGATGGCGAGCGGCTCGTAGCCCCAGGACTCGACGTGGCGCACGACGTCGCGGAGCTCGTCCGGCGGCAGGAGGTCGCACTTGTTCAGCACGACCGTCACGGGGAGCTTGGAGCCGTGCGCAGATGCCAGGAACCTGCGCGCCGCGGACGGTGGGGCGCGGGTGGGCGCACGGACACGCGCCTGCGAGCTGCGAGGACCTTGCAAGCACTGCGGCCCGTGCGCTGAGGGCCCCGGCGCCGCATCGAGCCCTGGGGTGACTGTGCGTGTGTGTGTGTGTGTGCGTGTGGTGGCGGGGCGTTGAATTAGGTACCCCGCGCTGCGGCGGGATGCGGTGCGGGGCGAGGCGGTTGGCCGGGCGCGCACTTCATGGCCTGGACGGGGTCGAGCGGCGGATTGTGCACCCCGAGCGCGATGACGATGTGGTCCACGTTGGCGACGAGGGGCTCCTCGACGACGCTGTCGCGGTCGCCGATGGACTGCACGACGCCGCGGCCATCGACCCAGTCGATGCTCTGCGCGGCATGGCGGTCGGGCGGGGCGGCGTGGGGGGGGGGTGATGGGTGGAGATGGGGGGGGTGTGTGTGTGGGTTGCCGGGGGTGTGCGGACCTCGACGTTGACGCGGTCGCCGACGATCGGGCGCTGGTTGCGTTTCCGGAGCAGGCCGCGGCACACGCAGAGGATCTCGCCACGTGGCGGTGCGTCGTCGCTCCATGGGGCGCCGTCGGGGCCGACCACGCCCTCCCAGGACGACACCTTGACGTGGACGAAGTTCGCGTTCTGGGAGACGACCTGCGGGCACGCGAGCGAGGCCGACGTCGCGACTCGCGGCGGCCCGAAACCCTCGCGGCAAGACCGGCAATGCTTTGCTTTTGTGCAACCGAGCACGCTCGCGCCAGGCGCGGGGGTCGGCGCGGCGCTGCACTCCGCGGGGAGACAAGTGGGTCTCGAGCCGCCCGTGAGGTGCCTGGAGCGGGCATGCCCGGGCGTCGCAGCGCAGGGGAAGAAGCATGGCGTGGATGCGGTGGTGTGGGGCGCCATTGTGCGGTCCGGCTGGCGCTGCGATGCGCGGCGCGCACCTGTCCTGTCACGCGGGAGTTCTGCAGGTTGATCTCCATCACTGCCGCCATCGGATGCGCCTCTGGGCGCTCGTCGTCAGCTCGGGGGACGTAGGCAGTGCCCGACGTCTCCTTCGCGCCCGCCCTGCGCACAACGGCAGCCCGCCGCTGCGCCCGCGCATGCACAGGGCAGCTCAACGGCGGAGGGTCGGCGCGCGGGGCAGCGGCGCGCGCCCGCAGGGCCCCACGGTGCGGAGGCCTGGGAAGCCCACAAGCACTCCGGGCCCCGAATTGATGCATCCCGGTCGTTCCAGCGGGAATCTGGCCCGCGTGCGTGCCGTGAAGCACGCACATTGTCCCTCGCGCGGACCAGCGACCGGGGAAAAGCGCCCCAGTCGCGGAATAGGCTTGTGCTGCAACACCCTGGTTGATATCAAGGCAGCGTCTTGCGAGGCGCCAGACTCCTCGTCCGAGCATGAGTGGCGCGTCGCACCTGCTCGCCCCCCGCGCGCCGCGCGCCCTCGTGCCCGGCCGCGCCTCGGCTGCGCTGCCGTGGGGCCCTTAGGGTGGACTTGGCTCAGGTCTCGCGGGCGGCTCCCGGGCTCCGGTGCCATGGCGGTCGCCGCCGGCCGCCCAGCGGCAGTCGTACGGGCGGATAGGGTTCAGAAACTGACGCTGTCACGCGCGGAACGGCATCTCCTGAGCTTTGGGTCGAGGTGAAGGTCGAGTGCAGCTGCTCCCGAGGCAGGTGCGCGGGGTGCGGCCGCTTGCGACGGCGCCGCGTGTCGGGGGCGAGCAGCTTGGCCACGAAACATTGAGCGCGCGGCCGGATCGGTCTCGGCCGGACCTGCAGGCGGTGTTGCTTGTGCTGCAGATCCCCACGCCGGCTACGCGCGGTCTGCCTGGTCGCCGCGCGACGTGGCGCGCTCGAGCTGGAAGGGCGGCTCACGTGCGCGCCACAGCCGCACGTTGTAGACTGAAACTCCTCCAGGTCGCGCGGTTCCTTGCAGGTTGCTTCTCCAGAAGTCCAGTGTGAAGCGCGTGGGCAGACATGGAGCACGTTAGCAGGAGCCTGCTCCAGTCGTCTTCGGAGCTCGCCGGCGATGCGACCGGTCCCTTCTTCGGCTTCATCGGCGCGGCCGCAGCGCTGGTAAGCGACCGCTCCGCTCGAGCCCCCTTCTGCTGCGACACTCCCGCAGCGCGCAACCCAGCGCACGAGCCGTCTCGCGATATCCTCTCTCGGGATCTTGGTCGCACGCGTGCGACTCCGCGGCGTGCGAGCACCGCCACGCCACTCTGCCAACCTCCAGTGCACCGCTCGCCCCTCACGCCCTTATTTCCGCGGCTCTCCGCCACCACGCCCCGCAGGTGTTCGCGTGCATGGGCGCCGCGTACGGCACGGCCAAGTCCGGCGTCGGAATCGCGTCGATGGGTGTCATGCGTCCAGAGCTGGTGATGAAGTCCATCCTCCCCGTCGTCCTGGCCGGTGTGCTGGGCATCTACGGCCTCATCATTGCAGTCATCATCTCCACCGGTACGCCGCGCCCGGCGCCGACCCCCTCCGCCCTGTCCCCGCCGCGCACCACGTCGTTCGCCCTACGCTCCCTCCAGCGCCCCCACGGCCTCACGAGCGCCGCGCCCGCGCCCTCGACGCCCCACAGGCATCACCCAGACCACCACGAAGGCGTACTACCTCTTCGACGGCTACGCGCACCTGGGCGCCGGCCTGGCGTGCGGGTTTGCCTGCCTCGCGGCGGGCATCGCCATCGGCGTCGTCGGCGACGCCGGCGTGCGCGCCAACGCCCAGCAGCCCAAGCTCTTCGTCGGCATGATCCTCATCCTCATTTTCGCCGAGGCCCTCGCCCTCTACGGCCTTATCGTGGGCATCATTCTGTCCTCCAAGGCAGGCACCGCCGCCGCCTGAGCCGCCGCGCGCTCACCGGCCGCAGGGGCTCCGGGGACCCGCAGCGCTCGTGGCCGGGGCTGTGCGGCGCCTGCGCCGCTCTGTGACACTCGGTAGGCTCTTTGACACTCTGCAGCATCATTAGTGCTGCATCGCTGCGGGTGGCGCGCCGGGCGGGCGCGGCGCGTTGCGGTGGCGGGCGGGGTCGCGGTGGGCGCGTGCTGGGGGATTTCGTGCGAGGATGCGCCGCGGGGGGGTATCTGGTGCGTCGTGACGGGCTGATTGGAGGCGGGGGGTTTGCAGCGTCAGTCAGCTTCGAATGGAGGGCGGGGGAGACCTCGGATGTCGCGTGCGAGAGGGGCGAGCGCTGTGCTGGTCGGACGAGGAGGGGGCCGTGCCGCGCGCCGTGACATGTCGGGGAGGGGGTGTGACGAAGTAGAAACAAGTATAAAGATGACAAGGGTGGTCGGCGGGCGAAGGAGTGCTGTCTGCTTCGCGGCCGGGCGCCACTTCGCCCAGAGCACGTGCAGCAGCTCGGAGGCCGCCCTCGGCGTCAGCACCCGGCAGCACCGTCCCTAGAAGTTGCAAGACGTGCAAGCTCGTCGTCGGGCGTGGCGCGATGGCGCGGGCGTTCGGCTACAGTCCAGTAGCTTGAGCTTGTAGCGACGCGTTCGGCGCGCTGCAGCGATGCGTCGTATCAATTCCAAGAAGCAGCGGAAGCGCGAGGCGCGGCAGGGGAAACGCCACCGCGGAAAAGCGAAGCAGCCGTGGGAGAACGAGGACGAGGACCCCGCGAACGTCGAGAACGTGAGTGAAGCAAGGCGTGCGGACGGCAACGCGGTGCTGTTAGAGCGGCGCAGCGCCTGCAGAGCTGTGCATCGCTGTGGCTGCTGCTTCAGCGTGGTCCGCTCCGGACGCAGTGTCGCCCGTTGTTCGACAATCATGACATACGTATCTGTCGTGCCAGGCGTGTTTGGGCGCGTTTGATCGCTTGACGTTGCGGCGCTGTGCCTCTCCATGATGCGAAGCACCGCCTCCTCTGTTCCCTCCGCAGCGCCCTCATCCCGCGACGTCCTTTTCATTTTGGTGTCTCAATCGCGCCAGCCGCAGATACATGAAGAGCCCGCGGCGAATGCCACGCGCGACGCCGGCGCCGCAGGCGGGGAGGAGCCGCAGACGGAGGAGCCCGCCGACGCCGAGGAAAAGCCGGCGCCGCAGCCCCGGTCCAAGTCGCAGCAGCGCAAGCTGCGCCAGGTCGAGGAGCGCAAGCGCAAGCGCGAGGAGCGCGAGATCGTCGTGGCCGACATCCAGCGCCACACCCTTGATGAGGCGCGTCATACACACGCACCTTTGTGCCATCGCCTAGTGCCGGCTCCGGCCCGTGACGGACCCACACGCGCGCGCACAACACGTCCCCGCCCCAGGCGAACCGCGCGCGACGGTGATGTCGGCCTTGCAGGACAAGTTGAAGCTGCTGCGGTCCGTTGGGGCGCGGAGTGCGAAGGAAACGAAGCGCGAACGTGCGCGCCGGGCGCTGCTGATGGAGCGCGCAGGTCTCCACGAGGAGGCCGAGCGGCTCGGGCTGTACCAGCGGCCGAAGCGGAGGCGGGCGGAGCCGTCGAGCGACGAGGGGGGCGGGAGTGGAGAGGATGACGCAGCACAACAACGCGACACTGGCAGCGAATCGGGTGGTTCTGAAGGGGGGCAGTCGGGCAGCGAGAGCGAGGACGGCGACGGCGTGCCGCCGACGGGGATCGGCGTGCTTGCGCCGAAGGCGGCCGACGCGGGCGCCAGCGAAAGCGGCGATGATATCGAGGACGATGGTGAGCCCGCGCTGGGCGCTGCGGCGCTGCGGAAGCGGCGGAAGGAGGCGACGCTGAAGGAGCTGGCGTCGGACGGGCTGTTGGACCGCACGGAGGGCGAAGAGGACGCGGCGGGGGTGTTTTCTGGAACACGCCTGGAGGACACCGGGGTGCCGGTGGACGACCCGATCCTGGCGTTGACGCGCAACGTCGGCGTGGAGCGGACGGAGGAAGTGCAGCGCGTGCGCGAGGGCCTGCCGATCGTCGCGATGGAGGCGGAGGTCGTCGACGCGATCCGCCGCCACGACGTCCTCATCTTGTGCGGGGAGACGGGCTGCGGGAAAACGACGCAGGTCCCGCAGTTCCTCCACGAGGCCGGCTTCGGCTGCGGAGACTTCCCCGAGCGCCGCGGGCGCATCGGCGTGACGCAGCCGCGGCGCGTGGCCGCCGTCAGCACCGCACAGCGCGTGGCAGAGGAGCTGGGCGGGCACGTCGGGGCGAGGAAGGGCGCGGTCGGGTACCAGATCCGGCACGACCGGCGGGTCTCGGAGGACACGTCGGTGAAGTTCATGACCGACGGGATCCTGCTCCGGGAGATACAGGACGACTTTCTGCTAGCTGCGTACAGCTGCGTGGTGGTGGACGAGGCGCACGAGCGCAGCCTGAACACGGACGTGCTGCTCGGGCTGCTGTCGCGAGTCGTGCGGCTGCGGCGGAGCAAGTGGGAGGCGACGCGCGATCTCGCGGAAGGGTGCGTACCTGACGCAACAACCCCCCCTCGCGCGCCGGCCGAGGCTGTGTTTGCCGAAGCGTTGCGTGTATGTGTCGCTGAATTGCTGGGCGTTACCGTGCGCGCCTCGCAGGAGCCCGGCGAAGGTGTATCCGCTGCGTTTGGTCATCATGTCGGCGACGCTGCGTGCGGAGGACTTCACCAGCAACCGGCGCATCTTCCGCACCCCGCCCCCGATCCTCCACGTCCCCGCGCGGCAGTTCCCCGTCACCGTGCACTTCAGCCGCCGCACTGAGCTGCACGACTACGCCAGCGCGGCGTTCCGCAAGGTTTGCCGCATCCACCGCGAGCTGCCGCACGGGGGCATCCTGGTGTTCCTGACGGGGCAGCGCGAGGTCGAGCTACTGTGCCGGCGGCTCAGGAAGGCCTTTCCGGCGCGAACGGGGCGGCCGGAGCCCGCCGAGCCTCACGGGAGCGACGCAGAAGACGAGGTGGCGGGTGAGCAGTTTGGCGCTGATGTGGGGGAGCGGGAGGGCGCGGGGGGCGTGGGCCGTGACGACGAGGTGGCCTTCGAGGGGGTGGACGACTTCGAGGTGGGCGAGGCGGACGAGGACGAGGAGGAGGTAGAAATATTGGGGGGGGGTGTGTTGGACGCGAAGGAGGTCGCGGAGGCCGAGGCGAGGATGGACGAGGCGATGGCGCGGCAGTTCCGCGGCGAAGGCGTCTTCAAGAACCTGCTCGGAGAGCGCGGCGCCGCGGACGAGGCGGCGGCCGCGGGCGGCGGCGACGATGTCGGGTACGGCGCGGGGGCGTCTGCGTGGACCGCGGCGGGGTGGCTCGCGGACGAGGCAGCCAAGGGCTTCACCGGGCAGCTGAACGCGCAGGCCGGCACCGAGGTCGACGGCGCGGGCGGCGATGACGATGCGGGCGGGCACGGGCACTTGCACGTGCTGCCCCTCTACGCCATGCTGCCGCAGCGGCGCCAGGCGGCGTGCTTCGAGCCGCCGCCGCCAGGGTCCCGGCTCGTCGTCGTCGCGACGAACGTCGCGGAGACGTCGCTGACCATTCCGGGCATCCGCTACGTGGTGGACGCGGGGCGCAGCAAGCAGAAGCTGCTGGAGCGCAGCGCGGGCCTGGCGCGGTACGACGTGCGGTGGGTCTCGAAAGCATCGGCGCAGCAGCGCGCAGGGCGGGCCGGGCGGACGGGCCCGGGGCACTGCTACCGGTTGTACTCGAGTGCACACTTTGCCGACACGTTCCCGGAGCACACGCCGCCGGAGATCGCGAACACTCCGCTCGAAGGCGTCGTCCTGATGCTCAAGGTGCGGCGCAGCCGCGCGAGCGCGTCCCCGATGTTTCACGATTGATCCACCAAGACAGAATCTTTTCCGCGACTGCTTGCAAGAGCTCATGCCTTGGGTGACGCGCCCGCCTCCGCCCGCGTCCCCGCAGTCGATGGGCGTGGAGAACGTCGCGAACTTTCCGTTCCCGACGCCCCCAGACGCCGACGCGCTCGGTGCGGCTGAGGCGTGCCTTCGAGCGCTCTCCGCCATTGACGCGCGCCGTGGAACGCTCACCGCGCTCGGAAAAGCGATGTCCGCGTTCCCCATCAGCCCGCGGCACTCCCGCATGCTCCTCGAGGCCGCGTCCGCGCGCACGGAGAGCGTGGACGCGCCCGGGACGCGCAGCACCGGCGCGGGCGAGGCGGTAGGGTTCATGTCTGCTGACAACGCTGCGGAGGTGCTTCCATTCGCGGTCATGCTGGCGGCGGGCCTCAGCGTGGACACGCCCTTCCTGCACGTCGACAGCATCCGCGCCGAGGACGACGACGCGTCGAGCGGCGACGAGGGCGACGCGAGCGGAGAGCATGCTCGACGGAAGAAGGGGGTGTCCGCAGCGACCAAGGCGAAGCGTGCGCGGGCGCGCGAGGCGCAGGCAGCGTTCCGCTGTGGCAACAGCGACGCGCTGTCGGTGCTGCGGGCGCTGTGCGCGTACGAGCTGGGCGGGGAGTCGGACAGATGGTGCAAGGAGCATTTCATGCACGGACGCAACCTGCGGGAGGCCGCCGCGCTGCACCGGCAGCTCGCGCGCTCCCTCACGGCCAGTGGAGGCTTCGTGCGGCGCGTGGGCGGGTCCGGCGCCGCCGCGCAGGCGTGGGCGGACGCTGCGCGGCGGGTGGCGGCAGCGGCGGCCTCGGCAACCGTCGCGGAGCCGCCGGCGGCGTGGGTCGAGGGCAGGCTGCGGCGGGCGATCGCGGCGGGGTGGGCGGACCGCACAGGGCGCCGCGTGCGCACCGCGGAGTACCTTGCGCGCATGCAGGATGCGGCCGCGGAGGCGGCGGGGAGGCTCAAGGCGGTGCGGTACGACTCGTGTGCGATGGGGGCGGAGGAGCACGTGTACTTGCACCCGAACTCGGTGCTGGCGCGACGGCCGCCGGCGTACGCGGTGTGTTTGGAGCTCGTGCGGGGCCCGAAGCGGGTGTACATGGGGGGGGTGACGGCGATCGAGCCCGAGTGGCTCCCGGCGGCAGCTCCGGCGCTGTGTCGCGTCTCGAAGCCGCTCGAGGACCCGGTCCCGTTCTACAGCCCCGAAAGGTGCGCAAGCGCGGACCCCTCGCGCCGAGTGGCCGTCACTTACAACTAGGTTGCTTCTCACATTGGAGTTGCTTATTCATCCATGCTTCCGATGGTTTTCGATTGGTTCGCCCCCCAATCCACTCCCCCTGCCTCTGCACCCTCAGTACGGCTGCAGATCGCGAAACGCCGCGACGCTTGCGACGATTGCAGGGACGAGGTGCTGGCGTGGCACGATGTCGAGTTCGGTCCGCACAACTGGCAGCTCCCGCGGCACCCCGCGCGCCACCCGAGCCAGGACGCACGCTGCGCGGCCTTCGCGGTCGCGCTGCTGTCCGGCAAGGTCACCGCGGCCTTCACGGCGCTCTCGGGCTCCTTGGTGGCCAAGCCTGACGTCATTCAGCGCCCGGAGATGCAGGGTCACGTCAGGGTGGGGGAGTTGGTCGCCCGGCTGACCGCCGCAAAGGTGGACTCGCGGCGCGCCCTCGCGGCGGCCTGGAGCAAGGCTCCGCAGTTCCTGTTGCGCGAGATTGCGCAGTGGGTGCCGAAATCGCACGCCAGCGTGTTGGAGGGGTTGTGGCCGGCGGCGACGGCGACGTGCATCCAGGAAGCCGCGGACGGAACGCGCCCTGGGAGCGCGCCGGGCGGCAAGTCCAAGGGCGCGAAGCGCGCGATGGAGGTGGCGTCGCGCGGCGCGGCGTCAGCGCTGCTGGGGAACAAGGCGGTGCGACGCATGGCGGCGGGGGCGCCGGCGGGGGGCAAGCCGGGCAAGGCGGGCGGGAGGTCGTTCAAGCTTTGAGGCGGTGGCGGGGCGCACACGCGTCGCTGCACGCAGGCGCTTCGGAGCTGTGACCATTTCGGTGTGTCTGAAACAGGCCAAGAATCAGGCTGCTGACAGCGAGACAGCGGTCGAGTGCCCGCTCGCATTTCAGCAAGCAAGGTGAGTCGCAGACGCCGGCGTCCCAGCACGTCCGCGCGAGCAGCTGGCAAGGATGCTCAGGGGTGAGTCGAGAGACCTGAGCGGCACCCCGGTCGAGATTCGCCGGGGCGCGCGGCTGCGACGAGGCGTTTCACACTGCGCGTCTCGCGGTGCCGGCCCCGGGCTTGCCACGCGCCCACGGCCTCCGCGCTGCGTTTCTTTGCACGCTGCTACAAGGCATGATGCAGGACCCTCGCGGCGGTCGAAGTAGAAGCGGGGACTTCCGCAGCGCGCTCGCCGCCAGAGGCCGCTCAGTCGAAGGTCGTCTTCTTGCCGGCGAACCCGCCGCCGCCGCGGCCGCCGAACCCGCCGCGCCCGCCGCCGCGCCCGCCGCGCCCGCCAAAGCCGCCCCGCGCCCGCCGCCGCGCCGCCGAACCCGCCGCCGCCGCGCCCGCCGAACCCGCCCCCGCGCCCGCCACGCCCGCCGCCGCGCCCGCCGAACCCGCCGCCGCGCCCGCCGCCCCCGCCGCGTCCGCCACCGCCCTGAGCGTCGGTGTCCACCGTCAGCCACCCGCCAGCAATCTCCTGGTCCTGCAGCTCCGCCGCCTTGTGCTTGTCCACGCCGTCCGCGAACTGCACGAACCCAAAGCCCTTCAGCTGCTCCGTCTCCCGGTCAAACGGCAGCCGCACCGACACCACGTCGCCGTACTTGCCAAACGCCTCCTGCAGCTGCTCCCGGACCGCATCCTCGCCCAGGTTGCGGTCGAAGCCCTTCACGAACACCTGGTTCTGGTCCCCGTACGACGGCCGCTCGCGCGGCGTCCCGCCCTCGGCCCGCGGCGTGCGCTCCCCGCGCGGCGCCGCCACCTCGCAAAAGATCTCGCGGCCGCCCATGTCGCTGCCGTTGAGCTGCTCCGCGGCCGCCGCGGCCTCCTCGGGCGTCCCGAAGTCCACGTGCGCGAACCCGCGCGCGCGCCCGGTGTCGCGGTCCGTCGCGATGCGCACCCCGACGACCTCGCCGCCGGCGCTGTTCATCAGCTCGGCCAGCTCGTCCTCCGTGGCCGACCACGGGAGGTTGCGCACGAAGACCGTGACGCTCTCGCTCCCGCCCGTCGCCTGCTTCTTCGCCGCCGGGGTCGCGGCGGCGTCCTCGCGCGCGCGCTTCTTGCTGGCGGGCTTCTCCTCCTCGCTCTCGCTGTCGCTGCTCGAGCTGTCGCTGTCCTCGCTGCTGCTCGAGCTCGAGCTGCTCGAGGAGCTGTCGTCCGACGCGGCCTTCTTCGCCGCCGGCTTAGCGTCGTCGTCGTCGCTGTCGCTGTCGCTCGACCCAGAGTCGTCCGAGCTGCTCGCCGGCGCCGCCTTGGCCTTGGCCTTGGCCTTGGCCTTGCCGTTCACGGCCGGCTTCGCGTCGCTGTCGCTGTCGCTCGACGAGCTGTCGCTGTCGCTCGACCCGGAGTCGTCCGAAGAGCTCGCGGGGGCCGCCGCAGCCGCCGCGGGCTTGCCCTTGGCCCCCGAGTCGTCGCTCGAGCTGCTGTCCGACTCGCTGGAGCTCGAGGACGCCCCCGACTTCGAGCTGCTGTCGCTGTCCGAGCTGCTCGAGTCTGCGGAGATACGCACACGTACCGCGGAAGGTCGGTGGGCGAACTGCGGGGCGGCCAAGGGCGCTCCGGGCGGCGCGGCGGCGGTTTCGCGGCGGTACAGGTCTGGGGGGCGCGGGGAGGCGGCGGGCCGGCGGCGTGCCGCGCGGGGGGCGCGGCGCGGGGCGCGACGGCTGGGGTCGGCCAGTGCATCCGGCGGGGGAATGAGGGCGCTGGCGCGGCGCGGGGGGGAGTTCTCGGACGGTTCGCGCGCGCTGGGCCTGGCCCGCGGTCTAGGGCGGGCGCTGGCGGGGAATGCGGGGCGAAGTGCCCTAGTTCTGCGGCGTCGCGCGCAAAGCTGCTGGGGCGGCGGGGCAGAGGCGGTAGGGCATGGCCCGGCGGCGGGGCGCGGGGGGCTTCAGGAGCGATTATCGAGGGCGACGCGGACGGAGGCTGCGGGATTCTTCCCTTCGCGGGGGGCGAGATCGCCTGTGGCGCGCGAACAGCGCGGCCGCCAAGTGGGCAGCCGGCGCACAGGGGGCTGGCGCGGTGGGGGTCACTTGCGCGTCGAAACGCGGGGGAGACGGGGCGTGCGGGGTATTCAGTGGCCCGTCGACGGGGCGAGCGCGGGGGGACGCACCGGAGGCGGCGGGGGCGGCGGCGTTGCCATTGAGCTTGGGAGCCTCCTCGCTCGAGGACGTGTCCTGCGGTCGCGGAGGGGGAGGTTCGGCGGCGCGTCGCATGAGCGGGCGTCGCGTAATTCACCGAGGAGGTCGCGCGGGCCGGACAGCGATTCCCGCGGCGGGGGCGGAGCTTTGGCTGCGGGGACCGAGGCTCCCGTCGCGCGTCGCGCGGCGCTCGCGGGCTTGCGGGGGTGGACGGCGCGCGGGAACGCGGCGTCAGAACTCGCTCGTCGTGGTAGGCGCGATCTCGCGCGGGACGTACCTCGGAGCTCTCCGGCTCGACCTTTTTCTTTGCAGCCTTCTTGCTGGGCGGAGCCGCAGCTTTCTTCTTGGACTTGGTCGCTGTCTTCGCCATCTCTGCTTCTCTCAAGTCGCCCCGCAGCGGTAGAGTGCCGCGGCGCGCCCCCACGGCGCCCCCACGAGCCCGCACGGGCCGCCCGACGGAGCACCTGACCACAGATGTTGGCGCGCGCGTCCGGCGTCACCGCGCGCCCCCGTTGCGGGCGGGCGGCGCCGCACCCCCGCACTTCCTCCACCGCACGGACCGGGACCTTCCCCCTCGTCTCTCCCGCGCCAGGCTCCAGCCAGGAGCTTCAGAGGACCTTCCAGTCCTTGAACAGGGTCTTCCGTTCGCTCGAAGGAGCGCGAGACGGCAGTGCAAGATGGCTGACCAACTCGGTGATGAGCAGGTGGCCGAGTTCAAGGAGGCGTTCGCCCTCTTCGACAAGGACGGGGATGGTGCGCTCCTGAGGAGGTTGCATGCAACTGCCCTTGCACCGCGCGCGGCCGCGACGGGGCCCGGCGGGGCCCGCCGCGCGCGTCGAGGAGCGTGATCTTTTCTCCGCCGCCGCCCGGCCGCGCGAGATCCCCCGGGCCGAGCGTTTTCGCGCCCGAAATTGCCCGCAGGCACCATCACTACCAAGGAGCTCGGCGTCGTGATGCGCTCCCTGGGCCAGAACCCCACGGAGGCCGAGCTCCAGGATATGGTGAACGAAGTCGACGTCGACGGCAACGGGACCATCGACTTCCCAGAGTTCCTGAACCTCATGGCCAAGAAGATGAAGGTGCGACGCCGGATAGCCCGCGCCCGGCGCCTCGCTCCGCACTCCTCGAATGCTTGCGCCTCCTGCTCGCGGCGACGCGGTGCATTCCCCCCCCACGGGCCGCGCACGTCGGTCCCGGTCGGGAGTTGGGGGGCGCGGAAACTGCGACCAGCCGCCTGGGGCGCCGCAGGCCCCTCCGCCGACCGCGCCCCCGCGGTTTCTCCAGCAATTTTGCCGGACTTCCCGCTCCGAGCGCCCGCGCCGCCCGGCACCCACCCGCTCGCCCGCCCCGTGCCCTTTTCAGGACACGGACTCGGAGGAGGAGCTCCGGGAGGCGTTCAAGGTGTTCGACAAGGACGGCAACGGTTTCATCTCCGCGGCAGAGCTGCGGCACGTCATGACCAACCTCGGCGAGAAGCTCACTGACGACGAGGTCGACGAGATGATCAGGTGCGCACATGCACCCGCCCGCCTCGCGCGCGCCCCGGGCCGCTCCGGCCCCGTGCGGCGCCCCCCCCGCGCGCGACAGGACAGCAGAGCGCGCGAACGCCGGCGCAGGCGCGCCCTGTGCGTCCGAGGCGCCCGGCGTGCGGTCGGCATGGCTAACTGTGCGGCCCCCCGCATTGCGGTCGCAGGGAGGCTGACGTGGACGGCGACGGCCAGGTCAACTACACGGAGTTCGTCAAGATGATGACCAACGGCGGCGACAAGAAGTGAGCCGGCCCCGCGACGTGGGGGCGCGTGCGAGGCAGGGAGGGAGCGCGGCAGTGCAGCCGCCCCCCGGGCAGACGGCGCCGGCCCCGCGGCTCTCGGAAACCTCCGCAGGCGCCCGGGAACGCGGGGCGGGCGCCGCGCGCACGCCAGCCGTCTTTGAACCCACTGCGCTCTCGTCGACTGTGAGGGAGCGCGCACTCGCCTCGGTCACACGTGACTCCCTCGCTTCGCCCCGCCACGCGCGCGCGCACCTCCACTCACACTGCGAGTCTCGTCCGCTGTGCTCGGACCCGGCCGACACCCTGTTGTTGCGCGTCGCGAGTCTTCAAAACTCGACTCCGGGTCGAACTGGTGCGCGCCGGGCGCCCGCAGCGCGCCGCGCGCGCCGTCAGCGCGCCTGCCGCATCTCGATCACCATCGCGTGCACGCCGCGCGGGCCCGCGGCGAGCGTCACCTCCCCGGACGGCACATCTCTCCCCCGCACCAGCTGCATTGCGTCGCGCTCGCCCATCGTCGCCACCTCCTCCGCCTCGCCCGCGCCCGACCGCAGCTCCGCGCTCCCCTCGATCGCCACCACGTACGCCTGCCGCGCCGGCGCGAGCGAGAAGCGCAGCTTGGCCCCAGGGTCGCTCTCCGTGACGAAGACGTTTACGTCCTGGTGCAGCCGAATCAGCCTGCGCGAGCCGAGCAAGCGGGCGCGACGTGAGCAGCTCGTGCCGGTGCAGCGCGGGGCGGAGTTGGGACGGGAGGGGAGTCGGGGTGCTGCGCACTTGTCTCCGGGGGAGTTTTGCTGCCAGTCGGGCGGCGCGGTGGTCCCGCCGAGGATCTGCAGCCAGCGGTTGTGCCGCTCCGAGCGCTCGAACTCCGTGGAGCCGTACTTGGGCGTGTGGCCCCGCTTGTCCGGCATCAGCCACACCTGCACCCGTCACCACAAACCACGTATCAAATCAGCACTCACGGCGCATTTCACACTCACAACGGAGCCACCACGCAGCGCAACCACGAGCGATCGCTGCCGCGCAACCTGCCGCGCGTGGCGCGTCGTGACGGCAGCGCAGCACGTGCCTGCAGGAAGCGCAGCGTGCTGTCGCCGTGGTTGTACTCGCTGTGGCGGACGCCGGTCCCGGCGCTCATGTACTGCACGCAGCCGCGCCGCACCGCCTCCCCGTTGCCCATCGAGTCCTTGTGGCTCAGCTCGCCGTCCACGACGTAGCTGAAGATCTCCGCGTCGCGGTGGGGGTGTGTAGGGAACCCCCCCCCGGCCTTGACGAGGTCGTCGTTCACGACGCGCAGCGCGCCGAAGTTCGTGTTGCGCACGTCGTGGTACTCGGCGAAGCTGAAGTGAAACCGGCTCTCCAGCCACCATGTGGGGGTTGACACGTATAGCTGCTCTGCAACGCACACACGCACGCGGAGCGACAGGCTCGTTCGCTGGGCACAGCCTCGGAGGTGCTGGACGTCGAGCAGGGGGGTCGACGGGCGCGATGAAATGACGGCGGGGCCGCACCTGAAACCTTGTGGGCCAGGTGGGGGCCCTTCACGGCCTGTCCTGCCATTTTGCGCGACGGGGCCTTGCGCGGTGGGGTGTCCGGGATGTTGTTCGCGGTCGCCTTCGTCGACGGGGCGTGTGCTGCGCTGACGGACCCAGACTGGCCCATTACCTCACCGCTCGGCTCGCCCACGCCCGGGTCCAGAAACGCCTTCGCTATGTCTGACGAGAGCCCCGCGCCGCCGGCACCGGCAGGCAGGAGAGCTCCAAGCAGTACTGCCGCGACGCAGCACGCAGCGATCCCCAGGTACGACCACAGACGCAGCCAGCTCGCCGCCTCGCTTGTCCCCGGAGCACGCAGCTTCCTGTCCATCAATCCGTCCGCGAAGACCGCACAGCACGCACAGACTGCCTCCGCGTGCAGCGCGCCCGGCGCATTGAGACGACACGGCCGCACGCCGCGCGCGGGCCCGCCTGCACCCCCCCACTGACACGGCGCCGGACCCAGGCACGCGCGGGGAGCTCCGCGGAGCTCCTCGTGGGGCGAGGCGCGCGTGCGGGCCCGACAGCAGCGACAGCCGCGCGCGCAGAGGAGAGGACGGCGCCGCAGCACGGAGCGCTGGACCGCGCTGTTCGTGTGTTGCATTTCGCGTCGCACCGGGGAGCGGGAGGGGGCAGGAGGCCGCGCACGTCCGCTCTTTTCTTGCCCCGCGGCGGGCACGCAGCGTCCAGGGCTGCGAGATGGTGAACCCGGACCCGCAGGTGCGGGCGCCGCAGCGGGTGTTCGTGGACGAGGTCGGGGAGGCCGTGCGGGACAACTTCCTGGGCTTTCTGCGGAATTTCCGCGCCGAGGAGGACGAACACGGCCAGGTGCGCACGCTACCGGATGGGACCTCGCCGGGCGCGCGCCGCGCGGGCGGGGCGGGCGGGCCTGCGGCGGAACGGCGACGGCCCGCCAAAGTGGTCAGCGGGCGCAGCACGCGGCGGAAACGCGCACGCACGGCCGCGAACGGGCGCTGACGGTGCCCGAGATTGAACTTGGGGCTCCGTGGAGCTTCGTTCGCGGCTGCCGCGCCGCCGTGGGGCCCGGGGCGCCGTTGGCGCGCACCTGAGGCTGTGCCGACGCTCAGCTCGCCACGAGAGCCTTGGTGGCGCGTCCTGCTCCGTGATTTCGCGCGTCCGACCTCTCACAGCGGCAGACATCGACGCGGGGACAGCCGGATCCGCGCGGTCGCGCTGCCGGGAGCGCGGGAGCGCGGAGCTAGCATTAGGTTCGACCAGGCAACCTCTCGCGGCTTCCAGGGCCACGCGGGCGGGTCACTGAGCCCCCCGGCCCTGGCTGTCTTCCCGCAGGATGTCATGGACGCCCAGGAGCCCCTGTACGCGGTGCGGCTGATCGAAATGCTCGAGAGTGAGCGCACGACGCTGGCGGTGGACTTCGCGCACGTCCTGGCGCACTCCGCCGTCCTCGCCGAGGCGATCAGCACGCACTTCTACCGCCTGGAGCCCTACCTCAGGTCCGCCCTGCCCTCCCGGCCTCGCACGACGCGCTGCGTGCCACCTCGACACAGCCCCGGGCACCAAGGACGCCTGCTCGCCCCCGCCGCTCGCAGGGAGACCGTCCTCGAGCTGTGCGAGCAGCTCCGGCCGGACCAGGCGTCCGACGACCACGGCCCGAAGATGTTCTTCGTCTCGTTCTTCAACATGGAGGCCACTCTCCGCCTGCGTCAGCTCCAGGCCGAAAAGGTGCGCGGGGGGGAGTCGGGGGTGTTTTGACGCCGGCCCCACAGCGAGCCCGCGAGACACGCCGGCCGCGCGCTCGGTCCGCCGCGGAGCACCCCAGCCACGTCGCAACGCCCGACACCCCCGTCTGCGGTGCACGTGCTCGCGTGTGTGCAGGTGGGCAAGCTGGTGGCGTTCTCCGGGACGATCACGCGGACGTCCGAGGTGAAGCCGGAGCTGTTCCTCGCGTCGTTCAAGTGCGCGCAGTGCGGGCAGCTCGTCCGCGGCGTCCAGCAGCAGTTCAAGTACACCACGCCGACCGTGTGCCCTGGCGCGGCGTGCGGGAACCGCCGCGACTGGACGCTGCACCGCGAGGAGTGCCGCTTCGTGGACTGGCAGAAGCTCAAGGTGCAGGAGAACTCCTCCGAGGCTCCCCCCGGGTCGCTGCCGCGCACGCTGGAGGTGGTGGTGCGCAACGAGCTGGTCGAGACGGCGCGCGCGGGCGACCGCGTGACCTTCACGGGCACGCTCATCGCGGTGCCGGACATCAGCGTGATCACGGCGCCGGGCGAGCGCGTCGTCGCGACGCAGAACGCGGCGCGCGGCGCTGGCGGCGGGGGGATGGGCGCGGGCGAGGGCGTGACCGGGCTCAAGTCGCTCGGGGCGCGGGAGCTGACGTACAAGCTGTGCTTCCTCGCGACGGGGATCGAGCACGCGGGCGCGGGCGGCCTCGGCGGCGGCCCCGGGCTGGCCGACGTCCTGGGCGCCGCGGGGGCGTGGGGCGCGCAGGACGACGAGGGGCGCAGCGAGGAGGAGGAGCTGCGGGACTCGTTCACGCCGGAGGAGCGCGCGGAGATCGACGGCATGATGATGGACCCCGGCATCGTCAACAAGCTCACCGGCTCGATCGCGCCGGGGGTGTTTGGGCACAGCGCGGTCAAGCAGGCCATCCTGCTGATGCTCCTGGGCGGCGTGCACAAGGAGACGGCCGAGGGGATCAAGCTCCGCGGCGACATCAACGTCCTGATCGTCGGCGACCCGTCCTGTGCCAAGTCGCAAATGCTGAAATATGTTTCCTCGTTTCTCCCGCGCGCGGTGTACACCTCGGGCAAGTCGTCGTCCGCGGCGGGCCTGACCGCGACGGTCGTGCGCGACAACGACTCCGGGGACTTCTGCATCGAGGCCGGCGCGCTCATGCTGTCCGACAACGGCATCTGTTGCATCGACGAGTTCGACAAGATGGACGAGAAGGACCAGGTGGCGATCCACGAGGCCATGGAGCAGCAGACGATCTCCATCGCCAAGGCGGGCATCCAGGCGACGCTGAACGCGCGCACCTCGATCCTCGCCGCGGCGAACCCGCGCGGGGGGCGGTATGACAAGTCACAGCCCCTGAAGAAGAACATCAACCTCCCCCCCGCGATCATGAGCCGGTTCGACCTCGTGCACGTCATGATCGACGAGCCCGACCCCGCCGCGGACACGGCGATCGCGGAGCACATCGTCGGCGTCCACCAGAACCGATCCGACGCGTTCTCCGTCCCGTACACCACCGAGCAGCTGCAGCGGTACATCAAGTACGTCAAGACGATCCGGCCGCAGCTGACGCCGCAGGCGATGCGCGTCGTGGAGAACGTGTACGTCGAGATGCGCGCGCGCGACGCCACGCCCGGCCAGTCGTCGTCCTACAAGGTGACCGTGCGGCAGCTGGAGGCCGTCATCCGCATCTCGGAGGCGCTCGCACGCGCGTCGGGGCGCACGGACGTGACCGTGCAGCACGTGCGCGAGGCGCAGGCGCTCCTGCAGCGGTCGATCGTGACGGTGGAGTCGCGCGACGTTGAGCTGATGGATGAGGCGGGCATGGGGGATCTGGACGAGGCGGCGCTCGCGGAGCTGCTCGGGGAGGAGGCGGACTGGCTGCGGGAGCAGGAGGACCGGCGGGTCGCGGAGGAGGCGGCCGCGAGGGAGGAGGAGGAGGCGGCTGCGGCGACCGAGGTGCGCAGCGCCCCCTTTGTTCGTGCGTTTGCGCTCGCTGCGAAGGCTCTCGCTGTCATGGCGGGCAAAGAGCCTGCCCACGTCGCTGCACGTCGCTCCGCACGCGGCCTGCCCGCTCCGTTCACGACGCTTCCCCGCGCCGCGTCGGCAGCGCGACCGCCGCGCCCCCCGTGCGCCGTCCGTGCAGGGCCAGGCGCCGACGATGAGCTCCGCGGCCGCCCCGGGCGCCGGCACCACTGTCCGCGTCGCCGGCAACAAGGCGCGCTACATCAAGGAGCAACTCCTGCTTGAGATCCTGCGGCGGCAACAGGAGGCCGCCAAGGCCGAGACGCAGCCCACGCAGGCGATGGACGTCGACGGTGCGCCCGCGCCGCACGCGGAGGCGGCGACGGGCCACGTCGCGCAGGGGGTGCTCGCGGAGTGGTATCTCCGGGGGGAGTTGGAGCGCCGGGCGATCAACAGCCGCCAGGAGCTCGGCGCGGAGATCCAGGCGGTGCGTGCGGTCATCAAGAACATGGTCGAGCAGACCGGCGAGCTCGTCGTCGTGGCGCAGCCGGAGTTCGACCCCGAGGCGGACGAGGACGAGGGCGCGTACCAGAGGCGCATGCTGGCGGAGCGCGTGCTGGCGCTGGGGCCGAATTTCTCGACGGACTTCGACGCGGATGTCGCGGACGCGATGGATGCGGGCGGGAACGCGCAGGGCGGGGACGGCGGCGCAGGGGGCGCGGCGGGCGATGAGCCGGCGTCGCCGTCGCGGTGAGCGGCGCTCGGTGCGGGGGGGCTGCGGGGCGCTGGAGAGTGTGACGTACTGGTGGTCGAGTGTCGGCAGGGCGGCGAGGGCTCTCGCGGCGAGGAGGCTCCGTGCAAGAGGGGTGATTCAGTGTGCGCGTGTGTTGACGTTCTCGGGCGAAGAACATGATCTGCTCGGCTTCGCAGCGCGCGACCAGGCAACGAAAAGGCAACGCAAACGTGCCGCCGTCGCTGTCGTCTAAGGCACCGACGAGAGCGGCGGCGCGTCGACCGCCACAACGCCCACCCACAGCTCACCGGCGTCGCCCCACACATCGTGCCACTCCGCAACCCACGCCGGTGGCATCGCGACACGTGGAGCGCACATACAACGCACGGAGCTGCAACAGCCCGCGAGGTCGCCCCGCGGGCGCACGAGGCGTGGCGCGTTGCTGCGCTGCACGCGCATGTTGCGAGCCGTCGATAGTGGATGGTTACAGGGCGCGCGCGGCTCACTCGGCGGCGGTGTCCTTCGCGACCACGACCTGGAACGCGGCGGTGACTTCTGGGTGCAGCTTGATCGTGATGTCGTACGTGCCGAGCGAGCTGATGGCCGGGACCGACATGCCGCGCTTGTCCAGCTGCTGCGACGTCTGGTTGTACACCGTCTCGCAGATCTCCTCCGCCGTCACGGTCCCGAAAATCTTCTCGCCCTCGCCCACCTTCTTCTTAATCGTGAACTTGCCGATCGTCTTGAGCGCCGTCGCCAGCTTCTGGGCCACCTTCTTCTCCTCGGCCCGCTGCTTGGCAATCTGCTCCGCCTCAGCCCGCACCTGCTCCAGAATCTCCGGCGTCGCGATCTCGGCCTTGCCCGTCGGCAGCAGGTGGTTGCGCATGAACCCGTTGAGCACCGTCACCAGCTCACCAGCCTGGCCCAGCCCTGCGTCGGCGCGGGGGGGAGTGCGGGAGGTTGCGGGTGGGACTGCGCGTACGCAGCCGTGAGAGCGCGTGCGAGGCCGGGGGTGCGCGTGCGGGGCCGCCGCGGCGCCTGGAGCGGTGGCGTTGTGTTGGTGGCCGGGGACGGGTGAGTGGGCACGACAGTCGGCGTGGGCGTGCTGTGTGCGCGCGGAACGGCTCAGGGGCGGCTCGAGGCGGAGGGTTGGCTGCTGCGCCGGTGCATTGGCACTCATCGTGATCGACGCGCACGCCGCCGGGCGCTGAGGCGAGATGGAGAGGCAACGCCCGGCAGCTGGCGCCCGGGAGGGGTCGGTGCGGACGATGCGCGCGCTCGACGCGCGAGAAATATGTGGCCGGCTCAATGTCTCGCGGGCAACGGGGGTCGCGGGCCCCTGAAACGCGAGCGCGACGAGGACCGACCAGGCGACTTTGCCCCGCTGTAGGCGCCCGCACAGGCCGCGATGGCGCAAGTGACGGCTACTCGGGAGCATTGACACTTGATATCGTCGCTCTGAGGCGGTTCGTTGATCGTGTGAGCGCGTGTGTCGCGGCAAGCAGATGGATGAACGCGGAAGGGGTGCTCGTTCGAGCGCGGCGACGCACCAGGGATGGTCTCCCGCAGGACGACCTGCTGCTTCTTCGGCACCCTCTTCGCCGCCATCACCTTGACCGACGTGCGCTGGCACACGGCCGACGTCTTCCCCGCAGCCACCCTCATGCCGGCGAAAGTGCTGCCGCTGATCATCTTGACGCCGCTGCCTCCTGAAGAAAGGATACCCAAGCGATCTCCAAGCGATCAAGAGTGCCCGGGCGCGCCGCCGTCGCCGCCTGATGCTTCCCCGCGCCGCACCGCACCCCCCGCACCAACCCTGTCTGTCCGACCGCACGCGCGCACCTCGGCCGCCGCCCGCCGTCACCGCAGCGCCACGATCTGCCGCGCCCAGCACGCTCGCCCGGCCGCCGCAACGCGCACGCCGCGGCAACACACCGCCAAGCATCTGCATGCAAGGCCAGCCAGCATTCTCGGAGCGTGTCACCCCCGCTGCCATCGCGGAGCGCCCGCAACCGCCCAGGCACGCGCGCACGCGCAGTGCCCAGCACCGCGGCGAGCATCGGACACCGTCAAACCGGCGCAGGCCGCCGCAACACACAACTGAGTGTTCACAGACTGCAGAGACACACGGGGGCCAACGCTCCCCCGCACCGCCCCGGCGCGCGCTCCGGGACCCCACCGATCGACCCCGCCACCCATCGCCGCCCCCGAGCGCGCCCGGGCCGCACCCCCCCCCCGGCGCACGTCGCCACCTCAGACGTAAAAGTCCGTCTGGCGCGACTGCGCGCCCACCTCCTTGAGCCGCTTCATGATCTTGTTGAAGTACTGGCCGAGGTAGTCCTCGAGCGTCGTGATCGACGCCGGGTCGATGTCCAGCATCTTGTACGTCTCATCCATCTGCGCACTCAGGTCGGCCTCGTCCTGGAGCACGTCCGCGAACGCCAGCCGGTCCGCGGCGTCCGTGGCCCACTGGAACTTGCTGAGGAGCGCGCGCGTGAACTTGAGGACGCCGAGCGGGACCTTGGTGACCTGCGCCTCCGAGTCGGACAGCTCCTCGCACAGCGTAATGACCTCCTCGATGGTGTAGCTCTTCGGCCCGGCGAGCGTGAGCGTCTTGCCGATCGTCTCCGGGCGGTTGATCGCCGCGAGCGTCATGCGCGCGATGTCCTGCGTGTCGAGGTACGCCGTGCGCGTCTGGTCCTTGGTCCCCCACACGGTGCGGTCCTCCAGGATTGGCACGGCGTAGTTGCCGATGATGGCCTGCATGAACCCGCAGAGCCGCAGCGTGGTGTACGGCAGGCCCGAGTCCGCCAGGAACTCCTCCGTGCACGCCTTGACCGACATCAGCGGCACCTCGGGGTGCTTGTCGCAGCCGTCGATCGAAAAGAAGATGTACCGCTTGATGCCCAGGGCCTGCGCCGTCTGGATCAGCGCCTTCTTGCCCTCCCAGTCCACCTTCGAGATCGACTCCTCCGGCCTGCACAACACCGAGACGGGACCCGGCCGATCAGCGCGTGCGGGGGCGCGCGCGGGTCGCGACACGGCTGTGTAGGGGCCTAGATCGACGCGCGCGGCGTCGAGGCGCCGTGACATGACCGCGCGCGGGGCGGAACGGCCCAGAACGTGCGCGTCGGGCGCGGCGGCGCGCAAAACAGCAAGCGACCGGCGCTCCGCGGCCAGGAGGGGAGCTGTGGTCTCTGGCTGAGGCCAGAGCAGCCTATCAGAGGTCTGGCGGCCTTTTCTGCGCCGCATGTCTGCCCAGCGGAGCCGCTCCGCGCCGTTCCCGACGCATCCACGCATCAGGCGCGCGGGGGACGGCGCTCGGCCCCCCCACAGGCCCCACACCCCCCCCACGCCGCACCCTACTCTGCCGCGTCCCTCCGCCCCCAAGCAGCCTCGCGCGGCCCCGGCGCGCCCCGAATCGCGCAGGGACGGGGCGGCAGGGCGAGCGCACCTGGCGGTGGCGGCGTCGATGACGGTGTGGACGCCGACCATGGCCGCGGGGATGGACGCGGGGTCCGTGAGGTCGGCCTGCACGGTCGTAGCGCCCCAGTCGCGCACGAAGTCGGCCGGGTTCTCGCGCGGGCGCACGATGACGCGGACGTCGTAGCCCTGGTCGAGGGCCTGCCGGACGATCTGGCGGCCGAGCGTGCCGGTCCCGCCGATGACGAGCATCGAGGTTTTGGGGACAGGGGTGCCTTGGCTTGCGGCCAGCGCGGCGGGGTTGGCCCCCTCGGCGCGGCAGGCCACGCCGGCGCGCTGGGCGCGGATGGCCGAAGGAGAGAAAGACATCTGGGCAGTCTGGGCCGGCGCGAGCTGCAGGATCGCCGGCACCGGCGCCCGGGCGCTCGTGGCCGAGCGCGCCTGGTGCCCGGCGCGGGCCACGAGGGACCCCGATGCGAACTTCGCAGCCGGCATTGTGATCTCCTATTTCCACCCGACGTTGTGCGCGGCGCGGCCGTCCGGGACGGGCAACCGACGCGCGCATGCGCCGGTCGAGAGGCAACGGTAGAAACACAGCGTCGTCCAGGCCTCCGCAGCGGTCGTCCAGGCGGCCGGACACGGCCGCCTCGCCGCGACGGGCACCGGCACATGCGCACGCGTGCACCGCGCATCGCCATCAGCCGCGTCGGTCCAGACCCACCGCGCCGCGTCCCCTCCAGCCGGGCCATGCTGGGTGCGCGCGCTGCCACGCCCGTCGCACCGCACGCCGCCGTCCCTCCGCGCTCACTGACACAGAGGACTGCGCTCGCCCGCCAGCACGCCTCCAAGGTGCGTTGGAGACAGCAGCGCCTCGAAACTCGCAACCCAGTGCTGAACCCTTGGCGCCGTATCTCGACCTCTTTCGTGCTGATATCGCCATCAACATCCAAATAACTGACAAATATATCATAGGAGTATCCAATGAATTGAAAAATGAATGCTTTCCGCCCTGCATGCCACCATCCCTGCTGCCTAGGCCCAACCTCTCTCCCTCCTCGCCGCCCCCCGCGCACCTCATGCCCCGCGCCCTCACTCACAGCCGGCTCTAGAGATCAGACCCGTCCTCTTCAGGCCTCATCGCTGCATGTCACCCCCCAACACCCTCAGCTTCACGGGGACGTTTCTGTCCCCTGCACGCCCGCAGGCCCGCGCGCCGCGCCCGCCCGCCGCCATGAACCGCGCCGACCTGCACGCCCTCCCGGGCGTGACGCCGATCGACGAGGCGGCGACGAAGGACTTCGTGTTCCAGCAGACGATGTTTCGCATCAAGGACCCGCAGCGCTCCCTGGCGTTCTACACCGGCGTGCTCGGCATGACGCTCCTCAACCGCCTGGACTTCCCCGACATGGGCTTCTCGCTCTACTTCCTCGCAAAGGGTGCGCGTCACCGAGCGCGCATCGCCGCCGCCAGCCCGCGTACACCACCTCAGTGGCCACCCCTGGGGCACGACGCGCGCCGGCGCTCCTCCACGAACGCAGCCACGATCGCAGGGCACACGGCCGCCCCTCGCGCGGAACAACGCAGCATTTTGTCGTCCGCCCTGTGCCGAAACGCGCCGTTGTGTGTGGCTGGCCTGTCGCAGGCGTGGACCCGGCGTCGGTGCCGGACGACCCGAAGGAGCGCGTGGAGTTCACGTTCAAGTGCCCGGGCACGCTCGAGCTCACGCACAACCACGGCACCGAGACGCAGGACGACTTCGCCTACCACAACGGTGCGCTGCTCACACGACCGAGCCTCCCCCGCGCCCGGCCGCAGCACGTCAGGCTGGCGCACGCTCGAACGGCTGCGCATGTGTCCGCGCGCGCAGGGAACTCGGACCCCGGCAAGGGCTTCGGGCACATCGGCTTCGAGGTGGCGGACGTGGACGCGGCGTGCAAGCGGTTCGAGGAGATGGGCGTGGAGTTCGTGAAGAAGCCGAACGACGGCAAGATGAAGGGCCTCGCGTTCATCAAGGACCCCGACGGCTACTGGATCGAGATCCTCAACGCCCAGAACTGCAAGCAGTTTGTGTAAAGAACTATCAGGTTTGACGAAACGTGTCAAACCGGAGTCACGTGTGCAGAGTCCCCCACCCCCGTGCCCACGCAGCAAAGTCCAGCGCGACGGATCCAGTGCGCAGAGAGCTCCTGGGCGCTGTGATACGCTTGGACGCACATTCGACGCGCGACGCAATCAGCGCAGGCGTCGTCACGCGGCCCCTCGCGCCCCCGCACAGGCGCGCGCACCCTGCGGACGCCAGTCCTTCACAGTGCGGGGCCGGCCTACCGCCCCATGACGCGTTCCGTGATCTCCGCGTCCTGCCGCTGCCGCAGCGCCTGCTCGACGCGCAGCATGTCCTCCGTCTCGAGGCCGCACAGGCGCACGTCGAGCTTCGTCAGACCCTCGTTCTGCGCGAGCGCGTCCAGGATGATCGGCCCCGACGCCGGCCCCAGCTCGTTACACGACACGTCCAGAATCCGCAGCACCGTGTTCGTCTGCATCAGCGCCGCGAGCTCCCCAACGCACTGCACAGCGCATCGCTCCAGGCAAACGCGTTCGATGCAGGACAGGCAGCGGCGGCTGCGCGAGGAGCCCAGCACACGTCGCGGCCTGGCACAGCCGGCCGCGGGGTACTGTCTCGCGCGACCGCCCGCGACACCGCAGCGCTGCGGACGTGCTGCGTGGCAGCGGTGGCTCGCGGGGGCGGGTGCGGGCTGCGGCGGCTCGCTCACCTCGTTGCTGCCTGAGTTGGCGCTGAGGGAGAGGTGCGTGAGGCCCCACGCGTCCTGCAGGACGTGCGAGATGGCGCGGATGCCTTCGTCGCCGATCTGGTTCAGCGCCAGGTTGAGGCGCGTGAGCGCGGGCGCCTGCTTCAGCGCGCGTGCCAGCGCCCGGCCCCCCTCCTGGTGGATGACGTTGTCCGACAGGTCGAGGCTCGTGATCGTGCAGCGCGAGTCCAGCACCTTGGCCAGCGCACGCACACCTGCAGCGAGCGCGGCGCACCCGAGCGCGCGTCGCAACGGGCCAGAGCGGCATCCGCTGCGGCAGTGGCGAGGCTGCGAACAGCGCCGGGCGCCGCGTGGGGCTGCGGGGCAGGCTGCGCGTACCTCTGTCGGCGATCTTGTTGCACGAGAGGTCGAGGTGCGTCACGGAGAGGTTGTCGACCATGCCAGACATGAGCATGCGCACGCCGTCGTCGTCGAGGGTGTTGTTGGACAGCGACAGGCACGTCAGGGCCTCGCAGGACTCGAGGCAGCGCGCGAGGGAGCGGCAGTCCGGCAGGCGCATCCCGAACAGGCCGCGCTCGAAGTCCATCCCCACGTCGCGCATCCCGTAGGTGAGCGAGAGCCCACAGAGGGACACGTCGAGGCAGTCGAAGATGTGCGCGAGGTCCAGGTGGGACGGAAGCTGCGTGATCTCCAGGAAACGGACGAACCGGGCGCTGCGGTGCGACGGGGGACGGGGCGGGGCGCTTGGCGGGTGCACGAGGCGAGCAGGGCAGGGCGGTGCGGGCGAGCGTGGAGCGCTGGGGCACGGCGCGCGCTGGGGCAGTCCAGAGGATGCCGTGGCGGTGCACTGGGGCGAACGGAACGGCCTTGCGGCGCGGAGGTGCCCGTGTGTCCAGCCGCACATGGGCAGGCGGTTCGCGGGGGCGTGTGGCGGCCAGAGCCGCCGAACGTGGCTTCCGTACCCCGTTCAGGCAAAGAACGTGCCGTTCAACTGGCGAAACGGCTCGGCGGGCCACTCTGCGCGGCGCCCGCGCGGTCTGCATGCTGTTCGCAGGCGCGGGGCATTGCGTGCTCCCGCGCGCGGCGGTCACTGCGCTGTTGGACCTGCGGGCGCTCACCTGTAGGAGAGCAGTCGCCGTAGCTGGTCCAGGTCGGACATTTCCGGGTCGAACTGCTCGAGGGCGTCCTGCAGGTTGCGTTCGAAGTACAGCTGCTTCCAACTGTTGCCGTGCGCGCCCACCTCGCTGTTGCGCCACCGCCGCGTGGACCGCCGCCACCAGTACCGCTCGTCATCTATCACGTCGCCCGCGAGTTCCAGCGGGAGGTCGAGCGGAAGCCGCTCTGTGATCGATTTTATGTCCTCTGCCTGGAGGCCGACGAAGGTGGGCCGCTTCTCGAACGTGTCCGACACCACGCGGATGCACAGCTCCCGCAGCGTCGGAACGAGGTCCGGGCGCGCCATCGTCCCCCCTGCTGCGCCCCTCCGGGCTGTGTGCAGGTGGGGCTACCAGGCTAGCCCCACGCCACTGAGCGCGCTCTCACGGGCCAGCGCGGCGCTGGCGGGCTGCCCTAGAGGTGACTGAGCCCCGGCGCGCGTGACCGGCCCTGAACTAATGCGAGCGCGTCGCTCAGGCACGCACCAGGTCCGGCGTGCACCTCAACTCGCTCCCTGTGGCAAGTGTGCGTCGCAACGATGGTTGCGAGCGGAGGGGACGCTCGACGCCGAGTATGCCTGCACTGCGGCGAGGCCCTGCGGCGATGAGCGCCCCGCAGCACCGAGCAGGGGCTTCACGCGCCCCCAGGGGGCCTCCCGGGACGAGCAGCGTGGGCGTCGCGGGCCGGTCAGCGGCATCTCGGGAACCATCAAGAAGTTACAGAGCGCCTGGGCAGTTCAGCACGCGCAGGCGCAGCCCGGAGCCGCCGTCCGAGCGTGCAAGATGCCGCACCCAAGGAGCGCCTAGCCGAGCATCTGTCGGCCGGCCGGCCGGTTGGTGATGGGCGGCAAGCCCTCCACTTGGAAGGGCAGCAGCACGCGGTTCGCCGGGAACAACACAGTCGCCATCCCGAGCCTGCAAACCCGCGAAACCACGTACAGATGAGAACGCCCCCGTCGTGTGGCGCACCGCGCCCTCCGCTCCAAGGCAAGCGTGTGGCTGAACAGCTCGGACGAGACGCACGCGGCGTCGCGTCCGGCGCGCCAGCGCCGGCTGCATGCGCTGCGAGCGGGCGCAGAGTGCACCGCTGCGGGACACGCGCCTGTGAGACACCTCGACGTGCGGCGGCCGCGAGGGCGGCGTCCTGATCCTGTGCTTCTGTCGCATGAGGATCCTGCGGCCCCGCACGGGCGCGAACGTCGTCGCCATCGCGTCCACGAGCCGCACCGTGCCCTCGCGCCCCGTCTCCGCATCGCGGATCGACCGCACCACCCAGTTCGTCATCCGGCCGTAGATGCGGCTCCCCGCGCCGGACATCCTCGCACCCTCCCCCGGCGCCCGCAGCCCAGCCTGGCCCGTCCGCAGCCCGCGCACCAGCGCCGTGATAGGGAAAACGCTCTTGGCGCCTCCTGCTGCTCTGCTCGGTGGACTTGCGGCCTCTGCGAGTGGCGCCGCTGTTCGGGAGCACCGCGAACTGTCGCCGGGGCGCCGCACAAACACCTCTCAGCGGCGCGGGGGACCGCGTGGGGGGCCTGAGTGGGGTGCTCGCAGACACACTGGCCTCTGCAGCGTTTCATGGCCTGTACGCGCGACGGCGCCCGACCTCTTTCGGGCGGTAGGAAGCAGCGCGGGGATCATGGTGAGCCTGAAGTTTCAGAAGAGGCTCGCAGCCTCCGTGCTAAAGTGCGGCCGGAACAAGGTCTGGCTGGACCCCACCGAGGCCAATGAGATCGCCATGGCCAACTCGAGTAAGTACCTCCGCGAACACGTTGCGGCAAACGATGTTTGCGTGCGCGTCGGTCTCCGCGTCGCGGCCCGGCGGCTCGCGTGGGGGCCGGGCCGACCAGGAACGCGACGTGCCGGCGGGGCTCGCGGCCCCGCGGCTGCCGTTCTCCGTGGCCGGCGTCATGGAAATTGTCGTCTCGACGCCGTGACCGCGCCGGCTCCGCCTCGGCACGTCGAGCGGAGGGCTGGCAGGGCCTGAGTTTTGCACAGTGGCAGCCGGGCCCGTGCACACTGCCTGTCGGTCGCGGATAGCGCTCGTCGCGCCCCGCGGTCGCCACACGGCCGCGGGCAGGCCGTGGCCGCGCCAGAGGCTGTGGTGACGCCGAGCGGGCCGGCGGTGGCAGAGTGGGCTAGCTTGCTCAGCCCCTTTCGTCGCGGCGCGGCGGCCTTGCAGCACGCGACCCGGTCGCAGCGAATCTCCGTGTCGCATGACGCGCGTTCCGTTGAATATCCCCAGCCTTGCTATCCTCGCGACGGCGAGGGAGGTGCTCGTGCAGTCGAGCCTCGGGCACGGGCGCCGCTGCCGCGGCCCGCGACGCGAGCGCCGGGTCGCTGACGGCACGGAATCCTTGTGCTGCTCGTGGCTTGCAGGGCAGGCGATCAGGAAGCTGCAGAAGGACGGCTTCATCATCAAGAAGCCCAACGTCGTCCACTCCCGCTCGCGGGCGAGGATGAACGCGGAGGCGAAGTCGAAGGGACGGCACATGGGCTACGGTAAGCGTCACGGTACGCGGGAGGCGCGTCTGCCGACCAAGGTTCTGTGGATTCGCCGTATGCGGGTGCTGCGTCGTCTCCTCAAGAAGTACCGCGAGGCCAAGAAGATCGACAAGCACCTCTACCGCGAGCTGTACCTCAAGGTTCGTCCACGTATCGCTCGAACGCGCCCCGCGCGCCCCCCACCGACGCGCAACGCCGACCACTTTCGCAGCTGGCGTCTGTCCGCTCCCCCGGCGACCCAGGACCACGCTGCCGCGCGCCCACCCGCCCAGGGGCTCCTCCATCCCCACGGCCTTGATCTCGTGGCGTCAGCCGGTCCCCGCGGCCACGCACCACGCGTCGCCCGCCCTGGCTGTCCTGCCGCTGCTGCGCTGTCACGCTGTGGCCCGAACGCGCCCCCGCGCCACCTCCCGCCCGCCCCCGCAGGTCAAGGGTAACAACTTCAAGAACAAGCGTGTGCTGATGGAGTCCATCTTCATGGAGAAGGCGGAGCGTGCCCGTGAGAAGGCCATCTCCGACCAGTTCGAGGCCCGCCGCGCCAAGAACAAGGCCATGCGCGAGCGCAAGGCCGAGCGCCGGGCCAAGCGCCTCGCCGGCGGGCCCGAGGCCGGCAAGAAGTGAATTGCCGACGTCGCCCTTCCCCATCATAGGCTGTGATAGCAGCCACACCGCCCCCCTCGCACTCGCGGCAGAGACCGTTCCGAGCTGCACGAAACGCCGAAACACGCCCAGCTGCGCCGGTCCAGCGCGGCTCGGCCACCGCGGGCGCAGGGCGGTGCGAGCTGCAGTGCTGCGCTCATTGGACCGCACCTGGAGCGCCTGGCCCGAGACCTGCGCCCAGCGGCGATCCCAACCGGCCGTTGCTCAGCGCGTGCTGGCCCGGTTCGCCGCGTACGCGCCACGTCCGCCTCCGCTGCGGCGCCTTTGACTGCAACAGAGCCCCCAGCTGGCACGCTCTGCTACTGACGACACAGCGTCTGGCTCGCATGGCACCAACGAGCGCCTACTCCTCCTGGCAGAGCCGTGGAACGCAACGACCTTCCGCGTTGATGCTAGTTCAGTTCGGCTCCCGACATCCAGCCTTCTGTCAATGCACGACACGTACACCGAGTCGTCAGCGCACTGCGGCCGCTGCCCGTGTCTTTGCAAATACCTTGTGCCACGCCCGCCAGGAGACTCGCTCCTGATGGGGCAGACCGCCCGCCAGGAGACCCCAGCATCGACTGCGACGCGTCGCCAGTGCACGCCAACAGCTGTCACAGGGTGCAGAGCTGCCGCCGGGCGCGCCGAGCCGGCCACCGGCCCAGCGCGTTGCGTCCCTGCCTGCCCGCGCTCCGTGCCGCGGTGCGCCAGGCGTGTCCGTGCCCTTGGACTTGACTCAGTATCAACCAGCCGGTCAGGTTGTGCTCCTACCGCGCCACGCACCGGCGCTGACGGCTACCAGGGCAGTGTCGCATCGTCAGTGCACCGGATCGACGCGGAGCGTCTGTTCGACCGCCCCGACGCGTCCTTCTACGCGGCCACCTGAGCTGCGCGCCCGACTGGCACGTTGACTGAATTGGCGCGGCACGGCGGCCCCCGCAGTAGCCTGCGCGCCCCCGTGAGGTACGCGCCGCCCAACCTCTCCCACACACCAGTGCGGCGCGGCTGCTTGCGCGAACGATCCGTCGCGGCGCAGCCACGGAGCGCGGCGCGCTGCTCTTGCTGGCAGCGCGCCCGAGATCACCAGTCCCACTGCGCGCGCCGCTGTCCGCTGCCAAGTGGCCGCGCCGCGTCCCGGAGCTGTCTCATTCACTCGGTTGTCTTCCTCCACCCTTGCGCGCGCAGCGTCGCGTTCCCGCGCCGAGGCGGGGGGAGGCGGAGCGCCGGGCAGCAACATGGCCGGCACGTACACCCTGGGGTCCCCGTCCGATTCGGAATACTACGACGATGATCCCTGGGAACAGTTCAAGCAGTACTTTGAGTTCTCGTCGGATCCAGCAGTCCGGTGCGGCCCCGCTGCCCGCACTCCACCACACTGACGGTTGCCACCGCCACGGGCGCGCTGGCCACGCACACAGCACCCGCTTACCCAGCTTGCCTGCCCTGCGCATGCCGATCCCGGCGGACGGCCCGGCAGGAATCGCAGCATCACGTCGCAGAGCAGTCCTCCATCACATGACGGGACGACCCCCCCGCGACTGTTGCGGCTGAGCACCCGCGTCCCGCGCGCGAGCCCACGCAGCCTCAAGTTCCAGAAGACGGTCCGGAAGTCGAAGCTGAGCGCGAACCTGTGCGCGCGGGGGTCGCTCAGCATGGGGGGACTCAAAGTGCCGTCGAGTCAGGCGTACGCCACGCGCAAGGTCGAGCTCACCGCCAAGCCCGTCCACGGGTCCTGGAAGCTCTGGCCAGGCGTGATCGAGATCCACAAGGTACGCGACGCAGCAACCCCGCCCCCTGCGCCACTCACGCACACACACATGCACACCACCGCCGCACCCGCCCCGCCGACCACGCCCGCCCCGCCCCCGCCGCGTGCAGATCCACCTGGAGCCGTTCCAGGGCCGCGCGTTCGTGCAGACGCCGAGCATATCGCTGGGCCCCGTGAGCGTGCAGCTGAGCGTGGGGCTCAACATGGAGGCGCCGCGCGGGACGTCGCCGCTGCTGTGGGGGTACCGGATGCAGATGTTCCAGGACGTCAACTTGAAGGAGGGGACGCCGAGCCACAAGCTGCGCCTCGGGATGAACCCGGGGGGTATTTCCCTCCGGAGTCAGCACTACAACAACTCGGCGCTCAAGGGGCGCATGGGGTGGGACATCAAGTGCAACTACCCCGCGTTCGCCGCGGGGAACTTCGGGAACGATCTCGGACCCATGGAGCACACCACGGCCTCGGCGGACGCCGACCTCGGCAAGGTATGACTCACAACAAAGTCAGACTGTCTGACACACACGCGAGCTTCGATCGGGGCGGGCGTCCACTCCCCGCACGCGCACGGCCGGGAGTAGGCGGCGGCAGCGGCGCGCGAAGCGCTCCGTTGCGGACCTCGCCACGCTGTCCGACGGCAGTCTTCGTTTCCCTTCCTCGGCGCCAACGCTCCGGCCCTGCCTCTCTGCGTTGCGCAGATCGCAATCAACTGGCGCAGCGCGGACCTCATCGTCGACATGGACGCGGTGAATTCCGCGTTCTCGCGGCGCCGCGAGCGGAAGGGCAGCGCGGAGACGACGACCATCGTGATGGACCTGGGGGACAGTAACAGAGAGCCCGCCTCGCTCGGAGGCAACGCGAGCAGCGTGCGGCCTGCGGGCTGGCAGGCTGCGTCGATGGCGGACATGCTCGAAATCGACAAGGCGGCGTCGCGGTGACGCGCACTGCGCGGTGGCGTGCGCAGAGCCGCTGGGCCGACGGGATCGTGGGCCGGCGGGGCGGTGCGCGAAGGGCATCTCCGTGCTCGAGTCGCGATGAGTCTGCGCTGTGATGCGGGGCCTGGCGCTAGCAATGTCAGGGGGGGGTTCCTTGCGCGACAACTGGCTACTTGGGCGCGCGAACGCAGCTGCCCGAGACGTACAGCTCAAGCACAGGGACTCTGTGGGCCGCAGCTGGGCGCCTTGGCTCCTGTTCGCGCGGGGCGCAAGCCTGCATTCAGCACTGGCTCTCCCCAGACAAGAAGCGCACGCCTCGGAGCCCAGCGTCACGCATCACGGGCGCGACGCACTAGTTCGTAGGCTCTGCGTCGGCTCGTGCTGGCGACGGACCGCGCCATGCCTGCTCCGAGCGGCAGCGCTGCTCGTGTGCGCGCACACAGCTACCTCCGCGTCGGGCACGTCGTGCTGCTCTTGATTCTGGCGCTTGCGGGACAGGCAGCAGCCATCGAGGCCCAGTGTAGCGCGTGCAAGGCCGTAGCGGTGCGTTCCCTCCGCCCCCGTCCCCGTGCGACCAGGCCAGCAGGCTTCCGGACAGAGCCCACACCCACCGCCCCTGCCGCACCAGGCGATGATACTCCCCCCCTCGCTCGCTCACACACGCCTCTGCATGCAAGCATGACATCTGCCACGCCGTTCCGCGACCTCGACTGGAACTGCGGCGGTTTGCGCGTTGATGCAGCAACCTGCTCCTTGCGCCGCGGCCCGCCGCGCCAGCGCCCCCTCACGCGCCGTTCCGCCCCCCCCCCCGCCCCCTCCGCAGCGGGAACTCGCGCACAAGATCAACCAGGAGGAGCCGCAGGGCGACCTGGACCTGCGGAACCGGCTGGACCCCAACGGCAAGCGACAGGGCAAGTACGTGCCGTACGCCGCGAGCGAGCTGCGCGTGCACCACCTCGTCGACGACCTCTGCGACTACATGACCAAGTACAAGTGCGCGCCCTCTCTCGCCGACCGCCCCCCGCAACACACCCCGCGCACGCAACGCACCCCAGCGCCCCGCGCGCCGGCGGCCCCGCCCTGGCGGACGCGCTCACGCGGGCGGGCGCCGCCTGCGTCCGCAGGCTGGACGCCGAGGACGGCGAGGCCAAGTGGTCGCAAGTGCGGGACAAGGTGGACATGAACAGGGTGCCAGAGGCGGAGCGCGACGACGCGAAACGCCTCACCGGGTACTGCCATCGCATCCTCGGCGACAACGAGGTGCGCCGCGGCCTCGAGGCCGTCCGCGCCGCGCGCCCCCACGCGAGCACGATGCCCTTTCGTTGCCAGAGCGCAGCTTGTGTGTCGCCGTGGCATTGGGCGCGGACGGTGCGAATGTGTCGCGGGTTCGTGCGCTGCAGGAGGAGGTGTCGGAGAGCATCCGGGGCGGGCGGATGGACGCGGCGGGGGCGATGTCGGCGACGATGCGGTCGACGGTGCAGCTTTGCATGATGATAACGGAACACTGCAGCGGAGGGCCCGCGGGCGTCGACGTCGAGAAGGTCGCGGCGGCGGCCCAGGAGCTCTAGGGCCCTGGATCAGGCTGTGAAGATGCCTTTCATAATAAATTGATATGATTCATTCATCAACGTACTTCTAAACGCGCCAGTGTCTCTTCGTGAGACGCCTGGCGTTGTGGGAGGCATCGCACGAGGCTGCCGGCCTGTGTGCTACGCGCATTGGCTGCTCCGCGCTGCGGCAGGGGCGCCCCGCGACTTGAAGACCTTGATGAATGGATCTTGTTGGTGCTTTGCTTTCTGTGACTGGCTCTCGGCTTACAAGCGCGAGGACGCAGCGCGTGATCCCGCTCGATGAAGCGCGCGTCACTCTGCGGCTATTCGTGGATTGCGCCCAGGTTGCCCGGTTCGGCGGCCTCCTGCGCCTTTACCTGCACACGTGACATGCAAGGTCGCCGCTCGGGGCCCGAGGCAGCCGCTCCGCGCGCATCTGGCCGCTCCAAGTACACGAAGAAGCAACGGCGCGGCAGGCAGCGATGCGGGCCCCGTCGAGGGCCAGCAGGAAGGCGACAAGGCAGCGCTGCGCCCCCCTCCCGTACGCACCTGGCTGAAGGCTTGCGACTTCGCCTTGATTGTGGCGCGCCCCATCACCATGTACTCGTCGTCCTCCTCGTCGGAGCTCCCACGCCGCCCCCTGCTCCGGCTCCCGCGGAGCTGCTTCCCTTGCCCTCCCGCCCGCTTTTCCTGCCCCGCTGGCGAGTCTTGCGGGACCTTCCCTATCGTGGGCAGCACAGGAAGACCGTCTGGCCCCACTGCAAGCCATTCCAAGCGCGCGGACGGCCCCTCCCGTGAGCACGGCGCCACAGAGGAGCAGTGCAACGCTGTAGAGCGCGGGGGGGCGGGAGCGCACTCTCGAGGCTTCCGGCCTCGCTGGGGCCGTCGGCGTCATCCGCACTAAGGAACTGCGACCACTCCGCCTGCCGTGCCGACCCCCCCCTCCCTCGGCTGCCCGTGGTGAGCAGGGGTCTCTCCGGCTTCTCACTCCCGCCCCCCTGCCCCGCCGCGCCCCCGCCCGCCGCCTTCTGCGCATTCTGCGGGTTCTTCGTCATCGCAGCTCGCGCAGCACCGCCCAGCCCGGCGCCCGCCCGGACCCTCCGGGCACCAGCGGCTCACAGACAGCCAAACGACCTCCTTCCAGATGGTCGTCGCCAACGCGCGTCACCAACACCGACAACGGCTGTCTAGACGCCACTCGGCGCACTCGCCCGTCGCGCCCCGCACGCGTGCCAACAGGCTCTCGTCGCCCGCACCCACGTGCACCAAATAATTCACTCCCCCTGGGGGAATGAAGCGCGTCCACCCGGCACGTCGCCGGCGCACGGCCCGCCCCGTAGAGTACTAGCTGACGCCCCGTCCACCAGGCGCACGACGTTCCCCGGCTCACCCGACCGTCCCCTACAGCTTGTACTTCGCTGACCTACAGGCACAGCTGCCGCCGGCACACAGCACGCCTCGCATGCGCACCTATTTACACGAGCCTGGCTACCAGGATACTAATTGGTTCCGTCCACACATGCTGCTGCACGCGGTCGCCGCGTGCCCACGTCGAAAGCCGCACCGCACCCGTCGCTGCTCCGAGCCCCCTCGCCCCGGTCACGTCGCGGCGCTCCGGCACACCGGGCAGCACGAGCTGATGCCCAGCCACGCGTCGATGCAGCCCAGGTGGAACACGTGCTGGCAGGGCAGCTTCCTGCAAGCGTCCCCCGCGCTGTACTCAGCGATGCACACCGAGCACACCTCCGGCTCGCCCCCGTCCGACAGGAACCCCTCCAGGTCCGCGGGCACGCGCAGGCTCGGTATGTTGGCGATCGCGTCGGCCGAGAGGCCCGCCTGCCCCCCTGGCACCGCGCTAGCACCCAACGCCTCGGCCACGGTGGCGGCGCGGCGCTCGGCGTGGCCGCGGAGGATGACGAGGAGCGCGCGCGCGACGTTCGAGGCCTCCTCGGCGCGGGAGTCGGCCGCGTTCGCGCCGCGCGAGAGCGTGAGCGCCTGTCCCCCGCCTGCTGTGCGTAGGGACGCGACGGCGCTGTGGACCTCCTCCAGGCAGCTGCTGAGCAGCCCGACGGTCTGCTCGATCAGCGGCTGCATCTGCGCGAGGTGCGGGTCGTCGTCGAGGCCCTGTATGCCACCGCTCGTGACGCCGGCCGTCTCTGTGCGCAGCAGGCACGCCAGCGCGCCCAGCTGCTGCTGCCGCAGCCGGAGCTGTTCCTGCGGAGAGGGGCGCGCGTCGCAGCGGAATCGCGTTGGCGGCGGGTCCGTTCGTTCCCGGCGGGTGCTGGGCGCGATCGCGACGCAGTGCGTGTGCGCACCTGGCGGAGGTTCAGGAGCTGCTGGAGAGTGTGAGCCTGCTGCTCGTGAAGGTCACGGAGCCGCCCTGACATGCGCGAACATCGCGGAAGCCCCATGCAGTGCGAGAGCGCGGGCCCGGGCCCCGGGGAGGGGTGCGGAACAGTGAAAGGGGGCTCGTCCGGGGCGGGCGGCGCCTCCTCGAGCCCCGAGGCCCCCCCTGCCGGACGGGTGAGAGCCCAGTCTGTCCTCGGCGGCCCCGCGGACGGCGCCGCGCGGAGGCGATGCGCGGTCGACGCGTTGGCCCAGCTCCCGCTGCTGCTTCCGTCCGGGCTCGTCCGCCGCTCCGCGGCCGTCGTGAATCGCCGGGGGCTTGTGCTCGGCATCAGCGACCGCCCGAAGACCGCTCCGACCGCATCTGCGGCCTCCTGCCGCGGCTGAGCGCCCGGGCCATGCGGCCGGGACAGGCCCCGCCTCACGCGCTGCCGCGCCGCGTACGCGCCGTCGACGGCCTCGACAGCGGCCGCGTGCCGCGCGTCCTGGTCCTCGCTGCCCGTCTGGTGCAGCAGCGCCGCCCAGCGAGCCCGGGATTGCGCCCTGGCGAGCCCCCCCCGCTCGACTGCCAACTGCGACGTCTCTCCGGCGTGCCTCTCGATCTCCTCCGCGCGCCAGTTGCGCGTGAGGGTCCGCGCACGCGATATCGCGGTGCGGGCCCTGTCCACGAGCTCGTCCACGTCCGCCATGTCCGCGGCACGCGCCCGCACGCCGCGCAAACTGGCAGAGCACAAGCTTGGCGACTCCCAGGCACGGTCCACGGCCGCAGACAAGATCCGGCTGGCCTACGAACCCCTTGCCCGGGAAGGACAGGGGGCATTCGTCGCAGCAGCGCGCGCAGCGCCCCCTTGGAGCCACCCGGGGCTCGGCGCGCGCGGGAGGTCCCGGTACGACACACGCAACCAGTCGAGGTGGCGCGGGCGCGTGGAAGCGCAGCGGCGGGGCGCGCCGGGCGCACAGCGCTGACGTCCGGGCACCGCGCCGCGTGCAGAGGCGCCGCGTGAGGTCGACGTAGACGACGTGCTTGTCCGCTCTTTACGGGCGCCGGGATTGCGGCACGGGGAACATCTTTCCCCCGCCGCGTCGGCGAAGTCACGCCTCCATGGCAGCTGTGCAGGCTCATGACGGCGAGGTCGCGCTGCGTACGGTGCGGGGGCGCGCGTCGTGCGCCGTGCTAGCGCCCGCTGTGCCAACCACCTCGCCCGCCACGCGCGTCGCCGTCCTCCGATCCAGATGCAGTGGCGGCTGTGTCATGCCCGATGAACAAGCCGCCTCCGAAGACCGAGTCTGAGGGGCGACGGCCCCGCCGGCCAACAAGACACCGTTTCGTGACTTGCGCGCTCTCGGTCGGTTCCCGTGCAGGCGAGCGGCGAGGTCCTCAAGCCGGCCGCGCTGGGCATCACGGAGCCCCACGCCAAGGAGAAGCTCAACGACTTCGTTGAGGTCCACGGAATGACGAAAACGGGCCCTGTGGAGCCCTCCGCCCACTTCACGCAGCGACTCGTCCGCGCCGTCGAGCGGGTGCGTCTCCGCGACATCTTCCGCGCAGTCACCAACACCGAACTGGAGCCGCGTTCCGCGCACTCCGATCCCGTTGTCGCCCACGCCTGCTGCGTCTCCCGCCTCGCACACTCCGCACCGAATCTCTCGCCACGCCTCCTGCCCGCTGCACCGCCGTTTCCGGCCTCACGCCCGCCCCCTGACCACGGGCACGGCGCAGGTGTGGTCCGCGTGGGAGGCGCAGGGCCACGAGGGCCGGCCCGAGGGCGCTTCGCCGGAGGAACGGTGGGATGCGTGCATCACGGCGCTCGCTGTGATCCAGGAGGAGGAGGACGAGGTGGCGAAGATGGACGAGGGCATCAGCGCGAGCCTCGCGGCGGCGGAGGCGCAGGCGGCGGCGGCGCCCAAGGTCCATGAAAGGTACCTCGGTCGATCAATGGCAACGCAGGGAACGTGGCGCTCCAGTCGGGGTGCCGGGACTGCCGGCCCGCCGCTGGCGCCCCTGTGCCGCCCACGTATCTCCCCGTGCCTCCGCGGCATGCAACGCCGCGCGCAGTGCACCACTTCGCAGACTTGACACAACGCAACGCCACGCGCCTCTCTCTCTCCGCCATGCAGCGGCGACGCCGAGGTCCTCCGCAAGTTCCGCAACTCCACGATCCTCGGCATCATCCTCGACGCGTGGCGGACGCACGCGCCCGACCCTGCTCCTCCTGCCGGCAGTCCCCCCCCGAAGCAGCAGGCCACTACCCCCCCCGCCAAAAGCACCCCCAGGCGCTCCTCCCGCGCCACGGCCGAGGCCGCGCGCGACCAGGCCGGCGAAGCGCCGTCGCCGGCGCCCGCCGCGCGCGCCCCCACAGCGCTGCCCGAGCAGGGGCACTGCCTGCGGAAGCCACTGCTTGACTGGCTGCAGCTGGAGCAGAGCTGCGGGCGATGGTACGGCGTCGAGGTGACGCAGCCTGTGGTGATCGAGCGCGTGAAGCGGACGATCGACGGCGCGGCGGAGGCGGTCGCAGATAGGAAAAAGCGACGGCGGTCGTCAGGGGGGGGTTGTGCGGATGCGGAGCGGGCGCTGGCGGACGCGTTGGCGAAGGAGTACGAGGTGATGTACGGGGAGGCGCTGGAGCTGCCGGAGGTGGCCGGGGCGGTGCCGAACGTGTTTCGAGCGTCGTTTGTGGCGCACGAGAGTCAGGAAGAAGTGTGCGCGCTGCGGACGGGCGGAGGCGCCGCGAACGGCTCGGATGACGTGATCGTCATCGACTGAGGCTGGCTGCAGCGGATGCGTGGAACTTTGCGCCCCAGTGCGGCGCAGTTGACCAATACTTACACCGTCGTGTAATGATGATCGGTACTTCACGGGTGACGTCGCCATCGCTGCGTGGCGGAGGGTGGCTCGCAGACGTCCGTCCAGTGTGCTCACGCTGCTTTCACATCCAGCGCGTGCCCATATGCACACAGATTTCATCACTCTCTGAAAGTCTCAGCGCGAGAGGGCCACGCGCCCCGCAGCCGGAACCTGCGGGTGCGCCGCCCCCCCGCCCACCGCCACGTCGGTCCCGTCAGTTGTACCTGTAGCACGCCAGGCCGCCGCAGGAGACCATGAAGCGGGTGTTGGGCGGCATGGCGCCCTTGACCTTGGCGATCTCCTCCTCGGGCCCGCAGATCTCGAGCAGGCTGAGCTCGCTGACGTCGCCCGAAGCCACCTTCGGGAGGATGCCCCCCACGTTGCCCATGTGCGCCAGGAGGGCCTCGCCGTCGGCGTACACCTCCGTCAACGTCGCCAGAGTGCCTGCGCAGCGCAGGAACCAGATGCTGCGCGGCTGAGGAGTGGCATCCGACGCGGGAGTTGCAGGGGGGCGCGGGGGGAAGGGGTGGCGTTGGGGCGGTGTGCGCTCGGGTGAAGAGGTGTCCGCGTACGCGACATGTTTCGGACGCGAGGCGGTTGCAACAGCGTACCGTCCTCCGACATGTAGAAGTTGTACATGTAGCAGCCGTTCTTCTGCTCGCCCTTCGACGCCGCCAAGAAGTCATTGACGATCTCCAGGAACGCGGCCTTGTCTTTGACGGTGAAGTGGGGCCGCTGCGCTCGCCACACGGGAGGGAGCGCGTCTGCTGCCGCGTAACGTCCGCTGTATCGTACCGTACGTGCGTACGCCGGCGACAGAATGCCAATGCAGTCTTCGAGCCGAGAGACGGCCCGCAGCGTGCAACGGGCGCCTCAAAATGGGAAACGCGCCGCGTTTGGGTGCTGCGGCAGTTGCTTGTGCTGTGGACTCAAGCGACAACGCGTTGGGTATCGCCCCAACGGGCCGTTCGACCATCAAGCACTTGCGACTTGCAACCATCTATGCTGTTTCCGGCAAGTATGCGTGCCGGATAGCGTCGAGTGATCTCTGCGGGAGGCACGACGTTCATTGCGCAAGGCATCGGGGGGGGGCGCTCGCACGATCTGAATGTGCTTCGAAAGCGCCGTCTCGCGGGAGTTGCCGTTGCCCATCGTACGACTGCATCCACAAGCGGGGAGGCGGGGCTGAGTCAGGGCACCGACACACAGCGGTGCGCAGGGGTTGAGAAGAGAGAAGGTGGGCCTTCCCGCCCCTCTGCAGCAGGCGCTGCGTGCTTCAAAGCAGCCGCCGACAAGCACCGTTCGGAAGAAGCGGACGCGGCGTTCGAACGAACGTTGTCCCAGCGATCCCGCACGCGCTTCTATCAGGCCGTGCTGAGGTGCCCGCGACCCACCTGTGCTGTTTTCTGAACCGGAACTGACCTCGAGAATTCCTGGATACGCGAGCAGACTGCGAGCACCGGCGGTATGCCTCCTCGCCCGGCCCCTCGCGTGGGGCGCGGCGCCAGACCCTGGATGTCAGGGCGCCACGTCGTCATAAACCCCCCCCCCCCTTCCCACCTGCTTGCAGCGTTCACCATGGCGACGCCACGCGTAGAGCGGGACTGATTGTCGTCGAGTTGCGAGTCACATCTGTCGCGAACAACTCGATCAAATCGCCGGCACGACGCGCCGTTGGGCCGCGTCCGCCAGGCGCCGTGCGGGGGTGTTCAGAAACACCGCCGCCGCCAGGGCCTGGCGCGACTGCGGCACTTGTACAGAGATATACAGAGCGGTGTTGAGAGATACATATATACCCAAACACGGCTTCACTTCTGGTGCTTCTTCATGATGAACACCGTGCCCTCGTCCTCCTGCGCCAGCCCGCGCTTCGCGTCGCCCTGCGCCTCCCGCGCGTACACCGCCCCGCGGTCCTCCGCCGCCGACTTGCGCGCCAGCTTCCCGCGCAGGACAGGCGCCATGCCGCCGCCCAGCATCATGTGCATCGGTGCAGCGCTCCCACCGCGCCCAGGCGACACCGTCGCGCCCTCGCGCGACGCGTCCGTCTTCTTCGCCGTGTCCGCGATCGACACGCCGCCCGGGCCCGCGCCCGGCACCATCGCCGTGCGACGCAGCGCCAGCGGGGATGGCGCACGTGCCGCGGAAGACGCCGGCGCCTGCGGAGCCTGCGGCACCGTGCCCTTGTTCGGCCCGAAGTGCCCAGCTCCGCCGTGCATCAGCGCGACCTTCGCCGCGCGTCCCGCACCCGGCCCCGCCGCGCCGCGCTGCGGCAACATGAAGACAGGCTTCGCGGTGTCGGCAATCGCCGCGTCCGCGTCGGAACTCGCGACGATCTTCGCGCCCGCGCCCGGCCGCACCGCAGGCCGCGCCTCCGCCGCCTTCTCCGGCTCCGCGGCCGCGGCGTCCGGCGCGGTGTAGCTCCCGAGGTCGCCGGAGGGCTGCTCGCCAAACAGGGTCGCGCCGAGGCGCCGGAACAGGCCCGGACGCGCGGCCGCTGCGGTCGCGGCGCCTGCAACGGGCCTGCCCGTCTCGCCGATCGTCGCGGTGTCCTTCTGCCCGAGCACCAGTCCGCTCGCCGCGCTCGACTTGGACACCGGGGCGTCCACGCCGCCCTCGCGGCGGAGCTGCTGCCCCTCCGCGGTGTCGCGGATCGTCGGGTCGCCCTGCTCGACCTGGATCGTCTGCGGTCCGCGCGCAACGGCCTGCCCGGCGGGCCCGACAGCCCCTGCTGCAGCCTTGCCCTCCCGTGCGCCGCCGATGACCGCGCCGGCGGGCGTCGCCGCCGCGCCCGGCCCGACGACCACCGTGGCGTTCTTGCCGCCAGCGCGCGGCGCGAGCGTGCCGTGCGCACCCTCGCCGCGGACGGCGCGAGCGGTGTCGCCGATGACGGGCTCTGCGGCTCCGCCGGGCACCAGCGAGCCGGACACGGCCCCCGTCGAGGCGTGCGGGCCCACGACGGCGCCCTTCGCGCCCTGCACGGCGTCGCCCGCGGGGCCGCCGATCACCGGCTGCGCGTCCGCGCCGCCGACCGGCTTGACGGTGCCAGGCATCGACCTGCGCTGCCCCGCAACGGTCCCGTGCGGCCCCTGCGCGACCTCCGCGCCCGAGCGCCCGATGGTAGGATCCGCCGTCGTCGCTGCCGCGACAGACGCGCCGGCGGCGGCGCCCGGCAGCGGCCCCGTCACCGTGCCATGTGGTCCCTGCGGAATCGGCTTCGCAGGGCCGCCGATGACCGGCTCGTCCGCGTCGAACGCCACGACGTTCGTCGACGCCGCGCTGCCCGTGCCGGGGCCGGCGACCACGCCGTGCGGGCCCGCGCTGACAGGCTTGGCAGGTCCGCCGAGGACCGGCTCCGCCGCCGACGCCGCAGCGACAGCCGCGGCGCCAGCGGCGCCGCCCGACGGCCCCGTGACAACGCCCTTGGGTCCCTCCGCGACGGGCTTGGCGGGCCCACCGATCGTCGGGTCGGCGAAGTCGCCAACCACGACGAGGTCGTGAGCGCCGCTGCCGGCCCCGGGCCCGGTGACGGTGCCGTGCGCGCCCGCGGCGACAGGCTTGCCGGTCGCACCGATCGTCGGTTCCGCCGCCTCCGCGCCCGCCAGCCAGCCGCCCCGGTTCACGCGCGCCTGACCAGGCTTCGCCGCATCCTCACCGCCCACCTTCGCCGCGCCGCCACCGCGCCCAACGACCGCCGGAGCCGCCGCAGCGACCAGGAGAGTCTGACCAGCCCCCGCCGCCTTCGCACCGGGCGCGACCGTCCCGTGGGCGCCGGCGCCGCTGCCCAGCGCAGCCGCGCCAATCGCCGCCCCCGCGACGGCCGCTGGTGCGGCCGCCGCCGCGGCCTCCGCGTCGCCGAGCCTCCCAACGACGGTTCCGTGCGGGCCGCTCGGCAGGGGCTTCGCGGGCCCCCCGATGACCGGCTCCATCGCGCCCTCGCCCATGCGGATGGGGGGGAGTTTCCCGCGCGCGCCCGACCACGACGCACCGGGCTCCGCGGAGACATCCGCGGGGCCCGCGCCGCGCCGCTCGACGCTGAAGAGGTCCCGCGCGCTGCGGGGCTGGCTGACGTCCGCGGCCGGGATGTTCGGGCGCTGCAACATCGACGCCGACTTGGCAACCTTCTTGTCGCCGGGGCTCGAGGGCAGGGCCTCGGACGCGGTGTCCGTGGGCTGCTCCGGGGGCTTCAGCATCGCGCCGAGGCCGAGGCTCGACGTCGTCGTCTTGAACAGGTCGCGCACCACGCTGCCGATGGCGCTGTCGAACGACACCGCACTCGCGGCGGACGCCGTCGGCCTGGACACGTCCGACGCGCCGTCGCCGTCGTCAGCCGGCGCCTCGCGCGCGTCGAACGGCTGGCTGGGCGCCATCCCCGCGGAGATCCGCGTCGGGTCGAGCGACGGAAGCTTGCGAATGTGCTTCTGCTCCAGCGCCGTGAGGGGGGGGAGTCGGGTCTCGCCGGACGCGGCCTGCGCGGTCCCGCGGCCGGACGTCGACGGTGTCGGCGCTTCGGACTCCTCCGCGATGGGGCTCACGGGCGCCACGGCCTTGTTCCGCGTCCACCAGAGGAACCCCGGCGTCTTGCGCGGCGGCGGGCTGGCGCGCTGGCCCGAGGACGAGCGCGGGCTCGCGCTGCCCTCCGCGGGCCCGACCGTCTCGCCGCTCTCCTCGCGGCTCACCTCCTTCGAGCTCGCCTCGTCGCTGCGCAGCGGCTTGGGCGCCTTGAGGCCCTCGCCGCCAGACTGCTGCCGCCCGATGCGGAACGCGTTCGCCGCCGCCGCGGCGCGCCCCGACGGCTGCTTGAACAGCTCGTTCAGGGGCCCGTCGAGCTCGCCCTCGGCCAGCGCCTTGGCCGCCGAGGTCTGCTTGCTCAGCGAGCGCTGGCGCAGCATCTGCCGCCCGCCCGGGAACGCCTGGAAGCCCTGCACGTTCCCGGCCGTCGTCGCAGCGCTGTCGGTGTCCGCCTCGACGGCCGGCACGACCTTCGTGGGCGCCGCGAACCGAGCCTTCTTGCGCTTGGGCGTCAGCGGAGCGGCAGCAGCGCCGTCGGCCTTCGTCGAGGCGCCCTCCTCGCCGCCCTCGCCCTCCGCCAGCGCAGCGATGCGGCGCTCCTCCCTCTTGCGCTTGCGGCGCTTCCAGATCGGGATGATCGCGAACATGAACCCCACAGCCGCACCGCCCACCGCCAGCACCCACCAAGGGAACTTGAAACCGCCGCCGTCGCCCGAGCTCGCGCCGCCCCGGGTGTCCGTGGCCGGATCGAAGCCCTCGATGCCGCCGGTCCCGCCGGTGCCGTCGTCGTCGCCGGCGGTCGTGTCCGTCCCGCCCTCCGCGCCGCCAGTCAGCTCCTCGTCAGCGATGCGCGCCTCCCCCGCGCCGCCGTCGTCGCCGCCATCGTCGCCGCCGCCGCCGGGAGGGTCCGGCGGAACGCCCTCGGCCTCGCCCGTCAGCCCGTCGCCGTCTCCGACCGGAGGGTCGCCCCCGTCGTCGCCGCCCGGGGGCGCGTCACCGCCACCACCGCCGACGAAGATGCCGGCGCCGGTGTCGTTGGCGGCAGGCGCGGTCGTCGTCGCAGCCGGTGTCGTCGGGGCTGAGGTCCCGTCAGTCACCGCAGGCGCCGTCGTGGCGTCAGGGGCGCCCGCGTCGCCGGTCGCAGGTGTCGTGCTTGGCGACGCGTCGTCGGACGCGGGCGCGGTGGTGGGAGCCACGGTGGTGTCGCCTCCGACGGCCGGCGCATCGGTGGCCGCGGGCGGCGCGGCAGTGCTGCCATCGCCCGCCGCGGGGGGCGTGGTGTCGGCGGCCGCACCGGGGGTGGTCATCGTGGCACCGTCGCCGTCCGGGGCCGCGGTCGCAGCAGCAGTCGCCGCAGGGGCGCTGTCGCCGTCCACCGCCGCGACGGTGGTCGCGGTTGGCGTGGATCCGGAGTCGCCGCCCGCCGCCGGGGCGGTGGTTGCAGTGGCCTCCGAGGAGCCCGACATGGCGCCGTCCGTCGCGACGCCGGGCGTCGTGGCCGGCGCCGTCTCCGGAGCAGACGTCGCAGCGGGCGCGTCGGTCGCGCTGCCTGCTGCAGCCGTGGTGGCCGGGGCAGCTGCGGCCGTCGTGGCGGCGCTAGCGGGAGCGGTGGTCGGCTCTGCTGTTGCGGCGGCGGTCGTTGCGCTGGGTGCCGCGGTCGCGTCCGCGGCGGCCGCGGTGGTAGCCGCCGGCGCAGCTGCCGTGGTCTCCGCTGCCGGCGCGGTCGTTGCTGCGCTGGTGGCCGCCGTTGTTGGTTCCGCAGCAGCCACGGTGGTGGCCGCCGGGGCAGCTGCCGTCGTTGCTGCGTCCGTGGGTGCCGCAGTCGGCTCGGCAGCGGCCACAGTCGTAGCTGCCGGCGCAGCTGCAGTCGTCGCGGGAGCAGCGGGCGCCGTGGAGGGCTCGGCGGTCGCTGCGACCGTCGTGGCGCTGGGCACCTCCGTTGTCGCAGGAGCAGCTGCGAGTGTGGTTGGCGCCGGGGCAATGGTCGTCGCTCCCGCGGCAGTGGTCGCAACGGGCGGGACTGGCGTAGTCGCCGCGTCCGAAGTAGGCATGGGTCCTGCGGGGAGGGAGGCACAACGCAGGTGTGTGAACAACAGCATGCGCCGCGTGGGGCGGCTGCTGAGCCGGCCCTGCTGGTCTCGACTGACCGAGTTCAGTTGTCAAGTTGAGAGTTGATAAGTTGAGAGTTGTCAAGTTGAGAGCCGTCGTTCCGTGAGGATCGAGGACTGACCGAACGTCGCCGAGGGGACCGTCTCCGAACCCGTGTCGTTGTCGCTGTTTCCGGAGCCCGACGTGGCCACCGGGACACTCGTCGTCATTCCGGGCACCGTCGTGGCCGACGGCGCCGTCGTGGCCATCAGCGCCGCCAGCGTCGTCAGACCAGCCCCCGTGGTCACCGAGGGGGTGGTGGGGCCTGCCGTCGCGACCGTCGTAGCCGCAGCCGCAGTTGTGGGCTGAGGCGCTGCCGTCGTCGGCTGAGGCGCCGCCGTCGTCGGCTGAGGCGCGGCCGTCGTCGGCTGAGGCGCGGCCGTCGTCGGCTGAGGCGCCGCCGTCGTCGGCTGAGGCGCGGCCGTCGTCGGCTGAGGCGCGGCCGTCGTCGGCTGAGGCGCCGCCGTCGTCGGCTGAGGCGCCGCCGTCGTCGGCTGAGGCGCGACGGTCGTCGGCTGAGGCGCGACGGTCGTCGGCTGAGGCGCCGCCGTCGTCGGCTGAGGCGCGGCCGTCGTCGGCTGAGGCGCGACGGTCGTCGGCTGAGGCGCGACGGTCGTCGGCTGAGGCGCCGCCGTCGTCGGCTGAGGCGCGGCCGTCGTCGGCTGAGGCGCGACGGTCGTCGGCTGAGGCGCGACGGTCGTCGGCTGAGGCGCCGCCGTCGTCGGCTGAGGCGCGGCCGTCGTCGGCTGAGGCGCGACGGTCGTGGCCGCAGGTGCCGCGGTGGTGCCCGGAGCAGTAGTTGAGGGTTGAGTGGCCGCCGCAGTCGTGTGCGGGGCTGCCGTCGTCGTTGAGGGCGCTGGCCCAACCGTCGTGGCCGCTGGGCCGGTAGTTGAAACTGCACCCGTTGGGGCAGCGGCACGCAGGAATGCAATCGCGTTGGAAGGGACAGCAGAGCCCGTCGACAAGAAGCGTCAGTGCAAACAACAGAGGCAGTTTGGGTGGGCGGGGGTGGCGTGTATACCTGCAACCGTGGTGGCAGCTGCCGTGGGGGCCGCAGTTGTCGCAGCCAGCGTCGTCGATGCTGCCGTCGTAGGCGCAGCCGTCGTCGTTGCTGGAGCTGCAGCCGTCGTCGTAGGCACCGCCGTCGGGGCCGCAGCCATGGTCGTCGCCGGCGCTGCTGTGGTCGTCGCTGGCGCTGCTGTGGTGGTCGCAGCCACAGTCGTCGGTGCCATCGTCGTCATCGGCGCCGCCGTCGTCGTCATCGGCGCCGCGGTCGTCGTCACCGGCGCCGCCGTCGTCGTCACCGGCGCCGCCGTCGTCGTCACCGGCGCCGCCGTCGTCGTCACCGGCGCCGCCGTCGTCGTCACCGGCGCCGCCGTCGTCGTCACTGGCGCCGCAGTCGTCGTCACTGGCGCCGCCGTCGTCGTCACTGGCGCCGCAGTCGTCGTCACCGGCGCCGCAGTCGTTGTTGGGGCCGCCGTCGTTGTTGGAGCCGCCGTCGTGGTGGGAGCCGCCGTCGTGGTGGGAGCCGCCGTCGTGGTGGGAGCCGCCGTCGTGGTGGGAGCCGCCGTGGTCGTTGGTGCCGCCGTCGTGGTCGGAGCCGCCGTTGTGGTGGGCACCGCCGTCGTGGTCGGAGCCGCCGTGGTCGTCGGGGCAGCCGTCGTCGTGGGCGGGAGCGTCGTGGCAGCCATGGTCGTGGCCGCCGCCGTGGTGGTCGCGGGCGGCGCCGTCGTGGGCGCGTCGCCCTTGATCACGCCCCACCCGTACACGCTCGACTTCCCGGAGTACGCGCTGTCCAGGTACCCCACCACCGGCGTCTCGTTCGACGCGTCAATCAGCAGCGACGGGAACCGAATCTGCCCCGCCGAGAACCCCGCGCCGTCGCCCACGTACCGCCACGTCGACCCGTCCCAGCGCATCACGCTCGCCCTGCCGCCCACGGCGTCGTCCACGAACGCGAACCACGGGTACCCCGTCGAGGCGTCCACCGCAATGTCAATCTCCGAGGCCTGCCCCTGCGAGAGCCCGCGGGCGCCCATGAGGCTCCACGCCGACCCCGTGTACTGCATCGCCGTCGCCTTGTTCGACACGCCGTTGTCGTTGAACACCACGACCGGCGTCACCGCCGACGAGATCGGGTCGATGGACAGCGCCAGGTCCACCGCGTCGTACGCCGACGACGCCGAGAAGCACGCCGCGCCGAAGCTGCTCCACGACGACCCGTCGTGGCGCTTGACCGTCACGCGGCCCTGCGGGGACCCCGAGCACCCGAAGTCGCGGTACCCGACGTACAGGTCGTTGTTGGGCGCCACCGCCAGCGACACGCCGTCCACGGTGCCGGGGCTAAAGCCCCAGCTCTGCCCCGAGCCCCCCACGAAGTCCCACCAGGCGCCCCCGGACGCGAGCTTCATCACGCTGAGCCGGTTCGGGATGCCCGCCGTGCTGCCGTCGACAAACGCAGCGTATCCGTTGCCCAGCGCGTCCAGCGCGAACGAGACGTCCGTGGCGTCGCCCCACGAGAAGCACGCGTTGCCGTACTGCACCCACGTGCCCCCGCCCGTGTGCCGGAGCGCGGACGCCGCGCCGGGGCACCCTGCGTCCTGAAACGTGACGATCGGCTCGCCCCCGGCGTCCACCGCCATCGAGATGTACTTGACGGCGCCGGACGACAGCCCGCGCGAGCCGAGGACGACCCAGTCCGGCCACGAGTCCGTCCAAACGAGGACCGTCAGCTGCAGAGACGCGACGACCACAGAGCGGGGGTGTTGGTGGTGGTCTGCGGGCGGAGCGACCGCGGAGCGGGTGCGGAGGGCGGCGCGGTGGCGTGCGTGGTCTGCGGGCGCGCGGCGCACCTTGTTGCTGGCGCCGGTGTCCGCGAACGCCAGGTAGACCGCGGTGTCGGTGATGACCATGTCCAGGGCCTGGTTGGTGGCGGCGACGGGGCTCGGACTCGCTCCCGGGTCCGAGAAGCCCTTGGCCTTCCAGTAGTAGCGCAGCCCGCTCCCCGCAGAGCCTTCCTGGAACGCGGCCGAGGCCGGTCCCGCGAGGCTTGCGCACACCAGCAGGGCCCAGCAGAGCGCCGCGCGAACCACGAACGCGGGGTGCATTGTGCGCGGCCGGGGCCCAAAAATGATAGAGAAGATGGTAGGAATATCCACCGTTTGCGGGGTCGGCTGAAGAAGCCGGTCCGGGGCGTGCTTGTGTGCTTGCAGATACGGTCTGGCCCGGACGACGGGGCAGGTGCGAAGAGGCGCCGCGGGTCCCGTGGAATCCGTGAGGGAGTGGCTCGAGTAAGCCACCGGTCTGTGCTCTGTGCGGAGCTGCGCCTAGGCAAGCGGGGATAACCACCAGTGCAGGAGAGGAGCACCAAAAAGCGCTCTGCTCAGCTCTTGCTCCCACGAGGGCCGCGGGGGAGGGGGGTCCAATGCGTTGATGTGTGCTGTGACGGAGCGAGAAGGGGCAGTCTGGCCTCTCCTCGAACACGTACTTGTATTGCTGCGACCACAAGGGCGGGGAGCAGTGCGTGGGTGCGCGGCCTGCGGGGAGCCGCCTCGGCAGACGGATGAGCTCGACCGTCTGGCGAGGACGAGCGCGTTACGTTCGCGCCCGGGGGTGTCTCGGCGACGGGCTCGCTCCAGCAATGGTTGGCTCGCCCTCCAGGGCCCGCAGCGGCCATCGCGGGGCCGTCTGGGGCGTTTGCGCGGCGCTGAAGCAGAACATAGACACAATTGATCATGAAAGCAGTTGATATTCCTCAGATGTGCCCGTTCACGGCCCCTGGAGCACGGTTGTGCTGGCAGCAAAACACGCCCGGCTTCGCGCAATCACGCGCGTGATTCGCTGTACGACGGTGCTGCTTAGACCGAGCATGGTTGAGAGCTTGCAATGCGCCCAAGGCACGCGGCCTGTGCGGAGGCAGGCGCTCACGAAGCGCTCCCTCTCGCAGCCGAGCCTACAGTCGTCTCCCGCTCCGCGCCGCAACGCGGTTTCGGAGCGCGCTGCGGCGCCTGTGGCCCTCACCTTAAACGAAAAGCCGTGGTCGACTTCTTCGAGTTTCGCGGTCACCGTGCGCCGCTCAGGCCAGGAAGATGCATCTGGCGCTACTGCGTGGCGGTTCCGGACCTCAACTTCGGACCCGGAGCATTTTGGACACGACGCGTGTAAAGTAATCTGTTGTGCCGCGCCGCCGCAACGCGGCCCGGCAATGGATTCCGACGCGCTGGCTCGCACGAGGCCGAGACCGACTGCCAGCACATAAGCTTGGCCGGCTTCAGTGCGCGCACCCTCTGCGAGATCCGACCAGCGCGTCCCCTCCTCGCACCCACGATCATTGAGTTCGGCGCAGGAAACAATCTCCGCTGCGTCTATCGCGACGACGTTGCACGGACGTGCCACCTGGCGCAGGTTGACGAACGTGTCGGCCTCCCGCTCCCGCAGGACGCGTTGACAATATTACAGAATGAGTCACAGCGGATCTCCCAGCCCCAACCTTGCGATGCGCCCCTCGCAGCTACCTCGTCCCCCGACGTCGACGCATATCCGGGGCATTCTTGCACCTAGCAACACCGAGCTGGTCGCGTTTCCGGCATCTGACGCGGCGATGGGCGATCTGCGATGACGGTTCGCCTGGAATATCTACAATGCGTGCACGACGTTGTTTGATAAACGAATGACGGTGCTTTGGGCGGCCGTGCACCGCACGTGCCCTCTGTTGCATGGGCAGCACGAAACCACGTGTGGGCGCGCGTGCGACACGACCATTCTGGCGTCCACAGCCGCTCGTGGACGGTGTCACGCACTGGCGACCCGAGTCGGCCACGCCGGGGCGCGGGCCGCGACGCTGCGGGGACATTCCTCGACACAGGGAATCTGTCGCCCGGGGCCGTGTCAGGGCGGTGACGAGCCCGTCAGCGGGGCAGGCGGTACATGGGGGTACCGTCCGTGGATTGTCGGTCTTCGTGGCTCGCCGGGATGCGACGACGGTGCGCAGCCCCGGCACGTGAGAGGCATTTCACCCCCTGTACACAAACGCCGCGCACGCCGGTCGGACGACATGCGCGGGCCGCGGAACCTGGTCCTCAGAAGAGTTGCAAGCCGGCAGAGCTCGTGTGCGGATCGCATACCGGCACCTGGGGCCTGTGACATGGCAGTTTACTGCCATGCGCGCTCGGAGTCAACGCCTTACGGGTGCCACGGCCACCCTGCACTGCTGGTGACCGGAACGGTGTTCCCTGTCGAGGCACCATCAACACGGACGCGAGCGTCCGCGAGAGGCTCGGGGTGCGGGGGGCCACGATGACGCAAAGGGTGCCGTGGCAGTCCGGGGGGGTAACCCCGGGATCGGACGTGGCTGGGGGCTACTGTGGAGCGAGGTCGACAGGCGGGGGATCAGTTTGATGACCGGAGGTGTCTGCGGATACCGAACCAGGCCCGGGCGAAGGTCGTGCCGCGCGTCGGTGGTGATCTGTGCGCGCCTTCTGTGGGCAGGAGGCAGGGGAGAGCAGGCGGGTGGTCGAACGCCAGATTGAAGTGCGCCAGGTACATGTCGCTCGCGCGAGATGTCAAGAACAAGCGTCTCTCGATTAGTCGGAGCCGCCGGCCTTCCGCCCGCCCTCCCTTGGGCTGCGCACCCACGCGACGCGGGCGGGAACGCCCTGCGTCCCAGTCGCCAACACGCTGAGTCGCCACGCACGTAGGCCATCACGTTCGCGACGCACTGCAGGCATGGGGCGAGGACGCGGCGGCGGCGGCGGTCGCCGCAAGGCGCCCAACGCCGCACAGAGCTCGTCTCGTGGCCACGCCGCAGCAGAGGCGCACGAGCACGGCGGCTGCTCCTGCTGCAACCACGAGAGGGATCCGGTGGCGGACTACGTGAACGTGATCAGTTCGCGCCGCGGACTGACGCCCGACTCGGCTATGCAGTTTGCTGGGTACTTCTCCAGCGTCACGCCTGAGCAGGTCCACGCGTACTTCCAGAGCCGGAACACGAATCGTGTCTTGGACCTCAGGGGCATCGCGCAGGACTTCGGGCGGGAGCAAACCCTCGCGAAGCACCAGCAACGCATGGAGAAGCATCGCACCAGCACACCACACCACCTGGACAGCGGCGTGAAGGCGGCGGCGCAACACATCCACCGTCTCGCCGACAAGGTCGGGCTTCCCCCGCACACGGGCCCCCCGCCGGAGTCGTGCACGCCCATCGCCGTCAAGGACATGCTGCCCGACACGCGGCACCGCAAGCGCGTGCTGCGCGGGACCTGCGTCGTGGACCCCGTCCACACCGTGTCCCTGGATACGGTGGTCGAGGACGAGAACGGCGCCGTCGTCCGGGTGGTCGTCTACATGGCCGACTTGGGTATGGACCGGTCCAAAGAATCGGTGGAAGAGAGGTACCGCCGGGGGCGGCACGTGGCGATCCCGGAGCCGTACCTCTGCGCGGAGATCAACGGCGAGCTGGCCGTGCACGTCGAGGACCCGCGGTGAGTCACGTTCGCCTCCAATGACCCGCATGATAGGAAGTATGTTGTTTTCTTTTCCGGGACTCAGCGGAGTCGCTCCCACCTGTCGACGCAGGGACTTCGTGTTCGTCGACGAGGTCGCCCCGTCCGACGCGGCCGGCTGGCGCGTCCGGGGCAACGCGCATCTTCAGGAGGGCGACCTTGCGGCAGCAAAGAGGTGCTACATTCGCGGCCTCCGTTACGCGGCCGGGCCGGACGACCTGGTCATGTCGACGCTCCTGAACCTGTCCGCCGCACACCTGCACGCCGGGGACCCCGCCCGCGCGCTGCTGGCGGCCCTCGCGGGCCTGGCATTGCGCGGCAACGCCTCGAAGGCGCACTTTCGCGCCGCTTGCGCGCTCGAGCAGCTCGGAGCGGGGCCCGCGGCCCAGTGGTTCTGCACGCAGACGTGCAAGCTGGACGGCTCCGAGGACCCCGCCGTTTCGGCCATGCTCCAGCGCCTGAAAGCCAACGGCGACGCCGCAAGGGTGACGTCCGAGAAGGCCGCGGTGGTCGCTGTGCTCCGTGCGCTTGCGAAGCACTCCCCGGATTGCTTCGCGTGCGAAGCGGCAGGGGCCGGTGGCGGCGAGGACGCGGCCGGCGACCGCATCGAGCAGATGCGTGCTGCAAAGGAGAGGGGCAATGTTTCGTTCAAGGACAAGGAGTACGCTTCGGCGATCGCAGCGTACCGCGACGCGCTGAGCTGCGCGGAGGACGCCGCGACGCTGCTCGCGAACCGGGCGCTGTGCCAGTGCAAGGCGGAGGCGTGGGTGCCGGCTGCGGTGGACGCGTGCGCAAGTCTCGTGATCCGCCCCGGCAACGGCCGGACGCAGTACCGCCTTGCGTCTGCGCTGATGGAGCTCAACCTGATCGACGAAGCGCGGTCGGCGCCGCTCGACGCGGTCGATGACGCGACGAGGGCCGAGGTCCACGCGCGACGCGAGGCGCTGGCGCGGGCGGCGGGGTTCCAAGTCAGCAGGGCGCGAGGCAACGCGATGGAGGATTTGTTCTCGTTCATGGTGCCCCCCATGTCGTCGGGGGAGTCGGGCGAGACGCTGTGGGAGCTGCAGCGGTTCAACTCTGTCCTGGGTCTCATCACGCCGGAGAGCCTGCGCGCGGCGGGCATCAAGGAGCGCGTGCCGCGCAGGGACGTGCCCGACTTCCCGCGGGCGTTCGGGGACCGGTGTCTGTGGCCGCCCGGGTGCGACCGGCGCCGCTGCGACCGCTTTCTGCGCAAGGCGTACGAGACCGAGGTCGGGATCAGCTCCAACTTGTTTCAGCTGGCCAGCCAGGGCCCGTCGCAGCTCCTGGACGACTACGCGACGCTCGCGCAGCGGCTCGGCGGGCAAGCCTCGCCCGCGCGGAAGGAGTGGCTGTTGACCGCGCCGCTCGGCGACGTGCGCTACCACACGCAGGTCGACCCGCTCGCGATGTACCCGTGCAATAATCAGCTCCACAGCTTCGGCAACGCGTACGCGGCGCCGGCGAAGCTCCGCCGCGGCGACGTGCACGTCTCGGTCGGCTTCAACGACCTCGCATGGCTGGCACAGTGCCTCCAGCTTGGCCTCGACCCGCCCGCCGCCCCGGCCGGTCCCGACGCGCCCCTGCTCTTCGTCGGATACGACGGGAGCCCCTACGGCGTGGCGAAGACGTCGGTCATCGTGGAGATGCTGCGGCAGGGCGCGCAGTACGCGTCGGCGGCGGACGCGAGGGATGCTCGAAAGTTCATCGCGGACGTCGTCGAGGTGTGGTTCAGCAGCGCGTGGACATCGCGAACGCTGCAGAGGTTCAAGGCCGCGGTCGCGCGGCTGGCGGACGACGCGGGGTGGCGCGCGAGCCAGTCGGACAAGGTGGTGGCCATCGTGCTGCACTGGGCCGCGCACCCGGACGTGCCACTCGCGCGGGCGCTCGGCGAGTGGCTCGACACCCACAGCCACGCCAAGCACGGCTTCGGGAACTGGGTGCAAACGAAGGATACGTTCGAGCACGCCATTTACGCGATGACGGGCTCCCTGAACCCCAAAGGCACCGTCGGCAGCCCCGTCATGTTCTCCCTGCCCGACTCCCTCGCGCTGGGCAGCTTCTTCCCGGACGAGAGCATCTTCTTCGCGATCGACGTCGCGGAGCTGTCCGCCAGGCGGGAGGCGAACATGAAGCCGGCGATCGTCTCCTTGGCAACGGAGGTCCTCGCTGACCGGGTCCGGGCGCTCGCCGAGGCCCTGTGGAGCGGCGCGCTGCAGGTGGACCTGCGGTGCGGGTTCGTCGACCACTACCGGGGCGACCAGGCGGTCGTCGACGCGATTGCGGCCCTGCGGCCCGCAACGATGTACTGGAGCAACTGCCCGGACTACATGGACCCGAGTCTCTTCGGGAGCTTGGCCAGAGAGTGCTCGGCGCCGCAGGGCACGCGCCACTACCTGCACGCGATGAACTGGCCGACGTGCGTCAAGGGGGCGTTCGTGTTTGACTACCAGGACCGCAAGGCGCGGCTGCAGATCGTCGACAAGGCCCGGGAGCAGGTCGCCAAGGAGTACGCAGCGGACAACCGCGACGTGTACATGCGCCTGCCGGTCGTCGACAACCCCGTCAGCGTCGCGGGGTACTACCTCGACCGTCAGTTCCACCGCACGTACGCCAAGCAGTTCTTCGAGGACGCCGACGTGCAAGCGGGTTCGTGGGAAGTCACCAAGGCCCCCGCGTACAACAAGCTGGCGGGGAGCTACGCGGTCTTCAGCATGGCGTTCGACGCGAGGCCGCGCGACGGGGAGGCGTAGGCGCACGGCGGTGGCACTGGGTCGCTTGTACTTCGTGCGTGAGGTGAGGTGAGGTGTCACATTCTTCGCGTCGTCAGCCATGAGGCTTCGGGACCTGAAAAGATCATTCGACTAGGTGGCGAGTCATGCTAACCCCCCACCGTTATGGTAGCAACAGGTTCGGCAGCTGTGACACAGTCAGCCTGGAGCAGATCCTCGATGCCACGAGCGAAAATCGCCATGCCTCGCTGATTCGGCAGGTTCAGAAGATAACGCACTGCAGCGTTGGCAGCGGCTTCCGAGTCGAGTGTCGCAGCGCCGTGCAGGTCCTCGAGGTGCTGGCGAAGCCGGCGGTTGAGAGCGAAGCGGCGGCGCTGTCCAACAGTTACCGTGGACCACAGGGGCGCATCGGCAGCGGGCGGAGGTAGTAGCGCGAGCTGCCCAGACGAGTCCATGGCCGTGTGACGGCCCCCCGCCGGCCACGTGGGCGGGAGTGAGACTGCTGCCGGGCGACTGATGATGATGTCACTGAGTCTCACAGATTTGTATGTCTGCAGCCTAGATAGATGAACGAGAGGGCTCAGGGGGGGTGATGATTATGAGTGCGAGCTCATGCGTTCCAGACAGACGAATGCGTGCGCGTCGTCTGCCTCTCATGCGATAGATAATTTTACGCCACTTTCAGTCGGCGGACAGCGGGTTGTTGTCAACTTGGCACCATGAGGAGCGCCCGCTGCCGCGCGGCGGACCCCGCTGCGGAGCATCGCCAGCCGAGTCGACGCTGAACATCGACGGCGCGCTGGACAGCTCGCCGTATTCCGAGTCGGCCTTCACGCCGGCGGGCGCGCCAGCTTCGTTGGCATGTGCAGAATCGTTTGTGACTGGCCCGAGAGGAGGCCCGGCGTTGTTGCGCACCCGCTTGCTGCGCCGGACGCGCATCGTCGCGGACGCGAGTAGACCGGCGACCGCGCGCGCGTCCATGCCGCGGCCCGTGTGCCTCTGGACCTCCTCGTACTTGTCGAGCAGGCGCGCGACGGCCTTGCGCAGCAGATACTGCCGGAAGTGGAACTTGACGGCCATCGCAGCCCGCGTCTCGCGCTCCTTGCCCTTCTCCCACGCGGCGACGGGGGCGACGTTGACTCTCGTGTAGTCGGAGCCCGCCCACGGACGCGCGAAGACGACGCACAGCGCGATGCGCGCCACCACCGTCCACGCAACGAGGATGTAGCAGCAGACGTACACATCGGCGTCGTCGAACGAAATGCGTTCCAAAAACGCGCTGCCGCTGATACACGGCTCCAACCAAAGCAGGCTGGAGTCGTCGTTGAGGAACGCGATGAGCAACGCCGAGACGTCGGCGCCGCGTTCGCACGCGACGGTCTGCAGCCCCCGGAGCTCGAGCTTCGACATGCCGCGCACGATCCAGAACATCGGCGTGGTGTACGGGATCCACGCGACGCTCGCGGGCATGTCGGCCACGAACCGCAACACCCCCCCCATGATGCCGTTGGCGCCCAGGAAGGCGCCGGAGAGCAGCAGCGCGCGCCCCGGGGCGCTGCTCTGGACGGAGAAGTACAGCAGGTAGAAGACGGACTGGAATGCGAGCGCGCCCATGTAGAAGCAGATGAAGCTCAGCGCCCACTCTTCGATCTTGGACACGAAGCCAGCCATGAAGTAGAACACCACGTGCGCGAGGATGCTGGCGACCGACACGAAGACGGCGTCGCGCAGGACGACGAAGAGCGCCACGGCGGGCCACGGGACGAAGGCCGCCCTAGCGTCGAACTCCGCGCGGAGGCGCTCGCGGGGCGCGAGGGATGCTGCGTGCAGCGCCAGGCCGGCAAACGCGCTGCAGAGGCACAGGTACAGGACGGCGTTCACGCGGTACACGAAGTCCTGCGAGCTGGCATTGCCGAGCTCCCAGTACAGGGCGCCGAGGAAGAACCCGATGCTCGCGGCCGTGAGGGCGTCGCCAGCAACTCCGTCCACGACGTTCCCCGCCAGAACCGCCCGACCTTGACCGCCACGATCCGCAGCGCAGAGCGGCCCTCGCAGTGCGTCCAAGACACTGCCGCCCTGGCCTGCACGGCGCCCGGGCTCGCCGCGCCCTTTGCGCCGGCGGCCTGCCGTTTCGTGTCTTGACTCTTGCTCTCGATGGGGGCTTCGATCGCGGCGACGCTCTCGCTGGCGCTGCCGTATTCGCAGACGCTCTCGACGTCGCCGGCGTCGGGACCCACCGACGTCCGCGCTGTGCGCGTCCTGTCGACATAGCGAGCGACCATGCCAAACCAGCTGTGCTCGTGCCATCCCTGCGCCTGCGCCGCGCGCATGTTCAGGTTGGCCTCCGCCGCCACCGCCTGCTTCACGTACACCGTCGCGGGGTACGTCGCCCACGCGCCGAGGAACGCGTCGTCGCCGACGGCGTCCTTCAACAGGTCGGCATCGTTCACGTTGCGCGACACAAACTTGAGCGCCGCGGTGCGTCCCGACGCGTGCGCTCCGCGCGTCAGCACCGCGCGGGCGCCACCGACGGCGCGGACGACCGGGCCAGCGAAGACGGTCGTGTTGTGCGGCCCGAGGACGATGCACGAGTCGAACAGGCCCAGGGTATCTGTGCGTGGCTGTGCGACGGATGCCAGGACGGTCACTTTGCCCGACGACGCGATGCCCTTGAGCGCCACGCACACTGCGAGCGCGGAGGCCGCGTCGAGACCCTCGAGCGGCTCCGTGAGGAAGAGCACGCCTGGGCAGGAGAGAAGTGCAATGGCGACGCTCAGCAGCCTGCGGTTGCCCGGGCAGAGTTCCCCGACCTTCGCGGCTGCGTGGCCGGCGAGGTGCGTCTCCGCAAGGACGCGCTTCACGCGCGCCGCCTTCTGCGCTGGCGGTGCGGACGCAGACATCACCATCTCGCAGTACTGGCACAACGTGTCTGTGACCGACTGTGAGTCTAGCAGGCGCCGGCCTGCAGCGCCGCTGCTCAGGTCCTCCGCGGTCACGAGTGCCGCGCCGCCGCTGGCCAGCCAGCTCTCCGGATAGATCAGCGGCGCAGGCCCCGGTGAGAACAAGAAGCGCGATCCCGACACGACGCCCGATGCGTGGCCCGCGAGCGCCTCCAGCAGAGTCGCCCGCGCGCCCCGCTCCGAGCTCATCACCGCGGCAAGCGTGCCGCTCTCCACGCGGCCCCACGCGTCCGTCAACGGAGACTGCGCTGCTTCAGCGACGCCCATATGCCGCAACAGCCGCATCAAGATGCCTTCCTGCGGCGCCATTGTCAGGCCCGACCACGCCAGCACGGGCGCTGGGGGCCGGGCGCTGCCGTCTTCGGGCTTGACCGCGGAGCTGGCCATCAGCGCCCTGAGCTCGCGCATCCGCAGGTGCGACACCGTCAGCAGGGCGCCCACGGCGATCGCCGGCAGCAGTACGAGCACCGTGGCGAGCAGCGACGCCGTGAACGCACCGCCGGCCTCGTCGAAGGCCGTGTATTCGGCGACGGGCAGGACCGGCTTCGAGGTCACGAGCAGCTTGGCCGGCGAGGGCGTGCAGAGCAGTGCGCCGCCCTGCGCGGACCCAGGGACGGGATCGAACCCCACCGCACATTCGTCGCAAGCCTCCCCCGCGTACGGCTCGGGGCACTCGCAGGCGGCGACGTGGCGCATCTGCACGGGCGCGCCGTCTGGCACCCCGGTCAGTGCTGCGACGCCGATGCAGCGCCCCGTCCCCGCGCACTGCCGCTCCGGGGCGAACCACGCTGTCTTGCACGTGTAGATCGGGGCTTCGCAGTCCAGGCGATCGTTGACTGGCCACGACGGGTCCCAGAGACAGCCCCCCGACGGCCCTGCAGGCCCGATGCGCATGCGCTCTGCTTGCATGTCGCACACGCCGTTCCCGCACGTTGGCAGCGCGGTGCCGGCCGGGGACGCCACGCCAAGCGTGACGGCGGTCGACCTGCGCAGGCTGAGTCCGTCTCCGCGGATCGAGGCCCGCGCTGCCCGCGTTGGCTCTGTGAGGTATCCTTCGATCGGACTTGTGAGCGCTGCGTACCGAGTTGGCTGCTGCGACTCGTCGCCGACGTGGAGCAACGCGCCAAAGATGGACAGGAACCGGCGCTGGAAGGCGCCGTTGGTGGGAGCCGAGGAGAGCGCGCGGACGATGTCGGCCTGTACGAGCGGGGCGACCCCGCTCCCGCGCGGAGGCGGCGCGACCACGACAGTCGCCTTCCACGGCACGCTGCTGCCGCTTGCGTCTGGCAGCACGGGCACCGTGATGCGGGACTCCGCGACGCCAAGAGCTGTGCTGGCCCACGTGGCAATTGCAGAGGCGAGAGCGGACCCGGCGAGCGTCGCGGGTGTGTCGAACTCCAGGGGCACGACGTGAGAACATCCCTCGTTCTGGCCCGCGCAGACGCCGCAGTCGTCGAGCTCGAGCTCGCCCGGACAGCACCGCCCGTCACGGTCCTCGTGCTTGCCCGTGCAGCACGTCCCCAGGCTGTCGACGGATCGCCCGGACCCGAAGCAAACGCCGCACGCGTCCAAATCGCCCGTCTGACAGCACGTGCCCGCGAAGTCGACCGCCGCGCTCGGCCCCGGGCAGCACGTCCCCGCGGTCGTGAAGACGCCGCTCTGGCAGCACGTCATCGAGCCCGCGAAGGTCTGCACGAGTGTGCCGTTGCACGAGGCGGGCGTCTCGCAGTACGTGCCCTTGTGGGTGGCCTTCCCCCCGGAGGTCGGGCACTTGCAGATCCATCCAGAGCGCGTGTTTGCGTCCTCTTCGCACTGGCCGCCGTTCATGCACTCCACGCTGTCGCAGATGCTGAACCCGTCGCACATCTGCGTGTTGCAGGCCTCGCGCGACCGCGGGCGCAAGGCGGCATCGCACAACTCTTCCGCGACGCGACCGCCGGACGTGCTGCCGCACCACACGCTCCGCGACCTCTCTCCGCGGAGCAGCCCGCCGCCGAGCGACGGCGGCACCGCCTTGCTGCAGTTCTGAGAGCACGCCGACCACGGCCCCGACGACCAGAAGTGCGACTCGCACGGCGCGGCGTTGCAAGGCCGCACGGCGCTCACCGCCAGCTGTCCAGACACGCCGCCGCACGTCGCGTCGTCGACCCTTGCGCCCGTCAGCGTATCTTCGCACCACACGTCCCGGCGCTGCTCCCCGCCTCCGCAAGACGCGCTGCACGCCGACCAGGGCCCCGTGCGCACCACGTGATCAGTGCAGGCCTCCTCGTTGCACGCCTCGGTCACCAGGTCCACGAGCACGCCGTCGGGGACGTCGACGCCGCACGTAGCGAGGGGCGCCGGTTCGCCGGACACAGATGCGATGCATGACCGCGTGCGCGCGCGCGAGCCGCCACCGCACGACGCGGAGCACGTGGACGCTAGGGGCGACACGCGGAGCTGGAAGGCCTCGCAGGGCGGCCCGGCGCACGGCTCGGACCTCGGCAGCGTGGCGGGGAGCCCCGCGCACATCGACGCGTCGGGCGACGGGCGGGAGTCGTAGGTGCGCGTCTGGTCGTTGAACACCAGCATCGAGCAGCGCAGCTCCCGGTGCCGCAGCCCCCTGCCGCACGTTGTGTTGCACGCGCCCCACGGTCCCGGTGTCTGGGTGAACAGGATGCGCTGCGGTTCCGAGAGGACCGCGCTTGGGCAGTCCTCGGTGACGATCACGTCGCGCCTCGCTGGGTCCACGACCCTGAGGGACGTCACCTGCGCCGTGAGCGTCGCGGACGGCAGAACATCCGCCAGCGCCCGCTCGAAGACGCCGATCGTAGACGACTGTTCGAGGATGGCGACGACGTGGTCCACTTCCGACGCAACGACGTCCTCCAGGTCCACGCGGAAGAACACGCGCCCGAAGGTCGACGTCCGCACCTCGTTCCAGCGCATCATGCGGGCGCGCACGGCCATCGTCTCCGCGCTCATCCACCCGGCCGACCCGCCCGGCGCAGCGCTCCCCGTGGCGTGCCCCGCCGTGAGGGCTGCGAGGATGTGCGCACCCGCGGCGTCGGCAAACTCCTGCATCATCCTGCGGTGCGCCGGCGCGTCGTCGTCGTCCGGCGAGACCCTGTCCACCGCAGGGCCCCCGGCGTCGAGCAGAGATCGACGGAAGAGGCCCAGCGCGGTGGTGACGTTGGCGAAGGGGCCGAAGCCGCTCGGGAGCGTCAGCTCCAGGACCACGCGCACGTTCATCCGCGGGGCGTTCGCGACCTCCTGGAGGCGGCGCGTCGCGGCCGTCGACACGTTCGCAGCGGCGTCGGCCGGGACGCCCCCACCGAAGAACACGTGCGCGTCCGCGACGCCGTTGATGGCGCTGTCGATCACGGAGCTGCTGTTCCCCGCAGAGGCTGCGGTAAAGAAGGCGTCCTGGGCCGCCTGAGCGTCGCCGACCTGCTCCCTGCGCCGGCGCGGCGCGCGCGAGAGGAGCCCTTCGCTGCCGGGCCACACGTCCGCCCAGTTCTCGCCATCAGGCGACGAGGACGAGTCGGACAGCCGGAGCATCTCGTGCATGTTTGCGACGTGGTCCTCGATCGCCAGAGGCGGCCCGTCGTCGCGCCCGGCCAGGCGGCGCCGGAACGTCGCGGGGATTCCGGGGATACGTCCGCGGAAGAACTGTTCGAACTCGCCCTTGAGCTTCTCGAACGCCTGCGTGGCCATGTCCACGATGTTGAGGCGCGTCGTGATCGCGTGCTTGATCGTTTTTGAGTTGAACAGCACCGCGTCGATCTCCAGCGGCAAGTACAGCGTCCCCGAGGACGAGAGCTTGGTCTGCGTGTACAGCCGGTTGACGCGGACCAGGCCCTCCAGCGCCCCGGCCCCCGCGACGAGGGCGTCCGTGAAGACCTTGATCGTCGCCGCCGCGGCGTCCAGGACGGTGCCGAGGAACGCCGACGTAGCCGCAGCGATCCGGTTGAGCTCGTTCTGCGCAGCGTTGAGCGCCGACGCGGCGAGGTCCACAGCTCCCTGGGTCGCGGCCCGCGCGGCGTTGAGGGCGCCGTTCGCGCCGTTGAGGAGCAGCTGCACCACATCGCGCTGGGTGTTGTGGTACGTGGTCGCGATGCAGTCGCCGTGGAAGATGTCGGTGCACGTGCACCACTGGCCCCAGTCGTACCAGCACGTGCACCCCCACTTGGGACACCGGCCCCAGTGGTAGTTCGCCATGTTCTGGTGCCAGTTCACCGTGCCCTGCAGCTTGTTCACCTCGTGCTGCGCGGCGGCGATCGCCGCGTCCGCCGAGCTCCGCGCGTTGTACAGCGCCGTCTTCGCGGCGTTCAGGGCGTCGGTCGCCGGCTTGATGGCGTTCGCGATCGCGGCGTCGACCTGCGCGCGCACCGCCGTGACCAGCCCCTGGAACTGCGCCACGGCCTTGTCGGCGATCTTGGTGGCCATCGACAGCACCACGCCGCCGTGTGTGCTTCCCGCGAGGAGCAGCTTGACGTCAAACTCGAACCCTGGCGTCGACGGGGGCTTCAGAGCGGACACCAGCTCGAACTCGATGTCGCTGCTGCTTTGCAGTGCGCGCCCATACATCGCCCTGAGGGCCCGCGCCGTGCGCGGCAGGCGCAGCTCCGTCTCCGGCTCGCCGAGTTCGCGGCTCAGCGCCCTCCTCGCGACCGACACCGACCCCTTCAGGTTGAAGTTCGTCAGCCCTGTGTTCGACCCCTTGATCGTCGCCACCGAGTCAAACACCCGCGCCTTGCCGTCCAGCGTGAAGGTCACCTCGCCAAGGCCGAAGATCTTGATGTCCATCACGGGCCCGCCGCCGTTTGTGCCCGTCAGCTGCAGGGCGTCGCCGAAGTTCAGCGGCGCGAGGTCGAGGTGCGCCTCCAGGTAGGGCTTTAGGTTCTTCAGCTGCAAAGCGAACTTCGCGGACCCCGCGTACGTGCCCCCGAACGTCACGCCCTCGCACGCCAACGCGATTCCCGGATCGACGCCCTCGTTGGCGAACACGACCCTCAGCGGCGTCGGGTTGACCTCCACCAGGATCTTGTCGAGGTAGAACATACGCAGGAAGTCGAGCGCGGCCGGGGAAGTCGGGGGCGGGAGGTTGAAGGTCGAGAACAGCGGCACGACCATGCGCTCGAGCGAGAAGCGTTCCAGGCGGAACCGGAACCCGGCGCCGTTGGCCGGGTCGGTCAGGTCGACGACGAGGAACACCTGCGCCGCGATGGGGGCCCCGCTGTACACCTGCGCGCCCCAGTGCGCGTCCGCGACGCCCTTGAAGATGGTCGGAACGCCGGTCGACACGCTGATGCCCATCTCGATGCCCAGCGTGTTCAACGTGAGCTCCTTCGAGAGCCACATGGGGTTGTTCCACCCCGTCGCCGACGTCATCGTGAACATGCCGAGGACCGTCTGCGTGGCGGGCTCGAAGCGCAGGTTGGCGACGAAGTTCAGGTCCACGAAGTCGTTCGGGTTCGTCCACGACTTGGCACGGATCGACACGTCGGCGCCGAACCCGATTTGCGGCGCGGGGTTGGTGAGCGACATCTCGAACTTCAGGAACAGGCTGTTGAGCGTGATGCCCGCCAGCGCGACGTTGCTGCTGACGCCGATCTCGATCTGGATCTCCGAGCTCGCCTGGATGTAGATGCTCGCGCGCAGCCCCACCGTCCCCGCGGTCGCGGAGATCGCGCCACCGAACCGACCCGTCTTTTGGATGACGTCTTGCATGAAGCCCGTCGTGAGGTCCGGCGCCGCGGTGAGGATGAACGGCGCCGCGCGCGCCAGCTTCACGATCTCCCCCGCCCCGCCGGGGTCCCGGAAGTCCCACCTGGTGTACTCCCCCGGCCCCGTGGCCATACCGAGGTGGATGTTGTTCATCCCGGGAACCTGCTGGAAGATCCCGCCGACCCCGGCTGGCAGCGTGGTGAGGATCTCTGCCGCCTCGACGCTGAACAGCGCCTTCAGCGGCTTGCCCGGGTCCTTCTTGAGGTCCAGGCTCAGCGGCACGCTGGCGCCAAACACCTGCGACGGGAACGGCACATGCAAGGTGTCTGCCTTGCTTCTTCTGCACGCAACAACAACAGCGCACAGCACCACGCACGGCCGCGGACGTCCGCGCCAGACGCGCTGCAAGCACACCCACGGACCCGCGCGGCGCCTCCGGAGCGTCGCGCCCGACAAAGAAGAAAGGAGGGGGGGTTTGCAACGTCATTGAATCATCGTTATCATACCTTGGCCACGCCGCTGAAGACCACCTGGACCTTGACGCCGCCCTGCAGGTGCCGGCTCGGCCGCGGAAGGAACAGCGGCGGCAGGCGTCGCCGCCGCAGCTCCGTCTTGTCCGCATCCAGGGCGTTCTCCTCCTCGAGCAACCGCCTGGCCTCACGCGCTCGCAGGCGACGCACCGTCGCCGACGACAGCGAGACGCGGAGGACGCCGCGCTCGAGCCCTACGTCCAGCAGCGTCTGCGCGAGCTGCTCGAGCCCCGGCGGCAGGCTCAGCCCCGCGAACGAGCCCTTGCCAGCGATGCCAGTCTGCTGCGCGAGATCAAAGAGGTTGATGGGGTCCAGGACGTGCACCTCGACGACGGCGCTCTTCGTCGACCCGAGCCCGAACGAGATGCCGACTCCGATGCGCGGGCCCGAGCCGGCCTGCAGCACCGACGCCACCGAGACCGTCCGCGTGCTGTGCCGGTAGGAGAAGGTGGGCGCCGCTGCCGTGACGACGATGTTCTCGCCGATCGGCAGCCGAAGGTCCAGGTTCGACCCGAGCGTGATGGTCCAGTCCTGGATTGTCTCGTTCGCGAAGCACGAGAACTCGACCCGGCCGAAGAGAGTCACCGTGGAGGGCAGCGGGGAGGGGAGGCCGCGGAACGTCGCGGCCACGCTGGAGTCGACGTCCGCGAACTCGCACGGCGAAGACACGTTTGCCTCGAGCACCAGGTTGGGATGGGTCATCGAGAACCGGGCCCTCTTGAAGCGGAAGCGCCGCGGGGGCGGGCGCGTGCCGAAGCTCGGGAACTTCCAGCGCGAGCCCGAGCCCGACGAGCTGTCCTTCGGCGGCACATTCGGGTCCTGGTACACCGGCACGAAGTGCCCGTGCAGCCGAAGGGGCCCCGGGAGGTCGTCAAGCGTGAAGTTGCCGCCACTGGCCCAGGCGGGCGCGGTCGTCGCGGGCGCGGTCGTCGCGGCCGGCGCGGTGGCTCCCGGCGCCTTCGTAGCCTTCGGGACCCACAGCACCTTCTTCTCGAGCTCGATGGCGGTGTTGAACTGCAGCCCGGCCACGTCAAAGTTGAAGAAGACCTCGATGTTGTTCTGCTCAAACCAGGCGCCCAGTCGCCGCACGACGAGGCTCGACAGGACCGCCTCTGCGCCCGGGACGCCGGCACCGACGATGTCGTCCTTGATGCCGAGCGGCGCCAGCGCGTCGAGAAGGTTCACGTTGGCCTGGTTGTTGTACTGCACCGTGAATCGCGTCCTGTTGAACTGCGTGATGTTGATCGCCCCTATCAGCTCCAGCACGGGCACGTTTGACCCGGACCCGGCGCCGACGCCGGCCCGGATCGTCAGCAGCTTCTTGGAGTACTCGTAGCAGGAGCAGGGGGCGGTTGGTGCTGATGACCACGGGCCCGAGCGCCAGCGAGCGCTCCTTCAGCAGCAGCTCCAGCGTCCAGTCCGTCACCTGGTTCGAGGCGCTGCACTGGAACGTCACCGAGCCGGACTGCGGCTCGAGCTGGTTCAGCCCAGGCCACGGCATCCCCGCGAGCGTCGCGGTGACCGCCCACGGCGTCCCGACGGGGCACGGCCTGCCGCCGCTCATGCCGACGTGCCAGCGGTCCGCGACGTCGCCGATGCTCACGTTCAGGCGGTGCATCGCCCAACCGCGGGCCGCGTCCCGCTGGATGGTGACGTTGGTCGCGAACCGCGTCTGCTCGAACAGCAGCGCGGCGCCGAACGAGATCTCGTTCTGCCGCGTGCCCAGGAAGACGTGGCGGAGGGTCGTCTGCGAGAGGAACGGGACGGTTTTGTCCAGGTCCGAGTCGGACAGCGCGGCGCCGAAGATCTGCCCGAGACCGTCCACGAGCTGCCGCGCGGTGATGTCGTTCGCGACGGTGATGTTCGCGGTCGGCCACGCATTCGCCTCGCCGGACGTCGCCCACGCGTGCTGGAACGCGACGTCGATGTTGGCGGCGCTGCCGCCCGCCGACGCAGCCACGTTGATTCTGCCCTGCACGCGCACCTCGTGGCGCCCGGCCGGCGTCGCTGCGGCCGTGGCGTTGGCTGCAACGATCGACGACGCACGCGTGTAGAGCATGGTGTCGCCGGAGCCCATCGTGGTGGGGGTGCCCTTCGTCTTCAGGCAGCACGTGCCGCCGGCGGTGTCAAAGTGCCCGCTCGCGGCCCGAGTCTGCGTGAACGCGACGCAGCTGGCGTCCGCGTCGCATCGCGCCATGCAGTCGCCGATCGGGTTCGCGCTGCTGACGGCCTGGCAGCTCCCCGCGATGTCGTCGCCCTCGTGGTCGCCCAGAATCGAGGCGTACCGCGGCTTGTGGTCGACCTTGGCGAAGAAGCGGACCGCATAAGGCGTCGTGTACGGCGTCGGCTCCTCGTCCACGTGCTTGTGGCAGCACGTGCCCTCGTTGTACTCTCGGGGGGCGGGGACGCCGTTCGACCGGACGCTGACGTGGTTGACCCCCCCGCACTGCGGGTTCGCCGTGCACTCGTCCAGGCACTGTGAGAAGGTGTACGACCCGGACAACGTCCTGCACGCGATGGTCCGCATGGTGTCGTGGTCCTCAATCCGTCGATACTTGTGCTGCCAGTTCTTGCGCTGGTGGTAGCGGATCTTGCGACCCCCCCACGCGAGCGACGACGGCCACGGCGGCGCGTCGCCGCGCTTGCGGCAGCACACCCCGTTCCAGTACCCCGACCCGTCTGTGGGCACGTGCACAAACCCTGAGCACGCGCTGTCCGCCAGGCAGTCCTTCGCGCACGCCCCGAGGCTGTACGTCGGCGACATCGCGACGCACGAGATGTCGTTTGCGCCGTCGAAGCCCTCCATGAACTCGAACGGGGAGGCCTCGCTGGTCTTCGTGTACAGAGTGTGGATGGATGCGTCCCTGGCAACGGTCGGCTCCGCGGGGGCGTGCTTCTTGCAGCAGGTGCCCGACGCCTCGTGCCTGCCCGACCCGAAGTGCTGGATGTGCGTGCACATGGGGTCCGCCGCGCACTCGTTGGCGCAGGCCAGCAGCTGGTACGACGCCGACAGCCCCGTGCACCCCGACGCGGTGGGCGAACCCGCGTCGAAATCGAACCCGGGGACGTCCTGGCCGAGAGCGCCCGTGAAGGGCGCGACGGCGTCCGGCTTGCGGTAGAACCGGAAGTCGGGGATGGTGTGCGGTGCGGGGAAGGGATGGGCATACAGCTCCTTCGTGCAGCACGTGCCGGACGTCTCGGACGTCGGGCTGCCGCCCCAGTGGACGAACGCGCCGCACTTGGCGTCGTTCTTGCACTCGGTCGCGCAGGTCGTCAGCGTGAAGCTCGACGAGAGGGGCGTGCACTTGATGAAGCCCACGATGTCGCGCCCCGTGCCCTCGAACACGAAGTCGCTGGCCTCGGGCGTCCGCGTGTAGTAGTGGGTGTTCGCCGGGTCCCGCGGCGTCGGCAGCCTGGTCGTCCCCTTGCGGCAGCACCATCCCGCGTACGGGAGAAAGATCCCCCCCCCGGTGGCGATGTGGTTGAACGACGTGCACGTCGGGGTGTCGAGGCAGCGCTGCGCGCAGTCATGGATCTGGTAGCTCGACGACAGCGGCTCGCACGGCGCGAGGTCGTCGCCGAACACGTCGCCCTCGAAGACGGTGAACTTGGGACGGTTGCCCACGCGGGTGTAGTACCCGATCGCGCCCCCGCCCGTCTGCGGATAGGTCGAGCGCGCGGTCAGCAGCAGCGGCTTCTTCAGGCAGCAGGTCCCCGTCGTCCGCGTGGTGCCGGCCACGTGGTTGTACCCGCCGCACGCGCTGCCCATGCCCAGACACTCCCGCGCGCACGCGTCCAGCGGGTACGCCGAACTGAGAGGCGTGCACTTGTGCGTCTCGAACGTGTCGGCCGTGCTCCGGTACCAGAACAGCTTGTCCGCGAGCGCCGTCTTCTCCAGATAGACCAGGTCCGTCCACGGGTGCGGGTACGGGGGGCCGCCGTCCTTGGCGCAGACGTACCCGGACGTCTCGCTCTTGTACGGGTCGGCTCCGGCCTTCTGGTGGTTCATGCCCTTGCACACCGGGTCCTTCATGCACTGGTCCATGGCCATGCTCAGCGTGAAGGTGGCGCTGAGGGCCGTGCAGCCATACTGCGCGCTCGAGGGCGCGTCGTGCCCGCGGTAGTACTTCCACTTGGGGCCGGGCTTGAGGTCCTTCGAGTAGAAGCGCGCGCCGTCCACGGGGCTCGCAGCCAGCGCCGCCGTCGACGACGTCAGGCAGCACACCCCCATAGGGGGCCATCCCCTGCTAGAAATCTTCGTCTCCAGGCGTGAAAAGTGTGGTCGCGAAGCAACACCGCGCGACCTGCTGACTACCTTCTGCCGACATTCATTGGGCGGTTCCCGCGATACGAGCCTCAGCTGAATCTCCCTCGCGGAGAACAGCGCGCATGAACTTGGTGGCGCCGGCAGTGCCACCAGGGGCGCCGTGCGGGCATCATTGAGCGTTTCGGGCGTAAGCAGCGCTTTTCCGGAAAACAGCGATCCTGAGCGTTCTGTCGCTTTCGCACGGCGCGGCTCATGCGGCGGACACGCTCAGATTGCGCACTGAAGCCTTGGAAGCCCCAGCGGCGCTACCACCTTTAGGCACGCGTTTCTCCGCGATTTCATATTCCCAGGCGCCCATTTTTCGGCAACGGATCAATGAATGTTAGGACACGAGGTTTTGGGGGTCGAGCATGTCCAAAGCTCGCGACAGAGAATCCCGCCCCGGGGCGAAATACACGCCTGGAGACCAAGCCAAGTGGCCCCCTATGCGGAGGAGTCAGAGAGGGGGAGTCCCGGCATCAGCGGCGCGTGGGTGTGCCCCGTGCACGCCGCGAAGCCGAGGCACAGCGCGCGGCAGTGCTTCAGCGTGAACGCGGCGCTCAGCTTCTTGCACGTCAGCGGCGCGCCCGGCGGCTCGGCCCCCCTGCGCCGGTACAGGACCACGCCGCTGCCCAGCGGGCTCGCCTCGGGCGCCACCGTCGCCTTCTTGAGGCAGCACTCGCCCGCGGTCGACGACAGCGGCGCCGTCCCCGCGTGCGACACCCCCGTGCACTCCGGGTCCGCGAGGCACTCGTCCTGGCACCTCGCGAGGTCAAAGTAGGACGCCAGGGGGTAGCAGATGGTGCTGCCGTACCGCTGGTCGACCCCGGCGTCCGCCTGGAACACGTCCGGGGCGCGGTTGAAGCTGTAGAGCGCTGCGGGGGTCTTCGTCCAGTACTCGACGCCGGCGCCCCGGGGGTCGGCGTAGCCCGCCAGCGCCTTGTGCTTGGTCCAGCAGACCCCCCCCACGGCCGACGGGGGCGTGGTGGGGCCGCCGCTGGTGTCGACGTGGGCCAGAGAGAGGCAGAAGGGGTCGTCGAGGCAGTCCTGCTTGCAGTGCTCGATCGTGTAGCTCGTCGACAGCGCCCTGGAGGTAATGTCGTTGTGGGCGGCGTCCCAGGCGCTCTTCTTGGTCCACAGCTCGGCCTCGGTCCACGACACCGACGTCGACAGCGCGCGCCGCGCCGCGGGCGGCGGCGTGAGGGAGTACGACACCAGGGCGTCCGACAGCGTCAGCCTGCACGTGACGCACAGTGCGCAGGCAGGGTTGGCTGTTGATGTTCCGGGGGGGGGCGGACGGCCTGCCAGACACGGTGCAGGGGGCGAGGGGACTCACGTGGCTCCGGGGAAGAGCGAGAACGGGAACGCCGGAGGGCGCCAGGACGCCCGGATGGCACTGACGCGCCCTGTGGTGTCGCACTTGTAGGTGGCGGACGCGCTGGAGGCGGCGGCGCGCACGCCGCGGGGGACCTCGTCGCCGATGAGGCTGACGGCGCCGCTCGTGGTCACGGGCCCGATCCACTGCTCGTTGGCCGGGCACACCGCGAGGGGCCCTAGGTCGATGGTGGCCGCGATGCTCTCGAACCCGAGCGCCTCCGAGGCCGCCAGGCAGCCGAGGAGGATGAACGCCAAGTGAAAGACCACGACGGCCGACGTGCGGCGGATCGTGGCCGCGCACAGCGCGCGGCGGCGCGGGGCGAATTCGGCATGGGCTGTCATCGCCCTGACCGCCCGCAGTGCGCTGCGTCCCGGTCGCCGACTCCTTGCTCGACGCGTGGAGTACACGCAGGTGCGTTCGAAATTCCCAACGGCCTGCGGTGAAACGAGCTCCGGGAACGAGGACGGTCGGCCCGTGCCCCTCAAAGGGGCACGCACCACGGGATGGCGCGTGCGCCGGCCGTTGTGGCGTGAAAGTGAGGAAACGCAACATGTCGAGGATGGCCGTCTCAGTCAGAATCAGCAGAGGCCCTGCCGCAGCCCGTGGCCGCCGAGAGGAGCCGGAAAGCGAGAAGCAGCAGCACAAGCGCCAACGTGCGTTTCCGCCTCGCGGCCGCAAGCGACAGCATCTGTGTAGAATCTTTCGCTCGCTGTACTGTCAAATGGTGCACTTGATGGAAATTCAGCCTGTCGGGCGCCCTCACCTGTCGGGAACCCGCCGATCTCGCTGAGAAGGCCCCAGTGGCGGTTGCTGCGCGCAGCCGCAATCGACGCAGCCAATGGCCCTGCGCGTGCACATAGGCACGCACGTAACCGACAGCGTGCTCCGCCGCCCGCAATATCGGCCGGAGGTGCCCCGTCCCCCGTCGTGGGTCGGACGGGGGGGCGCTGCGCAACAGGCCTCCCCGTGACGTCGAATTCAAGACACCTCGTGTCGCTTGACGCGCGTCGTCCCGTCCTTTCACGAACACGGGCATGCATCGGCCGGCTGACCGCGTTCCATCTCCAGCGGCAACGCGACACCGCCGTGCCTGTAGCGGGTGCTGCGCCACGCGTCATGGCTGCGAGGCGGCTGCACGCGGGCTCCCCACGGCCTGCCCGTCAGCGCCGCTGCCGCAGGCGCTTGTCAGCCGTCGTGCAGGGCGCCGTCCGGGTCGCCGCAGCTTTGCCATCGTCATCTGTTCATGCATCAATGGTGGATCGCGGCGGTTCGCAGGAGATGGCGTGGACAGGCGCGCCCGCCCCGGCCCCCGCCTCGACGCGAGCGCGAGGGCGAGGCAAGCGACCGCGGCGACGCCTGCCTCCGCGACCGCGGGAAGCGACAGGAAGTTGCGCGTGGTGGAGGTGCGCGAACTAGACGAACCGTGCAGAAACAGAAACAGTTACACTGCTCGACTTGTAGCACGCCTCCATTCAAGGTGGCATCCAGCAGGGCACCGTCAACGCCGAGAAGGAGCGACGTCGACGGTGGCGTAATCCACTGACTATCCCAGGTAGTCACCGAGTCGACCACCGGGAGGCGCTGGCGCACGCCCTGGCCGTCGTGCGCGGAGACACGAGGCTTGATACGTCCCTGCTTGTCGTTGACGACCATCACGTTGCACTTCTGCACTGAGACGGACATGCCACGGTCACGTAGCCAGCGCGTGGCAGTCCAGGAGCTGCTGGAGCTCCTCCTGTGAGCGCGCGAGGAGAACAGAGAACAGAGTCATCCGCGTACAGGATCATGCGTACGAGGGCGTCGCCGAGCTCCGCCCCGCGCGTCGGGCACTCCCCGTCGAGCTCCTTGTAGAGCCCAGGAAGAGGCCGAAGAGCGTGGGCTCAGCAGACAGCCCTGCTTGACGCCCACGGTCTGGTCGGTGACCTCGTCCGTGCCGTCGGTCAGCTTGAGGTGTTGCTTGTTCCTGTCGTAGTACGCCTGCACGAACTCTTCCGGGACACCAATGCGACGCAGACGAGCCATCAGGAAATCATGGTTGCCAGTATCGTCGGCCTTCTTGATGTCCAGGAATGCCGCGAACACCTTGTTGCCGCGCACCTTGGCGACATCCGCGTTGACCTGCAGAGAGAAGGCGGCATCGAAGGTTCCTCGCCCCGCCCGAAAGCGGAGCTGGGCAGGTGAGCGGCGGAGCGCGGCCTCGACGAAGGCCTCGAGGTGCGATTGCAGCACCTTGGCGTAGATCTTCGTGATGACGGGCGACAGGGAGAGGAAGCGGTAGTTGGCGGGGTCGTCGCGGGCCCCCCGCTTGTGCAGCGCCACGAGCTCCGAGCTGTTGACGTTGTCGGGCAGGTGCTCGGCGCGGAGCTTCTTCGTGAACAGCGCGGCGAGCACGGTGCTCCACGCGTTCGCTTCCAGGTCCGCCTTGCCGATGTCCTCGAATTCCGCCGTCAGGTCTGCAAGCTCCTCGCTGTCCAGCTCGCCCGGCCGCGCGTACTTGTAGAACTCCACGGCCCCCCCCCCGAACCTGCAGACTCACCGTTGCTAGATGGTCGTGCGCGGGCACTGCGCGCGTCGTCATTTTTCGCCGTCGACGTTTCCATCAGGTAGATACAGCCATCGGCGTTGAAATCAAACCAGGTCGCGCGAGAACAGCGGAAGGCACGTGCATTGTGGAGAACAATGAAGACAAGACCATCGCAATCGTCGCGTGGACGGGGAAGTGTTCCAGCCGCGAGCGGCTTTGTACCAGCGTTGTGTTCGCCTGCAGTGCGCCCGGTTGCGTGCAGCCACGATGCAGGGCGCGGCTTCGTGGCTTGCTCGCGTTTTGCAGTGCATCGCGATGACGAGGTTGTACATCCGCGCCGCCCATGAGTCGTCTGTCGATCCCGCGACAGTATCTCGGGATGCAGTACTGCCCGCAGTATCGCGAAGGGGCATGTCGAGGGTCTCGCAGCCCAATGGATGGTCCCGAAACACAATGAAGACGACCTGTATGCTGAAGAAGGAAAAGGGGCGGACCGCGGCTTGGCTGAAGATCAACGACGATGCAGGCGCGGCCTGTGTCGTGTTCGTGCTCGGATATGCGGGCCATGCACACGTTGGCATCGACGCACCGCGGGGGCACCGGGCCCATGTCAGGCCTCCCATGAAGGCCTCCCATGAAGGAAGCACCTGTGGCTCGTCATTGTCGGGCGGCGGGTCGCTCTGAGGCTACTTCCCCGCAAGGCAGGTCATGTCAGGATAGTCCTCCCTCTCACACTTGCGACACAGCACCGGCGACCTCCCGGTCCCCGGGTCTTTTGCCTGAGGCATAGGCACACACGATGTCAACGTGGTGTTGAAGGAGCAAGGTAGGTAGCGCCCAGGTCTCCAAGCACGCGACCGGGGACTCGAGGGCGCACGGGCGCAAAAGCGAGAGTCGCGCAAACGGGACGGCGCGGTGCGAGGAGCGGGGGTGGCACGTCCTCAACCCGACCTGCTATGTTATCGTTTTATCGTGGCGCCCGGGGCCCGGGAAGGCCCAGACGGCCCACGGGCGCGGTGCGTGCGCGCGAGACAGACAGGGTCGGGCGGTGCGCTCCCCCGACGCGCAGACGCAGTGAAGTCCGTGCACGCCCTGGACCTGATCGAGCGAGACTCGCGCGGCCATGCCACGACGTGCGGCGGGGTCGACGCCGAGGTGAGGGCGGGACTGCTCGGGAGGGGCTGGGCGTCCCCCCCGCAGCGTTGTAGGTCCCCGGGGATGCCATGGTGCCGGTCCGGATGCTATTAGTGGGGTACCTGCAGGGGGCGGACAACTCTGAGACTTACGTACGACTCTGAGTCACTCTGAGTGACTCAGGGTGACCTGCTCGGCCCGTCTTGTGCCGTCAGGCCGGGCGGACACCTCGCATTATCTACGGGTCGACAGGCGTGGGCGAGCGCGTCCCGCGATGACCCGCACGAGCACGCGCGTTGTGTTCGCAAGGAAGCAAATGCGACTTCCCGGCGAAATGCGCCACTCGTTGGACGTCATCGGCGGATGGGGTGGCGGCACAACGCCTCATCGAGGGCGGTACGGGCGCTCAGGTGGCGTCGTCGTGCATGATGGCGTGGCGGTGGGCCTAGGCCCTGCCTGGGGTGGATCGCACCGTTTCGCTCCGCGAGAGCGGGGTTTGGGGGCAGGATGACGTGGCAGGCGGTTTTGCGGAGCAACATGGAGGTGGGCCCATGGTGCGTGGCCGAGACTTGCAGCAGAAGGAGTGGAAGTGTGTTGCTGGCAACGGGCGCAGTGTTTTTGCGCGGGCCTCGTCGCGGCATGAGCTTCGGTGACCTCACTCGGTGCCTCGACACTGCAGGAGTGACAGAGATCTCTCTGAGCGACACAAACCGGGTGAGGATGCGAGGATGCCGGCGTGGGCCGGGCACCACTGCAACAGCCCTGGGCCCCCTCCCGCGGAGGACCCCCTGGGCGGCCTTCGCGGCGGTTCGGGCGCCGGAAGATGTGGTCGAGGGCATTTCGCGACAGCTGATAAAGCTTTTGGCGCGAGTACGGCACGGAGGGCTACAGGGTACAGGTCACGAAGCCGCGACGGGCTTCGTACAGGAAGACGAGCATACAGACGCGGGAACCTCGCAGGTGCGCGGCGCAAACAGGATTCCGTCACCATGTGCCGACATCTCTGTCCGGAGATAGCGTACGCGTGTGGTCGGCATCACGCGCCCGCATCCCACGCGCACGCTCCGGCGAGCAACAGTGCTTGTGTTGCCCTTGATGCGCTTGGCGCCTTGTTCGCGGCGGGCCGTGCCGTGGATGCGGTCGTTTCAGGTCGCAGCAGCGATGAGCGACGTCTGCGTGGGTCTACTGCGTGGATCAGGCCGTTGCGTGAGCCGTTGTCGCTCGCTGTGGCAGTTTGCGCCATTGAGCGACGGTCCACGGAGCGAACGGCGCTCGTTGCGGGCCCTGAGGCAGGCACATGGCGTGTCCTGAGGGCGTTGTCGCGCACGATTGTCCTGGTGCTGCGCAGGGGGCGAGGCGGACTGCGCGTACGGGGAGCATACTCGCGCCGTGGTTCAACGAAGGCCGTTTCGACAGGTGCGGGAGAAGCGTTCGGTCAGATCCGGACGCGCGCTGCGTCTGATGTGCGGAGACGCGCACGCAAGGGCAGGCGCATGCTGATTCTGCGGGCGCAGCGTGTCGAGTAAGGCGCGCAGTGTTGCAGCGACGCTCACAGCGCCACGCCCGACTTTCCGCTTCCCTCGCACAAATATTGATCCAGGCGCCTCCCCTGTGTCGTATGATCCGCAGGAGAGCGGCCATGGACGAGCAATATCCCTCCGAAACTTTCGAGCTTCTAAATGAGCGGTGTGAACAGCCCGACAGATGGCCGGTGAGTCGCTCCCCGTTGTACTTGCTTGGTCAGCCACAGCGCAGTTCTCTGGAGTCGGGGGCACAGATGGTGCCATAGCATCGCGATGATACCGTTCGCTGTGTGCCTGCATTGAACAGCGACGACCGAGCACAATTGCTCCCGGGCTTGCTCGATGGAGTCTCACCTTCTCGTCTCATGCTCGCACAATGCAGGAGAGCTCGAGCGGCGAGCCCTGGCAGGCCGCGGCGGGCGAGTCCTGGACCCCCGAACAAACCGTGGACGATACATTCAACGGAGGACCGGACTTGCTCGGCGTCCACGGGCATGACCTGCAGATTCCAGCGGGGACCGGCGCTGTCGCCCCGGGCTCTGTCGCTCAGCCCTCCCTGCCTCAGTCGATGACCCTTTCTCTGGGCTGGGAGACGGCTACAGCGCCAGTGTCGGTCACGCTGGCGATCTCCGGGGACGGCGTGGAGTATGCGACTCGTTTCGTGGCTGGTGTGTCTGGGACCCCCTTCGACTTGAGGCCCCTGCTCCCGGTGGCCGGCCCCCTCTATGAAGGTCTGATGGGTTTGATGCACCACGCTCAACAACTCTTTCCGCTCCTTGCGCCTCTCACGGCGGCTCCCGGCTCGGCGGCTCCGGCTCCAGCCGAGGTCTGGGCGGCGCCCGGCTTCACGGCGCCCGGCTTCACGGCGCCCGGCTTCACGGCGCCCGGCTTCACGGCGCCCGGCTTCACGGCGCCCGGCTTTGCGGCGCCCGGCTTCCCGGCGCCCGGCTTCACGGCGCCCGGCTGTACGGCGCCCGGCTTTGCGGCGCCCGGCTTTGCGGCGCCCGGCTTCACGGGGCCCGGCGTTGCGGCGCCCGGCTCTGCGGCGCCCGGCTCTGCGGCGCCCGGCTGTACGGCGCCCGGCTTCACGGCGCCCGGCTGTACGGCGCCCGGCCTCACGGCGCCCGGCTTCACGGCGCCCGGCTTCACGGCGCCCGGCTTTGCGGCGCCCGGCTCTACGGTGCCCGGCCTCACGGCGCCCGGCTCTACGGCGCCCGGCTCTACGGCGCCCGGCTGTACGGCGCCCGGCCTCACGGCGCCCGCCTCTACGGCGCCCGGCTGTACGGCGCCCGGCCTCACGGCGCCCGCCTCTACGGCGCCCGGCTCTACGGCGCCCGGCCTCACGGCGCCCGCCTCTACGGCGCCCGGCTCTACGGCGCCCGGCTCGCCTCCTGCTTCGACGACTCTCCCGACTCTCACCTTCGATGAGTTTGTGCGTTCCGAAGCCCTCCCGAAGATTCCACAGGGCGACCGGGGATACTTTCAGAAGCACGCGCAGCGGAACGTGGCCATGCTGCTGGCCATGAGACCGTGGCAAGGATCGTTAAACAGTGTGCAGCAGCAACACTTGCCGGAGCTCGAGCCGCTCATCCCTGAGGGCTCTCGGCAGAGGGGCTACAAGCTTCTCTTGCACTACAGTATCCTGATTCGTGAGGTCCTGCTGTACATTCTCAAGGGGGCCAACGTCACCGACGACGACCTGGACGCCCGGGGGCTGGGTGACGTCGTGCACCTGAGGCAGGGCCGACTCCTCGACAAGAGCATGTGCCAGCGCCTGTTCCCGCGAAACGGCAAAGGACGGACCTCCTACAAACTGTGCGACGCGCTGGTCAAGTTGTTCGAAGACTTCGACCTGACGTGGCCCGGGCAGAACACCACACGCGAGCAGTTCGAAGGCATACTGTCTTTCTACGGTCCCGGGGGTGCGTTCACCGGAGGCGCAGAAGGGACCGGCGATGGCGAGGGCGTGATTGATGACGACGCGCAAGTGCAAGCTGGGCATGACGACGACGGCGGCGACGACGACGACCACAACGGCGACGACGGCGGACACCACGGGCAGCAGTACGCGTGGCGCGACAGGCTGCGCAGCCGCGGCAGCGGTGGCCAGCAGCGCCACTCACACAAGCGTCAGCGCCGCGGGGAATGAATCGAAGCATCACAAGCGCTGCCCTTCAGGACGGCACTTGAAGTTCCGCGGCCTGCCGGACACCCGACCGGTCAGGGCAAAGGGCTGGTCTCGGAGCCCCTTCCGCTGAGCGTGCGTTGGCGTTGGACGGTCAAGGATGCACTTCATCATCAAGAACACGCCACGGACGTTGCCCCCCGCGACGGGCGTCGATGTATCTTGGCCTTGAGGTGTGGTGAGATGTTACCATTTTCGTGTCGTCAGCCATAAGGCTTTGGGACCTGAAATGATCATTCGACTAGGTGGCGAGTCATGTCAACCCCCCACCGTTATGGTAGCGACAGGTTCAGCAGCTGTGACAGAGTCGGCTTGTAGCAGATTTTCGATGCCCCGAGTGAGCATCGCCATGCCTCGCTGATTCGGCAGGTTCAGAAGATAACGCACGGCAGCGTTGGCAGCGGCTTCCGAGTCGAATCTTGCGGCATCATGCAGGTCCGCGAGGTGCTGGCGCAGCCGGCGGTCGAGAGCAAAGCGGCGGCGCTGTCCAACAGTTGCCGTGGCCGGCAGATGCGCGTCGGCAGCGGGCGGAGGTGGTACCGTACCCTGCCCTCAGCAGGTGCACGTGCGCACCTGGCATGCCAGGTGTGGCTGCTGCGGTGTCCCTGGCGTGCCACCTATCTGCACGCATGGCCGCCGCGATGTGCGCTGCCCACGGTAGCTCGCGTCTGCGGAGCCGGTGGGCTGCGGGCTCGGTACGCCTTGCGCTCGTGCGAGTTGTGGGTGTCGTACGTGATTCCCGTCGTCGTCGGCCGGCGCCGCCCCTGCCTCTCCCGCGCCGCCCACGGCCCCGTGATCGTCCGCCTCGCCCCCGTCCTCGGGAGTTCCGTGGCTGCGACCGCTGTCCCGCCTCATCCGAGTCCGTCAGGGAGGTCGTTGAAGAAGCAGTAGCGTTGTGCGACCCCTCGTAGGCTGACTCGCTGTCGTCGCCAGTGGCGGCCGAGGTGTCTTCGCAGTAGTTCGACCTCGATGTAGCACGGGACCCACCTCGCGTGGTGCGGTCCAGCGTGCGAGCGACCGAGCGGTTTTATTCAGAATTGCGGGATGCCGGTGGTGGCGAGGGCAGCGACCGAGATTGTGTGCGGCCGCCCCGTGCTGCGCGTCCCCTGCCTCGGGCAGCCCGAGCTCCATGGCTTCGGCGGGCGGCAGCGGGCTGCGCTCCTGCGTCGCGCCGGCCTGGCTGCATGTCGAGAACAGCGGAAGGCACGTACATTGGAGAACAATGAAGAGAAGACCATCGCAGTCGCGTGGACGGGGAAGTGTTCCAGCCGCGAGCGGCATTGTACCAGCGTTGTGTTCGCCTGTAGTGCGCCCGGTTGCGTGCAGTCACGATGCAGGGCGCGGCTTCGTGGCTTGCTCGTGCGGTGCATCGCGATGACGAGGTCGTACATCCGCGCCGCCCATGAGTCGTCTGTCGATCCCGCGACAGTATCTCGGGATGCAGTACTGTCCGCAGTATCGCGAAGGGGCGTGTCGAGGGTCTCGCAGTCCAATGGATGGTCCCGGAACACAATGAAGATGACCTGGACGGAAAAATGTCGGACCGCGGCTTGGCTGAAGATCAACGACGATGCAGGCGCGGCCTGTGTCGTGTTCGTGCTCGGACATGCGGGTCACGCACACGTTGGCGTCGACGCACCGCGGGGGCACCGGGCCCATGTCAGGCCTTCCACGAAGGCCTCCCATGAAGGAAGCACCTGTGGCTCGTCATTGTCGGGCGGTGGGTCGCTCTGAGGCTACTCCGCCGCAAGGCAGGTCGTGAGTAGACCAGGATGACGGCGCAGATTGCCAAGCCGGCCGACCGGAGGGGCCGGAAGGGCATGCCCACGCGGTCTGGAGTGGGTATCGTCAAGGTGTCTGTCGCCGTCGGTATCGATCTCGGCACCACGAACAGGTGCGCTCTCGAAGCTCACAGATAGGTCATATATCATCCAGCATGGGTAAATGGCTGCGTAACACGTTCACGGAGTCGCGAGCGCGGCATTGTGCACTACCTGGGGCGGCGTGCTCCCTGGTGCAGCCAGCGAGGCTTCTCGTCCGTCTCGAGGCCCGTAATTGCGCGCTGCCTGATCAATTGATGGCATGCGAGGCATATCGGGGCGCTGAACCCTCTTAGCCTGCCGTGGCCAGCCGCGGTAGGTAGTGCTCCCGCCAGCTCGCAGCGCTTCCGCTCGCGCCACTGTCCGGTTTTCGTGGAACTCCCTCCGTCGTTTTCCACAGAACGGGGTTCGGTCTACCGTTTCGCGTCGCATACTTGGTGTTTTGTCCTCTTGCGAGCGTCTTGCGGAGGCGCCCTCCTTCGTCGGCTCTCGACCCGGTCCTCCCGCACCGTCACAGACGAGTACCTGCCGCAGAATCGCAGAATCTGTCGACGTATCAGCGATTTTGTCGCGTCAGAGAGACTTTTGCGCTGCATGTCTGCGTTGCCGCCCCCATCTCATGAAGGGGGTGCCCGGAGCCATTCGTGCTTGCAGTATGGCGCACATGTATCGGCCAGGCAGGAACCCAGAGGAGGTGTTCGACCGCGTCGTGCCTTCGGTGGTCCTGTACGAGTACGCCGATAGCGAGTGGAAACAGCCGTTGTGTGGTGCTGACGCCGAGGCAGAGTACATCCACGCGATGAGAAACCCGATGCGACACGTGTTCTTGCTGACCGACGCGAAGCGGCTGCTCGCACGGTACCGCGCCAACGTGCCGGAGTCGATCGTCACGTCGCTGGAGGCGCAGGAGGGGCGCGTGAAGATCACTCGCACAACGGATGGGTTCGCCGTCTTTCAACTGACGTGCCGCGAGGAGGGACAGGTGGTCGCGGAGAGGTGCGTCACACCGCAGGAGGTGCTGGCGGAGGTCCTGCGCCACGTCCGCGTCGCGGTGGAGCAGCACCTCAACCCCGCCACGGAGGAGGTCGGGCGCGTTGCCGTCGGCATCCCCCACGGCTACGACGATCTACAGCGCGAGGCGACGATCCAGGCGGCGAGGATGGCGAACTTCGACCGCAGCATCGTGGACCTGATTCCCGAGCCCGTCGCGGCAGGGTTCACCTTGGAGCGCTTCGCAGCGGATGCCCCGAACGTGGGCGACGTGTTCGCCGTGCTCGACTTGGGCGGCGGCACGCTTGACGTCACGATCATGCGCGTGAAGGAGGGCGGGGCGGAAGTCAAGGACAGGTCTTTCAAAGTCCTGACGACCCACGGGGATAACAACTGCGGCGGCAGGGACCTGGACGAGGTCTTGCGGGCCATCGTCGAGGAGAAACACGCCTTCTGGGAGGACAAACACGGCATCGGGCCCAAAGCACGGGAAGCATGGACGGCACGGGAAGAATGGACGAGCAAGACGCACGGCGGGTACGCGCGACGGCGTCTCACAACGTGCGATGTCGAGAAGCGGAAGAAGCTCGAGTCGCTGAAGATCAAGCTGTCGGGGCTGAGGGACGCGCACATCACGTGGGGGGACCACGATAGATCGATCACCGTGACGCGCCAGGAGTTCCAGGAGCATCCCCTGAGTGAAGCGTTTTTCCGCAAGGTGGCACGCAACCTCGGGGTGGCGCTGCAGACCCTGCCCAGCGCGTCGCGAAGGAACTTCGACTGCGTGAGTCGGGTCTTGCTGGTCGGGGGGTCGGCGTTCGTTCCAGGCGTCAAAGCGGCCGTTGAGAGGTACGCAAAGTGCATTGCAGGACGACCCCGCTGTCAGGCTTGCGCTGTGGCCCCGTCAAGGCGGCCGTGAGCGTTGCCTGATTCGATGCCGTCGGTTTGATGCCACGCCGGGCTCCAGATCGACGTAGCGCTTTTCTTTTACACAACCCTCTTCGAGCGGAGAGGTTTCAGGCCGTGCATCGCGACCGTCTGATCCCGTGGACGCACCTCGGCCACGGTGCACTCTGCAGCGTTTTCAAGGATTGGACCACGATGAGGCACCCGATGAAGAGCGTCTCGGAGGGCGCTGCGTGGTATGCGCGCCGCAAGCTGGACAGGCCAGACGACGAGCTGTTTGATGACGTCGTCCCGTACTCGCTCGGGCTCGAGTACCGCGACAGCAGCGGCAAGCCGCGCCTTGCGCACATGATCAGCAAGGACACGGAGCTGGCCAAGGCGCGCTGGGTGTCGCAAGATTTCTACACTGCAGATGACGACCAGTCGTACTGCGACTTCAACATCCACCTGTCGCCTCGTCACACGTGCGGGTCTGTCGCGCACAGCAGGGTGGTCGGCAAGCTGCATCTCCCCAACTTGCCGCCTGGGCCCAAGTTCAGCGTGCGCTTCGGCATCGAAGTGAACATCGACCAGCACATGAAGCTGCACTGCACCGCGTGGATGGTCGGCAAGGACAACATCAAGGTCACCAGGGAGATCGACTTCGTGCACGAGTTCCGGGAGAACATCCTGCCCAGCGAGTGCGACATCCTCGCAGCAGACGTCTCGGTGGTCGTCCCGAGGAGCACGCTCGCCGCCGAGCGCGACGAACCGCCACCGCCTCTGGAGCAGCGTCCTCTGCAGTCGCAGTCTTCCAGGCAAGCGGCAGCCAGCGCTGCGCCGCCACGCAAAGCAGCGGAGCATGTCGCCGGCGGCGCTGCGCGCCAGACGCACGGTCCTGCAGCAGGGACGGACGAGGTCGGGGGCTTTGAAGATGCAGCGCGGCAGGTGTTGCGGTTCGTTCGCAGCCAGAACCGATCGATCACAGCGCCTGCCGAGTTGGCGCCGGGGGAGCAGGACAAGAAGGGCTGGACCGAGGACCGCGAGGCTCGTTTGCTCGCGCTCATGTACGTATACGAGACGGCGAAACACCGCTGGGCAGCCATCTCGCGCGCCGACAAGGCAATGCCCGACGGCGGCATCCTGGGGGTCTACGACGGCAAGTCGCTGGCGCAGAAGGGGGAAGGGAGGCTGATGCGCGACGGATTGGCGCGGATGAAGGTCGACCTTGGGGACCAGTCGCGTCTTGTCGACCAAGGGAACCACGAAAGCCCCGGAGGGCGCAGCGTCGGTCCTGCGACAGCCAACACGCCTGCGCAACGAGTCACGCCGTCCGGCACCAACGCCACGCGCCCCGCGCCGACGCAAGCTGACGATCTCCCACGAGAGGAGCCGACCAACGGCCGCGACGCTCCCGAAGCGGCGGCGCAGGAGGCTGACCTGCGCTCGCGGCCGCTGCAGTGGTTCGATGACATCGCCCTGCGGGTGTTGCGGGAGCTCGGTCGCGGGCGCGAAGCCGGGAGCTCGAAGATGTCCAACGACCCGGCGAGGCAGTGGACGGAGGAGCGCATGGCACGGCTCTTGGCACTGCACTTCCTGTATGGGCACGAGAAGAACCGATGGGCGTCGATCCTGAAGGCCGATCAGCAGTCGGAAAGTGGCGCGCTACTGACCGCATTCAACTCGGGCGACCTGTGGCAGAAGATGTCGCGCGGGGCCATGAAAGCTGCCGTCCTCCCGATGGAGACGGCAGTGCACCGCGAACGCTCGACGGGTGCCGCCACGGGCGGCGACCAGATGCATACCGACGGGGAAGGCGCACATCGGGCGGCTGACGACGCGGGCGGAGACGGCCGTCCGCCTGCCGCCCCTGCCGACAGGAAGCGCACAGCTTCGGCAGTGTGTGGAGGTGATGACGTCGACGAAGGCGCTGTCGAGGCAACAGCTTCTCAGGATCGCGGCGTCGCATCGAGGTCCCAGAAACGTGCCAGGCTCGATGAGCAAGGCCCGTCGTCCGGAGCGGACCTTGCGGGCGGGGCTGAGGACGCGGCCGCGCCGTGGAAGCTGACTCAGGACCTGCTGAACCAACTGCCGAAGGATCAGCAGCGCATCAAGCAGAAGCACGCTCAGCAGTGCGCGACTCTGCTGCTGACGGGCAAGTCGTGGCAGGGTTCGTTCAACAGCTTGCGGGCGGAGCACAACGAGGTGTTCGAGGCCCTCATCCCACAGGAGCTGCGGAGCGAGGGGTACAAGCTCGGCCACAACTACGGCATCCTGATCCGCGCAGTGCTGCTGTACATCCTGCGCGACGTCACGGATGACGAGCTTCGTGCTGCGGGACTCCCCTTCGTCGTGCGCATGCGGCAGGGTGCGCCGCTCGACGCAGCGATGAAGAAGCACCTGTTCGCCCAGAACCGCGCCAGAGCGTACAGGCTCTCAGACAGCCTGCAGAGCGTATTCGACCGGCACGGGCTGAGCTGGCCGGGCACTCGGACCTCCAAGGAGAGCTTCGCGAAGTTGATGCAGCACTACGACATGACGAGTGGCGCGGCACGGCCCGGTCCGGTGATGGACAAGCACGATGACCCTGCTGCAGCGCTCGCGCAGCCCGCTGCCCCATGAGCGTCGCGACGAAGTTGTCGGACGAGGATGTGAGAGGAGCATCAGTGCTGTGCGATGGTGTCGAGCCACGTGTCCGAACCAGTTGTCTGATGGCACGTGCCTGTAGGTCGGCGAAGTACAACGAGGGGGCCCCGCTGCGCTACCGTTGGACACGGAAGCCTTGGGCGAGGCACCCTCATCCTCGCCGAAGGTGTCGGCGCTGGTCGCCGGAGGAAGGGATGGTCGCGAGCTGGCACTGCGCGTCCTTTCGAACCCCTGGAGCGGATCAGGGGGCGCCAGCCAGGAACCACAGACATGACATGTCATTCGGTCCCCTCCCCTGTACAGGAGCTTGTAGGCGCTCGATCCTGTCCGTTGCACCGCGATCCGCCGGGTGCTCGATCCTCCGGCGCGCAGGGGACCGTGGACGGCGCCGGTGCCAGCTGTTGCGAGGGGGAGGAGACCAACACAAGCAACATGAGAGATACGTCCTCAATCGTTCTTGCGCACACATGCAAGCACCGCTGTTCCTGCTCTCCGTGCTCCCGTCCTTCGGCCACCCACCCACGGGCCCATCTTGTCTACGACCGACTTACGGCGCAGTGGCCAGCCGCAGCCAGCAGCGCTGCGGCGGCGGCGTGGACGCGCGTGTGCAGCGTCGCTCGCGCAAGCGTGAGTGTCGAGCGGCATGAGCGCGACGGGTCGTGCGAGGGGAGGCTCGAATGCATGACTCGATGTGATGCGCAACACGTGCCGCGGGGCACAAGGGCCGCGCAGGCCCGCGCCGCGCGGCACGTCGCGTCGCGGGCAGCTGCGCCAGGTCGTCGCGCAGTTCAACCCAGCATCACACGTTCCACTTGACGACTCCGCGCGGTTGGTTGTTTCAGCTCTGGTGTTCCGCGCGAGCGCCAGCCCGGCGAGCAACGGGCGACGCGGCGTTCGGAATGTCAGCTTGAATCACTGATCACTCTGTGTGCGTGACGAAAGCTTGCGCTGTGTGCGGCTCGGCGACGGTGAGCGGCACTGAGCAACCACCTCGCCCAGGCGGCCGCTGCGAGCCGGCAGGTCGGCCTCGCCGCGCGCAATGCCCCGCCACCCCGAGGACAAGAACGAGATGGGCATAGGGATCTGGTACGCCTTGCTCGCTGGGGTCTCCGGTGCTCTCGGGAACGCCGTTGAGAGCATCAGCATCATCACTCTGCTGCATCCCTTCTTCACCCTCAAGGCAGTGCACCATCTCGAGGTGCGCGTCGACTGCGCAACAAACTCAGCAGCGCATGCACTTCTCCGCTGCGGCGCTGCGCGACCGTCCGAGCCATGCAGTGTGGTGCAACCTCGGGTGGTGCTCCGCGCCCGGCGCGGGCCAGCTCGCGGCCCGACCGCCGCCTCCGTCGCTCTATCTTCGCAGTTGGCGTGGCAGAGATGGAAGTACGTCGGCACGTGGGCGCCGACGCTCGCCATGGCCATCATGAACGTCGTCCTGGGCTCCGCGTACGCGCTGGCCTTCCTCGACGTGCCCGCCTACCCCGCGCCGTCCGCGGACTCCCACAAGGAAGCCGCCGCCTGGGGCTACATCCTCGCGAGCAACCTCGTCCCGCTCGTCTACCTCTCGACGCTGCGGGTCGTCCATGTGTTCCCGCCAGCACACGTCAACCTCTTCGTCTTCCCCGTCCTGCACACCGGTGCGCGAGTCCCCCGCCGCAGCACGCGCTCGCCGACCGCAGGAGCGGGCGTCTCTCTGCGGCAAAAGCGGGCACCCGAACACGACCGTTGCTACTCCTTTCTTGTCCATTGTCTGCAGCCTTCTGGTCGCTGTGCGGCTTCTTTCCGAAGTACGCCTGGGCGAACCCCGCGTACGCGCTCCTCGACTACGCGCCGCTGGCCCAGCTCGCCTCCGTCGCGTCCACGGCGGGTATCAACTTCCTGACCGGCCTGCTGTCGGGCGCGCTCTTCCTGCTCACGCTGCGGCCCACGGGGGCCGTCTCGCTCGCCGCCGCCGCCGCGAGCGTGCACCCGAGCGCGCGCGTCCACCGCGTCCCGCCGGCCGCCCTCGCCGTCGTCGCCGGCGCCCTCGCGGTCGGCGGCGCCCTGCTCAACGCCGGCCACTTCTTCCAGCGCCCCGTGCGCGACGTCGGGCAGCGGTACGCGCGCGTGGGCTGCGCGACGGGCATCGACGTGGAGTTCAGGTCCAAGGCGTACGACGCGCTCATGGCCGACACACACCGCCTGCTGCACGACAGCGACGCGGGGCTCGTGCTCTGGAGCGAGACCGCCGTCAAGCTCACCGACGGCGCGCAGGAGGACAGGCTGCTGGCCGACGCCGCGGACCTGCTGTCCAGGAGCGGCGTGCGCGCCGCGGGGAAGCACAGGGACGCGGACAAGTACCTGGGCGTGACGTACTCGGCCGACTTTGGCGCGAAGGGGGCGTACCGCAACATGTTCGTGCTGCTGTCGGACGCGGGCGAGGTCTGGCGGTACAACAAGGCGCACCCGGTCCCGCTCATCGAGGACGACTACGCGCCGGGGCCGCCCGTCATCCCCACCGCCGACACCCCCCTCGGCAGGCTCGGCGGCGTGATCTGCTTCGACGTGGACTTCGCCTCGTACATCTGGCAGGCGGGCCGCGCGGGCGTCGCGATGCTGCTGCAGCCGTCGCAGACGTGGGGCTCCGTCGGCGCGCGCCACTTCGCGGCCAACGGCCTGCGTGCGGTGGAGAACGGGCTGACGCTGGTGCGGTGCTCGAGCGACGGCGTGAGCGGGGTCGTCGACCGCCACTACCGGTACACGTCGTGGCGGGAGGCGACGCGCGGCGACGCGATGGTGTTCGAGGTGCCGCTGGCGCCGCACGCGCGCACGGTGTGGACGTGGTGGGGCGGGTGGCTGCTGCCGTGGGCGAACGTGGGGGCCGCGGCGGTGCTGTGGGTGGTCGTGCTGTTGGGCGGGAGGGGCGTGGCGCGGTGGCGGTGCGCGGGCCTTTGGGAGGTGGTGCTGTGGCCCGCGCACCGCGACATGGGGCGGCGTCTGACGGGGGCGCGCGACAGCGTCGTCAGCACGGCGCGACCCAGCGAAGTCGCGGAGCAGGGCGCGGGCGCGCCGCTCCTGGCGGACGAGCACGGGTCCGAGCTGTGACGGCGATATTGATTTTTCCGTTCATTGGAACTCCTCGATCATGGGTGGACGCGCCAGCCGCGATGCACGGGCGGCGCCGGCCCGCCTCGGTCAGGATCGCGCGCGCGGAGCGCCGGGCGATGTTGTCGCGATACGACACGCGGGCGGGGCCTGGGCAGTATGACACTGCCTCCTGGGGCCCCGTGCGGCGCTCTAGGGCCTGCCAGGCGCGCCGGCCCGGCACTCGTTGCCAGCCGCGCGCTGTTCGGACGCCTCGGGCCCGCATCGGTGTCGAGGCGTCGTCATGGCGAGCCCTGCGAAGCCCCAGCCTCCGCTCAAGGAGCCAACGCTGCCGACCAAGAAGGAGGAGGGGAGCGGCAGCGCCGATGAGGACCCGACGCCGAAGTACTTCGCCGTCAAGCGGACCAAGAAGTCGCTCCTGATGCAGCGCAAGTCCCTCCAGGACGAGGAGCCGGCCCTGAAGCTGGACGGCGTGGTGGTGCTGGCGGGCGTCCTCGGGCTGCTGTTCTTCCTCATGTGGTTCACCTGGTACCTGCTGCCGCGAGGCTGGGCCATGCCGTGGTACCGCGTCGCCATGTGGACCGTCCTCTTCTTCCCAGCAGGTGCGCTGGGCCCGCCACTTGCAATCAGGGCAACTCGTCTCCAGCGGCGATCCCGCGCGGAACAGACCGCGCCGTGCAGTCGCGCTGCCGCCAGCAACACTAGACATCCCGGTCGGGGCGTCACGGGTCCCTCAGGGCCGCTCTCGCGGCGCACCGCGACGAACAGTTGGCAACGAGAGGTGCCCGCGCCGGGCACGGCCCCGCTGCTGCGCTAAGCGCGGATCCCCGCGCCCCGGTCGCCGTGCAGGTGTGTACGCGAAGTGGTACCAGACGAAGCACAACATCAAGAAGAAGGAGCACTCGAACGCGCTCCAGCTGCGCCCGGGCCGTGGGTTCTGCCTCGCTCTGCTCGGGGAGGTGCGCGCAGCCCCGGGGACGCCTTGCGACGCCGTACCTCGGTCCTGAAAGATGCCGGCCGGCTGGTTCCCCGCCCCGACGCGCGCCTCTCCGCCACGTGGTGCGCAGGCCCCAAGCTGGGTGAAGTTGACGTCCGAGGAGCGCCCCGAGTGGCTGAACTCCGCCGTGAAGCAGCTCTGGCCCTTCTACGACAAGGCCATCGCGCAGCAGATCAAGGAGCAGGTCGAGCCGCTGCTGGAGGAGTACCGGCCTTCGTCCGTGCGCAGGATCTACTTTGCGCGGCTCACGTTCGGCGGCGCGCCGTTCCGCTTCGAGACCGCGAGGGTCTCCTCGCGCACGGACAAGGAAGTCTGCCTCGACATGCGGATGACGTGGGCCGGTGAGCGCCGGCCCCGCGACACGTGCCGCCCCGCCCATGCCCTCCGCCCCCCGCCGCGCACCCACGGCCCCCCCGCCCCGCCCGTGGGACGCAGGCGACACCGACATCCAGCTCAACATCGAGACCCCGATCAAGAAGATCACGAAGAACGCGGACGGCGAGAAGCAGTACGCGACCATGGTGGTCAAGATCCAGGACATTTCTCTGAACGCGTCCGTCAAGGTCATCCTCACGCCGTTCGTCCCGATCATCCCCTGCTTCGGCGCGGCGCTCGTGTCCATGTCCGAGGCGCCCGTCATCAAGTTCCGGCTCGCCTTCACCGGCGGGGCCATGTTCCAGGGCATGATCACCGACTTCCTGGACTCGTTCATCAAGGACACGCTCGCGACGATGATGGTGTGGCCGCAGCGCATCGTCGTGCCCGTCCTCGCGGCCGAGGACATCCCGGGGGGGCTCGACCAGTTCACCCTGTCGGTGCGCGGGGTGCTCAAAGTGCGGCTGATCGAGGCGCGCGGGCTCGGCGGGGGCCTGTCGTTCGACGACGACGACGAGGAGTTCGGCGAGCGCGCGCGCGGCAGCGACACGGAGACCGTCGAGCAGTCGGCGCCCAGCAGGGGTCTCTTTGGCCGCCTCAAGGAGAAGACCAAGAGCGGCGCGAGCCAGCTGGCGAGCGGCGCGAGCCAGCTGAAGAGCGTGGTGGCCAAGGGGACGATGCGGCCGCACGTCGAGATGTACGTGCGCTCGCTGCGGAAGGTCACCTCGACCACCAAGGACGGCTCAGGTGCGGCGCAGCGCCCCGCGCCGGACAGGCGCTCGCGCGTGCGGAGCGGCGCGGGCGGGGTCGCAGCCGGCCCGGCGCGTGAGCTCGCGCATCACCGGGCGCCCCCGTGAGCGGAACCCTCTTCAGGACGCGCGGGATGACGTGTTGGCTGATGTTCCGCTGTCGGTCGACGATCTGACCGCACGGAACACGTCGCATGTGCTCTGACGCCCACCCGCCGGCTCCCGCGTGCCCCCCCCCCCGCAGCCCCCAAATGGAACGAGACATACCATTTCTTGGTTCAGGAGCCCGAGTCCGAGTCCCTGCGGCTCACGTGCGCGGTCTCGACCATGTCGGGGCGCGAGAAGTTCGTCGGGCGCGGCATGCTGCACATCCGGCACCTGCGCGACGAGGCCTCTCTGCAGTGGACAACGAAGAAGTTGTGGGTCGACCTGGGCGAGCAGGAGTGGCGCGACGGGTGCGGGCGCGGGCGCGGGCAGCTGCTCGTCGAGGCGCTGTACATCCCGAAGGACGAGTCGCGGAAGCCGACGAACATCCGGCTGGACCAGCAGCGCGGGGCGCTCCTGGCGACAGTGCGGTCGGTCAAGGACCTGCCGAAGATGGACCTGACGGGGTGGTGCGACCCGTACTGCGTGCTCCAGATCGGGAGCGACAAGGCGACGCGGCGGAAGACGTCGGTGAAGAAGAAGTGCAAGGAGGCGACCTTTGACGAGAAGTTCGAGTGGTTCGACATGGTGGCGTCGTCGACGCTGACGCTCGAGGTGCTGGACAAGGACAAGCTCGACGTGGACGACACGGTCGGGCAGGTGGACATCCCGCTCGAGCTCGTGGCCACCGCGCCCGGGTTCAAGCTCAGCAAGACCTTCTCGCTGCAGTGCAAGAAGGCCGACACCACCGTCAGCGTGGACTTCGAGTGGCTGCCGTTCGCAGCGTGAGCGGCCGCGGCCGCGGGGACGCCGCACGCGCTGCTGCGGAACACCGGTCGCGTTGTGAGCACAAACAACGAGTCGCGTCACACGAGTTCATGTGTGATACACCTGACACCTCACGTCGCGCGAGGCGCCCCTGCCGCGGGGCCTACAGGCACGGCACGCTGTCCGCCATCGCCGCGAGCTCCTCCACGGCCCGCGCGTTGGCCATGAGCATGGCCGCCACCGCGGCGTCGCGCCCCGCGTCCACCCCGCCCGGGAGGGGCAGCCCGACGCCCGTCCCGTCCCCGCGCGCGCACACCGCCGGCACGTCCCCGCGCGCGTGCAGCCCGCACACCTCCGACGCGCGCTCCGTCCGCGAAATGTGTTCGCGCACCGCCGCCTGCCGCGCCATGCTGTCGTGGCGCTCGCTCGGCGACAGCAGCGCCCAGCCGCGGAACTCGATCGCCGCCGCGACGTACGGCGCGATCCCCAGCGGCCGCTTGACCGTCACGGTGAACCGCGCACCGTCGGCGGCGATGGCGCGTGCCAGCACACCCCTGGAGTCGATTTCGAGGATCGTGCGGTCCGCGAACCGCACCGTCACGCGGCCGTCCCGAAACGCCACGAACCGCCCCACACCCTGCACCTCGGCCACCTCGACCTCCTCGTCCGACGGCACCTCCCTGACCGAACCATGTTTCTTCATGCACCCCCCCCCCTCGGACGCCGGCGCGCCCTCTGCCGCCTCCGCCACCGCGGCGTTCGCAAGCAGCACTGCCTGCGCGAGCTTCGCCGCGGCGGACACCCCCACGACGTGCCGTGTGCGCCCCGGCACCACGGCCTGACGTGGCAGCAGCGCCGCGGCGTACGTTGCCCCGTCGTCGGCGCCCTCCGCCGGCGCACCGGCGCCGTGCGCGTGCAGGAACGTCCCGCGCCCCGCGGCGCACAGCGCGATCGCCCCCGGCCCCGGGAACCCGAGCGGCTGCCAGGTGCGGGGGGGGCATGCGTGCAGCGCTACCTCGACCTGGGGCTCCGCGCCGCCGTCGCCGGGCGCGTACCGGATCGCGCCCTCGGGCCGCCACTCCACGAGGACGGCCGTGTCGCTGCGGAGGCCAACCAGCACAGACACGCCGCAACGAGTGAGCGCACAAGCAGCAAACCATATCGTTCAGATCCAGGACTGTTTGCTGTCTGAGGTCCGGCGGGGCGCCCGACGTGCGGGCGCTGCGCGTGGCCGGCACGCTGCCGCACCTGGGGTACGTAACCACGGAGCAGGACGACCACCAGGACCCTGGTTGGAAGACTGCCAGCCCCTCGGCACTCTGGGGTGCGAGGTGGCAGGCAGGCAGCTGCGAGCGCGGCCGCGCCGACGAGGAGCCCGCGGCGCCCAGCGCGCCCGTCTCGGCCGCGTCCCCCGCGAGCGCCGCGGCCGCCAGCGCCAGCGGGTGCGCCCACCGCCCGCCATCGCGCCTGGCGGGGTCGTTCGCGCGGTCGCGTGGGACGTCGCGGGTGTGCCAGGCGCATATGTAGCGCCCCGTGTCCCGGCACTGCCGCAGGACGAGCGGGAACGTCACGGCGGCCCTGGCGCTCCCGGGCGCGAGCAACACGCACGCGGCGCCATCGACCGACTCCACCCACGCCAGACCGTCGTCCGTGACGCGCACCAGGCCCCGCTCGACGCCCTCCTGCAACGTCTCCGGCCAGAACACGACCCCGGGGGACGTGCCGACGCTGAACTTCTCCGCCGCGGGCAGGCTCGCCTCGAGCGCGGCGCACGTCCGCTGCGCGTCCAGTGGGGCAGCGGCGTTGCGGAAACGGAACGCTTCCGCGAGCTTGGGGGCGTGCGCCCGCAGGCAGAACTCCGACAGCTGCTGCGCGAGCACCTCGCCGTCCTCGGGCCCGAACATCGCGAAGCAGGAGGCGTCCGCAGAGAGGCACAGGCTGGTGTTGTCGCTGAACGTGGCCTTGGTGCAGCCGTTCGAGTGGTACGTTGCCCGAATCATGACGGGAGTGCAGCACTGACACGACTCCGCCCCGCTCGACCGTGGCTCCGCGAGATGCAGGCCGCGGAGCCGTCGCAGAGACCCGAAGGGGCTCCTCGGAGCGCCCCACGCGGCGCTGTCCGGCGACGACATGGCGTATGTTCAAACGTCACGCCCAGATATCGTGTGAGGACCGGGGTGTGGCAGGTGTTCAGCGGTTTCGAGGCTCGACGCGCCCCTCCCGCGCGTCTGTCGCTTTCCCTGGAGCCAGGAGCCGGGCGCGCCCGTGCACGCGACGTCGACAAACCGAGCGCGCAGTCCTCTGCTGGGTCCAAACTTTCGCGTAGAGCCGTCTTCGACTCCCAATGACAGCGCAACAAGGCCCACGCGGCGAAGCGGCACCCGCTCGCAAGGGATTCTACTCTCGGTGTCTGACTCAGGACTCAGTTCAGCGTTTTGGCGCCGAACCGCAGCTGGCGATTCGTCGCCGGTCAAGGGCTGCCTTGCAAAAGACTCGCGCTTAGCGCGGACATCGGTATTCATGAGTGACGGCAGCTCCTCTACTCTCGGTGCAACAAGAGCGCCCCGCGGCACGAGGGAAGTGCGCCGTCCCGCACAACAGCAACACGTGCACTCACGCGGGGCGGGATTCGGGCACTGCCGACCGACGTGACGTGACACCGCGTCGCACTGGCATACCGTTCACACGCGGTCATTGCAGCGCAAGCCCCTCGTCCGCCGCCCGCTTCCCCCCGCTTAGGCCGACACGTCCGCGAAGCGCTCCGACTTGCCGTAGAGGTACTCCTCGCAGCGCTTGACCTCCTCGATCGAGCCGTAGATGATGCCCGTGCGCTGGTCGTACTCGGTGATGGGCACGTCCAGCGCCGAGATGCCGTCGATCGACGACGCGCCGCCGGCCTTCTCGATGAGCAGCGCGATCGGCGCGACCTCGAACAGGATGCGCAGCTTGGCGATCGTCGAGGCCGAGGACACGTTGGTGAAGATGCCCTTCTCCTTGACGATGATCTGGAACACGTCAGGGACCATGCCGCCCGTGTAGCGCAGCGTGTACTTCTCGCCGATGTAGTACGAGATCAGCTTCTCGTACTGCGGGTTGTCGAACGTCGCGCGCAGGTTGCCCGGCGAGAACATCTTGCCCGGGCCAATGGAGTGCGTCTCCTTCACGTGCACCCACTTGCCGTCGTCCATGAGCAGGAACTCGTGCGTGCCGGGGATCTCGTCGAACGCGACGCAGAACACCGTCCGCGGGCCGTACTGCGTGATGCCCGCCGCCGCGAGGTCGCGCCCGTTGATGTCCTTGAGCTCCGCGCCCTTGTACACGCCGAAGATCGTGCCGACCGCGAAGTTGGTGTCCACGATCGAGGAGCCGTCGAGCGGGTCGAACGCCACCGAGTACGGCGCGCCCGCGGTCATCGGGACCGGCTCGGGCACCTCCTCGGAGCACGCCGTGGCGCATGCGCCCGAGTAGCGCAGCGACTCGAAGAGGATCTTGTCCGCGAGGAGGTCCACCGCGAGCTGCTCGTCGCCGAACGAGTTCACGCAGCCCTGCGCCTCGCACGACGCCGTGCGGACCTTGTGCGCGATCGTGCGCGAGGCCTCCGACATGGCCAGCATCACCTGCGTCAGGGGGGGGGGGATTATCGGGGAGGGGTGGGCGGGGCGGTGCGCGGCAGCCGAGAGACGTTTCGCGCGATGTCGGTGCCCGGATTCGGGCCGCGGGGGCGGCGCGGCACGGGCGGAGCGATCGCACAGGGCGGTGGGGGGGGGGGTGGCTGCGGCGGCGGGGGTGCGCGTGGCGGGCGGCGGTGCGTGCCTGGCGCAGCTTGGCGTCGGAGACGTTCTCGAGCAGGAACTCCTCGAGCTGCTCGCCGATCTTGGCCTGGGCCTGCACGGCGCGGCGCGTGGCCTTGGCCGAGCGGGCCGACGAGGCGAGGCGGGCGCCGCGGAAGGCCGAGACCTTGCCGGAGAGCGAGGCGCGGGCGGTGGCCTGCGCGGGCAGCGGGGAGCGGGCGGCGCAGTGAGCGATTCTGTCGCGCGTGAGCGGTGCTGTGGCTGCGTGGCGGCGCGTGCGGGGACGACGCAGGGGGGTGCGGCGCTGGGGGGAGCCGCTCGACGATGCGGGCTGGGCGGGGGCGCGCGCATCGGGGCGCGGGCCGCCCAGGATGTGGCGCGCGGCGACCGTTTGGCGCGGTAAGGGCACAGCGCCGCGCGGCGCGTGTGAATCGCTCTAGGAAGGTGTTTGCGCGCATTTCCGCGCTGTGCGGGCGCGTTTGTGGCCGTGGGATCGCGAGGAAACGTGATCGAGGGCGGGCTGAGACGGACGTGGGCGCAAGGAGGCAGGATATGGGTAAGACGCGAAAGGGCGGTGCGAGGGCCCGAGATCCCGTTTCAACGATCTGGATGAGCTAGTTGAATGGCACTCAAGGCATCGACGTGGCAGGCCATGCCCGGGAAGCCCGGCGGAGCGGCCTGCTCGTGCCAGGGCAGAGCCGGTCTGTCCGTTCCGACCCGGAGACGGCTCGGCGGAGTCGGGGAGGCAGCCCGGGGTGTTCGAGAGCTCGAGGTGTGGGGATCGCAGCGCGATCAGCTGCGCGGCCGGCCCTGGTTTCGCGGGAGCGAGCAAAGCTGGGGCTGTCGGGAGCTCGCACCTGCGCGCGCGCGGCCCGCGGGGCGGCGACGGCCGCCTTGGCGGTCAGGGCAGAAGCGGTGCAAACGGTAGCCATCTTGTCGTCGGTCGAGCGGGGAATCCGAGGACGGGCGCGCGCGCACGCGCCCGTTATGCCCCAGCCGAGCGACCGAGCCTGAGTCAAGCGTCATACGCGCCGCGCGCGTCGCTGGCCGGGCCTCACGAGCGCCCCGGCGCGTCCCACGCTTTCACACGCACCAGCTCCGGATCGCCACGGGCCCCGGAGACCGCTCGGGCGTCGCTGCGCGACAGTCCAACTTGAGGGGCTAGGCTCAAGCGCACCGCTTGCCCGGCCGGCGAGCGTTGCAGCCATGGCGGCACAGTCAGGCATCATGTCGCCCCTCGGCGCCAGCTGCATGCGCCGGCCAGCCGCGCCTTCGCCCGCGCGGAAACTCGGACAGCGGAGATGGATGACACAGCGCTCCAGCAGCGCGAGCAGGTGCGGCTCGGCGCCCAGCACCTCCCCGCGCGACGCCACATGGCACAGGCATCCAGTTCCGCGGGGCCGACCGGACCCGGACGCGCGCGAGCGCGTCACGCAGCGCCTTGAAGCCCCTGAGAGGCAACAGCCGAAGCGGGCCCGGGCGCCGAGTGCCTCGCCCGATTCCCTGATCGCCGGGGCTCCCAGGCACCGCCCTGTCGTCGTTCGCCGCCCCTCAGCGCAGTCTCGCGTCGACCGTGCCCGGGTCCGCCCCAGGGCCCAGCGCTGGTGATGACCACCGCGCAGCGCGCCAGCAGTCGACCTGCCCTGTCGGCAGGCCCGCCTCCTGCGCCCTGCTTCATCCCCGTCGCCCGACCGCCGCGCGGGCGCCCGCCGGGCCCGTCACGCCGGCCCGTGCAGCGGGTCACTGGCACCCACTCCCTGCCCTGGAAACCCTCCCACTCCGCGGTGCGCGCGCTGCGCCGTCCAATTTCCGGCCCTCGGGGCGCCGAGCAGTAGCCCTCGTCCTCCCCTAGGCCGGCGCGCCGGAATCTCCGCGTTTCGTCCAGTTCCCGGCCCCCGTGACGCCCCTGCAGCGCACTCCGCACCCCACCAGCTCACTTGCACGCCCGCGGCGGTCCGCACGGCGGGCCACGCGCCGCGGCGCCCCATGAGAGGCGCCCTCCGCGTAAGCGTGCGTCCGCACCGCGCGGGCCTGAGTCCCGCGCGCCCCACCCGCGGCTGCTGCGCAGGCAGGAGCGCATGTTCTGTGCGCTGCACACGCGCCGGGCGTACCTGGCGCAGGCCCTCGGCCTGACGCTCGCGCTCGCGGCGGCGCACCCCCGCCTCGTGGCCGCGCGGTCGACGGACGGGTCCACGGACGGCAGCGCCGACCAGGTGGTGCTGGGGGGCGTCGAAGACCCCATGACGGCCCCGCCCGTGCGCCTCGAGCACAAGGGCCGCATCGTCGCCATCGGCGACCTGCACGGAGATCTACGCAAGACCCTAGTGGCGCTCAAGGCACGCACACCCCCCTCCCCGCCTCTCACGTCACCGCAACCACCCCTCGCACCCCAAACGTCGCCCGGTGCTGTCGAGGCATGCTAGGCGGCGCGGCTGACGCCGTCCGGGCCGCGTGCGCGCGCGCGCAGGTGGCGGGCGTGATTGAGGAGGACGACGGGCGGCCGGTGTGGTGCGGCGGCGACACGCTCGTTGTGCAGGTCGGGGACATTCTGGACCGCGGGGACAACGAGGTGGCCATCCTGTCGCTGCTGCGCGAGATCGGGCGGATGGCGCGGCAGGACGGCGGCGACGTGATCGTCCTGAACGGCAACCACGAGTCGCTGAACGTGGCGGGGGACTTTCGGTACGTGACCCCGGGGGCGTTCGTGGAGTCCGCCATCGCCGCGGGCCTGCGCGGGGAGGAGGCGTACGAGTGGGAGCACCAGCTGCGCGCGCGGTTCGCGCTCTGGTCGCCCGGCGGCGCCCTCGCGCGGGAGCTGGCCAAGAACCCTACCGTGCTCATTGTCAACGACACGGTGTTCGCGCACGGGGGGCTCATGCCCGAGCACATCGACTACGGGCTCGACAAGATCAACCTCGAGGTCGCGCAGTGGATGCGCGCGGACCCCACGGGCGAGGACGGCGGGCAGGCGCCGCCGCCCTTCATCGCCATGGGCGACGCGAACTCGATCATGTGGAGCCGGCTGTACAGCCGGGAGCGCTTCGCGAGCCCGTACGACAAGTACCGGGCGTGCATGGTGCTGACGAACACGCTGGAGAAGCTCAACTGTTCGCGGATGGTGGTGGGGCACACCCCGCAGATGAGCGGGTGCAACTGCGAGTGCGAGGGGCGGATATGGCGCGTCGACGTGGGGATGTCGTCCGGCGTGCTCGACGCCAGGCCCGAGGTGCGCGCCGCCGACCACCATGCAAAGTAGCAATTGACCACCACGCGGCCTGCCCGCAGCGTGCGGCATCGCGTCGGGGACGCGTCGCGAGCCGTGGCCGATCCGCTGCCCCGTGCGGTGTGCTGCGCAGGTGCTGGAGATCACGCAGGACGAGGCGGGGCAGAGCAGTGTCCTCGTCCTCTCCACCAGCAAGCCCATGGTATACTCCCCCGAGTCCTCCATGTAACACACCCCCCCGCACGACTGCGCCCGCCGCAACGGCGCCGCCGGTCCCGCCGCAGCCTGCGCACTCTCACAGCGCCCGCGTCACTCCACGGGCCCCTCCATCTTCACCGCGCCCGCCTTGACCAACAGCCCGTTGAGGGAGTTCAGCGTCTTCACGTCGCCCTCGGGGTACCGCCAGCCGTCGATCTTGCCCACGCCGGGCAGCGCCCCCAACACACCCCCGCGCCGCGGTTCCCGCCCCGCCAGCTCGTAGATCGGCGCGAACGCTGCCTTGAACTCCGTCGCCGTCGCCTTGACCGGGCCCGCGAAGTGGCACCCGATGATCTGCTTGAACGGCCAGTCCGCGCACACCTCGTCGATCCACTTCGTCACCGCCCGCGGCACCTGCGAGGCCACCACGCACCGCCGGCAGCCGTCGCGACGCGCCCACGCAGTTCCCGCACAAGCCGGCGCGGCGCGCGCCTGGGGCACCGGCGCGCCGACGCGGGGGCGAACCTTGGTGAAGACGAGCACGGACACGACGGGCGACGCGATCAGGCGCTCCGAGACCGCCGCGAACCCCTCCGAGGGGTCCTTGAGGTCCTCGGGGCCAAAGTACAACACCTGGAGGCACATGCGCGACCACCCGAGGCGGCGGGCCTCCGGGGAGTCCGCGGGCTTCTTGCTCAGCGGGTTGAACGGCTCCGGCGCGGCCGCGTCGATCAGCAGCTCCGGGTCAACGATCTCCAGCGGCTCCTTCGGGACGTACACGACGCAGTCCGTCACGAGGAGCGTCTTGGAGGCCTTGTGGTAGAACGCGACCTCGGAGTACGGCCCGATGTCGCTGAAGCCCGGGGGCGTGTTGACCTGCGCGTGGGAGCCGTGGCCGGGGGGGGAGGTGTGGGGGCCGCTGCCGGGGCGCGGCACGGGTCGGATTGGCGCGGGGGCGGAGCGGTGCGGTTCCGCGTCCTCCACTGGGGTCCCGCGGCCCCGTGTGTGCGATGCGGGGGGCTGTGGTGGGCGTGCGTACGTTGAAGTCGACCTCGCTGACCCAGGGCACGGCGTCCTTGTTCGCGTTGTCGAGCTCCTGCACGGTCCGCCCGAACCCGAGGCCGAGCGCGGAGAGCGGGAGGTTGAGCGGGAAGGACCACTGCTTCGGCGCCACCCAGCACTGCGCCTGCTTGAATTTACGGGCGAACGGGCCGAAGAAGACCTTGTGTTCGATGGCGAACGTCGGGAGAACGATGTGCTCGACCTCGCCGAGCTCCTTGACCATCGCGATCAGCTCCGCCGTCGGCGCGATGGGCGCGTGCACCCACAGCCCGCCAGACTTGAGCCGGATGACCGTCATGCGCGTGTTGATCGTGACGTTGCTGAAGCCCAGGCCCTGCTGCTGCTCGAACGTCCACATCTTGTCCTTGACGACCTGCGTCGGGCGGCGACCGCGCGGAGGGAAGCTGACGCCCGGGATGCCTATTCGAGAGAAAACGGGGCGCTCGCGAAGCACATACGCGACAAACACACGATTTTCCAGCCGCCGCGCATCCATCACGCAGCAGTGCCGCCCTGGGCCGCCCTTGCGCCGCCGCAGCTCCACCCTCGCCGGCGGGAGGGGGGTTGCAGCAGGCGAGAGGCAAAGGCATCTCGCCCGACTGCGGTGCGGCGCGATGCGGCGGAGTGCGGGGCGCCGCGCACCTCCTTCATGAGCGTCTTGCGCTCGAAGACGGGCCGCAGGGGGAACGGCGACCCGAGCAGCGTGTACTTCTGGCGGGACTTGCTAGAGGCCTGCGGAGCGGGTGGCTTGCTGCCGCCGCCAGAGGTGGTCGCGGACCCCTTGGCGGCCGCCCGCGCCACCACATTGGCGCGCTGCGTGGCGGGCGTCGCCGCGAGGACCGCGGGCAGCGGCGGGGCCGCGCAGGGCGCGCCCCTGGGCGAGGCCACGGCCATTGCGCGGCTGATGGGCGCCTTCTGCATTCCTGCGGCACCGACGATGGCCTTCAACGAGCGAAACGAGTTCGAGGCGGGCGAACATTCCGACGTGCAATGTCGCGTTCGGTCGCACGAGCGAGTCCCCCGAGACCTCCCCGCACCAGGGGCGCAGCAGCGGGTGCCTCGATGCTCAGGGCGCCCCGTACCGAAGGCCACAGATCCGAGAAACCGCCCGGATGCGGAACGGCCCGAATGCGTCGGTGGACAGACCTCCCGCGCCTACATAGCTGCATCAATGTAACATGGGGGCCCTGCGGCAGTGGCTGCTCGCTTGCCGCCCGAAGACCCTCGTCGCGAGCGTCGTGCCCGTCATAGTCGCCGCTGCGATAGGTTCGACGGAAGTTGGGTGGCGCGCGCTGCGCTGGGACCTTGTGCTGCCCTGCGTGCCCGCGGCATTGCTCTCCCAGGTGCGTCGGCGCCCCCCGCGACCCCGAGCGCTCGATGGTGCGCGGAGGAAGATCGACGACGTGCGAAGAGCGCGCCCGCGCGGCTGTGCGCCCACGTTTCTCGGCGCGTGTCCTGTCGCGCCCGTCCAGGTCGGCTGCAACCTCGTCAACGACGCACAGGACTTCCTCAGAGGCGCGGACACGCCAGCGCGCCGCGGGCCGGCGCGCGCGTCGCAGTCCGGCCACTTCAGCCCGGCGACGGTGCATGGCGCGGGCCTCGCATGTTTCGCCGCATGCCTCGCCCTGTGCGCGCGTGCGTTCCTGGAGAGGGGCTGGCCGCTGGCGGCCACCGTCGTCGCGTGCTGCGCCGTGGGGTACGCGTACACCGGCGGCCCCGTGCCGCTGGCGTACGTCGGCCTAGGAGACCTGGGGGTTGTGGCGACGTTCGGCGTAGGCGGTACCGCGGCGTTCCGTTTCATCCTGGCGGGCGGGCGCCTGCTCGAGCCGGCGGCGATCCTCGCTGGATTGCAGGTGCGCGCGGCACGTCGCCGCGCCCTGTGGGCACATGGAATGCAGCGGCAGTCACCCGGGTCGTTGCGCCTCGCCCGCCGCAGGTCGGACTCTCCGCGACGAACATGCTGGCCGTGAACAACCTCCGCGACATCGCCACCGACCGCGCGGCCGGGAAATGGACCCTCGCGGCGCGCCTGGGGCACCAGCGGGCGCGGCATCAGGTGCGCCGCTGCCGAAGCGCCGCGTCCGCGCTCGTCATCGCACGGGGCCTCCAAGCCGCGAGCTGGCGCGCGTCCCCCGGGTCTCGCCGTGTCCGCAGGTCTGGCTGCAATCCGGGCTCTTGTTGCTCCTCTGGCTCGCCTGGGGGGTCGTTCCGAACACGCCGCGGATATCCGGGGCGCCCAGCCTGCTCGCGTCCCCCGCGCTGGGCGTCCTCGGGGGCCGCGTGCTGATCGAGCGGGAGGACGGGAACGCGTTCGGCCCACTCCTGGCGCTGGCGGCGCTCTGCCACTGCCTGCTGGGCGTGTGTCTGGCTGCGGCGATCGCGACGCCGCGGTGACGCGAGCGCTGGTCGACGGGCGGCGGGGCGCGAGCATGGGACCGAACGCGGGCGTCTTGAAGGTGCGGTTGCACTGTGGGATGTTGCGCGTGCGTGCCTCCGTGGCCGCGGCGTGTTGGACACGGACGGCGCGCGCCGGCGGCGGCCCAGGCCGCGCACGCATGTCGCTCTGCGACGCGGGGGCGCGGGCATGTGCGCGGCGGGTTGGGTTCTTGTGACAGACTGCACACGACGACAGCGTGGCCGACGAGAGCGCGACGTGGGATCCCGCCGCGATGTTGCGGGGCATCGCCGGGCCGTGCTGTCATATTTGGCATTCGTCTCGGGGCGTCGACACCCGCGTTCGCGTCCCCAGCGCTCGCCGCTGGCGCAGTCGAGTCGAGCGACTCAACAAGTCGCGCACCCCGGAGAGAGGCACTCCGCGGCGCCTCGCGGGGCCCCAACCCCTCACTCGGTCCGCAGGCGAGCCGCTCTGCTGCCGCTCGCCGGGGAGTCCCGCGCGCCCCCGCAACAGCCGGACCCGCGGAGCTGCCTGGACGCGGGCTGTTGTCGAGCAGCGCTGCGCCATGGCCTCCATAGACCCGCTCAAGGGGCTGTACGCCTCGATCAACCTCGACGAGCTCGCCGAGGTGCTCGGGGCCAGCGGCCCGGACAACGCGCCGCTCTCACGGGACGACCTGCTCGACGTGGTGCTGCGCCACAGCAGCCAGCCCCTCGCGGCCCCCATGACCAAGCTCATCCGCGAACACGCGGAGAAGGCGCTCCGCATGAATGCTGGCGTCGTCGAGTACTGCGGTGACACCTCGGGGGGCGTCCCGTCGCAGGTGCGGGCTGCCGCCGTGGCCTGAAGGCAACCAACAACAGCACGCGCCGGGTCGCGCCGCGCCCGCCGCCCGAGCTACCCGCAGGGCGCGTGCTGTTGTCCCGCCTCGAGGCTCGCCACCGCCCCCGTCCACCCCGCGCGCCCACTGCGGCGGGGCACCCACAGCGAGCGCGCGGGACGTGCAGTGGCCCTGGCAGGTGGTCACGGGCTCCCCCGCGCCCGCAGCGCTGACCGGCGGCCCGCAGCGCCCCCAACGCCTTCTCGCGGTGGCAGTCCCTCGGTCTGGCGCGCGCGCGGACGTTGTGGCGCGCCCTTGCTGCGCCACGGCCTGGATCTCTGCGTTGGCCTATGCTGTGCCTGCCGTGCGCCATATCGGCCCTGACGCGCCGCGTTCCCGCCGCCCACGCCTTCCCTCGCAGCAAGAGAGCCACTCCATCGTGTACAAGCTGATGAACACGGTCCTCAAGCGCACGGAGCTCGTAGACGAGCTGTACCTGCAATTGCTGCGCCACGCACGCAGCAACCCCAACGCTGACTCCCTCATCCGCGCCTGGAAGCTCATGGCCGTGCTGGTGCGCCCGCCCCGCCGAGACCCTCCCCGTCTGCGCCTGCCCTGCCCCGCCCTGCCCCCTGCTAGCTGCAAGCGCTCTGTGCGGCCCGTCAACGCGCGCGCGGTCCACCGAATGCAGTGCGCGAGCTCGGCGCCGGGCAAGGACAAGATTTCCGCGATATCCGAGTACATCCACGCGTACTGCTCGGCCGAGAGCGAGCCCAAGGACGCCCGCGCTGCAGCGATCCGCGCCTTTCAAATGCTCAAGCGCTCGGCCAAGGCGCACGCGCGCAAGCACGCCCCGTCCCCGCAGGAGATCGCGGTGCGCCCCCCTCTCCCAGCCGCCACCCACGACCACCCCCACTGTCTGGTGCTGGCGTGCAACCCCGCCGCCCGAGCCCGCCGCCGCGCCCCGCCCCCGCCGGCCCCGCAGGCGTTCCAGAACGCGGAGCCGATGCCGGCGTTCGTGCACTTCCTGGACGACTCGTTCGAGGAGCTGACGTACGACATTGCCACGTCGATGCGCGAGGCCGTCGAGCGCGTCGCGAAGCTGATCGGGCTGGAGCACTACCAGACGTTCGCGCTCTTCGAGCGCCGCACGTTCATCCCGGCCCCCGGCGAGGAGCAGAAGCCCGACCTGCACGTCATGCTCGACGACCGCACGCGCCTGGGCGACGTGGTGCTCGGCGCGCAGGACGCGAAGAACAGCGGGTACCAGGTCCGCCTGCTCTTCAAGAAGAAGATCTTCCGCGAGTCGGACGAGCAGATCGAGGAGCCCGTCTTCCTGCAGCTGTCATACCTCCAGGCCAAGGAGGAGTACATCACCGGGGCCTACCCCGTCGAACGGAAGGACGCCGTCAAGCTCTGCGTGCTCCAGGTGCGACGCCGCGCCGCCGCCGCGCGGCCGGCCCGGCCCTCGAACGTCCGACGAGCCAGCAGACCCGGATTCTCGACCTCCGGCGCGCCGCTGTCCCTCATCTCGCGCCCCCCTCGACCCGTCCTCGCCGCTCGCGCAGATCATCGAGGCGCTGGGGCCCGGGCAGCCCCTGACGGAGGCGGACGCGAACGACTGGTGCCAGAGCTGCATCCAGAAGCAGCTCCTGGACACGAAGCTCTCGGCGCGCGCCGACAACTCGTGGGCGCAGGAGGTGCTGCGGACGTACCAGATGTCGGCGGGGCTCAACCGCGACGCGGCGCGCTCGGAGTTCCTGGCCTTCATCCGCGGCCTGCCGTACGGGAACGCGCTGTTCTTCCCCGTGCAGCGCCACACGGACCCCCTCGGGCTGCTGCCCGAGCAGCTGCAGCTGGGGATCAACAAGCACGGCCTGCACTTCTTCCGCCCGCGGCCGAAGGAGTTCCTGCACAGCGTGGAGCTGCGCGACATCATGCAGTTCGGGTCGTCGACGCACGCGGTCTTCTTCAAGATGCGCATGGCGGGCGACCTGCAGCTCTTTCAGTTCACCACGCGGCAGGGCGACGACATCTGCCTGGCGCTGCAGACGCACATCCACGACGTGCTCGCGCGGAAGGTGCGCAACCGGCAGGTGTCGACCGCGGGCGGCGCGTCGGGGCACGGCAGCGCGGGCGCGGGCGCGGCGCCGTCGGCGGCGGCGATGAAGCAGATCAAGACGCTGCAGCGCGAGGTGGAGGAGTGGCGGTCGAAGCACGACGCGCTGGAGGCGCAGCTGCGGGAGGAGGAGGACGCGCGGAAGGCGGCGGAGCACCGCGCGACGGATGCGACGCTGACGGCGCGCGGGGGCGCCAACGAGGAGGTGCGGGTGCTGCGGCAGCAGGTCCGCGAGGCCGAGGCGCGGGTGATGGAGCTGGAGGCGCAGCTGAGCGCGGCGGCGGGCGACGGCGACGCGATCGTGGCGATGGAGTCGCGCGTGAAGGGGTTGCAGGAGGAGGCGGGGCGCGCGCGCAAGGCCGAGGCGGCGGCGGAGGCGGCGCGCGCGGCGCTGGACGAGGCGAAGGAGCACATCCGCGTGCTGGAGGGGCGGTTGGAGAGCGAGGTGAAGGGCGCGGAGGCGCGCGCGGACGGGCGCATCGCGGCGCTCAAGGCGGAGCTGCAGGAGCGGCGCGACAAGTGCACGCGGCTGGAGCAGGAGGTGGCGGGGCTGGACGCGGCGGTGGCGTCGCAGAAGCAGACGGTGGAGGAGGCGGAGAAGGCGCTGGAGGAGATGGACGCGTTGCGGGAGGAGAAGAAGGAGGTGGAGCGCAAGTGCATGAACGCGGAGGTCACCGTGACGAAGCAGGCGGCGCGGCTGGAGGAGCTCGAGGCGCTGTACAAGCAGGAGATGACGATGCGGAAGCGGCTGCACAACACCATCGAGGACATGAAGGGCAAGATCCGCGTGTACGCGCGCGTGCGACCCATCCTGCCGCACGAGACGAAGCAGGGGCAGAGCGTCGCGCTGAGCTACCCGGACCGCTTCACGCTCGCGCACCCGTGGAAGGACTCGAAGAAGCCGCGGACGTACGAGTTCGACACGGTCTTCACGCCGAACGAGACCCAGGAGCAGGTCTTCGAGGACACGTGCCACCTCGTGCAGTCCGCGCTCGACGGGTACAACGTCTGCATCTTCGCGTACGGCCAGACGGGCTCCGGGAAGACGCACACCATCTACGGCACGCACGAGCAGCCGGGCCTCACGCCGCGCGCCATGCACCACTTGTTTGACTGCGTGCAGCGCGACTCGGGCAAGTACGCGTTCGAGGTGCGCGCGCACATGCTCGAGCTGTACCAGGACCACCTCACGGACCTCCTCCTGCCCCCCGCGGCGCGCACCCGCGCCCACGACGAGCGCCTCCCGCGCCTAGACATCAAGAAGGACTTCCGGGGCATGGTCACGGTGCACGGCGCGACGGTGGTGGAGGTGCGGTCGGCGCACGAGCTGCTGCAGGTCGTCGAGCGCGGGCTCGAGCGGCGCACGGTCGCGAGCACGAAGATGAACCGGGAGAGCTCGCGGTCGCACCTCATCATCACCGTCATGGTCACCGCCACCAACCTCCAGACGCAGGCCGTCTCCACGGTGCGTGCGCCCGCGCCCGCGCCAGAGCCAGAGACGACGCTGGCGGCCCTCCCCGCGTGCTCCCGCGCCCGTCGCTTGTCGGCCGCGTGCGGGCGCCGCTGTGCCTCCTGAAGGGGTTTCCATTCGTCCTGACTGGGTTATTGATTGATGGATTGATTGATTGATTGATTGATTGTGCGCAGGGCAAGCTGAGCTTCGTGGACCTGGCGGGGAGCGAGCGCGTGAAGAAGAGCGGGTCGACGGGGGACCAGCTGAAGGAGGCACAGGCCATCAACAAGTCGCTGTCGGCGCTGGGCGACGTCATCTCGGCGCTCGCGAGCGAGCAGGCGCACATCCCGTACCGCAACCACAAGCTCACGATGCTCATGTCGGACTCCCTCGGCGGCAATGCGAAGACGCTCATGTTCGTCAACGTCTCGCCCACGGACGGCAACCTGGACGAGACGCAGAACTCGCTGCAGTACGCCACGCGCGCCCGGACGATCAAGAACAACGTCGGGCGCATGGAGTTCTCGCGGGACATGCTCAAGCTGCGCCGCATGATCGAGTACTGGAAGGAGCAGGCCGCGGTGCCCCCCGAGGCGCGCCAGTACGTCGACCTGCACAGCATCATGGACGAGCGGGACCCGCCCGCGGACGACCGCGACGACGTCCCGGACTACGAGTCCGTGCCGTCGACCGTGCCCTCGCGGCCAGCGACGGCGTCGGGCAACATGTCGCGGCCGGGGACGGCGAGCGGGGAGCGCGCGCCGCTGACGCCGTCGCGGTCGCAACGGGGGAGCCTCGGGGGCACGGGCATCCCGCGGCCGCCACCGTCGTCGTCGTTCAACGTCGGGGCGCAGTGAGGGCGCGGGGCTGGAGCGCCGGGCCGAGGTGGAGGGGAACACACACACACGGAGGGGGGGCGGGTTCGCAACGATGTGATTTGCGCGAAGAACGTAGAGCGGGTGTCGATGCACCGCCGCCTTGCTGCGGACCGTTGGATTGACTCTCTCGTAGAGTGAGTGTGGAATGTCGACTTTCTCTTTCACTTTCACTATCGCCGCAAACGGCTGCGTCCCACACAAGCACCTAGGGGACAGCTTGCGCAGACGGTGTCTGGCGCCAGACGTCCGCGCTGCGGGGGCCGCTCGCTTGCGCACGTGTTGCTCCACTGCTAACGAATTTTCCCTCCATTTGAGTCCAAGGCACCAGTGCAATGCTACGTTTCGAATCTTCTGCCGCCAGATCAGCCCGGAACTGTCTGCCCTGCCGTCGGCCTGCGAATGCAGCGTCCTCCCCGCCTCCGCGAGCGCGCGATGCGTGCTGGGGGGACTTCACGAGTAGAACACGCGCCGGTACGACTGGCCGTACCCGCCAGTGGTCTGAGAGTTGATGGACGACGGGGTCGCCGGGACGGGCGCGGGGCGCCGCAAGGGGGCGTGCCGCGCCTGCTGCGCGTGCCGGAACGACCGCGTGTCGAGCGGCGAGCACGCCTCGTGCTTGCTGCTGCGCTCCCACGACCTGCGGACGAAACGGGGGTCCCGGGCGGTCACGGCAAAGGCGCTGCGACCGCGGACGGCACAGCGCGCGCGAGCGCGGGCGCGGGAACGCACCCGCCCCACGCCTTTAGCATTGCCATGCGCTCGGACGCGCCCTGGCGGCCGGGCTGCGTGGTGCCGCCCGGCAGCGACACGCTGTGGCTCATGAGCGGGTGGTACTGCTCGCCCGTGGACGACGTGTACCCGAACCCGAGCTTTCCAACCTGCCCCGTTTGCCGCAGCCACTCTCCTGTTGTTGCAGCCTCGCTGGGGCCCGTGCGGCGGAACCTCGGCGACAGGGCCTCCGTGCTCGTCGACTGGGCGGTGTAACGCGTCGAAGGGAGGTCCCAGGGCCGATTGAAGACGCGGGAGCCGTTCGGGGTGGCCACGCAATCCCTGATGGGGGGCAGCTCCGTCTCGCGAACCCTGCAGGCACGGCGCCGGGCTCCAGCGAGGTCGTCGGGGTTCCTCGGAGCTATTGCATGCGACAAAGGCGGCCTTCTTGCGGCCGGCGCCACGTCTGAGCGCCGCAGCGGCCCGAGGCCGCCACGGCAGTGGTGTGTGGGGCATAGTGGGCGTTTTCGACGTACGTGCGACGCTTTGGGTTTAGGTCGATGGACGTCATGACGGACTTGATCTTGTTGTAGCTCTCGAGCTCGCGTTCGGGAGCGTTCGCGCGCGCAAGCGCCGCGTGGTGCTTGGAAACAGGGGCGGGTTGGGGGTGCCCCTGCCGGTCCACCGGCACCGAGTCCGTCTGCCGCCTGCATCGTCATCGCGGCGCACTCACCCTCGCTCAAATCGCACAACGAGGCATCCCGCTGCACGGGGCAGGCCGCAGGACGGCAGCACGGCGCCCAAGCGTGCCCCGCCGCTGCTGGAGCCGCGACGACGCAGTGTGGCGGCCTGAGCGGCCGTGCGACGGCGCATGCAACGATTCAGGTCACGGAGATCCCGGAAAGCCGGCCAAGGCGATCCAAGCTCGCGGGCGCGATCCGCAATACAGGGTTGACTCGCCCAGCTTGGCAAGCAGGTTTCGCACCCCTTGGTCTTGAGCACCCAGTTCGGCGGCCCTTGGAGGCCATCGCGGTGACGATGCTGGTAGTCGTAGGCGCTGTCGTACTTCGGCATGGCGCCCGCCGACCCTCACGCGCCGCGAGCGCGCCTCGCTGACCAACCACGACGTCCACGGCCGTCAATCTGCGCGTCCGCCCTTCCTGAACTCCTCGGTTCGGCGCCAATCGCAAGAACGGAATATTCGCGCCTCGAAATTGTGCCACAGCCCGCGCCGCCCGGCCCCTCTAGCCGCCCGCCCAACCTGAGGTGACCCCCGTATAACACGGCGAGCCAGTGCGGACTCGAGTGACCCGCGGGCCGGCTCGCAAGCTCCCGAACCGCCGCACGGCACCGCCCACGGCGCGGCCACGCCGGCGGCGCATCGAGCTGTATTCGACGCGTCGCGCACGTGCAGCACTGCCCGGCGCGTCAAGGGGCCTCGGACACGTCACGACTCCTCCCTCGCAGCCAGCCCGGTCCTGCGCGCACGCGCCTCGCGCTACCGCTTCGTCACAGCCTGCAGCTCGACCCACGCGCCGACCGTCTCGGACCCCCACTCCACACCAAGTACCCGCACCCCGCCCTCCGCGTCCTGCCGACTGTCGGCGACGCTCTCCACGCGCAGCCCAGCTGCCTCGCATGCCGCCCGCCACGACGCCATCGTGTCCGCGCATCTGACCGTGCTCGCAACCAGCGCCCGCGCGCAGCCGCCTGACAGCAGCGCTGCGAGCGTCCGGGACAACGGCACGTGATTGTGCGCGTCGTACGTCACGTCCGCGGCGAGCACGACGCCGCCGTCCGCCACCCGCTCCGCGATCGACGCCGGCACCGCCTCGCCCCACCTGCGATCGAGCACACAACACATCGCAGAATGTGCCGCGAGACGTCGGCCGCGGCGCAGGAGCACGAAGCGGGAGCAGAGCACTCACGCTAGCTCTTCGAACGCCACGTCCCGCGCTTGGGACCCGGGGTTCGCTTCCTGCCACCGGCGCACGTTGTGCTGCGCGTTCTCCAGCGCGCTGGGGTTGTTGTCCGTCAGAACGACGCACCGAGGCCCCCCGTGCAGCACGCACACGCCCACGAGGCCCGTGCCGCAGCCGAGCTCCAGCACCCCGCGGCCGCGCACCACGTCGGGGTGCCGCATGACGTACTGCGCCAAATACACCCCCGCCGCCCACGACGCCGTCCCGGTGCCGTTCGCGAGGACGTCGTCGACGCACCGCACCGTGACGGTCGCGAAGTCCGCGCTCGGACCTCCGCTGGCGTCCCACAGCGACGTTGCCAGGCGGTACTCAGGGGGGGGTGTGTTGTTGTTGTTGTTGTTGTCAGCGTCGGTCCGCGCGAAGCAGTAGGTCCGCTCCCGCCAAGGCGTCGAGCACTCGCCGCTCGGGGCGGCGGACGCGCTCAGCCGCGCGAACAGATCTGCCACGGCGTCCGACGGCTCTTCCGCGTCGCTCTCGCATCGCCGCATGAGCCTGCAGGCACACCGCGCACGGGTCCCGACCGCTTCCAGCGACGCAGCGCGGCCGTTTGGGAGCGTCGCGTCTTGACTTTCTGCTTGCGGGGGCGGTCTGGCCTCTCAACGGGAAGGTTGAGGCTCGTTCAACACAACAGGAGCTTCAAGGGGCGCCGAGTGTGGTGGGTGCTCACCCGCGCGTGACGTCGAGGACGCTCTTGCGGTTCGCGTCGTACTCGACAGGGGCGCTGCGTTCAAGCAGCCCCGCGAACACCTCCTGTGTGTCCCACGTCAGCTTGGAGCCCTCAGCGGGGAGCAGCGCGTCGATCACCGCGCCGGCGCTGGCCCCGAGCCACGCGAGGACCAGCGCGTGGCCCTGGGACGTCCAGTCGATGCGCGCGAGGTCGGGCGCGACGGCCTCCATGGCCTGCCAACTGCCGGTGCTACAAGCTCAGGCCAGCACCGCTACCTCATTCCTCCGGGTGCGTGGACTCGGACGGTTGCAGATTGAGTACAACTAAGTCGAGCCGGGAGGCATGTACTCGTTCCGTAAAACGTTGTTGACACCGCGCTGCGGCCGTAGACCTAGGCTGTGCACGTCTGTAGCTGGCCCGCGTGATAGAGGCGGCTGACGGAGATCACTTGTACGGTGGCGTCCACCCATGAGTCACGACGTACACGGGCGCTGCCAGGCCGCAGCCCCTTGTCATCCCGGACCACTGAGAGTCCTCACACCTCCGCGGTGATGTCCACTCAGGTTTCCGCGCGCCGGGCATGGCCGTCAGCCACCATTTGCAGCGGAACGAGCTTCCCTTCGTGCACTCTCGCGCAACGGCCGATGGGATCGCTGGCTGACCCCCGCGAGCGTCCGTGAGACGGGAGTGTGGCTTGGACGGGTCTGCCGGGGCGCCCAGGCATGAGTCAGCGCTCACAGAGGTGCGAGACGCCCACGACCTCCCGGACAGTGACTGTGATGTCGTCGTTTTGCGAACGCTGACGGGTCCAGCAGTCCCCTTCGCCCCGCGCCCTTGCCGTCAACCTCCTTCGCAGAGCATCAGCGTCCGCGAGAGCGCCGCGGTGCCCCGCACAGTCACGCGACGCCCCCTCGGTATCACACATGCGCAGCTGGCGACTGCACGAGGCGCCCGAGTTCATCCAAAAGACGGTGGCGGACCACTTGGAGCTCGGCCACCTGCGCGACGTCGCGGGGTCCTTCTTCCGCAGCGTCGACTGGGGCGAGCGCTGGCTGCTCGGCCTCTTCGCGGCCGAGGCCGCCCTCCTCCTCCTCGTCCTCGCGACGCGCCGCCACGGCGTCGTCCAGGCCGCCATCTTCGCCGCCTGCGCCGCGACCGTCCACAACGCAGAGCGCATCAACGCGTGGCTCGCCGCGCGGTGGCGGGCGTTCGCGGGCGGGCCGTACTTCGACGAGCGCGGCCGCTTCCTCGGCCTCGTGCTGTGCCTGCCGCTGCTCGTCGTCATGGCGGCGCAGCTTGGCCTGTACCTGACGTACGTGGGGAGGGAAATGGTGCGCGCGAAGCGGCTGCAGCTGCGGCACGAGGCGCGCGCGCAGCAGAGACGCGAGGGCGGGGCCGCGGAGACGAGGAAGGCCAGATGAGGTGGTGCGCGGGCGAGCGATGGTCGCTGTGCGCGCGACGACGCCGCGCGGGGCTCCGCCGCTCGCCGCGACCGCCGCAGGCTGCGTTGCGCGGAGTGTGAAGGCTCACGCTGCGTGGTACGGTCGCGGTTCACACCCGCGGGTGCGGCAGCCCCGCGCCTGCGTCGGTTCTCGAGTCCATCGACTCCCCCCCGCTGCGTCATGTCATGGGTCCTGCCCCTCGTACACAAAGAACGCGCCGACGGCCTTCTTCCGCGTCCGCGCCACGACGCCCATGAGCCCGTCGCCCGCCCCGAGCGCCTCCGCGATCCGCAGCACCGTCGAGTCATGCAGGGGGACTTCCAACAAACACTCCTCCGCCATCAACTGCCCCAGCTCCTCGCTCGCCGTGAACACCGGCACCTCCTCCGCGTGCTCAAGCAGCTCGTCTGCAGCGCACGTGGCACGTCGGCCGTTCGCGCCGAGAAACACGCAAGCAGCGCTGCGTGCGCTACGAGGGCGCACACGCCGCCGCACCTGGCCAGACGTGCGCCAGACTCTCCCTCATCTCGCACGGCTTCTGCGCCGCCTGCTCCGCCTCCGCCTCGCCTCGCGCCGCGACCCCCTCCTCGCTCACCGCTGCCGCGGCCCGCCGTGGCCCCGGCTCCGCACGCGCACCCCACACCCACCGCCCCCGCACCTGCGCCGCGACCTCCTGCAGCCGCGCCCACGCGTCCCCCCCCACCGCCAAAAGACCCCCCCTTTCACTCCCCCCCTCCCCCTCACCCTCCGCGACCCCCTGAGCCGTCTCCTTCGCGCACAGGTCCGTGACCCCCGCGGGCGCCCGCGCCGCGCCCTGCTCGTCCGCGGGCGCCGCGGCCACGACGGGCTTCAGCTGCGTCGCGAGCTTCAGCGCCAGCGCCTCGTCTTTTGCCAACGCCGCGCGCGCCTCGTCGTAGGTGGCGAAGGCGCGCTTGAGGGTGCGGGCGCCGAGGAGGGCGCGGCGGTGCGACTGGAAGCGGTACGCGGCGTAGTAGAGCGGCAGGTTCGGGATCGGCGTGACGGCCATGGGCGACAGGAGTGCCGTGAGCGCCCCCCAAGCGTTGCGGCGGGACCTGTGGAGGGCCTCGTGGCGCGCGAGGAGCCGCATGCGCCGGCGAATGAAGCGCTCGGGGTACCCTGCGCGCGGACGGGGGGCTGGAGCCGTGAGTGGCGCTGGTGCGCTGCAGGGGCCCAGGCACTGGGAGCGGAGCGGGCGCCGCGGCGGGGCACCAGGGGCGCCCGCCGCCGCCTCGGAGCAGCGAAGCAGACAAGAGGCACGGACGCCAGTCGTTCATGAAGGGCGTGCGCGCCATGGCTGGGTGGTATCGGCAGAGGTGGGTGTTGCACCTGAGGGGTACACAACCTCGAGGCGGCAGTCCTCGTCCGCTGGAACCTGCTTGAGGAACGACTCGATCGGGTCCTCCTTCGACAGCACCGCTTGCACCAACTTGAACATCCGGTTTTTGAGCGTCCCTGCGAATGTAGTTGAAAACACAAGTCCGAGTCGCCCCGCCTGGATCTCCCGCGCGCCGATACACTGCCTGGCCCGTAGCATACCACCCACACAGAGGTCCCCGCTGCGCGCGGAGTCGGCGCGCCGGACGCGCCGCAGCCGCCGCATTCGCGGCCGCTGTGAAGAGCGAGGCTCTGGAGCGCCCCTCACGCGGCATTCCGGGGCCGGGTTCTCACCCGGTCGCGACTCTCGGAGCCCCTCCCACTGCGCCGTCATCACCGCATTGCCCTTGCTCAGCAGGCCCTGCCGCATGAACGTCAGCAGCTCCTTGAACGATCCCCGCTGAGCCGCTTCCTTCCAGCCCCCGCCAGCTCCGCCCGCGGCCGCCTCCGCGCTCCCCGTCCACGCGTAGAACGACCACTGCTGGCGAAACACCGGCAGCGCCAGCACCCTGCACGCACAGCCCACACAACGCGCGCAACTCGATTCCATCCACGCCAAGCCACTACGCCTCCCCGCCGCGACGCACACCAACCGCTGCCGCCCACCGCAGGCCCGGAGACGCATGTCCCAGCCCAGGGGACGCCGCGCCTCGGCCGACGCGTCCACGCCGCGCCCCGGACCGCCCTCCCGCGCCACGCCAGCAACCGCCGCGGCGCTAGGGCGAGCCCGCCGCGCACCTCACGTGCTTCACCGGAGCCGTCATCGCGCCCCGCGGCTCCCAGCCATCCAGCCCTCGCGCACGCTACCTCCCTCGGCCCTCAAACTCCGTCGCGACGTCCCAGTCCCGGCCGTGTCACCGGGCCCTCCGCCCATGTGCCTGGACAGGTGCGCGGCGCGTCGCCACCAGCGCGCGGAATGACGCAATGCTATCGCTGCTGGGCTGTTCTGGACCGCAGCGTGCGACTGAGCGGTGCTCCGGGACCGCGGCGCGATGGGCCGCGGTCCCGCGGGGGTGCGTGTTGCTGAGCTGGAGGGGGCGTCCAGGGTGGCGCAGCGGCAGCCGCGGCCATGGGACGCCCGCGCGCGACCCTCGAAGCACTTGCGCTGACATTTCAGGCGAAACACCCTCGAGACAAGCTCCCTCGACCTTCTCTAGAGACGCTGGACACGCGGTGCGTCCCTGCAACATGCAGCCTGGCCTGGGGCGCGCGGGGCGCGTCATACGGGCCGCGCGCGCCCGCACATTGCCGCTGCCGGCCGACACCTTCGCTGGAGCGGCTGCCTAGAGCGACGCGGTGGCAGGCCTGCGGCTGCGCTGCGCGCTACGCGCCCCCTGTCCTCACCTCGGCGGCCGTTTCGCGGACAGGCCGTTGCGCGCCGAAATGGAGGCTCGCGCGCCGCCGTCTGGGCGCGAGCGATATATTTTCGCGGTTTATGGCGCCGCGGGTCCGATCCGTCGAGTACTTTCGGAACGCGCCCGCCGGGCCGTCCATTGGGCTCCTCCGCCCGGATCTACGCCGTCGGCGCGCCAGCATGGCCGAATGGCGCGCCACAGCTCTTTTCGCATTCACGCATTCGAGCCACCGCGCCTCAACGCGCCGCTGTCGCGTCTCTGCGCCGCAAACGCAGGCAGTCCCCAGGCTGGGCATCCAAGGCATCATGTCGGCACAGATTCGCGGCGCCAAGGGCGTTGAGCGCTCAGAGGCGTCCCAGGGCCAGAGGCGCACGTCCATGAGCGCCGCCAGGCCCTCGCAGCCCGCCAAGTCGTCGCCAGGTGCGTGTGTGCCCCCTCGGGAAGCACATGCAGCCGGCTGCGCCGCGCCGGCCGCCCCCGACGCCCTCGGCGCGCCGCGCCGCCCTCTCTGCTACGAGGCCAGCGCGGCGGTCGACCTAGTTCGCCACCTCGCGCCCCCTGTGCGAAGATTCCGAGACCAACCAACCCACCTATCCTCAGACAGGGAAAGCGCCCAACTGATTCCCTGTCCCCGATTCCATGTACCTGCAGGCGCCGCGACCATGGCTGGGAGCCGTCACCGCCGTGCGTCCGTCCACAGCGGCCACGAGATCGCCCGGAGCATGGAGGCCGCGCGCGCGACCATCGCGCAGCCCCCGCCGGCGCGCGCGAGCGCAGGCGGCGAGCCCTTCCCCCGGCCGGACGACAGCCACGTCGAGGCGCAGCGGGCGCGGTTCGAGGAGCTGCGCCGGCGCACCCGCGAGCACGAGATGAGCCACATGTACCAGTTCCACGTGGCGGAGCAGATCGCGGGCGGCCATTGACGTGCAGCCTCTGGCGCGGCAGGAGCCTAGCGCACCTCCCGCGCCCCTAGCCCAGCTCGTTCGCTACGCAGCGCCTAGAATCCGAGGTGTTTCCACCCAACGTCACGCTGTGGCGCAGGGAGCCTCGTTTCGCGAGCCCCTCGCGTCGCACCCCCGCCCCCTCCACAGAACCTTTGCACACGCACTCACATATCAAAAGCAGAAAAAAACCTTTCATCCGCAGTTGAGACATGGCACAGATCGCCTGCACTCACGCCGCGTGCACGTCCGGCCTGCGGCAGCGTCACCCACGCCGCCCGCAGCTGCCGCGCGTCGCCATCCTTTCAACCCCCCCCCCTCCCCCCTCCCCCCATGCTTCCTCCGCCTCCGAGACTCCCATCCTGCGTCCTGTGCCCCCCCCCCGCGTCGCCTGACCGAGGCCGCGGAATGTGCCAGTGGCGTCGCGAGGCGTGCGCGTCCCGGCACACACACTGCGCCGCGGGGCCGCATCGACGCCACGAAGGCGGAGTAGACTCGTTCCTCGACCGTGTAAATACGATACATGGCTGTCTGACGTCGCGCGACCCGGTCACCACGACTACGCACGTAGCGCCACAGCGGCATCGTTGGATCGCCCGCATCCGCACAGCACGGGGCCGCGCGCACGCGTACGGGTACTCCACCGCGTTGTTCGTCTGCGCCTGTTGTTGGCAGGCGGGTCGAGGTGACACCCCCCGCGCTCACTTCGAGTTGTGTCAGACGGAGGCAGAAGCGCGTCACATGGCGTCGTGCCCCGGCGGCGTCGCGGGCACCTTCGCGACCGCCTCCTGCCGCACGTCCGCGCCCGTGGCCACCTCCTGCGCCATGCCGACCTGCGCGTCCTTGACCACGGCGCGCTCGCGCACTGTGGCACGCGCACACACCACGCTGCTGGCGACGTGCGCGCCGTCCTCGATCACCGCCCCCTCCATCACCACGCTGTTGATGATCTTCGCCCCACTCCCCACCCTGACCGCAGGTCCTATGACTGACTTCTTAATCGACACCTTCTCCCCGACTGCACACCCCTCCCCGACCACGCAGCCGGGACCGACCTGGACCTTCCCCATCAGCGAGCACGTGTTGTGCACGAAGTTGTGGTGCTTGTCGTTCGGGACCAGCGGCGTCAGGCGCGTCAGGGCCTTGGGGTCGGACACCGCCGCGTTGGCCGCCGCGTACGACGCGAGCGTGTCCACGCGCACCGCGATCTCGCTCTCCGGCAGCACGAACGCGCCGCAGAAGCTCCGCGCGCCGCCGTTCGCCGCGCCGGAGCTCTCCTGCGTCCCGTGGGACATCTGCAACGAGACAAGAACGAACAAAACACACATCTTATTGTTTCAAGGTCTCGTGGCCTCCGCATGCCTCTTGGTGCAGGCGCGCGGCCCGGCCACACGTCGTCCGTGCGCGCGAGGGCGCTGCATCGGGGGCGCACCCGGAGCGCGGTGCGGATGTGGTCCGCGACCTCGCTCTCCGCTGGGTGTGCCGTGTCGACGCTGTTGCGCGCCGAGCCGGACCCGTGCCGGCTGAGGTCGTCCCCGGCGACCAGGATGAGCAGCGGGATGAGCTGCTTGGGGATCGACGTGACGCCTGCGCGCGGGGTGACGGGGGGGCGTGGCAGCGTTGCGCAGGGGCGCGTGTAGCGGTGCGCCGTGGAAACGGCCGGCGTGCGATGGGGCTGCGTGCCTGGGTATGCGGAGAGGAGCTTGAGCGCGGAGACGTGGCAAACGTAGACGCCGACGTCGCGGAAAGAGGTGGTGATTTCAATGCCTGCTTTGGCGCGCTGTAGCGCGGCAGCGGGGACGTCAACCTGCAACAGAGGGGCTTCCGCACATGAATGAATGAATGAACATGAGATTGCACGTCTTGGGGGCGCGTAGTGCGGCCCAGCGGTCGCGTGCTGCGGCGCGGGCGGCCGCCGCGGAGCCTGTGCTGGTGTGTGCTCGGGCGCGCGGGAACGCGCCTTGGTGACCGCCTTGTCGGGCTGGGCGGACGGCTGGAAGAGGAGCAGCTCGCCGGACGGCTTGTCCACCGCGACATAGTCCACGCCGCGCGGCGCCTTGCCCGGCTTGAGGCCCTCGCTGGGAGAGGGGCGCTTCGATAGCGCGACGGTGCAGAGCGCGCGATGCATGCGGTGGTACGAGACGATCTTCTCGAGCGGCACGCTCGTGATGCAGTCTCCTTGCATGAACAGCACGGTGTCTGCGCCGCGGATGCGGTCCAGCGAGCTGCGCAGCACCGTCGCAGCCGTGGCGCCCTCCGACGGGATGACCTCGACGTCCAGGCGCAGCCCCGCGGATCTGTCGCTCTTCTGGAACCGCGCAAGCCACTGGGAAACGTGCACGGTCTCCTCCGGCGACCCCTGCAGCCGCACGCCGCACCGATGCACTCGCGGCTTCCGGCCGGGGAATGTGGCCGCGCTCAGAGCTCTGGGCCCTGCTCAGCAGCAGCAGGGGCATACAGGGCGGCGCAGGGCGCGACAAACAGCGCGTGCAGGGGCCGGTCGGCGCGCGGGCGGTCATTTGCGTCCGCGCAGCAGCGGCGTCGCTGCGCACCTGGATGAGCACCGTGACGCCCGCGATCCCGGACCGCCGCATAGCCTCGAGCGAGTAGTATATCAGCGGCTGGTTGCAGATCGGCAGCAGCGCGATCGGCGTGTCGTTGCTCGTGAGTGGGTGCAGGAGGTGTCGGTTGGCGTTTGACACCACCAGGATCCCGTGGGTTTGATGCATGGCGCCCCACTCGACCGGGGGGGCAGTCCGCGCCCCCCTGCCACCCAAACTCCGCGCCCGCCGCGGCTCGCAGCGGTCCGCAGCGCAAAAAGCCTCCTCTGGCACAACGCGCTGCTGCACGCGGCGTCGACACGTCCGTTCCGCACGCACGCGCGTCGACAGTGACGCGGCGCAGCCGCACCCGCTCCCGTCGTGGGCGCTCGCGCACCGCACGCGGCACTCCCCCCTGATGCGGTCAGACATCTAGTGAGAGTCCTCTCGAGCCGGCGTCCTCGTCTGCGGGGGGGGGGGGTAACCGGGCCGGGCGGCGGCCCATGCGCTCGCAGTGTTGGTGCTGGTGGGCCCACGGTGTGAGGAGCGGGAGAGTCATTGGGGGTGGCACAGGGCGGACGTGTGGGCGCCATGCGCAGGGTGCTGGACGTGGCTTGTGGCCTCGCTAGGCGGGGCGAGGCGGAGCGACAGGCGCTGTGCTTTGTTGCGAGGGAGTGGGGGCCTCGCGTGGCGTGCAGCGACGGCCCGGGGCGCGCAACCTGGCAGGCCACTTCCGGCAAGGGTGGTTGCCCTACGGCGCTAGCGGCCCACCCACCGCGAAACTCAACACGATTTTACCGGAGTAGGACCGGATTCTTCGCCGAGCAAGCTCGCGCGGCGCCAGATGGATCGGTGGGGAGCTCTGGGGGCCGCGGCGGGGCCTGCCTGGCACTGCAGCGGCACTTCAGTGTCGCGACGGCGTCCAGAATGCACGCGAAACCGCCCGGACGCGCCCCCAAGCCGCCAGCCAGAGCTCCCGGCAGCCGGGGACCCCCTCGCTCTGGCGCCCCCCCGCCACGCATCCAGGTCGGCCCCCGATACCAACACGTCACTCCACCCCGCGGGGCGCCCCGGCCGCGCCGCGACGAAGCCCGCCCACGCCTCCCACGCCTTGCCCGCATCCGTGCGCAGAAGCCCGTCAACCGGCAGATCAAGGCGAGCCACGTCCGTCTCGTCCCAGCCGACGGCACCGCGTCGCGCGTGCTGCCCTTCCGCGAGGCCATGGCCGTGGCGCGCGAGGCCGGTCTCGACATGGTGCAGGTCGCGCAGGAGGCTGGCCGCGACGGCGGCGACCCGCTGCCGGTCGTGCGGCTCATGGACGTGCGGCGCGTGCAGCGGGAGCGCGCGGAGAGTCGCCAGCAGAAGCAGGAGGCGCGCAGGCGCATGAAGGAGCTGCAGGAGGAGGCCAAGGAGGCGCGGTTCGGGGTGCACATCGAAGGCGAGCACGCGAGCACCGCGCCCACCCGCACCGCGCCGCGCGCAAACCGTATCACACACCGTTGTTTGTTTCTCCCTGAGACGACCTTGTCTCGCCGTTTCGGTGTCGCGTGACTCGCTGGTTGGTGCGCGGAGGCGACGGGCGTTCGTTCCGAGTCGGTCGCTGCAGGCCACGACAGGTCGATCAAGCTGCGGAGGGCTATGCAGTGGCTGGCCAAAGGGCTGCCGGTCAAGGTGTCGTGCACGTTCCGGCCGCGGCTGGACAGCCGCGCAGACGCGGAGCGGGTGCTGGCGGAGGCCGTGAAGGAGCTGGTGGAGTCCGGTGCGGCGGAGGAGGTGCAAGGCGGGCGCGGGGGCGGGGGCGCAGCTGTGTTTGCCATGGTGCGGGCGCCCGGGGCGGCGAAGGAGGGCGCGAGCGACGCGAAGAGCTAGCTGAGTGTGAGGCGTGATGATTGGCGGCCGTTCTGGATGCCGCGCCATGACCGGAGCGTTGCGGCCAGCTGTGGCAGTCGGGCTTGAGTGACACAGGGCGGGGGGTGGCAAGCGACGCCCCAGGGAGGATCCGTGCGTGTTGGTGCTGCGGGAGCGCTGCTTCTGTGTACACTCTGTGGGGCGGAATCGCGCTGGTCGCCTGTAGGGCCCTCGTAGGGACCCGGGCGGCCCGGAGAGGCTGGGAGCCAGCAGAGTGGCGAGCGGAAGCAGCGTGGAGCGATGCTGCGGGATCTTCCGGTCAATTTCGATCGTCATACCGAAGAAAACGGTCGACTTGAGGGAGCCGCGAGCGTGAGAGCCCGGAAGGACGCAGGGGCCGCGAGAGACAACCAGCAAGCGCTCTGGGCGTCTCCGATGGCGCAGAATGACCGTCAGGGGGCGCGCGGGCAGGCGGTAGTCGAGGACGAGACAGAGAAGATCGAGGCGCTGCTCGACAGCGACTCGGAGGACGACGCGGGCGCGCCTGCGCGGGCCACCGCTGCACCAGAGCCCGCTCAAACCGCTTCGGATGCAGTCCCGCGCCGCGGCGGGGACTCAGGCTCGACAAGCACCCGCGTCTACGTTGACAAGACGTCAACAGGTCCCGTAACGCACCGTGTCGGAAGGTAATGGCGCACGCGTCCCCAGAAACGCTCTGTTTCCTCACTGTCGTTACATGCGTTACTCCCTACGAACGCGCCTGCGTCTGGCACTGCACGCGCAGGCGCCTGCTTCGCGCGCAAGGCGACGATGCCTCGCCGGCGTCCGGGAACCTCGACGGCTTGCTGGACAGCGACGACGATGACAACAACAACGCAGGCAGTAACAGCGCCGCGCACGAGTCCGCGGGGGACCTGGCCGACGTGCTCGCGGGCCTCAGCGTCGCAAACAAGGCCCCCGCGGATGCCGGACCGCCAAGCGCGGCCCAGAGCGCGTCGGACGCCGCGCGAGCGGTGTCGAGCCACCCCGCGGGGACCATGCGCGACGACACCCCGCCACCGCGCACGGCTCACTCCCGGCAAGGATCGGACGAGGCACCGACGGGCCCCGGCGAGATACGGCTGCCGGGGGGCGGTTTCCGGCTGCCCCGCGACGCCGAGCGGCGGCTGTACGCCCACCAGGTGCAGGGTGTGCGGTGGCTGCTGGGGCTGTGGCAGCGGTCCAAGGGCGGCATCATCGGCGACGACATGGTGCGGCGCGCTCCTGCCCGCCCTGCACCAGCGCCTTGCGCCCGCACCGGACGCTGTCATCGCTCCGAGACGCGACTGTTGACGTATGGTTGCGGGAGGGGTTGTGGGCCGTCGAGGCGTGACCGGGAAGTGCGGCTCGTGTCTGGGGTGGCTGCAGGGTATGGGCAAGACGATGCAGACGAGCGCGTTCCTTGCGGGTCTCATAGCGGGCGGAGCGGCGCGCAGGGCTCTTGTGGTGGCGCCCAAGTCGTTGGTGGAGCAGTGGGCGGCGGAGCTGCGGCGCTGCGGGCTGGACGCGGGCGGCCGCGTCGTCACGTTCTACGAGGCCGCGCCGGGCGCGCGCGCCCAGGCGATGTCCGCGGCGTTCCGCGGCGGTGCTGGTGCGCTCCCTGCCTTGCGCCACATGCCAGGCAGCGCGGGACATAAATACCCTTGCAGTCCGCACGCCGTTCGCGAGCGAGGTAGGCCCGCATGATGTGCGGCGTGGCCCGGCCGTGCGCGCGCAGTCCTGGTCACGACGTACGGAATGCTACAGCACAACGCGCCGTTGCTGGCGGGGGACATGGCCGCGGCGCGGGCGCTCGGCGGCGACGCGCTGGCGGGCGACGCGGCGGACGCGGTCGAGGCGGCCGACGCCGGGCTGTGGGACGTGATAGCGCTGGACGAGGGCCACAAGATCAAGAACGCAAAGATGCAGCTGGCGCAGAAAGTGCGGGGCGTGCCGGCGCGGATGCGCGTCGTGATATCCGGCACGCCGATCCAGAACAACCTGCTCGAGATGTGGGCGCTGTTCGACTTCGTGTACGAGGGCCTGCTCGGCGACGCCAAGTGAGTGCTTCCGCGCCTGCGCGTGCCTGTGCATTCCGTCACCGGCGCCCGCTCGCTCCCTGGTGGTGCTGCGCGCTCTCAGTGCCTCTCTGCACACGAGGATCACGCGCTCAGGACACGTCCGCCGCGCTCCCCGGCGCCCCGAGCCTCAGCGCAGCCCTCCGACGCATCCCCTCCCTCATGGTCGCAGGTGGTTCCGGGACACGTACGAGCGGCCCATCTCGCGCGGGGCCGCCCGCGACGCGACGCCGCGCGAGGTCGAGGCGTCGCGCGTCATTCTGCGCGACCTGCAGGCCACCATAGGACCATACTTCCTCCGCAGGGAGAAAAAATCACACGCGTCCAGCAGCACGCCGGCCCCGGCGCCCACCGCTACCGACGCGGCACCGGCCTCGCAGGTCTCGGCCGTCGCGCCGCCTGCTTCCGGCCCGCGCGACGCCGAACGCCCCAAGATGGGCACCCTGGGGCACAAGAACGACCTGATCGTGTGGCTGCGGCTGCGGCCGCTGCAGCGCGTGATCTATGAGGCGTTCCTGGGGTCCTCGGAGGTGCGGCAGGCGCTGAACTCGACGCAGTCCCCACTGGCGGCACTTACCGTGCTGAAGAAGGTGTGCGACCACCCCGCGCTGCTCAGCGACAACGCAGCGGCCGCGGTGGTGCAAGGCGCGAAGCGCCGCGCCGCGGGCGGCGAGCCTGGGAGTTCAGACGACGACGACGACGAGGACCAAGACGACGGAGACTCCCCCCGAAGTTCCGACGACGACGATGACGGAGGGGCGGCAGCGAGCACTCCGAGGCATACGTCAGGCGCGGGAGTGTGCGGTATGACGCCGGGGGGCAAGGCTCTGGTGCGCCGGATGCGTCAGGGGCCCGCGCAGGGCGGCGAGGCGGTGTCGGGGGAGTGGTGGGGCTGGGCGGCGGCGCACCGCGGTTCGCTGGACGACGCGATCGTGGACGCGCTGCGCGAGACCGGCGCGGACGCGTCGTGCAAGACGGCGTTCGTGGTGTCGCTGTGCGAGGAGCTCGTCGCGCGCGGGCACCGCACCCTGGTGTTCTCGCAGTCGCGGAAGATGCTCGACATCCTGGAGGCGGACGTGCGCGCGCGCGGGTGGCGGTTCTGCCGCATCGACGGCACTGTGTCGTCGGTCAAGGCCAGGCAGGCCGAGGTGGACAAGTTCCAGTCGGACACAAACATCCCCCTGTTTCTGCTGACGTCAGGCGTGGGGGGCCTCGGTCTCACGCTCACGGCGGCGGACCGCGTCGTCATCGTCGATCCGTCGTGGAACCCCGCGACCGACAACCAGTCCGTCGACCGCGCGTATCGCATCGGGCAGTCCCGCGACGTTGTCGTATACCGCCTCATCACGTGCGGCACGGTCGAGGAGAAGATCTACCGCAAGCAGGTCTTCAAACAAGGCCTGGCGCGCGCGGCGCAGGGCGGCGCGGACGCTGGCGAGGAGGCGGCGCTGCGCTACTTCACGCAGAGCGAACTGCGGCAGTTGTTCGAGGTCACCGCTGCGGGGCTGCAGGCGAGCGAGACGCAGGCGCAGCTGCACGAGATGCACGCGCAGCAGCGCCGCGTGACGCCGGAGCTGCAGCGCCACCTCGACTGGCTCGCGGGCGTCGACGGTTACGCGGGGATAAGCGACCATGATCTCTTATACGTACAGGACGCCGCGGACACGAGCGGGACGCCGCAGCCCCGCCAGACGGTGCAGAGTAGGCGCGGAGCGGCGCCGGAGTGGACGCGCGGCGTCGGGACGGGAGCGAAGGGCGGCGCGATGGCACGGAAGATGGCAGCAGCGGCGTCGCGCGGGGCGGCGCCGGGCGGCGTGCTCGACGCGATCATCGCCCGGGACAACGCGGCGAAGACGAGTGGGCCCGGTGGCCTCCCAGCAGCGCAGGTGCGGGGTGCGGGGTGGCTGCAGCCGTCGCAGTACAGCACTGCAGCAGCGCCGCAGCCGCCGCCCGCACCGAAGGCGCCGGAGGAACCGAAGGAGGTGCGGGAGGCGCGGCGGGCGGTCGACGCCGCGCAGGCGGAGCTGCAACGCGCCCGGCACATGCTCCCGGCGGCGGAGAAGCTGCCTGACGGCGGCGCGCGGGTGCACGCCAGGGTCGCTGAGCTGGAGCGCACCGTGGCGGAGAAACGCCGCGCGCTGGCCGTCGCGACCGGCGAACCCGTCGTGGAGGAGCTGGGCGACGCCGCGAAGGCGAGTGCGCCGCCGGCTGAGCCGTCGGGGCAGGGGGGGAGTGAGCGGGACCTGTCGGCGATGCTTGGGCGGTTGAACATCCGGTCGCGGGACGCCGGCGAGGCCACGGGGCGCGGCGAGGAGGCCAAGCGAGAGAAGGCGGAGCAGGGTGCGGCGCGGGGCGAGGGGGGGGGGTCCTGGCGGGGCGCACGATCGGGTCTGACTGAGGGGGAGTTGCGCAAGAAGCAGAAGAAGTACGCGAGGTTCGTCGAGGGGGGGTATTTAGAGAGCGGGCAGTACTCGGAGAAGGAGCAGCACGTGATCCGCCGGCGGCTGGCGGAGTACCGAGCGGACCTTGCTGCCCTGGAAGGCGCAGATGCGTGAGCAAGTTGTCGATGTTGTGTGTATTGAACATGCAGTGTGACAAACGCGTCACACCGGAGGTCACGTTAACCAGGAAAGGGGTGGCCGAGTGTTATCTGAGGACGGCAGAACGCGGGAGAGATCTCGCCTGGACAGCACCACGACCACACCGTCTCGCGAGCCAAGCCCTCGGGCCAAGCCCTCGGGCGCCTCGTCTGTCATGCTTTGACTGTTCTGAGTCATTCTCTGATTGATTCGTACCTACTGGCATCATCGCCGCAAGGACGCACGAGTGGCAGAAATGGCATATCAGACGTACCTCACACAGCAAATCAGGGAAGTCAATCGCTCGAGTTTTGGTTGACCTGCGAATCGCTCGCTCGCGACCCCAAGAGCACATTTGCAAAAGAGATCTTAGGTTCCATGCAAAGCAGCGCGCAGTCGCCTCGGACGCGCGCGCCCACCTAGCCGTCGATCCCCACGAGCCCCTCCGGCCGTATTCGGAACCGCGCGACCCCGCCCACCAGCGGCGCGTACAGCGGGCTCTGCGTCAGCACCATCGACACGGCCGCGTCCTCCCTGTTGTCGCCCTCCCGCGCCAAGTGCACCCGCACCGCCGCTTGCGCCCGCCAGCTCTCCCCCATCGCCCCCCGGTGCGTCATCCACTCCGGCTCCCCACTTCCCCCCCCGCCGTGACCCCCCCACGCTCGGTCCTCCTGCGTCGTCCAGTTCGTCGTCAGCACCGCCAGCGCGCCGGCGTCCGCGATGTGCCGCAGCAGCCGCCCCAGCGACGCCCCGATCGCCTGCCCCATCTGGCTCCCGCCGCCGGACCCGGGCATCAGCGTCGTCGTCGGGGAGTCCACCACGATGAGCGCAATCTTCTCCCCCCGGACGTCCTCAGGCAGCGGCTGCATCTCCTGCACGATGACGCTCTCCAGCGCGGCCAGCACCGCGTACGCGTCGTGCGCCCGGTGCACCTGGATCAGGCCGAGGGTCTCTTCCACCGTCGGCGGGCGCGGCTGGCCCGTCGCGGGGTCCTTCGGGAACGACGCTGCAATCACGCGCGCGAACGCACGCGGTGAGGCTCCCTCCGCGCGCCAGCATGCCGCGCGTCTCTGCCCTGCCCATCGACATGGTCAGCGCGGCAGGACTTTGCGCACGTCTGCCCGCGATTGACGAGCACGCAGCGATGCCGTGGTGGCGTTTGTACGGCGTGCGCGACGCACGGACTCACCGGCGGCGGCGGCGGCTGCTGCGGGCTGCAGCTGCGCGGCGCGTGTTGCGGAGAACTGCCCCGCGGTGTCAATGTAGACCACCCGCTCCCCGCGCGCCGCCGTGGACACCGCGGCCATGTGGCAGAGCTGCGTCTTGCCCGTGCCGGACCCGCCGATGACCTCCGTGTGCTGCCCCTCGCGGAGGCCGCCGTGCAGGAGCGCGTCGACCGTGCGGCACCCCGTCGGCAGCAGCCGACACTCCTTGGCTAGCATCTCCATGAGCTGCGGGGGACGAGGAGCAAGCGGAGGGCGCGCGGTCACGGCGTGGACGTGATCATTCACGCGCGCATTTGTTCATCGATTGAACGGCGCGAGGGGTCACGTGGACACGTGGTGTGGCTGCAGGATGAGCCCGATCATGTTCGCGCTCTGGGTGGCGCTGTGGCTCGCGACGGACCAAGGCGGCGACGTAGCTCATGTCCGCCGCGCGGCTAGCCCGGCCGTGCCAACGCACTGAACGCCTTCTCTCGGGAGTCGATCGTCCCGTGCCGCCAGCGCGGGAGGTACGCGGCGCGGACTTGCGGGTGCCCGCACTTCTAGCTTCAGGCTTCTGGCTCCAGCTTCCCTCATGGCGACGGCAAGAAGCGGTGCAGGTGCGTCGGCCCCGGAGCTTGTTGTTGCCCCGGGGACGTGCACCTGCACCGCTCTAGCACGTCGCCCTGAGGGGGAGCTGGAGCTAGAGGCTCGTCGGAGGCCGGCCCAAGAGGTGCGCCGGCGCGGCCGCGTGCGCGCGCTGCGTCCGGCCCCCGCATGGCCAGCCATCCGGCGCGTCGCACGCGCGCACCGTCAATGCAAGGCGTCACGAAACGGTGGGAGGGCATCGTGACGTCCAGCATCGACGGTGCGAGCGCGCGACCCGCCAGGACACTCAGCCATGCGGAGGCCGGGCGCAGCGCGCGCACGCGACACCACGGACAGACGCCTTGGGCCGGCCTGAAGCCGGCTGGGGACATACAAATGCAGGCGGGTTCGCGCTGCACCCTACACTGCGCCCGTGGCCGCCATAGCCGACTACACGCGATTGTGGGGCCGGCGCATTGGGTTTCGGTGCTGAGGCCGCGCTCTGGGCGCGCAGGAGCGTGGCGCGGGTCGGTGGGGAGCGCACCTGAGTGCCGCTCGTGGGCTGCGGGGCGACGTGCTGCTCGACGGCGCGCAGCATGGTCGCGACCACCTTCTCTGTGACGTCCTTGTTCGACGGCCCGGCCCTGACTTCGAGCTCCTGGACTGGCGTAGAGAGGAAGTGGTCCACTGCAATAAAAGAGGCGCACAGAGCCTCCTGGTGGGAACAAACGGGCCTGCTGACACGCTGACGCACTGTCTCGGTGATGGACCGTCGGAACCACGGGGGAACGCGTCGAGGTGCCCGCTCACGGCCCCTGGGCGACATCAACCACCAGGCACGAAGACGGAATGTGTCAGGGATCCGCTCACGTGTCCGTACGCGCGCATCGAAGGCCGCGAGCTCCTCCCCGTTGAGCTCGAGTCCGAGCTCGGCGATGCGAGGCATGCCGAGTCGCGCGCTCTTCGGCAGGAACGCGGTGTTTTCCCGCCCTCACTGCATCCCCTCGAGCGACCGCGTCGAACGCCGCGAGACTCGCTATCCGCGCCGGAACGATGCGTGAGAAGCGAGACACAACGCGCGGGTGCAAACGGACCCCGGTAATATGGCGCGGCAGTCGAATCGATACAACCAGCGCCCGTCGACTCGGGTCGCCCCGACGTTGTAGACGCTATGCGCCGAAATCCCGCGTCAGTGGTGGTGGAATCCGCAGTCGTCTCGCGCGGCCGCGGGCGGAAGCAGCCCTGGGGGCGCGGCGGCGCGTCGGCGTCGCCCGACACAGGATGAGAGGGTCCGCTGGCGGGCGGGCGGGGCGCTCAAGGCGGCGCGCGGGCGGCGCGCCGGCCCACACACTTTGCAGCAGCCCCCCCCGCCCACTAGGCTCGCCCCTCGCGGTGGCGTCCGCTCCTGGTGGAGCTGGGCTGGGAGCTTCCCTCCTACTAGCAGCAGTCACTGGCACGCGCCTCGTAGACCGCATCCCGGTCTCTCCGCAGTCCCTTTCCGCATTCCCTTCCGTCCCGTCCCCTGACGAACGCGCGCGATGGAGCCTCGTTGCATCGCTGCCTCGCGCAGCGCAGCGGCCATCCCCGCGCCCCAGCGGGCCTCCCTCCGCAGGGGCGGCAAGCCCGCGGCCGTTCCGGGCGCGCCCTTCCGCTCCCGCACGGGAATGTTCGGTCGCGACCTGACGTGCCAAGCGCTCAGCTGGCCGTCCTTCTCGCTCGGCAACTCGCGCGAGGCCTACCCGGCGCCGCACTCCAGCCCCAGGGAAGCCAACATGCTCTCGGAGCTGCGGCGGTTCATGGAGAGCCGCGGCTGCTACATCCACCCCGACATCATCATCTCGCACCAGACGACGACCGGCTGCCGCGGCCTCGTGGCCCGCCAGGGTGCGCGCCCCGCAACTGCCATGGGTCACACGGCGCTTCGCGGCCGCTCCGGACCGCAGACTGCCCGCCCGGCCCCGCCTGCGGACGCTCGAGTTCAATGTGCGATGACCTGCCCGCGTCCGCGCCCGCAGACATCGAGGACACGCGCGCGCTGATGTTGTTCCCTTCCACGGCCTTTGTCGACACCGCCGAGGCGTCCGACAAGCTCGCGGCCGATGGCTTCGACGCGGCGCACCTCGACGATGTCGAGCTCCTCGCGCTCTACCTCGCGCACGAGCGCGCGCGCCAGAACGACTCGGAGCTGCGGCCGTGGTTGGCCCTCCTGCCTGCTGTGCCACCTGGCGCCTTCAGCGACGTCGGCGCCTCCGCATTCGCGTGCCTGACGGACCCCCCCGTCCGTGGCGTCTCCAGGGAGAAGTGGGCGAGCGAGCTCAAGGAGCACCGCGCACGGGTGAGCCGCCACGCGCCACCATGACTGCGCACACCCACCCGCCCGCCGACGCCGCGCCCCGCCGCCAATTCCTCCCAACGCCGCGCCCCTGGAATCTTTGAATGCGGATTCGCGCGGACGCGTGGCGCGCGCGTCGGTTCGCCCACGCGCCGCCGCCGCGGCTCGCCTCAACACAAGGGCACCTAGCTCCCACACTCTTTTGCGCCCCGTGTGCGCAGACGGAGGCCCGTGTGGCGCGCATGGCCGCGGCGGGCGCCACGGACGCCGGCCTGTCCCGGCAGGACCTCCAGTGGGGCCTCGGCATGGTGGCGTCGCGCGCATTCGTGGTGAGTAGCAGTGGCCCGTCAACCAACCTCGAAGATTCCCTCGCCAGTCGAGAAACCTCGAGTGCCGTCGCAACCGCGCCGCCCGCCTCGCTCGCCCCTCCAACGCGCCCACCCGCATCGCCCGAGCGACCCCTGCGCTCGCCACTACCCGCGCGCCCCCCGCCCAGCTCCGCCGCCCCGAACGCGCCGCTTACACACCCCCGCGCTCACCATTTGACACCACCAACTCCCCGTGCTCTGAGCAGGCCGGTGACCGTGTTGTCCTTGTTCCGTTCCTGGACATGTGCAACCACTCGGCGTCGCCCCACGAGCACTGCGACGTGGCCTACGGCCCGGACGAGGCGCTCATTCAGGGGCGCGAGCTCGAGCTGACCGCGCTCGGGTCTCTTCACCGCGTCAAGTCCCCGCTCCGCGCCCGCCCGGCCTCGGAGGACGGCCTGTCGACGACGGATGAGGAGCGCGAGGAGCGCGCCACTGCCGCCGCGCGCACGGAGGCGGCGCGCGCCCCTCGCTCTCCTGGCCCGTCGATGCCCACGGCGACGCTCGAGGACGCCTGGCAAGACTACGCGTCGCGCCACGGTGTGCTGGCCGAGGACGTGCTGGCGGTGCGGCCGCCGCGCGCAGGCCCGCCCGGGTGGGGCGTCATGGGAGCCTTCCAGGGCCCCGGCGCGCTCGGGTGGGGCATCGGCGCCGGCGAGGAGCTGCTGATTGACTACCGACACGAGTGCGGCACGCCGGAGATGACGGCTGAGGACGTGCGCGTACGGCGGATGCTGGACGCTGGCTTCTGAGCGCGAGCACGCTGCGGTTGGGCGTCGAACGAGCGGGCACGGCATGCTGGTGTGGCGGCCTGCTGGTGTGCGCGGCGCGCCCGTGCCGCTGCGGTCAGCAGGACCTCGGCCGTCGGTCCCTGCTTGGTCAGGCCTACCTGACAACCTTCTCACACACACACCCCCCCCCCTCTCCGCCACCCGCACCACCATCCTCGCCCCCCACCCCGCACCACCACAAGATGAACTCTGCCTCGTGCATTGAGCTGCCTGTGCATTGAAATGCCTTTGTCCACTTCGCCTCGCATCAAGATAAACACCCCTCATCTTTTTAGCGAAACACCTCCCCCCCCTTGTCCTGCCTGCCTGCCCTAGCGGGCGAGGTGCCGCTCACGTGCGTCGCGCGCCCTTCGTTGGCGACGACGTGCTGGCGGTTCGCCACCTGCCCTGCAGCAAGCCGTGCTTTCGGCACGACGCTGCTGCTACCCTTGCCACTACCTCCCCTCCTCGGCCGCGTTCGACGCACGCCTGCCCCCAGCATGCAAGCACCTCTCACCTAGCGTCCCCATGCTGCGCCGCGCGCAACACCTGACTGCTTGTGCTCTCGAGGAGCGCATGCTGCGAGCTGGTGGGCACGACTAGCGGTGCCGGTGCAGGCACGTCGACAGGTCGTTGGTGGGGACATAGAGACGCCGGGATCAGACCCGGCCGTCGGCTGTTACACACTCAGGTGGCCCACGTGTGTTCGCGTCTCGCTTCGCGCAATGTCTGCTTCTTTGTTCGGTCTACGTGCAATTACAGCGGCAACTCATGACGGGGCGGGGTGTCAACTCATCAGGATCAGGGGATCTATGGCAAGGATAGGATAATTGGCAGGTGCATGGTGGCGCAACAGCAGCCCGACGGCCCTCGAAATACGACGAGGAAGGCCACCTCGACCTAGAACCAAGAGCGCACAATCTTGGCCTGCAGGGGTCCGATGTCCCCGACCTCGCAGCCGCGGATGCGCAGCTCCTGCAGCGACTCCAACCCCGGGGGCAGCGCTGCGAAGCGGCAGTTGTCCGCGCGCAGCTTTCGGAGCCCCTGCGCGGTGGCCGCGTCGAGCCAGCGGCCTTCCTCGAGTCGCACGCAGTCGGAGACGTCCAGCTCCCTCAGGGCCCTCATGCAGGGGACCTGCGTCACGTGCGTGTGGCTGATGTCGAGGTGGCGCACCCGGGCGGCGGACGACGGCGGGCAGAAGCCGTCGCGCAAGTCGTAGCACCGGTGCAGGTGCAGCCGCTCCAAGGCCACCATGTCCTCGGGCACGCGCTGGACGTTGCTTTCCGCCAGAACCAATTTGCGCAGCTTTCGCAGCGAGCTCCGTGGGAGGAACTGCGCGCCCCCCGCCTGCGACGTCGCGAGCAGAAGCGCCGTGAGGTGAGAAGGCGCGGCGGGCTGCCGGCGAAGCACCGCGTGCCGGACAGGGCGACGTGACGCAGTTTTGGGGCGTCGTACCGCGCTAGGCTGGGCATCGTCGCCGGGACGCGTGCTTGCCTCGCCTGCTTGTGCAAGGTGCTGGCAGTGGAAGAGGCTGAGTTCTTCGAGGGGCAGATTCGGCGGGACTCGCTTGATGCCGGTGTAGCAGGCGTGCAGCACGGTGAGCTGCGGTGCTGCGTTGGTTGGCAGGAAGTCGTCGACCAGCGGGCATGCCGTGAGATACGCCTCCCGCAGCGACCGCAGGCCTCCCGGGAGCCGCTTGACGGACCCGCGCGCCGCGGAGAGGACTCTGACGGCCCCCGCGGACGACTCGGGCAGGAACTCCGTGGCGTCGAGGGACTTGCATCCGTCGAGTATAAGGATCTCGAGCGAGCCCATCCCCGGGGGGAGTCGCGTGACTTTGCTGTGCGACGCGTACAGGAACCTGACGCTGCGCGCGGACGACTCCGGCAGGAAGTGTGTCCCCAGATGACTGCATTTCCGCACATCCAGATATTCCAGCTGGCACGCGGCGGCAGGGAGCATCCGCAGCGTGGACCGCGTGGCGACGAGCTTCTTCAGCTTCGCGAAGCGCGTCGCGTGGAATGCACCGCCGCGGAGCGGGCACGAGGAGCAGTCGAGCTCCTCGAGTCGCGGCATGTCAGGGACGCGTTGCACGTTGCTGTGGCCGCAGTCCAGCCACCGGATGTTCCCCGCCGACGTGCTCGGGATGTATTCGAGTCCGTCCACCAGGCTTTGGCATCCGCTCAGGTTGACTCGCTCTAGGGAGTGCATGTGTGCGGGAACGCATGCGATGTTGCTGCCCTGCGCAGGGTGTGTGAACACTGGCGCGACGCGTCAGCCGCGCAGACGAGGAGTGCGGGTCAGGGAGCGGCCAGTAATGGCGGCGGGCGGCTCACCTTTGCATCCAGGTGCTTGACGGCCGCCGCTGAGCTACCGGCGAGGAAGTCGTGATCGAGCCTCGTGCAGCCGGCCACCACGAGCGTCTCCAGCCGCGCCATGTCCGCCGGCAGCCGCCGCACGCGCGTGCGTGAGACGTCAAGCTCCACCAGGCTGGCGCATGACGAGCTTGGCAGCAGGCTGCTTGCGCTGGTGTCGAGGGCCTTGCACCTGGACAGCGTGAGCCGGGACAGCGACGCCATGTCAGGGGGCACCCGCCGGAGGCCAGACCGCGCTGCAAGCAGCACCTTGACACCTCCCCGGGGACCAACGGGCAGCCAGTTGTCGTCGCCGTCGGTCATGAGCTTGCACTTGAAGTCGGACATGTCCACGTGCTCGAGCGCGATCATCCCCGGCGAGAGCCCGATCCAGTCGGGGCCCGCCCGAATTGCCGCGGAGGTGACGGCGGAATCTCGGGCGGAGGTTGCCTTGCCGCGGGCGAACACCCTGCAGCCGTCCTCGCGAACGTGGCCGATCTGGCCCTGGCTGGCTGGAGTGACCCGCGCGCGCACTCGCCGCGCCACCGTCGGGCCCCAGCCGCGGAGATCGTGCCACCACTTTGCGTTGGGCACGAACTCGAGGACTCTCGCCATGAACACCGTCGAGGTGGCCGCCAGCGCCCTACGGCTCGCGTCGTCCATGTGCTCGCGGATGACCTTGGCGAGCGGGCCGTCCCCTCCAAGGTACAGCACGTCCAGCGCAGACGCTTGACGTGCCTGGCGCCGAACCTCGACATCCCTGCGCGCATTCACAAGCCTGTGTTCGGAAGTCTTGCTTTGTCGCTGCGGGCTGTTCCATCGTGCGCTGCGTGATATCGACCGAGCTCGATGCACCGCGCCGCTGTCTCCAGGACCCAGCAACGTGCGATTCCTCGCGTGCCGCGGGTATCCCAGGGACTATTTTGAAACCTTCTGGGACCCACACGCTAAGAACACCCTCCAACGCCTGGCCAAATGCGCGTTTAGTGCCGGGAACGGCGTTTCGAGGAGCATGTGCCCCTTGCTGCAACCACCACGCGCGCGCCGCAGATCCAGATCCAGCTGCCTCGCACCTGGGCCGTCCACTTAATCTCCAAACGCGATCCATCCTGATGAGCGCACTCTGCCGATGCAGCCTTGTGCGTCGCGCTCGATATCGAGTGCGCGCTCTTCACGCGTGCATCAGCCTGCAACAGACGTGCGCCTCCGTCGCTTCCGTCCACCTCGAGGATTCACCGTCCATCCACAACGATTTTCTGAGGGCCAGACGGTCCAGGCAGCGGCCATTCTGCGCCTGGCTCGCCCGGAGCAGCGCACATTCGCGTCATACTCATCCCGTCGCAGGAGGGCCCGACTCCGCGGTCCGGACCGGCACGGATCGAACGACGCACCCGAAAGCAGGCCCGCATCAAGATCTCTCGCCTCGTCAGCGCGCCTGGCCAGAAACGCCGCGACGGGACGCGGCGCGCCACTCCACGCCGCTACGTGTGCCTGGCAAACCATCTGCGCCGTGAGAGGCTGCGAATCGCTCCGACCGAGATCCGCCACCGCGACTGAAATCACCCGGATGAGTGGCTGATGTCGCGTTTGCGATTCTCGAGGAAGCCCAACGCAGCGTCACCCAGACGACGTGGCCCATGCGGACGGAGCAAGCTTTCGACGCCGGTCACTGCCGGCCATGAGCTGCCTGCGGCGCTGGCGCGCACGAGACGATCTCGGCGCGGCGTGCGGATGCCACACGGTGCCTCACGAGGCTTGTGACACCCAATGTTGCTTAGCAACAAGATAGACTAGCCCGCAAGGCCTAGCTGGAGCTTGTTGCATGCGCGCGTCACGCGGCCGCTCGCCCTGCCTACAGCTGGCAGCACGCAGCACATGCGGTGGCCGAAAAGCACGCCCGCCAGCGCTCGGGCCCAGGACGTGACATCGCGCAGACGAGCCGCAGTCGCGTTGTACACCTGCCAGGCGCACGTGCCGCCCGCGCGCCCCGCTCCGTCGCCGCCCCTCGAGCCACGCGAGCCGCCACAGACTCCCCCCGCACAGCCCCTCAGCCCGCGACTGGCCAGAACGGCCTTTGACACCAATCGAACACGAAAGGCCCGTCCTGCGTCGTCACAGGCCGCCCCGCTCGGTCGCTACTGCCGCCCGCATCCGTATGTACATCCCGCGCACCGCCGCGCCGTCACCGCCCCCGGTCCGCGCCCTCCAGGCACTTGTCGACCATGCCGATGAGTCCCGGGTTCTCCAACGCCGCCGCAACGCGCTCCTTGTCCGCGAGCTGCTTGTTCACGGCCTCCTCCGTGGAGTGCGAGCCCGGCGTGAGCTTCACGTCGATCTTGAACCGCATCGGCAGGCACCGCAGCAGCCGCACGCGGATGCAGAGCCCGATCAGTGTCGCCATGCTGCAGTGCTGCACCGTCGGGGTGAACTGGACCCTGCGCGGGCACGCGGCGCGCTCGGGGCGGCGTGGGCGGGCGGCGGCGGCGGCGGCGGCGCGGCGGCGCGAGCTCGGTCGCGTGGGGACCGTGTGGGGCCGCGGCGCGTACGTGACTTGGCCCTTGGCGTCGTCGACGGCGATGAGGTTCTCGGCCACGACGGAGAGCTGCTCGAGCGTGTAGGGGTGCTCGGGGTCGGTGATGTCGCGGATGTACTCGAAGATTTCCGCCGTGTCGATGGGCTCGCGCTCCCACTCGGGGGTCGCCTCCTGCTTCCGCCTGCGCGGCGCCAGGTCCTTGCGGTCCAGGACCTGCGGCGCCGGATTGATCAGCTCCGTCGCCATGGCCGGTCGTCCAGGCTGCGTAGCAGCGCCCTAGAGCGGGCGGCGCGAACACGGTGCGCTCGACCAAGGTTCCGGCCCTTCCACGACGCGTGAAGCTTTTCTAACGGTCTCCGCCTGCGAGCGCGACGACTCGAGTGGCTGACCGAGGCGCGCGTGGAGCGTCCAGCCCTCGGGGCGCAACGCGCGGCAATCGAGCTTTCTCTGAAGTGCCCTACAGCACCCCGCTCGACGCTGCTCCTAGACAGGTCGTGAACCGCAAGCTACGGAATCTGCCGTGTGCGAGGCAGCAAGTGCGGCCCATGTGGCGGCACCTGCGCGCACCAAGCGGCGGCGACGCAGGCCCCCCTGTGCCACGTATGGGCGGTCGAATGGAGCGCACGGCGGCGCTAGACTTGCCCCATCAGCTGCGTGGTCGCACCAGAAGTGCACCGAGAGCCTGGTCCGCTCGAGTTTGTCGTTGACACTGTCGCTCGGACGGAAAGAGGGCACTCTTCTCCTCAGAGCAACCGAACGGCCCGTGCTGAGGGTCACCGGCCACACCCGCGAGGTCGTTCCGATGCACGCGCACCTATCACGCTCCGCGGCGCCCCTGCTTGCTGGACGCCTGGACTCTCGTCGCCTGACAGGTGAGCATCGCGCGGCGTATGCTGCCAGGCTACAACGCGAGCGTGCGGGGCCCCGCGAGCTGTTGCACGCCAGCGCAGCGCGCCCGCCGCTCCGTTAAGTGGGCTCCTTGGCGGCCGCAATGCGCACACCGGCTCGTGCGTCGTCTCCGCGGAATTCGCCCCGCGAACCTCTACAAGCCAAGAGCGCGCTTCCGCCCTCCTGGCCCCGTTTGAGCGCGACGCGTGCGCGCATCGAGCGCTCCAGCCGATCTACGCCTCATCAACGCGCGTTCCGCGCGCTCCACCGCGCAGCTCGGAGGTCGCGCGCGACGGCGGTGGTGCGCGCAGAGAGCAAGTCCAGCCAGGCGCCCCCGAGGCAGAAGTGGGATTTCCAGCGCTTCCTGAAGACCGCCCTCTTCTTCAACCCGCCGTCCGCGGGCGGCATCGCGCGCGCCGTCACCGCGCCGATCCGCATCCTCGGCAAACTGGTGCGTACGCGCACGCAACACCCCGCGCCCGCGCCGGCCGCCGCACCGCGCCCCAGCACAGCCGCGCCTCCCCCACCGACGCCGCCCTCCGCGCCGCGCAGGCCGGCGTCGCCGGGGACGAGGAACAGCCCGCGCCGCTGCTCCGTGTGCGCGGCCCAGGCAGCGTTCAACCAATCTCCGCCGTAACGGAGGACCAGATGCTCGGCAAGGGCGCCGTACTCGTCACCGGTGCGTCCCGCAGCCCACGCACACCCTGCGCCGCGCCCACCACGCTCGACGGCGACCGTGACGCCGCCCTCGTGCCCGATTGTCGCTGCAGGTGCCACGGGGGGCGTCGGCAAGCGCGTGGTCGAGATCCTGCTGTCGCGCGGCGAGCGCGTGCGCGCGGTCGTGCGCAGCACCGAGAAGGGCGAGAAGCTCCTCGCGCCGCTCGCGTCCGCGCACCCGAACGGCACCCTCGAGATGGTGGCGGCGGACCTGTCGCAGGAGATGACGCTGCTGCCGGAGCTCTTCACGGGCGTCCGCGCGGTGGTGTCGTGCGCGGCCGCGAAGGTCCGCCCGAAGGAGGAGGTCCCCGACAGCGCCGAGGCCGACGCCAAGTACTACCAGGGCATCAAGTTTTACGACCCCCGGGTCGTCGGAGACACCCCCGAGGCGATCGAGTTCCGCGGCGTCGCGAACCTCGCGCGCATCGCGAGCGAGCACGTTCCGCTGCCCGGCGGCCGCGTGCTGCTGGACCCCGCGAAGGGCGCGGCCGGGAACCCGGAGTGGGGGGCGCTGGACGACGTGGTGATGGGCGGCGCGAGCTCGTCGACGCTGCGCCTCGCGGACGCCGGCGGGGAGGACGGCGGCCCCGTCGCGCTGTTTTCCGGCAACGTCACGTCGGCGAACAACGGCGGCTTCACGTCGGTCCGGACGAGAAACTTCGACCCGCCGCTCGACCTCGGGGCGTACGAGGGCATCCGGCTGCGCGTCAAGGGCAACGGGATGCGGTACAAGCTCATCCTGCGGTGCGACGGCGGCTGGGACAGCTTGGCGTACTGCCGGAGCTTCGACACCCCCCCGGGGGAGTGGACTGACGTCAACATCCCCTTTGCCGAGTTCAAGGCCACGTTCCGGTCCAAGACGGTCAAGGACGGGAAGCCCCCGGACGCGTCGCGCATCTTCTCGATCCAGCTCATGCTCTCGAAGTTCGAGTACGACGGCAAGCTCAACCCCAGCTTCCGCGAGGGCCCCTACGAGCTCCCCGTGGCGTCCATCGCGGCGTACCCGCCGGAGCGCGCGAACGCGGCCGACCGCCCGTGCGTCGTGCACGTGAGCTCCGCGGGCGTCACGCGCCCGGACCGCCCCGGCATCGACGTCGAGGTCGAGCCGCCCGCGGTCAAGATGAACGCAATGCTCGGGGGACTGTTGACGTACAAGCTGCGCGGGGAGGACGCGCTGCGGACGTCCGGCGTGCCGTACGCGATCGTGCGGCCGACGGCGCTGACGGAGGAGCCCGGCGGCATGCCGCTTGTGTTCGAGCAGGGCGACACGATCAAGGGCAAGATTTCGCGGCAAGACGTGGCGGAGCTGTGCTGCGCGCTGCTGGACACGAACGGCGCGGCGGGGCTCACGTTCGAGGTGAGCAGCACCGTGCCGTTCTCCGAGGCGTGGGAGGGCGCGGGGGGCGCGACGCAGATGGACCGCGCGGCGGAGGTGGCAGCCGCAGGGCTCAGGCGGAACGTCACGGGGCGGACGGTCGCGGGGCGGTACACGGGCACGGAGGTTGATCCGGAGCTGTAGTCGCGGGCGGTGGGGCTGCTGCGGGCGTGCATGAGTGTGCGTGTGAGCCGGTGGCGTTGTTTGGTCGTGACGACGGGACAGGCGGCGAGAGGCAGAAGCCCGGGTATATACCGAGCGGCGTGCGGGCGCCATCTGTCGGCCGCTGCCGGCGCGCGGCCGCTCTTGTCTGACGGTGGAATCACGTCCCTGGTACAAACCCGGACCCCCCCCCCTGTTGTTTTCGCGGATTTTGCCGGTGCGGGCGGCCGCGGACCGCAGACCCCGCGCACGGCAGGTGGGGCCTCCGCAGCGGGCATGCGATGGGCACGCGGCACGGCGTGACACGGCGGCGTCGTCCCAGGATCGCCCTGTTCGGGGCAGCGCTGGTGCTGGTGGGCATCGCCCTGTTCCACCGCGGTTCAGGGCCCGCGCCGACCTCGCCCAGCCCCTGGCCGACGCCGGACGCTGCGGCGATGGAGGCCTCGCTCCCCGAGGGCGTGCCACTGGACGACATTCGGCTCGTCCCGGACCAGGACGTGCCCCTGCCACATGACGTCAACATAGGCTTGGTGCTTGAGATGGGTGGCTGGCCGGACCGGGACTCCTCGACGTTCGCGAGGAAGGTCGAGCCGCTGATGCGGGGCTACGCGAAGGTTTTCCGCGAGTTCCGGCTCACTGGCGACTTCATGACGGAGCTGGACCCGGCCTGGAAGCCGTACGCGCACCAGTGCAGATACCTCTTCCAGACGTACTACTGCGCAGCGGGGGCGATGCGCAGCATGCTTGCGAGCAGCAAGGACCTCGACGGGTTCATCCTCCTGCAGGCGAGGCGCCCTCGCGAGATCTGGAACGCTGGTGCTCACTGATGCGACGCCGCCCATCTCGCCCCGAGTTCGGGACTCTGCGGCGCCGCCGATTGTCGACATCTTGACGGACGTGCGAACGCATGGCTATTCAACCTGCTGCAATCCCCCTATTCGGCACGCCACGAGCAGCTCCAAGTGCAGGGGGCAGCCTCCCGTCAACCCTTGTGGCGCCGCGATCGGACGATATTGCGGCGCTCACGGTGCATCCATGTGTATTTCATCACTTGGAGCCGCACAAATCCGCGTTTGAGGCCCCCAGGACGTCAGTGGGCGGCCACACGACTTACAGTGCATTTCCTGCGCTCTCCCTCGCCGCGCAGGCCGACGGCTACGTGAACCCGCGCAGGATCATCAACCTGCCCCGGGACGCGATCTGGCTGCAGAAGCGCCCGGACCTGGGTCCCGGGGCGGCGTGCCGGCACGTCGCGCGCCCGCCCAGCAACGGCCCGGACGCGGGCTTCACCGAGTACATGTGGTACACGATGCGCATCGACACGCTGAACAGCGAGCTCACGCAGATCGAGGCGATCGAGCGCTTCTGGTCCAAGCAGCTCGACAAGGGCTATTTGAAGCCGGACGCCAACGGCCACTTTCCCCTCAATAGGACGCACGTGATTTGGGACGACATCAAATACGTCCCCGCCGCGGCGGCGCAGGAGTTCATGGAGCTCGCGGACGACGCGCACGAGCTGGGGTTGTTCCACGAGATCGGCACGCCTGCGATCCTGCACACGCTCATGCAGCACCGGGGCACGGAATGCTACGAGATGGACTCGGCGGGGACCCCGGGCGACGCGGTGTACTGGCAGGACATGCGGCCGTCGGACGCGGGACACAAGCTGTTCTGCGAGTTCCCCTTCCACGTACGCCCCCGTGCTTGCACGCGCCGTTGCGTCGTTGTCGTCGCCGCCCCGACGCGTTGTGCCGCTCGCAGCGGTCGCGACGCGCCGGCTGGCGAGCGGTCCGTGCATCGTGCTGCGAGGCTGTGTGGGGCGCACGCGTGAGGCGCGGACAGCCGTGCGACGCGGCGGCGTTGTGCGCGTGTTGCGCAGATACACATGGCGGCGTATATCTTGTACGACTTGCCGTACGAGGGGCCGCAGGACCTCAACGAGGCGTACCCGAAGGAGTGGGACGCCAACCGGCCGGTGGAGCGGGATCCTGATCGAGATTGAGGCTGTGCCGTCGCGTTGCTCGTATCTGATTGACTGCTCTCTGCTGCGTCGTGCGAAGACTGTTTGTAAATACCAGAGCGCATACGCGCAGCGGCGGCCACAGCGAGGCGCGCGCGGCACCTGCCACGACTGCACAAGCGCGCCGCGACTCGCAATCTGATCGCATCTGCACATCCTGCGGGCCCGTGCCCCTCCGGCGACCAGCCCGAGCCGGACTTTGCCTGGGGCACCCGCGTGTCCCCCCCCGCCGCGGCGGCGAGCACCGCGCGCCGGTATAACACACACGGATGGCGTAGCACTCCCGACGGTGGGACCTCCGGCGTCAAGGCGCGTCGACGCCGGCGTGCAAGGTCGCTGGCTCCGTGTAGCATCTGCATAGTCCGGGATCGGTTTGCGCTGCTATTGCGAGGGCGCGCGGACTCTGGGCCGCAGAGAGAGCAACGGTGCACCATGGAGGTGAATGTGCGAGTGCGAGCGGCCGTGGGCGCGGCGTTGGACGCGCGCGCTGCGCAGAGGACCCGCGCATCTGCGCGGGGAGCGGCGCCGCGCGCACGTGCAGGCCGTGTCGGGCGTGAGCGGGGATGGTCTGCTCTGTGGCGCACTGAGCGCGGCTGTATCAAAGCCACGGCGATCGCTCCCGCCGGTCCGGACGCCGAAGACGTAGTGACCAATCCCTACGGGTGAGCAGATCCCCAGCGCGAGCCAGACGTCGCGATCTCGCGCGCACATTCTGCCCAGTACAGCTAAAGACCATCCTACGTCGACGGCCAGGGCCCGCATCCGCTCCATGCGAGTCCGCGGGGCAGACAGAGGCTCGGGCTTGCTATCGGCGGCCGCACACGCGCTGTATCTGCGCTCGCGGCGCCGCGGCGCCCCCGGCAGCGTCGCTCTCTGGCGTGGATCGTCCGTTGCCGCCGGGAGCCACACACGCGCCCTCCGGCGACGTTCTTTCGGTTTCGCGGTCTTAGGACAGCGTTCTAGCCTCTACGGCCCTGGGATCGATTTTCCATGCTTGTTCCGGGAGCCGCTGGACCAACCTCCACTGACGCACACACTGGCCCTCGTCCGCGCGTTTCTCCGCCCGCTCCCAGCGCCGCGCCGCGCCAGTCTGGCCACCGAGCACCGCTCCGGGCACCCGGCCTCCTCAGCACGGGCAGCAGCTCTACGAGCCGCCATCCCGGGTCGAGTTTCAGTGCTAGGCAAACGGCCTTCTCAGGGCTAGTGCGAGGGCGGCTGCCCGACCGCGCAGGTATCCTCGCGCGCTACGCGTCCCTTGCGCGAGCTACGGCGCGTCCAGCGCGCGCGGCCACCCGCGGGCCCTTTGCAGCCGCGTGCGCGGCGCTCCTCCAGAGTTGCATGACGAGCCGTCCCGCAGCCGGGCGGCCCGCCGCGCAGCCGCGCGCTCCATGTGCCAGGACGACGCGGTTTCATAGAACACGGAGCGCCGCGTGCATGCAGCTCTAGACCTGCATGGGCCACCGTGGCGCGAAACCTGCAGCCTTGCACCCTGGTCGTGGCTCCCGCGCGGCGACCGGGGCGAAGCACGTCCTCCGGCGCCGCGCGCGCGTTGTCAGAGACCTGAGCTACACGCTCGTGTCTGAATCATGCGCGTGGACTCGTCGCGTCGCGCAGGATGGACGAGTTCGTGCCCAGCAAGGAGTTCATCGCGCAAGCGTACGTGAACGGCCGCGCCCAGTACGATGAGATGTACAAGGAGTCTCTCGAGAACCCGGACGCCTTCTGGGCCAAGATAGCGGAAGACGTGCGCGCGCCCCCGCCCCCCGGCCAACGCCGCCCACCAACTTGCTGCCCACCTCCCGCGCCCCCGCGGCCCCGATCGCCGGCCAACTCGCCGCGTTTCCGCCACGCCTTCCCCTCCTCCCCATTTCCACCTCACACGGCCACACAAGACCCGCGCTCGCGCCCCCCGCGGCCCCGGACCGACCTGGCCTTGCAACCACCACTCCACGCCCGCGCAGTTCCACTGGCACAAGAAGTGGGACGGCCCCGTGCACAAGGAGAACTTCGCGCGGTCCAAGGGCAAGGTCTTCACCTCGTGGTTCGACGGCGCGATGACGAACGTGTCGTACAACTGCCTGGACCGCCACATCGCCAACGGACACGGCGAGCGCGTGGCCTTCCACTTCGAGGGCAACGACCTCGGCGTCACCGACACCTGGACCTACAACCGCGTCAAGGACGAGGTCCGCCGCCGCCCCTCCCCACCCGCGCACATCAAGTCATGCTTTTATGTCATCTCACATAATGCCGCGCAGCGTGCTCGCAGCGGCCGGAACCCCGGCCCCGCCGCGCCCGGCCGACCGTCCCTGCTCGCCCCCGCCCGTGCCCGCAGACGTGCCGCATCGCCAACGCCCTGAAGGAGCTCGGCGTCAAGCAGGGCACCGACGTGTCCATCTACATGCCGATGACGCCGGAGCTCCCCGCGACGATGCTCGCGTGCGCGCGCCTCGGCGCCGTCCACTCGGTCGTCTTCGGCGGCTTCTCCGCCGAGGCGCTCGCCGACCGCATGCTAGTAAGTAACCCCCCCAACCCCCGTTCCGCTCCTCCCCGCGCGCCCACGCACGACGCGTGACCGGCCGGCCCACGCCCCCCCCTCCCGCAGGACTCGAAAGCGGAGGTCCTGGTCACGTGCTCCTCGGTGTCGCGCGGCCCGAAGACCATCGATTTCAAGGCTATCGTCGACGAGGCCATGGGCATCGCGGAGCAGCAGGGCCACGCGATCCCGAAGTGCGTTGTGCTGCAGCACGGGACGACCGCGGACGCGAGCAAGGTCCCGATGAAGAAGGGGCGCGACGTGTGGTACCACGACGTCGTGCCGCGGCAGTCGACAGAGTGCGCGCCGGTGTGGGTGGAGGCCGAGACGCCGCTGTTCAAGCTGTACACGTCCGGGTCCACGGGGAAGCCCAAGGGCGTGCAGCACACGACGGCGGGGTACATGATCGGCACGGCGACGACGTTCAAGTACGTGTTCGACTACAAGATGGGCGATGTGTACTGGTGCACGGCCGACTGCGGGTGGATCACGGGGCACTCGTACCTCACCTACGGGCCCATGCTCAACTGCGCCACCCAGGTACGACGCGACGCGCCCTCGCCCACCCGCGCCCGCGCTCGGGGGCGGAACGCGAGTGCGCGAGGGCGTGGCGTGCGCGGGGTCTGACGGCGGCGCGTGGTCGCGTTTGAGCTGCGCGCGCAGGTGCTGTTCGAGGGCATTCCGACGTACCCGGACTGTTCGCGGTGCTGGGACATGGTCGACCGCTACGGGGTGACGATCTTCTACACAGCGCCGACGGCGATCCGGTCGCTGATGTCGCACGGCGACGGGCCGGTGACGAAGCACTCGCGCCAGACGCTGCGCATCCTCGGCACGGTCGGCGAGCCCATCAACCCCGAGGCCTGGCGCTGGTACCACCAGGTGATTGGCAACGGGGTGTGTCCCATCGTGGACACGTGGTGGCAGACGGAGACCGGCGCGCACATGCTGTGCCCGCTGCCGGGCGGCTGGCCGATGAAGCCTGGCTCCGCGACGTTCCCGTTCTTCGGCGTCGAGCCCGCGGTGCTCAACGAGAAGGGGGAGGAGTTGGAGGGGGAGTGCGAGGGGTACCTCGTCATGAAGCGGGCGTGGCCGAGCATGATGCGCACGCTCGCGGGCGATCACGACCGCTTCGAGACGACGTACTTCGCGCAGCACGACGGCTACTACTTCACCGGCGACGGCTGCCGCCGCGACGCCGACGGCTACTACTGGCTCACCGGGCGCGTCGACGACGTCGTCAACGTCTCCGGGCACCGCATGGGCACCGCGGAGGTCGAGTCCGCGCTCGTCATGCACCCCGCCGTCGCCGAGGCCGCCGTCGTCCCCATCGAGCACCCGATCAAGGGGCAGGCCATCTACGCCTACGTCACGCTCATGGACGGGTACGACTACCCGCCGGACGGGGCGCTGAAGAAGGAGCTCGTCGCGGAGATCCGGAAGCACATCGGGCCGATCGCGACGCCGGACGTCATCCACTGGGCGCCGGGTCTCCCGAAGACGCGCAGTGGGAAGATCATGCGGCGCATTCTCCGGAAGATCGCGAACAAGGAGGAGGACTCGCTGGGCGACACGTCGACGCTCGCGGACCCGAGCGTGGTGACGACGCTGCTGGAGCTCCGGGGGAAGTGACGCGGGCGACGGCTGCAGGTTGAATGCGTGCATGTGTAAGTTGACGAAGTATGATGCAGTTCGTGGTTGCGTGGGTGAGGTTCGCGGCCGCACGTCGCGGTCAGGGAGCGTGGTCTGGGTCGCGTGGGGCCGGCCGCGCACGCCGCGCACCGCTGAGGGACGGCAGGGTTGCTGAGGTAGGGCTGCAGTGGTTGTGCGCGGCTATGGGCACGGGGCGTTGGTCCGCGCGTCGTGGCGAACGCGCGGCCGGCGCATCGCTCGATCTGCCAACCCAGGTCCTCGCACACGGTCCCAGGCCGCAGGCAGGCAGTGTGTCAGACGGGTGTGCGTGGCCGGGTACAACAGAGACATCCCCGGGGCCCCGGGCCCGGGCCCCCCGCCGGCGCCCGCCAGCGACCGTTGGCTTCTTGCGGCGCGTGGAGGCCTCCTGCGCGTCACCTGTGTGTCGCACCGCCACCATGCCGCCCCAGATCAAGATCTGCTACTTCCCCGCCAAGGGCCGCGCTGAGCCCGCGCGCCTGGCGCTCACGGTGGGCGGCGTGCCGTTCGAGGACGAGCGCATCAAGGGCGATGAGTTCGTCTCGAAGAAGCCCGGCCTGCCCTTCGGGTCGCTCCCCACGATGGAGGTGCGAAACTCCAGAGCCCCAGCGGTGGTTGGCGGGCCGCGCGAGAGATCCCTGCGGCTGAGAGTGCTCCCTCGTGATCTGGGATGGAGACAAAGCGTCCACGGCCTTTCCGTGGTGGATGAAGTGTCAGTTGCGAGCCCTGCGCGACGGCTCCGAGCGTCTGCAGGTGGACGGCAAGTTGTTCGCGCAGTCCTCGGCGATGCTGCGTTATGCCGGCAGGCTCAGCGGGCTGTACCCCGAGGATCCTCTGGAGGCGTTCAAGGTCGACATGATCGTGGACGGCATCCTTGACGTGCAGGCAAGAGAGAAGCTTCATGAGCTAAGGGGCGGCTTGCTCGCGCACCTGAGGACGCTGCACCTGCGTGCTGCCCTCTTTTCCGGTACTTCTTGAACTCAGAACGCCGTCGCTCGCCCGATCAGTAGCGATTCCGAGCCAATTCGAGCACGGCGCCACACTGGCAGCAGCTCCAGGTCGTGTGTCTGCGTCGCAACGCGCGCCCGGCTCTCCTGCGCAACGACCGTTCCTCTGCGTCTCCGTCTCAGCACGCAACACTCCCCCCGCCCCCCCGTCCTGCTCGCAGACCCCCCTGTCTGCCACTTTCTCCATTGCGGACCCCGCGGAGAAGCTCGCCGCGCGCGCGAAGATCGTCAAGGAGGTCATCCCGCGCTACGTCGGCGCGCTCGACAGGCTGATAGCCGCCGAGCCGGGAGAGTTCTGCGCGAACGGCAAGCTGTCCATTGCGGACATCTTTGTATACACCGCCGTCAACCAGATGCGCAGCGGGATGCTGGACGGCGTGCCGGCCGACTGCATGGACGGCTACGCGGCCGTGATGAAGGCCTACAACGCCGTCGCCGCGCACCCCAAGGTGCAGGAGTGGGAGAAGGCACACTCCTGATTTGATTGTGCCATTCGGGGTCCCTCCGCGTCGTCGGAGAAAGAACGCTCTGCACCTCGCGCGCGGCTTCGCGGCAGCGGCTCGAGGAGGCGGCTGTGTGACGCGGATGCACGAGAGGCTGGCCGCTGCTTGCTGTGGCGTGATTGCAAGAGGGGCTGGACGGGCGGTGTGCCAGCGCTTGAGCGTCAGGGTTGTGCGGCGACGTCTGTGTGCTGCGCGGCGGGCTCGGCTGAGGGGCGCGAGCTGCAGCGGCGCCACGTGCACGCCCAGGCGGTGCATGAGTCAGTGGGGCGGGGGTGTGTGACACCCGTGTCAGGCGGGCTCGCAGGCTACCAGGGCGTCGCGCCACGAGGGCGGGTGCAGTGTGGCTGGCTGCTGTCGTAGTGGAGTCGTGTTGCGACGGAAGCGTGGCCAACAGCTTGTTTGTTCGAGTGCCAGTGTCTGTGCCGCTCGGCTTGGTGCGGGGGATCGAACGCTCGTGAAGAAGGTTTTTGCGGAGGGCGGGTAGAGATAGACTGCGATGAAGCGCGCAAGGCTACTTGACGCGCGATAGCGCGAGCGGAACGGGGCGCTTTGCTGGGGCAAGAGAGGCGAGCATCATGCCGTTCGCGGACAAGGCGTTCAAGCTCCTGAAGGCGGCCGAGAGCCAGGGAGGCATCAAGATGTCCAAGTCATGGGGCAACCTCGCGCGCGCGCGACTGGATAACACAGGAGCGAGCCAACAAGGTGAACTAGAGTTGGCCGGCCTTCCTGGCTTGTACCTCGCCACCCCCGCCACGACATTCCATCGAACAGGCAGTCTTTGAGCCAAGCATCACCCGCGCGCCGCCCATCAGCTCCGTCCGCGTTTCGAGCGGTCTCTGCGGCCGCGTTTCCGTCGGGTGCTTGCGCCCGCTTCGCGCCCGTGTCCCGAGCGCCCCCGGCCGGCTGTGTGCGTGCAGCCCAGCAAGGCGCGGCGAAGACGATCGAGTGGTTCCAGGGCGGCCCCCCCGTGCCGGACAACGCCTTCTCCTTCGTCGTCGGGCAGTGGGAGAGCGCGGGGCACGCCCGCAGTGCCCGGAGCTCCGCCCACGCCCTCGCCCTCACGCCCGAGGGCCCCCGCGAGCGGCACCGCCGCCGCTCGTCCCTGTCCGAGGCCGCAGCGCTCGCCACGGGCGTCGCGAGGTCGGTCGGGGGCCGCTCGCTCGCAGGATCACTGACCGAGTCGTCCGAGAGCGGCGGGTGCGACGAACCGGTGCCGCGCGGCGTCCAGTACCTCATGATGCCGCAGCTCGCCCCGGGCGTCAAGTCCGGCCGCGTCACAACGTGGCTCGTCCGCCCGGGCGACCCCGTGAGGCCGCGCAGCGCCGTCGCGGTGATCGAGACCTCCACGTGGGCGCCGACGGCGGACCGCGCGAGCGGGGACGGCGCGGAGAGGCCCAAGGCGGCGCTCGTGCCGACGACGGTGCTCCTCGAGGTGCAGTGCGAGTGCGTGATGGCGCTGGCGCTGGCGGCGGAGGGAGTCGAGCTGTCCGTCGGGACGCCGATCGCCGCGGTGGTGCTCGAGGGCACGGAGTGGACGGGGTACGGCGGCGAGACGGGCCCGACGGCGGTGTCGAACGCGACCGAGGGCGCCGCGGCGCTCCGCGTGTGCGGGCACTGTTGTCCGTTTAGCGACCTGTTGGACCGCGACGTGCCGCGGGAGACGCTCGCGCCGTGGCGGACGCGCGTGTACGAGGACGGCGAGGCCGCGGGCGGCGCGACGGCGTGGCACGCGGAGATCGGGAGGATCGTATCGCGCAGCGGCAGCCCGGGGCTGCCGTGGGGGGGGAGTCCCGGGCCGTCGCGGACGTCGAGCCCGGGGCTGCCGCTCCGGGCGGGGCCGAGCAGGCTGCGGCAGTCGCGCAACTCGTTGGACGCGCCGCCGCCGCGCCTGAGGGCGAGGGGAGTGCGGTTCGCAGCGGACATGGATGTGCAGGAGGGGGGGAGTGAGGAGGAGCCGCCGGGATGAAGCGGGGGAGTATGCGGACACGCGACGGTGTACATATATGCGTGTCTGCGGCGACGACCGTGCGCGGCTCACATATCGGAGTCGGGCTCACGCATCCGACGAACATTTTTATGATCGAGGTTCAGACTTTGTTGATGTAGAAAAAATGAAAGACGCAGATAGCCGGAGACGCCAGGGCGTCGTGGGCGCTCGGCGGGCACGTGAGGTGATTGACATCGCCGGCCACTGGGGCACTGCGCTGTGACTCGGCCCAATCGAAGTGTTGAGGCATCCGGCATTGCAGCGCCCGGTGCTACCGCGGAGAGCTTTCCCGCGAGTGCATGGGCTCGTACACCTCGTCCTCGCCGTAGTTCGCCGCGTACTTCTCCTCGTACTTGGGCGCCGCGCGCAGCGGCGGCGCCGACGGGTCCAGCGGCGGAGCCGACACGAACACCTTCGAGGGGTCCGACGGGTCCACGAACGCCACGCGCAAGCTCTCGTCCCACACGCCCTGCAGCAGCGAACACGCGGCGCATTTCGCGCATCACGGGGCGGAACGCGGGAGAAAGGGCATCCTCGCACGTGGGGGCGTGGCTGACCGAGACCGCGCAGCGGCCCACGTGCAGACGACGTACCGGAGTGCCTCCCCACTGCCGCGCATTCTCATCCGCCTGGCGCTGCCGCGCCATCGCTTCCCGCGCCTCGCGCACCGCCCTCAGGTAGAGCGGCAGCAGCGTCCCGCAGCCGCCGTTCTTGAGCCACAGCTTGAAGTCGTGCGGCGGCAGCGTGCCCCCGGGCCCTCCGCCGTCCACGGCGGGCCAGCAGCGGCCCTTGATGTGGTTCGCGCCGAATATAGGCTGCTCGAAGGTGTCGGCGTGGATGTAGGCCAGCGGGAGGTCGAACGCGCAGAGGCCGGAGGGATCCTCGCGGTCGGCGATGAAGACCAGGCGGATGTCCGAGAGGAACACTGCGCCGCTGGCCTGCCACGTCCCCGAGCGCGTGCGCACAGAGTCGACTTTCAGCTCCACCCCTGCAGACGCGCACAGTGCTTGCATCGCTCAGATTCGTCCGGGCGAGTGAGCCTTGATACGCCGTGATTGGCTGGATGGACCGGGACGGTGTTGGGACGCGGGGGAGGGAGCGTGGGGCGGAGATGCAGTGGGAGGGTGCTCGTTGGACGGCACCTGTGCGATACATGAGGAGCCTCTCGCCCTCGAAAGGCAGTGGCGATGCTGCGCCGTGCAGTAACCGCACAAGCGCGGGGTTCGCAGCCATCGCGGCCCTTCCCCGGCGCCGGGCGAGCAGGAGCTTCTATGGCTGCAGGTACCTAACCACGCGCGGCAACGTACGACGTGCCGGGTGCGGTGCGCCAGCTGGAGTCCCGGGGCGCGGCAGGTCGCTGTCGGTGCAACGCACGGGGCAGCTCAGCCGCCGCTCCACGGCCAGGCACGCGGCCGCGACCCAAGAGCTGCTACCCAAGAGCCGCAGAGCCACCAGGCCGCGCACTTCGAGCCTATGCGTGGTTGTATCGATGCAGATTGGCCTGGAACGCCCTCAGCGCCGACCCTTGACGAGAGCGCAACTCTCCACCGCAGGCGGGGCCTCCACCGCGTGTCGGGCCTAGTACGACGCCGTAGACAGCGGTGTCAGTCACGGCGCGTGCGCAGCATGTTGAGGACGGGCCCTCGAGAGGTCGTGCAGCACCGGGCGGCGGCGCATGAATTCGCCGCGAGGCGGATTCGGCACGACCTCGAATTGGAGCTGTCAGGCCCGCTCGGTGCGACACCCGGTTCCATCGCTCGACCCATCGTGACCTTCCGGCGGCGGACGCCCACGACGCAAGCACGTCCAGGGCCTCGCGTCCCTCGCGGAGCTCTCTCTCGTCGCGGCGCCGAGCACAGCTCCCCCCTATTGTTCATCAGGTTGCTCTCTGCCAGGTTGCTACGCGGCGAAGACGACCGGGAGAGGGGTGCGAGCTGAAGCGCTCCGGAGCTCGCATGCACGCTGCTTCGTTCCGGACACCAACACGGCGCAACGGCCGCCCAGGCGGTGGAGAGGCCAGCGAGGCGGGCGAGCGGCGCGACGTGGAGCCGGAGGCGTCGGGGCCGTGCGCGGACGGCGCGGGGACACCGGAGCCGGTCCGCGAGGAGAACGATCCGCAGGTGAGCCGCGCACGACGTCGGGCGGGACCTGCGCGCCGCGCCCCCTGGACATCCGGGGACGAAACGTTGCGCGCTGTGCCGTGGACGCTGTTTGCAGGAGCTGCGCGCGGGACGAACGGTGTGAGGGCGGCGGACGACGCGTCGACAAAGCGGCGCCCGACCCTGGTCCGTCGGCCTAGGCGCGGCGCGGCCTCCGCGGCGCGCGCGCGCCTCCCGCGGCCCGCCGGGTCACATCGCCCGCTGTCGACCTCAAACGCCAGCGAACCTCCCCCCTGCTCGAGGATCGGACGCGCTACGTTGCGGCGCGGGGGGGCTGCCGCCGGGCAGACTCCATCCCGACGGTGTTCGGCACGACGCAAACGTGCCGCGTGCATGCCTGCGCCACGGGGGCCTGCTGCACGAGTTGCTCACCTGGTGCTCTTCTGCCGCGTTGCGACGACGGGATGCACGCGGCACGTTTCTGGTATCGTCTTCACATATCGTACTCCCCGTGTGAAGACGATACCAGAAACGTGCCGCGTGCATCCCGTCGTCGCAACGCGGCAGAAGAGCACCAGGTGAGCAACTCGTGCAGCAGGCCCCCGTGGCGCAGGCATCGCGGCCCCGCAGACCCTCGCGCACTGTTCTGCGGCATCCCGTGCTCGTGCAAGACCGCCAGCGCCGCGCGATCGGCCCCGCCGCGCGCCGGATCATCCGCGCTCGTGCTGCCTAGAGGCAGCTAGGTCACGAGGCGCATTTTCAGGCCGCGATCGCGCCCCCCCGGCCCGTCGGCCTACGCGCACAGCCCTCCGACGTCCACCTGTGCGCGCACCTTCCTGCCGTGCCCATCCACGCGCGCGCTGGACCGCCAGCGCGCCGCGCGATCGGCTGCGATCCTGCCGCCTAGGCGACCTGCAACGAGAGCCGCGCACGTTCCTGCGGTGCAGCCCTCCCGCCGTCGCCCGGGCGTGCCATCGCGCATCGGTCCCGTCGGCACGGGGATTTCGCTGCGCAGCGCCCGCACAGCCAGGAGACGCGGGAGTTCCTTAAGGCCTTCCGGCGAGTCCTGCTCGTGTCGGCAACGCCCGTCGTCAGCGAGAACGTCGACGTCCTGTACATCATGCCCCTCCGCACGGCCATCGCCGAAGGCTACGTGACGGACTACCGCGTCGTCCGCGATGGGCAGCACCACGCGTCACGTAGCCTTCGGCGATGGCCGTGCGGAGGGGCGTGCTGCAGCTGTACAGGACTTGGACGTTCTCGCTGACGACGGGCGTTGCCGACACGAGCAGGACCCGCCGAAAGCCTTAAGCCGGACGAGCTCGAGGAGCTGGGGAAGCTCGACGAATTCTTCAAGCCCCGGCTGCAGTTCCTCGCGACCGGCATGCCTGACGGACGTCGTGTAGATGATGCACTTCCGCAGCCCGTACCGCATCATGCCGGTCGCATCATGATGCGTCATCATGATGCATCATCTACACGACGTCCGTCAGGCACTGCAGGCAGATCGTCGAGACGGCGGAGAGGATCTTCCAGGGGCACCAGGGCGTTGACTTCCTGGGGGACTGGATCACCAACGAGACGAAGCCCCCGGAGCGCGACCGGGCGCTCCGCGCCTTCGCGCGCCACCCGCGCGCGGTCCGGCGTCGCCATCCTGGCGTCCGTGCGAATCCTGGACGAGGGCGTCGACGTGCCCCCCTGCGACTCCGTCTTCTTCACCGAGGTCCTGGGTGGCCAACCAGCGACAGTACAGGCGCAAGGGCACGCTGTCGGAGGAACGCGCCGCGCGGCTGGAGGCCTGTGGCTCGAGGACCTGAAGGCCTTCGCCAAGGAGCACAAGCGGCTGCCGACTGCTCCTCGTTGCTCGTCGGCAGCCGCTTGTGCTCCTTGACGAAGGCCTTCAGGCGCTCGAGCCACTCGCGCCACTTCCGATCCGCATCGAACACGATGCAGTCCGCGACGTACTTGCCGAGCTCGCGGGTCGCGGCCTCCTCATCGGCGCTGAACACCCAGCGACGGGACAGGAACAAGGGCACGCTGTCGGAGGAACGCGCCGCGCGGCTGGAGGCCGTGCCGCACTGTGCGTGGGGGACTCGCGCGCTGTGAAGCGATCGTACCCGGGCGGTGATTTGATTGCTGCGGGGCTAGCTGTGAACATGCCATGTGGTCGACACCCTGCAGCGGGTGAAGGAAGCGCACAAGTGCTTGCGTCTCCGACGGGAACGCCCCGAATGTGATCATGACGTCGCAACTTGCGATTGGGATGGTGTTCCGGTCCGTCAGCACCATGCGCCCTTCTTGCCCATCGCCTGCGGGAGGCCACGCGCGGGGCTGCCGTGCGCGCGGTTGCGCCGCTGGAGCGGCCTGAGACGCTCGCGTGCGTTGTTGTTGTGCGAACGCGCAGGGGGAGTACCTGCTGTTCAACGCGGCGGGCAGCGCGCTGTGCCGGCAGCTGACGGGCCTGTGCAAGCACGAGGGCGTCAAGACCATCGGCCTCGTGCGGCGCAAGGAGCAGTGCAAGGAGCTCGTGGACGCGGGCCTGACGCACTGCTTCTGCCTGGAGGACGCCGACGTGGTGGCAGGTCAGTTCTCACAGTCCGCATTCCGCGCAGGCGCCACTCCTGCGACCACGCCCGCATCCGTGTGACCGGAAGACCAGGCAGCAGCGACAGTGCGACTGGGGGGGGGGCGCGACGGGCGGGAAGGGCGCGTATGCGGCGCTGGACTAGTCAGTACTGCATCGGCGGGCCCGGCACGCAGGCGCTGGGCATGGCGGTCCGGCAGGGCGGCACGGTGTACGTGTACGGGGCGATGGGCGGGCTGCAGGCGACGGTGCCGGTGCCAGGGCTGATCTTCGCGGGGCTGACGGTGACGGGCTTCTGGCTGGGCCCGTGGATGCGGTCGATGTCGCCGGAGGGGAAGGCGCGCGTGAAGGACGAGGTCATGGCGCACATCGCGTCGGGCGTGATGCCCGTCGGGGCGGGCGAGGTGTTCCCGCTGCCAGCCGCTGACAATGCCCAGGACAAGGAGCAGGAGGCGATCGCGCACAGCACGAAGGTCGCGTACTTCGAGCCTATGCGTGGTTGTATCGATGCAGATTGGCCTGGAACGCCCTCAGCGCCGACCTTGACGAGAACGCCACTGTCCACCGTAGGCGGGGCCTGTCCTTTTCACAAGCGCAAAGCAAAAAGTGGGCCTGAGCGGCCGCACAGCGTGATATGATCTCGACGCCAAGCTCGGCACAGAGCCTACATGCCACATTATCATCTCCTGCCTGCTCCCGGCGCATTCAAGCCCGGACAGCGCCGGTAGAAGCTTAGCTTAGCCTCTCACCTAAGCTGCCCGACCGCGCGGGGGGTGTCGGGGATCTCCCTGGCGCGCGGGGCTTCATTGCCGCCGCGCGCCCAGACGGCGCGGCACTTCTTCGATCGACCGGACAGACCGAAACCGAGAAATCAATTGAGCAACATGAAGGCCGTCAGGTACACACTGGAGGGTTCTGTTCCTGTGCACGCGCGCGCGGCTCGGCCGGCAACGCCATGATGCCTGCGCGCGTACGCGAGGTGCAGCGATTGCGCACGCGAGCAGCTGGGCCGCGACGCGGCATCACGCGCAAAAACGCGCGGCGCGATGGCTGCAGCGCGGCGCATGGGCTAGGTGCCCAGGGCGGCCCTTCGAGGGACATCGCGCGCTGGTTTCGACGCCGTTCACGCTCACATGTACATCAATGTCGCGTTTCCGTGGTCCGCAGGGTGAACGCGTTCAACATGGCTGCCCCGGCCGAGGCTGCCACCGTCACGGAGGTGCCTGTCCCGGAGCCCAAGGACGGCGAGGCGCTGGTCAGGTGCGGATCCCGGCGCGCTGTCGCGTGCTACGCACACGGCTCCTCACAGTGCGCGTCGCACGCGATACGACGCGTTATTTCCGCGCGCATCGCCGATGAGCACATAATATTACCTAACAGAGGAGCGCGCTGCGTGGCGGCGATGCGGGCCGTCGCTGCGTAGCCCGGACGTCGCCCTGCGCGGCCGCGGCGTCGCGCGTCGGAACAGGCCGCGCACGCTGTCCGCCAAAGACTGAGTTGTTGTGCTTGTTCTGTGCGCGGCGCAGGATGACGATGCGGCCGGTGGACCCCGCGGACCTGTTCTCGCTGATGGGCGTGTACCCGGGCTTCACCACCGCGCTCCCCGCCACCGTCGGCCTCGAGGGCGCCGGCGTCATCGAGAAACCCGCGGCGGGGGGGAAGTTCGCCAAGGGACAGCGCGTGACGGTGTCGGGCTTCCCGGCGGAGCACGGCAACGGCACGTGGACGGAGTACATCTGCCTGAAGGAGGCCGACCTCACGGCCGTCCCGGACAGCGTCACGGACGTGCAGGCCTCCCAGTTCCTCGTCAACCCCCTGACGGCGTACGGCATGCTCAAGACGTCGGGCACGCCCAAGGTGAGCCGCTGCGGGACGCGCGGGGCTGCTGTGCGTGCGGTTGCGCCGCTGGAGCGGCCTGAGACGCTCGCTTGCGTTGTGCGCGACCGTGCAGGGGGAGTACCTGCTGTTCAACGCGGCGGGCAGCGCGCTGTGCCGGCAGCTGACGGGGCTGTGCAAGCACGAGGGCGTCAAGTCCATCGGCCTCGTGCGGCGCAAGGAGCAGTGCAAGGAGCTCGTGGACGCCGGCCTGACGCACTGCTTCTGCCTGGAGGACGCCGACGTGGTGGCGCAGATCAAGGCCGCGACGGGCGGGAAGGGCGCGTACGCGGCGCTGGACTGCATCGGCGGGCCCGGCACGGAGGCGCTGGGCATGGCGGTCCGGCAGGGCGGCACGGTGTACGTGTACGGCGCCATGGGCGGGCTGCAGGCGACGGTGCCGGTGCCGGGGCTGATCTTCGCGGGGCTGACGGTGACGGGCTTCTGGCTGGGCCCGTGGATGCGGTCGATGTCGCCGGAGGAGCAGGTCCGCGTGAAGGACGAGGTCATGGCGCACATCGCGTCCGGCGTGATGCCCGTCGGGGCGGGCGAGGTGTTCCCGCTCGACAAGGTGCAGGAGGCGATCGCGCACAGCACGAAGGTCGCGCGCGGGGGCAAGGTCCTGCTGTCCTCGTAGGCGCGAGGGGCAGGCCTGTCAGCACGGTGCACATGCATTCGCGTGTGAATCTGACCGTCTGTCGAGTGCTGCGTCAGGGTAGGGACGTCACACGGGGCGGCGATCAGTCCCAGTACTTGATCAGTCCGTCCCAGCCGCACGTGGCGACCTTGGACGTCTCTAGCGGGTTCCACTGGACGCCGATGCACGGCCCGTTCTCGTGGGCCTGCAGCGTGCGCTGCACCTTGCACAGCTTCCAGTCCCAGAAGAACGCCCGGCCCTCGCCGTCGCCGCTGTACACGAAGCGCCCGTCGGGGGAGAACCCCAGCTGGCACGCGTACCCCGCGTTCGTGTGTCCCTGCACACCAGCGTCGACAAACGGTGTGCCGCGTCAGCACCGCACGCCCCATGAGCGCGAACGAAAAGCAAGCACGCCCCCGTCCGCTCCATCCCCACGCACGCCACATGACGCCCTTCGCGGCCGTGTCCAGCCGTCGGGCTCGGCTGCACCCGCGATGACATGATGACATGAGTCGCGCATGCCACAGCGCAGGCCGCGCGCGGTCCGTGCGGCGGCCGGGGCCGCACCGTGAACGTCTTCTTCTTGTTGCGCGAGAACCGGTCCGTCGCCCCGAACGTCATGATCTGATTGTCCATACTCTGCGCGAGGAACCACTTCCCGCGCGGGTGCACGGCCATCGCGGGCATCGAGTGCATGCCGGGGTCCGCGATGTACTTGATCGTCACGGGGATGTCGAAGTCCCAGAACCGGAGCGTCTTGTCGTCCGACGACGTCACGAACCGCCGGTTGTTGTCGATGAACGTGATCGAGTTGACCGCCCCGAGGTGCTGGTCGTACTCCTGGATCTGCTCGCCGCTCCCGACCGACCACTGGTACACCTTCTTGTCGCCGCACCCCGCCATCAGCACGTCCGGCCGCTCCGGGTGGAACTGCGCGCAGAAGAAGGTGCGCGCGCCACCGAAGGCCCGCAGCACCTTGCCCGTCTCCGTGTCCCACACCTTGACCGTCTTGTCGTACGACACCGACACGAACCTCGAGCCGTCCGCGTTGAACCGCGCCTGCCGGACGCCCTGCGGTCACGGCGGCGGGCGGCACCGCTGGTGAGGGGTTCCACGTGGCACGGGCAGCTGGGGGGCGCGTGGCGGGCGGCGCTGCGTCGGGCGCACCTTTTCGTGTCCGGCGTAGGTCATCATGCACTTCTTGGAGCCGTGGACGTCCCAGATCTTGCACTTGTTGTCCAGCCCCGCCGACAGCAGCAGGTGCCCGGCCCCCGGGATGAACTCGATGTGGTTGACGCCCTTCGAGTGCCCCGACCACGTGTGGATGCAGCGCTTCGGAATATAGCACGTCTGCGACTCGTCCCGCGTCCCACTGCACCGCGCAGGCACACAACACAGCAATGCATCGCACCGCGCCTCTCCGCCCCCCGCAACGCCACGCCTGCGCCACGGCCCGCCGCACAACGCACACGCAGCGCTCCGACCGCGCGCCGCTCCCGCGAGAGGCCGCCACGGCGCGCAACCACGCTCGCGAGGCACCTGCACGCCCCCCACACAGCCGCGCAACGCACCTCGGCGCGGCGAGCCACGACCGCCCCTGGTAGTCCTTCTGCTCCTTCCCGTGGAAGAACGCCTTCTCGCCCGTCTCCGACACCGTGACCACGTCCCTGTGCTTCTTCTTCTTCTTCGCGCCGTCCCCCGCGTCCCCACCGCCCGCGCCCTCCGCGTCCTCCTCCTCCGCGGCCCCGCCCTCCTCCTCGGGCTCCGGCAGCCCCTCGCGCTTCCGCCACGCCTTCAGCTCCTCCTCCGACGGCCCGTGCTCCTTCAGCGGGCCCTCCCGCGCCCACGGCGCGCGCCTGTACGCAAGCTCGAAGGGCACGCCGGCCTCGAACTGCGCGCGCGCCTCCGCCGCGAGCCGCTCGCGCTCCGCCTTCTTCGCCTCGCGGGCCTCGGGCGCCACGCGCCGCCGCTTCGCCCCCGGCTCGTCGATGCTGGTCCCGCCGTGTTGGTGCAAGGCCTCCTCGTCGCCGACGTAGTGCGCGCCGTCGGGGGCGAGCGTGTACCCGCGCGCGCTGTAGGTGTTGTACTGCTCGTCGAAGGCCGTGGCGTGCATGTGGTGGTCCTCCACGCGCCCGAGTGGGTGGTTCTTTTGCGCCCGCGTCATGGCCGAGGTCACGTGCCGCGGGTCCTGCGGGCCCGCCTCCGGCGCGTACATGTCCGCGTACGGGACGTTAACGTGCGTGATCTTCTGCAGGGCGCGGGGCGTATGGCGCGGGCACGGGTCGGCGCGAGGCTTGCTGGGCGCTGGGGGTTTGTGGGCGCTTGTGGGCTGTGCGTGCCGCGTGGACGGGCAGGCGCGCGAGGAGTACCTTGCGGGAGTCGTGGAGGTCGCGGTACTCGGAGGGGCGGAGCGCCTGGCCGTCGTTCACGACCATGCCCGTAGTGTCGACTGCGGGCGCGGCATCGACCATCACCCGCGGCTCCGCGGCGGGGCCCGCAGAGTCATCGTCGCTCCTGCACAGCGCACAGTAAATGCCGGCTTCAGCATCGCTCTCGGCGCCGCAACTGGTCGCGCTGGCCCGGGACAGGGCCCACACTCACTGCCGCTGCAAGCTCGCGCCACCTCGCTGCGTCAGAACCGCGACCGGCAGGCCTCCGAGGTCCACGTGTCAGCTGTGTGACGACCACTCCGCGGCGGGGGCCTCGGCGTCTCCCGCTGGATGGCCGCCGGCCCGCCTCTGTCCCCGCCGGAGCGCCAGACGACGACGGCGGCGTTTCAGGGGCACGGACGGGCGCGTTTCTTACCCGTACGCGTTGAGCAGATCCATCGCTGCTACGCGCGGCCCTCGCCTGCACCGCCAGGCCCGTGCGTTCTCCCGTGATTGACGCGCTCTCTGGTACTTCAAGGCACGGCCAGGCCCTCTGGCGTGTATCGCGACTGCGAGGCTTCCTGCGCCCTAACGCATGCAACTCGCGCGCCGGGGGCCTGCGCGCCCCCGATGGTGCGGGGACGGCCGCGTGCTGCGCGCACTCCCCCAAGGGTACAACTCACAGACATGGGGCGCTTCATGGCCGCACTGGCGCCCGGCCGCGGCGGACAGCGAGAGCTCCGCGAGGCGCACCCCGGGTCGACACCCCGACGTCGGCACGCTGGCGGAATACGCCCTGGCACTTGAATTGCAAGCAACAAGGTGCGCAGACGCCTTGGCCTGCCCTCAGCTGAGCACAAGAGGTCGCGTGCTGCCTCAGCGCAGCTATGTGCGCGGGACTCGTGTGCGCGGGCGCCGTTTATCTGCCTTGGTCGACCGCCACAGCGCGTCCTGACTGCCTGCTCGCGGCGTGGTCGCAGGAGTTGCGGTGTGCATGCCCGCGCAACACGTCACGGCGCGGCTCGACAGACTCGAGGCTCTGCTGTCGAACGGGTCGCCCAAGGGGCACGTCGGTGAGTCAACGCGGCTCGCACGGGACGCCACCTCGAACACAGCGCGTAGCCCCGCCGCGGGCCCACGCGTCCAGTGCCGGCGCACCGCGCCCCAGGACACCGATCCTCGCGACTGCTCGTCCTTCCTGCGCAATCCAAGGCAGCCTCTGAACCCGTCACGGCCCCGCACGCATCGCCGCGCCTTGACGCGGCACCTCCACGCGTGCATACGCGCGCTGCGCTGAGCCCGCTGCGAGCTGCTTGACTCCGCGTCGACCTCCAATGCACAAGGGCACTGTGCGTCGCAGGCGCGGGCGACATGAGCGCGCCGTCCGAGGGGGCGGGGCCGCTCTCCGTTGAACAGGAGCGCGACAAGCTCGCCGCGGAGCTCAAGGACGTGAAACGCAAGTTCCTCGCCGTGGCGAAACGCAAGCAGGCCGAGTTCCAGGAAAAGATCGACGGCAAGCAGAAGAAAATCGACGAACTCCAGGCGCGCCCTCGCCCCACCCCGGCAACACCACACGCCATCACCGCCCTGCCCGTGACCCCCGCGCCGCCGCCGCGCGCGCCTGCGCCCCACGCACGTCCGCGCCACGGCAGCCGGGCCCGCGCGCCCCCCAAGCCCCCGCCCTCCGTCTCAGCTCACCTCAACTCCCCCCCCCTGCGCGGACGCAACCTCGCGCAGGCGGAGCGGGAGGCACAGGAGCGACTCTGGACCGAAATGGAGCGCCGGATCCTCCCACCGGACGCCGCGCCGCCGCCCGGCGCGCCCCTGCGCGACCGCATCGCCGCCCTCGAGGTCCAGCTGCGCGGCCTGACTACAGGGACTCCCCCGGGGGAGTTCGAGCGCCGCGAGGCCGAGGCGCAGGCGGCCGCGGCGGAGCTCCGGGAGCGCCTCGCGGCGCTCCAGCGCGAGCGCGCGTCGCTGCAGGAGGAGGTGTCGCTTTGGCGGCAGCGTTCGCAGAAGTTGGAGGAGCAGCTCGGTGCGGGCGGGGGCGCGGCGGCGGCGGAGGCTGCGCGGGAGCGCGCGCACCTGGAGGAGGAGACGCAGCGGCTCGCGGCCGCGGAGCGGGAGCTCGCGGCGGCGACGGAGGCGGTGCGGGAGGCGCAGGCGGACCGCATGCGGCTGCGGCAGTCCGTCGAGGCGCTGCAGGCGCAGCTGGCGGAGGCGCAGGGCGGCGCGAGCGCGACCGAGGAGCTCCGGCGCAAGAACGAGGCGCTGCGGGCGCAGCTGGCGGAGGCGCGGGGCGGCGCGAGCGCGACCGAGGAGCTCCGGAGGGAGAACGAGGCGCTGCGGGCGCAGCTGGCGGAGGCGCAGGATAGTGCGAGCGCCGCTGAGGCGCTGCGGAGGGAGATGGAGGCGTTGCAGGCGCAGCTGGCCGAGGCGCAGGGCAGTGCAAGCGCCGTTGAGGCGCTGCGGAGGGAGAACGCAGCGCTGACGCAAAGGAGCGCGGAGCTCGAGGGGCGGATAGCGACGTTACAGGAGGCGGCGGAGGGCGAGGCGCGGGAGGCGGCGGCGGCGGCGGCGGAGCGCGTGCGGGTGCTGGAGGGGCAGCTGCGGGCGGCGGAGGCGGCGGGGAGCGAGGCGGCGCGGCGGGGCGCGGGGGACGCGGAGGCGCTGCGTGAGCAGCTGGCGGCGCGCGAGGAGGAGCTGGCGGGCGCGAAGAAGGCGCACGCGGACGAGCGGGAGCGCGTGAAGGTGGCGGTGGGCAAGTACAAGCGGCGCGTGGCGGCGGCCGAGGCGCAGGCGGAGGCGGCGAAGCGGGCCGCGGAGGACGCGGAGCAGCGGGCGGGCGCGGTGCGTGTGGGCCGGGACACCGCGCCACGCCGCCTTGAACGCTTGCACATTGATGCTGTAGCGCACGTGCCGTTTGCCGCACCGTACGCAGCCTGAGCGAGCTGACCGCCTGAGGCGCTCGATCACACGTGCATGCAAGATGCTGCGAGGCAACGGGCGGCGTTTTGCGCGCATGCTCTTGCGCAGGCGGAGGAGCAGCTGCGGCAGCACAAGCAGCGGTCGCAGGCGCTGTGGAAGGCCAAGGAGCAGGAGATCGCGGCGGCGGCTGAGTCCGCGCAGCGCGTGGCGGAGCTGGAGGAGCGCGTCGCGGCGCTGCAGGGGCAGGTGGCAGCTCTGCAGGGCGAGGCCGAGGGCGCGGCGGCACGGGAGGCGCGGGCGCGCGAGGAGGTCGCGGAGGTCGAGGCGGAGTGGCGGGAGCGCTGCGAGGCCGCGGACGCGCGCGCGGAGGCGCAGGCGCAGGCGGCGGCGCGGGCCCTGCGCGACGGCGAGGAGTTGAGTGGCGGGCTCGACGCAGCACGAGAGGAGGCCGCGGGGCTGAAGACCGAGCTTGCGGCCGCACGGGAGCGCGCCGAGGAGGCCGAGCGCGCCCTCGCGGGCGCGCAGAGCGCGGCGGCGGCCGCGACGCAGCGCGCGGTGGCCGCGGAGGGCGAAGCGACACGCCTGCAGGGCTTGCTCGACGAGGCGAGGGCTGCCGCGCCCGCGCCCGCTGCCGCCGCCGCGCCAGCGCCGGCCGACGCGGGCGGCGCGGCGTCCGGCCAGGGCGGGAGGGCCGGGGAGGATGTTTCTGCGTCATCGTTGCCGGACGGGGGCGAGGGGGTGGCGAACGCTGCGGCGCAGGCCGCGACGATGCTGGGCGGGCTGTTGCGGGAGCTGGAGGGGCTGCAGGGCGCGGGGGCGGCGGAGCAGGCGCGCGCGCTGGGGCGGATGGCGGCGCGGGTGCGGGAGGCGGAGAGCGAGGTGGCGGACCTGCGTCGGGCGGGGGAGTTGATGGAGGAGCAGCTGCTGGGGCTCAAGCAGGTGCTGCGGGACCAGGACCTGCGGAGCGGGTTCCGGGACGTCGACGTCGTCTATCTCAAGAGCGTCGTCATGAACTTCGTCACCGCGCTCAAGCCGGGCCAACGCGGGTACGTAAAACCACCGCCAACACGCCGCACGCCCCTGCTGCGCGGCGCCAGCGCCGTTGCCGATCGCCGTCGTCGTCCGACGCTTGCGCGCGACGTGGACGCTCGCAGGGCCTTGCTGCCGGTGCTCGCGACGGTGCTCAAGCTGGACGACGCCGAGGCGGCGCGGATGAAGAAGGCTGTCGAGGACAGCGACACCATCCTCGCGCACCTGCCCGACGTGTCGCACCTGCCAGGACTAGGCCACGTCGATCTCTCTGCAGTGTCCAGCGCGGCGTCGTCCGTGACGGCGCAGACGTGGCGGTGGCTGCAACCGTCGTCGTCGTCGCGGGCGAGCGGGGCGGACGCCGCGGCGGCCCCTGCGGAGCCGCAGGGGGTGGGCGCTGGCTGGCTGAATATCCTGCCGACGTGGGCGGGCGGGGCGGCCCCGGGGAGCTCAGGACAGTGATGTGACGCGGCGCAGCGCAGCAGCGTCCTCGCGGAACTCGGCTCGTGTACAGCTCGGGTGGCGTCCTCGCACGCAGCAGCGAGCAGAGGCCGGTGCACCAGTTTGACAGCGTGTCTGTACTTCGCTGACCCAGCGTGTCTCCCCCCGAGCGCGAGCAGGACCTGGGGGGCTTGTACTTCGCTATAGTTCTTCGCTGACTGACTTGGGGGGCTCGAACGGCTGGCCCGAGACGATTGTCGCGACACGGGGGGTCTCTGAAACCTCGAGGCGCGGCGGGAGGCGACCCGACTGAGTCGGGAGCAGTCTGGCGGTCATCCAGGCGGCCGACTCGGACCTGATCGTCACCGTTGCGCCGCAGTCTGGCGGGAAGGAGCTCCTGGCAGCCCTAAAACAGCAGGCGGAGGACCGCAAGAACGCGGCCGACCGCCTGCTGTTTCAGAGCGTCCAGGAGCTCCTTCCCGCCAGACTGCGGCGCATCGGTCTCGATCACGTCCGAGTCGGCCGCCTGGATGACCGCCTGGGCGCATGTGGGTTACAGTGTTTGTTGGAATGCATCTCGCCCCCCTTTCAACGCGGGGAGCGACAGGCGGCGTAGGCGGAGGAGCGGCAGGGGATCGCGTACTCGATATTTCGCGCTCCACGTGGTAGTCGTTGCGAGCTTGATGGCGCGGGCGGGCCCGATGTCGTGATTGATGTAGTGGCAAGGAACAATTGAGGGCGTGCGGTGATGCCGTGGCGCGCGGGGGCGGGAAAAACGGCTGCAATATGCTCCGGTAACTCCGCTCACGGCCCACGCACGGGCCTTGCGAACACCGAACCTGCCAGCGCAGCATCCGCAGTCGTGCGGTGCTTGCGAGTGGAGCAGCTCGGCTCAGGGCGGCGCCACGGGTCCTGGAGCAGACGAAGGCCTCCCGGGCGCCGCGGCGGGTCCGCGGCCTCCTCAGAAGTCCGCGAGCTCCCACCCGTCGGCCTCCAGCGCCTCGCGGTCCATGTCAAATACCGACTGCTTCCCGGCCCGGCTGCCGTGCACCGCTTCCCGGGCGTCGTCGTTGCGCAGCGTCATGCTCCGCTGCACCGCGGGCGACGCGTCCTTGGACTGCGCGGCCTGCTCCGCGGCCTTCCGGCTCGCCGTTCGCGGAAACCACCGCCGCTGGTCCTTCACCGAGTCCTGCCGCAGCGTCTCGCGCTTCTCGGCGTCCACGGCGGCGTCTCGCCGGTCCATTGCGGCCAGGTCGAGCCGCCGAAGCGACCCGTACGTCGTGCGCACGCCCCCCTGCGGCCCCACCGCGCAGATCGTGTTGTGTGAGCAGGGTTGACCGCGCGGGAAGACAGGGCAATTCGGCGCAAGGCTGCGTGGATGACGCCCTTGGAACGGCTCCTCGTGGTCATTCCAGCTGCTGGTACGCGGCCGCACCTCATTTCCGTCCGGGCCGAGTAGCGCAGCTGCCTGCCCGGAGTTGCCCTCTTTCAGCTCTGCCTTCAACACGGCACTCTTGAACCAGGACCAGGCGTAGCGGTCCGTGGGGAGGCGTTTCGCTGCGGCCTCGACGCTCGCGCGGACGGCGGAACAGATCGGCGCCGCTCCGGTGAACACGGGGGAGGCGCCCTCGACGGTGCGAGCGCGCCGCACAGCCTCCACGAGGGTCGTGCGGTTGACGTCATGGACCTTGACGCGCCGCTCGAGCTTCTCGACGAAGTCCGCGACGGACAGAGGCTCGCGGAGGGCTTCGGCGCACGCGCACACTAGCTGCGGTTTCACACAGGGGAGGAGGCCGGGTGTGCTGTGGACGGGGATCGAGCCGTGCGGGTGAGGGCGGCCGGCGCGAGCTGCGTGCACACTCTGCGCTTGGGCGCAGCCTTTGCCAGACGACGGGGCGGGGTGCGGCAGGGTTGGGGACGCGGCACTGTGCGCACCTCGTCCGGGCTCAGCCACTTCTTGGCCTCCCTGTCAAACGCGGACGGCATGCCTGGGATTCTGCACGCCCTGGTACGCGGGGCGCGCGCTCCTTCGCGGAGCGGGTGCGCGGCAGGTGCGTTACGCGCTCAACGACGAGAGACTTGAACGCTGCGCCTATTTCTGGCTCTCGCAGCGATGTCTAGACGTTCTGTTGCCCCGGGCTGCAAGTATGCGTCAATCAGTGCTCTAGCAGTCCCTTGAGCTCCCGCGCCGCCGCACAGCGGCTGTCAGCCGGGCTGGGGCGCAAGGGTGTGCTGCAGGCCCCCACGCCCCCCAGCCGCGTGCGCCGGCCAGGACAAGACCGAGCACTGCCACAAACGACAATACCAGCTGCCACAAGGGCCGTTCCGCGGAAGAACTCAACATCTCACCGCCACCCCGCGCAGAGCGCGCTTAGCCCTCGCGCAGCACGTCGCGCCAGCCACGCGCCGCACCCGCCCTCCCTGAACCCTCGCACAGAGTATTAATTGACCACCCGCGCACCACACCGCCCACCCAGGCTCCCTCACACCCACCGCCTCGCCGCGCACGCACGGGCCCAACGCCGCCACGCGCACACAGCTCAACAACATCGCCAGCGCCAGCGCCAGCGCCGCCGCGGGCCGCGCGGCCCGGCTCACTGCATGAAGAGCTTGCGGCACTGTTCGCGCGTGTCCGCCGGCGACGTCACCGTGTGCCCCTCCGTGCGGTCCGACGTGAAGATCTCGTGGTCGTTGCCGCCCTCGTACGTCTTGTCCCCGAAGAAGTGAATCGTCGGAAACTCCTTGTCCACGAACTGCGCGCCACAAACAGACACAGCCGTCAGCACCCGCCGCTCACCGCGCAGCGCGCGGGGCCCGCGCTGCTGCTGCCGAGGGGCGTGCGCGGCGGAGGAGCAGGTGCACGCACCTGGAGGCAGTAGGTCTTGTCCCAGCCGGCGGGGAAGACGTCGAAGGAGATCTGTCCGCCGATGGAGAAGGTGAGGTTGAGGTCCTTGAACTCTTCGCGCAGCTTGGCCACCATGGTCTTGCGCACGCCCGCCTCCTTGTCGTAGCGCTCGAACTCGTCGCGCTCCTCCTGGCTGCAGTTCCGCCCGATCGGGGACACGTTCAGCATCCCGTTGCGGAACTCGATGAACGTCCCGCGCTTCACCGGGATCTTCAGGTCGGCGATGTAGCTGCGAGGTAGCGGGGGGAGTCGGGGGGGGGTGTGGGGCCCGACGCGAGGGAGGCGCGGGCGTCGCACGGCAGGCGCTGTGGGCGTGTTTTTGGCGGGCGGTGCGGCGGGGCTTGACCCGGAGGGGGTGTGTTGGAAGACCGGAACAAGTGGTGAGGGGGGAGGCGACAGCGGCCCGGGCCGGGCGGGGCACGCACTGGAGCACGAAGTTGATGAAGCGCTGCAGCTTGTCCTCGCCGAGGTAGGTCTTGAGGGACTGGATGGCGATCTGTTCGGACCCCTTGTATGCCACGAGCCCATTCTCCGCGAAGATGTAGTCGTGCCGCTCCAGCACGTCGTCGCCGAGCTGCTCCTTGATCTTGCTGAAGTCGCTGCCGCCGACCACGCCGACCGTGACGTACTGCGGGGGCGCACGCGGCGTTCTTCACGTGAACAAACAACACGCATGTAATAGCACAACGTAGCGCGCCGCGGGGGAGACGCACGTGGCGGCGGCCGCCGCGGATTGCGCTGAGGCTGCGATGCCGCCGGGCAGCCGTCGTGGCGCCGCGCGGCCGGGCCGAACACTCGCTGCAAGTCCCGCCAGCAAGCGGCGGCGGCGCGTGTGTATGTCAAGGATCCGGGCGTGAGACTAGGCGAATATCGCAGAGATTGGTGCGTTCTGTCTGGGGATGGGCGTTCAGGGCGCCTCGAGCCCGCAGGGGGACGGGATCAGTGCCAGAGCGAGATGTGGGGTGGTGCTCACCTCGCGCAGCTCATTCATGAACGCGGTCATCTCGCCATCGATCTTCTGCGGGCATGAACGTCGAGGGAGGGAATCGTTCGATCCAGCAAGAGCTCGCTGGCGGGGCGCGCGCGAGCCGTGCGTGCCAGCTGGTTGCGCGACCACTGCGGCAGGCTCGGCAGCAGGGCTGTGCGCGGCGGCAGCGCGCGGGCTGCTCACGTTCCGAGGAACCGTGAGCGTCCCATCGACGTCGAAGAGGGCGAGGACGCCCTGGTGCTTCGGCATGGCTGCGCGCGCGTGTGCCTTGCTGCCAAGCAGGTTGACCCCCACGGGCTTGCGGACGGACGCAAATACGACTGTCAGACTCCTGCTGGCCAAACGTGCAAGCATGCAACTCGATCGGACGCGCACTACCTTGGCGTACAGGCGCCGTCAAGCTCCCTTGACTTGCCAGGAGGGCCGTGAACCATGGAGGACCCCACCGGGGGTGTAGCGACGCGCTTCAAGGCCCGGAAGCGGGCGGGGCGCCGAGCACGCAACGTCACGGGCCGCCTCGCGATTGCAGCTGACCACACTCAAGGATTAGAGTCGCGCGGGAGCCCAGAAGGGTGCTTGGAGAAGGAAATGGGCGCGGGCGGAGGGGTCCCGGGGTGAGAGGAAGGCGGGGACGCGATGGGCGATCGGGGGGAGGACAGAATGGACAGGGAGTTGAGGTTTCGGAAATACGTTCAAGATATGTGCGTGCACGGAAGCCCACAGCGCTTGCAAACGCGCTCCCGCCCCGTCCGAGACGTGCATCTCCAAGCACGATGCAGCACGACGCGCAACTCAGAGCCCTCTCGGTGGTGGGGAGGCAGGAAGGAGAATCCCCGCGCCGACCGCGACGGCATTGCTGCCTGTTGTACGCAGCTATGACAAGGACGAGGGGGACTTCCCTACGGCGGAGGAGTGGTACGCGTACCAGGAGGAGGTAGAAGACATCATCGAGAACTTCGTCGAGAACAAGAACGTCGCGGAGACGGAGGCGCGAGTGGCAAAGTGCGCAACCCTGCCACTGCTGCTCTGATGATGATGCGCAGCCGCGCCGGCGCCCGAGGCAGGACGCGCGCCCCCGCAGCCGCCGCTGTGCGAAGGCGATGTCGTCTGCTGCGTTGCGCGGTGAACGTCGCCTCAACCAAAGTGATCGCGAAGCCATGTACGCTGTATGTTGTGTGCTCTCCATCGAAATGCAACGCAACTCGACGCGACGTCTTGGCACCGTGCAGGTACAAGCAGGAGAACAGGTCCCGCGTACTGTCGAAGGAAATCAAGCAGCTGAATCGCGCACAGCCGGACACCGGCGACGCTGCGCCGGACCCTGCCAACGGTTCGGCAAAGCAGGCGGAAGACCCCGCAGCGAGGGAACACCGCGAGTGGCTGGACGAGGCGATGAACGCCGAGCAGCAGCCGGGCCACGGGGAGCGCGCAGCCCGCGCGGGGGGCTGGGACGCCTCCCTGCCGCACCGCCGCTTCCTGGCGGAGGCCCTGGCGTCGCTGTTCTGACGCCGCCTGATAGATAGACACCCAGATCCCGGATGCAGCGCACACCTGTGATGGACAATCAGTCTGACAAACGTGTCGAACCGGACTCCGACGTCAAAGGCCATATTGACCAAGGGAGGGCTGAAACAAACAGCCCAGGCGAAACGACGCACCCGCTGCACCGCGCAGCACCCTCGCATGATTTCGCTCTTCGATCGGGACGACAGCACACCCGTATTTCGTTTCTTGCGCGTGTGTTCAATCACTCTGCAATCGATCGCTGCCCGACGCGCAATCACAGAGTCACACGCGGCGCCCTACGTCGCCCTCCCGGGCCAGCGCGGGAACGGAATCACGTCGCGGATGTTCTCGATGCCCGTCGCGAACAGAATCAGCCGCTCGAAGCCCAGCCCGAACCCGGCGTGCGGCACCGACCCGTACCGCCGCAGGTCGAGGTACTGCTCGTACTGCGCGAGCGGCATCTTCGCCTCCTCGATCCGCCGCGTCAGCACGTCCAGCCGCTCCTCGCGCTGGCTCCCGCCGACCAGCTCGCCCACCTTGGGCACCAGAACGTCCATGGCGGCCACGGTCTTGTTGTCGTCGTTCAGGCGCATGTAGAACGCCTTGATGTCCTTCGGGTAGTTGTACACGATCGTCGGCATCTTGAAGTGCTCCTCCGTCAGGTACCGTTCGTGACACGAGTGCATATCAAAGCCCCACTCCCCGACCGGAAACTCGAACTTCTTCCCGCCCTGCTGCGCCGCCTGCAGGATCTCGACCGCCTCCGTGTACGACACGCGCTGGAACGGCGTCTCCGCGACCAGCCGCAGCCGCTCCACGGCGGTGCTGTCCACGCGCTGCGTGATAAACTGCAGGTCGTTGGGGCACGCCTCGAGGAGGTACCGGCAGCAGTGCCGCACGTAGTCCTCCGCGCAGTCCATGTCGTCGTCCAGGTTGCAGAACGCCATCTCCGGTTCAATCATCCAGAACTCGGCCAGGTGCCGCGACGTGTGGGAGTTCTCCGCGCGGAACGTAGGGCCGAAGGTGTACACGTTGGACAGCGCGCACGCGTAGACCTCGCCCTCGAGCTGCCCCGAGACGGTGAGGAACGCCGGCCGCGCGAAGAAGTCGGTCGCGTAGTCCACCTCGCCCTCGGCGGTGCGCGGGAGCCCGCCCTCGATCAGCGCGGCCTTCTCCATCTCCGCGAGGCCCTCCCGCGCGACGCGCAGCGCCTCCTGCGCGCGCTTCACGTTCTTCTTCGCGCTCTTGTCGCCCCCGGCGGCCGACTCTTGCAGCGTGCGCACGATGCGGTCCTGGTCGTCCACGGCCTCGCGCTTCGCGGTGAGCTCGTGCTCGGACGGGTGCGGGAGCGCGCGGAGCTCGTTGACCTTGGAGAGCAGCGTCGTGACCTGGAACATCTCGCCCGCGCCCTCGCAGTCCGAGCACGTGATGATGGGGGTGTGAATGTACTTGAACCCGCGCTCCTGGAAGAACGAGTGCGTGGCCCACGCGAGCGCGTTGCGGATGCGCACGACCGCGCCGATCATGTTCGTGCGCGGCCGCAGGTGGATCTTCTCGCGCAGGAACTCCATCGACGTCTTCTTCTTCGCGATCGGATACGTCGCTGCAGGGGGGTGTATCGGGCTGGGGGCCTCGCGTCGGCCGGGGGCCTCGCAAGGGACGCGGCGGGCGTGCGCGACGCGTGCGGGCCGTCGCGCACGACCAGGCGAGGCGTAGCGCTCGCGCTCGCGCTGGCGGGCGGGGTCGTTCTGCGCGGTGCGGCGGGGAGGGCCGGCGGCGCGGTCGCACCTCCGTCGCACTGTCCGAGCCAGCAGATCTTGGTCACCTTGAGCTCCACGGCCTGCTTCTTCCCCTCGGGGGTCTCTGCCAACTCCCCCTCCACCAGCACGCTCGTCCCCGTAGTCACCAGCGCCTTCAGCCCGCCGTGCGCCTCCGCCACCTCCTTCGACACCATGGCCTGCGGATCGCAACCAGCGGGCGCGCGACGATGAGTCCCCGACACGTGCGCACGTAGGGAGCGCGCGTACGCAGGTGGGTGGGAACGGCAGCGCCGCGTTGCGTCTCTGGGCGGCTCGGCCGATTGCTGTATCCATGGGCGTCTGGTGCGACGCGGCTGGAAGGGGTGTGTGCGCGCGGTATGGGTCGGTTCGATTTCGTGCCTGCAGGTTGTCGAAAGTCGAGCCGTCGTTGATTTCCAAGAACGCGAACGCTCCGCCGCCGGCCTCGCGGCCACTCTTCACCCACCCGCCGATGCGCATCGTGCGCCCAGCCTGCACGAGACGCGCGGGCAGGAGCGGCGCTGCTCAGCGCAGCAGCAACACGTCGCGGCCCCGCGTGACTGACGCGGGGAATCAAGCCACGCGGCGTCCGAGAAGCTGTCACTCAACGATGTGGCGCCGTAGGCCGCGCGCCGCTCCGACCCCACGGGCTCAGGGCCACGCACAGCCGCCGCACACCGCGCAGTGGCACCACAGCGCGCCCACGGCGCCCCATCTGCGCGCGTGCACGGTTGTCTGTGCCACGTGCGCACGCCTCCATCATAATGCGACGACGTCAGCATGCCCGATTGGCGGCGTGCGGCCAGGAAGGGGTCTCTCGCGACGCTCACCAAGCTCTTGCCTCCATCGGGGCTGCGCGTGATGGTCCCGATGTCCACGCGCCCGTAGGACCGCGAGTACGGAAACACGAGGTCGAGCTGCTGCTCCTTCCGCTTCAGCTCCGTCTGCAAGCGGGGCACGGAAGCGGCAGCTCATCACCGCTGCGCCCGGAACGCGAGCTCGACGCGGTCGCAATTGCAAGGGGATTCCGCCTGCCGCCACGTTCCCGCAACGGCCAAGAGGGCGCGGAGGTGCTGCAGTGGCGGGGTCGGCTGACATTGCGGCGGCGCGCACCTGCAGCTCCGCCACCTGCTTGCGCAGGTGCTCGACCTCTGCTTGCGCGGCGTCGGACGACATTGCGTCGATCGAGCGATCAGCGACTTCTCGCGCGACAGCACGTGCAGCCGAGTGCGGCGCGACGCCGCCGGGCGCCCCTGAAGTGCCGGTATGACGGATGTTGGGGGTGTGTTGATGGAAAACGTCCCCGCGCGGCGCTGCCACCGCACGACCGACAAGGGCGGGCCGCTCCCGGGCGACGCAGCAGACAGAGTGTTCCGGAGGCGGCTCGTGGCTCGGCTGGGTGCCGCGACTGCGTTGGTGAGCGGCAGCAAGCCGCACGCGTGCTAGGTGACGGCTGCTCTGGCGGGCGCAGGGGGTGCGGTGGCGCCTGCCGCGCGTCGCGCGTGAAAGATGGGAAGATGGTCGAACTTCGTGGAGAGCGGCGCCCGGCCCGGTGACGAGGACGCGGAGTACCGGCCGACCCGGAAGCTGCGCGAACAGCGCAAGGACGCCGGCGGAGGGTCACACGGTGCGCCTTCGACACATGCGTCGCCGTCGCCAGACGCTCCGCCGGCCTCGCGGCCGCGAACGTCGGGCGCTCCAGCGCGCGCGACCCCGGCAGTACACCACCTGTGTATGTTGCAGCAGTCCTGCGCTCTGCTTGCCCGCGCCCCGCGATATTCCACGGCCCGTGCTCGCGTGCCGACACGATATACACGATACACGATATCCACGATATACACGATACACGATATATACACGATACACGATATACACGATATCGATGTTCGCTATCCCTGCAGCGCTGAATGGGCGCGAGATCGGCGCGATCCTGGCGCTGAGCGGGGCGGTTGCCGCGGGGTGGGCGGCGCGCAGGACGTGGCCGAAGGTCGGCGCGTGGTTCGGGTCCAGGCGGGACGCGAAGCAGACGCCGGCGCAGATGGCCGCGGCGGCCGCGGAGAGGCGCGCGGCGGGGGAGGCCACCCCGGCTCCCCCCGCAAGCGGCGACGGGTCGTCAAAGAAGAAGAAGAGCCGAAACAAGAAGAAGAGCGGCAAGAAGCGGTGACAGCGCTGCGTGAGGTGTCACATTCTTCGCGTCGTCAGCCATAAGGCTTTGGGACCTGAAAAGATCATTCGACTGGGTGGCGAGTCATGTCAACCCCCCACCGTTATGGTAGCAACAGGTTCGGCAGCTGTGACAGAGTCAGCCTGGAGCAGATCCTCGATGCCACGAGCGAAGATCGCCATGCCTCGCTGATTCGGCAGGTTCAGAAGATAACGCACTGCAGCGTTGGCAGCGGCTTCCGAGTCTGCTGTGAGAACGCGAGCACGCGGACGTTTTTCCGGCCGGTCACTGAGACAACCAGTAGCAGCAGCAAGAACAGGAGGGGGGGTGTGCGTGACAGCGCGGTGGAGCGCAGGCGTCGGTGGTGCAACGCACGCGCGCGCGACGCATGCGGAGCACGCCTGTTTCGTGCGTGGCGACACACACACCCGACGCGGGCTTGTCGCGACCCGACGCTCACCGACGGAGCGTGGGCGCTGTCTGCGGTGGCTGCCGCGAGGCTGGCGTCGCCGTGCGTTACATCTAGAGGAGAGTCTACGCGCACGCGCCGCTCGGTCCCCCGCGGGGGGGTGTTGTCCTGAGTCACTCACTTGGCCCCCGGGGTAGTCGAGATGAACTCGATCGCGTCCGACACCGTCTGAATCTTGTCCGCCTCCGCATCCGGGATCTCGATGCCGAACTCCTCCTCGATCGCCATCACCACCTCGGCTGCAGCGATCACGCGCCCACACGCGCGTGGCTATCAGTGACCGCACGGCGCGTCCCGTGCGTCGCGCTCGCGCTCTGCGCCGGCGCGGGTGCGCGGCGGGCGCGAGCTGCGCGGCGGGGGGGCGGGCGTGCGGGCGCGGATGTGGGTGGTGCGGCGGGGGGCGGGGGCTGCGCACTTGTGTCGAGGGAGTCGAGGCCTAGGTCGCGCGCGAAGTGCGACGACGCCTCCACCTTGGCCGGGTCCACCTTGTCGAAGTTCTTCACCACCTGCGGGGCGGCGGGGGCGCGCTCGGGAAGGTTCGTTCGGGGCGGGAGGACCGGGAACAACCAGGGGGCGCAGGAGAGGGTCGGGCGGGGCGTGGTGGGAGGCGCGGCTGCGGCGGTCGGCGACCGAGAGGCATGGTATGGATGCGAAGGGCGGGCGCTGCGGCTTCGGGGCCCAGAGTACGCTCGGTGGGCTCGCTGGAGGCCATCAAGCGCGTCTCTCCATCTGGGGGAAACGGCGCGCGCAGGCGTCGCTGGAGGGTGCGAGCAGCTCTCGGCGCACTTGGCGGCATATCCCGATTTGAGCTGCCGTCCAAGCGGCGGAGCGCGTCATCAGAGCGCGCACGCAGTCGGCGCGGGCGCCCCTCGTTCCAGGCTGTCGTCGCACCTCGATGATCCTGTCTGCCGCCTCCTTCTTGTCCACGAAACTCGTGGAGAAGAGCCTCCAGCCCGAGACCGCAGCACAGGCACCAGTATCACGGCCCGCCGCCTCAGCAGCGGGCCGCAACCGGGCCAGGAGCCCTACGCGGCCAGCAAAAGACCGCAGCATCGCCCTTATACCTTCTCAACAACCCTGTTCCGAACCTATGTACCTGCACAACGTCGTTCCCAACCGAGGTCCGCCAACTGCCGCCCCCCCTGCGCCCCAGCGACCCCACAAACCCCGGTTGAACAGCAGCCCCACCTGAGCGCAGGACCCCCGCCACTCAGGCCGGCACCCGGGCGCCGGGCGCGGCCCGGACGTCAGGGCCGGCGCCCGCACGCGCCGCCCATTCTCTCAGCTGCTGAACGACGGTACCTTGCTCGCGCGCGTCGCGCCGGAGACCGTCAACGTCAAGGGGAAGCACTGCGCAAGGTTTGGCATGCTGGTGCGGCAGTGAGGGGGCAGCGATGTCGGCGAAGAGGCTGAAGGACCTCGTGCAGATGCGCCCGGCGCTGGACCAGGTCCTGCAGCACATCAAGTCGAATCGGTGGCGCGAGGCGCGTGCGGCGATCGACGCTCTCCAGGAGCCCGTCAAGCGGTGCGGCTCCCCGACACACCTCACCGTCCACTCGTGCGCCCGCTTGCGCAGTCAACATCCGTTTCCGCACGCGCAGCCAATCCATCCTTGCGCAGCAGCCGACGAACGGGCGTCTGGTGCAGTCTCTGCTCTCTTCCCGGTCCTTTCCGCCTCGGATCCGGCTTCACTTCGACGGAGACGCACGTTTTCGACACGTGTGTCACCGCGCACGCCGTGTCTTGTCCGGTTCCGCGCAGAGGTCACCGTCACAATGAGCCCAAGAACCCAAGGTACCCTGTGTTCCCCGAAGACAAGTACATTCGCGCGCTGTACCGGCGCGTTCCGGCGGTCAGGCAGCTCCCGATCGACCTGCGCGCCGAGGAGCGCGAGCGCACCGCGGCCGGGGACGACGGCGACCCGGACCGGCCGCCCATGACGCACTTTGCAAAACGCTTCGGACTGAAGCAGCTCGAGCTGGTCGAAGAGAAGGGCATGACGGAGGACGCCGCGTTCGACGAGGTGCGCGCGCGCCGCCCGACGCAACGCCGCTCCGGCGACACGCAGAACAACACACCCCCCCTCCTGACTCGTTGATTTTTCAACGCGCTAAGCGCCCGACAGGGAGCCCGCGGTGCTGAACGAGCCGCGAAAAGACGGATCCCGCCGTGGAGCGAATCCCCGTGGCGTGGTGCTTGGATCTGAGCGCGTGCGCAGTCCTTGACCCGCGCGTGCGTGCGCGTTGTCGGCGGCGCAGGTGTGGCGGGCAATGGAGGGCGAGCTGGACGCGGAGCTGGACAAGTGGGTGCGGGTCGGCGCGACGGTGCCGCGCGGGCCGCTGATGATGGTCCGGACGATCCAGCTGGAGGAGGAGAAGGTGCTGCGCGAGGGTTTGTTGCAGCGCGTGGCCGAGTTCGGACAGGTGGACGTGCGGCGGGAGCGGGGCCGCGGGGGCGCGGGGGAGGGGGCGGGGAGGGCGGGCGGCGGCGGCGGGCGGCAGGAGGGGGCGCAGGGGGCGGACGGCGACGCGGATCGGAGCGGGGGGGTAAACAACAAGGAAGGGGGGGGGGAGTGAGCAGCGGGCGACGCAGGAGCCCGACGCGTAGGGGTGCCGCGGAAGCCTCCGCGCGAGGACGCGATATGCGGGCGTGCTAGCACTCTTTACGGTGCGGCGTCGCGCCAGGAGCACCCTCTGCGTTGTATAACGTTATACAAGGTTGGCCTCGTTCACGGTTCGCGTGATGATTCCTTATTTTCGCCGCTGTCGTGTTCCTTCAATTACAACAGCCGCTCAACCCGTCGCTACCGCAACGGTGGAGGGTTGCCATGACTCGCCACCTAGTCGAATGATCTGTCCAGGTCCCAAAGCCTCATGGCTGACGACGCGAAGAGTGCAACACCTCGCCCCACCTCAACTGCAGTCCCCCGCCCTACCCCAGCACCTTCTTCACCTCCGGCATCGTCCCGCCGAACTCCCGCTTGATTTTCCACGTCCAACCCGCCACCACCAGCGCGTCGCCGTACTCCGTCGCCCGCCACGACGCCCGCCCCTTCCACGCCTCGAGATACGCGCGCACCTTGGGCATGCTCGCCGGGATGCTCCACCCGTGCCGCCAGTTCGCCGCCACCGCCGCATGATACACCTGCGGCCCTAACCGACAGTCCACGGCCGTGGGGCGAGCGCCGCCGATGAACGGCCCGCCGCCGAGCGAGAGGAACGCCTCCAGCGACGACAGCTGCGCCTCGAGCCCCGCGACGGCCGCCGGCACGTCCGCCTCGCTCGCGGCGAACATCAGCGTGCGCAGCGCCGGGAAGAGGCCCGCCGCGACGCCGGGGGACCCCTCGGGGTCCTTCAGCTGCCCCGCGGGGGGGTCGCCGTGCGCGTCCGCCCACTCCACGATCTTCCCGCTGTCGCAGAGGTACCGCGCGGCGCGGTCGACGGTCGCTTCGTCGACGACTAGCGCCGGGACCGTTCCTTCCGGGTTCACGGCTGCGGCGCGCGCGTCGGGGCCGGCGAACGTGTGCGAGTGCGGGACGCGCGCGGAGGCGGCGAGGAACGGCCTTTTTCGGCTCGGATGGCGTACCTTCGAGGAACCACTTCGGTTTGTTTGCGAGGTCAATGTAGACGTACTGGGTGGGGATGCCGCGCTCCTCGAGGGCCAGCAGGGCGCGGTGCGTGAAGGGGCAGTCCGTGAGCGTCTTGGTCGCCGGGTCCCCCTGCGTTTCGCGGGCGCGCGAGCGCGTGCGGTGGCCGCGTGAGCACCCTGCCGTCGCGTGGCGGTGCGCAGGGCATGACGTGAGCGCGGGAGCGCGTGGGGTGGCGTCTACCTTGACGTACACGACGACGGGCTCTCTCTCCGCGGCTGCCGCGACGGTGCGTGCGCGGCTGGTCATGCCGCTGGGCTGCAACCGCAGCCTGGCGCGCAGGCCGCTTCTGCAGGGGCGGGCGATGCAGCGCTGCTGCGCCACGGGAAGCACATGCACATGTGGTCGCTGGGCCGATGCCTGCATGCTCTCAAGGCGCCGCCTGCGCCCCTGTGAGCCTGAGGGGTATCTCGCGCGGCAATGCTGATTTCCCTCGCCGCGCGTGGACGTGATGGGGCAGAGCGAGGACGAGCGTCGCGGACAGTGGGTCGCTGCGGCATCGCATGCGCCCTGGCGAGCAAAAAGGGCGGGGCTGCCGCGGTGGACTGCGAGTTGAGTCGAGGGGGGGAGCTCGGCAGCGGGCCGTGTGGGGCGCGGCGCCCGCGGCGCCGTGGGGAGCGCGCTCGAGAGGTGGTGGACATTCGCGTCGCGGTCGAGGAAGAGGAGAGCGATGTCGAAGCTGGCGAACGTGCGCACCAGCGCCTTCGGGGCGTGGCTCAAGGAGAACGTCACGCGCGGCGCCGTGGTTGCGCGGACGAGGGAGTTCCTGAAGAATTACTCCGAGAAGAACATCGACACGAACAACGGGAACTACGTCCTGCACATGATGTTCGCCTACATGGGTCTCCAGTTCGCCATGGCCTACCCGCGGGAGATGGCGCACTGCCGGCACGCCCAGGAGGCCAACCTGTCCGGCGGGGGCGGCCACTGAGCGCACGAGCCAGTGGGGGCGCCAGGAGGCGGCGTGCGCGGCACCTTTCCACGCTCACGCAACCATGGCGCGGCGTGGGGGGCGCAGGGCGCCTCCCAAGGACCTGGCGCCGCCCCGAACGTATGCACGAACACTTCCTAGGCAGCACGCGGCGGCTGGCGCTCTCGGGGCGCCGGAGCACCGCGCGCTCCGCCTCTCTCCACCCACCAACACCAGACCCGCGCTACGACGTCATTCAAGCGACCTGGGGCCTGGTTGTCAAGACTCGCGGCGCTCCGTGACTCGGAACCATACCGGCGAGGCGACTCCTCTCCAGACAAGACTTCTCCGCCCGCGCCGCGGTGCCCAAGGCCAGAGCTGCAAGTGGACCTCGCCTGCTTCGCGCGGTGGCTCCGGGGCTGTAAATCCCCTTCGGTCATCACGAGACTCCGTCCATCTCGACACGCATGTCACAGTTCGCGCTCCCTGCCTCCGGCACTAGCCAGGAGAGACCGAGCACGCACCCACGTGCGCGCCCCCGCCGCGTCCTCCCGACACCTCGCACCGCCGCACCTGGGCCGCCCCTCCCTGCCCACTCTCAGCCACGCCGCGCCCAGGTTCGGACAGACCCCCCCGGGCGATCCACTCCCCCCCGGGAGTCACGAGCTGGTCCGCCCTCACTCCTTCCCGGCACTGCCGCCCGAGACGCGCCGCGCGCCGCGACGCGCCTTCTTCACGCCCCCGCGCTTCACGCTGATGCACTTCGCCGCCCGCACGCCCCCGCCGGCAGCCATCACCGACGGCAGCCCCTGCAGCACAGCCTCGAGGTGACTCAGGCCCGACTCGAGCGCGCCGCGCCGCGCGGCGCGCGAGTCCGTCGCGAACGAGAACGGCGCCGATGCGATCGGCTCACGCTCGACGCGGTGCGCGGCTGCCGGCGCTGGTGCTGCTACAAAGGGTCGTGCGCGGAAAGGGCCCGCCGCGCGAATCGCCTCGGCTTCCAGCTCTGCACGGCGCAGCGGGGCGGCGCAGATCGGTCAGCTGTGGTTCGTGGTTGAGTGATTGCGGTTTCTCACCGACGTCCAGTACGTGTCAGTCGGGAGAGCGGCGCGCGTCGCTGCACGGGCGTAGCCTGTCAGCGCAGAGCTGGTCCCGTTCCGCATCAGTCGCTGTGCGGCACTCATCCTCATGCGTCGCAGAGAAGGAAGGGGGGGGGTGTTGACTTGCCTTCCGTGCTCTTGGGCTCCGGGTGGCTCGCCGACCGCTGCGCCGTGCTCAGCAGCGGCGACTTCGGCACCGTCGGACGAAACGGCCCGTCCGCGTGCTTCTCCGCGCCCGCCGGCGACTCCTCCTGCATGGCCTCGCGCAGCGTGCCCGCACGCATGTCATACCTCGACAGCAGCTCCGCCATCGGGACGTTCGCGCCCGCGACGCGACGCCGCACCGCCCGCGGCTTCAGCCACGCGCCGCCGTGTCCCGGCACCGGCCGCTCCGCCGCGCGCTTCGCGTTGCCGTACGCCTCGTGAGCAGGCGAAATGCGCACGGGGCGCCGCGCGGAGCGCAGCCGCGGGCCGACCGGCACGGTCAGGCGCGTGCGCCTGCGCGGCTTCGCGGGCTGATCCGCGGCGTGCACGAGCCGCTCCGCCTGCGCGCGCATCGCCGCCGCCGCCTGCTCCACCTCCATCCTTGCGCGCCGCATCGCGCGCTCCTCGTGCGTCAACGCAGCCTCGGGGTCCGCGGACAGCGCGTGCGCCTCCGCGCGCTTCGCGAGCCGCAGCAGCGGGCTCTTGGCTTCCGTGGGCTTGAAGCACTGGTTGGCCGGGCGCGACGGCTCCGCGGGCGCGCGCATCAGGCGCTCCATGTCGCGGATCATGGCCTCGCGCTCCCTCTCGGCTGCCTCGCGCGACCGCGCGAGCTCGCGCTCCTCCGTCGTGAGCGCGGGCTCCTGCCGCGCCGTGTACGCGCTGGCGCGTGCGTCCACCGCGAACGAGAACTCCACAGGCACCGTCGCGGGCCGCGCGCCGACGGTTCCGGACGACGAGCCCGCGCCGGCGAGGCTCTGCGCGGGCCTGAGCAGTCGCCTCGCCTCCGACTGCATCCGCCGGCGCTCCGCCTCCGCCTCGTGCTTGGCGCGCTGCAGCGCCAGGTCCTCGGAGGAGAGCACGACGCTGGCCCGCGCCGCGCCGCGGGCGTCGCTGGCCAGGGAGAACGGCTTCTGCGGCGCGGGGGCGGTGGCCGGGCGCGGCGTCGCGACGGGGCCGGGGCGGAGGAGCCGCTCGGCGGCGCGTTGCATACGAAGCTTCTCTTCGTGTGCCGCCTGGCGCGCGCGCTCGAGGGCGAGCTCCTCGGACGTCAGCGCGGCGGGCGGGGCGGTGTGTGTCCCGGCCCGCTCGTCGATGTGCAGCTTGAAGCCGACGGGCTTGGTCGGGGGCCGCGGGGGGGGCTGCGCGGCGGTGTGCGCCGTGCTGGGCCGCAGCAGCCTGCGGGCGGCGTCGCGCATCTTGCGCTTCTCCGCTGCGGCCTCGGCGCGAGCCTTCTCGAGCGCGAGCTCCTCCGAGGTCAGGGAGGTGCGTGACGGAGCGATCGAGCTGCAACAGCACACGAAACAACGATCTTTCTTATTTCATTGTTCATCGATCTTTCCTATTTAATTGTGCATATGGTCGACGCTCTCTTCGAAAGAGAGGCTCGCGCGTGACAGAGCTGTAGGTACGCATGCGGTGTATGCCATTTGCATCGTGACCCCGTCCAGTGCCCACCTGTCAGTCGACGCCCGGATGATCGACGCCACGCGACTTGCAGCGCTGGCGCGCGCGCTGGCGGCCTTGCCCAGCAGGCGCCTTGCCTGCGCGCGCATCCGCTCGGCCTCGGCCTTGGCTTCCTCCCTCGCCTTCAGCAGCGCGCGCTCCTCCCACGACAGCGCCGGCGCCTTGGCCGACGACGGGCGCGCCGCAGCACCAGCCTTCCCGCCCGCTTCCTTCTGCGGCGCCTTCGCGGCCCGCGGCTGCTTCGCCGCCTGCGCCTTCTCGGCGGCCACGCTGGCGCCCACGTCCGCGGTGACCGGAGCAGCAACAGCAACAGGAGGGGCGCTGGTGTGCCGTGCCACAGGCGCGGCGTCCTCGCTCTCGGGCGCCCGAGCCTCCGGCGTCACGTCATCGACGAAGGCGATCGGCGGCAGGTCAACGCCCGCCGGCGCCGCCGTCGATCCGCCAGATGCGGTGCCTGCAGCCCCAGAGTGCACCTCGCTGCTGATGGACACGGCGCTGTTCTCCGGGATCGAGCGCTCGCGCGACGCCCCGCTCGACACCTGCAGCCCCGCGCCCGCGACGTCGCGCGTCGGGCCGCGCTTCCCGATGCTGCCGTGGCAGTTTCCCGGCGACACGGGCGGAGGCGGTGGCCGTGCGGAGCGCGGCTTGGCCGGCGACTGCGAGGACGCCTCCGACTTCGAGCTCGCCGCAGCGACGCTCTCGGGAGTCGGCTCGAGCATCCGTGAGAGGCGCCGCGGGCTGATGGCGGAGGGGGAGGACGACAGGTTGTCCGTGCCCGTCTGACGAGCGGTCGAGGCCGGCGTGCCCGCGAGACCCGCCTGGAGAGACACGTCCATCGACAGGTCCGACAGGTCGACGCCGCTGGACGGCCCCTGCGCAGACACGAACACGAGGATTGCGGGGACGCAGGTGGGGGTCTATTGCCAATCGCGCCACTACGATGGACCTAGGAGCCAAGTGTAGGCATCGACGCCACCGAGGAGGTCACGGACGTGGCCGTGCGCGGAGTTTGCGCGCACCTTGGGGGTCGTGCGGGGCGACTTAGCCAACCGCTCTGACCGCCTTGGTTTGCCGACCACGGGGGACAGTCCCGGGCTCGGGGCTGCGCTGCTGCGGTTTGTGACATCAGAGAGACCCTGGAGGGACGATTCACGCCGCAGATTCTTGGACGCGCGACGCGTAACGACGCCGCTTCCCACAGCAACCGCGGGCCGCCCCAGGGCCGCGGACGCCGCCTCGTCGCCGGAACCCGACGCAGGCTCGAGGTCAATCGCGTACGGAGACTCCTTGAAACCTGCGCATTGCTCGAGCACCACGCGCAAGGCTGTTCCGGACGTGAACGGGCGATCGTCCCCCTGTATGGGGCTTGTCAACAACGAGGTCGGGCGCCCACGACCACAGTAAATCAGAGGGCAGCGAGAGGCTCCCGCTGTGATGTTCGTTGCTGTAGAAGACCGCGCAGATCACGGGATGGCGCAGCACGGCGGGAACTGGGGGCCCGCGGCTCAAGGCGTGCTGTGACAGCTGTGCCAGCGTGGCGGCGCGGGTGTGGCCCGTTCGCGCGGCTCGCGGCCGGCAATCGCGTCTCACCGTCAGATTTCCGGCCGTTGAACCAGGCTCCGGTCGGCGTGGCGCCCTGGTAGCCGTCGTCGAAGATGTCGCGCTTCGGAGGAGCGTCGATGCTCTCCAGCATCGCGTCCATCCCGTTCTGAGCCATGGATGGCTACTTGTGGCACAGTGGTCTTACGTTCTTTGCTCGGGCCCGGCCAAACCGTGTCGTCGTGCTCGCGGACGCACGCAACGGGAGGCGTGGCAACAGGGTGGCGTGGGCTGCGATGCGCGCCACAGGCCCCGTCGAACACTCGTTGGAGGACGCGAGCGATGTCGAGCTCCACCTTGGTATGCGCCGCACCGTCGCCACCGGTGCCCAATGTCGCCTGCGGGCCGCTTCCGCCCTGTCTGCCATGCGTGCAGATACCACGACAACCCCTCATACGCCGCATCTCCGAGAGTATCTGCCCCGTATTTTGCTTGCACACGATCCAGACATACCTCGCAAGCCTCGAGCGGATCGACATGACGCGCGACGCGCCGACAGTAGGTCACATCAGCAAGCGGGCAACCGCCAGGCCGATAACTGTGCCGACCGTGTAGCCGAGCGCGCCCGTCAGCAGCCCCGGCTGAACCAGGTCGCTCCAGCCGCGACCGCTTGCCATCGCGGCCGCCGTGGCCGGCCCCCCGACGTTCGCGTTGCTCGCCACAAGCACGGCGCGCAACGGAAGCTTCAGCGCGCGCCCGACCGCGAGCGTGAACGCCAGATGCACGCCGACCTGCACGCCGCAGTAGAGCAGCAGCGCCGGCGCGTCCGCGAGCGCGCGCCAGCCCCCCGCAGTGGCGCCGATGGTAGCAAAGAAGAGCAACATCAATACCCCCCCCAGCTCCCCGGCCCCCGCGAACGGCGACGGTCCGGCGCGCCCAGCGGCCCTTGCGCTCCGCGCGATCTCCGCGACGCCTGCGATTCGGGCGAGAATCGGCCGGGGCGCGGCAGCGCGGTCGTTGGATGCGCGGAGCATCGCGGCAGCTGTAGTAGCCGTGCGGGCGGCGTCACTGCCGGCCACGCGACGCACCTGCGATGATCGTTGCGGTGCCAGCGACGAGCGCCATCGCCACGTACGGCGCCCCCACGGCCACGGCCGCCGCCTCCGCTACCGCCGTCGCCGCCAGCGCCGCGGCCACCGCAGCCGCCAGCGACCGCTGCGTCCCGCGAGACCCCTCCCCGCCCTCTCCTTTCCCCGCACCGTCCTCTCGAACACCCTCCCCTCCCCCCTCACGCTTGTCCCCCCACGCACCAATCGCGGCACACCCCGCGATATACACCCCCATGACCACGTTGTCAGCGGCCGCCGCGCCGGCGACCAGCGCGGGGCTCGCGAGGCCCAGGGCCGCGGCCGTGGCTGCAGGGCGCAGCGCACGCGGCGCAGTCGCGTCAGCGGCCCAGCAGGGCGTCAGTGCGCAGGGGCGCGGGACGCGCGTGCTGGGGCGGTGGCGACGGGAAGGAGGCTCGCGAGGACGCGACGGACGGAGCGCGTGCGCCCGTGCTGCGTGAGAGGCGCAGCGAGCGGCGCGCGCGGGGCGGCAAGACGCACCAGCCATGTTGACCGATCCACCTATGTATGAGGCCGTGATAGCGCCGGCGATCTTGTAGCCTTCCGGCCCGAGCCAGGCCCCCGAGCGCACGGCGGCCCAGCCCGCGAACGCCCCCACCACGCTCCCGACGGCGCCCACAACGAACGCGGCGAGACACTGCCAGTTGGACCCCCGCCGCGAGGCCAGGCGGTTCAACGGCTGCTCGAGAAGCAGCATCGCAGCCGCGAGAGGCACGAGCTTGCTCCAGACGACGTCGAACGTCGCGCAGGACGTCGGAATGACGCCGATTCCGGCGAGAGTTGCTGCGGAGTGCAACACAGGGGCAAAGCCGGGCACGGGTCGCGTGGGGTGACGTTCAAACGCAACGCACAAGCATCGCCATCTACTTCGCGACGCGCCGGACCTGCAGCGGCCATCACCAGCACGGGAGCCGACAGCAGCTGGCCCAACCTCGTTGACTGCTCAAGCACCGGCCCTGCCCACGCGCAGAGCGCGAGAACCGCCCACACCGCCCAGCCGTCGACCAACAGTGGCACGCTCGCCACGCCTGCGGCAGGCCTCGTTCTTTCCGCGCGTTTGCATCGTTTCCCCGCCCCCTCATGATCTGTGCTCAGCCACCCCGTGCAACGTCGCGGAAACACCCCTGCCGGGCCCGCGGCGGGCGCGCGACGTCCGAATCGCGGTCCTTCCACCGCGTGCGCCGGGCGCGCGTCAAACCCGGCCGTTCGAGCGCGCCCGCCGGTCGCCCAGCGCGCGGCGAGGGCTGGCGGCATCCGCGCCTAGCTGGCAGCTCTTCGACCTGCCGCGCCGGCCCCTGCCTCGACGCACGTGGCGGAGCGTTCCAGGGGACTCTCCGCGGCCCACGGCCGCGCGCGCCACCGTTGCGCGCCGCGGCCCGGGGGACCGTCGGAGCGCGTGCGAGGGCACTTTACTCGCTGCCTGCCTCCAGACCCCCCCGCCGCGGCGCGCCGTGCCTAGCGGCCGCCAACGGCGCGCCGCCTCGGCGTCCCGCGTCATTTCGGTCGCGGACGTGAGGCCTGCTGAGCTCGTACCTGGCCACGTCATCGGCACCACTTGTTGGGGGTTTTTGGCCATGCTCGTGGCAGGCACAGCTGGTGCCCCGGGGTATACCCTCGGAAGCCCTCAGTAATCGCACGAGGATCAACTCAGGTACGCGCCCCGCGCGAAACCAGACCCGCGCAGCGCTTGCGCCGCCCGCAGCCCACTGGCCCTACGCCACCGAGCAGGCACCCGGTTGCCCCGGACCTGGCACGTTTCCCGGTGGGCCCGCGCCTCCCGGCCGTCCCCTCGACGCGAGGGACGCCCCGGGGCCCGCCCGACCGGCGCTGCGCGGCCGCAGCGCTGCGGAGCCCGCGACCTTGCTTGCTTGGGTCCTGCCAGCGCCGCGTGACGCGCCTCTGGCTTCTGGCGCGCGTCCCGAGGCGCCCCCCGGTCCGTACCATCGGTGTAGCGGCCCCGGGCGACCGCAGCGGCCGCCGCACGCCCCGCTGCGGCGGTTCCACGGTCCAGGCTGGGCCCCAGCTACCGGGCGCACAGCCCACCTGCGCGCGGCCGTGCGCCGCGTCGCGGCTGCGGTCTGGGCAGGTCGCAATGTTAGCCTCGCAACCGGAGCGACGCGGGGCTCCGCCCTCCCTGCCTGCGCACCGTGCCGCTCAACCGATTCTAACGAGCCCTCGATGTTTCCGGCGCACCGCGCGGCGACGGCGCGATGTTTCGACGCGGAACGTGACATGTCGATGAAACGAGCGCGCCCAGCCTGCGTTTCCCGCCCCTGCCGCGCGCTGCGCCGCTGCTGAGCGACCCCGTTCGCTTTTTCACGTCCCGCAGGCTCGGCCGCATGCAGCCCGGCCAGCAGCGCACGGCGCCGCAACAAGGCGGCATGAGTGGAGCGTTTTCTCACGGCGCGCCGGCGCACGGCATGGGCCACGCGTGGGCGACCAACGCGTCGTCCGCGAGCCCCGACCCAGGCACCCTGGGGGGGGCCGCCTTCGCGACGCCGTGGGGCGGCTGGGGATCGTTCCAGGCCCCGGACAGCAGCCTGGAGCCCTTCAAGCCCGTCACCATGCCCGCGCTGACCGCGGACCTGCCGCACAGCGACGCACCGGGCCAACCGCTGCAGCCGCCCACCTACACCTCCTCGAACGACACCTCTCCGCTGGGCGGGGCCGATTTTTTCCAGCGCGGCGGGGGCCTCTCGCTCCCGATTCCGCCTTCCGGCGCGCCCGGCAAGCCCGACCACGGCCGCGCGGGCCACCCGGACGCCGCGCCCCCGCCCCGCGGCGACGGTACGTTTTCTCCCCCCAGTATGGAGCAGCTCCGGCTCTCGCTCGGCGCCGTGCTCCCGGCCATCGACGGCCACGACTCCGAGCCCGCCGCGGCCCGGCCGTCCGGCGCCCCGAGCGCCGGCCTCGCCCCCAGCAACCGCACCACCGCCGACATCACTAGCGGTCCGCACGCGCTGGCGGGGCAGGGCGGGCTCGGGAACCTCGGGCCCCTCGACGACCGCCTCGCGCACCTCCGGCACTTCCAGGGGCCCCTGTCGGGCCCCGACAACGTCAGCACCAGCTCGGACAGCTTCAGCGACAACGTGCTTCGCTTCACGGGGCCCGCCGGCGCCGAGTTCCAGCCCGGCCGCATGGGCAGCAACGACTCCCTCTGGGGCGCGCTCAACGCCGCCATGGCAGGCACGCCCCCGCCCGCCGCGCCCCCGCCACACCGCCCGCGCCCTTCCCAACCGCGCAGCGGCTCACCGCATCGACTCCGCGCGCGCCCCGGCCGTTCCGCAGGAGGCGTGGACGCCGTCGGAGGCCCGGCGAGCCAGCGCGCGGCCGCGAACCTCGCGCGCAACCGCTCGGGGTCGTCGCTGTCGTCGATGGCGAGCTCCGCGGGGGCGCAGCAGATGTCGGGGTGGGGCGAGCACCCGCTGGGGGAGCACCCGTCGCGCACGCTGTTCGTGCGCAACATCTCGAGCACCGTCGACGAGGCCGCGATCTGCGAGCTCTTCGGGCAGTTCGGCGAGGTCCGCTCCGTGCACCTCTCGTCGAAGCACCGCGGCTTCGTCATGGTGTCGTACTACGACCTCCGCGCGGCGCGGGCGGCGATCAAGGCGCTGCAGGGGCACATGCTGCACCGCCGCCGCCTCGACATCCACTACTCGATCCCGAAGGAGAACCCGACGGACAAGGACTGGAACCACGGCACGCTCGTGGTGTTCAACCTCCCGGCCGAGGTCAGCAACACGGCTCTCGCAACCATCTTCTCGCAGTTCGGCGAGGTCAAGGAGGTCCGCGAGACGCCGAACCGGCGGCAGCACCGCTTCGTCGAGTTCTACGACTCCTCGCACGCCGAGGCGGCCCTGCGGGCGCTGGACCGTACGGAGCTGCGCGGGCAGGTGCTGAAGATCGAGCGGTCGCGGCCGGGGGGCGTGCGGCGGCAGGTGGCGCCGGGGAACGGCAGCGCGGACAGCGGGTCGCGTCCGGGGTCGCGGCACATGTCGGTGTCGGACCTGATGGCGGTGCGCGACATGGCGTTCGCGCAGCAGCTGGGGCAGGCGGGCATGGCGCGGGCGTCGAGCAACAGCAGCCTGGCGAGCCAGGGGCTCGGGCGCGGGCAGGGCGCGGGCGACGCGGCGATGGCGCAGGCGCAGATGCAGGCGAACGTGCAGGCGCGGATGCGGCAGGTCGCCGGCGGCGCGGACTTGGGCGGAGACCCCGCGGGGGTGTTTGGGCGCGCGGGCGGGCCCGGCGGGCCAGTGCCGCCGTTCGGGTGGGACGCGGGGAGGCAGGGGCCGCGCATGGACGTCGTCGCGCTCGTCCAGGCCGCGCAGGCCGGGCTCCTCACGCTGCCGATGCTCTGCCATGCAGTGGAGAGCGGGTCGCTGGCGCCGCAGCAGGCGGACCTGATCGCGGCGCTGATCCCGCCGCACCAGCTCCCGCAGCAGGTGCCGGGCGGCGTGGGGCGGGGCGGGCACGGGATGGGCTTCGGCGACGTCGGCGCGTTGCAGCAGCTGGCGCACATGCAACAGATGCGGGACGCGGCGGCGGCGCAGGGCGGCCAGCAGGGCCTCCCGCAGGGGCTCTCTCCGTGGGGGCCCCTCGGCTTCCCCGGCGCGGGCCAGCATGCGGCGCAGCAGCAGCACCCGCAGCCGCCGCCGGGCGCGGGTCTGCCGGGCGTGCCGCAGCTGAGCGCGCTGCTGAGCGACAGCGACCCGTCGGCGCTGCGCGCGCTCCTGCAGGCGCTGGGCCCGAACGCGAGCGCGATGATCAGCCAGCTGCACAAGGACCAGCAGGCGGCGGCACCGCAGGCGGGCGCGCCGCAGGCGGACCTGGCCAAGGCAGGGCCGTCGGTGCTGGAGCAGGGCGACGAGCCCGCTGCGGGCGAGGTCCTGGGCGGCGGGCAGGCCGGGGCGCCCGCGCAGGACGGTGCACCGGCGAGTGCGGCGTCGGGGCTGCCCGGTGGGCCGAGCGCGGAGGCTTCCGCGCACTCGCGGCAGGGCCCGGGCGGCATTTTCTACGACGCGGACGCGCACGGCGGGCCCGCCGCGGCGCTCGGGTGGGCCCCGGCGTCGGCGTCGAACCCGGCGCAGGTGGCGCTGGCGGCGGCCGCGCATGCGCTCTCCGGGTCGATGCAGAGCGAGGCGATGCGCCGCGCGTCGACGGGCCGCCGCTCCATCGGCCAGCTCGACCCGGGCAAGGTCCCGGCGGGCCTCCCGTCGCGGCGCGGGGGCTCGATCGAGCTCCCGCGCGTGCACAAGGAGAGTGCCCTGGAGGCGGCGCAGGCGGCGGCGGCGGCGGCGACGGCGGCGGCGCGCGCGACGCGGCGCACGGACGAGGACCGGCCGCGCACGACGACCGACGAGCAGTTCGCGCTTGACTTGAGCAAGGTCCAGGCCGGGGAGGACACGCGGTGTACGCTCATGGTGAAGAACATCCCGAACAAGTACACGCAGCGGATGCTGCTGCAGACGCTCGACGAGGCCGTGCACGGCATGTACGACTTCTTCTACCTCCCGATCGACTTCAAGAACGGTTGCAACGTTGGATATGCTTTCATCAACATGCTGAGCACGGAGGGCGTCGCGGTGCTGGTGCAGCGCTTCCACGGGCGGCGCTGGGAGCGGTTCAACAGCGAGAAGGTGTGCTGCGTGGCGTACGCGCGCATCCAGGGCAAGGCGGCGCTGGTGGCGCACTTTCAGAACTCCACGCTGCTGCTGCACGAGGACAAGCGCTGCCGGCCCGTGCTGTTCTCCGCGGACGGCCAGCCGGAGACGTTCCCGCTCCCGGGGCGCACGCCCGGGCGGCGGTCGCGCCGCGGGTCGGGCGAGTCGCGGCGGAACAGCAACGAGTCGCGCCGGTCGGCGCCGAGCGCGCCCGCGTCCGCGCGGTCGTCCACGGACCGCCCGCGCTCGTTCGACCAGCCGAACTCCGCGCGCACGAGCCACGAGCGGAGCAGCCACGACCGCTCCGGCCACGGGCACGGGCACGCGGCGGCGGACAACGCCACGTCGCCCACGCCGGCCGCCGAGCGCGCCCACCTCGGACTCGCGACGGTGCAGGAGGAGCGCCCGTCCGAGGGCGTCGGCGCGGACATGTCGCGGTCCCGCGGCGAGGATGCCTCGCGCTCGCGCGGCGAGCGCGCCAGCGGCGACGCCGGGTCCGGCCTGGCGACCGCGATGCAGTCGTCCTTGTTCGGCACCGAGATGTCGCTCTCCCGGCGCGGGCGGACGTCGCGCTCGAGCAGGGACAGCGAAGGCGAGGCCCCGCGGCCCTGAGACGGGCCCGCTGGCGCGGCTCGCCGTGCTTTGTGTTTTGGGTGGTGGGGCCCGCTGCTGCGACCCGCGCGGGGGCGCCGAGCACCGGCGCCCGTCGCGAGAGACTTCGCTCTCAGCGCGATCCGCTGCGCCGACGGATCGCCGCCGCGCCGGGCCGGACGAGAGGGTTTCGGCCCGCATGCGATGATGAACTGGAAGATGACCACCACTGATCAAGATCGGACCTTCGAACAACCTCCCAGCAACCGAGAACATACCACGCGACACGGCAGCATGCATGGCCCGTTCAGACGCCCACACGACGTACACCTGCTCCCTCGAATGCTAGTGCGCACACCCACCCCCCTGTCCCCCCGGCCCTGATCGCCCCCCTCCAGCCTGCGCACGACTTTCCAGGCTCCGGTTGTACCAGTCGCGTGTTCCAACCATTGACCTCCCGGACATGGCCGCACTCGCCGCAGTTCCCTGCGCCACGACACCACCCCCGACTCCCCCTCCTCCCTCACTCCCCCTCCTCCTGCTGGCACGTTTTTAAACGATCGTGTTTCTGCCACCACCCTGCCCCCACCCCCGTCCTTCCTCGGCGCGTCCGTCACCTCGCCGGCCGTTCAGTGCGTCGCGCTGCCGTTTTCCGGGAACGCCCTCGCGCAAGTGATTTCGTCCCCCTGGTCCACGCAACCAGCTTAGCACCCCTGCCAGCGCAGCATAGAAGCGCGCAAACGCGCCTCTCCCGCCGCCCCTGCGGCCGCCTCGCCACTCTCCACAGCGAGCGCACCCCGCAATAGACTCGGCACCATTCACCGCACCAGCTCCAGGCCCCCAGCTCCCCCCCCGACGCCCCCCCATTCCATCCCATCCACGACGCCACATCGTCCAACCCCACCCCGCGTTCCCACTCCTCTTCGCCCGCCGAGCCTCGGTCGCTCTGAGCGTCGTCCCGAGGCCCCGACCGCCACCAACGACATTGCGCTGAGTGGGCGAGTGCGCTGTGAGATCTCTCTCGCTCCCGGGGCTTCACGTGTCTCGCCGTTCACCTCTCGCCTGCCGTACCATTTCGGTCGCTCCGGCATCCTCGCGGTGAGGGTGCTCGTAGGTCAGCGAAGAACTACCTCGCGCCCCTGCTGTGCGCGTGTCCTCCGGCTTTCAACGATCCAACGTCTTGCCCACACGACACGATCTCTGCTGCTTCTGTCCGCCCTGACGTGCGATGTCAGTCTCGTCTGGAGTGCTCGAGCGGTCGGCGAGCACCCCTGCGGCGAGATGCCTGTAGGTCAGCGATCCTGGAAGAGCATTCAACACCTATCTAAATACAACTTATGTGGAACAAGGCGGTGTGTGACAGGCGGGGGGTGTGTGGCATGCGGTAGATCGCTCTGCGGATCGGCCGAGCTCTCCGGCTCGCGGACTGCTCGCGGGCGACGAGGAGGGATGGGGAGGCAGTGTCGATGCAACTGACTCATGTGCCAACCACCCCGGGGACCTTCTGTTTATGGCCCCCTCCCCGGGAGGCCCTGCGGGCCGCCATGCGTCCTCGCAGCGCCAGCAGCGACCAAGATGAAGCGGCGGTCACTGCTTGATGACCGAACGCCACACGCGGCGGTGACGCGGGTGCTAGTGTGTCTTGATGCCCCACGGCGGTTGGTCCTCGCATCACGTGGCCCGCGGTCGCATTGCGTGCGCTCTCATCGCAGCTGCTGTAGTCATTCTGCTCGTGCTGAAGTCCGCGCCCGGAGGCACCGGCCTCGCGTCTCAGGCAGGCCATCACCTAGGAACCAGCACCATGCCCACGGTAAACGTGGGCGCAAAGCCCGTCGACGGCCCGAAGGTCGAGCCGGGCACAACGATTGCCGCAAAGGTTCGCCCCTCACCCCTGGCCCGACTTCGCCCCACCCCCCCCCGCGGCGACACGCGCCACTGCACCTCCCACCCTGCTCCTGCGCCCTCACGTCGGCCCCCAAGCGCTCCTCAGCCCGCCTCCGCAGGTCCACGGCGGACTCAAGCACCTAGTCTACGCTCCAGAGTCCTTCGGAACGGGAGACCCCCTCCCGCTGCTCGTCTTCCTGCACGGCGCTGGCGAGTCAGGGTCGGACCCGTGGGACGTCCGCATCCAGGGCGTGGCCAAGCTCGCGATCCCCGAAACGGACCCTGGCCCCACCGCGCGCCTGCCGAGCGCCCCGACGGAGCTGGTGCGGCGCTCGTTCGTCGTCCTGAGTCCACAGAACCCCGGCAGCTCGTCCTGGACGTCCGACGCGACGCAACAGGCGCTGACGGCGACCGTGAAGGCGTACGCGGCTCTCCCGGGCGTCGACGAGCGCAGGGTGTACCTCACAGGCACGCGGACGCCGAAATTACCCTGCCGCATTGCCATGTGTGCTACGCCGTGAAAGGTGTCGCGAGCTGAGCGCGCATGTGACCGATCGGTCCGCCCCGACGGGGACGCGCAGGTATCAGCATGGGAGGGTTTGGCACGTTCTTTCAGGTGTCGAGGGCGCCCGAGCTGTACGCGGCGGCGGTGCCTGTGTGTGGCGGCGGGCGGGCGGGCATGGGCGCGGCGATCGCGACGGCGGGGGTGCCGCTGTGGGCGTGGCACGGAGCGAACGACGCCGTCGTGCCGGTGTCGGGGAGCGACGCGATGATTGCGGAGGCGAAGAAGGCGTCAGGTGCTCGAGCAGCACCACCACGCGACGAAACGTCATGATGCGCACTCGCGCGGCGCGCGAAGTCCACCGCGACCGCCACGCCTCGCCCCGCGTGCGCGCGTGGGGCCTTCGCGCTGCCTGCGCGTGACCTGGTCCCTCGTGCGCAATCTCAGTCGTGATTCTCCAATGTTCGTGTCGCAGCTGATCCAGAGTCGCTGGTGCGGTACACGCGCGTGCCGCAGTCGCCCGCGCGCGACCCCACGTGGCCGACGGTCGGGATCCCGGACATGCCCGGGCACGCGTCGTGGGTCGACGCGTACGAGTCTGACTCACACGGAGGCGGCGCGGCGCTCTTCACGTGGATGCTCGCGCAGGCCAAGCCGGCGGAGTGAGCCGCCGCGGACACCGCGCGATCCAATGCGACTGATGTGTGACCGGAGCCGGCTCAACACACCACGCAGCGCCTCCCCCGGCACATGACACGCTCTCGTGGCATTTCGCGCGAGTACTGCTTGCACGTTGCCGCCTTGACCCGGGCGATAGCACACCCGCGTTTCGTGTCTTGCGCGGGCGGTCAATTACTGCTTTTGCGCGTTTTTAACGCCACGTGCGGCGCGATTCGAGCGGCCCCTGTGCATCACCTGATTCGCCTGCGCCCCGGCGACGCGAGCCTTCCGACGCTGGGGCCTCGGAAGCTGGCATGAGTCGTGTCAGTGTAGTGCCGGTCCACGCGGCGCGGTGCCGCCCCCGGAAGCGCGCGTGCGTGACGCGAGTCGCCCAGTGTGCCTGGGCCACCGCCGGAGGCATCCTGGCAGCAGCGCCTGAGGAGGACTCTGGCCTCGCGCCACGGCCTGAGAGCGGCGGCCCTGCGACGTCTCCGGGACACTCTTGCATATGCGCTACTTGCTAGACGGATATCGCGCGGACAGCGCGGCTTCGCTATCTAAGGGCCCACCGTACCCTATGTCGCATCGGCGCGCGCCGCGCGCCCCCTCGCCAACCGTCCGGGCACCGAGGCGGCCTATCTGAATTTTTGTCGGCACGCACGCACGAAACACGGGTCGCGGTCGCGCCGCGCGGGCCCGGTGGGGCCGGCGCAGACACCATGCCGTGGGCCGTGTGGTGGTTTTTTGCCGTTTGCCTGGCGGCAGCCCAAGGTAGGCCTCTGCACGAGCGTCGTCGCGCGCGGACGGGCGCCCTGCTGCCGCGGTCGCGACGCTCGTCCCCGTGCCAAATCAACAGTGAGCCAGTGCTCTGAAAATCGCCGCGTGCGCGGCGAGGATCTGCGATGGCGGCCCGGGGCGTCGATGCTCCCGCTCTGAATGTCGCGTTTCCGTGCTCTCTCCGCAGGGTTGTCCACCGACTACGTGGCGGCACGGCAGGGCGATTCTGTTGCGTGCCAGGTGGGCCGAGGCCCCGCAGCCGCCCGCCCGGCCCTCGGGCGCGCGCGGGCCGATCAATGCCGTGAGACCAGAATCTATACTTGGCCCCGGAGGCATTTTCGGCTCGGATTCGTTTGATATGTGCGCGTGGGGGCCTCGTCCAGGTTTCCAACACCAACGCTCCCCGCCGCCCGCCCGCAGAGATTCTTGGCAGGGGGCGGCATCACGGACCTGGCAGACACTCCAGACGGCCTGTCCTGGGATCCCACCGGCACGCTCGAGTCCTGGCGGCGCCAAAACCTCGAGGTGAGCCGTCCGTGCAGGCGGCCCCCGTTGGCCCTGCGCCCCTATACGCACGATTCCCGCGCGAGCCGCGCCTATGAACCCGCCGATTGCATGCTCTCGCACGCCGTCGCCCGCGCCTACCTCGAAACGCCGTCCGCGGCCCCGCGCTGCATTCGTCTCACGCCCAACTGTTTCCTAGCACGCTCTCTCACCTCCGCAGGATGTGGGCGTCATCCTGCACGGCCGGTACGCACCGGTCAGCGGCCCGACGCTCCGGAAGTCCGAGCTCGACGTGCGGCTCGAGCAGCTGGACGCGCAGCTGCTGCAGGCGGCCCCGGCGTGCGGCCCCCGGTGCCAGGCAGAGCAACGCCAAGCTCTCGTTGCGTTCTACGCGGCCGCCGGCGGGCCGACGTGGGAGGACGTCACCGCGCGGCGCGTCTGGAACTCGTCGCTGCACCACTGCTGCTGGCCCGGAGTCCTGTGCTGCACGGCTGAGCACGCGATCGCGATTGAAGCCTTCGACCAAGCGGGCCAGCTTCTCGGAGCCACGAACTTCGGCGCGGCGGCCTCCGCGGGGTGCGTGCGGCCCGGCGGGGTCGTGTCGGTGTTCCTCGCGCCGCCGAACGCGATCGGATCCGCCTCCGCGACGGACGCCGACGCCAGCATGATACAAATGCAACCACGCACCCTCCCCGACGGCTTCTTCTCCTCCGCGCTCCGGACCTCGCTGGAGTACTTCGACGTCGCGCGCATGGGTCTCTCCGGCACCGTCCCGGCCGACATCGTCTCCGCCGTGCTCCTCCGCACCCTCGACCTCGCCAGCAACGCGCTCTCCGGCGAACTCGTCGACGCCGCCCCCGGAGGCGTCCCGGCGCCCGGCGCCTACGGCTGGGGCCTTCTCGCGCTGCTGGAGCGGCTCGATCTCTCGAACAACCGCCTCTCCGGCCGCTTCCCCGCGTCGCTGGCCTCGCTGCCGCGCATGCGCGACCTGGTCGTGCGCGGCAACCCCTTCACGTCGCTGCCGAGCCTGTTCGGGTGCACGCAGCTGCCGAACCTACGGCGCGCGGACCTCACGGGCCTCACGCTGGCCGACGACGTCTTCAAGGACTCGTGCGCGGCGCTGCGCGACCCGGACATCGGCCCCGATGTGTTTCTGTCGCCGCGCCCCGTGCCCGCGATGGACTCTCGCGCGATCAACGGGCTCTCGCTCCGCGCCGCGGGGCTGACCGCGCGCCTGCACGACACGCTGGTGTGCCGCAACGCCTACCAGCGGCTGGACCTGGCAGAAAACCCAGGACTGACTGGGAGCATTCCGTGGTGCCTGCCGCTGGTGCCGGGCCTGCGCGACCTGCGCCTGAACAACGCGGGGCTCGAGGGCGACCTCCCCGAGTCGACGTTCGCGTCGGACCTGCAGATTCTGGACGTGACGAACAACAGGGCGCTGAGCGGGAGGCTGCCGAGGCGGCTGGCGGAGAACTTCGGGCGGCGGCCGCGGCTGGACAACCTCGCCGTGTTCCTCGCGGCGAACACTTCGATGTTCGACGCGCTCCCCGAGGACCTCGACCGCGTGCTGTCGCTCTCGCGGCTCGACGTGGGCGACACGCTGATGAGCCACGACCGCTCCAGGCCGAACTCGCGCGGGGAGCTGCTGCCGGAGTACCTCACGTTCGACTACTCCGGGCCGCGGAGCGTGCGGGCGGTCCGTGTGCGCGGGGCCGACGCCACCGACGAAACGGTTCCCACCTGTCGCGCGGTGATTTGGCACCCCGCCGCGGTGTCAGAAGGCCACCTGTTCGTTCCGGCGGCGCGAGTCTCGCCCTTCTACCACCACTTCACGGAGTGCGGGTGCACGAGCGACCACGAGCTGACCTGGCAGGACCCGTCGCCTGACGAGCTCGCCCTGTTCAACCACGCGCGCTCCTCGCCGCTGTACCCGCCGCCAGGGCCCGAGCGCGACGCGTTCGAGGCGGTGCACATCCCGCGCTACCCCGTGTGCGTCCACGTCGGCGACCCCAGCATCAAGCCGGAGGCCGTCGCGGGCATCTCGGTTGCGGCGGTGGTGACGCTCGTGCTGCTCGCGGCAGTGGTGCTGCTCTTTGTGTACCGCAGGCAGCTGTACACGGCGCTGCTCATGGCGCGCAAGCGCGCCGGGCCGCCGCGGTCGGGCGAGGTGACGATGGTCGTCACCGACGTGATGTCGAGTACGCTGTGTTGGGAGGCATCGCCCGTCGCCATGTCGCACGCCAACATCTTGCACGACGAGATCGTCAGGCAGACGGCCAAGCACTGCTTCGGGTACGAGGTCACTACGGAGGGCGACAGCTTCACTCTCGTCTTCCACGAGCCCTCGGATGCGATCGCGTTCTGCCTCCAGGCCCAGGTGGCGCTGGCGAGCGCGGACTGGCCGCCGCAGCTGCTCGAGGTCCTCCCCAAGGACAACGTGCGCGCGGACTTGTTCCAGGGGCTCCTGGTCCGCCTGGGCGTCGCGACCGGGCACGCTGAGCGCATCTACACGCACAGCGTCACCCGGCGCATGCAGTACGAGGGCGGCGTGGCGGCCAGGGCGCTGGCGATCTCGGAGATCACCGAGGGCGGGCAGATCCTGATCGACGAGCGCACGCTCGAGGTCGCGCAGAACAACGCGCGCTGGGGGGAGCTCGCTTCCGAGGCCGCGAGGGCAATGGTGAGGCCGCGACGCGGTCTGCGGACCCCTCGCATCTCCATGTCGCGCCGCAGGAAGACCAACGTGGCCGGCGTCGTGCCGGCTCGGCCGTCGCTGCCGATTCGACCGTCGCCGGCGCCCAGCGCGCTGAAGGACTGCCCAGGGTCGAATGTTTCGGCGGTCGAGGGCGAGGGCACGGTCTTCGCGCCTCGGCCCGCACTCTGGTCGCGCGCCCGCCGCACCGGCTCGGAGCCGCGGCGGAGCACGCCTGGAGCGCCACCGGGCGCATCGAAGCTCGCTCGCGTGAATACCGAGAGCGTCAGGATGACGGCACTGGTGTCGCCAGGGGCGCCCGAAGGCGCGCAGACCTCGGACTCCGCAGACAACACGCGCGAGCACGACTGCGTGCCGCCGGGCAGTGCGCCCGGCCGGACGCTGTTGTCGCCCGCGGAGACCGGCAACGCCAACATCTTCTTGTTGGGCCCGCGGGACGCGCCCACGGTGCTCGACATGGGCGAGCGCGTGCTCGAGAAGGGCAAGGCGCACCTGTACCAGATCCTCGTGCCGGGCCTCGAGAACCGCGCGACGTGCTTCCCGGCGGTCTCGCGCGACCCCTTATTGTTGCCAGGGTTCCTGGACGCTCCTGGGGCGCGCCACGAGGGGCTCTCTCTCGACCCGCTGGGCACGCTGGACAGCGCGGCGGCGACCGATCAGCCGCCGCTGCCTCCCGTGACCATCGCGTTCTGCGCCCCGGGCAACACGGGGACTCTTGCCAAGGACGTCGGCCAGCGCACATTCGACGCCGCTATCGCGCTGTACAACACGGCCGTGCGCCGCAACCTGCTGCGGTACCGAGGGTACGAGTGCCAGGAGCTCAGCGGGACGTTCATGTGCGCGTTCGAGTCGCTTGCCGACGCGCACCTGTGGGCAGTGGCAGTTCAAAAGACCATGCGGGAGCTGGCGTGGCCACGGCGCCTCGTCGCGAACCCCGCGACGGCCACGGGGCTCGTGGTCCGCGTCGGCATCTACGAGGGCGTGCCCGTCTCGATCGTCCCGCACAGGTCGACGGGGCGCGCGGACTATTTCGGGCCGCTCGTCAACCGCGCCGCTCGCATGTGCTTCTCCGCCGCCGCCCCCGGCCAGATCGTGGCACCGGTGGATCAGACGGTCCGCGCACTGATCGATCTCGCCGGCCGCGAGCGCCGCGACGGCAGCGGAGGCCAGGAGGTGGCGGTAGCGCTGGAACACGTGTCGACGAACACAGAGGTGCTGCAGCTGCTGCCGCTTGAGACCGCGGCCGCTCTGGCGCGGTGCGCGAAGGCACCGGCTGATCTGTTGGCGGAGTTGCCCAAGTCCATGAGGGCCCTGCACGCAGCGGCGGCGCAGGAGGCCAACTCAGGTGTCGTTCACCGGATAGCCTCCTGTCCGATGGGCGGCCGGCCGAAGGTCGCATCTGCAGGCGAGCGCCGGGAGAGCCGGCGCATGTTCGACGCCTCGTCCAACCGTCCGAGCGGAGGGGAGAGGCAGCGGACCAGCACCGTGACGCGCCGCAAGCCGACCACCAGCAAGAACGCCGCAGCGCAAGCACTCGAGTGGGCCATCTTCGATGGCGCAGTCAGCGCGCATCACGCAGGGCGCTTCCGGCTCAAGGGCATTCAGGGCGAGTTCGAGCTTGCGTGCATGACGATCGTTGATGAGGGAGGAAGCACCGGACCGGCCGACACCCCTGCGCCGACGATCAAAGCGCGCAAGAAGGGCGCGCAGCTCGCAGAGGGACGCGGCCTCGTGGCGACAGCGCACCTCGTCATGGCGTACCCGACGTGCGGCCGGCGGACCGTTGCCTTTGATGTGCGCGACAGCGACAACGTGTCGCCGGCGCCCTCCGGCTTCCCACAGGGACAAGCGGCGGCGCAGCTCGGGGCTGCTCCTGCCGATGGCCGCCGCGCGGTCACGGGCGGAGCGAACGAGGGACGCAAGGCGCTTCCCGCGCAAGCAGATGCACACGACCAGGTCTGACAAGGCGAAAGACCTTGAACACCGACTGGTGTTCTTCCGCGGCGTCCAAGCGGCGTGACGCGGGCACACACGAGCTTTCAACGTCCTACCCTCCCCCCCTCCTCCCATCCCTTCCCAATCCCCACTCCCCCCCTTCCCCCCTCACGTGTCCCATCGTCTGCGAAACCCCCCCGGGCACGGGGTACTGACTCCCGCGTCTGTCCGTCCGGGCGTTCTCGGGGCTCACTGGTAGCCCGAGAGGTCGTTGGAGGCAACGTCGCATGCCAACACTATCGATGCCCTCAACCCTTCCCCCCCATCATCGTTGTCTCACAGTTGCGGGGTACTGACTCCCGCGTCTGTCTTTCCAAGCGTTCTCGGGCCTCACTGGTAGCCCGAGAGGTCGTTAGAGGCAACGTCGCATGCCAACACACCCCCGCCCACACACCCCCGCGCACACCTCGCTTTCAGCTCGTCGTGTTCTCACTCGCTCGTTGGCACGTCAAACTGTTGGACAACGACATCGCATGCCCCCTCACCCCTCCCCCTGGGACCCTCCCGCCGATCCACCCGCACAACCGTCTGGTGAGCCCTCTCCCTCTGACTCCCCCCCCTCACCCTCCTCGCAGTCCCGGCCCCTCGCGCCCTTGCGGCCGGGTGACTCCCCCCCAGCCTTACACTGCCGCCGCCCAACCCAGTCCCGAGGACCTCGAGGAGCTCCTCGTCCTGGCGCACGGCACCCCTCCTCCCTTTCGCTGTCTAGTCCCCCCCCCACACCTCATGCCACTACGTGGCCCCCTGCGAGGCGAAATCGCAGCTGTCGTCCCCCCGCTTCTCGCCCTGAGCGCAACCACTGAGAACCCTCAGTGCGGAAGTCGTCGTCCTTAGTCTTGTGCCGCGATCGCGACTCGCGTGGCTCGCCCTGATGTCTGGGTGGTGCCAGAAGACCAGCACTCCATCGTCCAGGACGACGGCTCCGTTGGCGTTCCGGTCGCGAATCAGATCATGCCATCCACGTTCTATGCGGCGAGCCGCATCTCCTGCCCTTGAGACCAAGATGTTGTGCAGCGCTGCGGCAATGCCCCACCGCACGGGAGCTCTCGTCGAGTGCGAGCCCTGCGCGTGCGCTCGCGCCGCGCCTTCATTTCATCGCCACTTCTTCTGAAGTGAGCACGTGGGAATCCCACACTGTCCTTGTGGGAATCCTAGTCCTGACGCCACATCGTTGCATGCTATAGGGTATCTAAACTAGCGGCGTTTGCAGCACTGGCGCACCCCCTGCCGACCTGCTCATGCCGCCAAGCCTGGAGCCGCACCGTACGAGCTGGGGCTCCGTACGATGCGAACTCTGTTGCGAGTATTATCTAAGATCTAAGAGGAAAGGTGTCGAGAAAGAATGTCCGAGGAAAGACGTTGAGAAGAATCGCTCAGGGAGCCTGCGGGGTGCGCTTCTGCGCTGGCGCTACCCCGCAGCCATGTCGCGGTATCGCACTGTGCGTGATCGCCCAGGACGAGGACCTCGTGCCAGTCGCGGCAAACCGGGTCGGGCTGGTCGCGATGGGTGGTCTCGGATCGTGCGCCACCGCCACGTCATCAGGCGATGTACGTGCTGTGAGCTGTACTCTAAGCGCATCTCTCAATCAATCGCCACAAGTCACTTGTCAAACAACAGAGCGGTTCGCGCCGCAATGCCCCGTCGAGATGCGCGCGATCGCCGCTGCTGTGCACCACCCGGGTCTGTCCAGGATGCGCCGCGCGGGCAGCTGGCTGCCTAGTGATTGGAGGTGCAGGGAGTCTGTCGTGCGTTTATTGTTGTTTCAGGCTCTGTTTGCGGCCCTGAGGAGAGGTTCACTCCAGGACGCAAACACAGCCGTCAAGGCCGCCCGTCACGCACTGTGCGGCGTCGGCCGACACCGACCATATGCGCTCTCTGTGCGCTGCCCGTGCCGACATCACGCGCCCCGCCCGGATGTCATACACGTAGCCGTCGCCCGACCAGTCCCCCCAAACCAGCACCTGCACGAACATCGGTATCCGCCTCATCGCGCTGAACGGCGCAGATCACCCATCGGGCGCCAGAATCACCATGATGTTCGACCAACCTCGCTGCAACGCTACTGCACGCGCAAGCGCAGCACCGCAGACAGGCAGCTCGCGAGGCGTCGCAGCGCGACGCACGCACCTGTCGGGACTCCTCGTATGCAAGGCTCGAAACGGGTCGGAGCCGGGGGCAGGTGTACAGGGCCTCCATCCTCTGCTGGCGAGTGTCGCACATCATCACGTGCCGGCTCAGATCCGCACAGTACACCACGTCCCTGCTCGCCACCTGGTGGCACGAGATCGCGGGGCCAGGGTGCGTCACGACGTCGTGGTCGGAAAGAGCCATACGCACCGACGGCAGCTCGTACGTGTCGCTCGCGCCCTTCTGGATGTCCCACACGCACAGCTGCCACACCGAGGTCCCGGCGTACAGCCGCCCCCAGCTCGGACGGAGCGTCATGCTGCACGCGGCACATCGCAACAGAACGCGGCCTGCTCAGGAACGCCGCCGCCAGCGCGGACAGCCAGCGCGCGCCGCAGTGCGAGGGAATCCGACCTCTCGATGCTGTTCGTCGGAAGCACGTCCTCCTCGATCATCAGGTTGAACTCGCGCGCCCCGAACGGGCGCGGTTTCAGGCGCCCGTGCAGCTCCGGGATCCCGTCAGCGTCCTCGAAGTTTTTAATGTTGTACAGCGCGATAAGGGAGGGCTCGACGGTCGGGCTGGCCGACTGGCCGACGATGGTGTCGTAGTCGAGGTCCACGTCCATCGCGACGGCGAGGATCCCGTCCTCGCACGCGATGGCCTGCGGGTCCCAAGCGTCAGGTACGCGGCCCGCCGAGTTGGCCTGGCACGGCCGGAACGCCCTCTTGCACGCCCGGGACGCGGCCGTCGCGCCGCCCTCGATGTCCGCGCACAGGCCGCCGACGTCCCAGACGTCGATGACGCCGTCGTCCGTCACGGTGACGACTACGCCGTGCCCGGTGCCGCACGCGGGGCCCGCGCGCTCGTCTAGGGCGATGAAGTGGACGTTGCTGGGGGGCGCGTTCTCCGCCACCGGCGTGGTGTGCATCGCGAGGCTCGGCGCCCCCGGACGCATGTAGGTCGCGCGCGCGGTGCCGTCCTGGACGGAACAAGGACGTCAATTCGACATATGATTATGATTCATTAATATAAGATAATGAAACTACAGTGGCACGTGCGGCGGCGGACTCTCTCTCTGGGTGTCCGAGCTGACGCATGCTGCACCGCGAGAGCGAATTCGTGCACATCCGCGCACCTGAGAGCACGTGAGAGCCAGCGGCGGGCCCAGCGGACCGAATTGCTGAGTCAGCTGTTGGTCACCTCCGTCCGACCCCGTGGCGTCAGGGCCGGCGCGGCTGTCGCGGCGCCGGAACGCGCTGGCGAGGTCGTTCTCGTCGCTGCACGCCACGAGGCTCCACATCGGCCCCTCGTGCCCGGACATGCAAGCGACCTCTCGCCACGCAGCGCCGCTGCCCGCCGGGTCCGGTGCGAAGGCGCGCAGCGCGATGTCGACGCGCTGCGTGCTGCCGCACGTGGTCATGACCAGGCCGGGCCGCGACCAGACGTTGCGGATGAAGTCCCCCTGCACCGCGACCCTGCGCGCGCTCCTGCAGCTGGGACGGGGAGCGGAGGTCGTTGCTCGGGGACAAGAGTGTCAGACATGCAGAGTGAGATAGAGGGGAATGATTGCGTCGTGATCGGTGGGAAAAGTGCACCGCGTCGGCGCGGAATCGTCTGCAGGAGGCAGATTCCCCTCGTGAGGTTGTGCGTCTCTCAGCCGGGCGCAACAGTCCTGTTTCAGACGGGCACGCACAGCTCGTCGCTCCACCGTGGATTCGCGAGCTCGCGCCGCAGGCCCATTTCTCGCTTCCAGTCCCGGACGCTCGAGGACGGCACGAGACCACGTTGCCTGGCCACTACCGAAGGGCAGGCGCTGAAGAGCCTGCACTCGTGCATTACCAGCTACGCAGGTGAAGCAGCATTTCTTGTATACATGTCGATCTCCAGGGGCCGAGAACATCGCACCAGCCCCCACGTTCGCGCGCAGACGGGAGGGCACGCGGCGCGCGCGGGCTCAGCGCGGCAGAGCGGCTCCGCGAGGGCACGAACCTCTGGTGCGCGGCGCCGTAGAGCGAGCAGCAGCCGACCATCGCCTCCTTGTGGTACCTGGCGCCGTACGCGTGCCTCCAGATGTGCTCCGTGCTGCTGCTCACCACATCGCGCCACTCTCGGCACACGGCCGGGCACGACAACAGCGCGGTCTCGGGGTCGTCTCGCGCGACGTGGCCAATTATCAACTCAACGATGTCCTTGTTGAGCGCCGCACCGCCCTCGTCCCCGCACACGCGCTGCTTCACACCCTCCTCCATCCTCTGCAGACACCACACGCAGCCCACACGCAGCCCACGCGCACAGACTCCGCTCTGCCGCCGCAGCCCGCACCCCGCGCATATGCCCGCGGCTCCCATCGCCCGGCGCCACTGGCGGCCAGCACCACACCTGTCAGGCCACGCATGACTTAGCGGAGAAACCCCCCCCCCGGCAGCGCCGCGCAGTCCACGGCCGCCGCGCAGAGCCGCCCCTAGCTCCAACCAGCACTTCGCAACGCGCACCACGCCCCACAGCGCCGTCGTCGTCGTCCGTCCGTCTCACAACTTCTTCCACTCACCCGCGCGCGCGGCGGCGCCTACATCAGCCCGGCGCCCATCATGTGCAGCATGACGCCCATCTGCGCCCACATCCGGTTCTCCGCCTCGCTGAACACGATCGACCGGTCCGACTCGATCACTCCGTCGGTACACTCGATCCCGCGCTCTGCTGGCAGACAATGCATGAAGAACGCCTGCGGCCCGGCCTTGGCCATCATCGCCTCGTCCACCGTGAACCCCTGGAACTTCTTGAACCGCTCCGCCGCCTCGGCCTTCTGCCCCATGGACGCCCACACGTCCGTGTAGATGACGTCGGCGCCCTTCACGGCGTCCGTGTCCGAGGTGACCAGGACCGTCGACCCCACGGGGGAGTTCTCCGCGAGCGCGACGGTCGCGGGGTCCGGCGTGTACCCCTCGGGCGACACGCACACGAATTCGAACGGGAACCGCGCCGCGAGGCGGAGCCACGAGTTGACGATGTTGTTGCCGTCGCCGACGTACACGACCTTGGAGCCCTCGAGGGAGCCGCGGGCCTCGATCAGCGTCTGCGCGTCGGCCATGATCTGGCACGGGTGGTTGTAGTCCGTCAGGCCGTTGATGACCGGCACCTCGGCGTAGCGCGCCAGCTCCAGAATGTGCTCGTGGTCGAACAGCCGGGCCATGATCATGTTGTTGTACCGGCTCAGCACGCGCGCGACGTCCTTCGGGGCCTCGCGCTTCCCCACGCCGGCCTGCACGCGGGGAGCGGCGCGCGCGTCGCGAGTCGACACCGCGCAGCGGCGGCGCAGGGCGCGGACAGCAACGCGCGGGTCTGTGCTGCGCGGGGACGCGTGTGGGGCGAGCGCGAGCGGCGCGGTGTGCGGCGGGGCGCGGTGGCGGCGGGACGGACCTCGTCAGGCCCGAGGTAGGTAGCCGTGCCTCCGAGCTTGGTGAAGCCGGTCTCGAAGGACATCTTGGTGCGCATGGACGCCTTGGCGAAGATCATCGCGAGGGACATGCCCTTGAAGGGCTGGAACGACGTGTCGCCGCCCTTGAAGGTCTTCTTGACCTGCGCGCGGGCCGAGGGTGGTTGCAGCAGTGTTGGCACCGTGCGGGCGCCCGCGGAACGGACAGCGGGGCCCGCTGGGCCGCGAACTCGAGCTCAGCAAGTGCGGAGGGCGGAGAGCGAGGGAGGACGCGCGGCCAGGTCGCGTCGCGTGACGCGGGCGCACGAGGCGGCACTGCTGGGACGCATGTAGGGGGACGCCGTCTCCAGGCGCTAGAACGGCCGTGGGAACCGCCCCGGTGCGCTGCGCGCGAGGTATCCATGCGCACGCGGCGCGGTTCGATCGGAGCGGGGCAGCTGGACGCCGTGGCCCGGCGCGCAGCCCACGGCAGCGGCGGCTCGCACGAGCGCGCGCTGACGGCCGCGCCGGGACCGGCCCGTCGATTCAACCGACAGAGGTGATCGGGCGCGCTGTTATGGCCCGTGCGGCGCGTCGGTGTCGTCGCGAACGGCGGGCGAGCCGCCACGCGGGACGCAATGCCAGGCCAAGGAGGTTGCCCCTCCCAGTGCGAGAACGCGCGGCCCAACAGCGCGACGCAGTGCGCCTCCGGCTCCCTAGTCCGCAGACCCGCGCAGCAGGCAGCGCGATCACGGCGTCGGGCCGCCGCGCCGGCGCGCACAGGCCGCTAGGGCGCCCGGCGGTTGCTAGGGCCTCCGTTGCGTCGCGGTGCGCGGCGTTTCCGCGCATTTTCGGCGCTTTCTGGAGCCTACAGTTCCGGAGCTGTGGCCCGGGCGGCGCGAGGGCGGCGGAACGCGCACCAGTGCGGCCTGGTCGAGCATCGACTTGAGCTCGTCGGTGGTGAAGTCGTCGATGTGCAGGAAGTGCCCTGCGCCGCGCGCGGGCGCCGGGATGTCCGCGCCCGTGTACGACGACACGCGGGTCGCGACGGCGCGGCGCATGCCGGCGCGCAGCGCCGCCGGGCGGCTCATACCGGAGAGCGAGGGGCACGGCGGCATCGTGCAAGCAGTTGCGTCGGCGGCGGGGGCGTGCAGAGGTCGCGGGGCTGTTCCGTGGCGCGAGCAGCTCGCTTGCGATGTCGGCGCGTCTCTCGCGGCGCGGCGGCGCGGCGAGCGCTCGAGCCGAGACAGCGAGGGGCCCCGGAGGAGGTTGGTTGCTGAGCTGGCACGCGTCACGTCAGGTCGGTCCACGCGCCACGCGGCGAGGGCCGGCCGGGGGGTCACAGCTCGGAGTGCGCGGCGTCGGGACGGGCGCGTTCTGCCCGGCGGAGGTCGTCCGGCGCCGGCGCGCTGCGCGTTTGCGGCGGGGCGAAGGCGCGATGTCCGTCATGGTCGATGTTCGGGCGGATCGGGGCGCGGCGGCCGGCGCGGTACCCGAAGAAGTACGTCGCGCGTATGAACACGAGCGTGCCCAGGAAGACGGCGATCACGAGGAGCATCACGAGGAGCTGCGTACACAGGCCAACAGACTGCCGCTTCGCGCGCGCGTGGGTCCTGCGGGCGCCCGGACGACGCGCGACGGTGAGCGTGGATCGGGGCGCGCGCGGGGCGCCGCTGGAGGGAGCGCGGTGCGGGGCCGCGCGGAGGAGGCGGCGAGCGCGTGTGGAAAGATTGCGGGGCGGCGCACTTGGCGTTGAGCTTCGTGACGCCCGCGTGGGACGCCTCGAGGGCTTTGTCTGCGTCCTCGAGGCACGCGCCGCGCTCTTGCACGGTCGAGTGCACCGCGAAGGCATTCTGCCGCAGCCTGCGGGGGTTGCATCGGCCCGGGATGGGCGCGGGTCGGACGGACGGCGCAGCTGCGGCTCGCGCGGCCAGGATCCGTCGGCGGCGCTGCGGGGCGCGCGCGTGCCCGCCGTACCTGCCAGCGAGGGTGACGAGCTCGTCGGTTAGCTGCTCCTGGAGGAACTTCTGGCGGTCGAGACGCTTGAGGGCTTTGTCGTTGAGGTTTGCTCGCTCGGCCTCGTCGGTCCTCGGGTCCTTCGGCCCCGCCATCGCATCGCTGTGCCCACTCAACCAGTCGCGCTGTGCCCCCGCGTTGTTCCTCGCCGCCCGCGCCTCAACGCGGCAGAGCTTCGAGGAAAGCTGAGATGCGAGCAGTGAGGGTGCCGCGGGCCTGGAAACGGGCGCAGGGAGGCAAGCGCGGCGTCTGGCGGGGCGAAGAAACGGCTGAGTTGCACTGGGCTTGGAACTGTCCAGAGACTGCGCGAACACGCAAAGTCGATCGATTCTCCCAATCAGTGTCCAGCTCGACACTTAGGACTTGCTTGTAGTCCGGTCGACGGCCACGCGACGGCCGTATCGAGGCCGTGAGAGCCCAGGGCAGGACTCTCCACGAGACACCTCCGCGCAGTCCCCTGACAGGCCCAATCCATTGCCGATCGGGGCGCCGCGGTGCTCTCGTGTCGGGCCGGCCGGCGCCGCCGTCGAAGGGCCTCAGTGCTCGTCAGCATGAGCCCCGGACTCGTCCCCATGCAGGAGAGCAGAGCCAACGGCAACCAGGACGCCCTGCACATCCCCAGCGACCTCGTCATCGAGATCATCACGCACCTCCCCGTGCAGGACGCGCTCGCCACGCGGGCTGTCTGCCGGGCCTGGCGACGGGCCATCGATGACTACCTTGCATCCAATTGCGACCTCCACGTCGTCCGCCAGCCCGGGATCCGCGCCTGGCCGGGCCCGCTGTCCGTCGAGGAGTCAGCGACGGCCATGGTAGCCTGCTTGCAAAGTTACGTTGACGCCTGGAAGACCGTGGACGTCGCACCGCCTTGCGCAGCGGGGGATTGCGCGGTGGCGATCGCTGACGTCGCCCGCGCCCTTGCGTACCTGCCGCGCCTCGAGCACCTCGATCTCTCGAAGTGCGGGGCGCTCACGGATTCGGTGCTCGAAGCCATGACGTGGGACGCGGGGGGCCTGCCTGCCTTGCGCGGCCTCCGCCTCATCGGGACGCGCGATCTCACGGACGCCGTGCTCCCGAGCATCGTAGCAGGTACTGCACCCCCGCCCCTATCCGCAGCAACCAGCCGCCGCCGCGAGCGCGTCAGGCCCGACCAGCAGCCCGCATGCACAGCAGTGCGCACACTGGTGGTGGTTTCCGTGCGCTAGGGACGTCGACCCGCCTGTTTCTCTCCGTTCTTGCAGCTGCGCCGAACCTGCAGGAGCTGGCGCTCGGGGGCGCCGGCGCCCGGTTCTCGATCGACGCTGTCGCGGAGACTCTAGAGGTTCTACCAGCCCTGACATCACTCGAGCTCCTTGACCTGCCGTGGCCCGCCAAGTCCTCCCACGAGAGCCCCTGGCTGGAGTCAGGGGCGCGGCTGATGCGTGCGGTGTGCCGGCTGCGCAACCTCCGGTCCCTGAGCCTGTCCGGCATCTTGATCGACCGACGTACGCACCCACCCACATTACACCCCCCGGGGAGTCCTGAAACACCACTGCGTTGTCCGCTCACCGCCCGCAGTCCTCTGTGCCACAAAGCTCTCGCATGCTCACGCCCTGCCCATCGAGCATGGGGTACACGACTAGAAGAAAACAGAAATAAATAATAAATAAATAAATAAATACAAATCACGTCTTGTGCTCATGTTCGCTTGATTCGGCGCGCTGCAGGTCTCTGGGACAGCGCGGACGTGGCGTCGCTGACGCAGCTCGAGAGCCTCAGCCTCACGAGCTGCGTGATCATGTGCGGCAAGCTCGCGCAGCTCGCGGGCGTCCCCACGCTGCGCGCACTCACCATCGCAGGCCCGCGCTCAATCGAGTGGGAGCCCGGGGCCCCGTCGTTCCTCGACGCGCTCGCGATGCTGGCACCCACGCTCCGCGTCCTGCACCTCGTCGGACTGTACGTGCCGCTGTGGTCGGCGGGCGGCGGCGCCGGGGCGCTCGGGAGCATCACGGGCCTGACGTCGCTGACGCTGCGGTCGTGCTCGCTGCGCGGGGACGCGGTCGTTGAGGCGACGGCGCGGATGTCGAGCCTCGAGTCGCTCGACCTGTCGTCCTGCAAGGACGTGCATCACACGACGCTGCTGGCGGGCCTGCCCCGCGGGCTGAAGCGCCTGCGACTCGCGGGGTGCCTCTGGTGCGACAACAACTTTGCGATGCTGCTGCGCGGAGCCAAACAGAAGTTCGAGGTCCTCGATCTCACGGCCACGCCCCTCACCGCCACAGGTAATTAATCACTCAATCAATCAATTAATCAATCGATTACATCAGTGACCAGCGCTGTACACGAACGCGACGATGCGTGCTGGGCAGCGCATGGGATGCTTGCGGTCCTACGATCAGCGCAACGAGCGTAACGGAGCATCCCGATCCGTCCTTGCGAGCTCGTGGCCCCTGTCGGAGCTGCCAGTCTGTCTCACTTGCGATTGCTGCTTTCCTCGCAGGGATTCAGCTGCTGGCGCCCATGGCCGCGCTGGAGGGCGGCACGCTCGTGTGTCTCGTCCTGCCGTCGACGTCGTTCGCCGAGGCGCAGTGGGGGGGTATTGCAGGGCTGTTCCCGAGACTCCCCGTGCTGACAGGGCGGTGGGCGACGGCCGAGCCGCTCGGCGGCTGGACGGAGCCGCCGCCGCCGGAGTACGGGGACTGGCTGCCGCGCGCGGGACTGTGGATATCTCGACGTCACAAAGCATCAGGCGCCTGACAACTCCCGATGTCTGCACCAGCACGCTCGAGCCGACATCTGTCGCGCAGACCCGCCGCCTAGAGCCCGCGGGCCTCGCGTACGCCTCGCCGGACGGCAGCCGCGCGTTGTAAACGAGTCTGACACGCGCCGCGGCGTCAGGCACCCGACGCAAGCCAGCTCGCCCAAGCCGCGGGCGCGCCGGCCGCTGGCGTCTCGCCGGCGTTGTCCGGGGCGCCGGCGTCGCCTCCGCAGTCCAGCAGCGCGCGCGTCACGCCCTCGTGCTCGCCCAGCACCGCGCAGTGCAGCGGGGTCTGCCCTTCGGCGTCCCGGGCATTGGCGTCAGCACCGCTGGCCAGCAGCGCACGCACGACGTCCTCCGCGCCGCTGTCCGCCGCGAGGTGCAGCGGAGTGTACCCCTCGACGTCCGCAGCGCTCGCCTGCGCGGCAGGGCACACGCAGGCGACAGGTCGGCCCGCGCAGGGTCAGTGTGAAGTCACGCGTGAGTGTCGACGCCCACGAGGCCTGGACGTCGCCGTCCTTGCCAGCCACGACGGCACAGCAGGCCTCGATCCTAGCGCGCGATTGCGAGCCACGCTGGGGGCTCGAACGGCGCCCGACGGGCCACAAGTCGCGAAGGCACGTGTGGTTGGGGGTTGGGTTGAGTTGAGGGCGGTTGCTCGCCTGTTGCGGGTCGCGCTGGAGTTCCCGCTGCACCGCAGCTAGGTCGCCGGTGCGCACGGCGTTGTGGAGCGGCGTCGACCCCTCCGGAGGCTCGTCGTCGTCGTCGTCGTCGTGAGCTATAAGACTACTAAATACGGGTCCGTAGGCCTTCTTCGGCTTCCCTGCGCGTGCCACGGCGCGACAGGACGCAGGGGTGGGCTAGGGGGGGCTGTAGAGCTCGGTTTGGACGGCGCGAGGAGTCGGACGTAGGGTTGGCACGCACCTTGAGCTTCCTCAATGTTGGCCTCCCAGTGCGGTTCTATGCTGGTGAGGGTCTCGACGTAGCCCAACATCGCCTCGTACTTCCCCATGTCGCCCAGCTTGCTCCACGCTTCCCTGCACGCCGCGCGCGCCAGACGGACGTGAGCGACGGCACGAAACACTGTGCTTCCTGACTGCTCGGCGCTCGTTCAGGACCCCCGGGGCGTGACACGGGATTCCTCTGATCGTTTCGCGACTGTGTAGGTATTTAAAAACTCCTGGAGCCGCGATTCGCTCGATGCTGCGCTCCTGGCGCTACCTGGGCCGCAAACAAGCTCGCGGGGAGCCTCACCACTTCGCCTTCCCCTTGAAGTCGAACATCCCTGGTTTCGGGGCCCCGCACTGTCCCTCCATCGCCTGCTTGTAGAAGCCGTACATCTCGAGCTTCTGAGCGTCAGGGACCCGCTCCACGATCGAGGGCAGGTAGTCTGCCGCGAGCTGGAACCTGTCCTCCAGGTCGTCCATCACGGCCGAATCCACCATGTCCGCGATGTCCGTCATCCTACCGTACACTGAGCACCTCGCTCAGCCCCGCTGCCGCCCGGCCTTAAGCGGCAAGCTGCTGAGAAACGAGCACTAGGCTACCGCTGATGCTCGACCCCTACGCTCCACGCTGCGATTCATAGGCGGTGCTGAGTGGCTCCGTGCCACGCCGTGGACGGCCATGGACGCGCGGGTGAGCGCCTCGAAGTCTCCGCGGGCGCAGGTCCGCCTGACGCGGGGGGGACTTGTTTGTTCGCCACGTCATGCCTATGACGTGGCAGTTCGTCGCCCCGCCGCATGTGCGACGCGACGCGGGGCCGCGCGCAGAACATCACAGGGACTGCGAAGCAATGATCGGGCTTCTTGCGTGGGGGCTCGGCGTCTGCGTAGCGCTGACGAGCGTTGCGTCTGATGCAGCTGGTGCCTCGGAGACCGGGCTGCGCGCGCCTGGGCCGGGAGCGCCGGCGGCTGTTTATCGAGCATCTCGCGGACTGTCTCAGCTGGGCGGCCTGGAGGTGAGGACGTCGGAGAGCGCATCGCTATTTGTTTCCCGACTCGAGATCAAAACGAACTCTCTTGGGGGGGCGCTGGGGCCGAACGGACGGAGCACGGGGCTGTTGAGGGAAACTTGACTTTCGTTGCCCATTTGCGCCGATCGATGAGCGACGCCGCGCTCGCTGTCCACCATTCACTTCAACACGAGATAAAACGACTCCCCGCCCGACTCGTGGCCTCCTTATTCGATCGACGCGCGCCCCCTTTACGCGATCCGCAGCGTCTCCGCTCATCGTTCCGGAGGAGGGAGGACAACGCGAAGCTGGACGCCGCGAAATCTGCCGCTCCAACCTACGTACGTGCCTGCGCGCACGTCTCGAGCTCGCACCGCAGCTGCAACGAACCAAAAGCCATAACATAAACGCCGCTGTCGATCCGCGCCCCTCGTCTGCAGGAAGACCTGGAGAACGCGTCTGGGCCTTGTTGGCAGTACACGTTCTGTTCCGACGCGATACAGGACACCGAGGCAGGAGCGGCGCGGCCGTCGACGTATCCCGTAGACGAAGCCCTCGCCGAGTGGTGGGCGAGCCCCGAGGCAGCCAGGCTGCGCGACGCGAAAACAGCCGTCGTGCGCGACACAAAAATCGAAAAGCAGCCCGGGGACGACGACGGCGACGCAGCTCTTGAGCCCGGCGCGGGACCCGGCGCGCCGGAGGACGAGGCGCCGCTCCTGGACGGCGTGGACGTCGCCGCGCGCCCACAATCGCCCGCGGACGCCCCGCCGGCAAGCGCACGCACACCGTAGATCAGGAGCGCATGGTGCGCATACAGGGGCGCGGGCCTCGACGTGCGCTTGCGGCGTGGACGCCTGGCCTCGCATCGCCGCTGATGAGCAGGAGCGCTGCGCAGGTAGCGCCCTGGCGTGTGAACCACATGCGCTGCTCTCGCACGACGTGCCGAAAGCGCAGCAGCCTGGAACGTTGTCGCGCTCACACGCGCGCTTCAGTGGCTACGTCGCGCCCCATGACGAGTATCGGTGTCGAGGCCGAGCCCCGCCGCCCGGGCCGCGTCACCAGCGGTACTGCGTGCCGTACGGCCGCTCCGCCTTGACGCCGTTCAACGTGACGACGATCTGCCGCGCCCCGCCGTAGTTCCTGTGCTCGTTGAGGTAGATGCCCTGCCACGTGCCGAGCGCGAGCGTGCCTGCAAGGAGGAGGGCACCCAACAGCCGGAGGTCTGGCCACACCCCCACGATCCCGAAGCCGCGGGCCGAAACGACGGCCCAACGTTGCCTCAGCACCGCGCAGCCACAACCAGCCGCGCTCGGGAACGTTTGTCGGGGGGGGGGGAGTCGAGCAAGCAGCATAAATATTGTCCCAAGCTCTTATAGAACGAGGCACGCACCCTTCCGGATGGGCACGTCGAGCGAGCAGCCCATGAGCGAGGACTTGACGTGCGCGGGCATGTCGTCGTAGCCCTCGTCGAGGTGGCGGTACATGTTGCCCTCTGGCGCGATGCGGTTCAGTGCATCCTCCATGTCCAGCGGCACGTCGGGCGAGGCGTTCTCGTTGATGGTCAGCGACGCGCTGGTGTGCAGGATCCAGAAGTTGGCCATTCCCATCTCGAGCTGCGCCAGCTCAGGGACCTCCTTCAAGATCTCGCGCGTGATGACGTGGCACCCGCGGCTGTAGGGCTGCAGCCTGATGGTCTTCTGGAACCACGCCGGGGCGGCCGCGGGGGCCGCTTCGTCCTGGTCGGCTGCGGAGCGCGCGTGCGCGGGGTGGAGCGTCGGCACAGTGGGGTGGGGCTTAACGCGCTTGTTTCGGGCGTGCCATGAAACGAGTCGGGTCGTAGCACGAGGAATGTCGGTGTGTGGGTGCGGTGCGCCCGAGATCGGCTTCCTGGGGCGTCGTGGTTCCACGAGAGACGGAACGGAAGCGTGAACAGTAAGGGGCGAGCGACGGGGGCCTAGCAGGCGTGAGCGGGCCGGAGGTGGAGGAGGCAGGTACGGAGAGATGCAAGCATCGCTGGGGGGGCGCTGCGTTGAGGCGTCCTGCGCGGCTTGGCTCTTGTTCGGGGTGGGGAGGGCGCAGGGAGGGAGGAGCTCACCGCGAGCGCGCACGCAGGTCGAAACCCCGGCAGTTCCGCGCTGCGACGTCGGTGAGAAGTGCGCGAGGTGCCGGGCCGCGGGACTCTGCGAAAGGACGCCCGGCGCCGCCGTGGCGCTCCTCCGTGCACCCGGTGCCGTACACAGCCTCACGGACGCGCAGGTAGACACCGTGGACGCCATCCTGTCGCAATGGAACGAGAAGCCGCTGCACAAACTTTCTGCCGGGAAGGCCGAAGGAGCGCAGCAATCCCTCGCACAGGTCCGTCCAGCTCGCCGAGCCTCGGTCCCCCCCGGGCGTTTTAGGGGCGCGTGGGCGCGCGGACAGCTCAGCGCGACACGCGAGCCCGCGCGCTGGCCACTCACAGCTCCTGCGCACGCCGCGAGGCCGCGCTGCATCCGCGAACCTTTGCCGCCCGCACAGAGCCAATAGGGTCATTGGGTACGCAAGACCCTGTGCCGCGGTTGCTACGCGCGGCGAGCTTGAGAGCCGAAGACTCCCGCGGCTTCCCCCGATCGCTGCCTCGTCCGCGCGCTTCCGTGGATGGTGGCTGCGTAGGTCTGGCGGCGTGGGAGGTTCCATGAGGAGTAGGACATTATGGCTCGGCCTGTGCCTGCTGCTCGCGCTGGTCCACGGCGGCGCGTTCGCGTCCGAGACGGCCAGGCACGATCCGTTCGCTCCGTCGCCTCCACGGCCAGTGCCGCAGCATGGCCACGGCGAAACGCCCTGCCCCGCGCGCCCAGCTCTGTTCCCCTGGTTCCCCGCGAGGGGTCGCGGGGGGCCTTGCGAGCCGATGCGGAACCGCTCAGTTGCTCATGAGAGTGCCTGGCTCGGCGCCCGGCCCCCTCCTCCGCCCGAGGCGCGCGTGCTGCCGTGGTGGGCAGCGCCTAGAGCGTCCACTGAAGCCGAATGGTGTCCTCTTGAGGCCTGTCCTGCGGTGGAGGCTGCTCCAGTTGCGACGGAGGAGACTCCGGCGGGCGCGGGAACGGGCGCCGGGCCCGTGAACGCGCTGTCTGCGCGGTGGGAAGAGCAGCGGCAGTCTGGGCGCGACCGCTGGGGGTGCGGGCTGCTGTCCGACGTCGGCGCGACATCGCTCGAATGGGAGAAACGCGTGGAAGCCGTCGAGCAGGAGAAAACGGAGCAAGCCGACGACGAGGTGCGCGTCGTTCGCCAGTCTTGCCGCACCTTCTTCGTTCGCACTGTACCTCTCCCGTCACCGCGACGGATTGCGCAAGTACACGTGCCCTGGTCGGCCCGCCTGCGACGCTCGCCGTGCTCCGAGCAGTACTTCGCGGGCGCGGAAGCGGCGTCCTTGTGTCGAGGACCTGAGTTGCAAGCACAAATAGGAACTGTCGACTGCCGTTCGCAGGACATCGAGCCGAAGCCGCGGCCGAAGAACATCCCCACCGTGGTGTCCCCGAACGCGTACAAGAAGCGGCTCGAGGAGGAGGCGGCGCGTCTCGCGGAGGCCCGGGGCAGGGAGAAGGAGCAGGCGGCAAAGCAACAGGGGGGGAGTCTCGCCGATCCTCCGGGCTCGCAGGACGACAACAGCCCCCGCGCTCCGGGCACCGAGGGCGCGGGCGGGGACGCTGGCGACGGCAAGGGCGCTGGCGCCGCCGGAGGGCCGTCAAGCACCAAGGGTGTTGTCGGGGACGGTGCGGGGGACGCGGGGGCGGGGAGGCCGACGGAGGCGTCCAGGGGCGCGGCGGAGGGCGGCGCGGAAGGGCAGGCGCGCGCAGGCGGGGCGGTGGACGCGGGCGGGGCGGAGGGGTCGGGCACGCGCCCGGCCGACGAAGGGGCGGGCGGGCCAAGAGCGTCCGACCAGAGGGGGGGTGTCTCCGAGGGCGCGGTGGCGCCCACGGCGGACGTGGACCTCCGGGAGCGCATCAATTACGCGTCGAAGAGCAACGGCGCGAAGGTGCTGGCGTACAACCCTGAAGTGAAGAATGCGGGTTCGCTGTTGTCGGAAGACAGCAATTCCTATCTCCTGAGCCCCTGCTCGGCTCCCGAGCGGTGGGTCATGGTCGAGCTGACGCAGGAGGTGTCGCTCGACACGATCGTCCTCGAAGACCACGAGATGCACTCGAGTCGAGTGAAGGACTTTGAAGTCTACGGACGGCAGTCGCGGCCCACGGTGCGGCAGAGCCGCGGGCCGCTGCCGGACCTCTCGGGGTGGGTCCTGCTCGGGCAGTTCCGCGCGAAGAACATGCACTCGCGCCCGCAGAACTTCGCGGTGTCGGGCCACGCGTGGGTCAAGTTTCTACTCGTGCGCTTTTTGAATCACTACGGCAACGAAGTCAACTGCTGCCTGTCGTCGCTCAAGGTGCGCGGACGGCCCTCGCTCTCGTGCGCGCGCTATCTTAGGTCTGCGGCCAAAGAGCGACTGCGATTCATGGCTTCCACGCTGCCTTTTTCGATCGGTCTTTCTCGATGTATTTTCACCCCTTCCGCGCCCCCCTCGTGGCGCCGCGCAGGCGTACGGCGTCGGAGAGTACGAGAACCTGCAGCAGGAGCTCGACCTCGCTGAGCGCGAGATGGAGGATCTCCGATCTGCCTTCTCTGGGGAGCGGAAAGAAGAGACCCCCAAAACCCCGGAGGCGCCAGCACAGCAACCGCCCGAGCCCGTCACCGCGCCCCACGTGCGCTCGGAGTCCACGCCGCCCGTGCCGCCGCCGGCAGATACCGTCCCGATCGACCCGAACGCCGCAGCGACAGACGCGCAACTGTTAGGCGCAGCCGGCGACGCGCCAAGCGCCGCCGACGGCGACCAAACCCCCTCTGCCCCGAGCGAGGGCCAGCAGCGGCGCGAGGGCGCGCCGGACGGCGATGGAAAGAGCGGGACGCAGCAGGTGGGGGCCGAGCGGGTGGATGTGAAGGCGGCGGAGGGTACTTCGCGCCAGACGGGCACGGACGGGGGCGATGGCGCTGACGGCGGCCGGGGAGGCGAGGAGTATACGCGGCCTGCCGACCCGGCGGTGTCGGAGGGGGCGGACGTCGCAGCTGAGAAGTCGAGGGGGGGCGACGGTGCGTCTGCGCGCGCGCAAGGCGTGCCGGACGGTGGGCGCGCGGACGAGGACGCCGACGACGCTGGAAAGCAGAGCGCGGCGCAGCCGGAGGCGGCGAAGCGGCAGGAGGGAGCGGAGGAGGCGGCTGCGCCGCCGCCGCGGCAGGGCAACGCCACACGCGTCACAGGAAGTGCGCCGGGCGACGCTGGCGCCGCGGCGCGCGGGAACGCGACTGCGGACGCGGCGGCGGAGCAGGGCGCGGTGCAGGCGTCGGAGAGGAACCGCACGGCCGCGGACGGGGCGATGACGGGCGGGGGGGCGCGGGCGGACGAGGTGGCGCGCGCTGCGAGCGCCGCGGCGCGGACCGCGGGCGACGCGGCGAAGGGCAAGGCGGAGAACCGCACGGAGGCCGCGGCGGGGTCCGCGACGGCCGGGTCGGCGCAGCTGGGGTCCCCGGGGGGGGCGCCCACGTCGGAGAACGTCTACATCAAGCTCGTGAAGAAAGTCAAGGATTTGGAGCGCTCGCAGCTCGTGTTTGAGCGGCTGATCGTCGAGCTGACGGCCAACTACACGGAGCTCTTCCAGGTGCGCGGGAACGGCGCTGACGCGGCGGGCGGGGCGTGGTTGGATGCGCTCAGGAGTGCGAGCAATAATTGTTGCGGCTCTGGCTGATTTCGGTCGCTTTCGGCGTGTTGTCCGAGTCGCAGGATCTGTACTCGGACCTGGAGGGCAACGTGGAGGCGATGCGGAAGCTGCAGCGCAAGGCCAACGGGATCTCGGAGGCCGTGAACGTCACGCGGAGGAAGGCCGAGGCTGACGTGGCACTCCTGACTCAGGAACTCGCGCAGATCCGCTCGATGCTCGTCGCGCAGCAGGCCAGGTGCGCGGCCAGCTGCCCGTCGCCTTCACGCGCACCGACGCCTCGGAATCGCTTGCGAAACCCACTCGAGCTTTTCCGCCTTATATTGCATCGCATGTCCTTCGTGCGCTGCAGCTCGCGGGTGAGCACAGTTGTCGCGATCCTCCTCGCCTTCGCGTGCGTCGCGCTCGCGTGGCCGCGCCTGCGGAAGCGAAGTGCCCCGGGGGACTCTCGTTTCGCCCCACACGATGTCAGCAACGGCGGGGCCGCCGCCGACGCGCCCGGCATCGTCGGAGACAACGTGCCGTCTCCCAAGTCGCCCCGGAGCCCCCGGAAACTCGTCCCGGCGCTGCTCATCGGCGCGGCCGGGCTGTCTGTCAGCGCGGCCGTGTTTGAGACAGCGACCGTGCGGGCGGCGTGGCACGCGCTCGCCGGGTTCCCCGCTGTTCCTGGACCGTGAATGCAGGCAAATCCATCTCGTTCAGCACCTCGCCGCCGCTGCCCCGCGGCAGCTTGACATGCGCCCTTGCGACTACCTACCTGACTCAAGTGTATTAATATACCCTGCGCCAAACACCCCTCACGTCGCTCCCGTCGCCCTCCCGCACATTGCGACACCCGGGCCTCTTCCAGCCTATCGTGCTCGCTCAGCGTCGTCCCTCCAGCCCCCCGTGCATTTCCAGACGCACTGGGCAGCCTGCGCTGTCAGACTGGCACGGGCAAGATTCCTCCCGAACCCGCTTGCTCCTACCTCCCCGCTATCGCTGCCGGCTCTGAACATCACTCGCCAGTCGTGTAAGCCGCATGCGACGCGTAACACGACATCACCGCCGCGAACAGAAATCGCGCCCCCGCCGGTGAAGCTGCGCAAACCACAAAGCTGTGTCGACATAAGCAGTGCCCGCAAGGCTGCCGTCGCCGTGCCGGGCCGCGCCTGCCGCCTCCGGGACTCTATCCTCGCAGCTGCACTGCGTGCGTTCTGGGTGCCCTTCAGTCATGTCACATTGGTTATTGTGACCTCCGGGATGACACGTTTGTCAGACTGAAAGTTCATTACATCCCCACGCGGGCGCAGCGCACGGCCTCACGACAGGTCGAGCAGGTCCCCGACCGGATCGACGGGCTTCTTCTCCTCCTCGCGCTCCTGCTGCTGCGCGGGCCCCGGCTGCGGCGTCGACACCTCCGCGGGGGTGTTTGGCACCGCGCCCAGGTCCAGCAGACCCCCCTCGTCCTGCGGCTGAGCCGGAGCGTCCTTCCACGCCCCGGGCTGCGGCGATCCGCCCTTGCGCAGCTCCTCGAACTCGCTCTGTACGTTCTGGAGCGCATCCAGGGCCTCCAAGCCGCCTGCGGGAGCGACAGGAGAGAACGGGCCGGATTCGCATCGATACACGTGTGACTGAGAGGCACGGGGTGGGGGGTACACGATGTTCGCGCGGGAGCCGGCGCTGTGGCGCGGGGACGCTAGCGACGGGTGGTTGACGGAGGATCGCGCTGTGACGCCGCGCCGGGGCGCTCGCGGCGATGCGGAGCCGCGGGATCGTGAGGTGGCACGTGCGGCGGGGTGGCGGTGCGATTCATGGGGGCGCGCGGCGCGCGGTGGGGCGCCCGTGCCTGCGAGCGCGCTCTCGTCGTCCTCCACGAAGTCCGAGATGACGCCGCGCAACCTCGCCTCGACGTCCTTGCACTGCAGAATGAGCTGGTTCGCCGTAGCGAGCACGTCTGCAGCGCGAAAACCGGCACGCCGGACCGTGAGCGCGCCCCTCCTCCTCCTGTTAGGTGCGAGGTGACCCTCGAGCGTCCGCGCAGGGCGCTCCCCGCGCCCCCGCGCGGCCTGCGCGGCCCGCACAGGTACCTCAAAGCACGAGACGAGCGTTCGCACCTTCCGTGAGGTTGCTGAGCTTGCCGTCGGCGCCCGACACGATGTCCCAGAGCAGCTCCGCGGCGTCCATTCCAAGCTTCCGCAGCTCCCGGGCCTCCTCGGCCTGAGAGGGCATCTGCTGTCCGACGTCGAGCTGCGCGTCCCTGAGGTCGTTCGCGACGGCGCGGCCGTACGGGTCGCGCGCGCGCGGCGCGGCGGTGCGCGTGGGCGTGGCTTCGTAGCTCACTGCGTCCGTGTTGTCCTGCGCGTCGCTGGAGGTCATCAGCGGCTCGTCGATCGTGGAGACCTGGGCGTACTGCGGCTTCGGAGAGAAAAACTCCTTGAAGCGCGCGGACAGCGCGTCCATGCGGTCCTTGAGACTGTACTGGGCAGACATCGTGGCGAGCTCCTGGCGGGGGAAACGGCGCGGAAGGCGACGAAGCGGGCCCTTCGTGCGCGTCCGAAGCGACTGACCGCGGTGTGCGCTGCGTCCGCGCCGCGAACGGGCCCATGACGGCCGGCGGGGAGGGGGGTCACCCCGGGTGGACCCCGCGCGGCTGTTGACCCAGCGCGCGAGGCCGCGGGCTCCGAACGGCGACGGATCGCGCAGCCAGCGACGAGCAATGCCCGATCCAGTGCGGTGGAGGCGCGACAGAGAAACGGCAGGGAAACCTCGGCCCCTGGAGACGCGGACCGTCCCTAGCAGCTGGCGTGGACACAACAAGTTGGTTGGTTGCGCCCTACTGCCGGCGCGCAGCCGCCAGACCGCGGCGCAGCCGTGCAGGACGGGCTGGGCTCGGCGTCCAGGGACAGCGCGCGGCGCGTGCGACCCAGCTGCGCCAAGACGCAACTGCACTGCGCCGCTGCCACACGGCATCTTCGCGCACCCACGATCGCTTTCTCGCGGCCACGTCGCTCACACTCCCGCGGACAGCGCTAGCTGCGGCCCTGCGAGCGCGAGCTGCGCGCGGAGCGCGAAGCTGCGTTACCCGTCCTGTGGTCCATCGTCGGGCCCCTCGTCGGCCCCGCCGAGGCCCGCCCGCTGCGCCATGGCCCCGGACGCGCGGAAGATGTTGTCGAACTGCGCGGCGAGGTACTTCTCGATCGGCTCCTCGGTCCGCGCCGCGGAATACATTTCCCTGATCGTCGCAAACATGAACCGCGGGAACTCCGAATGCGTCAGCGCGACCGGGGTGTGCTTCAGCGTCACCTGCAGGCACCAGAGCGGGCTACCGGTCGGCGCTGGAGCTGCGGCGGGGCCGTGCACCGTACGCAAGCTGCGGCCTGCGTGCGCGTCGCAGCTAGCTGGCAGGGGGCGCAGCTAAGGGTTTGCGCACCTTGGTGGGGTCCGCGGCGACGTCGTCGACCTCGCGGGTGGCCGCGAAGGCCCAGCACGCGGGCAGGACGGACTGCGGGATCTGTTGCATGACCCCCCACCGCTGCATGTGTTGTACGAGGTACTTGACGTCGACCTGGCTGCCGGTCAGACGGGACTTCTTCGTGCGCTTGAAGACCACGCTGTCGAGCGTCGCGCGCAGCAGGTCCGACGCGCGGTCCAGCAGCGCCTCCACCGCTGGCGTCAGTGCCGCGCGGAACCCCGCGAGCGATTCCTGGATCTTCGGGACGACGAAGTCGATCACGTTGTGCTTGATGAGCTGCTCCACCTTCATCTGGAGCGGCGCGGCCTGGAGGAAGCCCTCTTCGCGCGAGAACTTGTCCGCCGCGAGCAGGACTATGAGCAGGAGGAAGTCGGCCAGGTCGCACTCCGAGGGCGGGCCGCGGCCGCGGGCCTCCTGCGCGCGAGGGGAGCACCCGAGGACCTGCTGGAAGACGGAGTCGGCCTGCTGCGGGTTGAACGCGTCGGAGATGAGCTTCGCGCCCTTGCAGAAGCCTCGGAAGTTGGTGGGGTTGATGAAGTCGCAGTGGATGGCCTTCTCGTTCGACTCCCCCGACGACGTGTAGAACACGAAGACGAGCTGGAGGATCCCCGCGTACCTGCGCCCCGGGAACTCGACACGCTTTTAGAGCCCTTTGAGCCGTGCAGCGCAGTGAAGGGTGCCTGGGTTGCAGTGCGGGCGGCAGGCGACGGGCGCGACCGGGCGGGCGACAGGCGCGTGTTTCGGGGGCGTGGCGCGCACTTCTTCAGCACGTCGTGCGCCAGCTTGATTTGCATACGCAGCGGCTGGATGTCCTCGGTGAGCGCCTGGTTCTGAATCCCGACGGCCTGGTCGAGGTTCGGGAGCCGCGAGATGTCGAGCGCCTCGAGCCACGCGTCGATCCCGCCGTCCACCGGCGCCCCTTCGCCCCACTGCAGCGAACGCCCCGGACACAAACGCAGCGGTCTCGCGCGCGCGCACAGGAGGCCGCGCAGGCCCCCTCCGCTGCGCGACGGGCTCCTCCACGGACGACGTCGCGTCTCGGCCGCGGAAAGCCGCGAGCGGGCGTCGCAGCGGGCTCCCGCGCCGCGACGCATGCGTACGGGACCCTGTGCAGCGCCGGTTCTCCCGCGCGAACGCGCAAGCCGCCCGAATAAAGCACGCGGCGCGGAGATACGTCGCTGTTGAAGCGGTGAGTGGCGAGAGATTGCGCACCGTGAAGCGCGGGGACACTGGGCGGCCCTCCCACTTGACAGTGAACTGCCTCGGTCCGCTCGAGTACTCCACGAAGACCTCGTCCCCGTCCTCGAGCACCTCGTTCACGATGACCTCGACGTCCAGCACGTTGTGGTGCGAATCAAGCACCGATTGCGGCACGAACGCCTGCACAAGCTCGCCCTTTGCCTCCGCCAGCCTGCAGCACGCCGTCACGCCGATCCACCGGATAATCTGCTCCCCGGACCCGCAGTACACGTCCACCGACGCCGTAATATCGCTCATGGGCCGGCCCCGCTCCAGCAGATGCGCTCTGAGCTTCATGGCCGCAACCTTTGTCACGGGCCCCTGCTACCGCCTTTACCCCTCTCTCAGCCCGCGCGCGCGCCCGCGACTCCTCCGCCAGCGGAGCTCACTTCAAGGCTACCGAGCTCCCAGCTTGCGGGACGGAGCGCGTGACGCGAGGTCGTCGGCAAGCGGCGGCAAACAACAGCTGCAGCGGACGTGCTGTTCAGGTGCCCGTGCGTTTCGAGATGGAGCTGAGTTCGGCCCGTCGGTCGCGAGGCGGTCTGCGCGGCGCGCGGGCGGAGCGCGAGCATTGACTTGCGCGGGGCGGTGCGCGCGGAGGCGCCCGACGGGGGTCCATGTGCTGATGGGCGCGCGCAGGCAGACTGACGTGGCAAGACGTCAGGGCGCTGCACGTCCCCGCGCCGCGCGTTCTCCTGTCTCAAGGCTGCTCAGCCGTCGTGCGCTGAGAGTAGAAACGTCGTCACCTGGTCGCTGTAGCGGGGACACTATGGAGCTGCAGTGCCCGCCTGACGCGTTGCGCTCCGCAGCCCCGGGGCCGTTCGGCAGCGCACGCGATGCACACGGTGCGTCCACGTGTAGCAGCAGCCGCGCGGGGCTGCGTGGGTGCGCGGCGGCTTCGTCGGCGGAGGGCGACCCACCGGCGCGCAACGGCGTCGTGTGGGAGCTCGCCGTGTCGGGGTCAGCGGTCGGCATCGCCACGACGTGCACGACCCCGATCGACGTGGTCAAGACGCACATGCAGCTGCGGCCCGCGTACCAGCCCGGGTCCGGACAGCCGCGTCCGCCAGGTGCGCCGCGCGCCCCTCAACGGCGCCGCTCGAGGCCGTGCCACTTTGATTCTCGGCGCCGCAACACGCCTTCGAGATCCTCATCGAACGACATCGCCTCCGCAGGGATACTCGGCACCGCCGCCGCGCTGGTGCGGTCGGACGGCCCCGCGGCGCTGACGTACGGCCTCACACCGGCCCTCCTGCGCGCCGTCACGTACGGCGGCGTGCGGCTCGGCCTGTACAAGCCCCTCAAGGAACTCATGGTCCCTGCGGCCGGCCCCGGGCCCACGGACCACGATCCGTCGAAAACGTCCACCGGCGACGTCCCCGTCGCCGGCAAACTCGCAGCGGCGACCCTCAGCGGCGCCCTGGCGGGCGGCGCCTCGAGCCCGATGGATCTCGTGAAAGTGCGCATGCAGGCCGGCGGCGCGCGCGAGGGCGTCGCGGGCGTCCTGCGGACCCTCGTGCAAGCTGACGGCGTGGGGGGACTCTGGAAGGGGTCCGGGCCGTCGATGGCGCGCGCCGCAATCCTCACCGCGTCCCAGCTCGTCACGTACGAGGAGGTGAAGCGCGGCGTGCGGTCCGCGACGGGCTGGCAGGAGGGGTTTGGCGTCCAGGTGGCGGCGAGCATGGCGACGGGGCTGGTAACGACGACGGCGACGGCGCCGGTGGACGTGGTGAAGACGCGGATGTTCGTCGGCGGGCGCCGCGGCGCGGGGCCGCTGGAGTCGGCGCTGGGGATCCTACGGGCGGAGGGCCCGCGGGGGCTGCTGCGGGGCTGGGCGGCGAGCTACGTCAGGCTCGGGCCGCAGACCGCGATCACGTTCCTGGCCGCAGAGCAGCTGCGGCGCCTCGCCGGCATGGAACACATCTGAGGGCGCAGAGTAGAAGCAGTTGAACAAACAGTGATGGTGTCAGCATTGTATACAACTCAAAGTATTAATTGAACAAACAGTGATGGTGTCCTGTCAGCGCATTGAATACCACTCGAACGCTGCGCGAACGTCGCACAGAAGCCGCACCCCCGTTTGGTGTCGAACGAGGGCTCCCGCGGCTCGAACCGCCTGTGAGTGCTGTGCGACCTACATTCATCCTCACCGCGAGGATGCTTGCGCCTCCGACGTAGTGTTTTTTATTTCGCGTTTGTGCGTGCACAGCTGCAAGAAACGAACGCTTGGCTCACAGGCCCGCAGGGGCGGAGAGTGCGCTAGCACAACCCCACGTGCGTGCGTGACGTCACGCGAATCGCAGACCGGGCTCATCCGGTCCCCGAGGCGCGCCCGCACCAGTCCTGCGTACAGAGCTCAGTCCTCGCGCCAGTACTGGTTCGCCGGTGGCCCGCGGCCCTCCCGCGCCGCGCTCGCGTCGTCGTCAGTCTCGCCGTAGACATCCCCCTTCCACTGCCGCCGCCGCCGCTCCTGCGCCCGGCTCGTCCAGTACTCGTCGTCGTCCTCGAGCGTCGCCGCGTCCACCCCCATCGGCGCCCCGGGGTCATAGTAAAAGTCCCCCCCGCCATCAGGCGCCAGCAGCGTGCTCCCCAGGGACCGACCCTTCCCCGGACCCCCCCCCTCCTCCGCCTCCTCGTCCTCCGTCTCCCACGCCGCGCCCAGCATCTGCACCCACGTCTGCCCCATCCCGCTCTCATCGTCAGACAGCAGCGCGTCTTCGGGGACACCCCCCCCGGGCTCCCGCAGGTCCGAGTCGCCGAGCTCGATGCCCGCCTGGTTCGCCCGCCAGATCGCGTCCTCGAGCTCCTGGCTGCTCTGCGCCGCAGCGCGTGCCGCGTCCTTTGCGCGCTCCAACGCCAACACCACCTCCTGTTCCGCCGTCAGCCGCCGCCGCGCCCGCAGCGCGTCCTGCGCGTTGTCGAGCACGCCCTGGATCGTCCCCGTGAACGCCTGCGCCATGCGCTCGAAGTCGTCCTGGTTGATCGGGTCCGACTCTTCGGGTTCCGACGCGGCGGCGCCGTCAGCGTCCGCGGCGACCTCGGCGTCGATGACGGCGCCGTCGGGAGGCGATGCGGCGTCAGAGACGACGAGGGCGGACTCTTCCGTGGCCGCGGGGGCCTCGGCGGGTTGGGCGGCGGGCGCGGTGGCGGCAGCTGCCGCGACGTCGACGACGTCGGGTGTGGCCGCGGGCGCGGCGGGGCCGACGTCGGTGATGACGAGCTGCGCGTCGCGGGACGCGAGGGTCAGGCCGGGGGGAGTCGTCGCGGGCCTGACGTCAGCAGGGAGGGGGGTGTCTTCATCCTCGTCCATCGACTGACGCAGGCGCCACGACGCAATCCAGCGCTTCGCCGTCGGGCGCCCGGTCTCCTCCCGCGCGATCACCTCGTTCACTTGCCTGCGCGAGACAGCGAGGCCAGCACCGGCGCAATCGTATATATATATAATCATTATATATAATCATTTCTACTTGTCCTGGCAGTCGCAGCCTCAGGTCTGGCGCGCAATTCCCGCCAAGCCACCAGGCATCAACGTCCTGTAGCGCGCGCGGCTCGCCGTCGCGGCGCAGGCGTTTTCGGAGAGCGGGGGGGGTCTATTGACTCACCCGGCGGTGCGAATGATCTGCTGACTCCACACCCCCGCGGACCCTGTCAGGCGCTGCGCGAGGGCCATCGCGTCGGAGAGCGCGCCGGCGCTCATCGCCCCGACGCCCATCGTGAGGCTCCCGAGCTGCGCCGCGGTCGTCTGCAGGTCCCGCACGACGCGCGCCGTCAGACCAGGACCAGACCCCCCCTCCTTCTCCCGCGACGGCCGCGCCGGCTCCCCGTCCATCGACCCCGTCAGCTCCGACCCCGACCTCTCCTCCTCCTCCCCGCCGCTGTCCAGGTCCACCGTCCGCACCAGCACGCTCTCGTCCGCGCGCCCGGCAGCGACATCCGCTGCAGCCATCACGGCCGCCGCCCGGCTCGCGTCGCGCCGCATCCGCTGCTGCCGCACAATGCTCCGCGTCGACCGCGACCGCCTCGACGAGCTCGGCGACGACGAGCGGCTCGCAGATGCTTCCGCGCGACTTGCGCCGTCCCGGGAGGCAGTCGCCGCGGTGGTCGCGGTGGCCTTCGAGCCGTTGCGGCTGGGCGAGGACGAGCCGCGGGAGTCCGCGGCGGACCGCCGGCGCGACGGCGCGGAGCTCCGGCGCCCAACGATCGAGTTGAGGGAGTGACCGAGATCCTCGAATTCAAGACTGGCGAGCTCGACTTGCTCAAGAGTGACCGAGAGGTCCTCCTCGAGCATCAAAGACGCCCGCTCGACCTCCCGAGTGGCCCTGCGGGACGACACCGACGGCGCAGAGACGCGGTGAGATGTCGCCGAATCAATTAGGTATTCGGTATGCTTCGTGACGCCTGCCAATCGATTAATCAAGCAACCAGCGGACCGGGCCGAGCTGCGGCGACGCGCGGCGTCCAGCGGCCCGGCGCGCCTGTCCCGGGCGCGAAAATCAAGCGGCAGCATGTGTCGGGGGGCGTTTCGGATATTCCCGCGGCCTACCGCCCGCGGTTGGGCGCATCCTAGTGCCACCGTGGCGCTCTCTCTCACCTGTCCGTGCTCCGCATGGCGACCTCCATCTCCTTCAGGGCCTTCTCCATTTGCAAGAGAACGGGCCTCATGTACAGGAGGACCGCAGTGACGCTGCTGCCCACGACGAAGGTCGACGCGGCGAACAGGACTGCCAAAGTCGTCGCTGGGCTGAGGCCCCTCTGCGCCGGCGCCGGCTCCTGCTGCCGGAACCGCGCGGCGTCGTCGACGTGGGCGTACATGGCTACCGGCTGGGCCCGCGGCGCCTGCTCTCCGCGCCTCATCCCGTCGGGAAAAGCGCCGCCCTGTGTGCGCGGATCGTCACCCTGGATCCTCTCCGAGGGCTCGCCGAGGCCACGCGACGCCCTCCACCTGGCTTCGTCGTGCCAGAAACGATCATCCACGGCCCCCGAGTACGAAGCGTGGTCCACGGCACCGCCGCTGCGGCCCCGCAGAGCCGCAACTGCACTGGAGCTCCGCAGCTTGCGGCGTTCCCGCGCGGCGCGGCGCTTCGCGCCGCGGCTCGCCACGCTAGCCCGCGCTCCTGTGCTCACTGAGTCCATCTCCGACCCTAACCTCGGCGAGGAATGCAGCCCCTGCCGGGCTCAACGCCGTGCAGACAAGCTCTCCAGCTCACCGCTTGCCAGGCGCGGCCCCGAACGTCAAACGCAGGATCCGTTACGTCCGCGTGCTCCGCAATGGTCTTGCGCCACCGGGCACAGCCCCGACGACGCGCCAAGCCCTCCTGCGAGTCTGACTGACCGTAACCTCCCACTGCGACACTCCTCCAACTGAGTCAACGCCGCACTGCAGCCGCATCGACAGGCCAGGCACGGTCCGGCCGGTCCCTCCGCCCCTCATGCAGCCACACGCGGGGTCTGAGCTGCGTGCGACTGGTGGGGGGGGGGTCCTAGTTCCCTGTCTTCGTGTGACTTCCCCGCATCATCAGGCAGCCACGGTGCGGCCGCGCCCTGGGGCCCCAGGCCTGGAAGCGAGCTCTGGGCCGCTCGCAACCGCGACGCCGTCATCCCATGGAGCGGGACTGCAGTGACTCACCACAACATGATGTTGTGTCTATTTCTTCCATCAAACGCGACAGCCGAAAGAACGCGACGAAGGCTCCGAGTCCGCCGTGGCCGCGCCGACCGCAGCATGCCGCAGCGTGCAAGGGTGGCAGGCGAGCGTCAGAGCCCAGGCGTCGGCCGACCCGTGGCACGTCTACACACGGACACGCAGCTCACACAGCGGCGCGCAGGAACGGGCCACCGTGACGGAACAAGAGGCGGCCGTGCCGCGCCGTTACCGATGGAGCATGAACATGCGAGGGAGCGAAGTGGGTGATGTGCACGTGCCGATGCGCAGCGTTCATACATTTGAGCTCTCAAACGACGACGTGTTCCCCGCGACCCCACACAGAGTACTAATTGACCACCCGCGCACGAAACGAAATGCGGACGTGCTATCCACACGCCCCGGCACCACGCAAAAGAAGCAACGGGCTTCCACTAGTGCCTGCAAACGCACGGCGCAGCACTCGCAGCTCCGCAGCCCAACCGCCGCAGCGACACAGCGCAGCGTAAAACGCCTGCACATGCAGCAAGGCATCACAGCTTCAGGCTCCACGCGCGGCGGCCCGAGCAGCTGCGCGGCACCGCGACGCAGGCACTTATGCCTACGCCCCGGCCCGCGCGTCAACGCCGCCCGCGCCCCCGCGCCCTCGCCCACCAGCCCCACCTCTTTTACTAGCGCAGCACACTGCTCTCTCCATCTATCAAGACCCTTCGCCCACACCTACTCCCCCGAACACCCCGGCGCGCCCACGCACCGCGTCTCCCCGAGGCGGGGCGGACGCGCGCGGCGCGCCCGGGCCGCCAGGGCGCCGCCGCCCCCTCGCGTCAGCTTAAGAGATGCCCGCGGGCGACGAGTCGAGCTTCTGGACGAACTTCTTGTCGCCGGAGAGCACGGCAATGGCGCCGTCGGCGTCCACGTCCAGGATGACGTTGTCTCCCTCCTGGATGTCGCCCGTCAGGATGCGCTCGGACAGCGAGTCCTCGACCAGCCGCACGATGGCGCGGCGGAGCGGGCGCGCGCCGTACGACGGGTTGAAGCCCTCGTCCACCAGCCGGTCCTTGAACCGCTCCGTGACGTCGAGCTTGATGCCGCGCAGGTCGGCCCGGCGGATCACGTCCTTGAGCATGATGTCCGCGATCTGCTTGACCTCCGTCTTGGTGAGCTGGCGGAAGACGATGATGTCGTCCAGGCGGTTGAGGAACTCGGGGCGGAAGTACTGCTTGAGCTCCTCGTTGACGAGCGACTTGATGCGGTTGTACGACGAGTCCTCCTCGGACTCGCCCCCGATCTGGAAGCCCAGGCCGCCGCCGCCCTTCTCGATGACCTGCGACCCGACGTTGGACGTGAGGATAACGACGACGTTCTTGAAGTCCACGGTCCGGCCCTTGGAGTCCGTCAGGCGGCCGTCCTCGAGGATCTGGAGCATCATATTGAACACGTCCGGGTGCGCCTTCTCGATCTCGTCGAACAGCACGATGGTGTAGGGCCGGCGGCGCACGGCCTCCGTCAGCTGCCCGCCCTCCTGGTACCCGACGTAGCCCGGCGGCGAGCCGATCAGCTTCGACACGGTGTGGCGCTCCATGAACTCCGACATGTCGAGGCGGGTCATCGCCTCCTCGCTGCCGAAGTAGTACGCCGCCAGCGTCTTGGCGAGCTCACTCTTGCCCACGCCCGTCGGCCCGGCGAAGATGAACGACGCGATCGGGCGGTTCGGGTTCTTCAGGCCCACGCGCGCGCGGCGGATCGCGCGCGAGATGCCCACAATCGCCTCCTCCTGCCCGATGACGCGCTGGTGCAGCGTCTCCTCCATCTTGACGAGGCGCTCGCTCTCGTCCGACGACACCTTCTCGATCGGGATGCCCGTCCACTGCGCGACGATGCCCGCGATGTCCGCCTCCGACACCACGGGCCCGCCCGCCTCCCCGGCCTCGGCCTCCGCCTTGGCCTGCTCCTTCGCGCCCGACACGATCGCCTGGATCTGCGTGCGCAGCTCCGACTCGCGGTCCCGCAGCTGCCCGGCCTTCTCGAAGTCCTGCCCGCGCACCGCGGCGTCCTTCTCCTTGCTCAGCGCGCGCAGCTCGCGGTCCAGCTCGCGCGCCTCCTCGGGCAGCGCGGCGTGCGTCAGCCGCACGCGCGACCCGGCCTCGTCGATCAAATCGATCGCCTTGTCCGGGAGGTAGCGGTCGGAGATGTACTGGTGCGCGTACTTGACCGCCGACTCGATCGCCTCCTCCGTGTAGGTCAGCTTGTGGTGCTGCTCGTAGCGCTCCTGCAGGCCCTTGAGGATCAGGATCGCCTCGTCGACCGTCGGCTCCGGCACCTGCACCGGCTGGAAGCGGCGCTCCAGTGCAGGGTCCTTCTCGATGTGCTTGCGGTACTCGTCAATCGTGGTGGCCCCGATGCACTGGAGCTCGCCGCGCGCCAGCGCGGGCTTGAGGATGTTGGCCGCGTCGATCGCGCCCTCCGCCGCGCCGGCCCCGATGAGCGTGTGGATCTCGTCGATCATGAGGATGATGTCGGTGTTCGCTTTGATCTCCTCCATGAGCTTCTTCAGCCGCTCCTCGAACTCGCCGCGGTACTTCGTGCCCGCGACGAGCAGGCCCATGTCGAGGCTCACGATGCGCTTCCCCTCGATCGTCTCGGGCACGTCGTTGTTGATGATCTTCTGCGCCAGGCCCTCGGTGACGGCCGTCTTGCCCACGCCGGGCTCGCCGATGAGGCACGGGTTGTTCTTCGTGCGGCGGCCCAGGATCTGGATCACGCGCTGCATCTCCTTCTGCCGCCCCACGACCGGGTCGAGCTTGCCCTCCTCGGCCTGCTTCGTCAGGTCGGTGCCGTACTCCTCCAGCGTGGGAGTCTTGTTCGAGCCGCCCTGCGACGCCCCCACGCCGGCGCCGACCGCCTCCTGGGACTCGCCGACCATGCGGATGACCTGCGCGGCGGGCGGGGGGGCGCGCGTGAGCGGGCGAGCGGCGGGGCGCGTTGTTTGTGGGTGGCGGGGTGTGCGTGTGGGAGGGTGCGTGGCGGAGGGGGCGCGGGGGCGGGGGCGAGGCGTGGCGCGGTGGCGCGGGCGGGTTGCGCGGCGCGGAGGCGCGGGGCGGCGCGGGGGCGTGACGGCGCGGGTCGCGCGCGCCGCGGCGAGGGGGCGGGCTGACTGGCTCGGGGTCGCAGGCGGTGGATGGGGGCGCGCGGGGGGCGCGGGCGGGGGCGGCACGGCGGGAACGAATCGACGAGACGCGTGGGCTTTGGCCGCGTGGAGCGTCGGCGCGGGCCGGCGCGGCGGCACCCGGCGGGCTCGGCCCGGGGGGGCGACGCAAGCACCCTGCTCTGTGCCCCACCCACTGTGGGAGGCCCGGCACGGCCGCACGCGGGCTCGAGCGGGCGGCATTTTGCGCCTGCGCGCAGCTCAGGCCGTGAGCTGCGCAGGGGAGGCGTCGGGGGCGGGGGATCTGGGTCACGCACCGCCTGGCGAACCTTCTTCTTGTCAACGCCAAGGAGCTCCATGACACGGGACGCGACGCCCTCCTCCTCCTTGAGGAGCCCGAGGAGGATGTGCTCCGTGCCGATGTAGTTGTGGCCTGCGCGGCGCGGGCGCGCGGGCGGGCGGCGTGGGTCGCGGGCGGCGCGAGTAGGTTGGTGGATGGCCCAGGTCGTCTCGGCGCGCCGTGGGCGTGTAGGGCGCGTGGCGAGGCGGAGCGCGGCGCGGAGCGCTGGGGGAAATCGAGGGGCGTCCGGGGGCGGCGTGCGCGGGCGGCGGGGCGCGGGTGCGCGGAGGATCGGGGTCGCACCGAGGGCGCGAGCCTCCTCGAGGGAGAGCTCCAGGACGCGCTTCGCGCGCGGCGTGAACGGGATTTCGACGGCCACGAAGCCAGAACCACGGCCGATGATCTTCTCGACCTCGGCGCGGGCGTCCTTGAGCGTCACGCCCATCGACTTGAGCACCTTGGCAGCAATGCCCGTGGACTCGCCAATCAGGCCCAGGAAGAGCTGCTCCGTGCCCACGAAGTTGTGGCCCAGTCGCCTCGCCTCCTCCTGCGCGAGCATGACGACCTGCATACAGCCGACACGCGCTCCCGGGCCGGTCGCGAGCGCCCTCGTCTGAGCCTCGGCAGCCGAACAACCGCCTGGCCGCGCCCGCCCGCGAGCCCCGGCCTCGACCGCGCGGGTAATCGTCACTCACCTTAATGGCCTTCTCCGTGAAGCGCTCGAACATCATGCGCACGGTCGACCGCGCGCTGACGCCCTGCTTGCCAGCCCTCCGCTTTGAAGCCTGCACCGCGCCGCGCAGGGACGTAGTTCCCTTCGGCCGTGCGGCAGCGTCCACCACATTGGCGCGCCTGAAGCCCTGGAACCCGGTCAGCACCCGGGTCGTCCGCGCGGGGGCGCGGGCGCCTCCAGCAACCTGCATGGAAGGCAGCTGCGCAGTGGTGCGCATGGCGCTGTCCCTCTACTCTACGGCCGGAACGGCAGACGCGAGTAATTCAACGGGACCAACCGGAGCGAGCCCACGGGTTTGCCCGCGCGCGCGACCCGCGCCGCCGAAGACGACGACGAGCGCGTCGCATTGTTTTTTCCCTATCCGGCTGAGTCGACTGAGACCCCCGCCGCACGCGCCCGCGCGCGCCCGCGCTCGACCCCGCGCGCGCGCCGCGCCCTTCACCACTTCCGTGCATCCCGAATCCGCACGAACGGCGACGTCGCGGGGTCCTGCGCCGCCGCAACCGGTCGACACAGCCCAGCTTCCGAGTCCTCTCAGCGGCCGCAGGCGCCATGATCGCGGTCCGCGCGATCGGCGCCCCGAGCGCGAGCTCGACGCTCAGGTCCGCGGCCCCGCCGCCGCGCTCCCCCCGCGACCACACCGCCCACGCCGCCCGCCCGGGCTCCGCGGCCGTGCCACCCAGTGCTGCCCCGCGGGGCGCGCACGCCGACGCATCCGCGCCCCGCGCCGCCGCACGCAGGTCCGCGACCAAGCAAGTCGACGCCCGCGGCGTCCCGGCCCTAGTTCCGCGCCACCGCCGGTCAGCGCGTTGCGCTGCGCTCCCAGGCACCGAGTACGTCCCCGGCCCCGGCAACGCGTCCCCACGCCCCGCCGCGCGCATTACGGGGCTTCGCGGGCCATCTCACGGTCGCGGCTGCGTCCGGGAGGACGGTTCGAGCCGCAAGCGCCGCGAACGGGGCGCAAGGGGGGTGGCTTGCGCTGTGTGCTCCTGGGCTATCGAGAGCGCTCGCTCCGTGCACGGGGATGGACTCCGCGGCGCTTGGCTCATTTCCGGCGCGTCTGTGTGTTGATGTTGTGTTCCGCAGGCAGCTCGCCGCGCAGGCCGACAGGCTCGTCGGCGCGGGGCTACTGATGCTGGCGGACGTGCAGGCTGCAGCGCCAGCGGCCGGGGCGGCGGCGGAGGAGGTGAAGAAGGACAACGGCGCGTTCGGGTTCCTGGCGGACTTCTTGGAGGCGGCGCTGCGCGTGATCGAGGGCGGTCTCGACAAGGTTGGCGTGCCGTACGCGTACGGGTTTTCCATCATCATCCTTACATGCCTCGTGAAGCTCGCCACGTGGCCGCTCACGCAGCAGCAGGTGCGCGACCGCTCGGCTGTTCCGCGAGGCGTCTCCCGGGCGCGCCCGCGCCTCAGATCACGCCCTCGCAGCGCCGTGCGGCCGCACCGGCCGCGCAGGTGGCGTGGGGTGGGCCTCCGCGCGCCAGGGACCTGGCCGCGGCCGCTCCGTCCCCCCGCGCGCACAGTCGCGCAGGGAGGCCCCGGAGCGCGCACGCGGGCCGCCGCATTCCGCGGCGCCGACGCGCCCAGCCTCCCCTCGCCCCCCCGTCGCCTCCCGCGCCCACCGCGCCCGCCCACCGCGCCCGCGCAGGTCGAGTCCACCCTCTCGATGCAAGCCCTCCAGCCGCGCGTGAAGGACCTCCAGGAGCGCTACAAGGGCGACCAGGAGCAGCTCCAGATGGAAACCGCCCGCCTCTACCGCGAGGCCGGCGTCAACCCGCTCGCCGGCTGCCTCCCGACCCTCGCGACGCTCCCAGTGTGGATCGGGCTCTACCGCGGCCTCTCCAACGCCGCGGAGGAGGGCCTCCTGAAGGAGGGCTTCTTCTTTATTCCCTCGCTCGGCGGACCGACGTCCATCGAGATGCGCGACGGCGGGTCCGGGCTGTCGTGGCTCTTCCCGTTCGTTGACGGGCAGCCGCCGGTCGGCTGGCACGACGCCGGGGCCTACCTCATCCTGCCGATCCTGCTCGTGGTGTCGCAAGTGGTGTCGATGCGCATGATGCAGCCGGCGACGCAGAGCGACGACCCCGCGGCGCAGCAGACGCAGGCGATCCTGAAGTTCCTGCCGTTCATGCTCGGGTGGTTCTCGCTCAACGTCCCCTCGGGCCTGACGCTGTACTGGTTTACAAACAACATCCTGACCACGGCGCAGCAGCAGTTCCTGCGCGCGACGCTCGGGGACAAGATCGAGGCGCAGATCCCGCAGCCCGTGCTCGGGTCGACGACCATCGTCAAGGACCGCGCCGAGGAGGAGGAGGCCAAAGCAAAGAAGCCGACTGGTGCGCGCACAACAACCAGGAATCCCCGAACTGTTCCGCGCCCGTCGGTCCCGTCTGAGGTGGCCGCGCCGGCGCCGGTGCGCGCCGTCGCGTCCGCGACCGGCCGGCGGGCGGCAGACGGTTGTTGATGATACTGCTGCGTTGCGCCCTTGATTGATTGGTTGATTCTTGATTGATTATTGATTCTCGATTGATTCTTGATTGTTTGATTCGTTTCTGCTTTTCATCGCACCTAGGTCGCGTTTCGCGCCCGCGCCCGAGCTGACCTGCGCGCTGTAGTGAGCGAGGCGCACAGACGGCCTCTCTCAGAACCGTTCCAGGTGACGGGAAGGAATAAGGCCCCCCCCACCTGAAACGTTTCGCAGCGAGGCCATCTGTGCGCCTCGCTCACTCCAGCGCGGACATAGAGGACACGCAAATTAATTTACCTCGACGACGCAACGCGACGCGACGCGTCCGCATGTCGCTCGAGCTATACGCGTTTGCAACAACACCGCGGCGCACGACGCGTGCAGACGGCCCGGGCCGGCCGCGCGCGCCTCCACCGCGCGCGCGTGCACCGGGCGCGAGCGCCCACACCTCGCCCCCGCGCGCGAACCGACCCGCGCCTCCGCGCGGCGCCCCGCGGGCGACGCTCCTCGCGCCCAGAGTCGAGGTCGTGCTCGATGGTTCCCGGCCACCGATCGGTCGACTTCGCGGACGATTGTTGCGCAGGCGCGGAGATGGGCGCGCGCAAGAAGAAGAAGACCGCGGCGGACTCGGACGACGACGCGGGCGGCTCCGCGGCGCCGCGGCGTAAGAAGGACAAGCGCGGCGAGAAGTTCAGGGCGCTGAAGGCGAAGGAGGCGGCGCAGAAGGCGGCGACCGTGGCGTCGACGACGTCCTCGGAGGGCAGCACGAAGGAGGAGTCCAGCTGAAGACCCCCCCTGCGCTGCGGGGGCGCTGCGCGCGGGCACTGGACGGCCCGCGCGGGGCGCGCAGCTGGGGCGACAGGCCTCGGCTAGTTGGGTGTATTTAGCCGTGTAACCTTGCAACGCTGTCGATTACCTCCTTTGCTGTTTCCGCGTTGAAGGAGAGGGGCAGGGGGGTGTATGACGTGGCCCGTCAGCGTGCGTGCTTCAGCGCTGGCTGTGCGCCTCGAACAGGGTGCTGTGCGGCGGGCGGCGTGCGCTGGCGACGCGAACATCGGCCCCGCGGACGCACTGCAACAAATGCTCTCTCGTAGCGTCGGACGGGGCCGATCATGCGGGCTGGTGGCCTTGCCGGGTGGAGCGCGCTGTTACAGCCCGAGGCACCGTCGCGGCCACGATAGTCGAGGCCGTGCCTGGCCACTGACCCGTGTAACACTCCCCCCCGAAGCCAGCGTTGACGCAAGCATGTGCACTCCCCCCTCCCCTCGTGGCCGTGGCCCCGGCTTCTCCAACTGCTACACACAGAAACTGATGCGCCGACGACCTCGTGCGGGACGCCGCAGCGCAGCCGCCGCCAGCGCCCTCACGCCTCGAACACCGCAGTCGTTATAGTAATACCACTGGTTGTTGTGCGCGGGTAGAAACAGAGATATCGAAAGGAATCATTTCGGCACGGCAGCAGCGGTGTTCTCCTAGCTGCGGCCGCCCTCCGCGGCCCGCATGCGCCGCTGCACCGCCGCGGCGACCCCTGCCAGCTCCGCAGCGTAGCTGTGGTGGTGGTGGTCCCAGACGGCCTGCAGCGCCGACAACGGGTCGCTCTGCAGCTGCCCGAGCGCCAGATCGAGCGCCTCCTCGACCGTCTCGTGCGACAGCGACGTCAGCCGCACTGTGTCAGACTGGTCCCTGCTTAGGAGATACAACTCCCCCACCGGGTCGAACAGGAACCGCGTCGACGACATCACGCCCCCCGCCCCGCCGATCGCGTCCCGTAGCGCGAGGAGGCCGCGCGCGGGCGGGAATTTCTTCACCAGCGCCCACACCGGGTCGGCTTGGAGGAACGCGCGCGGGATGGGGTCGTTGTCGACGACGAAGGACCGCAGCGCGCCGGCGGGCAGCCCGAGCGCGCGGAGCGCCGCGGAGGGCCCCTCGCGGGCGTGCGCGATGACCGACGGCGAGCCGAAGCCGTGCGCGGAGATGTTGTTCCCGCCCACGCGTTGCAGCAGCTGCAGCTCCGCGGCGAGCATGAGCGCCATCGCGCCGCCCATCGAGTGCCCCGTGAGCGCGAGCGGGACCGCGCCGCGCGCGGCGCCGCCGCCGTTGCCGCTGCCGTTGCCGTTGCCGTTGCGCACCGGTGTCGCGGCGCAAGCGCAGTCCCGGGGCAGGGCAGGAAGGACGGCGTCGCTGAGCTCGTCGACCATGCGCGTGAGGCCGCGGTGCGCCACCAGCTCGCCCCGCGGCGACGTCTGCACACAAGCAAGCATTCCGCGGCACCCGGTTGAGTTTTTCAGTCAGGGCTCCGCAGGTGATGCGCACGAGCCTTGCTCGGGGCACAGCGCGTCGTGCGTGGTTGCGGCTAGGCCCGGGCGACCGGGGATCCGGCAGAGCAGTTCATGGTTGTTGTGCGCGGCGGAGATCGACGTACCAGGTCTGGGTGGAATTCCGTTGGCCAGAAGTCAGAGAGGCCCCGCCAGGTCCGCACGGCGTCGACGTCGCTGTCGCCCGTCCACTTGATCCCGCGGAACGCCCCCACGATCTCCTCCCGCATCGCGACCCCCGCCGGCGACGCCCCCCCTCCTCCCGCGTATGTTGGCACCGGCAGCTTGCCGCGGGCGAGGAACCACCTGCGCGCATCGCTCGCAGCGCACCGCTTGGCGAGGGCGCGTCCGTGCGGGCCGTGGCGGGCGCCGGGTGCGACGCCGCGTGCGGCGCGAGGCGGAAGATGCGCACCTTGTGCTAGGTGTTCGCCCCGTGGAGAGCAGCTCGAAGGAGAGGCTCTCTAACCTGCACAGCAGCGCAGGAATACGCCGCTACGCGGCCGTCGGACCGTGCGCGACGGCGTGCCGCGCCCCAGGCGGCGCGGGCCAGACCCCTAGTCCACCGCAGTACACGCGGCCCCCGCCGCGCACGGGCGCTTTCTTGCCGCGATACGAGCGCGCGCGAAAGGGGTGGCGCTAGGCTACGTTGGGCTGCTGTTATCTTGCCGGGAAACGCGCCGGGAGCGGCGCACGCGCGCACCTCTGGACGAGCGCGCCCTCCTGTTGCATCGCATAACAGCAGCCGCTGATGCGCGCGAGCGTCGCTGCGCGCTGCACGTCGGCGAAGCCGAGGTCGGACTCGACGTGGGAGTTGCCCACCGCGCCGCTGCGCCCCGCGGTGTACGCGCGGGACGGCACACCGCGCTGAGAGCTCGGTGCTGCCCGTGCGGAGCGTGCCGTCGTGCACGGAGAGATCGGGTGGCCTAGGCTTGTGCGGTATGATCTGTTCGCGCGCAGAGGGGGCGCGTGGAGGCCGCTCGCGGAGCGTGCTAGCGCTCGCATCGCACTTCTTGCGAGCAAGGTATGCAGCTCAGCAAGGCTGGGTGAGGTAGAACGGCCCCGTGTGAGGTGCTCGGACGGAAGTACGGGCTCAGTGCGGTGCAAGCGCGCGGGCACGCGGCCGGACGCGGCCGAACGCGCGCTTGGTGCTCGGGGCGCTGGTGCAGGCAGGAAGGCCGCGTGACGCGCGTGGGCGCGCGTCTGGGAGTGGTCAAGGAGCCGCACAGCGAGAGATACTTGCCCGTTGCCACCGCCTCGCACGCTCAAATGGCGCGAAAAGCTTGCGGCGGCGTACAGGGGGGCTGTTACAGGGGCGTGTAACGCCAGAGGGGCCCCCTCCGGCGCACAGGGTGACCGCGCGGCGGCAAAGAGCAGGCGGCGACGAGGCGCGCAGGCAGTTCTATCGCCTCGACGCTGTCTCGACGATCGCAGGGCGCGTGGCTCGACGGAACTCGCATCGAACACACGTGCATTTTTCACCCCAGCATCGCGCGCTCGCAGCCTTTCTGAGTGGCTGGCCCGACCTTTCGGCTCACGTGGTGAGAACCCCGCGGCTCCGCGCCTGGGCATCCGCACCCCGCGCCCCCACGCGCGCCGCTGCGCACCTAAGCCTCCCGCCCCCGTTCGCGGCGCTGCAGCTCCGCGTGAGAGCGGCGGCGGCGCGCACGGACCGCCCTGCACTCATGGAGGCGCCGACTGTCCAGCATGACTGGACCGGGCTCGTGCGGGGCGCGGCACGGGCCAGCGGGGGCACATTATTCACCAAGACCAAAGGCACTGTCCTGGTGGACTCGCTCGTCTTCTTCAAGCGGGCGACCGCGGGGCTGTATCTCGAGATCTTCGGCGACCGCAACAGCGCCGGAGAGCGCGTCCACGGTGCGTGCGCACGCCACAGCTGCGACATGCACCTGCTGCCAGCTCCTGCCCGGCTTCTGCGGGCCGCTGGCGCCCGGTGCGGCCGTGCACGCGCCCGCCCCGCGCACAACGTATGCTTGGGCGCGCGCACACCTGCGAGACGGGCCACTTCTCCTCGCGGAGCCGTCGGTGCCGCCAGCAGGCCTGAGCACGTGAAGGCCCCGCCCACGGCGTGTTCCGGGGCCCTGCGCGCGCAGTCACCCGGGAGATGTTTCCCCGCTTCACGTACGTCTGGGAACGGTGCACGGGCGACGAGCCGGAGCAGGGTATGAGTGAAAAGGACCAGGAGAAGCTTTTTGCTGCCCTGGACTCCGTGGAGAAGAAGGGGTACCTCAACGAGGGCTCCATCGTCGTCGCAGGCATGTCATTCGCTCACTCTACCTCCCCCGCCGCGCAAAGCTCCGTTCCGCCACAGCACCGCCCGCACAGGCAGCCAACGACGATTGTTGCTTCCTCCCGCGCCCGCTCACGCCGCGCAGCGGCCGCCCGCGCCCGCGCCCGCAGAGATGTACATATCCCGGCACCTCGAGAAGGCGTTCTGCTCCTGGTCCACCAAGAAGTCCTCCGCGGGGCTCGAGCCGCCCAAGTGGGAAATGAACTCCGCCCAGTTCGCGTCCCTCATGAGGCACTGCGGCCTCTCCGGCGACGGCCCCGGCCAGGCCCCCGGTCCCCAGGTCGACCTCGCCTTCCTGCACGGCAAGACCTGGCGGACCCACCTCGGGCTGCCCACCGAACGCGGCAACACCATCGGATACCTGGAGTTCTGTCTCGCGGTGCACTCCTTCAGTCTCGCGCTCCAGGAGCCCGTGGAGTTCATCTTCGGCCGCATCGGCCGCATGGGCGACCCGAAGTTCCGCCTCAAGGCCGAGGAAATGAAGCGGAAGATCTCCGACAGGCACTACGCGGCGCCGCTCTTGCGGCACCGGTCCGACGTCGCGTGGCTGGCGCGGGAGCGCGAGGAGCACGACGACAGCGAGGCGGACTCCGACGGCGAGCACCCCGCGCCGCTCCCGGAGGCCGCGGCCCCCAGCGGCTGGGACAACGTACGCCGCGGCCTGCTGAAGAAGTCCGCGTCCGATCTCGCGGGGATCTTCGATTCGGCGCCGGCGCCCGGGTCGCGCTCGGTGATCGACGCCGTGTGGCGCATGTACCAGCGCGAGCCCCACAAGAAGAGCCCCGTATACAGGACAATCTGGATCGTGCACCTGTCGCTGTCGAACGCGGTGTCCGCGCGCTCGGTGCGCCCCCACCCCCTCGCCGCCGCCTGTTTGCTTGCGTGCGCGTCCGCTCGCGGCGTGGCGCGCGAAGGCGGTCCGGTCCCGCGGAGCGGCGCGCCTCCGGAGCCGCCGGTGTGCAACGCACGCTGGGAGCCGCAGGGGGGCCGGTTGGCAGCGCGCGCGTGCCGCTCTGCGTCCGCTGGACTCACGCGCGTCCCGCTGCTGCTCTTGCGTGTGCGCAGAAGCCGCTGATGAAGCTCTGGGCCTTCAAACAGTTCTGCTGGGAAACGAACCTCCTGGCGTCGGAGCAGCGCATCGGCGAGGTGTTCCAGGAGGCGGTCCGGCGGTGCCGGCGCAAGTCGATGGCGTTCGAGGACGCCGACGACAACGACGGCGCGTCGGAGCAGCCGGGCGCGGGCCTGACGTTCAAGCAGCTGTGCGCAGCGCTCGAGATCATCGGGCGCATGTCCCGGCCGCCGCGGTCCCTCGAGGAGATGGCGAAGGTCACGTGCGACGAGCTCGGCGGGCCGACGGACCTCGACGAGGGCCCGCGGGACTCCGCGCACGACCCGATGACGTCGTCGCTGTCCAGGGACGCATCACTCAAGGGCGCGCGGGCCGAGGGCTCGGACACGCCGAAGAGCCCCTCGCGGCAGCCGTCGCTCGCGAGAATCGCGAGCGTGAAGCTCAGCAGGACGGCGAGCGGCGTGCGGGCGTCCGCTGAGTCGGGCCTGCTGAACGCGAGCCTGCCGGACGAGGCGGAGGGGCGCCCGAGCCCGCAGATGCAGCGGTTCACGTCGCAGAAGAAGATCTGGGCCGACAAGTCCGGGCCCGTGAAGCCCGCGCCGCGGCAAATGCCGCAGAAGAAACGCAGTCGGTTGGAGACCCTGTTCGAAGAATATGACGCCCTGTATGACAAGGTCTCGGGGAAACTGTCGCTCAAGGCGTTCGCGCGATTCGCGCAGGATCAGGTGCGTGCTTCGGCTGCGTCGTCCTGCCCCCGTGCACCGCAAACAAACCAACACTCGTTTGCGTAACAGCAACGCTCGCGCTGCAAGAGTACTGGGCCCGCGGGGCCCTGCGCGCTCGATGCGGTGCGCGGTGCAGACGCGCTTCCCGTCGCGCCCGGTTCGCGCAGCTTGCCGGCGTGGCGAACAGTCACAGGGGGGACCACGTGTCCTCGCTGTTCAAGAGGGGGTTGGAGCTCGAGGGCGGCGGTGCGACGGCCGTGGGGCTCGAGGCCCTGACGAAGCTGCTCGAGGAGCTCGCGGTGCAGCAGGGCGCGAAGTGTGTTGAGGACCTCCTGGTCGGCTGATCGGCAAAGCATATAGATGGCTATATCTGTGAGGTGTGTGATGACGACGTAATTCGTAGTGATTCGCTGATGTACAAGCACCCGCGCCGCGAGGATACTTCAGCGACCGAAATGGTACGGCAGACGAGACTCACGCCTGTAGCTGCAGCTTGCTCATCCTGCGTGCAGGTACTCCACCGCGTCGTTGCTCTCGGCCACCCCTTTCCTTGGTCAATGTGACCTCCGGTGTGACACGTTTGTCACGCTGATCGTTCATCACGCAGCAGACAGGGCGGACAACGTGGGCAGTCATGCGTGTCGCACGCACACCTGCACAACGGCGCGAAGGAGCGGGGACGCGCGTGGGCGACGTGCATGGGCGAACCACGGCTGCTTCCGTCCCGCGGACCCTCACAACTCGCAGGACTACGCACGCCCGGTCAACTCGTCATCTGAATAGGAGTCGTGGACTACCTATGGCAGCAAAGAGATCAGCTGGCCGCCCTCCCAGTCCCCGCGCCCGGGAATCGTCACCGACCCGCTCCCTGCGATCGCCGGCTCGACGCACACGAAGTGGTTGTACGCGTCGTCCGGCAAGTCCCCCATGCTCTTTGTTTTTTGTACCCAGGGGTTCCACACCACCAGGTCGGGCAGGTCGTGCGCGACCGACACGTCCGGGAGGCCCCCGCGCCGCAGCACGACGGCCTTCGCGGCGCCCAGGAAGATCCGGTCCACCTCGCGGTCGAACTGCACGGCAACGGCAACGACACGCGCGGGGGGAGTGTTGTTGAAAAGGGGGGAATGTATTGCGTTTTGGACCCGGAAAGACGCGGCGCAGCGCACCTTGATCTCCCCGGACTGCTTCGCGACGGCGCGCGCGTTCAGGTTGTCCATGTACTCCCCCCCCTCGAGGCCTGACACCGCCGCAGCGCCGATGGGCCCTGACGTCAGGTACGTGTGCAGGCACGCGCCGAACGTCATGGCCTGCGTGCCGAGATTGTGCACGTTCAGCCGCACCGACAGCGTGCCCTTGTCGAGCAGCACGATCACGCGCAGGCGGAAGTGACCCTGGAAGCCTTGTCCCGCCGCCTCAACAGTCGACGGGGCGAGCTCCAGCGCGGCCCGCGCGGCGCCCTCGGGCGCCTGCACGCCGTCGTCGACGTGCTTGAAGAACGACGTCCGCGCGAACCCGTGCGAGGTCTTGCAGGGCCCCATATCGCTGAATTGGGGAAAGCAGATGGGTATTCCGCCTCGAATGGCCTTGCTGCCGTCCAGCTTGGCCTGCGGCGAGAGGTACAGTTGCTCGTGGCCCTCTGGGCTCTGCCACGACGTCACGTGCGCGCCGTAGAAGTAGACCTTGGCCATCCAACCCTGCGGTGCAGAAGCAGTTGGTCCAGACGCGGGTTGTGGGTCGGACTGGCGGTAAAAGGGCGGGCGCGGCCATGCGTCTGGTAGTATGGTGTGGTTTCGTCGTTCTAGGCCGAGCGGACCGCTTCGAGAAGCGTCGAAAGAGCCGCGCACGGCCCGTGCTGATGTGAGAGCAGTGGCCCGCGCGGCAGCTGCGGCGACGCTCCCGCGCGCGTCCGGCGGGCGCAATGGACTCTGCGGTGGAAGGACGGGCCCTGCCGCCCCACGCACCTCCCTGTTCCGCAGCACCATGATCTCCTGCCCATCCGCAGTGCTTTCCACCGCGAGTGACATCACTGGCTGACTCGACGCGACAATGCGATGCGACGACCTCGTACTTGTGCGCCGGAGAGGGAGGCGCCGGCGCGCAAGAGCACGTTCCGACGTCCAGGACCGCGCCGCGCACACCTAGTTGTACCAGGGTAGAAACACACACGCTGGCGCCGCCGGGAGCCTCGTAACTCGACATCGGCGTCACCACGCGACAGCCCTGGGCACTCCGCGCGCGCCGATCGGGCTGCCAGGCTCGCCGTGACCAGGACGTTGCACAAATCCGTCTAGTTTGCACCACTGTGTTAGCAGTCATTGCCGTCGAGGGCGGCGTCGAGGTGCGCGCGAGAGCGCCGGGACTGATCGTGGCGGTGTGTGGGAGGTGCGGCGTGGCAGCATGGCGGACAAACAGTTGAACGCGCTCCTCAAGGAGCATGCGGGGCATCTGGAGCGCACTGAGAGCGGTCGCGTGCGGTGCACGCTGAACGACCACGTCATGCCGGCGCGCCTGGACATCGTCCGCGCTTTCGTGGGGTAAGCGCAGCCTCGAACGATCCGCTCGGCGCCCTGCGCAGCCAGGCTGCCGCGTGGTGCACCACCCAGCGAGCACAGAGCGTCCGCCCGCGCGCCGCACCCTCGTCGCGAAACGACTGCATCAGCCTGAGCGATGCGGCTGCTACGTTCGCAAGGCCCTCGCGCGAGCGCGCGAGCGCGAGCCTCCGCAACCGCGGCGAAATGCGCCACCGACGCCCCTCCGCCGCTCCGGTAGCCGACTTGCCGCATACGCCGCGCAGAGCGCGCGTCCCGGGCGCTCGAGCGGCGAGCTGCGTTCCTTCCGCTCCAAACACGCGCGCAGTGGCAAGAAGTTCAAGAAAATGATTGCGGACAAGGAGGAAGACGCGGCGATCAAGAACCTAGAGCCGTTCATGGTTCCGTCGCGGAATTTCCCAGGGAAACTGTACTGCACGCTCACCTCAATGGTCCTCGTCCGGAGCCTCGAGTCCGCGCGCAACCACATGAAGGGCCGCAGGTGCCTTCCTGCCCCAACCTGCCACACCACACGGGCCCGTTTTAACCAAGAAACGATATTCTTTTTCGTTCCGGTTCAGACTGTCTGCTTTCTAGTTGCTCCACGCGCGCGAGGCCGCGCGATTCGGCGCAGGTTCCTGATGGCGAAGGAGCGGTTCATGAACGACGAGGAAGAGATGGTGTCGGAGCCCGACCTGGACGCGGACCCTGACGTCATCAGTGAGGACACGCAGGGCGCTGCCCCGGACGAGACCGGCGGCGAGGAGGAGGGCGGTGCGTCCCCGCGAGTGCCCGCTCGCCGCGTGTGCGTCCGTGCGCGCGTGTGCGCGCGTCTGCGAGGGTCGGCGGGGATGCCGTTTGAAGCCGCGACGATGAGATACTGTTTCATGGTTGATTGTGGGTTGTTCGTGTCTGCAGGGATGGAGGGCGTGTGGGTGCCGGACGCGTACAAGAAGGGCGCGGTGGACGGCGACGGCGACACGCCGATGGAGCAGGACGAGGGCGCGGGGGGCGAGGCGGCGGAGGGGCAGAAACAGAAGGGGGGGGGAGTCAAAGGGAAGAAGAAGAAGAAGAGCAGAGAGGAGAAGCAGGCCGAGGGGCAGGCGCTGCGGTCCCCGGGCGGGTGGGCGGACGCGGTGGAGGCCAGGGAGGGGCGGAAGGGCAGGGCGGGGAACGGCGTGCACGAGCGGCCACGCGCGAAATCAGGCAGGGACAAGAAACGCGCCAGGAAACAGTGATCCTCGATCCTCGTTCACACCGTCCCTCCCTATCTCGCAGGGCTGCCCCCTGCGCACCCCCGCGCCCCTCCGAGCTCCTTCGCGCGCCTCCACGCCGCGCATCCGCCCTCCTCGATTCCCCGCAGCTCCCCGAACATATGCATTTCATATCCGTGCTTGTCACGTTCGTCCCCGCCTCACCTGTGCCTCGCCCCTCCCCCGCGCACCCACCCCTCCGTCGTCGGCGTCGGCTCCGCCCTCGCACCACCCCGCCCCGCCCCCCCCACAGGCACGGGCGTCGAGGGCTCGCACCCCCCCGACCCATCCTCCGCCCGCCTCAGGGGGGTGTCATTCCGGACGCGCACCGCCACCCACCCCGGGTCTCGCTTCGCGCGCACCGACCGCCGCGTCGGCGGCCCCACCACACCCCCCTCCTGACGCGAAACACTCCCCCCGAAGAACGCCACCGCCTCGGCGGTCGCAAAGCCGAACGGCACCGGCCCCACCGTCGCGTGCGCCCCCGCGCCGTCGAAGATCACGTCCACGCTGCCCTCCGCCAGGCTCGCCACGCCCGCCGCCTTCGCCGCGTTGGAATGCTTTTGGGTCTTGCAGTGCGCGTGCAGCTTTTTGACGTTCTCGAACCGCTCGGAGCACACCACGCACAGGTGCGGGCCCGTGCCCCTGATCGACAGCTCGGCGCCGCGGCGGCGCCGCGAGCTCGCGCGGACGTTGCGCGCCGGGGCGTTGTCCGGGCACGCGACGGCGACGCTCGGCGCGCGGCGTCGTGGGAGCGCTCCCGGGTGCGCTGCGGGGAGCGGCGGCGTGGTCTCCGGCGCTGGGGGAGCATTGTCGTGGTGCTCGTTTGCCGCCGCAGGCTCCGGGACGACCGCGGCAGCCACGGGGGGGGTCGGCGGGGGGGGGTCTGCATCGTTGCAGGTGCCGTTGGGGGGCCCGAGATCTTTTTCGCTCTGCTGACGATCCGCGTCTGCTTCGGCGTCCTTCTGGCGGCCTTCGGGATCGAGCGTGGTCGCGCCAATCGCCAGACCTGAATCCTCGACTGGAACATCCATCCTGTTCATGTCTCCGCCCGCAGCGGCGCCCTCGAGCTCCTCCGCGCGCGCGTAGGCGTCGTCGAGCTCGCGCAGCTCGTCCTGCTGCGTGAACCCTCCCTGGCAGGCGCGCCAGCAGCGTTCGCAGAAACAATCTTCCGGACAAACACCCCCCCCCTTCTGCGCCCCCTTCCGCGCAGCCTTCTGTTTCCTCGCCGCGCCGCTCGACGACGGCGTCGCTGCGGGCGCCGCCGGCGCCGCCCCGCCGTCGCCGCCGCCCCCACCGGCAGCAACCGGCCCTTCGCCGCCACGCGCTGTGTGCGGCTCGCTCGTTCGGAGCCCGGCGAGGCACCCCGCAGCCGCTTCCAAGGCCGCCGGCGACCCCAATGGCGACTGCGCGCCCGCCGCGACGTCGTCCGTCTGCGCCCCCTGCTCCCGCACGGACACAGCCGGGCTCCCAGACCCCCCCACCCCCCCGGGGGCCTCCCGAGGGCCGCGCAGACCTGCGCCGGCCCCGCCAACCTCCTCTCCGGTGACCCCACGCGCGGCCCCGTCGAGCCCAGCCGCAGCAGCAGCGCGCGCGTCCTCGACCCTGCGCCGCACAGCCGCAGCCTGCTGCTCGTCGGGCCCGCACGCCAGCCGCTCGAACATGCTCGCGAACGTGCGCTTCCGCGAGCTCCGCTCCGTCCGCGCGCCCGCCGCTGCGTCGCCCGCGGCCCCGGCCTCGAGTGCCGCAACCGTACGTGCGCCTTCAACGAACTCGATCCACGACGTGAGGAGCAGCGCAAACACCGCGTCGGCGTCGCTGGGAGCCTGCTGCGCCGCGGGGCGGCCCGGCTCGGGGACGGCCGCCGTGAAGGGCGTGAGCGCTTTGTGCGGCGGCGCCGGCGTCGGTGCAGCGGCAATGCCTTGCGGTGCGGTTGGGCCGTGATCGGGAGGCCGCTGTGCGTGTTCGCGGCGCTGGAGGAGCCAGGTGAGCTTGGATCGTTCGGCCGCGATGGCGGTCGCGGCGGTCGCGCAGGCAGACTGAATCAGGGGGAGGGTCCATCCTGGGACTCCCCCCCCGCGGTACGCCGCAGGGAGCACGCGCCGCAGAGCGTCCTCGAGGAATTCCGGCGGCGGCTGCCGCGCCTGGAGCACGGACGCCTCGGCGTACGCCTCGACGAGGCGTTGCGGGCGGAGCAGCTCCAACTCCCCCCCTTGCTGGCTGTACCCCCCCTCCTGCGTCAGGCTGAGCGCGGCGACGAGCGCCGACCGCGGCGCCCGCAGCACGCTGTCGGCTCCCAGCGCGCCCCACCCGCGCAGACCAGCCAGCGCCGCTCCCTCGCAGAGATCGCGAATTCCCAAGTCGCGTTGCATTGCAGGAGATACACCGCCGTCGCACCGCGCTCGGGCCAGCAGCAGCTTCGCCGCGGCGCGCGAGAGCGAAACGGGGCTGCAGAGCCCCGCGTGGACCGCCAGGGCCACGCGCCGCACTGCGTCGACCGTCGCAACACCCCCAACACTCCCCGGGGGTGCTTCCACCACTCCCCCCTGTGCGGCGTGCGGCGCGAGCACCAGCACCGGGAACAGCCCCGCGAGCGCGTCGTCCGCGAGCGACCGCGCCACCTCCGTCGCCGCCGTCGGCCCATACGTCAGCAGCTTCGTCAGTGCCCCCGCTGCGGCACGCAACGGCCCTGCGGCGTCCCCGCAGCCCCGGGCGCGCTGCCAGCACAGCAGCAGGACCCAGCTCTGCATCACGCCCGCGAACGCTCGGAGCAGGCGCTCGCGCTGGGCGACGTGGTGTGCGCTGTCGCTGTCGCGCGTGAGCGCCATCATTGCCGCCATCGTTGCGGGAACGCGCGACACGGTGCGCGCCGCGGCAGCAAGCAGCTCCGCTCCCTCCTGCACTCCATGCGCGGCGCCGATGCCGCACGCGAGCGCGCTCGCCACCAGACAGACACACGCCTGCGTCAGCAGTGCGAGGTGCTCCCCCACACCCCCCCCCGGCCCGAGCTCGCGCTCGCCGCCCGCGCTAGCTCGCACGCGAACTCGCACGCAAGCGTCATCGCTGGGGCGCAGGCGGCCACGCAATCCGCGCTCCGGCGAAACGCCACGTGTCGCTCGCCGCCGTCACCCGTGCTGTCCGAACGCCCATGCGTCCCCGTGGCACGGCAGCACGAGCCAGCCAGACGCGCCAGCGATACCGCCGCCTCGCACCGCTGCGCGAGCGCGTCGCCGCGGGCCTCCAGCGCCCGCCGCAGCGCCCCTCCCGCCGTCGTGGCAACGTCAGACAGCAGCGCCTCGTTCGCGAGCCGGCGCGGTTCGACCCCCGCGCTCCGTTCCGCAGCGCTGCCGCGGACGATACGCTCGATGGCGTCGACGAGCGAGCGCACGCACCCGAGCTCGCTTGGGTCGGCGGCGGCGCAGGCGGCGACGATGGTTGAAAATGCGCTCTTTGCGGCTCCGTGGTGCGTCAGGAGGGCGCGCGTTGTGGGGAGGATGCGGCTGTGGGGCAGCGTGGAGAGGTAGCGGAGGAGGTGGCGCGCGACGTCCTGCAGGGCCGGGACGTCGAAGACCCACGCGACTGTCGTCGAAAGCGCAGTCGTGGTTTCGTGGTTGTTCGTCGCAGGCTGAGATCGAGAGGTTCCGGGCGACGCGGCAACGCCGCCGAGGAGCGCCTCGAACACCGCGCGCCGCGTTCCGTCGTCCGCGCCGCCCAGAAACACCCCCTGGAAGCTCGCAAGCTCCGCTGCCGGCGCCTGTGCTGCCGGCCACACAGCCGCGCACCCTACCAGCACCCGCACCGTCACCTCGGGCAGCGGGACGTCCGGCCTGCGCAGCGCGCTCCTGAGCGCCGCCTCGATGTCCGCACGGCTCAGAGCCGCCGTGTCGCCCGTCGCCGCCAGCGCACAGCACAGGAGCGTCGCCGCTGCGACTGCGCTCGCGTCCTGCGCACCACCGGCCATCGCCTGGCGGATTTCGTGCACCGTCATCGGCGGAGACGGCGCCTCGGTGCCGGCGGGGCCGCAGGGCGGCAGGACGGCGCCCGCGAGAGAGAGCGCAAGTCGCCAAACGGCCTGCGACGCTTCCGGCATCTGAAGAGACTGGATGCGCGCCACAGCGAAGCCGATCCACCCGTGCGCGACCATGGCGGTGATCAGCGCGTTTCTGCGCGGGGCGGCCCGGCCGCCGCCGTCCGGTGCACCTGTGTCGGGGCCGCATGAGTCAGGTCCGTCATGGAGGACCCGCAGGCAGAGGTCCGCGACCTTGAACACGAGGGCCTCGTCGCGCTGGAGCTGCGTGACGACCTGGGAGCACGCCGTGACGACGTGGCGCTCCAGCAGGCCGAAAATGTCGGTGTCAGACATGCGGGGGGGGGTGTCCAGGACCCCGACGTCCAGCGCGACGAAGAGCACGTCCAGCGAGGCCGCGAGGTAGCCGCGTGCGAGCGTGGGGGCGGCGACGGCGCTGCACCCTGACACAGCTGCCTCGACCGCAGCCCAGAGACCCCCCCCGGGGGCCTGAGCCCGGTGCGGCGCCTCCTGGAGCAGCGTCGCCAGAATGTTGCACGCGATCTGCAAGCACTCGAACAGGCTCCGCGAATTCGTCAACGCCCATTCCCTTTCAGACCGACGCGAACCAAGCGCATCGCAACACACCCCCCGGAGCCCGGGGGGGGTCTCTCTCGCACCAGCGCGACGTGCAGGTCCTCGCCGGCCATGTCCGTCCTGCGGCCCGACGGCGCGGCGACCGGGAGCCCCGCGACCGCCGCCCGCAGCAGCTGCTCCCGCACCGCGGCGGTGCAGCTGATGCCAGTTGCGGCGTCGCAGCTCTCCCCAAGCAGCGTGAACAGGTCGGCCCGCAGCGGCTGGTCCCCGGCGCGCTCCACGCGCTCAACGCACGCGAGGAGCTGCGCGCAGGACAGCCTGGAGCGGAACGCGTCGCCCGCGTGCGCGAGCTGCAGCAGCGCGTGGATGCAGTAAGCACCCGTAGGGCGCAGCTCCGCCGTCCGCAGCGCATCGAGGGTGTACTCGACGGCGTCCCACACGGCGACGAGGGCCTCGAGGACGCGGCCGCTCGCGGCCTCGACGACGCGGAAGAGCAGTCGTGCGGCGCCTAACTGCTCTTGTCCATTCTGGCTCATGAGGCCGCGGCGAATGAGGCGGATGAGCGCCGCAGCTAGCGCGGATTCCGCCGCAGGGGCTGTGACGCGGACGCCTCCCGTGATCTGGACGAGGTCGGGGATGCGTTCGATTTGTTTCCGGAGCGACGGGGTCGGAGCAAAGAGGCTGAGTGCAGCTAGGGCTTCAGCGTGGACGCGCGCCGCGCTCGCGTGGTCGGCGTCGCTCGCCGCGCCGGCAATGGCCAGTGCGAGCCTAGCTGCGGCCTCGGTGAGGCTGTCCCGGACCCCCGCGTCGACGTTCTCGCCCTCCGTGACCTTGACAACTGCAATCGCCATGCGGAGACTCGCGAGCGACGGCTCGAGGTTGTCGACGCTGGGAGGGACGCCGCAGGCGTGCTGCAGGACGGCGCTCGCGGCCGCTGCGACGGCCACGCCGCAGCGGGCGCAGTAGGCCGGGTCGATAGCACGGAAGTGAGAAAGCAGCCACGTCACGGCGCTCTCGCACTCAGTGAGCCTGCAGTGCGCGCAGCTTCGCGTTTGAGGGTGAGTGGCGGCGTGGGAGCTGACCGGCAGTCCGGGGCGGCGTTGCGGGCAGTGCGCACCTTGTGCCAGTGTGGGCACTCTGCTCGAGAGCAGCCAAGAGACCCTCGAACACGCCTTGCGCGAACGGCGGGTCGGAGCCGCAGCAGACGTGCTTGAGAATCTCGCAAGCGAGCGCCTTGGCTTCGGGGTCGCGGGACGCCTGGAGCACGCTCAAGAGCGCTCGCGTCACCGTGGTCCGCGCCGCGGTGCCGAGGATGCCGCACAGAGCCGCGTCGCCGTTCTCGAGGCTCTGGAGGATCGTTCTGCGAGCGGACAGGGGCGGCTGCGGCAGTGAGGCGCTGCGTGAGGCGCCGGGAGCTTTTACGAGAGTCACGCTGACTGGGCACTGCAGCTGGGCGTCCCGCGACGCGCGTCCTACCTGAGGAACTTGAGGGCGGTGACGGGATCTTCCTGCTCGAGCGCGTGCAGAAGGCAATCGACGCACACGCTGCCCCCGTCCCACGACAACGGGGTTGCATGCTGGTGCGCGACGTGCGTCGGCAAGTCGACCAGGCGGACACTCATGTTCGGACGCACGGCATGCCACCTCGCGCCGGCGGGGCTCGTGATGCGCGAAACGCGGAGCTCAAGGCCGGAACGCGCACGTATCTCTCACGCAGCGTTATCACGAGGCCCGCGGGCGACAGACGCGCGGCCACGAGCACGTTTGTTGCCAAAGATACGAAAGAATAATCATATAGCTAGCTACGGAGGCAAGTGTTGCGCTCGTGCGTTGCCAAGAAGGGCCGTTTTTGGCCGAAACGTGTGTCGGTTTGAACCCCGGGAGAGTCTCCGGCCCGTCAGGAGCCGCGTCGGTGCGTTCGTCGCGCATTCTTGCCATCACGGTCCTGGAAAATATCCAGATCAACGAATTTCAGGGCGCGACGACATGGAGAGCCACGCGGAGACGCGTCGCGGGGCGAAGAAGGTCCAGCGGTCCCTCACCAAGTCCCTCGAGGAGCTATCGCACGGGCCGCTCCAGGACGAGGGCCCCTCCGAAACGGCCCACATGACGCTGTACTCCTCCGGGGACGAGCCAGCGAGCGCGCTCGGCACCCCGTTCCCGCCCACGAGGCCCGCGGACCCCCTCGAAGTCCACGCAGAGCTCTACAGCCTCCGCGTGCAGCGGGACGAGCTCCTCGACGACCTCGAACGCATCTGCCTCGCCAACCAGATCACGCCGAAGCGCGCGAAGAAGGTCCAGGGCACGGAGCGCTGGCTGCGGCAGCTCGCCGGGCTGCAGGAGCGGGCAGCCGACGCGGAGCAGTACGCGAGCCAGCTCCTCGCGAAGGTGCGCAGCTAGCCCGCCCCGAGGACGAGCCTGACGGCCCCGCCGTCCCTGCGGCGCTGAACTGCGCGCCCACGGAGTCGGTGAGGGTGCAGTTGATGGAAGTGACGTCGCAGCTCACCGCGAAAGACCGGCACGCGAAGGAGCTCGGACGGCTCCTCAGGTGCGTGTCTGAGCTCTGCGCGTCGATGTCGCGGGCGCTCGTCCGTCGTTCGCCGTCTACGGCCCTCGGAAGTCGACAGAGGGTGTGGGCCTGTTGTGCTGACGAGCGCGACCGGGCTGGGCGCCGCGAACGTGCAGGGAGCTGCAGAGGGAGCACGAGGACGCCAAGCGGTCCGCGAAGCACTACATGAGCGAGGCGAGCGAGGCTCTGAAGCTGAAAGATGTGTTTGCGACTGAAAACGCGGCGCTGTCGTCGACTGTGGAGCGCCTCGAGGCGCAGAAGCGCGACCTGCGGGCGCAGACGAGCGAGCAGCGGGACCAGGTCGCGAAGGAAAGACCAAGAGCGCCCTCGTTGAACAGCATTCGCGAATTCTCGTCTCTCATTCAACCTCGTATTTCCCAACCCCCCGCCCCCGGCCGCCGCCGCCCTGCAGCTCCAGGACTCCGTCCGCAGGCTGTCCGCGGAGCTCTCGCGCGCGAAGCATGACGCCGCGGGGGCCTCGGACCAGCTCAAGTTGGAGCGCTTTCGCGCCGACGCTGTCCTGAGCGAGCAGGTGGACCTCTCCGCGAAGCTCGCGGAGGAGCTCCCAGCGCTCCGCGAGACCGTCAGCCAGCTCACGCAGTGCCTGCACCGCGCCACGCAAGAGAAGGTCACCTATGCGCAGCGCACCGCAGCGCTGGAGCAGCAGCACGTGGAGGAGCAGCGCCGCACGACGACGCTCGTGGAGAACCTCCGCCACCTGCTCGCCGTGAAGAGCAGCGAGGTGTCCGCGCTGCAGGCGACCTGCTCGGAGCTGCGGGGCGACACAGAGAGTGTGGCGGAGAACAGGACCCCGCAGGTGACGCCCCGCGCCGCCACGCACCGCAGCTTCGCAGCCCAGTCGCGCAGCCTCACTCCCTCGGCGTGTCCCGGCCAAAGCTGCGCGCAGTCGAGGCCGGCGGAGGGTCGACAGGCCGTCGGGGCTGCTCCGTCGCCGTCCACCTCTTCGGACGCCACCGCGGTCTCGCTCTCGCTGTCGCACCTCGACGCGATCGTGTCGTTCGGGGAGCAGCTCGTGGGGTCGGTCACGGCGAGCGGCTCCGCGTCGGACTGCTCGAGCCCGGTAGAACAGCTGTCAGCGTTCCGGGACCGCCTCGAGACGCTCTGCCCGCCCGTAGTCCCCGAGGGCGCCGACGGGGCCGTGCTGCTCGACGTCCGCGACGTCCTCGCGCTGGAGGCCGGGACGCGGACCCTTGGTTCGATGGTGCTGCGGGTGGCGGGTGCGCTGATCGAGGCCAGGGGGGGGAGTCAGGGGGCACACGCGTCCGGCAAGGGGGAGCTGCGCGCGGGCCGCGAGGAGCGCGCGGAGGACGTGGCGGGCAGCGTGCAGGGGGGGCTCGTGGAGGACGAGGGCACTGGAATTCACGGTGAGATATGAAAACATGTTTCGCGGTGGCTTGCTTCGGTAGGGGGCGCCGAGGCGAGCCGCGACGGGCGAGCGAGCGCGGAGGGAAGGAGCGGTCGCGTCTCTGCGCGCACGGTCGTGTCTCAGCCGCGGCGTCCGGCTCACAAGCGCGTGTGAGGTGCCGCTGCCGCGTGGGCGTGTGAGGTGCTGCGTTACCAGCATCACGTGTGGGTGCGGAAGGCCTTGCTGTCGCTCCAGAGGAAGGACCCGTCGTCGTAGATCGCCTTGACGCAGAACACGTACTCGTGGTTGACGCGCAGCCCCGTCGCCTTATACGTGTCAGACCGGCCCTTAAACACCTCCTTCACTACCCCCGTCGGAGTCGCCAGCATCAGCTTGTACTCCTTGATCCTGCACGCACCACAGCCGCACACGCACTCGTTCAGCGGCGCAACCCCCACATCAAAACACCCCTGCGCGCAACACCCCCCCCCCTCCTGGGACAAGCGGCGCGGGGGGCGCACCGGTCGGCGTTCTTGGTCGGTGCGCGCCACGACAGCTCGATGGAGTTCGGCGAGATCTCCGCGCGGTCGTTGATCGCGAGCTTGCTCACGATGTCGTTCTCCTTCTGCGCCCGCATGCGCAGCGTCTCGATATCCTCTGGCATCGATAGCTCCAGGACTTCGAGCTCGTCGAGGCATTCCTCGCGGTTCGGCTTCAGCGTGAAGATCATGTTGCCCGCCATCGCCGTGTACACCGCCTGGGCCTTCATGGGGGGGTGTGTGGGCTCTCCGCGCGGGTTCGTACCCCCCGCCACGCTCATGTTCGGGGGGGAGTCGTGCAGACACTCCCACGTGTAGCTGTTGAGGTCGAGCACCCACGTGTCCGTGCACCGCGCCATCCGCGGATCCCCCCCGCCCGTGTGGTTGCAACCCCCCGACACCACAAGATACCTTCCCATAATCGCCGCAGTGTGCCCGTGCCGCGGCGTCGGCTGCTGCCCGAGCGTCCCGAGCATCGTCCACGCCATGCGGTCGAGCTCCAGCACGAAGATGTCCCCGAGCGACTGCGAGTCGTCGTTCCCGCCCATCAGCCACAGCCGCCGCCCGTCGTCACTGATACAGATGGAGGCCCCGAAGCGCGCGCTCGGCGGCGAGCCCGCCGTCGACAGCTGGCTCCACAGCATCGTCTCGTGGTCCAGGCACCACACGTCGTTCCGCAGGCCCTCGGCGTCGCGGCCGCCGAAAATGTACATCCGGTCGCGCCCAGAACACATCGAGTGGCCTTCGCGCGCCGAGGGCGGCGCGCCCTTCACGATCGGCGACGTCCACTTCAGCGTGTCGTAGTTGAACAGCATGATGTCGGACAGCAGCTCGTTGTGCACGGAGCGCCCGCCGAAGACATACATGCGCGTACGCCCCATGGTCGCAATCGAGTGCCCGGCGCGCGCGTGCGCCGCGCGGATCGCCGGGACGCCGTCCGCCTTCTCCCAGAACATCGTGTCCACGGACAGGAACGCCATCTCGCGCCCCTCGCACGTCGGCGACCCCCCGTACGCCACCAGCATCTTCCCGCCGAGGCACGCGAGCGTGTTGAAGTCGCGGTCCGCCGGGAGCGGGCCCTTGAGGCGGTGCCGGTTGCACGCGACCATCCACGGCTCCCCGAAGAGGATCCGGAGGTCCGTGGAGCTCGTCACGCGAACCCGCAGCTCCTCGATGCGTTGCTGCGCCTCCGCCACCTGAGCCTCGAGCTCGTCCGTGCGCGTCTGCATGCGCTCGATGGTGTCCCGCTGCCGCGTCGTGATGATCTCCTGCTCCTTCACGAGGTCCTCGAGCTCCTGCTTCTCGTCGATCACCTTCTCGGCTTCACGCAGCTTCTTTTCGTTCAGCCCTTGAATGCGCTCCAGCTCCTGGATGCGCTCCTCCTTCTGCAGGAGCTGCTCCTCGAGCTCCGTCCGGCGCGCGTTGAGCTGCACGATGGACTCCTCGCGCCGCTCGATCTCGCTCTGCTTGTGGTCTAAAATGTGCGCCGCGTCGCTTGTCGCTGCCGCCAGCTTCACTTTCAGCTCGCTCGACTCCATCACGAGCCGGTCGTTGTCCGCCTTCAGCGCCTTGATGCGCCCCTTCATCAGCTGCAGCTCCACCATCACGTTGTCGCGCTCCGCCTCCAGTTGCAGCCGCTCCGCCTCGGCTTGCTCTCTGCGGGGCGCGCGTCGCGGCGGGGCGCACGGGGGGTTCGCGGCCGGCCAGCGCGGAGCTCGTGGGGCCAGCGGCGGCGCGCGGTGCGGCGCGGGGGCGTGCGGGCGCGGAACGGAGAGAACGCGGGCGGTGTTTGGGGGCGCGGCGTTGAGAGCTTCGGATGGCGCGGGCTGGTCGGTGCGGCGCGATGACGGCGGCGCGGCGCCGCGCACGTGCTCTCTGAGGGGAGGGCGATGCGGGAAAGGGCGGGAAGTGGCCGTGCGACCGCGCTGCGGGGCGCAGGGCGCCGAACAGCGCTCGGCATACATTTGCGCATCGAATGGGGGGCTGTCGACGCGCCCGCAGCGGGCGCAGCGGCATTCAAAAGAAACTGGCGCGATAGGCCATGTTGCAGGCACGGCTACGGAGCGTCTGGGCGCCCGTGTGCGGCCTGGGCGGCGTTGACAGCTCCACGCGCCCTGCGTTCCGCCCCTCCAGGCCCGCGGAACGGCACGAACGACGTCCCCGTGCCATCTCAACGAGTCCCACACGTGCAAGGATTCCGCAACGGCGCCGAAAAGCCATCGCGCCCGTCTGACGGCGCGCGGGGGCCACGAGGTGCGGGGTGTGCAGGGATGCGGGGGGCGCGGCGCGGCGCACGGCACTCACTCTGGCGAGAGCTCGGCCTTCTGGCCGCCATCCTTCTTGGGCGGCATGCCCGCCTGCCTCCCCGCTCCACCCGGCCCCCCTGCGCCCTTCCAGCCCCCGTTTGTTCCTGCGCTAGTGCGTCCTGGCCGCGCTGCGCCCCGCCGACGGCCGCGAAGGTCGCTCCTGTGGTCCGAGGAGGTGCGTGCGGCGCGGAGGCATGCGCCGGGCGCGCGTTTGGCGCGACGCGGTGCGGCGCGGGGGCGAAATTCCGCGGGCAGAGCACGGCGTGGCACGTCTGCTGGCCCGACTCACTGAGGTCAGTCTGGGGCTCGCGCGCGGGCATGGGGGGCCGCGCGGACGCGCCGGCCGCGCAGACGCAAAGCCGCGAGTGCGTTCGCGGATAGACGGCGACGCGAGCGTTCTGTGCGACGCGCGAAACGATCCACGTAGCTCCTCGAGTGCGGAAAACGGCCCCGCAGCGCGCTGCCAGGGCGCCACGCGGCACGCGCGCTCCCTGGAACGCAAGCGCCTATTAATGCGCGCCTAGTCCGGCACAGCAGCGTCCGCGAGCACGCCGGCCGCGCTCTAGAACTCGAACCGACCTCAGCTCCCTCGAACCGCGGCCCGGCAGCGGCGCGGAGGCCCGCGAACTCGCTCGCCGGCGCACTCCGCCTTGCCCGGAGCCGCTCCGCCGTTCACGCGCGGCGCCGCTGCCTGCTCGCGAGGGTCGGCTCGGGCCGCGCAGCAGCCTCCTGGCACGCGCTCGGCAGGTGGCACCCCTGGGCGCCCGTTCCGGCCGCGCCGCGCGCAGCCGCGTCCCTGGGGAGACCCCCCGCAGCACGTAGAACCACCTAGCAACGATGGCGGAGACGGGAGAGAACTGGTTCCTCATTATCGTGACCATCGTAGTCACTTGTCTCTGTCTCCTCTCGAATATCTATCTCCTGGCGCACTACCAGCATCCAGGCAAGTCCCGCGGCTCCTGCTCGCTCCAGGCTCCCGCGGCGGCGCGCCGGACCGCCGCCGGACGCCCCGCCGCGGCCGGCGCGCGCTCCACCGCCCGCTGCGCGTGCGCTGGGCGCCGTGCGCGGCGCCCCGCGCGTCTCCGCGCCCCGACGCCGCGCCCGCGCCCGCATTTCACCCCAGCAGCGCCCCCGCCGCGCCCGCAGACGACAAGCTCGACGGCTGGGGCTCGAAAGTCATCGTCGTCCTGGCGCTCACCTCGGCCGCCCTCACCGTCCTCATGTTCCCGCTCGACGTCGGGAACCGGCAGGCGTGCGACGACTCGCTCGAAATCAGCGCCTGCAACTTCTCGATGCCCATGCGCGAGCTCTGGTACTTCATGTGGTGCTTCATCGCAATACTGGCTTTCGTGGTCATTCCCTTTGCGCTCTTTTTCTACGAGTCCGACACCGCCGCGTCCTTCTACTCACGGTGCCTCTCCGCGCTCTTCTACGAGACGGGCCTCCTCGTCATCCTCGGCCTGTGCATCCTCCTGCCCTACGGCATCGTGGGCTTCATGGAGTTTGACGTGCAGTCGGTGACGTCGGGGCTGGTGTCGCTGGACCGCGCGCTCACGCACTCCAACTCCAGCGGGGACGCGTGCATCTTCCCCACCGTCGACGACACCGACCCCGCCGCCTCCGCCGCCGCCGGACAGTTCGGGGGCGACCTCTGCGACGGCCTCACGGTGCGCAACACACCCCCAAAAACACCCCCCCTCCCCCTCGGCGCCTCCGTACCCGCCGCGCAGAGCGCCAGCCACGCAACAAGCAGCCACCGCCCCTCAACCCCCACATCCACGCCAATAACACCCCCCCCCGCTGTCGTTGTTGCGGTGGCTTACCCGGCGGCCACGTCCCGCCCGCCCCCCGCAGGGCGACACGGTGTCGGCCAAGTGGAAGATGCGCGCGACGTTCCCGGTCTTCCTCGTCGGCGTCGCGTCGATCATCGGCTGGATCCTCTTTTCCATCTTTGGCGCCGTCGGGGTTGTTACACTGCCCTGGGACTGGGTCCGCGGGTTCCTGAACCGCCCGCGCAAGGTCATCACGAAGTCGGACTACATCCACCGCTGCCGCCACATCGCGCAGCGGTCCCGCGACGTCCAGGACGCCGCCAAGCGGCTCAAGGACCAGGAGCGCGCCGGCGGGCGCGGCCGCAAGTGGCGCCGCGAGGTGCAGCGGCTCGGCGCGCAGCTCCTCGAGATCGAGGAGGAGGAGCAGTGGCTCCTCGAGGCGTACCCACAGGGCGAGGACCCAGCCGCGAAGTGGACGATCATTGTCGTGTTTCATTGGGCGCGGCTGGTCGGCGGGTGCGTGGGCGCGCTGTGGAGCGTCTTCTGGCTCCTGCACATCATCCTCTACGTGCTCGTGAAGCCCGCGGCGCACCCGTTCCTGAACGACCTCTTCACGGGCCTCGACGACGCGTTCCCGCTCTTCGGGACGGCGGCGTTTGGGTTCTTCTGCCTCTACATGGTCATGGTGACGATGCACGGGATGTTCAAGATGGGCCTCTGGATCGGCTTCATGACGATCCACCCCATGCGCGCGCACAACACGTTCATGGGGTCGTTCCTGTTCAACTGCGTGCTGGTCCTGCTGACAGTGGTGGCGATCACGCAGTTCTGCGCCCGGGCGTTCGCGGTCTACGCCGAGGGCACCGAGGTGCACACGATGTTCGAGACGGACGTCAAGCACCTGATCGGGTTCAAGCCGCTGTATGACGGCGATGTCTTCATGTATGTCTTCGTCGTGGTGGTCTTCCTGAGCCTGTGCTACCAGTCGTGCACGGGGTGCCGGCAGAAGCCGCAGAAGAAGGCGCGCATCAACCTGAACGACCGCGTGTAGCCGAGCGGGCGCTGTGAATCAAAGACATATATTGTTGATTGGTTGTGGCGTCTGGATCTCTTCTTCTGATTGTAGCGTGACGTGAGAGGCTGGCGAGGGACGTGGCGTGGCGTGGGTCGCGCGGTCGCAAGCGAAGTCCGGATGCGCGGCGCAGTGCGGACCGGACTCTGGTGCGTATAGGGGGTGTTACATGACAGGACAGCGCCGCCGCTTCGCTCTCAACCGCCGGCTACGCCAGCACCTCGAGGACCTGTACGGCGCTGCAACACTCGACTCGGAAGCCGCTGCCAACGCTGCAGTGCGTTATCTCCTGAACCTGCCGAATCAGCGAGGCATGGCGATCTTTGCTCGTGGCATCGAGGATCTGCTCCAGGCCGACTCTGTCACAGCTGCCGAACCTGTTGCTACCATAACGGTGGGGGGTTAGCATGACTCGCCACCTAGTCGAATGATCTTTTCAGGTCCCAAAGCCTTATGGCTGACGACGCGAAGAATGTGACACCTCACCTCACCTCATGCTCCTGGGCTGCGCGCGCTGGCATCGCAGCTGCGCAGCGGAAGGCGCAGTATGCATGCGGAATGAGGAGGAATTGTGTCGCCGCGGAAACGCGGGAAAAATCGTCTGGTCGCGAGGAATGACGCAGCACAAGTATAACACATATGCAAGCACTACAAGCACGCACGCGCGAGGGGAGGAGTTTTCAGGACACCCGTGCGGAGCACCGAATGAACGACACCAAGCACAGCAGGCCGGTCGGGGCCGTTCCGGTCCTCCCGGGACGCCGCCGCTTCGCATCAGCAAAGGAGGCAGTGCTCTCCCAACAGGGAGTCGACGATGCTGCCGGGCTCGATCGTCCCCGCGAACGACAGGCACCAGTGCTGCGCGTAGGTGCCGAGCCCGCGGTACGCTTCGCGGAACGCCGGGAGCTCCCTCGCGAACTCGGCTGACGTCAGCAGCGCCACCTCGCGCCGCTGGTCGTTCCAACCGAGGACAGAGGAGTACGGGACGAGGTCCGGAACGCCCGGCGCGCCCTGGACGTTGGCATACGCCTCGGCCAGCATCTGCGGGAAGCACGGGCGCGCGAACGACAGCGGTGAGCGTTGGGGAGCGCGTTGAGTGCATAAAGGCAGGGGGGGTGTTGGGGGTGTATTGACCTGCATGAGCGCGATGTAGCCGGACGCGATGCGGCGCGGGAGGAGCCGGAAGCACTCGGCGAACAGCGGCGAGAAGGACTCGTCCGTCTTGAGGAACGCCGTGGTGAGAAGGCGTTCGGTGTCGTCGCCGTCGCGGGGCAGGGAGAGCCCGTGCGCCGCCTCGCCGCACGCGGAGTTGTCCGCGAGCTCGACGTGCACGAAGCTCCGGGCCACCTCGCGGGCGCCGGTCGCGGTCGCGAGCGCGGCCGCCGCGCGCCGCGAGCTCGACGTGCACGAAGCTCCGGGCCACCTCGCGGGCCCGGTCCGGTCCGAGCGCGGCCGCCGCGCGCGCTGCCGACGTCAGGCGGCCCGTGCCCGTACACCCCCCCGTGCCGCGCGCGCCAATGGGGAGGATCGCCGCGGACGGGAGGTCGACGGGCCGCAGGAACACGACGTCCAGGTCCGCGTACGTCCCGCCGTAGTGGTGCAGCAGCAGCATCGCGAGGACATCCGAAACCCATCGCACGCCGTACTTCTTCAACCGTAACGACCACGCCACGTGGCGTATCTCCGCCGCGCTGCCCGCGATGTGCCCGCCCGCGTACTCCTCGACCTCGTACGGCACCACGCGCGCCCTGTACCCCGCGAACTCGTACGCCCCCAGCGAGTCTTCGCAGAGAGTCCTGGAAAACAAGAAAACGTCGTCTCCTGGGTGGTGCTTCATGTACGACTCCAGGCTCAGCCGCACGCCGCGCGGTAGCTCGTCGAGGCCCGCGCACCCCCGGCCCCCGCGCGCCCTCCCAAGATCGGATTCTGCGGACGTGTTGCGTTGCGTCACTTCCCACATGGTGAGAAGCCGCCCGCGCGCGCACGCGCGGCACCGCTCGTACACGTCCGGCGTCCAAGTCGGTGGCGCGCCGGGGAACGCGCGCGGGAACCGCGTCGCCGCGACGTCGCACCCGTCGACATCGACGAGGGGGGGTATTCCAATTATACCCAGCGCGGCGACGCCGGGGCAGCAGCACGCGCGCTGCGGCGGATCAAACAGCGCGGCCTCGTCCTTCGCCCGCCGCCGGGCCGCGTGCGCGGCGCGTTCGTCGCTGTCCGCGCCGATTGGGTCCGCGAACACGCAAAAGTTGTTCACGTCCGGGCGCGCCTCCATTCCCGGCACAACGCCGCCGAGGATCGCCTGGGAGAACGACAGCGACAGGCGCATCGCGCCCATCAGCGCCTCCTGCGGCGCGCTGCCGCGGCATGCCAGATCGCGCGCGCTCCAGCCGCTGTGCCAGTCGCACATGCGCGCACATACGCCGCTGATGGGGTCGTGGCACGTGCGCGCGAGGACGGCGTTGAACGCCGCGAGCGACTCCAGCGCGGCCGTCATTGCGTGCGGCGGCTGCCGCAGGATCCGCTCGACTTGTACCTCGGCCAGCCCGACATGCAGGATTGTGTCGAGGGGGTGTATTGCCGCGGCGGCCTCACGCCAGCCCGGGACCGCGGCCGCCACCGCGGTCGCGCAGGCCCCCTGCAACACGCAACGAAGGCAACGAAGAGCCGTCGCGAGCGGGACGAATTGAGCGCCGGGCGCGGCATCTGTCGCATGCGACAGCGACAAGGCGACGGGTCCGCAGCGGCGCGTGAGGCGGCGCGGCACCGGGCTGGCATCGCGGTGCTCGCGTCGCGAACGCTCACCCGCAGCGGGCCCGACCGCGCTTCCGCGCCCCCAGCGGGCCGCCGCAGCGCGTGTCGGATCTCCTCCTCAGTCACGGCTACGTCCCACAATGTCCACCCCGACACCGCCCCCTTCCCGAGCCACGCCAGCTGTGACAGCAGCGACAGCCGCTCCGCGTCCACGCGCTCCGCGTCCACCACGAGGCGCTCCCCGACCCCTCCCACCACCATCGATACTCCCCCTGCGCCCCACGATGCGGCCGCGGACCGCCACGGGTCCGGAAGGGCGTCCGCGGGGGCGTCGAACTGGACGGCGACGCCGTGCGCGCGGGCCACGGCGGCAACGAGCGCACGTGCTTGTGCAGGGTGGGTGAGGTGCAACGCTGCCGCCGCTGGGCTCGCTCGCAGCCCCGGGAATATCTGTCCGCTGCGCAGGCTGGCGACGACCGGCGCAGGGTCGTCGCCCGCGAGCCCGCAGGCGTCGTGGACGTACGCCGCTGCTGGGTCGTCGACACCGAGAAACCAGTGGTGGTTGACGCCGAGTTGCCATCGCTCTGGCGACCCCGATGCGAGCGCAAGCGTGAACGTGGAGTGAGGGTCCCACTCCGTGCACGAGGTTGCGTCGAGGGAGCCGCCGTGCGCGAGAGCGGCGGCTGCATTGCGCTGCCCAGGCACCAGTCGCAGCTCCCGGCCCTTGCGGACCCCGTGTTTGAGTAGGAGCCGCGTCAGGAGGTGGGGAATGCCGGCTTCGTCCGCAAACGTCGCGGGCACGAGGAATGTCGCGTCGTCCGCCGAGGGAGGCGCCTCGTGGTCGAGGACTACTTGGCCGGTGATTCCCGCGCCGTGCTCGAGTTTCGCGATGGTTTCGAGCACGTGCTGGGTTGTGTCGGACGACTGCATGACGCCGCCGTGGACCGCATCGGGAACGATGCAGATCAGGGCGCTGAGGAGCAGCCAAAGCCCGAGCATGCTGCCCGCGGCGGCCCTCCCCGCCGCCTGGAGACGGTTTCCGGATGTGCAGACGTCGAAAGTATGCTCCACAAGTCAAAGCCAGTGTCGTATGGAAGACGGCGGCTATGTGCGGCTCCTACAGGCTGATTTCACCACCGTCGCTCAACGCGTTACGCCCTCTCGTCCCGCGCCGGTCATTGGACCCTGTGCAGTGGTCCCGCGCCAGCACGAGTGCGCGTTTGTCCCGATGCGCGCGAGCGACTCAGGCGTAGTAACGCCGGGGCGCGTACGGTATGAAACAGCAACCCGCGTCACGTCCCACGCGACACCCCCCCGGCACGCTCACGACACGAGCGTCCCTTCTCTGCACCAACCAGGCCTCTGACGTATCCAGGCCGGCATCGCCGACCGCCGATGTCGCGAGGTCTCGACGCAGACCGGACCGCAAACGCGACTTTGTAATTGACGATTGACAATCATCTTTGTGCCCCGCCAGAGCGTCGCATGACGTCCTTAGATCCCGACGCCTCGCCGCGGGCGACCCCAGACACGCAGCGCACGAACGCCGCCCAACGCATCGCACGTGCGGAGCCGTACGCCTCACAACAGCGGTACAAACACACAAACACCTCACTCCCCCCCTCCTGCGCCTTCGTCCGGCGCCTGCTCGTCGCCCGCCCGCGCGCCTCGCTCCGAGTACCCCTTGCGGACCGCAGCACGCATCAGCACGTCCGAGGCGCTCCCGCTGCCGCGCCCGACTCGCACACTCCCCAGCACCGCCGCCCTCCGTACCACCTTATCCTTGATCAGCGGCTCACCCCCCCCTGACTCAGCATCGTCCGGCTGCGCCGCAGCGTCCTCTCGTCGCTTTCCGGCCGGCGAGGGCTCCGGCGCCGGCGCGGTGCGGGGGGGGGAGTTGTCGCTGGACTGCCTGAGTCGACGAGAAGTGGCGTCAGGCGGTCCTGGAGCCACCGGCGTTTCGCTTTGTCCGATCGCAGGCGCTGCCACTCGTATATCGTGACGGGGACGAGGGACCAGCCCAGGGCGCGCAGGAGCCGGCGCTTCATGAGAGTCGGCCCCGTCGGAGTGCGTGTGTTGGTGCAGAAGTGAGACGGGCCGTCCACCTCGATCGCGACGCGCTTCGCGGGGATCGCGATGTCCATCGTGTACTCCGCGTCCCTGCGAGGAAGCGGAACGGCAGCGCACGCCGCGTGAGAGCGCGGCCGAGGTCTTGCATTGCACCGAGCCCGTCCCGTCGCGCGCAGCGGAACCGAGCACGAAGCAAATCGGTTTTCGGAGAAATCGATTAATTTCACGACGACGCGGACGACTCGAGCGGGCACGTACGCGTATTCGAGCTCGCACGCCACCCCCAGGTCCTGCAGGGTGAGGTACACGTCCCGCTGGAACGCGCTCACCACGCGGGGCTCGCAGCGCTTCCCGCGCTCCCACTCCTCCGTCGCGTTCACCGCGAGCTCGCCCTGCGAGTACAGGAACCCGAGCATGTTGCGCGTGCGCTGCCCGCTGACGTCCACCGACATCTCCGGCGCCTCCAGCCGCATCGCCAGCGCCGCCTGGTACATCTGCCACAGATCCCGCTTGAGCAGCGCGTCCTCGACGCCCAGCTCCACCGCCCGCGCCTTGAGCGCCGGCAGCAGCTCCGCAGGATACACCCCCGCGCACGCAAACGACCAACACAGGTTCGAAACCGACTGCGGGCCGAGGCTCGCCGCGTGCGGCGCGAGCGCGCGCGCCAGCGCCTCCGCGAGCTCCGCGCCGGCGTCCGTCGTGCCCAGGCAGTCCAAGTAGGCGTACGCATACGCCAGCATCGCAGTCGCCTGCTCCGAAAAGGCCCGCTTGTGCGACGACAGCCGCCGCAGCTCCTGCCCGACGATGGCGCGCGCGATCGGCGTGTTCGGCGCCTGCCCGACCGCCAGCGCCGGGTGCCTGAGCGTTTGTACGCCATACTTGTTCAGCAGTGCGGTCGCACACGTGGCGAGGGCGTCTAGGAAGTCCACGCGCCGGTGGCGCTGCCGCGCGAACGCCCACGCAAACGTCGCGATCGTCTGCGCCGGCAGCGGCGTGCCGTGCGCGTTCGCGAGCCGGTCGATCATGGTTTCTGCTGTTGCCTCGAACAATCGAGAATCCTCGATTCCCATGCTCGAGATAGCCCACAGAACGTTCGAGAGGTACTGCGGCCGCATCGACGCAACGTGCGGGGGGTACTCCGGCAGCTTCGCGTCACTCTGCGCCCCGCCAGCCCCGTCCTCGTCATCGCTGCCGCTCTCGCTGCCCGTCGCGACCCTGCCGCCGTACCGCCGCTTCAGAGCGCGGCGCCAGGGCGACGGCAGGAGGTAGTACGAGATGGCGCGGACCAGGCGCACCGCGTGGTCCGGCGGCGGCGCAGGCAAGTGCGCGGAGGACTCCCACGACGCCGACAGCGGCGCTCCCGGCCCCGCGACGGTCAGGTCGTCCGACATCTCCACGTGCGCCGAGAGCCCCTCGGCGCGCGGCGCGACGGTGTCCGCGCCGGAGTACACGCGGCCGAACGCGGACGCTAGGTTGCCGAGATCGACGTCCTGAATGGTGGACGCTCGCCGGCGTGCCTGGGCGGCGCCGCGGCCGCCGCGGCCCCGGCCGCGGCCGCGGCCCTGTCTGGGCGGAACGTTCTTGCCGCCGTGCTCGATTTGCCGCGTCGCCGACTCGCTGATCGCCGCGTATAGGTCATCATTTGTGTACCTGCAGATATGGGCCGGAAGCGACGGTACTGGCTTCGTGTTTGTCCCGGACGAACGCGCGCACGTTTCAGATGATTACTACGGTTCAGCTGCGCGTGTCTGCCTGCTCGCAGACGACGCGGCGAAAAAAAAGCTGTCGTGGAAGGAAGGATGTTTGTCACGCGCGAAACGATGGGCGGTCGGCCGCGCGGGACAGTGCCAGCGCCATATCGGAGTCGTGTGCATGGGGACGTACCCGGCGCGCGACATCGCGAGCGCGATGCCGGCCAGGTCGCGCAGGGACGCCCTGGGGGCCACTGACGTCGCCGTGGCCCCTAGCCGCGCTATCGACGCGCCGTCGAACGCGCCCAGGGCTTGGTAGCCCCAGATCACGTTGAACACCGCCTGCGGGTCCATCCTCGGCAGCAGTTCGTCGACCACGGGCCACAAGTTGACCAGCAGCTGCCGCGTAGGGTCTTTTGGGAGGTTGTCCTCGACTGCCATCTTCGCGAGGCCCCAGACGACGATCCCGAGCTCGCGGTCCTTCCAGCGCTGCGCGGGCTGCTCGAGGACGAACCGCGGCAGGGCGGCGAGCAGCGACGACGACGCATGCTGCAGGTTTGTCGCTGCCCAAATGATGTTCGACAGGCCCTGCGTGTTGCATTCCGGGAGGCGGGCCTGCGCGGAGGAACGGCGCGGTGATGTGTCGGGGACGGCGTTGCCGCGGGCCGGCCCTGCCGCGAACGGGGGGGTGTGAAATGGTTTGTCAGACGCTGTGGTGCGACGCCGGGCGCACCTCCACGAGGTCGGAGCACATCTTGGTGCGCGGGTCCTCGCGGATGAGCGCGGGGTCCTCGTTGCGGTTCTGCCTCACGATCTGCGCGCGGGGCGACGGGAGAAAACAACGAATGTGAGGGTTCGCAGTTGGCGATCCGGGTCTGACGGTCAACGCTCGCAATCGAGGCCGTCACGAACGCGCTGCCCCGGATCACTAGATACATACCGCGCGAATGCGGTGCGCAGCGAGGCAGAATGTGCGACGCTCGAGCGGTGCGCGCGGCAGCAAGCTCCCTTGGCACGCAATAAGGGCCAGAGCCTTCGCGGGGCGGCGTCCCAGGGCGGGTCGAGCGCGCGGGGGCGTCGGCGGTGTCGCGATGGTGGCGGGAGAGCGCACCTTGGCCAGACGGTTGAACGCCGTGACGGCGTTGATATGGGTGAAGGAGTCGCCTTCCAGGATCACCAAATCGAGCAGTTCCTCCGAGTCCTGAGCATTCACGATGCGATCGTTCAGCCTCCTGGCGTCGCTGATGTACGAGGCGCGTGCCAGTCGGTCCGGCGGGCCCTGAAGCGACCTGTCGTCGGCGCCCGGGCCCGGCTCACGATCCAGTGCAGCCCTCACGGCCGCGTTCCGCGGCCGCCGCTTCTCTTGGACCCTTCCAGGTCCGCCGAGATGGGCAGCTTGAGTCGCACGAACCACCGTGCAGCGCGGATGGTGGCAGGCTGCGTGGCGCCACCACGCGCCGGGCGAGACTGCGCCAGCCATGCTTCCCGCGCACCTCCCGGCCCCTGCGCCTCTTCTCAGCGCAACTCAACCGCGCAGCATCACCTCCGCAACCGCGACTTCGCCGCTCTCGAACGCAGCCGCCAGCCGCCAATCGAGCGCAGAAGAGCACCAGGGCCACGTCCTGAAAGACAGCCTCGCCGCGCGGCCCCTCGACAACGACACGGGAGCGCTTCAGTCCCCTAAGATCCCAAACACCGCCAAAGTAACCCGCTCCTGCCGCGCCGCGCCCATTCGGAGCACCGGCCAGCCGCTGCGGCGCCTGGGGGGGACTGGATGACCTCTCACGTCAGTCCTGCGCCTGCCTCTCTCGGCAGACCCCCCTGTCTTCGCCGGCAACCTCACGCCGATGCCCTGCGCGACGCCCCGCCGCGCCGCCTCCCACGTCCGCGCCGCCCCGCACCCACAGCCGCGTCGGCTTGAGCAATCGCACTGTGCGCTTCGCTGCCCTACAAGCACCCTCGCCGCGAGGACGCTTGAGCGACCGAAACGGCACGGCAGACGTGACTCACACAGCAGACACGGTGGACAACGAGATCGAGATCGCATCACCGATTTGCAGTCATGCATGTCGTGCACGAACTCACTCGCATCCACTCCCCCCCCGGGACGCCATCACGATGATCGTGGTACAACGGCATCACAGCGGCAGCGGCGTCCCGTCTGCCTCGCCGCGCCGCAGCGGCGCGGCCCGCGCGTGCGCCCGGGGGCGTGCGACCCGCTGCGATACGACTGCGGTCACTTGCTGCGGAGGTCGACAACCTCGTGCTTGACGCGCGGGTTCACGAAGACGTGGCCCGAGTGCTCGTAGATCGGCTGCCCGGTCGACGTCGGCGGGTGCGGGTGGAACCCGCTCTGGCGGCACTTTTGTACCAGGGAGAGTCCCCCCGGGGTGGTCAGGCGGAAGATCCCGCACTTCTTCGACGGGTCCGTGGGCGCCATCACGATCGCGATCGCCTCGTCGAGCATTGTCTGGTATCCGCTCTGCGTGTGTACGTCGATCGACGACAGAAAGCACGTCTGCGTGGGGTGCGTGTGGACCCACCCGAGCGGGAACAGCGACCGCTCCTCCTGCGCCTCGAAGATCTCCTCCTCGTGCGTCGCGGACACCGAGTCCGAGTGGCCCTCCTGCTTCGGCACGATGAGGGCGGTGATAGTAAAGACCCCCCGCTGCGGGTCCAACTCCCCCGCGAGGATGCCGCAGGTCTCGATCCCGCGCCGCGTGTTGCTGCGCGCCATGTGCATGAAGTCGTCGAGCAGGCTCAGCGAGATGTGCACGCCGCGCATCTCCCCGTTGTCGCCTCCGCCGCGCGCGCTCCACTCTGCGAGTGCGCGCTCGCGGGCGTCCTGCGGCGGCGCCGGGCACGAGCAGGACGGCGCCGCCTGCGCCGCGTTCGGGTCAACGCCCGTCACGCCCACGGCCTGCGGCTGGAGCTGCACCGCTGGCGGCACCGCCTGCGCCTGCGCTTGCTGCGCCGCCAGCGCCGCCAGCTGCGCCTTCCGCGCCGCCCGCGCCTCCCGCTCCCGCGCCTGCGCCTCGCGGAACTCGTTGCGCGCCACCGGGGGCTCCTGCGCGCGCGCCGGCGGCTGCTGGTGCGCCGCCGCGGGCGCCGGCTGATGCTGCCCTGATCTTGGATCGTACGTGTACGTTGGAAGCGCGGGCGCCGCTGACGGGAGGTCCGGGTACGCCGCGCGCTCGCCACCGGCCGCTTCGCCGCGCGACGCCGGCAGCGCTAGCTGCTGCTGCGGGTGTTGTTGCTGTTGTTGTTGCTGTTGCGCTGCATGCGGGCGCACGTCGAGCCGTTCCTGCCCGGGCGGCAGCGGCGGCATGACGGCGTGGCGCTCGAGGATGTCCCGCGGCAGGTCCCGCGTCGCGCTCGAGGGCGCGCGCCAGTCCCCGAGCCCAACGTCGAGTGCGGCGGTGGCGGGGTCGCTCGCCGGCGCCGAGGGCTCCGGCGGGCCGCTCGGGACGCTCTGCACGAGGCTGAGGAGGTCTCCGGAGTCCGGGATCTCGAAGCCGGCCGGCGCCGGCGGCGCGGAGGGCGCGTGCGCGTCGCTGGCGCGTCGCGCTCTCAGCTCCGTTTCCTCCTCCTCCTTGGCTTGTTTGCCCGGCGCGGCGGGGGCGTCGCCGTCGTGAGGGCCCACTTCCTGCCAGGGCAGCGAAGGGAGCGTGGCCGGGACGGTCCCGAAGGGTTGTACGTCCGCCGGGAGCGCGGTGTGTGCTTTCGGGGCCTGGCGCTTCTTCCTGGCCTCCTCCCACCTGCAACGCACGACAACCAGCGTCTTATACACTTATTCTCGATGCCGGGAGAGAGAAGGCGGGGTGGGAGGGCTCCCTGGGTTGTGGGAGGGGCTGTGAGCATACAGAAGCTCGCCGGGGGCGCACCGTTGGTTGATGGCCTGCTTGAGGTGCTCGAGCTCGCGCACGATCGACGGGAGCCGCTCCTTGAGCGCTGCGTAGGGCGCTTGCGGCCGGTACGCGGGGTGCGAGGGAATGGTCTCCATTACGAGCACGGAGAACCGCATCAGCGCCACGAACACCTGCTCCGGGTCCCTCGCGCGGCGGTAAATCTCGGCCTGCGTGCACCACGGGGCCGCGGCGGGCGCGGTCGGCGAACACCGTCGCCCCGACGCACGCAGGGGCGACCGGAACGATCGCCCGAGACCAAGCGCAGACATCGAGTGCCGCTTTTGGTGCGTAGCGGGGCCGGAACCCGGCCTCCTCCGCCCTGGCGAGACTGTCTCGATGCCAGGTAACGGATGCGCTGGAGGTTTTCGCGGGAATCGGCGCGTGCGAGTGCCGCGCGCGTGTCGTCACAGCCCAAAGAAAGCAAGGCTTGTGGGGGGCCGCGGACCTGGCGTAGCAGCTGCCGCGCCCAGTGCTCGTACACGTGCTGCGAGGTGGTGGTCTTGACCTCGTAGTTCGGCACGCGCCGCAGCAGCGCGGTCACCCGCGTCTCCGCAGACGCGGCGGTCATGGCGACAGGGACGGCCTCGGGCTGCTGGTCGCTCGCCGGGACGAGAAGCGCAGATTCTCGACGCCGGGCTCCGCCAGGACGTCAGCGTCCGTCCGCGCGCATGCGACTGTGCGGGCGAAGCGGGCGGCGGACGTACGCGCGCCAAAACGACGAGGACTCAACGCCCTGCGTGGCGTCCGTTGTGGCACTGGTTCGGTGGGAGTCGCTATGAAACGGACGCAGCGGATGTGGACGCGTGCGCTGCGGCGCTCCAGCGAAGGTTTCGGCCGCGCTAGGCGCCGCACGCGCGTCCTGACTCAAGGGGTGGAACTTGTTTGGACCGCGGCGCTCGACAGGGGGCCTGGCAGGCGCGCGAAGGAATACCGCCGCCGAGCTCGGGGCCCGAGGAGTCCGCGCTGCATCGATTCGCGCCGAGGAACGGCAGCTGCAGCCCCGCGTGCATTGATACACACTCCTTTCGTGTCCAGGACATCGACATGACGACGTGATTCGGCTTTGGACGTCTCACCGTCCCATACGCAGACTGAGTCCCGGTCTGGGCGCCAGAAAGGCGGCCTGCGACCGGCCTGCGCGACGGCGATGGCCAGTCATGGAGTCAACTTCGACAGGTCCGTTCTCCGTACCAGGCCCGCAGACGGGCGTGTATCTTGCACGACGTCGTTGTTCCGACTCATATCTTCTGCATCACGCGTGGTTCACAGCGTGTTTACGGCGATACTGTCTGATATCGAGGCCAAAGTAAGCCAGGGTCTTCCCGCGCCCACGGAGGCGCACCTCACGGCCCTCCTGAGCCTCTTCGACAAGAACCAGCTCCCGAACGCCCTCAAACTCATCGACCAGGGCGCCGTCAAGTGCTTCGTCGGCGAGAAGTCACACCGCACAGTCTTCCAGGTCCGTCCAACCACCTCCCGCCAACCACCACGCCCCATCCCCGCCGGCACAGCCGTCTCTGAGCCTCAACCGGCCTCCCAAACCCTAACCCTACCCGTTCCCGCCGCGCAGGTCGCCAGCGCGACGAAGCACGGCCACCAGGACACCTACACTGTTTTACCTGGTCACTTCTGCACCTGCCACGCGTTCCAGTGGTCCGTGGCTTCGCGCGCCGAGCAGCACTGCTGCAAGCACCAGCTCGGCGCGCGCCTCGCGCACGCCCTCGGCCGCTCCAACCGCTCCGTCGTCCCCGACGACGTCATTTTTCGCGTCCTCATGAGCGGCGTATAGCAGCGCAGGAGCACGCGCCGCCCGGGGCCGCCCGGCGCGCAGCGCACGCTCAGCGCGACGCCCGCTCGGCTGCGCACGCGTGCGCGCCGAGGAACGGGCGCTGCAACCCGGCGATCGAGGAAACAAGGTCCTTGAGGTACAATTCAAGCGATATATAAATGCACGCTCCGATTCTAGCCCAAGCGGCGTTTCCGATGAGTGAGCGAGTCCCGATGTTCAGCACACGCAACTCGGCCATCGAGGCGCGTGCCCAAGGTCGGTCGTTCGACGAACGGCGGCAAAGCACTGTCAGCCACGGCGTGACGCGTCACGAGGTGTCTCTGAGAGAAACGGAGGGCGGCGCGTCTGACACGCGCCGCGCTCGATGTGACGGTCACCGGTCCGTGCCTGCAGTGCACGCGCCCGACCCCACGCGCGTCCCCTGCACGCTTCGGCGTCGCACCCCGACAGCTGCCGCTGCAGCTTGCTCACGCTGCGCGCGGGTACTCCACCGCGTCGCTGCTCTCGGCCACCCCTTCCTCGGTCAACGCGCCCTCCGGTTCGACACGTCTCGTCGGTCTGATTGTCCATCACACGTGGCGCGCGCGCCATGCGCCCTACGTCGACCTAGAACCTCCGCATCGCCAGAACAGCCCGACGCGGCACCGCGCGTGGCGCACGCGCGGCCCGCGCCCCGACGCGCACGGCGGGCCGCTGCACGAACATCCGCACCGCCCCCCCGCGCGCCTCCCGCGCCGCACGCGCTGCCCTGCACAGCGTGAGACGGCCAGGCGCGCCTGCGCGGTGAGTCGCCCGCGAACCGACGGGCTCCGCGCTGCGGCAGCCCGAGCCGCCGGCGCGGGCGCACTCCGCGGGACGCACTCACGCTTACGTGCTCTGCACGGCGCCTTTTTCCAAATAGCTTTTTTGGGCGCGGTGGACCGAGCCCTCGTCGTCCCCGCCGTCCTGCTCCGTCCCGCTGCCCTCGAGGCGCTTCCGCACGACCTCGTCGATCTCCTTCTTGAACTCGTGCACCATTGCCACGTAAGGGGGCTTGTCTCTGGCCTGGAAGTCCTCGAGGGTCCACTCCCCCTCGCACTCCCCCTCCTCCTTCCAAACGTACGCCACGGCCACGGCGGTGCGGCCCGAGGCGGTCGTGACCTGCGGCGGCGCGGGCGTCGCGAGAGCTGCGTGGAGAGACGCGACGCGGCGATGATGTTGCCGTCGTTCAGTGGCGCGGTGCGGGCGCGGCGGACCTCGACGTCCTTGCGGTAGTAGTCCGTGTCCTCGTACTCGTCGAGGATGAACTCCTCGATCTCGGACAGACCCGTGATCAGCGTGCCAGTGCAGCTGGCACCTGATTCTGGGACCAACCCCGGGTACGCCCGCCCGCGCAGCCCGTAGCGGCGGTAGCCCGTGAGCGTGGCGGTTTCTGTTGTGGGGTCACGGTCGAGGAGGATCTGCGCCGCAGAAACGCGCAGGCGCGCCGGGATGGGACGGAAACGTGATGCTAGGCTTGTGTGGTGCGCGGCGGACGGGCGCGGCGCGGCACGAGCGCGGCTTGCGCGCGCGATCGAGGCGCAGACGTAGGTTCCGGCGCACGGGGCGGACGGAGCGCGGCGAGCGAGCGGCGGCCGGACGCTATGCGCGGTGCAGTAGTGGTGCGCACCCGCACGATGTCGCTGTCAGTGAGCGTGCCGTACACGAAGAGGCCTTCGTGCGCCCTGGCTGCCATCTTGCGAGCGACGCAGCGCCTTCCCAGGCCCCCGCTGCCTCAGCGGCTTCCTACGCCTAGCACTAGAGCGGCCTCAAGAGAGCCGGAAAAGCGAGTAACCTGACGTTGATAACGCGCAATGCCGAGATATATGGATAGTTCTACTTGCGAGTGAGTGCAGGTCGAAAGATGTGCATGTGTGACGACCCACGCTGCGAGATATGACATCATTTCGCCCCTAGTGAAACAGGGAGTGGGTGTCTCCCGAATTACACCTCCCTGGGTGCCCCGCGAGCGGTCGGGGGCGCGTGGCTGCTGGCGTGAGCAGTGTGGAGCATTTTCCAGATACACAGCCCAGTTGCGGGCGCGCGGGGAGGGCAGGAGCGGACCTCTGTTGCCTTGCAGTGGCACTTGCCGGTGCGGCGCGGGTCCGAGCGAGATGGACGCCGTGAGGCAAGCCGACGCACTCTTTGAGACAAAGAGCATCAAGGAGATCCAGCAGATCGAGCGCAAGTGAGCCTACCGTCCTTGCCTGCGCAATCTTTGGCAAAGCAGCACCGAAACGCGCCGCACGGGACTCCAGCGGCGATGTCCCCGGCGTCGCAGTATGTATCAGAGCGTATACATCCTGCTCTGCACCCGTGTCTCTGAATCATCGCCGCAACCAGCAGCTCCACGCCACTCGTGCAACCGGGTTCCAACGCTCCTGCCACGTTGCTCACACCCCCCGACACCGCAGCACAGCACTGCGCCATAGCAGCTCTTACTTCCACGTCACTGGTACCCGCACGCAGCGCCCGATGCGACCCCAGCTGTCGCTCACGCCCCCTTCCCCCTCCCCTCCCGGCCCCGCCGACGCCCCACGCGCCCGCTCCGCGCCCTCACACCCCACAGAACCCGCAAGGATGTCGAGGGCAAAAAGGACGAGCTGCGGCGCCTCGTCGGGGACTCCTACACCGACGTCATCCTCTCTGCGGACCGCATCAAACAAATGGCAGACCTTTGCGACGAGGCAACGAGGTCCGTGGCCGACATGACGGCCCGCCTCGCCGGCCTCGCGGACTCCCTCGCCTCCCAGGCGTCCACGGTGCGCCTCCCACGCCATGACACCCCCCCAGCTCGCCACCATTCGGCGTTTGCTATGTCAGAGTTGCTACAACGCTCTCGACTCCGTCCCGCCGACGCCCCGTCGCGGCGCCCGCCCCTGCGAGCAGGTCGAGTCCCGCGCAGAGGGGCCCGCCGCGGGGGGCGTATCCGAGGACATCTGGACCGCGGGAGTCTTGGTTGGATATCTCATGGAAACTCAAGAAGCCATATGGGGCCACCTCGACGCCGGGGAGTACCTCCTCGCCGCGCGGCGGCTCGCACGCGCCGGCTGCGTCGAGCGCGCGTTCTCCTCCGCCTGCGGCGCGGCCCGGCACCGCTTCCCGCTCCTGCGGCAGCAGCTGCCGGCCATCGCGAAGCTCAAAGGGCAGGTTGTGGAGCGCGCGACGGCCAGGCTGGCGTCGGAGCGCGCGCTGACGCCCGCGCACGCGGCGGACGCGCTCGCGGCGCTGCTATGGTGCGGCGAGGCCGGCGCATTCGAGGAATCCTCGACTGCCGGTGTCGCCAAGTGTCTGCGCAGGTTCCTGGACCTCCGGGCGGACTGCGCGGCGGCGGCGCTCGCGGACGAGGGCGAGGCGGCCGGGCAGGGCGCGGCGGCGTGCAGCGCGGCGCTGGAGCGCGCCGTCTCCGTCGTCCAAAGCACGCTAGTGCTCGCGGGGCGGCTGTTCGTCGGCGGGGCGCCCGGGTCCGGGCCGGCGGGCGGCGCGTACCTCTCGCGGGCGCCCGTTCTGCAGCAGCTGCTGCGCGCCGCGTCGCTGGACGGCGAGGACGGCACGCTGGACACCCTCCCGGGGTCTCTCGGGCTGACTCCGGCCGCCACGTCAGCGGACGCCGCGCCGGGGTCGTGGGCGGCGGCGGTCGCGGCCGCGGCCGCGGCCGCGGACACTGTGCGCGATGTGCGGTGCGGAGACGAGCTGCGCGGGTGGCTACCGCGTGTCGCTGCGACCTTTCTCGGTGAGGCGCACCACACGCTGGGGGTGTGCCGCTCCGCGGCGGAGGTGTCCGAGGTCGAGACGACGGCGCGCGCGAGGCTCGCGAACTGGACGCTGCCGCCCGCGCTCGCGGCCATGGGCGCGGGCGACGCGGACGGCGCCGCCCAGAGGGGGGGCGTCGACGACGCCCCCGCGTCGTGGGGGGATGTGTGCGCGTGGGTCGGCGCCGGGCGGATCGACCTCTGGAGCGCGTTCCTCGAAGAAGCGGTCCTGCGCCGCGGCGAGGAGCTCATCCGCGAGGCCGTCGACCGCGCGAAGCAGCGGTTGCGCGAACAACTTGACGCGGTGCTGACGGCGGCGGACGCGACCGACAGAGCGGCGCCGGTGGCGCTGACGGGCGCGGGGTCCGCGAGCCAGATGCTTCCGGGCGACGGCGCGCGGTCGGCGTGGCAGGCCGCGGCGGCGGCGCTGGCGGACGGCCTGTCGGACGACTTGGCAGAGGCGGTGCGGGCGGCGGCCATCCTCGTGCAGACGGAACGCGACGCGGGCGTGGCTGCGGGGGCCGGGCGCGGGCGCGGCGGCGCGACGCGGTCCGTGCGGCTCGGGACGTTCACGCAGTCGGAGTGCCTGGAGCTCGCGAAGACTATCGGAACCATAATTGCCGCGGGGATGCCGGCGGAGACTGACGACTCCGGGGCGTCCGGGAAGGGCATGGAGCGGCGGCTCGCGCTGGCGCAGCTCGCGCTGGGCATCGCGGACGATACGAGCCTGCTCAGCGTGTGCCTCGGGCCGCCTGAGGCTTGGCAGCGGGCCCTGGCACGCGCCGTGCTGTCGCAGCAGCCTGGCGGCACCGGCGCGGCAACCGCGACGCTGCTGTCCGGGTACGCCTCCGGCTCGATCTCGGGGCTGCTGTCCGGGAAGGCGTCGCGGCCGGCGGGCGGCGCGGGGGGGCCTGGCGCGATGGAGGCTTCACGGGCCATTGCGGAACTGACGGCGACGGGCTGGAGGGCGGCGGACGCGTGGTGCACGTGGGCGGCGCGTGCGCTCGCGCAGTCTTTCGTGCGGATGCTTGCGAGCGCGCCAGACGCGGGGAAGGCGCAGGCGCCGTCGTCCTGGCAGGATGTGCGCGTGGGAGGTGGAAACACGGACGACGATGTCGTGTTCAAGCTGCCGTGCGCGATGTCCGCGACGGCGGCGTCGCTGATGTTCGCGGCGTCGCACGAGCTGCTGCGCTCGGGCCTGCTGCCGCGCCTGGCGCCAGGACCTGGCCGGCACGGCGCGCACGCCCCGGGACTCCCCCCCGGGGCTGCGGCGGCGCTCTCGGCGGCGTTCGCGTACCGGTTGCTCGAGTTCATCCTCGCGGAGCTCGAGAGCCGCTGCGAGGACGCCTCCGCGCCGCCGGACTTCATCAAGGATTCCTCAGAGGCCCGAGTTCTTCAAATCCTATTTGATTTCGCCGCGCTTCGGGGCTTCCTGCGCGGCGCGGAGCCCCCGCCGTCCCCGAGCCCCGCCGCCGGGCCGCTCGCCGGCCTGGCCGCGAGCGAGGCGCAGAAGGAGGCCCGCGAGCTCCTCAAACGCGCGGCAGCCGCGCAGGCACGATGCGCCTCCGTCGTCGACCCCATCGACTGGGCAACGTACGAGCCGCACGTCGAGAGCATGGCCGCGGCATTCCAGGAACGCTGCGGCTCCGTCCTGTCCCTGCCGTGCGCCGCGCTCCCCGCGCCACGCAAGCACGCAACAACAACAAAAGCGGCCGGGACAGGTGCCGCGGCGCCCACGGTCACGCTCGCGACGGCCCCGGCGCCGCCGCGGTTCGTCTACCTCCCGTTCTCTTCGCCGACGTCGGCCGGCCGCGGCGCCGCGCCGCGCGCGAAGGCGCAGGCCGCGGCGGCGCCGAGCGCGTGCGGCAGCGGGTCGCTGCGCTCCGTGTCGGACCTGAGTCAGTTCGGGCGGCCGGCCGAGCCCGAGGCGAGCGCCGGAGGCGCGCGCGCGGGGCGGCGGCTGCGGTGCCCGTCGCGGCGTCTGCGGCCGCGACGGCGCCGGCCGCCGCGTCGTCGGGGCCATTGCCGGACGTGCTGTCGCGGCAGGGGCTGGCGGAGCTGCACGCGACGTTCAGCAGCAAGGGGTCGGCGCTGGCGCGGAGTATGCTCGGGGGAGGGTCGACGCTGGGCGGGCTGTTCGGGACCGAGGGTTGACGGGCGCGAAACTCGACACACTTGTGCGGCTGTCTGCTCGTTGTGATGACCTCTGAGCAGAGCACACGTGTGCGGCTGATCGCGCGTGGAGTGCGGCAGCCGAGACCAGCACCTTCGCCGGTCACGATGCTGATGCGCATCAGCCAGGATCACGCACCGCAACACGATCTTTTCCAACTGATTGCAAACGTCTGACGTCTAGAATCTAGAACCAATCAAACCCGTTCCCTCAACTGTTCACACTTCTTCTCGCCGCAGTAGCACAAGACAGAGACCACCTCGCATCCATCAACCCCCCTATCCAACTAGGAGGGGGGTGTCCACGTTACCCCCCCCTCCTAGTTGTGTGCAAAGGCCAGCTCGTCCGCGTTCTGCTCAATCAGGGTCCGCTCGGCCTGCTGCGTGTCCCACATGTGCTTGTACACCCCGTCCTTCTCCATCAGCTCGTCGTGCGTCCCGGACTCCACCACCCTCCCGTGCTCCATGACGAAGATCCGATCGCAGTGCCGCGTCGTGGTCAGACGGTGCGTCACGAAGACCGCCGTCCGCCCGCGGCTCAGCGCCGTCAGACTCGCCATGATCGACGCCTCGGTCGTCGAGTCCAGCGCAGACGTCGCCTCGTCGCACACCAGGAGCCGCGGATCCCGCAGAAAGGCCCGCGCAATAGCTATGCGCTGCTTCTCGCCGCCCGAGAGCTTCAGCCCGCGCTCGCCGACGACCGTGGCGTACCCCTGCGGCATGCGCAGGACCGTGTCGTGCACCTCCGCCGCCCGGGCCGCCGCGATGCACTCCTGGTCCGTCGCGCTGGGCCTCCCATACCGAATGTTATTCAGAATCGAGTCGTTGAACAGAACGGTGTCCTGCGGCACGACCGCGACGGCGTTGCGCAGCGAGGACGTCTTGATGTCCTTGACCTCGACGCCGTCGAGCTCGATCGCGCCGTCCGACGCGTCCCAGAGCCGGAGCACCAAGCGCAACAGTGTAGACTTGCCGGAGCCGCTCGCGCCCACGACCGCGATCGACTGCCCCGGCGCGACGTCCAGGGAGACGCCGCGGAGGATCTGCCGCTCCGGGACGTACGCGAACTTCACGTCGCGCATGCGCAGCGCCAGGCCGGGCCGTGCGGAAGCTGCGAGCGCGGGCATGGGTGACGAAGCCGAGGGGTCCGCCGCCGCCGCGGACGGCTTCGGGCCGGCGTGCTGGAACCTGTACGTGATGGTGTCGCCGTCCTCGAGCACGCCGATCAGCCCGTTCGACTCGCCAGCGCCGTTCGCGGTGGACGTTGCGCCGTTGCTGGCGCCGTTGCCGGTCGCCGCCGCGGCCAGCGGCTCCTCGTCGCCGTCCACGGACGCAAAGTTGTACGTCACGGCTTCGCCGTCGCCGGGCACGACGCCCGCCAGCTTCCGCGGCCGCGCCCCGCCGGCGGCAGCGTCCTCTCCGTCGGCGTTCGGGAGGTCCCGCGAACCGTCCTTGACGCTCGGCTTCATCGACATGACCGTGAAGAAGTTGTCCATGTCCACGAGCGACTGCCGCAGCTCGCGGTAGAACCACCCAAGGAACCCAAGCGGCGCCCACAGCTGCAAGATCAAACCATTCGCCATCACCATGTCACCGGCCGTCATGGCGCCGACGCCGCCCTGCGCGATGAGCACCAGGACGCCCGTGATGCCCGCCGCGAGGATGATCGCCTGCCCCGCGTTCAGCGCGCACGACACGGTCTCAGCATCGATGTTCGCGCTGTGGTACGCGCGGAGGTGCGAGTCATACCGCTCCCCCTCGAGCTCCTCGTTGTTGAACAGCTGCGAGCGGCGCCGCACGGGAGCGCGCGGGTCGCGACGCGGCGCGGCGCGCCGGCGCATGAAGCGCGAAGCAGGCCAGGGTCGGGGTTGCGTCAAGTGATGCAGTTGGGGCAGGCGTGCGCGGGAGGAGGCGCGCGCACCGTGACGGTCTCGAAGTTGAGGAGGGCGTCGACGGCCTTGCCGTTGGTGTAGTTCTCGATGCGGTTCACGATCTTCCGCACGCGCGCCGCCTCGCTTGTCATCGCGATGGTAAACCCGCAGTAGACCAGGAATGTGAGCATCACGGCGCCGGAGACCGCGGGCGTGAACTGGTGCCAGAGCAGCGCGCACACCATGGCGAGTTCCACGAGCGTCGGAATGAACGTGAAGACGACAGCGCGGAAGATGATGTACACCGACCGCGTGCCGCGCTCGAGCATGCGGTTGAGCGTGCCGCTCTGGCGGTTGAGGTGGAACGGCGCGTCCATGTTCAGGATGTGCCGGAACGTGTTGAACGCCACGCGGCGCGAGGCCGCCTGCGCCACAGGCGTGAACAGCACAGCCTGTGCCTCCTTCGCGGCGCCCGACAGGGCCTTGAGGGCGCCGCTGAGGACGAGCGCGCCGCACGCCGCCGCGATGATGGCCTCGGGGGTCGCGCCCGCGGGGTTCGCGGACAGGATGTCGACCGCCTTCTTGAAAAGCACGGGCACAGCCAGCCCGGAGACCTTGGCCAGCATCATGAGGCACAGGGAGCCCAGGAGGCGGAGCTTGACGCCTGGGACGTCCGTGGCGATCTTGACTAGGTACGGCAGGACGCGGTAGATCTCCGCCGACTGCGGGGCGACCGGGAACGAGGTGGTTGGCGCGCAGCACGTAGGATCGGCCGTACGTGCGGATTCGCGCGGGCGCTCGCGGCGAAACGCCCCGGGGAAGCGCGTCATGTATTAGCGGAGCTGGTGCGCCGCCGAAGCAGAGCAAGCAGCGCGCGACGCGGGCGGGGCGCACCTTGGGAGGGTGCGGGAGAGGTGGGAGCGCCCGGCTAGGAATCGAGGCGCGGGCCGCGTAGCCTCGGATCTCCGGGTCCTGCTCGAGCAGCCCCGCCGTCCCGTCTATCGCGGCAGCGTGCGCGCGCGCCGTGCGCGGCGTGCGCTGGCCGCGAGGCTGGCCAGGGATGCTTGCACCGCCGTGGGGCGCGCGGAGGGGCGCCCGGGGCGCCCGCGCGCTCGCGGGGGCCTGCCTACACACGCATCTCAGCGCACGCGACCGCGCGTGGCGCATCGCGGCGCCCGACGGATCGCTGGCGCGCATCCTCAGCGCACCCGAGGGGCAGCAAAAAGGAGCAGGGGGCGTTTCGCCGCCAGCGAGGGACCCCGCTGCTCAGCTGAGCCGGTGCAGCTGGCGAACGGACCCTGCGAGCTCCTGGTGGTACCGGGAGAGCCGACGTGTCGCTGTGCTGGCGCGGGCGCAGCTACGAAGGCCCTCGTGGTGGGGAAAGCGCGTCCGCTCGTGCGTCACGCGAACTCGCTCGCGGCGCGTCTCTTCGCTGCGGACCGACGAGGACGATGATCGATGGCACGGGCCCGGGCGTTCCCGCGGATTTCGACGCGCGCCGTGCACAGGGCGGCGGGGCGCGAGTGAGGTCGCTGCTCGAGCCCAGCAGGGCGATTGCGGTGCGAGGAGCGGCGGTGGGCGGGCTGGTGCGCGCGCCGGGGCGAGGTACGGATGTGGTCATGCACGGCGGCGGCATGAAAGGCGCGCGCCCCGCGTTTTCTACTCACAGCAGCCATCCGGGATGTCCCGCCAGGACTGACGGTCTGTTTTGCGGAGCGGGGCGCGCGTGGAATGGCCCCCGCGCAGCGCGGGCGGGGCCACTTACCGTCCCAGGAGGGATTTCGACCACAGCTCATCTTTGACTCACCGAGCAATTCACAGTGGCCAGAGAAGCACCAGCGGCGTTGGTTTCAGCTCCGACCGTTGCGAGAGCGCAAGTATGAGCGCATGGGGCGATCAGGTTGAAGGGGCCGGAGACGGCGGACGCAGTTCGTACGTCCCGCCGCACCTGCGCGGGGGAGGTACGCGCCCCCCGAGCCCGCGAGTTCCTTTCGGGGCGCCTGCGCGCACCTGTGGTTGCGGGCGAAGCTTGCTTCGCACCCGACGCCGCGCGAGGCCTCATTTACCACGCCCCCTCGCGCGGATCGCTGCAAGTCACGCCGTGCGCCGTCGCGCCCGGGCCGAGGGAGCCACCCTGCGCCCCCGGTCTCGGGCATCAGGCGCCCGCGGCGGCCCCTCGCGCCCGGCCCGCCCGCCGTTCGCGCCGCGACGGGCTCCCGCGCGCGGGGCCGCGCCATCCGCGCGCGGTGCCGGTTGCGCGCGTCCGCCACCACGAGCCGTCCTTTGCTCTCCTAGTCCGCCCGGGCGTCACCCCGGCAGCCCGCGCCCCCCGGCGAGTCACTTTCAACTCCCCGACACGGGCAGCGGCCGCCTTCGCCGCGCACGCCCACGGAGAGATCCACGCTGCGTCCCTCCTGCCAAAATCGCGCTTCCGCCTCTCCCGGCCTCCTCACGCAGGCAACCGCGGCCCGCCGCCGTCCGGATACGGAGGCCCCCCGCCGCCGCCCCGGGGCGGCGGCGGATGGGGAGGCGGCGGCTACGGCGGAGGCGGGGGCGGGTACGGGCGCCGCGGGCGCGGCGGGGGCGGGGGCTGGGGCGGGGGCGGCCGTCGCGACGACCCCAACCCCTTCGAGGCCTCCGAGAAGGAGAAGGAGGAAGTGGACAACCTCTTCCAGGCACGCAACCCCACCCCCCCCCACACACCCCCCCTCCGCCGCCCTCCCTTGTTCGCCGCCTGCCACGCCGCGCCTCACCGGTACAGCGCGCGCCGTCCCCGCGCCGCAGGGCCACACGAACACGGGCATCAACTTCGACGCGTACGAGGACATCCCGGTCGAGACCACGGGCGAGAACGTCCCGCCGCCCATCGAGACGTTCGATGCCGGCCTCCTCCCCCCGGCCCTCATGGCCAACATCCAGCGCTGCAAGTACACGAAGCCCACGCCCGTGCAGCGGCATTCGATCCCGATCGCGCTCAAGGGCCTCGACCTCATGGCGTGCGCCCAGACTGGTTCCGGGAAGACGGCGGCCTTTTGTTTCCCCATCATTGCCGGCATCATGAACCAGGGGCTCCCGCCCACGCCGCGGCAGCGCAAGGCGTTCCCGTACGCCCTGATTCTCTCGCCCACGCGCGAGCTCTCGACGCAAATCTTCGAGGAGGCGCGGAAGTTCTGCTACCGCACGGGCCTGCGCCCTGTGGTGTGCTACGGCGGCGCGCCCATCGTGCACCAGCTCCAGGACATGGAGCGCGGGTGCGACATGCTCGTCGCGACGCCCGGGCGCCTCTCCGACGTCATGGAGCGCGGCCGCGTCTCGCTCTCGCAGTGCCGGTGAGACCCCCCCCCCCTGCGTACGCTACTGTGTGCTGTGTGTGCGCGGCTGGTTGGTTGTGGCGCGCGGCGCCGGCGGACGGCGTAGGACGAAAACCGATCTAGTGATCGCTCTGCGCCCCCCCGTCACGGGCGGCCGGCGCCCAGCATGAGCTTCCGATCACGAGTCATAGTTACTCGGACGCCCCCACTCCCCCCCCTCTCCCTCTTCCGCGGCGCCGCACCCGCCCCGCCCCCGCCGCCGACCGCAGCCCCCCCGCGCCCCCCGCAGGTACCTCGCGCTGGACGAGGCGGACCGCATGCTGGACATGGGTTTCGAGCCCCAGATTCGCCGCATTGTTGAGGGCGAGGACATGCCCTCGCGGGAGTACCGCCAGACGCTGCTCTTCTCGGCGACGTTCCCGAAGGAGATCCAGCGCCTCGCGTCGGACTTCCTCAAGGCGGGCTACATCTTCCTGACCGTCGGGCGCGTGGGGCAGTCGACGGAGCTCATCCTGCAGTACGTCGAGTACGTGACGAGCGACCGCAAGCGCGAGATGCTGCTGGACCTCGTGAACTCGATCGAGGGCCTCACGCTGGTGTTCGTCGAGACGAAGAAGGGCGCGGACAGCCTGGAGGACCACTTGCAGCGGCACGGCATCAACGCCACGTCCATCCACGGCGACCGCACGCAGCAGGAGCGCGAGTACGCGCTGCGGATGTTCCGCACGGGCCGCACGCGCATCCTCGTGGCCACGGACGTCGCGGCGCGCGGCCTGGACATCCCCCACGTGACGCACGTCATCAACTTCGACCTCCCGTCGGACATCGACGACTACACGCACCGCATCGGGCGCACGGGGCGCGCGGGGAAGAAGGGTATCGCGACCGCGCTGTTCTCGGAGAAGGACCACGGGCTCGCGCGCGACCTGGTCGAGAAGCTGACGGAGACGGGCCAGGAGATCCCGAACTGGCTGCAGAACTTCGCCAAGGCGGCGCCGTCGTTCGGCGGGAAGGGCCGCGGGCGGCAGGGCCGCGGCTTCGGCGGGCGGGACTTCCGCAAGGGCGGCGGCGGCGGGTACGGCGGCGGCGGCGGGTTTGGCGGCGGTGGCGGCGGGTTTGGCGGTGGCGGGTACGGCGGCGGCGGGTACGGTGGCGGTGGCGGTGGGTACGGCGGTGGCGGGTACGGCGGTGGCGGGTACGGCGGCGGCGGGTACGGCGGCGGCGGGTACGGTGGCGGCGGTGGCGGGTCGGCGTGGGACTGAGTGCGCTTATGCGTGGCCACCGGCTGCGGACGAGCTGCGCAGCGAGCGTGCGCGGCCTCTGAGTTGCTGCGCTGAACCAATCTGGCCGCAAACGCCACTGCCAGTGACGCCAGGGGCCTGAACAGCCCCCTGACTCCCCTTGCCTACAACCTCCAAACCCCCCCCCCTCCCGCCTCCACCCCCTCCCGCCTCCCGTCCCCCCTTCCCCTCCCCCCTCCCCTTTCCCTTCCCCTCATCAGGAAGTGCGCTCGCCGGCACTCCAGCAGCCTGACGCAGACTGGCACGATGGCATGCTTGCGTGTGTCGAGCCCCCTTCCGCACTGTGGCGGGTCCCGCCCCCTCCCTACCGCGTCGGACAGACCCAACCCTGGCCCCTGTGGTGCCGCGTGGACCGCGCGCCGCCGGCCCCGCGGCGTCCGCAGGGCGGAGCTCGAAGCTAGCTTGCTTTGTACACACCAGCGACCATCCTGCCCGTGAACGGCTGTTGGCTCAAGTCCGTCGACTGTATTCGGAGACCCCCTCCCCGCCCCGAACGCAACCCCGCAAGGTAGAACTATCCCGCTGACTGTCAAAACTGCGTGTGCGCGCCGCCCCGGTCGTTCCTCCTACCCCCTGCCCCTCCTCCCCACCCTTTCCGAAAACGGCAGCCTGCGATTTTTCTGTGTCGCTACGGCGCGGATCTTCCAGCAGGCTCCTCCGGAGCTCCTCGGCCAGTCTGATGGGGGCGCCGCGTCCGTTTCGTCTCGTCCGCTCGCCTCCGTCCCACCCTGACCAGCACCAACGGCTGGCCCCGAGGCTGCCGCCGCGCTCAGATCGAGCGCGACGCGCCGTCACCCTAGCACCACCGTCACGACTCGGCACGACCCAGCGCCTGCTTCGCAGGCCTGCGCACATGCATTTTTCCCAGCACGCTCTCATTGCGAGGCGCACGCTATGGTAGCACGATCGCCGGCGTCCCCCCCGGTCCATATCTGTCGCGTATTCGCTCCGCAAATGCCGCGAGCGTGCACTCAAGCGGGACCTGTGAGTACCACTTGCGAAACACGACACGACGCGACGCGCGCCCCACGCTGCCTTGTACTCGCGCTCGGGCACCCTTCTCTTTCGCCGTGCGCGTGCGACGAGTGTTGCGCGCCCAAGTAAGTCTTTTGACGTGCGCTGAGCAGCTTTCCTCCGTCCACGGTGAGTCTGCGTGCCCACGGTGCGCAGCGCTGCGCCTGGCCGCTCGCGGCCCCGCGGTTTGGAGACGGGAGCAGCCAAAAGGACCAAGCAACAACGTGATGCAATGGTGATGATGAAAACGGTCGTGGTTTCGTAGATTACACGCGAGGAGCGACGCGCCAATCGCGGCCCTGAGACAGCACGCGTCGCACGGGAGCCGGGGAGCGGCCCTGGGCCGCACAACCCCACACTCCCCCCCCTTGACTTTGCGTCAGGATGGGTCGTAGGGAGGGGCAATAGGAAGTGGGGTAGGGGGGGGGGGAGCTTGCGTGTCGGCACGGCCGGGGACGGCCATGCGATCGTGCGAGCCGTTCCTGTGCTGCGGCGTCCGGCCTAGTCGTCATCGAGGCCGTAGATGTCCAGCAACCAGACGCACACGATCTGATACACTGCGTAGACGAGGTAGCACGCCATGAACGCGTAGCCCGTGGTGGGGCGGAGGCGGAACTTGTCGAACGTCACGGAGGCGAGGTAGATGCAGACGACGCCGAGAAGGATGATGACGTTCCACCAGAGGCCCTTTTTCTCAATCTCCTGCGGCTCCTGCCGAATGACGAGGACGAAGAACCACGGCGCGCCGAGGCCGAGCCAGATGTCGAACACGTTCGACCCGATCGCGTTCGCCACCGCCATGTCGCCCATGCCCTGCCGCGCGACGACGATCGACGACAGCGCGTCAGGCACCGAGGTGCCCGCGGCGAGCACGGTCACGCCCATGACGACGTCCGGGACGCCGAGGATGCACCCGATCTTCGCGGCCCACTCGACCATGAACCACGAGATCCCGCCGATCCAGGCAATCGACATGATGAAGGTGAGAGCGTACCACTTGTCCCATTTCGCCTTCCGACAGTCGGGGATCGTCAGCACGAACATGGCGTACCACGGCAGCGACAGCACCCACATCGGCCACTCCTGCGCGCCAGCGCAGCACCCACGGCACCTGTCAAGACTACTACATATTAGTAATACAACAAACCAATGCAAAATGATCATGATAGCACTCATACGTGCGACGACAGCGACGGCGACCGCCGCGGCGCACCTTCCAGTCGTCGGGCACCTCGAACGGGTTGTCGATCTCCTCCTCGTCCTCCTCGTTGACCAGCTCCGGGTTGACGGGGTGCGTGTGCGTGTGCACGTCGCGCGGGGTGGCCTGGTTGCCTTCGCCGTCGACGGGCACGACCTTCCCGGACCCGGACGAGCCCTCGCGGCCGCCCATCGCGGCCTCGTTCGCGCTCGTCACGGAGTGCCGCATGTAGGCCTCGTGCTGCTTGACGTGCTGCGCGATGGCGCGGTTGTTGTGCAGGGCGACGCGGTGCAGGTGCGCCTGCGCCGCGCGGCCGCGCGAGACCATCGCGCGGATCGCGTGCGCGAACGCGTCGTCCGGGCGGTGCGAGCTCGTCCCATTCTCGTCGCCCGTCTTCTGGAGCGCGGCGTCAGTGCGCGCAGTGTCGGTCGAGTCCTCGCCGGCGTTCTTCGGCGACATCACCTTCATCCGCGTGATCATGTGCCACTTCGCCGCGGCCATGCCCAGGTTGCCCGGCGCGCCGTTCGCCGCCGCGCCCGCCTTGTGCGCGCTGGCGCCCTCCGCAGCGTCCCCGGCCTCGGTCGCCTTCTTCGCCTCCGCGAGCTCGATGCTCGCGTCCTTGCGCGACGCCATGTGCTTCATCGCGGCGGGGAACCACCTCTCGAGCGCGTCCATGTACCGCTGATTGAACCGCATGAAGAGAACGTAGGAACAGTACAGGAACACCGCGATGAGGCCCTCCCACCAGTAGACCTTCTCGTCGAGGAAGAAGAGGATCAGCGTGACGACGCTGACGATGTAGAAGGCCGCGTCGCGCGCGATCGGGCGCCAGTCGAGCTCCAGCACCTGGCCGGAAAACACCGCCGTGGCGCCGATGATCACGAGCACGTTGAAGACGGCCGAGCCGACGATGGTGCCGATGCCGAGCTCGTTGTTCGTGCTCGGGTTGATCAGCGAGACGAGCGACGAGAAGAGCTCCGGCGCCGAGGAGCCCGCCGCCATGAAGGTTGCCCCCGCCACGTCCTCCGAGAGGCCCAGCGCCTCGGAGATGTGCTCGAGCGCGGCCACGAAGAAGTCGTCGCACACGATCGCGATGCCGAGGAACAAGTAGATCACCAGGAAGATGTACAGCGCCACACCGCCATTCTTCTCCCATTCATCTAAGTCGTCCTTGTCGCAGCTGGCGGCGGAAAGCAGCCTCCGTCGCATCTGCGTCGGGCCTCCCTCTGCACGGGCGCGCGGGGCCGCGGAGCCGCGTCAGCCTGGCGGCGCGGGCGAGCGCGGAAAGCTGTCAGGTGGCAGCCATGTGGTCGGAACGTGCGCGGAGGAGCAGCCAGCTGCGCCGAGGCGGCGCTGGTCGCGCGGAGGGGTGAAGTGGGCGTGCCGCGCGGCCGCGGGCGATGCGTTTGGGGCGCGGGCGACGACGGGCGCCGCGGAGGAGACAGTTGCAAGGGGCGGCAGGGGTCGTTGTCGCGCCGTTGCGGACGGAAGCGGTTGCGCTGCGCCGGGGACGGAAGGCCCAGTTCGGGGAGGCGGCGGGCCGGGGCGCTGTCGGCGGTTTGGACCACGTTATGCGAGGCTAGCAGCGGGAGGGGGCAACTGAAAGGTGGCCGAGTCCGCCTCGCGTGCGTTCCGGCGACGCGGCGGGCGGCCTGGACGGTCTGCATTCAGGCATGGCGCGGGAGCGCGCGACGAGGCGGGTTGGTTGGCCGTGCGCACCATACAAGGCCTTGCCTCCGGCGACTGTCAGCGCCATCGCGGCTGCGGCCACGGTCATCACGCCGACCCGGAACCCGATCCTGCATATACGGAAACGGCTTTTCGAACTCTCTAGCCCACGCCTTTCGAGCTCTCCAACCCAGAGCGCTGCGTCGCCCCCTGATGCCCCGCAGCGGCTTCGCAGCGCAGCCGCGCCTACCTGGCGTGCCTGCTCCATCCCGCCCTGCGCAAATTCTTCGACCACCCCATGACGGACGCGCTGCGGCGCGCAGCTGGCCGAACTCGCTCCGGGACGGGCGCTCTCAGTGCAACTCCCAGCGTGGCTCGCCACCGCCCTGCGGGTCCGGATCCCACGCCCCTCGCGCCCTGCTGGTGCGAGGATGCTGTGCGGGGCGCCCCGGCCCGGGGGCGCCTCGAAGGCCGCTCGGGCGCGCGTCGAGACGGGTCCTGCACCGGAGCCTTTGCTGGCACACTGCTCAGGGTCCTTTCCGCTGCCGCGGGGCGGCTGACACGTACCTGGGCGCGCTGATCCGCCGGGAAGGTCGCGCATGGGCTGGAGAATTTCATAGGATTGACTGAGGTCGGAAACGTGACGTCAAGGAGACGCGAAGGCACCTGCACCGCTGCAGCCTTTCGGGTGGGGCACTTTTTCGCGCGACGTGCGATCGGGGCGGACAGACGTGCGCTCACACCTCCACCGCACTGCCCGAGCGTGTCTCCCAAGGCTGGTGGCGCCCACGTTCGCAGCAGCTTCTTTTGTGCGCGTCTGAGACGGTCTCTCCTGTCTGTCATCTTGTCATGTCCTCTGTCCGTCTCCCGCGACCTCGCTGCCCGGCCTCCGCGCCCGCGCCGCGTCCTCACGGCTGTAGCGCGTCCCAGCTCGGGTCCGGGAACGGCTCCTGCGCAGCACCGCCGTCGGTCTGGACGTGTGGGCACGGTGATGGCGACGGCAGAGGGAGGGAACGCCTGCGTGCCCGCCCGGTGCGCAGGCAGCGTGGCCAGCTGGTCGGCACGCCACGCAACGTCATCACCAACGCGCCTAGCTCGGCGCCGCCGCCAAAGCCGCCTTTTGCCCCCATTGCTGTAACTGCGAAGCGCGGTGGCGCGAGGGTTAGCAAGCACGCGTGCGCAGGGGTCTCACGCTGCTCGTGCGCCACCGGCACTGTCCGTCCGCGCCGAAGCGAGCGCGCAGCTCCGTGTCGAGCAGGGGAGTGATAACTGAGTCGGGCGCCGGTGCGCCGTGCCACGTCAGGCGCGTCACGCTCGCCGGGACGGCGCGCAGCAGCGCCGCAGCGGCGTCGAGCAGCGCCACGCCTTCGGGCGCTGTGCCCCCCGTGAGGTGGAGTTCTACCACTTGCGTCAGGCGCGTCATACCCTGACAGACGGACGGCGTCATCGGGAGCCCGGACAGGCCCAGCACCCTCAGGCACGGACAGCCTGCGAGCTGACGCAGCACCGCCTCCTCCGCGTCCCCGGTGCGCGAGCGCGTCCCAGCGACGGCGGGCGCGAGGCGCCCCTCGCTCCCTAGCACCACGGTGTGAAGGTGCGGGGCGGCAGTCACGTCCTGCCACCACGCGTGCAGCTTGGTCTTCGGCACGCTGATGCGCGGGCCCTCGACGCAGAGCTCGCGTAGCTCCGCGCAGCTGCGGATGGCGGCGGCGCTCGCGGGTGCCAGGGAGAGGCGCGGTGCACGCAGGCGGCGCAGGGCGGGGAGCACGCGCCCGAGGGGTGGCATGCGCCGCGCGGACAGCCGGACGCCGTGCGCGTAGTCTGCACCGCGGAAAAAGCGTCGGGAGTGAGTACGGACACACTGTGCATGCTGCATCGTCCCGCAGGGCGCTCTGCATCGCACCCTGCGCCTGTGACGGTGACCCACGAGAGTGTCAGGCCGCGGAGCAGCGCTGGCGGGCACCGGGGCGGCTTTTGCTGCGCACACGATACTTCTTCTTCTAATAATGAAAAGCATGCTCTTGCGTGATGGGGACGCGGTCGGGGCGGCAACGCGCCTTCGGGGGGATCAACTTCGCCGTACTCGTCGCTGCAGTCCAGGTCGAGCGTCGTCACGCGCGGCAGCAGCGGCAGGTGCAGCAGCAGATCGCCCACGGTGACGCAGCGCGCGGGGGGGTCCCCGAACGAGCGAGACCCGACGTAGGCGCCCCACGCGTCGATGACGCGGAGGTGCTCGAGGTTCTCCAGCGGCGCGAGCCCGCTCAGGACCTCGGGCGCCTGCACAGCGACGGAACACAGCGTAATGCGTCATTGGACGATGCAAACACTTCCGGAGTGCCCACGGGGGCCATCCGGGAGCGTGTGCGCGGGCTCGTTGGATCGCAGCGCAGGTAACAGGCATGGTCGACGTGCGCACCGCGAAGCGAGCGCAGATCTGCAGCGCCCGCAGCGTCGCGCCGAGCGCCGCGATCGACGCCACCACCTCGCTTCCGAGCAGGTACGGGGTGTGCTGCGTTTGAGAGCTCAGCCCCGTCGCAGTGCTGACGCTTAGCACGCGCAGCGCGGGGACCGCGAACGCGGCACCGGCGTCGCTGTCGCCAGTGCCAACTGCGGCCAGGTCGCCTTCGGTCTTGCGCCAGCTTGCGCGGCCGGGCTGGCTCGGCCACCGCATGACGCCGTAGAGGCGGAGCGCCGTGAGATGAGGCATGTGGGTCGCGGCGCCGGTTATCGCGGCCACCTGGCGTGCGCACGCCCCCTGGCTTGTAGGCAGGAGGATGCGCAGCAACAAGGGGCTGCAGGCCTCGACGATGGACCGGCCGGAAGCGCTCGCGAGAAGGTCCGTTGCGTCGTCCGGGAGCCGTACTGCGAGGCTGGCCAGGCGCGTGATGCCAGGCAGGGCGTGCAGAAAAGCGTCGAAGGGCTCCGAGCGCAGATACGAGACGTTGAGGTGCCGGAGCTGCAGCGACGGAGCGGCGAAAATGTGAGGAAAGTGGTGGGATCGTCGTCGCCGCTTGCGCCGGCCTAGTTCGCGCAATACGTCGAGGTCGAGGTCGGCTTACGTTTTGCAGGTCGGCCAGAGCGCCGACGACGGCGTCCGAGGGCTTCGTCGTGTCGTGAAAGTACGTCACGGTTTCGAGGCGCGGGTTGCCCGCGACGATTCGAGCCGGCAGCGACGCCCGCTTCGAGGATCGCCGTGTGCCGGCTGCGCAGCCCATGACGTCGTCCGCGTCGTCGTGCGAGACTCCCAAGTCGAGCGACGTGAGGTCGTGCAGCGCCGCGAGCGCCTCGACGTCCTTGCACCCCGTCCCCGCCGCGTCGATGCTCACCTTGAGGCGTCGAATGCGCTCTGGAGCCCACCGCAGGGCAACAGAGGCGATATCGGGATCGCAACGGCCGTCCGAGCACTCCGCGTCGACCTCGACGCTCACAATATTTTCGTATATCCGTGAGATGGTCGGAACGTCGCGAACGGCGCGCGGACTGGCGCTGAAACGGCGCTCGACACTCGCACCGTCGTGGCCGGGCTTCCCGGGCGCAGGCAGCGCGCAGCTCCCGCCGAGAGGCACGATCTTCACGCACGCGTGCGCTGGAGGCGCGAACGTCTCGTTCGACGCCGCGCGCACCACGGCACGCGTCAGCGGAAAGCCGCTGCGTGACGACGACGACAGCAGCGCCCGCAGCACGGCGCGCGACGCCAGCGCGAGGCTCTCGCACGCGCTCGCGCTCCCCGCGTCGACCAGCCTGTCCACGACGCAGCCAGCGATCCGCTCGGACTCCAGCAGGCGCTCAAAGTGCGATTTCTCTACTGGAACAGTACTAGCTGCAGCGTATTCTATCGAGCGTCGCCGGCCCGCGCTCCCCGCGGCGCTGGGGCTGCTGCCCGCGAGCGAGCGGCGCTTCCCTCGTCCTCCCATCCGACCTCGGCGCGACTGTCGCGCCGCGCGGCCGCGCAGCGTGAAAAGGAAACGCCTGCGGGGCGTCGACGTCGTGATGGAGCGCACGTGGGCTGACGCGGCGGACCCTGCGACGCCCCGCGGCCGCGCCGGCGAGTCTCTCGCGGTGCTGCCGGTGCGCGGTGCGTCTCCTGGCGGTTGCCGCGGCCGTTCGAGGCCCGCGCTGCGGCCCGTCACGGCGCTGTGTGGCGGGCGCGAACGTCGCGGTTTCGTTGGGCGGGACGATCGCGGGAGGAGGCGGGTGGTGCGCGGGTGGGGCAGGCGAGGGCGCGGGTGCGCGGGCGCCGCGAGGGGCGTGTGCGGGGGGTGTGCGCGAGCGATGACCTGATGACAGACGGCAGGCGAGAGACTCAGGGCGCGAGTGCGGGTTCGCAGCGCGGGGGCGGCCAAGGGCGCGCGTGCAGCCGGTTCGCGCACATCTGCGCCCAGGAGTTCCTCGGGCAGCGTGTGTCGAACCGGCCCGGGCTGTCCGTGGGCGCAGCGAGGAGCCGCGCAAAGGGTAGTGTGGCTCCGGCGGCGTCCCGCGCGGGGTCGAGGAGGCCGCGGGTGGAATTCGCGATTGCGTGAAAATGCTCCCGGGACTCGTCACCGACGCCGGCGAGCGCCTCAAGGGCGCCACCGGCATGTCGTACGCTTCAATGGCTCTGGCCGCGGGCACGGCATATCTCGGCTACAAGGTACAGCCCGCCACGCCCGCCCAGCAGCACTCCCAGGCACGCTCGCCAGCATCGCGCCGCGCCACGCACACACCCCTCGCGGGGCCCGTGACGGGCGGGCGCGGGCCTGCGCCGCGCTGAGAGCTTTCGCCACGGGGCGCCCGCCAGGGCCCTCAGGTGTTCGTTCAAGCAGCGCAAGCGACGCCTCAGCCCGGATGCGCAGACCTGCGAACCCATCAGCGCCGAGTGCCGCCGTCACCGGGCCGTGGTTACAGAACCCCAGGCAACTAGGCCCGGCGCCGCCCTGAGCAATCCGCTGATTGCACCGCGTCGCCGTTCCCGAAGCACGACAACCCAGCCGTCTCCCGTTCATCCACATGATCGCCCGGCGCCGGACTGCCACGATCGCGGCGCCCCGCGCCCTTCCCTGGCTAGCGCGCCTGCGGCGGTCGCACGGCCCCACGCGCCGTCTTCTTTCCGCGCAGTCCCGCGAAACCGCCTCCCGCGCAACGTCCCCCCCCGCAGATCGTCGGAAGCATCGTCTCGGGCCCGGACATGGGCCCCGCCGACCTGCCTGAGGCCAACTTTGCGACGTGGTTGCGCGTCAAGCCCGAGGCCCAGGAAGAGGAGGACGACCGCGACCCCGCGGACTTCTCCGCCTTCATCCGCAAGCCCGGCGGCCCACGCAGCGCCCCCGCCGCGCCCCCGCAGCCCTCCAAGGTAACCACAAACCCCCTCGATAGCGTCGCCCTTTTGTTTTCGCGCACCCAGGGGGCCGGACGTCGCCGGGTGCCCCCGCGAGTCTGCCTCGCTGCGCGGCCTCTCACCCGGCCCGTTTCTGTGACACCCCCCCCTGCAGCCGGACCCCCTGGCCAAGCTGCCTGACAGCGGCAAGCCCGTGACGATCCTCTTCGGCACCGAGTTCGGCTTCTCCCAGGAGATCGCCGAGAAGCTCCAGGAGCGTCTCCTCGACGCCGGCGGCTACCTCCCGCGCGTGGTCAACATGGCGGACCACCCCGACGGCTTGCAGGAGCTCGCGCAGCAGCGTGCGGTCGTGGTGTGTTGCTCCACGCAGGGCGACGGCGTGCCGCCGAGCGAGGCGCGGCCGTTCGTGGACTGGCTCGACGCGTGCGAGGCGTCCCTCGCGGACACGAGCTTCTCCGTCCTGGCGCTCGGGGACTCGAACTACACGCACTTTTGCCGCTGCGGCAAGAACATCGACGCGCGCCTCGAGGCGATGGGCGGCGCGCGGTTCGCGCCGCGCGTCGACGTGGACAAGGAGGACTGGGGCGCGGTGAACGGCTGGATCGACGTGGTCGTCGCCGGCCTGCCCGCGCTGGGCATCGAGGAGCAGACCAAGTCGGATGTGTTCGGCGACGCGATGGCCGGGGACGGCGAGGGGAAGCCGGTGCGGTACTCGAAGAACAACCCGTACGTCGCGAAGGTCGCGTCGCTCGCGGAGCTGTGCGCCGTGTCGGACCGCAGCGTCGACAAGGAGTGTACGTTGCTGAGTATCGACCTGGGGGACTCTGGGCTGGAATACACCCCCGGGGACGCGGTGGGGATCCTGCCGCTGAACGACCCGGGCGCGGTGGACGACCTGCTGGACGCGTGGGGCATGAGCGGCGAGACGCTCGTCGAGCGGCCGGCGTTTGACTCCTCCGGGGGCGTCGACTCGTTCGTGACGCTGCGGGAGGCCCTGACGCGGCTGTACGACATCCGCACGCCCAAGCCCGCCATCTTCGACGTGCTCAAGAAGGCGCTGCTGGACTCGGGCGTCGACGTGCACCACACCAACGGCCACACCAACGGGCACACCAACGGGCACACCAACGGCCACGCCAACGGCCACACGAACGGGCACGCCAACGGCGAGTCCATGATCTCGGTCAGCATGGACTCTTCGGACGACAAGACGCTGTCCGCGGCCGTGCAGCTCGCGCAGCTCAGCAGCCTCGCCGCCAGCGAGGGCGCGCAGGTGACGTACCTCGAGCCCCGCCACGTGGTCGACATCCTCGAGGAGTTCTCCGCGGCGCGCCCGCTCGCGCCCGGCACGCTGCTCGGCGCGCTGCGCCAGCTGCAGCCCCGCCTGTACTCCATCTCGACCTCCCAGCGCGAGGCCGCCAACGTCGTCGGCGCCACGATCGCGACGGTGCGGTACGAGGCGCTCGGGAAGCCGCGCGGCGGCGTGTGCTCGACGTGGGCCGCGGACCGCCTCAAGCCCGGCGACCCCGTCCAGGTCTACATTTCGAAGAACCCGGATTTCCGACTGCCGAAGGACCCGAAGACCCCTATCATCATGGTCGGGCCCGGGACGGGCCTCGCGCCGTTCCGGGCGTTCCTCCAGGAGCGGCGGCTGTCGGGCGAGGCCGATCACGGCCCCGCGATGCTGTTCTTCGGCTGCCGGCGCCGCAACCAGGACTTTTTGTACAGAGAGGAGCTCGAGGCGTGGGCCGCGGAGGGCGCTCTGGAGCTGCACACGGCGTTCTCGCGGGAGCCCGGGGCGCCCAAGGTATACGTGCAGCAGCGGCTGCTGGAGCAGGGGGAGCGCGTGTGGGCGATGCTGGAGCACGGCGCGCACTTTTACATTTGTGGCGACGCGGCGCAGATGGCGGGGCAGGTGGAGGCGGCGCTGCTGGAGGTGATCGGCGCGGGGCAGGGCAAGGGCGCGGCGGCAGCGAAGGAGTACCTCGACGCGATGAGCGCGGCCGGGCGCTACGAGAAGGATGTGTGGTACTGAGGCGGACGCCGCGGGGGAGTCGGGGGTGTGTTGCACGATCGCGCAGCGCTGCTAGTTCTACTTTTTGTGACGAAGCGTGAGTGTGCACGCGCAGAGAGCCGGGAGCGCGTGGTCGTCGCTTGAACGTCGCGGCGTCGCGCGCGAACGTGTTCCAACGTGTGCGCGTCTGCACAAGGAGCTGTAGTCTGTGTGACCTGCCTCACGTGGTGGTCAGGGGCGCACTGACGCGTGGCGGGTACCGGGTATTGGTCTGGGCGAGGCATGGGAAAGCGGCGCAAGAGCGGAGGGGAGGACGTGGGAGGAGCGAAGAGGACGCCAGCGGGAAGGAAGACGACGGAGGCCGGTCCTGCTCGGACCAGGGGGGCGGCGTTGGAGCTAGGCTCAGCGTGAGTGCATGTTCGTTGCTTGTGCATTGAAGTGAGCGCGCGGACGGGTCGTCGCGCGCCCTGAGCGGCGACGCGCGGGCTCGGCAGCACTGTGCGCGTCGCTCACCGGGGCTTGCCCGGCTCTGACGCGCAGATGGGTGAAGGAGAGCGAGGACGGAATGGAGGTCGAAGTGAGACTGACGCGTGGGGAGCAGCTGCTGGTGCAGGGACGCGCTGCGTTGACGGTCATCCAGGCGAGTCCACCTGCAGTGCACCCGCTGCTCTCGCCCCGCGTGCTGCATGCTTGACGATCTGTGGATGACGCATTCCCCGCATGATACTCTCCGAGAGCGTCCAGATACGCGGAATGCGTGGGTTTTCAGGTACATTTGCAGCCAATATTCGCCACTACCCCTTCTGCAGGGCACGGCCTTCACACACGGCGCGAGAGTCACGGCGGGGAACACCGTGACCGTGACCGCTGATCCACGCAGCGGGGCCTGGCTGGAGGTCACGGCGCGCAGCTCCCCCGGCACGCGCGGAGAAGACTCAAACACCCCGGCGCCCACACTCGACCAAGACAGACTCGAAACCCCCCGGGAACTAGGACCGGAGCACCCGCACCTGCACGTCCGCCTCGAGCCGGCCCAGCCCCGCGCGGACACCGACCCCCGCGGATTCCAGTGGGCCGTGCAGCGCCCCGATCGAACGCCGCAGAGCACAAGCAACGTCGCCCCTGGCCGCGCCCCCGAGCCCGCGTCACGCACCGCGGGGGGCTCCGCGAGCGCGCTCGGCGCTGGCGCCGTCGCAGGACACGTCTTCGGCAACGACGCGTGGACGCACGGGGTGATTTGCGACGAGGCGATCGCGACTGCGGTGGCAGACACTACGCAGCCCGCTCGGATCGCCGTCGTGGGGCCGAAGGGCGTCGGGAAGTCGTCGCTGTGCCGGCTGCTGGCGAATAGGCTTCTGGCGACGCAGGGCGCGGTGGCGTGGCTCGACACGGACTGCGGGCAGCCGGAGCTGACTCCCCCAGGGTGCTTGTCGTGGACGCTGCTGACAGAGCCGCTCTTCGGACCCCCCCACCTGCAGCAGCGCCGGCCGGACGCAGCCTTCTTCGTCGGCGACACGTCGCCGCAGCACGACCCCATGAAGTGCGCCGCCACTCGTTGTTTCGCCTCCTTTCTTTCGCTTGTTCCTCACCACCACGATGTTTGATGCGAGGCAGTCGCTGTCGCCGAGACCTGGCTCCCACGTGCTGATGTGCCCGTCGGAGCGCTGACTCTCGCCAGTGTACGGGTTTAGACCCACAGCGGGAGGTGCTCGGCACAGCCGCTGCTCAATCAAAGCCGCTGTGTGCCGAGCAGCTTCCGTTGTGGGTTTAAACCCTTACACTTGCTAGCGTCAGCGCACAGGCGGATACGTCAGCACGTGGGAGCCAGGTCACAGACAGAGACTGCCTCGCGTAATCATTTGCCAATAAACCTTTCACAATCAATGGATTTCCAGCGTCAACGCACCGCCCCGGTCCGTGCGCGACCCGCCCGCCCGCCCCCCCCGCGCAGGTACGTCCGGGCTGTCGCGGCCCTGGCCAAGCACCACGCCGCGGTCGCGCCTTACGCGCCACTGGTCATCAACACCCACGGCTGGGTCCGCGGGATGGGCCTTGACCTCCTGGCCGACGCCCTCGACGCCGCATTCCCTTCGCTCGTCATCGCGCTGGATCCGCCGGACTCGAGCAAGCGCAACGCGAACCTCGACGCCGTCCTCGCGACCCAGGCCGCACGGCCGCACCGCAGCGTGACGCGCGTGCTGGGCTGGGCGCCGCAGGACCGGCCCGGCGCGGCGGCGGCCGAGGTGTCCGAGCCGTCGCCCGAGGCCTCGCGGGCCGCGGGCGTCGCGGTGTGGCTCGGGGCGTGCGCGGGGATGCGCGGTCCGGCGGCGGTGTGCGGCGGGGACGCGGGCGGCGTGGCGTGGGACGCGGTAGCGCTGGCCGTGCTCGGCGCGACGCCCGTTGCGGTGACCGGGGGGTCGCAGGTCAAGGTGTGGAACGTGATGGACGACCGGGAGGTGGAGCCGCACCAGCTGCGGGGCCTCGCGGGCGCGATCGTTGGTCTCGGCACTAGCGACGTTTGCGGCAGCGATCTGACGGCGTCGGCGGGCCTGGCGCTCGTTCGGAGCGTCGGGCCCGGCGGGCGGCTGTATTTGCTGACGGACGTCGCGCGGGACGTGCTGGCGGAGGTGTCGGTGCTGCTGGTGGGGAGGCTGGAGGCGCCGCGGCAGCTGCTGCGGTCGGGCGACGGCTGCAGCCCGCACCTGTGCATGCACGTGCTGTCGGGGGCCGGCACGGGCGCCGCGGCGCAGCGGAGCCGGTCGGGTGTGCAGCGGCCGCGGTTGGCCGGGAAAAACTGACATGTGTACATAGGAGATATTTTGAGGAACAAGCGGCTTTTTCCCTGTTGTAATGTGGCTTTCGTCGTGTGCGCGCGGCACGCGTGGCGCCGCGGTGCCGGGGGCCGGGCTGTCGCCGCTGTCTCAGGGGCTGCGGTGGCGCAACACACCCCCGCCTGACACCGCTGCTGGCACTGACGGCCCAGTGCGCGTGACCGGCGCGCACGCCTTGGCGGCGGCGTGGCTCGCTGTGCGCGAACTGCGCGTAGACGTGCGACGTCCTTGCGTCTCGGGGTCCAGTCGTGGTGCACAATTGGTGCCGCAATCTTCATTGCAAGAGTGTTGCTTTTCTGGACGCACGGGTCGTTGAAAGCGCGTCTCAGGACCCCGTGGGCCATTCATTCTGCATCCTGGGCACCCTTGCGCGTAATTCCGCCCTGGAACGGCGCCGGCGCCCGGGCTTGCCCCAGAGGCATAGGCATCGCTGTCGGCAGAGGGGGTCCGACGAGGGTTCGCTTTCTGGACGTGCTCGTGGGCGGGTTTAGCGAGGGAGGCCTTCAGCCGGCGCGGCGGGAACGAGCGCGTCGCGCCGTGCGTGGCCCGGGAGCGCGATGCGGGTTGGGGCGCCCCCTGAATGCGCGTCCACGCGCGCGCTGCGGTGCGCACGTGTGTGCACCCGCACGCCGGCGGGTGCTCGACTGCGGTATTGTCCAGCTCGAGTGAAAAATCGCGACATCGCGACGCGGAGCAATGCGAGACATGGCGAGGAAGGCAGCGAGGGGGGCAATTCCGGCAGCCTCTGGGCCGAGGTGGGCCGAGCGGCGCTACGGTGGACCGGGGTCCTTCCTTCTGTCCCCTCGGGCCTGCTGGACAGCAGCACAGCCACGGAACAGGACGAGCGGGCCTCGGGGGATGACCTGGGGTCCAGTGGTGCCTCCGAGTCCTCTTCCGCTCCCGCGACGGCCTCTGGTGGCTTCGACAGCCCGAGCAGCAGCATGGACGCGGCGAGCTCTCTCGCTACCGCCGCCGCGGCCGCGGACCTGGCGCTCCCGCACCCCGACAGCGTGTGGGAGGCTGCGGCCCCTCTGTCTTGGCGGCTCTCCGCGGGGCCCGGGCCGGGCAGCGACGAGGCGCCGAACCCGGCGTTCGCTGGCATGCACGAGACGGCGATCACGTCGGCCGTTCTGCCGCTCCAGGCCATCGAGAACGACCAGAGAAAGGCTTTGATCGGCATCGCAGCGCAAACGTTGCGCGATGCCGTCGCGCAGCTCCCCGAGGAGGCGAGGTCCGCGACGGGCGCGCAGTGGCGGGCCATCGCGCTCGCGCTCACGGCGTCTTGCAGGTCCGGCACCCTCGGAACGCCCCCACTTCCGCTTATTTGTTCTCCCTTCTCTTATTCATCAATCGATCGCGTGGGAGCTGTGGTGTCGATTGCGACGGCAGCGCCGCGCCGCAGCTGCCCGCGTCTGCCGACGCGGAACGCGCTCGTGCGCCCACGCGTGCAGTCTGACCGCGGCCAAGGAGTGGCTAGGGTACGTGCCTACGTCCCTCAAGGAACAGGCCGAGGAGACCCTCGCGGCGCTGGCGCCCGAGAACGACGACTCGGACAGCGCGGAGGCGGGCGCGGCGCCCGAGAAGCCGCGCCGCTGGTCGCTGGCCTCGGCCAAGGCGCCCTCGCGGCGCGACCTCGCACAGTTCGCGACGGACGCGCAGGGCCTGGGCGCGCGCGAGGGCTCCGAGGGGCTCTGGAAGGACTTCTCGGAGCGCGTCGGCGTGCACGCGTCCGTCCTGCGGTACCTCCGGTTCGGCGACCTCTCGCCTCGGGCTGCGGGGAGCGCGACAACGGAGCCCCCCGCGATGGCGGGGCGCGCGCAGTCCCGCAACTCGGTGCTCCAGCGGTCCGCCGCGGTCGTCCAGGACCTCGCAGTGTGCGTCGCGAGCGCCGTCGCGGAGGCCTACCTCGCGGAGGCGCGCGCCGGGGAGGAGGGCGGCGCGTACGTGCGCGGCGCCGACGCAGGCGACCCGATGGGCGGCGGCGGGTGGCCGCGGTTCCTGCACCCGCGCATCACGAGCACGCGCGCGCTCGAGCGCTTCCGGAACCAGGTCGAGCTCAGCCGGGCGGCGTACCGCTTGTTGGGATCCGTGGTGGCAGTGTTCGAAGACCGGCACCCGCTTTTCGGCGTATCCGCGTCGGGGCACCTGGTGACGCGGTCGCTGCGGGTGCGGCGGGCGCGGGAGCTGGACGGCATGACGGGCTTGCGGTCGTTCGTGGCCGTCGCGCTGGAGTGCGCGGACGTGGCCTTCCCGCTGCTGCGCGCGCTGTGGGCGCGCGTCGGGGACGCGGTGTCGTGGCTGCTGGTGAGCCTGATCGGGCGGTCGCTCGGGCTGATATACAAGGTGAGTGCGGCGCGGCGCGCGGGCGCGGATGGGGTTTGTGTGTGTCGAGTACGAGTTGTTGTTGAGCGATTGTGTGGTCTTGGTTTGATTTGCAGGGCATCCGACAGTCGCTGGGGGGCCGGAAGAGCGGGCGGAACGATCGGGCGGGGGCGCAGGAGCCGGAGACGATGGAGGGGGGTGCGGTGTGGTAGGCGTGGAGGGTCCGGAGGAGTCCCGCGGTGCCGCGGGGGGGGGGTCCGGCGACCACGGCGGATGACGAGTCCCTGTGAAGCGAGATGCGCGTCGACAGTATCGGATTCGGCAAAGGAGGCCAGGTTTCATCGCCAGGCGGAGCGGACGGAGCGTGTTGTGGTGGCGGACGTGAGGTTTGGCAGGCTCGTTTCGCTAGCGGGGGAGCTCGAAGCGTGAGCTGACCTTGCGCCTGGTTCTTCAAGGAGAGGTTGGCGCTGCGAGGGTCGTCGCGTGCACGGCACACGCGCGAGGGCGACGCAGAGCGGACGCGAGCCTGCTTGCACCCGCGACCCGCGTAACTTGTCGCCTGAACGGGCATTTCTCCACTCGAGCGCGCGCGAAGGGAGCACCGCTGATGTCGAAATACCCCGGACAGAACTACGGCGGAGCGTCTCCGTACCCTCCTCCGCAGGGATACCCTCCTCAGGTAAGCAACGGCGCTTCCCCGCGACATACCGCGCGCCGTGGGCTCGTTTCCGCTCTCGCTCGTCTTCTCACTCGATACACACGCACTCAAGCACGAAATCACCTCGTAATTCGCCACGAGGCCCGCCTCACAATCCAATGATGCATTGCACCTTGCGTTCCGTTGTCGTGCAGGGCCCGCCTGGATACCCGCCGGGCAACAACTACCCCCCGCCCCAGCAGGGCTACCCCCCGCCGCAATACCCCCCCCCGGGCGGCGGCCAGGGCTACCCTCCTCCACCAGCACCACCACCCCATGCCTACGCGGGGCCGCCCGGCGAGTTCGTTCAGGGGTACGCAGCCGACGGCGCGCAGGGCGGCGGCAACCAGCCCGCGCCCGGGTACGTCGTGGCGGGTACGCCGGCGTCCTACGACACCCGGGCGCCCATGTTCTTTCCAGGGGTAAAAGACCTGCTGCACACGCACCACGTGCGCTCGCGCGCCGCCCGTCCCTGCGTCCTGCGCTGGGGAGTCCGCGCGCTCACGTGCCTCCTCTGGCGCCGCTATGCAGGAGAAGACGGAGCCGTTCTATCTGGGGGTGTCTCGGGGGAGGTTTGAGCCCGTGGCGATGCACTGCGGGCGGTGCGGGTTCCAGGGGATGTCGGAGATGCGCGCGCAGGCGGGGTGCACGTTCTGGCTCATCGCTCTGATCACGTTCGGGCTCGGGGCGCTGTGTGGGTGCGGGAAGGACACGGCGCACTTGTGCCCCCAGTGCAAGCGCTGCGTGGCCATCGCGGCGGAGATGTAGCGAGCGGGAGGCTCCGTGATGCGCGCGATGGGGCAAGGATCGTCCAGTTGAGGCGGAGTGGCACGAGATGGGGCGTCACACGGTCTTTGTTTAAAGGGCCACCAACTGGCGGACCTGAGAAGAAGACTATTTGTTTCTGTGAACACGCGATCGAGTGTATGCTCGCGCTGCCGACCTCGCGGTGCAGCGGCTCAAATGCGCGGAGCACGGTTGACGCGCACAGGGGGCATTCCGGCCCTGTGCGTCGTTGCACACAGAGAGGTCCGTGGTCCCGGCCGCGCACCCAAGCCCTCGGTCGCAGCACGTGGCATCCCTGCGCACGCCACGAGAGCAGCGAGACCCCGCACGCGCCGGCGAGCAGGCCACGCTCGCCCAAACCGACTCCGTCGCCCCGCCGAAGCTGCCGAGCCCACCGGCCCGCGCTCACTCCCTGTCTGACATCGCCATGTCCCTCCGCGACCCGCCGCTCAGCAGCAGCGCCGCCGCGAGCGACCCTCCGTGTGCGCGCGGCTCGTCGTAGTGCAGGGAACCTTCCGCCCGGCTGCCTCCTCCTCCCGACCCCTCGGGCAGCTCGAGCGCCAGCGCCTGATCCTCCGGCACCGCCAGAACGTACGACGGGTTCCCGCGGCCCGACGATGCGCCCGCGCGAAGAGACCCCCCCTCCCTCGAGTGGCCACTACTCCCCCCCTCGCCATCGAGCCCGGAGATCGCGCGCCCAGAATGGCTGCGCGCCCCGAACGACAGCGCGCGCCCGCAGGCAGGCTTCCCGCCCCGCAGGCTCCCGCCCGCCTCGCCGCGGACGCCCCGGCTGCTCCCGCCCTCCTCGGCCACCCACAACGGCCGCCGCCCGCCGCGCACAGAATCGTCCTTGGACCGCCGCACGAACGCCCCGGGCGTGTGCGTGCTGACCCGCGGCTGCGGCGACGTCGCCTGCGGCACGGCGGCCGCGAGGGCGCGGTTCGACATGGACCGGAAGGACATCCGACCTGCGCCGTGGATACTCGGATCGCGAGAGTCCTCCCCCTGGGAGGTCTGGAAGCGCGGGTCGTCGCGCGCGGGGTACAGGCGCAAGTCCTGCTCGTCCTCGGCGGCCTGGAGCATCGCGCAGAACTGCTCGAACGTCAGCAAGCGATTCTCGTAGCGTCCCAGGCCGGCCACTTCCTGGCGGCCCTTCTCCGTGAGGTTCGCCAGACGGACTGCGGGTGGACGCGAGCGGGCAGGGAAGGACACGTGGGACACGTGTGCCGTTCCGGACACGCGTTCGTTCGCGGTCGCGCGCACGGCGCGAAAAAAGCAACGCACGATGCGCCGGCCAACAACGCGAGCGATCGCGCGCTCCGCGCGCGAGAACGGCGCGAACGCAGCGGCCCGCGAGCTCGCTAGCCGGCAGACCACGCGGCACGCGAGCGCCGGCGCCGGCGCGGGCACTCACGCTGCGAGGCCGTCCTGAGGGCGCGGAGCGCGTCCGTCCTCGCTTTCACCGACTCGTCGACCGTCGGATTCTTGAACCACTCCTCCGCCGTCACCACCCCGGCCTCCATCAGCACGCGGCCCATCGCGCTGCGCACCTCGTCCGGCGACAGCTGCGTGTGTAGCGTCTCCATCACTGCGCTGAACGGCACTTTGCCGCCACGCACGGTCCCCTCCATCGGCGACGCCGCGCCGCTCGCGCCCCCCTTGGGGACCGTCGCCTTCCGCAGGTCCTTGAAGATGCTCCGCGCCGCGGCCAGCCACTCCACGGTGCCCTCGAGGGCTTTCCAGTCAACGACGCCCGCCAGGAATTGGTCCAGGGAGATCCGGCCGTCTCCCGTCGGGTCCAGGCCGTCCATGAGCATCCGCGCCTCGGCCTCGGGGAGGTGGAACGAGTACCGCCGCAGCGCGTCGCGCAGGTCCCGCAGCGACACCTGCACGCACAAAACACGCAGCGCGCAAAAGTCAGTACACAACCACCGCCCGCGACGCAACGGGCTCGATTTCTCGCTTGCGACACGCTGGCGCATCTGGCCGCGACGTTGCGGCTCAAAAATGAGCGTGGGAGCGCACCGCTCCGTCGCCGTCGCGATCCAGCTGGTCGAAGAGCTGCGTGACGCTGCGCAGGAGCTCCAGCGCCTCCTCGCGGTCCCTCAAGCTCGCCGGCGCGTCCTCGTCCGGCGGCGACATCGCCATGTCGCGGATGTCGGCCGACGTGGCGTACGAGCTCGCCAGGACGGCCGACTCCGGGACCGACGCGCCGTACGCGAGCGCCTGCGCGTTGTGCGGGAGGAACGTCGGCGGCGCGTCTCCAGCGTTCGACCCCTGCCTCAGCCGCGACTGCCGCCCCGCCTTGACAGGCGACGTCGTGATCGGCACGCCGCCCGGGATGGCCATCGGCGGCGACAGAGGCGCCGCGCCACGCCCAGAGCCGCCCTCCGCGCTGTTCCCGTGCAGCGCGCTGCGGACGAGCTCGTGCGCGACGCGCTCGAGCAGCGTGCGCTTGAAGATGTTCTGCGCCGCGTGGCGCTGGAGGCGCGGCACGATGGTAGCTCCGAGCGGGCGCTCGCCGCCCTCCCAGGACTTCTTACGCACGAACGGGTGGTTCAGGGCCTCGAGCGCCGTCGGCCGCGAGTCGATGTTCCTGCGCGAAGGCGCCGCCGCCAAGCACCGTGAACACGTGATCGCGCAAAGCCCGTAGCCAGGGTGGCATGAAAAAGAGAGAGACGAGCAATTGACAGACCGCACTGTCAGCCGAGCTGCTCCAACGGGGGCCAAAATCAAGCGCCTGCATCGCAGGACCCGGCCCGCTTCTCCCACAGCAGCCGCGGCATCACCACGACCGTCGCGCCGAGCGGCCATCCCGCACGCTACATACTCAGCCCGCGCCTCGCACCGCCAGCCACGTGCCCGCGCGGACACGCGACCTGCGCCGATCTCTCACCTGTCCAGCAGCGTTCGCACGAAATCCTTCGCCTCCTCCGACACCGCCTCCCAGTCCGGTCCCACGAGCTTCGCAGGTACGTCATCCTCCAGAATCGCACGCAGCAGCGCCGCGACGCTCCCGGGCTGCCCGCGCGCGTCCCGGTCGTCGAACGGCATGCGCCCCGACAGCAGCTGGAACGCCATGACCCCGGCCTGCCACACGTCGGACTTGGGCCACACCTCCCCTTGCAACACCTCGGGAGCCAGGTATAGCGGTGTGCCGTCGAGGCCGAGGTCGGTGCGCGGCTGCCCCGGCACGAACGGCACCGCGAGGCCGAAGTCGATGGCCTTGAGCGGCGCGGCCTCGGAGTCGTTCAGGAGCAAGAAGTTGCTGGGCTTGATGTCGCGGTGCAACATGTGCTTCGAATGCATCTGAGCGAGCGTCTGCAGCGTGCCGCGCATGAACCGGGACACCATCGCCTCCGTGTACCCCTCCCCGCCCTGCCGCTTCTCGGCCCACTTCCACAGCGCGCCGCCCGTGCAGAACTCCGTTACGACGTAGACGTAGTCTTCGTCCTCGTACACCTCCTCGAGATGGACGACGTTCAGGCAGCCGCGGAGGTGCCGCATCGTCTCGACCTCCAAGAACACCGCCTGCACACACAAACACGCATCAAACACTCCCATTCCTATTATAATACGATACCAGGAACATGTGGCAATGCTGAATAGATTTTGGGCAAATTCCGGGGGATCCTGCCCTCCCAGTGCGACGCAGACGTGCCCGCGGCGTGTCTGCGACCAGCCCCGGTCCGCGCGCGCGCGGGCTGGCGAGGAGCTGCCCGCGGCCGCGCTGCGTCTCTCTCGCGGCGCATTGTGTGTAGTGCAGCGGTCGTATCGCTGCGGGAGCGAGTGAGGCGCCGGGCGCGGACCTGCTCGTACTGCTCCTGGCGAGCCTGCGCCTGTCCCGGCGGCGGCGGCGAGACGTAGGACTCCGCGGGGCGGATTTTCGGAATCATTTTGCAGGCCAACTCCGCACCGGTCTTGTCCTTCGCCACGCGCACCTTTGCGTACGCGCCGCTGCCGAGGTCGCGGCCCAGCTCGTACTTCTCCTTGAACTGCTCCACGCTCTGCGAAAGAATGCGACGCGACGCCCGTTTCGCGCACGCGGCACCACCGCGCGGTGTGCGGGCGATACCCCGCCCCACGGGACGAGATGGCGCGAACGGGAGGCCGCCACTGCTGGCGCAGTCTTGCTGCGGCATGGCGGCCCCGGCGAGGAAGCTCGGTCTGGTCGCGCAGCCCCGTGGCGGCCGCCCACGCACGCAACCACAGTGCGCCCCCATCTGCCTAATTCTCTGTCGACGGGGCCCGAGAGCGGCTCGTTTTGGTCGCAAACGCTGCTCCATGCTCCATGCGTCACGTTCGCACCTTGAACCCGTATGTGTGCGTCTCGAGTTTCTCGGCCGGCGGCTTCTGCTGTGGTTGCATTGAAGGCCCGCGCGCGCCCATCCATGGCGCCCTCGCTGCGGCGCAGAGCGGGCGGCGCGCAGAAAGTTACTTGACGACAGAGATGAGCGGTTGCTGGCGGTCGCAGGACGTCGGCATTCGGCCACAGACAGCACCTGGCCCCCCAAACCCCTTGCCGAAATTCGGGCCCGCTGGCATACCACCACCCTGGCGGTAGCGCCACGCCATGATGCCGGCCGTGTAGAAGGCGGGCAAGGGTGCCGCTGAGCGTCGGCTGGCGCGTCGGCGCGTGCAAGCGCTGTCAACCACCACGGGAGGCTCTCGTCGACTGCAAGGTCGGTTGCTGGGCCGCGTGAGGCGAAGCAAGGCTCGCAGGAAGCAGCACGTGACAGTCTTCGCCGTGAGCTACACCAACCGAATGTTCGAGGCCGATAGCAGGGAAGGGGCGCGGGGTCGTGCAGGGCAGCAAGGTCGTCGTCGTGCAAAAGGTCCAGGACTCGACGAGCAGCGCAGCGAGTTCAAGCATGCAGCGTTTTGCCGCAGATGCGCCTCTCGCGCGCCGTAGTCGCCGGCACCGCGCCGCCCCAGAGCCCGTCTCAGCCTGCTGAAACACCCCGGGGTCATCTACAGTGTCGCGACGCCCGTCAGACCCGCCCTCACAGACCCGGAGCGCCCTCCGCTGTGCCTGCCAGGCACCCAAGACGACCGCAGCTCGCCGCTGCCGCAACACCTGAGCGCCGCACGCTCAGCAAGCTTTCCACCACTCGTCGCCGTTCCGCCCGCCCCCGCCGCAGCGCCGCGAGCGCGCACACACGCAGCCGGCACCGCCAGCGTCCGCGGCCACGCAGCACAGCACAGCACAGCGCCGTCGCGCCCACCGTTCGTTCCGTCACATGTGCACCTCAAGCAATGATGGGCAGCCGTATTCTGCCGTCTCTGTTCAGCCCCACCAGGTCCTCGTCCTGCCCGGCCTTCGCGGCCCACGGCACGGGCTCCCGGCAGATCGGGCACGTCGTTCCCCGCTTGAACCACTCCACAACGCACCTTTCATGGAAAATGTGCGCACACACAGGTTCGAGAACCACCGCCTCGCCGACCTCCATTTCCACGTGGCAGATAGCGCAGCAGGCCACCGCGGGTCCGTCCGCGGTCCGGTTGCGGTCCGAGCTGCTCTGCAACGCGCACAGCTCCAGCTGCGACGCCCACCGCCCCACGCCGGGCGCCCTGGCCGCGCCCTCCGCGCCCGCCGGCATTCTGGCCTGCGCAGCGCTCTTGCGCATCGCCGCGACGGCCCGGAAGACGTCGGCGACGTGCGACGCCACGCTGCACGCCTTGCTGGCGACGTAAACGGCAGCGAGGGCGCGGCCAAACACGCGGCTGTGGCTCCACAGCAGCGGCGCCCACACCACGAGCGGCAGCGCGGAGCGGTGCAGCGTGTGCGCGCGCTCCACGACGGTCAGGACGTGCGCGCGCCGCGTGACCGCGGTCGCGTGCAGCCCGTCTGACGCGTGCTGGGGCGGCCAAAGCACAACCGCGAATTTCGCGAGCGCCGCGGCGTTGCGGACGATGCCGTCGAAGTGCAGCGCGAGGAGGAGCGCGGCGAAGACGCCGCCGGCGGGCGGCTGGACGAACGCCACGAGGAGGAGGTGTTTTGCGGGGTACCTGACGCTGAGCCCCCAGGGGGAGTGTGTGACCATCAGCGACATCAAGATGAGCGCCGCGCACGAGTACGCGGCCTGGCGGATCTTCGCTATCGTCTGCGGGGGCGCCGGGAGCGAACGCGGGCGTTGCGAGCGCTGTGACCACTCGCACAGGCTGCTGCTTGGCATGTGAGGGCGCGGCCGCCTCGTACCTCGGGCGAGAGGTCGGAGGGTTCGCTCGTCGCCTTCTTCAGGGCGCTGTTGGCGTACTCGACGCACAGAAACGACCCGAACGACACCACCATGGCGGCGACCGTGCCAACGTGCTTCAGGAGGACGAGCACGAGGACGAACACCAGCCCCTTGCCGGACTCGTACACGACATAATTCGTAGTGCGCGGGCGCATCGCCCACACGACGCCTGTCGCCAGCGCCGTGCAAAGAACGCAAACGTCCCTCAGGAGCCGCTTGAGGGGGCCCTGGGGCTCCGTCTCACTGGCTGGAGCGTCCCCCTGCGCGCGGGAGTGCGGGCGACGCGCTTGGGCGCGTGCGACGCTGTTGCGGGGAGCGCGGGCGGGGCTGTTTGCGCGATGTCGTCGGGGGGGGGGTGTTTCGCCGCGGACCTCGCTGCTGCCGCCGCTCGCGCGGCTGCCTTGCACGTGCGAGGAGGGTCTGTCCAGGCCCAAGTGTCGCCTCATCTCGGCTAAGAATCGGGCGGGGAACGCCCCTACGCCCCGTGGTCGCCGAATCTCCCCCCTGCGGCCACGTCGCGCAAAGCGGGGCTACACGCGCTCAGCAATGGCTTCCTCACTCGGTCTGCGACGTGCGTCGGGCGGAGGCTCGGTATTTCGCGCACCTGCCGTTGCTGGGCCGCTCTTGAAGCTCCTCGCGCGCGTCATATGAGACCCAATCAAACACGTGCGTCGCAGGGCCCGCAGATGCGGAGGCGGTGCGTGTTTCGGCGCCAGTATCTCGCTGGGTATCCGGAGCGGCCGGATCTCGGGCCGCTGTGTCCATCGTTCGCCGGGTTCGATCAATGTGCTTGCTTCTAGGCGTGGCTCGTCATATGTGGACTGCAAAGCCCTGTGCCGTCGCACAGTGATCAAATCATGCTGATACCTCCCAGATGGGCGCGTTGACGAGGACTCTGTCGCGAGGAGGGCCGTGAAATGTCTCTGCTACTGTTGCGTAGGTCTGAGAACCCCCTGCGCTTCCGCTCGCGAGGAGCCCAACACTAGTTTCGGCCCAGAACAGCTAGGGACGTCCCACTCGCACCGAACGGCGGGCAGATCGGCCGTGTCGATCGCGGAAGTGAGACGGACGGGCCGGAGGGAGCCACTGCTCTGAGAATGCGAAGCAGCGAGGCAGCACGGACGTCGCGTGCTGACCCAGCTCAATGCAATGGAAACGTGACGCAAGCGGTCATGTCTCCGTGGGAGCGGGCGCGTTGTTCCCCCGCAGCAGAGAGAGAGCCGCTGTCAGGGAGACACGCTGTCAGTTGCACCGAATTACACCCCTCGCCACGCTGCGCCGCCCACGCCACCCCGCTCATATGACCACGCGCGACCCCTGAAACCGTCGAACCAAACGTTCTACCCAGCCTGGTCGGAAACCCCCCCCTAACACACCCCCCTTGCAGCGCCACCTGCACAGAAGCTCCGGGGCGCGCCCGGCTCCCTCGGAGACCCGGCGCGCCGTCAGACCGTGCGCACCACGCGCCGCGCCCCCGCAGGCGCGCACCCGGCTCCCAACGCAAGCGGCGGCCCCGGCCACACCCTCCAACACACATGTGCCACCACTCCCCTCCGCCTGGTCAGCCCGCGCACGACGCGGCGACCGAGCAGCCGCGCGGAGGTCGCCGCGGACGGCCCGGAGCGGGGGGCGCCGCGAGGGCCCCCGCGTCCGGCGCATCGCCGGGGTATGACGGCGGGGGAGTGCCCGGGGTGCTAGCAAGCGGGCGGGGCTGGCCGGGCCTCAAGGTAGCGCCGGCGCGCGCCCGCCGTCCTGTCTACCGGCGTCGCCGCTCCCTCGCAGCATATCCACGCGATGCAGGCTTCGATCCACACCGCCGCGCGCCCCACGGCGCGCCCGGGCTCCAACAAGGCCGCGCCCCGGCGCGCCGCCGTCGTGGCCGCCGCGGCGCGATCACCGAAGGAGCGCGTCGTGATCACGGGCATCGGGTGCGCCTCGGTGTTCGGGAACGACCCGGACACGTTCTACGACAACCTTCTGGCCGGGAAGTCGGGCATCACTATGATTGACCGCTTTGATGCGTCCGCGTACCCAACGAAGTTCGCGGGACAGATCAGGGACTTCGACATCGAGGGCCTCATCGACGCGAAGAACGCCCGCCGCCTCGACGACTGCCTGAAGTACACCCTCGTGTCGGGTAAGCGGCGCCCAGTGGCCCTATCCTCACCCAGCCACGCGGCAGCTGTGGCGCGCAGTCGAGAATTGCCCTTCTCCGAGCTCGCGGAGAGATCTATGAAGCCCGGGAGCGATGGAGGGCCTCCTGGCGCGCGCACGGGACGTCGATGGGCGTGAAAACGCGCGCCATTTGCGCTCACGTCCTCGCACTACGCGGCGGCGCGCGCTCCGGCGCCGAGCGCGGACACGATGGGCGCAACGCCGAACGCTCACCGCCCGCGCCCCCTGCAGGCAAGAAGGCTGTCGCGGACGCCGGGCTGGACGAGGAGGCGCTCTCGAAGCTCGACAACCAGCGCGTTGGCGTCCTCGTGGGATCTGGCATGGGCGGCCTCACCGTCTTCCAAGACGGCTGCAAGTAAGCCCCGTCCCTCCCACAGCCTCCGCGATCACCATCGAGGATTCCGGCGGGCGCGTGCGGCGCGGTCGCGCCCTCCGCAGCCGCGCACCCGCGCGGGATGGCCGCTGCTTGGGAACGGCTCCGCGATGCGGAGCTGCGCGCATCCGCAGCGGCCCCCCCGCCGCGGGAGCGGGGCATCATGCTTACATGGCATATGGGGCCTGTCCGGAGCACAGACGGCCTTCTCACGCCGTTTCGCTGCCCTGAAAACGATGTCTTCTTCCATACGATGCTGCGTTTGCACAGCCTTGTTCCGGACACCGGCCTGCGTGCCGCCATCGCCGGCTTTCCTGCCGCGGTGCCGGGCCCGGCGTGCAGCGCACGCACGGAACACTTGCGCGGTAGATTTTCGTTCAGACGCGGCCCTAGCTTCAAGGACGCCATCGGCCGCACGCAGCGCCGCGATGCCGCCGCAAGAGCGCTACGGGGCCGGCCCAGCCCAAGCAGATGATGACGCGCTCGCCGCCCGCCTGGCTGTCCCGCAGGGCGCTCTTCGAGAAGGGCTTCAAGCGCATGTCGCCCTTCTTCATCCCCTACGCCATCACGAACATGGGCGGCGCCCTGCTCGCCATGGAGTACGGTTTCATGGTATGCAACAACACTTTGCGCCGCGCCGCCGCACCCGCGCGCGTTCAGCGGCTCCCGGCCCGCGCATCACGATCCCATAGATCCAGGCAGCGCCTGGTGGCGCCGCCCGCCAGCCCCGACGGCTCCAGCTCGTCGCGGCTGCTCTTTCTCCGTGATCAAACCACGTTGTCCGTCTGTGCGAAGCGTGTCTTGCGCGACCGACGGTGCTGGCCCGCGCGCGTCGCAGGGCCCGAACTACTCGATCTCCACGGCGTGCGCGACCGCGAACTACGCGTTCCACATGGCCGCGGAGCACATCCGGAAGGGCGACGCCGACATGATGATTGCCGGGGGGTCCGAGGCGCCGATCATCCCCGTCGGCCTCGGCGGCTTCGTCGCCTGCCGCGCCCTCTCCACCGGTGCGCCCCGCGCGCCTCCGGCCGCGTCGCCAGCCAACAAACACCCCGTGGCAAGCCGCGCGCATCAACTTGCAGCAGCGCCTGGCTGCGGGCGCGCAGACGCACAACGAGGCCCCCGCTCGCGCTGTTCTCGTGGCGGCGTCGGCACCAGCAGGAGTCGTCGGCTGCGATTGCTTCTGCGATTGCAAAACATGAAGATGAAAGGTGACGTGTTGTTTTGCCTGCAGGCGGCGCGACCCCGGAGGACCCGACGAAGGCGTCGCGTCCGTGGGACCAGGGCCGCGACGGCTTCGTGATGGGCGAGGGCGCGGGCGTGCTGGTGATGGAGTCGCTCGAGCACGCCCAGAAGCGCGGCGCGAACATTGTTGCGGAGTACCTCGGCGGCGCGCTGACGTGCGACGCGTACCACATGACGGACCCGCGCGCGGACGGCCTCGGCGTGTCGTCCTGCATCAACCTCGCGCTGAAGGACTCGGGCATCGAGAAGGAGCAGGTCAACTACATCAACTGCCACGCCACGTCGACGCTCGTCGGCGACATCGCCGGTGCGACGCCCCGCGCCCCCCGCGCACAGCTCGTTGCATAGGCGCCCCGAAGACGACGATGCAGAGCAGAACAAGCAGAGACCCGCGCCGTTCGGCCTGCGCATCTGTTTTCACTGCAAGCGCGCATTGTCGCGCCGTGGCTCGTCTTGCACGGCGGTGTCTCCGCGGCAGCGGCGCGCGCTTACGTTGTGCGGTGCGCGGTGCGGCGCAGAGGTCAAGGCGATCGAGGGGGCGTTCGGAAAGGAGCACCTGGAGAAGCACGCCAAGCTGAACGCGACCAAGTCGATGATTGGGCACTGCCTGGGCGCGGCGGGCGGCATGGAGGCGATCGCGACGATCAAGGCCATCACCACGGGCAAGGTCCACCCCACGCTCAACCAGGACAACCTGATCGACGAGGTGGCCAACTACGACACCTGCCCAGAGATGCGGGAACTGGAGGTGACCGCGGGGATCTCGAACTCGTTCGGGTTCGGCGGACACAACTCCGTGTGCGTCTTCGGGCCCTACAAGGAGTGAGCGCGCGGCCTCGGCGCTACCCCCCGCGGCAAGGAGGGGGACTCTTGATTGTACCGTGCCCGCGCCGTCCGCGGCTCGCGGCGGTCGCGCGACCCGAGTGCGCCTTGTGACATCGTAGCGGCGTCGAAGCAGCAGCATCACGGACACTCGTATCCGATTCTGCGATCGCAAGCAAGCCGGTGCCCGTAACCTACTGCGCGACTCCACACCGCCCCAGGACGCCGCGCACGTCACATCAGGTGCTCCAGCTCGCTGCACATGCCGCGCCGCGCCACGCCTCAGCCCCGCCTCGCCCTCTTCGTCTTCACCGCCGCGGGCGACGCGCCCTCAACCTGCGCCCCGCCGCCCGCCGCCTTGCTCGCCGCCGCGGCCCCGCTCTCCTTCGGCAGGTTCTTCCGCTGTCCAAGAGGCTGCTTCTTCGCCGCCCCGCGCGCCACCGCGTCGTCTGCGCCCTCTCCCTCGCCGCCCTCGTCCACGCGCGCCACCTTGGCTCCGCGGCCACGCCCGCGGCCCCTGCCCCGGCCGCCGCCACGCGCAGGGCGCCCCCCGAGCTGCACGCGCGCCTGGTCCTTCGCCGCCACCTCCGCCTCCGACTCCACACCCCTCCAGTCCTCCTCGCGCGCGCGTCGCGCGGCCTCGAACACCTCCAGCTCGACGGGGTCGACGCGAGCCTCCACGCGCTTCGGCGCACCGAGGATCCCGCCTGCCGCGACGTCGTCCGAGCCCAGGTCGTGTCCAGGGTTCCGGCACGACCGGAAATACAACTTGAGGTCTGACGGGCCTGCGACACCCTTCATGACCGCGGGCTGCTTGGCGGCCGCCCGCGGCGCGCGTGCGGCGGCCGGGGCCGCGTCGTCCGCCGCGCCGTCGTCGATCACGATGTCGACGTTGCGCGCGTTGCACAGCTGCAGCAGCGAGGCAAAGGCCCGCGCGACGCCGTGCCGCCCCTCGCCCTCCACGATCGACGCGAACGGGACGTGCTCCGGCTTGCCTGCAGCGCACGTCGAGCATCGCGCACGTCAGCAGGTCGCACGGGAACCGGCAAGCATGAACAAGAAGACACGAGTCGAGTCAATACCAAACAACAGCTTGATACGCATTTGCGTCAAGATAGTGTGATGCGCGGACTCGGCGCGGCGCGGGCGAGACGCCGGGCGTCAGCAGACGCACGGGCCCGGTACAGGTGAGCCGTCGCGCACCGTTGTCGCGCAGCCACCCGCGCACGCCCCTCGCCGCCTCCTCCGCGTCCGCGCTTGCCACCATGCGCTCTGCGACGTCCTCCTCCGCGACCGTCACGCGCGCGAGGCGCTCCACGAGCCCGCGCGCGGTGTCGTGGAGGTCGAACGGCCCGCGGCGGTCCTGCTCCTCGAGCGCCGGCTCCACCTTGGCCCGCCACGTGTCCACGTTGCGCTGCAACTGAGTCAGGCGCTGCTCCGCCGCCGCACGCGACTGCATGTCCGAGAGGTACCGCTCCACGAGCTTCGTGTACGGCGTCGACCCCCCGGGCGTCCGCTCCCCGGCCTGCGGGGACGGACCGGCCGCCGAAACCCCCCCCATGCGCCCCAGCAGGAAACTCCCCCCCACCTCCATCTCCGGCAGCGGCTCCAGGTCGTGGACGAGGTCGCCCTCCAGCGCGCGCTCCTCCGTCGCGAAGCCCGGCCAGTCGTCGCCGCCGTCGTCGCCGAAGCCCCCGAATTCCTCGAACCCCCCCCCGTCGTCGTCGGCCATGTCAGGCTCCACCACCTCCCCGGTGGCCTGCCGGACGCCCCGCGAGGACTCGCTCCGGCGCGCGCGCGTGTCCTTGCGCAGCTTGGCGAACGCGTACGCCATGTCGCGCGACGCCAGGGCCCCCCCGGCGCCTCCCGTAGGCCGCATCCACGCCAGCACCGCCGCGACGCCGTCGGCCGAGGCCGTCGGGACGGGGGCGTCGGCGGACGGGGCCTTACCGCGGGGCCGCGACCACATCCGAGCCGCACCCTGCGGGGCAGTGGTTGTGTGTGCAGTGCGTCGCGAGGTAGGGGGGGGGGTTTGGATGCTGGTACGACACAGAAGGTGTCGTGCTGCACGTACACGCATTCGCGACACCGTAGCATCTTCAATGAGTCCTTTGGTGTCGAATTCGTTCCATTTTGAATAGTAACAAGCATGATATAATGATATAATATCTGCTTACCTTGCGGTACGGCTTGTTCTTCATCGTCGCGCTCTCCTCGTCGGGATCCAGCGGCTCCCACGGGTCCTCCTCCTCGTCCTCCTCGTCTTCCGCCCCCGCCGCGGCCGCCGCGCGCTCCTCCCCCTCCAGCCGCGGACTCACCGCACCGCCGTCATCGCCGTCGCCATCTCCGAAGCCCCCCTCTTCCGCGAACCCCCCGTCCGACCCGAACCCGGGCGTCGCCGCAACGCACCCCTCCGCGCCGCCCCCGAGGTTCAGCCCGCCCTCTGCACCGCCCGGCGCCGGCGTGGCGGCACCGTCCGCCCCCGCCACCCCCCCCGCCTCCACGCAGCCGAACACGGGGCTGCCGAAGGTCATCGGGGCGAGCGACGGCGACCCCTGCGCGGCCTCCGGCGCCGCGGCGGTCGCGGCGTCGTCCGCCGGCGGAGACACCCGCTGCATGTGCTCATCCAAGGTCTTGCCCTCGAGCTCGTCGATTAGCAGGGCGCCGGAGGGCAGGTGGACGGGGCAGGCGGACATGCGCGCGGCCCCGCCGTCCTCGCCCTGGCCGTCCCCGAGCTGCACGAGCGCACGCGAGGGCGGCGCGGGCCGTGAGGGACGTTTGTGTGAGTTGCGAAACGTGCGTGTTGTGACGCCGGGGCGGCCCGGCCGCGTCTGGCCGCGCGCGGCGCACCTGGAGCAGCGAGAGGATCGAAGGCTCCGCCTTGCGTCGCCCGACGGCGTCAGCGTCGGCATCGTCGTCGTCGTCAAGATCAATGGCGCCGGTGTCTCCCTCCTCGATTGCGTCATCGAGAGTCAAGAAGTTCTCTTCCTCGTCCCACGGCGCGTCCCGGAGCTCGCCTGCACGGCGCCGGCGGCAAGCGGCGACGGAGGCGTCAGGTTCTGCGGGCCATGCGGGCTGTTGCGTGCACGCAGAGGGACTTGTGTACCTTCGCCCTTTCCGCCGCGGTTGTTTCCGGCGCCCTTGTCCTTGCGGCGGCGCCCGTTGATGTACGCAATCGCCTGGTGGACCAGGTCGTGGAGGTACTCGACCTTCTTGCCCCAGACGTGCGCAGAGCCTTGGATGACCAATGCAGCCTCCGCGAAGTTCAGCTGGCGGCAGTCCCCGCCGTCCCCGATCGCGAACACGAAGGACTCGAGCTCCTCGAGGTAGTCCTCGAGGTCCGCCGCGATGTCGATCGACCAGTTCGCCGCCAGGTCCCGCACGGGCTGCAGGCAACACCACACACGTTCGCGCCCGTCACGTCGCGGACACGCCGCCACGAAGCCCAAACAACCCGATGTCTCGTTTTCAAGCACAAGAGGCTCCCATTCGCAGCGAAATCGCACGGAATGCGTCGGTGTCGGGCGCGAGACGGCGCGGAGGACTTGCCTGGAGGAAGTGCGCGAAGCGCGACTTCTCCGGTTCCTCCTTGCGCATCTTGACGCTAGTTCCGGGTATAAACCGCGTGCTGCCGCGTCTGGGTCGACAAACAACGCCCTGCGGTGCCCCCACGGCGCTCAGGTGCCTGGTTCCTGGTCCCTCCAGCGCCGCAGCGTGGTTTGAACGCGGGGCGCGCGGGCGGCGAAGGGGGCGCTCGCGCTCGCGTCGGTCCGCCGGAAACGCGTCCAGCGTGCGGGCTAGTGCCGCGGAGGAGCGCCGCGCGCGCCAACGTCGCGCAGAGACGCCGTCGGGCGGGTCGTACTGGCGCGCTGGTTGCTTGTTCTTCTCCTGCGCGCCTGGGGACGTTGAGAGCGAGCGAGCCACGGCCCGAGCACTCCGTGCGCGGTCACTGAGGCTCTGAGCGCTCTCCCAAGGCAGGCGTGACCGTCTTGGGCAGGTATCTGCGGCGCGGGAGGTGGCATTGGGCAGCTTCGTGCACGAGGCGGCAGGGAGGCCGCTTGTTCGCGGACGGGGACAAATATCCGGCGAGAGGATTCCCTGCTCACTATTCCTTCGAATCAGGGCGGGAGTCGGGTACGGGGTCTTGCGAACGCCCTGCACCGGCCTACACTCAGCCCTACATATCTAGGCGCCCGCCGCGCCCGCAGCACAGCTCAAACCCCTCGAAACACCGGCGCACCGATCCCCACTGCTGCTGCAGGAGCTGGCGGATGGCGCGGTCCCTCGCGTCGGGCTCGGCGAGCCACGCGCTAGGCTGCTCGTTACGCACCCCGCGCACCCTAGCCGCCTCCACGGCCCGCCCTGACCCGTCGCGCCGGTGGCCGCCGCAGCCCGCGCACCCGCTCTTCGCGCTGCCCGGATGGACCGTCCAGGTACTCCCCAACCCTCCACCTCCGACCTCCAACCTTGTAAACATCAAGCGGACGATATCACGCCCTCCATGACTGCGAGCCTGCATCTAAGCGTCTTGCTAGCCGCACTCCGTCCCTCCGCAGCCCCCCGCCGCGCGGAGACACCCCCCCCCTCCGTCTTCACTCCCCCCCTCGTATGAACCGTGGGACCGCCCGTGGTATGAGTGGCGGAAAGCGGCGCTGGCCGTGGAGCACGAGGGGTACCACGCGGGTCTGCAGCAGGTGCAGGAGGCCGTCCAGGAGGGCCGACGCCGCCTGGGCGTCGAGCTTGGGCACCAGCAGGTCCGCGCACGCACGCGCACCGCATGCAGGGTCTACCGGGCAGCCGAAGGCCGCACCGCGCTCGGACGACCCGCCTCGCCACTGCGCCGACACGCGCCTCGCGGGCGCCGCAGCGCGCGGCAGCTGACGTCAGCGGCCCGCCACGCAAACCGGGGGTGTTTTTGGGGGTGTGTTGTGCGCAGGGCGTGGCGACGACGGAGCCGCGCGAGCTGACCCCGGAGGAGCTCGAGTACGTGCGCGAGCACTACGGCAACCGCCACGTCAGCGCCGAGACCGTCGCGTCGCGCATGCGGTTCGCGGACGCGGCGGCCGCCGCCGCCGCCGACGCCGCCCGCGCCGGCGGCGCCTCGCTCGCGGACCGCGCGGGCGAGCAGCGCTCCGCCGCGTGGCTCGCCATCCGCAAGGGCCGCCTCACGGCCTCCAGCTTCACCAGCGCGCTCGGCATGTTCCGCGAGGGCCGCCTGCAAGTCTGGGAGGAGAAACTCGACCTTCGGGAACCGTTCCGGGGCAACGACGCGACGCGCTGGGGCACCAACATGGAGCCCGAGGCCCTCGCCGCGTACGAGCGCGCCACGGGCCTCGCCGTGCAGTCCGAGGCCTTTCGCGCCATGGGCAGCGGGCCAGCGCACTCGTGGCTCGGGGCATCTCCGGACGGCCTGGTCGACGGCTCGCGGCTCGGCGCCGGCGCGAGCGTGCCCCGGAGCATGGTCCCCGCGGGCCCCGGGGTCCTCGAGATCAAGTGCCCGTTCAACGGGGGGCGCCCGGAGATGGCGCAACCGTGGAGGGTCGCTCCGTACTACTACATGCCGCAGCTGCAGGGACTGATGGAGGTGTTCGATAGGGAGTGGGCGCACCTGTGGTGCTGGACGCGGAGCGGCGGCGCGTCGCTGTTCCTCGTGCGGCGCGACCGGCGGTACTGGGCGTATTGTTGGACGGTGCTGGCGGACTTCTGGTGGTGGCACGTGGTGCCGGCGCGGATGCGGCTGCAGGAGATCCGCCGGGAGCATGGCATCGCGGACGGCGCGGCTGCGGCGGACGCCGTGCTGGAGCTTAGGCGGAGCGGCGACGCCGACGTCGAAGACGTGACGCGGCTGTTCGCCCCTGGGGACGCGCACCCGCTGTCGGGGTTCATGCGGGACTACAGCAAGGCGCTCGCGGAGCAGGCGCCGAGGGCGGACGTGCAGCTCGCGCGTCGATGACGGCTGCGCGATGTGACGGGGCTGCGCGTGACGCCCACTCGTGGTCGCGCGCGCAAGTGTTGCTCTGGCCGCGCCGCGCTCGTCGCGCTGGGACATCGGCGCCCCGTGCCCCCGCACCACGCTTGCCTCGTCGCCGTGTCGCTTGTCGTGCGTGGAGGCGGCGTTGGCGCACGCCGTCTGTGATCGCGGAATGCCGCGACCACCGTGCGCCGGAGGGGGCGAATTCGGGCCGTCGAGGTGGCGGCGTGCAGGGAGAGTGCGATGGCGGTGAAGTGGACGTGGAGGGAGGGCGGCGGGGGGGTTTGCGGCCCGTCTGTCGCACATGACGAACGTCAGCTGGCGCGGCAGCGCGCGTGGCGATGTTGGGGCGTTGGACGGCGGCCGCGCGGCAGCTTTGGAGCGAACGACCGCGATTTCGTTAGCTCGCGGCCCACGCGGAGCAGGGACGCGACCGAGCGCTCGGTGCGATCGAGCCACCTTTGCACTGCGCCTGCCGCGGCGTACCTGCGTCAAAGTCGTGATTTCTCGACCCAGCCGCCGTCATATAAGTGATACTGTCGAGGAGAGGCGTTTCAAGGCGGCGGAGTGGGCTGTCGGCGTCTGGACGCGGCAACTTTGTGTTGTCAGCTCCGCGTGCCGAGACGCTGGCGCGGCTCCGCGGCTCACACAGCCACATAAGCATCACAGGCGCGAGGAGACATGGCGGAGGTGCTCAACAGAACCGGTGAGCCCCAAGAGAACGCGTTGAGAGCGCGCTGCGGACGGTTCTTGTCCTCTGTGCTAGAGCGCACATGCCTGCTCGCCCCGCGGCCGCGCTCCACGCCACGAGCGGCTCACGCGCGCCGCGCGTCGGGGCGACTCGTGCGTCACAGGCGACCGGAGCAAGAGCCGGGGCAGCCTGAACAGCACAATGAACGTGTCGAGGCGCTCTGGAGCGGGTGCATCTGCGGGAGGAACTGAGACGCGTCTCATGAGGTGAGCCCGCGCGACGACGCGTTACCCGCGACTCCGCACGCGTACAGTTCGCAACTACCGACTCAGCTGCTCTGCGCGGCGGTTCACCCCCGGGGCGAGCTGCATGGCGCGTGCAAGTTCCCTGCTGTTTGCTCAGCGCTGCTCCGTTTCCGGGACTCTGCGCCCATGCCGAACGGCGCTCCGAAACAAGACACGCACGTACATCTGGGTCGCCGCCACTCGTGTCTCGTTGATGCCGCGCCTGTCCGTGAAGAGCCACGCAACGCTCACAAGTGACGCACAACCTCCGGTTCCGTGCGCAGCCGTGGCGGGGGTTCGCGCGCCTCGAGCTCTCGCGGCAGCCGCCCCCAGAGCGCGGGCGGCAACGCCGCGGCCATGCACGCCGCGCGCAAGCCCGGCGCCCCAGCCACGTACAAAGTCAGTAAGTCACAGGAGGCCCGAATGCGCGTCGAGGAGAAGCGCCAGGTCACGGAGGCGCAGTTCTGGGGCCGAGAATCCGTCGGAGGGCCGGTACGCACCCTCCGCGAGACCGCAAACCCCACACGCCGAACCCCGCTGCCCCCGCACACTTGCGCACACCACACCACCGCCGCGCTGCGCCCGTTGCCGCGCGCAGGCGGTCGACATTCCGGCGTTCTGGTCGACGGAGGCCTTCGGGCAGCCGTGCAACGACGTCCGCCTCACGATCGGGTCCGGCGCGCGATGGAAGGTCGACGGTGCTGGCCCGACGCTCAAGCTGCCGCGCCCGAAGATGGCGGGGCCGGCCACGGAGCAGCTCGAGAGCATGCGCGCGAGCCTCCGCAAGGGCGAGCACTTCCTCACGGGCCAGCGCATGAGCAGCGACGAGCGCGAACAGATCATCTTGGCTCTCCCGCCGCACCACCGCATCCACGCGCTGTGCAAGTGCCAGGACCGCGACACGTCGAGCCCGGACTTCATCCCCTGGACGCAGGAGATCGATCCGATCCTCGACGGTGCGCCCCGCGGCCCGCACGGTGCCGCGCGGCGGCGTTGTGCGCCGTCGCCTGCGTGGGAACGTTTCGCGTCCTCACCGAGGTTCCCCGCGCCCGTCCGCAGGTACGGAGTGGTTCAAGGACCGCGAGCGCACGATCCGGCTCGCGGTGCAGCGGCTGGAGCAGATGATGCTCGCGCACGTGGGCTTTGAGACGGAGGCGCGCTGCAAGGCGGCCCGCGCGCCGTTCACGAACGCCAAGGACCTCCTCACGCGGCAGTTCATCATCGTCGACCCGCACAACACGGGCCGCATCTCCGTCCAGCAGTTCCTCCAGGTCTGGCAGAACAACCTCCGCCTGCGCGAGTACGAGGAGCGGTGGGAGCAGAACCCCGTGACCAAGCGGTCGTCGCGGACGCTCATCCCCGGGCGCCGCCTCATCCTCTCGCGCGGCGCCGCGGCCGCGCTGTTCGTCAAGTACGGCTTCGACAAGGACGGCCTGTTGCCGTACAAGGTCTTTGTCAACGCCATCTGCTCGACGCCGGCGCGGCTGCTGGGGTTCGAGACGGTGCTCGACAACGCCGCGCTCGGGCACAACGGGCTGAAGAACGAGGCGGACGTCGCGCTCGCGATGCAGGGCGCGAAGATCCTCTACCCGAAGTCGCGCACGGGGGTGTTCCCGCCGAGCGGGTTCGAGACGGACGAGGCGTTCCGGTCGCAGAAGGCCCCGCGCGCGACGATGTTCCTCGAGCACGCGTACGGGTACGCCGGCCGGAAGGCGCTGGCGTCGAATTTGTGGTATAACGACAGGGGGGAGTTGGTGTACTACGTGGCGGGCGTGGGGGTGGTGTTCAACAAGGAGGAGCACCTCGCGGGGCGGCCGTCGCAGCGGTTCTTCTTCGGCCACGACAACGACATCGAGTGCCTGACCATCCACCCGAACCGGAGGTTCGCGGCGTCGGGGCAGCAGCTCAAGGCCGGGGGGCGGCCGTACGTCGCGGTGTGGGACACGCACACGATGTGCCAGATCCAGCGCATCGACCACGACAAGGAGTGCCGCTCGGTGATCGGCGTGGCCTTCTCGGGCGACCGCAGCACGAGCTGGAGCGCGGCCAAGGACAAGCGCGGCGACGGGAGCATCCTGGTGACGATCACGGGCGACAACAAGCACACGGTGTGGGTGTGGCGCTGGATGACGCACGACAACGCGCTGTTCAAGGCTTCTTACATCCCCGGGTGGTGCTGGGGCCCGGAGAAGAAGTGGGGGGAGCTCGAGGCCACGGGGGTGTATTTCCGCGGCGACAACGAGTCCGACGACGAGGAGGACCTCGAGGCCGTCAAGGAGGTGCCGGAGGACCACCCCGGCATGCGCGTCCTGGAGAACGCGCGCCGCAAGGACGTGCCGAAGCTGGCGATGCGCGGGTTCGGCGGGAGCGCGATGCGGCCGAACACGGTGCAGAGCGGCGACGGCTCGTTCGAGCTGATGACCGAGGGCATGCCGTCGTACAACGGGACTCCCCCGCAGGTGTTTGGAGTGGCGTGGAACCCCTTCCGGCGGCAGCGCGGCGGGCCCGGGAGCGAGTTCTGCACGTACGGCACGAAGCACCTGAAGACGTGGTACATGGACGAGGACACGCGGGAGTGGATCACGACGAACGCGCAGTACAACAACAACGCCGTGCACGACATCAAGGCGGTCGAGTGGGTGCCCGCGCGGCACCAGCGGCGCGCCCCGGGGGACTCTTGCATCGTCACGGGCTTCCCGGACGGCTCGATGGGCGTGTGGGTGCCGCCGTTCCCCACGCGGGCTGGCGCGGTGTACCTGCTGGTGACGGTGGTGCGCAACGCGCACGGGCCGGGTCCGAAGATCGGGACGTCCGCGGACGGCAACGCGATCTACAGCGGCATCGCGGCGCTGAAGCTCCGCGCGGACAACAGCACGCTGCTGTCCGGCGGCGGCGACGGGCGCGTGCGGTCGTGGATGCTGGCGCCGCCGCGCGGGGACCCCGAGCGTGCGCGCGGCGTGTCGCTGCGCGCGCTCGGCGAGGGCGAGAAGCGCGGGCCGCACGACTTCGACCTCACGGACGACTTCGAGAGCAACGAGGGCGCGCCGATCATCAAGTCCCTGGACACCATGCAAGACATGGGCGATGTGTTCATCGCGGGGACGGCGCAGGAGGACATCTGGGAGGTGGACGACTCGCCGCAGGTGCTCATCGACGGCCACATGGACGACATCAACAAGGTCGCGTGCCACCCGAAGGACGCCGACGTGTTTGCCACGTGCGACATCACGGGGCGCGTCTACCTGTGGAACGCGCGGGGCCGCGTGCTGCTGCGGTCCGCGACGATGCAGATGCAGTGCATCGCGATCGATTTCAGCAAGGAGCCCGTCGCGCGGGACCGCAAGCTCTACCCGCAGTGGCAGCAGCCCGCGGGAGAGAAGGGGGCCGCCGGCGGGTACCACCTCGCGATCGGGGGCGCCAAGGGGCGCCTGATCGTCCTGGACGCCGTCACGCTACAGCCGATCATCTACCACAGGTGCGACCCGCGCGTCGTCGTCGCGCGACGCCGCGCTCCCTGCCCCGCGCGCTCCCCGCAGCGCTGTTGCCGACGGCTCGCGCCGCGGTGCGCACCTGTCCGCGCAGGCGCTTCCAGAAGGAGATCCGCGAGGTGCGGTACTCTCCCGCGGGCTGCGGGACGCGCTTCCTCGCCGCCGCGGGCCTCGACCTCGTCGTGCACATCTTCAACGTCGACAAGGGCTACCAGTTCGTGAGCAAGTGCGTGGGGCACGCGGCGTCCATCGAGTTCCTCGACTGGTCGCTGCCGCTCACCGAGGGCCCGGAGTACCTGCGCAAGCAGTGCATCCTCATGTCGCAGTGCAGCGCCACGGAGGTGTTGTATTTCGACCCGCGGACGGGGAAGAAGGTCCCCGAGAACCAGCGCGACCTGCTGATGGCGACGTGGACGGGGCCCTTCGGGTTCCCCGTCATGGGGATCTGGCCGGACGGGTCGGACCGGACCGACGTCAACGCCGTGTGCCGCAGCGCGCGCGGGGCCGCGACGTGGGACGAGGAGCGCGACCTCCCGCGCGTCCCCGAGAAGGACGTGTGCCCGGAGAACGTCCGCGGCGCGGGGTACCTCGTCACGGGCGACGACTACTCGACGGTGCGGCTTTTCAACTACCCGTGCGTGTGGGACGACGCGCCGTGCCGGGAGTTCATGGGCCACTCGTCGCACGTCTCCGACATCCGCTTCTCGCACGACGACCGCCGCGTGTTCTCCGTCGGCGGCAACGACCAGGCCGTGCTGCAGTGGCGGACCATTGGCGTCAACGTCGACGACCGCGAGTACGACCAGAAGATTCTCGATGCCGTCGGGGCGGAGCACCGCCTCGCGGAGAACCACTGCCCGCTGTTCGACCAGGCCGTGTGGGAGAACAGCGAGAACCCGCAGGCCGCCGCGATCCTGCGCGGGGCCTCGGAGGAGAAGGCCGCGCCGCCAGCGCCGACGCTGCACGACGTGCGCGAGGAGACGATCGAGGAGGGCGAGGAGCGCGCGGACGAGGCGGAGCGGAAGCTGCCGGAGCCCTGGACGGCGGAGGAGGTCGAGGACGCCGCGGAGGGACCCCCCCGGGAGAGTGTGGAGGAGGTGAGCGAGGGAGGGGGGGAGTTGGAGCCTGTGCCGGACTCGGTGTGGCCGCGGAGCCAGGAGGTGGCGGAGATCAAGGAGGAGAGCGTCGAGGACGAGGCGGAGCCCGTCGCGGAGGGGTCGTGGCCGGCTGTGGGCGCGGAGGTGCACCACGACGACGACAACTACGTGCCGCAGGAGGTGCGTCGCGCGCGATGACCGTGGCGCAGCGCTGTGGGCACAGCCGCGGGCAGTGCGCACGCGCAGGGGCAGCGCGTGTTGGGCCGGCGGCTCGGTGCCGTGCGCTGTTTTTTGCACTTTGCACTTGGGTGGCTTTGACTTGCGGTCTCCCAATCGCGTGGCGTGCGGTGCGCGTGCAGGAGCACGGGCGGTACAGCGCGATGGACTCGCGGGGCTTCGTGAGCGAGGAGTTGGAGGAGAAGGGGGGGGGGTTTGACGTTGAAGAGGATGACATTGATGCGACGGCGCCGCGGCAGGTGGGCGCGGGGGCGACGCAGTTCGTGTAGGCCGGCGTGCTGTGACTGCGTGCTCGCGCTGCGCGGACTCTGGCTGCGTTCCGGGCGAGTCCGCTGCGGGAGTCCCCTATGACAGTCATGGGGGGGGGACGCGGGACCGCGGCGGGTCGTTGCGCTGCCCCGGGGAACAATGGCGCGCGGTGGAGACGGGAGAGGGAATTCCCCTTGTGCTGCTGGTGTCGCGAGCAGCCGTGTCGGACGTTGGACGCGAGCAGTACGCGGGTCGCGAGGCATCGCTGAGTACGGGCACGACTTGGCCCGCCGCTGGCGATCGCTGCGGCGTTGAGGCCGGCATTGCGCCTTCGGCGAGACAGCTGGCGCGACCATGAGCAACGAGAAGTACCCGAACCCCAACCAGGTACGCGCCCGGCCGCTGCGCCACACGAAGACGCTCTGCGGCACACTATGGTCCCAGTGCTGGCCTGATGCGGGACGCAAACGCGCCCATTCGCAGCGCATCTACGTCTTCAAACATATGCCCATGTCCCGACGCGGTTGATGTTCCCGGAAAACGCTCATATGCCGTGCACTCCGCGCTGTCACTGCGACGGTGCCGGTCGACTGCTTCGCAGGGCTACGGCGCGAACCAGCAGCAGTATCCGCAACCGAACTACCAGCCGCAGTACGGCGCGCCGTCCGGCTACCCCTCGGGAGGCCAGCAGCACTCCTACCCCACCAACAACGCCCCTGCGGGCTACCCAACTGGAAGCAACTATGCCAACCACAACCAGACGGTCGAAGGCACGCCGGTCTACACGACCGCGCCGGTCCACGGCGGCGGGGAGACGGTCGTCATCGTCCACGGAGGGCGCCAGCTTCCGCCAGGCTGCGACCCACACGGGCATATGGTGTCGTCGCCGACGTGCGGCCCGATGACGGGGCTCTCCGCGATCATCCTCTTCTGCATCTTCCCCCCGCTGGGCGTCCTCCCGCTCTGCTGCCCATGCGACCAGGCGGTGCGTCCACCCGCCCCCCACGCCATGTCGCCGCGACTGCCAACCTCGTCCTCGCACCCCGCTGACCCCGGCGCGCCCCGTGCTCCTGCCTGCAGCACTACTGGCAGGTGAAGAGCCGCGACGACTGGCAGCGCGAACGCCCGAGAGGACTCACGCCGACCAGGCGGTGGTTGCACTGTTGCCGACTTATTCGTCTAATACTCCCCCCGCGTCCCGTGCATCGCAGAATCCGAACGGGTCGCGAATCTACATCGGCTGACGCAGCCGCGGCGCGGCCCAGCCCCCCAGCGGGTGTTCGTGGCGACGCGCCTCGGTGCATCACGCGGCGAACGTGTACAGCGAGCCTGGCAGACGGGAACGGCGAGCGGACGGACCGCCGCCGGCGCCCCCGTCCGTTCCAGTTGTGAGCTTGCTGTCCGCGGATCGGTGCGCGTCTGACAGCTGATACGCCTGTACCCCTGGCAGGTACAAGTGACGTGTTCCAGGGATGTGTTGGCGTTGCTGTGGACCGTCATTGCCGATGGTGTGGAGGGCGCCGGCAAGTTCAGCGCATCGCCGCGATACTGCCCGTGCGATCTTCGACGAATTGTGGGACCCCGGACACGAGGAGTGGCTGAGAGAGAGTGCTGGGCGCCCTCTACGGGCCCTGTGGGGCGCGAAAGGTGGCGTTTGTCGCAGCGCAGCACACCTCTGCCAAGTCGTGAACAAGGGCGACCTTTTTCTTAGGCCAACAGGGCGCGGACAGCATGGTACAGGCCGTGAGGGCCGTGCTGCTTGGGCTTGTGTGCCTGTGCCTTGCGGTCGGCGCAGCGGCGGATGAGGCGACGAAGAAGCTGCGCGTGGCCTTCGTGCCGCTTCCCATCAAGACGCACGTGGACGCAGTGGTAAGCATCGGCCGTCGCGTTCCCTCGAAGCGTCGAGGAAGCGACGGATGCGCATGACAGGGTCCAGCTGCACGTATTTCGCGCTCTGTGGAAGCAGTGCGCGCCACCACCTTAAAATTTCCGCAGAAACCCTTGGTCTGCACCGGGCCCATCCGCACCTGCGCTATTCTGGGCCCTGAGTTGCCCGTGCAGCTCGTGCGTCGCCCCCGCGAACCTTCCGCACCGGTCTCATTTGTTTTGCCGCGATGCCGCGCCGGAGGGCTGAAACGTCCCTCCCTCGAACCTCCTGCGCAGGGCCCGCTAGTCGACTATTTCACCGAGGCGTACGGCACCAAGTACAACGTCTCGTGTCTGGCGCCGGAGCACCTGTTGCCAGCATGCACTGGCGACCCCGCCGCGGTCAACCTCACGGCGCTCCCAGCGCCGCGCAGCTTCCAGCCTGGCAACGCCACGCTCGAGGACATGGCTGCGAACCTCACGGATCCGCTCCACGTCGGAAAGGAGAACGTTTCGGCGGCGGAAGACCTCTTTCGTCGAATGAACACTGCAACGTTCTCAGGCCTCGTCGAAACCTTCGGAGCGCCGAACGACACGTCCTGGACGCGGCCCGAGCTCGTCGTGTGCGACTACGCCAGCGCGGGCTGCATCGATTTCTGCGAGGCCGCCAGGATCGTCCACGCCGTCGTCCTGGTGAGCCGCACGCGCGTCATGGCTGCCGCCGCGGCGCTCAGCGGGCCCGCCGCGGCCATGGGCGTGCCTGTCTGGGAGCCCCCGAGCGTCCCGCCGCTGCTCCACAACACCTCGTCGTTCGCGCGGCGGATGGTGCGCCCCATCGAGCGCGCTCTCCACCGCTACCGAGCACGGTCGGCAGCCTCCCGCGCGCGCAACGCCGTGACGCGGAACGCCCTCGGGCTGCGGCCCGCGCCGTCCGTGGTCGGACCGCTACCCGGACTGAACCCGCTCGTCCTCGTCACGTCCGCGCCGGGCGTCGAAGTCGTGACCAGTACAGCGCCAAACGTAATCGACGTCGGCCCGCTGTTGCCGGTCGCGCCCAAGCCGGTGCCCCCGGAGCCGAAGAACTCGTCGACGTACCCGTCCGAGTTCTTCACCGCGGACGTGATCCCGCTCGGGTGGAGGCTGGCGGGTCGCACGAAGGGCTTCCATGACGGCGTGCTCCTCATCACAGCCGGGGCCAAGACGCCGATGACGGCCGGGGAGCTGGACTCCCTCATCAGCTCGCTCGCGGAGCTGGAGTTCGGAAAGTTCGTCTGGAAGCTGCCGGAGAAGTACTGGCCGGTGCTGCCGCGGCCCTGGCCGCGCAACACAATCATCGTGCCGGACGTGGATGAGGAGGCTGTCCTGCGGCACAACCTGACGTGGGGGCTCATCGCGCACGGGTCGAGCGAGGACGTCGTGCAGGCGCTCGCGCACGACGTCGCGTTGCTCGCGCTGCCGGTCGGTCCTGACCACGCCGTCAACGCGCAGCTGGTGCAGAACAAGGGGTGGGGCGTGAACCTGCGGCGGCCGGACGGGACGCTGCACTGGGAGGACATCGCGGAGAAGATCAAGGGGTTCAACAGGAACAAGACGGCGACGGCGATCGTCCGGGAGAAGGTGCGGCGGACGCTGCGTGCTTCGGGGGGCACGCGGAGGGCCGCGGAGCTGCTGGCGCTCGAGGCGGACCTGGGCGGAGACTACTTCACGCCGGCCTTCCCGGCAACGCCGTGGTGGGATCGGATCGAGGCGGACATCGTTGCGGCGTGGGTGGTGATGGCTGGCGTGCTGGGAGTCGTGGCGAGGGCGGCGCTGCGGCGAGGGCTTGCGTTCGCCGTGGGACGACGGAAACAGAAGCGCTCGTAGCGGCCCCGACGCGATCGTGTGAAGCGATTCACAGCTGCGCAGACACAGAACGTCGGAGGAGTAGTTGAGAGGGAAACACGACGTTTTGTCACCCGCTGCCGTTCGCCGCCTTGATCTTGCTGGTGCTCTGCACCTCGTCCGCCGTATTCTCCGCCGCGTCCCCGCCGCTCGCGACCGCACCGGGCCTCGCTCGCTTGTGCGACGGCGACTCTACCATCGTGCTACTCTGCGTGGGTTCCGGGGAGTCATCGCGGCCGGCCGGGCTCTCCCTCTCCCCTGCGCGACTCGCCCTCCCGTTACCCGTCAGCACCGGCGGCGGGCGCCATCGTGGGGAGTGCTGACTCCCCCCCGGGAGCCCAACATCCCCCCGCGGAGACCCCCCCTCTTTCAGGTCCGCACCCGCCCGCTTGCTCCTCTTCGCCGACCCGATCCTTTGCCCGCTGCCGTCCGCCGCCGGCACCTCGACCGCGGCATTCGCGATCGCGGCCGCCGCAGCCGACGCCTCTACCTGCCCGCGACACCATCGCTTCCACATCCGGCGATACTCCGCCTCCACGCCGTCCATGAACGGCCCCGCATCGCAGAGCGGGCTGCGCAGGAGTCGATCTCGCAGGGAGCCACGCAGCTCCGCGAGGCCGCTGAGGTCGGACGCCCACTGCGCCGCCAGGTGCACGTACTCGTCCGTAGAGCCCGCCACCCAGCCGTCCGCGATGCCGACCGCCGTCAGCAGCGACACGGAGACGTTCTGCGCGTGGCACGCGCCCCGGAGCGTCAGCACCGGCACGCCCATCAGCAGCGACTCGCACGTCGTCGTCGTACCTGCACCGAGCATGAACGACGCACAGACTGTGCGGAGACGCCCGCGGGGCGACGGCGTGAGCTCTGGCAGGGCAGGCGCGGCGGGTCGGACTCACCGGCGTACGGGAACGGGTCGAGGCTGATGTCCATAGAGTTGTAGGTGCTGAGGTGGTCTCGCGTGCCGGGCGCGAGCGGCAGCATGTCGACGCGGGACGCGTCGATGCCCTCGGCCTCGAGCACGCCCATCACGTGCCCGCGCGCGACGTCGCACGCGAACGGCTTGTTCTTCAGCAGCAGCCGGCTCCCAGGCACCGCGTGAAGGATCCGCGCCCACACACGCACGACCTCCGGCGTGATCTTAGCGAGGTTGTTGAAGGACCCGAACGTCACGAAGCCGTTCGCGGTCGCAGGCGCGGGGCCCACCGCGGGGGCGTCGTCCGGCGCGGTATAACACAGGAAACACCCCGGGAGGCGTACCAGCTCCTCGCTGAACACCTGGGGGGTGGTTTCGGGGTCCGCGACGGCGTCGGTGATGCGGTAGTGCACCGACGCGAGGCCCGTGGTGTTGGGGTACCCGATCCACGTCACGCCGACCGGGCACGGCTGCATCGCCATCGTGCCCAATCGGTTGTTGGCCGTGTGGCCCGTCAGCTCGACGAGGACGTCCACGCGGTCGGCGCGGATGCGCTCGGCGAGCTGGCGCTCGTCGAGGGCCGCGCAGTCGACCCACGCGTTCCCAGCGGCCTCGACGCGCTCCCGCAGCAGCCGCGTCTTTGCGTCGGGCGTGGGCGTGCAGTTGTACACGCGCACCTCGAAGTCCGCCCTGCGAGCCGGCAGGAAGCGACGGGGGTCGCATAGAGCAGGAGGGGAAGGAAAAAAACACTGCTGGTATAAAAAAACACGAAATACGAGAACAAGAAGAATGGGAAACACGAAACCTAGGGGGTGCCCGGCGTACCCGCACGCCCGCGTGATGGGCACCTCCGCGAAGTACGACACGCTGTGCGTGTAGAGGTCCGGGCTGACGTATCCGATCACGAGCGGCCGCTCGGGCGCGCAGTCCCACGTGGACGCGTTTGGGAGCGGCTCGAGCTTCTCCGCGAGGGTCTCCATGCGCGCGCCCCACGCAAGGTGCTGCGAGGACACGTACGGGTCTTTCCCGTCGCGGATGTAGTTCAAGCAGAGCAGCCTGTTCTGCGCGGCGTTGCGGTTCGTCGGATCGAGCTCTGAGCAGCGGCTGTACGCCGCGATGGCCTCGTCGATCGCCCCGATGTCGCGCATGAGCACGCCCAGGTTGTTGTGCGCCTCGGCGTACGTGGGATCCGCCGCGATGGCCGCCTGCGCGTGCGCGGGGAGGCGCAGACGGGCGCGTTTAGAGAGGCCGTGGCGGGCGCGACTCGGGACGGGCCGACCTGTCGTGTCTTGACGTGGGAGTTGGGTGTTTGAGGGTTGGACGCGCGGCGAGAGCGCTATCGTGTTGACTCACTTGCAGCATCTGCAGCCCCTCCTGCGCCTCGCCACGCGCCGTGAAGATGACGCCGAGGTTGTTGAGCGCCTGCGTGAAGTTCGGCTTGAGCGTCACCGCGCGCCGGAAGCACTCCTCCGCCCGCGTCATGTTGCCCTCCGTCCGGCACAGCACGCCCAGGTTGTTCCACGCCTCGGCCATCGCCGTCGGGTGCTGCCGCACGCACGTTTCGTAGAAGAAGATCGCGCGCGCGTTCTGCCGCCGGTGCGCGCACGCCACGCCCATGTTGTACAGCGCCGCGGCGTGGACCGGGTCCAGCGCCAGCGCCTGCGACGCGACATCAAGCAACCTGCCACACTCGTATTTGTCTCCACAAAAAACAAACAAAACGAAAAAGAACAACCAAGCGGTCTCTCCCGGCTCAAACCCGGCCACAACAGCGCGGCCGGGCACGCGTCAGCGATGCGCACCCGCTCGAGCAGCGCCACGGCCTCGTCGTGTCGGCCGTCGGCGGTCTCTTGTGCTGCTGCGTCGGTGAGCGTGCTCGCCAGGTTGTGCCGCACGACCGCGTCGCCCGGGGAGGCCCGGTGGGCGCGCTCGTGGAGCTTGATCGCCTCTTGCAGCCGCCCCGCGGACCGGTGGATGACGCCCAGGTTGCACAGCGCCTCGGGGTACGCGGGCGCGATGTCGATGGCGCGCTCGTACTCCGCCGCGGCGTCCTCGGGCCGCCCGCACTCGCCGAACAGGACGCCGAGATTGTACCGCGCGGGCGCGTACGCTGCGTGCGCGGACGCAACGTCGCCGGTGTTTTCAGTCGTGTTTTCTCGAGTGATGGCCACGAGGCTGTTGCCGTGTCTGAGGGGGAGGTTGCGGACCTGGATCGGCCTGAATGGCCTCGCGGTACCTCTCGATGGCCTCGTGCGTCCTGCCCTCGCCCTTGAGCTTCGTGCCCGTGTCCGACAGGACGGCGGCCCGCGCCGCAGCGACGTCGGTGCTGCACTCCGCCCCCGGTATCCTGTTGAGCGCCGCCAGCGCGTCGTCGAGCAGTCCGCGCGTGCGGTACATCGTCGCGCAGCGCAGCAGCGACTCCTTGTGGCTCGGGTCCGTCGCCAGCGCAGACGCGTAGCAGCTGCAACGACACCAGGAAGCAACGCATTAAAGATGCCTCAAACAAGACTGCCAACACCCCGCGCCACTCGACTGCGATGCCCCGCGTTCGCAGCCATACCGACGAGTGCCGTGCTGCGACGGCTCGAGCCCCGGCGCGCACCTGTACGCTTCTGGCAGGGCTTGCGCTGCCTCCAGACACCGCCCTTTCGCGGCCAGTGCGTCGGGGTTCCCCGGCGCCTGCACGAGGACGCGGCGGACGATCTGCAGCGCCTGGTGGTGGTTGCCGCGGTTCATGCACAGCGTCGCCATCCGGAGCGCCAGCGTCTCGTCACCGCCGTCGCTCTGCTGCCGCGCGCGGTCAGGGGACGGGTCGGGCGACGGGACGCGCCGAGCCGCTCCGTCCGTGACGCCGGCGGCCTCCCCCGGCGACGGCGGCATCGTGCCCGCCGCGCGACGACCCCTCGCGCCCGTCACCCTTTGTGTGCCGGCGAGAGAAATCACTCAATGCGCAGCAACGATTCAACGCAGCACCTAAGCCGCCAGTTTCTGTGCCTAATGGGTAGATTCTCGGTGTTGGCCTGAGGCGCGCGCGTCGCGGACCGCGCGGGGAGCTTGGTTGGCGAGTCCGCGGCACCGCTGGCGCTGAGGGCGGGTGGTCCCCTGCGTCGCGAGCTGCGACGCCCGTGTCGATCACCGCAGCTCCCCGCTGCGTCCAGATACAGACGGCTGCAGCGGGGGCCGCGCAGTCGCACTTGGCCGGCCGAGCCGCCGCCAACGCCGCGTATTCTCTGTGCAGCGCAAAAGCAGCGGGCTCTCCTCTGCAGGCCGAGCGAGGCGTGTGGACGTCAGCAGCGCGGCGCTGGACCAGCTCCGATGCGCGGAGTGCGCGCCGGCGGCGCGGCCGGCCCCGCTCGCGCCCCCCAGCGGCGCTGCGGGTCGCAAGTTTCTTCCCAGGGCCCCACAGTCAGTGGTGCGGTTTCGGCGGTCAAGGGCCCCGCGGGCGGCCTGCGCGCGCCAAGGTGGTGCGCTGAGCGGTCGAGCTCGTGTTTACAGATGTCACGCGGACCGACGTGCATCGAGCGGGTCGGCTGGGGCTGCCTTCTGGGGGGGACGCTGGGCCTCGGCGTAGGTGCGCCCCGTGCCTCGGCCTGACGTACCGAGCGCGTAGCACGCTACAGCGAACGCTAACCATGACGAAATGGCGGCCACAGGCATCCACTTCGGCGCTGGCGCGCCGCGACGCCCGGTTGCTTTGCGGCACTTGCAACACCTCGTCTGAACGGGTGCTGGCGCAACCAGCGACGGCCTTGCGTCGACACATCGCTTGGAGCATCTGGATTTGACGAGGCTGTATAAGTCGCGTCGAACCTGGGGGATTGCCCCGCAAACCTGCTGCACCCTGCAACGGCACGCTTCGCCGCGCTCTACCGCCGTGCCCGCGGAGTTCCGGGCCTTTCGCCCGCGCGACGTCGTTGAGACGCGAGGGAACATTCCACCTCGCCGTTCCGCGTCATCGGAGCTCGCCCCTGGCGCCCTGGCGACGGCTTGCAAGCAGGACCTTGCAGACAGCCCGCTGCTCCGTCCACCCGCTCGGCGCAGGCTCGCTGTACGGCACGTACGAGGCCATCCGCTTCAAGGTCCCCGGCATCTACAAAATCCGGCACATCGGCCAGGCGCGCCACACCTCTCCTCCCACCCGCCCGCACTCCTGCCCTCCCTTGCCAGCCCGCACCCTCACGGCCCGCCCAGCCCACCACCGCCCCCGCAGACCGCCCTGACGTCCACGGCGCTCTTCGGCTGCGTCCTCGGCGCCGGCTCCTTCCTCCAGTGCGGCAGGTCCTGAGCACCACTCGCGTTGACGCCATGTCAGCCGAGCCGCCCGTCTCGCCGCCAGCGAGCCCCAGCAGCACAGCCACGACGCGCACGGTCGTGGCCGAGCAGCGCAAGCGCGAGGAGCCCCAGGTCGACCAGTGCCTCGTGCTGTTCTGGATGTCAGTCTCCCTGGTCTGTCTGATGGCAACGTTCTACTTCGCAATACACTCCCTGCGACACCAGCTGGTGCTGCTGCGGCACGCGGGGGCCTCGATCCTCGAGACCGCGGTCAAGCGAGGCGCGCTCCCGTGGTGGGTCGCGCCTTGGACGCGGTGGCACGCGGTGTAGGGGGGGGAGTCGGTGACCTGTGGCGCTCCAGGCGCATGTGACGACGCGGTCGCTTGAGAGACGTCGTATCACGCCGCCAGGTGGCGTCTGAAGATTCACCGGCACTCCTCGCGCGCTCGCCGAGGGTCGTCCGCAACAAGCGGCAGCGTACGCGCGACGGTGCTTGCGGCCAGCCCCGCAGCGCAGCCGGCGGTCCGCAGGGCCCGCGCACGACGTGATCGAGCCGTGTTACATCATCCGCGAAACGCTCTCGCGGCGCCCGCGCGTCCCGGCGACGTCGCGCGTCGTCAGTCCCGCCGCGCGGCGCTCACCACCGGCCGCCGACCTGCTCCATCATGACGTCGACCTGGTCGTCGTCCTCCATGTCCAGGCCCGAGGGGGTGTCCTCCGGCCCCACGCGGTTCCCCTCGAACATGAACTTCACCACCTTGCTGTCCAGCCCCGTGTGCTCCGCGTACTTGCGGAAAATCTTCTCGAACCGCGTCGACTTCTTCACCTTGAACGAGATCTCCCCGCCGGACTGCGCCCCGCACGCGGCACCGGCCGCCCCGCGTCAGCGCCCCCACGACACGCACACGCCCATTTTGTTCCGGCAGCACCGCGGCACGCATCGACGCCGAGGGCGACGGGCGCCGCGGGTCCGCCGTAGCGGCGTGCGTTCGGGCCGCACCTGGCTGTGGAGCTTGATGGTGATCTGTTCGTCGCTGCCCACGTTGGGCTTCTGGTCGACGTTGGGCTTCTGGTCCGGGGCGTCGCCCGAGCCGCCGACCTGGTGGACGTTGACGTCGATCTTGTCGCCGTCCTCCATGTCGTAGTCCTGCGGCGTCTCGTTCGACTGGATCCGCTGGCCGTCGAACCCGAAGGCCAGAGTACTCATGTCGAGGGAAAAGTGCTCCGCGAACTTCGAGAACATCTTCTCGAAGCGCGTGTGCGGCTTGACTTTGAACTGGAGCGTATTCCCGTTCTGCGGAGCGTCGCGGAGGGCGCGGTGCGGGCCGTGAGCGGCGGAACGGGGGGCAGGGGGCGCTGCCCGGCAGTCGTGCGTGTGGTGGTGCGGGGGCGCGCGCGCACCTGGTCCATGAGCGAGATGCTCATCTGCGTCGTCGTGTCCGGCTTCTTCTCCTCCGCCTCGGACATCGTGGCGAACGTTCGCTCCAGGGACAAGCTCGCTTCTCGCGGCGTGCTGCCTGCGCTGAGGTCACCCAGGTGGCCCGCCAGGTCGCATCGGCGCACGAGACATCCAGTCATTGCGCACAGCGCACGCCAGATGCAGGCAGGGCGCGCTCGTGCGCGCATAAGACTCGGAAACGCGCCGTGCGCGGCGTGCGCGAAATTTTCTGCCCTAGGGAGGCGAGGGCGGGAGATGCAGCGCACGCAGCGCTGGTCCGCGGAAAGGGGGAAGAGCGCGCGGCGAGGCGGTCTCATGCGATCAAAGAAGTGACTGATCATTGCTCGGAGCGCAGTTCTGCGCCGCACGTCGCGCAGCGGCGGACAGGCTGTCGCTAACTGCCATGCGAGACAAGGGCCGCCTCCGCAGACACCGCTGCCGCACCTGACTCTCTCTTCGATGCTCCGCGTTTCCTCGCGCATCCCGCCGCCCCGCGCGCCGTTGTGCGCGCGCCCGGGTCTGTGCTTGAGTCCCCCCCCCCCTGCCCGACGCAGGCCCGTGTCACGCGCACTGCGGCGCCTCGCGGCGCGGGTGCCGGCCGGCGCGCGGCGACAGGGGCGCAGATGCGGCGTCCGGTAGTCGAGGGGCGCGCCTCCGGATGCGCCTCCCAGCCGCACTCACGCTGGCGGATGGCACAGAGCACCTCCTGCATAGGTCTGCGAGTGACGCTTCGCACAGGACACGAAGCGCCTGAAACCTGCCCGGGATCGACGGAAGACAGTCTTCTCCGGGCGTGCACGAGCCGGCAGTGCCACCGGCGCGCCGCACGGGGCGCAACGAGCGCCGGAAGAGTGGGACTGAAGGTGGGCGGCGCGGCGAGCTGCGTCGGCGTTCACGCTGCGCCGCCCCTATCGCGGTGCGGGAAAGACCTCTGCAGCACGCGTGATGGTGCCGAAAGCGGGCAAGACGTCAGACGTGTCCTCGATTATCGTGCTTGCACCGCTGCTTCGATATGTACACACAAAGTGTGCGCTACTGCGTGCGAGCTGTTTATATACCAACTCAATGGGCAGATTTTGGCACGACTGTACTTGAACAGGATCAGTTCTACAGTTCGTACACTCTGTTGCGTCCATTAGACGTGACAAGCTCCTCAACTCGGTTGACGATGCGTGGCCCGGGGCTCTGAGCGCGAAGTTGCGCACGCGTCCGGCAACTACGTTGGCGGCTCGCGTTGCTTGATGAACGTCTCTCCGAACCATTCCATCGGAGTAGATGAGCCCTGGGCGTTCCGACGAGTTATGCTCGGCCGCACGCCCGCACGTTTGGCGCCCGGCGCTGCAGGGATGTCGGCGCGCGCAGTGCCGCGAGCCGGGTCGCGCCCTGAGACGTGTTGCCGCGTGTGCGCGTCGTCACATGCGTTCCAGGCAGGCGGCGCCACTCACTACGCAGCGAGGCTGTCATCTTCCACGCCCGTGCTCGTCCGCAGCGACGTCGGCGCTGCTCGCGCGCTCCTCCGAGATCCGCTTCAGTCCCGAGCTCGAGTGAAACGAGTCTGCGCAGCAACGCCAGCGCGAGCGCCTGAGCAAGAGAGCACGCATGCCGCGACGTCGCATGCCGGGCCTGCAGCGCCTGCGAGCGGGCGAACGCACCTTCCGACGACCCGCTCGCCGACGTCGCGTCCTCCACGTCCTCCTCGATCACGGACGGCGTCTCCGGCGCCACCATGCGCCCACTCAGCTGCGCCGACACCAGCGCAGCACTCCCCCCTTTCGCGCCGAGCGCCGCGGCGTCGAGCCGCACGCTCGTCGCCGGCGACCTCGTGCCCGCGGACGGCGCGGCCGGCGGGGCCTTGCTTCCGCCACGCGGCGCCGCGTTCGCCGCAGCCGCCTTGGTCGCGACCGCAAGCAAGCCCCCCGCGCGGCCTGCGCTCGCGGACTTCCTGTTCAGCCCGTGACCGCTCCCCGCCTCCGAGCCCCCGTTCCGCCCCGCGCTCGCGCTCGCAGCCCTACCGACGGCGTCCAGGAGCCCCCGGAGCGATCCCGCGCTGTTGCCACGGCGGTGACCGCGCCGCCCGCTCGGCGAGGCCGCGCCCCCGGCCGCGCTGTTCTGCGCGCTGCCCCCGCCGCTCAGCCGTCCGCCCTTGGTGTGCATGAGGCGCTCGTCCTGGTACCGCCACGCATCCATCATGTTTCGCAGGTCGTGGATGTCGAGCTTGTGGTCGCCCGGCCGCGTCCGCACACGCCCGTCCGAGTGCAGCTCGTGCACGGGGTGCGTCACGTGGATCTCCTCGAGCCCGAAGCCCTCCCTGCGGCGCCAGCAACGGAGCGTGGCAGCTGTTTGCGCTACGCAACACCGAGAGCCGCGGACGGCGGGACCGCGCCGTTTCGGCGCTCCGCGCCGGCGCGGCTGCCTCGCACCTCGTGAGCTTCTCGCGCAGCGCGCTCGCCTGCCCCTTGCCCTTCGGGCACAGCACCACCAGCGCCCCGCCCGCGCCGGACGCAAACTTCGCGGCGCTCCCCGACGCCTGCACGATCTCCATCGCCCGCATGCTCCGCGGCCCGAAGTGCTCCTCCCCGCCCGCCACCGTCCGCACCAGCGCGAAGTTCTGCGAAATCAGCGCCGCGAACTTGGCCGCGTCCAGCTTGCGCACGCGGTTGACCAGCAGGTCCCGGCCGGTGCGGGCCAGCATCGCGCACTCCTGCATCCCCGCCCGCGTCTCCAGATCCCCGCTGTCCCACCGCCGCCGCAGCGTCGCGTGGTACGCCGACTGCCCGCCCCCGCCGGCGTCGCGGCACAGCACGAGATACAGCTGCGGCAGGTTGCGGACGTCGAGCGTTTCGAGCACGGGCCCGCCCGTGTCCTTGACGACCTGCCGCCCGAGGTCCGCGAACACCACGCCGCCGTAGGCTTGCGAGACCGGGCCGGCGGGCGCCGGGGGCTCGGACGGGTCGTCGCGGCGGCGCTGGGAGAGGTCCGAGAGGCACGCGCGCGCGAGCGGGGCGCGGTCCTTGAGGGGCACGGCGTCCTCGACTCCGTAGTAGCGCATGAGGCACGTGAGCGCGCCGAGGATGACCGCGGCGGACGAATTCAGGCCGCAGCGCCTGCACGCGTCGCCGTCGCGCGGGGGGCGCGCGGCCGGGTTCAGGGCGCCGCGGTGCGGCGAGGGCGGTGGCGGCGCGGGGCGCGTCGGTGGGCGGCGGCGGGGGCGGACCGTGGGATGTTCGAGGTGAAGGAAAGAGCGAAGCTGGTTCCGTGGTTGTCGACAAGCTGAATGTTCTTGTCCTTGCAGTACGCGTGGAAGCCCTTGCACGCCGCGAGCAGCATCGAGCGCCCTCCCTGGTAGCCCTGCGGTCGGGGGGCGCGGGGCCCGGCGCGCGGCTGGGACGACATGCAACATGCACATGTGTGTGTGCCGTGGCGGATGCCCACACAGCCGGCGAGGCCCGGTGCGTCGTGATATGCTGGCTCGGCCGGCGGAGGATCTTGCTTCAGCGACGGAAATACGTGAGGCGCCGTCGAATCACGACGGAAGCGCTGGAGGAGGTGCCAACGGAAGGGGAGGTGCTGCCGTAGCATGACACGCCAGGCTGGCCGCGCACCCGTTCCTGGACGTTGTTTGCCAGGTCGTCGAGGTTCAAGAATCCCTCCTCCTCTTCGGGCACGTACAGTTGCAGCGTCGGCGAGGCTGCCAGCGACACTTCGGCCCAATAGGCTTGCAGGGTGAGCGAGACGTGAGAGCCATGGTACCCGTCGCTCGGGTCGCCGAGGAGCATCACGCGCGCTGGAACCACCTCCATGATCGGCGGAAACGGCTGGTCCGCGTCCGTCCAGTCCCCGTGAGAGCTCGCACCTGCGACGCGACGGCAGAAGGCCTCGGTGAGAAGTTGGCGCCGAGGCCTTCTCCAAGGCCCGAAATATGCCATGAAACTGGTCGCTCGTGGATCAACATGAGCGTTCGTTGCGAGAAATGCCGCGAAACAGCGAGAAAAACCACGTCAGGCCGGCTTCCGCGCGCACCCAGCTCGTCGAGACGCGTGCTCTCCCTCTGGCTCGTGCTGAGGTCGTCTGACTGGCAGCTGTTCAGCCCGCGGGCGAAGGCCATCGCCATGAGACCGCCGAGCTCGTTCATGGTGTCGCGCGCCGTCCCGCCGCCTCTCGCGCTCACCACACCACCACTGTCGGGGCCTCCGAGTCCGCAATCGTCGAACCGTGTCGTCTGACGCGCTCTCGCTGCACCAATCCCGACTGCCGCGGCCCCGCAGCGCCGCGTCGCAACCAGCCAGGTGACGGGAAATCACACGGAAGACAGGGGAATAGGACCCCCCCCCACCAGCCGCACACAGACCTGGCCCCGCGCGTGGCTACATAAAGCGCCGTGTCGTCACCAGGCAGACGCGTCCGCGCCGGCAGCGCGCGCGATGCAGTGCGAACAAGCCCCCCCCCGCTTTGAAACACGCCGCGCCTGACGCCGGGCGTCCGGCCCCGCGCAGAAGCAGGCTTCTGGTCGCTCGCACTGCTGGCGCCGTCGGACGCGCGAAAGGCGCGCGAGGCGTCATGTCACACGCGCGCAACAACATCAGTTCGCCGTCGGATCATCGTCATCGCCGCACGATGGTGCGGGCCTTGATGCTCTCCGGCTCGTCGATGCGGCCCGAGATCGCCTCTACGTACCGCTGCTTGCTCGACTCCGAGTCCGGGTCTTTCAGGTCGTCCAGCAGAGCCTGCGTAGTAGTTCACAACACACACACATACATATGACAGTCTCGGCGCCGAGCGGCGGTCGGGAACGCGGCGGGACCGGCCAGCGCGTAGCACGGCGCGCGCGGCGCACGCGTGCGCGGTGGAGGGTGGTTGGCGGGCCGCACCTGGAGGCGGTCTCGCTGCACCTGGTTCCACATCGAGCGGTTTCCGTATCCTGGGGTGTCGTCGATGGTCTTCTGGATGCGCCGCTGCTTCTCCATGGCCCACTTGTCCTGCGCGCGGCCCCAAACGCTCAGGACGCGGGTTGTTCGGGGCCCAGCAACGGGACAGGGCAGGCCGGCGAGAATCTCCGCGAAATTCAACGCTTCCAGGGCGCTCCGGCGCCGTTTTTCCATAGTTTTAGATTGAAACGATAGATGAGGCGCTGAAAACGAGCGCGGTGGGGCGTGCTTCGCGTCTCGCGGCCGGCGTGCTTGTGAGGTTTTCCTGCCGCGTGGGCGTGCTTGCCTGCGTAGAGTCGCCCTGGCCGTCCACGAACACCTCCGGGTTGGTGTACAGCATCATCGCCATGGCACCTGCGACGGGGAGGCCCATCCACAGCATCGCGGTCGTGTAGAAGGACGCGCGCGACCGCTTGGTCTTTGCCACCACGCGCTGCCACCCCTCATTCTGAAACAGCCACTGGTGCCACATCGCGGCGCCGCTGTGCCCGCTGGCCGACCCAGGCGTCGCGCCGCGTCGCGAGGCGTCCCGGTTCGGCCCCTACGCGCGGTCTAGGGAACCAAAGAGTGGAAAACAAGAGCAGAAAAGGCTCTCTTTGATAGATGAAGCGCAAAACGTTGGAATTTCGTAATGGGCTCAACGAGGGCGAACAGCGTGAACTCGAGCGCGCGCGTGGCGACGGCTTCGAGGCCCGCGGGGCCGCGCGCGGCCGCCCGACTGGCCTTGAGGCCTCGGCGTCGGTTCTACCGGGCGCCGGCTCGACGCGGATGGATGACGGGGAGCCGCGGGCAGCGTCGCCGACTTCCACACTTGAGCATTCGACAGGGACGGAGAGAATGGGATTCGCGACGCAAATGAAGACGCCGGCCGTCGGTGCCGGGGCCCGGGGCGTCGCCCGCGCCTCCCGCCCGCGGTGCGCCAGCGTTCGGTGCTCCGCGAACGAGGCAAGTAAATACGCCAAACTCCCGCGCCCACCCGAACGCGCATGCGGAGGCTCCTGCGCCACCCTACCACGCCTCAGGGCCTTCTCACCAGCTGTTGGCTGGCCATCGCCCGCTCTCGTGTCCCCGCGACCCCGCGCCCGCAACGCCGCGCGATGCGATCCTCGTGCTCTGCGCGTGCCATCCGTGGCCCACGCGGATCCCTGACCCCTCTCCGCGACCCCACACCGGCTCTTATCCCGCTTTGCTCTGCCTGGTTCATGCCAGTCGACTCTCCGCGACCACCTCGCGGCACGATGCCGCCATCGTGCGCGCCCCGCCGCGGAGCGCAGTGCCACTGTACCCGGCCGTGGTACACCTCGGCTCCAAAGACGCACGCTCGCGTCCGAAGAGCCCGTTCCTTGAGTTGTTGTAGCTCGGTCTCCGCTATGATAAACAATGGCGCCAGACTTCTGTCCTGACCCCCTGACACGCTGCTGCGTTCACGAAGCAGCCTGCACACGGAGCACTCGACCCGCCGCGCTCCCAACCACGGCCCCGCGGCCTCGTCTCAGCACGCTTCGTCGCAACCTAGCATCCGAGCCGGAACACTCGCGCGCCCACCTTCTCTCGGCCCCCTCGGAACCCTTCTCCCGCACCCCGTCTTCCGCGCAGAGCCCGATCTCGAAGGCGTCCGAGGCAGTGCGCAAGGTGGGCTTCGCCCTCGCTGCCGCCGCGGCGCTCAACCTCCCGCTGTCGGCGCTGCCGCCGGCGATGATGCCGCAAGCCGACGCGGCGCTGAGCGCGGGCGTCACGAACGCCAAGGCCATCCTGCGCAACGCCCTCCCCATCAAGAACAAGCCCATTCGCCAGATCCAGTATGAGCTCGAGTCCATCTCCGAGGCCCTCCGCATCCCCGGCAGCAAGTCCATCGGCCCCATCCGCAAGTGCGTCCCCGCCCCGCCCGCCGCCCCGCGCCCCCAGCGCCGGCACGCAGCGCATCGCACGCAGCAGCGCGGCGACGCGGGTGTCTGACCGGTTCGCCGGCGTTGCGTGCGCGCGCAGGTCGGTGAACAAGGTCGAGACGATCCTGAAGAAGCAGCGCAAGGAGATCGAGGCGTCGCTGGCGGACAGGGACGCCGGTCTCGCGGCGATCGCGGCGCTTGAGGCGTCGCTCAAGGAGTTCGACGGCGTCATCGAGCGGGAGGACAAGCAGGAGGTGCCGATCGCGCAGCAGAAGTGCCTGGCGAGCGTGGGCGACATCGAGCAGGCCATGGTCGCCGGGTTCCCGTACGAGGTGCCCTCGGACTACGACAACCTGCCGCAGCTCAAGGGGCGCGCGGAGATGGAGATGAAGGTCAAGTTCAAGACGCCCCGGCGCGACGCGACGACGGGCGGGACGATGAAGATCGTCGTGGACGGGTACAGCGCGCCGGTGAGCGCGGGCGCGTTCGTGGACCTCGTGGCGCGCAAGTTCTACGACGGCATGGAGATCCAGCGCGCGGACGGGTTCGTGGTGCAGTGGGGCGACCCGGACGGCCCGGCCGAGGGCTTCGTGGAGCCGGAGAGCAAGGAGATTCGCCGCGTGCCGTTTGAGCTGTTGATCCGGGGGGAGAAGACGCCGACGTACGAGCTGACGCTGGAGGACCTGGGGCGCGCGGACGGGCGCACGGAGCCGGTGCTGCCGTTCAGCGCGTACGGCACGCTCGCGATGGCGCGCGCGGAGTTCGACAACAACAGCGCGTCGAGCCAGGTGTTTGCGCTGCTCAAGGAGTCGGAGCTGACGCCCACGGGCGCCAACCTGCTCGACGGGCGCTACGCCGTGTTCGGGTACATCGTCGAGAACAGCGACATGCTCGTCGACACCAAGGTCGGCGACCTGATCGAAAACATCACCATCACTAGCGGGCTGGAGAACCTTATCAACTCGGCCGTGACCAAGAAGGCCGCCGCCGCCCCGGCGCCCGCGCCGGCGCCCGAGCCGGCGCCCGAGCCGGAGGCGGCCCCGGCGGAGGCGGCCCCGGCGGAGGCGGCCCCGGCGGAGGCGGAGCCCGCGCCGGCAGCGGAGTAAGCAAGCAGGGGGGGGTGTTGTGAGTCGGACGTGTACGTGGGCGCCGGTGCAGGTCGGCGGTCGGCTCACTCAGCGTCTCGTGCGTCATGCTGCGGGCGGGGGTGTCCTCAGAGGACCCCCGCCTGACGCAAAAAGTCCCCCACGATCTTCGTCAGGGCGGCCGCGCTCTCTCCGCGCCGCGCCCACGCGCCTCGCCCGACCCCTGCGGGCGCTTCGACCACGCGCGAAGCCGCGTGCCGCCCGTCCCCGTGCGACGCCAGCGCCGACTCCCCCCCTCCGCGCTCAACCCCCCCCTCACCGCCCTCTCCCCGCACCACGATCAGCGTCGGCCGCCGCGCCCCCTTCCCCGCACCGCCCTCCGGCACGGCGAGCAGCCGCTCGGGCAGCACCGCGCAGAACGCGTCCACCAGCTCCGCCCCCGCCGCGCCGACCGTTGCCGCGGCGAGCGCCGCGTACTCCCCCGACCAGCCCATCCCCACGACCGCCACACGCGTCGCGCCTCCCCAGCGCAAGTTCTGCGCGACCCCGAGCGCGTCCCGGACGACCCGTTCCGGCTCGTGGCTGTCCCACCACTGCTGGAAAGACGCGTGCAGCGCCAGGAAGGCGTCCGCGACGACCTCGTCGATCACGTTGCCGCGCTGCACGTCCGGCACCGCGACGAGGCAGCTGTACTGCGCCGCCAAGTCGTCCGCCAGCCGCCGCGCCCACGGGTCCCGCCACCCAAACACGTCCTGCGCGTGGTGGTGACCGTGCGCGGTGTCAGGTGCGTCGTGGAGCCGCGCTCGCGGCGCAGGCGCCGCAAAAGGGGCGTACGAGGTGGTATCTTGCACGGGGACGGCGGGCCTCGACGTTCGGGCGGCGCAGGCGGCGCACCGGCAACAAAACGACCGCTGCCGTAGGCTTCCCCTCCGGCCCGGCCTGCGGCTCCCCTGCGATATAGCCGCCGATGCACGTCCCTTCTGCGTTGACCTCGAACCCTACCGACCTTCCCTTCGCCTCGAACCCCTCCGGCGGCGCCGGCACGGCAGAGCACCACGGCTCTGGAACAGGCGCGCCAGCCATCCCGCGACTCCCCCCGCGAACGACCCAACGCGCTTCGTCTGTGGCCTCCCGCCTGCAGCCCCGGCTCTGCGCCAGCGAACAAACACGCCCCCGCCTCGTCGTCCGCGCGGCTGCCTCCAAGTCAGACCTGGGGAAACAAGAGGTCCCACCGGCACTGTGCCCGCGCACTGCGCTCTGTGGCGCCGCGGCCGTCGCGCTCGCGGCACTCCGTTGCCTCGTTGCAAGCGACCGCGACCCTCTGGCGGCCTGACAGCGCTCCAGAGGCCCCGGGGACCGCGAAAGCCCACCACGGGCTGGCTCGGGCGAATTACGCAGCATGTTGCCGCGAGCGGGAGGCATGGCCGGCAGGGCGGGGCTGCTCGGGCTCGCGTCGCTCGGTCCGGAGGCCGCGGCGCTGTGGCGCCTGGCATCGGGCGGCGCGGTGGCGCAGGTGCGGAGCGCGACGTGTGCTTGAGAGGGTGGGGCGGGACGTTGCGGTCCTCGAGCGTGCGACGCGCACGCCGACCGCGAGTTCGGCGGCAGGCGGATCTTCGTGTTGTGGGGGCGAGCCGGCGTCGCGGGCGCGGTGTCGACGCGCTGCGTTTCCGCGCGAGTAGAGGGCTTTCGACGTGTCGCTCGAACGCCCGCGCAACGGCGCCTTGCCTGACTTTGCGCGCACGAACCGGTTGAGATCGTGCAGATGAATCGCTCCATCCGCGAGGGATGGACCGTCGCGTCCAGCAACGGGAGCTGGGCACGATCATTTTGCGCGACCTCGGGCGCGGGTCGTCCGCCCGCTGGGAAGCCCCTCTGCCCCTGCTGCAATCACCCCCTCACGTACGCGCCAGTGAACGGCCACCAGGTACGCGCTCGCTCCCCGTGACCGCTCCTTTCGCGCGCGCTCAGCGCAAATCCCCCTTCCAACGCGCCTCCCGTCCTAGGGCTCTGCCCGCCGTAACCCGCGGCCCCCGCCAGTGCACCGCCACGATCCACCCACGGAGCTCTCCAATCCGCCGCCGCGCGCCCATCAACCGCCGCGACGGCGGCGGCATCCTCGGAGTCGTCCCAGCACCTCGCACAGGGATTTCCGGGTCCACGCCGCACAGCCAGAGGCTCTGCCGGCCGCGCGCGCCGCACGGCCCGACCGCACCCGATCTGCGCCGCCGCCGCGACGCACGTCACGGCGCAGCGCGCGCTCGCGCGGCGCGGTGCTTCGGTCCCTGGTCACCACACACTGTTGCTTCGTGTGGCCCGTGCAGGCCTCTGAGGACTCGAGCGGCCGGCGGTTCGTCCTCTGGTGCACGAACTGTCGGTCCGGACACCGGCCCGAGGACGCGCACATGCTCGAGACGTCGAACACGCGTCCGCCCAAGGCGCAACCACCTCCGCTGCCGGCGCGCCAGCCTCTCCGCATCACCCTGACGTCGGTGCGCCCCCCACGCCGCTCGATTCTGCGCGCCGAGCTCGCGGCGCGGCCGCTCTCGCGGCCCGGGACGCCTCGGCCGGCATCGACCGCGACGCGTCGCGAAGGCGAGCTTCGCAGTCCTCGAACGCCAACTGTTCGTTCCGATCTGACATCAAGGGCGTTCCGCGGCGCTCGCAGGCCCCGCCGAACGTCGGCTCGCCGTACGACAACGCCTGGGGCCCGCTCGACACGAGCGCGAACCCGGGCGCGGGCACCGACGTGCACTCGTCGTTTGGCGGCTCTGGGGCGCCCGGGCGCGGCGACGGCGAGCGCCGCCAGGGCGCGTTCCTGTCCGAGTGGGCGCGGCGGACCCCGCGCGAGATCGTCGCCAAGCTCGACGAGGTCGTCGTCGGCCAGGAAACCGCCAAGGAGCTCGTCGCCGTGGCTGTGTACAACCACTTTAAGAGAATGGCCAAATCGGCGAGCGCACGCAACGACGCGAACGACTCGGGCCTGCCGGAGGGCAGCGAGGCCGCGATGCTCCACCAGGCCGCCGCGCTGGCCGCCCAGGCGCGCGTGCGGCCCACGGGGCAGCCGGACGGGCCGACGTCGCCGTCGTCGCACGCGGGCGGCCCCGGGCACGGGCGGAACGGGCACGGCGCGCCCGGACACAACCCCGCGATGAGACCGCTGCACCCCGGATGGGCGACCGTGCCGCTGGGCGTCCCGCCGCGCGAGCAGGGCAACGGCGACGGACGCGAGTCTGGCGGCCACGTGCGGCCCGACATGGTCGCGCCGCCGTACCCGGACCTCGGCGGAGGGTCCCGGCCGCAGAACAGCGGCCCGTACGGCGCGCAGCGCGAGGAGGACGGCGCGCGGACTGCCCGCGGGGAGAAGCGACTTGCCGGGAGCGACAGCGAGGAGGTGCAACTGGCGAAGAGCAACGTGGCGCTGCTGGGCCCGACGGCGTCCGGGAAGACGCTGCTGGTTTCGGAGGTGGCCAAGCTCGTGAACGTGCCGTTCGCGTCGGCGGACGCCACCGGGATGACGCAGGCGGGCTACGTCGGCGAGGACGTCGAGAGCGTCCTGCAGAAGCTCCTCGTGGTGCGTCCGCGACGCCCGCCCCCCGCCGCGCGCCGGCAACGCGCGTGCGTGCCTCCGGGCTGATCCGCGCGGCAACCTCACCGCGCCGCGCCTGTTTTGTTGTGTTTCGTTGCAGGCCGCGGACGGCAACCTCGCGGCGGCGGAAATGGGCATCGTCTACATCGACGAGATCGACAAGATCCGCCGGAAGCCCGACCACCACGGCCGCGACGTCGCGGGCGAGGGCGTGCAGCAGGCGCTCCTCAAGATGCTGGAGGGCACCGTCGTCGACGTGCCGGAGCGCAAGAAGGGCCACGGCGGCGGCGGCGGGCGCGTCTCGATCGACACGTCCAACATCCTCTTCGTCGTCTCCGGCGCGTTCTGCGGGATCGAGCGCGTCATCGAGAGGCGCGTGTCGGACAAGGCGCCGCACCTGGGCTTCAACGCGAGCCCGCGCGAGTCCCGGACGGGCGCCGAGGGGCAGGCCCGGCGCGACAGCATGCTGCAGCGCGTCGAGCACACCGATCTGGTGCAGTTCGGGCTCATTCCGGAGCTCGCGGGGCGCCTGCCGGTGCTGGTGCCGCTGAAGAAGCTGACGGAGGAGGACCTGGTGCGCGTGCTGACGGAGCCGCGGAACGCGCTGTGCAAGCAGTACCGGCAGCTGCTGTCGATGGAGGGCGCGGAGATCTTCTTCACGAACGCGGGCCTGCGCGCGATCGCGCGCGTCGCGGACCGCAAGGGCACCGGCGCGCGCTCGCTGCGGTCGATCCTCGAGCGCGCGCTGCACCGCGCGATGTTCGAGGTGCCGTCGATCCGCGGCCGCGAGGAGTTCATCGGGGTGCTGCTCGACGAGGGGGACGTGGAACAGGGCACCGGTGCACGTATCGTGGTGGACCGGGGGGAGTGGGACGCCGCGCTGCAGGCCGCGGGGCCGGGCGGGTTCCCCGCGGCGTCGAGCTCGGAGGACGAGAAGGCGCAGGGCGCGACGAGCGGCCAGAAGAGGGCCTCTGTGGGCGACTCGTAAGCATCTGATTGCTGCGCACGTGTTCGACGCACGCGCGCGATGGCCTCACGCCGGGGACGGGTCTTATCGTATAGTGGAGAGAGTACCGTCCACGGCTGAACGCTGGTCCTGGCGCGCCTGGACCCCTCTGCACCGCCCCAGTCTCTCTGTCCCTTGTATTGAGAGGTGCTGCGTGTATATAACTTCGAGGTGGGCGGGGCGCGAACAGGACTCGTGCCCGGAGTGTGACACTCCCGAACATAAGCGCCGCCCCGCTCTCAGCCGCTTCGAAGTCAATCAACAACAGACATCAATATAGTACTGCTATCTGATGGCTGAATCAGCGCCCGCCCCGTTCCCCCAGTCGCTGCGGCGCTCAGCAGACACGGCCGCCTGAACGTCCATCACACGCCCTGTCAGCCTCAAAGTCTCCGGCCCCTCAGAGCAGCTTCATGAGCTCCGGCAACGGCCTCCGCAACTGCGCACCTTTCCGGTACGGCACCATGCAGTCCTCCGCAGGGTACCCCACGGGAATCACCATGTACGGCCGCTCCGTGACCGGCCGGTCCAGCGCAGCGCGCACGGCGTCCTCTACGCCGTCGGGGCTCACGGTCAGGAACCCGAGGTTTGCGTTGTGCAGCGCGACGGCCAGGACGCCGATGGCGACGCCGACCGACCGCCGGACGCCCTCGCACGCGTCCGCGGGCCCGCTCTCCATCACCACGATGACGTACGGCGCCTCCTCGATGTACGGCATGAACTCATCGGCGCCCAGCCCCTGCGCAGCACATGCAGGAGGAATCAACACCGGATCTGTCGCTTGCGCGTCACCCGCGCCGCGAATTTACGGCACGACGAACCGGTGAAGGTGGCTCGCACCTCGGCGTTCCCGTCCGGCGCGACGCCCCCCGCGCCCGACGCCACAGCGACGCACTTCCCACACTCCCCCCCCCCGTCCTGGACGGAGCTCTCCAGCGCCGCGCGCAGGCGGCTCTTCACGGCCGCGTCCGCGACGACCACGAACGTCCACGGCTGCCCGTGCATCGCGCTCGGCGCCGTCCCCGCCGCGCGAATGCAGTTGTAAATGACCTCCAGCTGCACCTCGTCCCGAGAGAACTTCCGCACGGACCGGCGCGTCGAGAGCAGCTGGTACATGCCCCGCGCGCGGATGTTCTGCTCGAGGTTCGAGATGCGGTCGAACTGGTACCGCACCAGGCGCTCCCCGCGCTCGTTGGCGGGGGACTCAGTGTCCGAGTCCGACTCCGAGTCCGACTCGCCGTCGCTCATGGACGCGAGGTCCTGGAAGGCGCGGAACGGGATCCAGAAGAGGCGGTTGAGCTCGAGGTACTCGCGGAACGACGGCGCTGGCTGGTTCGAGGCCCGCTTCCCACTCTCAGACTGCAGGGGGCATCGAGGGCCTGAAAGCGCGGCGGATCGGACGATAGCGCGCATCGCGTGGGTCCTCCACGTACGCAGTAGCAGCGCGTGCCATCACGGGCCGACAGAGCGCTGCGGGCGTCGTCGATTCCGCAATTAAGGAACAATAGTGTGTTGTGTTCGTACGTCGCCGTAGGTCTTGTCCACGACGTCTCTGAAGCGCTGGTACATCATCAGCGGGTTCGACGTCCGCGGCGCGCCCGGCGCCATGTTGATGAACTCGGGCGGCGGCGACGCCCCGTTGTTTCCAGGCGCCGCCGCCGCCTCGCCCGAGGACCCCTGCCAGTCCACGCCGCTCAGCGACGCGCCGTTCCCGTCCTCGATGCGCGCCTCGAGCTCCGGCTCCTCCTCCAGCGCCGCGAGCACCATGCGCCGCCCCATGGCGTCTGACGCCATCTTTAGTCCCCCCAGGCCGTCGTAGTTCGTTCCAGCCGACTGCGCGGGCGCCGGGACGGTTCGCTGGCGTGACACGTCGCGCACGGCGAGCTGGCGCGCGGTGGCATGGAGGGCCGAGGGGCCAGGCGATGGTTTCTATCAAACATGGAAGGTTCGTACCTCCCCGAGAGGGTCGGCGGCGTGTTTGGTCGATTCGTCATCGTCGGCGGCGTTCTCCGCGACGCTGGGCTCTTCGAGCTTGGATATCTGGGAGCCGATGGCGATCTGCAGCGTGTTGGCGAGGCCGAGCGAAATAAGGCACGCAGCGCCCGCAGCACCGACTGCAATGTCCTCCCAGACAGTGGCCCCGCTGTACAGCTTGTCCAGCGCGTCCCAGATGCCCTTCCACGTCACGACGCCCACCACCAGCTCGAGCGTCCCGATGGCAGCCGACCGCCAGTACCTGCAAAGCACCATCAGAGTCTCCACGGAATGGAATGTGGTTTCTGGAGGACGTGGGAAAGCCAGAAAGGCGCCGGGGCCTCCGAAATGCGGCGTTCGCGCATGGTGTTGGTGTGGCTGAGCACGGCCCGCAGCTACGGGGCGCAATGAGGCTCGGGAAGTCGGGCCGCGGAGGCCGTTCGGGGGCGGAGCATCTCCCATCGAGGGCTGGTGTGCAGGTGCCGTGCTCAAGGAAGTCCTGGCGCGCGGCGCCCGGTTGAGCAGCTGCTGAACAGGTGTTCTGGCAGAGGATTCGGGCGATGGTGGGCGCAGGCGCGGGCCGCACGGCACACTGTCTGGCTGGACGGAGACCCGCCGTGCGGGCCCCCGCGCCAGCGAGGGTCTACGAAAGCGCCCTGGATTTGTCGGGTAAGATGGATGGAGCGCAGTCTCGGCGACCGCTTGCGCAGGGAGCGCCGAATTACGCTCCGCAGCGGATAGCGTTGGCCAGTCACTGCAGAGCGCCTTCTGGCTCATCGGAACGGCCTTGCTCCCGCGCTTTCTCGAGATGGATGGACAGGTGCGCATTCAAGCCCGCGTTTCCTCCGCACCAAGCTGCCGCAACATGCTGTTTGACGCCAGGAGGGACCGGTGGCACCGTTTTCTCCAGCGCCCGAAACCGGGCGCATGATGCGCGAAGAGGGTCTGGGACACTCACGTTGGATCCGTGACTTGGCGCACAGCCCACTCGGGCAGCAGGTCACGCTCTGACCGCGTTGCCGCTGTGTTCGTCGTCGCCTGAGCTCCGTTGCCAACAGCCGAGACGCGACGCCCGTTCGCCTCGACGCCGTCCTCGACGGCGTCTGTGCGCTGCGCGAAAACCCGCAGGCTCGTCCGCGTCGTGCGGTGGCCCTGGGCCGCTCGCCGCGCGGGCAGCGCCGGGCGGCACGGCAGAGCTCCCAGAGCACTCATAATGAGTGAGTAGCGGATTTCGACCGCAAGGTGGTGCGTCGTGTCGGAGCCAGTGATACAGGGACGGTCTCACGCGATCAAGGAAGGTGTGTATGCGCTTGTGCGGCCGAACAGCGACCTATCAAGTCCGAGTTCCTGCCAGACTTGCATGCTCAACTCCCCACAACTCCAGGGAATGGTGGTCCGAGGGAAGCAGAACGACAGCGCCCGGGGTCGCTGGGGCGTGTTGCCCAGTGGGGCAGTGAGGGGCCCGCCTGACCGCGACGGGTTACGGCGAGCGACTGTGTGCTGCACCGGTGTTGCTGTTTGGCCCGAAGTGCTGTCAGAGCTGAGCATGCACGCGCTGTGTAGCCGCTCGAACGTCGCCGGCCGGGCTGAGGCGCAGCGCGGCGCAGGGCGGTCGAGAGCTGGCAACCTTTTCGAAGTGAAAATCATAGTCGCAGAGGCAGTCGCGACTGAAGGAACCAGAGGCGATGTACATGTATAGGACATCCTCGGACGAGAGCGAGAGAAGGCTCGCAGCGAAGGCACTCACTCGCTATGTTCCTAGTCAACTCACGGCCACCTCGGCATGTCCATCGTCCGGCGCCCCCCGACATACACCCCTCTTGCTGTCGTAGCTACGTTAGAGGACGGGCCCGCGTCGGGCTGCGGCGGCGGCGCCACGCGCATCGCCTCGGCCACGGCCTCGATCTCCGGGACAGCGCGCGCTCGGTTCCCCGCGGCGAGCGACTGCGCCGCGGCCTCGCCCGACGGCCACGGGATCACCGACGACAGCGGCTCCGGCGGCCGCGTCCGGTCGCGCTCCCGCCACATCCGCGAGTACACCTTCCACGACGACATGGCCTGAGTCAGCGTGTCCACGTCCGGCCCTGCAGGTCGACGTGCCACCATGAACCAGGCGCTCGATTCGCTACAACCGACAACGGCGTCGTGTTTGGTTCTATTCTACCTAGGTGAGAGGAGAGTATGCTGCCCGGCCAGCAGCGCATGGACGGAAGCAGCGCGCGAGGCGTGCGCGCACCTGTGATGTCGGCGGTCGGCTGCCGCGGCAGCACCCCGCGCCAGTATGGCAGGGGCGCGGGCGCACTCGCAGGCTTCGCGGGGTACGCCCCGGCGCGCGCACGCACGCCCATCCCCTCCAGCGCGGCCTCCACGCGCCGCCGCCGCAGCGCCGACTCGCACCCCGCTGCCTCGGCCCACAGCGGCAGCATGCGCCGCAACAGGCTGCGGTCCGCATGTGCGCGCGCGACCTGCAGGTCCGACCGGTGCCCCTCGTCGTCCATGCGAGCGTACCACGCGAGCGCGCGGAACGCGTGCCGCAGGAGCGTCGCGCGGCGCGCGTCGTCGGCCACGCGGTTGTCGCGCCGGCGCTCCCGCAGTTCGCGCGCAACTGCACGCCAGACGCAAAAGGCCTTCCGGCGCGGCCGACGCTCGCGCCAGCGCTCGAGGTGCGGCGCGATGCGCTCGTCGTCCGCCTCGCGCGACTCCGCGCACCCCTGCATCCACGAAACGAGCATGGAACACGACCAAGATGAGAAAAACATATCTGCCATGATTGCAGATAGAATACGATGTTCCTTTTTGGGACGTTCGCGTCACGCCGCGTCCTGGAGCGCCGCAGCGACTCGCGCCACGCGAGCACCGCGAGCTATCCGCGCACCTGTCTCAGCGCCCGGAACACCACGCGCAGCCTGTGCGTGCGTGCCGTCGCAATCCTCGCGCCCCCGCCCGCCTGGAACGCCTCGCGCCACGCCCGGAACCCCCGCGCCAGCGCATTCCGCTCCCTCCGCGCCTCCAGCCGCTCGTGGTACTCCACCTCGTTCGCGTACCCCGCGTCGCGCAACTTCCGCCGCGCCGACGCGTGCCCCGGCTGCCCGCGCACGTCCTCGGCGTACCGCCGCCAGCAGCGGAACGCCCGCCGCGCGCGGATCTCGTTCATCACGCGCTCCCGCGTGTGCTCCCGCAGGTCCACGAACGTGCGCGCCTTGGTGTGCGTGTCGCGCCACGCGTCGGCCGCGTCCCGCTGCCGCAGCTCCTCGCGCCGCCCCTCCTTCACGTGCCGCACCTGCCGCCACCCCGCGAACGCGCGCTCCATCGTCTCGAACTCCGCGCGGTGCGACGGCAGCACGTCCACGCCCGCCCAGCGCTCCTGCGCGTCGCCCAGCACCCGCGTGAGCAGCCGCCGCGCCCGCGCCGCCGACCGCCAGTGGTCCCACATCGCGCGCAGCGAGCGCCCCTCGTGGAACTCCCGCGCCGTCAGCGTCGCGGCCCGCTCGTCCGCGGCCTTGAGCACCACCAGCAGCCACCCCCGCGTTGCCACCTCCAGCGTCCGGCGGCGGTAGAAGGCCTCCGCGAGGCGCTCGCGGCGCGCGGGCCAGCCCCGCCACCGCAGGAACCAGTGCCGCAGGTAGCTGCCCCCCGCGCGGCCCTCCGCGAGGTCGCTGGCGGCGCGCATCTGCGCAGAGCGTTCGCGCATGCCGGCCAGGACGCGCCGGGAGAGGCCGCGGAGGTACACCATCGTCGCCGCGCCGTTCACCGTGCGCGCCTGGTAGTTGAGCGGCACGCGGGGCCGCCCGGACGAGCCCGACGACGACCCCTGAGTCAGCGCCGACGACGTCCCTGCTGCTGACGTCAGGGCCGTGGCGCTGGACGGACCCGTCAGCACCGACGCCACGGTCGGCGCGCGGCCGTCCTCCGAGCCGTCGTCCCGGTCGAACCACAGCCGCTCGGACGACGTCCCTGCGCCGGGGCTCCCTGTCGCGCCGATGCTGGGCCAGGCAAGGTTCGCCACCGCCCCCACGCTGCTGCTCAGCGACGCGTACGCAGCCGACGTGCCTTGCCCGCCCGCGGACGCAGCAGCGGCGGCCGCGCGCGCCGCCAGCGCCGCGCGGACGAACGGGTCCGACCCGCCCAGGCTCGGCGGGGGGGGGGGTATTGACCCGATGTAGCGCCCCGACGGCGTGAAGAAGTGGACGCGGGGCCGCGGGATCGGCCGCAGCCAGTCGTCCTCGTCGGCGTCGAACGCCCAGTGCGACCCTGGCGCGAACCGCGACCACGGCAGCCAAACACACCCCCCCAAATAATCGAACCCGATCTCGTACAGCACCGCGAAGCGCGCGGCGGGGTCGTCGTCGTCCTCGCCGTCGGAGGACTCCGCGTCGCTGTCGCCGTCGAAGTACCGCGTCGCGCCCGCGATCGTCGACGAGGCCACCGCGCCCGCCGCCGTGCGGCTGAGCGAGCCCAACCCTGACGCAGGCGCGCCTGACGTCAGGTTCCCGAGCGGCACGCCCGCGCGGACGCCCTCCGCGAGCGCCCGCAGCTGCAGCGCCACGTCCCACGGCATCACCACTGCGCGCCACGCCGTCTCCAGAGCCACCGCTGCTTCCTGCGCCAGCCTCGCCGCAGCTCCCGCCGCCTCCGCGCGCCGCTGCGCCGTCATCGCGCCGCCCTGCGCGGCGCCCGTCGCGGCGCTCAGCCCGCGCTGCAGCAGCCCGCGCGTCTGCGCCAGCTCGCGCATCGCCGCGATCGTCGTCAGCAGCGCCTCCGCCTGTCGCGTGTCCGCCGCAGCCGCGTCGCGCTCGAGCTCCGCCTCCGCCTCCAGCTCCGTCCCGCGCTTCGTCAGCCCCTCCGCGACCTCGAACGCGCGCACCTCGTCCGCCTCCGCGTCCTCCACCCGCGCCCGCGCCTCCCCGACTGCCGCCGCCAGCGACGCCGACGCCGTCCCCGCCACCAGCCCCTGCACGTCCTCGAGACCCTCCCGCAGCCGCTGCATCGCAGCCTGCGCGTCCACCGCCGCCCACCGGTGCTCCCTGCGCGCCTCCCCCGCCGCCGCCGACGCCTCCATCGCCTGCTCTAGCAGCGGCTGCAACCGCGCGCGATTCCTGTCGATCTCGTCCGCACGCGCGTGCCGCTCCGCCGCACGCGCGCGCAGGGCCGATACAGCCGCGTCCACGCGCACCTCGAACCCCGCCAACCCCGGCACCGCGTCCCCTTCGCCCCCGGGCTCGTCAACGACCACGTTCGCGGCGACGCCAACCTCAGCCTCCGCAGCGGCGAGGTCGTCGCGCATCGCGGCGGTGAGCGCGTCCGCCTGGCGGGCGAGGCTCGCGGCGGCGTCGCGGGACGCGGCGCTGCGCTGCGCGGCCGTCGCACCGATCCGCACCTCCTCGCACGTTGCAAGGTCCTCTTCGGCAGCCAGCGCGGTGTGCTCTGCGAGGGCCCGCGCGGCGAGGGCGCGCAGGCGCTCCGCGACGATGCGCACGGCCGGCCAGTCGGCGTCCGCGCTGTCCGCGTCCGCGACGCGGAGCCGGTCGAGGCACGCCGCGACGTCTGTCGCCAGCGCCGACACCCCCCCTGCGACTCCCCCAGGGCGGCCCTCGGGCATGTCCGCGGCCTCCCGCGCCGCGACACCCGCCTCAGTCGCGCGCGTGATCGCCTGCCGGACGCAGCTGCCCGGCGAGATCGCCCCCAGGAGACCGCCTGACTGCGCACCCAGCTCCGCTGCAAGGCGCGCCACCTCGTCGGTGGCCGCCGCGGCGCCCGGCGGCGGCTCGGGCGTCAGGCGGCGCGCCTCCGCCCCTGGGCGCGGCGTCCAGCCGGCGCGCACGACGTCCGCGAGGTCCGTCAGAGCGCCGGAGAGGAACGCTGCGTGCCGCGCGTCGCCCCTGTCGATCTGCCCAACGTACGTCGCGAGCGCGGCCGCGCCGTCCCGCGCCGCGGTGCAGACCGTGCGCTCGCGGTTGAGCAGCCCCGCGGCGTACCGCACGACGTGCTGCACGGTGGCCCACGCCTCTGGCGAGGCGACGTCGCCCAGGGGCGCGCGTTCGGGCAGCCGCAGGCGATGCCGCTCGGTGACGACCAGCCGGTCGCGCCCGCGCTGTCCGAGGTACAGCCGCCCGCGGATCTCCTTCGCCGCCGCCTCCACGCGCTGCTTGTCGGAGGGCGACAGCCGATGCGCAGGCTCGTCCTCGTCGCTCCGCGGCGCCCGCCCGGCCCTCCGCTCCTCGCGCCGCGCCTCCTCGAGCATGCGGCCCGCCGCGGCGCCCCACATGACGTCCTCCTCGGTCGCGCAGAACCGCAGGCTCGGCGCGAGGCGCTGCAGCGACCGCGACAGGGCCAGCATCTCTTCGCGCGGCCCCGCGAACCTGACGTGGAGGCGCTCGTACCCGTGCGCGAGCTGGCGCAAGAGCGAAGGGAACGCCGGCATGGCCTGCCGCGCCGCGCTGCTGCCCCCCGTGGTGTCCCCGAGGTGGTTGCTGCCTGAGCTGGCAATAGGCCCCGCCGACGCGGCGTCGAGGCGCTGGCGGAGGACCTGGCGGCGGCGGAAGTGGTCGCGCCAGGCAGTGAACGCGTGGAGCATGCGGGACTTGACGTCCCACGCGATCGACACGGCCTCCTGGAGCTTGCACTGCCGCGTGGTGACGGTGGCCGTCGCCCAGTGCGCCAGCGCGCTGCGCTTGAGCATCTTGCTCCGCATCGCGCGCGCGACGCGCAGGGCGTGCTGCGCCCGCGCCTGGTTCGTCGCCCACTCCGACCACGCGCCCAGCACGCCCGTCGCCACCCTGCACGTGCAAGGACACCCACGACACATCAGCTCAGCACCTCCCAAGACACCCAGCATCCCACACCAGGCCACGCAGAACTCTAGGGGCCAAGGGCGCGCACTCTTCCTCCCGCGCCCTGCAGTGCCTGTCTGCAAGCTCCTCCTTCGCGCGCAGCTCCAGCAGCAGGTCGCGGAAGGCCTCGAACCCGTACCGCAGCGCGTCGGCCTCCTCGCGGTGGAACGCCCGCGCCACGAGCAGCGCGCGGTCGGCCTGCAGCGCCCGGTGCGACGCCAGCGCCATCATGCCGAGCTTCATGCGCAGCTTCCGCTCCAGCGACGCGAGCAGCGTCAGGCGGAACTCGACCTCCTGGCGCGACGCCTGCGCCGCCGCCGGGGCCCGCCGGCCGCGGGGGATCTTGTCGTGGGCGTGTTTGTTTTTACTGCGCTCCCGCGAGACCCCCCCCGCCAGGAAGAGCCCCGGGGGCGCCGCGCCCTCGTCCACGCGCGGCGGCACGACCTCCGACTTCGCGGCGCGCGCGAGCAGGAACTCGTGGTGCGCGAGGTCCCGCGTGACCTCCCGCAGCCGCTTGTGCGTCGCGTCCATCGCCCGCTGCGCCTGCGAGCGCTTCGCGTCCAGGATCGTGGCGACGGCGCGGAGGCGGAGGTAGAGCGGCAGGGGCCGCCGGCTGCCCGCGGACGACCGCGAGGCGCCGTTGGTCACGTCGACGAGGGCGGAGGTGTGTTGTTTCGAAGGGAGGGGGTCTCCGCCGGACTGACTCAGGCAGGACGCGCCGCTCTCCGCGAGGATCCCGAGCACGCGGAACGCGCCCCCGACGGTCAGCCGCCCGGGCTCGTCGCCGGCTGTCGCTGACGTGTGCTCGAGCGCCGTCCCGCCGCCCGCGGTCCAGCCGCCGTCGTGCCCGCGCGGGACCGGGATCGCGCTCGCGGCCGCCGTCATCGAGGGCTGCGCGGGCGCCGGGACCGCGTCCAGCTTCCGCGGCTGCTCGTCGAGGCTCGCCAGCGCCTCGTCAGCGCGCAACTCCCCCCCCACAGTCAAGTACCCCATTGTGTCCCCCCCCGCGTCGGCCGCCGGGCCCGTGCTCGCGCCGATCCCGGCCATCGAGATCGAGTCCAGCATCGCGTGCACCGTGTCGAACCCGGCGTCGCACCGGAGCGTGCTCGGCAGGGGGGCATCTTCCAACACACCCCCCCGCGCCGGGCGGCTCTCCGGGGTGAGCCCGCCCGGCGTGTTCTGCGCGCCGGACGACCCCGACGTCGTCGCGCCGCCGCTGCTGCCCTGCATGATCGAACTGAACTCCGCAAACCCCCCCCTCCCCGCGTCGGGCGGCGTGCCCGGCGTCGCCTCCGCCGCCCCCGGCCGCTCCCCGCGCGGCGGCAGCGCGCGCCGCGTCTCTAGCGGCGGCGGCACGGCGCGAGGAATCGCGCGGCGCCGCTCCTCCTCCTCCTCACGCTGACGCCGCGCGCGCCCCTCCTGGATCGTGCGCACCACGGACGGAATGAACCGCGGGCGGGCGCGGGGCTGCGGCGGCTGCGGAGAGCCGCGGGCCATGGCGCGGAACGAGGGCTCCGTGGGGTCGTTTGCGGCGCCGCCACGGGCCGGTTGGGGCCCCGCGCCCGGCCCGGGGGCGTCGTCCTCCGCGGAGGAGGACGCGGACTGGTCGTACGTGTCGCACATGGTCGCTATGTCCCGCGTGGCTTCCGCGACGCGCGCGACGAGGGGCTCTAGCGCGCTGAGCGGCTCGGTGTGGCTCCCCGGCGCAGCGACGTGCTGGAGCTGAGGGGTTACCGGGGCATCGAACGCCGGAATCGCCGCGACGGTGTGCTGGCCGGGAGGTCCAGGAAAGGGAGGTGGCGGAGCGCCGTCGGCAGCGAAGGAAAACGACGCGGGTTCGCCGCGCTGGGGCACTGCAGAGGGCGCTTGTTGAGGGGCCCGGAGCGCGCCGTGCTGCTCCATGATGCGCGCGCGAGGGTCGCGCTCGCCCAGGATGCGTTCCGCTTCATCGAGCCTGCACATCGCGGGGGCGGCGCCGCGTCATGCAGCCGTGAGCGGTCGGTGGCGCCCGGTGCTGGGCGGCGTGCTCTGGGCTTGAACTGGCTCTCGTTTGCGCGGCCTAGGGGCGTCTAGGGAGGTTGAAGGGGGTAGACGGATCAATACGACCACGGTCATTCACTCGCGCGCACGAACCCGTGCGCTCGCCCACACAACACGTCAGGCCCGTCACGTCTGGAGCAGTGCACAGTTGAACATCAGGGGCTCAGTTCTCCGCCGTTCAAAGCGCATTCCGTCGTCTCAGTGCATCCCTAACGTTCCAAACACTAAGTGATTCAGTTTCGCTGCGTGGACGCCCGGTGGGAGCGCTCACCTCTCGTCGCGCGCCTCCGCTGCTGCCTGCAGGGCGCGCTGGGCCGCTTCGATGCGCTCAGAGATGGCCCGAGGGCTGCTCCGTTCAGAGGGCGCCCCGCCTGCACCCTCGGCCGTGCTCTGCGCCGGACGCGGGCTCACCGAGCCGCTGCGGGGCGTCGGCGACGGGGGCCGGGACCGCCTGCGCTGAGGCAGCACCTGCTCCACGTCCCCCTCGGCCCCCGGCATCGCGAATGCCATGCCGCCTCAGTTCCCAGCTCGAAGGGAAGCCATGGCGCTGGGGCGCTGAGCGGGTCCGGGGCTGCGTCTGCCGGGGGTCCTGCCGCGAGCACCGTGGACGTCACGCCCTCACACCACGCGTCAGGGAGCCGCCGTCGGTCGTTCGCGACCGCGAGGCTCGCGAATCTCGGGCGTGGCCGCGCCGCGCCGGGCACTCGTCCCCCAGGAAACGCAGCGGGGGGTGTTTGGGCGCGTGTCTGTCCAGGAAGGGAAACGCTCCGCACGTCAAGTTGCGGCGCCCCGTCGACGCGGCCGCACACGCGCCACTACGTCCCGAGCTGCGCTCGAGAAGGAGAGCGCAAAATGCGGGGTCGTCTCCTCCTTCCGGCCGCGCGAACCGCGCCTGCGGCACCACGTCATGCAACGCCCGCGCTGCGCCCTGGCGGCCGCCCCGTTCGTCGCTCCGAGCAACGGGCGCGGGAGGGAGCGCCGAGGTGTCGCATGTGCCGCAGCACGATCGCGCGGGCGTCGCAGATAGACGAGGAATCCGAGGACGCGAACCAACTCCTGACGCTGCTCAACCTCGCTATCAAAAACGAAGACTACGCGCAGGCCTCGCAGCTGCGCGACCGTATCCAGGCGCGTGCACCCAGATCCCCTAGATGGCACCATCGAAACACCCGGCCCCGGGCTCGCTGTGGCGCGCGCGGTCGTTGCTTGTGCCACCTCCGACGCAGCGCTGGCGTCCCTGACGTGGCTGGGCGGTCCCGAGGGCCAGCTGCGCGGCGCGGACTCGACCTGAATCTTGCGGTGCACCACGGCGCCGAGCGAGCCGTGTTGAGCGTTCACGGCAATCGCGCGAGCTGTTGCACACCAGGCTTCCTGAATCCGCGCCACACGCCGCGAGACGCCGGGACTCGCGGCGCACGTGCTCCCTGCAGGAAGTCCTCGGGGTGAGCGACATCAGGGACGCGAGCTGGCACAAGCCCGGCGTGCCCGAGTGGCTGGCGGACCGCGCGGAGCAGCTCGATTTCCGGATCACCACTCCCATCCAGCGCCGCGCCCTCGAAACGCTCCTTTCCGGCAAGGACGCGATCGTCAAGTCCATTACAGGTACGCCTCCGCCCAGCGCCGCCCTCGCGCCCCGCACGGACCCCACCCCGCCTGCCACGCAGCACCTCGCCGCGACGTCATGCCAGAGCGCACGCGGATCCTGTCGCCCTCGCAGGGTCGGGGAAGACGCTGGCGTGCCTGATCCCGGCGCTGTCGAGGCTGGACTACACGGTGCCCCTGGACGACGTGTTGTCGCCGCAGCTCGTGGTGGTAACCCCCACGCGGGAGCTGGGCGTTCAGATCGTGCTGCTGATCTTCAAGCTGTTCGGCGGTAACATATCTTCGCGCATGCCGGGCGACAAGGGCAACATGTTCAACTACCAGGGCCCGCGCGGGCTCAAGGTCCGCGGCGTACTGTCCGCGGAGGAGGCGTACTTTGCGTCAGACATGCGGTACCTCAAAGGGGCGCACGTGATCGTGGGGACGCCGCAGGTGCGCCCGGCGGAGCGCGCCGGCCCCGCCCGCACAGCCACGGCGCGTGCGTCGCCTGGAGCGGCCGCGCGAGCAACAGCGGTGTCGACGTGAGTGTGTGCATGGTGCGCTGTTGTTGCAGTGGCTGGCCGCGGCGGTCGAGGCGGAGGACCGCTCCGTCGTGCTCGACGCGGTGCGTGTGCTGTGGGTCGACGAGGCGGACGAGTGCCAGCAGAACTTCGAAGGACCGCTGGCGAAGGTGTACGCGACGGTGGCCAAGCCGCGGCCCCTGAAGGACGGCACGCAGCTGCCGAAGGCGCAGGTCATTCTGTCGGGCGCGACCATCGCGGACGAGGACGTCGAGGCCGCTCAGGCCGCCGGGGCGCTCACGGGGAAGCCGGCGTTCGTGTCGGCGGGGCGGCATGCGCTGCCCCCCGGGATCGCGCACCGGTACTGCGTGGTGCCGTCGCAGGAGGCGCGGCTGCTCGCGGTGGCGCGCATGATGAAGGCCGAGGTCGAGAAGGGCGACGCGGACTCCCCCCCGCCGCGCGTCCTCGTCTTTGCCAACTCAGGTATGAACCAACACCGGACAACACACCCCCCACCTCAGCACCGAGCCGTCCTGGGCCGCGAGGCCCACAGCACACTCCATCCTCACATGTCTGCCATCTCGCGACCTCGAGCGATCGTCCCCGGCCCCCAACCAGCACCACCGCGCGCTGCGTCCCCGTCGCTCTCTGCGCCGCCGCGCCGCACTCCTCCGCCGAGCCCAGCACCCGCACACCTCCTGCTCGCAGACGTCGAGGTCAAGGCGGCCGCGCAGCCCCTCCGCGGCGCCCTGTGGGGCGTCCACAAGATGTCGGTCCTGCTCCCGTCGGGCGAGGAGCCGATCCTCGCGATGGAGTCCTTCCGCGACAACCGCTCCTCGCTGATGCTGTGCAGCCCCGCGGCGTCCCGCGGGATCGACTTCCCCTCGGTCAGCCACGTGTACACTCTGGGTCTGCCGCAGGACGAGGACTCGTACGTGCACGCGACGGGGCGGTCGGGGCGCGTGGGGTCCACGGTGCGCGGCGTCGCGACGGCGATCGTGGAGGCCGGCGCGGAGGAGGCGGCGTACCTGCGCATGATGGAGGGGCTCGGTATCGAGCCGGAGAGGGTTGAGGTGCCGGGGGCGGCGTTCCGGACGGCGCTGCACGAGGGCAGCGGCGACGAGTGGATCGTGGAGGAGCTGGGCGAGGACAGGACGGAGGAGGCGCGGCAGGCGCTGGAGGAGCTCATGATGCTGTACGCGACAGAGGAGGAGCGGCTGGAGCGGGCGCGGGCGTTCGACAGGGCGAACGACCCGGACGACGACATGCTCGAGGGGAAGTCGGATCTGCCCGGGAGGTTCGGGGACGCGGGGGGCGGGGAGGGGGGTGCTGGTGGGGAGGGGGGCGTGATTGACGTGGAGGCGGAGGACGTTGGCGGGGAGGGCGACGGAGGGGCCGGCGAGGAGACGTGAGGGGAGTTGCGGTGTCTGCGGGCGCGCTTGATGTGACAAGGCGCTGTTGCGCGCCGGTCGTGGTGGCGCGGGGCGTTGGTGCGTTTGATGCAGCGAGGTCGCACTGCTGCGGGGGGGTCGGGACCTCGGTGTGTGTCAGGTCGAGCGCGGCTCGTTAGGGGCGCTCAGCGGCGTGGGCGAGCACACCACGCGGAAGACATTGCCGAGATACACGCAGGGAACACATTGCGGAACCGAACTCGCGTTTATATTCGTCTCTCGGCGCCGTAGGAGCGGGTCCCAGCGAAAGGCGCCCAACCATTTGGCACGGCAGCTCCGCGAACTGACCGCATCCACCGGGTTCTTTCGTGCGTCGTCGCCCAGATGTCCTGGAAGTGCACGGGCACGGCCGTGCGCGCTGGGGTGGGCGCGGTGCGCCCCTGCGCGCGACCGCAGCTGCGCACTGCGCTAGGTCGCGCTCCCGCGCCACGCCACGAGTGCGGGTGCGCGAGGAAGCGGCCAGTCACGACCGCAGCCATCCGTATCGACCGCGCCATGCACCTGGAAAAGGCGTGGAAGGAGCAGCAGGTGCGCATTGCCCTCTCCGTTGAACCTTCATGCTGCGGACCCTCCTTCGACCCGTTCCGCAGCACATCAGTGCGCTTCCTGGGACAGAACTCCCGCGCCGCTGCGCCGCCCGCTGACTCAGCCTCGCGCTCACGGGCAGGGAACGGCGCCTCGTCCCGCCGCGGCCCTGCAATTGATGTGTGGCGATGGCAACTGACATGGAACCTTGCCCGGCGCGTCCTGCAGGAGCGCGAGGAGCAGCGCAAGAGCGAAGTGATCTCCTGTCCCCTGGGATGCGTCATGGAGGTCCAGGTGCGCGGCCGGCCCCCACCGCTCGCGCACGCGGCTCCCGCGCGCACGGCGCACCTTGCACGCCCTCAGCCGCGCCTGACGCCTGGACAGGGCGCAAACGCGCGTCTTTTCGAGTTCCCGCGCTACCTCATTGCATGAAATATCGATGCGTGGCGGCCGATCCCGCAGAATTTGCTTGTGGCGCTCGCAGGACCTCCCGCACCTCGAGGGAATACTGGAAGCCGCTGGGTCGCGGCCCATCCTCATGTTCATGTACACGCGGTCGTGCGGGAAGTGCAAGGAGATCCTGCGCAGCCTCGAGGGCACCTGCAAGGTCCAGGGGGCCAGCTGGCCTCCGAACGAGGCGCGTTCCCACACACGCACACACACCGCGAACGCACGTCACAGCCGACAGGGGCCGCGAGCAGCCGCCCCGCCGCGCGCCCGCGAGTGCACGTCCCGCGAGGCCGTTCCGATGCGAGAGGCCGTCGCACCGAGCTCCTGCACGCACGCGCCGTCTGTTCCGCTTCCCATCGAAACGCGATTACGGTGGCCCTGCGCAGGACGGCGACGCGCGGCGGGAGCTGGACAAGTTCGTGCTGCTCAAGCACGAGCTGCGGGACTCGTTCGACGACCTGAGTCCGGTCGCCAGGTTCTACCGTGTCAGGCACGCGCCGTCGTTCCTGGTGCTGCAGGACGGGGCGTTCAAGGGGGGGTATTTCGGGACGTACCTGCCGGGCGTCCTCGCGCGCGCGCGCAGCTTGTGCGACTGGGCAGAGGACAGCTCGTAGCGGAGCCGCGCCCGTCACTTCGACAGCACACACCATCAGCTGTCAAGACCGCTCCCCGCCACATGCAGCCCCCGCTCCGAACAATGGCCCCACCCCCGAGGGCGGCGGACGGCCCGGGTGCCTTGCATGCTCCTTCCTGCGCGATCCGGGGTCGCTGGCGCTGCTGGGGGGTGTCTGAGGTTTGGGGGAGTTGCGGAATGTGATTCCCGGAATTTCCGAGTCCGCCCTGGGAGGGGTCATGTGTGCGTGATGCGCGCATGCCGAGCTTAGTTTCTGGTCAGGCTGTGAACCGGCAGGATGGGACTTGTCGCTGCGGCATCGAGCCCTAAGCTGCATGGTCTGCAATGGGGCGGGCGGCGGGCCGCTGAGGCCCGCCGGCGCGTGACTCCGCACGCACGACAGTCCGTCCGACCGAGGGCGTCATCCCCAGCCGATGAGGCCGCCCCGGAGCGCTCGCCGCAGGACGCGGCGCCTCCGGTAGCGCCGCCAGCTGCCCCGGGACGGATGAGGCCTCGCCCCGAGCCGGGCGCGCCTCCTCCGGCCGTCCCAGTGATGAAACCGCGCAGCGACCCGGACGCTCCCGGCTGCACGCACCCGTGGAAGAGCGTCGCGACCGCGTGCAGCGGGTGCCCTCGTCGCAAGAGAAAGTGACGGTCACTGGCCTCCCTTCTACCTCCCGTCACGTCCGCACGCGCGCGCTGACGCCGCCGGACCGCCACGAACCAACTCACGTACTACCTCAGCATCACATCTATCGTATCAAGCACCCCAAGCGCACAGCTCCGAGCTCCCACGGACGTCGGCTAGCCTGGGTACGTCCCGTGGAGCCATCGCCCCAATGTTCACGCGGCCGTCGTCCTCCAGCCAGTCCCCCAGGGAGCTCGTCGACGCCTCGGGCCCCACGCCCGCCGCGAGGTCCACGCTGTCCGTCGCAGGACACGCGGGCAGCACCGAATCGTCGTCGTCCCATCGTGACGCAGCATTGACGCTGTCCGGGGGCGCGGGGGGGCCGTGCGCGCGCCTCTCCGCGGCGCCCGCGAGCACGCGTCGCCGCCGCACTGCCGGGGGCGTGTCAGGCACCACGCCTGCGTCATCCCGCTCCCGACGCGCATTCGTCGGCCGGACGGACCGGAGGCGACGGATCGCGGCGTCCACGGCGGCCTTGCCGCCAGGCACGTCGAACTTGCCGGCGCGGGACGCCGCCGCCGACTCCCCCCCCCCTGACGCAGCCCGCGTCGGGTCGACCACAAGGTCCGCGAGGAACGGGGCGTCCCACGCGCCGGGGGCCGCGGGGCGCTCTGCCGCGCTGCCCGCCGTCGCCGGCCGGCTGCTACGGATCTCCGCGAGCCACCCGTTGATCTTGGTCCACCGCTGCGACCTGCGCTCCTCGCGAGCACGCTCCTCCTTCTGCGCCGCGACGCCCTCGCGCCAGACCCGCAGAGCGCCCCGCTTCGCGCGTGCGACGTCGTGCGCGATCGCTCGCGTCTCCTGGTGCGCCTCGCGGACCAGTCTGTCCTCCCGCTCGACGGCGGCAAGTTGCGACCACGCGAACAGCGCCCTGCGCGTCCGAGCCGCGGCCACGGCCTGCGCCGCCCGGTCCGCGCGGTCGAGCTCGCACGCAGCTTCCTCCGCGAGCCCCACGAGGGCCCGCCGCAGCAGCCAGGCGCGCCGGAAGCCGCCGACGACCGCCAGCTGCTGCCACGCCGCCATCCCGCGCCGCGCCACCCACCGGGCCTGGAACGCGTCGACGACGCCCGCGTCCTCCTCGGCGGCCGCAGCGACTTCGCCGCGCCACGCCCGCAGCGCCTTGCGCCCCAGCGACTGCGCGGCGTGGGTGTCGGCGACGCCGTTGGCGACGCGCCGCTCCTCGACCCATGCGCGCCAGGGCCGCCAGCCGTGGTTCAGGAGGACCGTGCGGCCGTAGTGCAGCCGCGCGAGGGCGTCCTGGCGCCGGCGCAGCTCCGCCTCGGCGCGCCGGCGCTCGTCGTCGGCCATCCGCTGCTCCTCGCGCTCCATGCGGCGCACGCGGGCCTCGAGCTGCTGCCGGCGGTGCTCCTCCGCGGCGCGGCGCTGCTTCTCCTCCTCCCGCCGCTGCTCCTCGAGCTGCCGCTGCTCGTACCTGCGGCGCGGACGACACGGCAGGTCGCGTGTAAGGCAAAAAGGCAAACCTCGGGCAATGCGTCGTTTGTGTCTTCGATCTCACGCCCGGAAGGGCCACGCGAACGGGACGTGTTCCGCGCCGTGCGGCGGGCCGCGTGGCATGGGGAATGATGCCCGCCCGGGCCGTTGCGAGTTGCACTGTTGATGCCGACACGGTACACGTACCGCTGCTTCAGCGCCTCCCGACGCGCGCGCCGCGCCTCCGCCCGCAGCGCCATCGGCGGACCATGGCCGCCGTCCACGCCCTCTGCGGGCTCCCCGCCACCCGCGCCCCCTGCACCCCCCTGCGCGTGCCCTTGCACGCCCACGCCCACGCCGTCCGTCCGCGCCGCAGGCCGGACCGGCGTCGCGCAAGCAGACATGCTCAGATCCTCCGCACGGACGTCCCCGCCCCCTGTCGGCCCCGTCTCCGCGTCAGCGTCCCCGCGACTCCCCCCCTCGCCCTCTTGCACACACCCCTCCGCCGCTGCGGCGGCGCCGCCGGGTTTCTCGGGCAGCGGCGTCGCGGCGCGGCTGGCCGCGACCGTCAGCGGCGTGCCGGTGACGTGGCTGAGCGTGCTCTCGTCGTGCGGCGCCGCGCAGTCCTTCGGCGGCGTCCGCGCTGGCTGCGTCTGCGCGCCCGACGGGCCCGCCACGCTCGGCTGCGCCCGCGGCGTCGCGCTGCCGCCGCGCGGAGCCTTCCACGGTCGTGCGGGCGCCATGTGATCCACGCGGCCGTCCAGGTTCCGCCACGGCTGCCGCGCCAGCGGCCGGGGGCCCGTCGCTGCGTGGGCGGCGGGCGGCGCCGGGGCCTCGGGCGCCTCCACGGCAGCCTGGCGCGCAGCGACGAGGTTCAGCAGCCCGCCCATGCGATCCCGGAGTCGCCGGCGCGCCTGCTCGTCCTCCCGCTCCTGACGCAGGTCGGTCAGCGCAGCTCGCCACGCCACGAGGCTCGCGTGCCGCAGCCACGCGTCGCGGAACCGCACGGCGACCGCCTCCTTCCGCTGCTCCGCCGCGAGCGCCGCCTCCAGCGCGGCGCGCTCCTCCTCCGCGGCGCGCGCGGCCTCGACGCGCCTCTCCTGCGACGAAGCATCATCATGGGCAGACGGCGCATGGGAAGGCAGCGGAGCGCGAGGGGCGCTGCGTGGCGCGCGCGCGCGAAGAGCGGGCGCGGGCGGGGAGGTGTGGGCGGGGGCTGTGAGACGGCTGGGGCGGGGAAACACCTTTGCGTCGCGGGCGAGCTTGTGCCACGTCCGGAGGACGGAGTGCCGCCGGAACAGCGCGTGGAAGTTGCCGGCCGCGCGGTGCTTGCGCTCCTCGGCCTGCTCGCGGCGCCGCGCAACGCGGCCCTCCTCCGCGGCGTCGCTCCACGCCCGCCACGCACACCACAACAACTTCGCCGCCGCGAAGCGCGCTGCCGCCGCGAAGCGCCGCCGCGACGCCTCGGTGACCGCGAGCCACTCCGCGAACGCCTCGGCGCGCCTGCGGGCCCCCACGCGCTCCGCGAACGTGCGAACCCGCTCTGGACAGTGCCGCTGGGGGCGCTCCGGCGCTGGGGCGGACGCGCTCGCGCGTGCGGCGTCGGCGGCTCGGCCGGGCGCGGGCTCGAGAGCCTTCGCGACGGCCTCGCGCGCCAGGCGCACTTGCTCAGAGATGGTTTCCCGAGGTGTGGCTGTGACCGGGGCACTCCCTGCGTCCGTGGGCGCCGCGTGCGCTGCGCCGGGCGCTCTGCGGGCCGCTCTGAGTCTGTCGAGGGTGTCGCGGGGCAGCGCGGCCCGGCGGTGCTCCTCTGCGCGCCAGACGGGCAGGGCCGCGTCTGGGAGCGGTGGTGTGGCAGCGGGCCGCGAATGCGCCGCGTGGGCTGGCGGGCCGCGGCCCGACGCGCGCCGGTCCGACGCGAACGACGTGGACGTAGCTGGCGGGCAGGACGACGGCGGATGCGACGCGTCAGCGGCGGAGAGAAGGGGGGGGTCGCGGTCCGGTGGTGTGCACCGTGGCTCCAGGCCGGCGCGGGCGCGCGAGGTGGCGGTCTCTCCGAAGAACCGGTCCGCCCTGCGCTTGATTTGCGACCACCGCGCGTTGCAGAGGCTCTCCGGGCCTGCGGCGGCGGGGGAGTCGGCGGCTAGCGGTCAGGACAGATGCCTGGTCGGTTTGACTGGGTCGCGGCCGAGCTCGTGCAGCGTGCACCGCGAGGGGCCTCTTCCGCGCACTCTGATCCATCACATGTACAAGAAGGACGCTCTGAACGAGAGTTCGTGCACTGGAGGCGGCTCATCTCGAGGGAATCGGACCTGCACTGATGTCCTCAGCTGGTCGAGCCCAGCCCTCGTGCGCCGCGCCGGCGCCTTCAGCCCCACTGTCGTGCAGGCGGATGGCCGTCTCGGCAGCACGGTGGACCGCGGACCGCTGCGGGGAGTCACACCGCTCCGGCACGAAGCGCCCAGCGCGTTGCGGTGCGTCCAGGCTCGAGGCCCAGTCGAGCAGCCTGGACTCCTCCTCCGTGAACATCCTCGCGTCCTCGACCTCGACGCGTCCGAACCAACACGCCAGGTACGGGCCGGGTCGCCAGAGCGCCCGTTCAAGCCTTGCGCGGCGCGCAACAACACAACATGGCAGCGGAACGGAAACGCCAACCTTCTGTGCGGGACGTGGGGCCCAGGCCACGCTTGCTGATCTGCCCGCGGGCAAGTGCTGTCCGCCCGCGGCGTGGCGGCCCCACGGCACCGGCGCGACCCCCGCGTCGCAGGAGAGACACACCGCGGGGTATAACCCGGTCCGAAACGACCGCCATGATGGTGAGGCTGGCGTCGCGGACCCTGCATTCTGGACTCGCTGCCTCGTCGGCTCAGTCGCGTCCACGGAGCGGAGGGCAACAGCGGGGACCACCGCGCAGACCTAGGGAGAGGGCCTTGGCTGCTGTGGTGCGCTCGTGCCCCGCTGGGGGCGCGCGTAGGCCAGGAGGGATGCAGGAAGATGGAGCACAACAGGATGCGTTGCGGGCGGATGGACGGAGTGACAGGCAGATAAGGTGCGCGACGTGTTCGCGGCCGGAAGCAACCGACGTGTTCACAGAAGCGTGGGCGCGTTTCTCCGCCGTGGGCGAGACTTCCCCGGGCCCGCGTGGGTCGTTGCGGCATGCAGGTCGATGGTGTGTGAGCGCGGCGTGCTGGAACGTGCGGACGGGTCCGCAAGGTGGACGCAGGGCGGCACCAGCGTGCTTGCAGCGGTGCACGGGCCGCTCGTTCGCGGCGGCCCGCGAGAAGACCCGGAGCGCATGACCGTGGAGGTCACGATATTGCCAAGATCTGGCCTCCCGACGTCGCGCGACCGCCACAACGAGACGGTCGTGCGCGCCACCGTCGAGAGCGCGGTGCTGCTCAACGCCCACCCACGCTGCTGCGTCACCGTGGCGCTCCAGGTCGCCGCCGACGACGGCGCCGTCCTCGCGTGCGCGCTCAACGCCGCCTCCGCCGCGCTCGTCGACGCGGGCGTGCCCATGCGCCACCCCTTCGCCTGTGTCACCGTCGCCGTCGCACCGACCGGCAGGCTCCTCGTGGACCCGGACAGCGACGAGGAGAAGGCCGCGGGGGCGCTCGCGCACATTGCGCACGTCGGCAAGAAGGACCAAGGCGAGGACAAGGGCCCAGGTGCGCCCCTGCCATCCCCACTTGTCTCAACGCGCTCAGCTGCGCGTTTCCGTGCGCTTGCCTCACCGGACTCGACGCCGCGTGGCCGTCCGTGCAGTGTCTGGCGCGATGATCACGTGCGACTCGTACGGCAAGTTCACGCTCGAGCAGTTCGCGGCCGCGGCGGCGCTTGCCGCCAAGGGTTGTGCTCACGTGACCGCCTTTGCGCGGGAGTCCCTGAACGGCCTCTACGTCGTGTGAGCCGGCGCGGCAGCCAGCGGCGCACGCGCGCGCCCGTCGGAGCGACGTCACGCGCGCCGCATCGGCGCACTAGCGACTGACGACAACTTTGCTTTTCGTCCCGCGCCGGCGCCGGGCTGGCTCGGGGCGCAGCGGGGCGCAGCGGCACGGCGCCGCTCGGGGCGTCGCGGCCGCTGGCTGCGAGCTCGTCGCTGGCCGTGTCATAGTGGGTACGGGCGCGAGGCAAGTCGAGATTCCTCGAGTGTGCTTCCACGCGCCGTTGTGGACCCTCGCGGCGGCGTGTAGGGCGCTGGGCGTGATCGGCGCATTCACCGAGCACGCGTCCGTCCTGGAACGCACCCCGCGGCGCCGTTCGCGCACCCAGGAGCGCCGGCAGGGGCTGCATGCACTGTCGCGCCGGCCCACGCCTGCACGCGGATCTCGCCGAGACGTGGTCGTGCTGTCCCGGTCCGAGCGGCCGGCGCATCTGGGTGGATCTCGGGCGCGCGCTGGTGCGAGAGCCCGGCTGTGAGGTGCCGCGGCGGCTCTGAGACTGGCACGGGGAGTCGTGGGGGCCCTGTGGGCGTGGCAGCAGGAGCAGGCAGGCTGGGGGGCACAATGGGCGAGGCTGCGGGCGCGGCGGGGCACCACGGGCTTGCGGAGGGCAAGGGCTCTGTGACGGGTGCGTCGGCTGTGCGGGACCGGCCCGAGCGTGCACGCGCGAGACACGAATTGGGCTTTGGCCTGTTGCTCCTGGATTCGCGGCTGCGAGCTGGCGCGGAGCGGAGGAGGCGCGGCGCGGGGTGCCAGGATCACACGGAAGCGCCCCCCGGCCTCAGTATCTGCCCCCGACGATAGCTAGCGGCGCCTGAGGCACGATGGCCAGGGACGAGATCGACCCGGCAGCATGGGTCGAGGACATGCTGAAGCTGCGCGCGACGGGCGCGAGCGGCGTGCGCATTACGATGAAGGACATCGTCGACCGCTGCGACAACCCGGACGCGAACCCGGCAGACATCAGGCCGACGAGGTGCGTACTTCCAGCGCCCGCCGAGCGCCGCTCCGGGGCGATGCGCGGCGTCACCCCACCGGAAAACCACCCTCGATCTTTTCTGCGCGAGCCCTTCGCGCCCGCGCCCGTCGCGCGGCCGTGCCTGGCGCTCCTGGGCAACGGCATGGCACCTGCCCCCTGCCGTCCTGCCCCGCACGCGCCCATCATCCCCTGCCGCGGCCTCACGGGCCCCTCCGGGACTCCAGACACCTTGTTCAACGCGCACATCACGTTGCGACTCGTTGCCACGCCCTGCCGCTGCGCTTCCGCCAAACGTTCCCCTCGCCAGTGACAGAGCACCATGCATGGCGCCGCCCGGGCGCGCAGCGCGCGTGCAGCCGCGGCCCGTGCGCCCCGTCGGAGCAGCGCGCCGGGACGGACCGTTCGGGCGTGCCAGGCCGCGCCCACGCGCCCCCCAGCGCAGCCGAATGCCCACATGTCCCGTCGTCTGTGTGCGTGCGCCTGCAGCCCCAACACGGTGGACGCCTTCCTCGCGACGGGCATTGACCCAACGGAGCTCATCAAACGAACCAAGGAGTGGTTCAAGGAACAGGTGAGCGCCACCGCCCGCTCGCAGCGAGACCACGAACGCTGGACGCTGCATCAGCGCCGCTCCGGGTGCCGCGCACGCCCCACAGCGCCGGAACGGCGCCGCCACGCCGCTCTAGAGACTCGCTGCGGGCACCTGCGCCACCGTGCGGCGCCCAATACCCTTTCTAGGGCGCGCAGAGGGCCCTCATGTCTCCGCCATGCACTGCCGTGTCTGGCGCCCGCCGGGGCTCCGCAGCCCGGCTTCGCGCCCGCGATCGGGCGCCGACGCGGTATCTACGACAGACGTACCCGTGTGTCGTCCGTTTGCGCCATGCCCGCGCCGCCAAGCCGTGGCATGGCTAGGGCATGCTGTGCGACGCGGAAACGCGCCCCGCTCCCGCGCCCCGCACGGCCCGCAGGGCGACGACGACGACGAGGCCGAGATCGCGTGCGAGTACTACGAGCAGTGCCGCATGGAGAAGATCCAGCGTCTGACGGCGGAGCGGGAGGCCATCATCAACGGCGAGGGCACCGGGAAGGGCCTCGGCCGCACGGGCGGGACGCTCGGGTACACCGCGGGGTCGGGCGAGGACCAGGTGGAGCGCGAGCGCAGGCGCCTGGAGGTGTCCCGGCGCCGGCAGATGCAGGAGCTGGAGCAGGCGGTCAACTACGAGGTCATGCGCGCGCAGACGCAGCAGAAGCAGGAGGCCAAGATGCGGGCGATCGAGCAGCGCATCGAGCAGCAGAAGAAGGTCAAGGACCAGAAGCAGGCCGAGTGGCGCGAGCAGCTGCGTCTGAAGGAGCAGGTCAAGCGCGAGGAGGACGCCAAGCTCGAGGCCGAGGCGCGGCGCCTGGAGACGATCCGCCACCAGGAGGAGATGGCGCAGGCCCGCGCGGAGCGCGAGGAGGAGAAGCGCCGCAAGAAGGAGGCGATCATGCGGGAGCAGGAGCGCCGGCGGAAGCAGGAGCAGGCCAAGATGGAGACGCAGCGCATCCTGGACCAGCAGGCGGCGGAGCTCGAGGTCCGCAAGAAGGAGATGGAGCGCAAGGACCGCGAGCGCGAGCTGGCGAAGAAGCGGCAGCAGGAGATCCGCGCAAAGGAGAACGAGATTGCGCGGCAGAAGGCGGAGGAGCGCCGCGTGCAGACGCTGCTGCAGAACGAGGCGCGGCTGCGCGAGAAGAAGGAGCTGTTCGAGGCGCGGGAGCGGCTGGCGGACGAGCGGCTGCGCATCAAGGCGATCGAGCTGCAGCAGCAGGAGGCGGAGAAGCGCAAGCGCGAGGAGCACAAGGCGCTGGAGCAGCGGCAGAAGTTCGAGCTCGCGCAGAAGATCGAGGCGGACCGCGTGCAGTCGATCAAGAACAAGGCGGCGGAGAAGGAGCGGAAGCTGGCGATGGCGGCGCAGGAGCGGGCGCGCGAGCTGAAAAAGAAGAAGAAGCAGAAGGAGCTCGAGCAGCGCCGCAAGCTGGAGATCGTGAGCCAGCACCACCGCCAGCAGGCGTGGATCCGGGAACAGACGCTGCAGAAGATCCAGGACGAGACGGACCGCGCGTTCGCGATCAAGAGCGCGCAGCAGGAGCTGCGCCAAAAGCGGCGCGAGGCCAACCTGGAGGCGTCGATGCAGCGGTTCGCGGCGCTGCAGAAGCTCGAGGAGGTGCAGATCAAGGGGATCGACATCGAGAACGCAGACAACATCGCGTCGCTCACTGACAAGGTCTTCTCGCCCCGCCGGTGACGCGACGACGGCGCGACCGCGTTCGCTCGCTCGCCGCCCCGCCTCAGGGCGCGCAGCTGTCGGCCCAGTGTGAATCTCCGTTGGCCGTGGACGCGCTCGCGTGCGTGGTGATCCGACCCGCGGGCCCGCTCGGAGCTGAGTCAGGGGGGAGTGTCGAGTACAACACTCCGAGCTCTTCGCGGCGACAAGGGGCGAGGGCCGGACCGCCCCGGCCCCACGCTCCGCACAGCAACCACCCAAGGACACCGATTCTCCGCCTCTGAGCCCTGGAGACGAGCGGCCGCGCAGCCCGGCGCGACGCTGACGCTCCCCTCCATCCCGCTGTACAACGCGCAGTTCGCCCGTGTTTCCTTCCTTCCCGCCCCTCCCCCTATTTACACGTAAGACTTCCATCGTGTGCGCGGCAGTTCAAAGCGCAGGACGGCCCGCATCGTGCGCTGACCGCCGACCCTTTCCCGCTGTCCGGTCGCTTTCCCGCGGAATAGCGGCCTCGTCGTTGCCGATAACGCCTAGTTCTTGCGCTCGAAAGCCTCGTAGGACTAATATCACGCAGTAGGAGCTCGCGAAATCATGAAAAAGCAGGCAACCGCGTCCCGAGCGCCGTCCGTCGGTTGGCTTCACCGGACAGTCACGGCCTTGTTTGCCACCGCGCTCCTCTCCGCGCTCGTCCCGCCCGCTCTCGCGGCCGTGATAGCCGCCGGCAAGCTCGAGAAGTGCGTGCGCGACGGCGCGTCGCTCGAAGTGCCCATTGAGTGCCAGGAGAAACTGATCGTCACTGTCGCAGTTGAGAACGGCAACACCCTCGAAACCGAGCAGCTCGAGGTGCAGCTCTCCTGCGTCAACTCCCCCGACGGACAGTGCCCCTGTAGGTGAGCTCCTCCGCCGGTCCTCGCCCTCCCAGCGCTCATTCGGCCGCGCACGCGCCCTCCCTCCCTTGCTACCTAGCTGTATCGATGGCTCAGGTCCCCGCACGCTCGCGCGACGAGCCCTGCTCTCTCGGCTCTGCGCGCAGCTGCAACTACGCGACGGACCCGGGCTGCATCTGCCGGGACGTCCAGGACACGTTCACCGTCACCCTGACGAAGTCCCCCATTTATGCTTCATACCCTCTGGAGTACGTCAAGTCCTTCCCGGGCCGCGCGATCGAGGGCATCGTGCGCACGGGCTCCGGCGCGGACGCCGGGCAGTGCGAGGCGGGGGCCCTGTCGAGCAACCCCACGTGTGGTTGGATCTACGACAAGGACGGCGACCGCGTCGAGGGCAGCCAGGGCTTCTGCTGCGAGTGCGGGGCCAGCAAGACGGTCGAGGACACCTTCGGGAAGAGCGACGACCGCATCCGCGCGAACGTGAACTGCGACCTGTTCGGGGGGGGACTGTTCCTGGGGGGAGTCCCGGGGAGTGCGCACTGCCTGTACTTCGACCAGCAGTGGTACCAGGGCTTCGCGGTCGGGGAGGCCGGGCTGCGTTTCGACCTCACCGTGCGTCTGAGGACCAACTCGAGCGATTTCACGGACGCGGGCGGCCTGGAGGAGCTCGTGCTGGGTCCCTCGCAGCCGTACAAGGTCAGCGAGCGCGGCCTGGTGTCGGCGAAGCTGCTGGGCGACCTCGCGGGGTGAGTGGAGCGCGAACTACCACCGCAACGATCTCGCGCCTCTCCCTGCACCGGTTGGCGCCGCTGGCGTCTATTTTCGGCTCATCTGTCATCTTCGTGTGGCTCTCTCTTCCGAGCAGGTACGACCAGCTGCCGGTCCTGTCCGAGCGGTACCTCATGGTGCCGGACCCCGCCGACGGCGACATCCTCACGATGGCGACGCAGCGCATCGACGAGTGGGTCCTCCTCGACAAGAGCATGGTATCCGTATCCGGGCGCGAGTGCGACAAAGCCGGAACCTCCTTCGAGGCCTTCGCGTCCCAGGCGAACGCGTGCGGCCGACTCCCTGGCTCCTGCCTGAACGGCCAGATCCTGGATCTCATCGACGAGGACAACGAGCGGATCGCCGAGGGCCGCACACCCTTGTACAAACTGCGGAGGTACATGGGCGGCAAGCAGCTGCCGCTGGACGTCACGGACGCGCGCGCGCTGCGGCTGCAGCTCCCCGTCGACACGCTCGGGGCCTCGGTCGTGAGCCTCGACATGCTGGGGGACTCGGTCAGGCTGGTGGTCAACTCCTCCCCTGCGCGCATCGTCAGCGCCAAGGTGTGCCAGTTCGCGAACGTCGAGTGCGGCGGCTTCGAGGCCTTGACTGAGCGGGGGTACTTGACGGCCGAGGTGGAGAACGAGGGCTACATCGATGCCGGGTTCACGATCTCGGTGCACGACTGTTCCGAGAACGTCCGCGAGGTGGAGGCGCGCCGCGCGGACATCAGGGCGAGGTCCGAGGAGGAGTTCGTGTTCGAGCTGTTCGTCGAGGACGACAGGCAGGTCGAGCAGCGGGGCTGCAACGTCACCGTGCAGGACTCTCAAGGACAGGTGCGGCCGCTGCGAGGCGTGGCCCGCCGCGCATCGGTGCTCCGCCGGACGTGCCCACGGGGCTCTGACCGCGTGATCCGCGCCGGTCCTCGCAGGTTACGGACACTCTGCGCGTCACGTTTTTCACCAACGCAACGGACTACACGGAGAACATCGGGGCGTCGCGCGGCGACGAGAACTTCGACGGCGCCTACGACGCCCGCACGGACCCGTCCTGCGCCGACATGTGCAACCTGCTCGACCTCATCTGCAGCTTCGTCAAGGCAAGCCCTTCCGCGCAGTTCACTTCAATTGCGACCGCAGCAAGTGTCGATTTGACGACCCGCTCACCCTGATTCATGCATCCCCGCTTCTCATCGTTCCGCAGGGCTGCTGGACGCGGTTCTTCCTGGGTCTGCTCACGATTGGACTCATAATCGGGGGCATTTACCTCCTGTATCTGTCCATCCGCCGCGGGTGGTGTCTCAAGGCAGCGCGAGCACTCGGCGTCGCCGCCACGGGCACGAAGGAGGAGCGCGAGGAAATGCGCGCCCAGACCGACCGTCGGAGGCAGAAGCTGGCCGACATGAAGCTCTCAGCCCTGGACATGGAGTATGCACAGGACCGGCGCGGCGGGCGCCACGGCCGCCGGCGCAGGTCCTCGCACGACCTCCGGCGCGCGCGCGGCGGCACGTCTAAGGGCCGCGGGCGCCCTCGCGCCTCGAGCCGGCGCACGAGCCGCCGTCGTTTGTCCATGGAGTTTGACCTACGCCACACGACGGGGGGCATGATGGGGTTCGCGGACACGACGCACCCGCACGTCCCCATGCAGATGTACCGCACAATGGTATGAGCTCGTGCAAGCAGCAACTCGAACCACCAAAACAACTGCAAAGCCTTAGTAAGAAATAACACTATCTTGGGTCGACGTGACACGAGGCGTCGATGTTCTTGCAGTGACTCGTGACGCAGTTGTTCTGTGACCAGGTCCCTCACATGTTTCGCCGGCAGCTTCGCGCAGCTCGGCCGCGCACGGCGGCTACATGCCAAGCGGGGCTGCCAGCAGGGCACTCCCAGAAGAGCTGACGGTGCGAGCTAGGATCTGAATAGCAAGCGCCATGCAAGCCGCCGCCACGACCCACACGCGGTCCGACACCGGCAGGGACGCCGCGACGGGCGCTGCGACCGTCCGCGGCTGCGTCTCCGTCACCTCCACGCCCGCCGCCGCCGCATCGCTTGCTGCCGCGATCGCGCACGGCCGTGCTGCGACGTGCGTGTCCGCCGGCTTCTTGGCCGGTGATGCGTAGACCCCGCGCCCCGCCAGCGCGGCCGCCGGGTCGCCTGCGGCCCCATCGCTGCCTGCCGCCGCGTCGGCGCGTTTTGCGTCAGCGGTCGGGCTGCGGGCGCTGGGCACACGCCGCCGCATGAGCAGCGCCGGCACCTCTTCGGGCTGCACGGCGTGCACCTTGGAGCGCGTCTGCGGGTGCAGCATCGACTTGAGCGCCCGGACGTGGTAGCCAGACCACCGGGGGGGTGCTACGAGGTACAACGCGCCGAGTCGGGCAGGGTACGCCTGGGACAGCAGCGGGATGAGGTTGTTGCGCAGCGTCACGAGCAGCCGCGTCGCGTTCACGAGCGTCAGCCCCTCGCACGACACCAGCACCGTGATCGTGTCCGCTCGCGCCGGGGGCCGCCCGAGGCGCCTGCGCACGGCGTGCTCCACCTGCGCGACGACCGCGCGCATGAGCTCGCCCTCCTCCTGCCTCGGCACGCCCTCGAGCACCGCAGCGAGGTCCACGAACAGCGTCGGTCGTCGCGCCGCCGCGTCGCGCCCGACCCACCGGACCAGCTTCTTGTAGCGCACCAGCTCGGCCTGCGGCATGAACGTGTACCGCGCCCGCCACTCGAGCATCCCCTTGATCTGCGCCGCCGCCCTGCACGGTCAGTCGCGCTCAGGAGTCTCGTCAGGTGCGCCTGAGAAGGAGGCATGTGTGGCGCCGGCGGGCGGCGGGGTTGCAGGGGAGGACGCGCCACGCGCACGCAGCGGGGTGGCCGCACTCACTTGTCGATGGCGTCCTTGCGGGGGTGTCCCTCGATGACGCCGAACGCTGACAGGTGTCGCAGAAACTCCCCCCCCGCGTCGTCGAACAGCCCGGGCGGCGGCGTCACGCCGAGCGCCATCAGCTTGCGCCGCAGCTCCGTGATCGCCGCGCGGTACTGCCCCGCCAGTTCCGCGTATCCGATCCGGCCGCGCGCCACCGCAGTGCTGACGATGTCCACCTCGTGCGAGTGCAGGCCGTTGCCGCCGCGCAGGCCGCGCCGCCGCGCGAGCGCCTGGCGCCGGTGGTGCGCGGCGCGGCAGGCCACGCCGACGTCCCAGGCGCTGAGCAGCACGACCGGCGCCCGCATGCTTCCCGCGAGCGCCCGCAGGACCGCAGCACGGCCGCGGGGCGCGCGGGGAGCCGCGGCGCGGCCGCGCAGGCTGCGAGCGGGAGCGCGAGGGCCGCGGCGCGGGCGGTGTGGTACGCGAGGGGGGCCATGGCGCGCGTGGCGACGAGCGCTGACGTCTTGGCGAGGAACAGCCCGGGAGCGGCCAGCGGGGCCGCGAGGCTCGCGACGCGCTTGGCGCTCGAGGCCGTGAAGGAGAGGATGCGGAGGGGCGCCGAGAGGACGGTCGAAAGAAGGCGCGCCGGGCCGAGCGCGCCCGCGGAGCTGCCACGGTGGTTGCCTGCTGCGCCGTGCGCGTCGCGCGCGGCCTTCCTCCGTGCGCGCCGCGGCCGCGACCCGCTTGGTGCGATGTCTGGCGACCGGCTGCGGCCGGTGCCGCTGCGTTCCGCGTCGCACGGCGCGGCTGCGTCGCCCGCGGTCGGCAGCACCAGCGCAGGGAGCTCCGGCGTTTCGGGCAGCGCGCTCGAGGCCGTGACGACGTGCGCGCGAGACCCCGGATGGACAGCAGGCGGTCTGAGGGACGCGCGCGAGGCCGACGCGTCGATGTGGAGCGCGTCCGCGCCCGTGGTCGCCAACCAGTCGCTGCCCTCCAGTTCGTGCGAAACCGGGGCACATTCTGACGCGAACGCCGGCGCCATATCGCCGCAGTTCTCTTCGGAGCTGCCGCGCCGCGCCTCGGCGGAATGCTGCGCGGCAGCCTGAGGATTCCCCTTCCCCGGTCGCTCCCTGGTCATCAACGGAAGCCCGAGGATTCCGGACAGACCGGACGCCCGCGACGCTCAGATTCGCGGCCGGGCGAGCGTCATCGTTGAACGGGGCTCCTGCGACCTATACACGCACGATTGGCGGCGGGGCCACGCGCGCCGCCGAAGCCTCCTAGCTGCGCGACGTTGAGCGACTGTTTGCGGGTCGCAGGGTGTTCGTGGTCCTCCGAGACGCGCGGCCTGACGTCGAGACGGGGACGCTTGTGCGCGGCGGGACGCGGCGCGCGGCCCTTGGCGACCCCCCGCGCTCGCAGGTGGGGGACGCGCTGACAGCGAGGACGTCCCACGGTCCGGCGCAGCGAGCGGCGGTCGAGGGTGCGCGGCGCCGCCGTGCGCGCACACGTGCGTGCAGCATAGGTGGACCCGAACGTCGCGTCAGCATCTGAGCAGAGCGTGTCTACGCAGAGCATTCGCGCTTGGTTGTGCACTAGCGTCAAGAGAGGGGCGCGCAGGTTCCCTCGGGGCCTCGCCTGGCACGGGCAGTGCGGCTCGACGCAAGCTCTTGCACGAAAGAGGAGGTTGCTGGGAAGTTCGGGCCCGCAGAGGGCGTGGTGTGGAGTAGGAGGTACTAGCAGCTGCAAAGTGGCGCAGCATGACGTCGGTGGACGACGAACAGCAGCACGATGGCGACGTCTCGCTGTTCTATCCATCAGGGAGGATGGGAGGTGCGCGGTCGCGCCGACCTCTCGCCCGTGCACTTCGCTGCCGCGACGCTCGTACTGCGCGCATGCTGTGCGCGACCGCGGGCGCCGAGGCGGGCGCGACCCGCGCCCCGGCCCCGGGGGATCCCGGGGCACCTACGATACAGTCTCCCGCGGGCCGTTAGAACGGAACATGCCTTCCCCTCCGCCGCTGTCCCGCTGGGTGCATGTTGCGCCCGCCTGATGCCTCACCACGCAGCAGCGTCGTGCGCGCGCCGACGCCGGCCTCAGCGATGCCTCTCGCGACGTCTCCGGGCTCACCGCACCAGCACCGCACGCATCCGAGGTCCGGGCGCGGCGTACCTCGCCTGGAGGCCCCTCGATGCTCGGTTGCCGCACCCGCGCCTCTCGCGCCTGGCCACGAACAGCGGGCCGCCCAGGGCGCCCGCCGGGGACATGTTCGAGCCATCGCCGTCGAACCGCGCCGCATTCCATCCAGTGCGGCGCTGCGCGTCCCCCCGGGGCGTGCTTCTTCCCTTGCATCCACATGGCACCAACGCTGCCCCGCGCCGCTCCGGTGGCCCGCCGCGCAGTGACGATAACGCGGAGCAAGGAGAGCCGGTTCGCGCTCGCGTTCTCCGACACCGACGCGCACGAGATCCTCGTCAGTTTCGACAGCACCGGCGTGGGCGGCGCGTGCTTCCCCGGCGGGCACCCGTGGCTCTCGACGACGGCCAAGGGCTACACCGTGTCGGACGAGAAGGGCGCGATCGTTGAGAGCGGGCGCTGGCCGCGCGCGAAGAGCAAGGGCGAGCTGGTCCGCGCCCTGACCCCGTCGCTGACGGTGCGCTTCGCGTCGCGGCAGGACATCGCGCTCGTGTTCAACACGGACGAGATCCCGCCGCAGACCTTCCACATCGGCCAGGTCCTGAAGCGCGAGGGCACGTACCTCGACTACCGCATGACGTCCGTGGGCGGCAAGATGACACTCGACGTGCGGCGCATTCGGGAGAAGTTCGCCAAGCAGGGCCACCTGTACTCCGCGCCCGGCCCGCACTCGCTCGTCACGGAGCGCCCGGGCCTCGGGAACCTGCGCAAGATGGTCGCGAAGCTCGGCAAGACGCAGCACATCGACGAGACCCTCCTGGGCGACCTCGACGAGACGCAGCGGCGGCTCCGGAGCATCAACACGGTCAAGACGCCGCTGGACGGGACCGTCAAGATGGCCACGAAGCGGCTGCCGCCGCTGGACGACTTCGGGGAGCCCCCGATGACGGACACGATGAAGGACCTGCGGCGGAAACTGCGGCCGCAACACGTGACCTATCAGAGCCGGCAGGCGCGGGTGGAGAAGGTCGCGATGGCCGGGCTGGACCACCTGCTGACGGGGGACGAGACGCCGGAGTCGGCGCTGGTCGTGGTGTGCTGCGTGGCGTCTTGGAACGCGAAACCGTGCGCAGCGGCAACGCAGGCGATGCGCGAGCTGCAGCACGACATCGCGACGCTGGGGGAGGCCGCGGCGGTCCCGGAGGCGCACGAGCACTCGTGCCCGCTCGTGCTGCGGCTGATGGACGCGTCCGAGGGCAACGGGCTTCGGAAACGGTTCGGGTTCCTGACGGTGCCGGCGTGGCTGGTGTTCCGGGGCGGGAAGCTGGTGGAGGTGACGAACGACGTGCGGGGCAAGGAGGACCTCAAGGCGCAGATCGCGCGGTGCCTCGCGAAGGCCGCGCGGGACGAGTACCTGCCGGACGGGTGGCAGGGGAGCCTGGGAGTCAACCCGATGCTGGAAACAATCATGCATCCGGGATTCACACTCAGCAACTAGGTTGCGGCGCGCAGGGATCGTGCGCGGATCTCCGCCGCTGCTCGGACCCAGACTCGCCGGGGAGCGGCTGGGCGCGCCAGCGCACGCTTGCGCTATGGTGTGGTGATGTGACACGAAACTCGCCGCAATTCCGTCACCTGCGCGCTCGCGCCTCGTCTACGCTGAGCCGCGCTGCCCGCCCGCGGTCAGTACCGCGGCACGGAGTTGTCCATCCGCGCGTAAGCGTCGATACCGCCTGACACGTTGGCAACGTTGGAGTACCCCTGCTGCGTCAGGAAGGCGGCCAGCTGCATGGAGCGGATGCCGTGGTGGCACAGGATGACGTGTTCGCGGGCCTTGTCGGCCTCGGACGCCCCCGCGAAGTCCCCCGCCCAGCTGTTGAACTGACTCAGGGGGTACAACATAAACCCGGGCAGGGAGGCCGCGTCGTGCTCGCCGGGCTCGCGGACGTCCACGAGCACCGCCTGGTCCGTCCAGGAGGGGTCGCACAGACGCTCCTGCGCGCGCGGGTAGCCTGGGCCGGCTCGTTTGCGACGCGTCAACTCGGGACCACGGCGCGCGGGGGGGACGCTGGCGGGCAGGGTCACGAGGCCGCCGCAGCTACCGAGATGCGGAGAGGGCGCAGGATAGCGCGGTGGTGTGGGGAAGCTGCCCGTCGGTGCTGTGCTTGTACGGCGCGCTGCACAAGGGCTGCCGTGACAGGACGGAGCTCGGGCGCACCTGTAGTTCCGAGACCGACATGTTGCGGATGGTGGGCTTGGCGCGCTCGCCGACGACGCGGACGAGGTGGGAGCCGAACTGCGTGTCGACCAGCGCGATGGAGCCCACGTCGGTGGAGAAGGCCGCTTCCTCGAACGCCGGGACCATCTGCCCGCGTGAAATCCATCCGAGGTCGCCGCCCGCCTTGCCTGAGGGGCATTCCGACATCTCCTTGGCCATGCTAGCGAAGGTTTCGTTCCCCACGGTCGCCGCAAGCGCCTCTGCCCTCTCGCGTGCATCGCTGCCCTTGAGCAGAATGTGCGACACGCGCCGCTCGGTCTCCGCGGGGCCGCTGGAGCCAGACGACGCAGCTGCTCGCGAGGAGGCAATCAGACGCCGCGCCTGGGGCCGGGAGAACGCCCTGTGCGAGGACACGGCGCACCGTCTGCATGCTGCCAGCGCCTGCATCCTGACGCGGAACTCACAACGATACTTGAGGGACAGGCGGCAGGAGCATCGCACCGGGGACTGAGACGCGCGCCGCGACCACCCGCCCCGTCAGGAGCGCGCGGTCAGGCTCGGAGGGAGACTCCAGCCTTGCGAGGGGGTCGTCTCGTTCGGGTCGCTCCGGGGGGCTTGAAGGACCATGCCGCGCAGAGCGCATGTAGAAGCTGCGCGGGAGAAGGTCGGACGGTTGCTCCGCGCGTCGACCAGTTCCGAAGGAGGACTCGCGCGCTTTGTCGCTGGCCAGGAGTAGTGCTTTCCTGGCGAGCACGCGCGTGTGGGGGGCTTTCTGGACATCCGAACGGGCTGGAGGCCTGTATCTGATTCAGGACCTCATCGAGCGCCGCGAGACAGATGCATTCGCGGGCGCACGTGGCGCCGGCCACGCGCTCCGTCTGGGCACTCCAGGCCCCGCGGCAGCCCCGCTGCTCCAAGGTGGTCGCGCGCGCGAGCAGCGACCCGAAGCTCGATGGTCTGAGCGAGGCGCAGAAGGCGTTCCTGGAGCGCCGCCGGCAGCACCGAGAGAGTGGCTGGAAAGTGCTGCCGATGCCGCCGGAAGCAATGTGCCCTCGGTGTGAGGGGGAGGGCAACCTGAAATGCCCCGCGTGCAAGGGAACCGGAGTCAACGCAGAAGGTCGGTGCCCTCCCGCATGTGCAACGCGCCGGCTGTGCTTTGCTATCATCACGCGTCGCAACAGGTCGGGCCCGGGGTCGCGGAACGCGCAGGTGCGAGCGCCGAGCAGCTGGGAGACGACGTGTACCTGCGCGCTCCCACGAGCTCGTCGGGCATGTTCATGACGGGCATGCCCTGCTGGATGTGCAAGGGACGGCGGGAGCTGCCGTGCGGGCCGTGCATGGGGCAGGGCGTGAGGGACGCGTTCGACAAGTACACGACCGAGGACTGACGCGGCGCCTCGCGGCGGGGCGCGACGGCGGCACGCTCGCTGTTCGGGGCTTGGATATTGTAATGAACGATGCAAAACAAATGAAGATGCAAAGGTGACTCAGGAGCCGCACGGGGGTGGTCGTGCTTGCGGAGGACATGGCAGGTGCGTTGCGGACCTGGTTGCACTCCCGGCCGCTCGACACGGCGGCGACGCATCGCTGGAGGAGCGCATCGGATCGCAAGGCAGCTTGGTCATCATGCGTGCGGGTACTCCACCGCGTCGTTGCTCTCGGCCACCCCGTTCCTCGGTCGGCGTGATCTCCAGTCGACACGTTTCGTCATTCTGATAATTTCGTTACAAAAGCAACTGTGTTGCGAGCGCCGCGATATATGTAGTGCCCCATACAGGCGGGGCGGCACCGCGGGCCGGCGTTCGCGATCGAGCGCGGCAACCATCCGCACCGGCGCTGGTGGTGTAGAAACATCACGCCTCCAGGGGAGTCAGCTCGATGCTGTCGTCCGGCAGCAGCTCGTGCCGCCACTGCCAGGACGGAGCCTGTGCGTCGTCCATGCGCTCCATGCGCACGGAGAATCCGCGCGCCCTGTCCGCCTCGCTGTCGTCCGCGGGCGGCCTGATCAGGAGTCTGTGACCGTCCGGGACCTCGAACGCGTGGCTGCCGCGAATCGTCACGTCGCGAGCGTCCACCTCGGCGCGCCCGCGGAGGAGGAACCGGCAGCTCTCGCGGCGTACGAGGCGGTGCGCCCAGTAGATGTTCGCGGGGTCGCCGAGCACGAAGCCCCGGTTCTCGACGGTCACGTTGTGCATGCGGCATCGGCCGTTGCGCGCACTGCGAACAGGGCCGAGCGGGCGGGCGGCGGTTCGCGGCTTGCGCGGGCATCAGGACTGGATGAGCGGCACGTGCGCGAAGCTGCGGTCCAGCCTGTTGAGGTGCGCATGGTCACGAATGGTTGTGTAGGCGCTGACCTGTACACCAGGCGCTCGAAGCCGTCTGGGCCGGGCTCGGTGTGTCCCATCACGGCGTCTGCTTCGACGAGCAGCGAGCCGTCGATGTTCAGGTCCGTGACCCACACGTCGGCGATCTCCAGCACCATCTCGGACCCCTCCGCCATACTCCCCCCCCTGATCTTCTGCCCGATGACCTCCCACAGGGGCCCGAGCGCGGGGTGCATCAGGACGATGAACGGCGGACCGTTCTTGAGGTACCCGGCCGCGGTTGGCGCGGGCGGGAGCGTCATGCCGCAGTACGCAGTCAGCACCTCGTGCGCGTTTGTCATGAGGTCCACGAACGAGCCGTCGGGCGTCTGGTGGATGTGCTTGTCGCCCGGCCGCCGCTTGCGCTTCGCGGACGACGTCACGCGCCGCCGCTTGTTGTACACCACGAACGTCTGCGGGCGAAGGGCACGTGAATTGAATATTCAAGAACATGCTTCGCGGTTGTTAAGGCTTCGTCCGCTTCCAAACACGCACGCCACGTGCGCGCAGGTCGCGGTCGCAGCGCAGGGCGCACCTCGAGCTGCTCGAACTCCTCCGGGCTGCGCCGTTGCGGGAACGCCTGCACCAGCGAGTCCGCAATGTTCTGCATCGTGCACTCAATGCGCCCCCCGCGGCTCACCGCCGGCTGCCCCGTGCGCTCGCACACGTGCTCCACCTGCTTGCCCCTGTTGAAGATCATTCCCGGCAGCGTCGCGCCGCCCCCCGACCGGATACCATCCTCCACGGCCCCGCGCGCCGCCGCCAGCGACAGGAACATCACGTTCGTGTTCGCCGGGAACCGCGAGAGCCCGGAGTCCTCGTCGTCCTCGTGCGCGCTGTCCTCGACTCCGAGCCGGTCGAACTCGGTGTATTCGATGTTCGTCACGCCGTACTCAAACACCTCGCGGCCGTCCGCGCCCCGCACGCGCCGCTCCGCCAGCACGTTCATGCCCTCCGCGGCCCCCACCGCGCGCTCGCACGACGCGAACCCGAGCGTCTTCTGGCCGTGCAGCCCGGCGCCGGACAGCGCGAGCAGCGTCGCGTCCGTCCCCGCGAGAGGGTTGGAGATTTGCCGCACGACCGCGCCCTCGCGCCCCGCCCGCTCGAGCCACTCGAACACCCCCTCGTCGTGCATGAGCTTCCAGATCGCGCCGTGCCCCCCGGGCTTGAGCAGCGGCCGCACAGCCCCGCCAAGGAGCCAGCGCCCGTCGTCCGCGGCCAGCACGGGCACCATCGGCTGCCGGAACAGCCGGAACGCGTCCGGGCCCCTCCCGAACCACGCGCGCGACTCGAACAGCCCCCGGATGCGCGAGTGGTTTCCCTTGGCCTCCGATGTCATCACGGCCACCGGTGTCGTGGCCTGCGCGCCCGTGACGCAGAAGTGGAGGAACTCGCGGGCCTGCAGATCGCGCACGAGGCCCTCGAGGAGCGGGCGGCCGCAGTACGGCAGCACCGCCGTCGGGAGCGGCTCGCCCGTCACGTTGCACGTCAAGCCCAGGCGGTCCCCTGCGCCGCCGACCGGGTAGATCTCGGCCATGCGCGGCAGACCCCGCAGGCCCTCCGCGGCCATCTTGCGCTGCGCGGCAATGCGCAGGGGGCAGCGGTGTGTGCGCGGGGGCGGAGGCGGTCGGTGGAGGGTGGCGCCGTGTGTCGGGCGGACAGGGCGTGGCGTGGCGGTCGGGGCGGGGGGCTGCGCCGGCGTACCTTGAGGTCGCTGTTGCCCTCGCTGGAGAGGTCCGGCCCCGCGGGGCAGTGCAGGACAATGTCGCTGGCGTCTGGTTGGCCAGCGCCGTTTGCGTCCTCGTCGTCGCCGTCCCCGGCGATAATCTCGAGCGCCTTGATCTGGTACCCGACGATGCCCCCGATGCTGTCGTAGAAACGCTCCGCAGCCACCACGACGCCCGTGAGCGCCTCGAGGGCGTCCGCGAGGGCACTCGCGGGCCCCGGGGCGCCGCGAGCGGGCGCCTCGAGCACGTGCGCCTGGCCCATCGCCACGACAAGGAGCACGGCGTACTCCGCGTCCAACGAAACCCGCCTCGCCGCCGCCTGCACCTCCTGACCGCGCTTTGTGCGGCCAAACGCAAGCACGCGCGGCGCCTGACGCAGCAGGGCGACCTGCGACACCACGCAACGAAGCAGGGGTCTCCGTACTGCGAGAGCCCGTGCCGAGCGGCCGCACAAACGCGAGGTGCGGGAATGTGCGATCATCACACACACACTCTGGAATCTCGCGCTCATGGACGCGTCAGGAAGGATGGCTCAGCCGATCATGGTGCATTGTGATTCGTACCTTGCTTTCTCGATCACGGGCCCGCAGCAGAGCCTCGCGAAGGTCGCGCAGGCGGCAGAGCTCCTCCTGAAGGCCCACGGCCTCTGCCGGGGGCGAGGGCGGCGCTGCCACGCGGGCCGCGACGGCTCCGCGGTCGCGTGATGGCCTCCTCCGTGGATAGGCATGCCTGGAGACGGCACGCCGTGCCACCGAACCGTCGTCTCGTGGCGCGACGCGGCCGTGAGCAAGTTGGGGACGAGCGAACGCCCGGAACGGGAGCCGCGGGGACGCTACGTGGTACATCGGGCAGTGCGCGTGGAAATTCATATTGTACGCAGGCCGGACGGCGGCGCCCGGAACGGGCGCTGACTGCGCGCGCGTCACGGCGCGAGCCGTGCCAGTGCCGTGCGAGACCTAGCCGCGTGCCGCGCACACCGGTCGCTCCAGACACCGCTCGCGCCTCGGCGAGGTGTCCACATACGGTCGCCGCCATCGCGATCGCGCATTTGTAGCCCAGAGGACGCAGCACCGCGTTTTCTCACACCCCCCATCCTTTGGGGGCGCCACACCTCACGTGCACACCACGGGTCACGCAGCAACGAAGAGGCCGCCGGCGGCACGCCCACACGTCGGGGGCGCGCAGGGACGCGCTCGAGACGCTTCCTGTCCCGCGGCCCGCCCGGGCAGCAGCGCGTCGCATGCTGGCCACGTGGCGGTGTGCCGTTCACCGCGCACAGGCAGCTACGCCACTCGCCCACGCTTTGCACCTGCGGCCAGACGACGGCACGTGCCACCGCCGCTCCGCCACCGCCGCGAGCGCCGAACCCACCGCTCTGAGATCCTACGCAGCGGGAGCACGTCCCCACCGCGGGCGTACGGGCACGGGGCGGCGTCCGCATCCCGCGTGCGCAGCACCCGCAGCTGAGCGCGCGTGCGAGCCGAAGCACGATCCGGCCACGTCCCCGCCCGCGGGTCCAAGGCGGCTTCTGCGCTGTGTGTGCGTGTGAAGGTGAGGGTGCTCCATCCCCGCTGAGGGCGCTCCATCCCCGCCCCCCTCTGCGATGGTCGCCGCCACAGCGCGAGGCCCTGCGCGCTGCGCGCCGCGGTGGTTGCGAGCTGTGGGGCTCAGCGGCACCATGTGACGCAATGTGCAACTGCGCGGACGAGAGAGAGAGGCGGCCCGCGTGAGCTGGGTGCAGCTGACGAGGAGGAGGCTTCTGCTGCGTCGTCGCTGTCTGATGGCCGGCCCGTGTGCGCGTGTTGCATGTCCGCTGGCCTGACGTGTGTACACACAATGAGAGACCTCCGGGTGCCGAATTCTTGCCCCACAGCCTACGGGATCTTGTGTGCCGCCTAGCTGAAGGCAAGCGCACATAGCTCTCCCAGGTGCTGCCGTTCGGCTGCCCGTTTGGCTACCCCTGCGCGCCGCGACGGGGGTGGAAGCCGCAGTGCAAGCAGTCGGCCACCGGGCTCGCGTCCCCGCGACAACTGCGACGCTGAGCGGCGAGTACGAATCTCACACGTGTAGCTAAGCTCAGCGGGCCTTCCTTCGGCCTGCGACCGACTTGGTGTCGCGGGCCGTGGCTCGCTTGGTGGCCTGAGGCAGTTGCAGGGGCGTGCGTGCGCGGACCGCGCTCGTCGGCGATTCGGGACGCACGATGAGCAGCTTCCTGTTCTGCCACCAGTGCTCCAACCGCACCATGATCCGCGGCGACGAGGCCTTCCTCAGCGAGGGTGTTCCCGAGTGTCCGCTGTGTCACTCCGAGTTCGTGGAGATCATCGACGGGCCTCCGGGACCGCGGGTGAGGGCCCAGCCACACCTGCCGTGCGCCGCGGGCCCCACGGCGCCGCGGTGGCCGCGCGCGCTGCGCGGAGGAACGACGGACCCTGCTGAGACTGGCTGTGCCTTCGTGCGATTTTCCGCGCACTGAGTCGCCCGAGGCGACGCGCGGCGATCGCCCGACCTTCCTCGCTGTGCGTGCCTCCCAGCGCGCAAACGAGCCGCTCTGGATCCGCGCAACGAGCCCAGGGAAGCTGTAGAGACGTGGGCTCATAGCACTGCACGCCCGTCCCGGTTCCCGCGCCCGACGGATCTTACGGGCTCCCGCCGGGCCCGCCGCCCGGTCACGCTAGACAGTATCCAGCGAATCTGCGCCGTGCGCCCTTCTCTGGTCAGTTTCTCGCTTCTCAGTCGGCTTTTCTTATGTCTGGAAACACCTGCAGACGGCAATGGAACACACCGCGGGAGGCGGAGCCAGGAGACGTGCGCGCCACCCCCATCACGCTCACGTCGACCTGGCCATCGCGCTTCGCGGCCACGACGGCCGCGCCACGCGACGGACGCGGAGGGTCCGTGTGTGCATCCCGCTGCGCCCCCGCGGGCTCACCATGACCCAGCTCCCCGCCCCGCGCCCCGCAGAGCTCGCCTCGCGCCTGGAGGACCTCTTCAACATCGCCATCACCGGCCAGGACGGCGAGCGCGGCGACGACGCAGGACCTGCCACGGAGCAGCTCGTGCGCAACATCCTCGGGCTCCTCCTCCCCAGCAACCTCTCCGACCTCCTCGGGGCCTCCACCAGCGGGGGCATCACGGCGGGGGACTTCGTCCTCGGCAGGTACGCCAAAAAGGGAAACCCCCCCCGCTGCCTTGGAACTGACGCGTGGCAGCGGCGTGCCCACCTCGCCGGCTCTCCGCGGTCCGCCGCAGCATGGACGAGATCATCGCGCGTCTGGCGGACCAGCACGACAACCCGGCGCGGCCCGCGTCCCGGTCGGCGGTGGCGTCCCTCCCGCGTGTCAAGGTGCCGGCGCGGGCCGCGCCGGGGGGGGGTCGCAGAGGGCCCCCGGGGACGACGTGCCTGTGGCGGAGAGCGTGCAGGAGGGCGACAAGTGCATCATCTGCACGGACGAGTACGAGGTGGACCAGCAGGTCATCAAGGTGCGTCGTCGCGCACATCACATCGCATTGTTGCTGCTCGCGTTCGAGAGGCGACTGCTGCTCCGCACCGGGGGCGAGCTGCGTCCCCGCGCGCCGCCGTCGGTCCGCGAGTTCGTGCGGACCGAGCGCGGCGTTCTGCTGATGTGGTGGTGTTGACGTCGGCAGTCGTCCCGCGCCGTGCAGATGCCGTGCCAGCACGTCTTCCACGAGGACTGCCTCGACAAGTGGCTCAACATCAACAACACATGCCCCGTCTGCCGCCACGAGCTCCCAGAAGAAGCAGAGCCCTCCCGCCGCCAGAGCCCAGGTACCAACGCCCCCCCCGGGCCCTTCTAAACACCCCGCCTTTCCTCTTCCCTGCGTCGCACCTCGCACGGTCCTTCGCCTGCACAGCGCGGGGCTTCATCCGTCCGAGCACCGCGCCCGCACGGCCCGTTTGCAGGGAACGGGAGTGGCGGACGGCCAGGCGAGGACGAGGAGTCCGGGAGCGACTACAACAGCAGCGAGGGCAGCGGCAGCGAGGGCACGTTCTCCGAGGGCACGGAGAGCGAGGGCAGCGGCACGCCGTCCGGCGACGGGATGGACCACTATGCGCTTGACGCAGGTCTGTCTGACGCGCTGTACATCATCGGGCGGCGGCTGCGCGGCCACGCGGCGGGCGGACGCGACAGCGGGTCCGCGGCGGAGGTGGACACGTCCTTTGAGGACAGCGAGACGGGGGAGTCTGGGTCTGAGTCCGACAGCATGCCTAGCCTGGCGAGTGCGAGCGAGCTGGACGACAGCATGCCGAGCCTGGCGAGCGCGAGCGAGCTCCAGTCGCACCGCTCCGGCTCGCCGCGGCCGCCGTCGGTCGGCGCTGCGAGCCGGCCCTCGCGGGCCGAGGGCAGCGACGACGACGCGGGAAGCGACGTGCCGCCGCCGCCGCTGCCCCCCGAGGCAGTCGGCTCCGGCCGCGTCGTCGCGCCGCCAACGGGCCGGCTGCCTGCGCCGGGACGCGCCGCCGAGGCGGCCCCGACGGCCGCAGACCTCCGAACCCCCTGCGGGCGGCACTCGGGCTGGGGACGCCCCGAGTCCCAGGCTGCCTGTGTTTCCCACGATGGGGCCCGTGGCGCGGGACTCGGACGACGAGTCGGACGCGCCTCCGAGCACGTTCGACATCCTGCAAGCCATCACCATCATGGAGGACTTATTGCAACACTCCCCCTTGCGGGTCGGGCCCCAGGACCTGGACGAGGACTTCGACAGCGGCAGCGACAGCGACGACGAGATGCCGCCCCTCGCGCTGGAGCCCGAGAGCGACTCTCGCTCCGCAACGACGGCGGTGGCGGACGTCGCGACCGCGGCGGGCGTGCGCGCGTCGTCGCCGTCGGAGCGGGACACGGACGAGGAGAGCGAGGACGTGCCGCCGCCCAGCAAGCGCGCGCGCACCGCGGCTGACGACACGGCGGGCGCGGTGACCGTGACGGCTGACGCGGGCACGACCGACCCGGAGGACGCGCCCGCGCGGGACGATGTCGGTATGGCTGAGAGCGAGCTGCCGCGCCAGGCGCCCTCGCGGCCGAGTCGGCGACGCACGTGGCTGGCAGCTGCGGTGGGTGCTGCGACGGCAGCCGTGGCGGCCGGCGTGGCGGCGGCGTGGGGCGCGGTGCGCCGGCAGCCGCGCAAGAAGGATATGGGCGTGGCGGACGCGCGGGAGTCGCCGTCGCTGTTCGGCGCCACGCGGAACGACGAGGCGGTGACTGCAGCGCCGAGGGGGGGGGGTGAGGTGGGGGGTGAGAGCGCTTGAGCGGGTGCCGGGGTGGCACGGCTGGGCACGGGGACGCGCGGTGGTGCACATATGGAGGCGATAGGAGACCAGCGGGTTATCCTGGGGCATGGACGGGCGCGCATTTGAGAAAAAGGGTTTGGGGGTATTTCGTACTGATAGGAGCGTCGCTGTGAGGCGCTGGAGGCCTGGAGGAGCCACACCGGTGGGCGGCGGAGCGTGGCGCGGCCGCTTGGTCGCGGCGGTGTGTCAGGCGCGGCGGGGGATGTTTTAGTCTCCGCCCGACTGGGAGCTCTCGCCCCTGCCGCGAGGCGGCTTGGTAGGCGCCCCGCGCCCCGCTGTGCGATGCAAAGGTCGCGGAGGGTCAGGCGACTGGGCGAGGCTCTTGTTCGGGCAGCCAGAGGGCGCGTTTGCACAGGTGCAGGAGGTTGGCAGCCATGAGGGGCACGGCTGCGAAGATGATGAGGGCGGGCCGCAACGCCATGGTACGTGACGAACAACCTGACGTGCACGTCGCGTTTCCCCGAGCAAGGGGGCTCGGAACGCGTCCTGCCGGGCCCGTGCGCGACCTCGGTGTCGAGGCGCTGCGCAGCCGGCCTGCCCGAATATGCACCCGACCCGAACGTGCGGCGCCCGTCGCAACGTGCCGTCCGGTCGCGCACCCGGCGGAGCCCGAGGCCCAGCACGCACCAGTGCCCAAGTTCGGTGAAGGCTGTTGGTCGAGGGGAGGCCGTGCAGCGGTCGCAGCGGGCCCTCGCGCCGTTTTCCGCGCTGCAATCGGCGTGTTTCAACTTCAACATACGAACCGCCCGGCCGTCCTGTGCGGAGCGGCACTGCAACCGACGGTTTCGGGCACCACTTGGATGCTCGTGCTCGCTCTCAGCGCCCCCGCTCCCCGGCCGGCCCTCCCCGCAGGCCTCCGCCGAGAACGCGGTGCACCCGGAGCGCAGGCTCCACCCGGACCGGCTGGACCAGGGCAAGTGGGACCTCAAGTACGCGGACTACGGCAAGCTCGACACCACCACCTACCCCAAGCCCCAGGCCGCCTGGGAGAAGATGCTCCCCATGTACTGGTGGCACGGCGCCAAGGCCGAGGCCGGCGTCTGGCAGTACAAGCCCAAGGGCAACCTCTCCGGCCTCCAGGCACGTCCCCCACCTCCGCCCAGCGCTGCACCCGCGCCCGCCCGCGCCGCCCGCGTCCCCACCGGCGACGCCACCCAGCACATCGCGCAGCCCGCGTCCCTCTCATCCGCCTCGCCACGACGTCGCTCGCCCGGCGGCCTCGCACGCGCACTCGTGTGCACCAGCGCTGACCGCGCCACCCCGTGCGCGCTGTGCCCCGCAGGAGTGGCAGAAGCAGCCGTGGCCGCAGGTCGGGACCATCGCGGCCATCAACGAGCCCATGGCTCAGTTCCAGTACCCCGCCACGCGCCGCATGTTCCCCACCGAGAATGGCATCGGGCTGCAGTCCAGGTGCGGCCCGCGCCGCCGCCGCCCACCGCATGGAACATCCCCATGCGCGCACGCATCAGCTCGTGGCCAGGCAGAGCGCCAGGCCTGCGTCAGGCGCGGTAGCATCCAGCGTCGCCGGACACGCAACCTCACCGCGGCGTTCTGGTTCGGGCCCGCGGCGCGGCGTGCGCTTCGGCGAACTGGCGGGGAGTTGTTCGCTTGTGGCCGCAGGTGGGACAAGCGGATCTTCATGCACATGCTGGGGGGCCTGGGGCTGCTGTCGGCGCACGTGACGTGGTGCATGTGGACCGACTTCAAGGGTGCGTCGTGCGCGCACAAGCTGTGGCAGGAGCAGAACGGTGCGTGGCCGCGCGCCGATCCCTCGAGCCTTCGCACCACGCCCGCGCCCGCGCCAACTGCTGCGCCCGCACGGCGCGTTGTGCAACGCCCGGCTGAGCTCTCGCAGCCTCGGAGGCGCAGCGCGCTCATCGGTGCCGCTTCCGCTCGGCGTCTCGTTGCTCGCAGGGTCGGTGTGGTAACGCTGCGGCGGGTTCGGAACATGGGAGGAGCCGCACCCTGACTCCCCCCCTGACTGACGCTGTGAGACTCGAATAGGGCACCGGACGCTCGCGCTCACTCACCGTGTCGCTCGCGCGTCGTACGGAGCCGCGAACGGTGCCGCTTGGGGCAGCGACCGCGCACCGTGGGCTGTGCGCACGTTGTCAATGTCCTGTGGGGCAGACTGCCCGCGACTGCGCGGTCCATTGGCACGCAGCCAGGCCGCGCCCCACTGCGGGTGCGCTACGCCATCGACGGCGCCCAGCAGCTCAGCACAGCCCGCACAAGAGAGCCCGAGTTCCGTTCAACACACCCCCCGTCCGACACACCTCCGATCGTTCTCGCTCTCACACAGAGTTGCGGAGCTTCCGCGCAGCACCGCGCCACCAGCGCGCGCCGCCTCTCATCCTCCACCCCCTCCACCCGCACACACCCCCCTACTTCTTGTCCTCGAGGCCCTCGGCGCCGTCCGCGCCGCGCAGCTCCCCGAGCGCCTTGGGCGCCGTCGGCTGCACGATCAGCGAGTGCGCGTAGCTCGACATGTCGGTGATGCCCTTCTCCGACATCTCCTTCTCGATCTGCTTCTTGATCCAGCCGTACGTCAGGCGCAGGCCGTCCGCGAGCGTGATCGTCGGCTCCCACCCGAGCTTCTCGAGCACGAGCTTGTTGTCGCTGTTGCGCCCGCGCACGCCCTCCGGCCCGGGGATGTGCTTGATGGGCAGCTCCTTCTTGTCGAACGACATGGCGAGCTCCATCATCTGGTTCATCGAGACCTGCTCCGAGGACCCGAGGTTGACGGGCTCGCGGAAGTCCGAGGCCATCAGCCGCAGCACGCCCTCCACGCAGTCGTCGATGTAGGTGAAGGAGCGCGTCTGCTTGCCGTCGCCCCACATCTCAATCTCCTTGGTCGACGTGAGGACCTTGCGGCAGAACGCGGCGGGCGCCTTCTCGCGGCCGCCCTTCCACGTGCCGTACGGGCCGTAGATGTTGTGGAAGCGCCCCGAGCGCGTCTCGATGCCGAAGTCCTTGCAGTAGTGCTTCAGCAGCTCCTCCGTGACGAGCTTCTCGAGGCCGTACGCGTCCTGCGGCTGCGCGGGCCACGCGTCCGACTCCTTCAGGCCGCCGCCCTCGACCTCCACGTCGAGCTGCTTGCCCTCGGGGTAGATGCACGCGCTGCTGGCGAAGAAGAAGCGCTTCACGCCGTTGATGCGCGCGCTCTCGATCATGTTCATGGAGATCATCGTGTTGTTGTACAGGATGACCGAGTGGTTGGACTGAATGAAGCCCATCCCGCCCATGTCCGCCGCCAGGTTGAACACCTGGTCGCAGCCCTTGGTCACCTTCAGGCAGTTGTCGTACACGCGCAGGTCCACCAGGTGGAACTCGTTGCAGAACATGTCCTCCTGCGAACCAACCGAACCGCCGGGCGGGTCGGCGCGGGCGGGGGGGGCGCGGACAGCCCGCGCAGGCGCGGTCGTTGGCCCTCCGTGGATAGCCTCAGGCAAGAGAGCCGCCCACAGGCGCGCGCGGCGGGGCAGCGGCGACGATCGCGGGTCGCGGGGGTCGCGGAGGGGCAGGGGGTGGCGACGCGCGGGGCGAGGGGCGCACATCGGGTCGGCTGTGCGCGGGGGCGGCGGGCGCGAGGAAGTCAGCAGGCCAGTGGTGGACAGGTGGTGGTGCGGTGGCTGGCGCGCGGGATCGCGTGTGCCGGGTGGCTGGCGGGACGCATCGATGGAGGGGAGGGCCGTGGGCGCGCGCGCGGGGCGTGGCGGGCGGCGTGTGCGCCGGCGTGCGCGGGGGGAGCACGAGGTGAGATGGGCAAGGCGGCGACGCGGCGCGCTGGCGGCAGGAAGCGCGGAGTGCGCCCTCGTCGCGACGGATATCGCGAAATGTTCGTGGGCGGAGCCGGGCGGCGCGGCGGAAAGAGGGCGCGCCAGGCGGGGCTCGTCTCTGGCCAGCAAAGCGACGCGTCTCGTACCGGCATGTGCTCATTGCGCTTCCAGTCGCAGCCAATCACGTAGTGCCCCTCGGTCTTCAGACGCCTGGCAATGTGCGAGCCGATGAACCCGCCCGCGCCAGTCACGCAGATCTGCGAGCGGAGGCACGAACGCAGTAAGTTGCTCGCGCTGCGAGCGCCGCACGACGCGGACGCCGCGCCTCCGAGCCCGCCGGTCGTATGTCACGTCAAGGTGAGACCGATTCATGGCGCCGCGTCCCGAATGCCGCACCTTGAGCTTCTCACCCTTGAAGTAAGGCTGGAATGGGTACTTCGCGAGGTTCGAAGCCTCATAGATCTCCTGCGCGGCCGTCATGGTGGCGAGGATCCTCGAGACGATCAAGTGATGCCATGGGGCCCGCGCGGCGCGGCCCCATGAGCCCGCATCGGGAGCCACCGCGCAACGGACCCCCCCCCCGCTTCCCGCGCCCGTCGCGGACGCCTCGTGCGCGATCGAAGCCGTCCGTCGACGTTCATCGCATCCTCACGCCTTGGCGAACCCAGGACGGGCGCCCGGCGAGATTCCGTCGAGCCGGGTGACTGGGTGGTGACACCACATACGTGCAACATTGATCCTGCGTGCGCCGTCGATCGAACCACGATGCGGCGCTTGCATGCTCGGACATGGATCGGGGGACGAACCCGACGGTCAGATCTGCGCGGTCGGCCGGACGCGGCCGCGCGTCGGGCGTGGCCCGGGCGCCAAGTTACCAGAGCCTGGTTCTGTGCGTGCATCGCAGGCCGACGTTCTTCGACTGATTCGCAGCTCTTCCATATATGGAAGAGCTCTCCGCGTCTGCGAAGCCGGGGAAGGCCACCGCCGTGGTTTGCCGCGACGCACGCGCGCGCTGGCTCTCCGCGGTAGCGGGTGGCGTGAACCTGTGTCGCGGGACAAGCTCGGGGTCTTGTTTTCTCGAACAAGGACTCACTTGAAAGCTGCGTTGTGTTTGCACAACGCCATGTCGATGGCGGCGTGGCGGACGACGGCGTGCTCGGTGCGCTCGCCGCCGCCGCAGTGCCGCGGCCACTTGCGCACTGGCCCCAGGCAGCGCGCAGGGCCCCTGCGCGGGCCGCGTGGCTGCAAGCGTGACGGTAGCGAGGTCCGTGCAGGCCCCCGGGACAGGGCCCGTTCGCGCACGCGCGCGGCGCCAGCGCTGGTTCGCCGCAGCGATGTGGCGGGGGAGCCGTCTCCGGGGTCGCCGCGCGATGCGTCGCGCAGAGTCGCTGGCCTGAGTGCGGTGCCGGGGGATGTGAGCCTGCTGGGCGGCGGGGGGCGCGCGGGAGGCCGTGGCGTCATGAGCCGGGTCGGACGTGCGGCTGTGCGCACTGCGCTGTCTTTGCGAGCGGGGCACGTCAACACCACGCGCCAGTTCCACGGCAAAGCTACACGCACTTCCAACTGCACCGACGTACGACGACGACGTCGCCGCGACGGACGCCTGGTCGGCGCGTCTCGCGAGGTCCTGGTCGTAGCCCTCCCGGCACCGCGCCCGCGGGGGCTCGCGAGCGCTCCGAGGGACGCAACGGGACGAATTAGCTAGCTGGAGCCCCCGACCTGTGCCGACGCTAGAAGGCGCCTGGGCGCCTCACAGGACATCCTTGGCAAGAGCCGGCCGCAATGTCGTACACGTGCGTTCCCGAACGAGGCCGTCCGCGCCCAAGCCTCACGCTGCGGGCCCCGCCCAGTCACCCGCCAGATCGTTGCCCCCGTCCTGGCCCCACAGCGCACGACGATGGCCCAACCAATCCTCCCCCGCTCGCCCAGGCCCCTGGCTCCCGGGCTCAGGCCGCCACCCCCCCAGAGCCCGCCACGCGGCGCGAGAACACCCCCTCGCTGCCTCCGCTGGGCACCCGCGGCTCTCCGCGGGCACGCGCCCAGACCGCGGTCCGGCGCCCCGGGAACGCGCTCCGCAGGTACCTCTTCAAGTACATCATCATAGGCGACACGGGCGTCGGCAAGTCGTGCCTCCTCCTGCAGTTCACCGACAAGAGGTTCCAGCCCGTGCACGACCTCACGATCGGCGTCGAGTTCGGCGCGCGCATCGTGTCCATCGACAGCAAGCCCGTCAAGCTACAGATCTGGGACACGGTGGGTCCCCCGGGCCCCCGGGCCGCCCCCTCTCGGCGCTGCGGGCCACCGGGACCTGCTTCGCTGGGCCAAGTGCCTCACGCCGCCGCCCCGCGCGCCCCCGATGCGTCTGCAGGCGGGACAGGAATCCTTCCGGTCCATCACACGCTCGTACTACCGCGGAGCAGCGGGAGCGCTCCTCGTGTACGACATTTCGCGAAGGTAAGTTGCCCCGCGCACTTCCGGCACCGCGCACCGCCGACGCGCCGCGCCCGCGACCCGCGCCCACCCCCCGACGCCCCAGTATCCCTCGGCGGTCCACTCGCACCGCGCCGCGCCCCCGTGCGCGCGCTGAGCGGGGCCACCTGCGCCCCTGGCGTCACACCGCGCCGCACGCGCTGCCGGCCCGCAGGGAGACGTTCGACCACCTCGCGACGTGGCTGGAGGACGCCAAGCAGCACGCGAACCCCAACATGACGGTCATGCTGATCGGCAACAAGTCGGACCTCTCGCACCGCCGCGCCGTGAGCCAGGAGGAGGGCGCGGCGTTCGCGCGCGAGCACGGGCTGATCTTCCTCGAGACGTCCGCGAAGACGGCGCACAACGTCGAGGAGGCGTTCATCAACACGGCGCGCGCCATCCACCGCAAGATCGAGGAGGGGACTATTGACGTAGAGAACGAAAGCAACGGAGTCAAGAAGGGGTACTCCGCGGGGGGCGCCGGCACCGTGCGGCCGGGGTACGGACAGCAGGGCGCCGGCACGCGCTCCGCGTGCTGCTCGTGAGCGCCCGCGAGCGTGTGGCGCGATGCCGCGCCGAGTGTAGGCGCGGCGACGTGGCCGGGGCCTTGCCGGCGCCGTGTGAGGCCGGGCGGTCGCGCGGGCGGGGCGCGAGGGCGCATGCCACAGCGTGCGCGTCTGGGGCGCGCGGACGGGCGCGCGCGCGATCCCCGGGGCCCCGCCACGCTTTGCGTGCTGTTTCCCGCCGGGGAGGGAATCTGCGCGCGCGCGGGGATTCTGCGTCGCCGGCGATGGCGCGAGCGGCGCGGTGCGTGTGAGCGAGGCGCCGCTGTCCATCTGCGCGGGTGGGCGCGGCTCGCGGCGGGCACGCGGCCCCCCGGGCGCGCCAGTTTGCGGTGGCGAGGTGCGTGGCGGGCGCCGCGAACGCGCGAGCGGCAGGGTGCGCGGCGCGAGGGGCGGCGGGACTGCGCGGTAGGGCGTGCGGGTAGCGCGTGCGGGTGGCTCCGGCGCCGCGTGGGCGGGCGCGGTGTCGCCGGGCAGCTGCGGGGGCCGCGCCAGGCCAGGCAGACTGGCCGGCGGGTGCGAGCCCGGCGGCTCATGGGGCCGCGGGGCGCGCGAGGGGGCGCACCTCGTGACGCACTGTGCTGCGGGCGACGGTTGATCGCGAAACGGTTGCCGGGGACCCCGCTAAGGCGCCGACGTCGCTGCGAGTCGAGGCCAGAGCAGCTGCTATCCCCCGCCCTCGGCGGCGAGCGTCGGCAGAAGGGCGGGGGTAGCAAGAGTGAATAGTGATAGTAGCCGAGACCCGGTCGACAGGATCCGACGGCGGCCATGACGAACGGCAGAGGCCGAGGAGGTCAAAACAAGGTCCTGCCTGCTCTGCGGAACCGCCTGGACCAAATCTTGGAGCTGATCCGGTGCGCCAGCCTCCTCCATGATCCACGCGACCGCCCGCGCGGCGCAGCTCCTGCCCACGGCGCCCCAGCGGCCGCGCAGCGATCCCCCTGGAGCTGGTTCATGCACACGACGAAAGCAAACGCGCCACCGCCGCGGCTCGCGCGCCCTGGCGCCCCGGGCCGCCGCCGCCCGCCCTTCCGCGCCCAGAGCTCGCGCCGCTGCCCAGCGGCATCCAGTTCGCGGCCCCGGCGCGCGGGAATCAGTCGTGGAAACTCGACTGGGCTGCACACTGCTCGCCTCGAGCTCCTCGCGCCCGTCTGGGGGCGACTGCGCGGCTCCCTGCGCGCCCCCGCGCCCCCCGCAGCCCCCCCTGCTCGCAATCTGCGCTATCAGGCCCGCAACCGCCCCGGCCGTGCGCTGCCGGCCGCGTCCTGACCGCACACTGCTGCTTCCGTGCACCGCGTGCAGGCCCACGCCTGCGTCGGACCAGCACCGCATGGCCGTCGTGGAGTACATCCGCGGCATCGTCAAGAAGTGCTTCAGCCAGTACGAGGTGCGCGCCCGCGCGCCGCTGGGCCGCCGCAGCGCGCCCCGCGGGCGTCGCCCCTGCCCCCGCTCTGCGCAGTGGCACCCGACCACGCCTCGCCCGCGCCCGGCCTCGCAGGTCGAGCTGTTCTCGTTCGGATCCTTCCCGCTGCGGACGTACCTCCCGGACGGCGACATCGACCTCTGCCTCTTCCTGTCGAAGCCGTCGGTCAATGCGAGGGCTGTCTCGGAGCAGTGGGCAAATATGCTGTGCTCCGAGCTCTCCCAGCACGCGTCGCAGCCCACGCAGCCGCATCTCACGGTACGCAATAAATCCCCACGCCCAGGGCGCCAGGCGGGCCCGCCGCGCGCCGCCCCGCGACCTCGCGCGGCGACCGTCGCCCCGCCCTGGGCGCCCTGGAGGATCCAACCCCTCCCGTCTCGCGTCGTCCCGGGCGTGCACGCCCCCGCACGGCGCTCCCGACCGCCTCTGCCGCCCGCCAGGGCCCCACGCGGCCCCGCGACCCGCGCCGCGCCATTCACCCCCCCCCGCGCTTCGCTGCTCCCCTGGGCGGCATCCACACGAGCCTGCGCCGCGCGCACGGCCCACCGCCGCCGCCCCCGCTGTCCCACTGCAGATTCGTGCGATCTCTGTCATCCCCGCGGAGGTCCAGGTCGTCAAACTGCTCGTCGGGACCACGAAAGTGGACATATCCTTCAATCAGCAAGGCGGGCTCTGCACGCTCTGCTTCCTCGAAGAAGTGGACCGCATCGTGCAGCGCGGACACCTCTTCAAGCGATCAGTCCTCCTCGCCAAGGCCTGGGCCTACCACGAGGCCAGGGTGCGCGCCCACGCACCGCAGCTGCCCGCACACTCACACTCACGCGCACCCGCGCCGCGCCGCGCCGCGCCGGCCCCGGCTGACCCCTCCCCCGCGCCCACCTGCGCCCTGCAGATCCTCGGCTCGCATTGCTTCCTGCTCGCCACGTACGCCCTGGAGGTGGTGGTGCTGCACGTGATCAACCGGCATCACGCGGAGGTGTCGCACCCGCTCGACGTCCTCGTCAAGGTCCTCGAGTGCCTCGCGACGTTCGACTGGGACACGGACTGCCTGTCCATCCAGCGCGCCATCCCGCAGGTGCGCGCGCGCCGACCGCCGCCCCGGCAATCCACGTCGTCCGCGGTGCCGGCACCCACGTGACGCCCGCCGCGCCCCCGCGACCCGTCCCGCAGGCGCAGCACGTCGGCAACGAGCACGAGGCGCTCCAGGCGCACGAGTCCGGCAACCTGCTGTCGATGCGCGAGCTCCAGGACCTCGTCACGCAGTACTCCCCCCTGGCCATGCCCGTGCGCGGCAAGGCCGGCGGGGACCGGTACTTCGCGGTCCGGCAGCTCAACATCGTCGACCCGCTGCTCCCGACGAACAACCTCGGCCGGTCGGTCAGCTCGCGGTCGATCTCCACGGTGCTGCAGCGCTCCAAGGCGGCGCACGAGGCGATGACGGAGGTGCTGGCGTCGCGGGACGCGCACGCGGCAGTGCGGAGCCTGGAGCGGTTCTTCAGGAACACGCTCGACATGTGCGGCGCGCAGAGCGGCGCTGGCAGCGACGGCGCAGCGCACGCGGGGCCGGGGGGGCGCGGGGCGCACCGGCGGACGCTCAGCGCGGGCGGGGCCGCCGTGCCCGTCACGATCGGTGCCGGGCGCGCGGGTCCGCACGGCGCCGGGCAGCCACTGGGCGCCCCGCAGCCGGCCACACACCCTGTCCCCGCTGACGCAACAACCACCAACATGCGCCGGTCGGTGAGCCATCACCAGATCGACCTCGTCCCCCCACACATCGGGCAGCACGCTCCGGCGACGCCCGCGGCCGCGCACCCGGCGCCGCCGCGCGGCGCGCGCACCCCGTGCGCCCGGCGGCGTTCCCGGCCGTGCCGCCGCCGCCGCCGCCGCCGCCGCCGCCGCGCAACACCGCGCCGTCGCAGAGCGGCGATAGCAACCACAACTTCCTCCCCGTGACCGCGCCGTCCACGCCGCAAAGCGGCCGCACGTGGGCCTCGGAGATCGTGCTTGACAGCGGCGCGCCTGCAGCGCCGTCGTCGCGGAGCAGCGCGCACCCAGCGCCGCCGCCGGGGCACGCGAAGCAGTCCGGACCGCCCCTGGCGCGCTCCGCACACAGCAACGCCGCCGCCGCCCCGCAGCCCGCGCCGGCGCGCGGCACGTGGTCGCCGCCGCCCGGGCACCTGTTGGCGTTCCTGGGGCAGAGCGGGCGGCCGCAGGGCGCCGGGGACGGGCACCAGTGGCCCCTGCAAGGCCACGGAGGGCCGCGCGGCGGCTCCGCGGCGCCACCACCGCCGCCGCCGCCCCCACCGCCGCCGCCGCGCGAGGCGCCGGCCCTCTCGGAGGAGTCCCTGCGGAGCGTCGGCATCGTCATGGGCTCGGATCCGTTCGGGAACGACTTCAAGCAGCTCGTGAGGAACCTCGCGATCGCGCGGAAGGCCCACTTGCGGCGTATGGCGGGCCCAAGTGCGCAGCAGCTCGGCAACGGTGCGAAGGGCGCGAGGGGGAAGGAGGCGAAGCCCGCGGCCGCGGACGGCGCCGCGCACGGCCGTGGCGGCGCGAAGGAGGGCGTGGGCGCCGGCGCGCGGTCCGAGGGCAAGGGCGCGGGGAGCCAGCGTGCCGCCGGGGCCGGTGTTGCGGGGGGCGCGAGCGGCGCGAAGGACCACTCTCCGGAGAGCGTGCGCGCGCACGCGGCTCAGCAGCGGTCGCGGCGGCACAGCGAGGGGCCCGGGTCGTTCCACCACGCGTCGGAGGGCGGCGGCGAGGACGACGAGCGCGACGGGTACGCGTCGCCGCGCATGACGGGGCCGTCGTCGCCGCTGCCGAGCAGCGTGCCGGCCTCCCCGATGCCCGAGATGCGGCTCAACGACGCGCACGGGTACCAGCGCAGGCCCGCCGACGAGCGCGTCGCGCTCGACAGCCTGAGTACCTCGTCGGCCGACAGCGGGCCGCGGCTCCCCACGCTGCGCGCCGGCGGGTCCCTCCCGAGCGACGAGGGCGCGTCGTCCGTCGAGAGCGAGCGCGGCGCGTGGGGACAGACCCGCTCCACCCGCGGCGCCCTCGCAAACGGCCACGTGCTGCACACCACGAAACGCAACGCCGAGCGCTCCACGAGCCCGACGGCCGAGAACGACCCCGCGGGGCCGCGCGCCGACAGCTTCGACGACGCGCGCTCGCACAGCCCGCCCAGCTCGGCCACGCTCGGGCACACCGCCGCGTGGGCGTCCCGGCCCATGTCGTGGAAGGAAGTGCTCAAGTCGTCCCCGCCCGCAGCGCAGGCGTCGCAGGGCAGCGCGCCGACGGCGGCGGCGTCGCTGCCGGCGCAGCAGGCGTCGTCGGGGCCCGGGCCGCGGCCTGCGTCGGCGCGTGGCCCGCAGTCGGCGAGCGCTGGCGAGGGGCGTACGAGCGGGGCTGGCGGGGACGGAGGGGGCGGGGGGCGCGGGCGGAAGGGTCGCGGGAAGGGCGGGGGCGACCGGTCGGGGCACTCGTCGCAGGCCGGGCGGCGGGGTGGCGGCGCGAGCGCGCAGGGGGGGGCGTCGGTGCCGGGCTCACCCCGGCGGCGGGGCAACTCGCACGGGACGGCGGGCGCGATGGCGTGGGCGCGGTTCTCGCTCGACGACGACTTCCCCTCGCTGGCGGCGGGGGCGCACGACAAGGCCGCTGCGCGCAGCGGTGGGAGCGGTGACTGACGGACGACGTCTCCTGCGCAGCCCCCGACGTGCAGGCGCTGGGCAGGCCTCCCGGTCCACGGTCGCTGGTGTATCGGCGATGTCGTTCAGCGCGCGGACGCCCGGTTGGGTGCCCGGTGACGCATCACCCGGGCACCCGTGGATGCGCCGGAGTGCGACGCTGGCAGCGGAGCCCGCGGTATCAGATCCACATTGCAGCTTACGAACACGACAAGGCAGCGGGAGTATCGACGCGCTCGATGCGGTCGTGATCGTTCACCCCCCCCTTCAGACCATCCCGAAACTCACAACTCCCCCCCCTCATTGGTGCTACACAGCTCGCGTCCAGCCGGCCGCACTGGCCTCGCGATCGATTGCTCACCGGTGCACCCGTAGGAGTGCCCGTCGCTGCTCGCGACACTCGCGGCGGCGCCGGCCCCGGCGTCGGTGAGGTCCTTCAGAAGTCATTTGCAGCAGATTGCCACGCACGGCCAAATTTCCCCTGTTGCCTGCCCGCGGCCAACGCACACAACGTCCCGCGGCCATGTGATGCTCACGCAATCAACCGCGGGCCCGCGCACGCGCCTTGCTGCCCGCCGCGCCTCAGGGCATCCGGCGATCCGGTCGAGATGAGTCGTGTCGCGGTCGAGCCCGCAACTCACGTTCGCGTCTCAAGCACGCGTCGTGCGAGATCAAGCGTCACAGGCCTAGGCGGCGAGGATCGTGCAGTCGCCTGTGATGCGCGCCCTGAGGCTCGACAGCGTGAGGCGAGCACGCGTGCGAGCAATCCACCGCTGTCGTTGCTCTCGGCCATACACCCATCTTGGCCATCTCCTGCGGCCCTCGTTCGGTTTGCCGAGAGCGCTCCAGGCGAGGTCGAAGCCGCGTTTGTCCTACCGGACTACTGCCCGTCGTCCGAGGCAGCGTCGCCGCGCAGCAGCCCCGCGAGGCGGCCACCGAAGCCGAACACCGGCGGCGCCGCGTCACCGGCGGGCGCGAAGAACCCGCCAGGCGGGAACAGCACACCCCCGGTGCCACTCGCGCCCGCAGGCGCGTCCCCGAGCGCCTCCAGGATGAAGCCAGCGATCGGGGAGCGCGGCAGGCAGAACCCGCCGCCCGGCACGCCGCGGCCGGGGCTGCCGCGGAAGTAGGGGATGCAGGCGAGGCGGGAGTTGCACGGCGCTGCGGCAATGTCCTGCAGGTCGTTGATACAGCGAGCGCCCAACGGGAGCGTGCGAGTGTCATCCGGCTGCGGGAGCTCGAGGTTCTCGAGGTCTTCGAGGTAGACAGGCAGGCCGTTGTCGTCTGCGAAGGGTCAAGAACAAAACCAGAGGCACGGTGGCGTCATTAGTGCTGTTGCGTCATGGTTGCTGTTTCCCCCAATTCGCAGAGCGAGCCGCGGCGATGAGCGTTCAAGAGCGTTCTCTTCCGAGAGCTCATCCTGTCGGTTTCGCGGGGGCTGCGACGCACCGATGTAGCACGGGCACGGTGTCGTGACGCACTGAATCGGACAGTCGATCACGTCCGGGTCCCCGAGGCGCGGAATGAGAGGGCGCAGGCGCAGCCGCTGGACCAGCCTCTCGAAGCGCCGGCCGCCGTCCTCGACGAGCCGCTGGAAGAAGCCAAGCACGGGCCCGCCCGTGGTCCCATCAGAGTCCCCTGTCTGGGCCATGGGCGGCGCGGTGTCGGTCGGCAGGCCCGTGATCGCGACCGTGCCGTCCGGAAGCGGCTCGCCGGGCATGCAAGCACCGCTGTCCGTCCACGTGCAGAACCCTGCGTGGCGTGGCAAGGCGGTTGCGTTCGACAGATACGAGAAAAGAGACCTTGGAGTCACGACGAATCGAAGGTGGTGGTGACCCGCAAAGTGCAGCGGCTGCGCCGTCCCAGTCCCTCGGATGCGTGTATCGGCGGGAAGGTCGCGGGGCCGCAAGCACTCGCGCGGTGCGGTGACAGGGCACATGCAACCTGGGAAGCAGACCTGCATCGGTGGCGACGCCGTTGCAGGTGTCGGGGGTGGCGAAGCTCTGGCAGGCGATCGCCAGCGAGGGCGTTGCGACGCTCAGCGCCACGACCGTGACGGCGAGGGAGTGCCAGGCAGCGGGCCGCCTCATGGTTCAGAACAAATGGCCTGAATCAGGTGGTCCGTGAGTGGAAGTCAGTCTTTACGCAAAAGGAGAGGGAGGTGATTGAAGCTCGTTCCGATATCTGTGCGGGCGACGGGCCGTCGCTGCAGCATTAGGTCCCGTCCGTGAACATCACCTGGTGACGTGGCAGGCTGACACGAACGCGCCCTCGACAGACCGAACAGCGTCGCTCGGCGGGCTTTCGCGCGCTCGCCGCGTGCGGTTTGTGTGCCCCCAGGAGACCGCAGTCGCACTGCAGACTCGGCCACATCATATGTTTGAGACGACCAATGCAGAATCAAATATCACTTGCTTGCGATGGAACAAAAGCTTCTTCTCCGATGTGGGGCCGCCTCTCAGCGGCGCTCCACGATGAGCACCTCCCTGTCCTGCACGCCCATGTCCACCAGGGCGCCGCTTCCGGACAGCACCTGCCGCGGAAACGACTTCGACACGCGATGCCGCTCCGCGTCCACGCCAAGTCGCGACAACGCCGCGCACAGCTCCGCCAGCCCCGCGCTCCTCCCCAGCTCGATCTGCTCGCGCGAGCCCGAGGGCAGGCGAACCACGACGTGCAGCTGCGGGCCGTCGGACCGGCGCGGTGCAGCGGGCGCGGCGCCGCGATCAGGGGGGCTGTGATGCCTGACTCCGGCCTCGACGGCGGCCGCCGGGGCGGCAGCGTGCGCCTCGAGGGACATCGCAATCGCCTTCGCGAGCTCCGAGTCATCTGGCGGGAGGCCCGCGTTCTCCAGCAGCTCCCGCGTGGCCGTTTTCGCGACAGGCGGTTGTTGCGGTTGTTGCTGCGACGGCGCGTGCTCCTTCAGTGACTCCGCAATCGCGCGGGCCAGGTCGTCGTCGCTGCCGCCGCCGACCTGCGACCGTCGCCGCACGGACACCGGCGTCAGGGCACGAAAATGATGGTCAACCAAAAAATCATGTTTCAACACCGCGTTGTGTTTCGGCCGTGACCCGCGCATGTCGTGAAACGATCCGCGCGGTACGCACGGTCACCGCGCGCGCAACCGACGCCGGATCTCGCGGCAAGTCCGCGGCCGCCACTCACCGTCCCCGCGCCGCCCACGTCGGCGACGCTGGCAGCAATCGCCGCTGCCAGGTCGTCGTCGGCGTCGTCCGCGAACGCAGGCGGCTTCCCTGCGCCGCTCCCCGTCGACAGCTTCTGCCCCTGGCCCGCGCGTGCCAGCACGTTATGCATCACCGCCGCCACGCGGCTGCGGTGCCGCGCCCCCTCCGCCTCCTTGCTCAAACTCTTCGCTTCGTCAGGCGTGAGCCACGTGCCGCGCGTGCGCGCCGCCTCGGCACCCGGAGGGCCGCCGGGCGCCGGCAGGTCGCCCCGGATGACGAAAATGGTATAACCCTGTTCTTCAAGGGAGGACAGAAAGGCTGACAGGTAGAACGCAGTGACTGGCGCCGGGGCGGGTTTGAGCGAGTTGAAGTCCCACCAGGACCCGTCCGACACCTGCGGAGAGGCACAGCGGTCGTGGGAGTTCGCGTTCGCGCGGGGCCTGGCTTGGAGGCGCGGCTTGGCGTTGTTGTTGTTGCTGTGTGAGGACGAGGGGGCGTGCCTTCCGGACGGTGAACCAGTGCTCGGAGAGGTTGCATATGAAGGCCTGTTCGTCCTCGGGCGCCTTCCCTGCCGTGTCGCGCACCCGCGGGCTGCGCAGCGGAATACACTCCAGGCCAAACCGCGCGAGAGCGCGCGCGAGCACCTGGACGGAGAACATCCCGTCCTCCCGCACGTTGCTCGACTCCTCTGCCATGAACTGCACACCGCAACCGCGCCGGCGGGGAAACGCGGTCGACACACAGCGCGCTCCACCCTCGTACGCGCCCCGCCGCACCCCGCGGCGTCGTGCGGTGCGCCGGGCGGGGCAGCGAGGCCGCGTGGCGAGCAGCAGAGCAGCGGGGCTATCGTTCGCTGCTCCTTCGGGCCTCACCCGCAGATAGCTCTCTTCGTCCACGCCCCCCTCGGCCATCAACTTCCGCTCCTCCTCGTCGACCTCCGCCGCGATGTCCGCGAGGTCCACCTCCGTCAAGAACGGCCCCTGCGAGAGCCCCATCACACGTGGATCCTGCTGGCCGGCTCCTCGCGGGCGCTCGCCGCGCGTGTGCCGCGGGTGAACGGACCTGAGTGGGTGGGTTGGCGGGGAAGGGAAACGAGCGTTGACACACCTGGAGCAGACTGTTGACGGCGTGGACCCCGCACAACGACGCTTCTTGCTTCTCGTGGTACAGCTTCATCGCGCGCCCCGCACGCGCCCCGGACACGGGCGTGCCGCGCGTTCCTTGGCGTGGGTCGGTGCACGCGGCCTAGCCCGACAGGCGGGGACACGGCTCGACCGGTCCCTCCTGCCACGCGCGCTACGTCACAGCGCCTCGCCGTGGCCCGAGCCGCGCCGCGAACAGACAGACGGTGCCCCTGAGGCTGCCCCGCGCGCCCCTGTGCTGTTGCAAACGACGATCGAGGGTGCTGCGTTCAGGTGGGGCGCAAACTGCTGGTGGAGATAGAGTGGCGCCGCCCCGTGGCAACGGCGTCCCTTGCCCGGGCCTCGGTCCGTGTGCCACGCGAGCGCCGCGCGCCCGCCTGACGAAGGGCCAGCAGCGGGACACCACCCCGGCTGCCTGCGGGCGCGAAACGAGGCCCCGCGTGCGGGCGTGTTCGCGGCAGTTGGCGTGGAACACTTCGCACACCGCAATCTGACTTCGCACGCAGCGGAGCGACCGCAGCGCGTACCGCGAAGTGCATGACCAGCAAGAGAAGCGCAGGTGAGGCGCAGCGGGGCGCAAAACACCCCCTGTTGCACGCGTGTCGGACAGAATGCCGCATCGTCGCGGTGCCGCGCTCCTATCAACGAAGTGCGGGCCGCGTACCCGCTCTGAGGCTCTCAGCAAGCGATGCGACGCGGCGGGCCGCGACGGGCTGCCTCGAACGCGCCGCGGCCTGCGCGGCCCGCCGCGCGCAGCGCATACCTGGGGCTGCCGGCCACGCCCGCCGCTTCCGCTCGCGCCTACGCGTGCGACGCTCATGCACACTTGTGCTCATGTGCTGCGCTGCGGGAGACGCGTGCGGGGACGCGCTGCCGGCGTCGGAAAACCGTCGCGCGCGCGCGCGAATCCGAGCCCCTCGCGCCACTGTCCCAACGCATGGGACGCATTCCCCGTTGTCGCCCGCCCGCCCCGTACGAGGCGACCATGCTGAGACCGCTGCCCCTCTGGAACTTACTGCGGCGTCTCCGGCCCGCTGGAACCTCTCACGAGCGGTCCGTGCGTGGTCGATTGCCACATAGTAGGCAGAAGGTCGATCCCGGAAGAATATCTCCGCGACGGGCGTCCTGCAGCGCGACCGCGCGGCTCCCCCTGACTGGCTGCCCCTTGCTGCCGCGGGCCGGGATCGCGCTTTCGCGTCGAGCTGTCCGCCGGCCGCGATGCTGACGTAATGTCGTGTCCCGTTGCGGCGCAGGACCACTGGATCCCCCCGCTAGCGAGTCCAAGCGAGCCAAGATGACTGCCACGGGGGGCGGCAAAGCACCCGCCCCGGGCGGCGGGCAGATCGACGAGGACCTGCACAGCCGGCAGCTCGCCGTGTACGGCCGGGAGAGCATGACGCGCATGGCCAGCGCAAGCGTGCTCGTCATCGGCCTCAAGTGCGCCCCCACCCCCCTGCGCACACCACCCACCTCGAGCACCACACTGCATCCTCCCGCAGTCCCAGACCGACACCGCTCTCCCGCTCACATCCGCGCAACGCGGCGTTCCGCGTACCCCGTCCTCCGACCCCTTCACCCCCCCCCTGCTCGCCACTGCGTAAACGTACGCGACGTGCCTCTCCACGGGCCGCGAATTGCGCGACGCGAACGTGGCCGCGGCCGCGCTGGTGCTCGCAGGGGTCTGGGCGCGGAGATCGCGAAGAACGTGATCCTCGCGGGCGTGAAGGCGGTCACGCTGTTCGACAACGGCGCCACCGAGCTCGCGGACCTCTCCGGGCAGTTCTACCTGGGGGAGTCCGACGTCGGGAAGCCGCGCGCGCAGGCGTGCATGGCGAAGCTCGCGGAGCTCAACCGCGCGGTCCAGGTGGAGGCCAGCACCGCCGACGAGGCGGACTTGACCAAGGGGGAGTTTTTGCGTCAGTTCCAGTGCGTGGTGGCCACCGACATGCGCGCCGACGCGTGCGTCGCCGCGGACGCGGCCTGCCACGCCCAGGGCATCCCGTTCATCCGCGCGGACGTCCACGGCGTGTTCGCGCGCGTGTTCTGCGACTTTGGCCCTGAGTTTGTCGTGGCCGACACCGACGGCGAGGAGCCGCACACCGGCATCATCGCCTCCATCGAGAAGGGCAGCCCCGCGCTCGTCACCTGCATCGACGACGAGCGCCTGCAGTTCCAGGTCCGCACCGCCCACCCACAGAAGGACACACCCCCCAAAACAAAACCCCCCTCCTTCGCCCACGCACGCCCCCCGCTGTCCGTTCCCCTCCGCGCAGGACGGCGACCTCGTGACGTTCACGGAGGTGGAGGGCATGACCCCGCTGAACGACGGCGTGCCACGCAAGGTGATGAACTGCAAGGCCACGTCCTTCCAGCTGGACTGCGACACGACGGGCTTCCCGGAGTACACCCGCGGGGGCATGGTCGCGCAGGTGAAGCAGCCGAAGAAGCTGGCCTTCAAGCCGCTCAAGGACGCGCTCGTTGCGCCCGGCGAGATCATGATGATGGACTTCTCGAAATTCGACCGGCCCCCGCACCTCCACGTGGCGTACCAGGCGCTGGACGCGTTCGTGGCGCGCGAGGGGCGCCTCCCGCGGCCGTGGGACGGCGCGGACGCGGACGCGGTGGTCGCGCTGGCCAAGGAGGCCAACGCGGCGCTGACGGAGGCCGCGCGGGTCGAGGAGGTCGACGCGAAGGTCGCCGGGCTGCTCGCGAAGACCGCGGCGGGGCAGCTCAACCCGATGTGCGCGACTGTCGGCGGCATCGTCGGGCAGGAGGTCGTCAAGGCCGTTTCGGGGAAGTTCCACCCCGTGCACCAGTTCCTGTACCTGGACGCGATCGAGGCGCTGCCGGACGAGGCGGAGATGACGGCCGAGGAGGCGGCGCCGACGGGCTCGCGGTACGACGGGCAGATCGCGGTGCTGGGCAAGCGCCTGCACGCCAAGGTGGCGGCGCTCAACGTGTTCACGGTGGGCGCCGGCGCGCTCGGGTGCGAGTTCCTGAAGAACTTCGCGCTCATGGGCGTCGGGTGCGGCGGGGGCACCGTCACCGTCACCGACGACGACCAGGTGCGACGCCGCGTTATCATTCCTACTGTGTCAGCAGCGGCGCCATTGGCGGGGTGGTTGTACGCGGCATCGAAGTGCAGTCGCGTCCCGCAGAGCTGCTGCAGCTCAGAGATGCTTCCAGAAGTCGCTGGTGAACCTCGGGTCGTTGTCCGAGGCGAAGCTCTCCCATCATGGCGGCGAGCTCGGAATCGAAGCTCGGACTTCTGGCAGCAGCTCTGCGGGACGCGACTGCACTTCGTACCATCACCGCGCCAATGGCGCCGCCCTGCAGAAGCCGCACGGGGACGGCGCGGCGCTCATCGGCCAGCGAGATGTCCCGACCGCGTGCGACGATTGCAGGCCGCGTGCGGGCGCCGTTGCGTGTTTCCAGGGCCCATGGTTGGCGCTGTCCGACGCGTGTTGTGGTTTCACGCCCCCTGCAGATCGAGCGCTCCAACCTGTCGCGGCAGTTCCTGTTCCGCGACTGGGACATCGGGCAGCCCAAGTCGACGTGCGCGTCGCGCGCGGCCAAGGCCATCAACCCGGCGCTGAACATCCGCGCGCTGCAGAACCGCGTGAGCCCGGACACGGAGGACGTGTTCAACGCCGAGTTCTGGGAGGGCCTCGACGTCGTCGTGAACGCCCTCGACAACGTCAAGGCGCGCCTCTACGTCGACCAGCGCTGCGTCTACTTCGGCAAGCCGCTCCTCGAGTCGGGCACGCTCGGGCCCAAGTGCAACACCCAGGTAGGATGTTGCCCGCACCTTCGCACCCCCCGCCTGCGCGCCGCGCGGTCGTCCGTCGCCGTCCGCGCCGCCTGCTGCTCCCGAGCGGGCCGTGGCCGCCCACGTGGGCCCGACGCGTGGGTGGTTGTCCGCTGGCACGTGCGTGATGGCGATCGTGGTGGCGGTGTTGTTTTTGTTTTCGCGCAGATGGTGATTCCGGAGATGACGGAGAACTACGGGGCGTCGCGGGACCCGCCGGAGAAGGAGGCGCCGATGTGCACGGTGCACTCGTTCCCGCACAACATCGACCACTGCCTGACGTGGGCGCGCTCGGAGTTCGAGGGGATGTTTGACCACTCCCCCTCCGAGGCGCGCAAGTTCCTCGCGGACCCGAAGGCGTTCCTCGCCGACGCGCGCGCCACGCGCGACGTCAGCGCGAAGGAGTCGCTCGAGAAGTGCGTCTCGGTGCTCGTCCGCGACCGGCCCGGGAGCTACGAGGACTGCGTGGCGTGGGCGCGCCACCGCTGGCAGGACTACTTCCACAACCGCATCGCGCAGCTCACGCACACGTTCCCCGAGGACGCCGTGACCTCCACGGGCGCGCCGTTCTGGTCCCCGCCCAAGCGCTTCCCCACCGCGCTCACCTTTGACGCCAGCGACGCCTTCAACCAGCTCTACGTCCGCGGCATGGCCAACCTCAAGGCCGGCGTGCACGGCGTGCCGCTCCCGGACTACGCCCTCGACGCCGCGGAGGTCGCCCGCCGCGCCGCGGCCATCCCCGTCACGCCGTTCACGCCCAAGGAGGGAGTCAAGATCGAGACGGACCCGAACAAGAAGGAGACCCCCCAGGCCGGCGTCGACGACGACAAGGTCGTCGAGGACCTCTGCGCGCAGCTCGAGCAGGCGCTCGGCTCCGGCGCGGTGTCGGCCGCGAGCACGGTCGCGCCGGTGACGTTTGAGAAGGACGACGACACCAACTTCCACATGGACGTGATCGCCGCGCTGGCCAACCTGCGCGCGCGCAACTACGGCATCGCGGAGATCGAGCGCTTCAAGGCCAAGCTCATCGCGGGCCGCATCATCCCGGCCATCGCCACCGCGACCTCCCTGGCGACGGGCCTGGTCTGCCTCGAGTTCTACAAGGTGGCGCGCCACGTCGACAAGGCCGGGCACGCGCGCGCGGACGTGCCCATCGAGTCCTTCCGCAACGCCTTCATCAACCTGGCGATCCCGCTGTTCACCATGTCGGAGCCCATGCCGTGCGCGCGCCTGGAGTACAAGCCCGCGGGGCTGAAGTGGACGCTGTGGAGCCGCTGGGTGCTCGAGGGGGACCTGACGGTGCAGGAGGTGCTCGACTGGTTCGCGGAGAAGGGCGTGGAGGCGTACTCGATCTCTTGCGGCACGGCGCTGCTGTACAACTCCCTGTTCCCGAAACACAAGGAGCGGCTGGGGAAGAAGGTGTCGGAGCTGGTGCAGACGGTCGCCAAGGTGGTCGTGCCGGAGGGGCAGCGCCACGTGGACGTGGTCGTGGCGTGCGAGGACGAGGAGGGCGAGGATGTGGACGTGCCTCTCGTGAGCGTCAGGTACAGGTGAGGGGTGTAGCGGGGGGTCCTGGCTCGTGCGCGGGCGGGCGCAGGTGGCCCGTGGAGCGCGTGGGAGGCGCCGTGCAGCTCGCGGCGCCGGGCAGCGGCGTGTGAGGCGCCGGGACGCACAGTGACACAAGTGCGCGCGGATCTCGCTGCTCGCGCGCGTGCTGAGAGCAGGGGCGGTGCCGGGCACGCCCAGACTGCTGATCGAACGCTGCGCGCCGCCGTTCCCGTCCACGCGTGGCCTGCTCCCCGCCGTCCCGATGACAACCCCGAAGCGCATGCAACGCCCCCTCTGCGCCGGCCCTCGATCCCCGACAGCCACGTTGCTTCGACCGACGTCACACTATCGACAGGAACGATCCGCCGGTCTCGCGGCTGCTCTTCGCCGCCTCAGAAGTAATCCATGCTCCGGTAATAGTCATACGCACATCCCGTGAACAGGAGGACCAGCGAGGCAACCAGCTCCATCCAGCACGCGCCGATCGTGATCGTGCCTGCGCGGAACGACCCGGTCCTGGCGGTGGCTCGGTGCGGGGAGCGAGGGCGCGGGCAGCAGGGCGTGCGGTGTTCCACGGCGTGTCGCGTGCGTGGCGCTCGCGGACGACGCACCTGAGTGGGCGAGGATCGCGGGGATCGCGAAGGATGCCACCGCGGAGCAGCCTGTGAGGAACTTCCCGGCGTCCATCCACCTGCGGCACAACAAACAACAAAGGCAACAGGTTGCGAATTGAAACACGTGCGGACAGTGCAGCGCCCGCCCTGCCTCCCCAGCTCCGTGGTGCTGCCGTCGACGGTCTCGCTCTGTGCGGACCGGCCGAGGCCGGCGCACAACAACGCCGGCGAGACGCGCTTTCATGCTGGTAGCGAGGGGGCGCGTTTGCACGCAGGTGACGTACCCTTCCGAGGTCCCGCCGATGTCAGCGTATCCGCCCGAGGTGCCGGGTCCGAAGAAGAGGTACGGCATCGGGACGAGCACGTACATGAGCGCGGTGAGCATAGGCCACCAGTTGTTCCACAGCGCGCAGCCAAGGACTTGGAGGAGCAGGCCCAGCGAGAGACTACTCAGTAGAATCAGTGCTCTGCGCAGGGCACGCGATAGGTTCGCCTTTGAGCCGGGAGCGAGGAGGGCCACGGTGCTGCAGCCTGCTAGCGTGGTGCTACGCCCTCGTGTTGACAGGGCGGGCCAGGAACAGGCCGTTTCGGATGTTGTCGAGCCAGGGGCGTGACAGGGACGTGGCGTGTGCGCGGAGCCGCGCGGAACAACCGACCAGGACTGGGCACGCACACTTTGGGCGTCATCCTGAACCTACGCGGGCCTCCCGGCGCCCCACGAACGGAACGGCTCTCAAGACTCGGATGTGATCTGGAGTGTGACGACCCCGGTAGATCCGTTTGGGCCCCAACGAAGCAGGGAAAGCAACAAACCAGTCTGGTCTGTGGTGCACTGTCAGGCCCCTCACGCTCCGCGTGTCGATGAGCTGGTGACGCAGGGACTAGGTGCTCGAAGTGTGCGGGCCCCGATGCGCCGAACGTCCAACATTTTCACGCTCGGGCAAGGCGGCGCGGGCCTCCGTAGGACGTCCCCGGGCCGTGGGGCGTGCCTGCGCCGTTGGGGGCGTCCCCTGCGCGGGCGACGCGCTTCAACATTCGGCCGCCGCCGGCAGCTGCGGTACCACGCGCGAAGAGCAGCGTGGCGCCCAACCCGCGGTTCGACGCAGCCGGAGCTGGCGAAGAGTGACCAGGAACTCCGACGCGAGCTCTCCCGGCGTCGAGGCATCGTCCTTCAGGGATACCATGCGGTCCAGATAGAGATATCGTCAAGCTTTCGACGGGATGTTGAAACGCTCCATTATGCCTCGCAGACGCTTCTGGGCAGTCGGTCACGCTGCAGCGTTCGTGCTCACGTTCCTGGCGTTGAATGCGGTCGGAGCGGATGACTGCTTGTCGCTGCACGATGATGACGTGCGTGAGCTCGTCGAGGACGGTCCGCTGACGGTGCATCTCGTCCCGCACACGCACGACGACGTCGGTTGGTTGAAGACCCCAGGCAAGTGCCGCTGCATCCGTGGACGGCCGCGCCGCAGCCCCACACGCCGACGACGACCTTGCGCGCCCAAGCCGATGCGAGAAGCTCAACTTTTCGCAGACCAGTACCTGTGGGGCGCGAACAACACCATTCAGGTGGCAGACGTCTCGCTGATCCTCGACGCGGTCACGCGGGAGCTGGCCAGGGACCCGATGAGAACGTTTGTCTACGGCGAGGTGAGCACAGTGCGTTTTCGCTGGCGGTGCGCCACACGGCCGGGGACCTCTGTCACAAGACGCCAACCCTGCGCCTCACGAAACGCCCCCGCGCAGGTGTTCTTCCTCTCTCACTGGTGGCGGCAGCAGGACCGCTCCACGCACGACCTCGTGCGGTCCCTCGTCGGGTCCGGGCAGCTCCAGCTGGTCAACGGCGGGTGGGTGCAGCACGACGAGGCGACCGCGGCGTTCCCGGACATGCTCGACCAGACGGCGCGCGGCCACGCGTTCCTCAAGGCCGCCCTCGACGTCTCGGACGCCCGCTGCATCGTCGGGTGGCAGATCGACCCCTTCGGCCACTCCGCGGCGCACGTGGACCTCCTGACGCGGCTGCACGCCCCGGGGCTGTTCTTCGGGCGCATGCACCACGAAGAGCTGAACGCGCGGCGCAGGGCCGGCGAGCTCGAGTTCCGCTGGGACCCGTTCGGCAACGGGGAGGGGGGGGTCCTGACGCGCGCGTCGTGGAGCGGCAACTACGGCCCCCCGCCGTCGTTCAACTTTGAGACGTTCGTCGGCGACGAGCCCGTGATGGACGATCCGAGCGAGGTCGCGTGCAACGCGGCGCGGCGGGCGTGGGAGTTCGTGCGGGCCGCGCAGGACATTGCAGAGTTCTACTCGCCGCGTCAGTCTGAGGGCGGCGTCGGGGACGAGATGCGGCACGTGATGGTCGAGATGGGCACGGACTTCACGTACATGGGCGCGGGGGCGTGGTTCCGCAACATGGACCGGCTGCGCGCGCACGTCGAGCGGCTGTTCCCGGGCTCGATTCGCGTCGTGTACTCAACGCCGCTGAGCTACCTCACGGCCAAGTACGGCAGCCAGGCGCTGGGCATCGACGACGCCAGCTGTCCGCAGGCGCCGTGGATGGGACGGCAGCGCAGCGGGAGCGCGGGAGGCGGCGAGGTCCCAGCGGCAGCCTCGCGACGGCTCGCAATGGATGTTGGAGCGGTCGGGCGGCAGCAGGGAGCGCTGGCGGCCATCAGCGGCGCTTGGGGTCGCGCGTACGGCTCCGTTTCCATCGGGGACGTGCCTGTGCGGGGCGGCGACTTCTTTCCGTACGCCGACAACCCCCACGCGTACTGGATCGGGTACTTCACGAGCCGGCCGGCGCACAAGTACCTGGCGCGGCACGCGTCGAACGTTCTGCGAGCGGCGCGCGCCATGGCGGCGCTCTGCGGGCCCCGATGGTGAGTGGCGGTCGCCAGCGTCGCAGCGTGCGCTGTTGCTTGTGCGCATGCGGAATCCCAGGCGCTGACGTCGACGTTCGCGGTGGCGATTTGCCGCAGTGGCGATTCGCGGGACTTCCTGGACCCGCTTGAGAGCGCCGTGAGCACCATGCAACACCACGACGCTATCACGGGCACTGCAAAGCAGCACGTGGCGGATGACTACGCCCGTCGGCTGCACGGCGGCGTGCAAGCGACGCTCAAGCTGGCGCAGGAGTACCTCGGGGGCAGCTGGCAGCTCTGTCCTCTTGCGAACGCGTCCTACTGCATGGAGACGATGGACGTGGAGGCGTTCGAGATGGCGTCGTTCAACTCCCTGGGGTGGTCCGCGGCGTCGTGGGTGACGCTGCCGGTGTCCGCAGACACGGTGCGCGCCCTCCTGGAGGGCCTCGCCCCGTGCTGAGGCACCCTGAGCGCAAATTGCGAACAGCCTGCACATTCTGCGGAGGCTAACACCGATCCATGTGTCCGCCGGTTGGCGTGCAGTTCGACGTTGTGGATGCCGAATCCGGGGAGCCGATCGAGGGCGTGGGCTTCCTGCCCGCGTGGCACATGGACAAGGCCGCGTGGGCGGCAAACTGCGCCGCGCTCGGCCATGGGCAGGACGGCGCGGTGCCGGGTTGCGCGCAGGTCCCGAAGTTCACCATGCACGTCCCAGTGCAGGCCGAGCCGATGCGCAGCTCCCGCGTCTCGGCGTCGCGCACCCGCGAGGCCCCGCCCGCGTTCTCGACGGTCGACGCTGCGACCTGCACGCGGACAAGCCCGTGCGTGCTGGCGGAGGACGAAGACACGGGCGCCCGGGTAACTTGGGCAGGTATCAAGGGCGGGCTTCGCATCCGCGGCGCCGTGGGCGAGGACGAGGTTTCGTTGATCCCGGAGGTGAACTTCTATGAGTCGTTCTACACGCCCGACCCCCTGGGGCCCGACAAGTACGAGAACCAGAAGTCGGGCGCGTACGTCTTCCGTCCGCAGCGCGCGAACGGCCTGCCGGCGTCTGCGTCCGGGGCAGGGGGGCCCGTGACGGAGATCGTTGCCTCCGGTGCCGTGCGCGAGGTGCGGCTTTTTTTCTCGGAGTGGGCGACGCTGACGCTCCGCACGACGAGCTTGCCGGGCAGCGACCCGCGGGTGACGCTGACCTGGCAGGTGGGCGCCATCCCCGTCGACGACGGCGTCGGAAGGGAGGTTGTGGTCGGCCTGCGCACCAGCGTGGCGTCAGGGGGGGAGTGGTACAGCGACGCGAATGGCCGGGCCCTGGTGCGGCGCGAGCGTCGAGACAGTCCGGCTGCGGTTGAGATGGAGCCGGTGGCGTCGCGGTTCGCACCAATCACCGCGGCGGCGTGCGTGCGCGACGAGCAGCACGCGCTGTGCGCGCTGACCGACCGCGCGCAGGCGGCGTCGAGTCAGTCGGACGGGCAGCTCGAGGTGATGGTGCATCGCCGCGTGCTGCACGACGACGACCGCGGCGTCGCGGAGCCCCTGGACGAGGACATGTGTGGCGGCGTGCCGCGTGACGCACAGGAGGGGCATGCCGGGCCGCGGCGCGGCGACGGCTGCCCGGCGCAGGTCGTGCGTGGCTCCTTCGAGATCCTCGTGATGCGGGCGCGGGACTTTGCGCCAGCACAGGTGCTGCGGCGCGCGCTCATGCACGCCACGCCGCCCACTACGTACGTCGCTCCGGGCAGCGCAGCGCTCGCCCAGCCCCCGCGGCCTCTCGCTACCGGTCGGGACCTACCGGACGGGGTCCACCTGCTGTCCGTTGAACCAGCGGCTGGGAACAGCGTCCTGGTCAGACTGATGGATCTCAGGGTGCCCGTGGTTGGGGCAGCGCGCGAGGACGACGGGTCGCCGGGCTCGCGGCGGCGCGCGCGGCGGCGGCTGTCCCTGGACGCGATGGCCGACCTTCTGGGGATGGATGGCGCGGCGGTGGTGCGGACGGGAATCACTGTGCTGTCCGGGGGGGGGCAGGGGGGGTTGTCGGACGGAGAGGAGGAGGCGGGCCCGTGGGGGCCGTGCGGGGGCTCGTGGGGCTGTTCGATCGACGTTGGACGGGGTGCGATCGTCGCGTTGACGTTCTCGGTGGACCGAGACTGAGGGGGGTGTGGTGCGTCGAGGGGGTCGCCAGGCACCCTCCAGCAGGAGGATCCCGGCAGGAGTGGAACGAGAGGGTGGTGGGCTCGCATGCGCACGGAAACACGTGTGAGCCCGGGTCGGCTGTGTGCGTGGTTGCTAGCTGTTGGCGCGCTGGCTCGCGCGGCTGGACAACGGTCGCGAGCCGAACGCGGGTGCGCTCGGACCTCGAGCTGCGCGTCGCCGCTCGCTGCCGTTCGCGGGTTGAACCTTTTACCCCTGACACACCCCGAGTTGCTCCAACCCCTCCTTCGTCTGACTGGAGACGGCGCTCGCGGGGCGACATCGGCGCTGTCGCCACCACTTCGGGGCCATCGCGAGACCATCCCGGGAACCATACACACTCATTTCGCCCCAGAGACACAGGCGTCGGAGGCCACTTTCGACTAGGATCCCCTTCACGAGCGCTCCTCCGCATCAATCTCTTCCCCGCTGCGTCTAGTATGTTGATTTAGATCCAGTCGCGCTCGGACGGGCGCCGATAGACCGGCTGGCGGGTCCGGCGGCCGGCCTGGGCCGAAAAGCTAGCGCACGTACCGAACTTTCGACGACGTGCGACGGCGTCCACGATGGATCCGGGGCTGCCCTCCATCGCGCTAGGCATCACGGCCATCGTGACATGGTCGGTCGCGGAGCTGCCGCAGCTGCTGCAGGGCGGCGACGACGACTTCAGCTGGGCCTGGCTGTCGCTCTGGATGATGGTACGCCCAAAGTACCTCGTTCAGCATGGCGTCTACATGATGTATCTGCCTCGCGCGGTGTCGCAGGATCACGCGCGCGCGCACGCAGGGGCCGACAGCGCAGCCGTCACGGCAGCGATCGATGCCTCTGCAAGCTACTCCCGCGCGCTCGCACGCGCGGCTCGGGGCTCCTGCGATTGCGCACGCGGGCCTCGAGATTGCAAATCGTGCCTGGAACCAAATACACGCTGTTTGTGTGGCCGTGGCGACGTGCAGGGCGACGTGTTGAATTTGCTCGGTTGCGTCCTCATTCGCGCGGTGCGTCCCCCCTCCCTGGCGGCTCGCACCCCACACGCGTCCCCCACATCGCGCCCTCGCTGGTCATCCCCACATCCGGGCTCCCCGCGCGCGCTGCCGCCGCCTCGCCCCCCCTCGAGGCAACCTCACTGTGCTCCATCTCCGGCGTTCCAATCTCGCAGCTGACTACACAGACGATCCTGGCGGCGTGCTACCTCGGCATCAACGCCATCCTAGCATTGCAGCGCGCGTACGACCTCGTCTGCAACCGCGCGGCCGCCGCCGGGCCCAGCCAGGCAAGTGGCGCACCCAACCACCTCCAGGATCCGCTCCTGCGGGGCGACCGCGACGACGCGTTCCGAGTCATCCCGAACGTGGACACCGCCCCCCCCGCCGCCGCTGCGGGGCGTCGAGGCAGCCCCGCGGCGCGGCTCGTGGACGACACGACAGCGCCGGGCACGGGAGGGACGGGCGCGCGGGGGCCCAGTCGCGACGGGGACGCCTCCGCCGCCGAAACGCGCTCTCCCGGCGTTTCTTGGACTCAGTCCGGGCAGCAGCGCGTGCCAGTCGCGCTCAGGCCCGAGGCGGACAGCGGTACGGCCCCACGGCACTCCTCTCTCGCGTGGCACGCCCCAAGCCGGGCGACGCCATGCACGCCGCGCCCCGCCCGCCGCGCGGCGCGCCCTCACGTTCCCCGCTCGAGAACGCGACTCCGCAGGCGTGTCCGGGTCGGGCGTGGTGTGGGTGACGGACAACACCAACCGCGGATCGCACGCCCGCGGGGACTCGCAGAGGGAAGCCGCGAACGCGGACATTGCCGAGAGCATCGACAGCCAGCTGCACATCCTCGCCGGCCAAGGCACGCCCCCGCCCGCCCGCGCCCTCGTTGGCCCCGGCGTCATGGTGCCGCGCGCGTGGTGGCCTGACAGCAACGTGCCTGTGCCCCGCCCTGCAGGCGACCTGTCCGGCCTCAACACGCGCGAGGGCACGCAGCACGCCGCGAACGACTTCGCGGGCCCGTCGATGATTTCGCTCCTTGCTGCGCGCTTCCATGCCTCAGGGCATCAGGACCGGCACTCCGGGTCCGGCGCGTCGGCGCGGCGCTCGCTGCTCGGCAACTCGCGCGGCGAGGACGGGCTCAAGGTCTCGATCGACAACCTCGGCCCCTCGGCGTCCGAGCACGACGCAAGCGAGCACCCTGTCGACCCCGAGAAGGCCGCCGCGGACGCGCTGGTGGCGCGGACGTCCGTGCGGGGCTCCGAGATGCTGTCCCCGACCGCGGGCGAGGCGGGGGGCAGTCCCAGGCCGGTGAAGCGGGTATCGTCGCGCGGGAGCCTGCGGACGTTCCGCATGCCGATGCGGCTCAAGTCGCTGGAGAGGTCCGCGGCGGAGGGCAAGGACGACGGCGCGCGGCGGCATAGGCTTGGGCGCGGGACCGCCGCGGACGAGGACGGGTGTCGCATCGTGGTGCACGACGTCGGGAAGGGGGGGGGGTTGCTTGGGGGTCTCCTGTTCCCGTGGCAGCGCAGCGCGTCGCGGACCGCGGCGCCGCGCGGCAGCGGGGACTCGGCGGGGCCGGAGGCCGCCGCGGGGGCGGACGTTGAGGCGCAGGCGCAAGGCGACGACGACGACGGCCCCGAGGAGGAGGGCGCTGGAGGCACTGCAGCGGCGCGGGCGGCGAAGCGGTTCGGCACGAGCACGCTCGGGATGCTCCTCATGATCGGCTTGCTCGCGAGCGTCGGCCTCGAGGAGAGCGCGTCGGGCGGCGCGGCGCGGCACGGGCGCGCGCTGACCAAGGCCACCCCCCCCGTGCCGTCAATGGACGGCATTTCGCGGTGGCTCGGGGGCGCGACGCCGACCGAGATCCTCGGGTGGACCTTCGGGTGGTCGATGCTCGCCATCTACTCGGCGTCGCGCATCCCGCAGGCGCTGTCGGTGATGCACCGCGACACCACCGAGGGCCTCACCCTGGGCATGTTCGCGCTGGCGATCGCGGGGAGCGCGAGCTACGGCGCGTCCGTCGTGCTCGGTGACGACCGGTCCGCCGCCGCGATGGCCCGCGCCGCGCCGTGGCTCCTGGACTCCGTCGCGTGCCTCGCGCTGGAGCTGCTGCTGCTGGCGCGCTTCCTGTACCTCCGGTGGACGCAGCGGGGCGGCTCAGAGCGCGTGAGCGGCCCGGGGGAGAGCTCGGGGGAGCGCACGCGCTCGCACGTGCACCGCAACTTCCACCACGACACGCTGAGTCAGGGGTTCAACGCCATGCACGGGCCGCTGCCGTCGAAGACGCCGCAGCTGCTGCTGGACTCCGAGGGCACGAGCACGCGCACGACGGCGCAGCGCGACAGCGGGAGCGGCAGGAACCGCACGGCCGCGGGGCCGGCGGGTGCCGAGGAGGCGGCGATGGCCGTTGTGGACAACTGGCAGGCCGAGGGCGTGGTGTTCCAGGTCGGGGGCCTCGCGGACGGCGACGAGTACGAGTCCTCCTGGCCGCGGCTCGGCGCCGTCGACGACGCCGGGAACCCGCTGCCGATCGGTGCACGGCCTGCGCAGGGTGGGATGGTGCGGCCGCTCGCGGCGCGCGGGGACCGCGGGTGGCAGCGGGGGCCCGCGGCAGCGCCAGAGGCTGCGCAGGGGTCGCAACCGGAGCTATCGCCGCGCGGCGCGGGCGGGTTCTGGCGGCAGCAGCAGCCCCCGCAGAGTCCGCTGTCGGGCGAGCTGTCGGGCACGAGCATGGGGTCCTCGCTGGCGCCGTCGTACAACGGACCACGCCTGTACTGGCGGTGAGCGCAGCGTGACCGCTCGCGCGTCCAACGCGCCGCTGGGGGCCGTATGTGGCATTGAAGGACCTTGCCTGTTTTCCCGAAGCAGGCACCGCATGACGCACGACCAGCGTGCCACAAGGAAGTGCTGATCAGCCGGCCCCCGCTCGCTTCTTTGGATCCCGCGTACCCTCCGCGCCTCTTGCAACTTTCTTCCCCCTGTTTGCCTCCCCTCTTCTGTTTGCCCCCCTCCCATTGAGGTGAGTGAACAGTGCCGGCTGAGCAAGGCCTTGTCGCCCGCTGCTTTTCACCGTGCAGCGACCTCTCGCCACTATCAGGCCTCTGCGACATCTCGCTGCATCCACCGCTGCTACGCCGTTGCTGCCCGTCCCGCACCGCAACAGCCGTCTTTCTGCAGCAACTCCCGCATCGGCAACGCCATCGCAACACGTCTGCGAGCAACCTCGTGCCTTTCGCGCCGTTCGTCCCTACCTCAGTCTGCTGCGCAAGGCAGCCACTATTGGATCAGCGACTTAGAATTCCAGGGAGCGGCGCCCCCTGCATTACGAATCACGCCGAAGTTGATGCGCCCTACCCTCACCCCGCACAGCTACGCGCGCCCTTTTGCATCCATCGAACAACGCCTTGCTTTCCTCTCCGAGGTGAGCGAGGGCAGCTAACCAATGTAATGAGCTTTCAGTATGACGCACGTGTCAACCGAGGGCCGGAATGAACGGGAAGAGGGACGGTCAAGGGTGCTTGTAGGTCAGCGAATTACAAGCGACAGCGGTGGGGTACCCGCGCGCACGGCTGCGAACCGCACCTGTGCAAGAGTGATGACCCGGACAGCGAGCCCGCCGAGAGCCGTTGGAGGCAGCCCAGTGAGCTGGTGCTGGCGTCACGCGGCAGCTCAGACTCAAACGCCCAAGCGAGTGGCGGGCCATTCGTGACGAGGATGGCATCGCTGGGCAGAGCGCGCGAATGCACCAAGCCCGATACTGTGGAGGACAGACATTGCACACCGGTCCAATGCCTCACAAATCAATCAATGGAGCGGCAGCGCTCACCACGGCCTCCTCTTCCCGCCCGCCCGCGCGGTCCGCGTCGCCTGACGTCATTTCTAACCCCCCTCCCAGGCCCAGCCCGCCCAGCTCGAAGTGCAGCTCCCGCGCCGGCTCCGAGCCCTCGAAGCCGTCCGTCTCGCTGATGTCCGCCACCGCCGGGGCAGCCAGAGCGTCCGGCGCGTGCACCGCCGACGCGGCGTGCGTGGACGAAACACCCCCGCGGGACCAATTGGCGTCCCCGCCGTCGCTGGGCGTCGCGGGCGCGCCGCCAGCTGGGCTACCCCGGACGTCGTGGACACTCGCGCTGCCGTTCCACTGCGCCTTTCGCGCGCTGTCGGCCGCGGCGGCCGCGGCGAGGGCGGAGTTGGGGGATCCGGTCAGCGTCTGCGAGCCCAGGAACAGCTCCATCTGCAGCTGCCGCGACGCGTCCATCACGACGTTCTGGTACCGTCTCTGCAGCGAGATCGACAGGTTCGCGGCCCCGGACACGCCGCGGAACCGCCCGTTGTTGTTGCCGTTGAGCAGCGACAGCACACCGCTGTGCATCGCCCGGCTGCCCGTGTAGAACATCGCGTGCAGGTCGCCGTTGATGAGGAACATTTCGCTCATCGCCAGCAACGCGTCCGCGCGGACCGCCGCCCGCGCAGCGTCGACGGTCCAGCCCCCCACTGCCGCAGCGGCCGCGGGGCCGGCAGCTGCCTCCGGGGGCGCCGCGGCCGCGTGCACGGGCGGCGACCAGCTCGTGGTCTTATTGTTGTGATCGATGTAGAACGTCCGGCCCGTCGCGGGGTCCACGCGCGCCTCCCACCCGTCCGGCAGCACGCTCACCGGCGCCGGCATGCGCGCGGCGCTTGCCGCCCGGTCCACGGGGCGGAAGTTCGGCGTTGAGCGCGACCCGTGCATGCCCGAGAGCTGCCCCGCAGCCGACGCCGCGGCCGCGGGCGAGACGTCGACGCCCGCCTCGCCCCCCGCCATGACCAGAGCCAGTACGGCGATGAAGAAGGAAGCCGCGTTGGTGCGGTCCAGGGAGTCCGCGCAGTTCAGCCGCAGGAGGCCCCGCTGGTGCCGCTCGACCTCCGGCGCCCCGCCCGGCGCGCACGTGCCCGCCGCGACCCCGCTCGCCTCGACGACCGGCCGAATCACCGACCAGAAGCCCTCGACCGCCTTCGTCTCGCCGAGCGCCTTGATCGTCGCGTGCCAGTCGAAGTTCATCACCTGGACGTCGACGGGCAGCCCGCCCGCCCTGGCCTCGCGCACAGCTTGCTGGAAGTGCTCCGAGAGCGTCAGCTCTGGCCGGCCTGGCGAGCAGCGCAGGAGGTTGAGACAGACCAGCCTCGGGGGCGGCGCGCCGGCGCGCGCGTGCTGGGACGCGAGCCGCCGCAGGTACGTCCCGGTGCCGCGGTAAGGGTCCTCGGATATGATGATCTCGGCCTCCCCGAGCCCGCTGTTCTGCAACTCCACGCGCCAGTTGATCGGGACCGTGCCGCGCCGCCAACACCACCGCGCCCAACGCTCCGGCTTGCCGCCTGCGCCGCACGCACGGACGGCACGCCGTGGGCACGCAGGGGCGCAACGGCGCCGCACAGCGGAACAAGCAGTACGCACACGTGATGGTTGCAGAACGTCACGTGCGCGGCGGCGCGCGTGATCGTGCGCGGCGGCGCGCGTGATCGTGCGCGGCGGCGCGCGTGATCGTGCGCGGTGCGCGCGGCGTGCGTGGTTCCGCGTCGGGCGGGGGCGCGCTGGTCCGGGGCCCACCTCCGCGGCGCTCAAAAACGAGCATCTCTGCCTCCACCTCGTTCCCCGGGCACGCGTTCTCGTCCAGGCCGCGGGCCTTGTACCGCGTGCCGGCGTTCCAGCGGCTGCGGCGCGACAGCGTCGCGATGTGCAGTTCGCCCGACACGGTCGGCAACACCTTGTTTGTCGCCACGCCCTGCAACAAGCGCGGAGCCGCGCGCGCGGCCCCGACGGCCGCGAGCCCCGACGTCAGGTGCTCGTTCCAGACCCACTCCGAGGCCCGCTGCTCCGAGAACGCCCGCTCCTGGGGCTGGCCCGGCTCCGCGCGCACGCCTCCTCCCAGCCCAAAGGGTACCGCGACGTCGAGCGTGTCGCAGAAGTAGTGCGCGCCCTCGAGGGGGAATTCGGTCAGGAGACTGAGCGCTCGCTGCTCCTGCCGCGACGGCGGAGGCGGCAGCTGCCCGCCGGGCCCGGCCTCGGGCGCCCAGCCCGCCTGAGCCTCCCCCTGCCACCCCTCTCCCCTGTTTGGCACCGACACGAGGGGCAGCTGCACCCACCGCCGCTCCACGACCGTCCTGACCACGTGCCCGCCCGGGAGCGCGCACGAGCTCGCCGTCTTCGTCCCTAACAGAATCAACGTCCGCCCCGTACCAACAGTCCAGCCCAGCAACACCTCGCCGTCCGCCACCACCGCCGTCTGCCCCAGCTGGCGCAGGTGCTCCATCGCCCTCCCCTGCACTCGGAGCCACAGCGGCCAGCGCGGGCGTCTGACGCGCGGCTAGGAGCTCCCAGGCGCAGCTGGACGAGCACTCCTTGACCGTCGGGCACGGCTGGCACGCGCGAGGGCGAGGCGGTGAAGTCAGCGCAAAACGTGAGGTCACCTCATCCTCGAAGATTCCGTCGCCCGGCTGGTCCCGGAAGTACGCCTGCCCGGAGCTCTGGTGCACGCCGAGCAGCAGCGCGCCGCCAAACGCACTTGGGCGCGACACCACCACGAAGAAGACGGGATCCGGCGTCACTTGCACCACCAGCACCCTGCCGCATCGTTCCTGCGGCATCGCCACCGCCCTGCCGAGGGCGGCCGGCTCTCCCTCGCCTCTGCGCGGCCCCCTTGTGCGCTGCTACGTGCGTGACAGGGAGGCCCGGCCGTCCGCGCAGCCGCAAACGCTCGTCCGTCGAACGTGAGACAGTGCGTGCTGCCCGCCCTCGACCGCGCCGTTGTGCGCCTCCTGGCTGACCGCCTCGGAGCAAAGCGGTGTCAGGGCTGGCGCGCTCAGGACCCGACTGTGCGCGTGTGACCGCCTGGAGGCTGTTGCGTCGACGTCGCGGGCGGCCGCCCGACTCCGCTGCCACGCAGCGACACTGTCGTTGGATCGACGCCGCCTAGTGGTTCGTGAGGGCGCGTCGCGCGCGCGCAGTGTGCGAACGTAGGTGCCTGCCCGTCGCGGAGGCAGCTGCGGTGTCTTTTCGTCGGTTCTACCGCATAGACTCGAAGATACGGAACACGGCCGGCCGGCATATCGCGCCCCTGGCCAGCCGTGCCCCGACGGGGCGCTGGCGCGGACCCGCGGGTGTTTTCAGCGCGCCAGAGGGTGCTGGCGCTTGCTCGCTGCGTAGGGGGCTGCCGCCGGAATGGAGGAGGCTGCTGGCGTGGAGTCTCACGAGGATGCGGGGGAGAGCGAGATTTTCGCGCCGTACCGCTGCAGGCACGCACCCAGCGCATTTGCCTCCCTGAAAAAGAAAACGCCGCGCATGAGCCGCGTCGCGCGCGAAATCGCATCTCGTGCTTCGAACCACATCACACACGTTTCACAGCCCGTCGACATGGAACGTCGCGTAGTTGCAGGACGGCGGCGTCGCGGGGGCGCCCGCACCCTGCGGACGTGAGCGAGCCAGCGGCACTCGCCGCCGTGCAGCTCCCGCGGTCCCGGTACGACCTCTTCGACGCCCTGCCCGCCCCAGTCGTCGAGCGCGGCCTGCTCAGCGACCTGCAGCTCGAGGGCGTCCTCTACGCCTGCGACCGCCACCGCACCATCATGCCCGACGGAACGCGCGCGGGGTTCTTCCTCGGCGACGGCGCGGGCGTCGGGAAGGGGCGCCAGATCGCGGGGATGGTCCTCGACAACTTCGCGCGCGGGCGGCGGAAGGCGGTCTGGGTCTCGACCACGATTGACCTGGTCAACGACGCCGTGCGCGATTTGCGAGACATTGGCTGCCACGGCGTCAGCGTCATCCCCGGGCCGCAGGCGCTCGACGGGGGCGGCGCGCGGAGACCGTCGCGCGGCGGCGCGCACACGACGTCGCTGTCGACGGGCGTCATGTTCACCACGTACACGACGCTGGTGACGGTGGCGCGTGGGGCGGCGCGGCTGGACCAGGTGGTGGCGTGGGCGGGCGGGGAGGAGTTCGAGGGGCTGCTGGTCTTCGACGAGTGCCACAAGGCGAAGAACGCCGGCACGCCTGCGAACGACGGCGCGAGCGTCGTCGACCACGGCGGAAGCAAGGTGGCTGCGGCGGTGATCGAGCTGCAGCGCAGGATGCCGCGCGCGCGGGTGGTGTACTGCTCCGCGACGGGCGTATCGGAGGTGGCGCACACGGGGTACATGGAGCGCATGGGCCTGTGGGGCGCCGGGACGGCCTTTGCCAACCACGCGGCCTTCTGCCAGGCGCTGTCCCGGGGGGGGGTCGGGTACCTGGAGCTGCTCGCCACGGAGCTCAAGGCGCAGGGGCGCTACGTCAGCAGAGGACTGGTGCGCGCGGCCACCGGCTGCAAACGACGCACACTGAACCGCACTGTTTGCAAACTCACCGTCCTTCCGTCCCCGGTCGCACCTCCGCAGAGCTTCGCAGGCGCGGAGTGGAGCGAGATCGTCTGCGACATGGACGCTGCCATGGTCGCGCAGTACGACGCCATCGTGCGTGTCGTGCAGCGCGTCCGCGCTGGCCTCTCGAAGGCGCTCGCTCTCTGCCACGGCCGCGGCGCGCGCGGGTCCGCCGCGGGCCACGCCTGGCGCACCTTCTGGAGCCTCACGCAGCGCGTCTTCCGCGCCGCGTGCGTCGCGAGCAAGCTCCCCGCAGCCATCGCCGCCGCACGCGCCGCCGTCGCCGCCGACCAGTGCGTCATCGTCGGCATCCAGTCCACGGGCGAGTTCGCCGTCGACTCCACCCCCGACACGGCGCGCAGCCACCCCGCCTTCGTCTCGCCAGTCGCAGCCATGATGGAGCAGTTCGTGCAAGCTCACTTCCCTACCGAGGTCCAAGAGGCCGACGCGGACGACGCCGGCGGGCCCCCGCGCACCGTGGTGCTCGCGGAGGCCGAGCGCGTCCGCAGCCGCGTGCTCGCGGTCATCCACGGCGCCGCGAGCGACGGCGTGCTGCCCCCGAATTCGCTCGACGCTCTGATCGACGCGCTGGGCGGGCCGACGGCGGTCGCGGAGATGACGGGGCGCCGCGTGCGCATGGTGCGCGGGAAGGACGGCGCGGTGCGGTACCAGATGCGCGTGACGAGCGCCGCGGCGCCCTCCGCGGACTCCGTCAACATCGCAGAGGCGCGCGCGTTCAACGAGGGCCGCAAACGCGTGGCGATCATCTCCGATGCGGCGTCGACGGGGATCTCGCTGCACGCCCGGCGCGGGTCCGGCAACGAGCGCCGGCGCGTGCACCTGACGCTCGAGCTGCCGTGGTCCGCGGACCGCGCCATCCAGCAGCTGGGCCGCTCGCACCGGTCAGACCAGGCGTCCTGCCCGGCCTACCGGCTGCTGGTGCTGCCGCTCGGGGGAGAGTCGCGGTTCGTCGCGGCGGTGGCGCGGCGGCTGGAGTCGCTCGGGGCTCTGACGCGCGGAGACCGTCGCGCGGCGTCGGGCCTGGACCTCTCTGGCAGCAACTTTGACAGCCGTGCAGGGCGTGCGGCGTTCGCGCGGCTGCTGAAGCACGTCGGGGAGGGTCTCCCGCACCTTCCCCACGGCGTGTCGCTGGAGGAGGTGCTCGCGGAGGCGGATGAGGTGACGTTGGATGACGTGCGCTCGGCGGCGGAGGCCAACAGGCTTGCGGCGGAGAGTGCGATGTCAAGCGGTGCGGGCGGGCGCGCGGGGAGCACGCTCGCGGACGAGAAGCGCTGCACGGTGCGCGCTCTGCACGCGGCGCTGAAGGAGCTGCTGGGCCGCGCGGGGCTGCTGGAGGCGGAGGATGCGGGGGGGAAGGAGGACAACGCGAACGTGAAGCGGTTCTTGAACCGCCTCCTGACGCTCCCCGTGGCCTCTCAGAACCTGGTGTTCCGGTGCGCGTCCCTGCGGCCCACCTCGCGCGCTCACAGCCCATCGATCAAACACAAATTGATATCATCTCACACCGAATGCGTGTTTCGTGGTGTTCGCAGTTACTTCTCCCTGGCTGTGGACGGCGAGATCGGGCTCGCTCGGATGGAGGGGCGCCACACGTCGGGCATGTCGACGCTCGCCTTTTCGTCCGCCGAGCGCGTGGGACCCCCCCGGGAGGTGTTCCGTTTCGGGGGCTCTTCCCTGCCACTCACCGCGCACGACCTCATCATCGACCGCGGCATGACGTGGCAGCAGGCCACCGAGCGCCTCCAGGCCGAGGTCGGAGAAGCCGGCCTCGCGGGCGGCCCGCCCAGCGCCCCGGCCGACGGCAGCGCCCCCCCTGGCTTCTACGTGACGCGCGACAAGTGGTACGGGCACCACTGCGTCGTGCTCGCCCTCCCGCGGGCCGGCAGCTCCGCCGCAGGCCCCGCGCGCGCCTCGGGCGGCGGAACGCTGCGGATCCTGCGACCTTGGGCGGGGTCGGCGTCCGGGGGGTTGTCTCCTGGAGACCTCCTGGCGAAGCACGCGCCGATCGAGCCGTCCGCCGCCCGCGCGCTGTGGGAGGCGGAGCACGAGCGGAGCGCGGAGCGCTGCTCGCACGGGCTGCGGTGCGCACAGCCCGCCGGCGCGTGCACGACGGGCAAGCGGCGCCTGGAGTGCTGCGTTCTGTCGGGGTCGGTTGTGCGCGTGTGGAGCGTCCTCGAAACGGTGCTCGAGCGCCACAAGTCGCAGGTGCCGCGCACCGAGCGGGCACTGAGGGCCGTGCGCGTGCCGCTGGGCGGGCCCGACGGGAAAGTGCTGGTTGGCGTGCGCTACCCGGGGGCGCTATTGAAGCACGTGTCAGCGGCGCTGAACTTTGCACCCGCGGCGGGAGCGCAGGCGGTAGGGGACGACGCTGCGTGCGACGCCCTGGTGGAGCCGCCGACGCCCGTGGACGGCAAGAGCCGGGACAAGGCGTTGCGCAAGCCATTGGGAATCCAGGACTTCTTTTCACGGCAGATGCGGGGCTCCAAAGGCGAGGACGACGTTGCTGCTCAGCCTACATCTGCGCCAGCACCGCGGGAGATCTGCATCTCGTCCGACGATGACGACGTCGACGACGATGAGCCCGCGGTAGAGATGCAGCAGATTGCGAACTGCGGCGTTGAAGAGGGGCCAGGGGGCGCCGACGGACAGCACGTGGGGGAGCCTGCGGCGAAGCGTCTGCGCGCGAGCGGTGCGGACGGTGCCCGCGGGCCGGGGGGGGAGTCCGCGGACGTCCCCCCGCATGACGGCGAAGGGTTGCGGCAACGACAGGACGGCGGCGTTCGCGGCGTGCTGGACGAGGTGAACGGTGGCGCGCAGAGCGGTGCGGACGGAGGCATGGAGCAGCTGGTCGCGATGGGGTTCTCGCAGGCGGACGCGTGGAAGGCGCTGCGCGTGGGGAAGAGTGTGGAGGGCGCGATTAGCTGGCTGCTGGGGTGACGCGGCGCTGTCGCACCGGTGAGCCATGAAACTAGCGTGAGTATATAGCGCACAGGCGAAAGAAGCCGCCGTGATCCGGAGCAGGCCGCGGGGATGTAACAACGACGGCTTCGTCGTCGTCGCTCTCCGCAGCCCCGATCGTCCCCGTGATACTCAGCGAATTTGTCTACTTGCGGGTACGTGTGCACGCCAGAAGGCATTCACGACCTCGTTGTCCGCGAAGTTGCGCGCCTTGACGCGGCCCACGCACCCGCGAACCACGCGTACCCCGTCGACCGCACCCGACACGCGCCGTCGTACCACGCCCCCGCGCTGGCAGCATGGCTTTCAGCGATCTCCCCGTGAACGATTACGGTTAATACACCCCCCTCCCACCAAAACCCGACCCCCCTGCCCCCCTCCCCTCCTCCGTCCCTTCCCTCCCCCAACCCCCTTCCTGGGGCCGTGCGGGTGTTCCGCGGCCCTGGAGCCCCATGACAACGTCATCGTCATGTTAACGATCACACGCACGAGCTTCCTGGGCACTGCACCCCCACCCCTGACAACCACCACGCGGATCCGCTGCTCAACGTGTGCTTCCAGGAGCGGCCCGAGTAGCGGGTGACGTGAGGGGCTGTCACCTGACATGCGTGATGTCATGCGTGCTGTCTTGCTGGACAGGGTCGCCGGCCGACGACATCGGGACGCGTGGTGGGGCTTGCCGACGAGTACCCGCACGCCCGCGGGGCTCGTCACTCATCGAAGACTTCACTCGAGCTGCGTGCGCAGGTGATTGGGACCCCGACACTTGTTGCTGCAGCTTGCTCATCCTGCGTGCGGGTACTCCACCACGTCGTTGCTCGGCCACCCCTTTCCTTGGTTAACGTGACCTCCGGTGTGACACGTTTGTCACACTGCATGTTCAATACAATGCGCAGCCTTCTTCGTTGCACTTCAATCGTTTCAACTCAACAGGTTGTGTTCGTCGCTACTCGATGTTGCATGCAGCTGTGATCTCGCCGCTCGGCCGAGTTGCGGCTTCACGGACGTCGAGCCGGGTCGCGACGAGGCTCCTGCTGCCTTGCAGTGAGGAGGTCGTCTTTTGCCTGCACACGCAAAATGCTCATTGCCCACGTTCGAGGTCTTAGGCGACGGAAATCTCAGACAGCCTCAAGCGCGCAAGCGACCAAGGGTAGTCTGTGGTTGTTCTTGCACGTCGCCAGCGCCCACGCACCTTGGCGCCCTTCACGGGGTCCCAGGCGTTGATGCAGTACGCCTGCTCCCCCGTTGTTGCCACACGGAAACCCGCAAGATTGTGGCAGTGCTTCGACGGTGATTGTGAGGCGGATTCGCGCATGGCCTCTGCGTCTTCCATCGATGAAGGCGCCGTTGTCGCGGACGGCTCGCCACATCTGCGGCATGTCATCTGACAGTGCCTGAACGCGACGATGAAGTCGTCGTTACACATTCCGCGGGCAAACACGTCCGGACAGGAGACTCCCTGCAGTCAGAGACTCTGTGCGCAGGCCGTTGCGGGCAAGACTCACTCTCCGGGCAAGATTCACTCTCCAACCACAATCGTTCTCCCAGCGGTCGTGCCCGCGAGCCAGGGTTCTCCACCTGCGGCGGAACGTCCTCACACGTTTCTTGTCTCAGGATTCGCGCCTGGCGCGACCTCAGGCAGGTCAGGAGCAGCACGAACACCGCCGCTGTTGCCGCGGCAAGAAAAAGCCGCTGCATCGCCGAACCCTTCGGAACCGCATCGATCCAGCCACGAGGTCCACGTATGGACACGTCGAAATACGCACGCTGGATTTCAACATCGTCGGCGGGGGGGGCGTCAGCCCGCCTGACACGATCGTTCGGTAGAAGAACATATGGGCGATGCGTCCCGATGCGTTGGCGTGACGCGAAGGAACAGCGATCGTGTTCCGCGGGTCTCGGCCACGCTGCGGTCGATTCCATCGCGGTGGAATCGCTTCACATGGGGGTTAGCATGACTCGCCACCTAGTCGAATGATCTTTCAGGTCCCAAAGCCTTATGGCTGACGACGCGAAGAATGTGACACCTCACCTCATGTCTCCGCCGCCAACTCAGCCCTGGGCCTCCACCTCGCGCTCCTCCTGCTTCGCGGTCCCCGTGTCGATACCGTTGACCGCGAAGTCCTTCGTGATCACCGCGAGCCGCAGGTGCACAACCCCCGCAGATGCCGCTCGCAGCCGGAAACGCTCCCCCTGCTCGTGCACGATCTCCTGCACGCACGAAAGCTGGCCCACCAGTCGCTGAGCCACCCGCAACGTCGGGGCGCACCGTGCGAGGCAGCCGGGCGGCGCCGGCCGTCCCTCGCCCTCAGCATTGCACGCGTGCGTCGCTGACCGGCGAGCCGCGCGCACCTCCATCCGCAGCCGTGGTCGCCCGCCCACGAAGAACGCCCTCGCCTCCTCCGCGCCGCTGCCGCTCGGCACCCACGTCGCCACCTCGAGCGTGTGCACGCCTGGCGCGGCCGGAATGAAACACATCCCGTACCCGAGGATGTCCGTGCGCCCGAACTTGTCCATCTCCCACACCTGAAGGTGCAGCTTCGGCCAACCTGCGCGGCGGCGGCACCCTCGCTCGGAGCGGTGAGCGACCTCGCAGGCCCCCACCAAGTGTGGTTGGTTGCTGCGTGCTCCGACATGGCAGCGGCGAATTCGCGCCGAGCCCGGGTGTTTCCTCTGCGCCACCGGCTCAATGGAGCGTGCGCGCTCGCGGCGCGACGTGCGCGGCTTCGCGGGGCGGCCCAGGGCTGCGGTTATCACGCCGAGAGGAAGCACGTGTGGCCAGCCCGTCACCTGAGATCGCTCGGCACACCAAGTGGATGTCGATCGGGTGCGACCAGACGTGCTCGTTGACGTCCACGCCCGTGTCGACCTGCGTCTGCCCCGCGTCGTGCCCCTCGATCACCTCCCAGTTCTGTCCATGCTTCAAAGCCCACTGCGGGAGCACGGTAGCCGAGCGGACAAGTCCAGGCGGGAATTCTCGACCTTCGAATCCTTTTCGAAGGGATGCGGGACCACACGCAGCTCGTGGGTTCTTGTGGGGGCGTCAGGGCAGGCTTGACAGCTCAGGCACCTCGCAACGCGCGCGAGCGCTCTCCCGGGCGCCCAGCTCGGCGGTTCAGCCTCATACCTTACAAAACGCCGACTTCGATCCAAACTCCGTGCCCCCGCAGATCTCGCCGATGACGTGGAGCTCGGCCATGGCCACCGCGACGCCCTCCCGCTCCTAGCACGCCCGCGAGAGCCTGCCCAGCCCGCCCAGAGCACGTTTCTGGCCAAACTGCACGCCGTCCGATAAAATATCCTCGTGGATACTTCTGCGGGTGTCGCAACGCGGGAGAACGCGCTCCAGGCGCCTTCGCGGCCGCGGGCGCGCAGGGCGAACTGAATGCCAGCACAACCAGCGTCTGCTTCTCGCTGTGATCCGACACGCGTCGCGCCCTTCTCGCGGGCGCAGGAGCTGCAGAATGGCCGGCGCCGCTCGCCTTTCCCGCCCAGGTGGCGGGCGAAGTTCCTGCACCGTGCTGCACGGCACACACGGGCACTACCCCCCCCCCTGACTCGGTCGGGGCCTCGAGCGCCGGAAGCTGAAAGGATTGCTCTCCCGCATACTCTGAGTCAGAGTCTCCGACAGCTTTGCCACGTCGTTCGGGACAATCCACACCATCGACGTACCATGGTACTCAAGGCAGTGATGATGTCCAAGGGCCAGGCGTCCAGGGGGCAGGCGTCCAAGGGCCAGGCGTCCAAGGGGCAGGCGTCCAAGGGCCAGTCGTCCAAGGGGCAGATGTCAAAGGCAGACGCTGCGCGCATCCAGGTGGGCGCTTATTGGGTCCGTGAGCATGCGCTGAAGAGGTCGGAACTTGAGCATGGCGTACAGAAAGAAGCAGCCTGCGAGGCGGTCAGGGGATCGCGATCGCAGCTCGAACCTCGATAAATGCGACGGGACGATCTCCGCACTTGACGCCTCTGCCATGCCCTCCGCACGCATTCGCGCGAAGTCAGATTTCTTGCGATGCGATCCTATCGTTTTGCAGTCGGCTGAGGCGAAGGCTGACCCGAAGGGGCAGGTCCACAAGGGCAGCTTTGCATCCAGGGCGCAGGCCGCCGCGGACCGTCGCGCCGCCGAGGCGGACCCGTCCTCGGAGGAATATTCCGATTACAGTGAGTGACGGCTTGTTTGGCCCTGGAAGATGGGACGGGCGGGACGCCGCAATGAATCGGGCCACATGTGCATGACGACAGTTTCAACTTGTTCACCGGCGGCCACAATGACCAGGAGAAGGCGTGGCTGAGAGCAACGACGCGGTGGAGTACCCGCACGCAGGATGAGCAAGCTGCAGCGGCAGATGTAACACCTCGCCAGCAACGATGCCTCGCGGCGCGCGCGCTCCCCGCCGCGGCCCTCCCCATCCGCCCCCATCAAAGGAAGTTGTCGACGCCACGCGGGTCGCGCTGGCGCTGGAAGTGCAGCATGCCGCCAAACACGGCGTCGCTGAGCCCGACGTACAGCCCCTCGCCCCCGCCCGAGAACGACATGCCCGCGACCTCCCCGAACACGTCGATCTCCTGCTCGTGCTGCAGCCCGGACGCCAGGTCCCAAATGTGAACGAAGTCCGCGGGCTCGGACGCGGCAAGGAAGCTGCCGCAGGGGGAGAACCGCACGGACCGGATCGCCCCGAGCTGCCCGCGCATGCACGCGGCGGACGTGCCGAGGTAGCGCAGGTCCCACGCGCGCGCGGTGCCGTCCTGGTTGCCCGTGGCGAGGAGGTGGCCGCCGGGGTGCCACGACGCGGCGAACGAGTAGTCGATGTGGCCGTGGAGCTCCGAGACGGTGCGGCCGCCGGACGCGAGGTCCACGAGCAGCCCGACGGGGTGGTCCCCGACCACGCACAGCAGGGAGGGGTTGAGCGGGTGCACGGCGGCGTAGTTGACCGCCCAGGGGAAGCTGATGCGGTGGTCAATCTTGCCCGTCTCGACGTCGAGGACGCGCACGCTGCAGACGGACGTCGGGCACCGGAGCCGTGAGCGGATCGTGCGGGTCGCGCGGGGGGGGGCGATTCTGGCGGGTCAGACGCGTTGCAAGGGGTTTGGGGTCGCGCCTGGTGTCGTTGTTGGAGGCAACGACGGACATCGCGCCGGACGCCTTCTCGCGCATCTCGAGCGCGTTCGTGATCGCGTTGTCCGACCGCGACACCCTGTCGCTGAACAGCAGCCCCGGGCGGTCGAGGTGGCGCACCACGAGCTCGCCGCCAAAGCCGCCCGCCGCGAGCATGCGCCCCTGGACGCACATCGAGCTGATCTGCACGCGGCCCACGCGCGGGACCTGGCAGGACAGCAGCCGGCCGGACAGGTCCAGCACCACGGAGTCCTCCCCCGTCTCGGCGCTGTAGTGCCGGATGCCGTGCTCGCCCGCGTAGTACACGCCGTCCTCCGCGGACGCCCACACGAGGTTGCGCAGCTGGAAGTGCACGATCGTCGGGTTCGCCACGCGCCGCCGCCACGTGAAGCTGTACAGCCGCGCACCGCGCCGCGTCGCCAGGCACTCGTCCTTGAGGCGCGCGGCCGCGGCCGCGACCTTCTCGGGCAGGTTGCAGTAGTTCTGGTACGTCGAGAGGCGGTGCGCGCGGTACTCGTCCCTCGTGTACGGCGTCGAATCCCAATCGATGCCCTGAATGTCGCGCCCGCTCTGGAAGCTATCATAGTCGGTTTCGTCCGGAGAATGCGGCGTCGTGAGCGTAATTGGGAGCCGGCGCAATCCCGCGATCTCCCCGTCCCTGCCAGCTGCCGCCTCGGTCCGCACCGTGGGCTCGCCTAGGCTGCTGGACGGCGCGCGGCCGTCCGGAGAGCTCGCGCCCGTCTCTCGAGGCGTCATCTCCTCCGCTGCCGACGAGAATACCGTCCCGGAGCCGCTCACGGCGGAGTCTGCGCAGCGAGGGTGGCGGACCGCAGATCGACGGTGGGAGCCCATCTGCGACGCTGACGTGTCGCTGCAACGACCCGGACTGTGAGGCCGTATCGCGGCCTGCCGGTCAGCATCTCGCGCGGAACCGGTCCCGCAAGTGCGCTGACTATGTGGCAGACCGTGGAGATCAAGGGCCAGGTCGTGTCGCGATTTGCAGGCGCGTCGGTGCGACCTCAATGCTCAGGGGGTATTCCGGTGCGTTTCCAGCTAGGTGAAGCACCGCTGCCACCGGACCCCTCGTGGTTCACGACGACCAGACACTTTGGTGGATCCAGGCAGGTCTGGGGGACAGGCGTCGCACAACAGGACAGCGCGGGGGCTCAATGGGCAGGCGGACAGCACTTGGGCAAGCTCTGGTCGGCGCGTGTGAATAGAAGCCCCCTTTTCGAAGAAATCTCAGCAATAGTCGATATTGTATCGACAGACTATGCGCGACATCCTCGCCTCGCCAAGACGTGAGCGCCACGGCAACATTCTCAGCCGCATCAACTGGGAGTGGCTTGCGCGGGCACTCGCCTTCCTCGAACCTATCGCCGTGCATGAAGACGGATCTATCGAGAAGATACCAATCGAATGGTCCTATTACGCGCGTCCGAGCGCCTTAACAGAGAGCTGTCGCGCCCACTTTCTAGCCTTGCTGAACAGCGCGCAAAGGTCCTGCGACGACCGGACCTTCCAGTGACCGTTCGCTCCTTTTGACACCGTGTTGCGGGCTGCCGACCAGCGTCGTGCCATGAGCCCGCCGCTGAACGGGACGCGCACGGTGCATTTTTTTTTCTTCTTCAGGGGGGTGTGTTGAATGCCTCAGGGAGCCGACGAGGGAGCGGGGCCCGTTTCGGCCGCGCCGGCGACCACGTACCGCTGTGTCAGGTGCTCCGTATTCACACGCGTGCGCCGCGCGAAAGCGCACGCTCCGTCGCGTCCCACGTCCGCACGGCACGTCACTGTGCGCTCACCGCGCCCGCCTCCTTCGAGCCGCGCCAGCGCAGCGTGCCCTGCAGGAACTCATCCAGCGCGCCGTCCATGACAGCGGTCACGTTCGACGTCTCCACGCCCGTCCGCACGTCCTTCACCATCTTGTAAGGATGGAACACATAGTTCCTGCAACGACCCCGCAAACACGCGCGCGCTACCTTTCATCGAGGCACACACGCACCAGCTTGCGTCCCGCAGGCCGGCTCGGGCGCCGCAGCCCCGCAGGCCCCGAGGGGGCGGGGCAATCATGCGCAGTCCTGCCCAGCGCGCGGGGGCACGAGGGAGCGCGGCGCACCTGATCTGCTGCCCCCACTCGGCCTTGACGAGGTCCCCCCGGATCTCTGCAATCTTCGCGGCCTCCTGTTCCTGCGCGATGACGAGCAGCCTGCCCGCCAGGAGCGCGAGCGCGCGCTTCCGGTTCGCCTGCTGCGTGCGTTCCTCCGCGCACCGCACCGCGATGCCCGTGGGCAGGTGCTTGACGCGCACCGCGGTCTCGACCTTGTTGACGTTCTGCCCGCCCGCGCCGCCAGCCCGCATGGTCGTGATCTCCAGGTCGGACTCCGGGAGGTCGACCTCCTGCACGCCGTCGCCCATGTCCGGCATCACGTCGACGCCCGCGAACGACGTCATCCGCGCCGCCTTGGCGTTGAACGGCGACTGGCGGACCAGCCGGTGCGTGCCCTTCTCGCCGCGCAGCAGGCCGTACGCGTACCGGCCGCTGATCTGCGCGAACAGCGCGAAGGCGGACAGGTGAGCAGAGAGATAGAGATTTCAGAGACGACCACAGGAGGGGCGGAAGACGACCCGCGCACGCAAACAGCGCCCAGCACCATGCGCGCGCGCGCTCCCACTTCGGCGCGCGTGGTTCGTGGAGCTGCGCACCGAGAGCTCGCAGCTCTTGATGCCCGCCTCCTCGCCCGCCTGTCTGTCGAGCAGCCGCACCGCGAACCCCTGCCGCTCCGCCCACCGCACATACATCCGTTCCAGCATCTCCGCCCAGTCCTGCGCCTCCGTCCCACCTGCAGTCAGCGTCGCGTGGCGCTGACGAGGACTGTCACGCCGCCGCCCCGGGCGGGCAGGACGCCGTCGGCGGCGAATCGTTCTGGTCGTTGTTGTTGTGCCATGAGGACTGGGTGCTCACCTGCGCCGGCCTGGATGCTCAGAATCACGTTCTTGTCGTCGTAGGTGCCGCCCAGCAGCCGCTGCAGCTCCCACCGCTCGATCGCCGCGTCGAGGGCCTCAGCGGCAGCCTGCGCCTCCGCCAGCGCACCCAGCTGCGCCTCGGTGCCGTCGTCGTCCAGCTCTGCCAGCTCCAGCGCGACCTCCATGTCCTCGACGAGCCGCGTCATGCCCTCGATCTCTGCGACAGCGGGGCGGGCTTCGGTCATCATCTCATGCGGCCCCATGGAGTTGGCGCAACGGCACAGTCAGGAACACTCGAGACCTGAGCGCAGCGATCGGTCGCCGGCGCGCCGCGGCGGGGCGCCCCACCTGCTATGTCGGCCTTGACGCGCCCGGCCGCTTGCGACAGCTCGCTCCCCTTTTGTGGGTCGTCCCACACACTGCTGTCTGATGTCTGGGCCTCCAGGTCCGCGAGCTGCGCGCGCATCCCGTCGAGGTCAACGATGCCAAGGATCTCCTGCACGTTGTCGCGCAACGCGGCCAGCGCCCGCCGCCCCGTCGCGGTGGTCATCTGCTCCTCGGACGACAGCCCAGACGCCCGCGCGATGATGAACGAGGCGTCGCGAGCCTGCCGCTGGCCCTTGAGTAGACGCGACTTCAGTAGGACGCAGGCCGGGACAAACGCGCTGGACGAGCAGGCCTTGCATGCGGAGAGGCGGGCGCCGCGAGAGCTCCGGCCGCAGGAAGCAGGCTGCCGGTAGTTGCGCTGCCTGTACCGCACGTCGCGCAGCCCGGCGCGGACGACCGTCATCCCGCGTCGCATCGCGCCAACGTGCCGCATCGCGGCGGCCGACGGACACATGTGCTCCGGGCTGGCGGGTTGCGGATGCGTCAGAGCGCGACACAGAAATCCCCGTCGATGAGCCCGGGGCAGAGTTGGTAATGTGTCGCGGATTCAAGGTGTGCTCGCGCTGCTGTGCGGCCACGGCTTGAAACCACGCGTCGCAGGGACTAGGTCCCGGGGGACAGGGAACTCGTGCGCAGTACAAGCATGATGGCTTGGCGCGGTGGACAGTTGCATCGTGCCGCCGCATGACAATGTACTTTGCGTCCGTCTTGTCCTACAAGAGACTCCGTGACGAGTTCCACTGTTCTGAACGTCGCCAGCCAAAGCATTACTCACTCTCTCTGGCAAAGCGGCAACGCCCAGCGCTTGTGTGCCTGATACGGCACTCAAGCACTCGTCCGTCTGAGGAATCAGAGCCCTGCGCGAGTTTCTCTCGTTTCACGTCCACGTCTCGCGTCGGTCCCCGCGTTTCCTACACCCGGCCCACCAGCCCCTCCCGCGGGCTCGCGCTCCGCCCTGCCTGCCTGACGGGGCACGGCAGGGCGGGCCAACGCATGTCCATCACGTCGCGATGAGATGCTCGTTGGGAGACGGCGTGCAAACGGCGGCGCAGGGACCGGTCGCATCCGACAGTGCACATCCGGCACCTGCCGCGCAGCCCGCCGAAGATCCAGTCAGGTGCGTCCGGGACCGCTTCACGCCTCGCAGGAGCCCGCCGCGCCGCGCGCCCCACGCACCGCGTCGCGCGGTGCCGTTCGCAGGGTGTTCGTGGGGGGCCTCCCGTGGAACGTGCCAGCCTCGGAGGTCGCCGCGGCGGTCAGGGCGGTGCTGGCGGACGTGCCGGGGGTGCGCGTCGACGTCCGGGGCTTCGGCGACGCGCCCCGGCGCGCCCGCGACGCCGACAAGCACCACCAGGGCACTGGCTTCGTGACGATCCCCACTGCGTCCGCCCGCGGAGCAACCGCAGAAACGTTCGCCGCGAGGCTGCACGGCGCGGACCTGGGGATCCCCGCGGCGCCGGGCATGCTCATCCGCGCCGAGCCGGCGCACCCGCCGCCCGCGCCGCCCGCGCCCGCCCCGTCGGACGCGGCGTCGGACGAAGAGCGGAGGCGGATGCGCGAGCACAAGCAGCGGCAGCGGCGGCGGCGCGTCGAGGCGCGGATGGCGCTGTTGCGCGCCGCGATCGAGGGGATCCCACACCCCGGGGGTCCCGACGCCCAGGAGCGCTGCGTCAGGCTGGCTGACGCGCTGGGAGATGAGACACCCCCCATCGACTGGGCGAGGATGCCGTCGGCGGCGGACCCCGCGATCGACCCGGTCGCCGGCAGGGCGCTCGGGGGCCACGCGGACGCTGGGTCGTCGGGTCGCGCGCTCGGGCCGGGGGGCGAGCTGCCGCTGCGTGCACTGCGCAAGCGGTGGCAGGCGGAGAGCTTCGCGCTGGCGCTCAAGGCCATGGCCGGCGAGGACGCGCGCGCGAGAAGGTGGGCTCCCCTGTCGCGGTCGGGAACGGGCGGGTTCCTCCCCTCGCAGTCTGCCGTCGCCCTGACAAGAGTGCTCGCGACGCGAGGTGTCACGTGCTCCGCAGGCTGCGCGTGGTGGACTTCGCGACGGGCACGGGGAACCTATGCCTCCCCCTGGCGCACGAGTTCCCGTCGTGGGAGTTCCTCGGCGTGGAGATGAAGCCTGCGGCGGTCGACCTGTTTCGGAGACGCGCGGCCGACGCGGGGCTGGCGAACGTGCGCGGCGTGGTCGGGATGATCGAGGCCTTCGAGGAGCCGTTCGACATCGCGCTGGCCCTGCACGCGTGCGGGAACGCGACGGACTACGCCCTGTGGCGCGCGGAGCAAGCGCGCGCTGCCTTCCTGGTGTGCCCGTGCTGCGTCGGGAAGCTGCAGTTCTCCCTCGCCGGCGGCTCCGCGTTCTCCACGAAGCACCGCGAGTGGCAGACGCAGGACGGCAGCCAGGCCCCGCAGGGCATGTCTGCGGGGCGTGCCGTCGAGGGCGGTGCGTCGACGGTGACCGTGCAGGGCGTCGAGGTGCCGCAGATTGGGCACCCGCGGTCCGCGTGGATGCGTGGCGCTTTGGGCAGCGGCGCGGAGGAGGCGTTCGGCGCCATGGCGAAGGCTGGAGACATCGCGCACGGCGCGGCGCACTCGGACAAGGCCGGCGGACACGCCCACGAGGACCTCGCGCGGCTGTGCAAGGTCAGTGCCCCGGCGAACGGCGCGGCGACCCGGGGCGGCGCGCGTGCGGACGATGTTGTGTTGCGCATGCTTGCGCTGACGTGTGTGGCATGGCCGTGGATCGGGGTGCGCGCGTTGTATGAGGGGCCCCTGTTCGCGCTGCCTCGCAGACCCACTTGGAGCTCGACCGGCTCGAGCGGATGAGGGAGGCGGGCTACCGGGTGAGTCTGCTGCGTCTGCTCAGGGACGAGCAGACGGGCAAAGGCGACCTCCTGCTGGGAGTTCCTGAGCGGCGGGAGGAGGATCTCGGGCTGTCCTGGCCATGGCAGGGGCTGTGAGGGCCGTTGGCTTCAAGCTGCGCCCGGCACTGCCAGCAGCGTCACGCTGTTCAGTACGGTACTAAAGGGAGGGGGGGGGCATTCGCCGCGCAGCACGGGGCAGCTTGCGGCGCTTTCGGGAGCGCTGGCCGGCCGCTGAGTTACATGTTGTTGCAGCCTCGCACGAGCAGGGGCTGAACTGCCCTCAGCGAGCACTCGCACACGCATCCCGCGGTTGTCGCCTGCGAGCCCAACGTTCGTGGTGGTCGAGCGAGCCGCGCGGCGGTGTTTTCGCGACGAGGACCGGCTCCGTTCGTATTTCGTCGGGGTTTCGTGGCCGAGGGTGCGTGTTCGTCGCCCCGCGGCGACGTGCGCGCCGTTCCCCTGCGTGCTTGCCAGCTGCGCCCCGCTTCGAAAACCAGGCCTTCTCCCGACGCCCCGCCGCCACAACGGCACCACGAACGCTCTCAGGACCACGTTGTCACCGCGAACCACGCCGGCCGCCCCTCAGTTTCAAGCCATGGCGGCGCAACTCAAGCCTCAGCTTGCGGCACCGTACACGGCCCCCGCGCCCGTCCACGAGGAACCGCGACCGCAACGACGAGCTCGACTCGTCAGCGGGCCGCTTCGGCCGTTTCTCGGCCGCGGGGCGGCCGTGAACGCGCCGTATCGGAGCCCTGATACCGGCCTGCGCTGCATTTTCACCGCGCCCGCTCGTGCGTCGCAATCGCAGGCTCCGGCACGGCACCATGTCCCAGGACGCCCCCCTCTCCCCGTCATCCCCGCCGGAGGGGTCCATCACCATCCGCGTCCGCAGCAAGGTGCGTTCGCCCACTACTGGCAGCACGCGCAGGCGGTTTGGCCCGTATCGCACCCCGTCCGCGGCTGTTCCCGGCCGACAAGCCGCCCGCTGTCCCATCAGGATCGCGGCCGGCGCATGCAGCCGCGTTCGTGCGCGCACGGCGGCGCCCGACCGCCCGCTCGTGCCGCCACCTCACTGCAGGACAACGGGGAGCTGCACTTCCAGCTGTCGCCCTCGCAGCGCCTGGGCCGCGTATTCGATCGCGTCTGCACGTACATCGATCCCTACAACAGCCACAACGAGCTCGTCTTCCTCCATGACGGCCAGCGTCTCGACCCCAACATGGTGCGCCCCGGCCCCCGCCGACCCGCCCGCCGCCGCCCGGGCGGGCCCTCCCCGGTCTCCCGCCCCGCCACGCCCACCTCCGCTCGAGGCCGCGCGCCGCGCCTCGGAAACTCCGCGCTCCGGCGCCCACGCGCCCTCCGCCATCGAGCCCTCGCGATCTCCGGCACCCCAGAGTGCGCGCGCGCCGCGGCCCGTCACGGCGCCCCCGGCAGCGCTCGCTCCCCGCCCCCCGCGCGCGTCACGTCCCTCCCTCCTCGTCCGCGCGACGCAGGCCCCCGCGGACGCCGGTCTGACGGACGGCGACGCCATTGACGCGCTCCCGCGGCAGTCGGGCGGGCAGGGCCCGCTGCTCCCGCTGGCCGGCGAGCCCGTGACGCTCGAGGTCCTGGTCGACGAGATGGTGTCCTCCCCCTGGGCCTCGAAGGCCGGCGTGGACGCCGGCATGGCGGCGGGCGTGTGGCGCGCGCTGACGCAGCACATCGAGGCCGCGCTGCACACGGGCCGGAACGTCGCGGTGCCGCACCTCGGCTCCTTCGTCGTCGCGAGCGCGATCGACACGCGCTCGGGCCGCGAGGCCGGCTTCGTGCGGCCCTTCTTCGAAATCGTGCTGGGGCGCTTCAGCGGGGTGCGCATGCGCTGCCTGCGGTACGCGCCGGCGTCGCGCGGCGCCGGCGCGCAGCCGAGCCTCGTGCACATCCAGAAGGAGTCCGGCGTGTCGCGCAAGCTCGCGTACGAGATCATCCGCGAGCTCGTGCGCCGCATGGGCGCGCACATGAACGCGCGCGCGCGGCCCATCAAGGTGGCGTTCCCGGGCCTGGGCCACCTCGTGACGGACGGCCGCATGCAGCTGGCGTTCAAGTTCGAGCGCGCGCTGCTCGAGAGCATCTTGAAGGACAAGGGCGGGGACGCCGAACGCGCCCCGGAGCCGCTGCCGCCGTCGCGCTTCCCCGAGGGGAGCGTCGAGGGCGCCGTGGATCGCCTGGCGCGGCGCTGCCGCGCCGAGGACACGAGCCGCAGCGGGATGGTCGCGCGGATGTCGCTCGAGGCGTGGCTGGACGAGGCGGTGCAGGCGGGATGCGAGGTGCTGGGGTCGCTGCCGAGCTCCACGCTGCTGCGCCTGCTGCGCGAGGCGACGTACGGCCGGAGCAAGTCCTTCATCGAGTACCGCGCGTTCCTGGAGGCCCTCACGGACGCGCTCGGGGACTACGTCGCCGCACCGCCGCCGACCGCCAAGGCCGCCGCCGCGCCCAAGCGAGGCAAGGACGCGCACGCGCACGGTCACGGTCACGGGCACGGGCACGGTCCCGCGCCGGCCCAGGCGGCGTCCTCGGCCGCCGGCCCGCACGGCGGCGACCGCGCATCCATCCCCGACCCCGCGGACTTCGCGCACGTGGAGGAGGAGGTCCTGCCGACCGCGCGCGGCGCCGGCAAGTCCGTGGTGCGCGGGAGGTCGATCGGCCGCGCGAAGGAGGCCTGGGGCGCCGCGCCGCCTGCCCCGGCCCCGCCGCCGCCCCCGTCCCCGCGCCGGCGCCCGCGCCCGCGCCCGGCGCGCAGGACGTCCCCACGGACGAGGACCTCGCGGCGTCGGACTCGGAGGTGGTCCCGGGCGCGCCCGACTACCTGCGGCAGGCGCAGCTCCCACAGACGTGCCGCGCGGCGGAGAAGGGCCACGACGTGACGGAGGAGTGGCAGCCCGGGCGCGGGAGCGACGTGCACATGTCGGCGGAGTGGCGCCAGGCGCGCGGCCTGTGCGACGCGTTCAACCGCGCGCACTTTGGCCGCCTGTACAACGCCCTCGGGTGGGAGTCGTCCGTGATGAAGGAGCGCGTGTACCAGGCCGAGGGCCGCTGGGGCAAGATGGGCCGGCAGGCGGCGGTGACCCCGAAGATCGGGCAGGACCCGCTGATGCAGGAGTGGGCCGAGGAGGCCCGCGAGCGCTTCGTGTTCGACAAGCCGGAGCGCGCGGTGGAGCTGGAGGAGCAGGTCGAGGCGCGGCGGGAGGCCGAGCTGATCGCGCGGCAGAACTCGCGCGCGATGGCGGTGCAGCGGATCGAGCAGGAGCTGGACGCGGTGACCAAGGAGAAGCTGGCGGCCGCGGAGAAGCGGCGCGAGGCGGTGGCGCGGATGCGGAGCGGGTGGGACGAGCAGATCCGGGTGCAGCGGGCGCAGCGGGAACAGGCGCGCGCGTCGGAGGGGACGTGGCCGTACATCACACGCGGGAGCCACGCCAAGGTGGCGCTGCTCGACCAGCCGCGCTACATCCGCCCGCTGCACAAGGCCGCCGCGGGCAAGTGAGCGGGCGCCGTGGCGAGCGAACCGGCCGCGTGGCTCGTCGCGAAGCCGTGCTTGTGCGGACGGGAGAAGGCAACGGTAGAAATGGAATGGCCGGCGCACATGCCGCATGTAATGTCCCGGCCGAGGTGGAAGCTTGCGCGTCGTCCAGTGCGCGTCGGTCACGTGCTTCCGGCAGGGCCCGGGCCACCTAGTCCAAAGCGTCGTGTGGTTGGCAGACTGGCGGGCTCTTCTGCGCCTTGCGGTGCGCCCGCAGCTGCCTGCGCAGATCGCACAGAGCCGCGTCTGCGCCCTTGTCGGCGCTGGGCGGGCGCAGGTCGAGCCCGCGCCAGTCGAAGGAGCCGCCCCGACAGCAGGTGGTTCGTCTGGGCTGCGGGCCGTCCGGGTCCTCGCGGGACAGCTCGAGCTCGACTGCCTGCACGGCGCCGAGCGTCATGGCGTCGCCCACGAAGTTCGTCGTCGGGCCGTGCCGCGCGCGCTCGTATCCCAGCGTGTCGACACCTTGAGTTCCGTGAAGGACGATTGCGCCGCGTTCTGGCGCCTTTGCCACGCTTGCGGGACCCTCTGGATCTGCTTTGCGGTACGGGCCTCCGTGGGCGTCCTTGGTCCACACGGTGGGGTAGAAGTGCGCCTCGCGGTCGGCCTTGCGACGCTCCTTCGCTAGCTCGCGAGCCTGCAGCCACTGGAAGTGGTCTGGATGAGGTGCTCGACACGTCGACTTGTTGCGTTTACGTGTCCGGTTCCCGCTCCACGTCGTGAGGCTCGGCCCTGACCTGCTCAGCGAGGCCGTCGAGGACCGTACACTGCGCGGCATCCGAGACATGGATGATTTCACGGCCTCCCGCAGCCTCGTCCCTGCCGTCCGTGATGTGATCGATTCGATTCAACATGAAGCGCTTCGCGCAGAAATCGCGAGTGCGAGCTTCAGCGGGCCGCGCTACCAACTCAAGTCATAGATATCGAGGCTGGCCGCACTGCTCGCGTAGATTCTCAACGGGGTTGACACGTGCGCCCTGACTCGCAGAATTTCTATCAGGACGACAGACACCGCCCAACCAGCCGAGCCGAGCGCGGACGCACGTCCAACCGCTCCTTGAGAGTCCCTTGTTCCTGACTCAAACCCCCCCCGGGCGCACAAGCTCAACTAAGCACCCCTGCCGCGTCGGCGCTAACTTGAATCACACGACCGCGCACCGTTTCCGCCGCGCCCCCTACTCCTCCATCGCGGCCAGGCGCTCCCACTCCGGCATCTGCTTCCGGTACCTCTCCGGCACGGGCAGCGGGCTCGCCTTGCGGTACTTGAGCATCAGCAGGTCCGTCACCTCGTCGATGCACTGGATCGCGTACCGCAGGTCCTCGAGCGTGTGCCCCGCGGAGATGCACAGCCGCGCGCGCGCGCCCATCAGCGGTGTGGCCGGGAAGCCCACCACGACGCACGCCACGTTCCGCTCGAGCATCAGCCGCGAGAACGTCGGGATCTTGCCCCCGCTGATGATCATGATCGGGATCACCGCCGAGTCCCAGTCCCCCAGCACGTCCAACCCCATGTCCATCATCTTGACGCGACACCAGTTCGACATCGCGTGCAACCGGCGGATCTTCCGCACGCCGCGCTCCGTGCCGTCGCGCCCCATGATCAGCTTGAGCGCCGACAGCGCCTGCTCGGCCGCCGCCGGGGCCATGCTGGCCGCCGCCAGCGTCCCAGGGCTCGAGAGGCGGATGCCGCGGATGACGTCGCGGTCGCCGGCGATGTAGCCGCCGCAGGACCCAAACGACTTGGTATACGTTCCCTGCGCGCGCAACGCCGCGGCCGAGCGCGTGAGCGGGCGCGCCAGCGCGTGGTGGTACACTGCACGCACAGCGCGGCGACGGCCGGGGGGGGCGCACCATCAGAATGTCCACGTCCTCCATGTCGACCCCCGCGGCCTCGCACAAGCCGCGGCCCGTCGCGCCCATGGCCCCGATCGAGTGCGCCTCGTCCAGGAACAGGTACGCGCCGTACTTCTTTTTGATGCGTACCGCCTCGCGCAGGAACGTCGTCTCCCCCTCCATGCTGCACACACCTCGCACGCACGCGCGGACGTCAGCTCCCGGCGCCGCACGCGCTCACGCGCAGTGCGCAGGCGTCCACGGAAGGCCGCAGCCCCTGTCTGCGGGAGGAGCGTTCGCACCTGTAGATGCCCTCGACGACGATGAGCACGTTCTTCCATGGGCGGTGCGTCCGGGGCTGTCCGTCCGCGATGGCCCAGCGCAGGATGCTCTCCAGGGACTCGGCGTCGTTGTGCTGGAAGATGCGCGTGGTGGCGCCCGAGGACCGCAGGCCCGCCACGATCGACAGGTGGTTCAAGGAGTCGCTCAGGACCAGGCTGCCCTTACCGCACAGCGTAGGGAGCACCGTCGAGTTGGTCGCGAAGCCCATGCCGAACACCACGGCGGCCTCCTTGCGCAGGAACTCCGCGGTGCTCGTCTGCGGGGGGCCGGGGAGGACGCGGGCTCGAAACGCGTCAGAGCGCGACCACGGCGTCGGACACACCTCCCAGAGCGCACACGCTCCGCGCTTGCCGCGTCAGGCACGCGAGCGCATGTGTGGTGAGCCTGGCAACATGTGGCGACGTGTCGTGGCGAGCATGGCGCACCTCGAGCTCTCGGACGACGGGCGTGGAGCCGGCCTCGAGGGACGGCGAGCACGCGCTGGCGCCGTACTGCATGAGCGTCTCCACGACGCGCGGCGTGCAGTACGCGTCCTGGTTGGCAAAGCCCAGGTAGTTGTAGCTGGCGAGGTTGAGACAGAACCTGCGACGCACGCGGGAGCGCAGGGGCGCGTGGGGCGACCGCGCGGTGCGGGGCGGCGCGCGGTGCGCGTGCGGGGTGGTTGCGGGCCCGTACTTGGTCTCCTTGGTGGGGGCCATGTACGTCTCGCCGGACGGGGCCTTAGTCGGCTTGCGGAGCATGACTTGCGTCCAGCCGTCCGGTGCGCTGCAGTGACGGGGAGCAGGGCGCGGTTGCTGCGTGTGTTGGCGCGGGCGAGGCGGCAGGAGGGCTGCGGGGAGCACCGCGTGCGTGGCGCGGTGAGGCGCGCGGGGGGCGCGAGCTCGCGGCCGGGGGACGCGAACCTGCAGATGGGTCTGTTGAAGCAGTCCTGGATGCGGCGGTAGAAGCGGCGCGTGTAGAAGGATTCGAAGTCCGAGAAGAGCGGCGCCATGCCCTTTGCGTCCACGCGGCTCTTCTGGCCGCCGCGCAGCACCAGGTTCAGGAACCTGCAGGAAGCACGCGAACAGAGGCGCCAGGTTCGCGCAGGGCGCAGGTCCAGCTGCGACGCAGCGCGCCGCGGTCCCGAGCCGCGCTCTGCCAGCGCCGAGCGTCTCAAACGCGCCCGGCACGCCGGGCGGGGACGCAGCCGGGCACCACGGCGCCTCAGTGCGCGTGCGCGGCGACGTCGCACTGCCAGACGCGGTGAGCAGGCCTCGTGCGGCCCGGAGCGGCCTCGCGCGGGGCGCGGTGCGTGGCGAGCTGCCGGAGCGTACTTGCGGAAGATGTCGCGCATGCGCCCGATGATGAGCAGCATGAACGCCCCGAACAGGATGGCGATGGTCTCCGCGTAGCTCAGGCCGCCCGCGCCGTGCTCCAGGCTGAACGCATTGGCCTTCTTCACGGCCGCCCCAGCCTTTCCGCTGGGGGCCTTGCCCTTCGCCATCGTGCCGTGCCCTCGCGACGTCGGCCTGCCGAGCTCGCACGGCCGCCACGCTTCCGAGAGGTGCGTGGGGAGGCGCGTCGGGCGAGGTGTCGAGGCGTGGGGCGCCGCCGGGCGCTGTCGTCCGCGCTCAAGTCATACCGCCCGAGTGAGCTGGCAGGCAGCGGCCGCGCGACACGGGGGCGCCCGTTCGGCGGCGGGGGGCACAACCTGTCGTGCCGAACAGGAAACGGCCGTCTCCGAGCTGGCAGCGCGCGGGCGCGGCCGGTAGACGCAGCTGGAGGGGCAGTGGCGAGGACGCGCGGGCGCACGGCGGCGCCTCCTTCCTTCGCGCTAACGGCTCGCGTGTCACGAAGACCTTGCTGTGGTGCTGAAAACGTTGGCGTTTGCGTGGCGGACGGCGGTGCTGGCGCAAGTGTGGTGTGGCAGACATTGCCACCGGAAACGCCGCTTGCGACGCGTGGGCCTGCGGGTGCCCCGGTCGGCCTGACTGTGCTGTTCGTCGTTCCTCGGGCGGCTGCTTGTCCGGCGCGCGCGGCGGGCTGCGCGAACGGGGCCTCTGCGTGGCACGAGGCAGCGATTCTGCACCAACACGGCACGAGCCGTGCGGGTCGTCGGAATCGCACAACATGGCGTCTGGCGTGAGGCAGTCCAAGCGCAGTAGGCGCGCGCCTGCCCTGTTCAGAGATCATGTTGGGGAGGAAGGGGCCGGACTGCCCAAGAGACAGAGAGTAGCCGCTGGCCCGGAGTTCATCAGTCGGCAGGACCTGATTGAATGCGAGGACAAAGTTCTCGAGGTATGCATTCGTTCGTGGCCGCGGAGACGGGCGCGAATGCGTGCTGCGGGACGTGACATGGCGCAGCGCGTGGGCTGCTCCTGTAGTGGCGCGGGACGGGCTTGCGCGGCCGATTCCGGGGAGCCGGCAGCGTGCCTGCACCGAGATTGGCATCCTGTCTGAGACGTCGCACTTCAAACCGCGCAACTCGACCGCTTCGCGCAAGCCTGATGCGACCGCGTGAGCACTCGTGTGCCGTTGCGTCTATATGGCGTCGCCACCAGCTTGTCGCACGGGGACACCACGCTGAGTTTTTGTGGCGCATCTCTGCGCTGGCTGCGCGTTCGTTCTGCGCCTGGGCCGTCTGTGGTGCCCCGTTCCCCAGCTGCTCTTCGTTGCCGCTCCGGCGTCCACGCGCCGCTTTCCTTCAGTGGCGACCGGCATTCGTCAAGCAACCTCCTCTGAGCAAGGCCCCCTCGGGCTCCAAATGGCCTGCAGCCCCGCACGAGGGGTGGTGGCTCGTAGCATGATGCACTTGTAGCCGCGCTCGCGGCGCGATTCTGCGGCGTATTAGGGCTCGTTCCGACCACGTCTCGACCACTGCGGCCAGCGAGCAGCTGTTTCCGTGATCGGGGGCGCTCGTTCGCGCTCGGAGACGCTGCGGCGCGCGAAAGCCGGTAGGCCACGCGACACAGAATGTGCCCCGGAAACCGACCGGACCCCCCGCGAACGCCGCGGTTTTCCGCAGGTCGAGTGTCTCAGGGACGGCAAGTGGAAGGTCGCGTTCATCGAAGCGCTGAACCGCGGGGACCTCACGGTGCGTTCCGCGTCGCGACGCACACCATTGCAGCGGCCCCACGTCCGCACCGCAGCCACGCCCTCCCGCTCCTGCTTTCACGCCTTGCGCTGCGGCCGGCCCCGCCCACGCCCTCACGGTGCGCGGTCGCGGCCGCCACGCGCCGCAGGGTCGCATTTGGAACACCAACCCATTCCCGCCCAGCGACGACGAAGACAGCGACGACGAACCGGAGGAGGTGCCGGAGAAGGAGAACCTCGACGTCCTGGCGGACAATCTGCAGCTCCGGTGGCCAGAACACAAGCGCAAGGCTCAGGTGCGACCAGCGTGGCTGCGGCGCACACACGGGTCCGCGTGCGTCGGCCCGCGCGCACCCCGCCCGTGCACTGCGAATGTTTTCCCACGCATGCCGTTCTCGCACCGCGCCCCGCGACGTGACGCGTGCCCCCCCCCTCCTCCCCCCCCTGCCGTCTCACAGGAGCAGGCACGTGCCAGGCGAGCAGCGGCCGAGGCGGAGGATGCGAAGCTCGCGGCGGGGATCGACGCCGGCGACGAGGAGGAGGGCGGCGGGGACGCTGGCGAGATGGACGACAGCGACGACGAGGACGTGAAAGTTGACGAGGGCGCGCTGGGCAAGGTGCGCCAGAGGGCGCCGTCGAAGCGGCAGGCGCAGCGCAGGTCGGGCGGGGCGGCCGCGCAGGAGGTGGACGAGGGCGAGAGCAGCGAGTCGGAGTCGAGCTCTGACTCGGAGTCCGACTCGGAGGACGACACCCCCCTGGGGGCGTTGCAGCAGCGCAAAGACGGCGAGGGCGAGCCGCAAGGGCCGCGCAAGGCGAACCGGGCGGTGCAGGCCGCGGAGAAGCTCGCGAAGGTACAGAAGGTCGTCAAGGTGCGTGCGCCGCATCGTCGCAGCGAACCCTGGCCCGCCACGCATGCGCAGCATCCGACTCGACCGCGCACACCACCGACGCACCGGAGCAGCGGTCACGTGCCCCACCGGCGTCCCGTGAGTGCGCTGCAGGCTCAGAAGAAGGCCCCGCAGGCGAAGCGGCCCGCGCCGGCGCCACCGCGCGTCGTCAAGGCCGCACCGGCGCCGACCAAGTCCCCCAAGAGTGGCACGGCGGCGACCGCGGAGAGCATTCGCCAGAAGCTGTGCGCGAAGTTCGAGGAGGCGCTCGCCGTGGGTGTCGCGGAGGTGAACAAGGACGGCACGGAGGGGAAGATCCCCGCGGGAGCCATCACCGCCAAGCGCGCGGCGGAGGACATCGAGAAGGCCCTGCGCGCCAAGCACGGCGAGGTCAACAACGCGTACCAGCAGCACTTCCGCTCCCTGCTCGGCGCGCTCAAGGACAAGGAGAACCGGAGGCTGCGGGCGCGCGTGCTCCTGGGGGAGGTCAGCGCAGAGAGGTTGTGCAAGATGGAGACGGCGGAGCTGCTGTCGGAGGAGCAAGCGGAGGCCACGCGGGCGAAGCTCGCCGAGCTCGAGCGACAGCGGTACCTCGCAGGTGCGCCGGCCCGGGGCAGGCCTGGCACGCGACAACATAGAACATGACGTAGAACTTCCTGCCGCGAGCACGAAGACGGAGATGCTGAAGTGCGCCCGCGTGGTTTCGTACTGCAGGAGATGACCTGCGCCGTCTGCTGCCGGGCGTTGCGGCGGGGCTGCGGGACGAGGAGCAGCGGCGCGGGGCGCGCAAAGGGGCGCGCGGCGAGGCGCCGGCGCACGGGGACGAGGCAGCTCCGGAGGCGGACGGGATGGCCGACCCGCGCGGGTCCGGCGGCGAAGGGCCCCTGAGCCCGCGCGACTCGTGGAGGGGCGCGGACGGCCACGCGCCGGGTGACAGTGCGCGCGCGAGCAAGGGGGAGCACGAGGAGGCGAACACGCCGACGGCGATGAAGGAGACGGTGTTCTCGGCGGGTATCGACTGGGCGACGATCGCGGCCGAGAGGAGCAAGGCGGGCGACGGCGCACAGCCGGTGGAGATGACGGGCAACTCGCCGTCACCGGTGCGCGTGCAGACGCCCGACTACGACCCTGCGGCGGACCTGGACGACGATGACGACATTGGTCAGGACAAGCAGGAGGCGGAGGAGCAGCGTGGGCGTGCAGCGCAGGCGGCAGCGCCACCGCCACGGTCGGCGAAGCCCGCGGCGGCAAAGCGAGTCGAGAAGCCAGTGACGGACGGGCCTGACCTGACGAAGCTGTTCCTGGACGGGACGCACGCCGGGAGGACGCGCACCTGGACCGGCGAGGTCGCCTTCAAGCGAGTGATGGAGGTGAGGGTTGCGACCAGGAGGCGGGACCCGTCGCTGGCTGCTCGAGCGCTGCTTGCCGCCTGGTGCGTCGCTAACAATGCCGTTGTCGCCCGGTCTGATCGCGCTCGCAGGGTACGAACTTCACAGTCAGCGTCCGGGAGCTGTCGGGCAAGGGCCCCTTGTCAGGGATGCTACACCCCCCCAACCGCCTCCTGACCTTCCAGACCGACCGCGTCCCACTGCCGAAGCTCGAGAAATACCTCACCGACCTCCTGCACTCGCGCACGCGCACTGTGACAATCGGGGCCGTGTCGGCGCGGGCCGCAACCGGCGTCTCCGACGAGGACGCGCCGCAGTTGCTGCACGATGCAATCACGGAGCTCGCAGACGGCGGGAATTCGGCGTTCAACGAGCCCCGCCCCACCGTCGAGGCGTATCTGATTCCCCCGGGGCGCGTCGCGTCGCTGTTGCTCCGCAACGCCAAGGCCGCGGCCCGCACGAGCGAGGCCCTCCTGCCCGACATCGACATCCCGGAAGATCTCCCCGCCAACGAAATGCTGGCCGTCGTCGTGCACCGCAAGGACACGGAGCCCCCGCCGTCCTGGGCGGCCGCGGAGCGCGGCGGTGACGGCCCGGAAGGCGCGACCGCCAAGCCTGCTGGTGCGGCTGTCGTGGACCCGCGCGCGTCGCGGCGTCAGGACCCGCGCGCTGCCCAGCATGCGGCGGCGCGGCCGGCGACGCCCCGCGGCGCCGAGCGCGCCGCCGCGGCGCCCGCAGCACGCGCCTGGGCCGCTGCCCTCGCCGACGCCGCCAGTCAACCTCGCTGGCTTGGACCTGCACAGCATCCTCGCGGCGGCGAAGGGGACGGCGCGACCGGACGCAGGAGGACCTCCGCCGCCCGCACGGAACGGCGGCGGCCCCGTCGATCCACGCGAGCGGCCGCCCGCCCGGCCCCGCTGGGACCCCCCTGCATGGCAACCCCCCACCGGACCCCCCCCGGGAGCGTCGCCGACCCGGCCCTCAATGGGCGCCCGCCCCGGTCCGGGCCCGGGGCCCGGGCCGCGTGGTCCGCCTGCGTCGGTCGGGAGGCTCGATGAGAAGGCGCTGGGTGATCTGACTGCTGAGCTTGGGCTCGCAAGCTCGGCCGACCGCCTGGGAGCGCCTCCGCGGATGGAGATGCAGCGGCCGCCGCCCGGGCGCGGTCCGCCCCCCGCGGACCGTGGTCCTCCCCGGGACTGGTCGATGCCGCCGGGCGGGCCGGGGCTGCGCGGCCGCGGCCCCGGGCGGGATGGCCCGCCGCCGTGGGGCGCTGAGCGTGGAGGGCGGGGCATGGGAGGGCGGGTGCCGATGCGTCCTCCGATGGACAGGGGTGTGGGGCCTCCGCCGATGCGGGGTCACGGCGGGCCACCGCTGCCGCCGCCCCCTGGCAGCAACGGACGGCTGCGGTTCGACCTGCGGGACGGCCCCGGGCCGATGGATCACTCTGCAGACTTCAGGGGCGAGCGAAACATGATGGACGGTCGGGGGGGGCGCTTCGGGGGCCGGGGGGGTCGCTTTGAGGACCGGGGACGTGGGCGCTACAGATGAGGGGTTTGCTCCCGCTCGCAGGCAAGGGCATGTAAGTCTCTTGTCTCTGCTCGCCTGCTCCGGGTGGCTGTGCGTCGACTCTGAGGGCAAGGGCACGCTGCCAGCCAAAACATTTTGAACCACTGTTCAGCGTGCGTGACCGACATGCAATGCCCATGCGCGCCACCTGGTCGGGTCACCGGCTGAGGAGGAGATCGCCACGCGTCCCGCCTCGCGAGGCGTGTCGGAATCGCTGACGAACAGAGCAGGTGATTCCTGCGGCTTGATGTGGCCACGTGCGGGCAATTGACGCCCGTGCAGCTGCGTGCGGGCGACGGCGCTTCGCTGCGGTTTGAGGACATCGACCCGACCTCGTGACATCAAAGAAGGGATCACAGGAAGGGAAGGGATGGGAACATTTGGTGTGAACGTCTGCCAAGACGCTGCCACCAGTGGTAGGGGCATCTTCGACACTGCCGGCTCCTGTTCCCTGTTGTTGGTGTTGGTGGGCATGAGGGGCGACGGGAACAATAATGCGATGAAAGTGAAGGCGAATCATGAAACTTGTAAAGGTGAGTGGTCCATCTTTGAACCATCAGAATGATAGCGCAGGTGGTCCGCGATGCAAACCGCGGGCCAGTCGCGCCGTCGCTAGAGCCATCGGCAGCCGCGTTCGCGGCGACTGTAAAGGGATTTGACATCAATCGTACAAGGCCGGATTAATAATAGAAGGCCGAACGTCGCCCGCGCTGGTTGCCAGCCCGTGGACGACCAAGTGCAGGCGTGCTCGGCGCTGTTGGTGTTGTAAGGGGCGGCCAACCAATCAATCAAACCTGAGACAACGTAGAGGGCCTCACCCTGGGCTGAGTCAAGGAAATTTCGAACCACTTTGGCAGGTCGGAGAGGGGGAGTGCCAGGGCTTCCATAAACGCTTTCATGCGGTCGAGCGGGCGCATGTTGAGGTGCTTGGGCACCTTGATGATCGGAGCCCCGCCTCCGCGGAACTTGGGCAGGTCGTCGTGCCGCACCGCAAAGTCGATGTGGACCGTCGTGGGGGACAGCGAGGGCCTGGCCAGGCGGTTCGATGAGGACGTGATGCCGTCGGAGGACGTTTCCGCAACGACCTTGTCGTGCTCGACGACGGCCATCCACATGCCGAAGTTGCGCGCCAGGCGCCGCCGCAGCTGGTCGCCCACCGACGGCATCCGGGCCGCCACCGCCGACACAAACGGCCGCATGATGATCTCGTAAAACTCCGCCTGCGCCCCCGGCACGTACGTCAGCTCCTCCACCATCAGCGCCTGCGGCTGCATCCCCAGCGCCTTCTCCATCTCGCCCTGCTCGAAGAACTCGCGCATCACGCGGTCCGTCCAGTCCATGACCACCTGGCCCTCGCGGAACATCATGAAGAGGTCGGCCAGGTGCAGCAGAGCCTGCAGCATCAGCGCCCGGTCCTTGCAGGTGGCGCCGGGCCCGGAGGTGCTCGACACGTCGTTGACCCAGCTCCGGGTCTCAGCCATCGTCTCCAGGTTGGCCACCAGGTCGAAGTGCACCGCCATGTCCGTCCCCATCACCGACGTCACGATCGCCGTCCGCACCGTCCCCCACGCGGCCTCGTCCAGCCCCGCCAGCACGTCCGCCTCGGGGTGGTCCGTCATGACCTCAAACAGCCGCGCCGCGTGCATGTTCTCCTGCACCGCCATGTCGTTGTACCGGATCGCCAGCGGGTCCCGCGTCGCCACCAGGAACGCGTTGTTCGTCCCCCGGTGGCCCATGTCGTGCGCCAGCGCCGCCAGCATCAGCGCCGCGCGGTCCCACGTCCCCAGCCGCCCGCGCACCTCGCGCGCGTTGGACAGCAGGATGAACATGCCGTGCGTCACGTCCACAGCGTGCGGCCAGTTGTGGTACGGGTGGTCGCTGTAAGACGCCTCGATCAGCGGCAGCAGCGCGCGCAGGCGCTCCTTCGGCAGGCGCCCGCCGCTGCCGGTGTCCTCGTCCGTCACCAGCTTCAGCTGCTCGAACATAGCCATCACCATGTCCTGGAGCTGCTCCCGGTCCACCAGCAGCGACGACCAGCTCCATGCTTGCACAGCCTGCGGCTCGCTCGCCCAGCCGTCCTCGGCGCCCGAATCCGACTTGTTGTGCGCGCCCTGCGTCACGCGTGACGACGTTGCCGCGTCCTCCGCGCCTGACGCGGTCGTGCGGGTCGAGGAGGCTAGCACCCTGCTCGACTCCCCCGCCCCGCCCTCGTCTGAGCCCATCCTCGGCCCGTACATGCGCGCCCACGCGCGCATGCCGCTGGCGCCGTCGACCTCGGTGGCGCCGGCCATCAGGCGCTTCATGACGGTGCGCCCGCCCTCGTTGGCCTTGTGCATGATTTGCAAAAAGTCGACGATGCGCGTCAGGGCCGCGAACCCCGTGAGGCGGTCGTTGCGTCCCTCGTGCCCGACGAGCACCCCACGGTGGTCGAGCAAGGCCGCGGACTCGACGATCTTCGACAGGAGGTCTTGGAGCGGCGTCACCATGAGCGCCGACATGATGTAGAAGTTGCACACCAGGAGGACGATGCAGATGAGGAGCGGGAGCAGCTTGCGGAGGGCGTCCTCCTTGCCGGTGTTGAGCAGCAGCATGCGGTAGTCATAGCGCAGCAGCACGGTGTACTCGGGGTCGGTGACCCACACCGCGGGCGGCAGGTGGCTGTGGGCGAACGGGTCCGTGATGGCGTCGAAATCATCGTCCTGGAGCGCCGTGACGAACGCCGCGTCGGGCTGGCCGCCCAGTCGCACGAGGACGTGGGTGATGGCGTTGCTGGGACTGAGGTTTGTCGTGGGCCCGGTGTTGGACCCAGCCGAGGCTGCAAGCACGGAAAGCGCAGGGCGAGGTGGTGAGCAGAGTGCGACGAGCAGGGGGGCGAGGCGTTGCAGCAACCCAGCAGCGGCGTGGGCGCCTCACTTGTCACGGCTTGCAGGGGGCTGCCATCAACAGGGCCATTGGGGCTGAGCTTGTTGTTGGCGGCGAGGATGCCCACGTAGCGCCACATTGCGAAAGCAACTCCGTTGAACGAGTCCGGGAGGATGGCGACCAGGGTCTCGACCACGAGCACGGCGCACACGCTGAGAGCAGTGAGGCACATGAGCCACTGCGTCCACCGGTGGCCTGTGCCCTGCTTGTACCCTCCGCCGCCGGCGACGTCCATGCTGTGGTACGACATCGACCTCTGCCGCCACGCCGCGGCCACGATCTTCAAGAACACGAGCGGCAGGACCAGGAAGGATACGACCTTGCGCGTCGTGGTCACGTCGTCAATGTAGCCCGGCGTCTCCTCGCGGCCGACCACCGCGTGGTGCGCGGACACGGAGTTGTAGACGAGGCTGTGCAGCGCGGGCCACACGAACATTGCGAGGAAGGCCACGGCGTCGAGCACGTAGGGCGTAGGGGCCAGCAAGTCCGGCATGTGCAGCCACCACGCGACGAGGAGGTGCAGCGCCGCGTCGATGAGGATGAAGGCTGCGGCGCCCATCGCCACACCCCAGACGACGCCGACGGGCGGGAACGGCTCGTAGGCTTCCTCGAGCACAAGGTCTAGGTACGCAATCAGCAGGCAGCCGACGGCGATGCCGGCGAACCAAAACGGCGACGACAGGGCCGGGAAGAGCGCCCGCGCGGCGCGGTCGACGGCCCAAGCGAGGCGCGCGCGGGCCCACGTCGCGCGGGCCGACGCGCCTCGCGTCAACTTCTCCAGGTAGGCGGGGGCCTTGCCCGACGGCGAGGCGACCAGCTCCGCGTTGTGCAGCCAGGAGCCGTACGGGTCGAGGCCGAGGCCGGTTGCGAATCGCTTGAACCGCTCGGTGGTGTCCATGCCCAGGTACTTGTCGACCTTGGCGATGGGCGCGCCGCCGCCCGTCCACTCCGGGGCTTCCGGGAACTCGATCAAGCGACCGGTGCTGTCGGAAGGGACGTGGGCGAGAACCCGCGCCGGGGCGGAAGTTGCGCCCTTGTCATGGTCGACGACGGCCATCCACATGCCGAAGTTGCGCGCCAGGCGCCGCCGCAGCTGGTCGCCCACCGACGGCATCCGGGCCGCCACCGCCGACACAAACGGCCGCATGATGATCTCGTAAAACTCCGCCTGCGCCCCCGGCACGTACGTCAGCTCCTCCACCATCAGCGCCTGCGGCTGCATCCCCAGCGCCTTCTCCATCTCGCCCTGCTCGAAGAACTCGCGCATCACGCGGTCCGTCCAGTCCATGACCACCTGGCCCTCGCGGAACATCATGAAGAGGTCGGCCAGGTGCAGCAGGGTCTGGATCATCAGCTTGTGCTCGGACGGGCTCAGGCGCGTCTGCCTCACGTTGTCCGCGCTGGGCGAGACGTTCGAATCGACCCAGGTCTCCGCCTCCGCCATCGTCTCCAGCTTCGCCACCAGGTCGAAGTGCAACGCCATGTCCGTCCCCATCACCGACGTCACGATCGCCGTCCGCACCGTCCCCCACGCGGCCTCGTCCAGCCCCGCCAGCACGTCCGCCTCGGGGTGGTCCGTCATGACCTCAAACAGCCGCGCCGCGTGCATGTTCTCCTGCACCGCCATGTCGTTGTACCGGATCGCCAGCGGGTCCCGCGTCGCCACCAGGAACGCGTTGTTCGTCCCCCGGTGGCCCATGTCGTGCGCCAGCGCCGCCAGCATCAGCGCCGCGCGGTCCCACGTCCCCAGCCGCCCGCGCACCTCGCGCGCGTTGGACAGCAGGATGAACATGCCGTGCGTCACGTCCACAGCGTGCGGCCAGTTGTGGTACGGGTGGTCGCTGTACGACGCCTCGATCAGCGGCAGCAGCGCTTGCAGGCGGCGGCGCGGGAGCCGGCCGCCCTCGGCGAACTCGGCCTCGGTGACCAGGTCCAGGCGCACAAACATGCCCATCACGATCGCGCCGAGCGTGTCGCGCTCCTCCGTCACGGCCGACCACTCCCAGCGCGTCACGTCGTCCTTGACCACGATGAAGCGGTCCGAGTCCTTGGCGCTGTCCCCCAGCTCCGTCATCGACATGAAGCGCGACGGGTTCCGCCCGGGGTTCGACAGCGCCTTCGACCGCGGCGCTTTGACGTTGTCGTGGCTGCTCGCCTGGCTGACGCGGTCGTGGATCGCCGCGGTCAGCTTGTTGGTCCCCTGCGACCCCTGCGACGTGCCAAACGCCCGCCGCTCCATCACCGCGCCGCGGTCCGGCCGGCGCGTGCGGTACATGTCGGCCCACTCGACGGCCGCCTCCGCGCCACCCTCGCCGCCCGCGGCCTGGTGCATGAGCCGCTGCAGCACCACGCGCCCGCCCGCGTACGCCTTCTGCATGATGCGCATAAACTCCTCGACGCGGTCGACGGCCTCCTCGATCGAGAGGTCCATGCCGCGCGCGTCGCGGCCCTCGACGAACACACCGCGCGCGTCCAGGCTCGCGGAGAACCGCACGAGCGACGCCAGGAGCTGCTGCAGGGGCAGCACCATGAGCCACCCCGCGAGGTAGAACGTCGTGAAGAGGACCACGACGCAGGCCGCGAGCGGGATGTACTTGCGACGAGTCTGCGCGGCGAGGTCCTCCATGAAGAAGCCGCGGAAGTCGCACCGCATGAAGGACGTCGACTCGTCGCTGCGCAGCCACACGCCGGGCTCGTACCCGTCGGCGAGCGGGTCGCCCGGCGGCGCGTCGGGCAGCGTCTTCACGACCTCGCCGTCGATGAACACGTGCGTGACGTGCCGGCCCGGCGCGCCGACGGCCTCGGACGTGTCGAGTGTGTCTGCACACAGGGGGGGCGCGGCACGCGCGGTGGGGCCGGGGGACCGTGCGCGGACACGCGTGCGAGGTCGACCTGGACATCTGGCGCGTGGCGGGCCCGCAGGCGTGCTGCAAGGTCCGCGTCAGGTGGCCACGGGGTCGTACCTAGCAGCACCTGGAGCCGGAATGGCTGGCTCTTGGCGCCCTCGAACAGGTTGGGGCTGACCGCGAGGAAGTCTCCCTCGGCGGAGTACCTCCGCGGGATGCTCTCCATCATCGCGGAGCACAACAGGATGCCGGCGCAGCTCACGGCCGTCATGACCATGAGCCACTGCAAAAACAGGGGCAGCTAGGGGTGGGTCGGTGCGGGGCGCGGGGGGCGCGCGTGCGCAGCGGGAGCGCGGCGGGGGGCGGGGATCTGCCTCGGGGGCCCGGGGAGGCGGCCCCTCGGTCGCGCTCGCGCGCACCTGCGACATGCCGCGCGTCACTCGGTTGTGTCCGCTGTGGGGAGCCCAGGAGCTCGAGGCGCGCCGGCTCCGGCTGTGCCTCAGAGCATGCAGCCGCCAGGACCCCGTGACGACCTTGAGGAAAGCCAGCGGCAGGACCAGGGTGGCGATCACGATGCGCGCCCGCGACACGTCGCGCAGGTAGCCATCGAACTCATCGGCTGTGAGCGCGGAATCCTTGCCCACCGCGTTGTAGACGCGGCCGTGCAACGCCGGCCACACGAGCAGCGAGATGATCGGGATGCCGTCGATGACGTACGAGATGGGGGAGCGCAGCTCCTCGACGCCGTAGACGAACCCTGCCACGGCGCCTGCAGCGGTGTCCAGGAGGAGCGCCGCGCACGCCGCGCCGCCCACGCCCCACACGAGCGGCCTGGACGGGAAGGGCTCATGGCTGGCCTCCAGGACTGTGTCGAGGAAGGCGATGAGGAAGCACACCAGCACCGTGCAGGCGAAGTAGGCTCGAGAGCTCAGGACCTGCGGGCGGGGCCGAGCTCGCGCGACCCGGTGTGTCGAGGCGGGCGGGCGCGCACGGAGGGGGATAAGACGGGGGTGGGCGCGTGAGTTCGACGCCGACGGGGGCCGCGCGGCCGCGGGCGCGAGGCACGCACCCGAGTGAGCAGGCTGGCCGACGAAGCCCGAGGCGTGCGGGAGCCCATCGTGGCCCGGCAACCGACGCACGATTTCGCGCGAAAGCGAGCCACGGATGAAAGCTCCGCCGAGGCGCTGCCGTGGGTTGGAGGTTCCAAGCGAGGGTCTACACGGAATCCATCGCCGGTCGACGCATCGCGCCGCGTCAATCCGCAATAGTATGGATAGCCGGTGATGAATAGTGCCTCGGTGGCACGCCGCCGCGCGGCCTTCAACAGCCGCGTTGCCTCGGTGCGTGGGGTAGAAGAAGAAGTTTGCGCTCGCGTCGGCAGGGCTCGCAGAGGCCCCGGATCGCGCCGTCCGTGCACTCGGCCGCTGTGCGACATATGCGAGGAGCCCGAGTACCGCGTAAACCGGGCATATTCCATGAAAAGATGTGGCGGGTAGGGCGGCCCCGGCACAGCGACCTCGCCCGCGGGCGTGCGTCTGTGCACCGCGTCGTGCGAGGGTCTCACGCGAACCCGGCCGGCTTTCAATCCTCCGTGGCTCTGGCAGGTCTGCGCGGCAGGTTTTGCGCGCCGGCTCGCTGGCGAGCAGACCACGTGCTCCTGTGCAAACCGACCCGGGCCACCGCGTGGGCGCGCAGCGTCGCAATACGAAGAATACACTGGCATCCTTGCGACGTCCTCGAGAGAGGATCCCTACCTGCCGCTTTCGGGCAGGACTGCGCGCGGGAGCCACGCACTGGGGCGACGGGTGCACAGCGCGCAGCTGTGCAACCCCCGCCTGCGCCTGACGCGGCGTCCTTGCGTCTCGATCTTCGACGCAGCGGGTACTGCGTGGTAGGAGTGGTCTCCGATGCATCACATAAAGTGACCGCGCATGATTTCGCCCTCTTGCGGCAGTTCTTGCTAGCTTTTGTCACTCGCACTGCGCGCGTCGCGAACAGCCCGCGCTCGGTCACCGGCACGGCCTGCCATCCGCGCACCCACGGATGCGGCCGAACCAGCGGCGTGGCGTGGACCTGCAGCGCCGAAGTTCTCGGCAGGCCAGGCACCTGCATGCGAGGTGCCGCTTCCACACGTGTGGCGAGCCATCGGACGGCTGCGCGCGACTTTGCGCGTGCCGCACCGCGTCGGTGGGAGTACGGCGGAAGCGCGGGCGAAGAGGGCGCACCTTTACGTGGTCGCGAATGCGCGCTGAGAGAGGTGGCCTGCAGACCTGGATTAGCGCGTGGACGTAGATCTGATTTCTACGTCCCCGACGCCCCGTCTGACCCTCATGGCTGCCGAGGGTTCAAGGGGGCGCCGCGGTGCGTGTACACGGGATGAAGTGGAGCAACCCACGCGCGAAGCGGAAGGCGGCGTCGCCGTCGCGTCATGCCACGCGTGGTCGTACGCAGCGTAGGGAGCGCCACTCCGCGCGCCCTCCCGTTGCCTGCGTCACCCAGCAGCCGGCCAGGGGACGCCGGCGCGTTGTCGCCCGCGTCCCGAACCCCCACCTCCCCCGCCATGTCCGTGCGGTGCGCGCCGGTCGAAGCCGCAGCACATGCCCGCGACGTGCAGTGCCGGGCGGGTCCAGAGACCAGCGCGGCAGGGTCCTTGGCGCTGGGCATCGACTTCGGCACTTCGGGGTGCCGGGTCAGCGTCATCGACGGGGAGTCGCAGCAGATAGTGTACGAGGGCGCCGGCAAATACGTCGGCGAGCAGGACGACCCGACCGCGTCGTGGAGACAAGCCATGGTGACCCTGGTCACGAGCGTGCCGGAGGAAGTTCGGGCGCGGGTGGGGTCCGTCGCCATCGACGGCACCTCCGGAACGACGATTCTGGTCGACATCGACACAGGTGGGGCCCTGAGCGACGCTGCGCGCGCTGTCCTGCACAACCATCACGGGGAGCCAGGTTGCCGCGTCCCGGCGGAGCGCCGACCGTCGCCGGCGCCTCCGACGTCGGGCGGCGGGTGCGGGTGTTCGCAGGCGATGTTTTGGCGGAGCCGAAGATGTACTTTGAGGCGCAGCCGGCGGAGGCAGTGGCTGCGGTGCGCGCTGTAGCGCCCGAGAACCACACCACGCGCTCGTCGTCCTCCGCCCTGTGCAAGCTGCTCACGTGGTACACGTCCGGACTCATCGCCGAGCTGGAGCGCGCGGGGAAGCGGCCCGTGCTCATGCACCAGGCCGACTGGGCAGCGTGGTTGCTGCACGGGCAGTGGTGCTCCGACTGGAACAACGCGCTCAAGCTCGGGCTCGAACCCGACACGGGGACCTTCCCCGAGTGGATGACGTCGAAGCCCTGGGCCAAGTACCTGCCCCCGGTCGCGCACGCCCCCGGCACCGTCGTCGCCCCGGTCACTGCGACCGCAGCAGTGCTCCTGGGCGTCCCCGCGGACTGCAAGGCAAGTCACGACGAACGCCCGCGCCGTGCGGGGCGCACGTCGCGCCCTGAGCTGTCTCAGCCCTACTCGCGGCACATCACCCCCCCGGCGCCGCGCGAGGAGCCCGGTGCTGGTTGATGCTGGCGGGTGGAACGCGGGCGCGTGCGGCCGCGCGAGGCGCCTGACGCCCGCCCCCGCCCGTCCCCGCGCTGCAGGTCTGCGCTGGCACGACGGACTCGATCGCCGCCTTCCTCGCGGCGGGCGTCACGGAGCCCGGGCAGGCAGTGACCTCGCTCGGATCGTCCATCGCTATCAAGCTTCTCAGCGAGGTCCGCGTGGACGACGTGGAGCGCGGCGTGTACAGGTGCGCCCCCTCTCCCGCCTCGCGCCTCGCCGCCCCTCGCGGCGCCCGTGCACCGCCAGCTACGTGGTGTGCGCTGTCCCCTGCGCGACCTCGCGTCGCTCCGCCGGTTCCGCGCCGCAGCCACCGCCTGGACGGCTCCTGGCTCGTCGGCGGCGCCTCGAACGCCGGCTGCACGGTCCTGCGGCAGCTCTTCACGGACGAACAGATCGCGGAGCTCACGCCGCGCCTCGACCCCGACACGCCAACGGGGCTGGACTACTACCCACTCCCGCTCGAGGCCGTCGGGGAACGCTTCCCCGTCGGCGCGCCGGATCGCCGCTGCAAGGTGGAGCCGCGGCCCGACGACGACGCAGTGTTCCTCCAGGCACGACCCCCCGCATCCGTTGTTGCGTCTCGGACTGGCCGCGCACGTCGCAGCCGCGCCCCGCCCTGCTGGCCGCCTGCTGCGTCACGGACTGGTGAGTGCCACGTCGGGTCGTTCGCAGGGCATTCTGGAGGCGCTGACGTCAGTGGAGGCCAGTGCGTACGCGGTGCTGGCAGAGATGGGCGCCACGCCCGTGAAGGAGGTGCTGACGGCTGGCGGCGGCGCGAAGAATCCAAAGTGGCAGGCGATGCGCGAGGCTGCCATCGGCGTGCCCGTGCGCGCCGCCGAGCAAGGGCAGGCCAGCTACGGCGCCGCTCTTCTGGCGCTGCGCGGGGCCGCGAAGAGCTAACGGCCTCGGTGGGCCGGCGCGGGAGCATCCCCGCGTCCCGGCACGCTGCGTTCCGCCGGCCACTGCGGCCCAGCTCTCGAAGGAGGCCGCAGAGGGCATTGCCCACAGAAGCACATGTGGGCAATTCGTCACGCACGCTTTGAACAGCGATGTCCACACGCGAAGTAGGACTGAAACGCGCGGGGCTGCGCGGTCCATCGGCCGCCATCCCTCATAACAAGCCGTGGCCGGACCACGACCACAGACGAGCCCGCGTGCGAGTCACAGCGGACGGCGGGCGCGACCCTTCAGATCCTCGCTGACGCGGCTCCTAGTTGCCGGTCGGCCCGGGGGCGGTGTCCTTGATCTCCATGTAGCTGCGCTGCGGCCTGTGATACAGCGAGTGCACCACCTGCTGCCGTCGCAGCACCTCCAGGTCGCCCAGGCCCTTCGCGTACGCCTTGTCCGCCCCTGCATCGACCAAGCAGAGCGTGCGCGACTCAGCGGCCGCGCGATGCGCGTTCCCACGCATCCACTCGGAAGCAAGTACTTCGTGCTGCCATGCTCCCGCCGGTGGATGTGGGGGCGGGCGAGCTGCCGCGCGCGCGAACGGAAAGCCAGGCGCTGCAACGCGGCGGGGCCGGGCGCTGCGGCGGGCTGCGGCACGCTAGGTGCAGGGTCGAGGATGTCCGCCCAGGAGCGGACCGTCCTGTCGATCACGCCCGCTATCGAGATAGCGAAGTCGAACATGAGCCGCCTAGACTCGGGGGTCTGGTCGGCGGGGCAGCGGCGCTCAATGAGCATGGGCTGAAGCCCGAGGCCGGCCGTGGCCAAAGTGAGTTCGAGATGGAGCTTGCTGTGGCCGCTGGCCTCACGGACTACGCGTTCTGTGCGGCCAGCGGCCCCGACCAGCTCCATCCGGTCACGACCAGCATGGGTCTCCAGCGCCTGCTCTTGAGCGCCGTGGTGCGCCGGCCGAGAGAAGGGTGTGCGCGCGACAGGGGGGGGCGCGATCGGATCGCGAGTCCGGGCGCACCATCGCCCGTGAGGCTGGCACCCTCGCGGAACCGGTCCTTCGCCCGCCGCAGTATGTACTCTCGGATGTTGTAGTTGTGGAACTTCTTCCCTGCAACACAGGAGGACAACGTGACGGGGGGATCTGCGGGCGCCCAAACGCCGCAGCATCGCGGGGGTGTTCGGCGGAGTTGTCGACTTCCGACATCTCCTCGGGGAGGCCGCGCGCGCGGCAGGCCGCTAGCGGGCCGGGCGGGGCTCACAGAGAGCAAGGGCAGGTCGCCTGGCCCCCGTGCGTCCCCGTGGCGCTGCTGCTGCATCGCTCACGCACACACAGGTACGCAGCGATAGGGCCCGTGCAGCTGGGGGCAGGTTGGGCGCCATGCAGCTGGGTCCAGCGCTCGGATGGCAGCCAGCCTCAGCTCGTGCGCAGCCATATATGCGCGGAAGCGTTCGCTCACCTCCCCGCAGGATCGCCCTGTAGAGCGAAGTGACTTCCTGCGCCGTCGGCATCCTGCCCGGCAACCCCCGCAGCTCGCACGCACTCCAGAGCTCCTCGCAACCAGGTCTCGCACCAATTCCGCGCCGTGGACGGATCTTCGCGCACTGCCTTCGCCCACGCCGAGGTACACGCCGCACGGGCGCCGCGCGCCATTGACCAGCCCAGCGATCGTCTCGGCTCTGCGCCGCTCTCACCCCCCCTCCCGCGCTCGACCTCTGCTTGTGTGTGTCGGTCCACCGCCCGCGAGCTGTCGGGCGCGGCGGGCGCGCGGACCGCGCAGTTTGCCTGCGCCGGAGCCGCAGGTCCCCGGGTCCAGGCCGGTTTTGTGGCACGTCACGTCGGCGTTGATTGATTCGTTGCCGGCGCGTGGTGAGGGTGGGCGAGGATGACTCTGGGCCAGACTGTGACGGGCGCGGAGCCCTGCACGGTATCGCCCGAGGACGTGGAGGCCATGGCGGTGTATCTCGACGTCCCCGTGCAGCGCGGTCGGCCGGCCGGGTATCATGTCCTGGAGGTGGCCAAGGAAGCGGCTTGCGCGCCCGTCCTGCCGCCCTGGGAGCAGCGGACGGCGGAGAACGGAAATGCGGTGTTCTACAATAGCGAGTGAGCCGCCCAACGACCTCAAGACCGCAGCCTCAGCTCGCGCGATGGCCGCTTGCACTACTTGCACATGTTCGCTCCTGCGGCGGCGCGCGGTGCGCTTTCCACGAGCTCCCACGGCACACACCGATCGATCAGTTGAGCGCGAGGCACCCCATCGTGCCCGCGGCGTCAAGCGCGGCATCCAGAGCCGGCACTCGCCCTGCGTAGGCACACCTCGCACTGTCGGGCGCGCCCACGCGCGGCTCACGCACGACTGCGCGAGACTGAACGGCCCGCCCTCCCGCCGATCACGAAGGACGCAAGAGACGAGCGAACGGCATCCACTAGACGCGAAGTACCTTCGTTTGGCGGGTATATGGAAGAGGCGCGGCGCCAAGCAGGGCCAGGGCCGCTCGTGGATGCTGTTCAAGGGCAGGGACGGCGCGCCGGACTACTACTACGACTTCAAGACGGGCAACACCGCCGAGGAGGTGCTCCCCGAGAAGGTCATTCCGCCCGTGCCGCGGGCCCTCATCCCGCGCTTTGCCAAAACCACGCCCACGCGGGGTGAGACGGCGGCCGCGGCAACGGAAGGCGGCCCGGGCCTCCCGCCGGGCAAGTCGCGCGCGCTGCGCCCGCCCCCGCCCGAGGTTGCGGTCCTGCGGCTGCGCACGTGGGGGCGCCGCTTCAACAAGGAGGGCAGGGGGGTGTTTCACGACAACGGGGAGGTGCTGCACGAGGGCCTGATGCAGGTGGTGCACGACGTGCAGTTCGACATGGCGACGAGGATGGTCACGGTGCGCGACAGCGAGGGGCAGGAAGTCGCGTCGGGGGAGGCGCAGGCCATGGACGGGTCGCCGTGCGAGTGCTGGGACATGTACGTGGGCGGCACGATCTGCATCGGCGACAGGAAGTTCACGCTCATGCAGGTGCGCCCGGTCGGACCGGACCTGTCCCGCTCCGGCGCCTCGGGTGCTGCTAGCTGTGCCCGAGCTGTTGACCGAGCGATCGCGGCGGTGCGCGTGCAGGCTTCCGCGGAGACGCAGAAGTGGATCGACGCGCACGGGGAGATTCTGTTGATGTGGCGCGAGACGCTGCTCGCGGCGGCGACCAAGTACACACGGCGGGCGCAGGAGAACCGCGTGTCGTGCAAGGTCCCCTCGGGCGGCGGGAAGGCGCCGCTGCGGCTGCTGATCCGGCAGCTCGAGTTGCTGCTCGACGAGCACGAGGAGCACCGCCCGCAGCAGGCGGAGAGCTGGCAGGACCGCCTCAGTGTCTATTTTGGGGAGTAGCAGATGGCGGCAACGGCCACCGCGGCCGACATGTGACGCGCTGGGTCAGGGAGTCAGTTGCCGGTGCGCCTGGGTCGCTCGCACGCACGGCGCCGGCGCGTCACAGCTTCCATCGGATCCAGATGACGAGCAGCGCGATGAGGATGATGGCGGCGAGGGGCGTGTACTGCCGCACGACGGCCTGCCAGTACATGTCCCGCGTCTTCTTCGAGTACTTCTTCGACTCTTGGCTCAGCGCCGACGACATCTGTTGCATCCCTGCGCGGCGCGAACGGCGCGTGGGGCGCTCGAACAGCATCGACGCCGCGCAGCCCCGCGCGGCTGCCCCCTGGCGCAGGGCCGCCGGGCTCTTCGCGGGCTCGCATCAGGCGCGGCGGGGCAGCCGTGGGGCGTGGGGTGCGCACGTTCGAGCTTCTCGCCCTGCCCCAGGACGTCGCGGATGTTGGTCGTCATGATCTGATGGACCTCGCGCAGCTCGTTGTTGAGCTTCGCCAGGTTGCGCTGCGTGCGCGTGTCGAGGTAGAGCTTCCTCGTCTTCTGGATGAAGGTGTCGAACTTGATGAACGCGTACGGCCGCGTCGCCTTGTCGATCTGGTCCAAGTACAGCCGCTGAAACTCCTTCACCAGCTCGTCCAGATACTCGTACGCCAGCTTTCGCGGGTACGCCTTCTCTGCCAGCGTCAGGTAGCACACGCCCTGCTCGATGATGTAGTGGTACACGTACTTCCCTGCATGGGCGAAGAGGAGGAGGAGCGTCACGTGCTGCGTGCAACGGTCAGGCGCTCCGGCGACCGGCCGGGCGCGCGGCGCAAGTGCGGCCGCGACGGCCACGCGCAGCACGTGACGCGCGCCGCGGAGCGCACGCTCGCGGATCGGGGTCGTTGCTGCGAGGCGGCGGAGCCCCGCGCGCCGCTGTGGTAGCCGGCTCGGACCTGCGTCAATCGAGAGCCGTGTTGGCTGCCCTCCCGCCGAGATGCGCTTGAGGATGTCCTGCGACGTATGACGACAGGGACGCGTGCTCGGATGTCGTTCCGGGGCCACAATCAGGGCCCGGGTCGCTGCAACAAAACGTCTCCTGTTTGCGGGCCGTGTGCCGTCGGACGGGCGCTGCCGTCGCGTTCCGCGAGGGCCACGCACCTTTGCACTATGCTTGTACGCGTCGATCTCCTGTGACTGCTCCGTGTCGAGCCCTTCGGCCAGGGGCAGGCCATCCACCAGCCTCGTGATGAGCGTGAGCCGAACCATCGCGGTCCCGCGCTATCCTCAACGCCCACAACGGCCGCCGCGGCTCAGCACCACCTGGGACCTCTACAGCGCGCGGAATCCGGTATCTAGTGGCGCGTCCGTACGCGGCGAGCGTACTACCAAACTTCTGCGCTCGCTAGGACAGCGGCAACCAAGAAGCGCCCGCGCAGGAGGATAGACAGCGTCAGGTTCTGCAAGGCGGCCCCAGGGCCGCACGGTTTCGGGTCCGCAGCGCGCCCCACCCCGCCCGACTGGCACCCTGAGTCCACGCCCCGCGAAACGCGCGGGTCGTCCCTGCTCACTGCGCGAGCACCCGCGCGGCCGGCGCCACTCCGTGCAGCGGTCCTCAGGCGCCCCATCGAGCAGTTCGCGACCAGAGTGAGCGCGGCGGGGCTCGACGGCCGCGCGCGGTTCAAGAGGCGAGATGGAGCTCGACGGCGCGAACGCCTCGTCGGGGCACGAGACGGTGCAGGCGGTGGGCCCGGAGCACCACCACGTGTTCGCTCACCAGCACACCTGCACGCGCTTCTGCCAGATGGGCCACGAGTTTGGCAACGTATACCGCTGCTGCAGCACCGGGAAGCTTCACGTCTGTGCGTGCCCCGCGACCTCCTGCCGCCTGCCTGCTTGCCGCGCTCCGTGCAGCGCCTTGCCGTCGGTCTCGCGGTCCGTCGCGCCCGGAAACGCGGGACTGCGCGCCCCTCGCGAGCTGCGCGCGGACGGTGCGCGTAGCAGTGGGGCCGCGCGCAGTGGGCGGGGCGGGGCGCGCGGACGCACGATTGTGCGCTCCGCGGCGCGAACCTACGTCAAACGGCGCGATGGGCCCGTCCGATCCTGCGGATTCCCTCCTTACAGCGCACGCAGCGCACCGCAAGTTTTCGGCTGCAACCTCGACCACCGCCACGCCCTTCGCCGCGAGCTCCGCGCACGGTGCGCGGCGTTCCAGCCCTGACCGCGATGTCTTGCGCTCCGTGCGTCCGCAGGCGACAGCAACTGCGCCGAGCGCGTCCAGGTCGACAACTACACGGCTGTGTGCAGGCTCAGCAGGAAGGTGTTCCAGGTCACGCCCCTCGAGCGCGTCGTGAGGTGCGCGCTGCCCGCTCCGTGCGCCCAACTTCCCCCTGCGCCACCCCGCGCGCCGCACCCGCTCCCAAGTGCGCGGCGCGCAGCATGATTCAGCGGCTGGGCGGTTGCACCTCAAGAGCGTGGGCGCACCGACGCCGCGGCCGCCGCGGCTGTACCTGGCCGTGCACGCTGCCAGGCTCGCCCACTTCCCGTTCTGCGCGCGCGTGGTCGCAGGAAGCGCTCCAACAAGGAGATCGAGGGGCTCGGGGCTGCAGAGGACTGCCAGCCCACCCGCGCGCCCTCCCTGCGCTGCCTGTACGGCAACGTACCTGCATGAGCACATGGCCTTCACTTAGTTCCCCGCAACTGCATGCTTAGTTTGTCCTCTCTTGTGGCTCGAAGCCACTCGCCACTGCTCTGCATACAACGATTCGATGTTCCGCGATCCTCCGGCGATCGAGCCGCCGCAAACCGGTCACATGGCCCGAAGGACTTCTGTCCCGCGTGCCAGCGAAGCGCCGTCGGCCTCCACTCTCGCGCCGGGGGCGACCACGCTCCGTTTCAACACTGCCTCCTCACACGCCCCGTGTTCGCCCGAGCAGCCCGCTGAACCGCCTGAAATGACAGCACGTCGCACAACGAGCCCCAAAATACCGCGACGATCCATATGTCGGCCAGTCGCGCGATGCCGCGCGTCTCGCAAGTCGATTTGAAAGCGCAGCGAAAGTGCGGCCGGTCACCGCCGGCGGGGCGCGACGGCCGTGACGCTTGTGACCCCGTCCTCCGTCGCTGTTCACGTCACACGGGCCGCGCTGCGTCGCCGCACCGGCCCATTCGCGTCACCCCCCCTCCTCTGAGCCGCCCCGCCCCCCTGCGATCTGACCGACGGGGGGCCGCGTTCCCCGGGCGCCCGTGCTCGCTCAGAACCCGAGGTGGTTGATCCCGGCGACGGCGATGATGACTCCGAGGAGCCCACCGCACAGCACCTGGATGGGGGTGTGGCCCAGCACCTCCTTCAGCTCCCGGTCCTGCAGGGGGTGTCCCGCCATGATCTCCTTCACGACCTTGTTCAGAACCTCGGCCTGCGCAAACGGAAACCGGGGCGAGCGGCGGCCACCGTGAGACCCGCGGCCTTCAGTCGGCGGCGCATTGGTATCGTGCGGTCATTGCCTGTCGCGTGCGGCACCTGGTAGCCGGCGTGTCGGCGAACTCCGGCCGCGTCGTACATGACGATGCAGGAGAAGCAGATCGCGATGGCGAACAGGGGGCTCCCGAAGCCCTCGGTGAGCCCCACCGCCGTCGTTGTCGCGGTGCACATTGCCGAGTGCGACGACGGCATCCCGCCCGACGCGACCATCGCCTTGAGGGTCCACACGCCCTGCGCGGTCGCGGGAGGCCGCAGCGTTCGAGAACCTCGCCGCCGGGGCGCGGGCGCGCGGTGCAGGCGTTGCTGCACCAGCGGCAGGCGCAGGCGCACCCTCTTATACTTGTAGTAGAAGATCTTGAGGAACTGCGCCGTGAACCATCCCCAGAAGCAGCACACCAGCACCGTGCTGCCCATTGCGTCGCCCACCATCGACCGCGGCGCCCCCACGGCGGCCGCGGCGAGGCAGGCCTCGCCCCCCAGCCCCGCACGGAGCCGCAGCAGTGCGCGCCACACACTCGCCGCCGACCGCGCGCCCCGAGCGACTAGTGCTCGGGCTGCGAGGCCGCACGTGCGGGGCTCGGCGTCCTGCTTGCGCTGCTGCGTGGCGACGTGCAATCCATGCTGGATGGGCTCCGCGCCCAGGGAGGGCCCCGCGGCGCCTGCAGCTTGTGTGCCGCGCGCCGATGGGACGGGAGCGCGGAAGAGCGGGAGGCTGCCCGCCCTGAGCGCCCCGCGGATCCCTGGACAGGGTGCACTGGGAGGGTTGGCTAATGGGGTGGGACGAAGAGCGCCCTGCATGGTGCGTGGCGCGGCGTGAGGCGTGGACTGCGAAGTTCGACGAGGAAAATCGTGACAGAGTGTCCGGTGCGCGCCACGCGGGCGCGCAATTGCTCTTCGCGGCCTGCCAGCGCAGTCGCCCCTGACGCCTCCTGGGACCTATGGCCGTCTGACGCCTCCACGGCCCCGCCGCGGCCACGAGTGCGCGCGGCCGCACCGCGCCCGCCCTCTTTTCCTAGGCGCCGCCGACGGGATAGAAGCAGGAGGTTCAAGATGGGTCGCCGGCCGTTCAAGTGCTACAGGCAGATCAAGAACAAGCCGTACCCCAAGTCGCGGTACTGCCGCGGTGTGCCGGACCCGAAGATTCGCTTCTTCGACTCGGGCAACAAGACGGCCAACGTCGACGCCTTCCCCTGCTGCGTGCACATGGTCTCTTGGGAGCGCGAGCAGATTTCCAGCGAGGCTCTCGAGGCCGCGCGTATCGCTGCCAACAAGTACATGGTGCGCCCCGGGAGCCCGCTGCACCGTCGAGCCCTCGGCGTCGCACCGCTCGCCCGCGCCGCCCGCACGCTTACCTCACGTCCTTGGTGCGCGGCTCTGCAGGTGACCAACTCCGGCAAGGAGGCCTTCCACCTGCGCGTTCGCGCGCACCCGTTCCACGTGCTGCGTCACAACAAGATGCTCACGTGCGCCGGCGCGGATAGGCTGCAGACAGGTGCGCAACGGACCCGGCTGGTCCAACAAAGTGCCTCCGCGCGCCGCTTGCGGGCAGGGCTGCCGCTGCACCTTCGCGTCGACGTTGTCGCATGTGGTTGTTCCGGCTGGGCGTTCTGCGATTGGCCCGGCCCGCGCCACGGCGCCGTGGGCTCGGAGAGGCTGGGTCGGCCAAGCGCGGCGGCAGCCGTTTGCTCCCCGTGCGGGCCTTCGCGCACCTCGCCCTGCGCGCGGCCCGCACAGGATCCTTTCCGCCCACAAATTCCGCTGGACGCGGCGCGGCATGTCGCCGCAAGCGGGGCACTGTGCTGGGCCGTCTTCCCCTCCTCGAGCCCAGCGCCTCCACAGCTGTCTGCTGGCGGCTGCGAGCGACGCACGCACGACAATGTCCCGTATCCAACGATTCTCCGTCGCGTTCCGTCCCGCGCAGGCATGCGCAACGCGTACGGCAAGCCCCTGGGCACCTCTGCCCGCGTCCGCATCGGCCAGATCCTCATGTCGATCCGCTGCCGTGACTCCCACGCCAAGGTCGCGGAGGAGGCCATGCGTCGCGCCAAGTTCAAGTTCCCGGGCCGCCAGAAGATCGTCACCTCGAGCAACTGGGGCTTCACCAAGTACTCGCGCGAGGACTACCTGCAGGCACGCAGCCCCGAAGCCTGCGACGCGCTCCCAGCCGCCCCGCACGCCCTCCGCGCCCGACGTTCCGCGCAGCGCGCAGCCAACCACGACCGCGCGCGCCCCCCAGACGCCCGCCGCACGCTCGGCGGCCCACCCTGCTCGCCGCCCGCGTCGCACGTCGCGGCCCCGCACGCCAGGCGCGGCACCTCACGCTGGAGCCGCCGTCCGGTCACCGTGTCCGCAGTGGAAGGCCGAGGGCCGCATCGTGAGCGAGGGTGTGCACGCCAGCGTGCTCGACAACCACGGGCCCCTGGCCAAGCGCGAGCCCGACCAGATCTTCGCGGAGCCCGCCATGATCGCCAACACGCCCAACCACTAAGAGGCCGCACACCAGGCCTGGTCCCGGCGCGAGATGCTGCGTCTGCGCTGTGAGTGGGCTCGGGAGGCTGGGGCGCGGTGTGCTTGGGGCCTGCGGTGGTGCCGACACCGCGGACATGTGACGAACGATCTCCGCCGCACTCTCGCGTCGACGGTGCTCGAGGGTGGCATGCCTCGCACCACCATGTCAGCGACGCAAAACCTGCGCGAGGTGGTGTTCTCGTGCAGCGCACGCCGGCGTCTCCGGCCGGCAGCTCTTTTGCGTACTGAGGGGACGCTTCCCCGCGCCGCAGCTCGGGTGCGACGGACGTGCCCGGGCGCGCAATGACGTCAGTTCTACCTGGTCAAGGTATCCGCACGTCCCTCGCACAAACCGCGGTCAACAGGGTGCGTTTGCTCGCTGCGGCACCTGTCCGTGTCCTGACTGCTTGCTCGAAGATGGCGTTCAGGCTGTCGCACGCTGCCACGGTGGCGCCCTCCCAGGCCCCTGGTGCGCCCTCCCGCCTCGCCGCTTTCTGCGGTCGGACATGCGTGTCGATTGCATGGCCCGAACGTTGATAATCACGCGACCCCTGATTCGGCACATTCATCCCGGCGCGCAGCCCACGCGGTTCAGTGCGGGGGTGCCGAGGTCTATCGTGGTATCCCGCTTGGATCCGCTCCTGCGTGACCCACCAGGCGGCGAGGGGAAGATTCGACCGACGCGTGACGATGATGCGCTGCAGGGCGGCTTGTGGGGCGTGCTCGCACCGGACTCCGAAGCAGCGGGCGCCTGGGACGGTCTCCTCGCTGTAGCCGGCAGGTATTGCTCCACCAGCAAGCCAGCGACGGGCGCTCGCTGTCAGATGCGATGCCAAACGCCTAGTAGCGGACTAACGAAGGGGTGCAATGGGTGACAAAGAGGAAGGAGTTGCGCATCGTGGCGCAAGTGACCAACAGAGAGCCTCGCACGCTTCTCGCTTCGCAGGTGTGCCGCGCGAACGAGACGGAGTGGCGCAGGATGTGGAACGACATGAACAGGGCCGGCGTCACCTCCATCTCGCCCCAGGAGGCCAAGGAGCGCGTCGACAGCGGCGAGTGGGTACGCAACACCTTTGCTTCGCACCGACTCCTCCGCCACGCTCAGCCCGGCGTCCGCGGCGAGCCACCGCACGTCCCGCGCCCCGCACGTTCGTACCCGCCGCGCCGTGACGTTCCATGTCCCCGCGCGTCCCTCCCCCCGCAGGTCCTTGTCGACATCCGCGAGCCGGAGCTGTACGAGAAGGCGCACCCGACGGGCGCGGTGTCGGTGCCGCTCTTCGTGAAGATGACGATGGAGAACGTGTCGGGCGTGGGCGACATCCTCAAGGGCGCGATGCTCTTGAGCAACGGCGTGACGCCGGTCAAGGGCAACCCCACGTTCCTGGAGGACCTGAAGAAGGTCGCGGAGGCCAAGGGCGTGATCCTGTACTGCGAGGCCGGTGGGACGCTCAAGGTGAGGCGGTCGACCGGCGACGACGGCTCGGCGCCGTGCGTCTGCGGGCCTGCGCTGCACGCGTATGCACCCACACGTTTCCTTCGCGTCGAAGAGAAGCGCCCGGCAGGCATGCGGTGTGGCCTACGCCCTGTGCGTTTGCTTCATGCGATGCAGCCGACGACGAACTTCCCGTACGGGAAGCAGAGCCGCAGCCTGGTCGGGACTTCGAAGGCGCTGGACGTGGGCATCGAGAACGTCGCGCACCTGGACGGGGGGATCTACGGGTGGTTCAACGCGGAGCTGCCCATGGACGGGGAGTACGACGCGTCGATGGTGGGCCGCACGCCGAACGCGGCGCTGGCGGCGACGTACCCGACCAAGGACGAGCCGTACTAGGCACCGGCGCTCGAGATAGATAGACCACGAACGAGGACATCCCGTGAAGTGGAGCATCGCGCATACGCAGACATCCTCCCGCGGCTGTGCCCCAGGCAGAACCGTATGTCACGTTGTCGAATGATCAAGGTTGGTCACGAGCCATTACGGCCGACGACAGTGAAACTCTGTATTGAACATGCAGTGCGACAAACGTGTCACACCGGAGGTCACATTAACCAAGGAAAGGGGGTGGCCGAGAGCAACGACGCGGTGGAGTGACTTACTCACTCTTCACACTCGCCCCCAAGAGCTACGCCACGGCGAGAGCACCGGCCGCCCCGGTGCCGACGTCCCCAGAGTCAGGGGGGACTGAAGTCAGACTCATCAGCGCCAGCACTGCTCGCAGCGACCGCTCCGCCTCCTCGGCATGGGACCTGGCTGGAACGCTCCCGTCTGCGCTGTCCTGATCGCGCAGGGCGCCGGGCAGCGTGCGCAGCGCTGCGTCGTCCTCCCGGCTCTTGGCCAGGTACGTCGCCGCAGTCAGAGCCCCCGCGGTGTCCTCCAATCGCGCCTCCACGCTCGACATGCGCCGCAGGGCCGCCTTGACGCGCTCGCCGTTGTACACCAGCGCCCACAGCGCAGCGGCCGCTGAGGCGCTCGACTCTGGATCTGCAGCAGTCACGGATCGCCAGGCGCGGGAGGTCACGCCAGGCAGACGCCGTCGCCGCGAGGCGACGCAGAGCAGCAGCGCTGTACGCACTCATGTAGACCCACACAAGCGAGGACAGCCACGCACGAACAAGCACGGATGGACATACGAAACGCATCAATTCGTTGTGGCGCGACTGCCGTACCTGCAGTGCCCAGCTCCGCAGCGGCGACGACGATCTCCAGGGTCCGCGGGCTGGCGAGGAAGTGCGCCTTGGCATCCGTGGTGAACGCCAGGTTGCGCAGGCACAGGAGCGCGGCCCGCGACGCCCCTGCGTGCGGCCCCGCCGCAGCGTCGAGCAGCAAATCGACCATGCCCGCCATTTGAGCGCTGCGCAGCATGGCGCGCGCGCCGTCCTCGAAGGACGCAAGCGAGGCCAGCAGCTCGCAGGAGATGACCTGCAGCGTGGGCACCCGCTTCGCCAGCCCGTGCCGCAGCGCCCGTGCTGCCAGTGCAGGCACCGGCGAGCGCGCCAGCATCGCAGCGCCCGGCGGCGACGCCGCCGCGGCAGCGAGCGCGCGCACGGCCGCGGCGAGCCCCGGCGCGTCCCCGGCGCCCGACGCTGCCGACGACATCAGGCGGACGACCGACGAAAGAACACACCCCTGCGGGGCTGACCATGTCGTGACTCCCCCCGAGCCCGACGGGTCCGGCACCGACGACCCGACCTGCGGCAGGCCCGGCGTGTGCAGTTCCGCAGCCGCACGCACGGCCGCGGGGCACGCGTACCACAGGTTGGCCAGCAGCGCGAGAATCTCGTACAGCAGCTTGTCGTCGCGCAGCGCCAGGCCCCACGCGGCCTCCACGAGGGCGAACACGCCCGCGCTCGTCAGGCGCTCCTGCGCAGCGGGGCAGTCGATCACCAGGTGCCGCATCAGCGTCACGGCCCACACGAGGTGGCGCTCCGGTGGTGCGGTGGCCGCAGCGCCAGGCTGCCCCTCGGGCGCGTCTTCCGAGGCCTTGCCGTCCGCCTCGGCGTCCGCTCCGCCATCTGCTTGCCGCTTGAGCACGGGCGCGATCTTCCCGGCCTTCTTCCGGAGCCTGTCGATGGAGCCGCGCGCCTTGGGGCCCACGCGCGCAAACGCAAGCGTCGCGCGCGGATCGCTCCCGACTGCGCCGGCGGTCCCGGCGCCCGCTCGCGCACCCTGCAGCACCATGCCCGCGTGCGCGTCCCGTGCCATTCCCAGAAGCGTCTCGGGCAGCCCGGTCTCCAAAGCGGCGGTCTTGGCGCCCGCGTCCCACGCAAGCACGTTGCCGAGAGCGCGAACCGTGGCCTCCAGCGGACCCTCGCCGCCGCACGCCGCGCTCGCAGCCGTTGCATAGGCGCCGCCTTCCATCAGCGACGCGAGGAGCGCCACCAGGCAGCGGCAGATCGCGTGCCCATGCGCCGCGCTGCTGTCCGCTGACAGAAGCGAGCGCGCCAGCGCCTCGGAGCGCGTGGCGGTCGCGCACAGCGAGGACGCCGCGACGGCGAGACGCGCGAGCTGCCTGCGCTCGCCCGAAATGCCGCCGGAAAGCGACGGCGAAGGCGGCGCGCACGTCGCCAGGGCCAGGGCCTGCCGCATGGCCGCTGCGACGCCCTCCGGCACGTCGGCGTCGTCGCGCGCATGCTGCATGAGCGCGTTCATGCCGAGCAGGCAGGATGCGAGGCTGCTGAGCGCGACACGGCGCTCGCCCTCCGCCGCACAACCCCCCCCCGACAGCGCCTCCCCGATGCCCGCAGTCGCGGCCGCGACCGCGTCCTGCAGGCCTTCCACGGCGCGCAGCTCGTCCGTCATCCCCGCGCCGCACAGCACGTGCACCAGGCCCGCGCCGGCGCCCGCCACAGCCCACCACGTCTCCGGCCCAGACACCCCCGCCGCAACTCCGTCAGTCAGACCGGCGTCCCCTCCGGCGACCCGCGCGAGCGCGTCCGCGGCCGCCTCGTGCGCCGCACGCTCGCCGTCGCCCTCGCCCGGCCCCCGCCCGGCCCGCGCCATCGTCGCAACGACCCGTTTCCAGACATGGTGCTCCACCAACCACGCCCGCACACGCAGCGCATCCGCCAGCGCGGCCTCGCGCAGGAAAAGCAGCACCGCGGTCTGCAGTGCCGGCGCCTGCGCGTGCAGCTCGCGCGTGAGCTCGAGCAGCGCCGCCCACACTGCGTCGCGCCCGAGCACGCGCGCAGGGCCAGAGGGCCCGCGCACGGGCGCGTCGCCGTCCGCGGGCGCGTCGCCGGCCGTCGGCGTCCACATCGCGACGCACAGCAGCCGCAGCGCCTCGGCCCGCACAACCGGCGCCTCGCACTGCGATGTGACGACCGCACACGCGGTGGGCACCAGGTCCGGTACGCACGCCTGCACTGCCGCCCGGAGCTCCGCGCACTCCTCGGCGTCGTTCGACGACAGCGACGCGAGCAGCCGCGCCGCGAGCGCGCGGCGCACCCCGCACCGGTGCCGCATGAGCCGCGACGCCCAATAGACCCCCCCAGACTTGCCCCACGCGGCGCCCCACTCCCCCCGCGGCAGCGTGGACACCAGCAGCACGATCGCGCGCAGCGCCGTGTCCGCCAGCGCGCTCCCCGTCAGCGCGCCTCCCAGCGGAGCGCCCGCGTCCTCGTCGCCGTCCTGTTCGCCGCCTGACGTCACTGCCTGCCGCGGCGGCTCCGTCGCTCCGTCGCCCTTGTGCAGGAAGACCGCGCGCGCCAGAGGCACGATCAGCCCCGCCAGCTGACGCAGCAGTCCCTGCGCTTCGCGCTCCAGCGACGCCCCGCGCCGCAACGCCTCGCGCGCAAGGTCCGCAGCGCGACCGACACACCGCGCAGCGGCGACGCGGCAGGGGTAGTTGGAGCCCGGCCGAGCCGCCCAGTTGCCGCAGAGGAGCCCGAGGAGCCCGTTCTCGCCCCCCGCGGACGCGACCCCGACGACACGTGCTGCCGCCGAGCCGTCCGCCCCCGGGGCGCGCCGCGCCGCCCACAGCGCGGCATCGGCGAGCGCGATGGCGGCCTCCGCGACCAGGAGCCGTAGGAGCGTGCGCTCGGTCTCCGCGTCGAGGGCGGACTCGAGCCCGTCGCCCGGGGGACCTGCGCGGAGCAGCGCGAGCGGCGGCGCGCGTGGCGTGGTGATGGGCTCCCCCAGCACCCCCTTCGCGCTGCCCTTCAGGGCGAGGGCCGCGAAGCTGATCGCGGACTCGTCGCACGCGCCCGTCATCAGCGCCGTGCGCGCCACGCGCGTCGCTGCGAGGTACACGTGGCAGTCTGCTGCCGTCGCTGGCGCTGACGATATAAACTTGTGCAGCGCGCGGGGCCACGGCGCGCCCGCGAGGCACGCCGCGGCACCGGGCACGCCGGCACAGAGCGCTTCGAGCCCCGCGGCGGCGTCGAGGAACGCCGCGTGCCCGTCCGCGGTCTCCATGTCGGACAAGTAGCCCCCGACAGCGGGGCGTGGACTCAGGGCGCGGAGGGAGCCCAGCGCGGCGGCTGCTGCCGCGGCGCCGAGGCCCGCGGGCGCCGGACCGTCTTCGAGCGCCTGCAGCAGGCCGTCGACGCCGGACGCCTCGGCCAGCGCCCGTCGCTGCCACAGCACGCGCAGCACGCGGGAGTGTTTGTCGCCGTCGAGCGCCTGCGGCGCCTTCTCCGCGTTGTCGACCCACAGGCCCGGGAGCACCGGCACCGGCGCGTGCGGGAACGGCAGGTAGAAGGCCTCCGCGCAGCCGGGCGGCACGGGGACGCGCCCACGCAGCGCTGTCAGGCCCGACCGACTGACGTACTGGCGCGGGCAAGGCGCGCCTGCTTCCGGGTCCTCTGCGAACGCGAGCGCGCCTAGAAGCCGCGCCGCTCGGCGCCGCAGGGACAGCAGCGGGTGGAAGAGCATCGGCGCGAGCGCCGCGCCCCACGCGCCGCCGTTGGCCGCGTTCAGAATCGCGCTCCGGGCGGCGGGCCCCGACGCCGCGCTGGTCGCAAGGATGTCCGCAGCGACAGCGCCAAGCCGCGGGTCGACCGCGGCGCTGCACTCCGCGGCGGCGCGTGCGAGCTGGAGGCACCCGAGCAACATCGGACCCGGGCGGGCCGAGCGCACGCACAGCCGCCCGTCGAGCCGCCCCGCGCGCGCAAGCAGCAGCAGCTGATGGCCCGCCGACAGTCGCACCTCCGCCTCGAGTCCGTCCGACAGCAGCACCGCCTCCAGCGACGTAACGTCGTCCTCGCCGAATTGCCGCGCAGCGCGCTCCGCGTTGATCGCCGCGGCCGACCCGGGCTCCGGCGGGCCCGTCGGGTCGGCCTCGCGCAGCAGCAGGCCGAGCGGGTCCTCCGCGTCGCTCCCGCCGCCCTCCGCCGCCGCGGTCGCCTCCGCCGCGGGCAGCGTCGCGCAGATCGTTGCCGCAGCCGCACGGCGCGTGGCGGCGTCTCTCGCGAACAGGTCCCGCAGCGGCGCACGCAGCCACGTCCACGCCTCGGCCACCGCGCGGGGCTTCCGCACCGGCGCCAGCTCGAGCAGCGCCCGGACCGAGGCCCCCATTTCCTTGTGTTGGCGGTGACATTGCAACCAGGGCCGCCAGTGGTGAAGCCCGCGCACCAGGGCCGGCGCCAGCTCGCCGCCGCGCGGACCGGCGACGCGCAGCATCGCGTCGGCGGCCGCACGGCCGCACGCGCCGCCCGCTGGCACCGCGAACGCCAGCAGCGCCGTGCGCACCGCGGGCGCGGCAGAGAGCAGCAGCGCCGCGCCGACGGCCGCGGCGTCGCCGCTGGCGGCCACGCGGGCGCTCCCGTCGAGCAGCGCGCCGACGCGGACGGTCGCGGCGGTGCGGACCGCCCGCGTGCGGCAACCTATCATGAGCTCCAGCACAGCACCAGCCTCCTGGACTCCAAGGGACTGCACGGGAACGGGGGAGGGGGGGTATGAAGCCGGCGACGCGAGACACAGCCGGGGCGCGAGGGGGCAGGAGCAGGTGGTGACTTGAGGCGGGGTCGTGAAGTTGCGTGGTCAGGCCGCACCTGTCGGTCCTCCTCGACGTCGCCGGTGGACGCATGGAACGCCGCGAGGGCGCACCCGTCGACCCAGATGTGCACCATCTTCTCGATCTCGTCCCCGGCGTAGTGCGCCGCCGGGAGCAGCTCTGGCACCTGCCGCAGCGCTGCAAGGGGGGACCCGCCGCGGCGACACGTGGCCGCCACCGACGCCGCCGAGTCCGCCAGGCGCCCCGCGGGCCCCTCGGCGGCGAGCGCGGCGCGCAGGATCTCGGTCTCGACGGCGCATGCGGCCTCCGTCGCGGCCCGCACCGCGGCGCACACCCCCGGTGTCAGCGCTGCCGCTGCGACCTGGTCGAGGCACAGCGCACCGATCCGCGAAGCGAGCGTCGCGGGCGTCTCCGCGCGGACGACCTCCGCCGGGCACGTCGCGGCGAGCTCGGCCGCGAACACGACGCAGGCCGCGGCGGCGCGCGAGTGGTGCGCTGGCGGCGCTGGCGTGCTCTTCGGCAGCTCCCGTGCCGCGATCGTCGCCGCCGCGGCATCCAGCGCGACGAGGAGCTCGCGCAGGCGGCGGGCGAGGTACTTCGGGGGGCGGTCCGGCCGCGGCGGGGCCAGCAGCGGCAGCATGTCGCGCAGCGCGCTCATGGCGGCACTGAACACGTCCGGGTCGGCGAGCGCGGGTACGAGCGCGAGCGCCATCGCGTGGACGGGCGTCGTGACGCAGAGGACGCTGGTGGGGTCCGCGGCGCCCGTGGTGACGGTGGCCGGGGAGCACGGGAGCATCCACGCGGCCGCCGGGGCTGACGTGGGGTCAATAGACCCCCCCGGGGCGCCCGGCGGGCAGCAGCGCAGGCCGGGGTCGCCCGCCGCGACCAGCGACCGCTTCAGGCCCCGCGCCATCGTCTCGAGGAAGCCCGCGGCGGCTCGCAGGAGCGGCGGCGGGCCACACCCGTGGCCGCCAAACCCCCCCCTCCCTGCCGCGCCCCTGCCTCCGCCGAGCAGCTTCAGCACCGACGGCACGATCCCGCCGTGCGCGAGGATGCACTCCGCGGGAACGTCCGCCGCGACGGTCCGGCTCAGGCCGTCGAGCGCAGCGGCGAGGGTCCGGGGGTCTCCCGAGTGTTCCACCTGCAGACCGGCGTCCGTCAGACGCGCCTCGTCGCCCGCGGAGAGCGGCGCGCGCGCGAGCCGCCAGCCGCCCTCCTCCACGACCGGCGGCCCGGGCGGCTGCAGGTCCCTCTCGGCCTTGAGCACCGACGCCAGCGACGCCTGCACAGCACACACCGGCAGCGCAGCAGCGTCACGGCGCTGGGCCACGCTGGCGCGGCGCGGGGGGCGCGCAGGTCCGTCCGGGCGACGGACGCTCTGCGTGGACCATCGGCGCGCGTCGGTTGTGGCGGGCAGGCGTCACCTGGAGCTTCGGGTCTTGGCGGGCGAGAGCGCGCAGCACCTCGCGGCCCGACGCCGGGCAGTCCGTGCCGCAGCTCTTGTGCCCGGCCCGCGCCGGCTTCCGCGCCGCGTCGGCCGACGGTTCCGCGAGGCCGGTGCCGCCCGCCACAGCCCCGGCGGGCACGCGCGCGGCGAGGGCCTCGACGCGTTCGAGCAGGGCCGGAGCATCGCCGGTGGGGGCCGACGAGGAGGTCAGGCGTTTGCGCACGTCGTCCACGGCCACGAGCACCCCGGTGTGCAGCAGCTGCGAGGCTCCTGCTGGGTGGGCGGACAGCGAAGTGGCGATGCCGACGGCCGCTGCGAGGTCCTGGTACGGCGCGTCCTCGCTTGAGATGATGCCGACGAGGGCCTGCGTGCGGAGTGGGGGCAGCTGTCGCGTTTCGGGCCTCGGGGGGCACGCGCGGGGGAGGGAGCGCTCGGTCGCTTAAAACGCCACGAGCTGCCTTGGAACCGCGCGTGTGCGCCGCGAACGCCGCCCCTGTGCTCCTCCGGTCTTGCTCGCGTGGATTGTCTCCTCGCGGCGGGGATGCGCGCCCTTGTCGCGCCCGGAAAGGGGCGAGGCAGCGGCGCGTGGCTCACCTCTGAGGCTCGGCGGTCGTGCGCGATCTCTCCCGGCTGCACGAGGCCGCGGGACAGCTTGAAGTGCAGGTTCTGCAGCGCACGCGCCCTCACGGACGGGAGGCTGTGGCGCAGCTTGCCGACCAGCGCCGCGAGCGAAGCATCCTCCTGCCTGCCCGCGGGCACAGACACACCGCCCGCTACCGGGCTCGCCAGGTCCACCATGGGCCCCGCCGCGCTCGCGAATCAGCGCCCTGGCGCAGTGGTTCCCCCTGGCCGGGAGAAACCCCGATGGGCCGTCGCGGGGCCGCTCTCGGGTCGTACGCGCTCTGGCAGGTTCAAAGCAGACACGCCGCGACGCCCTCGTGGGGCCAGGCGCGGGACGAATCTACGTAGCACCGCGCGAGATTGATTCGCCGCCGCCGTCAGCTGCCCCTCAACACGCCCGAAACGCCCGGAGCGGGCCCCCACGAGCGTCATACCCCACACCTCCGTCAGTGCACGCCCCGGGACGGTCGGCGCGGCGCGCAGCGCCATTGCGCGCCCCCTGCGTGGCTGCATAACCACTAACCCGATCAGTCGACGGACATCAACGGACTGCAGCCATCGTTCTCGCGCTGCGCTGCGCCCCTTTTCAGCTGCACCAACCCTCCGCCTCGGTAGCGCCCAACATGCACGCGCTCCGCCGAGCTGTGTGCCCCTCCGCCGTCGCCGCCGCTCCACGGCCGCGCGCGTCGTCGTCGCGCGCCCCCGTGGCTCAGCGCGCCCCGCGGTCCGCGCGCGCGCGGGTGCAGCGGGGCCCGCGCCCTTGCCGGTACTCCGAGCGCCCCGAGGAAGGCGACGGGGCGATTCGTAACATCCTCTCCGCAAAGCTGACGCTGTTCGTGATGAACGAGCCAGCGGAGGGCGGCGCTCTGCCCACGGGGTCCAAGCAGGCAAGCAACAGCCCGCCACTTCGGTTGCTCGCCACGCGCCGATCCGCGCGGCCAGACGCAGCGCGCACCGCCCCCGCTGCGATGAGCCTGCCAAGGCGACCGCGTTCGCCGGTCGCGCGGGGCCGCAGTCCGCTTCCCGACGCGGCCACGCCGCAAGAAGGGCGGGTGCTTGATCGTCCTGGTGCGGCGCGCCGGGGCAACGAGGCTGCGGGCTGACCTGTCCGCCTGCTTGCTGGTTCTCGACACGAACACGCAGGCGCTCCAGGCCGTGGTCAACTTCGCCCGTACCAACGGCAGCGCGTTGCACGTTGCGGTTGTCTCGCCCCAGGGCGCTGCCGAGTCCGCGGCACAGCAGGCGGACGCGGCGCGGAACTGGCTTGGAAGCGAAGGTGTCGAGGTACGCAGCGCGCCGCTGCGCGACCCGATCCGCCCCGCGACGGCCGCGCAGCTAGGCGCTGCAGCACCTGCGCAACCGTCGAGAGCAACCGCCCGCGATCGAGCCTGTACACCACACGTCCCGCGCCCCGTATGCGCCAGACGAGGCCCGCCCTCGCCCCCGCCCTCCCCCGCCACGACCGGCCGTCGCAGCGTCCCGGCGCGTCCGGCCCGCGGCACCGACGCCTGGGTCCAACTGCCAGAGTGCGTCCCGGCCGGAGCGCGGCCAAACGCAGCGCGCAGCGCGCCAGCCGACTGCCCCGCGCGCGCCGACACTCGCAGAGCTGGGACGTGGTGCTGAAGCTGGTCCCGGGCGAGGAGGCGGGCCCCGGCGCGGCGGTCGTTGTGGGTGACCTGGCGGACGAGCTGGACGCCGACCTGGTCGTGCTCAGCGCCGACGCGTGCCACATGCACTCCGTCGACGCCAACCTCCTCGCCGAGTTCGTCCCGTGCCCGCTGCTGATGCTGCCCTGAGCTGCGGCCCCGCATTGGCCGTCGGGTTAGGGCGTGTACACACGCGGCTGTGGTGCGACGTCACGGCCGGGGCGAGGACGTGTCCGCGGTCCCCCGCCCCGCCGCTGTGATCGACAGCGTTCCTGCGCGCGAGGCGTCCCTGCGTTGCCCCGTCGCTGCATCGTCGCGAGCTGTTTGTGTGCAACCGCGCGTCGTGCAGACCCGCGTGCAGAGGGAGCACGGGTGGTCGCCGCCGGGCTGCCGGGGTGCGTGAGACACCGCGGGGTGTGCGATGGAACGACGCCGTGCTGCACGAGTGTTATACCTGACGCGTGTGCCTCGCCACGGCAATGGAGCTCTTCGCGGGCTGGCAGTGCTCGCTGCCGTCATATCTGGAGTAAGAGTGGTCCGTTCTGAAGTTCAGCATATCAGCATCGTGCGCGAGCAGGTGGCGGCACGAATTCATCGCTCTAGGCGCTGTCGCACGCCGCGTGCTCCCTGCAGGTGCTCTCGCCCGCGATTGCGTCCTCTGTACGGAGATTCGGTGCCGGAACTACCCGCCCGGACTCGACACAGAACAAGCGGGCGACAATAGCTGCTTCGAACGGACCACGCACCGCGTGTGGGGGGAGGGCGTGGGTAGGTTGGCTGGGGAGCACAAGCTTCTGCGCCGCGCGTATCCGCGCGACGCGGTAGCGCGCCACTATGTCAGGAGTCCACTGTCTGTATATATTCGACAGGGCGGGGACGTGTTTGTACTATCGCGAGTGGGACAGGCCATGCCGGCCCACGGGGAGCCAGGAGGATGAGCAGAAGATGATTTTCGGTCTCTGTTTCACGCTCAAGACCCTGGCGGCCGCCATCGACCCAACGGAGGGGCGCAAGCCGCTGGGAAGCGCGCTCAAGGTGCGGCCACGAGCAGCAGGTTCCTCGGCTGCCCTGTCTACACTTGCATCGTTCCTCGATCGTGTTGACATGCACCTCGCACGCGAGGAAGGTGTCGGAGAAGGCCGATACAAACTGCGCCGAGTGCAGTCTGATCTGCTCGGGCTCCACTCCATGGTTTGCGGATCTCGAACTTCTCGATCCATAGGTGAGCGCGGCGGAAGCATTGTGTGCGCCGCGCGACCTGCCGCGCTCTGACGCGCTCTTGTTGGATCGAGACTCCAAGTGCTTTGTGACAGCATCCAGAACTTGCGCTAGAACTCCCTTGTGCGAGTTCTGGATGCGGTTACCAAGCATCTGGAGTCTCGATCCAACAAGAGCGCGGCGACCACGCTTCCGCCGCGCTGACCTATGGATCGAGAAGTTCCGCGACATATTCGCGGATCTCGCCAACCATGGAGTGGAGCCCGAGCAGATCAGGCTGCACTCGGCGCAGTTTGTATCGGCCTTCTCCGACACCTTCCTCGCTTGCAGATTGACATGCACCTCGACCGCTCGCGGACCCAGCGTCCGCGCGCAAGCGAGCCCCGAGCCGCGCGTTGCATCGCCGCTGGCGCCGGCGGTCGCGCGCGACGCTCGCAACAGCCCACACGCGAGAGGCGCCGCTGCCACGCAGATCGGGGAGGGCTCCGCGTTCCGCAGCTTCGCGACAAACAACTACCGCACGCACTTCCAGGAGCATCCGTCAGGTGACCAGCCCGCGGCCCTGTGCGCCGCCGCCTCCGTGCAACCCACGCAGTGCCCGTTGCGAGCTGCCAAGCACCGCGCGACCGACTGCGCGTGGCGCCGCCTTCCTGCAGGTATCAAGCTGATCCTGCTGACCCGGACGGACTGGATAGACTGTCAGCCGCTCCTGCGGCACATTTACGAGCACGCGTACGTGCCGTACGTGGTGCGCAACCCCCTGTGCCAACCGGGGGTGCCCTTCCAGTCCGAGGGCTTCGAGAGCGAGCTGGAGACCGTGATAGGCGCGGAAACGAAGTGACCCCACGCAGGTCCGGCCCGCGAAAGCGAGCGCCCGGATGTAATCAACCACTCGTGGCGCAGCGGCTTCGCACGTCTCGAGGATCGTCGCGCAGCTTGCACGGCGACACGCGCGCTGCGCGCAGCTGAGAGCGTGCTAGCTAGCTGCGCACTTGTCAATTACTTTTGGTCGTTACACGGCGGCGGCGCGCCCGGCCGCAACTGCACGTTCGTGGCGTCGCACGTGCACTCGGCAGCCAGCGACCCGCGCGGCAGCCAGGCGCCCTACTGCGCCTGCGCCGACGGGCGCTGCTGGCTCGTGCTTGTCCGGCTGCGGTGTTGGTGGTGCTTGTGCCGCCCCTCCCGCTCCTTCAGCCGCCGCCGCAGCTCCTTCTTTCGCCGCACGATCTCCTGGTACAGCCGTTCCCGGTACTCCCCGATCGCGTACTTGGTGTTGTCGTCGATCGGCACCGTGATGATGCGGTCGCACGCGGGCTCCGTGGCCTCGTCGTGGAACTGCGCGACGAACGGGTGCCGCAGCGCCTCCTCCGCGGTGATGCGCTTCTTCGGGTTGAACACCAGCAGCTTGGAGAGGAGGTCGATCGCCTCGTCGCTCGCGTTCGGGAGCATCTCGCGCAGCGACACCTGCAGCAGGCCGCGCTGGCACCGTCGCGTCGCGTCGGGGGCCGCCGGGCGAGCGGGGCGCGCGCGCTGGCGGGCCGCGGCGGGCGCGCCGTGCGGGGCGGACCTGGGCGGGCGTGGGGAGGTTGTTGAGCATGTTGGCGGCGAAGACCGACTGTATCGAGTCCACGTCCTCCTTCGAGGGCTTCCCGGTGATCTCGAGGATCCTGTCGAGCTGGTTCATCGTCGACGTGCCCGGAAACACCGGCCTGCCGCCCAGGAGCTCGCCGAGGATGCACCTGCGGGCGCTCCGAAGGCAGCGCAGCGCTTGTGCAGACATGCGCGCCGCGGAGCGTCGCTCTCGCGAGACAGGGCGCGAAACGGCACGGTCTGCCATGCAGCGGGCAAGCTGCGCGCGGGGCGGGAGCGACGCCGCGATCTGCGCACGGCGCGCGGCGTTTCGCGGCACGCGCGCCGCTCCCGACGAGCGCGCTGTCCGAAAGCGCGCGCGCGGGGCTGCGCACCCGCACGACCACATGTCGACGCCCTTCGTGTAGTGCGTCGATCCGAGCAGGATCTCCGGCGCTCTGTACCACCGGGTCGCGACGTAGTCGGTCAAAATTGGGCTCGGCCCCTCCTCCCCTCCCAGCTGCGCAATCGAGCGCGCGAGCCCGAAGTCCGCCAGCTTGACCTGGCATTCCGAGTTCAGCAGCAGGTTCGACGGCTTGATGTCCCTGCGAGCACGGCGCGGGCACTCCCCGCGCGTCGGAGCCCGCGCACGGGCCCATGGGCAGACCAAACCGCGGCGAGCAGCTGCGCCCCCGCCCGGGACCCTCCGCCCCGGCCACGCGAGCAGGGGGGCCGTGCTCTCGAGGAGCCCTCGACGGCCGCGGAGAGGATCTTCGCGGCGGGGCGGCGGCGCGGAGGCGAGCGGCAACTCATCAACGTCCAGTGCTCTCACGGGCCTGGGCGCGCGCCCCGGGGCCGGGAGCGGACGCGGAGCGAGGGCCGAACGCACCGGTGGAGGAGCTCTGCGGTGTGCATGTACTTGAGCGCTTTGAGCAGCTGGTACATGATGTACTGCTTATGAATCTCCTCCAAGATGTTGGCCCGCACCACTGCGTGCAGGTCCGTCTCCATGTACTCGAACACGAGGTATATGTCCCGGTCATTGTCTGCCTTGAGCACGTTGAGCAACCTGCGCGCGCAAACGGGGCCGCTCGCGATCCGTCAGCGCCGCGCGCGCGGCCACCGTGGCAGCTCCCACCGCCCAGCGCCCCGGCGGTCGCGCCGCAGCGGGCCGCCGCGAATCCAGCAACACGCGCGGGCGCGCCGAGCATCCCCGAGCGGCCGCCTGGCTCCGGCGCCGGCCGTCGCAGCCGCCTGGGGCCGCCGGCACCGCGGCCCGCGCAACTCGGCCAGAGCGGCACGAGCGAGTGCCCGCAACGCGCGCGGGGGCGCTGCCCGGCGCGAGCCCGCGCCCACCGGCGCTTCCGGCGGCGAGGGCGCCGGCGGCGGCTGCGCTGGCCCCTGCGCGGCGCGGCGACCCGCCCCGGCCCGCACCTGATGATGTTTTCATGGGTCGTGAGCTCCTGCAGGAACATGATTTCGCGGAACGTCCGCTGCGCGTCCGTGGCGTTCTGGAACGCGTCGAAGATCTTCTTCAGCGCCACCGTCGCGCCGGTCTTGCGGTCCACCGCGCGCCACACGATGCCGTACGCGCCCTTGCCCAGCCGCTGCTGCACCTCGTACTTCTTCAGGACGTGCTTGTCGACCTCCTCCGTCATCCTGCCGCCGCCCACGCGCCGCTCCCGAGGGGCCTCCTACTCCCGGAGGAGGCTGCGAGCCCCGTCGGCGCTCCCGCGGCCGGCGCAGGCTGCCCTGCTGCTGCGCGCTGGCAGTGCCTGCTTCGCGCGAGGTCCGCGGCCGACGACGACGGCGAGGGGTGCGTGCGAGAGACGCGCGCTGGCCCAGGCGGGAAGTGCGGAGCGAGTGCCGCGGGCCAGGCAGCGCGGACGCCAAACGCTGCGCGCCCGAGACGGGGGGCGTGGGGGGGTGCACTTTTGACCGGACGGGGGGTCTGACGCGACGTGGCCGAATCTTGGCGGACGCTGCGGACGAACGGGCGGCTCGCGGCCGCTCCCCCGGCTGCGGTCGCCGCGACCAGCGCGCGGCCAGCGGCGATCCGTCCCCCCACACATTGGGATCGCGCCGTCACCTAGCGAGAACGGTTGGCGCGCGGCTGGCAGGAGGGTTCCAGCTGGCGCCAGGGGCAGGCCGACCGCGTGCGGCGGTGCCAGCGAGGGCCGCCCTGGACCCGCAAGAGGCCTGCAACGCTCGCTGTGTGCCGCATGCTGTGCTGTGTGCGACTATCCTCGTGCGGGACGTTGGATTCTGCGACGCGACTGCACTGTGTCGCCGTGACCGTGCGACGGCTTGACCCGCGGTGGAACGACGCCGGCAGCGACGGCGCCGAGCGCATCGCGGAGCCGCCGTGCTGCATCGAGGGGCTCGAGATGCAAAACGGCACGTACGTGGCGTCTCCAGCTACAACGCTGCGATGTGATGTACTGGCAGCCATTACAAGGGGGCCTGCGGGCCAGTACAAGGCAGACGCGGGCGTCGCGAGAGGACGACGGCGAGCAGGACTGACGGCACGGTCGGGGCACGGGCTGGTCTGCCACGGACTCGACCGAGGTGCTGGCATGGCGTGGCATCAGCACGGGCCGCACATGGTGGGGTCCCTGCACTGCCGCAGCGCAGCGACCAGTGCAGCAACGCATGCATACACGCATCGAGCCATCGACGCTTCGCGCGTACGGCATCGACGACGCATCAAGCACAGCTGGGCGCAGCGGGCCGCCGTCACCGTTCCGGCCGCTCCGCACCAGCCCACCGGACGGCGGTGCTCCACGCGCTCGAGCGCAGCGTTGCCCGCCGGCGTCCGCGGCGCCGCAACCCTCGCGGCCAGCAAGGGAGGGAGCTGGTTGGTGTCTCTCGGACGAGCGAGACGCAAGCACCGTCCACGCTCCAGCGCGACCCACGCTCACACGGCACGGGCGTCAGTCCGCCTTGGCGCGCGCGGCCGCGAGGTCCGACAGGTGCAGGTACCCTGTGATGACGCACGGCCCCGCCAGCAGCCCCGCGTACTGCAGCGTGACGACGAGGTTGATGAGCCCGAGCCAGAACGCCGCGTACAGCGCCGCGACGGCGCCCACGCAGCCCAGGAAGGCCAGCGCGAGCGCCGCGCCGCGCGGTGACGTCGGGAAGGCCTTGAGGTTCATGCCCATGGCCGGGAGGACGACGAGGACGAGCGCGGCCAGGAGCGCGGCGATCGCGGCGGAGAACACGAGCGGCACGAGCGGGAAGACCGGCTTGACGGGGTCGCGGAACTTGTGGAAGATCTCGGGGAGGGGGTCCCAGGGGTGTGTCGGGGGGGGTGCCGGCTTGCCCTCCGCGGTGGTCGGGTGCGACACCGTCACGCTGCCGGCGGCGTGCGCGACGCCCTCGGTCTGCGACGCGTCGCCCAGGACGACCTGCGGACAGGCGCGCGCCGCCGAACGCGAAGTGGGGACGCAGGGGGGGGGCGACGGTCGGGCTGGTCGGTGGAGGTGACGTGGCGCGCGCACGCTCCCAGGCGCGCGCCGGAGACGGCGCGCGCGCGGGGGCGCGCGGCGTCGGGCGCGGGCGGCGCGCGCGCGGTGCGCGGGGCCACGTACGGTGATGTCAAAGGGCCCGGAGAGCGTGCCCAGCTGCCTGGCGATGCGCTCCGACGTGACGACGATGTCCACGACGCCCCTGTCGGTCATGTCGCCCGCCAGGTAGGCCGTGTCGCCGGTCCGCGCGTGCCGCAGCGCGGCCACGGCCTGCTGCAGCGCCAGCGAGCGCCCGTCCACCTTGGCCGCGACCTCCAGGGTGAGCTTCTCCGAGTGCGACAGCACGAGGGGCTTGCTCGACTTCAGGAGGTCGCGCTTCTGCGACGAGCTCCCATCGGACCCGGCCACAGAGGCGGACAGCGCAACGATCTGCAAGGGCAGGTGGAGACGCAGGGAGGGCGCTCTGGGGACGTCGCGGCGCGGACAGCGCCCGGCCCGGACGCGCCCGGCGGTGACGCTCCATCTCAGCCAGCTCCGGGCGCGTCCGGGGCGCCGCTCGTCGCGGAGCAGCCGCGAGCGGCACGCCTGGAGCCGGAGCAGCGCGCGAAGCTCCTCGTGGGGCGCACCTCAATTTTCGCCGCTGCTATGTTCACTATGGCTAGGAAGATCAGGCACAGCACGGCGCGCCATGAGGCCGCCATCGCCGCGGAGAAGCGCCCAGCGGCCCAGGGAAGCACGCAGGGCGGGGGAGGCGAGGCGGAGGGAGGCGCGGTAACCGGTGGCCGGGACTCCTCGGGGCGCGCACACGCGTGCGGGGACGTGACCATGCAGTCCCGCGCGCCGAGCGGCCGCGCGCCCCTTCGGCCCAGCGCCGCGCGCGCTCCTGCGGGGTCTGCCAGGTATGACCAGCTCGCGCCACCGTTGCCGCGCACGAGGGGGCGCCCGGCGCGGGCCGCCGGTAGAGGATCTTCGCTGGTCGCGGAGCGAACACGTCCAGGCCCGAATCTCGGGCGGCGGAGATCCCCAGGAGGACGCCGCTGTAGAGCACAAACTCGGCCTCGCGTGCCCGCCACGGGCTCCGTCGGGGGCCGGGGCGCAGCATGTTCGGTGAGTGAACATCGAATCTCCGTCCCGGAGCACCGCGGCCGTGCGCCCCGCCCTGTCGCGGGAAGTTGTCCGGCGACAAGGTCCCGCCAACGCAGTTTTACGCGCTCGCGCGCGGGTCGACAGACGCGCATCGCTGAACCGATCCGTAATTTAAGCCGTCCGGGCCCACGCGCACCCCGCCGCCCATGCGCGCCCCTCACCGCGCGTAACTCGCGTTTCGCTGCCTTCTCTCTCGCAGGGGGCCAGTCGACCTTCGGGGCGGGGACGTCGGGGTTCGGGAACACCGCGGCAGCATCGGGCTTCGGCTCGTCGCCGTTCGGCCAGGTGTGCAGCTCGCCCCTCCGCCCGCATTCCCCGCGCATTTCACCTCGCCTCCCCCGGCGCACCTTGGCCCGCCCGCGCGCGCGCGCCGGGGCTATTTCCCGCAGTCCTGTCCCGGCACGGCCGCCTGAGATCACAGCGCCGCCCGCTCCGTCCCCCACCGGCCCCGCGCGCCCCTCCCCGCCCCGTCGCTCGCAGCAACAGCAGCAGCAGCCCGCGTTTGGCCAGGCGCAGCAACCAGCGTTCGGCGCGGCCCCTCAGGCCGCGGGCGGGTCCGCCTTCGGCCAGCAGAATGCCTTCGGCACCTCCACCGTCGGGTCCTCGCCCTTCGGGGGCGGCGGCGGCGGCGCGTTCGGCTCGCAACCGCAGGCGGGCTCCACCTTTGGCGCCCAGCCCTCCGCGTCGCCGTTCGGGGGCTCCGCCGGCGGCGGCTCCGCGTTCGGCGCCCAGCCCTCGAGCACCCCGGCCTTCGGGGCCGCCGCGGCGTCGTCCTCGCCCTTCGGCAGCGGCGGCGGGGCCTTTGGCTCGCAGGGCGTGACGCCGTTCGGGCAGCAGGCGCAGGCGCAGGCGCAGCCGAGCGCGTTCGGGGGCGGCATGGGCCAGACGCCGTTCGGCGGCGGGCAGCAGCAGGGCGTGGGCGCGTTCGGCGGCGCGGCGGGCGGCGGCGCGTTTGGCGGCGCGGGGGCGCAGCAGGGGACCGGGACGGACTACCAGGCGACGCGCGACAGCTCGGACCCGGCGAAGACGATCGACTACGTGTCCATCTGCGCCATGGACAAGTACCGCGGCAAGTCCCAGGAGGAGCTGCGGTGGGAGGACTACCAGGCGGGGCGCACGGGGCCCAGCGGGGCGGGCGGCGCGTTCGGGACGCAGGGCGGCGCGTTCGGCGCGCAGGGCGGCGCGTTCGGGGGCGGCGGCGGCGCGCGTTCGGCGCAGCGGGCGGCGGCGGCGGCGTGTTTGGCGGCGCGTCGGGCGGGGGCGCGTTCGGCGCGCAGTCGCAGCCGGCGTTCGGGCAGCCGCAGTCGTCGTCGCCGTTCGGGACCCCGTCGAGCGCGTTCGGCGCGGGCGCCACGACGTCGAGCGCGTTCGGCGCGGGCGGCGGCGGCGCGTTTGGCGCCAAACCTGCGGGCACCACCTTCGGCGCCGCGGGGTCCGCGTTCGGCCAGCCGCAGCAGCAGCAGCAGCAGCAGCAGGGGGGCGGCTTCGGGTTCGGGCAGAGCCAGCCCCAGCAGCAGACGTCGGTCTTCGGCCAGCCGCAGCAGCAGCAGCAGCAGCCCTTTGGCGCCACCACCACGTCGTCGCCGTTCGGGGCGCAGCAGGGCCAGCAGCAGGGGGCGTTCGGGGCGGCGTCGGGCGGCTTCGGCACGCCGCAGCAGGGGGGCGGCTCGACGTTCGGCGCCGCGCGCGGGTCGCTGTTCGGCGGGGGCCAGCAGCAGCCGCAGCAGCAGCAGTCGGGGGGGCTGTTCGGGACGCCCGCGAGCGCGGCGAGCTCCGGCGGCGGGTTCCTCTTCGGCTCCTCGCCGCAGCAGACGAGCACGGCGTTCGGCGCGAACACCGCCGCCGCGGGCGCGTTCGGCACGAACAAGCCGCTGTTCGGCGGCACCAGCACGCCGGCGGCGTCGTCCGGGGGCGGCTTCTCGTTCGGGGCCGCGACCTCGCAGCCGGCGAGCGGGGGCCTGTTCGGCGGCGGCGCGACGCAGGCCAGCGGCGGGCTGTTCGGCGCCGGGGCGGCGACGTCCTCGCCCGGGTTCGGCCTGGGCGCGCAGCAGAGCGCCGCGGGGGCGTCGTTCGGCAGCACGTGGCAGCAGAACTCCGGGACCGCGTTCTCGTTCGGGTCGAAGCCCGCCGCGTCGACGCCGGGGGGCGGGCTCTTCGGCGCGCAGCAGCCCGCGGCGAGCCCCGGAGCCGGGGGGGGGTTCGGGTTCGGCACCCCCGGGGGCACGCCGGCGCAGCCCGGGCAGGGTGCGACCCCGCAGCAGGCGCCGGCGACGCCGACGCTGACCTCGTCGCCGTACGGCGCGCTGGCGGAGCCGCCGCGCCTCTCGACGGACGAGCGGCTGCAGCGGAGCATGCGGCGCGGCCTGTCGCGCCTGCAGGCCGGGGTCAAGGCCATGCTCCCGGCGCGGTCCATCACGCCGCGCATGGGCGCCGTCCCCGCGAGCCCCGGGCTCCTGATGTCCCCGGCCATGTCGGCGGGGGGCGCGCTCCCGGCGACGCCGCTCTCCGGGGCGTCGTCGCGCCAGCCGCCGTCGTCGGGGCTCCCGTCGGCGTCCCGGACGCCCTCGGCGCTCGTCCCGCGGACCCCGATGTCCGCGCAGCCGCCGAGCACGTCGTCGGGGCTGCGGGGCAGCATCGTCGGGCACTCGGAGCTCACGGTGCGCAAGCCGCCGAAGCGCGTGGAGAGGCCCGAGCGCCGGGGGGCCGGCGGCAGGGGCGGTTCGGCGGGGGAGGGGGGCGGCGGCGGCGCGCAGGCCGACGGCGGCGGCGCGGGCCCGAGCGGCTCGCCCGCGGCGTGGGCTTCCGGGGCCCAGAACGCGCGGCAGAACGGCGCGGCGGCGGCGGGGGGGCGCGCGCCGCGCGACGGGCAGGACGCGGCGCCGCTGCCGCGGCTGCGGCGGCCGGGGTACTCGTACTCGCCGCCGGAGGAGGAGCTGCTGGAGCGCTGGAGGGCGGACGCGGGGTCGCTGGCGGCCGTCGAGAACTTCGAGGTGCGGCACGAGCGCCTGGGGTCGGTGCGGTGGCTGCGGCCGGTGGACGTGCGCGGGCTGGACATCGACCGCATCGTGACGTTCCTGGACCGCGAGGTCAGGGTGTACGAGGACGAGCGCGAGGCGCCCCCGCGCGGCGAGGGGCTGAACAAGCCGGCGGAGGTGACGCTGTTTGGCGTGTTCAAGATGGACAAGGCGACGGGGGAGCCGACGACGGACCCGAAGAGGAGGATGAAGTACGCCGACACGATCGCGAAGACCACGGCGAGCATGGGCGCCACGCTCGTGTCGTACGACCCGCAGGAGGGCGTGTGGGTGTTCCGGACGGAGCACTTCTCGCGGTACGGCGTCGCGGACGACAGCGACGACGAGGACGAGGACGCGGAGCGGGCAGGGGCCGAACAGGACGGGCGCGGCGCGGCGAACGGCGTCGAGCGCCCGGGGGGCGGGGCGGACCTCCGGGCGGGGGTCGTCGCGGGCAACGAGGCGGCGGCGGCGGCGGCGTGGGAGCACGACGACGACGCGATGGAGGCGTCGCTCGCGGGCGGGGACTCGGTCGCGGGGTCCGAGGGCGAGTGGGGCGCGGACCGGGCGGTCGCCGGCGGCCGCGGGGGGGCGCTTTTTCGTGAGGGCGGCGTCGCAGTGCCAGCTGCGGCGGCGCCGCCCGCTGCGCCCGGAGGATGCAGCTGGATCACGCCCAGGGGCGACGCGATGCGCGCCGTGAGGCCCTCGCGCGGGCCGCCGTCGTCGTCGCCCGTCGCCCTGGCGCCGGGGTCCCGCCAGGGCCGCGACGCCGCTCCGGCCGCGCTGCCGGAGACGATCGGCCCGAGCGCGATGGTCGACGCGGGGGCCTTCATGGGGCGCTCGACGCGCGTCGGCTGGGCCGCGGGGTCCCGCCTGGCGTTCGCGGGCGGCCTCACGTGCGGGTACGCCGGCGTGGGCCCCGCCAGCGCGCGCGAGCAGCGCGGCGGCACGCGCGTGTCGTGCGTCACGGCCGCGTCGGCGTTCGCGGACCAGGGCGTCGAGGCCGCGCAGGCGCGCGTCGTGGCGCAGCTGCGCGCCCACCGCCGCTTCGTGGCCGTCGACGGGGGCGTCGCGCCCGCGGCTGCGGCTGTCGGCGCGCGCCGACGCCCCGCCGACGCACGCGCTACGCGCCCTCTGCGGCCGCCTGCGCGCCGCGCTCGAGGACCCGGTCCCGGGCGAGACCCCCCCGGGGGCCCTCCTCGACTTTCCCCGCGACGTCGACGACGACGCCGCCGGAGACGAGGGCGAGGGCGACGACGTCGCGATGGCGGGCCCCGGCGCGAGCCCCCGGCAGCGGCGCGCCCGCGCCCGCGCGGCGTGGCCCCTCGAGGGCCAGAGGGTCCAGGCGCTGTGGGAGCAGGCGCTGGCGTGGGCGCTGGTGGTGGAGCTGTTCGAGGAGGTGGAGGGCGAGGACGAGGGGGCGGGCGACGACGAGGACGGGGGCGTGGCGTACCGGTACCAGCGGCAGTGGGCGGCCGCGTGGCGCCGGGCGCGCGTGGCGGAGCTGCTGTCCCGGGCGTGCGAGCCGGCCGCGCGCGCCGACTGCCACCTGACGCTGGAGGACTCGCGGAAGACCCCGAACCGCGTGTTCCTGCTGCTGTCCGCGCGGCTGCGCGCGGAGGCCGCGGGCGCCGCGGCCGCCGCGGGCGACCCGCGCCTGGGCGCGCTGGTGGCGGGCGCGGGCGGGCGCGGCGCGCGGCGCGCGACGTCGGCGCGCAGCTGGACGCGTGGGCGGCCGAGCGCCCGCACGGCATCCTCGACGGCCGCCAGCCGGAGTCCCGCGCGCGGCGGCGCGTGTACACGCTCGTGTCCGGGCGCGTCTCGGAGGCGCTGCGGCGCTTCAAGGAGGAGGACCCGGGGCCGGACCTGCCGCCGCTGGACTGGCGGCGCGCGCTCGGGCTGCACTTCTGGTACGGCGCGGGCCCCGCCGCGGCGCTCGGGGACGCCATCCAGGCGTACGAGGCGGACGTGGTGGGCGGCGTGGCGCCGCGCCCCGTGCCGCTGTACCGGGAGCGCGACGCGCTGTTCTACGGCGACGACAGCGCGGTGCGGAGGATGGAGAACGCGACGACGTACGAGCTGCTGCGGCTGCGGACGGGCCAGGGCGTCGCGGGCGCGCTGGCGTCGGGCGGCGCGTCCTTCTGGGCCAAGCTCCTGCGGCCGCAGGGCCACACGCCCGACGCGCTGGACCTGTCGTGCGCGTGGCTGCTCGCGTCCGTGCTGGGCGCGATCGGGCGGATCGGCAGCGGCGCCGAGAGCCCCCCCGAGGCGCTGTGGGCCGCGACGGGGCTCGTGGACCAGCTGTGCGCCGACGCGCGCACCTCGCACTGGGCGCTCTACGTGGCCGCGCAGCTGCCGGACGACCACGCGGCGAGCCCGGGCCTGCGCGCGCGGTTCGTCGAGGACGTCGTGCTGCGCTTCGCGCCGTGCTGGGAGGAGGGCGGCGAGGCGGAGGCGCTGGCGCTCGACGTGCTGGGCCCCGCGGGGGGCGCGGCGCTGCTGGCGTACGCGCGCGCGGTGCACATGGGCGTCGAGGGCGCGTGCGGGAGCGACGACGACGACGCGGAGCGCCGCGTGCGGCTGCTGCTGCGCGCGGGGCGCGCGGGCGAGGCGCTGGAGGAGCTCCTGGGCGGCGCGGCGCCGCCGGCCGCGGTGTGGCTGCTCGGCGGGGACCACGCGCGGCTGCGGCAGGTCCTGGAGGAGCTGCCGGAGGGCGCGGGGGACGCGCGGTGGCAGCGGCTGGTGGGCACGCTGGGGGCCTACTGCCGGCTGGCGGCGGCGAGCATGCAGGCGGGCGGGCTGCGGCGGGCGGCCGAGGGCCGCGAGGGCGAGGCGCGGGAGGTGCTGGCGCGGCTGCTCTCCGGGCTCGCGGAGGGGGGCGGGGGGGCGTCGGCGACGCGGCGGGCGATGCTCGCGGCCATGGCGCGCAGCGCGGCGCAGTGGGCGCAGGACCTGGCGCAGGACGCGGAGCCCGTGCGGGCGTCCGCGGAGGCGTACGGGGACGTGCTCGGGCTGGGCGGCTGCCTGGCGCAGGACACGGCGGCGGACCAGGTGTGCTGCGCCGCCGCGCGCCTGCTCGAGGCGATCGCGGCCACCTAGGGAGGGTGAGGTGTCACATTCTTCGCGTCGTAAGGCTTTCGGGACCTGAAAAGATCATTCGACTAGCTGTGACAGAGTTGTTGCTGCAGCTTGCGAGTACCGACACGCGGGTACTCCACCGCGTCGTTGCTCTCGGCCACGCCTTTCCTTGGTTCAACGCATGCTCCGCGACGTCATGGAAGCAGCAGCAGCAGCAGCAGCAGCGCCGCCACCACCGCGACCGCGCCGGCCAGGCCCGCCCGGCGTGCGCCTCCGATCCGCACCTCTGTGCGCAGCGACAGGGCGGCGATGCCGTAGCGACGCATGGCCTCCGTCTGCGCCGCCGTCGGGAGCCCGTTGGCGAAGTTCACGAGCACCGTCGCGTCCCCCCTGCGGGCGCGGGCACCGGGTTCGGCGTGTAACGGGTTCGGCGGCGTGCACCGGGCGCAGGCTGGACGGCGCCGGTGGGCGGAGCGCTCGGGGGAACTCACGGGCTCGCAGCGGACACGGCCGCGGTGTAGGTCGCCTCGTTGGCCTGCAGCGTGGTCGCGTTCAGCACCTCCCGCGTCGCGGACGTGCCGGACACGACGCGGACGCTCGCGGGCGGGAACGGCGCCCCGAGGCTGGCCTGCAGCTGCGCCACCAGGAACGCCTGGACGTCCCCCGGGGCGGCCGCGTCCGTCCTGCGCGGCGCGGTCGCGGTCGCGGCGGTGGCCCGCATGTGCAGCACGACGCGCCCGTACACCTGCGGCTCCTCCCCGTTCGGGAGCAGGCCCGTCGTCGCGAGCGCCTGCCGGTCGAGCGCCGCCGACACCGTCTCGTTGCTCGTGAGCGCGAACGCCACCGTCGCCGACCGCGGCGGCGACAGCCCCGCCGGCGCGCCCGCGTCCGCCACGCCGCCCGCGCCCGCGACCGCGTCCGCGATCAGCCCCGCCTCGGCCCTGCGGCGACGGCGACGATGGAAGCCTCGTCGACGACGCTGCCGAGCACACTCTCGCACGCACGGGCAGGGCAGGAGAGGGACTCACGCTGTCCGCGCCGTGACGTTGACCCCGAACCGCGCCCTCGCCACCGTTGTCGCCTGCAGCACCGTCACCGCCACCGCCTCGGGCGGCAGCGGCCCCCCCGCCGCGAGCGCCGCGCCCGCCAGCTCCCGCACGCGCGTCCGCAGCGCCTCCGCCGCCCCGCCCGCGTCCGCCGCCTCGCCCTCGACCACCACCTCCACGCGCCCGTAGTCGCGTTGCAGGGGCGTGTCGAGCGCCGTGGCGCCGGAGTCGTCCGGCATGTCGAGCGTGTCCGCCTCGAGGCACTCGGACCGCACCAGCACCACCACCTGGTGCACCGACAGGCCGCGGCCGCGGCGTCGGCGCGCATGCTCGCGCTCGGCGCCGTCGCCGCGCAGGTCCAGGAAGCCCTCGCCCTCCATGCCGTGCACCAGGTCGTCCGCCCGCGCCTGGAGCGTTCCGTTGGCGACCTCGGCGCGGAACGCGGCGCAGGCGCGGTCCACGCGGTCCCCGTCGGTGCACCCGACCGTCACCGCCACGCGGTTGGCGTCCGACGTGAGCTTCGCGAGGCACCCGGGCGCCGCGGCGAACGGCGCGGTGCGCTCGTGCGCGAGCGCCTCGAACTCCGCGCGCACGGGGCCGAAGAACCTCCGGAACGAGAAGTCAAGGGTGGCGGTCCGGACCACGACCGGGGCCGCGAGGCGCCGCCTGGCCGCGTCGGGACGTGCAGGAACCGCCGAACCTGCGCGACGAAGCGGGGGGGGAGCGCGGCGCCTGAGCCGCGGGAGGGCCTGGCTCGGCCGCTGCCCTGGGCGCCGTAATCCGGGACGGCGGTGGGCCGTGTCCGCGCGCAACGACGTGCTCGAGCAGCGCACTGCTCGGTCGAGGTGAACGCACCCGCGGCCGGCCGCCACACGGCGGCCAGCAGCACCAGGGCGGCAATGCACCACCGCAGGGGGGGCACGACGCGAAGTCGTGCCGCCATGGCGCCGCGCGACGCGGGGCCGCGAGCGCTTCCGGGAGCTCTCTACGTCCAGATGACGTTCTTGCGCGGCTGCCCACCGCCAGGGGACGTCGACGGGGGGCGCGGGGGGAGAGCACGCTGTGGCGCGGCCCGGTGTGCGCGACGGGGCCGCTTGCGGGACGTGCTGCACGAGAGTCGCAAGTCCGAGCGTCCACGCGCAGCCTTGTGGCCGCACAAGTCTCTCCTCCTGAGGCAAGACTGTCTTGCCAAACAACTCCCCCCCCAGAAGCTCACGTCACGTGACCGAGTCGGCGCAGGTTTCCGTCGGCGCGGCCGGCGCGCGGCGTGTCCGGAGGACGTGCCGGCGCGATCGGAACGGCAAGGAGTCGCGCCTGGGCGCGGGCACGTCGCGCACATGTGCACGACATGGCAGGCGTGGGACGGGCATGCAAGCCGCAGGGTCAGCGGCGGCTACTTCGTCGTTTTCTGCGCATCTTTCCGGGCACGATTCGTTACATTGGTGCATCACGCGCGCCTCGAGCCGTCGGAGTCGGTCGGTGGGGTCGCGCTGTGCGTTGCGACCAGGGGGTCACATCAGAGCCGCCGTTTCCCGCCGCGGCCGCAGGGGCGTCTAGCGGACTGTCCCAGCGACCGACATGACGATGTGATGTGTCGAAATTCGGTGTGGATTGGGTGAGAGCTGGGGAGGGGTCGACGCCGGAGGGCTTTGACCATCTGGCATGTTGAGTTGCTTTGCGGCATGCATGATGCAGCGTGCTGCGTCTATGCCACATAGTTGACTGTGATCAACAAATTCAATTTTAAATGAGGCGAAATTCGCTTCTGCGCTAAAGTTGGCGGGTTAGCTCAATGGTAGAGCGGTAGACTCCAGACGTCCCACGTGGCCCAGGTGGTCTGAGGCGATGGTCATGCGCCGGGCGTAATCTACAGGCTGGGAGTTCAAGTCTCTCACTCGTCAGCTCAGCTCAGCTCAGCTCAGCTCAGCTCTTTTCTGCATCCCTGCAGGTACCTTTGCGCGCCCACCGACGGGTCGGCGGGCCTCCCTGCGCCAGCTCCTGGAGCTTCCGTCCGCGACCGGGCACGCGCCGGCCGCGCGAGAGCCGACGACTCCCACGTGCTCCACCCCGGCGGCCTCGAAAGTCTGACTTATGATAGTAAGACTGGTTTGGCCACAAGGGCGGGCCTGTGCGCCGCAGGCGCACAGTTCCGGTTCTGTGTGCCTTCGGACACACAGATACCGCGCTCGGTCTCACCGAGCGTAGTCTACCTTTTGGGTATGTTGTGAGGTGCGCCACGGGCACGGGCGCGGCCGCCAACTGTGGCGTGTCGCCCGCCGTGACGGACCTCGAGGCCGATCGTAGGTGCGTTGGCGTAGCGGCGTGGGACGCGTAGACACGCGCGAACGCGTGGGCCGGCCTGCTGTGGCGTGGGCCCGCGCGGGGGGCGCGCGGCGTTGTCGAGAGCCGCTCGAGGTGGTGGTGCGAGTGGGTGTTGGGCCAATCTGGAGGCCTGGGACTCACGCGCACGCGCCTCGGACTCAGAAGCCTAGGAGCAGCGCATCTGTGGTCCCGTGGGGCCTTGGACTGGGGGAAACGGCTCTTGCCGCGCCGGGAGGACACCTGGCCCGGCGGGAGTGTGCGGGTCTCCTAGGGCCGAGCTCTGCGGCGGCCTGCGGGGTTCGGGGGTGCACGTTTGCAGCACATCCTGCAGACTCTGAGAAGCAGAAGAGAAGAGACAGACATCGCGACGGACTGGCGCTGTTTTCGGGAGGCGCTCGTCGGGCGGCTGGCCCTTGCTGCACTGTCGGCGGGGGTGGGCCAGGGGGGCGAGGCGCGTCTTGGAAGCGGCGCCGCGGGCCTGAGGGGCGATCGCGGACGTCAGGGATCCTGTCGGCGGGGCGGTGACGACGCCTGCGCGACAGCATGCTCGCTAGCGGCGAGGCGAAGCAGGTGGGAGGTGGTGGAGCCGTGGCTGCACGGGCGCTGGGGGGCGCACATCAACGTGGAGGGACCGACGGGGCGTCGAAGGAAGGCGCCGTGCCCGACACGGGGCCCTCGAGGTGTGCCGTCCCCGCCGCCGGCGACACGGGGCCGCTCGCCGACGCCCTGCGGCGCCGCGTGCACGTTTGGCGCGCGATGGGTGCGCCGGCAGAGGTGCTCAGGTGGATTTCCCGCGGAGTAGAAGTAGACTGGGGACCACTGGGGCCTCCTGGAGCGCACGATGAGGCTGAGATGGACCTGGACGCGGAGCAGCTCGCCTGGTGGCGGGGCTCGCCGGGCGACGAGTCCGGTGGCGAGGAGGCGCGTCTGACGCAGGCGGGCGCCTTCCGAGCCCTGCGCCCCGGGGAGCGCATGCCGACCGTCATTTCCGGGGCTTTCCTGGTCCCCAAGATGACGGACGGTGTGCGCACGGGCTGGCGTTTGGTCATCAACCTCAAGTGGCTGAACACCTGGTGTCGGCCGCTTCGTTGTCGCTTCGAAAGCCTGGGCACCCTGCGCCGCATCAGCGAGCGCGGGGACTACTACGCTAGTTTTGATCTCGCAGACGGATACTACGCGGTCCAACTCAGTCCTGAATCTCAGAAGTACTTTGGATTTCGGATGGCCGGCCGCGTCTATGTCTGCACGGGCCTGCCGATGGGTTGGCTGAATTCGCCTTATGTGTTCACGAAGCTCCTCCGCCCGGTTGTGCGCTTCATTCGCTCGCAGCAGTCCGCGAAGGGAGGGGAAGCTCTCCTGCGGGCGGCGGGGCTGATGGAGCCGGCCGAGCTGGCCGTGCTGAGGGGTGTCGACGTGATTCGCGGCGGGCGGAGGCGGGGAGCCAACACGTTGCCCTACCTGGACGACTTCCTCCTGGTGGGCGCGACGCGGCGGCAGACGAGTGTGTTGGTGTGTTGGGTGCAGCGGCTGCTGGGCGCGCTGGGGCTCCGGCCCCATCCCCGCAAGTGCCACTGGGAGCCGACGCAGGTGATCCGGCACCTCGGTCTGATGGTGGACGCGAAGCGGGGCGTGTTCACCATACCGGCGGACAAGAAGCGGAAGATTGCGACGCGGGCGCGCGAGTTGTACGCGTACGCGTCAGGCCATCGCAGGTGGGCTCCGGCTCGGCACGTTGCCGAGGTGGCGGGGCTGTGCCAGTCTGTACTCCTGGCGTGCCCGGAGGCGCGGCTGTTCTTGCGACGGGTGCACGAGGCGCTGAGGCAGGTGGGAGCTTCGGAGGCCAAGTGGGCCGGCGCGGTGCGGCTGAGCAACGGGGCGCTGAAGGATCTTCGCTGGTGGGCGCGCATCGCGCAGCGCGAGCACTCCGGGCCGATCTGGCTCGACCCTCGCACTGCGACGATGAAGACCGACGCTTCCCTCGCGGCCTGGGGAGCGGAGGTCAACGGGCGGGCCTACTACCGGGGACAGTGGGGACCCGAGGAGACGACGGAGCACATCAACGTCCTGGAGGTGCGGGCGGTGCGGCGGGCGCTTGAGGCAGCGGGCACTCAGGTGCAGGGACAAGTGGTGCGGGCTCGGATCGACAGCCAAGTCGCGATCGGGTGCATCAAGCGATGGGGATCGCGGTCGGTGCGCCTGAACCGCGAGGTGCTGCAGCTCTGGCTCGCGGCACAGGCCCTGCGGGTGCAGTTGCGGCCGGAGTACATTCGTACGACGGCGAACAAGGCCGCCGACCATCTCTCCCGCACCGATCCAGCCGCGGAAGCCTGCCTCCCGAGAGACGTATTTCTGGACCTGGACAGGGCGTGGGGTCCGTTCGTGGTGGACCGGTTCGCACATCAGCTGAACCGGCAGGTGGAGCAATTCAACACGTTGGTGCCGGCGGCGGGGGCTCCGTACGACGCCTTCGCCCAGGACTGGGCGGACGTCGGCGGGGTCAACTACGCATTCCCTCCGGTGCAGGCGATCGGGCAAGTGCTGGCGCTGCTGCGGGTGCGGCCAGCGCCGACCGTGCTCGTGACACCGCGGTGGGAGACGGCGCCGTGGTGGCCGGAGCTGCGGGCTCAGGCCGCGGGGCATCGTGAGCTGGGGCGGCCGCGCTTGGTGGAGAAGCTCAGCAGCGGGGAGCGCGCCCTCGACGTCGACTGGGCGTTGAGTGCCTGGTTGTTGTGCGCGTCGACAGGTTGACGCAGTCGGCCGTGGAGGTGCACGCCGCTCGGAACGTGGCCAAGGCGCCGCGGGCACGGGCGGCGACCGGCGACGGCGGTCCAGGCGTGCGGGGCGCAGCGCTATGGCGCTGGATTTCTTCAGGGGTGCAGGCGCTGAAGCGGCGGTGCTGACGGGGGGCATCGCGTGCTGGGGCGGTCGCGCTTCACGGGGGAGCTCAGCAGCGGGGAGCGCAAGCCCGGCGCAAATGGGAAGCTGGTTGCTTGGTTGTTGTGCGCGTTGACAGGTTGGCGCAGTCGGCCGAGGATGTGCACGCCGCTCGGAACGTGGCCAAGGCGCCGCGGGCACGGGCGACGACCGGTGACGGCGGTCCAGGCGGCGGGGCGCAGCGCTTCGGCGCTGGATGTCTTCAGGGGTGCGAACGCTGGGGTGGCGGTGCTGACGCGGAGCCCGGCGGGTCTTCGCGGAGGTGTCGTGCCGGCGCGCGGTGCCAGGGACCGCGGCGTTCGACTGGCGTCGCGGCGAGCTGCTGGACGTTGCGGCTGGTTGGATGGCTTCAAGAGGTTGTTGTCTTCTATGCGGGGAAAAGGGTCTGCATCTCCGCGCACGGGGACATCATGGTGATTCAACGGATCTCGTTCATCGTGAAGGTCGGGGGCTTTGTTCCAGGATCGATTTCGGACAGCATTTCGCCTGGGTGCTGCTGGGACTCTAGCTGAGGGGGAGGTGTTCGACGACGGTGCTGCGGCGGACGGACGGTGCGCGCCCTGCTGCCTGTGGCTCCGCGCCACAGCGGGCGCGCGCGAGCGTACGCGGCACACGACGCGGCGGGTTGGGGGCATGACGGTGCTGACGGGGCGCAGCGCTTCAGGCTCCGTGCGCGTCGCCCTTGGGTCGTCGAATGCGCGCGCGGCTTCGGCGACGCCGCGCGCGCCTTGCAGGATCAACCAGTCGCCAGCGCGATGGTGACGGGCTGTTCCATCCCTCGGCAACGTTTGCGGCGTGCGGTGACACCGCGCGCCCGAATCTACGAGTTACACGGCAAGTCTCCCGACCCCTGCCTTCGTGCGGCAGGACTCGCAGCTTTTCTGGGTTGGAGTTTGGCATGGAGCCCTTGGTATGGCCAAAGTCTGACTTATGATAGTAAGACTGGTTTGGCCACAAGGGCGGGCCTGTGCGCCGCAGGCGCACAGTTCCGGTTCTGTGTGCCTTCCCGCCCTCCCTCCCTGTTCCGGTTCTGTGTGTGGTGCACGCGACGCGGGCATCGCACTGGGATCGGTTTGCTCCTGCGCGCGCCATTGGCGCGGTGAGTCAGCCGAGCCGCGGGTGACGGGGGCGGCTCCTCGGGGCGCGGATGGGCGCCTGCGGAGGGGGCTGCGGGTTCTGTGGTGGAGAGGCGTCGGTTCGGAGCGCATCATGGGCGATCGACTTGCCCCACCAGTTGCAGCTGGGCGCTGGTGCGGATTCAACGGGAGAAACACCCGAGCAGGCGGTGCGTCGGTGCGTTTCTGGGGCCGGGGCGAGAGTGGCGCCGGTGTATTCACATCGGACACGGGGGTGTAGCTGGGGGTTTGCCCAAAAAGTAGGCTGGCAGTGTAACAACACTTTGGCATGGAGCCCTTGGTATGGCCAAAATGTGCTGCACCGCGCCGGCCTCGAAATTCGGCCAGCGCACCACGGAAACGCGCGCGCAGGCTCACCTTTGCTTCCGTGCACCGAGCACTGCCGCCCCGGCACCGACCCGCAGCGTGCCTACGACGCCCTTCTGCTACCCGTCCGCGGACGTCGGAGACATGAGTATGCAAGGCGCGCCGACAAGACCTCCAATGTACGCCTTGGGGCCGGGCTGCTCCCCTGCAGGCACAACAGTAAGCAAACCGACATCAGGATAGCTCCGGCGTTATCCGGGCATTTCATGGCATGCACATTTGCGATGACTATGTTGCGTCCTAGCGGCGATCCGCGGGGCGTCGGAGTCGGACGCACGGAAGAGCGACGCCGCTGCGACTATTGCCCCGCACCGCGACGCTCGTGCCGCTCCCTGCTCGCGGAACCGGCGCATATCGAGCGCTGAATCAGCCGGCCGGCATATACTAGACACGAATCACCCTGTCATCATCGCGCCGGTGCCACCCGCCGCACAGACGCCCCCGGAGAGACGGCAATGACTGCTCCACAGTGACGGCTTCACGCACCTGGAGGCGCGGCGGACGTCTCGAAGGCGCCCCGAGTGGCTTTTAGTCCTCCTCAATCAGCGCGTGAGCGGCGCAGAGAGACGTAAGCAGGCGCCCACGAGGCCCGCGCGGCGAAGTACTACCGACCAGCGCCGGGATGGCAAGATCGCCCAGGAGGACGGGGGACGCGGCAAGCGCTTTCCTCTAACGGACACAAGGGATCTTGATTGTATTGACGTGCCCCTGCCGTCGGTTGGACACACTCAGAAGCCGTTGGCGCTGCCCGCAGGCGTCGCACAACTACGATAGGGTGCAGCGGCGTGATGCCCGCAAGGGGCACACGGCCGTCATACGAGTGGCCCGCGCGACCGTCACAGTCGTCTCACGTGCGGCGGGTCATCCCACTGGCCCGCCAACCCCCCCGCGCGGCACGTCCCACTCCCCTGGTGGGCCCTTGCTCAGCAGCCCGCTGGTGGGCGTGCCGCGCCTACCGTTGACAGCCGCGCATCGCGCTCTGTTGCATCAGTATCAGGCTCGAGCCCAACGGCGTCAAACGCCTCAAGCATCGCACCCACTGCCTGCTCCCGGACACCATGGTGCGTGCCCCATCGCCTCGGCGACGCACGTCGCACCGCCGTCCAGAGCGGCAGTGGTCGCCGCGGACGGTGCATGTGCTGAATGTGCGATGCCTCAGGGCAGCGATGCACGGCCCGGTTGCGCGGCTGCGTCACGCGCCGCGCCCTGGAATCTCTACAGACTGCTCGCCTCGCGTGGCCGTGGCGCCCGGGCGTTGCCATGTCCGGTCGGATCGAAGTCGATGACGGTGTGTTGCGTCCGATGCGCGCTGACCTGTCCGCCTCGATCGCGTGTGCACCGCAGGGCGATAGCACTCGCTCAGGTGGTGCAAACACGGTGCGTCGCCACACACCGCGCCGCTCGAGTCGCCTCCCACCTGGCCTGCCCTGCCTCTCAGCCTCGAAGCGTCGCAGCAGGCGTGCGGGCTTGCGCCCAAACCTCCCGCTCCGCGCGCGCTGTCGCCTGGTGCTTTTCCGATGCACCCGCTGACCGAATCGCATCAGATGCACCTCATGATCGAATCACCGCGTACCTCTGTGCGGCATGTACCACCGCCTGACCAAACCACCCGTGTCCGTCGCCGGCCGCAGGGCTCACCTGCCGCCGTCTTTCTAAGGGTCCTTGACGAGGTGCCTCTGGTGCTGGACAACCTCGACGAGGATACGCTCAAGTTCACCGCGTGCACGTGTTGGTCGACGCTGCTCGCCACGCTGCGACACGGCCGTATCCGGGACCACGAGCGCCATCTCGTGCCCGTCCTCGACGTCACGCTTCATGGCCCGCTGCTGGCGGGCCTGGCCGCCCGCGTCGGTCGCGGCTCGCAGTACGACGGGCTGCTGCGGTTCTTGGGAGCTCGGTTCCCGGTCGGAGACGCCGCGGCCCTGTACGAGGCAGCGCGACACGCAGGCATCAAGGACGTTGATCACAACTTGATGAGCACGCCCGAGTCGCGGTTGCGGGCGCTGGTGAAGATCCTGGATGCAAGCGAGACCTCAGGCGCAGGCGCACTTCGTGTGGTGGGGCTCCACTACGTGCTTGAGGAGCCCAGACGCGGGAGCCCCATTCCTCCAACAGACAACAATTCTGTCGAGCGCGTACCCGACAAGCTATCGCGCGAGAAGGAGGAGGAGGGGTCCTTGATCCTATGCTCGCTGCTGCGCTCGACTCAGCTCTGCGATCACCTCGAGCGTCTACGAATCGAGTCGAACTTCAGGTGCTACGACAGCACCCGCAGGGACCTGCTGCACCGGATCATCGGAGCGGCAATCGGCGCGAGACCGCTACGTATACTCGAGGCACATGGAACCGAGATCGATCGGGATGTCGCCCGTGCGATCGCGGACCTGGCTCTGGGCTTGAACACCGTCAAGACAGCACCCCTTGCAGAGCTCGACCTCAGGGACAAAGACGATGCTCCATGGGGATGGGCGGGGATGGCCGTCGACGACGACGGTGTCCGGGCGATCGTCAAGGCCTGCGTGGAGGGCTCGGTTCGGCGCCTCATCCTCGCTGGCCGATCCTGCGGCGACGCCATTGCAGCGACTCTGGCGGCGACGGGCCTTGGCGCTCTGACCCACCTGAACCTAGCATACACTCGAATGACCGAGGCAGGGGCGCGCGACCTCGCGTTGGCCTTCACACGCCCGAACCAGGTCGCGGTGTTGGAGTTGTCCGGCAACAAGCTTGGAGACGATGGCGGGCTCGCAGTTGCAGCACTGGTCGCATCCAGCTCCACCCTAGTGGAGCTCAACCTGAACAGAGCCTCAATCGGCGTGGAAGCTGCGCAGGCGCTGTGCGACGCGATCGTCGCAAACACTACGCTGCCGCTGCGGGACCTGAACATGGGCGGCAACGACATTGGCGACGCGGGCGCTGTGGCGGTGTGCGAGATGCTGGCGCGCAACACGTCGCTTGCGACGCTCGGGCTGAATGGTGCAGACATCGACGACCGTGGCTACGAGCATATCGCGAGGGGGCTGACGTTCAACAGCACCCTGAGGCATCTCGATCTCACCATGAATGGGTGCTTCATGCTGTGGGCTGGCGTCGTCGCGCTAGCACAGGCAGTCGCCAAGAGCACATCGCTCTCGTCGCTCAAGATCGGAGGCTTCACCGAGCTGGACAACATGTGTGCGACAAGCAAAGCCATTGGCGAGATGCTTGGCTGCAACTCGAGCCTGAGGGTCCTGAAGCTGAAGCGACTTTACTTGTCGGAATACGGACCGTGGAGATCGGTCTTCCAGGGACTGGCGCGCAACCGCACGCTGCGGA